GCCCAGCCAGCCAAGGTTATCCCAGCCAAGCAGAACTGCGAGGTCCTTGTTCGCGGGGGCCATCTATCACCTGACCTAGCCAAGAGGACCCCTCTAGAAATCATTCAAGCCGTTAATGGGGCCTCTAGCCGACAAGGGGCTATTGCAGCCCGGAAACTACCTAGCGGAGATACAGTAGTTACCTTCAACAACCCAGATACCAAGCAATGGCACTCTACCAACCACGACTGGATTCAACGGGCCTTCGGAAGCCAGGCAAAGGAAGCCCGACGGACCTATGGAGTGGTAGTCAAGGGTCTACGGAAGGCTGACCTCCAGGGGGCTACAGAGGCTAGTTTTCAAGAAGAGGCCAGGCTACAGGCAGTGGAAAAGATCATCTTCCAGTACCCCCATAACCCAGACTTCACTAGGGTCCCTGTAGTTATAGCCTTTACTAGCCAGGAGGAGGCTAAAAAGGCCTGTGACCTAGGGGTCCTATACCGGGCTCAGCTCTTTAGCTGCGAGCCATACTGGGCTCCGCTACGGCCAACGCAGTGCTTTAAGTGCTGGAAGTGGGGCCATATAGCCCGCTACTGCAGAAAGGACCCCCTTTGCCCCCGTTGCGGCGCTGGAACCCATGGGCATGGTGGTAAGGAAGGCGAAGAGCAATGCCCTACCTATACTACAGGCCAGTTTAGATGCCCAGCCTGCGGGGGTCGCCACTCGGCCAGGGACAAGCAGTGCCCAGAACGGCTCCGAGTACGGGCTATAGCTAAGGAGGCCTACCAACACAGGCCCAGAACCTTCGAATCAACTACTTCCAAGCTACAACAACTAACCTTCGACCTCGACTTTACTCGAACAACCCACCCTACAACCGCAACTACAACCCCTATCTTTGGCTCCCTCTCTCTAAGCCACGACGACCAAGATATAGGCCCTTCTAGAAAACGACCACGGGGCAGGCCAACAAAGGCCCAACAAGATCCCAAGCAGCTCCGACTATCCATCTCCCAGCCTACTAGCCAGGCTATAAGCCAGGCTACAAACCAAGCTACAAACCAGAACGACCCAACTAGCCAGCCAACCAACCACCTAGCCAGCCAGCCAGCCGACCACCTAGCCAGCCAACCCTCTAGTACTACATGGTAGTTACCATACTACAATGGAATACCGGAGGCATCAAGCAACCACTAGAAATCTTAGTAGAGGAGGCCAAGTTCGACGTCCTAGCTATACAGGACCCGTGGATCAACCACCAAACTAAGTCTACCTACTGCCCTCGACGTAGCCAGTACCACCTAGTCCATCAACCTAGTGGTCGGGCGGCTATACTGGTTAAGAAGACAATTGACCTTAGCCAATGGGACTATGGGGTAGCTGAACATTGGTGCTGGGTTCGGTTCGCAGGCTATGAAGGTAGCCAGGGGGTCGAAGTCTGGTCGGTCTATAACCCCCCGGCAATCAAGACAATACCGGCCACTCTTTTGCAACAATACCCCCGACCCTCTAGCCAAATAATACTTACAGGGGACTTCAACCTTCAACACCCAGCCTGGGACTACTACGAACGCTACGATAACAAAGCCAACAACCTGCTCCAGTTAGCCACCTCTTGGGACCTTAGGCTAGTAACCCCTAAGGGCACTATAACTAGGGAACCACAGGGTAGGCAACGGGGGCGCCCATCGACTATCGACCTAATCTGGGCCTCTATAGACCTTGCCTGCTCCTACTACGGTATTAAGGAAAGAGGAGATTCCGACCACTACCCCCAAGTAGTGGAGGTCCACCTCGAACACTCCCCTACAGCCCCACCCCCCCCTGGTTGGTCCTGGAAAAAGATGGATAAAAAGAGGGTAAAGGCCGAAGCAGCCCTCTTACCAGGCCTCTGCAGGCTAGATAACCCTGGCCCGCAGGGCCTACAGAGCCGTACCCAGTCAGTAGAAGGCCTAGATAAGGCATTCGACTGGCTTGTCGAAGAACTTACAAGGATTGCCAACGCTAGCACCCCCCGAAGGAAGCCTAACAATGGATTTCAAGCCCCCTGGTGGACGAACGAGGTGCAACAAAAGGTCCAGGGGGCCCGGGAGGCCGAACGTACGGCTAAAGCCGCACCTACGGCCTATAACAAGGCCCAGCTAAACCAGAGACTCCGGGACCTTTCAAGGGCTATACGACAGGCTAGAACAAAGACCTGGAGGTCTACCCTACAGGAAGCCAGTCATAACGAATCACTCCTTTGGAGCCTAGAACGGTGGGCTCGTTGCAAGAGCTTCCAGCCTACTAGCCCCCCTAGGCTCCCGGCCATCAACGGCTATACCACCCATACCCAGAAGGCCCAGGCCCTAGCCAACCGTTTCTTTCCAAGCCCGCCAGCCGACCTCTCTAACATCCAAGATCCCACCTTTTCCCAGCCGTGGGAACCGAAGATCCCAATAAGCCAGGTGGTTAGTGCTAGGGACATACAAGATGCCATTGCCCGGGCCGCTCCCTGGAAGGCCCCAGGTAACGACTACCTCCCTATAGGCCTATTGAAGGCCTGTGGTAGGCCGTTGTACAGGATCCTCGCACTACTCACTCAGAGATGCCTCGAACTACAATGGGTGCCGGCCAGGCTAAAGGAGGCTATAGCTATAGTGCTCCCAAAGCCTGGTAAAACCCCAGCTGACTATCTTACCCCCGGAGGCTATAGGCCTATTTCGCTCCTTCCTACCATTGGCAAGGTAGTGGAAATAGTGGTTACCAAAAGAATCACAGAGGCAGTCGAAGCCTATGGCCTATTACCCGACGAGCAGATGGGTAACCGGGAATACAGGTCAACAGACCTAGCCATTCGGCTTGTGGTAGCCCAGATCCAAGAGGCCTGGAGACAACGCGCTACGGCTTCCCTATTGCAGTTAGATCTCACAGGGGCCTTCGACCGGGTAAATCATACCCGGTTACTGGCTACAGTTCGGGACCTCGGGCTCCCGCAGTGGCTTGTAGGTTGGCTACGGTCGTGGCTAACGGGCCGGAAGGCCACACTCCTATTCGACGGCCAACTTGCCCCGGAAATCGACATCCGAGCTGGAGTGCCACAAGGATCACCACTATCACCAATCCTCTTTATACTATATATAGCCTCGCTATATAAAGTACTAAAGGAAAAGCACCCTCTGGTCAGCTTAGTGGGATTCGCAGACGACACCAACATCCTAGCCTTTGGAAGGGACCCCTATATCAACTGCCGGCAACTAGAACAAGCCTGGGCTACATGCCTACAGTGGGCTAGATCCTACGGAATGGAATTCAATGGGGCCAAGTCAGAGCTGATCCACTTCAACAAAGGCCGTAAACAGTGGTCTGAACCACTACGACTAGCCAAACCGGGCCACCCTCATGACCATACTATGGTTAAACCAACGGCTTCAGCCCGGTTCCTAGGGGTCTGGCTCGACTGGAGGCTTTCTTGGAAGGCCCACGGAGCCAGCATAGCTACCAAGCTAAGAACCCAAGACTTTGCCCTATCAAGGATAGCAGCCAAGACCTGGGGCCCGGGGCTAATCAAGGCCAGAGAGGTCTATACCAAGTGCATTCGTAGCGCAATAGCCTATGGGGCATCCAGCTTCCACAAGCCTACAACACTCAACGGCTCACCACAAGGCCTAGCCAGAGACCTAGCAAAGGCCCAGAACCGAAGCCTACGCATCGTAGCCGGGGCCTATAAGACTACCCCTATACGGAATCTCGAGACGGAAACTTGGATCCCTCCCCTAGACCTCTACCTTAACAAGAGGCTGGCCGACTTCGAAGGCCGGCTCAACGAGCCTACCCTACAGGCCGGGCTAGGCCCAGAGGCCCCGAGACGCCCACCAAAGGAAATCATCCAAGGGGCTTGCAATAGGCTCCAACGAAGGTTCCGGAGGCTACGGGGCCGGCCCCGGAGCCCAGAAAAGCCAACAGACGTCGAAAAGGCCTCGGCTGTAGTGGCCGAATGGAACGCCCAGGCTAAAGCCTTGGGCCCACCATTGGCCAAGACCCAGGATGACTGGGCATTATTAAGAGCTTGGGAGGCCAGGTGGAAAACCCAGGTCCAGGGACAGCCAACCAGGCTAGCCGACGAAGGCCTACCAACAGTTCTCTTCACAAACCAAGGCCTACGGAAACACCAAGGCCTTACAAAGGCCAAGAGCTCCCTACTAGTACAGGCCCGTACGGAGGCTATAGGCCTACGGGACTTTCTTTTTAAACAAAAGGCCCGTAACCAGCCTACCCCCTATTGCGAATGCGGGGAAGCCAGAGAGACAGTAGAGCATCTTGTGATTTGGTGCTCTATACCACCTATACCAAGAACTTGGCCTAGGCAACTAATACGCACCCACCGGGACCTTAGCCTTGTTTTACAGGGCCTAGGCTACCGGAACCGAAGACTTCTGAAGAAGGTACTGGGTTGGCTAATGGACTCGGGCCGGCTAGGGGAATATAGGCTCGCTCGGAACCTCGATGAGGAACTGGAAGCTAGAGAGCCCGGCTAGCCACATCCGTGGCCACGGCTTAGCCGGGCTAGCACCCTACTAGCCGTTGGCCCAAGGCCTTCCCAAGGCCTTTTTCTTTACTTGCAGCAGCGTGTATCACTGGAACTATGTCTTTCCTATTACTTCCGACAAAGGTTTTCACCCGGCCTAAACGGCACGGTTTTTCCTTTGTATATAGCAATAGAGGGTCCGGCGCGCCTTGTAAATAGCGAGGCATAGCGGAGTAGGAGAATATATATATAATTAATAAGTAGGAGGTAAAGGTAATGAATTAGGAAAGGAAGCTTAGCTGCATGTAAGAGTATTTATAGCTATATGTATAGTCCAAGCTTCTTGCAGAGTTAAGCCCTATCATCTTATCTTATTATATATGATATGGCGCCACGCCTAGCCCCCGGATAGTCTTAGTCATCTAGCTCTATAAATGTAAGGAGCCTCTATAGGGTAATAATAATAGTAGCTATAATGTTAGCTAGGGCCTCTATGCTAAGCTTGCTAGCTCTCCTTAGTAAGTACTTTATTATTGTTATAACTATTAGTTTATAGCAATAACTACCGCTTATAACATCACTATATAGGTAATATATCCATTAAACTATCTATAGTCTAGTAGGTGGCCTATAAAATCATGATTATAATGCTTGCTCTGAATTCTTGCTGCCTTTCTCTGCTGTCGGTACAACCTCCTCGGTTGCAGCGAGCTCAGCTAGTGGCCTCAGCTGCTCTGAATGCTCTCTTGTTGCGGCAAAGGGGGCTGTTTCGTAGACTAGCCCTGGTGTATCCATGCCACTAAAGTGACTCTTCAGAATCAAGAGGCTGTTAGAGTTATGCATTCCAAAGATGATAGCAGAAAGATGGTCAAAAAGCAACGTACCCTCGACACTGCAGGTATCTTTTTGACCCAGCCGGTAGCTCTAGATGAGTCGGCCCATGCGAGGACAACATGGTCGTCGTCGGACAGGGTCATGAACGACATGGCGAATGAGTCGGACTTTGCGGTAAGTTCTTTGGAATTTGCGATTCGGCGGATGTCCATGGGGCTGGAATTCAGATTGGACACCTGGAAAACGTGGCCCTTGTCGTTGACTATGACGAGCTCTCTCCCTGACGGCGAGAACGCAGCGCACTGTATGCGATTCCCGAGCTTGCTGCTGTGCCGACCTGACACATCGGTCCGTATTTCACTCCGGTGTCCGTCTTGGGGCTGGATCAACACGGGCGCGCCTGACTGGGTCCACGTAGTTATGCAGACCAAGTTTTCTTCGCCGTGGACACCGGGTCGAAATATCGCAGAGGAGACACCGTTGTCCTCGGATTCGTGTAGGGGTACCGCATAGCGACAGGTGGTCAGCTCCTGGAAGGTGTGGAAGGGAAATCGCCACGAGTATATTTGTATGAGGCCTGTTTTGTGGCCCCGGGTGCTCGCAAGCAGAACTAGCCCGTCATCGGAAAAGGCCAGCGTATCAACAGACGGACAGGCTTTGCAGTCGCTGTGGAAGAGCGCGTGGAGGCGGTCTTCCCGAGGTTGCCCCGCACTGCTTGCATTGAAAAAGCGAACGGTGGCATTCTCAAACCCTACCACCACGTAGTTCTCTTGTCTGTCAATAGCCATGCTCTTGCACCACAGTGAGGATGGTATGCGGTACTCCACAATGGGTGCTGTGGGCTGGACCAGACTGACGACCCGTAGCTGTGATGTAGCACGTTAGCATACTTGAGCTCTTAGAAGGGGAGGGCGTGCGCCCGGGTGTTTGGGGTGGGTGAAAAAAGGGGGGGGGGCGCGCGGGGGAGAGAAGATATCTGAGGGTAAGTCGAGGCTGAGTGAGTTCTTACGGTTAGTTTTTGGTCTCTGGTCCCAATGATGTAAGCTAGCCGTGTTTTGGCGACAACAGCATGTATGCAAGTGCTCTCCGGTAACAAGGCTCGTATCAGGGTGGGTGGTGACGTGCCGACATCCCATACATGAATCACGAGCTGGGTCCAGAATAGAGCAAGCGTGGAGTTCTGAGAAAGGTAGACATTTACGCTTTTGCATGCCTTGCCTCGTATATGCGTCTTTTGCGTGCTGATCAGTGTGGACAGGGATATCTCCTCCAGCTTCTGAGCTTCCAGTGCCGTTGACGAGATAGAGCTCGAATCCCCAGAAGCCCCGGTCGAGGGTTTCTTCGACGTTGGGAACTTCAGTCTCCACCTGGACTTCCCCTTGTCGCTCGCCGGAATTACAGGGACTGTTCTGGGGGTGTGTACCGACGGAACCTCGTCAACCCCTGTTTCCCTGCGTAAGACCGGCGAGTCGTGTGAGAAGGGGGGAGGATCTGTCAGGAAGTTAGGATCAGGGTGAGCGAGAGTCGGCTCTGCTGCTTCCGCCGCCCTTCTTTGGTCAGCTAAACCTCCGGGACGTGACTGCTCGCTCCGCCAGGGCATGGACGACTGATAGGGGCCGGGAGATTGAGGAGACACTAGGCCCGGGTAGCCAGTCGCGGTCAAGTCACCAAACACCGGGCTTGGCAGTCCCGGCTTCATCGGACCGGAGCTCAACATTTCTGGCGCATGCGGCCTCTCCCCCCCAATACTAAGGATGCTGCTATAGCCCGGAGGAAGCAGGCCGGTGGCCTCTGGTTTTGGCGGCCGCAGTTGGAACTGTGTCGGCAAGTGTCGCTCCACGTTGATGGTGTTGGCGTCGGCTCGGAGTGGCTCCATTAATTCCCAGGTCTGTCTCGCAACGGGCACCTCGCGGGCAAGCGTGGTGGCTCCTCCGCAGTATATACATGTTGCTTTGGGTGGGAGACGGATCTCGGCTCCGTCTGCTGCCTCCGGCTTCAGTAAGAACAGCGACTTCAGTTGCGATGCGCCAGTCAGATGACACTCAGGGCAATTCACGACATAGAGTCCAGGCCGTGCAGGATTGAAGCGACCGCCGGGGTCATCTTGAAGAACAATGTTCCTGATCACGTGCGAGATATTATGCACCACTTCTCTATCGCTAATCCGATGGACGATCTGGCGCTCCCGAAGCCTGGTGCAGAGTGCGCCCAGGGCGTCCAGTTCGCATTCGTCCACGCGAGGCCCGAGGTCGTCGCGGCGTGAGAGGTCGAGCGTGTCCGGGAGGACGGTACGAAAGGCGGTACTGAAGGTCGCCACGATATCTACCTTGGCCATGCTGGGCGGTGCGCGCAAGTTATCCAGGGCAGTCAAGACGGCGTTCCGCGCTCTGGCGGAGGACGACTGAAGCCGCACATCACGCGTCTCTCCGTTGGCGGCGTATTGGATGGACGCGGCAACCACAAACTGACATACGTCGCGTAGAGCTAGGAATTGCGCCAACCAGTTGGCGAAGCCACCGGGTGGCGCGAGTTCCGATATGGACGCTGGCTGCAGGCAGGGAGGAAGGGGATACTACGCTGGTGTCAGCAGAGGCGAGTTTCCGGCAATCATATACCTAGGCGACCAAGGGGGTAGGAATCAAAGAGGTGACGGTTGGCGTCGCCGTACCAAATCTGAAGTCAAGTTCGGTAGCTCCGATCTGAGCCGCTGGGGCAACTCAAGGACCTCCGGATCGGAGTGTAACTGGCCCGCCACCTCCTTGCACACCTCGAGCAGGAACGATTTCGGCCCGGGATAGCTGTCGAACACCTGCTCTAAGGACCCATGGATGCGTGCAAAGCGGTCGCGGCGGTCACGGGCGCGCTGGGTTGTCGGGGCCTTCGGGTGGAGGGACACGACACGGAGGGCCGAGAGGAGAAACTCGGCGAGATATTTGTCGCGCAGCTGACGATGTTCCCAGAGACACTCGCGGCCTTCGGAGACGGTCTGGAGGACGAATTCGACGGAGCGAAGCGCGACCTCCCAGCTAACAAGAAAGCCGAGGTACCAACCGACATGGGTGGTCTCGGAGGGAATGGTCAGCCGTTGGAGGTCGAAGATGGCCTTGAGCTGGGCGAGCAGGGTGATGACGAGTTGTTGGTAGATATCGCGGTCCGCGCCGGCGTATATCTTCTCGAGGGAAAAGCGGCCTAGCAGTTCCAACACAAGGTCGTCGATGTCGCTGCGGAGGGCCAGAAGCCTCCACGTGTTGACCAACCGCAGGAAGAGCGACGAGGGCGCCGCAGCCGCCATGGCCGGCGACACTCGGGGCGTTGTCCCCTATGATCTTGTCGTCCAGCTCCAGATCGATGATAACCTTTGTTGGCTGGCCCCGGGTGTGGGGTGCGGGGCACCGTTGGAGGGGTGCTCAATGTCTTCTCAAGCCGTCCGTCCCTGTGCGCCTGCTGCCTATACGTTCTCACACTCTTCGCGTGACCCTTCGCTCCGTCTCAAGATCAGGATGGGCCTGCCGCGCGTGAAAGTGCTGCGACCGATGGAGTAGGCCGGCCGGTCGGGCGGGTTCCCTGGATCTGCAATGAGGTAATTGGTGCGTTATGACAGGCGCGAGAGCAGCCCCAATGTCAGGACTGCGTCTAAGTTTCCAGAAGGTGCTGGGTCCGGGGAGATGCGAGGATGCGCCTGTTCGGGAGGCGGCAGACGGCATGGCTTTGCCGGGGCTGAGCAACGATGCCACCAGCGTCGTAAAAGCTCCCACCCCTCATCATCCCTTGGCTCAACTCTGTCTCTCTGGGCTGTCTGCTGCTGCCGCCGCCGCCGCCGGCCCTTCACCATTGGCCAGCTTGGCTCAGTGGAGTCCTAGCTGGAGAACAACAGGTACACGACGTGCATCTGAACGGCACTGCACAGGGGTACGTCGATACAAATTTCTGCACGCTTTGGCTAGCTTTCCTGCGGGATCAGTGGTTGGATTTCCACCGAAGACAGTGCCGCGTAAGTGCGCGCACAATACATGAGGCTGTCCCTCAACCAGCGGTGGTATTGATGCCGGCGAGCCAGTCGTTGAGCTTGGCCAAGCTTTCGCTAAAATAAGGTTACACTAACTGTGGGGTCTACCAAGGTTTCCTGGCTTCCTGCTTCGATAACGGGCGGACCACTGCCCGGCCCACTGGGGACCGGACCTTCCCTACGGATTAAACTAGTGTAGTATACCTCAAGTGTCCGCCCCTTTAAGAAACTCGATTGTCCTGTGTAATGTGTGATAAATATGAGACAAGCAAGTCATCACCTGACCTTCTGGGTAGGATACCTGATCATCCTGACTCGCACATGCTTCGTACGAAGGGTGCAGGCATCCAATGTGCATTGGCTGGCGTTCAGGGCAGGGGGCAGCTTCCCCGGTTTTTGGCCAACCACGTTGCGCGAATCCACGGTTGTGTCTCTTGAGATGCAAACCTGTGTCACGGCGACAGCAACTACTGTGTCGTTACATACCTTAGTTTAACTGTCTTCTACATACCGTACCTCCGTGTGGAGTAGCACGCAAAGCAACCATGGATGGCCTGCTCTCAAGATACCTAATCTCGCCGAGGTACCTAGGCTGGCACCCCGCATGCGCTGCGCCTCTGCAGACGAGCTAGCTGCCGACCTTCCTTCCTCCCTCCTCTGCATCATTGAAGGATGCTAGCGGCTCTCTTGGCAGGAGCAGTATCAGCAGCGTATGTACAATACCATGTACTCGAGTAAGCATGGCGTATTGTTCGGCCGATGGACGTCTTTTCTTGTCAACCGCACGCTGGAGACCTGCCGCGGGAGTGTAGAGGTGTCGGGCGTGGTGTGCCCGCCCCTCCTGGACCCAGCGTCACCCAGGGACCCGAGCTGAGAGCGATCGCCGGGCTCTCGCATGGCCGGGATGGAGGAGCACGAAATTCTTACTGTTTAATTAGCTGTTATTTTTACCACGGCCAGTCACTGCGATAGAGCAGTTGGCAGGGGCCCGAGTGGGATACATAGCACCGCAGCTTGGCAAGAAGGTCGCGAATAAATCTTGCTCGTCGCCGACCGTGCCTCTTCCCATCAAATCGGCTCCGTACCCATGGGGCAACTGATGCCTCTCAACTCTCTCCATATCCGAGCTCTACCCATGGACTACGAGAAGCCCGAAGCCCTTCACCCGGAGGTCTACCCACACACCGGTCATCTGAGTCCGCAACCCGATGGCGAGGCTACTCTGCACAACTTCGATGAGCCGCCTGCTCCCGAGGACCGTCGCGAGTTTCGTGGAGATAGTCTCTGGTACGGTTCAGCCCGAGCCCCATCTCCTTCCGTAGCGTGCGTAGGATGTGGCTGACATGTCTGTGTGAGATTCCACGGCGACAGGCGAGTACTGCATGAGCGGCATATCAACGTATGGAGGCTCGCGATTCCCCCAGGCGGCTAAGTATTTACTGACCTGGTCCTCGTCCGGTAAAGATGATAGCCTTTTCAGGGTAAGGACTCGGCCGAGCCATGCACACGCGCGTCCTTGCCGACTGACTTGTCCATCACACACAGCTCGATCGGGAATGGTATGCCTCATGCAGACCTTGCTAGAGCTGGCGGGACATCTGTTGATGTGTACAGGCCTTTTCCTGGGATGCGGCAAATCGCTGGCCAGTGCCGGCCCTGGCGGTGCTGTCGTGGCCTATGTGCTTATGGGCACTGGTGAGCGACCCCCAACGTGTTAGCTGACGGGTGTCCCAAATGTCCCAAAGGGGGTATATACCTACTTACTGACATGGGCGTCGACCAGTTATCTCCTCGGTCATCAGCTGCCTGGGTGAAATGACAGCCCTGATGCCCGTCAACGCCCCCGTCATGGAGTTCCCGCGTCGATTCGTGAGCCGCGGGGTTGGGTTTGCGGTCGGGTGGATATACTGGTTAGCCACCCCGTCCCTGGATCTTCCTGTTCCTTTGCAGAGAACTCGCCGTCAGCTCGGTAATATCGTCTGCTAACCGCTGGGAGAGAAGGTTTGCGTATGCTGTCCTCGCTGGCCAGCAGCTGGTCGCCGTGTCCAATGCCCTCAAGTTCCGATATGACGATGGGAAGACTTTCCTAAACTGGGAAGTTGGCGAGAGTGTCGACAATGCTGTCTGGATCTCCGTCTTCCTGATCCTCGTAGTGACATTCAACATGTTCCCTGTCCGGGTATGCGTGCCCAGCCCCAACTTTCGGGGATGCATCTACTCATCGCCGTCCTTTCGTTGACTCTATTCCTACTCACAGGTGTTTGGAGAGCTCGAGTACATATTCGGCTGCTTCAAACTCACCTTCATCACCTTGCTCATCGTGGTATGTATGCCCTTCAGCTCTGCGTATACTCGGGTACTGGCTTATTACTAACAACATTTTCGTGCTAGATGATGTTCTTCCTGTCCATCATTCAACGTCAGTGTGGGCTGCTTCCAATATGTGCAAGGGACACTTCACTAACAAATCCCGCACGACAGCCCGCGGAGCCGCCTACTACACAGAGCCACTGGGTACCCGTTGTATGTACGCTCCCCGTGTCACTGCAACAAACAGGAGAAGCTGACCCTTTCTAAGTCTGGAACTCTCCATATTCGTTTTTCAACGCCGCCTATGCTGCCAAGGACGAGAATCATGAAATCCGGCATGTCATTACCGGGTCGCTGGGGACTCTCCTGGGCGTCTGGTAGGCCACCCAGTTACCGCCCCTTTCTTCTAAGCCCCATTCTCCCGAGCAGCCCCTTCTTTGAACCGCCTCCTTCCGGGCTCCGTTCCAAGACTGACCCCCGCTATTGCCCCCCAGGACAACATTTACCAGCGTTTTGTTTTCCTACATCGGAATGGATATTGTCGCCGCCACTGCCGCAGAGAGCCGATCACTGGCCAACGTGGAGAGCATGAAAATGGCGGCGCGGAAGATCAACCTTCGGGTCATCACTCTGTACTCGCTTGCTGTCCTGACGGCCTCCTTCGTCGTTCCGATGGACCACCCCTTCATCAATGGCCAGGCAACATCGGTGAGCGCTCGCTCGGTTTTCATCATTGCAGCCGTTGAGGCCGGCATGCCGAAGGTTGCCCACTTCTTCAATGCCGTCTTCTGCTTCTCTGCCTTCACGTGCGGAATCAACTCCATGTACATCGCCACCAGGGTGCTGCACACACTTGCCTTGCGCGGCCAAACGGGGCCGGAATTCATCACCAGGCGTTTACGCGCATGCCGCTCCGGTGTACCTGTCCGGGCAGTTTTGGCGACCGGCGCCCTTATGATGGTGTCGTACATGGGCCGCTCTGGTGAGCCCGGGGCCGTAAGTGGAAGGGGTTGCGGTCTTGCATTGCAGGATGCGTGGCGCTGACGTCGACAACAGCGACTTGACGAGCTTTCCATCAACTGCACTGTCTCGTGTCTGGTGGTCTACGCAACCATCTGCGCCACATACCTATGCTTCTTCAGGACGTGAGACTCTTCTCGGCTCTCGCCCAACATCCAGCAATGCCAGGGGAAGGATAGTCGGACTGACGAAAATGCCTGCAGGCTCGAAGACACCAAACTGTACGGAAACATGTCCGAGGCGCAGGCAGCCACGTACGACCGGGACCATCCGCTGTACCCCTACAAATCCCATGGCCAGTGGCTCAAGGGCTGCTATGGCATGGTGGCTTGCGTTATTCTGATCCTCTTCAATGGCGTCGGCGCGTTTATTGAGCCTTTCAACGCTCGCAAGTTCGTGTCAGCGTACATTAGCGTATGTCTGTCCTGTCTTGTCTTGTCTTGCCCCTCAAGCAAACGCCGCGAAACACTGCGCAGGTGCATTGGGCTAACCGTGTCTACCTCATGTAGCTGCCCACGTTTCTAGTCCTCATCGTGGGCTATAATCTTCGCAAACATGGGCTAAGGCTCTCTGATTGGTGGTCTGACAAGTCCGGTGACCTAAGCAATGCTGTCCAGGCAACCAGTTTGAGGAGAAAGGGAAGACTGGAATTCCCGGACAACGGATTGACCAGGGAGAATATCCTGACCTTCCTCAGGTGGATATGGGTATGGATGAAGTAGAACCATTCGCTTTTTCTCTGTCCCTGTCGTCCTTATGTTCCAGGGTGGCAAGAGACTAGCAGACTGGTTTTATCTCTCGCGGCCGGGAGCCTAGTTGAGTACGGTACTTCATGCGTTGTCCGAGGTATTGAACACAGCTGAGCGTCATATTTTCCTTATGCTTGTCACGAGACGGAAGGCTGCAATACACCGCGGATAGTTAGTTGAAAAAGATTACACATGCTATAAGCATCCACGCTTTGGTTACCATTTCAAATGGGTTTGGGACCAAGAAGATCCACATTCGACTGACAGGTAGGTGCATCTGGCAGAACACTCTATGCCGAGAACAAAGTGTATATCAAGAAAGCTGCGTGGTTTCGGTCAAACATAGGCCCCTTGGATACCTAGCAGGTATGTCTGCGGGCCAAGGTGCTCTATCCATGGATGTACAATGCAATACATGTAGTATGTAGGTATACATGCATACATAGGTAGGAATCTTGCCTAGGTAGGGACTAGTAGCGACATAGTTTCTTAGGTATGAAGTCCTACTGATCAGAATCAGCTTCAAGACCTGCTTCTCGCCGTATAAATACTCCCGACATAACTTTCGCAGGCACACACTGCCTCGCTGGCGCGCACCGCGTCAACTTCAAGTGGCTAATTATCCATGTCTCAGTTGCGAGATGAAACCAACTACAGAAACAGCATGGGCAAAAGGATAAGGTATGCTGGACGACAGGATGCCAGTCAGGACCGCCATAAGAAGCAAACTTCCATTGTGAAGCAGGTTACCTTAAAGTCCAATGCATAAGAATAATGACTCGGCACCGAGTGCTACACTCCACATTTATAATGAGCAGGATGTGGCTAGCACCAACGAAGGGAGTGCTGCGAACACCGCACCCCTTAAGCTCCAGAGGGTAGAAGCTCATATGCTGCATCGGAGCAAAGATATGTTATACAAGAATGATCTGACCCTGAAGTTAGCGGCAAGGGGGACTGGCTCTCCTGCTGCTGGGCTCTTTGCCCTCAAAGGAATGATTCAGTCCCAATGAGAGCGCGGATGCGGCGAGGGGTTGATTGTCATGGCTAAAGGAAGCGAGCCAAATATGTAAGATCAGGGGCTGGTCTTCTGCCCATAAATCCCGAGCAATACACCGACCGGGTCACAACAAATTCGGCATGCCATACGGAGTACTCAGGTGATTTATCTACACCTCAGGGGAAATATTAGATTAACAGAACAACGGCCTCTTTCTGTGCACACCGGCTACCGGGCCAAGACGGAGTCGTGCAATGGCGCCACAAACGGGCCGTCGCATAGATCGCGAGCCACTAACCAATATGCCCATGTCTAATTGGAAACGCCATCAGGATGCGGAATACCGGGGATAGGCCCGGTAATTTGTATTGTACAATGTCACCATGCCTCTTCCGTCACGGGTAGCCTATCTCCCCATGCCGCCCCGTCATTGAGCGGCGCAGACCCCGGGGACACCATCTAGAGAAGCATCTTGCGGGGATCCTCGATGTATTCCTTGACTTTGACGAGGAACTGCACGGCCTCCCGGCCATCCAGGAGTCGGTGGTCGTAGGTCAGAGCAAGGTACATCATGGGTCGGATTTCCACCTTGCCATTGACGGCCACAGGCCGCTCCTTGATGGCGTGCAGGCCGAGCACAGCGGTCTGTGGAAGGTTGATGATGGGGGTGCCCATCAAGGAACCAAATACGCCTCCGTTGCTGATGGTGAAAGTGCCACCGGCCATGTCCTCAATGGTGAGCTTGCCGTCGCGGGCCTAGAACCACACTGTCAGAGGCTGACCAGGAACGGTGAAAGGAACCACGACTCATACCTTCTTGCCCATATCGGCAATGGCTTTCTCGATGCCGATCATGTCCAGGGACTCAACATTGCGCACAACCGGGGTGACGAGGCCCTTCTCGGTGGCGACTGCAACGCTGATATCAACGTAATCCCTGTAGACGATGGTATCGCCGCCGTTCGGGCCCTCGATCGACGCGTTGACGATCGGGAGGTCACGCATAGCGAGGACGCAGGCGCGGGAAAAGGCGCTCATGAAGCCCAGCTTAACGCCTGTCTTCTTTAGGACCTCGTCCTTGTACTTGCTACGGAACTCCATCAGCGCCGACATGTCGACCTCGTTGAAGGTCGTCAGCGACGCGGCCGTGTTCTGCGACTGCTTGAGGCGTTCCGCAATGCGGAGACGCATCCGGTTCATCTTGACCTGTGGAACACGTCAATACTATGCGACAGACGCGGGCTCAAACCGGGGATGGTAGATTTACCCTTCTCTCCTCTCGACTGCCTAGGGTGGCGAGGGGTTCTGGGGTGGCCTTTGCGGGCTTGCTCTGCTCCTTCAGAGCGGGAGCCTCTTGTTTCGCGGGTGTGGATGGCGCAGCCGGCATCGGTTCCGCCGCTTTGAGCTCCGGATCCTTCTTTTGCTCCGGTTGTGTCTCGGGTGTTGGCTGCTTGGATGCCTCTTTGGGGGCCTCCTTGGCCTCCTCGGCAGCCGGCTTATCACCTGAAGGCGCGCCACCAAGCTCGATGCGCACCAAGTCCTGGCCGACGGTAACAGTATCCTCCTCGTTGACCAAGAACTCCTTGATGACACCAGCGTCTGGGGCGTTCACGGCCACGTCGATCTATGCATGGCAGGTGGCGTAAGCCCAGCACGGGCGACTCGACGCAATGCAATGCTGTAGACGTACCTTGTCAGTCTCAATAGTCGCAATTTCCTCGTCCTGCTCAACGAAGTCGCCAACGGCCTTGTTCCATTGCTTCAATGTGCCTTCGCTGATCGACTCGGCCATCGTCGGCACCTTGATGATTTTGTCGGCGTAGGTTCGTACATGTTGAAACTGGGTAGGAAGTTGTCGCAGCGCCGAGCTCGTGTTGTAGAGCGAGAGTTTGGGAGCGGCACGGGCCGCCAGCCGGAGTCCTCGATACAGCATTCTGGCGTTGTTAACTCTGTTCTGTTGCTGGACAAGTCGTTGCGGGAATTCGTAGCCGGGGAGAACGTCTCGGCGTCGGGACTGCAACAAGTGACGAGAGACTCCTGTTGGCGAGGCACAAGCACGCAGGCTCAGAGGAGAGTTAGCAATAGAGGCAAAGATCTACAATTGATCTCACAATGGATTGATCAATTGGAGGCGGATATAACACAAGAAAATGGAGAAAAACAAGAAGCAACGCTGGTTTGAATGTGCCGTTTACAGAACCTAGGCGACAAAAAAAAAGAGCGCCCTAGCAGCTCGTTGGCAGAGCAGGTTCCAGCCTCCAATGTACCTGGTACTGGCGCCTTGCGGCCATCCGCACTCCACTGGCCTGGTGACCTCAGCCTGCAGCAGCTGTACATAATAACTGCACGCCACAGGTCAGGTACATACACTACCGTCGTGCACCATGTACCTTCCTGAGGTTGCTGGGGGGAAGGTACTTGGATACCTCGGGGGCTCGGCAACACGGAACGGAGCATCTGCGTGGTTCGCGCGAATAACGAGGTGCATTGGAGTTTCGTTGCCTGCCTCAGGCAGAAACTCCTCTCAAAGCTCTTCAATCACCATTTAATTGATACCTTACCAGGGCAGATCAAGCACTGAAAACGCCGCGACACCGGCTTATCGACCCAGTATCGTGACGGAACCCGACAGCACTGGTGCGAATCGGCGTCAGGCGATACTTCACGAACTCCAATCCTCGAACGGTCGCTCGAAGGCTCTCAGTACGCGGATCGGGTGTTGGACGGGAATCCTATACCCTCCGGTCGCGCTGCCCACCATGTCAAGACAGGCTGCGCTGTCAGTCGTGTGCCCTGTCCACATTGCCGAACACTACTGACATCGCGGTCAGGTCGCTCTACCGCCGTTCTCTGAAGCTCGCCCTCGATTGGTCGGTGCATCGCAATCTCTGGCGCGGCCAGGCGCTCTACATCCGCTCGCTCTTTGAGAAGAACCGGGATGTTACCGACCCGAGATTGCAACGGGTGTGCAGACCTCCATGTTGGAAGGGGGAATTCCATTGCGGATGACAAGCTGACAAGACTTCCGTAGGCCCTTTTGAAGGAGACGGAGAAGTTGTTGGAGAAGTGGAAGCATCCGGACCCTTACTGCCACCCGACTGCTCCAGGAGGTTCGCATTCCCAACATCACCTGTCGGTCATTGGGGGACCCCGGTTTAACAGGACTATACAGGCTCCAAGTACGAGAGGAACCTTCCGGCTCCCCATTTCGATCGTAAGTGTCACCCGGTCGTGGCAGTTCCGCATGTTTGTTGGCTGACACGCGTTTCCTCGCAGCTCCCCCACCACTCAAATTTTGATGAACATCGGCGAGATGGATATGTGTTGTACATAGGGCGCAAGGTCTTTTTAGCCTGGGAAACCTCGAGGCTGAGTTCATTCCACCATGTGCGTTCGAATGTCGCATATTGCTGCTACAAAGGCCAACTCGTGCGCCGAACATGGCCGGCGGCCAGCGACTCCGATGCCGATCTTGGGCACAAAGTGGCTGATTCCATTACGATGACATACAATTTATATGTTCGCGTGGATTCAAAGTCAACAATGCAGCGAAACTGAATTGGGAATGTTTAGAGGGAATCTCATTCATCGCCATGACCATGCCCATCATGGATTAATGTACACCCAAACACGCGAAAAGCAACCGATGACCCGAGACCGTGACCCCAATTCATGAACCCAACGTGCCGACCAGAAATAGCAAACCTGAACCCCCACTGAGAAAAATTTAAAGCTCCTGAGACAAGTTCTTGCCGGTCTTGCCTGTCTTCTTGGGCAGCAGGTCTGAAAAGTGTCAGCGATGTCCAATTATTGATAAGCTCGGAAGAGGCAGCATACTCTGGTGAATGTTGGGGAGGACACCACCCTGGGCGATGGTGACGTGACCAAGCAGCTTGTTCAACTCCTCATCGTTCCTGATCGCAAGTTGAAGGTGGCGGGGGATGATACGGGTCTTCTTGTTGTCGCGAGCCGCGTTGCCAGCCAGTTCGAGGATTTCAGCAGCGAGGTACTCAAGAACTGCAGCAAGGTAAACGGGCGCGCCGGCACCGACACGCTGAGCATAGTTGCCTTTCCGCAGGAGACGGTGAACACGCCCGACCGGGAAAGCCAAACCAGCCTTGGAAGAACGGCTATTTGTAAAAACCCAAGAGTTAGTTAAGCTGTACTCAGCGTCTAGACAGAAAGATCGAATTCGCGATACAGAAACACCAGATTGCGATGCTCGGAACCATGAAATGACGTTGAATATCCACTCACGATTGCGCGTTCTTGGATCCGCTGGCCTTGCCGCCGGATTTGCCGCCGCCAGTCATCTTGGTCGAGTTAAATGCGCGAAGCGTAAAATTGATAAGTGGTTGGAATTATGGAAGACCTGAGGTCTCTAAATGCAGTGCTCAGTGGGAAGTCTAGAAGTTCGATGTTGGAGAGTGTGATGAAAGTGGAAGAAGTTGAGCGCCGGTGGAAGAAAGTGCGAGTTAAGTACTTTTCGCGTGAAGGTGCTAGAGTCACGGATCACTCGCGCCTTGCTTAGTGTTGATTGGAGCTGTTGGGGCTAATCCGAAAACGGCCCGTGCCCACAGTTGGCGCGCATGGCCCATGATTGGCCGATAGTCAACAATGAGTGCTCTGGCCAAAAAAATGTTAATAAGAAATCAACACTCCCCTCCCAACGCGAAAAATAACACGCTGGGTAAATATCATCTCCTGGCCTTTTCTTTCAAGGACCCAAAACCACCATCCCTACCGCCCCGCATGTGCCGCAATCCAAGCTGGGCAAATCAGTATCCTGCACGCGTAGTTACCACATCGAAGCCGATCGATTGCACTTATTATTATCATCCCCCTTCCATTACGGTCAACGCCGGCTGATGGCTGACTGCGGACCTCGTCGCTTGGCCCACGCAATCTTTTACTTTCCTTAGCTCCCTTATGCGGTCCGCAGCTGCGTTTTGCCGACGGTCTCAACCAACAGGTTGCCGATTCCCTCCAGGCTCCTAGGTGTTTTGATGGCGTTCTCGGCTCGAAGTTTCCTTGAAAGAGGTTCCAACACCGTCCTATTCCTCGCACCCTGGCTGTCCAGTTTCCCGTGGATTTGCGGTGTCTGAACTGTTGGTTTGGCATCGTGACTTGGATCGGGTGTCGAAGCTGCATTCACCATGGTTCAGCAACCGATGTCTGGGACTCGTGCCGTTCAGGTTCTCCTTTTCAAGAGGGCTTGATCCATGGGATTTACCTGCTCTCCGGAATCAGAATGTCCTATTTCGGCCTCTTGACGACCATACGGGTCATGAAAAGCGGTTCAGCACCCGCTGACATGGGGTAAGGTAAAGCCCTTGGACGTGCGGAACGTCCCGAGTCATCGGCCATGTACAGTATGTAGCTTGGTACCTGAGCTCCGGCTTTAGATGTAGCTTCGCAAATCGGATCTTGATCGCTACACTGATCGGGTGAAACGGGTTGAGAGGGCCATACTGGTCATTTATGCCCTCAGGCCGAGCACTTGATGGCGGATCCTACCTGCATCGGGTACCTCTTCATGCGGCTCTTCCTGGTCTGCGGTTCATTTCCCCATGTATCGGCATTGGATCTAGGTGGCTCTTCCCCAGATCTAGGGAGTACGTAGCTATGTAGGGGAGTGCGTTGACCCGTCAGGGACAATTTTATCAGGAGATACGCCTGGCGGCGGTAAGGCTGATGGTGTGGACACACCTCCGTGTCCCATCCGGGCAAGTCCTCCGGCATGCCTTCTCCTAGCCAGACGCTGAGGGACTGTAAATGTTCCTGGCTTTCCGGCTATCTACAATGTGGGTTGGCACCGGGAGAGCTTCCTTGTTGCCGCCCTGCCTTAGCCTGATCTTACAAGTGGCCATCTCCTTTACCTCAACGTCTGAGGTTCGGAGCGGTGCGAGGGTGCGAGGGTGCGAGGGTGAAGTGTGTGGAGGTGCCTGGTCTAGGGGGAAGGGTCACCCGCGCCTGGGCATATCGATTCCTACCAGGTAGTTCCTGCGCAGATCAAGAACAGGAAAACAGCCGACTACGTATGCGCGACTGACCAGGGAGCGTTTGTTGAGGCGCGTTGCTTCCTGGGACACAGAATAACTAGCATTGTGGGACGTGTTGTGGCGCACGAGCCATCGCGCTGGTGCTCAATTCGTGGGCGGGCATTGATTGTTCGCCGAATCACGCCGGCTTGGAACGGGCCCCACTTTCTGCGCGTAGTCCCCGAAATCAGCGGACCATTCCTGCCAGGCGCGTCCAGCTACAAAAAGGCCATCGCCCCTCGCCAACGCAATTCTCCTTCATCATCCAATTTCTCCCCGCCAACATTCATCCACAGCTTCTGTGAACGCGATATTCATCACGACTCTTAGGTCGCATCAGATACTTTTCATCGTCACTTTGACTCGCAAATTTCCCAATTCACCAAAATGCCCCCCAAGGCCGCCGACAAGAAGCCTGCCTCGAAGGCTCCGGCTACTGCCTCCAAGGCCCCCGAAAAGAAGGATGCTGGCAAGAAGACTGCGCCTTCGGGAGACAAGAAGAAGCGGACCAAGGCCCGCAAGGAGACTTACTCTTCTTACATCTACAAAGGTCAGTTTACACACTTGGAGCGAATTGGGTTGATGGAAGCAACCGCAAGATGATTTGGTGTCCCAAATGTTTGCAGGGTAGCTAACATCGAACAGTGCTCAAGCAAGTCCACCCCGACACCGGCATCTCGAACCGCGCCATGTCTATTCTCAACTCGTTCGTGAACGGTAAGTCATTCCCGGCTTGATTGGCCTGACTCGGTTTTAACCCGTTTTTGCAGACATTTTTGAGCGTGTTGCTACCGAGGCCTCGAAGCTCGCTGCATACAACAAGAAGTCCACGATTTCGTCGCGCGAGATCCAGACATCCGTCCGGCTCATCCTCCCCGGTGAACTTGCCAAGCACGCCGTCTCTGAAGGCACCAAGGCTGTCACCAAGTACTCCTCCAGCCAGAAATAAGCAGCTTGGTTTCTACCTTTTCTCGTTTTTTCTCTAGGGCACAGGGTTTGCTTGTCATTTGGGAGTCATGACGAGGCTGGCCAAGGCACACATGCCCCTTGGAGTCTCTTAATGCAATGCGTTACGGATGGTCTGCTTTTTATGGGGACACTGTTTTCACGGGTTATGGGGTTTGCAGGCGGCTGTACAATACTTGCCTTGATATCAGGGACTGGGGCGAAATGAAACCGTGCATATGACCGACTTGGCTCACGACGTTTTCACCTGGCGACGACATGATGACATCGGGTTTCATTTGATGCTATAGACTTGTGAAAGACGCGAACTCTGGTACAGGGAGACTTGCCGGTCCAAATGTAGATTCACCAGCGATTACTCGCTGAGTGGGTGTAACTATATTACGCCGTTTCGAGAGAGAGCTGAACCTCTCAATATTCAGTCGCGACCGCAATCGAGTCCTCAAAAGCACTCTTATCCCAGACCAGCCTTGGAACGCTTCACAACTTGCGCTACAGGCTCTAGAATGCCCTTGTTGTCCAGCGCGCCGAGACCCATCCCCTTGCTCCAGCCCATCTTCTCGAGCATTGTACGCCCCTTGTTCTCTTGGCCGAGCTCCGGGACCGATGCTCCCACGATCTCTCCCTCCCGTAGCGTGACTGCCTTGTGTCCAGACCTCGCTCCGCTTGTGGCTTTAGGGGCCTCGGTCCTCTTACCCTTAACGTCGACGCGGTGGAAGTATTTGCGATGAATGCGCAGCGCCGCCTGGTCAACATTCGTGGTGACATCTTCAACTTGGGTCGAATCGTACCGAACAGTGCGGTTGGTCCTGTAAAGCACCGGCCACCTGTTGTCGCCTTTGCCGGTAGATTGTGACTTGATGTTGAACCTGCTTGCTAGCTCGTGAATGACCTTGCGCGCATGTTTATCAAGTGGGGGGAAGTCAAGCCTGGCTTTTGTCAGCTTGATGTATCGCTGCTAGAAGCTGTGAGCTGCTTACCGTGGCGCCGAGCTGAGAAGGAACAACGTCAACTCGGCTTTGATATCGTCCAACTTCATCCCTGCGGCATACTTGACGCGCAAGTCATCAGGATTCGCATTTTTGCCCAACAGGCCCTCGGCACGGAGCGCTTCACGCTGCATTTTGCGGCTCTTCTTCCTCTCTCTGTCACGCTGCCACGCAGTTCGGAGAGCTGCCTCAATCTCCGAGTCAGATACATTGAAGTTCGGGGGTTGTTTGCTGCGCCGTTTGCGTGAGTGCATGCTAAGTTGACTCAAATCGGTCAAGTCTAGGTTATCAAATGCGTCTGCTACTTGGGCAGCACTCGCACGCCCAGGTACAGCCTGGCTCGACCCTCCGTTGGCGGGACGTTTTCCCCGTGCTTTTGTCGTTTCCGTCCGTGTGAAGGAACTCGAAAGAGCGCCAAGATCGTCACCCCAGAAGCCCAATTCTTGTTGGGCCAGACGACGCGCGAATGTCTCGTCGTCCATATCTGCATCCATTCCGTCGTCCTCATCTTCGTCCGGAAAGGCATCCCTTTCGGCATCGCTAGTACCGGTTGCCGCACCCTGTTCGCTTTCCTCATCGGATGACTCGTCCGACCTGGGTGAAGTCTGCTCTCCAAGTCCGAACATGACTGCCTGGTGGTCGCCACCGAGATCCCTATAGCCAGAGGAAACCTGGAATTGACTACCGATCAGGCCATTGTCGGGATCCGCGCCCACATTGGCAATGTAATCTGCCAATATATCGTCCTCGTCATCTTCCATGGCTTCCAGAGGTTGCGAACGTCTTCGCTGGGGATTTCGTCCCCTTCGTTGAGATCGGATGGGAGACGCAACGCGCTTAGACTCCGATTGGCTAAAAAGCGCGTTGACGTCAGGGTCATGCTCGAGCGGTGTTTCTAGAGGCGAGACGCGGGCCGTAGACTGGGAAGCTCCATTCCTGCGAGGCACTCCCTGGGTGATTGCATATCGACCTCTGAAGACGATGACATCTTCGCTTGTAATGGAATCGCCAGATGCTGATCTCGGAGTCGGAATTCGCGGAGGAGGAAGAAGAGTATCAAGGACAGGTCCATCCTGCCCTAGGTCGAAGAAAAAAAGCGAGCTCGTTTCGCTCCCTTGACCCGCTGCCCCTTCCTCACCATCACCTACCAGCTGCTTCCCAACAAGGAGGTCCACTGTCGCGTGCTCTCGTACAACGTTCTCGATGCTTGTTTTGGTTTTGATGACACTGACGACCTCTGCCTCAGGACTGTCAGCATTCCTGACTCCTGCAGTGTCGCCAATGACACTTGTCGCATCCTCGACGGGGTCTTCAGTCGTATCCGCGTCTGACCGTTCGACAGAGAGCCCATCTTCTTCGAGAGGCTCGGCTAAGCCGGCGCTCACAAATGTGACGGGCTTGAGGCGGAGCTTGGCGTCCCCGGAGTTCCACGGAGAAGAGTGATGGGATGCTGTATTCCTAGCCTCATCCCTCATTGAAAACCCTATTATGGTTGAGTTCCCTGCATCTGTAGTATGGTTGCGGGAATCTCTGCTCATACCGTTTGCGGGACCCCTTGTCGTGGGAGTTGTAGAAATAGAGTCACGAAGACTGCCAAAAGAAACTGCGGGTCTGGCCTTGGAGCCCTTGGATCTCTTCGAGGGCCATTTTTCCTTCTTGCGTGGCATCGTCGCCGTGTACAGCAAAAGCCTGGGACCTAGTTGAAGACCGAGGTTCTCCAGGGACCAACAAGTTCTATAAATATTTGGGGTCGCAAGAAACAGGTAAGACTGGGATAGCTAATAGTCCAAAGCTCTGATTGCTCACTCAGGTGAGGCCAGTAACACTTTGCGACAAGGCCTATTTCTTTTGCTTTGGTTGGATTGTTACTGAAGTATGCTCTGCAGGTCGCAAGCTGCAGTGGTTACAGAGACAGGCCAATCCTTCGTTTTTTTGGAACTATGGGGTTAGGGTCAAGATATCATAGTTGCCACATACGACACTAGTGGTATCTAGCTTGACTGATGGTTACGGCTCAAGAGTGGGTATTTTGTGATGTCTATAAGCAGTAAAGATGCTTCCCAGGCTCCTTCTAGTGTCTTCGCAACCGCAAGCTAAGGATTGATGCGTCTTCATACGGTACTAAGTAAATGACAAGCATGGTCACATAGCAGCACGCTCCGAGCTGTGGGTAACTTGGTATAGGTGTAAAAGTGTATTGTGCATGCCGTCCTGTACCGAACTAGCAACTACTGTGTATACTCGTATACTTCCGTACGTACGTGATAACTCCTTACTTGGTCCCACATATCACCTGCTGCGGGGTGGCTTGATCGACGTTATGCTCTCCACAGCGGAGCTCAGCCATGAGAGGTGGGGCCTGACTTGTAGTGTACTTGTGCATATGACATTACCCCGGTCAAGACGCAGACAACCACCAAGCGGGCAACCTTCCAGACGCCCGCTTCCTTGAGCTTTGTGCAATCCGTACACGACACCCATCCTCTTGACACCGTGGTGTCCGGCGTCCCTAACGTTAAAATACCATCATTCCGCGTCCCAGAGCCGCCAAAGTCACCTCCACAGTCCTGCGCGGATCGTGCCGCCTCGGATCGTGCCGCGTCAGGTGAACGGGGCAGCTTGTATCCTTCCCGTCTGTTCCCTTTGAACCACCTCTGCCGGCACTTCGCCCAAAGTAGCTTCCTATGACTGCCCGCCGGCAGGGTGACAGCGGCTGGCAGGCTGCCGTTTCGAGTACTTCTCCGAAGTTGGCGAGTGCAATGGAGGTTGCCATGGCCGCCAGCGCAGAAGTTGGCCGAGTCGGCCGCCGCATCTTCCAAAGGTTTTGGGACCCGGAGCCAATCAACAACCCAGACTCGAATGAGCCGGTCTGGTGCTTGGGACGCTCATATACTCTCGGTGCGAAGGCGTTCGGATCGCCATCACCGTTTACCGCCAGCACTCCGCCCGTCGACAACAACGTCGACAACGCCGCCTTCATCCCAACCTCGGTCCCGGTCCGGGCGACAACTGCCAGCAACCACCCACCCCTCGAGACACCGCCAGATTCTATCACAAGCAGCTTCGATGCCTCCTTCGCCTACGAAGACTCCAGCGAAGACAGCGGCTGGCCTCCCGCATTTCTGGATGATTTCGAGTCTCGGATCTGGATGACATATCGCACCGGGTTCGAGATGATCCCCAGCTCCACCGATGCCAAAGCGACTTCGTCCCTGTCTTTCACCATGCGGCTCAAGACGTCCTTCGGAGAACAGACGGGCTTCTCGTCCGATACGGGGTGGGGCTGTATGATCAGATCGGGCCAAAGCCTACTAGCAAACGCGCTCCTAGTATCACGTCTGGGACGCGGTACGTATCCTACTGGCCATCTTCGGGGTTTGCTCTAACATACGGGCTGGCAGACTGGAGACGAGCTACAGACCCCGATGCCGAGCGTGAGATACTGTCCTTGTTCGCCGATGACCCCCGCGCTCCTTACTCGTTGCATAACTTCGTCAAACATGGAGCAACCGCATGTGGGAAGTATCCGGGGGAGTGGTTTGGACCGTCGGCTACGGCACGATGCATCCAGTGGGTTACACCACACTCAGCCGCCCTAAATTGCGGGAGAGCCTTGTTTTTCGCTGATAGATGCAGGGCCCTAGCGAGTAAAAACGAGAATTCTTTGCGCGTCTATTCGACAGGGGACCTTCCGGATGTCTACGAGGATAGCTTCATGGCCATAGCTAAGCCGGATGGAGACCACTTCCATCCGACTCTAATTCTGGTATGCACGAGGCTAGGAATTGACAAGATCAACCAAGTTTATGAGGAGGCTTTGATTTCCACTCTGCAGATGGAGCAGTCCATCGGTATTGCGGGGTAAGCAGCGTTCTCTTGATTGGTTTCCTATTTCCGTCTCGAGACTGACATGTCCGCTTTAGAGGCCGACCGGCGTCATCCCATTACTTTGTTGGTGTCCAGGGACAGTGGCTCTTCTACCTTGACCCTCACCACCCCAGACCGGCACTTCCCTACCGTGAAGCCCCCCAGGACTATACGAAGGAGGAGTTGGATACCTGCCATACTCGGCGGCTGCGACACCTCCACGTGGAGGACATGGACCCCAGCATGTTGATCGGTTTCCTGATCAAAGATGAGGATGACTGGGACATGTGGAAGAGTGCTGTCAAACACGTGCAGGGCAAGTCCATCATTACTGTCTCGCCTCACGATCCGGAGCGAGGTATGCCTCCTGGGCGGGCCGAGGCCATCGACGAAGTAGAGACGTTGAGTGACGAGGACGCCGACACGGTGCTTGAGGCGTAGAGCTACCAACGGACGCATCGGTGTGCATCACTTGTGTCACGGGTGACCGACACCCTTGCAGGGCCCGACCTCCACTTCCGCTTTGTTTGGCGAGAACCCGTCCTTGCTCGATGGTAACGGCTGGTTCCGGACGCGCCGGACGAGCATGGCGGTTTGAACCTTCCCGTTTTTCTCGATCCCCATCCAAGGCTATAGCCGCTCAGGAGGGCCTCCGTACCACAGCACGCTTCCAGGGATCAAGATGCAGCAACAGCTCGGACACAAGGACGCCCCCGGCGGTAGGCCACATCTCCAGGATTGGGTCATTGGGCAGTCACATCAGCGCCGCTTCTTTTTGGCAGCCTTGGCGCTAGAAACAGGAACAGGCGCCGCGTGGGTAGGGTTGTCCTTGATATGCGCAAAGAGCTTGGTCCTTGATGTGAAGCTTTCATCGCACACGGCGCATTTATGCTATGGTTTTGGTCTTAGAGTCAGAGTCTACACGCTGTAACGGTGTATTACTTTGGAGGAACTGTTGAATACTTACTGAGGTCTGCGCCTCAGCGGCGTGCCGGGCAGCCTTCTTTTCCCGTCTTAGCTTGGCTTTCCCGACCTTCTTACCCTCGTCCTTCCCGTTGCCTAGTATCAAGCCATCCAAGCCGGCAGGTGCAGAGTCCGTGGCGTCTGGTGTGCTGAGTCGTGTGTTTGTCGACTTCGTCTCCGTATGAGGACCATTTACTATGCGCTCTTCGACCTCTGATCGTGGCGCGTAATCGTCGTCTTCGGAGTCTGGTTGAGACGGCGTGCCAAGGTTTGTGTCTTCTTCGCCGGTTATGGATCGGGCATCCTCAACTTGCCCATCGTGTTCTCCGTAGTGCGCCGAGGCAGCGCTGCCCGGTGTATCGTCCTCTCCAGGCTGCCCATGAGCAGTTTGTGACAGTGACATTACAGGTTCCGAGTCCTGGAGGTCAAGATTGGCGTTCTCCTTTTTCATTTGCCTCCGCAGCTGCTGAACTGCTTTGACGTGTTTCTTGCTCTTTTCATGGGTGTCGAACTGCTTTTCGCTCTTGAAGGTCTTATTGCACACAACACATTCAATTTCTTCAACCTCATCATCTTCCTCCGACAATGAAAACTCGCCGTGATCTTCGTCGTTATCCCGCGACTGCGCCCATTCCGGCAGGACGTACTCGGCCAACTTTTGCTGATTAGCTGCTCGAGACCGTGCTGCCTGGGCTGCGGTTGAGTTTCGTAAAACTTGCTGTCTCTCCTCCTCGGATTGTTTGTTCGGTACGTATCGCGGATCCCGTTTTCTGACAAAGGCCACCAGAGACCTCACGGCATCATTGAACTCTCGAATACCTTCATCACGTAGTTTTTGGTTCTCCTTCTGCATGAGCCTGCGGATTTGACGGTCTGGCGCATCCTGGAGACGGTATTTGTCCCTCCAGCTGAACGTCTTCTTGGTCGAAAAGCCCGACCATACGCTATAGAATCGTTTGCCGACCGCATTGTAATCATCGCTGGCCCCGCCAAATGGCGGGTATTCTGTTGGCACCATACCAGCATACTCGCAGGCGGCGTTCTCTTCGGCAGCCAGCTGGTCAAAAAAGGCGTTGAGAATCCCGAAGAAGCCTCTTGTGCTGTCATCCATCGGGACGCTCGAACTGAACCGACTCATCAGGGCAAAGATCGCATTGGCTGAGGTGTGACCGCTCCCGGACTGGTCGGTGGGCGCGGTGCCCGCAACGTCATCCTCTCCGTTAAGAATAGCATCGCGGTGAGAGTCGTACCAGGCACGCTCCTGCGGGTCAGAGAGAATTTCATAGGCGGTCTGTACTTCAGCGAATCGCTTCGTTGCGTTCTCTGTGTCGTTAAGGTTGCGGTCTGGATGCAGCTCCAGAGCTTTCTTCTTGTAGGCTCGCCGAATCCTGGAAGATGTCAGGGTCCGGCCGCATCACATCCCAGGGTGCATGAGCTACACATGTGCGGAATGTAAGCCCCAGTACTCACTCCTCGTCAGGGGCCTGTCGGTCTACTCCGAGCAGCTCGTAATAGCATGTCTTTCGTACAACGGCGGCTTGGTTACCGCCCCGCGGGGTTGACTGTTCGGCTCCCATTTCTATACATCAAACGTTTCCGCAGTATCCGGAGTTAGAGTACGCGAGAACGTGGAAATCGAGGGGACAATCCTGCCGCTCGATATGACAAGCTTTGCAGTTTGGCTGGTTGCCGATTTTAAGACAATATAGGATATTTACCGATCCCCTGAAGCTACAAGAGAAAATCAACGTGGGGCAGGGCAAACCGACGAGAAGTTGGTACTCCGAAGCGGTAAATACGTGAGAAACATGCGAAGTAAGGCAGCTTGGAATATCCACATAACGGTACCACCTCAGGTACAATACGAACGCGATTTCTAGCATGTACTTGTCGTATGTAAATACCAGCAGCGTACCTACACCTACTGGAAACTGACCATGAATTACTAGTGTACTACCTTAACGCATTTCTACCACTTGCATTAGCTCCACATTAGAATTTAGCTACCGATTAAATTATATGCGCTATATAGGTAAGAGTTATATGATATTCGCAAGTATTATTCTATTATTCAGACTCCCCTGATCTGAGCTCTCTACTAATGGATATATATTAATACGCCGTACCATGCTGAGAGCTAGTGCACGTGCAGTATGCATATACGGAATGAAAGTGAGGTGTAAAGGTCATGGATCCGGAAATGGGAGTGAACTAGTAACGTTAGCCGGCGCGGAGCAAAAATAATAAGTCCAGTACGTACTATGTAATCGTTACCTACGGTATGTTTCCTTCATACTTACAACAAACTTGAAGCCTCCCAACCCGTGCCCTTCCAGTTATGCTAGCGCGAATGAAGGCCAGGTCCTCACCGAACACACTTGCCCCCTTTTCCGAGCCATTTTCCACGGGCTTACTGATACCAAGGCAGACGCTTTGCGCATCCTGTCCAGACCATCCGCCACAGTTCTTTGGTTTGGTAGCACATGAACTCGCATCCCGCCATGCGCAAGCTTCTCACGGCGCCTGAAGCGGTCCGGTCGTTCGTGTCCCCGTTACTATTACGATGAAGTTCGGCCACGCCTTCCAAGAGGCCCTGGCTGCGGATAGCTACCCGCAGCGCTGGGTGGAGAAGGCCATCCCCTATCGCCAGCTCAAGAAACTCCTGGGCAAGGTTCGGGAGGAGCTCATCAAAACCGGCTATGCCCCCGACACACTGCATCGGCTCCTAGCGGAGCACCATGCCGAGTACCGACTCGAAACCGACGCTTCTCATATGCTACGGCCGAAGCTAGTCGTGCGCCCAAGTCTGGGTGGGCCAACGTCGCTGGAACATGCGATAGAGCCTAGCGCTTTGGCAGATGTGACTTCCTCACCACCGGAAGGCGACGGCACTAGCCTGCTCGAGCCAGGCCTCGACGCTGAGGTGCACGATGACTACGACGACGACAAGTGGGTTAAGATCCCGCTGAATTCGGATACCCGGTTTTTCGGTCTCCTGCAAACCGATGTTACGGAGCTTGACACGCTCCAGGAGGAGGAGAGGCAGTCAATGAACGACAGGATCCACGCCCTCGGAACGGAGATTGCCGAGGTGGCAAAGCCGCGCAAGGGTTTAATCAAGCTTGCTAAGTCGGATCTCTACCGGTGGCGCGAGATCTTTGAGCTCTATTTGGCTGCGCAGGTCTTCTTCTCTACGACTGAAGCCGCCGGGGGGGTGCGCAACAGCGAGAAGGCGCAGAAGCAGCTTGTCTGGTTCCAGGACGAGGTCAACAAGCGGCAGCTGCCGCAAAAGTTTAAGGTTGAGTCCAGTGGTGCTGCATATGCACATTTCTTGGCTCTGAACGCGACACTGCTGCAGAACCTACGGTTCCAGGAGTTGAATCAGACGGCAGTCAACAAGATAATCAAAAGTGAGTGTGGATGCGCCTGTGGTTGTCATACTGGTAGCTGACCCAATGTCCAGAATTCGATAAGCGAACTCAACTAGGGGTCAAGTCGACGTTCCCGAAGGTCATGTATTCGGCGCACTTCATTTCCGAGGCCATCTCTAAGGACATTTGCGCCCAGTTGGCGCGTGAAGTGGTCAGCCTCGTTCCGCAAGTCATGGATTACTCGTGCACGATCTGTAAGTATCAGCCACCGGGGGCACTGCCGTGTATTGTACCATACAGCGGACTTGCACGTCTAAGCATGCCCGAAACCCACGAGCTATGAGACATGGCTAACGGCACGGATCAGGCTTCTCCATCTGCTGGCTCCCTGTTAGGCTGGACTGCGATCACCTGTTTTGTATTCGATGCATGATCAAGATGCAGAACCAAAATAAGCGGTACTGTCCACTCTGTCGAGCTGACGTGGTTCAGAAGGCCAACGAGAGTACGTCCTTCCGAAACCCTCCCATTGTTACAAATCGTCTGACTTTACAAAAACCAGCGCACATCGATGAGAAGCTGGTGCGCTACCTCGAGCGGTGGTTTCCCAAAGAGACCAGGGAGAAGCAAGTATATAATGAAAGGGAGCGGCGCAGGGAGCTGTTTGGGGACATCTATGTAAACCCAAACCAGAACCCCCCTCAGTGTGTCGTGATGTAGGTGCGATGGCAGGATGGAGTGTGGCGAGACCTTCGGCCTTCACTTTGCGCGCACGCGGGCACGGGCACGGGCACGATACCCAAAGTAATGTATGAATGATATAATCTTTTTATTTTCCAGCACATGGTCTTGCGTCCGGTTATTCGTGGTGGTTTCTAGGCCTCTCCTCGACCGCCTTGAGCGCATCCCTGAATACGTTGACGATATTTTCGGTCTCTTCCAGCCCAACGCTGACGCGGATTAGGTTACGGTCAACGCCAAAGCTTTCAGCCCAGTCCAGCTCCTGGTAATGCGCTAGGAGCACGTAGGGTGAGGCGAGGGTGAAGTTTGTTCCCAGACTCGGGCCCTTAGCGGTGGCAATGGCGTCATAGAAGGCCACGGCCTGGTCCTGGTGACGGAAAACGACCGAGAGTAGGCCGCCGTATCCGCCATTCGGAAGCCTACAGGCCTCGTAATTGGCCTTCGACTCGTTGTGCTTCGGGTAGAAGACGGTCTTGACCAACGGGCTGTCCCGGAAGACGTGGCAGATGGCCTCGGCGTTGGCATTGATCCTATCGATGCGAGAGGCAAAATCACGGCTGTTCCGCTCCATGAACATGACGTCCTCGGGCCAGTATGTGTCCTCATGCTCGGTGCGCGCCCACGCCTTCAGCGACGAGTAATGCCGGCTGTTGGGGTTGAAAATGGCGCTGCCGCCCATCACATTGCAGTCGCCTGAGAAGATCTTGGTCAGGCTGCTGACGACGATGTCGGCGAAGGGAAGTACGTTGACGTTGGCGAACGTGCCGATGGTCTCGTCGACCACGACGGCAAAATCGTATTTGTCCGCGAGCTGCCGGATACGGACGAGATTGGGGCATGTCAGGAGCGGGTTGCCCGGGAATTCACAGAACAGGGCGAGGAAGCGCTCGCCGCCCTCTAGACGTCTCTGCAGGTCATCGAGGTCCGAGTCGGAGGCATGACCATAGAATACTGCACCGGGGCCGAATTTCTCCAGGATCTTGAGCGTGTCTACATAGGGGAAGCCGAAGTTGATGCTCTTCAGACTGCCGCGGACGTCGAGCAGAGCCCGGTGTGAGTTGAAGATGGCGCTCATGCCACATGGGAACAGGTAGATATCTTCCTCCCTGAGGTTGCCAACACCGCGCGAGTTCGACTTCATCTCGTGCTCCGGCGGAGGGGCGGTGGTGAGCTCACCGTTGCTGCGCAGAGCGCCCGCGATCCTCCTTTTGATGGCAGACCTGGCGGGTTGGACGAAAGAGAGATCGAGGTTCCTGCCGAAGCGCTCCTCCAGAAAGCGCGACGTCTCCTGCACGTCGGGCCCGGCCGCCAGTTCCCTGTCGGGACTGGAACGGGGAGATGGGGCGGCTCTTTTTGTCGTGTCGAAGGATGACGGCCGCTGATAGCGCTTCGGGCCCCGACACGGCTTGGGACTTGCGGGGACTGGGATCGTGGCCTCGTTGTCCGGCCGGAGTAGGCCGTCCTTGAAGAGGGTGTGGCAGAACTCAGCCCTGCGGCTGGACACACCGTCACCCGTGTGCTGCCAGTACTGCTTAAGAAAGGGAAAAGCCTCCTGGGAGCAGAGCACAGCGGATATCGTGGGGGCGAGCGACGCCAAGACTTCATGGTTCGGGTTCGTCGTGTCTAGGACGAGGTGGACAGTCTCAAGCGAGGCTACCGCTGTAGGAGGCGCGTGGGCCTTCACGAAAGACACACAGCGGGCAGCGATCTGGCGCGTCGGAAATAGAAAGGCCTGGGATCCTTGGCGCCCGAACCTTGCGACGATGTCTGCGGCAAAGGATTGGATGCTCCGGTGGATGAAAAAGCTAGCGGGCTTGTAAGTCGCTGGGGTAGGCAAGGGAAGGGAAGGGGGGGGGATGTGGGTAAGCGAGGGAAGGACGGAAACTGAAAGCAAGACGCACCGAGGATAGCCGGTCGACATGCGGCCAACGACCCAGTCCTGGCCCTCTTCATAACCAATGTTCGACCTCCATGTTGGCAGAGAGACACTCACAGCCTAAGCAACCGACGTCAGCAATGGGCCTGCAAAATCGGGCAGCCCGTCCCATAATCAGGTAGGTATGTGCATTGTAATACGGGGGTGAAGTGGCTTACATGGGCTGTATGGGGGGGGATTGATTCCCCAAGCTCAAGTTGTGACATTTGTCAAACGTCGAGATGTTCTGTCTCAGTACGGCTATTCACGTCTGCTCTATCTTCATTTGCTGTCAATATGTGAGTAGGACACCGCGAGGTCACAAGCTGCGTTTTCCGGGTGATGTTGTGGAGTGGCCGATTGCTGTTGACTCACTGTCTGAAGACAGGTCAGCCCCCTTTCGCTGTGATGCTGCACGGAGAGCAAACAAAAAACTTTGGGTCCTACTCACCCTCAGGTTCTTACCGGGTGCCATCGCATATTTGTGCGAGTGTGGTTGAGGTGACAACCATGCAAGTCATAGCAAGGGAACAGTTATTCCGACTATCGGAGGCGAAAAGCGGGCTGGGCCAAAATATGGGGTATCTCCTCTCGAGGTTTCCCCTTCAAGTTTGCCACATGCTGTAAACAGACTCATTACGCAGTATGCGACAGTAACTGCATCCTGCAGCACGTGCAATAAAAGGAATAATCCGCGTGGTCTTACGTTGCGGAGAATCCCATAACATGCTACGCTTCCCCGATAGCTTGAGTTGTTTATGTCGAAGCTCACTTACCTACAGTACCTACTTGGGCACAAAAGCAAATTTACCTTGCTTGTTCATGGCTCTTCTCTCAGGAACATGCACGAGTTGTGTTCTTGGGGTTTCGGAGACTCAATACACATCATTCAACCCTAGGCGATTCCAAGACCGAGGTGAAGTACATACGGTACTCTGTACGGATCAGACAATCTACTTGGAGCTACCCTACCTAATAAGGTAGCAAGAGTCGACTCAACAGCACACATCCCCCACAGCATGGCTGCCCAATGATACCAAACGCCCACGACAACAGCCTAGTACCCTAAAGTAGGGGTAATCCAACAAGTGCTTAACTACCTAGGTATCAAGCAAAGATCAGCCCAGAATTTCGTACGTGAACTATATCATGACCATCAAAATGACTATATATAGCGCTGCACTGATCCAAGCGCCTCGTCCCTGGAGGAAGTCATTATTGTGCTGGTCGTACCGAGTTATCATGCGTCTAATCGTCATGCGCGTAATCGTCACGCGTTTGCAGCGAAACTTTGTCCTCTCGAGCTGCCCAAGACTAACATGTCGGTCGAGGGTTGCTCAGTACCGCCCGCTTCTCCTGCTGCCAACACAGCTGATACTATCGCTGGGAGCAATGCTGTCCACATCGTCGTCGTCCTCCTCCCATCTCGCATGACCGCTGAGCACATGACTGACCGGGAGAGGGACATGACGATCCGACACATAGGTGGCGGGCCGACTGGTCGGAAGAGGGATACTGCGCGGCGATATATAGCTGGTAGCTCGGTTGTGGGCAAGGGGAATATTGCGGGACGAGAGGTAGGTTGGGGCCCGGCTGTCTGGCAGAGGGGCATTGCGGCCTGAGATGTAGCTCCCCTCTCGCATGTAAGCTCGGGGCTGCTCTACAACCTCGATGGTCCTCGTTGTTGCACGGGTGCTAAGCCTCGAGTGCGAGCTCAAGTGGGCTGGTGCTGCGTAAGGGTCTGGTGGCGGTGCGCGGACCGTACTGTTTGACCGGTGACTCCTGGCCGAAGCGTAGCTGTCCAGGTCGGGGCCTTCATAGGTGTAGCTTCGCTGCACAATTGGGGGATGCCTCGAGCTCCTCGAGCTCATATAGCTCCGACGTTCCGCTTCGCCTCCCGCGTACGGTTCTCTGTAACTGGCGGACTCGCTGCGCGGCCGCGAGGAAGAAGCCCGCGGCCTGGACGAGGGGTGACGGCCCCGCGGGTGGTCATAGACGTCGTCTGCCTCCTTACTCCGTGGCGACGACTCCACCTCGCTGTACCGAGCGATGTATTCGGGAGGAGGCCGGCGGTAGTCAGAAAGAGGTGGGTAGTCGCTTTCATAGCGTACCTTCTCCACCCCTCGTTCGACGTCGGCGTAGCGGGCTTTGCGATCCGAGTATGCATCATACCTCTCTGGGTACGTGGACCACCGTGTGAGGGGCGGGACGTCATACGCCTGCCGAGAAGCGCGACTCTTGTCGCCCCTGACCATGTTGTATGCGAAGGCTCCGCCTAGAGCGACACCGGCAACGCCGAGTAGGGTTCCAACAACAGCGCCAGCGCTTAGACCGTTGGAGTTCTCCCGTGCAGAGACCGCCGGTTCGTAGACAGAGGGTCCGGCTGTGACACTCCGCCTGGGCCCGAGAGGCAACTGGTCGTCGTCTTCAGTGTATCGGGCGTGGGGGCGACGGGAAGCGGTGCGGACAGACGCACCAGACGAGCACGACGAGGAACTGGGACCGGCAGAGGAGGTGAGTGACGAAGAGGCAAGGTCGTAATTCCAGTCCAGGATACGGCTCGCCTCGTTGCTGGTGGACTTTGTGTAGCGTACTGTCGAGCGGCCGTAGTCTGAAGGGCAGTCTGGGGGCGGTTGATAGACAATCTCAAGCATGTTGCCATCAAAGTCGGTTATAAGCACGCGGATCCCGCCACCTCTCGTGCTGGTCCGCTGGGCGGATACGCCACCGGTAGCCACGTAACCCTCGGCGGAGTAGCTGGGGTGGGCGTCCGGGCCGTTGAGATTGGTCTGTAATAATGCAAACTCGTAAGCGTGGTCGGCCGCGGCCGGCGAAGGAGCGCTGAGCACAATGCGCGAAGTCCTCAGGGGCCGATCTCTGCTCGACACCACTTGGCGGATCTGGAAAACTGGGGCAGTCCGTGAAGTATTCCCATAGACGATGGAGGGGAAATGCCCGCCCTCAGTAGACAGGTAACGCAGGCCCAGAGGCTGGATGACGGCCGAGTAGAACGGCGAGGAGGAAGGGAGGTGCGAGACCTCCAGAAAGGGCAGCATCGCTGCGGTGTGATATGCCCCGGCGTGCCGTGCTGTCGTGTTGCGCAGCCCGTGTATCAGCCACGAGGGCCTGGGAAATCGAGGGCGAGTGAGTTAGTGGGAGAGCTTTAGCCTTTAGGGCAGTGTGGCGTGACGGGGCGAGCTGGCAAGGGTTCTACGTGAGCTGAGGTCCAAGGAAGCCTCGCTAATAAGGGTGCCGAGCCTCATGGATCCGAGATTGTCGACCCTCGAGGACAGGCTCGTGACGATAGACGTTAGGCATTGAAAGAAGGGGGCAAGTGCACCTGCAACAAGTTTGTCGTAGAACTTTGGGTCTCACTGGTGTACACGTCCTTCATCCACACATGGAAAACTTGGAACTCCAGAAGGGAAACCACCTAGGGCCAGTCAGATCTCTGCATTACTACTAATTACCTAGGTGTCTCTGCCGGACGGGAGGTATGTACATGTAACCTGGCCGTGTGCCAGGCACGCCGTTTCCATTGGAGTGCTGCCCAACTGTGGTGGCCGCTAGCTGCCCGGCTCCGCAGCACCACAGCCTGCACCAGTCCAGTACCAGCGGTGAACACCTACAGGAGTGACCTAGGAAGCATGAGAAGCTGGCTTGGCTCAACAGCCACATTCGGCACTTCAACTCGGCGGGCAGTGTTATGTTCTCTCTCGGTCAAGAACCCCGAAGTCGAACAGACCCAATCTACAAATGTTGATCAACCTATCTATATAGCGTGCGCCGGACCCGATCGTTATGAAGAGCCTGAGGGTTGATTGACAAGTATTCAAGTATCTTTTCCACATGGATTGGCTCGGCTTGGACCAGCGCTGGCAAAGCGGGGCCGGGCGCCTAGGCAGGGCGCCTGCCAGATGGAGGGTATGAGTACGTGCTAGCGTTAGTGTCCTTTAGGTAGCCTGCCACGCTGAAGCACCAGAGTCGTCCCGACGAAAGCCACGCCGGATGCATTGGCGTGATTGACAGACCGTTCAGACCGAATGCCCGGCCCGGTGGTCTTTTCACCGCGGCCTGACGAAGAGAGCTGTTTTGATTGGGGGTTCTAGCCTGCAGAAACACCGTGGCGAAAACACTGGGGCACCAGGGGGTGAATGCCAGTTACTTAGCTGTGAGGCGATCCCAGTGATTGTCAGTGTTCGGGATCATTCCGCGCAAAGCATCGCCTCTGTCAATGACCGTGCATTCACGAATGCCGACGAAACAGTGGTAGACTGTGGCAGACTGTGGGAACGGAAACCGGCCCATTGTGGCAAGCTGGGTCTCAAAGGAGGCCGCACTTCTCGTAGACCAATAGACCATGGGTTGCCCAAGACCTCAGAAAGACGAGAGAAAGAGTGCGAGTAAAGTAACTACCTACCGTACCTACTAAGTTTGCAGGTGCTTGGTAGGTAACTCTTAGGACGGGCTTGAACAAAGGAGGGCCACATATCTCAGCAAGCGAATTTGCAGGCCGAACTAGCCCAGCACATCACAGATCCCATTGAACTGCTCCGATTATCCGAGTCCGCTGTCTTCATCTAAGAGGCCGGCGACATCCAAACCTGTTCCCCCGAAACCAGATCATGAGTGCCCTTTGATCCCACACGCCGGCTCCCTAATCCACGTGTCTTGCAGCCGTGAAGACTACAGGGTGTTGCTCTGGCCATATGTGACGAGCTGGTTGTCAGTAGCAACATCGAGACGCTGCAATACGAGCTAAAGTCCATTAAGATAGAAAAATAAAATAAACAAATCAAGGAAAAGGGGAAGACGAGTGCCAAGTTGAAGTGGCAACTCGCAAGACGACGAAAGCGTCTTGGGATCCATTGTTGAACGCCCCATGTTTTGGTTGCAAAAACACCGACAGCTCAAGCACAGGCATCCCAAGTTCCGGATGACAAAGGCCGTTAACCGCGATGTTGTATCACGGAACGGGCTCAATGCAACCGCAGTCCCCCTGGATGGAAGATAGAGGGCTGACAGATCTTTCCGTCCAATCCCCTGTCCTGCCGATATTGTAGGGCCGGTAGGCCACTAGGAGCAAAGACATCGTCATCACGATGTGCCGCTCTGTGTATGCCTTAGAGAATGTCCCAAGCATCCTCGGCGGCATGGCAGAACTTGCTGCAGGCAACGCTTGCCGAGAGGCTGTAGTTGCTGATGGATATTTTCTCGTCCACGTAGGCGTCGGCAAAGTTGTCCGGGCCCTTGGCCATGGCGCCAACGAAGACGCAGATGCTCTCATTCGGCCCGAGCGTGTCGACGTAATCCCGCACCCGCACCAGCGGTGCGTCAAAACTGAGTGTTATCTTTCGACAGTTGGGCGGCAAATGGTCGGTGATTGGGTTTTGGATCACTTTCAGGAGCTTCTCCTGCGAGTTGGTGCCCTTGATGGAAAGACGGTGGAGGAGTTGAACCATCAGACCAGCGAAACGCTTGAAGGTGCGCGGGATGCGGACCGAAGGCGAAACCTCAATCAACACGCCTTTGGCCGTCTGAATGTATATCTGGAGTCTTCCCGCCTTGTTGATTGGCGAGTCGAGGAGGGTCAGTAGACACTGCGAACAAGGAACTAGCCGTCAGCAGCTGCATACCGAATGGGCGGAGCGTCGGCTCTTTCAAACCTGATGTGTGATGTCCGGGCGCGCATCGCTAATGTCCCTGTTCATCTTCCGCATGACGCCGATGTGCTCGTCGCTGTTGAGCAGAGAATACTTCTCCTCTCTTTGCACACCCATGCGGCTTCCTCCGCCATGCGACGCCTTGTAGGTCTCGAGGCTGGCATTTGACAAGACAACAATGAGTCGCTTGGTGTCCTTGTCGGTTGGGGGAATGGGGGTGTGCTGCTCGGCTACCAGCTGGGGCAATGCCGGAGGAGGTAGCGATTGGGTTCCTGCCATGGGTTGTCGGTGTCAGACGACTGGAGCGCTGCCGGTGTTGAACAAAAAGTCTACGAGGCAACTGGAACCGGCAACTCGAGAAAAGTGGTTGTGCGGCACTTCAGGTGGGGGTTCATCAGGCCAGGACCGAAAGCGGGGTCCGCTCTTGGGTTAGAGAAATTTCCTTCCCCTCCCCATTTTCCGAGATCCTTTTAGTGGCGAGTGTCCGAGCGCCATCAAAACGAAACGGAGCAGAGGGAAACCAAGAATCTCCTAGAAGACAAGCTCAAAAAACAAAGTGCCTTTATATCCATGCCCGTGCACACCGTCCGAGTAGGGAATGGGGCCAGCGGAATATGCGGCAATGGTTTCGACTTACTTGGCCGTTTGCCAGCTCGGTATTCTGGTGAGGAGGACATATTGCAGTGAGGCCGAACCTGTAGCAGGAAGCAAGGTTAAGAGGTTCCTAATATGGAGCTGGACCTGCCTCGACGGGCTTCGGGGTCGCTTGACGAAGCAGGTTTGAAGGGAAGATCGGACAGGTGTAAAGCGTTGCAGAATGTCCAAGGCCCTTGAATGAATTGAAGTGGAAAGTAGTGAGCTTGACCAATGTGCTGACAAGGCGGCTGAGCGCAAATTTATTGAAAATTAGGAGGAAGGTGCCCCTGCTGGACAAAGGTTTCGATACCATAATAAGGGATACCAAAGCACGGGCAGTTCTCGGCTACATTTATTAGGTACATACATATTCGTACTGCAGTACTGTATCTGGAATTGGCGGCGGGGTTGGAACTTGAAAGTCGGGGTCCGAGCCGGTTTCGGTGATTATCATCGGGATTCCCATATTTTTACCTTGGTTAGACAAGCGCTTGCTCTTCGAGCTGTCGTCCATTGGTTAATTGAATCGGTGCTCTTCCGAGGAGCCCTCCCAACAAGGCAACTCTATCAGCCTCACCCAATCTGACTAGCAACCCCGAATGTCCAAGACTCAATGTCCCAGCCATTTCGTCATTTCCCACCAAAAGTGCCAGTTCTTGCGTGTACTGATTGTGACCAGTTCTGGTTGTTGGTAAGCCAGGGTTAGGGCTATATATGGGACAGCACAGATCAATCCGAGTCCTCTTCCGACCATTTTCCCATTCTAGGCAATCCCGGCCCCCCAGGATGCGTTCGCCTAGTATAGTTACAAGTCAAGATAACCCAAAGATCGAATTGGATGATTGCCTTATCGGGAGAGCTGCTTATGGCTGTCACGTACAGACATTGTAAGAAGCTAGATACATCCTAGATTCTGCAGTGCTAATAATCCGCTGGAATTGGCAACAAGGTATTGAAGTGCAGGCTCATCAACACAGACTAGGCTACTCTTGCGGTCAGTTTGCCGGACGTGTGCAGCTTACTCGGTAGTATTCAGAGAGTTCGGATGGCACGCAGTTGGCTGCATGAGCCACTGTTCGAAGACCCGAGTACGCTGAGGTCAGCTCGGCTCCCAGCTTGCGGTCGACCGGTCTTGGTGGTGTGGACTTGTTGCTGCGGTAAGACGGGGAAGAGTTCACAGTAGCACCGTTAAGGACTCTGCATGCGGGCACAAACAATGTCAGCGAAGCGGCGGTACACCAAGGCGGTATGGTGCTTGGAGGGGCGATGAGAGAAAGCACGGAGGAAGGGCAATATTGCGGTTACTACGGTACACCGTCTCGCATCATAGCATCTGGGGTCAATAAGAATAAGCAGGTACATCACACTCTCGAAAGCTCAACTTGGTGTGACTGCGAGCATACTTAAGCTTGTCGAGATTCGATCTCTCATGTTAGCCTAGTAAGAGCTTACACAGCGCAGTGCATCAGGTGGATCCAGCCAATAATAATAAATACTAGTAGCCTTCTCTGCTCACTTTAAAGGCACCGAGGTCGGTTTACGTCTTCCGGTTCCGATATTTTTTAGGGATGAAGGGAGCACACCTCAAAACACCGACCGGGTTAGCTGGGTCGGCTTTCGGGCTCCTCGGCAGCGGCGGATGGGATCTCGGGGTGGCGGTGTCATCTTAATATCCTGGCCCGGGTCTAACCGTTGGTTCAAGAGACCAAGCACACGGCATCTACTTGGTGCGCTGCTGTTGCTCGCCGTTGGCCTGCTTTCCACCGGCCTGGCCTCGCCCTGCTTGTCTTCGTGCGATCACCGACATTTTCCACAGCCGGGGTTATGTGCAGACGAATTGCTCCAGGCCTTGGGAATTGGCCGTCTTCTGTCCCGGCCCGTGTGGTCGGCACAGCACTGAGGCGATTCCAGGCCGCCATTTCCGGACTGAAGACCAAGACGAACCCCCGCAGGATGACATGGAAACTACCTAGGCCGCCGAATGGCTTCCACCAAAATTCTCTACCTCGGAGCTCGTCTGATCTCCGGGGCGCTCTTGGCCGCCGACCTCTTCTGCGTCCTTCCTCTGTCACGGATCCACGCTCGGCCGCAGTCGCAAGAAACTGTGATTCAGTCTTGTTCTGACATTGCCGTAGAGGCATATCCCCATGTCGTCTCTTATATCCTCTCTCTTTCTTTGGCGCCCGTAGCAACCTCAAGTTGGACCGTCCCTGAGTCGTTCTCTTTTCTTCTGCATTTCTGGCCCTTGAACGGACGGGACGCTCAGGGCCCAGCACGCTGCGCGTATCTCTCTCTCTCTTCTGACTCAAAGTCCCACCAGTCTCTCCCATTGACTTCTGCAAGGCATTTACTTTGCTTCTCTATGCCATTCTAACGCAATGTCAATCCGGTGGCTCCTCTTCCTCGTTCCCCTGGCCCTAGCGCAGGCGCAGGGCGACAACCAAACCCCTACACTGGATCCCGAAGTCATCCAGTCCGGCTCCTTTGTTGATGGATCAACCTCCCTGGGCTCAGACGAGGCTGCTCAGGCCAAGTCACTGACCTCTCAGAACAATTTTATCAACTTCTGCAAGGGCAAAACGCTCACTGACGGTCTTCAACGGACGGACGGCTCATGCAACGGCATCGGTGCGCAGTGAGTGCCATTCACACTGGAAGATTGCGTGCTAACCGTATGTTTAGTCATGGGCGAGATCCCCTCGATTGATAGGATGATCTCTGTGGTGATCACGAAGCCGCAGAACGGTGACAGCATCGAATCTGGACAGGACTTCAATATTACACTTCAAGTATCAAACCTGGAGGCTGGTGCGTTTACCAACGCCGTTGCAACCTACTACGCTGCGCCGCAGCAGCTGAAGGGCGGCAATGTAGTTGGACACATCCATGTCACCGTGCAGGACACCGGTGCGAACCTAAACCCAACACAGCCCCTCGACCCAACGCAGTTTGCCTTCTTCAAAGGGATCAACGATGCCGGAGACGGCCGGGGAGGGCTATCCGCGGCTGTGACCGGGGGATTGCCGGCTGGAAATTATCGTCTCTGTACCCTGACTTCAGCCGCGAACCATCAGCCGGTCATTATGCCCGTGGCCCAGCGGGGCTCACAGGATGACTGTGTCAGATTCACTGTGACTGGCGATGGGAATACTATCAATCCCGCGGCCAAAGACGGCGAAAAGGGACAGGCGGCAGCTGCACTGGCTGCCCAGGCTGTACAGCTCGGTCCCGGTGCTCCCGATCCCAACAACAACAACAACAACAACAACAACAACAACAACAACAACAACAACAACAACAACAACAACAACAACAACAACAATGGTGGCAATGACAACAACAATGGTGGCAACAACAACAACAATGATGGCAACAACAACGGCGGCAACGAGGGGAACAACAACGGAGGGAACAGCGACCGAGGGAAAACCAACGGAGGGAAAAACAATGACGGTAATGGAATCCGTAATGGTGGTAACGGTGACACTGGCAACGAGGAGAACGGCAATAATAACGACGGTGCAAGGGCCTCCGCATCTGCAGCAGCATCAAAGACAGCCTCTGAGACGGCCTCTCCAGCTTCTAGTGCAGCTTCGGCAGAGACGCCGCGAGGGAGAAGTGGAAAGGCGAAGAGGGGAGGAGATCGTCTTGTTCGTCTGTCTAGGCGGCGACACTTTGTGGCATGATGCAGTTTGATGGCCCCCGGGGATTGGGCGAAGGGGCACTTTGTATACGCTATATGATGCTTGTTGTACATCGTTTGTTCTGGAGTCTCTCTTACTTAGATATTTGCTGTAGCGTCCGTTCCAATCTTGTCTTGTACGCATTATCCGACCCACCGTGAGTTACGCCGGAAAGGGGAATGGAGCCCAGTACTACTAGTTACTAGTAGTACCTTAATATATTACCGATACATGCTGTGGATACTGTGTAAAGCGACGGTGACTACCAGGTAGTTAACCGTATCGGCATCCTAGCATTTACAGCAGCCACACACTAAATAGGCCTGTGCCTATGTGTGACCGATGCTATATTAGGACTGTAGTTAACTTAAGTTATGGACAATGAGCAAATAGCCCGTCAAACGGTGCTTAAGGATATTTCAGAAATCGAGTTAGAATTAGCTTGTTGGCGACGGCGATATCGAGGATGCTGGATGGTTCGCGTTCTTGGAAGAGATGCGGACGGGGAAGTTGCCATACAAATTTGGTGTGGCTTTGCCTATGTGGCACTTATTCAAAAGGTTAGTACTATAACTACCGTCGCCCTGCCAGGCGACACCGTCGCTTTATCCGTAGCGTTGATACAGGCCACGGGGCATTTCTTGCCCAAGCCAGATAGTCAGATAGGTACCTTGGAAGACTATGCGCACCCGACTTGAAGCGTAGAGGCACTCGTGCAATCGGGTATGGCCCAAAGGTTGTATACCCTCCGGTCTACCTCTCTTGGAATACCAGCACAAAACGACCACAGAAGGATCTCTGCGTTACCTGTGCCACGCGTATTCCGGCTTCTGACGGGCTTGCTTGCCTTCATTCTCAAGCCAGTATCTATGGGTCCATCGGACATGGGAGTAAACCAAACACCGGAACGGAGGACAGGAGAAGTGGTTCTGGCAAAAAATGCGACGCTCGCCAAGTCATATGTCCTACCAAGACCTGATTTGAAGTCCAACATGAGTGTTGGATACTGAGGCTGCACAATACCACACACAGTAAGGAGCCTGAGGGGTTTCCAAGCCACGTCATACGTCATTCGGGACCTCAGGCCTTGAAGACGGTCCGTACAGCCGGGAACACATCGAGCCAGCTCTCCTCCGCTTCTTTAATTAGGCTGACCGAAGCGACAAAAGAAAGGACCCTTTTCTGCGGCCACATCGCGAGTTCTTCGAACTCTGCACAAATCGGTAGCTTGTATTGTTCCATACTTCCGTAGCCCTTCAGGTCTCTCTGTTCGGTGAGAGCCCCCGCAACCCTCGCCAAGCACCTCGACCCCTGCTACTTTCCGAAAACGGGAATCCCAAGAACGACCCCGACAACGACGCCAACATCACCATCTGGCAAACACGCAAATCCTCTACCATTCCTCAAACCCTATTCACCTGTGCCTCCCTGCACAGCCTTCCCCGTCGACGACGTCGCCTTGACATAATCAAAATCACTCCGCGGCATGATAGTAAGGCACCGTGAAGATTAGCAGAACGGTGAACTGAGAGCACATCCATGTCTTGCACTTTCCAAGCGGCGGTGAACTCCATGAGACTTAACAGTTAAGTGAAGCGAGTCGATTCGAACCGTGAACTGGATGTCGCATATGCATCTCGGCAGTCTCGACCATGTCGACCGCTAAGACCGCCGTCGCTGCCGCGCCCCAGGTGAACGGGTACGACCAAGCAAGCTATTTCCCCCAGCAGCAGCAAACCTACCAGCCAGACGCCATTGACGCCGAGACATTACCCGTTCCCTTCGCACAGTCTCCAAGCGACTACGGCAACAGCTTAGCCGCTCCAGTTGCCATACGTCCGGCTCGATTTACCGAGGAATGGGATGCGAGCCAGCGGGGCAGCTCCGTTGCCGACGGTCCGGCATCCGGTGTCAACCAACGGCCCGCGTCATACTCCGGCCTTGCGGGTGGCATTCCAGGTGACGCGCCAGCATCCCTGACTCGTGGAAATACGCTCAGGAAGAAAGCATCGCTGCGCAGGAGTGGGAGTCTGAAGCGCAGCGGGAGCCGTCGGAGCATGAAGGCCGGAAGCGTGAGAAGCCTGGCTCTGCAATCAACTACGGATAAGGACCAGATGCATAGCGCATTTTACTGCCCCATCCCGACTGCAACTAACCCGACCGAGATCCTGGCCAACCGGTTTCAAGGTGCGTGTTGCTTCCTGGTCGTCATGGCGCGTCCTCTGAGGGCGATAGCTGACCGATGGGCGATTTGACAGCTTGGCGTAAGATTCTGAAAGATCTTATCACGTTCTTCAAAGAGATACAGACCCATTACGAGCACCGGGCCAAATCCCTGCTCAAACTGGCAACCGTCCTCAACAACACTGCGACGCCACCAGGGTTGTTCCTGGCTTCCGGCGGCCTGGACGACGCATTACGGATACTGAGGGGCTACAGCAAGCAAGCAATTTCGGAGGCCAATAAAGCTAGGGAGATTGAAGAGGACGTCATCTTGGCCCTGACCGGGCTGAGGAGCGACCTTCATCAAAAGATCAAGGAGATCAAAAACCTTTCGGGCGACTTCAAGAATTCGGTCGAAAAGGAGATGGACAACACGCGCAAGGCTGTGACACAGCTTCAGGAAGTTCTTGGCCAGACTGAGCTCGATCCGTCTCTGACAACGGGGAAGCAAGACCCTTATCTACTGAGGCTCGCTGTCGATCGGCAGCTCGAGAGGCAAATCGACGAGGAGAACTATCTGCACCAGGTACGTAAGCAGCACACCGCGTTCAAGAGCCTACTGTCGGTTGCCGCCTCGGCTAACTGACGATGCGAAGGCCTACTTGAATCTTGAGAATTCCGGGAGGGAGCTCGAGTCAATCGTGGTAGGCGAGATTCAGAAGGCGTATAATGCTTATGCTGGCATTCTCAAGAGGGAATCGGATGCCGCCTACAACACCATCGAAGAGCTCCGTACTGGACCTATCTCCATGCCCAAGGATAAGGAGTGGATGACGTTCATCCAGAGGGACGATCGGTTCGTGGACCCTGACCTTCCGATGCGATCGTCCGAGACCATACATTACCCTGGGCGCGACCATCCGGCCTGCCAGGAAGTACGAGCCGGGCTCTTAGAGCGAAAGAGCAAGTATCTGAAGAGCTACACGCCCGGATGGCGAGTCCCCCTACTCTGCAATCCTTCCTCTGACTGTGCCAATGGCTAACCTGAGCAGGTATGTTCTGTCTCCCACACATCTCCACGAGTACAAGTCAGCGGATAAGACTCAGGCGCCCGTCATGTCCCTGTACCTTCCCGAGCAAAAGCTGGGATCGCACTCGGACGAGGGTAGCTCATCAAACAAGTTCGTCCTCAAAGGTCGGCAGACCGGACCCATGCATCGTGGCCATACCTGGGTTTTCCGCGCCGAGAGCCATGATACGATGATGGCTTGGTACGATGACATCAAGATTCTGACAGAAAGGACCCCCGAGGAGCGTAGCAACCTTATGCGCGGAAATAGCCGCAGCATCAGCCGATCGTCTCAGAGGTCATCCATCAGCAGCGACGGAGTTGGAGACGAAGAAGAACCTCCCTTCACCGCCACTGGAGTTCCGGTCAATGAGCAGCCGAAGCTGGATGCTCTCTCGCGGCGCCCTTCAGGGGGGCGGTTCCCTTCTGACCTGCAGGTGAACGCGCAAAGGGGATTACATGTCCCTGTATCGCCTCTGAGCGTTAGCTCAGGATACGGTGAAGGCTTTAATCATGACTACTTCCCGGCGACTGTTTCTCCAGGGAACGATCTTGGACAATCGCCTCGAGGATTTCATGAGTTCGTCCACGAACGCGAGACCGAAACGGATGGCTTCCCACGTCAGAAAGCCATGGATGGTCCTCCTGGGAGCCGATTTGATAGCCCGGCCGCCGTACCCCTTCCTCATACGCCAAATTCACAGGAGCCTAGACAAGCAGATGCTTCCGTGTTTGACACCAGAGCGACGGAGGACCCTAACCGGGCCGGCCCTGGACCCATTCCATTCGCCAGCCCCAAATATTCCCAAGAGCCCCCTTCTACCAGGGATACTGCTAGGGGTGGGGTTTACGGGTCTCAGGTCACCGCGACAGCGACCGGTGGCCACACTCCAGCCCTGACGCAGAACCCAGCACCAGACGATGGAGAACAGGCACCGCCTGGGATGGCTAACGATGCCGTCGAGGATGAGCAGGCTAGACGGCCACGTGTTGTGGCTCGAGGTGACAGTGTCCCAACGGTTTCGAATCTTCATATTCCTGGAGAATACCCCAGAGGTTCGGTTGGAGGTTTATGAGTCATATGGTCCGACAGCCATTTGTGATCTCCAGTCCTTCGCTCAACTCACATTTCGACTTCCCAGTTCAACGCCAAGCCTTCCTTGTCTTGTCCTTCGCCGCGTCAGCAGCTGCGGAAACCGCAAGCATAGGTGGCGCTGCACTGAAGGACACCAGGCCTCCTCTGTGCATGGCATAGCGGGGCGGGGGGTGGGGAAGGGTGCTTTGCAGCGAAAGAATGTCGTTGGAGACGCAGCCAAACAGAGTGGTCAACTGTGTTGCCTCCGGGTCGGGGCAGTATGTCATGTTTTACATGGAATCGCATTCGGTAGAACACCCACGGCCGTTGCTTCAACTGCCAACGTCAATTCTATAGCGTCGGCCTGGTTTCACAAGCTTTGTGTTCTTGCTTGTTCGAGTCTAAAGCGCCTACGCGCATACCGCTTATTCTGCTGCAATGTGATGAGCGAGCTGCGTCCATTCGACGTATTGACTACATACAGCTCTAATTGAAGGCCGGATGGAAGATATGGATATCTGGAATTTCGTGGGCTAACAGTGCCAACAGAACCGGCAGAGGAAGGCCTGGGACTGTGGGACTGGAGGCTCGCTGATGTCGCCAAATACGCCCTGGCAGGGCAACCCTGAACCCTTTCGAAGTGGAAACCTCGGGTACAAGATCTCGACGGATATCCTACACTTCTTCTTCGCCGGGACAACAGACCCCGCAGCAGAGGACTCTGTACAGCGCTGGGTAACCAGCGCAGAAGCTGATGTTGACGCTAAGCGGCCGGTTAGCGATGTATGTCAGTGTCATTAACGGCGCTTAATCAAGCGAGAACGGAAGCAGAGCAATTGATGACACAGAAGACATGCACGTGCCCAGTCGGCTGCACCACGTTATCTACAGAAGCCGACCTGGTGCGAAATTTACCGTTGATATAGCAATGAAACACCCAAAGCCCTGCCAGAAACGCCTGTGTAGCCAAGTCCAAACCCCGAAGACAACCGCCAAGCGGACCTTGTAGCACCTCAAATGCTCAGCCACGTGCTTGATCGGCACCGCTCCGACTTCCATAAACGATACAGAGCTCAAAAACTGTCCCCCATACAGGGAAAAGCCTTGAAATGAGAGCGAAGGCTCTACCTGCCGCGGCCACCACCTCTGCCGCCTCGTGAGAAACCGCCCCTTCCACCCCGCGGTGCACCTCCGCGGCCACCGCCGAAACCGCCTCCAAAGCCACCTCTTGACCCGCCTGGACCCCCTCTACCACCGCCCCTGCCTCCGCGCGAGAAACCACCGCCGGGGCCTCCGCGCCCACCCCGGGCTCCACCACCCCGGGAGGGCTTCTTGACCTTGTTGACAGTGCCAGGAGCAGGCTTCGGCTTGGGAAGGAACCTCTCGAGAGGCAGCAACTTCTCACCCGCAATATAGAACTTGTCGCCGTACTTGAATGACGTCGCCTGGATGCCCTCGGAGGGCTTGATGGTGAAGTAGACTTGGTTTATCGGCCCGAGGATTTCGTCGACTTTGCCGATAGTTGTCTGTTATTGAAAGTGTAAGTGATGCTCAGGGCGGAGTCAAGAAGATACCCTTCGCAGACGCGGCGTACCTTGTTCTCCAGGTAGATCGGTGCATTGAAGTGGGGGATCTTGGGGTTGGTTGACTCAACCACCATCTCCCCTTCGCAGGCGTGGACGAACTTGCCCATCTCAAGGACGGTGGCCGGAGGGCCGGTATCGCGCTGCTGGAATCCGCCACGTCCTAGCATTGAGTCTCGTCAATTTCTGTGCATCTGTGTCGCTTGTGCTCTTGTCTGCAACGATTCCTGCTCACCTCCACGGCCAAAGCCGCCGCCACCACGGCCTCGGGGCGCTCCTCTGAACGACATTGCGACTGTGTTGCCGCCGTTGAGATTGTGTTGACGGCAGGAGTGTTCAAGCGCTAGCTACGTCGCTTGTCCCGGTGATTCGTGGTCGTATTGGCTAGGAACGTCTCGAGTTAATATTTTTTTGAACAATGTAAAAGCGGTCAAAAGTTCTGCCATTTGCTCGCATACTCAATGCTGGCCATACTGTTTTGGTTAGTATGTTCTGTACGGTGCAGAGATACCGTCTGATAGACTGTGTGGCTTCGTCTCCATATGTACGGATTATTCCGTACATGTAGTTATTCCGCACTAGTACTTAACAGTACCCAGCATCCGGCTAATAAGCTAATGTAGGTACGGATTACTCCGTAGAAGATTGCCAAAAAGAGCAGTGGCCAGATTGCGCCCGGGATCTTAACTCTTGAGACCAGCGTGGACAAAACGATCGACTTCTCGACACACATGTTCGAGATGCGCTAGTTCTAAACATCATTGTGTCTGGCGACAATCTCACCAACCGCTGCCAAGCTTCGCTTCGAAGTCATAGCATATCTTTCTTGTTTGGCGCATCTTCTCCTTGCTCTGCTTTTCCTCAGCTCAGCACGGTCTCTCACCTCGACAGGCCTACGCTCACCAGCGAGGTTTCTCAGTTCCTTCGACTCTCGGACAGCCTCGGGTAATCTCAATCTTCACACCGTTCCCAAGCCATGCTCGTCCGTCTGTCAACGCTGGCGTTCGCCGCCAGTATCCTGTCGACGCCCTCATTGGTAACGGCGCTGTCGCCATCCGATATACCCGCCGATCTTCCCCTCTCCAAACTGCTCGATTCGGCTCAGAGCCACCTCTCTAAGGGCGAAACCGGCGATGCCCTCGTATATTACGACGCTGCTATTGCTCGAGATCCCTCCAACTATCTAACCTTCTTTAAGCGCGCGACCACCTACCTATCAATGGGACGCACCTCACAAGCCACCGATGACTTCGAAAAGGCGCTCAAGTTGAAACCAGGGTTCGAGGGCGCCCACGTACAGCTCGGAAAGCTCAGGGCCCGCTCTGGTGACTGGGATGGGGCGAAGCAGCACTTCAAAAAGGCGAAGAAGACTGAGGAGATTGCTAGTCTTGAGGAGGCCAAAGGCGCGGCGACGCTCGCTGAGGCAGCCGCCAAGGCACAGAACTGGGAGGAGTGCGTTAAGCAAGCCGATGATGCCATCCTGGTGGCTAACCGTGCGCTGGCGCTGCGGGAATTGCGCGCGCGGTGCTCATTCGAGCGGGGCGCCGTCGAGAGGGGGATTGGCGACCTACAGCACATCCTGCAGATGAAGCCAGGCGACACATCACCGCATGTCAAGATCTCGGCCATTCAGTTTTATGTGCTGGGCGAACTGCAAGAGGGCATGGCGTCTATCCGGAAGTGCCTGCATTCCGATCCCGAGTCAAAGCGGTGCAAGCGGTTACTGAACGTCGAGAAGAAGGTCGAGAAGGCTGTCCAGAAGGCTACCAAGGCACTCGAGAAGGGCCAGCATATGACGGCGGTTCGGCCGCTTGTACCGTCGACAGACGGTGATGGCTTGATCAAGGAGGTAAAGGAACAGGTTGCGGAGCTGAGGGCGGACGGGACAATACCCAAGGCCGCAAGGAATGTTTTGGTTGCGAGGCTGGTTGGCATGGCTTGCCAGGCATACTACGAGGTGAGTGAAAACTGCGAGTTGCGGCATTGGCGGTGAGCCTCGCTAGCTGACCATCAAAAACAAACAGTCGGACAGCAAAAAGGCCAAGGAATACTGCGAAGAATCTCTCAAAGAAGATGAGAATTCTCTCTACGGTCTCCTCTACCGCGCCAAGCACTTGATGGAGGCTGAAGAATTCGAAGCCAGCATCAATGCCCTCCGCAAAGCCGCTGAAACCCACCCGGGCAAGGATGACGTCATTAACCCCCTGATGCAAAAAGCACAGGTCGAACTCAAGCGCAGCAAGACCAAAGACTACTACAAGGTCCTCGGCGTGGCCCAGGATGCCGATGAGCGCCAGATCAAGTCTGCATACCGCAAGCTCTCCAAAATGCATCACCCGGACAAGGCGGCCAAGCAGGGGCTTACCAAGGAGGCGGCCGAGAAGAAGATGGCGGCCATCAATGAGGCGTACGAAGTGCTCAGCAATCCGGAACTGCGCGCCCGCTTCGACCGTGGCGACGACCCCAACTCGAACGAGCAGCCACAGTTCCACCATGGGAACCCATTCGGTCATGGGCACCCGTTCATGTTCCAACAGGGCGGCGGCGGCGGGCAGCAGTTCCAGTTCAAATTCGGCGGGTCTGGGTTCCCTTTTGGGGCCTAGTTTCCGGTTTCTTTTCCTTTCACTTTATCTTCATGCATCAACTCAAGGGAGTTCAGGTGTTATTAGGAAGAGGCACGGAAGAAATGCAGTACATGGTTGTAACTCCGTTCCGTCGGAGATGGTTGGGTCGTTTCTTTTGGCAGCAGGGAAGCGTGTGTTGGTTAGCAGGATCCAATTTCTTTGGTGCGTTGGTGGTGTTGTACCTTTCATCGCGGGCACTGTGTAGAGCGTGGCAAGTCGAGGCTTGTTTGAACATACAGCGCACACAAAGCATGGAGCAGACTTGCAATGAAATCCTTCGAGCCCCACCCAAGGGACAGCAAATAATACCCTCCATGGCGCCTATTAGGCCGGTTTTCAAATTCGACTCATGGTCTCTCCGCGCAGCATGACTATGGGAGCGGAGGCCGCGTTGATCAAGGTGGTTCGGATCCGAGTGATGTCCGAGCATGTACGGACTGTGTGCCTAGTAATGTTGAGTCCCTGCGTTGTGATGAAGCGCATGTCATTGGGATATTCCAGCGGCAGCCGGCATTATCAGCTTGCAGGGCAGATGGCATCACTAATCCCTTACACTGGGATGACTACTAGTAGCATGCATCGGGAAATCAGTTGGTACTTGGTAGGTAAGACGCTGCGTCATGCAGGCAAGCCAACCCATGTCCACATTGGTGTCGTGGTCGGCAGAACGCCACTCTCGGAATCTAAAGCCAGGGGCGCCAAACGACATGAAATTATGTACACAAGATGCTGTGCTGTAGCAGCAGACTGCGCTTCTTTAGCCGGACACCAGCCGGGCGGCCTGTCGGACGCCAGAAGACCAGAAGCCGGGGTCGCGGCTTCTTCCAATTGAAGTTGTCGGGGTTGCAGAACCCGTCGCTCGGAAGATGGATCAATCTATCATGGTCGTAGGATTACTGGAGTTGCTTAGCACCCGGTTATTGGAGAACTGAGTGCTTGGGTGCTCGCGGATGAGCGTACCACTCTGCTGAATTAAGACTCGATACATCCCAACCGCAGTCATGTCGAGTTATTGTGGTGGATAAAATAGGCTCTGTAAGCGGGACATGGTCAGCACCTAGGGCCTAGTTCCAGCTCACCCTGGGAAACTCACTTTGACGCCTCGTAGGCCGACCAGCAGATGGCGGTGCTGGGCATGGTTGTCAACACTCTTGGCCGCACGCCCTTGAAAAAGCCGCGGGTGCCCTCTCTCCGGTACAATAACCGGCAACCGGCCACAAATCCGTTGACCGTCCTCAATTCGGGATCGGTAGCACTGCCTCGTGTCTGCAGCATTGTTTTGATTACATCCATTGGCGTCGTAAGCGCTGCGGCAAACCCACCCGCCACCGCACCCGCCAGACAGTGCGTCAGGGGGTCATACTTCTTGCTTGGATTCATAGAGGTCGAGATGGACTCGTATGCGAGGAACTGAAGCGCGGTAAAGGGGACCGTCATAGAAAGTGTCGTCGGGTAAGACACGTAGAAAGCCGCGAGCCCTTCTTTCCTGTATACGTATTTTGCGCAGTCGAACATGGACCGGTACATCTTGGCCGAGTTCTGGATCTGCATTCTTTGCTTGATGACTGCCCGAGGACTTAGCTAAGCGACGTGACGGTATGACCATTGTTGTAGCCTTGCTTACCGTCAAAGGGGTTCATCAGCGCATCGCTAGCAATCGTAGCGCATGCTCCGCTAGTTGCGGCGGCTAGAGGATGGTGGACACCAGCTTGGTTCCCGCCCATGACGTGCTTGACTGCCTCATATGTCGCGAAGTAGACCGCATGCGCAGGGCCTAGGAAGACGAATTATTAGCCCAGAGCGCCCCCCGGCGACGCAAGGTTCTGGGCGCAGGACTCACCAGCCCCAACTATCACGCTGGACATGCCCCGCCATAGACTCAGAATGCCTTCCGTGCTTGCCATCCGGTATGTGGCCTGGATCACTCCAGTCCCGACGGTCGACGAGGTAGGGTTGATTATCTGCATTCGTGTCTGCGCGCCACAGGGTTAACCGCACAGTCTCACTTCGTCTAGGCAGAAGAATAAGGCACAGCGAGGCCAGAAGCTCGCTTACCTTGATCGCATCGATAGGGTACACTATGCCTGGTCAGCAATTGATCAAGCCAAAAGCGGAGCGCACCTGTGGGAGCTGGAGAGGAGAGTCACCCGAGATGACGTACTTGCGCAATGCTCGGCAATGCCGGCGAAAGCGCCGGCAGCCATGTTTTGCAACAATGAGAAGTTGGGCGGGAGCGATTCATAACTGTCACCGTGTCAGCGCAAAGGTGGTGTTCCCATATGGAGGCCCGACCGGGCCAAGCCAAGGGAAGGGCGCGACATACTCGTAGTCCTCCACGGGCTCGGCATTTGGCTGAGCCATTGGGGAAGCTACGGCTCCCGGCGCGCCCACGTCGAGAGCCAGGTTGAAGATCGTTTGCGGGTGGGGGGGAAGAGGCCCGGTGGTGTGTAGTGGTGAATCCTCTGCGTCAAAGCAACAGACCGAGGCACCAGGCTGGCGGGATACAGGGAGAACAAGCGTGGTTCGGGTTGCTGCCACCGCAAAAATCCCAAATGGACGTCACAAAATCCGTGCTCTCCGCACTTGCCTTGGCGGTCCAGAAGCGTGGAATCGAGAGTAGTAGTGACTCTGGTGCCAAAATGCGCTGGCTATGTCCTGCCGTCGATTTCAATGGGCTGCGCACAAAACCAGACCTGCACGATGATGTTGATGAAGCCGTGATAACGAGCAAGCTGTCTCCGAATTTTTTCTGCGACCGCTGTCGGCCCTCTCCAAGGCTGCCCAGAAAAAAGGTGGGACCGGCTCGGTCGCAGCCGCAGAATCCGGAGGTCGGGGAATTGGGGGTCGACTTGTCAGGGGTGGCGTTGCGAGCGAGCGGCGTGAAGCTCACAAGCATCTGATTAGCCACGAAGTGGGAAACAAGGTGTGGGACCGCTACCGGAGATGTTCGGCAGAGCGTCCTTGCAGCTTGTCTTATCAGATCTGTCCGTGCTGACTTGCGGGTCTCCGCCGAGCTCCCGAGCAAAAAGAAGACCACACTGCGCTTTCTCCGAGGCAACACAAGTGAAGGACGGGCGATGAGCACCTGTGCGTCCGAAGGACCGGAATGTGCGGGATCGGTGTTAGTATCGGATGTCCGTATGGCACATCAGCTTTACAGGCCTCGTCAAAGACTTCAACTTCTCCGGGGGAGTCAGGTTTTCTTCTGCCGTGAGACTTACACCCATGTAGTCAAATCAACATGCCGCATCCAGCGGATGCCATCAACCTTGCTTGGTATGCGGATGGGATTGCCCCAGGTGCTCAAATGCGAAGCAAGCCGGTCAAGATTCAACATCCTTGCACAGTCGTTCCTGCATCCAGAGAAGTGGAAATTTGAAATGTCATATTCGATCATGATGATAGTCCTTCTGATAGCATATGCCCCTGATGTGATGTGGTCATCATCTGCTCAATGCACTCCTCCCGGCCTGCGGTGAAGTTGCGCTTGGTTAAACTGATAGATCATGTGCACAACTCCGGCATCCGGCGCTCCACGAGCTTCTGTGGTACTGTTGTCCCTACTCAATGTCACCGCCGGTGATGTCTGCCACGCCGATTCATCCAGAGCACCTCCACCTTCATACGCCTCTTCGTCCTGCCGTCTCCCAGCTTCGCTCGCTTCCCCATCATCTTCCTGAGTCTCTTCAATGATGCTTCTCTCTCCGTGGTAGCCAGCCCGCAGGTGCCGTGACGCGTGTTGGGCCCGGCTGGGTTTCGGCGGCTGGTGGTGTGGATCGAGAAGGATGGATGCCATGGGGGATTGTTGAGGCATAGTAGGGCCGTAACGGGGTGTCTTATTCGACCCGCCGCCCTTTGCTCGTTCCCGACCAATCCGTGAGGACTGTAGGTCGGCGACCAGCGGCGCTGTGCTTATGCTCGGCCACGCTGGCGGCGGATGGAACTGATTTCGGGTTCCTGGCGGAAGATGTGACGCCGCGCCTGTCCTTGGGTTGAGGGCAAAGTTCCCGTAATTGTCCATGAAGCCGTAGTAGGAAGCTTCCATCTTCCCATGCTTTGTTGCATAGTAATCATCCCGAACATCGCCATCATTATCCCTCTTGCTGGTTACCATGCCCTTTTTGAAGTCAAACTCGGCAAAGGAACAGACATAGCCGAGCCCATCAACGTGAATGGTGAACTCGCGGAAGAAGTCGATGATCTGATCGCTGCATGTCGGGAGACTGGAAAACAGGACAAAAGGGGTGGTAAGAATGCTGAGGATCTCTTCGAGGAAGATGACTACCTTGACCTTATACAGCTCCGAAAACTCCTGCTTGATGTCGAAGCTGTGGAGTCTATCCTTCCAGTGGTCAGGCTCATAGTGGGTGTATTGGATGACGTTCCGCATGGCGTACTCGGGATCGAAAACCGAGTTTTCTGCTGCTATGTTGCCTCGCGCGAATGCGAAAACGGCCCCAAAAACGGCCGTGTAGAAGAGCGCGGTTCGATCAGGGGTGATTTCAAAGCCCAAGAACAGTTCAGAATCGACCACTGAGGCAAGCGCGAGTATTGTGGCAAGAGAACCAGATATGAACGCCACTGTTCGAAAGACCATCTCCGTCTTGGCCTTTGGGAATTGGTCGATGTAGTGGCTTGCGAAGGGATGGGACATATCGAGCCGCTTCCGGAAGAGATGCGGTAACTCGTTGAACTCTCGGAATTTCCACTCCGCAAGCGGCGTGTATGTCCGTGAAGACAAGATCGACGGATTCTTTTGGATTTCCTGGAGCCCATGTCAGTATCCGACATGGGACGGCCTCTTTTCGTCGAAAGCGCAGCGGGTTGTACTTACATGGTAGTACATGAGGAAATAGACAACCATGAGATACGCAACTACAAACGGGGAAAGGATGAGGATCATGACTCCGGCGAAAACGAATCTTCCACGAAGCTTGAGACTGAGTTCACCCCGGCGCTCAGAGCGCAGAAATTCCTGGTTGACTTGACCCCTCTCATCGAAAACAAAGTCGAGAATGGTGAACATCAGCATCCATTCCATCGTCCGGGAGAAGAGCTGTCGGTTGTGCAGGAAGGGAAACGGGATCGTCAGATTCAAGATATCCTTGTTGAACAGAGCGATCAGGTAGTTCTCGCGCCTCATGAGGCGATTGGCGATGTCTGATGCGTCCAGCCTCTCCTTGGACTGACTGCCAAGCCATCGCCTCTGGGCTGGAGTCAAGCTTGTTGCAGTCTTGGGATTATGGTCTCTTAGGGCCATGATGCGGGCCACTACCTCCTGCCACGTAATCGTTTGCATATCTTGGTCGGGGATGTTGAGAAGGTGGAGATAGAAATCGCGAACATTGAGCAGCCGCCGGAGATCAAGGAGGTATTGTATGGATTTCCAAATGAAGTAAAACGCAAACATCCAGAGGCCGAGATTCCACAGGCCAGACATGTTTCTTGTGCAGTGAGGGATGATGATCTGGGATAGCTTTTGGCTACCGCGAAGCTTGCTGTAGTCCAAGCATTGAGTGAGAAAGGTCAAAAGGAGGGCTACGAAGGCGACGTTGCTGTGCGACGTTAGCATGCGGTGCTCCTGAACCAAGTTGTCCCAAGGCCGGCCAAGTGCAACCACTTACACGAGGTGCAGGACTCGTTCGACTAGGATACACCACACGCCGTGGCCAATATAGTAATCGTAGACGTCCTTGATGAAGGTGTCGAGATTTGAGACATTAGCCCATCTCCATTCAGCCTTCTTCTTGGCGCTGCCCGAAACTATCCCGGTGAATAGAGAGTTCGGTAGACCACTGCCGCGCCGAGATGGCTCGGGGACTGCGTCATCGTGCAATCGCTGCTGCGCCTGTGTGGCCTCCCACTGGACACGAGCCTTTGACGACCCCGGCATGGCGGCCGCAGGCGGCTGGTCCGCCCTCTCGTTTCCTGTTGATGGCCCCGGGGTCCCTTCTGTGTAATCGTCTTCGCGCTCCACCAGCAAGGACGCAGGAACGTCGTTGTCACCATCCTCCTCTTGCGATACCCAGGCCGACCGTGTGTCCCTATAAAGCTGCCCTCCAGCTGGACCGTGGCCTCTCGAGGCCGGGTTTGTCACACTCCCCAGAATAGCGCGACTATCTCCGACCGCGAGACCCTCCGCATGCTCTAGGTCGTAGTCCTGAAACTCGTGGTTCAGGTTTTCTTCGTCTAACAGGCCGGCCCGATCTTCGGTGTCGTCATGACGGCGTCTGAGGTCTTCGTAAAATGAGCGACCCTGGGCTGTTTGGACAAGCCTCGAGAAAACGTTCGACGCCATTTCGCACTAGCCTCGATCTGTGGCTTCGTTTGGAGTGCCTGTGGACATTGAAGGTTATGTGCGGAGGTAGGATGGGAAATCTATGGACGAGCCGCTCGCATGTGATGTTCTGGCATGACGCGCGGAAATGACGAATGATCAAGAAATAGATCGAGAGATACTAGGTAGTTACTAGATCACAAAGACGCTTCCGCGGAGACCAAGAAGAGTCAGGAGACACTGGCCCGAGGCAGGCTGCGTATAGCTGGTGAGGGAATTGTGAGGAAGCAGAATTAGGTGCCCGTCGCTTGAAGCCTGGGTTCGGTGCATGTTTGCGTCCAGGTGACTGCGTTCAGAATGACAAGCGCCGGACCATCGCGGACCGGGAGGGTACGTGATGCGCTAACTGGCCGTACTTTGGGAAGGCGGTGTGATCTGCTGAGAACGATAAGGCCGTTATCAGTTATCGGTAACAAGGCTACAAAATACCCAGGTAACATCGTTGCATACCGGTATGTGCTGTACTGTACGGAAGTACGAATGTGAAATAGGTAAGGTACCTAATGAAAATGGGTCCTATATAATTGACCGGTAATCAGGCTACTAACCTACCTAGTATCATATGTACGTTACCCAACGTTAGTAGCTCACAAGAGGCATTCCAGGTTAGTAGCCCAGGTATTTCTTAGGTTAACTCAATACATTGGACGACAGCTTTCTTAACCACGTACATAAACACATGCACACATGCACAAACACACACACACACACAGGCACACAAACGACTCCCTAAACAATCTCCCTGAGTGATGTTAACGCACCTATGACCCAGATCAATGGATGCCGGCTGTGATGAACTGATACCACAACACCAAGCCAGCACGACATAAGTCAAGATGACTTCTACGCCGGGGCCTCTCTCGCCGCAGAGTGCGCCGACACCCTCGTCTTTGGCAGCCAAGACTCCAACTCCCCTTTCTTCCAAGGTCACAACGGTGATTTCATCATCTTATGCAGACACGGAGTTTCGGGAGTCTCTAACACTGCTGGACGAGCGAGGCATCCTCAACACAGCAGAGACGCGCCGGCAACTTCGTTTAGACTTGCAGAAGGAGGTCATCGATAGCAATGGCGAGATCATCGATGAGTTCGCCAAAGTTGCTGAAGTATAGCATATAGCCCCAATCCCATGTCTTGCACGGATACCAATGAACTGACATGGGCCTAAGCAACTCCGACGCATCGGCACTACAATTGGTCGGCTGAACGAGACCTTCAGTGAGATGAAGACGCAAATCGGTGTAGCCCACACTGCAACCTCGTCAGCCCTGACGGAGGCTTCGCAGCTGATGGCTCAAAGGCGCCAGATCGAGCAGAAGCAAACGCTGCTCAGTGCTTTCAATGCGAACTTTGTGCTTTCCGAGGACGATACCGCAGCCCTGACACTGTCTTCGGAACCGGTAGACGACCTATTTTTCGCTACGCTCTCGAAGGCGAAGAAAATCAACAAGGACTGCGAGATTCTTCTGGGCTTCGAGAGCCAGACGTTGGGTTTGGAGATCATGGAGCAGACGTCCAAGAATCTCAATCTCGGCTTCCAGAAGCTCTACAAGTGGGTCCAACGGGAGTTCAAGACACTCAATCTAGAGAATCCGCAGATCAGTTCTTCGATCAGGAGGGCTCTTCGCGTGTTGGCCGAGCGTCCCAGCTTGTTCCAGAACTGCCTCGACTTCTTCGCCGAGGCGCGCGAGCAGGTGTTGGGTAACTCGTTCTATACAGCATTGACGGGAAGTTCGCCCTCCGGAGTGGAGGACACCACGGTCAAACCAATTGAGCTCGTGGCGCACGATTGCTTGAGGTATGTTGGGGATATGCTTGCCTGGACGCACTCTGCTGCTGTCGGCGAGCGAGAGGCGCTGGAAGGCTTGTTCGTCGGCGGAGGCGATGACATTGCCAAGGGCATCCAAGCTGGTCGGGAGAATGAAGTCTGGCGGCTTGCCGCCGAAGACGGAGAGTACGCGGATGACGAGTTTGACGCGGTAAGGACGCTGAACGAGCTGGTTGACCGCGATATGTCTGGGGCGGCACGCATACTTCGTCAGCGGGTGGAGCAGGTCATACAGACCAACGAGGAGACGATTTTGGCTTACAAGCTGGCAAACTTGCTCGGTTTCTATAAGAGCACGTTCTCGAAGCTGCTTAGCCCGGACTCCTCACTTGTGGAATTATTGGGGATCCTCGAATCTGAGGCGCTGCGACAGTTCCGTTCATTGACTCGTGACCATGTTGCGGCGATTCAGGGCGACTTCCACCAGACGCCTGTCGATCTACGCCCTCCAGAGTTCCTTGCTGATGCGCTGGAACAGCTCGAGGCAATCATGAAGACGTACGAGACTTCGTTTACTTCTTCGGGCGACCCCGAAGAAGAGTTCGAGCCTGTGTTGACGGAGGCATTTGACCCCTTTATGTCCGGTTCAGCCAACATGGTCGAGACGCTCCGTTCCCCGTCGAACTCTATCTTTCTCACCAACTGTCTCATGCTCGCACGGAGCAGTCTGTCGCGATTCGACTTCACGCAGCGGCGGGTGGCGCAGCTGCAGGCGCAGATCGAGCAGGAGAGGGCCCGCCTTGTCAAGTCGCAGTATGAGTTCTTGCGCAGCGAATCTGGGTTAGACGGCCTGATCACGTGGCTGAAGCCGCTGGGTGGGAGCAAAGAGGATGTAGAGAAAGTGTCGTCGCTTGAAGTCGTCCAGCCCATGGCCCTTGAGCAGGCTAGTCAGATGCTGGACGACTTCCTGCCCTCTGCACTGATGGATGCGATGGAAAGGTTGAAGAACTTGCAGGATTCAGGGCTGGCTCAAGCAATTACCGAGGAGGCCGCCGAGAAGTTCTGTGTGGACTTTGAGCACGTCGAGGAGATGCTGATGCTTGCGGACGAGATGGCCGAGCAACAGCAGAGGGAGTCAGATGACTTTCAGAGCCTGCGGGCAATATTTCCTAGAACGTCGGGGGAAATCCGTGTGCTGCTTTCCTGACGGGCAGTATCATACCTTACTCGCTCATCAATAGCATACTTCAAGGGTTCTGTGCATATGGTATTGTACATCTTCTGTCGTGTCCTGATTCATCCTAGCTTGAGCTACCATGGCCCTAGCAGATGCCGTGAGGCCACACGGCACCTGGCAATGACGGCGAGCCTCTTTTCAGACAGTGTACCATTGGGAGGATCGCCGTGGTGAGCGTCTCTTCAACTATGCCCATACTTACTAGTAAAGTAGTAAAGCACCTATTGAACGTGGAGTTTGTCTGGCTCTAGTGCTGGCTCGGCTCACGAACCACTTGTATTGTACAGTTCCTGCCCACCCAGCCTCCCCCGCCTTTCCCCCCACCCCAACTAAAAAAAAGAGAAAAAAAAGGAAAAAAAAAAAACGCCCACTGATTTAAAAACATGTCAAATTGCACCAAAAACAATCTTTTCACTTATATAGGAAGCGGCTATAATATATACTTTAAAAGTCTTAAAACTCAATATATAGCTAGATAATTACCTAGAGCGTCTTATTTTCTAGTCGAATTCGAGCCTATTCGTAAAGGTAACGTATAATTCTAAGGTCTATAAAAGTAAAGATCGGATTTTTAGCTTCTAGAGGCTTATAGGGGCTTATAGTAAGCTTATAGTAAGTTAAACTTTCAATCTCTAAGCTTATTACTACTTTATACTACTCTAGCTCTGGTGCATTGAAGTATGAATGAATCTGAACACTTATAATTTATAAAGTTCACTTATAGTTTAAATTCTCGTTCAAACCTTTACCGGGTTGAAAGAGTGAAAAGTTAAGGTGAAATAGTTAACTTTTACGATAAAATGAACTAGTAGGCTTTTTTTTGGGGCACCCACTATAAAAACATTATAATTACAGAGCTGCACATATATATATATATATATACATGTATGTATGTATGTATGTATGTATGTATGTATGTATGTATGTATGTATGTATGTATGTATGTATGTATGTATGTATATATGTATGTATGTATGCATGTATGTATGTATGTATGTATGTATGTATGTATGTATGTATGTATGTATGTATGTATGTATGTATGTATGTATGTATGTATGTATGTATGTATGTATGTATGTATGTATGTATGTATGTATGTATGTATGTATGTATGTATAACATATTCCATATAGACTTAGGTACTTTCAGCCCAGTCTAGTATCGTTTGTATGTAAGGTAAATCATGCGGAGCCAGTGAACTTGATATTACATAACGGTCCCACCACCTCCATGCTGCTCCACCAACATTCGTTATCATTTACGATTACCTAAGGTACTGGTAGGTACTTCGTACACCAGGTTGTAATGTCCTAAGGTACCAACTGCACAACATCCCGTCCGGTCTGAAGGGTTTCTTGCCTTCCACGCCGAGCACCAGCTTGTACGTTAGTCTTGAATACAACACGATTTATCCGCCTCCCGAGAGTTGCCTTGGTCAAGTCCGCCGGGCGGCACTCCAAGCAGACGGCCGGAAATGTTCACACGCGTCGAGAACCGCCATGTTCAGTGACAAGACCGCGTCAGCCTTGTCTATCCTGCAGAAGACATACGACGACAGCTATCTAACATGTTCCACTGCTGTATACTATGAGGCGCAGGTGAGCAGCAACACCGCTTCGTCGAACGATTGGTGCCTGACTTGTAGTTGTAGGGTAACGAAGGGGAGGCTATGCGATGCTGGAAACAAGCACTCGAGCGGATCTACGACCACCATGCCAACCGAGTCGTCCCAGATTTCACGCCACGTTCTGATACAGAGAAGGCGCTGGTAGAAAGTCTTCGGCAGCTGGAGTTACAGTGTAAAGAACGAATCGATCTCCTTGAAGCGCTCCGTCTCTCGCGCCAAGAATCATTCCAAGACGAGCCGTTTTCTCCTCAACGCGAACCCGTTAAGCCAACGTCCGAGACCCCAAATGCCCGGGCTCCTAGACAGCATGAGCAGGGTTGGATAGGGGACGGAACTATCCCCGCTGTCACATATACAGAACTGGCGCGGCCGGACATGCTGAGACGCAGGTCAACCCCTAGGACTCCTTCCTCAAAGAAGATCGTGGCAGGAAACATGGCGCCGCAGGCGTGCGATGCCGTGTCGGCGTTGGAGCCACGGCATCCCTCCGCGTCCATGCCATTGCAGCGCTCTCCGGAAAAGACGTCAAGGACATCCAGCCCGGAGAGACATACAATGCGTACCACTTTACGTGCGAGTCGGCCACCAGAAAAGCTGACAAAGACGCCTCTGTGGCGACCAGCTCTGAAACGAGCGGATGGCCCCGGTGCTAACAAAGCGGCGATATTGGCGTGGAGCTCACTGGGTCAACGTGACCCGGCCGAGTCGGGCTTGTTAGGCGCCCAGGAGCCACTCCCGAATCTGCCCACGCCTTCCGAACAGCTGCACAGAAGACCAGCAGAGGTCCACAGGATTTGGGATAGCAATTCAAGAAGGCTCACCAGCCCCCGGACTCGAAGCCCCGTCAAACAGTCCGACCGGAGGGTGAGTGCGGACTTGGCAGATCTGCGGCCGGCTGACGGCTATTCATATCCCCAACCGTCCCCTATCTCTATTAGCGCAGCATCTAGCGCCCTAAACTCTCTTGCCCTGAGAGACAACACTGAACGGCACTCGCCTGCCAGGGAACGGATCGCTACCAGGAGGACCGCTCCTCCCCGGACACCGCAAACGGGCAAGTTGAAAAACCTGTCCAATGCGGATACGGGCTTATCGGATACCGAGAAAAGTAGGTCTTCGGGCGAAAAGATGGCGTCAGACCCTGCCATCAGTTCACGGAGATCAGCTTCCGAGATGCTTAGTGCAAGGAGGACCAAGGGCGCCACCAGCACGACCGAAGTAGGAAGCCGGACAAAGCGAACACGCTCAGGCTTGGCTTCTCCGCCAAGCGCTGATATGTCTTCCTTGCCATTCGATACTACCCCGCGGTCATCACAGCGTCAGGACAGTAGTGGGCGGCAGAAAGGAGCCTCACTCATCATTGACTCCCAAGCCGAGTCCTCTGAGAGCTCAGGTTCAACAGAAGACGATCAGACTAGCCCAGCACATCTGTGGAAGAAGCGGAAGGCGGATATCCTCAAGAAACTGCCAGCCGGGGTGGAGCAACAGGCGGCGAAGCAAATCCTCAACGAGATCATAGTCCACGGCGATGAAGTCCATTGGTGCGACATTGCTGGGCTCGAAGTAGCCAAGAGCGCGTTGCGTGAGACCGTTGTCTACCCCTTCCTCCGCCCGGACCTGTTCATGGGCTTGCGCGAGCCTGCCAAGGGTATGCTGTTGTTTGGCCCGCCAGGCACGGGCAAGACGATGCTGGCCCGCGCCGTCGCGACCGAGTCCAAGTCGACTTTCTTCTCCATCTCGGCCAGCAGCCTCGTCAGCAAATACTTGGGCGATTCCGAGAAGCTTGTCCGTGCCCTCTTTGCCCTCGCAAAGGTGCTTGCCCCGAGCATCATTTTCGTCGACGAAATCGATTCGCTACTCTCGCAGCGCTCGGGATCCGGCGAGCACGAGTCCATGCGAAGGATCAAGACTGAATTCTTGATCCAGTGGAGCGATCTCCAGCGAGCGGCGGCGGGCAGAGAGGTAAGCGAGAAGGATAAGGAGCGTGGGGACGCCAATAGGGTGCTAGTACTCGCCGCTACCAATCTGCCATGGGCTATCGATGAAGCAGCACGAAGAAGATTCGTGAGACGCCAGTATATACCGCTGCCCGAGGCCGAGACAAGGGCAACCCAGCTCAAGGCGTTGCTTAAGCAGCAGAAACATACCCTTGATGATGCCGATATTGCCAAGCTTGTCGGCTTGACTGATGGTAAGTTTAGACGCCCCAACCTTCAACAACTTATCGCACTTTCCTCTAACTCCGAATTCAGGCTTCTCGGGCTCGGATATCACGGCGCTGGCCAAGGACGCAGCTATGGGGCCGCTGCGGTCTCTTGGAGATGCACTGTTACATACGACCATGGATGAAATACGTCCCATTGAATTGTCAGACTTCGTGGCCAGTTTAAACACCATCAGGCCCAGTGTTAGCAAGTCAAGTCTCGCAAAGTATGAGGAATGGGCAAAGGAGTTCGGAGAACGAGGTGGGTAGGCGGCTACAGTATCTACCATGACAATGCCTACGTATCTTGAAGGGGCTGCTTGGGATACGGTTCCCTAGACAGGAGCTTCCAAGGAGTCCAGATACCACCTACTTATGCAGCCCGCAAACATCACTCGAGGCAAGCACTGCAGGTATTCTTTTGTCATTGATGCTTGCCATTCCAGTGCGGAAGTGAAGGCTAGCCTAGATTATTACACCTTACCAACGGAAAGGCTTTTTCTCACTGGCTGTCGTCCTCGAGAACGCTATTCAGGACGCCTGTCGATGCTCTCTTTGCATGTTACATACATGGCTTCTTGATACAGATACACGGGTGATCTTCCACACCTCTTGGATTTGTACACAGCGCGCGACTTCCGTCCGCTCCCGCTCGGGGGGACCAGGCGCCAAATAGGCGTCTCACATTTCTTCCCATTTCGTCTTCATTGTTGCGTCCCAGCCCCTGTTCCAAGCTGGCCGCCATCCACGCTAGCCCCCATTAACCTCGCTCGTAGCGCGAACTCCTTCCGCGCTCTCCTTAAGAGCATCTCGGCAACGCCCAGTTGGGCCTCAACCCGCTCCGCCATTCTCTTCATGCTCCGCCTCTCATCCTTTGCCGCGCGCTTGGCATCCTTTTCAGCATATCGCTCCTCCTCGGTTGGGATGGGCGGCCGGCCGTCGATGGGCACGCCTGACCCGGGCGCAATGATGTGCTTGACCACGTGCCGCTTAGACTTGGAGACGCGCCACCCGGGTGTGATGGCGACGACATCGCCTAGGCGGAGGGAATTGTTGGGGTCGTGGACGAGGTGAGTTTTGGGATCATCGAAGAACTATTGTAGGTACCTTAAGTTAGGGGTGTCCAAGCATAAGGGAGCAAGGTGGGATGTGGAGAGAGGGTCACCAACCTTCTTGACGAAGGAATTCCATTTTTGCCCGCCTACCCGCACTTTGACCGTTTTATCCATTAGTCCGGCGGATATTACTACGCCGTGAAGCTCTCTGAATTTCCTGAACGCGGACTTGGCCGCTTGGGCCGCCGGTTGCGCCATGGTGGACAACTTGAGCCGGAGTTGCTGGGACCCGCCGCGAGGTCTAGCGGGATAGTCAGGACGATTCCAGGACGTAAAATGGTAGGACTGGCAGACGGCTTTATCGCTGGTACGCTACGAGGTCTCTTTCGTCTGTTGCTCGGCTGCGATCGGGCAGGCTTTGGGGGTCATGGACGTGTTGAATCGGCGGAGCCGCGGCGCTTGACCGACAGCCAAATTTTTGGGGTTCCGATGAAGGCTTGAACGGACCGGGGTGGACAGGCGCAAATGGCTTACCGGGCTCGGGTAAAAGTGGGTCGCTGCAGGATCACGGGCAGAGGCCGCAGAGCATGGAAACCCGTTCGGACCGGGGGCGGGGAAGGGGGAGACACATGATGGATCACACGCCGGTTCCAGGTCGGTGATGATTTTGTAGGTAGCATAAGTGATGCTAGGACAATCAAAGGCAGACAAGAAAATCCCCTCAAAAGATACCATGACAGTTTACTCAGCAGTTACTATAAAAGTAAAAGGTACCTAAGGTACAAAGGAGCCTTCTCCATTACAGTTGGTAATCGCACAGAAACGCCTTGCTATGTAATACCCTCCCCATGCAGCGTGCATTCCCCGAGGATTCGGAAGCAGTCCAATGCTCTCTCTGTCATAAGATCCGCGAAAGGCGCATCCCAATTCAACCCGCCACAAAGGGTCCCAGTAGACCCCAGCCATATACACTGACAATAAACAAGACGCGGACCTCGGTCCATCCCATCCAATGGCCGGCTTCACGCAAATTTTTCGATACTAATGGGAATGCCGGATCATCATTGATTATTCCAACCTCGTCATCAAGACACAGGTGTCGTCGATTCTGTCGCCGGCAGTGATTCGGTCGGAGCCAAAAGCCTTGCCTTTCTTCGTGGTGGCGGAATCTTAGGTGGTGGTTTCTTTTGCCCGTTTCCGTTGATATGGCCACAGTTCGCGGCCGGAGGAAGAAGAGGTGCCCCGTGGCGATGCTTTGGCACTTGGGGCAGAGACATCTGCGCCCTTAAGGTTCTCGGCGGCGGTGGTGTAGGCTTGGGTGAGCTGCTCTCTGTGCCGGCAGCAACCCCTATCGCTGACTTTCTGCTCGGCGTTTTGACCCCCGGCTTCTCGGACACATTTGCGACGAGGCTCAGGGAACTGCCAGTTTCTGTGTGCGACAAACTCTCGACGGGACTCGGACCTGGCGAGCCCGCCTCATCCTCAGCCAACCAAGGCGTCTTTGCAACTCGTTCAACCAGCCGCAAAGTCGTCGGTTCCGGTGGCTTGAAGTGTGTGCTGCCCGAGCCACGTAATATCTCCAGTAAGCTGAGAATCTGGTCCCGCTTGTAGTGAGGTGGTTGGCTGAGCTGGGTGTGCGCGAGTAGAGGAGCCAGAACCCTCAGGTACGTGTGCCTCAACATATTCGCCTCGGAGGGCAGGTCCAACAGGTTGCGAATGATGACGTCGAGTAGAACTCGGAGGTCGTTGGTGTAGAAGTACTCATACGTTGCCGCTGTAGTGAAAAGCAAGTACAGGAGCTTTAGAATGAGCAACTGCTGCGAGGTCTCCGTCTCTCGATTCAGAAGCAATATGATGTTCTCACCAAAGGTCCGAAATGACGGTCCATGCACGCTGAGGATCTTAACCACTCGATTCGTCATCGGAACAGCGGGACCATCGGCGCCTGTCGCCGTAGAAGTAGAGGCTACCATGTACTGCTCGTTGAGAACTAGCTGTTGCGATTGTCAGCCAACATCCTTCCCACATAACAGTGCCAGGGGACAAACCAGAACTCGTATCACTGGATAATGGTATGGGTCGGTGGCGTCATCAGACAGAGCCTCAATGAGCTGAAATAGGTACATGACGAAGCCATCATCGACCTGCAGAAGGTCCTCTGGGCGCAGGTGCTCGATGCGCGACATCTCATACATCAGCTGCAACAAAAGCCGATGTAGACGAGCATCTTGACCCCCACATCCCTTAATGAGATCCAGTAATCGAACGAAACATCCCTCGCCAATCATGGCCCGAAAGGTTCTCTCTTCGGTCCTGCCGTCGAGCAAAAGGAAGTTGGCGTACACGTGAAGCTTCGCGAATTCGTCCTCTTGCAAAAGGCTGTATATTAGCTGCGTTCGCACGTAATCACTGTTCTTGCAAAATAGCTCGCTCTCCAGGAGCATCTGCGAACAACGGGCGACATCATCTTCGCTGTCGAGATACTCGTCGCGGGCTGTGGAGACAAGATCGAGCCATGAGCGCAAGGCTTCATCAAGTTCCTCGGGGGCCGCACAGGGCGCGGATAAGATCTGGGTCAGAGCTAGAGGGACCAACTGTTAGCGGCCTTGTCTTGGGTGTGCATTGATCAGGGCCGATGCTCACCATCCCAGAATTGTTGTTCGCTCTCGGCGGGCCAGGATCCGACGGAGTCGGTCATGTTCTCAGACGAACGGCACCAGCACACGGCCTCAGACTTGGAGCATCACGATCGCGGGTGGCAGGCGTCCTGATATTAAACCATCCGCTGACTTGGGCCATACGGGGGAAACCATGAGGGGGGGACTCGGCATGTGTCCTGCCAGTTAGCTTTAATACGCCTTGCAAGTGCAGTTGGCGATCAAGAGGAAAGAGCGCTCCCAATTGAATCTTTCGGCTCAGTTGCCGTTCTTTCGTATGCACGGACCATCTGCCCGAGGAAACGGGACTGAATGACGTCGACGAGGTGACGCCAAGATACTATTACAGTACCCCAGATACGGACACGGTACATTACACTACCTGCGATACATACCTACACCGTGTTCATTATCGTGATCACTGGCGCTGGGGTTCCCTAGACTGTAATCCGTATTTCTAGTTGCTTTCCTTCTTTCCTGATTCCTTTACCTTTGTTGTTACCTCTGCCAAATTTCCACGGTGTTCCACTTGAAGCAAAGCTTTATATCGAAGTCAGCATTCTGCGTACGTACTACCGCAGGTAGAGCTTCCTAATCCGACAAGTGAACATACTAGACCAGCGGACGCACTTTTGTTCGTCACACGAAACTAGATGGGGTATCAAATAGGTAGTCTAATCTACGTACGTGGAAAGATCAACCTCCCAACCGCACAGCTCTATGGTCTCTCATCAACACCTTCCTTACTCCATCAGATGCCAGCCCAAGAACGCCTTCAAACAACCACTTCATTCATACACCATCGCCATCCTCACCAAACACCTTTGCTCTCGCCGCATACTCCCGGATATTGCTCACAACATTCTCCTGAATGGTGTCCCCCCTGCCGGCCGCGATCCTCAGGATGAACTCGTTCAGATTCTGTCTTCCCAAGATATCAACATGGTCTGCCGTGTTGGGCCCACCTCGCGGGTTGAAGCGCTCGGGCTCGTGGGGCATCTCGACCACCGTGATCTTCACCTTGGCTGGGTTATACCTCTTCATCTTCCACCCTCGGTTGCACATGAAGCCCGTACTCATAATGTTGACCGTCCCGTCGCCCTCGCCCATAATCACGCCATGATCCACCATTCCCTGAGTCAGCCCTGTGTCTATTGTCATATTGAGGTAGTTGGAGGGGCTGGGTTCTGGCGAGCGATAGTAGTACCCTCGTTCGGTCGGCTTGCCCACGCCGTAGAAGCAGTAGATCTTCAGGTTGGGTGCGAGCGGGAGACGAGTTTCCAGGGGATTGATCCACTTCCTCGGATCTTGTTCATTTGCTTCGACTTCAGCGGTCGTCTGAGCGACGCCCCACGAATAGCTTCCCATCACTTGGTCCCGATACCAGCCCTCGGTTGTTTGGAGGAGGTATTTCATCGCATCATCCACAGTGAAGTTCCGGTCAGGAGTCGTCCAGTTTTGGCCAGCCCGGAAGTTTAGGAACGAGCCGTAGGTGTGATCCTGGCCGGGCTGGTCGTCTGGCGCCCCGCTGAGGTCGCCCCAAATGGCATCGCCGCCCATTGGCAACATGGAAGACATGCCCGGCATGGCACGAAAGATTTCCGCTCGCTCGGCCTTACTCAAGAATTTCTCGAGCCCGTAGACGGCAAACGAGTTCATCTGAGCGGTGTCCCGCATCTCGCCGGAAAGAATGGCCGAGACGTCCTTGAGCGCGCCCAGCATGCAGCCACTAACGTTGATCCATGACTCGATGTGCCGCTCCACCCAATCATTGCCCCCTCTGCCGCCAAGTTCGGAAGTGACCCAGTGGAAGAAGTAGAACACGACTTGGCTACCCATGCTGTGAGATGTGAGGACAACCTTTCGGTCCTGCAACCGCACCGCCAGCTCGATATGCGACTTCAACCTGGTGAAATAATGATCGCGCGTCTCGAGGTTCCGGTATGCCAATCGCCAATCGTAAGCTGCTGTGTATGAGTTTATCGGGTCGTAGCCCACGGACGCCAAGTTCTCCAGAATCTTGTTCCAGATCCAGTAGCCCGTGATGAAGAAATCAGTGGCATCGAAGCCTTGGGCAGCACGGAGTTTGATGCCCGGCGGATCGAGGCCTGTCTGCTTGTCCAGCATGATATGCGCCTTCCACGTCTCCTTGTCCAAGACCAACGCTCTCATCATGCTCCAGCTACCCCAAAGACGTTTCCGAAAATAAGGGAGGGAGGCGTTCGAGGTGCCCCAAGACTCCAGACCCGTGGATATCACCCCAGGAACCATGACGATGGGGTGGTGGGCCGAGAGGCCCTCAGATCTGATCTTGAGGCCCACAGAGAAGGCATCGTGGCTCTCAATGAGAGCGCGTTCGCCCATCTAAGATCAAGGAACTACGAATTAGTCGACCGGCCATATCAAGCGCAGTGCTTGTAACTTACTATTAGCTCCCGCACGTCAGAAGACAACCCGGCGGGGAGCACGTCTAATAGGTTGTCCATTCTCAGATCCCCAAGTTCGGGCAAGGCGATCAAGTCATTGCTCTTCGCGAAGAACCCGGCAGCTATGATCCCAAACAGACTGCCCAGCAGGAAAATGCCCGTTGTCTTTCGCTTACGTGTCTTGGGCCGGTGGTGATGGACAATGTTGACCTTGTCGGGCTTGACCACATCGTCCTCTAGAGGCGTTGGTGATTCGGAGGGCGTGTCGTTGCCGACTGCTCGGCGGCGTAGAGTATTTGCCATCTCTCTAATTCGAGTGCGCCGTATGGCGTTTGCGCGCAAGTGCGCAATATTCAAACCGGGAATGTATGGCCGATGTTGTCTGGCCTCCTCCAATCAGCCGCGGTCACTGGCACGAGCTTTTCCGCGTGTGTTCCCCATTCATTTACACCACCTGAGCGAGCAGCATGCGAGTAAAACAGGCATGTGCCATTCAATGACTTTGGCAGACCACGTCAAAGGTTGTTGGATTCGAAGCTGGCCCACCTGCCTGCATTTTAGAGTTGAGCAGGGGCCACCGAGGAGTCGGTGACGTCGGGTCACCCTCGCCGAGCCGAGGACGCCCGAGGCTACAATACGGACCAGGTACGTACAATACAGAAATGCTGTTTAAGTACTTCCAGACACTACGACCAAGAGTCCCTTGTTCGACACTTGAAACATATTCCTCAGGAGATTTAGCCTGATAGACATACAGATCTAATCTTTGCGCACTGCATTACATTTAGCCATACACATAGGTACCTAGGCAGTACTGTGGTGCACGATACCAGTACATTGTATTGCATAGTATGTACGGATTAGTACGGATTACTTACGATAGATCTCGCATCAAAGGTATTGTACCTTACACTAGTGTAATCTATAGACCACCTGGCCCCCCAACGCCTAGCCAATCACCTGGATGACATTCCCGGCATGTGAAAGTTCGGTGGAGGATTTGTCGCCCGATCTCCGATGAGCCTGAGCTCTGGCCTTCATCAGTCGCTCCGCTATCTATCACGCACGGTCACTACAGCAATACCACTCAATTCCCGTCTAACGTATGACAACTATCCGAGGCTTGATTGAGTTCGTGCCATCCCAATCTGCGATCCTCCAAGAGATGACATGGAGTCAGCACCCAACCCAGAGCTCCCGGGCGAGCTCAGATACATCCAGTACCAGCACTCATTAGAGGCGCAGTACCTGCCCGCTATACGCGCTCTGATCTCGAAAGATTTGAGCGAGCCGTATAGCATCTATGTGTATCGATACTTTCTCTACCAATGGGGGCATCTCTGTTTTATGGTAGGGAAGCACCGGTCTCGATGCCCGCAACCACTACTAGTAGTACTGTGCCTGACTTATCTCTCCCACCAGGCCCTTACGCCCGCCGATTCTTCTCTGATCGGTGTGATTGTATGCAAGTTGGAATCGCACACCTCACATTCCCCTCAGACGTTGCGTGGTTATATTGCCATGCTGGCCGTCTCCGCTCCGCACCGAGGTCACGGCGTGGCTACAGCGCTCGTCAAAATGGCCATCGACGCTATGGCCCAGCGCAATGCGGACGAGATCGTGCTCGAGACCGAGGAGACGAACATACCGGCGATGAGACTGTACGAGCGTCTTGGCTTCCTACGGGCGAAGAAGCTGCATAGATATTACCTTAACGGCAACAGCGCTTACCGTCTGGTACTACTTCTCAAGCCGACCGATATCGACGCTGCTACTGACTTGGCGCTGGACGAAGATGATGTGGCGCCGCAGGAGGGGTATACGTGGTCTCTGGAAATGGAGAGCAATCAGGGACCTTGCGCTGCCTAAACCGATGTTGCGAAAGACACTCTCTGACCGCTAATCTTGTCCGCTCCCCGGCATTGTCCTCAGGATATGACGGAAGCAAAGGCGGTAGGCGCTCATGCAGGAGCCAGATCCGCTGGGAGTCGAGGGACCCTTAAGTCATCGGCATGGGTGTCTACCGCATTCGCATGGCAAGCGCCCATGACTAGAAGGTGTTGTATTACGACATGCACAATGGCTAGAAGGTATATCCTCTCGAGAGATAGCTCCACGCAGTGCCCGGGGTCTCCGAGTGCAGGACATCAATGCCATGTGATATGAAGAGTACACATCAGCTGACGGCAATGAGGCAGTCTGCAGCTCTGTGTCTAGGGTGCTGATGATCGCCCGGGGGCAACGCTCTTGATGTACGAGAATATTTCGTTGGAGGAGTACTATAGTGCCCTGTCAGTCTCACAACACCTCAGTGGGAAAAGGGCGTCCCAGGCCCAGGTACTTGCTATCGATGCCTGAATGCCCCAGTTATTCCCCCCATAGATTCCCAGTTCAGTCCAAGCATCTGAAGATCATGGTAAGCAGCTTGCAACACAATAAAACGAGAACCATCACTGACCGGACTTGTAGTAGATCTGTCTTCCGCCGGGCCGTATTAACTCCAGTTCCCTCATCCTATTCAGCACTCGCGCCACGTCATCTTTGTCCCTGAAATCCCGCGTATAGACGCAGATCAACCTCGCCTTCCCGGTCTCTACCCTCGTCGCTACCTTAGCCGCAATCCCGAGCTCGTTGTTTGCTGTGGCCCGTGCGACCTTCGCCCAGACATCATTCACATAACCCGGGTCAGGAAACAGCATCCACTTCCCTCCGACGACATTACAGGCCACTGCGAGCTCCCGCAGGTCTTCCACGGTCTCCCTCCGCTCTTTGGCCAGGTCCTCCCTGAGCATATTGAGTGGCTTACCACTTGCCTTCGCCGCGCCCACGGTGGCCATCTTTGCGAAATTGTCAAGGAGTTTGAGTCGTTCCGCGCCGCCTTCACGAAACTGGGCTAGGGCAGAACTCGGGCCCGGCGGGATATATGGGTTGGCGATCCAGATCCAGTCGAGCCCAGGGCTCCAGTCGGTTGTGGCGGGCGGTAGACGGGCAAGGAAGTGCTCGATGGATTCGGAGAGTTGCCATGCCCCAGGTTGGCCTTGGTATGCGTTATTAAGGGGTGCAACGATTTGTGGTGCATTTTGGGGTTGTGTCGTGTTGTGGAAGTAGCTTGCCATGTCATTCTGGGCGTCCCACCAAGCCACAATATCGAAGTCGTCAACACGGGCCTCAAGAGCCGAGATCGCCTCTTCGTTACCTGTGATCCGTCAGTGTTTTGTATCTCGCCTGGAGTATGTAGAAAAGGTTTACCGTAGAAATCCGAGTCCGAATCCATCCTTGAAAGTTGCTTTGCTCTTCCCTTCTGCGCTGGCTGGTTGCTTGTCGCTCGTTTGAAGTCTCAAGTTGGATACCTCAGCCTGAGAAATCGCACAGAGGGTTCTCACGCAAGAGCGAAGAGGATGGTCGAGTCACATGAGAATGGCCTTGCAGGTGCCTAAATTGGGGCATGACCACGCCTGTATTCCATCTCCTTTCATGCAAGCAAATGCAGTGAATAGTGCACAGGGGTGAAAAGCAGAAAGATGTGTACAGATTACCAGGTAGGTACTGTGTAAGTGGGATTATAAGGGTCAAGACAACATCCCGAACCCTGAAAGCGCTTGGCAGGCAGCATCCATCACAGCGCTTTCTCCACTAACGTACCTAGTACATGTACGTACCTTACCACCTACGGTACCTAAGGTACGGTAGTTACAAGGATAGGTCCTGAGCTGCCCCGCGCTGATCATCGAAAGTCTTCGCGCCTGAGCGCGCCTGAGCTTGGGTTCGTGCAGTGAATTGTCGGCCATTAATAACTTCGGCTAGCGTCATAATTTACAACTGGAAGGCACAAATACTTGTCGTCACAACTTCATAGTAACAGCGCAGAGTGAATGCAGGACAATTGATTCTTTTTGAAGTACTTCATACGCCCTTTTGCATTCACAGCAACTTCCAACTTCCTGGACCGCCGCGCCTCGTCTCGTGTTACTCGACACCAACTCTGAATGATTCAGACTTGAGCTGCTTGCTCCTGCGCAACGGTTCACCTCTCCCCGCCGACTATCCGACCGGTCTTCTGGTGGCCTGGGTAGTTCGCGCCTCGAAGATCATAGGCATGGCGACAGTACCAGCGAACGGAGCGTTCGGGACTGCCGCCGCCGGCGAGAGCGGTGAGGAGGTTCTGCTCAAAATCCATGAAGCCCTCAAAGTCGTCCACAGTCCCTACTCGACCAACCAAGCCCGGCAAGAGGCTCAGGCCTTCCTGGAAAGCGTCAAGACACTCGTCGAAGCTCCCTCGCACGGATTCGAGCTTGCCTTCAGGAGAACACAAGAGCCCATCGTCCGACACTACGGCTTGTCGCTCCTCGAGCACGCGGTGAAGCACAAGTGGGAGGAATACAGCCCCGAACATCGCGAATACCTCCGGACATGGGTTTTGCAACTGGCGGAGATGGTTTCCGTCGACGACCCGGGGTATTTGAGGAACAAGATTGCCCAGCTCTGGGTCGAGGTAGCCAAGCGTTCTTGGGTTGCCAGCTGGATGGACATGGACTACCTGCTGGTACGCCTGTGGCAGGTTTCCAACTCGACTGTCCACAAACAGTTTGTCCTTCAGATCCTCGAAACACTCTCCGACGAGATCTTCAACGGAGACGATGCCGTGGTTGCCCTCCGTGAGGGAGCTTTGAGCAAGGCATGTGTGGAGATCTTTACACCTGCTGCTATCCTGGCCGAAACGTTTCCCAACCGTCAAGCAGGCCCCGATGTACGGTTCGAGAGCGAAGGATGGCTGAATAGAATAACGCAACTCATCAGCGAGTGCCTCCGCAGTGGTCTTGAGCGAAACGAAGATGTTAGGGCTTGTGTTATCAAGGCACTCAACGTTCTCAACTCCGCTGTTCCGTGGGCGATCCCGAAAGCCCTACATGCGGTCGGTTGCCGTGAGGTCATGTGCAGTGGTCTCGCCGCTCCAAGCGTTCCTGTGCGAAAGGTTCGAGATATCCTCCACACAGCCCAAGCCCTCCATCCATCCTACTAACCTCTGCAAGGCTGCCCTCGAGTCGCTGTACTCTCTCTACAGCCGCCCGATTTTTTCCGAAGAGGAATTCGCCGACCTCGTGGTGCCCATGTACAGCGAGGCCATGGTTGACCTCTTCAGGCGGCTCTTGGAATGGTCAGCCGTCGATGCGCAGGATATTGACGACGACAAGTACCAGTTCGCCAAGAAGTTCTCTGAGGCAGGTTCCCCCCTCCCCCGCCTGGCGCGGCCTAACTCCCGTGGGTGCGTATCGCTGACAACCGCAGATGCTCTGCTCTCTGGGTAACCTGCTAGACAGGAAGTTTGGCGCTATCCCGCCTCAGACCAACATTCGAGGTTTCTTGCAGCTCCTGATGCAGGTGGTGCAAAGCCAGAGTCTCGTCGTCTCAATTCCGATACTTCTCTCCTGGACTCGCATCTTAACTCATGGGGCACTCGGCCCGGCCGCTGCTGATATGCCCTTCATTGTGGACCTCTTAGAACTGTGCAGCAACCGCTTGATTCGTTACGAGAGCTTCCCGGATGATACAGAGGATCCCGTATACCTACTTCTGATCGAGGACACGGACACGATCCCCGAACGGCATGCCTTCCTTGGCAACTACCGGCGATATTGCTGTTCGGTTATTGAGAGTATAGTCATTCTCAAGATGTCTGAGGCATTCTCCCATATCTTGAGCAGGGCCGAGAACGCCCTAAGAACGTTGTACGAGGGGCAACCTCCTCTCAACCGTGAGTCCGAAGCATAAAATGGGAGGCTAGACCCAGACGAGCTGATATGTGTCCAGTCGCAAACTACTCCAGGAACTCTCTGCCTGTCTTGACTGTCGACGCTCATGCGACCGTCATCGAGGCGGCGCTGAAAGGTTACGACAGGTGGAGAACCACCCGTAACCGGTCTCCAGAGGAGGTGAGTCGTCTCGAGGGACGCTGAAGACTTGGACGCTGACCTGGCGCAGAAACAGCAGGCCGCGGCTGTGGAGGAATATTTTGAAAAGTGGTGCGGCCAACTCTTGGATATGAATTTTGAGGTGGAGCTCCGTTTCAACTGCTGGCCCTCCGCCTCCATCGTTAACCATATCCTAGGATCCCATTATTCGCAAGCGGATTCTCCAACTACTCGTCAACTTCTCGACCAAAGCACTAGATTCGAATCCTGCCTTTATGCTGAGAGTGCTAGAGCACATCCTGATGACTTGGCCGGCTTTGCAGCCAGAACATCGGCTATTTAATGACGCGATTAGAGACCTCCAGACCGAGAGCATGGTTGAGTTGCAACGGCTCGCGTCCAAGATGCCCGATCCTCTCCTTGTGAGTCAGGTCACCTCTTGGCTTTCATGCTGTTGCTGACCACGGCGAATAGGACGTGTATGATCAGTTAGAGGCCAAGGTACAAGAGTTGGTCGCGTCCGGGACGCTTGATGAGAAGCGCCAGGTCGCGTACCAGAGCTTCCTATTCATCATCATGTACGCATGTCCCTGAAGGGCCCCGAGTCACTGCTTTGAGAGCTCACTCACCGTTTCCTAGTCACCGGGCTACTCGAATTGATCAAACAACGCGTCTCTCGCGACTCACCGCTTTCATAGAGCCCGTAAAGAACCAGTGGAAGGACGAATCCCTGAAGCAGGCCTTAGGCTCCTACAACGGCTTCTGTGAGCTACTGGGTCTTGATAACGCACAGAAATACTTGGTGCAGCGTCGCGTTCACGAGATTGCCGACTGGGGCTCTACGAATCTCGATAACGAAGGGCTCGCTCTCCAGGCCGAACTGGAGCAGAGACAGGCGGTATGTGACCTACCTCGGTGGCACGTCGTCCAATGGTCTAACTCGCATCTACTAGCTACTGCCTCTACGCGTGACGAAATCTTTCTTGACTTACTCCGTTGAGAGGATAGAGAGGAATTCGCCTCCTTACCAGGCATCTTGCACTCTTTGGCAAGACGGGTTCCAGATCATCTTGCCGGAGCTTCTCAAGTTTCTCAGGTTCGTAGTCCGCACGTTCGACGAATCATATCTGGTATTGACTCCCTTGCCAGCTATGCACACGCAAGCCATAATCCAACCAACTGGAGCTTGCTACCGGCAGAGATGCAGCCGGTAGTGGGACGCCTGCTGTCAGACCGTTTCTGGCAGGCTGGTATCTCTGAAGGGAGCAAGGATGACTTCTATGCCAGGGTACTTGGGAAGAAGAACACCCTAGAAGGGCTCGCATCCACCATCCGAGGTGCTGTCCGGTTCGTACGGGAGACCTGCTACGCCATCATCTATTGCATGACTCGGCTTGACATGCAATTCTATGGGTTTCTGGAGCTGCCAGGGCCGTTGGCGAACGCTCTATTTACCGACTCGTTCTACCTGTCGTCCCACCAAGTCATCAACCTTCTCACGTTGGTGAGGTTCTTAGTCGACAACTGCCCGGTAGAGTTGCGCGAGCATTTCGTGCCACCCATTCTGGCCACGTGTTTCGAGCAGATGGATACCAAGATCAGCTCGGAGTGGGAAAAGCTAGGGCAACTGGGGGCCGTGCCAGCTGCTGGAGAGGAGTTGACGGAGGAGATGAAGGCCGAGAGCATTCTGAGGCAGCTCACCTATTCCGCAGTGCTTATGGTCGCAGATGTCCTTGACCCAGCGAGAGTCGGTAAGTGCTCGGGCTGAACAACAATCTGCCTGCTGCCTCTGAAACAAACGCTGACTGTGGAACAGCATCTCCGACAACTTCCCCGGACAAGCCAGAGGATGGTATGGCACCCAACACGAAATACCCCCCGCTTCGGAAATTCTGCCTCATGAACCCGGCTATCGCAGTCCCGCTGCTCGTCTTCTGCAGCCACGCGATACGCATGCGCGACGGGAGATGTTGCGGCGTAGTGCTGCGAGTCTTCCGCTCTATTGTACCCGAGTTCAGCCCATCAGACATCCCTAAGGCCCACAAGGAATCGGGCCATACAGCACCCCTTGAGGATTTCCCTATTCCAGAGGATACGGCCAGAGAAATCCGGGAGTTTATTAGCACCGAGGTTTTGAAGGCAGCGATCTCCTCACTACACGATCCTTATTTTGTCGATTCACAGAAGGATCTGGGCGCGCTCATCGCCTCGATTATGGCGTCATACTCACACCTGACGTCCACTCCGCGGAACGTCCTTGTGTCGCTGCCAAATATCAAGCAGGAGGATGTCGACAAGACCATCCAGCAGGTGTCTAGGCCGGGGATACACTCCCGGCAGCAGAGGGCTCTCGTCCTCGACCTACTCGAGGATCTGAAAGGGGTGAGTATATCTGAGATGGGTAAACTTACCAAGAGCCTTGGGGCACGGCCGGGGTCATCTCACGGCGGCAAGAAGTCGACCCGGAGCAAGATGGTGCAGGAATTTATGACACCAAATGCATCCTCAGCCACCGGGGGGCCGGCAGGTACCGGCGACTCAACAACCCGCAACAAGAGTCCTGACTTTGAGGGGGTGGCTGGGATGTTCAACGAAGCCAGCTAGAGGTTTACAGACAGGGGCAGGGGATGATACGTTATGCAAGAATAGCCAAGTGTGAAGGCGGCCGCTCATCACCTCATCTATGTTGCGTACCAAGTTATATAGACACGGGGCGCGGGGTCTTGTATGTACATACGTAGCCACATACTTGTATGTATGTACTTTACAATTGGCCTTACAATTGCCTGGTAGGCCTACACTCCGGAACCGTGCAGTGTCTTTGCAGATCGCCGCCAGGTAGGCTTGCGCTCAAGGAAGGGAGCGCAAGCACCTTGCTGTCCTCTTTTGTCAGCCAAGGAGGGTTAGGTAGGTGGTAATGTAGGAGGAATACGAAGCCCCACTGCGGCGATCTCCGCCGTTAGACATGGATACCTTGACTAGGGGGGTGGGCAGTTGTGGATTTGTCTCGGGAGTTGCGCTCTCCGACAGCGCGCTGGCCAGCAAGTTTAGACGGCCCACTCCCTGTTTCCTCGGCGAGGGTGTGCCAACGCGTGGTCGGACCGCAGGTCACCACTAATAGCTACCTACGTACCTAGGTAGGTACCTTATCTTGTTTATGTATGTAAGGCATAATACATGTCACGTACAGCAGTGGTGTATTGGACGGACTACATTGGTATTTGGAGAGACGCTAGCCGCCCTTGGATAGGCCTCAGAGATCTGTGTGCAACAAGCAGACACCCTGGGAGATTATCAGGTAACTAGGGATCACAGTAGTTCCAGTACATATCATCAAACAAGAAGAGGAAGGTGTTTCAGCCTTACACAGTAAGTCTCAGCCCGAAGATGATAGAGTAGCACGTGAGGAGGTACATCCGAATACGTGTAGGTCCGCCCATCAATCGACATCATGGGCAATTACTGGTAGGCATGATGGGGACCCACGCCGATTCCTAACTCGAATTGTTGCGGACCACTGCCGAGCGAAGCGTAGCGCTCAAGTGCAGCTTGAGTGGTCCAGGCCCCATCACAGCTCCAAGCACCACTCATTCTAGTCTGCAAGAGTGCAAGGAGATCTGCGCCAAGCGCTTCTCAGCGCAGGAAGGGGATAGCCAGCGCTTGGCGGTGCCCCAACACTGCTGTTGAGCTTTCACCTGCATAGCTCCGTAGTAGAGCGTTTGGAAACACTTGGAACGGAAAGACCCGTTGTGGCCCAAGACTAAACACTGGTGTGATCGGTCTACTCCGTAGTGTAAACTACCTTACCCACCTCAATCGGCTGCGGAGAGCGACTGCAGTTCTTCGGAGTGACCTTGTCAGCCTTATTACAGTCGGTTGGAAAGGGGGCCAGTGGGAGGATTCCTGCTTCGCTCTCATGCAGCTGACCATCCACTTATATCGAGGCTGCGACGCCCTTCACCACAGGCTTCAAGTTGTCTTGTGCGTTTAAAACCCTCTTTGACCTCGGCTCCCATCGACCTTCACCTGAAGGAAGCCCTCACAGGGAACCACGGCGCCAGAAGCCTCGCGCCAAGACCCAGGCCCCGTTTCATGCCGGCAGATGCACCTCGGAAGAGCTGCCGGCACAGAAACCCGTCCGGGCGCGTCACTTACACGCTTGCTTTTTTTGCCTCCTTTCACCTACCTATACCTCACAACACGACTCGAGAATATACTATTAACTATACACAGCAAAGAGGGGATAGCGCCTGCTCTCGTCGGCCTTCTCCAACCCAACTTGCTCACCCCATAGTTTTACCCGCACTGTCCACCATCTAGAGCTCCGGTCAGCCATGGTGTACTGCGGGAAGCCCTCCAAGGGCTGCCAGATGTGCCGGACCCGGCGTATCAAAGTATGCCCTGCCAGCCCCTCCCCCCGGGTTGACTGCAACCATGTATTCCTGACAACTCCATTCCCAGTGCGACGAAACAAAGCCAACCTGCAACCAGTGCGCCAAAGCACGCCGGCAATGCCCGGGCTACAAGGACGAGTTCGACCTCGTCCTCCGCATCGAGAACCTCGCTGCCAAGCGGCGAGCGCTGAAGATCACCACCTCAAGACGCAACGCCAAGGGCAGCAAGAAATCCAAATCGACCCCTCCACCATCGGCCTCCAGCTCCTCCTCCTCCCCTTCCTCTTCGGATTCTCTTACGGCCACCCCAACCACCCCAGGAGGTGCCACCAAGAACACCATCACGATCACCACCAGCTCTGCACCCTCACCCTCATCCTCGTCCCCATCCTCAGCCTCATCCTCGAAGAAAGTGCTTTCCACGCACCAGCGACGACATTCCCAACAGGCCGCCCCGTTCCTCGCCCCCACCCCAATCCACATCCCGCCGGAGGAGCTCGCTCCCTGCCACTTTGTCGCAAACTTCGTGATCTCCTCCCGCGAGGAGGGCAGGAGCGGGTTTCTGGACTATCTGATGCCCCTAATGCAGCAAACGGGGGACAAGCGGGAGATGCATCTCGAGCATGCCTTCAACGCGTGTGCCCTGGCTTCGTTGGGGAACAGGACTTCTTTTCTCAGTCCCGGCTTGGGCGGGGCAGGTCGGGGAGGAGGAGGAGGAGCGGGGGGAGGAGAGGGGCTGAAGTCCTGTCTGGGCAAGGCGTTTGTCGAGTACAGCAAGGCGCTGAGGGCCACCCAGGCTGCGCTAGCGGACCCGGAGAGGTGGAAGAGTGATGGGGTGCTGGCGGCAGTGTTGTTATTGGGCATGTTCGAGGTGAGTGGGCTGCTGAACCTTCTGGCCTCGGGTCAGCTGTTTGAGCCTGGGTTGAGATTACCTAGCGGAGGAACAGGCGTGGCTGATGATGTGGCGAGCAGAATATCACGGCCACGAAACTCGGCAACCTGGCCTGGGGCTCGCACATCGAGGGAGCGATACAGATTGTTAAGGCGCGCGGGCGGAGTCAGTTGAAATCCAAGATCGGGTTGCAGTTGTGGGTGTCCGTCAGGACACAGCTTGTAAGTTCAGGCGCAAAACCCCCCCCCCCCCCCCCCCCCGCCCCACCCACACCCCTCCTCCTCTTACTATCACCCCACATTCTCCCTCCCCTTTTCAGCCGGGCCAGTGGCTGACCTGGATCAGATCATCCTCACGCTTTCCTCTGGCACCGCCCCAGTCATGGGTGCAGAGTGGTGGATCCAAGACGCCGTCATGGAGCCGACGGCGGCCGAGTTGCAACGCCTCGGCCTCAAGGCGGGCGAGCTGCGTGCCGAGATCACGCGCGTCATAGCCAGCGCCGCCCGCACCCCGGAGAATATCAGGCTGGTACAGGACCTTATGCACCGGGCGCAGGCTCTGGACGAGGAGGTTGCCGCCTGGATGCGCTCTGTGCCGCCCACTTGGAAACCCAAGACACTGTGTTGGCAGCACCACGAACTTGGCGTCCCCGGTGGCGGCAACGACTACTCCGAGGCCGAAGTGTTCCCGGGCCGCGTGGACCTGTACCACGACTTTCCTATTGCAGGCATCTGGAACCAGGCGCGGACAACGAGACTCATTCTCATGTCTGTCGCTGTTCGATGTGCCGCGTGGGTGTGCTCGCCCGTGGACTACCGGACGACCCCCACGTACGCCGCCGCCACGAGGATCTGTGTGGATACGATTGCCGATATCCTGGCATCTGTTCCATTCCACCTGGGCTGGCACACCAAGACGAGGGAATTGTTCCCGGAGGACGGGCCGGCGGCGGCCTTTGCGTGCGGCGACGAGTATGGGCTCAAGGGCCTGGCCGGGTACTTCCTGACTTGGCCGCTGGCGTGTGTGATGACGCAGGATTATACGACTGATGCACGTAAGTTTCTCTGCTCTCCGCAAAATCCGACCTAGAACATTATGAGAAGCTGACAATTCGTCTGGTCAGAACGAGCCTACACCAGAGGCAGGCTCAAGTACATCGCCGAAGCACTCGGTATCAAGTACGCGCATATCATATCCCAGGTAAGCGCTCGCTCGACTTCGCTCTGCCCAGATGGTACTCTCACTAAACAGAGGGATAGCTCCAAGTCCGTGTTCCCTCATTGCTCATCCGCTCGGACGGCCTTCTGGCGAGGCCGTACCCGATGGCGCAGAACTTTGAAAAGCTATTGTCGTCCGCGAGGGCCGTGACCCCGCTCTCGCCAGTTCCTGGCACCAACGCCTTCACCCAGCTGGAAGGCATGCAGCAGGAGCAGCTACACCAGAACCAGCGCAGGCCGCCCGGTTCGTCGGGGGAGGCTGCGCAACCCGCAATGACGGAGTGGGTCTCCGTGTGAGATGGATGCGGATGTGCTTTTCTTGCTTTAGCTGTCACGGCGTAACGGGCTGGGGTGTTGGAACACCACTAATTCGCCTGCCGCATGAGTAATGCCTACGAGCCTCACATCGAGTGCTCACGCTTGAAATGAGACCCTCCTGCATATCCCCATCGCTGAAACAGTGGAAACCGGACCAACGCAATCTTGGACAATCCCTTTCTTGCGATCACCCCAGAACTTCAGGTCGCCGGAGCCCAGCGCATGCCTCATTCGTGATGGTGGTCGTGGTGCCTCTCGCCTGATTTCAGTTTTGCGAGGACGTTCCTACCCGTACTGTTAGCCACGGCCAGGCGAACCTGATGTGTGCTCTTTTAACGTACCTCCTCCGCCTCGCACCCTCTTCGTGCTCCTGAGCGCTGGGTGTCGTGCCAAGATTCCACGCCTTGACGAACCAGCGCTGCGTCCTGTCCAGGTACGACTCGGATCCTATGTCCTGCACATTGACGCGCACCCCCTCCCTACTAAAGACCACGCTCTCGCCCATCTGCTGGCGCGCCTGCGCCTGGATTTTGACCCAGGACACGTAGACTTGGTAGCAGACCACGGCCATCAAGCCGAGTACGACGAGTGTGATGAGCAGAGGAAGAAGCTGTCTGTGATGGACGTTAACCAGGCCGTTCTGGAATGTAGGGCGGCCGGGTGATACCGACTTTACCGTTGAAGGCGGGGTCTGCGACTTCTGTCTCCAAGCCATGACGGCGCTCTGTGGGCAGTGGACTTGATTGGAAGGTGCAATTGAGTGTCAAGTATCTTTATTGTCGAACTGCTCTGGCAACTCGCTCAGAGTTGGAGATCGTGTCCTAAATTTCGAGTTGTTGAAGCTCTGCTCTCTTACTCGGTATTCAAGAAGGTATCAGTCTGACAGAGCTCGTGGTTGTTGCAAGCTACACTGCACCTAGGCACCACGAGAGGTGGACTAATAAGAAGCAGTGCCGCGGCAAGGACCAACATTATCTCGATCCAGCGGCGGCTACTGTACTTACATGCAGTCCTCAGGCTTGCCATTCCAAAACTACTGTTTAGCCGCGTCATAGGCCCAGAAGAACATCCATCACAGGCCCACAGGTGGCGGCCTCAAATGCTGCCGATATTTCCGAGCCTCCGAAGCCCACTGTTTCACCACCAGCTGCGTACCTGTCGGCGCGGGAAGCGGGCGTTGTCAATCTTGGAACTTAGATAACATCGTGTTATGATTACCTTACTTACCGTTACACCGTATCTTACAAATACTGAAATCTTACACTCAGCATGTGTCATGTGGTATCCACAATCGTGCACGGGACTTCTAGATTGAACTTGACGTTAGTGTATGCATTTAAAGAGTCTTCGGATAACTTGGCAACGATAGCTTAACTTACCTGCTTTATCACGTGCGGTCACCGCACCAGCCACAATTCCAGTACACAGTGCGCTCCTAGCTCCGTCACGGGCAGCAGCGTCGCGAACCGTAGTCAGGCCCTCCGCCAAATCTGTTAGGACAGAAGCTCCAACCCCTGCACTGCGCGGGTACTTAGGCGCCAAACCGAAGCTTGCTCCACAGCCCGCCACCATCCGCCTACCGACGACACCTTGTCCAATTCCCGGGCCTGCCAAACTTCTGTTCCCAGGTTACGACTACATCGCACCAACACACAATCGCTGGCACCGTTGTCGAGGCTGCATTGCGGGCACACCAATTTGATCATACGGACACGCGCTACTGTACCTAGTGCACGGCCGCGCTCACCATGTCGGCTCCGCAAGACGGCTACGGCCAGTATCCGGCCCAGCAAGCTGGGGAGCAAGCTCCGTATCCCGATCAAGGTTATGCGAACCCGGCCGTTTCCCCGCCCCCGCCTGCCGGCGCACATCACCCCGCGGACCATGGCAAGAAAAAGAAGAGAGCATATGCCGCCGGCGCCTTCGAAGTTGGTGTGGGGGGGAATGCGGTACCGGGTGGTCAGGCACAACCGGTGGGCCAGTTTGGAGCCCCTGCGCCGGCATATGGAGGCTATCCGCAAACGGACGTCCAGCCCGCTGTCTACGGCGCCCAGCCACAGCAGCCCTACGGCATGGCGCAACCAGCTCCCCTGGGAGGCTATCCAGCTCCGGAGCCGTATCCGGCCGCCGGAGCTCCCCCGGCGCCGGTCGGTGTCGCCGGTCTTACCTCGGGAATGTCGGCCATGAACCTTGGTCCCGGGCCGCAACAACCCCAGCAGCTTCCGCCGCAGGCGAGGGCCGGTCCCTTGAACCAGCTCTACCCGACCGATCTCCTCAACCAGCCCTTCAATGTCTCCGAGTTAGATCTCCCTCCGCCGCCTATCATCTTGCCTCCGAATGTATGTCGAACCCTCCCGAAACTGTGGATGTCACAATCCGTGTTGACTTGCAATCACAGACGAGCGTCACGCCTTCGCCCGATGCGAACTGCCATCCCAAGTACGTGCGATCGACCTTGAACGCCGTTCCGACGACGCACTCCCTGCTCAAGAAGAGCAAGCTGCCTTTTGCCCTGATCATCCAACCTTATGCGGCTCTTCATGATTTAGACGACCCCGTTCCCATCGTCCAAGATCAGGTTATCTCGCGTTGCCGGAGATGTAGATCCTACATCAACCCGTTCGTGACCTTCCTGGACCACGGTCACCGGTGGCGCTGCAACATGTGCAACCTCACCAACGATGTGCCGCAGGCCTTCGACTGGGACGCCGCCTCCCAGAAGACTGTTGACCGATGGCAGCGACACGAGCTGAACCACGCCGTTGTCGAATTTGTTGCGCCGCAAGAGTATATGGTCCGGCCTCCGCAACCTTTAGTGTACCTCTTCCTTTTCGATGTCAGTTATGCTGCCGTGTCGACTGGTCTCCTCGCCACAAGCGCCCGGACCATTCTGGACAGCCTTAACAGGATCCCGAATGCCGATCGGCGCACCCGGCTCGGCTTCATCGCAGTCGACTCAAGCCTGCACTACTTCTCCGTGCCCAGGGACACCGACGAGAACGGGGAGACCAGCATGCTTGTGGTCAGCGATTTGGACGAGCCCTTCCTGCCAGTTCCCCAAGAATTGCTAGTCCCCCTGACCGAGTGCCGCAGCAGCATCGAGAATTTCCTGACCAAGCTCCCGGAGATGTTCGTCAACAACCAGAATAACGGATCTTGCATGGGTTCTGCGCTTAGGGCGGGGCACAAGCTCATCTCCCCTCTCGGAGGCAAGATTGTGGTTCTCAGCGCATCGCTGCCGAACGTGGGCTACGGCAAGCTCGACATGCGCGAGGACAAGAAGTTGCTGGGCACGTCCAAGGAGAGCGGCCTGCTGCAGACGGCTAGCAGTTTCTACAAGAGCTTTGCCGTGGAGTGTTCGAAGAACCAGGTTTCGATCGATATGTTCCTCTTTTCGTCCCAGTACCAGGATGTGGCATCGCTGAGCAACCTCCCGAGGTACACGGGTGGCCAAACTTGGTTCTATCCGGGCTGGAATGCCGGCCGACCCGAGGACGCCATCAAGTTCGCTTCCGAGTTTAGCGACTATCTCTCATCAGAGATCGGACTGGAAGCCGTCCTCCGTGTCCGGGCTACCACTGGGCTGCGCATGAGCACCTTCTACGGCAACTTCTTCAACAGGAGTTCCGATTTGTGTGCCTTCCCTGCCTTCCCTCGCGACCAGTGCTATGTGGTCGAGGTGGCTATTGATGAGAATTTGACCAAGAACGTCGTCTGCCTGCAGACAGCCGTGCTGCACACAACATGCAATGGCGAGCGCCGTATCCGCGTCATGACGCTTGCCCTGCCAACAACTACCAACCTAGCCGACGTCTACGCCTCGGCCGACCAGTGTGCCATTACCACGTACTTCACTCACAAGGCTGTCGAGAGGGCGCTCAGTAACGGCCTCGAGTCGGCCCGAGACCTTCTTCAGAGCAAGGTCACCGAGCTCCTGCAGACTTTCAGGAAAGAATTGGCCGGCGGCAGCATGGGTGGCGGCCTGCAGTTCCCATCCAACCTGCGTGGCCTCCCCGCCTTGTTCCTCGGACTGATCAAGCATGTGGGCCTCAGGAAGTCGGCGCAGATCCCCTCCGATCTCAGGTCCGCGGCTCTTGCCCTGCTGTCGACTCTGCCTCTACCCCTGCTGATTCAGTACATCTATCCACGGCTGTACTCTCTTCATGATATGCCCGACAACGCGGGTGTACCCGACCCCGAGACCAGCCAGATCGTCCTCCCCCCGCCTCTAAATCTGTCATCCGAGAGGTTTGTCTCGTACGGCCTCTACCTCATCGATGACGGCCAGACACAGTTCCTCTGGGTCGGGCGTGATGCTGTACCGCAGCTTCTCATCGACGTCTTCGGCGTGGCGGATCGGACGCAGCTGCGCGTCGGCAAGGGCTCGCTGCCGGAGTTGGACAACGATTTCAACGAGCGGGTGCGCGCTGTCGTTCAGAAGAGCCGGGACCATAAGTCGAAGGGAGTGGGCAGCATCATCCTCCCGCATTTGTACATCGTGCGCGAGGACGGTGAGCCGAACCTCAAACTGTGGGCCCAGACGCTCTTGGTGGAGGACCGGGCGGATCAGGGAATGAGCTATCAGCAGTGGATGGGGACATTGAGGGAGAAGGTCAGTATCTGATGGCCGGCGCGTATGGGATGAATGTATATGATGCTGATAGTTGCAACCGAACAGGTTGTCCAATGAGGAAGTCTTGTGGTAGCATGGGCACTATCTTTCTGTGTTGGCGTATAGGTAATGTTTGTGTCGATGAATAGATATTACAACCAAAGGCTCGAGAGAAGAGAAAGGAAATGCAAGTCCTTGGAAACCATGCCCTTCTTTCCTTTTTTCTTGTGCGTATTCCAACCCACTGACGAGCTTCGGCCTTGACCGGTGCTCTGTTGAAGCTTGCTGTAGACTGTAACATTCCTTTCCGATCTCTCATCCTCTAGATACTTCACTTTTTCTGAAGTCTCCCAACCAGGCCCCGCGGTTGTCATCTTCTGGTTACAGAGACCATGGCCGGCCTCACACCTTGGGGTCTTTGACATTTCCGCCCGAAAACAGCAACTTGGCGGCCCACCAGGCCAGCAGACCAGGCCTCAGGGGTCATGACAGAAAGGTGCGGTTCTTCCGCATGCAATGCCGGTTCTTTGACATCCGATGCAAGGGCAACGTCAACTGGAGATCTGCGGGACAAGGCAATCGGGCTGTTCGTCTCATGAGGATTGAATAGGTACATACCTACCTTGCCGACACCAGTAGGCGCAACAAGGGGGGCAGCACAGCCCTCGGGTATTGGGGCCAAGTCACATCTCAACATCTCAATTGGTCGTTTTTGAAACCAACCCCGAAAGTGCGCTTCTCTCTGTCGTTTCTTAAGTGGTCCGCAGCAAGCGGTCACAACCTGCCGGGCGACCGAAACAGTGTCCTGGCCCATAGCCCTTAGAAGTTGAAACAGTAGCCCGCGATCATTGGCAGCTTCAGGTTTGAGACAGCCGCCGAAGAGAAAGGAGAAAAGTGGGGCCTAACTCGTGCCACCAGAGCGCACGCCAAACAAGCGGTTACTGCAATGGCAGGTCTTCCCGGCGTTTAATTGGTGTGCCCGTTGGGCCGTTCGGGATATTGTATCATGCGGGCCCTACCCTCCAGCCCTCTTTCATCTGCTCACCTCATGTGAGGGCCTTGCTTGGTGGATGTGAACCATGGGACGAATTTAGCATGCCGGAGGGGATGCAGTGCGACAAGTGTGATAATGCTGTCCGTGATATGGCGCGCGAGGTTGTCGGCGCGAAGTTCGGGGGCATACACTCATGATGGTGAAAAGTCGGGAGTTAGGGGTCGAGGAAAATAAACATTGGATATTTGTACAACTTTCCGGCGACATCACGACAGGTCTCTCAGTTTGATTGTTTAAGCGCTCGTCCATCGCGAGTGAACTGCCGGTGGCCCGGCTCGTCCCCTAGGTGGGTTTGCAGCCCGGTTACGCCGCTCCGTCCGAGTGCTCTGTGTGATAAAGTTCTGTAAAGGCGGAGCTTCCGGAATCACCATCGATCCTTAGCCAACGGCACGGGCCACCTAGTTGGTCGCTTACGTTCTGGGCTCACTTGATGATTTCAGAAAGAGGCCGGAGTGGCCCTCTTACTGTGACCGATCCTTCGAGGCGGATGAGGGCCGACCTATTGTGTGTTGTAGGCTACTGTGTAGTGAAGCGTTTCTCAGGTTTGCTGCTCGCAATCGGAGTGACGGCGCCCAACGCGACACCCACCCAACATCCAGAACTGGTACTGGTAGGGACCCACCAATAGCCCCTGCCGCATGTCACCTCCATCCCCCGCCAGTGAGAGGGGCCCAGATCCAGGGATGGGCTGCCAAGCTCCCTTTCCGTTCTTCTACAACACGACCTCCTCTTTCTCGTTGACGGCAAGCTTCGGATCCTCTCCACATTCCTGTGCTGTCTCTGCGAAGATACTTTGGCTTTTGCGTCTGCTGTCGACGTCAACGAGAGCTCGCGCTCAGGCCATCCGTTCATTTCGTCCCAGTCCTAAGACTGTTAGGTCGGCCCAGCCCAGAAAGCGGGGCACTCTGTCGCGCGCCGTCTGAAGATTGCATTCACCTCCGCCGTCTTGCTGTCTCTGACAGTCCGCTCAACCCTAACTTTCATTTGCAAAGTTCAGGTACGTAAATCCTTGTGTGCGCATGTGTGGGAGACTGGATCATTGTTTTGTTATTTCCTTCCATTGTTTTATTTCTGATTTTTTTGAAACCGTCCCCTTGCCTTGCCCCTCCTCGACCTCTAAGGAACCCCGCTTGACCAGAGCAAAACACCATAGTTGGGGCATTCGCGATAGCGGCGTTGTGATCTGCGTGCTTTGCTTCCGAGAAGCTGGACAACTGGTCAAAAGTTCTGGTCATGTCGATACAAGCCGCTGCACTGCCCTCGCAGTGAAGTGTGGTCAGTCCCGAGCTTCAGGGAGCTTAGTCGCAGCTCCTCGAGTTTGGAACCGGGGGAGCCCCGAAAGGTGTAGACGAAGCGTCTGATCGCCAGTCCCCGTCCTCCCGCCACCCCACTGGTTGATAGCCTCAAGCGTGAGCTTCCCTCCGGTCTGTTCCGTCTGGCGTGTTCGATTGGAGCTTCTAGAAGCATATCGGCCCCTGGAGTTCTCTGTAGGGGAGCGCTTGACCCCTGACCGCCGCCATTGAGCACCTGCAATTCTGGAGAAAGCTAGTTGACCTCTGGCAGCTGAGCCCCTTACCTTCTCCCGCGATCTAGCTGTTCCCCTAAGCGGTAACTGCTGGCGTCAGTCTCTGTTCAGACCGACCTTCCGCTGCATGCCGTTTTCTTGCTGTTGGCTGCTCACTGTGTAGCTAACTTGCGATAGTTGCTTGGAACAGCTCTAGCCCCAAATCTGAGCCCGAGACCACGAGGGCCGGCCACCCTTCTTCAAACAAAGAATTCCCAACTGGCCAACGGGCCTTCCGTTTCGGCGTGCTTCTGTCTGGAAAGTGACATCTCGCGTCAGCTCCCATAAAGAAAAACGTCAGCGACAGGGGCAGCGTTTGTTGATATTCCGGGCACATTGGCCGGCTTTCGACGACACAAGTACCCGACACTCTGCCGACCGAGCTAGGCTACTTCTTGCTCTCAGCAAGCTGCAACATTCAGCTCAGCAGTTGCCAACTTGTACTACCGGCTGTCGCATCGAGAAAGCACCGCAAGCTCAAGACAACGTGCAACCATGAGTAACGCGCAGAATAGAGGTGGAGCTCGGAAGATTTCCTTCAATGTCAGCGAGCAGTATGACATCCAGGATGTCGTCGGCGAAGGTGCATATGGAGTCGTGTGGTATGCTCTGAGTCTAGGTGGCGCCGGTGGTCTGAGTCGAGGTAGAATCTGACCGTCTCGAATAGTTCCGCGATCCACAAGCCCTCCGGACAGAAGGTTGCCATCAAGAAGATCACCCCATTCGATCATTCCATGTTTTGTCTGCGGACACTGCGCGAGATGAAGCTGTTGCGGTATTTCAACCATGAGAACATCATCTCGATCCTTGATATCCAGAAGCCTCGGAGTTATGAAACCTTCAACGAGGTTTATTTGATCCAGGTATGGTGGCCTCTCGGTGACTTTTGATATCCTCTCTTCAGTCACTCATACAACCCATCAGGAGCTCATGGAAACCGACATGCATCGCGTGATCCGTACTCAAGAACTCTCGGACGATCACTGCCAGTATTTCATCTACCAGACCCTGCGCGCTCTCAAGGCGATGCACTCAGCCAACGTGCTCCATCGCGATCTGAAGCCGTCCAACTTATTGTTGAACGCTAATTGCGATCTCAAAGTTTGCGACTTTGGGCTGGCCAGGTCGGCGGCGTCACAGGAGGACAATTCGGGCTTCATGACGGAATACGTGGCCACCCGTTGGTATCGTGCCCCCGAGATCATGTTGACCTTCAAGGAGTACACCAAGGCGATCGATGTCTGGTCGGTCGGCTGCATTCTTGCAGAAATGCTTAGCGGCAAGCCACTGTTCCCTGGCAAGGACTGTATGTGGTTTGCATCCTAAAACTCCAGTCCGTTCGATACTGACTCTCGCACATAGACCATCACCAACTCACCTTGATCCTGGACGTCCTGGGAACGCCGACGATGGAGGACTACTACGGCATCAAGTCACGCCGCGCGCGAGAGTACATCCGCTCACTGCCTTTCAAGAAGAAAGTGCCCTTCCGGACACTGTTCCCGAACACGTCAGAACTGGCTCTCGACCTTCTTGAGAAGCTCCTCGCCTTCAACCCCGTCAAACGTATCACGGTGGAAGAGGCGCTCAAGCACCCGTACCTCGAGCCCTACCATGACCCGGATGACGAGCCAACGGCCCCGCCTATCCCTGAGGAATTCTTTGACTTTGACAAGCACAAGGATAATCTCAGCAAGGAGCAGCTGAAGCAGCTGATTTACCAGGAGATTATGAGGTGAGAGTCGCGGTGGCATTGTCTCAGTTACGAGCAAGGAACATGTCTCATGAGGCGGGCTGAGGTCCTTCATATCGGGTCATCGTTTCTCGATTTTTCTTTCTCACCTTCAGGATGTAGAGGACGGTGGCGGGATAAGCAGGGAAATGAGTAGTCGAAAGTTTTACGCATGGGAGACCTGAAGCCTTGGTTTGCACCACCCGACAGATGGATGGCAACGTTGTGCCTCTTCTATCATGAATATATGTAGGCCGTCGCCTCAAGGGAAGTGAAAGGTTGGTTTTGCGTTTCCATCTATTGTAGCCTGTTAGACAGTATTGGAGTTTTCACAGGAAGGCGTTACCCAGTTCCCTAAAGGGATTCGATTATCTTTTGTTCTATGATCAGCCGAAATACCCATACCGTCGTACTACACTCGAGAAACCTGTAACCTTCTAACAAACCTTCTCATCTCTTTTACCATGTTAGGCAGAGAACCCAGCTTTCCTTGAGCAGTCATCAAAATTGGCGACTGCCAGAGACGACGAGAAACAAATGGTAACCATTCATCCCAGTTCCCGTCCCGACTGTTCGCCCTGTACCTTATGTCCTTTTCAACTCCAGATACGTCATATAGTGTTTTTGAGTGAAGATGCCACATCGACCATTCGCCGAAACGCCACCCTGCCCGCACCGTTGATGCCAACTCCTCACGATTATGCCTTGCCTCTTGCTCCAACCAGCATGTGCCAATTAACCGCCCAGGCGAGAAGAACGGCTATACTTCGTAGATGATGCCGTTATGTTTTATCCGCTACGCACCGATCACCCAAACTTCAACACCCAACACCCCGAACTTTTCTCCTTCATCACTCAGCGGCTCGTTCCCGAACGTCTGGCTTGTGGAACTGACGCCCCGCTCGAGCGAGTCGTCCAGCCACAGTCCATACTTTCCATCGCCGGCGCCGAGCGAGAGGAAGTGTGGCTCACAGAGCATGTAGTACTCGTTTATGCCCGAGTATGGGAAGGCTTTGAAGCGGATTGAATGAGGGGTTGTCGAGCGAGAAGGTTGCTCAGCAGTGATCGTGGCTGTTCGCGTGTTGGTGGTGGGGTGGTTGTCGATAGCCGATGGCGGAGGAGGGAGCGGGGAGAGGACGGAGGCGCGCCAGAGGAAGCATTCGCCGGTGCCGAAGTATTTTGGTGCGGGATGCGGCGGGTCGGAAAGATAGGCGCCGAAGAGCTGGTGGGTATCGAAGTCAGCGGTGAATACTACTTCGGTTTGAGACGGCGGGTTACTCACACCACCCTCACAGTCCTTCACGCACAACACAAACCCAACCCGCTTTCCCTGATATTTTGCGCACTTTTCAAACAGCGTTGCCAGGCTGGCCCCGTCTTGCTCCAGACTATACACCAACCGCCACTCGTCCACAATTCCCAGCCGCGCCGGGACCATGATACGTATCTCCTCTGCGATCGGCTTCGTCAACAGCCGCGCATCATGCCTTGTCTCCTCGGAGAACCCCACCAATTGTAGCGGCTCCAACGGTGGTGGCGGCATCGGTGACGCGGTGCGGCGGGCATGCAGGAGATGGGTCGGGATGTAAACGTTGTCGAGGCCGTTCCCGTATCCGCTGGGCTTGTCCTTACCGTCGCCGTCGGGTTCGAACGTGCGCGCGTGCGGGAGACCGGAAGGAATTCGGGCGGACGCCGAGGGTTCACCCGAGAAGCGACGCACGAGGCCGCCCCAGAGGCTCGAGACGGATGAGGAGAGGAAGGTGGAAGAGCTTGGGGAGACGGGACCGCCCGGTGGGGTGATGGCGCCGGGGGACGAAGCGGGGGAGCTGTCGAAGTCGGGAGAGTGGTGCGAACGGAGGGGTTGGTTGAGATGAGAGGAGTAGAAGGTCATTTTTACTGTAATCTCTATGTCTGGATGGACTGTAAGTAATTGTTGGCGTTGTTTGCTAAAGGCAGCACCTCGGATCAGAATGTTTCGATAGCTGAAGCTCCGACAAGCGAACGGCGGGTTGCCTCATCAACAGATGAAGCTGTGTTGATCGGCTGTCAACGTGGAGGCCGTCAGTAACAGGCCACAATTGACGTGTCTTAGTAAGACGGGAATTGCCATGAATCGGCCGTTAAGGTAGTTCAGTCACTATGAAGACAGATGTTGAATGTCAAGCACGATCTGCAACGTTGTCTCAGTGGTTCAACTGTAACAGCCTGATAAGTACGAGAGAGCTACCCGTTGCGACTGTGTCAGCCTTGCCAAGAAACGCTGTGCGGGCTGAGACCCCATCTTATCGGTGGATCACGTAACCTGGCTTGAGGTGGGTCCAAGTACATGGTAATCCCGTGAGTACATAGGTACCTAATCACATACGAAGTACATAAAGTACATACACGCAATACCTTGGAATTCAACTGGAAGTTTGGTGTGACAAGGTTCAATGCAGAGGTTGCGTTACGGAAACGGTCAGGCATCTGTACTGGTAATTGCATAGGTACTTGGGTAACTAGAGTATCTAATACGTGTACGCAGAACACCAAGACGCACTTCGCTGAAGGACTCGCTTTAGGATATCATCCATGAATACTTTATATAAGATAAGATGCACGAACTATCCTCCCAACAAGCCCCGCGGGATGGGAGGCTTCGTGTATAGGACGCCGCCATGCTGTCTGGCTGGACATTCCGCAAGCTCTGCGCCGAGACCAACCCCTAATCAGAGCCTTTGACGAAGCGGGAGATGCCCTGCCAAACGCCTTCTGGCGTGGGCCGCTCAGCGCAGACATCGGGCTCGTACCCGAACTCGTGAATCAAGTGATCCCGGGTTGTTGGCCCAATAGTGGCAACAAAAGTGGTTCGATCTGGCCGCTTGGGTTTGGCCTTGCCAGTCGATTCATCAAGCATGTCCATGGCACTCAGCATACTGTCGCATCCGCTGGGTGAAAACACAACCACCCATCTCCTCGGATGGCCGGCTGTTTCTTCGAGACGCCGAGCAAATTCGTCCTTGAACGACTTCGATTCTCCAGTGCCATATACGACCACTTCGTCGACTTGCCACTCTGCCTCGGTTAATATCCTGGGAATAATATCTCGACGCTTCTCGCCCACAAGGAAAAGCAAGGGCGGCTTAGACTTGCGATCCCTGTACCACTCCCCGTAGTGCTCGAGGATGAAGGGAGCCAGCTTCTCGCCGGTCCCCGTATGCTCCCCAAAGACCTGTAGAGAGGGTATTTGAGGGACGGCTTTCAGAGCGCGTGTAGTCGCTGGCCCAACGCTGTAAACGGGCACGTCCTGGAGATGCGGCCATCCAACTTCACCTGCAGTAGCTCACCTTAGCTGTTTGATCTCCAGCCCGCCGAGACTGGAGTCTCACCTCTCTTTTCCTCAACGAGCTTTGTGAAGGCCTCGACGGCACGCTGAGACGTAAAGATGAGGCCGCCGTACGCGCTGTCCTCCGCCGTGCTTATGGACCTGTTTTGGACGAAACTGCGCACTTTCGCCATCCCTTGCTCGTCGAACCGGTGCTCGAGCACTGGAACGAACGACGGCTCAAACACTAGGCCATCTGAAGGAGTTGAGAATAGCTCCTCGTAGCTATCCCCAGGAACTGATTTGGTTTTGAGTAACAGGATTGGCGTCTTTTGTGTCATATTTAAACGTGAAATGAATGCCGGCTCCGTCCGTGTATACGGTTCAGTGTCAACAATGAAGCCTATGGCCAGCAAATGCCCGTGGTTCGTGCCGACTGGAAGTCTGGAACTTGGGAGAGACGGACCCACTTGCACACTAGGAGTGTATAGTAGTATGTAGTACAGTAAGCACCCACGTCTTATCGATAAGTCACATCTTGATTTCCAATGTCCGAGAATTGCCGGTTGGAAGCTTTGTTGGAGGATCACGGATGGGCTCCTGTTGTTATTGCTAATACTACTACTTTGTATGAGATGCAGTGGCCTATACATAGATACGAAGGTACTACCTAGTCTATTTCAGAGACACAGCTTCTTTCTCATTCGTTAGTGCATCCCGATGGCAGAAGAGAAGCCAGCAGAGCAGCCGGCCAACGCTCCAGTCGCGGTTACTGGAACGAGCACTGAGCCGCTAAAGAAGTTTCCGAAGGGTGTGGTCCTCGGAAAGGATGGGAAGCCGTCAGTTTCGAACGTCCATTGGTTTCCGCAACTCAGCTAACTCGCTCCTGTTCCAGCTGTCGCTCCTGCACCTCCTTCGCAGCCTGGGCCTCGCAAACCAAGTCTTCCCTCAAAGCCGCAGCACCCGCGATGCCACCAAAAGACTGCCCACCAGACGTCGAAACACTAGGTCGCAGTACCTGGACACTCCTTCACTCGATCGCGGCGACCTACCCGTCTACGCCGACTCCGAAAGAGCAGACCGACCTGAAGAGCTTCATGCGCCTCTTCTCAAAGCTGTACCCGTGCTGGGTGTGCGCCGAAGATTTTCAGAAGTACATGGAGAGGCAGGACGTGAAAACCGCGAGCCGGGACGAATTCGGAAACTGGCTGTGCGAGGCGCACAACGAGGTGAACAGAAAGCTGGGCAAGCCGACATTTGACTGTAAGAGGTGGGAGGAAAGATGGAGGACGGGGTGGAAGGACGGAAGTTGCGATTGAGAGGTGGTCAAAGGGCGGTCTGTTTTCAATCTTGAATTATGGGACGTTGGATGAGACGGAGTTCGGCGTGGGGGTTCCAGCGTGGGTATGTGTGTAACGTGGTTGCGGCTCTGTCTTCTCTCCTCTCTCAGCTGATGGTGGCATCGAGGCTCATGATACCTCTCAGTTATTCGGGCATAGCGACGGAAATAGACGGGATCTAGACCGAGCCCAAAATCAGCTCCACACATAACACCAGCGGCCGATGCCTGAACTTCGACAAACTTTGGGCACCGTCCAGCTGGTCTTGGCAATAAGCAGCACCCGGTAGGGCCCGGCTTAGACTCGGATGGTCCCGCCAGTCGGGCCGGCAGTGGACTTGCATGACATCACCGACTCGTAAACGAGAAACATCGGCCCATCATCTTGCATACAATGCGCACAACGATCTAGTACGGCATAACCGGCAGGATGTGTGTCAGTCGCAGCTGCCTTCGGCCGCGGGCCTTAGCCTTATCAGATGGCCTGATCACAGCCTGCATCATACATCCGCCCTCCAAACATTTTTGTCTCTAGTGGACTGGCGTAACGTGCTTCATCGCGAGACCTCCAGCGATACCGGCCCTTGCGCCCGCGTAACGACATCCTCAGTGCTTATAAAAGACTCGTTGACGCTCCAGGAGAAGCAGAGATAATTCCCATCGAATTCGGTTGAATAAAGCACGCAATTCAGAACACTTCAAAAATGGCACTCGATATCAGGGAACAGGGCCTCAAGAAGCCCGTTGCAGTCTCAGAGTATCTCTTTCGGAGATTGCACGAAATCGGCATCCGCTCCGTCCATGGCGTTCCCGGCGACTTCAACCTGGTGGCCCTTGACTACATCCCCAAAGCCGGCCTCAAATGGGTTGGCAGCGTTAACGAACTCAATGCAGGTATGCATAGCCTCAGATGAGGGCTCGTTTAAGGGGCTGATTAACAAGATCCCAGCTTATGCCGCCGACGGCTACGCCCGCACAAAAGGCATCTCAGCTCTTGTGACCACTTTTGGCGTGGGAGAACTGTCCGCCATCAACGGCTTGGCAGGCGCCTATTCTGAGCACATCCCCGTCGTCCACATCGTCGGTTGCCCGTCCACCATCTCGCAGCGCAATGGCATGTTGCTGCATCACACACTCGGCAATGGCGACTTCAATGTCTTTGCCAACATGAGCTCGCAGATTTCGTGCGACATCGCCCGCCTCAACAAGCCGGCTGAGATCGCCGAGCAGATTGACCATGCGCTGCGCGAGTGCTGGATCCGCAGCAGACCGGTGTACATCATGCTCCCAACCGACATGGCCGAGAAAAAGATCGAGGGCGCTCGCCTCGATACGGCCATCGACCTCACCGAACCCCAGAACGATCAAGATCGGGAGGACTACGTCGTGGACGTCGTCCTGAGGTACCTCCATGCCGCGAAGTGTCCCATCATCCTGGTGGATGCCTGCGCCATTCGCCACAGGGTGCTTCAGGAAGTGCATGACTTGGTTGAGAAGACCCAGCTCCCTGTGTTCGTGACACCCATGGGCAAGGGGGCCATCAACGAGAGCCACCCCTCGTACGGCGGAGTGTATGCTGGGACGGGATCGCACCCGGACGTCTGCGAGCGGGTTGAGTCGGCAGACTTGGTCCTCTCGATTGGTGCGCTCAAGAGCGACTTCAACACGACCGGCTTCTCCTATCGGACCTCGCAGCTTAACACGATCGACTTCCACTCCACCCACTGCACGGTTAGGTACTCTGAGTACCCCGGCGTCACCATGCGCGGGGTTCTCCGCAAGGTAGTTGAGCGGGTCGACCTGAGCAAGCTCGCTCGGCCGCCGTCCCCGGAGGTTGTCAATGAGGTGGCCAAGAACAGAGACAGCTCCGAGACCATCACGCAAGCGTGGTTCTGGTACGTCATACTTACATTGTTTTCAAACAACCCCTTCATGACCGTCTTGGGAACACAACCGTTCCTAAGAACGCCCTGGTTGGAGTAACATAGCTGACACTGCTGGGCAGGCCTCGCATTGGGGAGTATCTGAAGGAGAACGACATCGTGGTCACAGAGACGGGCACGGCCAACTTTGGCATTTGGGAGACCAAGTTCCCCCGGGGAGTGACGGGCATCAACCAAATCCTCTGGGGCAGTATCGGCTGGTCAGTCGGCGCCGCCCAGGGCGCTGCGTTAGCGGCGAAGGATGCGGGTGTTGACCGCCGAACTGTCTTGTTCGTCGGCGATGGGTCGTTCCAACTTACGGCGCAAGAGGTGTCGACCATGATTCGGCATAACCTGAAGATTACCATGTAAGTCCGCGGGGCTCACTCGACCCACTGACTGACTGGACTGACACGCTCGCAGCTTCCTCATCTACAACGATGGCTTCACTATCGAGCGCTTCATCCATGGTATGGAAGCCGAGTACAACGACGTCGCGCGCTGGAACTACACCGAGGTGCCGACCGTGTTTGGCGGGTCAGAGAAGCAGGTCCGCAAGCTTGTCATCAAGACAAAGGAGGAACTCGAGAAGCTGCTGGTCGACAAGGAGTTTAACGAGGCTGGTGGGCTGCAGTTCGTCGAGCTGTGGATGCCGAAGGATGATGCGCCAAGGGCTCTGAAGATTACCACCGAAGTGGCTGCCAGGAACAACGCGAGGGTTGAGTGATCATGGGAGCTTACAGTGTACTTCGGCAAAGGCATGGATAGAATGGGATGGAAGGGCCTGAATTATGGTGGACGCGCGGGACGGAATCAAAATCTATTGCTCTGCCTACCATGTGAGCCGCTCCTGCTTGTACCTACCTATGCTTTCCCAGGTCGGACCTTTCCACCTGCCCCGTGGAGGATTGGGGCATGATGCATCAAAGGGCAAAGGGGGAAAAAGCATGGGGTGGTGTAACCACGTGACCTGAGCGGATGTCAGTGACATTTTCCGACCCATTCTCAAACTTACACCGAGACCACTCTTGTAAAACCTACCTACCCATCCATATTACCTGAGGTCGGTTGGGAGTCTGACCCAGGTTGACTTCACCTAAGTTTCGAGTCCCAGCGCTGATATCGCCTCACCTCTGGACCAGGGGTTTTTTTTTAAACGCGCAACTTCCGCCAAGCCTTCACTGGCCCATGACAACCGTCTCCCAATGACTGAAAACGGCAAGAGAAAGGACGTGCCAACCGGCGGGTCGGCGCAAGAGCGATCGAAGAAGAAGAAGGTATGCCCAACCAAAGTGGCTGGCCATGACCCTTCAAGCATTCATCCACCGGTCTCTCTCTCATGCAGCGCAAGGATGTCGTGGCCTGCGAGGAAGCATCACGTGCTACGAAACCATTTGTGGTCGTAATCCTATTCACGCTCCTGCATTTGGCTGACAAGGCCGGATGTAGACAGGAAACGCGGGCAAATGGAAGACGTCTCACCAGCAGGCCAAACTCGCCCTGAACCAGGACGCCAACCTCCAGCCAGGAGACACGGGTATCTGGATCACCTGTGCCAGGCACCAGGAGCGTAAGGCGGCGAGGGAGATAGGCGTATTATTTGCCGAGGTTGGTTGCATCGCCAGTTCTTCCCGCTACCGAGGGTTGTAGCTTACCGGGAAGTCGTCAGTATGCGGCGAAAATGTACGGCATAGGATCCGTCCACGATACGCAGGCAGGTGAACTCAGAGACGGTGGCGAAGCGGAAGAAGACATCGAGGCAGCCATTCAGAAGGAAGTAGCTGCCCTGACGTCAGGGACTTCAAATACCGCCGCCGGGCCCAATGCCGGGGGTGCCAACCTAATGCAGCCCACGAAGATGAATGTCGACTGTCTGCTGTTTGTCAAGACACAGCCGCCTGTCGACCCCGTGGCACTCGTGCGGCGGATCTGCGAGGATGCAAAGAGCTGCAATGAGCACCCGGGCTTGATGAGATGTCGGTATGTGAACCGGCTAACGCCTATGAGCATCACGGGGAAAGCGACGGAGCAGGGCATTGTTGAGGTAGCGAGGAAGGCGCTGGCGCCGTGGTTCGATATGAGTGGAAAACGGGGCGTCGGCGCAGGGGAATCAAAGGGAGAGCCATCGGAACCGGCAAATACAGGCGAAGGGCAGTCAGCGGCACAGGTCGACGGGAGCAACGTTGCGATCGAATCAGCGGCCAACGCGAAGACGGAAGGTAGTAGCAGCGATATTCCAACTTCAGGACCTGAGAAGAAACCATTCACGGTGAGTCTGCTCTACCTAATTACCTTACCCTGCTTCCCAGGCATAGACGGACACTGACTGATGGCTGCTGCAAACAGTTTGCCATCCGGCCAACCATCCGTAACCACAGCAATCTGAAGCGAGATGTCGTGATTCACACCATTGCAGGCCTTATCAACGACGATCGGCATAAGGTCAATCTAACATCGCCTGACAAGGTGATATTGGTTGACGTCTACCAAGTAAGCAGCAGAATGCCCCGATTCCGAATATGCTCCGTCTCTAAACTCTGCTTACTGTGTAGACGGTATGCGGGATGAGTGTGGTCGACGGCGACTGGGACGAGCTCAAGCGTTTCAACCTCACGGAGCTGTACAGTCAGGCGCGAAATGTCCAGAGCGCCGAGACATCGAAACACAGCGAATAGTACAGTACACTACACTACTAGTGTAGTAGTGAAGAGGCCGGTTCGTGGCGGCAACATGGGAAATCCGAAAGGCGCATCATTTCGGGCATTGCCGTTGGAACAAGACCGAGATGGGGCCGACTGCAAGGGCCGGGCGCTAAGCCCTATTCGAGACAAATTTGACGAGCTGTGCGCCTCTCCGGCCCGTGAGTGTTGTTGACCCCGGCTAATGGCGTTCCAACGGCGCGGGACTGGTTGCCGTAATCCTTCGGTGCTTCCACTAGACTCTTGGCTCTTCCCGTGGAAGATACGTAAGTTGCAGTACTGCGCGGTTCTGTGTGTAGCACCTTTCAACCAGATGTGATACGTCACAACAAAGACGGTCTTGGTGTCTTCCTACCTGAGGTTCGGAAGAAATGGCCAGAGTGCACCGGTTTCACTTACTACCTTACATACACTAGTTAGGTACTGCGGTCACTTCGGATCATTTGCAGCAATCATATCCCTTTTCAAGCTAAGGTAAGTTGCAACTTATACAACAGAGGGAGTCGTTTGCCGGTCTTTTGTCCCTGCAAGAGATCTTGAGTCCATGATGAATCCATCTGTCAGATACCAAGTATCGAGTGATTCGAGTCATCAAAATGCCCCACAAAAGTTCTGTTCCACCGCCGGGGTTTCGCTTAGCGCTGGCCAATCATCAAATACCCGCCTCGCCTGTTAGCAGATTTTCCGTTCATTCCAGAAGCTCATGTCATCATTCTCACGCTCTTGGGAAGCCGCTTGACTCCGCGGGTTGAAACAGGCGCCCGCAGCTCTCGCTTGCCATTGCCTGACCAGGCCTTTGACGGCCCCGGCAGTATTGGCGATCCGTGCGGACGGGGTCTTCCACTCAAGCACCTTCCCGATTCGTGTCTTGGAGTCTGGCACTCTCCATCCCAAAAGCTTCACCGACTGAGGGTACCAAGCGGCAGGATGAGACCCTTGGACTTATTAGTCTTGTCGAGGAATGGTGAAGCAGGCCAGTGAAGCAGGCGGGACTCCAGTAACTACCTGGCAAACCCCGAATCATGCTCTCGACTACGCGTATGCCATCACCTATCCGACGCGCTTTGCCCATACATAATTGGAGGGCAAAGAGGTAACCATGCCGAGGGTCTACGGAGGTGGTGCCAGCTCGAAAGTTACCTACCTAAGGTATCCCATCTCGAGGTTACTACTTACAAATACATGTAGCTGCTCACCGGGCTCACAAGAGCTTCCCTTTATTCATGCTTGGACAAGCGAGGACCCAGGTGGCTGGCTGGCCGTAGCGCAAAATCCCCAAATATCGAAGTGAAGTTCGGTCTTTTGCTCGCTTCACGTAGCCGTTTATTCGTCCACGGCACTCGGAACTCCACGAAACGTGCCCTTGGCGGAGTCTGTCACCATGTCTCTGAGACGGTCTTGTTCCAGACACGGGTAGTTTTCCCTGTTGTGGGTTGGAAAAGTGAAGGATGCCCCTCCGTGGCCCCTGCGTGTTCGTTGAGCGATGTCGTGGCCCGAGGACCACCGCAGGCTGGGCTTCTATAGTTAACGTTCTTGCCCACTACTTGTCAGCATGCCTACTCGTCTCGCTCGCGCTCCATGGTGCCGCTGACGACACACCGGTACGTTCGTGTGTACTTGTACAATACATACACACCCGACCTTCGGGTCTGCTCTGATCAGGACAGCTAGCTAGCGAACTAGCTTGGCTTCGCTTAGACTGCTTACCTATTGTTGCCGCTGAGCCAAGTGTGTCTCTCGGTGGTCCCTGTCCGGAAGGTACAGTAGAAGCATATATTCCAGCATACCTGCCCGCAACGACGGCTAGATGCTACCACGGAGCCGACTTAGTCACTTACAGACCGCATGTCAGCAGCGTCGTGTCTCGCCCATGGTCGACTTTCTACAGGCTCTTCCTTCGGATAGCAGCTCAGGGACACGCCCGCACCCTACCCCTGAAATTCCAAACAAAGCCTCGAACGACAACACAGCGTACAGATATTCTCCCAACGACGGGCAACCCAACGCAGCGGAAGGTTAGACTCCAGAACTCACCGGCTATGTGCCAAGCGCCTTCTGTGGAGGCTGTCAGGAGCCTACTTGGACCGGTTATTACCGCGGACGTCAGCGTCCGGAAAGTCCAGGCCGTCTCGTCGCTCGGCCCACGGAGAACCTACCGAGTCGTTCTATCCGACGGCCGGTCACTGCAGCTTGTCCTGCTTTCGCGCGCCCTGTGGCGACCCCTGAGATCCGAGCAGGACATGGTAGCATCCGAGGCCGCCGCGGTGCGGTGGATGAGAGAGGCCGTCGCCGATCGCTCGCCGGCAGACTCGGACCTCAGCGCCTTCTTACTCCCGCTCCTGCCAGTTCTGCTCCACCAAGGTCAGGAAACCGATTTTCCGGGCGCCTCCTTCGCAGTCCACGATCCCGTCGAGGGCACACCGCTCGCTTTGCTTCCTCAGCCTCCCACGCCCGCTTCCCTTGCAGACGTCGACCACCAAGTTGGCACGCTGGTCCGGCAGCTAGCGCGTCTGACCTCTCCCACCGGTCGTTTCGGGCCCCTGGCGGCCGTCATCGGCTCTAGAAGCACACCTAGTCCCCTATCCAAAACGGGAGCAGAGGTAGCAGCGGCGGCCAACATGCTAGAAGGCGGGCTATCGGCAACCGGGGGCGCGGGCACATGGTCCATGGCGTTTCACTCCATGCTGGAAGGCGTGCTGAGGGACGGGGAGGACATGGGAATTGTGATGGGGTACTGGACCATACGGAAGACCTTCCGGCGTTTGAGGTACATCCTAGACGAGGTAACTGTGCCGAGATTGGTTGCGGTGGAAGTTGGCGGGAAGGGGAATGTGCTCGTTGAGGAGGCGGTTCCAGCAGATGGCGCGAAAGGAGGAAAGGGCAGGGGGGAAGCTGTGCCAGAACCGGAGGATGAAGAGAAGATACAAAAAGCAGAGCAACAAACGGAGACGGAAGAGACTGAGAGGGATGCCCCCCGGCGACTAAAACTCACGGGCCTTCGCGACTGGAGCAGCTGCGTCTTCGGCGACCCCTTACTCGCGACCCTCTTTAGCGACCGGCAGCAACACCCGCCGTCAACTGATTTCCTGAGGGGATTCAACGGCAAGGGCATCGAACACACGCCAACCCGAGAACGGCCGATTCCACTGGACGGATCCATCATCGAAGACGTCGGCACAGCCTGGATCAGGCTGCTCCTCTACCAGGTCTACCACGCCGTTGTGCGCATTGTGAGCGAGTTCTATCGGCCACGGCAAGACAGCAGTGCCCGCGAGTTGGCGGCAAGGAAAGAGCTGAACGAGGCGCTAGCACGGCTTGCCGAGGTGCCCGACGATGCCAAAAAGAAACACCAGAGGCCAAGCGGGGAGATGTCTCCTGCTAAGAGAATAAAGGCGGATGAAAGATGAATGCATATGTTCGTCACGGATAGATATGGACGGGACGGGTGTGCGGCATTCCCGGGAGCCTTTAGACGCTAGATGCGCCGTCGGTGATAAAACAATTGACTCTTGTAGACACCGTATTCAACTAAACTATCTTTTTCTTTTTCCTCTTCTTCTTTATCCCTACGCTCCTAACGTTTTCTGCTCGTCCTCCGTCTCCTCTTCATCTCGGGGCAACGTCACGCCCATCAAGCCCAGCAGGTTACCCGCGGGCCCAGCCATGCCGGCCTGGCTTTTGAAGCTCTCGAGCAGGTTTTTGGCGAGATTGTAGTCAATATCCACTGCTTCGTCGCTGGCCCCGTCGTCGCTCTCTTCCCCAGATCCACGCCTCCCTGGGTTGGACTCGCCTTCTCCAATTCCCTTGATCGCCGCCGCCGCCCCCTCGGACTTTGGGCCGAGTTCTAGTGCACCATGCCCCCTGAGCTCTGACTCCATCTGTTCCATGAGCCTGCGGATTTCGACATCCTCATCTTCCGCTTGTTCTTCCGTTTCCTCGCCGACCGCCTTCTGCTTCCCCTTCTCCCCCGTGGTGATATCCTCCGCCGGAAGGCCCATCATCTCCCGCAGCATCCTAGCAAATTGCTCCTCGTCAAAACTAACCTCCTTATCCTCGTCCTCATCACTTTCGTCGTCGCTGCTGTCATTATCTCGGTCCATCTCGTCAATCTCGGCCCCTTCAAGGCCTGCCGTCTCATCGTTGAGAAAGGCCTCAAACCTCGAAACAATCTTTTGCAAGTCGGCTTGCGCACCGGCATCCCCAAAGCCACCGCCCGCCACGCTCCCGCCACGCGTCCCATCCAGCTCCCGCTCAAGGTCCCTATAATCGATATCCATCCACGAGTCATCGTCCTCCCGCCCAGCCCCCTCCCACCCGCGAATCTGCTCGTCCGTGGGCAGGGCGCTGTCCCCGCCGTCCTCCGCTAGATCCTCCAGCAATAGCCCCACCTCGCGCACCAGCCTGCTTGAGCTCTCGTGTGCCGTCCGGGCGAGCATCTCAAACCCTGTCGTGAGTTTCATGCCCATCTCCAGCCGGGCTAGCCTGTTCCCATATTCTTTTGAGCCCAAACCCGATTCCTGCTCCAGTTTGGGTGCTGCTGGTGCTGCTGGTACTGCTTGTACTGCTGGTACTGCTGGTGCTGCTGGTGCTGGTGCTGCGGTCTCCACCTCGGCAGCGCGCAGTATAGCCCGCCACACTGGTGGCGGCGGGAAGTGCTGGGACTTGAGCTGCGCATATAGCACCTTTGTAAAGCGCACGCTGACGGTGACGAGGTCGGTGGGCGGGAAGATGAGGGCCGTTGGCGAGGAGGCAGAGACGATGGGCTTCAGGGACCGCGGGTCGCGCAGGTAGAATGCTTCCGTGGCGGGCGCGACGGATGTAGGCCGGGCGTGGAGGATGTAGGCGAGCTTCCTGGGGATCGTGACCAACGAGTGGTGGGCAGAGGCGCGGACTTGGGCAGGGTACTTCTCGAGGCGGTAGAAGGCCTCGGCTTCGATTAGGGGGGAGTGGATCAGGCGGCTGGGGGACGTCTTGATTGCGTCGATGGCTTCGACGAGGGTCAAGGGTTTGGAATATAGGGCGGCATCTTGAGCCGTGCCGGAACCGCTCAGCGGTATGATGCGCAGCTTGCCGTCGTGGATCCACACGCGGTTGCCGTCGTTCTCCGGGCTCAGCCATTTAGGCGTGACCTTGGCGGCTTCGACGAGGAGAAACTCGCCGTCACTGTCTGAGACACGGATCCATAGTTCTGGAAACGACTTGCTCAATTCTCGCAACAGGTAGACGATGAGCCACTCTTCCTCGACATTGTCCCCGTAGTGGGTGGTGCCGTGGAGGTAAGGGAGTCCTGAGCCTGCACGGAGATGATTAGCTAGCCTGCTGTTGGGCCTTTTTCTGTTTCATATCAGGTCAAGAGAGGAAGAGGTACCCTTATCAGTTCTTGCTTTCAGGTTGAATCCATCTCGCTGCCAGATGTAGTCCTTCGCCAACTCGTTCAGCCTTTTGTCTGCAGCTCTTCGGACTGTATCCAGGCTGGGAAGGTTGCTGTTGGTTCTCTCGCCGATGATGAAGAGCATGTATTCTACGCAATCTTCGGGAAGCCTCATCCGGAACCGGAACCCGTCAAAGTCCCCATCCCCGGGCCGTGGATCGGCTGCCGTCTCCATGTCCTGAGAGTGGAACTTGATGCTGCCACTTGCATACGCTTTTGCTTTAAAGCAGGGCAGCTGGCCTGATTCCTCGGGTTTGGAAGGACCTGGATGTCCTTCTTTGAGTAAGGTAGGAGTGAAAGAAGATGTAAGCTTGCCAGAGACACCCTATGCGAGAGCACTGCAATGGAGAGAAACTGCTCAATCTGGTTCCCACTTCCTCTTACATCCCACTTTCCTTCGGTTCTGGATGATCCGGTCAATCTGGAACCTAAGCTCACATGTGTTCAGCATTCCCGGGTCCGTAAAGGTACCACCTTACATAGGGCCTACTGTCGTCCAATACGGGCTCTGGAGCAGCTATCGATAACGACCTACCTACATAGGTCCTGGTGAGCACGGTGGGGCTCCCGTCGCAGCGGGTTCGAACTTTAGTGGCTATAGTGGGGCTTATCGCGAAGCTCTCAGCGGGCTCGCGATCGCGCTCTCTCGCGAACGCGCTTCACGTCCTCCTTGTCCTCCCGCGCTCGCCATCCAATCTCCCAGCATCTTCAGACGATATTGTACGCAATTGTCGACAGAGCCGGAGGGACAGAGATCTGTCGGGCCCAGCTCAAGATGCCAGGGAGAACTACTAATACCCTCGAGGCTGAGTCCTCGAGGAAACGCTCTCGGCGTGTCGTTTCCCGGGATAGCGACGATGAAGACGTTAACGAGGTGCGGGGCGAGGCGCGATCGAGCTTGCAAGCTGAACATGTGCGTGTCGTAACCCTGACAAAGCCCTGTTCCGTTTGCGTTGTATTGACGAAGAAATGGCAGCGGAAACGCGTGCGCCTCTCCGATGATGTTGGGGATCAGAAAAGCGATCCGCGCTTCCAGGGAGAGTCTACCCCCACCCCGTCAGATCACGATGCCGAAGTATACGAAGAAGAGGCGCCGTCCGCGCCGCGCACTCCGCCAAAGTCCCAATACGAGTTGATGCGGGACAACAACTTCGAGCACCTTCGCCATGAGGCCGCCGATGACCAGCGCGCGACCCAACGACTCCGCTTCCGCCCGAACCTCCTCGGTGAAAATGCTATTGCAGATAACGGCATCATCGAGAGCGTTACATGCATCAATTTCATGTGCCATGTACGGCTCCACTGCGAACTAGGCCCTCTCCTCAATTTCATCGTTGGAGAGAATGGCAGCGGCAAGAGCGCCATATTGACGGCAATCACGCTGTGCCTCGGCGGGAAGGCGAGCTCGACAAACCGCGGAGGTAGCCTAAAGAGTTTCGTCAAGGAAGGTTGTGATCGGGCCGTCCTCGCCGTCAAGATCAAGAACCAGGGTCAAGATGCTTACAAGCCCGAGATCTACGGCGAGTCCGTCATCGTGGAACGCCACTTTTCTAAGACCGGCGCCAGCGGCTTTAAGGTCAAAACTGCCACAGGTCAGATCCATTCAACTAAGAAGCAGGAGGTCGACGAGCTCGTCGAGTACTACGCCCTTCAGGTCGATAATCCCCTGAACATCCTCTCTCAGGACAATGCTCGCCAGTTTCTCAACTCGTCCACCAAAACCCAGAAGTACAAATTCTTCATCGAGGGTGTCCAGCTACAGCAGTTAGACAACGACTACAGGTTGATTTCGGAAAGCTTGGAGGTGATGGTCGCGAAGGTTCCTGACCAGGAGGAGCGCGTCAAGCACGCTAAGGCCGCGTTTGACAAAGCCCACCGCATGATGGAGGAGCTCGAGGGCAATAGGAAGCTCCGGGCAAAGCTCCGAACGCTGCGCTACCAGCTGGCATGGTCCCAGGTGGAGCAAGAGGAAGAAGAACTCCGCCAGAGAGAAAAGAATCTGGCCGAAGCCGAAAGCAATGTCGTTGAAGCGCAGCAACAGGTCGAAGTAAAGAGTCGTGCGCTCGAAGTTGCTGAGGACAAGGTAAAGCGTGCCGAGGAAAGTCTGGAACGCGTTAAGGAGGAGGAAGGCGAGATTCAAGAACGAGTAGCCCAGGCCAATCACGCTCACAAGAAGTTGAAGGACGAGACCGAGCGACTCCATGTTGAGGAGCGGGACGCTCACCAAGCCCTCAAGTCCAAAACCGACGAAGTGAAGATCTGTGAGCAGGAAATTACCAAAGAGCAAGAACGACTCAAGGATGCCCACGGAGAAGCACACTCCATAAAAGTGCGCCAGCTGGACGAGGCGAAGGAAAAGCTGAAGCAGATCGAGAGAGAGCGCCAGGAGAACCGGCATCGCGAGCCGGAACTCAAGGAGAGAGTGGGAGACGCTAAGAAGGCATTGGAAAAGATTAGAGAGGACATCCAACGGAAGCAGAGCGAGATTGACAATGTTGAGGCGAGAATCAAGCGTCTCGAAAGAGACCGCGGCTCGCCCTATGACGCATATGAGGCCAAGGTCCCTGATCTCCTCAGCCTGATCGCCAAGGAGAACCGCTTCAAGGACAAACCAATCGGACCCCTGGGCACTCATATCCAGCTGCTCAAGCCCCAGTGGTCTTCCATCCTCGAGAAGACGTTCGGTGTCAATCTGAACGCGTTCATCGTGACCAGCAAAAGCGATGAATCACTCCTCCGGGAAAAGATGGACCGGCTCAATATTCGGAACTGCCCTGTTTTTATATGCAGCCGGCATCCGATTGACATCAGCGGCAAGGAGCCCGACCCTGAATACGATACCATTCTCCGGGTCCTCAAGATCGATAACCGGATGGTACGGGATCAGCTCATTATCAACCACATGATCGAGCAAGTCGTATTGATCCCTGAGCGTGCACGAGCGCAGCAGGTCATGTTTGACGGCGCGCCGCCGCGGAATGTCAAAGCATGCTTATGCTGCCACGACCGGAAGCGTGGCGAAGGCCTTCGGCTGACCGCGAGTAACAATGGTAACATCTCTACCAGCCCGATTCAACCGAATCCCCATCTGAAGCCCCGGATGAAGACGGACTCGGGTTCGCAGGTTGCGCTTTTAAAAGAATCGCTGCAGCAATTACAGACCGAGTACCGGGGCATTGAGGCTGACAGGCGTCGACTCCAACATGACTTTCAGCGCTTCCAAACGGCACTGAGTCAGCTCGACAAGGAACGACAAAAGCTCCGGTCAGATGAGACAGAGGCTCGCAGTATGGTTGAGAGGCTCGAGGACGAAGTGGAGCTCCTCGGTCGGGATGGTGGCCGCTTACAAACATTGAAAGACACGCTCGAGAAACTTAAGGAAGAGCTCAACCACGCCGGTATTCAATATGGCATGCTAAGTGCGAAGAAACAGGACAAGAACGTTGAGCTGAAGGAGGCGGACAGGAAGTTCAAGGAGCAGAAAGTACAGCAGAGGGACTTTGAGGCGCGGCTCAACAAAGCAGAAGCCAAGCTCAAGCAAGCCCGCGAGTTGCAGCGCATCTGCTTGATTGAGAAGAACGGCATCATTGACAGTGTCGCTGACTACGAAGAGCAGAGAAACAAAGCTCAGGGGAAAAAGCAGAGGCAAGAAGCCCGGGTCGACAGCTTGACGAAGGAGGCCGAGATCGTTTGCAAGGGCACGCGCGTCGAAACTCCCGAGGGCGAGACGTACGAGAGCCTCCATAAGCAGTACGAAATGCTCCAGGCCCGGCTCGCCAATGCAGAACGCAGAAGAGGGATGAGCGACCAGGAGGTGCTCAACTACTTTGAGGAAACGAAGAAGATCTATGACAAGGCGCAAGACGACCTCCAGTCTATTGTCAGGACAAACAACCGTCTCAGGACCAGTCTCACCCTGCGCCTCGAGAAGTGGAGGAAATTCCAGCGCTACATCTCGTCACAATCGCGCGCCAACTTCATATATCTGCTCAGCGAGCGCGGTTTCCGCGGCAAGCTGCTCCTTGACCACGAACGGAAGGCCCTGGATCTGCAGGTCGAGCCCGACCGGACCGAAAAGAGGGCAGCCGGACGAAGTACCAAGACGCTTTCCGGTGGCGAGAAGTCATTCTCGTCCATTTGTCTACTATTGGCCATCTGGGAGGCCATGGGTTCGCCACTGCGGTGTCTGGATGAGTTTGACGTGTTCATGGACAACGTCAACCGCGCGATTAGCACGAACATGCTGGTAAGTTCAATCGAATCCTTCGCAGCTTGGGGATAGGGCTAGTTTGCTGATGTGCACTGAGATCACTGCCGCGCGCCGCTCGGTTAACCGTCAGTATATCTTTATCACGCCTAATGCTATCGAGGGACGCAACGCCCTGGACAAAGATGTCAAGATCATTCGGTGAGTCTCGCCCATTTCACAGTCTCGGGAGGACATCTCCAACTGACCCTTCACCAGTCTTAAGGATCCTCGTCAACGCACCCTGGAGGAATACTGATGTACTCGCATGGACACTTGCTATCTGTGCTGCGCGACTGTTGACTATTTACCTGTTGGATTGCTTGGTCTGTGTATCGCAATCTGTACGAGAGCTTGTAATGATCTTGGGGGTCGGGATGCTTGGTGTCTTGGTCTCTGACTGTTCGGCGTTGAGGAATAGGCCTGGGCAGTAGTTTGAGCTGTATACCTACCTTAGATGGGCACTCACATCCCTTGGACGTGGTGCATGGATGTATTGTATCGCCCCCCGAATATCTACAGGTAGTTATCACATAGGTAACGTTATTGCAGTGAAAACTTTTCGTCGCTCTAATATGCCTTACATGTTCTTACCTACAGCATACTATACATGCATTGTACAATGTTGTCACCTTGGATATGTCGTCCCTTCTTCTATTTTAAAGTTTAAACTTCACTTATTAGATCCTTACCCCCTTACTCCGCAACACGTTCACTGCGGCACTGGCATTGAACCCGACCCACTCTCCAACGGAGCGCAACGCCCCCCCGGCCTGAGCCGCCTCGTCGAGCCGCCGTCTCAGGAAGGCGCGCGTCTCGCGAAACTTGGGCGACTGGTCCGTCGTCTGGAAGAGCTCGGCGGCAGCGTAGATAGCCGACAGCGACGCCCGCTTGGTATACCACGACGGATCCACGGATACGTCTCCGGCGAGGTACAGAATCTCGTCTGCCAAGCTAGCCAATTCTTTCAGAGAAGCCGGCACGTAGGAGGGTTGAGCCATTATCGCGAGCGCCTGTATCACCATGGCCGGTTAGCTGGCCGCTGAAATTCCACTTCCAACCCCAGTGACCAAGTAGAAGTCTTGATTTTTGGGGGGTGTGCTACTGACCTCCTGCCACCGCCCAACGACAGCTTCATTTCCCCTCAGCCTCAACCACGCAAGGGCTTCGACCTTGTCTCCTACAGTTACCGCCGCTGTTTGGTCTACCGCATCTTTAGCTTTCGCCGCTAGTAACGTCCGTTGGGTGTATAAGTGCCAGCGGATCAGACTGAACACCCCATCGGGTAGGATGGATGGACTGATGTCCAGAAGTCCTGTGTCGCGCGCCCCGAGCGCCAGCGCTTCCTGGCTGAAGCCGTGGGATGGGACGTGAACGTAGGCAGCAGAAAGGAGGTTTTGTTCCGCGTGGGTAAATGGGCCTGGAGGAGGGGGGTGGTCGTGGGAGTGATAGCTGCGGTTGGGCGTGAAGAAGATTGCCTGCTGTTCACATTGGCGTTGGCGTGGCCGAGGCAGGAGATCGCATTGCTGGGAGGTAATGATTATAGATCTTGTTGCGCAGGCCGAGGAGCTCCGACATGGAGCTGCTACACTTGGTGTCCCGGGAAGGATGGTCGGCCAGCGTGGACGGAGTAGTATCCGCCGGGCTGTGGTGGCGCCGGCAAAACAAGCCAAAGCAGAAGACGACATTGTGCTATGGCAATGGGGCCGCTCAGACACGGTCGGCGCGAGCAATTGTTTGCTTTGCTGATTGATCAATTGCAGCAAATGCCGCCGTTTGATCGTCTCGGCATGCTCTGCAGTGCTGGTTCTTTGCTGGATGGGGAAAGTGGACCCCACTTATCAACTTAGGTACACTCAGGTAGCACCGCACGTGCACCGTTAGGTTAAGAATGCATCGTTCGATCAACGTTAGCTGTACGGAGCACTCCGTACGGCTCACCTCACTCACCTCATGCCCCACATCTTACTACCCAGGCCACCCTTCCTCGCAGCCAACCGTAGGTGCTTTCAGGTATGTAACCTACGTCCTACCGCGGTCGTGTTCATCGCATCTAGATGCTGTATAGGTATTTCTCTGGGCTACTGTGCCTCACACCCAGTGCAGGCCAACTTGAACTCCGGCTCTCCCTGGGGCCCACTCGGGCCTGAACGGAACAACGGGAGCTCTCAAGGTTCTCTCTCATGCGGGGTCGTATCTCCCATGGAGCCAATGCCTGTGTCCTCCGAGAGGGTGCGAATCGCGCAGCATCCGCAGCAAGGATACAGAGGGAAATTAATGCAAGGCCGCAGCAAGCCGGACGTGAGGTGTTAGGGTATACTACGATGTGCTACCTACTATGGTGAGACAAGTATACATAGAACCGTATGTATCGACTACCTGCAGCAAGGTCAGACAGCCGCTGGGTAGCAAAGCTAGCGACCTGGGAGTGACCGAGTAGAACCGAAGTTGCGAATTACTAGTACCTCCCTACTCAACCCAGAGCGTTGCTGCATGGTCGCCGGGTTCTACCTAGGTACGGCAGGAACCTAATAAGTACGGATGGATCCGTATGCAGCACAAGCAGGTCTACACTCCAGCAGACACCGCCCGCTATCTATCAAGGTCGTACCGCGTACGTACATACCATACTCGCTCCAGGCATCCCCTGCTTCCATCTTAAGGAGCTCCCGTCTAGTTCTCTACCGAGACTCGGAGTGGTCTCATCAACCCAACGCATTCCGTACTGCGTAGAGGAAAGATAGATGTTGGTGCTTTTCTAGAAATGCTTGGTGCGGCGGAGATCTTCACTTTCACAATTCTCTCCGGTAGTGCTGGATCCGTACGGAGCACATTCCCGGGACACTCCACTTCCCCGTTGCCGAAAGGGCCGGGTGAGTCCACTCCGCTGTGCAAGACCTCGGATTCATCACTCAAACGGTACCGCTGCATGTAACTTTGTATTAGCCGATTCCGCCTTGCATTGACCGGTCCCCTGCTTGACTCTGGTTGGTCCAGCGTCAATCACGACGAAGGCGACTCAGCGCTGGGTAATTGATGGCATTCGCTGAGCTTGCTGCGAGTTTTGGCCGGGAAGGTCATGCCGGGCGCTTCACCCCTGTCGACCACGCTGGTGGTAAGCTGCGTGCCCGATCTGAATGGTCGAACTAATTCGATGTGACTCGACATTCCCCGCTAGCAGCAGAAAATTCTCTTCGCTGATAACTTCAATGGCTGACCGCGGGTTGAAGAGCGAGAGAGCATCCAGATTGGGCCGCGTCCGCTCGGTCCGCTGCGTGCACATGCTGTGTAACCGTGCCATGGGTGGGAGGGGAGCTGACTGGAAGGTTGTTGGTGGGCATAGGGCAGGCCAATGCCACCTCTCCGATCTGTGGCCGTAGCGTTGGTTAGTAACTGTACACTGTATTAGCTCTGATGCCTCCAAATGGCCGCCAAACTTGGCGTGGAAGGCTTCAAAGATGGCTGATGAACGGCTGACTGCAACGCATGGCCATGGGGTGAGTCCCGTCTCCTAGGTTCATCTCTGATCGAGAAACATAGCGGGGGACAACACCCCTCAGGCAAACTCGACGCCAGGTACTAGCATGGCGTTTCATGCAGCAGCTCATGGATTGGAAGCTTGGAGACGGATTCCGTAGACCTTATTAGAGAGCTTGCCAGCCATGAGGACCTCCGCCTGAGCACGATCATTGGTGTATGGCGTTAGCTACATCCAAGGCATGGTAGGGCTGTTCCCCACCCCCGAACCCTTGCTTCTTCATCTGAAAGGTACTGTGTATGTGCAGCATGTGTACCCCTAGTGGGGGAGGTACCTTGGAAGATCAAGGAGCTGTTGATGGATGACAAGGCTGTGAAACTGTGCAGCAGTTATACGTTTCTGCGAAGTTCAGCTTCTGGAAGGGAAGGTCGGGGATTGTTTAAAAGTTCAGAGCGAAGACCCCACCCAATAGTCCCTGATTGAACTCGTCAGATGCCATTGCTATACTACCACAGTAGTTGTTCAAGTTTAGAAACCCCTCTCATCAAACGGATACCAGCGTCATCCTCTGGTCTCCATGCGAGTTTAAGACAGTAGTAGCCAAAAACATGTGAAGTAGGTAGCCGGCTTGAACCATTAGGAACCCCGCATGATTGATGCCTTGGCCCTGAAAAAGCTCACTTTGCTCGATGACCCCGGGTTGCGAGAAACCTAAGTGATGCACCTCATCACTGCTGGATAGAGGATCGAGCGAAAGGCTTGTCCTTCTTTATTACGGCCAGTTCCGGAATATGTTTGGGTCATAACTTAAGTACAGTACTAATATACCGAGTGCCCGTCGTACATTACTGTATCTTCCGAGTCCGTTAAGCACTCCGTTAAGCCCCGTTTCCTCGCGCATTTGTTTTAGCTTCGTTCAAGTGTGAACTGTTCTTTCTTGCCAAAACGAACTCCGACCACAAGCAAACGTTCCTCATCAGCCTGCCTGCAGCCCACCCAGCTTCCGATTGCTTCGCGCCCGCCGCCCACACACACAAACCCAGCTTCGACCCCTCTCAATCCCGCATTACCATTTGTGGCCTCGGCGTACGTATCTGCCAAGGGATCCACCAGGCAGGCCTTGCATCCTTGACGCCTGCTGGGCCACAGTCGGACACGCGTTTGCCTGCCTTGCCCACCCTTGCTCACGTCTTTACTCTGCTTGGTTCCCAAACACAGGTACGGAATTACCGGTAGCCTTTCTATCGGCGGTCAGCTGTATGCGGCGCGAACTTTTTACGCTGACTTTCCGGTTGTCACTATCTCCAGAACTGTACCCCAAGTCTACTTCGATATTGCCTCCCTGGACAGCCGGTTCCGCAGCCCTGTCCTGTCTCGGCCTTGCAGCGCGCCTTCAACCTTTCAGGTTCGAATTGGACGGACATTCGCCTGTCCGGCTTGGCTGGATGCTGACCGATATCCCAGGTCAAACGAAGACCGTCTGGACCGACGACTCCTTGGTCTGTTGTGCGAGGTTGCGTACAGACCTTGTCCTCACCTGCTGCCGCATCCCCCGCCGAACCAGCCAGCCAGCCCGCGTTGCGGTTAGTTAGCCGGACAGCTGCCATCGAGAACCACCGCAATCGTCGCGTCACCGAAATTTTCCCTCCATCAAGCGGATAAGTCCCCAGAAAAAAATCGATTCCCTATCACGAAGATGGGTAAGTACGAGAGTGAATTGCACACCCTCTCACACCAAGACCATTCTCCTCACAGCCTTCTCCCCTTTCCTACTTCAAACTGTTCAAAACCAAGACGCCTCTGCATTCTTGCAACGACCGTTATCGTGAGCATCCCCCAAATGTCTCGATGACGTGTTACCGCCGCCTGTAACCCTCCCAATCTGCCGTTCGGCACCTGGGTCGTTTTCACGCGCGTTGCGCTTGAGCGGCAGTCGATGCTGGCTGAGGTGGTGTTCCTGCCCGTCAAGCCTCGCTCGCGTTCTTCCACTCACGGCGCGGCGCGCTGCTGCAGTACCTTGCGTCCCTCCGACATACACCTACATGTACGGATGTACATTCACGCAAGCAGACCCCTTCCCTCGGCCTGCCCTGCATGTCTTTCCCTTCCTGATCCACCCTCGGGTTCACTCTCTGCCTTCCCCCCCGCCGCGGAAACCCCAACTACTAGTACTTACTACCCGTACTACCCTCCCTCAAATTGCCACTCCTCTCAATTGCTTCACTCTTCTTCCCACAGTCCCCCTCCACCTCCCCTACTTCCGACCTCACACTTTTTTTTCACCTTTCTCATTGAACTCGACTTTTCTAACTCGTTGGTTTCTCTGCAGCCGATTCCGGAGACACTTATCGTCCGGTGAGTACTACTTTCCTTTTTTCCCTCATTCCATCTTTCCATGAGTTGCAATCCAACCTCGACCTTCCGACCCCCCTCTGCTCCCGTCATTTCGGCCAGGGAATGTGTTTGTCGATGCGGGCCGTGCTCAAGGGCCAAGGGCGGCATCGTTCGCGGGGGTCGGTCGGTATCCACACTTTCGCTACATCTCGTGGATCGGAGGATCGACCGCCCCGCCATGCGACTTTGAAGCGTCAGTTGCGCATGACAATTGCTAGCTGGTGATGGTCACGGTATCGGCCCACTCAAGTTGGCGTGTTGCGTGTATCCGACTGGAAGACCGACCCGGCCCGTATCATTTTCATTCCAACCAAAACCATCGAGACTCGGACACCCACTGACATACCACAGCGCGAGAGGTCCCGTTCTCCTCGGAGGGGACGTTCAAGAAGTCCCAACGGTCGACGGTCATACTCGCCTCGTGACCAGTCGCAGGGTCAGCGCCGAAGAAGAAGTCGGTCTCCTATGACTGGACAGGGTTCAGCTACTGGCGGAACAGGTTCTGGATACAGCGGAGCTCCCAACCGAAACTACGAGGAACGTGCGCAGCACCGGGAGCAAGTCATGAACAACATACGGGAGACATCGCAGCAAGACCGCCGCGTCTACGTCGGCAATTTGTCCTACGACGTCAAATGGCACCATCTTAAGGACTTCATGCGACAGGGTGGGCTTCCGACCGACAATTTTAGCTGCAATGCTACCCCAGCACGCTGACATTGTTGTTTTAGCTGGAGAGGTCCTCTACGCCGATGTGTTGCTTCTTCCCAATGGAATGTCGAAGGTGGGCGCCTACGAGTGATTTGGCTGGTTCTTTTTGTGGTTCCTCTCTCTCGGCTTTTTGATGGATTGTTGGGTTGACGGGTTGGGACGACGTCCGATGTGATTTTAGGGATGCGGGTAAGTTTATCGTGGCATGCCTTAGCGTTTCAGCGTACATTGCTGACAGCATCTCTTAGAATTGTGGAATATGCCACGAGGGAGCAGGCACAGCAGGCCGTTGCGACACTTAGCAACCAGAACCTGATGGGCAGACTCATCTATGTCCGAGAGGTAAGACTCGCCAGCCCTGAAGTCATAATTGGCATGTCCTGACTGGAGGCAGGATCGTGAGGCGGAGCCTCGATTCGGTCCCCCCGGCGGTGCCGCTCGCGGCGGCTTCGGTGGTGGCATGGGAAGCCCTTACGGCGGCGGCGGCAATTTCAACACCGGCATGGCTGGTGGCGGCGGTCGCCAGATCTACGTCTCAAATGTCTGTCACCTCTCTCTCAACCCAATACGAAGCGCCTCTTGTATTGACGAAGTTTACCACAGCTGCCTTTTAATGTGGGCTGGCAGGATTTGAAAGACCTTTTCCGACAGGCTGGTAAGTAGACAGTTCATCTAACCGTTATGCAGACTGGTATGCTGACCGTGTTCTCCTCTGCAGCTCGCGCAGGCGGCGTTATCCGCGCGGATGTCCATCTCGGCCCTGATGGCAGACCTAAGGGCTCCGGTATTGTGGTTTTCGAGTCCCCTGAAGACGCCCGCAACGCCATTCAGCAGTTCAACGGCTATGACTGGCATGGTCGGCTACTCGAGGTCCGGGAGGATCGTTTTGCCGGCCCGGCTATGGGCGCCGGTGGCTACGGTCGCGGCGGTTTTGCTGGAGGACGTGGAGCATTCGGAGGCGGCTATGGCCGCGGTGGATTCGGCGGCCGCGGTGGATTCGGTTATGGTGGTGGACGTGGCGGCTATGGCGGCGGCGTTGGTGGTTTTGATGGCGGCAGCGCCTCAGTACCCCCCAATCCGTTCACTGACCACGCTACATCGGGTGTCGAAAAGTGCGACACGATCTATGTCCGCAACGTAAGTGTCACCATGTCCTTTCCCCGTTCCACGTCTGGTCTTCGGCTGAACCTTGCGCAGCTCCCCTGGTCGACGAGCAACGACGATCTGGTCGAACTCTTCTCCACAATCGGCAAGGTCGAACAGGCCGAGATCCAGTACGAGCCGAGCGGTCGATCTCGCGGTAGTGGCGTGGTCCGCTTCGATAACGCAGACACCGCAGAGACCGCCATCTCCAAGTTCCAGGGCTACCAGTACGGCGGTCGCCCTCTCGGGCTGAGCTACGTAAAGTATCTCACCCCGGGCGGTGGTGACAGCATGGACACCGATCCCCACGGCGGCCTTACGCAGGACCAGATCATGTGAGAACTGCGACGATCTGTTCTATATCGGATTTTCAAGGGAGGGGGGAAATAATCTCGGCTTACGGCAGCGTGCAGTCTTGGGGTTTTTACTCTATGCTCGCACAACATCCATCGCCCCTCTTCTATGACTGATCAGCTCGGAACCTCAAATCTCATCTACATGGCATGTCCCAATGCACCATTGTTTTTTGTACTTTTCCTTCGGCTCTGAGACGTTTGTCATGATTTCTTATCTCATGTTCCTAAACGGCGCAGGGGCACAATGACCAGATCCGGGGCACCTTGGAGCGCCCGGCTACACCAAAACTTTATCCTACGCAGGGCTTGTTTTTCTCGAGGAGGACATTTCGGTTCCGGAAGAATGAGAAGAGCGCCCTAGAATCGTGCTCCCATATTCGGCATCCGGTAACTCGCATCGCAAAAGTTTGGACGATGGCTTGGCTTGTAGGGGCTCTGCGTTTCTCTGGCACCGCAGAAAAGGGAAATCGGAGGGCTTACCCCTAGAATGTATCGTCGAATATGCATCTGATTTCCCGTTGACGGCGGTGTTCGATGGAAGGGCATCGGGTAGTGGTAGGCGTGTCTACCGGTAATGGTATCGTCGTGCGCAAATGGGCTGGCTCGAAGCGGTTTGGCAGGCTTTGGTGAGTTCTCACGGTGAAACGTAGGATTGGTCCGTTCCCTGAACTGGTGCAGGGCAGGATAGGTATCAGCACCTCGGTGTATCTGGCTGACGGCGTATGTGCGGATAACCGGATTCCTGTTAAGATACCCCCAAGGTTAGACGGTGTGTTGCCGAGTCCCATCTTACTATACCGTTGCTGGATGATGACGGTCGTATTTGGTAGGGCGGTTGCTCCTTTGATAACTAGGCCCAACGCCTCGGTAGACATTGGGAGCACGCTACATGGGCAATCTCATGTGCCGATTGGAGGAATGTATGACGACTCAATGTAATAGTATGCCTCTGCGCCAAATACGGCGGACATCTTGAGCCTGGAAGGCACGCTTGCAAATGCAGGATCCCTAGCTGATGAGCACTTCGCTACCCAATAGTAGTAGCAACATCAAGCCTTGATGGTTGGCAAGGGATCTGTGTGTGACGTGCCCTCCTCTCCTGCAGTATTGATGGAAATGGTTCCCTGGCGCTCTGAGACTTGCCTCTTCAGCCGAAGGCGAGAATGTGTCGTTCCCATTCCTGACTTAGCATACAAAGTGTCTCTTGACTGGCGCCCTGGCAGAATATGATCGCAGCAAGAGACCGGTGACGAACTTGCGGAAGATGTTCTTTAGGCATATCTAACCCTTTCGTCAGCTGAGCACCACTCGGTTTGGGTAGTCAGACTTTGAGGGACAGCAGCGCGGAGTGGACGAGTATCGGAGTTCTGTTGTACTTCGTAGCACCATTCTGCTGGCCGAGTCCACAGGTCCAAGCCTTCTAACCGCCGCCGTTGCGGCTCACCGAGCTTGAGTAAGGCCTTATTCTGCCTCTCGACCTGGATTCCTTCTGAGGCTAGCGTCCGCTCGTAGCTCAAATCGTTCCAAGAAAGCAAGGCCATTGGTCTCGGCAAATGCAACTGCCAGCGACAGAAGGCGAGATGTACAGTATCAATGCCCTCTCACCCCAGCAACCAGACGTAATTCCAGGGAACCTAATCGCAGGATCCGTCGCTCCAGCGGCTGTACTGCAACAGACCACAAAATCCTGTAAACCGAGATCACGAAGCGGGAGTTCCCGCAGCCCCAATCTTCCTCTTCTTGGCCTTCGCCTTCCTCTTGGTTCGATCCCTCGGCTTCAGTGCTGCCATGCCCGCCTTACACACCTCTGCATACCGTGCATAAAACATGTCCAAGTCTTGAGGCTGCACTACAGTAGACAGCTTGACTTTGGCTGCCCTGTGCTCCTTAGACTTGCCGTTTGTAGCGCGTATGAGGATGGGGAGAGGTCGTGGCACGTAGAGGTCTTCGAAGGAGTCTGATTTTGATGCATAAGTTTCTTCTTGGTTGAAGGTGACTTGGAGGGGGTCAGTGGGTGACGGAATAGAGAGTTAGGGAGGTGGAGGGCTCACGTCTCTTTTGTGTTAGGTACACTGCGCCGTGAGCTTTGTTCTTGCGGGTACTGAAGAGATCGGCGAGTCTGGTAAAGAACTGCGAAGTAACAGTAAGTTCATGATCTCTGAGTTGGTTTATACCTCATTACATACCTCGTCATGTGTTAGGTGGCCCATTCTGAATATACTTTGTTGGGGAGATGATGAGTTCACAGCTCCCCACCATGTTGGAAAGTTGTGGTGCAGTGGGATTGTACTAATGACCCACTATTAAATGTGGGGGAGGCCCACATTAGCAACTGCTAGGTTGTCGAGAACTCGAGCCCCACGCCAGCCCTATCGATAAGAAAAAGTTCACGATCAACTGCATGTGAGATCGAGATTGTCCCCTGGAGATTGGGAGTCCATCGAATTAAACCATCGCTTACCTAGGTATCCAGACGGAGCTTGGGGCAGGGAGAATGGCGCCTCCGAAAATAAAAAAGCCCGCGCTGCCACTCAACCTTCTCAAAGAGCTTGGAGTCTCAGGTCAGACTTTCCTTTGGAATCCTCGCATTGGAATCAACGCTTACACGGATGCAGAGTCGAAACCGGGCCAGGGACGTGCGGGTGGAAGAGCACAGGTTGTGTCGAGAAAGGAACGTCGCAAAGCGGAAAGGAAACAGACCAAAGTCAATCATGCCACGGCTGTCCGAAATCATACTAGCGAGCGACCGGGGCCGAATCGCAACGTCAATCTTCCACAGAGAGCAAACGGTGCAAGAGCGAAGCATGGGGCAGTGACTGGCGGTCTGAAATCCATTCTGAAGAACACACGACGAGATTCCGTGCAAGATGACGAGGAGTTGGATGATGTGGACGAGGATATAGGGGACGAGGGTGGCAGCGAAGATCTGCTCTCGGATGGGGTGCTTGACGAAGGCTCCGAAGACGAGGAAAGCGAGATCGGAGGCCTTGAGGACGAGGCCATGGATACTGCACCGAGGAGAACTCTGTCGAAGACCACAAAGGAGAAACTCGCTCAGGATGACGCCGAGATTGCGGAGCTCGAGAGGAAACTTGGCTTAAGGAACCGCAAGACGCTCCCACAGTCTTTCAAGGATGACGGCCTTGGTGACCTTTTATATGGCTTGGATGGCGGTCCTGGCGAAGAGAAACAAGAGAAGAGGAAGCGCAAAGCAGAGGCGGAAGAGTGGCTTGCCCAAAAACGAAGGAAGGCTGAAGCAGCATTGGCCGCCCGGAAGCAGCAAGAACCCCGCATAAATGAGAGCGATGAGGACGATAGTGAAATTGACGATCATGATGAGGATATGGATGAGTTTGACGAAGACGATCTAACGGACACCGAGTCGGAGGAGACTGAGCTCGATGAGGACGATATGGAAGAAGACGGCATGGGAAAAAGTCAAGACGATTTTGAAGGGTTCGAATCCGACAACGAGCATATTGCGGAAGCACCTCCGCAGAAGCGTGCCCGTGAAAATCCTTACGTTGCCCCCATGACGGGGCAGCCTGCCAAATACGTCCCACCATCGTTGCGGAAAGAGACGGGTTCAGATGCCGAACTGGCCGCTCGCATCCGCCGACAAACACAAGGTCTTGTCAACAGGATAACGGAGTCGAATATGTTAAGCATCATGTCCGAGGTCGAGAAGCTCTACAGAGAGTATCCCCGGCAGCATGTCACTTCTTCCCTCGTGGATTTACTGCTCATCCAGGTGTGCGATCCAACGAGTCTGCCAGACACGCTCTTGATTTTGACAGCTGGCTTCGCCACTGCGGCTTACATGGTGCTCGGAACGGACTTCGGTGGCCAGTTGATCCAGGAAGTGGTGGGACGTTTTGAGAAGTACTACGAGGAGGCCAGAGTCGCTGCCTTGGAACGGCCGGACGTACCGAAGCAGACCTCAAATCTCATCACTTTCATCTCGGAGCTCTACACCTTCCAGCTTATTGGTCCCAACCTCGTCTTCGACTACATTAAGATGCTGTTGGCGAGTCTCTCAGAGCTCAATGCCGAGCTTCTGCTTCGTGTGGTGCGGATGTGCGGCCCTACCCTCAGACAAGATGACCCTATGGCGCTCAAGGACATTGTTTCCTTGATCCCTCCCGCCGTCGCCACAGCAGGGGAGAAGAACCTCACTGTCAGGACAAAGTTCATGATTGACACCATTACCGACTTGAAAAACAACAAGATGAAAGCCGGGGTTGGCGCGTCAGCAGTCATCTCGGAGCACATCACTCGTATGAAGAAGTTGCTGGGCCAGCTGAAGTCGAGGAAGCTGAAATCCACAGAGCCTATGCGGGTGGGCCTCAAGGATATCCAAGATGCCGACCAAAAGGGCAAGTGGTGGCTAGTCGGCGCGAGTTGGGCAGGCCGATCGACCAGTGACAAGGGGACAGAGAAGCATGCAAGCACAGAGCAAGAAGATAGCGACGGTGAAAGCATCGTCTTGGGTGATGTCGATCAGGGGCCAGACCTGGCGGAATTGGCGCGGGAGCAAGGAATGAACACCGAGGTTCGGCGTTCTATCTTCGTCTCCATCATGTCGGCCATGGACTACCAAGACGCCTACTTCCGTATCCTCAAGCTCCGACTCAACAAAGAACGCCAGCGGGAGATACCTAATGTCATCATTCGCTGTGTCGGCGCAGAACAACACTACAACCCCTACTACACGTTGGTCGCCAAGAGGTTATGCTCAGAGCAGCGCGAGGTCAAATGGGCGTTTCAAGCCAGTCTCTGGAAGCTATTTGGGAGGATGGGGGAGTCCGGTTTCGACGAGGATGAGGTGGAAGATGACGAGGAAGATGAGGCCATAGCCATGAGGCGAATTGTCAACACGGCCAAGATGTTTGGTGCACTTGTTGCTGGCAACAATCTGGGCTTGGTTGTTCTCAAGCGACTAAACCTCTTGTATCTGCAAAAGAAGACGCGGGACTTTGTCGAAGTCATGCTCGTCACTGTCCTGCTCGAATGCCAGGGCAACGAACAGCCAAACGAGACGATTGCCAAAGTCTTCGGCACTGTCGAGGCGGCACCGGAATTGGCGAGGGGTCTGCAGTATTTTCTTAAGAAGGTCATCCGAAAGTCTGACTTGGCTGGTGCGAAGAAGAATACGAAGCTTCTCAAGGAGGGATGCAAGATGGCTGAGGCGGTTGTCCAGGCCGCGCTGGTCAAGGCCGAGGACCTGGTATGAGGTTGATCGATCCCTTATCACCCTGAAAACGCCGTAAGGCAAGGATAGTTTCCCCGTATATAGCTCGCAGAACTAGGATACCCCAAGCCTTCCGTGCCGATTGATGTTGGTCCTGGCGAGGTCTGTTGGCGGCGCTGCAGTGATTTTGATTCGCGGTCACACTGGCATATCATCTATTACCTGATGCACACCTAGAAGAGAAACGTCGTGGAATCAGCACGAAGACATCACCAGTCACGGGGTGCAGTCAAGATGCGGTATTTGGCGGCTTAGAGCGGGTATTCGGAGCTGACGGATGGGTGTTGGCAAATTGGCAGGCCGGTCCGGCGTTTGAGAGGCGAGCGGCGCTCCAGCTAGCGGCATCGGCCGGGCCAGTGCTCGACCCTGACCAATCATAAGCCCAGCCTGCCTTTGCTTTGGGGGGACGGCATCCCAATGGAAGGCCCTGCGAACGGGCATTTTTTCGATGCCTTCAGCGCAGAGGTTCCAAGCAATCCGACCCAACAAACTTCCCTGACGCAGCCGCCACGTTCCCGACCTTCCCATCTGCCCTCGGAAATCCCTACATCCTGGTTTCCTATAGATCGCCTTGGCCCGTCAGTCGAGTAATCACAGTCAAGATGCTGTCTCAGAGAATACTAGGCCGCACCGCGGTCAAGTCCGCATTCAAACCGACAGGGTAACGCTCTGTCTGCCCCCTAATGGGAAATGGTTCCTGTTGGCTGACTCCTGCTTAGTTTGCCCTCAATTGCATCCGCATCCAGGTGGAGGCGGACCTATGCTACCGAAGCTGGTTAGTGATTATGATTGAGATCGGCATTGAGGACCTGAGGCTGACACTTCGTTGCAGAGGCGAGGGATCTCGTCATCATCGGTGGTGGTGTCGCCGGCTACGTCGCGGCCATCAAGGCTGGCCAGGAGGGCATGAAGGTAAGGCTGAGGATGCACCAAATGCGTTTGACGGTGATCCGGAGCTTAACGCGCCTCGAAACAACAGGTTACATGTATCGAGAAGCGTGGTGCCCTCGGCGGTACCTGCCTCAACGTTGGCTGCATTCCATCAAAATCGCTACTCAACAACTCGCATCTCTACCACCAGATCTTGCACGATACAAAACATCGCGGCATCGAGGTCGGCGACGTCAAGCTCAATCTCCAGCAGCTAATGAAGGCGAAGGACCAGTCGGTCTCGGGCCTAACCAAGGGTGTCGAGTTCTTGTTCAAGAAGAACGGCGTGGAGTATATCAAGGGCACCGGCTCGTTCCAGGACGAGCATACCGTCAAGGTGCAACTCAACGACGGCGGCGAGACGAGCGTTGTCGGCAAGAACATCCTTATCGCTACCGGCAGTGAAGTCACCCCGTTCCCCGGCCTCGAGATCGATGAGAAGACGGTCATCAGCAGTACTGGCGCCATTGCGCTTGAGAAGGTGCCCGAGAAGATGCTCGTCATCGGGGGTGGTATCATTGGTCTCGAGATGGCGTCGGTGTGGTCGCGGCTGGGGTCTAAGGTCACCGTAGTCGAGTTCCTGGAACAGATTGGCGGTCCCGGCATGGACACCGAGATTGCGAAGAACATCCAGAAGATCCTGAAGAAGCAGGGTATCAATTTCAAGACGGGTACCAAGGTGGTGGACGGCGACAAGACGGGCGATGGTGTAAAGATCAATGTGGACTCGGCCAAGGGTGGCAAGCCCGAGACGGTGAGTTTCTTTTGCCGATGTTGATCCATTCATGACGTCTAGGACATGACTGACTTGCCTACAGCTCGATGCCGATGTCGTTCTCGTCGCGATCGGCCGCCGTCCGTACACGGCAGGCCTCGGCCTTGAGAATATCGGCCTTGAGCTCGACGAGCGGGGCCGCGTGATCATCGACTCCGAATACCGCACCAAGATCCCCCACATCCGCTGTGTTGGCGATGTTACCTTCGGGCCCATGCTTGCGCACAAGGCTGAGGAGGAGGCTGTGGCGGTTGTCGAGTACATCAAGAAGGGCTACGGTCACGTCAACTACGGCTGCATTCCCGCGGTTATGTACACCTTCCCCGAGGTGGCCTGGGTCGGCCAGTCTGAGCAGGATCTCAAGAAGGCTGGTGTCCCTTACCGCGTCGGCACCTTCCCATTCAGCGCCAACTCTCGCGCCAAGACAAATCTGGACACGGACGGCATGGTCAAGATGCTTGCTGACCCCGAGACGGACCGGCTACTTGGCATCCACATTATCGGCCCCAACGCCGGCGAGATGATTGCTGAGGGTACCCTGGCGCTCGAATACGGTGCGTCGAGTGAGGACATTGCGCGCACCTGTCACGCACACCCGACGCTCGCGGAGGCATTCAAGGAGGCGGCGATGGCGACGTACTCTCGGCCGATCCACTTCTAAGTGAGCTCGATTTGGGTTGGGGCGCAGCGTTTCTTGTGTATCTTGTACTTTAGCTTGTTTTTCCCTCCTAGGGCATCGTCGGTAAATGGACTCGGCCGGCTGGCGAGTATTGAACGCTGAATCTAATTTACCGAGGCAGGCGAAACAGCGAGCTTTGAATTTGGTGCTCCGAGAGGGTATCTTTAGATGATGGATGGGGTTCAAGGCATGCTGTAGTATGATATCTCGCGGAAAGATAGAGGTTCGATTTGTTCTTATTGGCAAGCCGTTGAGCATCGCTTTGGGCCTTGTTTTAAGAAAGATTAAGATGAAGCACCTAGTACTTGTTGACACCGTGGTCGATCGGTGATATGAGGCGATACTTGATACCATGAGAAGCAAAATAAATCAAGAGGTCCATGGGCTGTTTTTGCTTCTCACTGCCCAGTCAATTCTTGTATAACATTCCTACTTAGTACTGGTAAGCTCCCGATGCACCCCCCAAGTACCTGTGTGCGTCTAGTACTATGTCGCTCTGCTGCTATAGAACCCTAACCCAGGTTCTCATTTTTACCCCTGTTCTGGCAAAACAACATCAGCCAGAGAAACGAGTACACGCGAACGACGACCCACATCCGGAGGTGACCCCGATTGTGGTATGATCTGCCGAACACTCCTTGCATTTGGGATCTAGGTCCCCATCCCCTCGTTGAAGTCGTTCGCTTTCCTTATCTTCTCGTTGTGCCAGACGACGTCCTAAGAGGACGGCAAAGTCGAGGAAAGTGACCGTGGTATACGCTCGCGGCGGTCAAAACGGGCAATTTCAGCGCCAGATTTGCCATCTCAAATCTCAATCTCGGCTTCGCCAAGGTTGGGCCCCGCCTAGTGTGTACGGTGAGGTAGCCATTGACGGCTTGACATTCATTGCTTTGGCTTTTTTATCCCAAGTCGGGTTTCGTTAACATCTCCATCACTCGGCTCACCCGGCCTCAAGTGTAACGAAGCGCAATGGCTACTTCCACGGCTTCCCCGGCCATAGGGGCTTCGCTAGGAAGCCGCGAGCGGTCATACCCCGTCATGTCACGCCGCGAAATCGAGGCCCTGATAGCTGAAGGAAAGCTGGTCTTCATCCTGAACCAGTATGTCATCAAGGCGGATGCCTGGAGGAAGTACCACCCCGGAGGAGACAAGGCTATCATGCATATGGTGGGAAGAGATGCAACGGACGAGGTGACATGGTGAGTTTCTGGCCTTGGAATGAAGGCGGCGGCGCATATTCTGACTGCCGTACTACAGCCTTCACTCGGCGGAGGCCCGCCGCATGATGGACAAGTACCGCATCGGAAGGATTGAGGGCCGCTGGAAGAACTTCCTGCCACCTATCCAGGGCGGGAAGTTTCGGCCGAGGCTTGCGGACGGGGAGCGGGAGCACGAGGAGGAATACGACGCCAGCTTAGTTCCGCGGCCGGCCAAGGAGGAGTTTGCGGCGTCCTCGAGTGACCGTAGTTCAAGGTCGCCCTCCCCCTCACCGATCTTCGAGACCAACGAGGCCGGGCCGGGTAGTGGCCTCCGCAGCCGTAAGACCGTTTTGTCGAGATCGGACTCGATCACCTCGCTTTCCTCGGTCGAGGATGCGAGCACGACAGGGCCGGCTGACGGCATGGCGCACCTCGATGTTCTCACGCGGAAAGAGATCAAGCTCGATCTCGACAAATACCCGTCTCTCGACCTGGCCACGCAGGATGCCATCGTGAAGAAGTACCGTCTCCTGCACGAGCGCGTCAAGGCCGAGGGTCTGTACGACTGCAATTACTTGGCGTATGCGATCGAGGGGGCGCGCTACTCCCTCTTCTTCGGTCTGATGTTGCTCTTCCTGCGCTGGGAGTGGTACGTCACCAGCGCCTTCTTCCTCGGCTGCTTCTGGCACCAGCTCGTCTTCACCGCCCACGACGCCGGGCACATGGGCATCACGCACAACTTCCAGGCCGACACGGTGATCGGCATCATCATTGCCGACTTCCTCGGCGGGCTGTCTCTCGGCTGGTGGAAGCACAACCACAACGTGCATCACATCGTGACCAATTCGCCCGAGCACGACCCGGACATCGAGCACCTGCCCTTCTTCGCCGTCTCGCACCGCTTCCTCGGCAGCCTGCGCTCCACCTACTACGAGCGCGTCATGCACTATGATGCGGCCGCCAGGTTCTTCATCCGGCTGCAGCACCATCTGTACTACGTCATCCTCCTCTTCGGCCGCTTCAACCTCTACCGGCTGTCGTGGCTGCACCTCCTCGCGGGCAAGGGTCCCAAGAAGGGCGCGGCGGCGTGGCACCGCTGGCTGGAGATCGCCGGGCACCTGTTCTTCTGGGGCTGGTACGGCTACGGCATCCTCTACCGGAGCATCGACTCCAACTGGGATCGCTTCGTGTTCCTTATCGTCAGCCACTTGGTCACGACGCCGGTGCATGTGCAGATCACGCTGTCGCACTTCGCCATGAGCACGGCAGATCTGGGCGTCGACGAGTCGTTCCCGCAGAAGATGCTCCGCACCTCCATGGATGTGGACTGCCCGGAGTGGCTCGACTTCTTCCACGGCGGGCTGCAGTTCCAGGCGATCCATCACCTGTTCCCTCGCGTCCCGAGACACAACCTGCGCAGGGCCCAGCGGCTGGTGCAGGAGTTCTGTGATGAGGTCGGCATACCGTATGCGCTGTACGGGTTTGTGGATGGGAACAAACACGTCATTGGGAGGCTGGCGGACGTGGCCAAGCAGGCCGCCATCTTGGCCAAGTGCCAGAGCGTGATGATGGGGGCCGAGAAGGGCCATGACCATCACCACTAGGCGGTTTCACCGGAAACGATGTCGGGGTTCGGTATCTTGGGAGTTGTTTAGTTGCTTTGCTCATAGCAGAGTAGTTTGGCATATCTGGCGTTCGCGTTACGTTCCGCATTCTGTTTCTTCATCATGTCTCGAGAGTGTTAGTGCGATTTGCTATAGACTACGGAGTACCTGAGTTACTCACTTTTAGCCAACCGGTTTGTTGTTTGTGTGCTGTGATTCGCCGGATTTAATGCAATCATATCCGGGACATTGTTGGCATCAAACGCTTTTCACACAGTACACCGCGCGCGAGTGCGTCAAAATGATTGTTTTCGTTCGAGCGGGGGTTAAGGTGGAAGTGCGGACGCATGGAGCCGACGGGGTAAGGCACCCGGTGGTGACGTTGTGTAACGAGGGCAATGTGTAGGAGCGGAGACCCCGGGATCATCCCATGTGCTGCATGCGGTATGGTAGTACTGGACAACGGCCATAGATTTCGACCTCCCAACCGGTTGGCCCTTCCTTTCTTCCTTTCGCCAGCGAGTCAAGTTTCCGAGACGTGTTTTGTGGATTGTTCCTCGCTGGAAATCGCCATATCTTGGTTGATTCCAAATTTCTAATGCAGGCCCAGCAACTTCAGGATCTTGCGTTTGGCGTTTGTCCTCGTTACCCGTTGTTGAACTGCCTCGGGTATCGGCCAGCCACAGATGATGGACCTACCCAATAACCGTTTGCCAGCCTTCCCAGCGCCATGGCCGGGGCCTGAGCGACGGTCCGAGTTTCCTATGAGGCTAGCCGTGCTGAAGATAAGATGATCTCCAGGCCGGGGATCGACAAAGCGCATGGCTGACTGACAGTTGAGTAGTATGTTCCTGCTTTTTGGACCCCAAATTTGACACTGACCCCTGTGAGCTGGCACCGCCCGGCCAAGGGGTTGAACACGACAATCACTGTCCACGGGTCTGTTGCAAAATCGCACATCCTGTAAGACCCTTAACGGGTTGGATGGCTCGGTAACTCGCATCCGTTGGCGGTTACTTCGGTCACCAATCACTTCCGGCCAAGGAGGAATTGCTATCGAATCTTCTGCCGAGACCCTTGTCTCTGCCCCGAACGGCGAGGAACAAACCGAATGTTACGGATTCCCCCGGGTTGCTCTGTCTGGCTGGGTGGATGTCGCCAGCCGACGCCCATTTGAAGCTCCACGTTGTGCGGTTCGGCATCCCGCATGTCGTGGTGGCCGTTGCCGTGGGTGTGTCATACCATCTCATATCATCTCGCCGTTCTGGAGGGCATTGGTGTTGGCTTCGGAAGTGTTGGTCACTGTGTCGTGCCAGCAAGAGCCGTTTGGTACTGTTGTGGCGAACAGCACGTGGCCGAATGAAGGACGAGTACTCACACATCTCCTTAGTTCCTGTGCGAGGCCACGGTATAAGTATCGGTTCATTTCCCGCCTCGCCCCTTCACGAATATTTTCCGTTCATAGACTATTCCTACAAACCCACCAGGAAAGCATACGCACAATAAATGCTTGGTCTTCTCACAGACAGGCGAATATTTATTTGTCTTCGCAACGAACACGCCAGCCAGCCGAAATGACCCGGAGCAAGAGCAACATGGACTCGGACGCGGCAGCGCGTATCCGCAGAGCTCGAGGGGAAAAGGTATATCATGTGCCCTCTTCTAACCAACCGCCCTCGTCAACGGGTGGATAAGCGCCTCGCTACTCACCCTGTTGCCAAACCTAGGATCCCTTCAGCAAGCGCGCCTCGGATGCAGCCCGGCGGAATGACCAACGGCCCAAAGACGTGGGCGACTCGTCGTCAAAGAGTGGTGGCAGCAGTAGCGGGAGCAAGGGCGACCAGAAGAGCGGCGGTGGTGAGAAGAAATGAGACAGGTTATGAGGGAAAGACAGCGGCGAAGTGTGGGAGCGCGGGCAGTGAAGGGAGGACCTCCCTAGGCTGGAGGTGCTGAGGGTGTTGAAGTGGCCTGCGGTGCTCTTACGCGCTGGACTAATACCGTTTCCATTTGTGCCAGGTTTCTAGGTTCAGAGGAAGGAGGGGATACGGGCGTTGGGTTGTATCCAACACCTAGATATTTGCAATTTCAGACCCTTGCCTCAATAAGCAGTAATGCTTCAGCCGTGCTTTCACCACCTTAAGTGATTTGAACTGGTTAACACACGGCTCCTTTCTCGCCTCATCGGCCGGTAAAACCATCTCCTTATAACCAACCCTCAGGATCTCCTGGCCAGCGCCGTTTGTTAACGACATGCAATTTCGGCCAAGGCGACCTCTTGCATTTGGCCCAGTGGCGGTTGAAGAAACAGCTGAGAAAACGCGTTTCATTAGAGCATGAGATATAACTACAACTAAACTGGCGAAGATTGTGACCAATGTGCAAGACAAGCTGTTATTAACCGCTGACGTGCCACAGCAGAGGATGGAAGAGCGTTGATTGACACAAAGGCCTCAGCAGTTGCTGGATATGGAAAGTTCAGCAGGACAGGGGTCGCGACCGAGAAGTGTTTCGGGCGCTGTGACGACAGACGACGGTATCAGGGGCTAGCCAGGCCTCCTCCACGGGGTTTCCTACTTGGCGCAACTATGCCGGCAGAACCTGGGAATAGGGACCGGGTCTGAAGCAATACAAGACTGGTAGCCCAACAAGCCCTCGACCTTTACTTCTCGAGATTCTGGGATTATGGGACTGCATTAACAATGAGCTGCTTGATAAGACTTGGATGGATGTTCTCAACTTCTCGGCTTAGAACTTGGATGAAGGCGTGGTGGGTATTTGGTGTTTCCCATGAAATCAGGACTTTAGGGGCCCGAGACACCCTGCTATATTTCGCCGTGAATGCACACTCGGCATACATTCCGCACGTAGTGCAGTGGAGCAAGACAGGACATGAACGATGAGGGTACACGAGATCTATGGGCCGAACCTTGATAGACATGGTGGTGTCAGAAACACTTATCTGCGCTACCATGCTGTGGTACAACTCGAGAAAGAGATTCCGTGTCTCCCATATCGCATCTTCGCATCAGATGTAAAGCGGAGATGTGTCCGTATATCGCCCGAGCAGCACACGCCACAGAAGAGTGCTGAGTGCTGAGTGCTGCTATCTTCAGCAGCGACCGGTTTGGCTAAAGCCGGAAAATCAAAGAAGCAGCGGTGTGGTGGGAGTGGAAGACCTTCCCCCTTTTTCCTTTTCCTTTTCCTTTTCCTTTTCCTAGAAACGTTCAGGGGCACAGCACCCACACTCGTTTCGCGATCGTCTAGTCCCTTCGTTACACCACACTAGGCATTTGCTAACATGGTGGGCGCGGATCGCTACAGCTCACCAGGCCGGTACGAACATATGCGGTACGTCACTGCCTGGGCCAACCATCAGGTTTGACACCCGACGGCCAGAGTGGATGCGGGCCCCGGGATCCGCCACAAGCACAACAGCTTATCGTAGAAGCTAGTCGACACAATTGTCAACTCGCCCTTCGTCCCCGGCTGGCAGTCGCTGCCATAGTTCATGCTTTTGTGCTCCTCAAAGCGGCCAACGACCTTGAACTGATACTCGCCGTCTGCCGTCCTCAGCAGCTCGACGATCCTAGCACCAGCATGCATGCAAGATGCCAGTATCCTTGCTTTCCAGGTGTAGTCCTGGTTAGGCTTGTTCCCCAGGTCAATTAGCTTCAGTCGCCATACCCCGCCACCAAGGCTGCTCTCAGCAAGACCCCGTGGTTTGCCAAAAGGCGGAACCGAGAACAGCCTGATGTGCTCATCATAGCTTCCCGTGACGATGACTTCATGACCGTCCTCTTGCTTGAACAAAGGAAGGATCGCCGTCACCCCGGCACCGTGGCCCCTCGACTCGAGGGCCGGCAAGGACCCAGTGAGATCCCCTTCCTTCCAGTTACAGATCCTGCAGCGCAGTGTGGAATCGTCGCCTCCAGAATACACTCGCGAGGAAAACCCAGGGGACCCTGCTGTCTCAACGGACGGCTCTGGAGCAGCTGGGAACGGGGAGATGGCGACACACCAGGTCTCGAGCATATGCGTGATGACAGGCTCTGGGCTGAGCTCCCAATTTCCATCAAATGAAGGCAGGTGCACAAGGTACACGTGCCCAGTTGAGGTAGTGATGGCCATCATGTCTGCTCGCGTAGGGTGCCAAGCGAACGAGAGGAACAGAATCTCTTGTCCCGGTGACGGTCCGATTTCACCGCGAGACATTGCTGCAATGCCCATCGTGCGGAGATGCATCAGGGGTCGGTCGCCGTCTGGGCAGAGCCTAAACAGGGCAAGAGTGGCCGTGCTTGAGACCACGGCGCAGATGTCACGGCAGCCATCATGAGGGTTGAAGCGGAGATCCAGGAGAGCCGAGGGCTGAGCCACAGTTTCTACATGAATTCTGAAGAAAGATCCGAGTCAGTGTTGCTGAAGATGACCTTTTTGGGATCTAACAAGCACTCACATGGCCCCGTCCAGGATCTGAAATGCGACGATGCTGCCGTTGCGGCTTTGCGGCTGTTTTGGCTGCGCAGGCTCGGCAGGCTGCCCGTCTCGCTCGTCGCCGGAGTCTACATCCCCGTTGCCCGCCCCCGCATTCTGGGTTTGGACCTCAAGGCTATACGTCCCAACAAGGAAATAGGACGGAAAGGCAGGACAAAACTCCACACAGCTAGGTGGAAGGCCCAGAATCTGGGAGCTGATGGATTGGAAAAGCTTGCCATCATCAGTCACCGCCATGTTGACCGCTGAACTGCCGGTGGGAAGACTCCAATGAAGGAAGTCTCCGAAGCCAAGGGCTGTTATCCATAGGCCTGAGTGATCGTCGAGTTGAAGTCAGTATAAGGGGTCCATGTTCACGCTCGTCCTACCTCAATTACGGTGTGCAAAGATTTGCAAAGAGCTGGTTGGCCCCACGCTACCTACTTGGGCTGCATTACGACATTATATGAGGTGGGGCTGTCTTATCGTTTGCAAAGCATCCATCCCATCACCAACCCCACCACTTGACGTACCCTGGACTAGATACCCACACATGCTGCGGCCAAGATCGACCCGCATTGCACTACCGTTCATCGCCCAACCTCAACTCCCCGGTTGATAGCCAGCCTTACCATCATCATTCCTCAGCTGGAGAACCTGCGCTGTATTGATAGTTGACTACTAGTAGTACATCTGATCTGTTCACCGTCGCCAACCTACATACCGCACGCCTCGACGCTGAAGCAAAGCCCCAGTCGGTGTAGCAACGTCCATCCATCAACATCTTCGTTCAAGTTGGTTGTATCGGACACTTCCAGGTTCTCTCTTCCCCCGTTTTCATTGAAGCATGTCCGGCAGGGGCCGAGACTCTCTTTAGTCTTTAGGGGACCAGCGTCATGGATCCCGCGATCCAGCGTGCTCTTAACGACAAACTCTATGATAAACGCAAAGTCGGCGCTCTCGAGTGGGTCAACCTTTCCCTTTGCGCACCGCTGCTTCGGGTCGCATACCCGGACCGTCGCAGCCCCGTGGACACAACTAACTTTGGCACCCCTGAAACAGGCTAGAGCGCGTCATTCGCGAGCTCGTCGCAAAAAATGACTATGCCAGGATCGAGGCAGTTCTCGATCAGCTTTGTAACGAGTTTGCCTATGCCGTTCATCAGCCTCATGCGCGGAACGGCGGGCTGATAGGACTGGCTGCAGCCGCGATTGCCCTTGGTTCGGTACGTTTGCGCGTCCATGGAGCTTCTCCCTTTTCCCGGACCTTGGCCTTGGACCCGTGCTGTGTGTGTGGAGGCGGTTATCGGCTTTCTGCTTACTTGACCGTCGTCTCCCTACGTGACTCTAGGAGCTTCCGAGGTACCTCGAAGTCATTGTGCCGCCAGTCCTCGCTTGCTTCACCGATCAGGACGCCCGTGTACGATACTATGCCTGCGAGGCCATGTACAATATCGCCAAGGTCGCAAAGGGCGAGATCTTGATCTACTTCAACCACATATTCGACGCGCTCTGCAAGGTGAGTCCAACTGCCTGGCCGTTGCCAATGCTCCGTCTCACACGCGCTTCTCTGGTGTTCAGCTTGGTGCCGACTCAGAACTGTCCGTAAAAAACGGAGCCGAATTGCTCGACCGCCTGATCAAGGATATCGTTTCGGAGTCCGCGGCTACCTATGTCTCTGTTTTGGAGCAGCCACCCCCCTATCAGGAGGACGGCAAGGATGCGCAGGACTTCGTCGAGCTGCCGACGGCTTTTTCCCTGAAGCGCTTCATCCCTCTGCTCAGGGACCGGATCCACGCGCTCAACCCCTTTACGAGGACATTTCTGGTCGGCTGGATCATTCTCTTGGACTCCATCCCGGACCTGGAGCTCGTCACATATCTGCCCGACTTCCTTGGCGGTCTCTTGCGCTTCCTGAGTGACTCCAACCGGGACGTCCACGTCGCCACTCAGGGTTGCTTGGACAAGTTCCTCAACGAGATCAAACGCATCGCCCGCATCAAAAAGGGCATTGCCGAAAGCAAAAAGTCCAGAGAAGGGAAGCGCAAGCGGGTGGACTCGATAGATAGTGGCAGCGTGCGGCCCCAGCTTGAGGATGGTGAAGAGCTTGATTCCGAAACCGCCGCCGACGATGACGATCTCGAGAGTGAAGATGATTGGGTTCCGGGACAGGATGTCCAGATCAACTACAAGGCCATCTTAGAGATACTGACTGCGACCCTTGATTCACAACTGGGTGAGTTCTGCCGTTCTCTTCCCGGACGATGCTGAGTGCAATCATTGATAAGTGTACAGATGAGGATGGGTTGTTGGAGTCGCTGCGCTGGATTGTCGAGTTTTTGGATATCTGTCCCGAGGAAGTGCTTCCTTTCACCCCCAAGATCCTGGCTCATCTCCTGCCTGCCATGGCTAGTGGCGTCGAATCGATCCGCCAGGCTGCTGGCAGGGTTAACACATCGCTGATGGACTATGTCGTCTCCCTGTCCGATGAGGCAGACCTGCCGATGGCACCGACATCGCGCATACCGGGCCCGGCCCCGCCAACCGGTGACCGGCAAGATGGGACTAACAGCGCTCGCGCCTCACTGTCTGGTTCGACGAGAGACCTTGAGGTGCGGAGTCCCACGCCGGCTCAGGGAAGGACCGTCCCGGGGGCTCTTACCCCGGCACTCTCTGCTCCTTCGCCCCAACCAGATCTTGACTACGCGGCCGCGGTGAACTCGCTGACCCTACTATTCCTGAATGACCACGAAGCCACTCGCGTCGCAGCACTGACATGGTTGATCATGTTGCATCGCAAGGCGCCGAGAAAGGTCCTTGCCTTCAATGACGGGACTTTCCCCGCGCTGCTCAAGACGCTATCGGACCCTGCAGAGGCGGTGGTAACAAAGGACCTGCAGCTTCTGTCTCAGATTTCGAGGAACAGTGAGGACGACTACTTCACAAACTTCATGGTCAATTTGCTCCAGCTCTTCTCGACAGATAGGAAGCTTCTCGAGACGCGCGGAAATCTCATCATCCGCCAGCTCTGCACAAGCCTCAGCGCCGAGCGCATCTATCGGACCCTGGCCGACTGCATTGAGAAGGAAGAGGATGTTGAATTCGCGAGCATCATGGTTCAGAACCTCAACAACAACCTGATTACCGCACCAGAGCTTGCTGACCTGCGGAAACGGCTGCGGAACCTCGAGAGCAAGGATGGCCAAACCTTTTTTGTTGCTCTGTTCCGCTCGTGGTGCTATAATGCGGTGGCCACGTTTTCCCTATGCTTGTTGGCCCAGGCATACGAGCAGGCCTACAACCTGTTGCAGATATTGTACGTATCCCCACCCAACTTGGTAGACCGGAGATACGCTCACACTTGCCAGCGCGGAACTAGAAATGACGGTCAACATTCTCATTCAAATCGACAAGCTTGTGCAGCTCCTCGAGTCGCCTGTCTTCACCTGTAGGCCTCAGGTATTCTTGAAGTGTGTGTTCCCCGCTAACTAACGCGCTCTCAGACTTGCGGCTGCAGCTCCTCGAACCTGAGAGATATCCGCATCTATACAAGTGCTTATATGGCCTTTTAATGCTCCTTCCTCAGTCGTCGGCTTTCGCTGCTCTTAAGAACCGTCTCAACAGCGTCAGCTCGATTGGCTATCTGCATATTGCGCCTAAACCGTGAGTCTTCCCGATCCCCACCCTCCGCATGTCTTACCCCCTTTACCTTCCGTTCCCCAAATGGGAGCCTTCTACCGCAACCGGACTGACTCCTGCTTCTGCTGTAGGAACGCGACGACTCCGAACGCCCCGTCTTTTGACCGTCCCAACCGCCTCAAAGGCAGAGAAGAAGGCATCATTCGCTGGGGCGAGCTCCTCGAGAAATTCCGCACCGTGCAAGAACGTGCCCGCCGCTTGCAACGCATGGGTGGTGGCGGAGGTGATTTAGACGACCCTGCCGGCGGGGACCTGCGAATCGGTGACGGCGGGATGGAGTCGAAGCCTGGACAGGGCCCGGATGGCGCGGGCCCGGGTACCAGGACCGGACGAGGGCCGGTTCCTGTTGTCAAGGACAGCCCGGCTACGAAGCCCGAGCCGGTGTCGAAGCCTCGCACGGGACTGGGGAGGCAGTTTGGGCGACTAGGAGGGGCGGTGTCAGGGCGAGGCAAGCGCGCCTAGCTTTACCCAATTTCTGACCTTGTGTCGTTTGTGTCTGTGCTGGTTTTTGCCAAGCGTTGAAAGCTACTGCTCGACTGTTGGTCTTGGCTACGTTTTCAATCTCCTCTTCTGACGGTATCTTTCCGGCTCTAGAGCATCAAAACCAACATCGAATCCGTATCGGTGGCGTTGAGTTCCACAACGATACCCCGTCAGGAAGCGACACGGAACGCGCGGATAGCATGATTAGCAAGGGAAAGGGGATAATCAAGGCAGGCCTCCACGGGCTGTGACGACAATCAAGTGCGCAGGTGGACGGATGTCCATAGATTCCCACCATCATATAACCACATGTTTCATTCAGTCCGCTATGCCGCTATCTTCGCGTCAATCCGGATTTTCTCGGCGTCTCTCTCTCCACTAGGCCTTCAAACACCTCGTCTCTCCGTAGCGTCATCCGCAGCAGCTCTGCCCTCAGGCTTTCCAGTTCCTGCCTCGCCTGCTCCGTGTCCGGCGGCAATCCCTGGAACGCCTTGACCTGGGCATCCAGGTCCTTCTTCTGTGCCAGAAGCGACAGATAGCCCTCTTCTTCCTGCCGCACCTGCTCTATGCTCGGCGAGGGCAACCCGCCGACCGACCTCGCCAGCGACGCGACCTTATCACGCAGCTCTGGCAAGCGAGTACAAAGGGCTTTGATACGTCGTTGGGTTTCCAGGTTCTGGATGGAGAGGTTGGGTGGCGGGTGGTAGTTCCCCATTGGTGCCCGAGACCCTTCTTCTTCTTCCGCTTCCCCTTCTCCTTCTGCATCTGATGGGTCACGCTGATGATGGTGAGGATGATGGGGTGAAGGCGGCCGTAACTCGGCCGACAGTTTGGAGATTGCTTCTGCTTCGCGCGAGATGTAGTCTGTGAGAGTGCGGATGCGGGATATGGTTTGCTCGAGTTCAGCGGATCGGGTGGAGAGGGAGATGAGCTCTGAGCCTAAGGTGGCTGGCGTCGGGAGGGGATTGCCGATCTGCAGTGCGAGGGAGGCCATGGCGTTGAGCGCGGTCTGGCCTTCCCGCGTAAGCGAGGATTCCAGTGAGGTTAGGATGGCCTGGCGGGCGTCCTCGAGGGCGTTGTTGCTTATATGGTCTTGCGAGTCCTCTGTTCGGGTCGCATCTCGTGACTGGCCGCGAGCTTTGAGTTGCTGCAGCGTTTCGGCCTCGAGGCGGGCTATGAGGGCTCTCTCCTCGTCGGCCGCTTCGTTGGCTGAGGCGAGGGCAAGTAGTACGCGCAGTGTTTCGGCATTGCGCTCGAAGGGAGGGGGACCACGACCAGGGAACTTGCGTCGCAGCCAAGTGTCGACATAGGACCAGTCTTTGGCGGACGAGGCGGCAGCGCGTGCCAACGAGGGCGAGAAAATGGCGGCGTTAGGTGGTAGATGGGCCATTCTCAAGAAATGGAGTGGTAGTCCACTGTTGCAAGATGGAATGAGAGAGAGTTGTGTTTTGCGTATGAGATGCTTTGTGCTGTTGAAACCGAGGCGGCTTCAGCGGGCTGAGTGAGTGAGATGTCACGGTCACTAAGGGAATGCTAACAGTTGATGTGCAAACTTACAAGGGCAAAAGGAGACAAGTGGGGAAAGATTAACTGCAACTAGGTGAATGAGCTCACAGCAAATTATGATTCTAGCCGGAAGCTCAGAACCTGGACATGAGAGGGAGAATGGATGATACTTGAAAACATCAATTTGCAAAGGCTGTCACGTATGTCTTGCGGACGGCCTGCTGTCGAACGGTGTAAGTTGGATTTGACCTTCTGAATCCGGATGTGCAGCTGAGCGGACACAGGTGGACCAATGTGGTGTGGGGGCTTCGAGGTGAAGTGGCATACCCCACAGCAACCGAGTTGTTTATTGGTCAATCCTCTGAAAGTAAACAAACCCTTGCTGGATCAAAGGCAACCTCGACACGTCGGAGCATACTGTACCAGGACGCGACGCCTCCACTACAGTAATGTCGCATCGGACATACCCATTGCACCGCGCTTTCTCTATGACGACAACATCTTCCTCCTTGCACGCACATTCCGATAAGGACACGGTTTTCAGGAGATAGTCATTTTTCTAACACGTATTTGTGTCTTTTCCGTCCACGGCGTGACGTTTCAGCCATCATGGTGCAGCCTGGCATCAACGGGCTTGACACGCCACGGACTAACGTGGGGGACGCGACTTATCTCAGTCGCCAACCTAATTTCGATATTTCTCAAGAATTATCTTTCCAGTCACCGTCGAAAGACGCAAATCTACTGCAACAACTGCGGAACGGTGGCCGACAAAACCTGAAGACCCCGCGGGGGAGCCGCGCGCCCTTTAACGACCGGCGAAATCTTCCCGCTGGCCTCGGCGGTCCCGAATTTACTCCACTGCTCAAGTCCGCGACTAGGAATAGTGCGAGACGTTATGGTGGTGGCAAGGAGAATCCGGGGCGAGCCACACCCGGCTTCCTCGCTAAGATCGACGAAGACATGACGCCTATGCCGGCGGGCGAGACCAGCATGTATGGCGCTTCCCGCAATACATCGTCCTTCATGACCAACACACCTCTCCCAGAGGTGGACAGCAGTAGTGCCGCTTCCACGCCTCTGGTTATGAGGAGGCGTGAAAACGGCAAGGGGCCGCTGGAGAACGGGAGTCAACTTTCGCTACGCGAGCAACAGAACGTCATCGATAAGATAGAGAAGGAAAATTTCGGCCTGAAACTCAAGATCCACTTTCTGGAAGAAGCATTACGGAAAGCCGGCCCTGGGTTCAGCGAGGCGGCTCTTAAGGAGAACACCGACCTGAAGGTGGACAAGGTGACGATGCAGCGTGAGCTGCAGAAGTACAAGAAACATCTTACCTCTGCCGAGAAGGACCTCGAGAATTACCGACAACAGATTCTCGAGATCCAGGAGAAGGCCAAGCGGAAGTACGCCGATGAGAGCCAGCGAGCCGAGATTGAGCGGCTGCGGCAGGCACTTGAAGCGAAGGAGGCCGAAATCGACAACCTTCATCGGCAGCTGGAAGAACAGGATGAAGAGGACGAGATTGAGCGGTTGCGGCAACAACTTGAGGCGAAAGACACGGAAATCGACAATCTTCATCGGCAGTTGGAAGAGCAGGATGGGGAGGACAGGATTGAGAGGCTCCAGGATGAGATCGACGACCTGAAAGCAGACCTTCGGAGAAAGGACGACGTTATAGCCCAACACGAGGATGCGGTCGAGGACGCGCGACAGGAACTTGAATCGAAGGAGGCCGAAATCGAAGATCTTCATCGAAAGCTGGAGGAACAGGAGGATGGAGACAAGATTGAGAAGCTCCTCGATGAAATTGACAAGCTCAAGGCGGATCTTCGGAGAAAGGACGATACTATCGCCAGATATCAGGACGAGGTCGAGCAGGAGCGACAGGAAAAGGGACACGACGCCGACCGCCTGCGCGAAGCCAAAGAGACAATGGGGGAATTGGAGGCCAACGTACGGCGCCTGGAGCAGCAGGTCAAAGACTTGAAAAAGAAGCTTCAAGATGCACTATCGCAGAAGGACCGAGCTGAGGCTGACCTGGCCGAGTTGCAGGAAGAGTTGGCCAACAAATCCGTCGTCACTAAAGGCCTCTCTCGCCAGGTTGAGGAAAAGGTCGCCCGTCTGCAATCCGAAGTTGAAAGCGCCCGACAGGAGTGTGCATCTCTGGAGGAGGAGCGCTCTGGTCAACAAAGAGAGATCGATGACTTGAGGGCTAAGCTGAAAGACGCCCGTGAGGAACGCGACATTTCCGAGCGCCTCCGGCGATCTCTGGAAGCAAAGGTGCAAGCGGAAGTTGAGAAGGCCCGGCAGGAGTGTGACTCTCTGGAACAGGAGCTCTCCGCTCAACAGAAAGACGTGGATGAGTTGAGAGCCAAGCTGAACGAAGCCCGTGAGGAACGTGACAATTCGGAGCGCCTTCGACGGTCTTTGGAGGCAAAGGTGGATGGGGCTTGGCGGATGGAGATGGACGACGTCAGGTACCAGCTCAAGGAGGCCAGGGAAGAGCGTGACTCAGCCGAGCGCATCCGGCTTGCTCTAGAAGCCAAGTTGTGTGAGATGGACGATGTCAAGCGCCAACTCAAAGCGGCTAGGGAAGAGCGTGACGCAGCCGAGCGCAACCAACGATCGCTAGAAGCCAAGTTGGGTGAGATGGATGACATCAAACGCCAGCTGAAGGAGGCTAGGCAGGAGCTGGACGCGGCCGAGCGTATCCGGCCGACGTTGGAGTCCAAGTCAAGCGAGATGGAGGATATCAAGCGCCAGCTCAAAGAGGCCAGGGAAGAGCGCGACTCAGCCGAGCGCATCCGGCGGACACTGGAAGCTAAGTTGAGCGAGACGGATGATATTAAGCGCCAACTGAAGGAGGCCAAGCAAGAACGCGACTCCGTCGAGCGTACCCGTCTATCGCTGGAAGCCAGATTGAGTGAGATGGACGATGTCAGGCGTCAACTCGACAAGGCTAGGCAGGAGCTGGACGCGGCGGAGCGCATCCGGCCGACTTTGGAATCCACGTCAAGTGAGATGGAGAGCCTGAGGCGTCAGCTCCAAGAGGCAACGCAAGAGCGAGATTCGGCAGAGCAGATCCGGCTGACATTGGAGTCGAAGCTCCGTGAGCTCGAAGATGAGAATCTCGTGCTTGAGCAGGCTTTTGAGGAAGCCCAAACCGCGGCCGAGGACGCTCGCGCTGCCGCGGAGCAGTCCGCTGCCGCGCAACAAGCGACGTTCCAAAGGTACAAGCAGAAGCTCGAGAAGTACAAGCGGGAGCGAGATGAACTCGCCAGCACTCTGCGCGACCAACACAACAACAGTACCCACAGTAGTGTGAGTGAGATGGCGGCCGAGGAACGCCGTGACCTGCACAAGATGCTTCGCGAGTCGCAACTAGAGGCCGACAGGCTTGACCGTGAACTTCGCCAGCACCGCGAGGCGCTCGAGGAGCTCATGGGTGTCGAATCGACTCTCCGTAAGAAGCTTGAGCGAGCACGCAGCGAGAGGGCCGCATACCGCGCCAGCGCCGAGAAGCTGCAGAAGGACGTCAAGAAGCTGGAGGTCGAGAAAGACAAGGCTCTTGCGGAGGCGGAGGCAGCGACTGCTGCGGCTGCGGCTGCGGCTGCGGCTGCTGCAGTGAACGGGGATCGTGCTCTTGTCCATGTCTCGAGGGCAAACAAACACGGAGTCGACACCGACGCCATCATCCGAGCCGCCGAAGCCGCCGAGAAAAGGCACGAGAAGGAGATACGTGGTATGGTAATGCAGCTGGAGTGGCTCAAAGCATGCTGGGACCGCGAGGCCAGGTTACGCAGTGACGTGGCATATGCGAAGCGATACGTGATGATGGAGGTCCAAATCAGGGATGCATGGTATGCTGTTTCCTTGCCTACATTATCTGTTTACTGGCTTCTCGGGACTAACCCAATCCCACAGCAACAAAGCGGATCTAGCAATCATCAACCGTATCCGCGCCGAAATCAATCCGTCGGCCCGTGCCGCCTCCAAGCTAGGCCAACGCGCCTCGACCCGCGGACTCGAACCTTACGCGGTCGTGCCGGAGAAGCGGAAACGGCAGCATAAGCAACTGCAGCCGCAACGGTCCAGGCTCCGCCTTGCTCTCAACGCAGTGCGCTTCATCGTTCGCACACAGCTGTACGCGCGCAATTGGGCCAAGAACGACAAAGTCCGCCAGCGCTTGCTGGACTGCGTTGACGGTATGGAGAGAGAGGAGAGGATCCGTAAGATGAGGGATCAGTGGCGGGCCGAGGTGGCGAGGAAGACCTTGCCAGACCAAAGTTGAGAGAACGTCCTTTTCTGCGTGTTGTCTTGTTGTTTGGGTTGGAGTCTGGTCGGGTTCATTCCTCAACGTGCTAAAAGCGGCATGGCTGGTCGGTACTAGTATGCAACATCGGGCATGACTTTTAGGTGGGCAAGGCACAGCACTTGGAGACGGTCGTTCTGGCATAAGGTACCTTATATATATTCCGGGTTGGGGTTGAAGGATTGGGTTGCATTGTTTGTGTTACTTTGGGTTCTCAAGAGCTAAATAAGCTGCTTGGCGTGGAATTGACATTTCCAAAGTTGTGTCCAACCGATGAATCGAGCTCACATCTGAAGAAAAAGGGTATTATCACACTGGTAAGGCGACATGGCGCTCCGTTAGGTGTAAGGATTCGTCCAATCACTATGGAAGAGCTTGCCTCTCCTGACAGGGCTGGCAAAGCGGAAGCCCAAACTTTACAAGACGGCGAGGGGACCAATCTGCGAACTCCCACTTGTCGTATACCTTACTGTACCAACGCCACGTCTTGGTCATTGTATCAGGCACCAATACTCAGCTCATGACCCAGATTCGTAAGATCGCCTCAGAAAAAAGGGGTCAAGGTCGTCATCGTGGTCCACCTAAACTAAAACCTTAGATGCCCTAGAAGAAACTCAAGGTGCGTTTTCCTAACCAGCCGCCCCCGTCCCCTCCATGATTCGTAACCTACAAGAGAAAGCGACATGAACAACCAAACCCCAATGGAGAAAGCCGATTATAATGATACTACAAATATGAAGATACCCATGCCATCCATGCAGCCAACACGACAAAGCGACCGACTCTAGCCTAAATCCGGTGACAATAGAGCGTGCGGGAGAAAGGGGGTTGGTTCGTTTCGTTCCATATTCCCACGATTCCTATCCAAGAGGGGGGGCCCACCCACCGAGATTGCCACCCGATACTGTCGACAAAGAACAAACGAGACCTAGACGATGGGCCTTGGCGTATAGTATATACATCACATCACGAACAACAAATTTGTGTCTGTCCGCCCGTGAAAACCGTCCATGACACCAAAAAGGTCAGCCGCAATTGCAAACTTTGAAGATTTTGGGGCCGGCTGTCGCAGGGGTGTCTTGGAGAGGGGGAACTTACCGAGAGGATGGCTACAAGAGAGCTGGGGCTTCTGCGTATAGCGAGTCTGCAGCTCGTCGCGAATGCTGTTAAGCAGCTGCACATAACTCTGTTGCGGATTCTTCTTGAGGGCCGTGATGAAAGCCCAAGACATGGCCCCCGTAGCTTGGGAGGCGATGGTTGCGTCGGCTCTGTGGATGATGACAGTTAGTGTCAAAACGAAAGGGAGGAAGAAGCAGGGGTCGGTGCGGTATAGCAAGAAAGACCACATACGACGTCTGGTCATCCTTGCTACCAGAGAACATGATGACGTCCGCAGGAGATGTTTTGATGGCCATTGCCCTGGCATGGGCATCATCGCTGGTGCTAGCCTTCTTAAAGAAGCCGACGATATTGCTGGCGACACCGCCGAGATCGCCACGGCTATACGCGGATACGGCGCTGAGCAAGCCTTGGCCGGCCTCCTTGGCGAGGTTGGGTTCTTTGAGGATGCCCTGGGTAGAGTAGATGTAGGGCAAATCGAGCGCTGTGCCAGAGTGGCATGAGTCGAAGATGGCTGTTAGGCGCACGCCTGCCTGTAGCGGGCGCACCATGATGCGGTGCATCTCGTCGTCGGTGATGTGGCCAGTCTGGCGGAAATCGACCGGGTAGATGACCTCGTCATAACCATCTTCTTCGTCGCCGTCGAGGTCCTTCGTTTGCCCACCGTGGCCTGGCAGTACGTCAGCAAATCGGGTCTCGCGTAGAAGTAGGAACATTTAAAGAGAAGATAAATAAAATAAATAAATATAATAGTGAAGAACAAAAAGAGGAAAAAAAAAGGAAAAATAAAGAAAAATAAAGAAAGAAGGACGAGAAAAAAAGAGTGGAAACACGGACCGGAATAGTGGAAGAAGAGTGAGTCGTTGGGGCGAGCGTCCTTGACCAGCCAATGCATGGCCCTCAGAATGTTCTGTTTCGTCGGCTGGCTCATGGGGTTCTGCTGGTCATCGGTGAGAATCACCATGTCCTCCCGCTTGTAGCCGAAGTTCTCAACGAGATAGGCCGACATGTTCCTGACATCGTTGATACAACCCCTGAGCTGGCCACGCTGGTTGAAATAGTTGATGCCGATCAACAAAGCCTTCCGGCGCCCCGTGCACTGCGAGTATTGAAACTGAAATCCATGTGATCCATATCCGTAGTGCTGTGTCGCCTGGGGCGGCAGCGGAGGCCCGCTGTAGGATTGAGTGTTCGCCGCCGGCATGCCTGTTGTCGGTCAGTCAGTGCCTTGATTGCCCCCTCCACGCTAGGGCCATGCTCACCAGGTCTCCCATAGCTGTTGGGGGCTGGGGGTGAGGGATGATGGGTTGGCGGTGGGGCATGATACCCTTGGGGTGGAGGCTGGAGATAGTGCTGATTTAGTTCCGCGATGTCTTATGTCCAAAGGTGCGCTCTGTACGAACCTGGTGGTAGCCATAGGATGGCACCGGCGGCTGATAGCCATATCCGGGAGCGGGTGCTGGAGGCGGTTGCTGGTACCCATAGCCTTGGGGACTTGAAACCCGTGTCAGTCTCGAGATATCCCAAACTCACTGGGGGACGGGTGGCCGTACGGATAGTAGCCGCCGTACTGCGGCTGCGGCGGAGGAGCATATCCGCCGGCGCTGTAACCCGCACCTGGGTACCCAGACATATCCGGACCGACTGTCGACGGTTGTATCAGATACGAAACGAAATGGAAGATTGGCCGGCAGGTAAACGGCCGAAGATGGCCTCACGAGGCGGACAGGCGGCGGGGTGGAACGGCGAGTGCGGAAGAAGACGAAACTATCGATAACGACAATTGGATGGTGTGTAAACGTTCGTTGGAGCTCGTCGTAAAGCTCGTCGGGGAAGTCGACAAGGAAGCTGCGGGGCAAGCAAGGTAACGAGAATCTCTTCGGAATCGAGTGGTTTGCTGGAGCAGATCTCTCAAGTCTATCGAACCGCACCGATCAGCATCGTGCTAGCATGAATACATACAGCAAAAAGGCAAATGTCGTGTTGACGGGCCAGAAAAGTGAGTGGACGCGCACCCGAGGGAGCGGTCAAAGTTGAAGGGCAGGTTTGGGCTCTGCGAACCTTCCGTCACTCAGATGGGTTGGACAACTCACAGGCAGGGGGGACAAAAGCGGCTTAGGCCGGAAGTTAGCGGCCCGCAGCCCGAAGGTTTAGGATGCTCGGCGGTCTGGATGATGTTCAGTAAATGGCGAGGGTCATCTAAGGGCGTTTTCCACGAGTGCCTCAAAACCATGTGCCGCCCTATTGAAGGTGCAAATCCCGTGGTTAGAGCGAAGTCGCGGGCGGGAGCAGAGTGGGGTCAATTGTCCAGCTCCCGACGATTGGATATCGAACGGTGGAGACCGGGGAGCGATCGCGCCAAGACATGTGGCCTGCGGATCCCGAGTGAAACAAAACCGAGGACAATTCCCGCCTTCTCAGCTGTGGACAGTATTCTTAAGATGAGGCCCGTCCACACACGCAATAGCTGCCTGAGAAGTTTTCAGCTGCCTTACCTGAAGGTTCAGGTCGCCGAGGAACTTTGGGCGCAGGGAGGTCGTCGCCGACGGCTACTGCCCAGCCGCTCTGGTCTATCGGAACGGCGGCAAGGCCAGGATCGGCTACCTCAGAATCGCCGTCTTGGCTAGGCAAGATACGAATCCGGCCTCAAAAAGGAAGGGACCGTACCTAATACATTGGAATCTCGTCCGTCGCCAAGTGGTAGACATCCAGCAGTACGGAGCTGTTCTCAGGTTAAAAGCCACATACCCCGTCCCTTCCTCCGCCGGGACTCATGTTGTTGTCATTGTTTTGGATCTTGCGGAAACTGTGCCGACCAACTCGTGCGGTAGCAACGACGTCTCTGTAACAAGTCCCAGATTAGATTAGTCCCGGATATCACAGCGGCTCACCATTGGTGGGTGGTTTACAGAGGATTGTTAGAGTGGGGCTGCTGAAATCGTATCACCAGCCATTCACGGCGTCCGCGAGAAGCAAGGGTTAAGAGAAGAGCTTTGTGCTACAAGTAATATCAACAAGCCTGAGGCTTCTTCATGAAAAAGATGGCGCAGGTTGAAGGAAAAGAAGGAAAGATCCGCAGCCGATACAAAAGTCTGGAAGAGGGAGCCATGTTGAATCTCCTGAGCACAATTTTACACTGGGTTGTGAAATCTGGTGTCATCAATCGTTCACTGTACTGAGTGAAAGCCCAACGTTGTATGTAGTGCCCGGCGAACCGGATGCATCTCGTCGCCAAGGACGTCAAACTTGCCGTCGCTGAACCGCTCGACAATGTTCCGCGCGACCGCCACGCATAGAATTTCTCCCTGCCGCCGGCTCTGCTCATCAATTCGCTCTTCCCCGAACCCTCCAGCAAGATGAGCCCAGCGTGTTTTCCACGGGCGAATTAGGCCCCCGTCATCTTGACGTCTCCCTGAGTTTGCTCCTTCTGCTCGCTCACACTTTCTCCCTCCTGGTTTTCGACGGGCTGCTCTCGCATCATGTACGCCATCATACTCCAAACACATTGCATCGCCCTGACCCGCTCCTCCACCTTGAAGAAGTCAAACCAGGGGCTCCTCCAGACCTCTAGCTTACCCCAGCTCCTCCTTCCCCGGCCACTCTCACTAACACCGTCATTATCAGGCTCCCCATCCAACACAGCAAGCAGCCGATCCGGCACGCGCACTCTCACGATGCTGATATGGTGAAACAGCGCACTGAGAACGAAGATATCGTCATAATCGGCTCCCCTTGCGCGGCCGATAGCTTCGTATCTGGTTTTTTTATCCCAGGTGGCAGCCGGCGGACGAACCATGCGGTAATTGTCGTACATGGGGTGATTGCCCGATTTCTTGAGGCGTTTGGCGCCTTTTGATGAACTACTGCTTTCGCTTCCGGGCAGGGAGGAGGGGCGGGAGAAGGGTCTTTGCGGCAGCGACATTGCTCCCCCCCTGGAAGAGGAGGAAGATGATGGCTGTGGTGGGGTCTCCGGCGGTGGCGCGTCCTTGTCGCCGATGGTCTCGTCCGCGTCCACCTCGCGGCCGATAGGCCCGCCTGGGCCACCGCCCCAGCGGGGTTTGGTGCACCACCAAGCGTTTTCACCGATGCGCTTCTCGGTGCGACCCTCGCGGGCACGGTGTTGTGCGGTAATAAGGGCAGCAACGAGCTCCCGCGCCAGGTCTAGGGTCGATTCCCGGTCTGCGACTGGCGAGGCAGCTTGGGATCCTGCCGAGTCTGTCGGTGGGAAAGAGGTCGTGTGCCTCGCGCTCACAGCTGCTACTGGCCCTTCAACTATGCCGGCACGGGCGGATTCACGGGTGTTTGGGCTTCGGAAAATGAAGGTGCATCCAGACGAGAAGTAAGAGCATCGCGCCGCGCCGGTTGGGGACTTGGATGTGATATATAGCCGCGGCTCGGTGCGAGGTGCCGAGACGTTACACGTGAAATCGTAGGCTACTAGCTTCAGAAAGGCTGTGATCATGTTCTGGCGGTAGTCGGGCGGCATCTGATGGCCAGCACCGGTCCGGTAGAAGCCTGCCGCGTCCGAGGTATCCTCAGCGGTCTTACCGCTCTCGGCGGCGGCGCCGGTGGCTCCGCTCTCCCAGTTGCTCTCCGCAATCTGGTCATTCCTAGGTTCAGGAGACGCTGGCTTCGAAGTATCTTCCCAGAAAGCGGAGAACATTTCTAAGTGGCGGTAAAACTCATAGGCATTTCCCAAGCGCGCTTGTGACTGCCCCTTCGGTGCTGGCAGTCTACGGATAGTGCGGTAGGCGGCCTCGTTATCAATGGAGAGCTCTCGTCTGCGTTCCAAATATGTCTGGCAGCCAGGCGAGAGATTGCCCGTGTTCAGCCGTTTTCGCGTACTTTCATTCGTAGCATGGACCTCCTCGGCGGAAAGAGCGTGCCACGCCTCAAAATCCGGGATGAAGGCCGGGTCTGGAATAAGCTGAGTCGGAGCGGCATCCGGGACCACCTGCACGCCGAGAGCCTCGAGGTGGGACATGGAGACTTCGGTGGGTCGCACAATGGTTTGCAGTACCGAAGTAAGTGGCCTTGTCGGCTTGCTGGAGGCCAAATCCTGGGCACTCGAGTCATCGTCATCGGGGACTCTTGGATGGCACCGGGGTAAATTGATGGGCGTGGGCGGTGGAACGTCCTTGGGAGGCGCCCTCGCCAAAGGCGCTGTGGCAGGGGTTAGGTGAGCTATTAGATCAGAGAGCAGATATTTACGATGCGTGCGTGCTAGATGATTATCGGCCAGACGAGCACCCGAGGACGATCACGCGGAACAAGACAAGAGAGGACGCATCGACAACCAAGACGCAGTGTTCCACATAAACGATCCAACGCCATTGACAAAGCGGCTGTCATGCCCGGCCTCGCGAGTACTAGCAGCCGTCTGAATTCGACGAGCCAACAAGCAGCTGATGCTGAGCCAGCACGGCAGGTACGGTGCGGGCAGTAGCTTGAGCTGGTGGTGGATTCCACGTGTCGCGCCATATTTACCCGCAACGATCCCGCGGGGTATCGATACAGCGTGAAGGGACCAAGAGAGGGAACTGCGAGAAGGAACGTCCAACTTACTCATAAACGCGATGTTCCCGAACATCCTGAATGGCACAAGGCGACTGATAGCGCCGCCGGTTGGAAACGGGGGCCGTTCGAGATCAGGGGCGTTTACTGTGTAGGTTGTCGTGCGCACCAGAGCAGGAGTACTTGGGGTGTTGGGAGGAACGAGCGGGCGGGTGACAGACTGACAGTCGATCGCCGGCAGTCCGCGCTGTGTAACCTATTCGTGCACCTTCACAAGTCGTACAGACATATCCGTGAACGGCTCCTACGGCGGCCGCTCGGGGATCCAGCTCTTGGAACGACCGTTAGAGGTAAAACTGAAAGCCTCGGGTCGTCTGGTCGTGAGCGGAACTTGGGAGATGGCGAGCGGAGCGGGGCAGTCAACCTGGGAACTTCGTTGGCAATGCAGGCAGGAATAGCGACCCGAATTTGGGCCGTGCCACCCTGGAGCCGGCCCCGGCTCAGTCGGCGGTCGGCGGAGAACCCCCAGATCACATACGGGTACGCTGCGTTCTTGTCGTTACCGGTGCAAAACGTTGCTGAAGAAAACGGACTGTCACGATATTCCATAGAAGATTCGATAGTCCGTGCAGGTGGGTACGGAGTAGGCAGTGGGCAGCAGAATGGGGAGGGCATCTCCCCCGTTCAGGCTAACTATGTACATAGGTGTCTTGATAACCGACGACACTCTCATCAGAGTGCCCTGAAAGGAGCCAAGCCTTGTTCCTTCAACAGATATAAGCGTAATAGACCGGGTCAATGTTGGTTGACTCGTTCAGTCGAACGACGCGGACGCCTTTAAGATGTTGATCTTTTCGAACCACCAGGGCATCGCGAGAGAGGGATGACGAGCGCAAGCATGCCTCGTACTATCATAGAACGATCCCACCCGCGATCTCCATCCTCCTCGCAGCCGTTTGCATCAGAAGCGTCGCAGGACAGGGGTAGCGCAATCGCAGACGGCAGTGGCGGGAACCCCTGTCGAAGAGCCTCATGAACCGGTGTGGAACCGACTCGGGTGGAGTGGCCCAACCCCCCCCCCCTCTTTCCTCAAGCTACTTTCAGCCAATGAGAGCTGACGCTAGCCCCTATTTCCGGGGACATCAAACAACTCTCCTACCCATGGGCGCCCATGCTGCCGTCGAAACGCGATGTACGGAGCACTACCTTACCTTACCAGCCTGACCCGACTTGTCCAAGTCACACTCAATGGCTGAGTGCCATCATGGCTTCACTTGACACTGCTAGAGCCTAGGGCGCACCATCCGTGCCCCAGGTTGTCCCGCCAAGTCCTCGGTCCCCTGCGATGTCTGCCTCGTCATTGCTTCCCAATGTCTCCTTTTGTTCTTCCTCCTTCGTCGTGCCAATTGCCTTGTCTCTGTCGCCGGGACTTTGATGCTGAGCTTAGCCGCCAGCTGTTTTGGCCGCTGTCCTCCTTTGACAGGAGATCCTCTTCCCCCTCTCTTTCGGGGAAATCTTGATGATTTCCGTCATGACTTAGACGGCCCTAGTGGCCATGCATATCCTATATTTCTGATATCCGATTTTAAGTTCATGTCATTGTTTGTGTGTTATCACGGCCTCCTCGATCGTAGTGAGTGGACTCGCCAAAAAGGGCTTTAACGGAAAGCGGTTGAGATTCGGAGATGGCGTCGAGTGGCCTGCCATCGGGGGCCTTCTTGACCACTCTTCGAGGCCGACGATGCACCGCCATCCCGAAGGCGGCGGTCGCGATAACGGGTGGGCAGAGTATTACCTTGGAGACCACGATATCCGACTCAGTCAGCACCGCCCTGGTGGCCACAGCAACCAGTTCAGCCATAACAGCAGCCAGGCCGACGACGGGTTTGGCAGCAGCGCCAGCGGAGGATGCGGATGCAAGTACCGCGGTCGCGGAACAGAGCTCAACGAGTACGACGACTCCCTCCTTGGCCATTACCACGAGCATTAGCCCTGGCCCTGTGGCAGTCACGCAGGCTCAGGACGGTGACGTGGGCCCTTCGACGCGCCCGTCCACAACCTTCCTAACCCTCGTGGGCGTGACATCTTCACAAGCGTCTGTTACACAGAGCAGTCAAGCTGATAGCAACGTAACAGTACCCACTGCGGACACGTTATCTAGCTCACCCACTGCAGATACATTAGCAACTTCTTCACAAGCACGCCCTGCGGACACTACTTCTCTGCTGCCCGAGGGCCCAGCAGCCAACCCGCTTCTCAGCACCATTACGGTACCGCAAACACCAACCGACAGCGTCGTTGCCGAAGTCACAGGCGCGACATCGGTTACTCCGACCCCGGATTCGGCCTCCGCGCTAGACAACAATGCGGTGCAGTCGACTGTGGCCGTGGCTGGCGCTGTCATTGGCGGTGTCGTTGCTATCAGTGTTTTAGCATTCCTCATTTGGTGGTGGAGGCGCCGGTTGCAGAGGAAGCGGAGGAGCACCCTTTTGACGCCACTTGATGTGGGCTCGTCCTCCGACCGCGACGAGAAGGGCGGTTATGTTATCTCTAGGGGGAGCATTGGCCCGACACCAGTGACGGAGAAGGTCAAGGCTGCCCTGGGCCAGAAGTTCAAAAGGATTCGAGGCCATATCAGGAACAAGACAGCACCTTCCGTGGATCTGGATCGTGGTGCTTCTCAGTTTATTGACCAGGTCAGCGCCGGTCGCGACAACTCCAGCAGCATGTGGGCGAGGCTGGCGAGCAAGGACCGCCTCAACGATTGGTGGTCAGAACTCGCTGGAAGCCTAAAGTTCGCCCGGCGCAACAAAAGCACTCAGGCCCGGACTTCGACGGTCATACAGAAGAATGCCGCAGTGAGCTCTCAGCCCGACTTCCTGACACTCCTGAAGATGGGAGACCCAAAGCGCGACCACGAAGACCAGCGGCGCCGTGCCAGCATGGCTCGCTTGAACGGCAGCACCAGCTCAGCGGACAACTTCCTGGGTGGCCTCGATCTCGATATCAGCAACAGCCAGAGCGACGACCCCTTCAGCGATGCCAACGCTATGGCCCATACTTCCGCCCAGCCCCCGCCCCTAGCAATAGGCAGCAAAGCAAACCCCTTCAGCGACGCCAACGCCATCCGTGATCCGGCCCCCGCCGTACCCAAACCTGCCACCTACGTAGCCAACATCCGGCGTTCCCGCACCAACAGCTCCGCCGCTCACCGAACAAGCATGCATAGCAATCGCGACAGCGTCGGCAGCCTAGTCTCTATGGCGACCGCAACGACAGTCACAAATGCGCGCAACAAATTCCGCTCTGACCCCTTCGATCTGGAGCGCCCAGAGCTTCTCGGAGGTGGTGACAAGACAACAGCCGTAACTACTAGCTCTCCGGCAAAGGACGTAGACATGGACGTGCAAGAACCCAAGTACCCACCCATGACGCGAGCCCGCATAGACTCCTACACCTCCCGCTACTCGGAGTACTCCAACGTCAGCGCTGTCTCCAGCATGGGCGACTGGAGTGACCCGGGCCCGGATGTGGGCCCCGCTGCGGCACGGTCTCCCACCCAGCAGTTGAATGAGAATGGGAATCGAGCCGGGTCTGTGCAGGGTGGGAAGAGAGTGGGCGGCGGCAGCCTGGGTAGTTTAGGGAGTGTTGGGAAAGCTCTGTGATTCTGGATCCGCTCAATTGTAATCTCTTGCTTTGGACCGCAACGTCTTGTTCGCTTGTACAGGCGGGTGTGTTGTACGACTTCGAAAAGAGGGGTAGTGTAGGCTACGGGCGTGGGAGTCTAATGCTTTGCTGCATTGCACTGATGAAAAGAAAGATGAAATGTGGGAATGAGGGAGGGGGAGATCTAAGGATGGATACTTGACACTCGCTTGACTAGCCGAAGCTCTGCCAGTGCATGAGAATATAAACAGTTCATCATCTTCGCCTTGACTGGATAGCCCACTGTACTCGGTCCCATGGAACCTGTGTCAAGGCCGGGACAAAGCCTTCGGCTAAGGACTAACTCTAATCGAGGATTTGTTGGTACTTCATATTCTTCTCCTTGTCTACACAGGCACTACTAATCAAGCTGACTCTGACTCTGACTCTAACCACGAGTATGCTGTCCCTGGCGCGTGGTAGTAGTAGTCCTGGCGGCTCCCGAGTCCCGACTATCGACATCTCGGTCAACATCGCAGCAGCTAGCAGTGAAACGGCGCACAACTAAGGTAGGCAGTGTGAATTTTCATATAAGTGCTACTCCTACCATCTCAGAAAGAGCAGGCTTCCCGCATTGAGGACGCTCGGGGCTGTGATTCCAGATGTACCGAATCCATCGACTTGTACAACACATGTACACCTCATGGATGACAACGCCTTTTGATTGGTTGTAACCATCGGCTCCAGCCAAACGCGAACCTTTCTCGAAAAAGTCGCGCACACGCGTCCCAACCGCGTTGCGTTCCTCAACAACCAATTAGATTGGCATCCAAGCCTCATCCCTCTCCAACCAACAACCCAGGTCAACCAATACGCCCGCTCCAGATAATCAAATGCGTCATTCCCGCCCTGTTGGTGAAACAAAATGTTTCATCCGCTTTCATCCATCGTGCACAAGGGTATTGCATTCCTTGAGGCGTGCTCACACCTCCTTTCCTGGGAGGCTGCTCTCACGCAGACCCAACTCGATTCCATCTCAATTAAGCAAATAGACCGTTAAACAAAGGAAGTTGTGTCGGTCCAGACTCTCGTTCGATCCCATTATCTCTCATGGGTATTTTGGTGATATCAATAGTGCTGCTAGCAAGAGCTGGCGGTGATATCGGTGAGGCGACCTCCTTGCGATTGATTAAGGCTGTGGTGGTGGGAGTCGTGGGACAGGGCTGCCGCTCGAACGGTTCCAAATGTAGACACCAACGGGAAGACGAAAACAGAAGTGAAGATCAGGCGGATGATCGGACGGAAGAAATATTGAACGGCGGCAATGATGTCTCGCTTGTAGTGGACCGAGAGGGAAACATCCTCGAGGTCAAAGGGTGGTTGCGGGTGCAGCCCGAAGGAAGGCGACACTAGTTGCCCTTCTTCCTCAAGAAGGCATGTCATCGAATGTCAGCCGTCTTCTTGCCACGCTCCGTGGTGTTTTGCCCCCGGTTAGGTTGACGGGTGTCTTCCAAGGCTTTTGCGCCGGACTGGGAGTCATGTGAAGAAACTCTGCAAAGTCGAAGCCAAGACCCGGTGTTGCTGGGTAAGGGTTGCCACCGCCAGGGGTAGTCATCATGGACGACGGGAGTGCCAGCTTGTTCTTCGGTGGCGGTGTCGACGGAGGATCCATCCTGTTCCTGGGCGGGTTGGCGGGTGAGGGCGAAGCTGCCAGATACAGAAGCAAATCCGCACCCTCCTCGCCAGACTTAATCTCATTCACCTCCGGCCTATCCCTCGTCTTCTTGATCAGGTTACGGCTGCGCATTGGAGGCGTTCTGGGCGGCGATACATGGATATGGCTAGCGTGGAACGAGTGCAGCGGGAGGTCGTCCTCGTCATCCGAATTGGTTGCGTAATTTGTCGACGTAAGGACTTCATTGATTTGTCTCGATCCCGAGTAGAACGACAGATCAGGGCCAGTCGACGTTGTGAAGTGCTGCTGCCGCCTCGGCTTTATGGGCGACGACTGGGTGAATTGGTGGTGACTAGAAAACGGCCTGTGCGCAGTGGGGGACTGGCGGAACCGCTTGCTCGGACTCGAACCTGCTTCATCGAAGGAGGCCAAGTAGGTGCGTTTCCTGTGACCGGTGCTGCCGCTGCTGGACCCAATGGCATCCGAAAACAGCGGAGCTTTGAGCGGCGAGCTCATGAGTGTCCTGTGCGGGTATGGGAGATCAGAGGCACTCGAGGATGAGTCGGACAAGATATCGCCGTCTTGCAGCCGTCTGCGGCGCATCTCCTGTTCGAACTTCGGCTCGATCATGTCTAATGTCTCATTGACTAGGTTATGTTTCGTCTTAAACTGGGCGAGGGCGAGCCGATGTTGCAACCTCCTAGCCATCTGAGGCGAAATTGCTGGTCAGCCGAACATCTCTCCCTGGCACCGGCAGGGCAAAAGAAGTCTGTCTTACTTTGCTGATTTCGGCCCTCTTGAGCACTCTATCCGCCACAGCCTCAGGCTGTTTCTTCAACGGTGACGTCATCATCTTGCTGGCAAAGTGAATGCATGCAAGAAGAAGCCGAGTCTGTTCGAAGGGCTGTGGGCGGAAGGTCGAGGCAGAGAGAAGTCTAGACCTGGGGATGATTGGACCGATGATGGTGAGAGCAGGCGCCTAAACCTGCAATGAACAAGGGAGAGCTGCCAAAGTATGTACAACCTGAAGCCTTTGGCACCAAACGACTGAGGAGCTGCACAGCAACCAAAGCTCAGGCTGCTATCCAGCTGTTATTCTAATCCGTTTGCGCAGGTGCTGAGGTTTGGGTGCTGGTGTCGGGGTGGGTGGTAGGAGGCAGGAGCAAATTCACATTCCTGCGGAAACCGGTGGATTAACGTTAAGCTGAGCGCCGGCCCACTGCTTGCTCCGGTGTAGCGGCACAGGGCGAATGGCGGCAGCTTGCCCAGGCGTGCTGCCAGGGGTGCTCTGCACGCAAATTTGCTGGTTGCATAGGTGGTGCCTTCGAAGGTTCCCAGGCAGCTCAATTCACCATTGGGCTGTTCTCCACTGAACAAACAATAGCAAGGGGAAATATTCCTTGCATATTGCAGCTTAGCTTCGGCCGCTCCCAGTTCGGGGACAATTCAGCTGGTACCTACCTAGCTGTACACACAGCACTAGAAGAAATGTACATCTGTACCTCAAGACTACCAGTGGCCCAGGGCATGGCAACTTGTTGTCGTTTAAGATTCCATTTTGTGTTGGGTTTGGGGCAACGATATCATAACATCACTCACCGAGTATGGATGTAATATACCTAGGTAGCTTCTGGGGTTACTACTAGTAGTAGTTACAGTTACAGGCCCCACAACCACTTGATGCGAAAATGCTTGCTTTTGGGAGCTTTGGCAATTTATTTTATGGTATGAAATGCCGGTCGAGATTATGCTACACCACATCTTGATATAGCGTGATAGGTGTAAGTATGACACCACTAGATACATACCTACCTACCTAGTACAATACCTACATAGATACCTAGGCACACAGTTGATACCATACGGATACAGGACATACCTACTCCTTGAAGTTGCTTTCACCATAATATGAATCAGCGCCAGCACTAACTAGTGGCCATCTCGATTCTCGACGGTTTGTGGTTCTCGTATTCGCAGCTTCTGTCTCTACACCGCACACCACCGCGTCAATGCACTGTTCCAAGGTTGCCGTCCGGGACACTGAACTTCTCGTCCATATGAGAATGGTGTTGGCTATTCTTCATCGCGACGGCCTAGTTACGGTATTTATGAACTCAGTCCAGAATTCATGTTGCAGTTTGAGTACGAGTCTGCAAGAGGGAAAGGGTCTCCCCGGGTTAAAAGCCCATAGCTCCTGACCAACACAACATCGTATTCAAGCCCGGCCTAATTACCGCTTCCCTTACCGGTGGAGAGATGTCTTCACCTTACTACTACACTAGTGTACAAGTACCTACACTAAGGTACCTACCTATGTGGTATATACACCCGTGTCACCCGTCGATGCTCCCGGGCCATGGGCCTCCATTTTCTCTCCGAGCGCTCCTTCACGTTCTTATATCACGGGCAGCAACCGGGCGCAATTGAAACGATTTAGGTCAAGGCGTGCCGCAGGCTTCGATTTCCTGTTTCGAGCTGAGCCACTTCCCGGTTTCACCGTTCACAATTCCTGCTCTCCAAGCATCCGAATTTCTGTGCGATCTGAAGGAAGTCCAGATTACACTCCGCAATCGCTGGAGTCGTGGGTCATCTCGTTGCCCTGGCAGTGCCTGGTCCGCTCCTGCCCACTCTCGCTGATCCACCAACGGATAAGAGATCCGGTCCGATACATTCAAAGTATCCATTGGGCCGTTTCGGTCAACGGTAACTACTAGGTTCAGGAGGATAGGAGAGGTTTTATAGTGCTGCGCTGGTTGGAACACGGCAGTCTGGCCCGGCGCTCTTATCGTTGCACAGCACAGGCCGCCGGCCAACCACCGAACCGACGACAGGATGGAATAGGGGCCAATTTGAAGATCTTCGCATACGTCATCTCTCGCCCGGAAACACGGCCTTCCCCTGCTGCTCATCTGTGGAACCGCCTGGACGAGCCACGATCGAGAGGGCGATAACAGGCCTGGTACGCCGTTCAAGTTCTTCACACAGCGTTGTGACACGAAGCTGCCATTTTTGCTTTCGGCTCGTTTCACGTTCACACGGCATTGACTGTGTCTTTTTTCCCTTCTTTTTCGGCCACTCGGGCTCCAGAGACCTTTGCAGTCGCTTTGGTCTCTTTTGGTAGCACGTTGATTGGGCCTCTGTGAGCACGAAACGGCAATTCCTACGCCAGCTGCATTATGGCTCCATCGTTCTTGAATTTCAAGGAGTTACGGAGACGGTCGAAAGCGAGCTTCAAAACCGAACATTCCACAGATGAGTCGAGCGACATCAGCAACACCACGACTCCTACCAGCGGCTCCTTAACGCCCCCATCAATAGCCGCGCAGTCGGATCCGGCCTTGCATCTACAAGTCAAAGACCAACCCCGGCCTCTTTCCGCCGTTACAGCCCCCAGACCGCAGCCACATCCTTATCCCAATGGCGGCAGCAATCGACACAGCGTCTCGGGCATGGCCGGCTTAGGTTCCCCAGTACCCGGTGCAAGGAGCTCGGTGCTCTCGGTTTCCCAGTATTCTCCTCGGATCACAAACGTGGCAGATGGCTCGTGGGTGAGTAACATGCCGGCGGGGTCATGAAAGGTCACGGAGGCTGCCATGTTCTGGCAACGCCACCCGTGTAAAACGTGTAAATCTGAGCTGTCTCGCGATGAATTGCTAACAGGGCTTATCAGGTCTATCAAAAGGTCCTTCTGGTTTACGGTACGATTGGAGACCCATCCCACCACTCAGTCAGTGGGACGCTCACCGTGAGCCGGCTCGACGACAACTTCCCCCCTGTTTCATGGCCGGTGTGCGATTCCCACTTCAAGGCGCTCGTGTACCTGATGCCCGGGGCCAACCGTCTCCGGTTCGACTTCTCCAGCCCGAAGCTCTCCAACAGCGGTTCCTCCAACCCCATCCACGCCTCTTACCTGACGGTTCACATGATCCCGCCTGTCGGGGCGCCTCCGCTGCAGCTGGCCATCCTCATGGCAAAGGACTCCCCCGGCACTTACGATGCAATCCCTGCGCGGATCGAGCGGGAAGGCAACGGATTGGAGACTGCAGTCCGCAAATTCCGCATGGCCGCCTACCTGTGGCAGGCGTTTACGGCCGAGCAAATGTGGCGCAACAAGCTCGGCCGGCGCACCTTCAGGTTCGAGGAGGAGTGGACCACCGGCGCGGCAAACCACAGAGACCTGGAGTACGGCACTCTTCGATCCGAGGCGCGAATCCACGTAATCCGGACCGAGAAGACGGTGGCTGAACTCCGGGATCTCAACCTGGCACAGCAGAATACAAGCGCTAGTGACGCAGGAGGGCTCTACGGTATCACGGCAGATGCGGTACGCGACTACTTCAAGCCGCTACCGGGACAGAAGCTATACGTGTCGGTACTGCTTCTCGATGCCCACTGGGACACGAACTCCAAGACCATCGTCGGGCACGCCGCCCTCGGGGGCCAGGTTGGCGATCTGCACCTGGGCATCTTCGGCTCGCACTGCTTGCAGAGCTACCCGTCGAGCTTGGAAGAAGTCGTGCCCGCTTTCACCGACTGCACGCCGACAGACACGAACTACGTCGGCAACGACTGCAACGATGCCGGGAGCTCGTGGGAGGCGGCCAACATCGGCATCGGCGCTCATCTGCACGAGACTGGGCACCTGCTTGGTCTGCCGCATCGGGAGAGCGGCGTTATGGCGAGAGACTACGTCAGCCTCAACCGAGCCTTCCTCACACGCGAAGCCTATTCCACCCGAACCCGCTCCCGTGGCGGGTCCGTCTCGCAGGAAGACGAATGCACCTGGCACCGCCTCGACTGCCTCCGCTTCCGCAGCCACCCCTGCTTCCGCCTGCCCAACGACCCCGTTCTCAGCCCGGACGACAGCGTCCAGGGCTGGCCGACAGAGGGCGGCGTCCTGACCGTCACCGCCGCCACCGGGGTAGCCTACGTCGAGATCTTCGCCGAGGGCGACGACGTCTGCCGCGCCTGGGTCGAATACCTCCCCGACGGCAGCAACGGTGGCGGCAGCCCGGCCATCCAGCGCATGATCACGCTCAGCGAGCCGGACTTGCGGAGCCGACTGCCGGAGGGCAACAAGCGGAAGGGACGACTGCGGATCTCGGTCAAGTCGCATGGTGGCGGCTCACTCGAGGTGGAGGACTTTGGCAAGCTCTGCTCGAGTAAGGCGGCCTGTCTGAAGATTCCCAGCGCGCTGCCGGGAATACCCAAGACAGCCTTCAGAGGGAAGAAGCTGGGCGCGTCGCAGATGGAGGGGTCTGAGGCGCACGAGGTTGTGTTCACCACCGTCTTTCGACACGACCGGGTCCTGTCTAAAGTTGTGTTTTATCATGGGGCGGCTGTAGATGGGCTGGAGTTTGTCTATGATGATGATTCGAGGCAGCTGTTCGGCAAAAAGGGGGGGAAGGAAGGTGGAGATACCTTTGAGTTGGGTAAGAAGCAGCGTCTCCTGCGATTCGATACGGGATGTCGGATGTCCTCTTCCCGCTAACGTTTCTCGGCCAGACGTCCGTCGCGGCGAGTATATCACGGGCTTCTTTGTCCGCTCCGGCTTTTGGATTGATGCCATCCAGGTCTTGACCAGCCTGGGCAGGAGATCTACCTTGTTTGGTAATGCACATGGTGGTGATCCGTAGGGTTCTTTCCTGTTCCTCTTACGTTTTTGCATCCATGGCACTGACCAACAACTTACAGACACACTTTGATACCCCCGAGAGGCTACAATATATGCGGCGTTACTGGCAGCTGTGGAGCTTGGCTGGATGGGTTTTCCGTCATTTACGTCAAATGAGGAACTAGCATACGCTGCGTGCTGCCTCCGATATGGCAGCGGCATATAATAATACATCTAATGTTATTGCATCTGGCCTACTGCGATGAACCAACGAGGATGTATTGTACAATACCATACACCTGTTTGAAGGACTGGCTGTGACTGCTCTTCATCCCGAGTGCTTTGCCCACCTGCCAATAATGCCCGCCAGAATTTCTCAATTAGGGTTTGTAGACATTGAGCGGGAAGTGGTTCATGTCTGCCTTCCCGAGAGTCGCGACTTTAATAACTAAGGTACCTAATTCTTGTTGAACCGAAACAACCTAGCGGGCCGAACAAGTGATACGGTCCTCTTGCCTGGCGCAATAGGCGTGTAAAGTATGGTCCCAGAAATGGAACATGCCCTGCCAGCCTCAGCAGGTTAAGTCTGACAGGGATGGAAGGATTAAACGTGCGATGTGTGTAGTAGGTATTTCATTTTTCCCCCTTTAGTAACCATTTTGATACAGCAAATGAGCCTCGGCCTATCCCTTCCCAGAAACCGGCGAGGAATTGTGGATTAGGGTACATGATACTTGTCATTCCCTTGTCTCGTGGAGTATGCTGATGCCGCTATCACGATGCCCATCAGTCGTCGTCCTCATCCTCCTCCTCCTCCTCCTCTTCGCTGCTCTCCTCCTCATCAGCATTCTCCAGCCACTCTACCAGCACCCGGCATTTCTCCCTCAACTTGTTCATCTCCTCGCTGTCAGCAGCCCTTTTATCCGCCCACCAAGCCAGGATGCCATCCTCCTCTAGTACATCAAGACTGTAAAGTTGCTGCAGCATGGCCGCCAGCAACGTGCCCGCACGCCCAGGTTCCAGATCCCTAACACCTGACAGTGCCTTTTGCAGCGCGAGTCCAAATTCAGCTTGTTGTGCCACCTCCTCGCCACCAACCCCAACCTCCTTGACGAATTTGACGGCGCCGTTCTTGGCCGTGAGCGCCTTCTCGGCCGCCTTGGTGGGCTCGAGGCCGCCGTGCTCGGGATTCATCAGCTCGGCGGCGCGCCGGACAAACGCGACGGCAATTGCGCGGCGCATGGCGCTGTCCGAGGCATTGTTTGCCAGCCGCAGCCCCATGAACTCGAGCTTCGCCGAGTCAAAGTCCTCGTTGTCATCTGTGCGGAGGGCGTCGACGAGGCCATTGACAGCGTCGTTATGGAAGCTGTCTGGCTTGAGTGCGTCATCAGAGGCGAAGGAGGAGAGGCGGTCGCGGGTGTCGCCGAAGGCGTTGCCTTGGAGGGAGCCGGTCACTGAGATTCCGTCGTCCGAATCGTAGTCGTCTTCGGAAGCTAGTGTGGAGATAGACGAGGTGGAGAGGTTGAAGCCTTCAAGTGAGTAGATGAGTGAGCTCTGGAGGATTGCAGGGTCCCTGTTCACGCCGTCCTCATCGTCCGATTCTTCGTCATCCGCGACCACTTCGTACAGCGTACCCTTGCCGCCTTTGCCCACCAACGAAGGGTCCGTGCTGGCGGGCTGACGGTCGTCTGTCAAGGTGGATATCCGTGCGGGCGGGTTTGGCGGCAATTGGATGCCGTCATCGAGGTGGACGTTGTATGAAATCAGTGAGCCCTCCGGTATCCGGCAGTTTGCGCCGACCACGACTGAGCCAGCCACTACCGAGTGCACCACAGAGGTGCCATCCCCTATTACGGCATCGTCCCAGACGTAGCTGTTCTCGATCCTGACGTTTTTCCCAATCTTGCACCTCCTCCCGATGACGCTCCCAGAGATGACGCTTCCGGTCTTGACTGTTGTTCCCCTTCCAACTGCAGATTGTGTCACCTTGGCTCCCCTCTCTACCATAACGTGGTCCTCGGCGTACGAGCCGCCCTTTACCCTCCTGTATGTCTGGCCGTGGACCAGGTTGCTATCTGGAACAAATGGAAGAGTCCATCGCTCAAGGACATCTCTGCTGATGCAATCGTACATTTGGAGGTTGCTGGCGCGCGCGGCGTACCCATCGTCAAAAATCTCGGCGTAGAGCATCTTTCCGTTTAGTTCCCAATCCTTCAGCACTCCGTGAAGGAAGTTTTTCCTCGGCAACTCGTAGTCGAAGCTTTCCGACCAAAGTGCTAGCACATCCGGTGTGCAAATGTCGATACCGCAATCGACCAGGTCGGTCCGTATCTCGAACTCGCCGTGGGTGAAGATTGCCGGGTCTAAATTCACATAGTGTTCACTCTGCAATGGGTGCGTCTCTTCGTACTGCAGGCACCTGCCTGTTGTAGGATCAACAACAAAGATCGGTGTGATCCCTCTGGCCTTTGCTGCACGGTGTGGTTGCTCCCCGACAGAGCGCAGGACGATGGTCATGCAAGCATCACGGTTTGCTTCTCGTCTCGCGCGGTGCTTTGTGAGGGCAGCGTCTAGCTGGATGTTCGAGACGATGTCGCCATGGACGAGGATAAAGTCACCTGCGATGATGCTCCGCTTATCCAAATCTCGAAGGAAGTCACCGATGGAGTTTGCGTCTGAAACACGAATGAATTCGAGGGAGGAGAAGGGCGAGATGATGCTGTTCGGATTCCAACGCGAGGACTCCTGGATGTATTGCTCGATCCTCTCGGAATGGGCGCCGCAATAGATGAACACCTCCTGTACTCCATTGGAGGCCAGGAACTCGAGTGTGTACTCGATCACTGGGACATTAACTAGGGGAAGGAGACACTGGAGGTGACTCACAAGTTAGCGACCATGCACGCACGTCAGAATCTTGACCGTCATTGAACGAACCCTTGGTGTTTCTAGAGTGAACGGCTTGAACCTGTCCTGGAATGAGTCGGCCAGGATAACAGCTTGGAGTGCATCTTCTCTCTTCTCATCCGCCCCCGGCTTGACGGGCTTCCTTGCCTTGCCCGCAGCAGCCCCGCCCTTGCCGCCCTGCTTTGACATTGAGTTGCTATTGCGAGGGTGCGATCCTAATTCCAGGCTCAAGATTAGTGTTGCTACACAGGGCTGCAGGTCTGGGCATTAACGAGCTTTGCCAGACGCCCAACAACGAACAACCAAAGTCCGAATTGAGTTGGTGAGTCAAGAAGCTTGATGGTGGGGCGCGGGGTCACTGGCAATGGTTGCATTATTACGTACAATACATACATACTAGTACTACGTACACTATAGTTACAGTACGTACAAATACATTACATGGTTGAGGCCCAGAATTGCAGATTGCAGTGCAAATACTGGTAATATTACCAGCCGGGACGGTAATTTCCTGATTGGCGTCGCTGACGGGTCATGCATCCTACCAGATTTATAGGTATTACTCCGTACTGTACTAGGTTGAAGTGGAAATATCCCTTGATCCCACGTACTCGGTTCTGGCGGTAGATTTCAAGTCCTTACAGCAGGTAGGTGAGAAGGCGTGACGAATTCAATGTGCTTTACATACACGTGATGGTAAGTTACAGTAAGCGAATGCCATGCGCTCCTTTCTCCACGGACAGCCAAAAAGGGCCCCTGCAGTTCGATCTGCGTCCATGGTTCTTTGGCCTACGCTCAACTCTCATGAACGTGTGTAAAAGTGCTCGAGTCTGAGACGAGAGAGCTTCTACCGTCACCAGGTAGACAGACGTCTTAAAGAGAATTTGCTCTGTAAGTTGTTGGCTCAAGGCACAAGGTTAAGTCGGCAGGGCTTCTCTCCGTCCTTGCTTTCTTGCGGCGCCTCTTTCATTCCCTTTCGTCTCCCAAACCTGTTCGCCTTCTCATCGGCCCATAGTGGGCGGAAATCGAAATCGAACTGCAGGATCTCGGGTCGCTGGTAATGGCCAGCAGCATCAATCCACACCTTGACATGCCCAAGCTGGCCGAAGTCCACCTCGGCTGCAACCAACCTCTCCTCAGCACCGGTGTGCGGCCCCGCGAGGTAAGCACAGAAAGGGTGCAGCACTGAGGACCACCCTCCGCCCGCCTTGATAAACTCCTGCTCTCCCAAATTCTCCGTCATCCAGCTCAGACAGCCTGCGTCAACATAGTTGGACGCGGTGACGACAAACACCTGTGCTGTAAGGGCATGCGTCTTCATCAAAGCCTCAATCTGCGCGTCGGCGACCTCTTCAAACCCGGACATGGTGCTCAGGGCCGGCCAGGCGCCGGCGTGGATGTGTTGGCCCTGCGTGATCAGCGCCTGTCTCGCACCGTTCATGGTGTGTTCCCAGCATGCCAGACCGCCCAGGTTCCGCCCTCCCAAGGACGACAGGGGAAAGTTCTTGAGCGTGGCGCCGCCGCCTTGGGCCCAGACGAGACGCTCCACGTAGGTAGGCTGCAACTTTCGGTGCACGCCTAGGATGGTGCCGTCGCTGTCGATGGTCACTTGCGTGTTGAAGAGGGTATGGCCGCCGGCCACGCGCTCCGAGACGCCCAGACTGATGGCTACGCCGGCACTCCGGCACGCGTCCTGGACCGGCGCTATATCTTCGTTGTTCGGCTCGACCACGACGGATTCCTCGGCGTATTTAGCCAGGGCATCCACCTGCTTGAGCGGTGGGTAACACTCTATCCAATACTGGGGAGAGACAATTTAATTTATTTCCGATGATGCTACCGGATGTCTCGTGGATGAAAGAAAATCCGAGAACACATACGGGGTAGCCGGGGACGAAGGTCTCTGGGAAGACGAGGAGCTTGATATCCTGATCCCCGGCTTGCTCAATGAGAGAGACAACCTTCTTGAGGGTCTCAGCCTTATTCATAAAGACAGGCGCCGCGTGGGCCGCGGCAACCTTGAACTTGGTCTCCTTGGTGGCCATGTTTGCCCAGGAGGCCGGTAGACCGCTGCCTAGATGATTTTTAAAAGGGTCGTTGGACCCCTTCGGTTGGCGTCACGAAATATACACGCAGATCTCTGGTTTAAGTCGATGGAGAAACACCGAAGGGAAACTGGACATCGGCTGGTTCATTGCTGAGCGCGTCTTGGCCTGCGGGGTTGCACCACTGGAGTTGGTATTCAAGATGGGAATAGCTAGTAGGTACAGTCAGGGTTCAAAAGTCTGTCACACCCCACATCAAAATCCCCCGCCACCCGTTTTCTAGGTCACCGCAGCCATCAACATATCTCTACATAACGCAACACCACCGACATTCCTAGCAAAATAGATATATACAGATAGAAGCCCTGGTTCTAGCCATCAATATTTTGTATACCAACCCCTAGCTTTCTGGACTGCAGCCAATCGCCGGGGCATTGAGTCAATGAGACCGTCAATTTGAGCCTGGTCAATTGCCCACCAACATGCCCGAAGACATCGAGTAAATTCAGCCATATCTAGCTGGTTTTTCTTGAGTAACCAGACATCTGGATATAGCTGCTTCATCCTCCGTTTTAATAGAGCCCACATATGCTCGATTGGATTAAGATCTGGGCTATGGGCTGGCCAGTCGGGTAGGACCTCGATCATATGCTTCATCAGCCACTCGGTCGAGGATGCAGATGTATATACTCGGGCATTATCCTGCTAGAAGTGCCGAGTACCATCGTAAATTAGAAGAAGACCCTTTTCCAATGCCTGCTAATAACTCCAAGAGCTATATCCTCCTTTTTACGGTAGTTGGTAGTCACGTTCCATGACAATAAGGTCGGTCCTCCCCCCTTTCTAAATGCTACCCCAAATCATGATCGAAATCGTACCTTTGCCATGGCTCTAGAGGTTAACGAAGCTCTTATCCCATTTTTAAGAAGGGAACCGGAAGACCCAAGTTGTTAGGTTACTCGAATTATTTTGGCAAGACGATTCGTCGGTAAAGATAGACTAGAGATTAGTTAGTAAAATCCAAGGTTGACTTCCAAGTCACTTACTCGGATCAAGATCTCGATATCCTTCAACCAAAGGCAAGCAAATCGATATCTATCCTTTGCTACTGCCTTCGTCAATGGGATTCTCTTTTGTGCACGCCACTTGCATATCCGATGATGGCGAAGAACCCGGTGTATCGTTGATCGGGAGATGCGGCCGTCCATAGTATTGATCAGCATCTGGGTTGTAAGCTGGGGACGCCATTTAGCCAATTATAGGATATACCGCTTTTCCCGACATGTAAGAATCTCTGGCCGGCCTGTTTGAGGCTTGGACTCAATAGTGGTGGATGATTCGAACTGTTGAAGGATGTGGTAGATAGCCGTCCTGTCGATGCGAAACGCGCGGGCAATAGCTGACTGGCTAGCCCCGGCTGCAACGGCACCTATAATAGCTGCACGTGCAGTCGGTGATAGTTCCTGGCCAGGTTGACGGCCGGCCGTCAATTTGGCCCCGATTTCGGCCAAATTGACCATGGTGGGCTAAAGTTGGGTTGGTTAGAAGGTGGAAGATGGTGCGTGTCATGTCGCGACGCGCGTTTAATTGATGTGGGGTGTGACAGACTTTTGAACCCTGACTGTATATATGTACGTACTGACACACGCGACGAACCCCTCCCTCCCCCCTCCCCCCAAGGGTCCCGTGGGAGTTTCCTTCCTTACACTATTACTGGCTCATTTGACCGCACTACGTATTCAGCTCCTCTCAAGCAGCGGTTGGCGCACCAAGCACTGTCTCGTAAATTCCATCCCAACGGACCTTTCGTCGATCACTGTAACGTCTCCATGGTCCGGAGAATCTGCAGACCTACCTCGTACCGTTGATGTTTGCAAATGACCCCAGTTTGACATCTAGTAGAGGTAAGTCGGGAACGTTGGCTGGTAAGCAGAGGGAGGTCGATCGACGGACTCCGAGTCAATTGATAGTTCCACGACATAACCAGTTCGACAGCCTGATGATGTAGTATATATACAACTGATTACCATACATACATGAAAACGTTGGTAACATCCCGGTTTCGATGCGGATATTTCCGCTCGCGCCGAGCGTTCCCGAGCATTGAAACCAAACCCGGGCAACTCAACACCAGTTCTTTCCTTTCATATGCTGCTAATCCCTTGATGTTAGACAACGGCCCAGCCACGGAAGTGTAGGGAAATCAGTTCTGTCCTTCAAGCTAGTTATCGAGAGCTTGAAGTCTTCGTGTGAACGAGATGCCTTCTGAATCAGTACAGTAGTAGATCGCGCAGGGCCGGAAGTGCTTTGGTCCTGCCAATCCGGGGGTACTGCGGCGCCAGAAAGACCAGGCCAAGGCCATTTGCGCGGAAAAAAAGCAACTTGAACACAGCAGCATATTATTAGGTACTGATATGTACATTTCTGAAGAGCAATCGGGTCCGGGGCTTTTTGCTCGAGCTGGACATGATCGAACCTCGTCATAGTTAGCTCGCGATGCCGGTTGACAGACACCGCCATCCTTTCTAAACTTCACCGAGCAAACAAAGGGGAAGACAGCAGATGGTATCCCGAATTGTGCCATTCTGAAGTCAAAGAGGACACGGGCTGAAGTGACATGGTTCCATCCCTTGTGGTGTTTGACTCGTTTGTTCTTGTTGTGCCGTACCCCTACGGATGCTACCGGCCCAGCCGGCCGGTCCAGAACATGGAAGGCCCCATAGAAGATGGACAACGTGCAGCGACTTCAACGCTGAGCTTACGTAGCCCCGTCGGGATTTCGATTTCACCCAAGACGGGGTCGTCGGACAGTTTCGTCGCGAGTATTACCTGATTAGGGAGGCAGAAAAGGCCGGTTTCCACTGCCAGTGGCCTTCGGTTTATTATCAGTCTTCAATGGTGATACTTACATAGTAGGTACGAGTAGTGCTAGGTGCCAGACAGGCAGTGAGTGCCAGCTCCCGAACAACGGGAAGGTTGAACGACTGTGCCTACTTACAGTACAAACGGATACTCGGTACACCGGAGCGCATGATTCGGCTATAGTCGCGCATTAAGGTAGGAGGAGCCAGACCATCCAATGCCAAGCACATCAGCCATGGCGTCGCCGCGAGGCTTCCCGTCGTAGTGTAGTGTAGCGACAAAACACTCTGCAGCCCGGAAAAGCTCGCTAGCCGTTCGTGCAATGTGCCCAGCTCGTTGGGAATTTACCCCTGTCTCGGTTCGTTTGCGTGACCCCGAGAGAGCTTGTTTGCATACTATGGTAAGGTCGTAGCCCCGTTTATCCCGGGGGTCTAGGCCGCTTAGACCACGATCCGAACCGTTCTAGACCCCGATCCCGGTGTTGTGGTGTTTCAATTTTAGGAACGGCTGCCCCGGCTTCACGCTCCATGTTATCTCGCATGGCTTGGTGACGGACAGGCACTCCCCGCCCTTCCCACAGGCCGGGGTACATACATGAGATGAGGTACAGTACATAATCCTATCATGGCCCGTCTTTTCGGTTCCCGCTCGGGCGGTCCCCTCGATCTCACATTCTCCCGTCATGGCGAGTGCGCCGTAACATACCGTCCTTGTACCAATCAGGCGCAAGCAGAGACCTGCTGGTTGTCGACTTGTTTTGACAGTAACTGCTCACTTCAATATGGGGCCCACGGACCAGTGTCGAAACAGACGTCGAGATTTACTGGGGTAGAACCGTAGCCTGGAAGAATGCGCCAAAACCCAACCTATATAATCACCAGTTTCCGATCTCGACGCAACCGTATGTTTGTACACATCCCGAAAGCCCAATAGCCCGGTGTGACGAGGCAGCACAATCCAGGGCCCTCCTCGGTCAATACGCCCTCACCAATACTACCTACCGAAACGCCGGTAAATGTCAACCTCTTCCCGCCAAAGCACCCTTGCTTTTGGGACTCCCTACCTTGTTCCCAGATAACAACGTCGAGCTGCACGGCGAACGGATCCCGTACCGTGTAGCGGCTTTTATTGCACATAGCTCCCCTGTCCAGGCCCAGGCCCATACAACCTCTGCCTCTTCTCCGGCCGATCGTCACCGCCCGCGAGCCCGCCGATCTGGCTCATCTCGGCCATCCTCATCGCCTGCGTCCCCCCGATCTGTTGCGCCGTCATATAGTTCGCATACTGTCCCGGCTGCGGCTGCGGCGGCGGTCTTTGCGTGCCTCCGGGCGTCATCGCCAACCCGCCCGGGCCGCTCCCGACCGCGCCCATGTACCCTCCGCTGTCGAGGTTGGGCGCCACCTGGTGCATCTGCCCCGGCGAATGCCAGGACGAGGCGGCCGAGGGCGACGGGATGGGTGTGTGCTCGAACTTCACCTGCGGGTTGCCCGCCGCCGCCGCCGCCAGGTTTGCCATGGCCATGGTCGACGCTGGGACATAACCTTGGTTGGTCGTCGCCGGGGGACCGGGTCCAGCGCCCGCCACGCCGCTTTGGCCCATGTCGTCGGGAATAAGACCAGGCGCTTGTGGGTCCTTGAGCATCCGCGTCAGGTGCTTTTTCAGGATGCGGACCATGCCGTCGCGCGTAAAGGGTTTCGCCAGAACGTCAATCATCCCTGGAGCGAGCGTCAGACGGGCGCCATAAGGTAGGCTGCGTGGCCGGGAAGGGAGGGAGATTTACCAAACTGGAAGTAGGTCTGAATATCGTCTTGCCGAATATTCGACGTCATAGCGACGACAGGGACCTCCGGACTGGCCATCCGGATCATAGCCGTGGCCGACACGCCGTCCAGGTTAGGCATGATGATGTCCATGAATATGAGATCGAATCGTTCGGCGTCTCGGTTGACTTTATCGACTGCCTCGAGGCCATCACGCTACGCCGCCAGTCAGAATGTGTCGGGGTCCAAGGGACCGCTATCGTATACTTACGGCAATGTCGACACTGCAGTCCACCAGGGTCAGGAACTTAGCACCTATCCTCGCGCACGTCTTGTCGTCTTCTACGAGCAGGATATGGGGTTTCTTGCCCCGCCATATGGAACCCGATTGGTGCTCCTTGATCGGCGGCGTCATCTGCGACGGCGCTTCCACCTGGATGCCCGGGTTGCTCAGGGGCCGGCTGTAGGGGATGTTGTGGATATGGTCGGCGTGGAAGGGATCAATGCCCGTGGTCTGTCCCACGGGATACACGAGGTGTCGAGGGTCACTCAAGGCGTCGTGAACCAGCGGCATCCCTCCAGGACCCGGTTGCGCGAACATGACCGACGACGAGCCGGCCGAATCGGCTGGAGATGGGTTTTGGTTGTATGTCATCGACAGCCTTTCCAGTTCCCGGTCCGCCTGCATATCCGGAGACACGCCGTTGAGGATCTCTCGAGCTCGCCGCAGCTCGGGCGCCGGCTCGTCCGCCCCGTCCGGCAGGAACGCCATCCCACCGCTCTGGGCCTGGCCCGAATGGCTAGAGTGGGCCGAGTGACGGCTGTTGCGCCGCCTGTCCTCCATGTTGTTCAGATGGGTGATGAGCTCGTTGGAAGCCTGGCTTTGCGCCCTCACCATCTTCTGCAGGCTGAGGACCTCGCTGACGAGCAGCTTGTTCGTCTTCTCGAGCTCCGAGTACTGATCCTGCAAAGCTTGGATCTGATGCTGTGTTGCCGTGAGTGATTCGCTCATGACTATGATCTGTTGCGACGCCGGAAACGCATCCTCGGCGGGCGGCTGTTTTCTCGGCGCCGGCGCCTTCCTTCGAATGTTGTCCAAGTTGTCCTTTCTGTCTGCCCGGAATTCTGGATGCCGGAACTCCCATGCCTGCCATCCAAGTTGTCAACACGGAGCCGCCCCTCCAAATACCACGGGACCAACATACATCTCGTCCGTAGCCTGAATCACCGTTCTCGTCATTGTGTCTGACTTTGTGGAAGTCGTACTTGTTTAATTGGCGTACAAAACTCGCAAAATTGCTGTGCTTGAAGTGTTTCGGGAGGATTGTTTTTGTAAATTTCTCATTCTACCGCAATGCGAATCAGTACCACGCGTGTTCCCAGCGGCTGCCGTACATCTGGACCACGGGCGCACCTCTAGGACCACAAAGCTATCGCCGTCGTTGCTCCATCGTACTACTGATTTGTACGAGGGGTCCTCGAGCATCCTGCGACGTCATCGATGAGTATGTGTCCGCATCTACGGGAGAGGAGGGCCCATCGCAAGGAAAAGTCCGTACTTATATAGTTTGCGCACCTTGGTAAGGCGTTGTTAGCTCAGTCCGGAAGCTTCCAAAGAGGAATGGGGCGCCGCTCACGAAGTCGCTGGAGTTGCTTCCAGCTTGCGCCGTGCCCGCGTCGCCATCGGCGGGCGGCATGATCGCGGCAGTCGACGGTTTAGACCACTCACTGCCAAAACAGTCTGCAACGTCGCAAAATATCACGATGCGGCGAGGTTAAAGTCCGATAACGACGGCCGATAAGACCTGGACCGTGGAATCGAGACCAAATCGATGAGAGACGTTCCAGAGCAGTGCACAGTTTGAGGACTGCCCCCTTCTCATCCCCACATGGGAGGAATGCGACGGCTTCTTGTCCACTTTTCAATGGGGTGTCACTAACAATATCATAGGCCGAGCAAGGCTAGAATCGAGGACCCGCTTCGCGGAACACACGCCGGTGTGGGGAAAGAAGACCCAGATCGTAGTACGGTAGTGTATCTGCGCTCCTTGTAAAACTAAAGGGGCTTGGTAAAATACCGTATTGTACATACCAAGAGAGCATCTCAGTATGCTGTTGTGGGCTTGGTAGAATCACGCCGGTCCAAAGTCAATAAGTTATGGTATGTATGTATATGTATGGTTTACGATGCCAGGTAGCTGGACCTTTCTGTGTGAAAATGTCAGAGGTCGCCGATGTTGCTAGCTACCCCTTAGGTTGGCTTCGCTTGGGTCAGCATGCCAGAGTGCGGCTAACTGGGTAGCGAATCAGGACGCTATGCAACTTCAAGAACCAACTACAGAGCAGTATCAAGGCAGAACGAACCTGGAAGCGCTGGTGCTGGGTTCGCATAGCTGGCTGTATATTGAGGAGCGGGGCTTCGCGAGTTTGACCGGCAATATAGAATTGGACCACCGCTGACCAGCACGAATTTCCAATGTAGTGCTTTGCTGGCTGCTGGCCGATCTACCCTCCGTACTAGTATCTCCCAAGCGTGTCCAGCTAACCAACCACTAGTACTACTCGAGCGGAACCGCCATATTAGACAGTCCCAGACATACCTGACTGCTCGATCCCACAACTTGATCGATATGCAGATTGGAGCGCTCGAATGGTATTGGTGTATGGCATCCCGCAGAGCGGTTCCCAAGCAAGTGAGTTGATCACCGGCCGTGACAACTAGTACTCAGGTAGGTAATGTAATGAACATATCATGGTATGATGTATGTCTGTACAGTACGTACCTTACCCTGTAAGGTACGCGCCCTAGGCGGGGTTGCTGGACCCTGGCAGGCTGGCACCGAGCACAATCAGCCAATCATGGCCATGTGCATTCTGATTCGTCTTGGTCCAGATCATGCACAGTCAGCGGTCTTCTCTATTCCCTCTATGTAGGTATGTATTGTACTAGTAATCCATATGTGTAACGCTAGGGTGCACATACTTCCGTATGAAACGCGATTTTCACAACAAGAGTTATCAGGACGAGAGAGCAGATGATATTAAGAACACCTAAGAAAGGCCGAAGAATAAAAGAACTCAGAAATCATCCCAGACAATGAGAATCAAGGTGAAGCTGCGCCTGGACCATGGATACGACGTGAGCAAATCTTGCTTTCTAAGGTGGACTCGGTAATGTACGGATATGTGGGTGGGAACCGTAACAACACCAGCCGGGAAGTTCTCGGTCCACGCTCCATCACAGAGATTGGAGAATTACGGATTCTGCTCCTCTCCAGTCCCCCCAATGCACACCTGTATATCCTGAAGCCTCTAGCTACCTTGAGAGACTGGCAAGTCAAGACTGGCACTTAAACCGTGGGGTGCAACCAAATGCAGGCTACACCTTGCCAGCAACTCTCACCTTCAAAGCGTGCCGATACCCGGCAGCCAAGGTTCGGCGCAACCTGGAAATCCTCGGCCCCTCTTACAAGCATGGCAAAGATCGACATGGTCAAAAATCTGTTGAACCTGCTACACGCAGTAATCCGTACATGACAACACTTTGATAAGTTGTGCCAGCACACAAGATGGCCCATCACGCAGACACGTATCTACTATACTAATCTTCCCGCCCCTCGACCAACTGTTCACCAGGTGAGCTGCTATGACGAGACTGTCCTGAAGTACCTATCTAGGTAGTGTCATAGAACCGATAGTAGTAAAGTTCCGTATGGTCTCCTTGATGAACTTGGTGGAACTCCCCTTCACGTCCAAGTTAGTTACAATGCTGCTCTCTCCTCGACGAACGGGAAACTGCCCGGATCCTAGGGTAGTGATGGACTGAGCGGCCTTCCTTCCTGGATACTTGGTATTGTACATGCTAGCAAGTTATCCAGCACCTCTGGCGCTGGTTTCTTAGCACTCCGCTAAATTTATCGCTTGACGACTTCAAGGGTCTCTATCCGCACGGTCTCTATCCGCACGGTCTCTATCCGCACGGTCTCTATCCGCACGGTCTCTATCCGCACGGTCTCTATCCGCACGGTCTCTATCCGCACATGTCTGTAGTTGTTCAATACATCTCCGGACCGACGAACAAGGCGCGGGGCCGTGGGTTTGCTTCGCGGCGGAGAATCAACAGCCAACACACATGCTGTCTAGCGCAAAGATACTAGTGCCCCTGCTCCGTTCGACGTTGTCAAGGACCAAATCCCAGGTATCGACAGCATCTAGCCATCATTGCCGTCCTTCTTCTGGATGGCCACCTCCCTTATGATAGTGGCTCACTACGCTCGAGATGATACCAAGTTAGGTATCACCTACATGTATTGCGTAGGAAGGTAACAGATACATAACTGTACCGGACATACACATTGCCTTACAGAGAGGTAACTCCTCGGAACCTCAACCCAGGGCCGACAACACCGTTAGATACACGGCGGAGAGATGCGAGCACCTGAGGGACCAGAAGACACTCGGTTGTCTCGCCAATCGCCATAACTTGCTTTGACCCCACTCTCCCTCGATGCACCTCGAAATCTCATACGTATCCATACCGCCCGCGCTGTGCTCCTTGCTGCCAACGAAGGTCGCGTACATACATCCAAACGCATAATAAGTAATCCGGGAATATGTACTTGTAGTATCATTGCATTGCCCACAAACGCCGTGCTATGGTTTGACCCTCCGCCCTTCTCTATGTACGAGCCGAAAAGAACTAGGCCGAAACATCAATACCAAACACTAAAGCCCAATTTTACTAGACTCAAATTTCATCCACCTCGTCCCTCCCTTAAACTGTCTCCTCCATCTCGTCGACGGCGTGACGGTCAATGATACTTGATAGCCTTCTGCTTCTTCCTCCCCTCCTTCTCAATCCCCTCCAACCCCTGCGCAGAGAAGGCACAGTACTTATCCTTGATCGCCACCACCTCATACGTGCCCTCCTGGCTGGCCCGGATGACCTTGCTGTGCTCGTGGCTGACGTCGTGTCTTGTCTCCAGCACCTGACTCTTCTGGCCCTTGCGCACATTGGTGCTGCGCGTGTACGTGAACTCGAAGGGAGGCGTGCCCCAGAACTCAAAGAGGATCTCAACCTCGCCGCCCTCGTGGATGTCGACGCGCACGTTCTTGCCCTTGCTGATGCGCACCGCCGGCATGGGATGGATCGTCTTAGAGATGTGCACAGGCGCGCGGCACTCGCTGGCCTTGTCGGAGATAGTCGTGATGGTGAAATCGCCGGGCGACTCGGCCACGCGGCGAAAGTTGGTGGTCGGCGACTTGGCTTTGCGTTCGGCACCGTCGAACGTGTACCACACCTCAAAGGGTGGGGTCCCGGAGAGGGTGTACGAGATGCGCTCGCCTACGCAGTAGTCCGTGCGCGTCTCGAGCGGGTAGATGGTGGGTGCCTCGAAGAGCTGCACCTGGACCGATGGCCCCCCGAGCTCGGCGATGGTGTGACAGCCACTGCCATCCTTGACATCGCGGATACGGATTTGCTGCGTGCCGAGTCGGAGGTGGTGCCGCGGAATGCGGATTTCGTACGAGTGCGAGTTGATGGTCGGCGTCCTGTAGATCTCCGGGACGGCAGCACTCTGGTGCTTGATCTCGACCTCCAGAGAGAAAGGGGGAACACCAGTCAAGGTGACTGGTATGCCGCCCTCGTGTTCCTGCTCCGACTTGCAGTACTTGAACGTCTGGCCGGGCTTGACGAAGGATGCCGATGGCTTCCTGTTCACCTTCTGCTTCACCACGAGCGGCTTGAAGTGGCGGTCGCTGCTGTATAGCTGATCCTCCAGTGCGGTGAACTTGTACGTATACAAGCCCGCCTTGGTCGTATCTGCCTGGATGGAGTCCTTTCCGGGCGAAGCATCGAGCTTCTTCCTGCTTAGCGAGGAGCTGGAGCCCTGGAGAGGATGATGCCGAACTTCATACTCCACCGTGTATGGCGGCGTGCCTAGGTAAGCATGTTAGCTGCGACGTGCCATGGAACGACAACTTCATGTGGCGAGCTTACCTTTCAGTGCAACCTCGAAACCAGATACATCGCCCTCGCAGACGTCTTCCAGAACGTAGCTGCTGTCTGTCTGGCTAACACCGTGCGAAAGAACCACAGACATCTCCGGGCGGGGGAACCAGTCAATTTCGAACTTGGACGCCTTGGTATCGACGACGCCGTGGCACTGTTTATCCCAGACGTCGATGATCTGGTACGTGCCACGTCCCTTGACGTCGAGATAGCCATTATCGCTTCGGACTGTCCTCTCCACGATCTTGGGGTCATCCGCAGGGCCGTCGTCGAGGTTGGCATAGAAGACCTTCCATGGACCCTCCCCAGTAAGGCGGACCGGAAGCTTCACTGTCGAGCCCTCGACGGCCAGTGCCTTTCGCTTGCCCTCGATCTGGCCGAAGGCCGCGCGTGGGCTCTGGCGCCTGACAGAGAGCTTGATCTCGTCTTGCAGAAAATTCCTGCACCCTCTCCTGTCCCGAACGCTTGTCAAGCCCAAGGTGTATTCTCCGCCCTGGCTTAAGGGCGCCGTCTTGATTTGGTACGAGATCTGCTGGATATCGGTAGCCTTGTGCTGCCGCCTCTTGCCATCGTGGATGATCTCCCATTCAAGCGTGAAGGGAGGGTCGCCAAGCAGAAGAACGTCAACTGCCACTTCGTCGCCAAGGCATGAACTTATCTTGCCTGTGCTGTGCTGGATAATGGCCCCCGCTGCGGGTTTGACGTCTTGCTCTAGGACGTACTCGGGCCCGGCGAGTTTCTGACCGCTGTAGATGTCGTCGCCAATGTGGGTGAAGATGTACCTGTGATGCCCGGCAATGCGCGGAACCAGGTCCATCTGGTAGCGAAGGCCGGGAATCTTGACTCTCTCGGACCGCCGCTGACCATTCGAAATCACGTCGTACCTGACGATGAACGGCGGCGTCCCGATGAGATCCATGTCCACCCGCAGACCGATAGAGTTGCCGGCGCAGGTGTCGGGGATTTCCTCTGAGCGCAGAGTGAGTTTTGGCTCGAGGGGGTTCAGCAGGAGGCAAGAAGACGGCTCCTGCACCTCCCCTTCACATGAGCTTGCGGAGACCGACTTCAAGGTGTACAGGCCGGAGGCAGAGATCCTCGGCCTGTCATTGGCGTTCTTCGCATAGTACGATCCGACGGAAACCACATCGCCGTGGTCGCCGGTTTCGGTGAGGGTATCAATGGGCGAGAACTGCCAAGTCAAGCTATGAGCGGTAACGTCGGCCGACTGGCCGGCAATTCTGAACCGGACAGGCAGCTCTTTCTCGTGGCCCTTGGCAACCTTCAGGGGGTTCCTCAGGTCACAACCTTCCAGTCGCACCTGCGGGCGCTCCTTGACCACGAAGTTCTGCACCAGATGTTTGGGCTTCGGCTTCGCATCAAGGTCGTCGGCGGAGGAGTCGTATTTGACGATATTTCCAAACCCGTCCTGGACCTCATCCACCGAGTATTGCCACTCTCCGCTGGAATGCATAGATTCGTTGAGCCCGACGGGGACTCGTTGGGACCGGGCCCATGAGATATCATCGTCGTCCAGACCGATGACGGTTGTCGAGCGCACAATGCTGAGCGGAGACGTGAAGCCTTCGGGCTGCAGACTCTGAAAGTGGAAGCTGTGGTCCTTGCCATTGATCGTACGGCTGTACTTGATTTTCAGCGGAGGGGTCCCCTCCACCTGGAGCGACAGATCTGAGAGATCGCCCACACACCGTCCCGACGAAGCCGAAGGACCAACCCAGGCCTTGGGGCAAGGCACAACGAAGGTCTGCGGGTTCTTCCGCTGGACCTCGAGCTTGTACTCATCGAGAACTCGCCCAAGCTGGTAGACACCCGGCTTCTTGACCGGATAGTCAAACTGCACCACAGTCGGCACTCCTTCATGGCTTTCCCGTTTCCCCTTCCGCTCGATCTCCTTTATTTGACTTCTAGTTAACTTCAGGGACTCCTGTTGGTTGGTTTCAAGATCGGTGCGGATGACCTCGACCTCGACCGGGATAGTCGCGTTGAAAAAGATGGGTATCGACGCCGTCTTACGGTCGCCCCCCAAGCAAAAGGGATGAAGTTCGGGGTTCAGCACAGCAGAGCTAGGCACGGTCAGCCTCTAGTACAATCTCGATCCAGAATCTGGGGTTCCTTGCCCTTCGGGGAGAATGTTGATGATATGCCGTCCCATGATCAGTGAAGAGTTATGTATGATGTTGGACACCTTCACATTGTGCTCGGATATGGCAAGCTCGCGGTCGTAGAAGATCTTAACGAAGCCGAGAACCCACCCTTGCCAGGGAAACTGATATAGTATTAGCAACTGTGCCTCTCAGAACGCTAGAATGGGTAACAGGAAGTCCGCACCCCGAGGTTGAACATGAGAATCCAGTCGAACAGGGCGTGGAGAAAGAACGCCACGACCACAGTCGGCTGCGACAGTTCAAGCCATGGTATCCTCAGCTCCGGCAAGCCAAAGAGAAACGCGCAGTCTATGGCGACCCATTTTAAAAAGAGCCAGAAGGACTCTGTGTCTTCCTCGACCAGCTGAGCCCAGTTGTACAGCTTCCAGGCGAGCAGAGCAACATAGAAGCCGAATGCGTAGAGCCGCTGTGTTGGGGCGTCAATGATGTGCAATGGGATGACAGGCGAAGAGCTCGCCGGGGACGGTGCGCCTTGTTGGGGAGCGACCGGCAGCGAACTGCTGCTAGGCTTCGCCGGGGGGGCGGTCGAGGAGGAAGCTGGTGCCCGGGCAGTTCCTCTTTTCGAGGCTGCCACGGGCGTCTGTGGAAAGGCGCCAATAGGAGATGCGCCGTTCATGGCATGCCGAGTCTGGGGGGCGCAATGTCGTCTCTGGATTGGAAAGGTCGGGGTTAATGCAGCGAAGGGAGCGCTGCTAGTCTGCTCATCCAAGGGCCGTGATGCCGCTCCGGTCTCCTGGAGAACTCGGCCGAGGGTGCAAGAGAACCGGGTGTCCAACTCCGGCACAGGCTTTTGGATGTTGTTATTATGTCGTCGGCGTTTGCTGTTCGCGTTGTGGAGCAGCCTCTACTCGTGGCATACTGCTGGGGCCGCAAGCCGAAATCCGAGTCGTGTAAGGTATCTTTCACAGCACGTCAAGACGCGGTCCTAATTTCTGCGCCGCGCTGTGGTTTGCTGCAGCAACAAGACCTTCGCTCGTTGACCCACAGACTGGTGTATTGGTATTGGTCAGCAAGCTTCAAGAGCTCCCCACTTTGCGCTCATGGCCGCTTGTTTTCTTTGATACACTGCTGCGCTCAGGCATAATAATAAGAAGGTACGGAGGAGATATTAGCGTTATTACAGTCTGTGTAGGTATGTATGTACCGTAGTCTGTTTCCAGACCTATAATGTACTTCTTGTTTATATATAATATTAGTAGTACCTTACCTACCCTGAAGTGTGACAAATAACAGGATAGGTACCTACATGGAATCTCGCGGCAAATTAGCTTCACCGATGCGTAATGTTGCCTGGTGGTACCTGAGGTAGTTATTCAAACCGTCATTCATTGACCCTGCAAGACACCTGCCTTCCGCGAGGCACCGCATCCTTGTCCGGGGTGTTTGTCCTACTTCCGCTTTTGGAGTCTCCATGAGCCAACACAATGACCTCAACAGAGCTTTGAGACTGAGACCGAGACAAACATTGTGTCCCAGCCATCCACAAAATCCTCCCCTTTCACTTACTGATATGAAGTCAGTCAACATTCCTAACAACCGTTGTTCATCCCCTTCTGGAGACCAGAGGCTTCACATAACCGCCTCACGCCTTTTACTACATCTTCCCGACGCTCGTAAGTCGTAACACCTTTATTATTATGCCGGACTGTAGTGGTGAGCATCAATTACACCCGGCCCACCCCACCTCATACCACCGCTGAACTGACTCGAGGAAAGGAGTAGGAAACTTCCTAATCAACTGTGCAGGCTCGCTTCTCACGGCTCGCAAAACTTATGCAGAAGCTAGGGCTATCCCTTAGATCGTACGCGTAGGAAAGCCATATCGTCACACTACGTCGTATCTCGCCGCCTTACACTTTCGACTGCTCTAGCAATGAGTTGCATGTGAGAGCGTCGAGAGTCAGGTCAGGATAGAGGGGCATCGCACGGTATTCCGTTGCCGCCTGCTTGCAATTCGCTTTCGGACGTCAAGGTCAACCTTCTCAATCCTTTGCCAGAAACCCCTTGTGGGTCCTTTCCTCCCACGCAGATCAGAATGGCTGAGGAACAGAAGCCAACTGACTCCAGCGGGGAGACTGGCCCCGAGAGCTGCGAAGCAAACCCTCCTGTTACGCTCCGTCGTTCCGGTCGTGTCCGCAGGAGACCGTCCGACCATATCGACAATGGTGCCCAGGAAAGCCGAGGCCCAGCTACAACCTCTTCTTCCACCAGTGCTCGTCGAAACCCAAAGCGGAAGGCGGCTCCCGAGACCTTTGACGTGCCCGATAATCTGCTGGAGGCATCGCTTGCGCCGTGGAAGGAGAACGAGCTCACCGAGTGGGAAGGCTGGACAGAGCTAGAATCCGACCCTGTTAGTTTATTATTTCCCCTCCCCAGCGCATGGCGCATGGCGCGTGCTGATATTAGCAGGCTTTCTTTACCCTTGTGTTGGGGCTACTCGGCGTCAAGGGAGCGAGGATAGTGGAGGCGCTTTCCGTCGATGAGGACTCCCTAGCTGCACTGCCGTAAACATACCAACCATGCCTGGACCCTTTTGACGAACATCTGTACTGACTGGCTCACAGTTCGCCGGTGTACGGTCTGGTATTTCTTTATCAGTATCTCGGGGAGGAAAGCGGGAAGGAGACTGCGGAGACGGGCCGAGACGTGTGGTTCGCGAACCAGGTAAGACTCCCCGCTTCGCGGTAACAAGGATAATGGATAGCTCACAAGGCCGCAAGACGACTAATAATGCATGCGCAACCATTGCCCTGCTCAACATCATAATGAACGTCGACGGCTTATCACTTGGTGAGAAGCTTCGCAAGTTCAAAGAAGAATCCCTGGATTTGTCGCCACCACTGAGAGGCAACATGATCTCCAGCAGCACCTGGATACGGACGGCTCACAACTCATTTGCTCGGCAAGTCGCCAATGCATCACTCAGAACCGTTCCGCCGCTAACGCTTTCCACAGTCGACTAGACCTTCTGAATGCGGCACTCGCTCTCGACAACAAGGTGGACAGAGCATTGACAGCGAAGAAGTCGAAGAAGTCGAATAAGAGGGTCAAGCGACGGAGGGCCGGGAGCGCGGAATCGGAAGGGGGTTCCGGCTACCATTTCATCGCGTTTGTCCCTAGAGGACAAAGAGTTTGGCTGCTCGACGGCCTCTCATCCGCCCCGGTTTGCATCGGTAAGCTGACTTCCCCACGCATCTACCCCCCCATCCACCTGACAGTTCCGTACCACCAGGTGAATATGCGCAAGACCAGCATTGGACTTCGGTGATGCGCCCCGTCCTGCAGGAGAGAATGATGCGGTACGAGACAGAGCAACTGTCCTTCAGCCTTTTGGCGCTATGTGGCGATGATCTTGGCCATGTCCGACAGAAACTTTCGGCTAACATTCGCTGCTTGGAGAGCATCGCGGCAAAGCTCGCCAGCAGCCCCGAGTGGAACCCCAAGGCCAGCTCGGATATCATTTACAGCTCTACAGACGCCCGGCTCTCTCTGTACCAACTGGACACCCAAGACGTCAAGGGTGTACCTGACCCTGAACCCGACCCTCCACTCTCAAACCTGCATGAGTCATCTGAGATCGACAGCCAGACAACTGAGGCTGCGTCGAAGCTCTGGGAGCAACTCGGCGACGAACAGAAAGGTCTCCGCTTACAGTATGAGGGGAGTCTGAATATGGACGAACACGAGTCCGCCCGAGTTTTTGGCCGGACCAAGGACTACGCGCCTGCCATCCATGAGTGGGTCAAGATACTGGCCGACCGCGGGGTGCTGAAGGAGCTACATGATCAGGTGCAACTCTCTAAGTCGCCGTAAAGGAAGCTGGTGTGTTTAGACTCGCCACGATAACCAGCCCTGGGGCCGCCGGCTCAGAGCTCACGGACGGTTTCCTGGGACTGGTACTTTAGAGGCAAATTGATGGTAGGAAGGCAGGAGCGCGCGAGATGACTTGTAATGGACGATTCTCCCCTACAGCAGGAGGCATGGAGCCAAGAGATGGACCAGCGATTGATACCAAGTTACCTTGGTGTTGGAAAGGTAGCCTAGTACTTCTTATACTAAGCTGTATACACACTTAGGTAGTGGAGAGAAAGTAACAAACCACAACCACTCAGCCAAGAGCCTCTGTGAATGGCATAGAATCATGAATGGGAACTTTGAGGCAAACAATGGGAACCGATCGTACATACACTGCAGTGTAACGTGCCTCGGCTGTCCTGGGGTAATCCGTACAGTGAAGTAATATAGTGTAAAATCTGCAGAGGACATGGGACATATAAATTTTCTGAAACAGGCACACCATGATTGAAAAGCAGCAATGCACCTTTTACATCGTGGCAATGCTAGTACGGCCTGTTGCAGTGAGGATAAGTACTAGGAGACTACCTAGGTACCTCAGCTCTGTATGTAACTGGGTCCTGCGTACCTTAGTCTAGATGCCCATGACGTAATGTAGTTTGACCAACAGGGGAAGGCGGTCTGGGCCTGTTCGGGCAGGAAAATGACGGCATTTTAGAGGTGACCCTGGAACCGGCTGCGCCCCATATAAACTAAGGTAAGTATTTACCCAACTCGGAACCAACAACGGCGACACAAGAACCTTCGACACTGCATATCGCGGGCATTGGTTGAATCAAACGCTCGATCATTCCTCCAATCTCCGACCCACTCTCTCTAGCCTCTTGTTCCGACTTCTTGGAACAGGCTCGATTGCGAGAATCGTAACTGAGGAAACGAAGCAGCAAGCGGTCAAGGATCACAAAAAAATAGACATGTCCAAGCGAACAAGCTACGCTGCTGTGGCAGCAAATGGCGCCGCCTCGAAAGAGAACAGCCAGGACACTATGCCTTGTACGTCTGTCCAGCTACCGACTCGAGCGCACATTCCCTGGAGATAGGCGGAGGAGGAGAACGTGACCGATCCGCTAACATTTCCCCGCAGCGATGGACAAGCAGAGGGCCCTTCTCTCCACCGACGCCGGGCACTTCTCGCTCATCCGTGCTCTTCATCTGGCAGACCTTATTACCGAGCTCAACGGTTAGTTACAGGGAAAGCTCTTGTATCATCGTCACAGGAACGAGGGCTCGCTAACACGAAGGACCCCCCCGGCAGGTCTTTGTGGCGTCCTCTCGCTTTTTTCCTCGATGCGTTACTGTCTCGGCGACCCAGCACAGAACGGCAATCTCTGGGCGGCGCTCCTCTTCCTGCCCTTTGGTCTCTTCTTCGACTTCCTTGACGGCAAGGTCGCGCGTTGGAGGAAGAAGAGCAGCATGATGGGACAGGAACTAGACTCTCTCGCCGATCTGGTACGTGACGAACGTCTTTTGCCACCCTCTCACTCCCGGTTACCCATACTGACTTATTGTCTCTTTGTGAAAAAGATCTCCTTCGGCGTCGCCCCCGCAGCTGTGGCCTTCGCAATCGGCGTCCGCACACCCCTTGACCACCTCTGCCTGGCCTTTTTCGTGCTCTGCGGCCTAACACGGCTGGCCCGCTTCAATGTCACGGCCACCTCCATCCCCAAGGACGCCTCCGGCAAAGCCAAGTATTTCGAGGGTACGCCGATCCCTACGACGTTGGCGCTCGACGCGCTGATGGGGTGGTGGGTCTCGAACGGGTGGATCCACGAGTCTCTTCCCGGAGGTGTGTGGTTTGCAGGGTCGGTGCTTGAGGTGCATCCCATTGTGGTGCTCTTTATGGTGCACGGATGTTTGATGACGAGCAGGACAATTCACATTCCCAAGCCGTGATCTGGTCAAAGCAAAAGGTGCTTTGGTTCTAGGTTGCTATGATTGTGTCTTGTGTTACGAAGAAACCAAAGAAAAAAAGAAAAGGAAAGGGATATATCTGGATGGCATTCAAGAACAAGGAAGCATACATGCATCTACTCTCATAGCGGGGAATTCCATAGGCTAAATGGACAGCATGGCTCGGTCTTGGTTTTGCTGCTCTGGTGTACTCCGTACAATTAGAGCGTTTTGGGTTGTCCGGCCATTTGACAGTTGCTTGATAACGTTGGGAGGTCAACAACTAGCACGGACGCCCAACTGGGTGCAAGCAATCATTGAATCTTGCAGAGGCTTTCTACGCTATCTTGAGAACAGAGTACAACATCTAAGCCTTATCCGCCTTCTCGTCCTTCTTGGGTGGGAAGGGGTTGTACATCCCCCTGTCAACCTTCAACTTACGCAACTTCTCAACCGCCTCTTCGAGGTCAACCGGGACGTCTCTCGCCTGAGTGGACGTATCGTCGCGGTAGCGAATGTTCACCTTACGGTTACGCATCTCGTCGTCGCCAACCACGAAGCAGAAGTTATCTGCGAAAGTTAGCAATCTTGGGTGTTGAATTCAAGGGGGACGGTCCAACTCACATTGAGCCAGCTGGCCATTTCGGATTTTCTTTTGCAGTGTGTTGCCGCTGCTGTCGACATCTGAAGTGATAACGGTATGTAAGACTACGCCGAGGAGACGAAGGCGAGATCACTGAGAACATACCAACATAGAAGCGCTCCTTTTTCAGGAGGGCGGCCACCTCCTTGGCATAGCCCAAGAAGCCCATGCCGACGGGGATGACGACAACCTGCCGTGGCGATAGCCAGAAGGGCCACTTGCCAGCGAAGTGCTCGGCAAGAATTGCAGTGAAGCGCTCGATACTGCCGGCCATGGCACGGTGGATCATGACAGGGCGAGCGCAGCCAGGGGACAGAGGCTTCTTGATCAGCAGTAGCTTCTTCTTCTCCTTGCCATCCTTCTTGCCGTCCGCAGCAACATCGGGTGCGGGGGCTGGAGCGGGGGCTGGAGGAGCCGCCTCTGCGGCCTTCTGTGCACCTTCGGCAGTCTGATACTCAAGAGAGAAGTTGATGGGTTGTTGAAAGTCGAGCTGGATTGTGGCGCATTGCCATTGTCTCTGCAGTGACTGTTAGTTGCTAATCAGTAATCATAGATCAGACCCGATCACCGTACGTTAAGACAGTCCTATCAGCACACTCAGTCAACATTGGCAACGGCGAGAGGGCTGGTTTGAGGGGATACGCACCAAAACGGCAATATCAACCTTCGGGCCATAGAAGGCACCATCGCCAGGGTTGAGGTCCCAGGAGACACCGTTATTGGTAGCGGCAAAATCGTCAAGGGCTTCCTTGAGGCGAGCCTCCGCACGATCCCATGTCTCGATCTCCCCCATGAACTTGTCTGGACGAGTGGACAACCTAAGCTTGAAGGTGAGTCCGAGCATACCGTAAAAGGAGCTCATGAAGTCAAAGAGATCAGCGACTTCCTCCTTGATCTGGTCTTCGCGGCAGAAAATATGAGCATCATCTTGCTGGAACCTCCTCACTCTTGTCAGACCGCTCAGCGCGCCACTGGCCTCGTTCCGGTGGAGAACGCCAAAGTCGGCAAGTCGCAGGGGCAACTCCTTGTGACTCCGTTCCCTGTGACGGAACATCATCGCATGCGCCGGGCAGTTCATGGGCTTCAGTCCGAATTGTTCCTTGTCCACGTCAAGGATGAACATGTCTTCCTTGTAGTGCGCCAAGTGGCCGGACTGCTCCCAGAGGGAGACATTGAACATGTTGGGCGTCATAACCTCGTCGTAGCCACGCTTCCAATACTCCTCGCGGATGAACTCCATAATGGCATTGTGGATGCGCATGCCGTGCGGCAGCCACATCGCGGAGCCGGGTGAACACTCCTCAAAGTAGAAAAGCTCCTGCTGCTTGCCAATCAGCCGGTGATCGCGCTTGGCAGCCTCCTCCAGAAACTTCTTGTGAGCGGCCATCTGCTTCTTATCTGGGAACGATACGCCATAGATCCGTTGGAGGGAGTCATTATTGGCATCCCCGAGGAAGTATGAGGAGGAGTTCTTCATGATGGCAAAAGCCTCCACCCTGCTGGTATCCGGCACGTGGGGTCCGCGGCAGAGATCGATTAATGGCCCGTTGCGGTACACAGTAGTTTTGGTGCCGTCCGGAATCTTGTCCTTGATGATATGCACCTTGTAGGGGTTATAGGCGAACATCTTGAGCAGGTCTTCTTTGGTCATCTCCAGCCTCTGAAACGGCTGCTTCTCCTTCACGATCTTGGAAACGATGCTCTCAAGAGGCGCCCAGTCGGAGGACTGCACAGCAGCACCGCCCGGCAGGGCCATTTCGTAGTAGAATCCATTATCCACAGGAGGGCCGATGCACAATGAACAGCCGAATCTCCGTTCGCAGGCTTCGCCAAGGATATGGGCGCTGGAGTGCCAGAAGACAAATTTGCCCTGGTCGTCGTTGAAGTCGAGCAGTTCCAGCTTGCAGCTCTTCTCGAGGGGTCGCTCAAGGTCCCACAGGTGTTCACCGTCAATCCTCGCGACAACTGTGCGCTTGTACAGGCTGTTGGAGATGCCCTTCGCGATCTCGGCGGGGGTGGTCTCGTACGCTTTGCCGGGCTTGACGGTGCCGTCGGGCATGGTGATCAGGATGTCATCGTGCGGCTTTTTGGCAAGCTCCTCCTGCTGCTCCTTGTACAGGCGGTCGAACAGTTCGAGGCGCTCCTGGATGAAGCTCGGGGGCGGTTGCATCTCGAGCGGCCCGGCGTCGGCATCCGGTGCTGCAGGGGCCTTCTTCTCTTTCTTGGGCTTCTTCTCGCCGCCACCAATGGCGGCCTTTTGCAGCGCTTCGGTGACTTTCTCCATGCTTGCTGTTCGTGCGACCGGGATGCGAGAGTTGGCGTTGAGCGGCGGAAAAATGGAGTTGTTGGTGTCCCTGGCAACAGCACGTCCGTGAGTCACTTCAGACGGGACGTATCTGGAGGGGTTCAAATCAACAGTAAAATTGCTGCGGGACGCCGTTCTACCCCGCCATCGATAAGGGACCGCCCTGAACCACCCCCAAACTGCAAGACCCGCTCCCGTCACTCCGAGCCGGACAGAAGCTCGGGCCACATGCGCTCTTCCGCCGGTATTATAATGATATGATGAATCGTATTTATTAAACATTCATCAATTCCATCTACAACTACCTCTCGCATATTTCCCCTCACTCATCGGACTGCTCTTAAGTAAGGTATCTTGCCCACATTCCGTTCTCAGTGTCTACCCAGCTTCCATCACACAAATCCTTTGATGCTTGGAGCATACTATATTCCTGGAATCCTGGATTACCTACGTCAAACGCTCAAGCGTACGGAATACTGTGGTCGGTCTCCCACTAGACTTACGCAATGCGCTCTTCGCTCGAAGACATTCCAGATGAGATAATCCGCCACATCCTGCTTTATCTGCCGCCTGAGGACGCATTTGGAAGCTTCCAGCTTGTCTCCCGCCGCTTCTATCACCTCGCAAGTGAGCCGTTGTTATGGAAATGGCACTGTCAGAGCTCGTTTCGCTATTGGAACCCTGAGCACAGATTTCAGGAGAAGCTCCAGGCACTCGCCTCTTCCGTCAACTGGAAGAGACTGTGGACCTTGAGGAAAAGGAGAAACGACAAGGCCGCGCGACTACTAAACGGGGTGATATCGACCAATGTCGGTCGGCTGAAGAAGGTGCAAGGGATCTGTGAACTGGGGTTCGATGTTAAGGACTTCCTGCTGGAACAATGCCATGTTGATCCCTCCGCAGATGATTTCCTGGCCAGGAGGTAGGAGAGATACTCTTTTCCTTCATAGATGCTCTTCTACGAGTTTGTCCCCGGCGGAGACTCCTGCCGTCCGATAATCATTATCTCTTACGATCTTTGGCCATCTTTCAATGACTGAACGCCATGCTCAGGTACTACGCGAATTCGACTCTGGACAGCATACATAGAGGCGTAGCAGTGGAGGTATGGTCGCGCTATCAAGGCCAACCGTCAAGCTCACGAAACCTCGACACTGCACTCGGTGCTTTTGATATGTTTGTGTTGCATGATCAAAATCAGGATCTAGACTATGTATGTTGAAGATCGGCATGCCCCCTCCAGCAAGATTATAGCTAATGGGCGGCTAGATCGTGCGGACACTTGACACGCTCGCCGAGCAGTTCAAAGCTGAGCATCCGACGTTTCACAACCTGTCTACCAGAGAGAAAGCCTTGTCCCTAGTCCGCTGGTTGAGAGCGAGGAAGCTTACCGGTATGGACAATCCCGATCTCAACTACCGTAATTTGAGGAACTGCTTTATCGGCCACGCGCTTTCCGATGAAAATCACCCTTCGCTTCCCATCATTTCGAGCGCCATCTTCACGTGCATTGCAGAACGGCTGGGGATGGCAGCGTCCTGCCTTGCGTTTCCCAGCCATGTCCACGCCGCGGTGTATGCTCCGCCAGGGAAGGACCTGGACGGTGGAGAGACGGAAGCTGTTGATGGCGAGCAAAAGAGGATGTGTCTCGATCCGTACGGGTCGGACCAGGAAATCACACTCCGTGACCTGCGCCTCAGACTCGTCGAGTTCGGTTGGACACAGGGGACCGAAGCATTCCTTCAACCCTCCCCCGTGCCGATCATCGTCCAGAGGACGGCGCATAATATTAAGGCGACGCACGACACAGTCCGCACGATCGCGGACAACGAGTTCCTAGGGGCCGAGATGAAGCGTTTGCGAAGCGGCTATCCCAGTTTGAACATGGACGCCGCCTATTACGCCTCCATGTGGGCCGAGCTCCTCATGAAGCAGGCCTCCAGATTTCACTGGGACTCGAACCTAGCCACGTTCCTTCACAAGTTCGCCCTCTCCTGGAGCGAAGATTACTGGATCGTTCAAAAGTATCTCGTCCCGCTATACGACAGATTTGTGTCCGAACAGAACCCCCGGCGTCGCCGCGGCTGGCAGAATGTGCACGATATTCTTGCGATGCTCGAAAACGTTGACAACCGGCTCCCGGAGGTCAGCCGGCGATACACCGAGGACATAGCCCGGCGTGTTCACTACAACATTGGGCAGGTCTTCCGTCACCGGCGCTACGGATACATCGGCATCATCAACGGGTGGGCCGCGATGGGTAGCACCACCCTGCCGATGCCGCACTACCTCGATAGGGACGAGGCCGATGAGGAGGGAGATGTTTTTGACCCAAGCGAGTCGGTACACACGATGAACATGGGTCCGCTGAGAACGTATTATACCTGCCTGTGTGTTGCCCTCCGTGGTTTCTGCCTTGATGGATGGCGATATATGCTGACATTACGGGAGCTCTTCTAGGCGTTCGACTGTCGACCGCCTGCGAGTCGCGCAGGACAACGTCGTTATCATCGCCGACCCCAGTGTAATTCCCGACGATCTATTCTTCGTGGCGGGCAAATTCTTTAAGCGCTTCGACTGGGAGACCTGCACGTTTGTATCGAATATCAAGGAATACTATCCTGACGACTAATGAACTGGGTGGTGAACCCGGAGGGATGTGCATGTAATCAGGGTTCCGTTACGCGAGCGGGCTAGGGGAGCTTACGCCGTGTTTTGTGTCCTATGTAGCAACTGCTTATGGAGACGACTATTCGCTGGTTTCAGTGTTCTCGGCGGGTTTGAGGGGGCCACCCGCAGCAGAATGTAATCATAGGTTGGAGCTTTTGGCGTCTCGCGATAAATAAACGTTGCTCAGCGTTACATACGTGGCAATGTTGCAATGGATTCACAGCCCTACAGACAATCTCAGCAGTGGTGAAATGAGTGTTATTTCCTGCCATCCTAAGGTTCATCCACATGCCCGCTACTCAAACCCGTTCCCTCCCACCGCTTCTAGTTTCTTTTTCCTTAAGCCAACGCTGCCCACCAACCCACCCGAAGCCGCAGTGTCATTTCGTCGCCCAACCTTTTCGTGCCGGCATTCTTCCATTATCATCCAAACAGACAGAAAAAGCAAGGGTATCTCAGCAAGACAAGAGAATCGAAAATACATCCACGTCAGCTAACTAACTCGACAACACACGCCCGCCTCTGATTGACGGAATCTGCGGGCCCCGTTCCCCCTCGGTGCGGGCCTAAGCCCGACGGGCTTCACGGCGCGCAGCCCAGCCTTTGAGTGCGACCATCATGATAACCCAAGCCATGAGGAGCCCCACTAGGCCCATGGTGACGGTGTAGATGAACATGGCATCCAGCTGGTAGTGGATCATGCCACTAACGGTATCACCCGACTGTTTGCCCATGTTAGCTATGCTTTCTGCTTTCTGCTCTACCCCACGTTAGAAGTGCAGAGAAGAGACTTACGCTAGCCATAAATATAATACCCCCGGCAATGAGACCGAACGAAGTCAGCAGCTCAGTGGGCGGCCTGGACGGGTAGATTGACCTCGGCGGCTTGAGCCAGGTAAGCAGGTACGTCAGGCCGCGGGCAAAGGAGGCACCCGTCAGCAGGTCGCCCCATTGCTTGTGCACCATGCTCGAAATCATGCTCTCTTGCGTGTGGGAGCTCATCATGATGCCCGTCAGGAGGATGACCAGGGCGGGGATGGGATTCATGGAGAAGGAGTAGCTTTCCGGTTCCCGGAGCTCGTCTCGTTCCTCATCGCGGTTGTTGTACGTGAGCTCACCCATAGCGTCGGTAACCGTGTAGTTGAGGAGGCTGCGGATGCGGGTCGATTCCACGAGCATGCCGCACTGAACAGGAATTAGTAACGTAGACGTGTAAGCCGGAGCTTAAGGCGTGTGGCTTACCAGGCCACCTCCAATGAACAACACGGTGATGGAGATATGCTCCATATCCTGGGGGCTCCATTCACCGCCCCAGTTACCGAGATGCTCGAGGAAGATGTTTGTAGAGCCGTAGAAGAAGATGAGGAAGCTCTCGACGAATTCTGCAGAAGGACGCCATTTCTGGCCGGCCTTTCTAGGACGCACATTCCAGGCCTGGCAGAGTTAGCTTGCTTCCCTATATTTCATTGCGCCACCCAGGGGGTAAACCAACCCATCCGAGCTCGCCAAAGCTGCCCGCCCAGCGACCGAGGGTGAAGATGCCTAACCAGAAGAAGACACCACCCTTGATCCAATGCGCTAAGCCGGTGAAGATCCCCGGGCCCTCCTGGCGATACTAGTCAGCACCGACCCCGTTTTTGCATCTCCCTCATTCGACCTGTTGGGTACTCACAAAGAACCGGCCAAAAGTGATGATACCGGTGCACACAGCAATGAAGCCAAGGATCAGAATCGTCCGGTCGACGACGTTGTAGGTAAAAAGGAGCACTTTCCAGAGCCGGTCTGAGACCTTCCCTGCGATCTTGGCCACCATTGAGTGAGCCTTGGTAGATTTGGCGAACGTTGGTAGGTGGGCTTCCAGGTCCTCATCGGAATCGGCATCGCTGTGGTGATACTCCTTGGTTCGCGGACTCGGCGGAGGGTCTGAAAGCGAATGGCTGCGGAGTGACTCTGTCCTCGGCTCCGTGCCCTGACCGCTGTCAATAGAGAACCGGCCGTACGGCGCCGGGAAGCGGGTCTCGTGCTCCGCCATGGCCTCTGTGGATACCGGAATGAAGCGTTGGCGCTCATCGGGATCCTCTGCCAACCTTTCCCGCTTCAACATGCCGGCAACACGGGCCAACAACCCGATCACCACCTGTGCGCTCACGACGCAAGTCACAAGCCAGCCAAGCTTGTGGTGCGCATTGTTCGGATACAGATCGGGCGTGCTGGCGTTGTAGATGACCCCCAACAGCACGCCCCCGCCGTTCACGGCCAGGAAGCCGAATTGCACCACGAGCGCGTATCGCGATCGGGCGAGCGACAGCATAACAGCTAGATGTCGCCAATCTCAGCAAACCGCCCTCGCTCGCTCTCCCGTTTTATGGAGTCTGTGGAGCTTACCAGCAGGTAGCGCAAATACCCATGCCAACAGCATTAGAGCAATATGCCCGTAGACGGCCACCCTGTGGTCGGGGTGCGCGAAATACGTGGGAGGATACTGGTCCTCGGGCAGAGGCTTGTCGGCGTCGGTCATTTTCATGCCGCCCATGCCACCATCTCCATGACCATGGTCATCGCCGTGTGCAAGGGCGACTGGGACAAGGCCCAGGAGCGCCGCGCTCGCAACAACCGACAGAAGCGGAGATACGTATGCCTTCATCTGGAACCGATGTTTTACGTTGTTTCTCGACCGCTACCGGGGTCTAAGCTCACTGCAGTTCCAGTGTCGTAGCGCCGGTTCGCACTGATGATTATGAGAACCCCGGCGATGCCGCCTCAGCCGCGCGGCGTTTGCAGGAATCAGTTCGAACAACCCGTGGGTTAGAGATGTCGTCTAGTGAGCCGGTCGGGTTCGCGAGGCTCGCATCAGGCTGGGGCAGGCCGCTTGCGGGAGTAAAACAAAGACAGCACTGCCCGTGGTTGATAGGATCAATGGATTGCCTTTTCCTCTCCAGAAAGCGGACGCAAACAATGAACGGGGAGCGGAAAGCCTTAAAAGCGGCCATGCTCGACGCCGAGTAGCTCGTTTTCCCGTTGCGGACAGTGATTGGTAATTCCCGGGACAAGCATCCGCGTCTCGGGCAGGAGTCAGGCGATGTCCCTGTCCAATGTGGCTCCTGTCGCTGCCTTCGCGGTTTGCGCCCGCATTCCCGCCTCCGGGACATCCGAGGGATGCTTTTCTTGGGGGTCGTCGGCATGGTGCGGGAACAAAGGACACAGTGCGGGACGGACTATGTGGGGCAAAGAGCTCTGCTGCATAGGTTTGCTGCAATTGCTGACTGCACATGTGCATTTTCGTCAAGCACACCACACCACATGCTTCGACAGCTTGACGCTCTGCCAATAAATGAAACATGAATCGAACGACCATCGGACCAGCTTCCACGTATGGATCCATCAAACCTCAGTATCGAGCCCCAAGGCATAAGGTACACACAGGTACCTACAACACGGTACCTAGGGTACACTATGTGGTGTGCTGTGACAGGCAGTTGTCGGCGCCGATTCCCTTGCGGCATCTGCTGGCGGCGTTTGGCAAGCCGAGTGGGTCCGGATTTAACGTGATCGGCCAGCTTTGATGCCAAGGACGACCCAAGAGTTCTAGTGTACACTAAGAATTGACTATCCAGGTGATTGATTATTCATCGATGCCATGTTACCTTGAGCGACGTTGTCTTCCCCATCAGCTTTACCCGTACTGCTCTACTACCTGGTAGCCTGCTACATCACCTTAGCTCGGGGCACGGAGCATCGCGAGAGTGTTGCTCTGCTATTCGTTATGGCCGTCTGTGTCCTAGTTGGACTGTGAAGTTCCTGTTTACCCAAGTGAACGGAGAGGAGGTGATCATGGCCTCGGCGGCTGTGTAGTGTACATAACGTTAGCACGGAGGAGGTATAGCACAGGAGAAACACGGAGAAGATCACTGACCAAAAATGATACAGTATCAGCGCCGAAACCTGATACTACCCTACTAGAGAGTACCGAGACTCGGCACTGCAGCACCCGTTTTCGCTAGCCTCGCTTGGGTTAAGAGGGACCCCCCTTCATCCTCGACCGGCATGCCAACGGACTCGGAGTTGCGACGAAGCCCGAGACATGTTGTCACGCTCTACCAAAACTGTTGTTCACGAAAGTCGGCCCAAGCCAGACCTTCTACATGCACCTGTAGTTATATGGTCTCCCCCTCTGTCAGAAGTCGGCGAGCAACTCCACGGTCCTTCCTGACGCAGGGTCTTTTTGTGTAACCAAACAAAGATATCACTACTCTGGTAAAACGACCAGACGCCAAATGAAACAGCCCAGCTACAAGAGCTCCGTTTTATGGAAGGGCCGTACCACAACGTCCCTATGATCCGTCAGGACCCTACATACGGTAAGTACTAGAAGGTGAGAGCGGGCACCTGAGAGCGTGTCTCCACTCTGACAATAAGTTCCCGTGTGAGCCCCACAGGCCTTCCTTTTGACTGCAAAACCCTGGGAGAGACTGCAGCAGCGGCAGCTGACATTCCCCCTGCCGAATGTCCATTCACCTGGACACCTTGATTTACTGCACCAGCATGAGTGTTCTTACCTGTATAGTACCAAGGGAGAGTATTCTCATCTGTAGGTACGTGTAGGGAACAGCCATCCATTCCGGCTTTGTCGTTCAAAGATGCTACATGCTTACTATTGGGAACAAAATTCTTCTGTACACTTTAACCGGTGGGGCCTTAACTACCCAGTCAGTCATCGTGAGAAAGTCAGGGAAAATCGAAGAAAGATCAAAGTCATCAGAACCGGCGGCGGCACGGTGGGCCCCGAGATTGCCGGCCGAGTGGTACCTGCTCACCTGCTACCCCACAGATTTTCATACTGTGCCCAAGCTTTCAGAAAGCACACAATACACTAGTAAGTAGCACAAGATAGATGGAAAGCCTCATCTTGCCCTACCACAACACATGAGTTCCTCATCTGCCGTGGGCCTGGCACGGGCAAGGCTTGAACTTGGACGCGGTCCCTGAAGATCTTTGTGTGTTTAGCTGTCCTCTACGAGATATGTCGTATGTTGTACCGAGTGGGTAATGTCGATTGAAGCTTACGGTAGTAGAATATTCTCACTGCTCTGACGTCAGAGGCTCATTTCATAGGGCTGAATCATCTTCAGCCCACAAGCGTTGTGGGATCCCAAGTGGCCAGAACTCAGCTGAACCATCTCCTTACCTAAGTATACACGTGTAAGCCAGTACTCTACCATGGCTCCGGTATATCCGTACGTGTTGGCCATCCTTTCCGGGCGTCACAGGGCGGATCGGCTTGGACCCGGCCGACCTCCGAGCCTCCATTTCACCTCATCCCCATCGACCACCTCCGAAACCTTCCCTTCTCTCTGCAGCTTCTGTAGAATCTGCATGATTCCGCCCGCCGCCGCAGGGTGCAAGCTCTCTGGTACGTCCCGATAGATGACCTTCACCAGGTCCATCACCGTCCAGGCACTCCCTTTCCCACTTTCCGCTTCGACCACCGCCGGGGTCCCTTCGTTCCCTGGCCGCGGGGTGAGGAGTGCCTGCACAACCTGCTGCTCCCGCTGTCCCCGATGCCGGATATACTCGGCGATCTTGCCCGGCCCGTCCGGGATCACCGGGCCATGGCCGGGGTAAGCTGTCCCTGTCCCTGTCCCCCTGAAGAGACTCTTCATCTTCTCCAGGCTGGCCATGTAGGCGCCTAGGTCCTCAAACACGGCTGTGCCGTGGCCGAGGACGTTGTCGCCCGTGAACAGAGCGTCTTCTTCTGGCCAGACAAGGACCATGTGGTCGGCCGTGTGTCCGGGGGCGTGGACTGCGGTGAGGGAAGCGCCGGGGATCTGGAACGTTTGGCCATCTTCGATGTCTAATTGGCCCGACTCCGGTTGGTGCTTGTAGATTTTGGTCCCTGGCCAGGATTTAAGGAGGTCAGCCACGCCGCCTGTATGGTCGTGGTGCCAGTGCGTGATGATGGCGCTTGTGATTGTGGCCTTCTCTTCGTGTAGCACGCGTGTAAGTGCCGTGATCCATGACGGCTTGCCCTCGCCCGTGTCGATGAGAAGACGGTTTGGCCCCGTCCCGATTAGGTAGGTGTTGGTTCCCTGAAGAGTGAACTTCCCCGGGTTGCCGCCAAGGATGCGGATGCAGCCCGGACTGAGACGTTCGATCTCCGGAAGGGGCGTTAATTGGGTGGCCATGTTGTGTTTGAATTTGAGGAGTGGCGACAGCAGCTTGCCAACGGCCAGGCGCATCTGTGACTAGGGCCTGGTCCACGACCTACTGTGAACTGGTAGAACTTGGAAGTATGTGGTACCCCAGTGTTGGTTTCGGTATGCTGCGGGGTAAGGGATCGGGCCGGCAGTGGTGGGCTGCCCAGCTGAGCTTTACCTCAGCCGGACCGGCCAGGCATGTGCTTCATCGGTCCCACCTCGGCAGCAGAATCCCGGAGCCCGTCAGTGGGTGTGGCTCCCAGGCACTACACCGTCAGCCTTGATGTGTAAATGTCGTGGGAGGTCTTTGGATAAGAACCTAAAGAACATCAGGGGTAATTTTCAGTCTCACAGTTGCCGCTGCAAGTATGTACGTACAAATACAATACATGGAACGGTGGGCAAGTGGTCGACCAAGTCTCAAGCCCTATGTCACAGACATTCACGCAATGAGAGGGCGGAAAGGATATGATGCTTCGTGCAAAACAAGATGTATCCAAGAGTACGGAATACTAGTAGGCTACTACTAGTAGGAGTCGGCACGGATCTTGAATGCCTGCCGAGGCTCAAGGCTGACGATGTATGCCCTGCCCTGGTCAATGCTGAATGCGCTACAATATGCCCCACATTAAACCCCAGGCTGAAGCACTCCACACCTATCGATAAGCCTTGCCGATAAGTAATTTCCAGCCCAGCCGTAGCCATCACGGTTGGAGCCCTTAGACACCGGTTGGCGATGTAATATGATCGGATGAATTGTCGCGCGACAATAGCAACGATGACGTGTTGTTAGCATTGCAAGCTTATTGATTACGTATTGCTCCCAAGTGGCAATCCCTAAGTGTTAAAGATCCATTCTGACCATGTGAAAAAGCTGCTATTTCCCACCCGATCCGCGACGATCAACCCTTGCGCGTCGTTTCCTTTGCTCCGCCGCCGAGCGTTGCCATCGCAAATCCGAAGGCCGTCAACAGGAGCTATTCCCGACCGCTACCCTAACGCACAAAGCCTGTGCCTCCTGCGACCTATATCAAGCTCGGGACGCTTGTGAACACGCCACGTGACGACAGCCCTTCTGCAGCCCCCTTACCGACTTCCTGCCAGCGTGCGAGACCTGAGGCGCAACGGTCTCAGAACGGAATTACGACGCCCTCTGACTTCGCTTACGCAGCCATCCTGGCTTGAAACGAGTGTTTACAAGATGGCTGCAAGGCCTGCTACTCCGGCATCGCCAAAAAACCACAAAGTGAAAGCGCCCCAACCAGGGCAGCCCATGTATGGCTGTGGTAAGTCATCTCGAGTCTTACTCGGCACTTGGCTCCCTTGCCTAACCAGCGTAGAACACCTACAGCGGCTGTTCAACCAAGGACAAGCGGCTACAGATACATCCATCCAACATTACAAGGCGATCCTACGAAGCATCTTCGACACTACGCCGCTCATCTCGCAGACAGCGAAGTTGACCGAAGGTCCGACCGTCACGTCGCTCACCGCGACGTACCTGTGCTTACAATGCCCCTCCACGCTCACAGAAGAGGACCGGGCAAGGCACGGCGCTAAGAAGGCGCACAGATTCTGTGCGTTGAAGACGCTCTTTACCGATATTTATCTGGGTATCCCACAGCTTGCTGACAAGTGCATAGATGTTGACTCAAGAAGCGGTGCTCTTTACTGCCAGATGTGCGATGACATTGTCTGGGACCCCACCTTCGAAGAACTTAGGTTAAGGAAGATGGGGACGGGCACGTTTTCCACAAGTAAGCCGTACTCGTCGCCACGATTGTGACGTAGATACTGACACCGACCAGCCCGAAAGCGCAAGCATGAAGATATGTTTGAGGCATCAGACCCTGTTAGGGACAATCCAACATACATCTCGTCCAACACAACGACGGCCTCATGCAAGGCCAATGGTCTGCGGGGAATTTACAACGCAGGGGCTACCTGCTACCAAAACGTCGTCCTCCAGAGTTTCCTCCACAACCCCATTTTGAGGAATTTCTACCTTAGCGACGGGCATCAGAGTAGCAACTGCGATGTGCCGCACTGCCTGAGCTGTGCCATGGACGACATGTTCCAGGACTTCTACGCGTTGGAAAATACCAATGGGTACACGGCAGCTAACATCCTCTCCGGGTTCTGGATCAGCGAGAAGAAAGCGTTTGAAAACTTGGTCACGACAAAAGAACAGGACGCACACGAGTTTTTCCAGTTCCTTGCGGAGGAGCTGCACGAGCGCAACGGCGACGGCAAGAGGCCCGAAATTGGCAGTGAGCATAGCTGCGACTGTGTCATCCATCAAACGTATTATGGCAAGCTGCAGAGCACCACCACGTGCCAAAACTGCAACGGCGTCACCAACCAAGTCCAGAGTTTCCTGGATCTCAGCCTACCACTGGAGAACTTGACCCAAAGAAGGGGTAAAAAGGGATCATCAAGGCCCGGCGGGATGTTGACGCTGCAGGAGTGTCTAGACGAAGAATATATCAAGTCGGACAAGTGCGAGTACCGTTGCAACAATTGCAACTCAATGCAGCAGGCGCGGCGGCAGACGTCGATCAAGCGGCTACCGAATGTACTGTCCATTCAACTCAAGGTACGGCACTGCCTTCCTCGCCCGCTCACCCTTCATCCTATGCCACCCGTGAATTTCCGGCTGACATGTGTACAGAGATTCGAGTACAAGCAAGGGCGCAACGAGCGTGCCGCAAAGATCGACACGCCTGTGCAGTTTCCCCTGCAACTCAACATGCTTCCCTACACCAACCGGGGCCGCAGCCAAGATGTCAGGGACAACTATGAGCTGGCTCGGTCGTGCACGTATGATCTCCTCACTGTGGTGGTGCATGTTGGCGAGATTGACACTGGGCATTACATGTCGTATTGTCGGGTTGGTGACCAAGTGAGTAATTTGCAACCACGAACTCTTCCCAGCTGCCTAAATCCTGTGAGCGATGCTGACGCGGCTACAAGTGGTTTGCATTCAATGATCACAAGGTAGAGTTAGCGCAAAAGTCGGATGTGCTCAACTCCAAAGCATATCTGCTGTTCTATATCGTTAGATCGTTGTCATAAGGGAGCAACGCGAACCGGCAGAGGGAGGGCCGGCGTCTGGCTTTTAGTCAAGTTGTTATATAGATCCTGGTCTGGATTGGGATGCCATTGCGAGTGTAACGGAAGCAAAACATGCGGATCTCCTGGAGTTTTCTGGTGTTTAGAGGTTGTTTTTTGTGTTTTCAGAAAAATGTATATGGCTGCTTCGTTCGGTACCTAGGCTCTGTATAAGTCAACACATCATCAGTTACGTGTGTGCGGCCATGTGGTTCCCACCTCCGTTCTTCCCGATTTACCCTTCTGTCCCTTCACCCCTCAGTAGGCTGCCTCACTCCGGCCCCCTGCTTACCCTGTCTACTAGCCCGCCACCCCCAACCAACCGACTCAAAGTTGGCATAGCAGTAAAACTCGTTGCTCAGACCGCGCGCATGTACGGGGTCGTAGTCGGTCGTACGCAAGCCAAACGAGCGGTACAAGCGGGTCACGATGCCCTCCATCCGTTCGCCCGTGCACACTATCAGTCTGGGCTGTTGTTGGTTCTTGCCTTCCTCGGCTGATGGCGGTTTAGAGAGCCATTTGACTGTGATGGCGGCTGTAGACCCAGCAAAACGTGTCAGCCGCAGACTCGGCGTGTGGGTAGATGGGATGAGTTGTGTGAACGGGAAGTGGAAACTATTGGCGGGAAGAGGGGGAGGAACTCGGTAAGAATCTGGACATGTACTTGTACTTGCCTTTGGTCTGGCAGTGTTCGTTGAGAAACGGTGGGTCGCAGACGATGCGGTCGCAGGTGCCTTTGAGGTGGGCTTAAGGTGGTGTTAGTACGGCAGTCCCAATTGGTGTTTACCATGGGAAAAGGACAGAGACAGACCGGGGAGCTTCAGCGGCTGATTAAAGTCGTAGAAGACAAACTCCGGGAAGATGGCGAAGCGGTTGTCATGCTCGAGGAGAACGAGCTTAGGTTTAGCGCCATCTGGTGATGCGGTGCTCTGAACATTGTGTGGTGTCAGGGGCCGAACAAGAGGCATAAGTTGACCAGATGCCGATGCAGGACGGATAGACGCACCAAGATATTCTTCAGAGCGACAAACACACTCGGTGCCGACACGACCGCAATGGTCATGCCCGCCGTGGTTCCATCGAGGAGTTGTTTTGCCAGGAACGATGCCGTTTCGTCCGAGTACTGCATACTTCCATCCATCAGCACAGGCCGACCCCTCTATCCTGCCATCCCCTGTTGGGAATAGCCACGCCTTTGGGAGTAGCCATACCCAGAACTGGCTCTCATTCCAATCCTCGGTAAAGGCCTCTATGGACAACGGCTTTGACTGGGCTTGACTGGCAGCATGCTGTTCCTCAGCCTGAGCCTGGAGCTTGGCAAACTGCTCCGCACGGGCGTCTCGCTCGGCATAAAACTGCTTAAGGGCATCAAGAGTTGACGAGGAGAGCGAGCTACGAGGGCGATGTCAACCTCGGTCATTTTGCACAGAGAACTGGGACTGCTCAAGACTTACAGCTCATCATCCTCATTTCCCTGGTTAATCATCTTGTTGCACTCTCGACTAATTGGTCGCGTGGGAAAGCATTTAGTGGGTGAGCGGGTGAGCGAGTGAGCGGATGAGCGGAGCCACTTTTTCAGATTTGACAAGACAGCAGGGCGGCATCTTCAGGCGTAACTGAAACTTTGGCAAGACACACCACTCAGCAACGATTACACGCATTACCAGCTCTCACTTTTGCAAGACTGATCTTGGGTTCCAAGTCCGTCGATTCAAGGACATAAAGGTCTAGTTGCATCGGTATATACACTCTACGGTGTCCGCACTCTCTCACAAACCCTTGGTGTCGTCAAGAACGTGGATGTACTTCTTCTCTTCCCGCATCTCCTTTTCCGTCGCCGGCGGCAGATCGTAGAACGTCGACGAGCGGTAGTGCTTCTATTAGCGGGTCAGCCACGCCCAAACAGACCAATTTGAGGTGATGGCGAATGCATACCAGGTAATGATAAGTCCACTTGCCGATGTCGCTTGGCTCCATGCCCAGGTCCTTAAACGTCTTGGCCGACTCGTCAATGACCTGGTCGAGGAACTCGCGCTCAACCTCGTCGGCAGACAATGTGTGCCACCAAAGGACGCGATTCAGAAGCCCGGCCAGAGGCTTTAGGATTGCCTTAGGAAGGTTGATATGCCTGCGCTTCTTGAAGATTTCCCGGTCGACCAGCTCGGCAATCTCCGCTGTTGAGTAGTTGTTGGGGCCATACAGCTCGTAGGTCTGGGATGCCGTGCTGTCATCGTACAGCATCTTCTCCAGCGCCTCACCAACATCGATGACCTGCAAGCCACGTCAGACACTCGTGGTTTATTATCAATGACGACGCTACACATACATGCACCGGCCAGTAACGCTCCTGCATGTTGTTTGATGTGAAGAGATTCACGACGCTAGCGAGCTTCAGCAGCAGGTTGTCTTCGAAGCCGAACATCGGTGCCGGGCGGACGATAGTGGTCTCAGGGAAGATTTCCCGCGCTGCTCGCTCAGCAATGCCCTGGATTTTGGGTTAGAAAGTCCCTCCCAGTTTTCAGCGAGGGGGGCGGACCATTAGCCTACCTTTGTCGCGAAGAACTCCGACGACGAGTTGGGGTCCGCGTTGTACGACGAGACGTGAATGTAGCGATCAACGTCATACTTGGCAACGGCTTCTGCAATCCGCTCGGTACCCTCGATGTGCACATCAGCCAGGGAGAAGTTCCTGTCCCTCATCAGCGCCTGTGCGTTCCACCACAACGGTCACGCCTGATCTCACTTGGTGGGATAGTTCCGGCCGATCAAATTGTAGACAACGTCCGAATGTCTGACGCTCTCCTCGATCGACTGGGTGTTCCGCAGGTCGTATTCCTGGCCTCCATTCAGCAGTTGCTTCTTTTCCAAATCGTCCTGATTCCCTCACCATGAACACAACACGGCCCAAGTCACCCGTAACCTTGAGATGGCGCTTGGCCATCTCCTCGCGGTATGGTACAACCACTGTACATCCTTGTCTTGCTGCAAGTACGGAGTCAGCCAGGCGTCGAAATTGCCTCGGGAGAGAACGGCCGAACCTAGCCGGTTGACAATGTAGCGACCGAGTTGACCCGTGGCGCCGAAGACGGTAGCGGTGTGTTCGCCGAGAGATGAGCTGTAGAGACCATCCATTAGAATGACCTCGGAACCGAAGGAGAGACTACCAACCGGCCGCCCGTTGTGCGGATGAGAGGCTTGCCGGTGCGCGTGATGTGCACATCGGAAACAATGGTCCGGCGCTGCAGCGTGTTTCTCGCGATCTTAGGTGCCGTCGACCGCACGGCGGTCGGCAGGGAGGCCATCGTGGCTCGTGGTGGAGGTGAGTTCCCAGGAAGGGCTGCGACGCAGTCAATTTGCCTTTGACGCAGGCCGCGAGCGTGCTTCGAGGTATTCAACCAAGCAATCGCAATCGAGATGCCGTCCCGCCGGAGAGCTCCCGGCCCACTCTTTCAATGGAACATGAAAATTGGCCAATCAAAGCAGCAATTTTGGCAAATGTGGGACAAAGGCACGGACCATCCCGTTGAGGTACGTACCGTTCCAGCAGGCTGCCTTGCCGCGTCAAGTGCGAGCTGGAACCTCCCGCCTTCCCATCACCAACTCCAGCCCCAAGCTCCCAAACAATTACTTACCTCAGATACCCACGGAAACGGCAAGCAGCCTTCCCATTCCGACTGACAAAAAAGTATATTCAAGGGTCAAAACCGCATCCTCGGCCCCCGACCTTCTCCCTGCAGTTCCCTCAGAGTCGGCCTCCAGGATGAACGTCGACACTATCTCCGACTTCCTCGCCGAACAGCGGGATGGCACTGTCGAAGAGCTGCAACCGGTTGTGCTTGAGATTGAGACGCTATGGGAACGCAAGCTGTGGCACCAGCTGACGAACCAGCTGATCGAATTCTTCAACCACCCGGGCAGCGCCCCACAGCGCTTACAGTTCTACAAGGTCTTCATCCTCAAGTTTGCGGATAAGATCAACCAGCTCAAGCTCGTCGACCTTGCGTTGAAGGCGGCAACACAATGTAGAGGTTTGTACGGACGCCTTTCGGTATTTGGGTTTACTCTAACTGGATGAGACAGATAACCAAGAACGCCTTTCCTTCATGGAGGCGGTCGTCAAGAAGGTGGACAACGAAGACTCGCAAGACGCTCTAGTATTTGCTACGATTGCTGTAGCACGCGTGAAGCTCGACCTCAACGACCTCGACGGTGCAAGGAAAGATTTGGATAAGGCAGAACGGGTGCTCGACAGCTTCGACTCGGTCGAGACGATCGTGCACGCTGCCTTCTACGGCGCCAACGCCGACTACTACCAGGCCAAGGCCGACTTTGGCTCGTACTACCGCACCGCGCTCCTGTACCTCGCCTGCATCGACATCAACTCCCTCTCCCCCGCCGAGCGGCGCAACCGGGCCTACGACCTTTCCATCGCCGCGCTTGTTAGCTCAAGCATCTACAATTTCGGCGAGCTGCTGCTACACCCAATCCTTGGCGCACTCTCCGAGCGTGAAGACGACAAGTGGTTGCGCGACCTCCTCTTCGCCTTCAACCGTGGCGACCTCGGGGCGTACGATGTGCTGGCAGACCAGATCAACTCGAACCCGCTCCTGGCTCAGCACAACCGTCAGCTGCGGGAGAAGATCTACCTAGCGGCGCTAACCGAGGCGGTGTTCAGGCGGCCGCCGCACGACCGCGCCATGACCTTCGACACGATCGCAGCCGAGACCAAGGTACGGCCGGACGAGATCGAGCACCTTATTATGAAGGCGCTCAGCTTGGGTCTGCTGCGCGGAACCATCGACCAGGTGGACCAGGTGGCGCACATCAACTGGGTGCAGCCCAAGGTGCTGGACATGCAACAGATCGAGAACATGCGGCAGCGGTTACTAGAGTGGGATTCGAGTGTCAACCAACTGGGAAATTGGATCGAGAACGTAGGGCAGGATGTGTGGGTAGTGTAGAGTGGCATGGTGATATCCCCTTCGTTGGATGGGCCCGGATTCCCGGGTCAGCATTCACATAAACGGAAATGCCTTGTATGTTATGGATGATAGACTGGGCAGGAGTCTGTGAATGGCAAAATGCAACGGGCTACTGAAATCGAGCCCATCGACAATATGGAGTTCACCACTCCTGCTATCAGGGCTATGGGTATCACATCCCCACCTTATTTATTCCATTCAAACCAGCCCCTGGTCTTGCAACTGCTTCAAACACCCCAAACCCCTTCCAGGTAAAAGATACCTTCACGCAGTCTTCTCCTTCCCCCCAGCCCCACCCTCCCCCGTCCTCCCAAGCACCGCCACACTCCCGGCCAACCAGGCAGGCCACCAAACGCACCACACCACCACAGGCGAATACGTCCCGCAGACATGCCAGCCGACCGCCGCCTCGCGCAACACACCGCTGACGTCTGCGCCCCAGTACGCCGCCCCCGCAAGCAACACCGCCGGCGGGCTGATGGCGCTGAGCAGCGCCGTGGTCACTAGCCTCGTGACGCGCGACGCGGCGGGGCGGGCAAAGGACAGCGGGGATGCCAGCACGCCGATGATGAGCGCGAGAGAGAAGTTGAGGGTGGCGAGCGAGGAGAGGAACATGCCCAGCAGGAGGAGGGAGAAAGACTTGACAAGGTGGTATTGCTGTAGCGTCGGGGCGGCAGCTTGTGTGAGCAGGTGGGAGAGGAGAACCGGCAGGAGGACGTTGAGGAGTGTGAATGTCGCGAAGAGAGGGGTTAGCATCTATTGAGCTGAGGTTAGTTCTGTAGGGGGGGAACGGTAAGAAGGGCTGCCAGACACTTACGCTCTCCGAGACGTGATTGAAGAGGTAAAGCGGGACGATGGAGAAGGATTGGATCAAAGTGACTACGCCTAGCGGGAGGAAGAGGTCGCGCTCGACTGCGGGAGCGGGGGCTGTTTCAGTTTTGGCTTCTACTGTCGCCCTCTCAGCTTCTGCCTGGCCGCTCTTGACCCAGAGGGAAATAGCCATGATCGTAAAGCTAGCGGCCACCAGCATGGCACTCGGCAGGTATGTACCGATACTGACGAAGCGCTCGCGCTGCATGAGCAGGTAGAAGAAGAAGCTCTGGTGTAGATGCTCCAACAGGTTGTTCAGACTCCTGAAGCTGCCCTCAATCACGCGGCCGATAGCCATCTCGTCCTGCCAGCCATCACCAAACGGCTGCAGGGTCACGGCGTCGACGTGGTACGGGATGAAGCTGCTATGCGGTCCGCTCGGCAGGCCGAGCCCCTGCTTCAGCATTCCGCGCAGCATGGTGCGCAGCCGGTGCTTGTACCCATCGTCATGGCGCCACATCTCCTGCAGGGCAACACCCATGCCCATCTGACCGCCGGCAATATTCACGATCGAGTTAATCAGGTCCAGGTTCGGCAGCTGGCCGTTGACTCCGTCGTACACGATGTGCACGCTTTCGAAACGGCCCTCCTGCGCGTAATCGATGGCGATCGCGCCCTGCAGCAGACCGGACTTGAGGGGCAGGCTGGAGACGCGGGAGGGGTTGTGTGCATCGTGGTATGCATCGACCCACGCCTGCGGGCCAGCAATGCTGTCCGGCGTCAGCAGCAGGATGATGTCCTTGGACCACAGCGACCACCGCTTGAAGTAGCGCAACAGCGTTAGGGCAAGCGGAATGCCCTTTCTGTTGATTTCGTGCTTGGCATTCTCCCAAGCCGCTACCAGCACGACAGCTTCGGTTGCGTCGCCTCGCGGTGCTTGGAGGATGGCGTAGAGGTTCTCTCCCGAGTAGGAATGCCCTGCAGCCTGGTAGGTGAAGTTCTGGCGGGCTGTCTTGAGACCAAAGCCTTTGACAATGGATTCAAGCTTGTCGTTACGCCTATCCCGCGTTAGCCGGGAGCGTCGAGCACTCCGTTCCACCGTCACTCTTGACGTACTCGGTGTTGGTCTTGCCCACCAGTGCATCTACTTCGTGCTTGTATGCGCGGAACACATTCTGGTCGCTGCCGCTAAAGTATGTGTGCACCTGGCCGGGAAGGAGCGCATTTTCCGAGATGTAGGTTCTCCGCGAGTAGTCGTTGAGCGGGAGCAGGAAGAGCCAGGCGACGCCGACCAGAACGCAGAGCAGGGACAGGTACGGCGGGAGCTTCAGGACGCGCGGATCGCGCCGAAGCCGCAGTGCGCTGGCTATCACTAAAGGTCAGCCAGCCGTCGCTACTGACGAAGTGAGGAGGCACTCACACAATAACCGCGGCATTGCGGCTGCAGTGGCGGTTCCTTGCGAAGCTCCAAGTCGCGAGCCTGCTGCACCAGCTGTTCGCGGTTCTCTGGGCTATCAGGGGTAACTTGCATGGATGATGTTGATATTAGTACGGATAACTTGATAAATGTGAGCTATCGCCCCAGAAAATGCATAAAAGGCGGGAACGCTAACCGGTCCTGGCTAAGTTACCTAGGCTCTCACGGCAATACTACCGGTAATACCTTACCTTACCGTACCTTATCTTAAGTACGTTAGCGCGGGATGTAACACGACGTCTCTGCTGACCAAACTCCCCAGAAGGCAGGTATTCGAAAGCGCGGTAACAAACCTTGGATATGGACTGTGTTTGTCCTATTTGTTCTTTAGGTCGGTAGTGCTAAGGAAGGTATGTACCTTGGGTATATTTTTGCCTCGAACGACCTCGCCTGTTTAAAACCAAGGTTGGGCAGTTCGAAGCCCGAGGTTGCAAGTACTAGTGCCAGGCACCAACGTCGCGGAGATTGTCATGGGATTTCTGAAACGGCAACCGCCGCATCGTCCCGTTAAATGCGTAACTCATAGATGTTCTACAAGAATCATGATGATAGCATCCATAACAGTCCCTTCCTTGAGTGAGCCCTCAAGGGCTCAGCCTCTGGCTACTCCCAACTAATCCCGCAGAAACAACCGGCGCTGGTGTTAAGTTAGACAACGGAAGCACGCCAAACCTCCCATACGTCTTCTGATCGACGCTCACGTAGTGTGGCAGCCGCCCCAGAAGGTTGAGTTGCTTCTCGATCCAGCGCAGCGCCCATTCCGGTGGCGCAAGATACTTGAGGTATCCCAGCCCGCCTGTGAGCAGGGGAGTCAGCAATTGTTATGTCACATTCAAGACGACGTGAGAGGGAGGAAGCATACAGATATACCCGACCGCCAAGCCACAAAGGTGGCCGAAGGCACTAGACCTAGGTACCAAGACCGCTATGGCGAGCAGAATCACCAGGGGCGTAGTCCAGGTGGGAATGCTCTGCCCGGCAATCACCAAGCGCGGGTTGACCCTGTACGTCCGGATGGCCTCGATCCCAGCTAGCAGGAAGAACCAGATGCTGCAGCCATACCGCATTGTCAGCATGGAACAGGAAGAAATCTCTTCTGCAGAGGCCACTCACCTCGCACCCATAACCGCCGTATTCAGTCTAAACACCCACTTTTCCATTCCCACATAGAGGAAAGCTGGGAAAGTAGAGAACGCTGGGAGATGGAGGTTAGCTAGCAGCGCTTCTCAAACAACGATCAAGAGCGGAACTTACGACCCAAAAACAGCGCCAGCGACGTAAGCGTGCCATACTCGTTCTCAAACCGTTCCAACATCGGTGTCAGCGCCAGGAGATTGGGGATCAGATGCAACACATTTAAGTGTATGAACGGGTAGGTATTGGCCCGATATACTGTACACACCGCCGCCTTTCGTGTCAGCAACGTGCAACCTCACCTGCTTCGCAGCCCCCTAAATACCACCTGTCCAAGGGGAGAGAGGGACGGGAAGAGGGGACAAGTCGGATTAGGAGTAAAACCTACGCGTCGCGAACCCGATCTCCTCCGGCACCAAGGCACCCCATGCCCGGACATCCCACCAACTCTGCAGACAGAGCGCCTCGAACAAGACAATTGCGGCCAGGATCCCGCGCGTAAAGAGCGGGAGCCGGTTGATGTAGGAGCCGGCGCGCGGGAGGCCGAGCATTCGGACATTTGGCATCGGCATTTTGGCGCACCGCTTCTTTTCTGCGCCACGGCCGGCAGTTTCTCCCTTTCTCTTTTGATACTATATGTAATGTCCTGCGCGGGCGACTTTGCCTAGGGCTGTGAGGCGACGCCGAGTGGTGCAATCTAGCCGACCGGACTGGACCTGGCAGGTCCGCGAAGTCGGAAGACTGGGAATCAGGTAAAGCTAGGGTTGCTTGCTGCCGCGTTGGTCATAGCATGGTTTAACCGTTTCTCGAGCTCGTTCTAACGTCGACGGATTCGTTGGACAGCAAATTGGAGTAGAGACCGGGGATCAATCGGCCGCAGCAGTGTACGAAATAACTACAGCTTTTGTCATTCGACAAACAACCGCCTTATCGCTATCAGGCATAACTACCTACGGTTCCGAAATTACGAATAAGAGTACTAGTAGTACTAGTGTTAGAAGTACCGAGCCGTAGCCGTATCAGGCAAGGTGGCATCAAGATACAGGAACCTCGTTTACCGCATACATAGTATTCCTGAGCTGTTACCGTATTTCATATTTCATACCAACTACACGGGGACTTGGATTCGATTCATCCTGTCCAGCTCACCTGAATGTAAGGTTCTCACTGCAGTTAGACAATCTGGTCCCAAAGAATGAAAGCTAAGATACCTTATCCTCTTGCTATAGGCACTTTTCATGGTCTTGGATCTCATCTTGTCATTCTGCCTCCCTATTCTTACCCAACCCTCCTTTGCAGGGTCCTACCTCACTCTTCTGCAAATCTTCCCACTTTCTCCCCCCTGACACTAAAGCTCCTGTAGCCAAAGCAGAGAATTGGTATTGAACAAGCAGTTGTAGAGCATTCCAGGTATATAGCCACGTGCAGGATGTACTCACACACTTCGACTCAGGAGGACTCACGAAAGCATCCTTCATAAACCAACCATTGGAATGCAAAGGACCGGCAATATACGTACAAATGAGAAACAGTGCTCGGATTACGCCAATTCCGATGTCCCTGAACCGCCGACCCACTACCCACACCTCTCAATATCACCACCATCCCATCGTCTGTTTCTTCAGACTTCATAAGTTTATGTAAGTAGATGTTTTGTTTTATCTAGTGCTTGGCATTCTTGGCCATGGTGTTAAGCGCGCTGCCGTTCTTGAACCACTCAATCTGAGCCTCGTTGAACGTGTGCGACAGCTTAACCTCGAATGGTGAACCGCCGTTTGCCGGGTGCACGCGCATGGTAATGGGCTTGCCAACAGCAAGCTCGGTGCAGAGGATGTCGACCTTGTCGTCGGGCTGGATCTTGTCGTAGTCGGCCGGGTCAGAGAAGGTCAGGGGAAGCATACCCTGCTTCTTCAGGTTGGTCTCGTGGATACGGGCGAAGGACCGGGTGATGATGGCGAGACCGCCAAGGTGACGGGGCTCGAGAGCGGCGTGCTCACGGGAAGAACCCTCACCATAGTTCCAGTCACCGACGACAACCCACTTGATGCCCTTGGCCTTGTAGTCACGAGCAACAGTCGGGACGGCATCCCAGGAGCCATTTGTCTGGTTCTTGACTTTGTTGGCTTCGCCGTTGGCAGCGTTAATGGCGCCGATCAGCATGTTGTTGGAGATGTTGTCAAGGTGACCACGGTACTTGAGCCACGGGCCAGCCATCGAGATGTGGTCAGTAGTGGTCTTCCCCTGAGCCTTGATCAGGATGGGGCAGCTGAGGGCATCCTTGCCATCCCAGGCGTTGAAGGGAGAGAGGATCTGGAGGCGGTCTGAGCTCGGAGAGACTTGAACGTCAACCGTACCGCGGTCCTTGGGAGGCGCCTGGTAGGTGTTCTGGCCGGGGTCGTAGCCGGCGGCAGGCAGACCGTCACCCGAGGGAGGAGCCAGCATGAACTCATTGCCGTCCTTGTCCTTGAGCTTGTCGGTCAGGGGGTTGAAATGCAGCGAGCCGGCAATGCTCATGGCGACGACGAGATCAGGCGAGGTGACGAAAGAGTGGGTAGCGGGGTTGCCATCGTTACGGCCGGTGAAGTTGCGGTTGTAGGAAGAGATGATCGAGTTGGCCTCACCCTTCTTGACATCCCGGCGGTCCCACTGGCCAATGCAAGGACCGCAGGCGTTGGCCAGAACAATGCCACCAAACTCCTCGAAAGTGTTGAGCTGGCCGTCACGTGCAATGGTGGCACGGATCTGCTCGGAGCCAGGGGTGACGACGAACGCAGCCTTAGCCTTGAGGCCGTGATTGAGGGCGTCACGGGCGATCGAGGCAGCGCGAGTCATGTCCTCGTACGAAGAGTTGGTGCAAGAGCCGATCAGACCAACCTTGAGCTCTTCGGGCCACCCGTTGGCCTTGACAGCCTCGGAAAACTTCGAGATGGGGGTCGCCAGGTCCGGGGTAAAGGGACCGTTAATGTGGGGCTCGAGCTCGGACAGGTTGATCTCGATCACCTGGTCGTACTCGGCGCCCTCGTCCGCGCGGAGCTCCTTGGCGTAGGAGCGCGCAAAATCGCCAATCTCCTTGCGCTTGGTCGCGTTGAGGTAGTCCTGCATCTGCTGGTTGAATGGGAAAAGGGATGTAGTCGCACCAATTTCGGCACCCATGTTGCAGATCGTGCCCATGCCAGTGGCACTGATAGTGTCAACACCAGGACCTAAAGATGGACTCGTTAGAATGAACAATCACGGGCAAAAATGGTCCGAGGAACTTGCCGAAATACTCCACGATCGCGCCTGTGCCGCCCTTCACAGTGAGAATGCCTGCAACCTTGAGGATGACGTCCTTGGGAGCGGTCCAGCCGGACATGGCGCCCGTCAGCTTCACACCAATGACCTTAGGAGCCTTGAGTTCCCAGGGCAGGTTAGCCATGACATCGACGGCGTCAGCTAAGCAGAGTATTAGCGCTATCATCCTTTTTGCCGTCCCCGAGGCTTGGATTATACATACCACCGCCGACTCCGATGGCGCACATGCCGAGACCTCCGGCGTTGGGCGTGTGAGAATCAGTTCCAATCAAGAGACCGCCTGTGTGGCATGTGGTTAGCTCGAGATCGGACAGGAGCGGAATAGGTAGACAAACCAGGGAAGGCATAGTTCTCGAGGATGATCTGGTGAATGATGCCGGAGCCGGGCTTCCAGAAACCGATGTTGTACTTTGCGCAGGCGCTGGACAGAAAGTCGTAGACCTCCTTGTTGATGGAGACCGCGCGCTCCAGATCCTTGACACCACCAACTTGCGCTTCGATAAGATGGTCACAGTGGACGGTGGTGGGGTTGGCCACTTGCGGCATACCCGCGGAGATGAACTGGAGGATAGCCATCTGGGCGGTGGCATCCTGGCAGGCAACGCGATCCGGCCGCAGTTTGAGGTAGGAGACACCGCGCTCAATCTCTTGGCCGTGGGGATCGTCAAGATGGGAGTAGAGGATCTTCTCGGCGAAGGTGAGGGGGCGGTTTAGCCTTGACCTCACAATGGCAAGGTTCTCTGACATCTTCTTGTAGTTGATGAAGTTGCCCTCCTCCAAGTTGTTTTGGCGGACCTACATGCCCCGGGGCGCAAATCAGCCATTATCTTCGCCAATTGCAGTGACATACTACCGGACGATTCGTCGCGGATGAACGCTTATCCTCCCGGCTAGCCACTTACCTTCTTGTCCAGAGGAGAGTCTGTCACGGTCGCCATGCGCCTGAGGCCCAGGCTCATGCCACCGAGGGTACGGCTCCGGGCGACGCCCAGGAGCTGACGAGATGCCAACATGGTGGTGACGTTTAGCAGCTCGGCAAGAGCGCAAACACGAAGTCAATTGGAGTGGAGAGTTGCAAAGCCCAATCACCCAGACGGCCTCGCGACAACAACGAGGGGAAGGGAGAAAAGCTGCAGGTGTGTGGTTTCCGCAGAAAAGAAAAAAGTGTGGAGAGTTTGAGAATCACAAGGAGCCGCAGGCGGGATTTTACATGAAGTGGCAACGAGGCCGGGACCATGTTGCTACGAGCTTCCTGCCACCGTCATAGCCGAGAAAGTACCTCGCCCGGATGGAGACGGCGCAGCCAGCCAATCAGAGACACGCCGATTATGTCTGCCCGCATCTGTGGGGGAGCATTTGACTGTGGACATGACATCGTCGGATCTGGCTAGCTTGTTTCAATAACCTTCACGGGACTCAAGTCCCGACCGAAGCCGCACTGCCGCAGCACTTCCACGAATCCAGCCTCGGCATTCACAGTCTTTGGACTTGTAATTCACACAATATCGGTCGCCATTTGGTGACTGAGCCAGGTGTCTCGTGCTGCGTCAAGTATAGATTGGGATCTGGCGGATTGGGTCCATGTTTTGGGCCTGCGGAGACGCATCTGCGGTCGCTGTCCCGATGAACAGGGGGGTGCCTAACAAAGTGTATCGGGCGAAGGGTCCGTGAGCGAACAACCGAGGCAGCATCTGCTTGCTTCTGGTGGTTCTCCTTTGGTATTCAGATATACTTCGTGCCTCTTGCGGATTTCGATCTTAGCTACACGAGAGGCTGAGATGGGAACAGATTTCTATGGATTTGCTGGAAGCAACATCGTCATCGTTGGTTGATAGACATGTGCTTCATGTGCCCCTCAGTCGCGAACGAGCACCCTGGCGGGTGACTCCAAAACCCGATAGTTTAGCAACTCCTACAGACGGGAGTGCATACTACGTACACACTCTCAACATCGGATGGGTCATGTCTAAGCTTTACTATACTACTATAAACACTAATCACCTCTAAATATGTTGTTGGCCGTTCATCCATGCAACCTCCGCTAGGCCGTTTACTCCAGGTGGGGCAGCACACATTCCAGGTTCTCTTATACAATACATACTACATCCGTACACTACTAGTAGTACTCCGTCCTTCACCCAGCTTGGACCGTGGACTGCTTCTAGTCATGGGAGCTACTACTACACAGCTTAAGACAAAGCTATCGATGTCCAGACTAGCCGGCCAATCTTCTGGTGTTCAATATTGGCACTGACATCAGTGACCATATAAGGTGTAAGCAGCATGATTGTCTTTCGTCAGACCGCAGTGTGGTATGCTCGGCGCTATGCAGATTGGAGGAAGTGACCTTGCGCAACTTGTCTGCAGGGCTGAGAAGTGACGCAACCGGACGGCGATCTCGTAGTACCCAGAACCGCGTATACACGATAACGACGGATCATTCGCTGGCGCGCCGGGCCCCTCGTGCCGCTTTTGCGTTCTCAGCTGTCGTAACTCCTGCGGATGGTACAAGAACTGGCGTTGTGGCCGGCCTTACGATCGCATCCGAAACGGATCCGCCAACCCTGCGGTATGTACTTGAGGCGCTATGTAAAGAATCGGGCACATGGAATGTGGAAAAGTTTGCTGGCCTGGAGACCCTTAGATGTGGGGCCGTTACTCGGCAAGAGGCCGGCTCGGCGCCTTGCGGCTCGGTCAAAGATGGAGATCCGAGGGCGATAACGCCATACCTCCGGTGCCATGGTAACAACTGGCCTCCGAAAGCAACACACAGAAAACAGGAGGAAAGCGGGAGGCTTTCCATCGGAGACCCTACGACGAAGGTTGCTACTGAGCAGACAGGAAGATCACCCTAGCTGTGTCCAGGAAAAGGCTCGTCCCAATTGTAAACTTGCAACTGAACCTCTCCCGCATTTCTATGGACCCACATAACAGAGGTACTGTGGTAATGTGTGTATAGCAGTACAATATTATACAATACATTAATACTGTATACGGATACTAGTACAATACATAGTTACAGTTAACCCCACCTCGCCTCGCCATCTTTCGTACTAACTCCAATTTGCATCTCATCGCGACGCACTCATATCTCAGCAACATACTCACGACAACCTCCTCTCAACATCACCCAGTCAACAGATTCATAGATACAAGACAACGAGAAACCTAAGCGGCGACATGGGGATATTCGCGAAGCGCACAAAGACCAAAACTCGGCGGCGGGTTCGGTTAGTACTGGTGCACAGACCACATAAAACTCGGAGTGCGAGTTACACTGACGTCTCTTCACAGCGACATCGACCAGATCCAGGCCGATCTGCTGTCTCCAAAACACCTCCAGCAGTACAAAGAGACCAAGGCTGCCGAGGACTTGCCCGGTCTCGGGCGACATTACTGCATCGAATGTGCCAAATGGTTTGAAACCGAAACCAGTCTTGTGCTTCACAGGAAGGGCAAGCCTCACAAGAGGAGGTCAGTCTTTGCTAGCCCCATTCACCACAAGGTTGCTTACAGACCTTGGCAGGCTCAAGCAGCTGCGTGAGGGACCGTACACGCACGAAGAGGCGGCTGCCGCCGTGGGCTTCAGGATAGACAATGGCCCGGAGAAGACGAAGTCACAGGAGATTGAGATGTCATGAACAAGCACCCCTGGGGTTTGCCTCGACGCCCGCAGGGAAGGTGCAGAGACTGGGCTCTAGGCACATGTCCAGATATGAAGTCAGCATATACAGGCGTTTGGGGAACGGATAACAACGGGGCGTTAGGTTCTAGGGAAAACAGAGATAGAAAGATGGTTTCTTCTGTCCAGCCGTGTGCCTCTGCATGTCACCTAAGTTTGAGATTAAAACAGGAAATTGGCGGCCAGCACGCTGTCTCCCGAGGCAGGGCGAGTGTTTGATGGACACATTACCGTTGATTCGTAGGTATGCAGTTATCAGTGATGGTCAACCTTACATGCACTTACCAAGCTTTTAACAGTAAAAAGGAGATTCTGGCTTTCCGTCACTGAGTGCCCCACCGACTTCCGCCACGCTTGGAAATTGTTAGTGTCGCACCCACGTCTAGCACTGGGAATCGCGAAGTTGTTCACCTTCGGCATGCGATGAACTCTCCATGGTTCTTGCCACCTGGTTCTCGCACATCTCAGGCCTAGCACGACGCGCCATGGGGTCAACAGCCTACGCAGCGTACAATGGCTCTGCCAGTGCCAGCCGTGCTTATACAGTGACCGCCATTGGCAGGTGGTCTATCCTCGACAAGCAGCTCCCGGCTGCGGACAAGATCAAGGCGATCCACGTATATGACTTCGACAACACGCGTAAGGAATTCTCTTTGTAAATTCAGTGTCAATGCACTGCTACTGACCCGTTTTTCGCACATACGACGCAGTCTTCAAGACACCTCTTCCGAATCCGAAACTCTGGAATGGGCCGACAATAGGAACGCTGGCGAACCCTGATGTCTTCGTCAACGGCGGTTGGTGGCATGACTCCCGCATCCTCGCCGCCACAGGCGAGGGCCTCGTAAAAGAAGAGCCGCGAGCATGGGAGGGCTGGTGGAACGAAAAGATCGTCGAGCTTATCCACCTAACCAACAAGCAGAAGGACGCGCTCTGCGTGCTCCTCACGGGTCGGTCCGAGTCTGGCTTTGGTGAACTTATTAAGCGCATGGTAACCAGCAAGGGCCTCGAGTTCGACCTAATATCTTTAAAGCCGGCCGTCGGCCCCAACAATGAGCGTTTTGCCAATACCATGGTCTTCAAGCAAACGTTCCTGCAGGCTCTGATGGAGACATACAGGCTTGCGGAAGAGATACGCATCTATGAGGACAGGATAAAGCACGTTAAGGGCTTTCGTGACTTCTTGCAAGACTACAACAACAGGAAACTAAGTGGGTTAGGAGACCCTCTTGCGCGTGGGCCCATCAATGGCGAGGTTATTGAAGTGGCGGACGTGGCCACCTACCTGGATCCCATCGTCGAGGTGGCTGAAGTGCAGCAAATCATCGAGGACCATAACGCCGCCCTGTGCAAGCGACGGCGTGGCATCCGAGGCGAGCGCCTCGCCATCAAGAAGACAGTGTTCTACACAGGATACATGATCAACAACGCTGATACACAGCGGTTGCTCACCTTGGCACAGATTCCGCAGAACCTCCCCGAGGGAGACATCAAGTTTCATGCCAACAACATCATGATCTGTCCCCGGCCATGCCCGCCCGGCATCTTGGAGAAGATCGGCGGCATGGGGAGCAAGATGACCTGGGAGGTGACCGGCACAGCCTGCTTCGAGAACACCATCTGGGCGGTACGCGTGAAGCCCGTACCCACGACAGCAAAGGTTCACACAGGCGACCCAGTCCCGCTGGTCGTGCTGGCGCTGCGCAAGGGCGCCCGCCATATCGACGCAGGTAAGATCGAACACTGGCAGCCGGTGCCGCCGGACATGGCCCTCCGGTTCGAGACGACGGTCGCCGAGAAGATCCTGCTCCGCATCGAGGGCGAGGACTCGGCCCAGTCGTCATTCCATGGCAATGGCAAGGCGGCGCTCAACAAGCGCAAGCACACCAATTCGTCAGACGACTTCCGCGCGCGGCCGAGCGGCGGAGCGCAGCAGCAGCAGAGGCAGTTCCACAATTTCGCCGGCGGCGGCGGAGGAGGTGGTGGTGGTCGCGGGGGAGGTGGCAGAGGCGGCTTCCGCAGCGGTGGCGGCGCGAATCGGGGGTTTAGGGGCCAACGCAGTGGCGCGCCTAAGGGTCGTGGGGCCCGGGGCGGCCATGGTGGCGGAGGCCATCACTACAAGTCGCTGGACGATGTGGGCGGGCGTGATAGCCAAGGTGGATTCGCCCAAATGTACGAGGATGAACCGCAACAGAGGGTGTTCCAGAACCAGAACATCCCCACGGGCCCGTCAAACCCTGGGAATCCCGGGTACTACGGTGGCCCTCAACAGCACGGTGGCTGGACACAGCATCAGCAGTCGGGACGTCCCGGTGGAGGGGCCGGCCCGGAGCTGAACAACTATTACTGATGGCGGAAGTTGTATCTGGTTTTTCGGCATGTTGCTTGTATCACTACCTGTCTTCATACCCATTGTTGCGCTTGTTCCTTGTTCGGCTGGGCGGGTGGATGGATCTGGGCAGGAGCATCGGAGCACGGATATCCTGGGATTTCGTCGTACATAGGCGGCTGTAGTGACATACCTAGCTACCTACCTACCTACCTACCTAATCTTCCATGGGCACGGCTGTGGGGTCTCGGGGTTGGAGGGAACGGAAGGCTATGCTGGATCATTTTTGTAGCATTGTCGGCTGAGCTGGCTCTTGCTAGTTGAGCCGACAGCACTCTTATCTGAAGATGTGGCGTCTCGTGAAGGCCTTGATATGAGAGCGGAGGGCTGGGCAGTCACCTAGCCGTAGCTGATCTTCACAAAGTAGAATGCAATACCACCCCAGATCATGTCCTGTCCTGGCCATGACGTTGAGGAGGAACTGCAAAGGCCCTCCGTTGCGGTTAGGGATGCGCCCCGTATCCGCCCCCGCCCATCCACATTCCACAGCACTCAACGCTCGTGACACTCTTATTCAAATAATCCGTTGGGCGTCATGAGCATGAGAGTTGATGGGGTCCAGGTCGTCATACAGGGGCGGGCCCTCCCGGTAGACAAGGAGCTAAAGGCTGTATCTGCCTGCTTAAGCGCAACAGCAATTGGGAACAGCATAGTAGGGATACTATTAACGAGAAAAATGGAAACGCGGCCTTTGACCTTGTCCCTGTCCCCGAATATGCCAGGGGCCTTCTCGAACTCATAGGTCTGCCTCATACGGGCCGCCTTTCATAGTTCCCGCTTTGAACTAAGATGATGATTACACGAGGGCATCGTGTCAAAAGATATAAGTTAAGTAGGCCGAAACGCTCACTGGTAAAGGCAACCCATAGGCGCCTTCACCACATTCGATTTGCTTAGGGACGGACCTCGTGTAGTGTTTCGAGGCAAAAGGGGCCGGCAATATTCCTCTCTTAGCTGCCTCGGTAATGACCTGAGCCCCTATGTCCTAAGTGACTTGTCAACCGTTGTTGAACCCTGGTAGTTCCTTCTCTGCGCCGTCTTTTCTCCGTATAGGACCTCCTTGCTGATAGATTAAGGGAGGATGTAGGTACCTAGGTAGGTAGTTAACGATCAGCAACCTATAGCCAGTAGTGGCCCCAAATGTGTTTATCTCCGTGCCCTTCATGCATCCAAAGATGACTCACCGTCGTCCAAACGCCGATGAGGGATGCCATATGTAACGACGTACACAGTGTCGTCACCGAACTCGACCTCATGCGCCACCATGGTAGTTGAAGTTTACATGTACGAGCGAGCGAGGAGTATTTACAGAGAGCCTCAGCGAAGAGTTCACACCTAGCAGCGTGGATGATCTTCACGTTGCCTTGTACTTCTGTGCTTGCGTGGAGCGGACGAAGGCTTCCCACGAACCTTCATTCTTCATTTGGTACTTGATACGCCATTCCGCTCCAAGGCACGAGCGGTAGGCCGCGGCCGCCATGACATAAGGTAGTTGGTGATGCACTTGGATGAAAGAGCTCTCACTTTAGTCATATCTGGTGCTGGTATGTTGTAGGATACAGAGCAAAATGAAGAATTCATAGGGTTAGGAAGTTCAAAAGATCAAAAAGCCAACCGACAGCTACAAGATTCGAACTTGTGAGGGCGAACCCAACAGATAGCTGAACGTGGGGATTCAAGTCTGTCGCCTTAACCACTCGGCCAAGCTGTCTGATTACATGATTACCAAATTTTGATTGGATCAATGAGCCATGAGTGCTTTTCCGCCACTGCTCCACTCCGCCGGATTATGGCACTGTTCGTTTAACGTTGATCAGAGGTTTTCTCACAATCTGCTCCATCGCTGACGGCTGAACCGCATTGCATTTCCTAGGCGAAAATGTCCTCCAGATTTAGACGATGGCTTTGTTTATACAAGTAGAGGCCCCCTTTTCCCTTGGATGTGTATGATTTATTTCCTGGACGAGGCATAGGTCTACTACCCCTTTGACATGACTCATCCCATAATCCCCAGGCCGCATGGCTCCCTTCCCCTGCCAACAGTTGACTGAGGTGCGTGTATTGAGTGTCAGGTTTGACTACTCGCTACTCCTCAACAAAGGATCCGCGGAGCAAGAATGAAGCCCCACGGTTGAGCGATACTTAGTGTGATACGCTGAGCCTCCTCTCGCACCTGCAAAGGTTGGGCTTATGTTGAGATGTTGGAGTGATGTGCTCCCTCAGGGCTTGGGCGTTGGACGATCCGCGGCCATGACAATCCTCCTCTGCTCCTCGGGCGAAAAGAGAGTTGTTCCCTGCTGCAGCGCGCTCACGAGGATCTGGAGGGCGTCGTTTTTGAAGTCATCAGCAGCCCGCACTTTGTCGAGGTCCTCGGCAAACTCTTTTGTGGCGCGCTGCAAGTAGTACGAGGTAAATTCGGCTGCAATCTCTTGATCTGATTTCTGTGGCGGCGCCATCTTGGCTCTGTCCTGATCGAAATGATGTTATTTTCGAGGTTTGTTTCCGTGGAGGTTTTGTAGGTTGCTGGAGCTATCGACATCGAAATGGAGTGGGTGCCTTCAATGGCTACCGTCCCTACTAAAATTGATGAATGGGTGGGTCACTTTGCACTGTAAGTTTAACTACGTGTAGGTATTGTACATACTACTAGTACCTAACAAGAGCATTTCGTCCGTCAGCGGAATGGTGAGGAAAATAAGCCGGACAGTATATGTTCCGCCGCAATGGCAGCGGACTGAGAAGTATTCTTCTTGACAAGGTGGAATTGCAATGCCATTTGAAGGCTTTGCCGGCTACGATATCCGACATTCCATCTGCCATTCTGCCTTTTCAGCCTATCTCCCCCCAAATCGACGAGGGAATAAAGTGCTGACAGCTTGGGAGATGGAACCCATTACCGAGCCGCAGACTTGCTCGATTGGCTGACTATTTGTGAGCCTGGTTGATGCCCAGTCGAGCTCGCAGGGCTCGTCGTGCGTCGTAAAGGAGCGGAACAATGCGATTGGCCAGCCGCTGCACAGAACGACAGGGGTTGTGACGGGTTGCGGCTCAGTGCGACTTGACCCATTGTTACCCAGGGATATTAATCGCGAAATACGACTGAGATCAAGACGCTGGGAAGAGAATGATGATATAAGGCCGGGCTGGTCTCGAGATGGACTTCTTTATAAAAGCGCTGGCAACGCACCTGGTGCGCAGTTACAGCGGACGGTATCACACTATCAGTCCTCTTGAGCCATCAAGCTAAGTACCGTCGCCACTTACACGACCTGCACCACTAGATTTCGAGATGGTGTCAGGAAATTATGGTATGCCCCATCCAGTCTTCCCATCGTCTGCGGAAACATGCTGACAAGCCTGACAATGAGCTCAGTTCCCGGCAGCGTCTACTTCTACGCCCCTAACAAAGGCGCTCCGGTCTTCTTCGCGTTGGCGTTTGCACTTTCTGGTTCCTACCACGCCTACCAATGCGTGTAAGCGGGATATACAACCCTGGTTGGTTTCTCTCGCGTGCAGCCAGCTGACATCTCTCAGTCGCTACAAGAGTTGGCGCCTAACGGGACTCTATGTTTTCTGCGCCATTCTCTTCACCGTGGGCTTCATCATCCGCGAGATGGGTGCATTCGACTACGAAGACCTGATCAAGTACATCGTCAGCATTTGCCTGATTTATGCAGCGCCGTACGCAACCGCCATCCATCTCCTTCCCCGCGGTCCAAACAGGGCACCCACCCGCTAACACGACTTGTTATCTCTGCACACAGCCCTCTCCTCGAACTAGGAAACTACCACATCTTTGGGCGCATCCTCTACTACGCCCCATACCATTTACCCATCCACCCGGGGCGTGTCCTTACAACCTTTGCCTTTGTTTCATTCATCATTGAAGTCCTCAACGGAAACGGCGTGGCCTACAGCGTCAATCAATCCCTGAGCGCCTCGCAGCAAGCAACGGGTCGCGCCCTGCTCAAAGCCGCGCTGCTCATCCAGCTCGGCGTGATCGCCCTCTTCCTGCTGCTGGCCGCGACCTTCCACCGCCGGTGCCTGCGCGGAGGGCTACGGAACCAAAACCTCCTCTCGGCGCTATACACGCTGTATGCGTCGACGGCGCTGCTGACGGTCCGAACCGTGTTCCGCGTGGCAGAGTACTGGAGCATCGCGCAGCACGACTTCTGGTCGCCGCACGGCATCGATCCGAATTCGCTGAGCCCGGCGATCCGATACGAGTGGTTCTTCTGGGTGTTCGAGTCCAGCCTGATGCTGGTCAACCACCTGCTGCTGAACGTGCGCCATCCGCGGCGGTACCTGCCCAAGAGTTCCAAGACGTATCTCGCGCTCGATGGCGTGACGGAGGTGCAAGGGCCTGGGTACAAGGATGGCAGGTCGTTTTGGCTGACGCTGGTTGACCCGTTTGATTTATGGGGTCTGTATAAGGGGAGAGACAATGAGGCGAGGTTCTGGGAGCAGGCTAGCGAAGGGGGTGGGAAAGGGCCCAATGCGGGGAGGGGAGATGTTGAGGCACAATGAAACCTCACATCTGAGTGATTTGCGTTATGATGAGAGAGTATGGTAGTCAGAATGTCGAATGTCTTTGGATGCTTGTCTCACTTATCGCCTTACTGTTAGAAATCAAGTTGTGTAAGAATTGTGATGTACACAGGCAGTTTGGCCAAGAGAATACTATACGAGGTACCTAGATGAGGCGCGTGATGAACTGGCTGGCCTACTAGAGTGACACCAGATGGTAACAGCAAGGTCAGGCTATTCATATTCCCGCGACGCGTTCGTTGAAGAAGGTAAGTGCCACATCAACGCCCTTATGATAACGTTATGTGGACTAAGGCATTATCGCTATCTACGCGGACAATTGGTTTGTCTTCGGCATTTCGGCTCGAAAGACCCATCTCCTTCATGCATGTGGAATTGTACATGGTCTGATGTATTAAGATCCTTCCTAGGATTGTGTTGTTGTTGTTCTCCATCAGGTGGAGGGATTCAAGGAAACAATGGAACGGCCAAGAATATAAGGTACCTCCTAGATCGTTTTCTCGGACTCCGTACATAGACCAATGATTTAGGCAACTTTGAACAGATGATCCGCCGCCTTAAGCGTGGCTTGGGTATTACGATCTCACGACCCACATAGGTCGGTTGGCCCCATTTCTCATCCTTCGCGAACCCCATAGGATTCGGGAAGTCCGAAGTAACTGAATGCGATCCTCGAACAGAAATTGTTTGTTTTGGGCCCGATTCGGTTACAAGACGCCGCCACAGGAGTGACCAAAATATAGTTGACAAACTGCGTCTCTACTGGTCGATGACTTGATAGTGAAGAGATTTGAGTGGTGGTGTTCGAATTGTCTGGTATAAATTCGAATTTCAGACTCATTTTCGCACTGTAGCTATTGGACTCTCCCGCAACTTCATTTTCCTTCCCCAATGCCTGATTTTGATTTTCTGTAGCACATCCTTCGGTAGTTAATATCTTTCGATTGAAAACACGGCTATTGCTAAGGAGCTTAGAAAACCTCTCGCCGGAGGTATTAGATTTCAAAGCTGTCCTTCATAAAGCAGAAGTTATAGAACTTTGGGAGGATGTTGAATCATTGTGAGTAGTAATGCTTGCTTGTGCATCGCGGAGCCTGTTTCACAGAGGGTCGAGTGGATTTTGGGGTGTTCGTAGAGAATCAGTCTGGCAGTGTAATTGTACGGGTAGTAAGACAAGAGGAACATGTAGTGAAGAGACTCAGGTTTTGGGAAGGCTAATCCTCACATGGTACATCTTACATCGTAACTAAAGCAGGGTGTTTGCGGGTAATATAATGCTAGAAGAGATCAAACGGAAGCCTAGAAACACAATGATCCTTACTTCCATCCGAGTGGGAATGGATCAACGTTTTCCACGACATGATTTCTAGACTCATTCTTTCATCTTATACCCTTACATCATTCTTGCATTGCTTCTTCGCTTTCCGTTTCCCTCCCTTCCTTCATTTTTTTCATACTGACGCATAGTCGAATACCTCCTTCCATACCTCCATTTTGCTTCCCCTAGCGCGCTCATCTTTAACAGTGTTTCTTTCCCCTCTGGTATATCCCTATTCCATTCCTGATATATCTTCCAATGAAACGACTCTAGATTTCTCGATAATAAAGTCAAGCAACGCGTTGGCAAAAGTACACTTTAGTACAAGTCACCTCAACACTCAGGGTCATGGTGAAGTAAAGTCCCCATACCAGTTACACGTTGTGCAGTTACAGTACTACACGGAACACTTACACAGTACTCGGCTCGGTCTCCATCTTTACGAGGCGTCTCGGAGCAAAGCCCGCCCAGGTTTCCGAGCAGTTGGGAGTACTAGTACGCCGTAGTGTATGGGTTAGTTCCGAGGCTTATCGTTCCTCGCTCATAGCCTGATACTGTACGTGGAAGCGCACCGACGGAGTATCCCGTAAAGAAGGTCAATCGAAGCCTGAAGGTACCCGCAGGGCCAGATGCAGCCCCACTTGCCTTGTTCGCTACCATCCCTTCCAGGATTAACCAATGACAGACATTACCGAAGGTCCCCACTACTGACAAGGGTTCAGGGACTTTGACCACTGCACATGTTGGTTCTTGACTGACATGAAAAAACACAACACAATCACTCTTGACCCTCCTCTTCCACAAATGCCATGCCACAAGAATGGCTACAGGGAATGAAAAGTGGCGTGGGTCAAGACTCTGGGCGTCTGGCTTTTTCTTAGATAGGAGGTCACCGCTGAACTCTGCAGCGGTCAGAACAGAACATGCCGTTCTGTGTTTGCGAATTGTTTCGTTTTGCAAGTACATACGTTTCGCAAATGCACCCTGCACCCCTTAGAGCAAAAAAGCACCTAGAGCTGAAGGTAAGCTTACCTTGGTGGTGGTTTGCTTGACATCTCGTCTGTAGTGCATCCTTTCATGGCTAAGGTCATTTGTTTTTGTTCGGTGCTTGGTTGTTGACAATTGACATCCATCGCATTTCTGGAAGCACTGCCTTGGTGGATTTGCTTCCTCCACCACCCGTGCCATCGGAGAAAGGTGGCTGCTCAGGTACCTAATCTAGGTAGGTAGATATTGGGAACCCGAGCTTACCGTTTCGGATGCAGCCGCAGTCCTCGCATTGTCAGAGAAGCGAAACATTGAAGCGCGCACGACGGTATCACGCGGCAGCACAAGTCGGGTGCACACGACCCGTCGTGTAGTTCTGTTGGGTTGGCCGCATCTCAAGACGACCATCAGAACTCGCCTGAGCCTGGGTCTGCTGGGACTTTTGCCCCTCACGCAATTTACCTTTTGAGCGAGCTTGGCAGGACGTTAGCCACACCATGTCCAACAGGGTGCGATGCCCGAAATCACCAGGCTGCCGCTTTTCCAACAAACCAGAATGGATCCCGCGCTGAGGCAGTGCCCCCACCGCAGCGACAGCCCCGGTCGTTCCTTTTCCTGTCACTCCCGTCACCCCACCTTTCAACCCGACCCCTGTACCACTCGTCTGGGGGCCCTTAAACATCGATGTCGCCCAATGCGCCTCATCGAAGAACAACCGGATAGGGTCAGATTCTCCGAGGATTTGTTGACTTGAGACGGCAGTTCTGCTCAGCGAGTATCAGTACCACTGAGCTGTGTCTCTCCTTTGAACTACGATTCAGCTGGAGTTCTCAACAAGTTTGTGTTATTGTCCAGGGGCCAGTGAGGCTCTTACATCGGCCAGCTCGGTTGGATCCTTCAGCTCTTTTGGCTCCTGGGAGCGCGCCAGATGAGGACGAAGCCCAAGATGGAACAAACGCCACCACAGTCACGAAAGAATGAGCGATGGGGACCAGAAATATATGTCCACTTGGAGTTCAGAGTCTCATGGGGCAAGAAAGAACAATCACCAAAGAGCCACCAAGTCACTTACAGGTCTCGCGGACCACGCGAAAGGTCACCTGCATTCCCACGTCAGGTGCCGGCAGCCAACACCAACTACCTCGCTGCTATTCATGATTTCGACCAGAGGCAATCGAGATTGCGTGAACGTCGTCGGCAGTTCTTCGACAATCCTAACCGGCACCATCAGATGCAGGAGTACTACCCGGCCCATCAGCAGCCACAACCACCACCACAACCGCAACTGCAACCAGGTCACCTTCAGGTACCCATAATTCGAGAACCTGAACGGCCAACCCGGGCCGATACACGGGGGTCCCACGAACGTGGACGCTCAGCGCCGCCCCCAATCGGGGAGAATCCGTGGGACGTGAGCATTCCTCAGGAAGCCAACCGGGCCACGATGGAGATCAGGCGGAAACCCCTGCCCGCTCCGCCGTCACAATTCCGTCTTGGGGAGGGAGGGCAACCGTGGTCGATGTGGTCACTGCCCGTAGGGTACGACCCGGACACATTCCCAAAGGACGACGACGAGGAGGGTTTGCCGGTCAGGTCTGATCCAGCGGATCGAAACTCGACCATGTACGCCACAAATCCAGATATGGTCTCCACCTTCTCTCCGGAACCAGCCCCAGTAGCACGGACGCGCGACGCGGAGACTGGGAGGACAAGGGAGCTTGGGGCGCTGTCGGCAGCTATGATGACGGTCGATAACGGCTTCGAGAACCAGTGGTGGTATCAAGGACGGCGAAACACGATGCTCACGGATGAGCCTGGGACGTCGGTGGAAAGCCCGATTCATCGCTGGTCGACCGACCCAATGACCGCAACGACAAGTCCGCCGATGACTCCGACGGTGCAAACAATACCTGCGTGTGTTGTCTCGCCTCTGACTGAGTATGCTACGCTGCATACGAGCCCCGGTCCAGCACCAGCGTCCTTACTGCAGCGGACAATGTCGACAAGATCAGAAGAGCTTTGGATCCATGAGAGGAGTCCGTAATGTGGGCGGTTGACTTGGACTTGGCTAATTGGATGGCGTTTGGGAGCTCTTTCTTGGTTTACCCACAAAAGGATATAAGTCGATACCACATTCAGTGATGGCTCAGTATTGCTGGCACTGGCTTTTTGTACGAGTATGGGAGGACACGGTATCATTTAGCGATCTCTGGTGTTTCGGTATCGGTTGGCACATCTCAGCGTGGAGGGTATTCCCAAAAGCTCATTTTTGTTTTCTCCCCCCCGACTTTAGGGGTCATCGACAGACATGATCAACCGCCACAACTAATCTAATGAGTTCATCTGGTCGAATAACTTCTTTCAGTGTATCAACATATCCGTACTGCCGCCGGTTTGGCCAACTTCAGCGCTGACCTCCGAACTAGTAGGTTTCACTCCCCAATCCGGAACTGCATGTATGTGATCCCAAAAAGGGGAAATGACCAGGCACCAGTGATCAGACAGGCCCCTAATCCGATCCGATATCAAGTTCGGATCACTTCGCGCTGTCTTGGAACACCACAGGTATCGTTTTGCGCACCAAGAACACTAACAACCCCTACACTACTCCCTATCCAGTACACGGGGCGGAAATTCCGTACTGTTTCAGCCCTGGCTTCCGGGCCTGGCTGGGTGTCAGTCTTCGGCCCGGCTTCGGGGTGGGTCTTGCTGATGACCACTGTTGTTGGACACCGAAGCCAACGTTACAGAGGCGCGACTCATCGGCAGGGGGAGAGCTGCCTACAGCCTCCGACTTTGATGGCGGAAGCAGAAAGAAACCGACATCTTTCTTTCCTTTTTTTTGTGTTCAGCATCTGGAGGTCCGGTTAGTTGACACGGCGAGGCTAATGACAAATGCCGGAGTATTGTACTTGTACAATACATACTGTAGTAGCCGGGGAAGGGCTACGACGCTGACAGCGCTAAGCCGAACACCGTGTGCTTCATACCTAGAGCTATCTTACGCACTGCCCGCCTGAGAGCAAACACTCGGGACGATCTGACGACTATGTAGTGTGCGTACCACTGGACTGTTGTCATCGTGGCTGGTCTTCCAACGGTTCTTCTGCCCCCAAACGGCAACAGACTCTTCACTTGCCCACGGATGCTTGTCCGCCAAACCACCTTCCCTCTTCATCACTCGAGCATCTAGGTACACTACGGCACGCACCACGTCGCCGAACCGTGTGAGATGGGGACGGGATGGAATTGGGACGAAGGCCCAGGCTGCGAGCAACCAGAAGGAGAGATACGTGAACGTCTGTACATCCGGAACCCGCACTGGCTAGGACATACATACGCCCGGGACCGTCTTGGCCAGAGAGTGCCGCTGCCTAAAGCCTCGGGGGCTCCGGACGGTCGTGGATGTATGTGTATTGTACATGTACACATATTGCACAGTACTGCGCGCAGTGCAAGTGTAGCACCGACACTCCATCACCATGCCGGACGCCGAGCTCACAGGCAGAGAGAGCAGTCGTAGTGGCATGCAGAGTGACGGCAGCATCCCAGTACTGAACCGAGTGTATATGCAGTAGCCTATCACGCCCGGCATCTCACCCGCAGCGTTCATCACGGCAGAAGGGAAACACACACGCACACCACCATCACCACCCGTAGTGTTTCGGTAGCCGCTCGTCTTCAACGAGAGAATATGGTAGCCTAAAATAAGGGCAGAGTAACCCTGCCTTCCTCCCCTTTCCGGATATGGGACGCCAAAGATGTATATACGCATGTATGTATGTGTGTGTGCGTGTGTGTGCGCGCGAAGTCAGTCAGCGTGGCAGTGACATGCAATGCAGTGTAATGCTGCTCATCAAACCGCTCTCACATACCGGTCAGGAATCTGCCTTTCTCCTCGGCTCTTGGTGCTTGGGCCTCGCCCTGTCTCTGTAGGAAGGAGTGAGTCTGCTGTGGGTAGACGGCGGTGTTGGATTGGGAGGTTCTCCATGATGCTGTGGGGAACGAGTCTTGCTGACCGACTTGTCTGTTCTGCGGCCACTACCTACCTTACCCCTTCCCCTCACAACGTTGACCGCAGACTCCTTGGTGCTGAGCATTCGGACACTGTCCGTGAACCGTCCAGGGAGTCAGGGACAGGGGAGATTAGTGGTGTTTTTCTTTTGCTTCTGGAAGTATCTGTGGACAGGACAAGAAGCCAGGGAGGGCTCTACCAGAGCGTGAATACTAATTCTGATCACGAGTCATGACGATGGGGTTTCTGAATCCATCGCCAAGCCGCGACTTGCGAGACTGATCCGATCTTTGTTGATCTCGTAGATCCGGCGTTCTGAGCCGTTCGGGCCATGTCCCTTGCTACCTTGTCCTTGTACATACATATGTACGGAGTACTGTGCCTTACACGTGTACGGTAGCGGTGAGAGAAGGCCAACGGCGGAACCGGCCCTCTGTGTTGCGCATGACGGGGTCCGAACCGTCCGAACCAGCGGGAGGGCAAGGGCAGGGTCGTGTCTTTGGTGTCTTTGGTGGGCCCGTCGGTCTGATGTTGGCGAATCCTTCCAGACGAACAAGTCCCCTGCTTCTTGTTTGCGTCGATGTTTGCTTCTCGACGTCACAGCGAAGGGGCATCTGGAGATGGTCATCGGGCCGGAAAGAAACTGCTCAACCAGGGCCAGGGCAATGCTGCTTGCAAAGGGCTTCTTTCACTCCAGAGGAAACCCGTTAGCAAGACATAATCATAGCGTACAGAGTATGCACAGCAGCCTCATAACCCAGCCTCTTGTGCTGTACATACATACATGTACCTGTAGAATACATACTTACCTCGTGGTCAGCCATCCGAGACCGAGTAGCGCCTCGAGCCATCGATGGTTTCACGGCGTTTGAGGCTGGCCTCAGTCTCAACAATACCCAACCGGAGAGAAGGTGATGGCAATGAAGTACGGAGTAAACGGAACGGGCCCGGCTCCCGAGTCCGCGGCCAGATCTGGGGTCCACACGGCGCTGGTATGTACTGTGTTGTGTATGTACATGTATGTAATTACCAGTATTGTGCGGCAATTGCCAGAGTGGTCGTTGATGGAGCCCAGGAACAGGCAACAACTTTCGAGACCCGGGGATTGGCCGGTCCCAACGTCCTCCCGCTTGGCCTACTCTTAGGGGAACGGGTCCGTCCGCTCTCGCGCTCTCGATGGCAAGCCTCATCTTCTGTTCCCGTGTTTTTGTTTGTGGCTGACTGTATCTGGAGTTAGGGTACATACCATATCTCATGCATGCTGTCGGCGTGCTGTCGCCCACAGGGGGTTGGTTTTACATGAGGGTGAGTGGCTTTTTAGATGGGTTCACAAACAGTCCCGCCTGTGCTAAATCAGGAACTACCGCGCTGTGTAAGTGCTCAGTGTGAGAGTAAAGATACATAGACCGTACACATGTAGGTACTTAACAGTAGCACTCAACCCGCTCATCGATGAGAATGAGAACCCAGCCCATGACAGCCGCTTCTACCGGCAGCCACAGGGTAACATGGCCCGAGTAAGTCTCTCGCGTCACAGACCGGGATGCCATAGCCGTACGCTATGTATGTACGTGGGGTTGCAAGATGAGGTAGGATTTAAGCTCAGAAGAATTCTGCTGCCTGGCGTGGGTTTTCCTTTTCGAGATGGCCCCCAGTCACTGCCAATGCTCCATGATGAGATGGCCCATTCTGATCGGATCATCGTCATCGGTACCCAATCAGGAAGGGAAAGGGGTGGAATCGCTCATAACACCGCTCGTTAGCCAAAGCTTGTGTGTGTGTTTGTGTGTACGGCACCCGAAATGGCTTACACTATCTTACGCAGTCTCCTACGTATCTGGCCTCATCTGATTCCGCATTCAACGCTACCAAGCATCTCCGCCTGATGCCGAAGCCTCGAAGCCCTGTCCAACAGTCTCGAGGCCCCGTCATGCGTTTGAGGCTTAGTGTAGACGGCTCCCGTGGCGCGCGGGAATGGGAACACCATCTCCGTCCCCGGGCTCTGCACGTTTCATGTGGCCGCGCCTTCCTAGACTACCTAACTACTAAGCGGTCAAGACTCGAGAGAGGCGTTGGTTCACCGAATGCTATGCGTAACGCGTTTTGCGTCGTTGCGCGCCCATTAACATCAGTAAGGCCGTGTGCGTGGAGAGTTGTAGGTCGTGGGTTGTCCTTGGGGTCCCATGGAGGTCTGCCGCCTGGAAGGTGATTACTCGTACCTTATGTACAGCAAAAACAAGAGAGAGAGCAGAAATCTGGAGTCCCGGACACAAGATGAGATGAGTCAGCGTCGAATTGAACTTATGCGTCTGAAAGATACGACGACACTCACGAGGTATGAGAGCAGGCCAGCCGACAAGAAACTTCTCGCCGGTGACATCCGAGGACCAACAGAACCCAACGGAGACAGGGTCAACAACCACTTACCTACACTCAGCAGTCCAAACCACTCGTCGTCTCGTCGTCATCCGACTCTAGTCACTCGTCACGTACTGCGTATACATAGCCGTAGTACAAAACCAATTCCTCTTTCAAGTACTAAACACTACACACTAAACCCCTGACAGCCCACACGGTCTGACCCTGAACATGACCTGTCGAGTCCAATCGCCCAGCAGCTCGCGGGCCCGATCTACCCATCCATGTACAATAACGGTACCAGTAATACCCTTGGCCGGCCAACCGAATGATATAGATATGATGATGCCATCCATGGATGTCATAAAACAAGCCCGGGGCCACATCGTGACCTGACCGGAGAGGAAGCAGGGGAGATAATTACAAGGCACTTTATCTAAGAGAGCCAACTCGTCAAAGTCCATCAGCGCAGAAACGATGGAGCGTGGCGCCAAAACAGCCAGCCATCACCAAACCCCAAAAAACACCAGCAGATAACCTCCCACCAAGTTCCCTTTTTTAAATGCCGATACCAGCCCAACCAACTAACAGATTAAACGACAGGCAAGCAGCGGAGCACAGCGAAGTAAAGCAGAAGTGAGTGAATTCATGCTGAGCCAGCCAGCATCGAACGCAAGCCAACGAGCTTGTGGTTGGTGAACCACCAGTGGTTTGAGTAAGCTCCTAGGATGGGAGTGAGTGCTTGAGCAGGTATGCGATCTCCACAATCGAAAGCTCGGGCGAGCCAGATTTCGTAGGGACAATCGAAAGGGCGTTTAGGCGCGGTCGGGGACCTAAGACACTGAGGTGCTGACGGGTTTGTCGAGTTCTTTTCGTGAGGATGATGGGGAGCTGCTGCGCGGTGATTTCCCGCATCTCTCTCCTACTCCTCGCGGATGGAGCTCATCTCCATGGCGCTGCCGGCTGCGTCACCAAGGCTTCCCCTCTCCATGCCGCTCGACCCAACACTGACCGCGTCGGCCGAGACCTCACGTCGCAAGGGAGAAGACTCGGCAGGCGACTTGGTGCTGGCGGAGCTGATGCTCGAGCGTTTGCTGGCTTGAGCATCCCCGCTTCCAGCGCGGGATCGCGGCGACACCTTGCCCGTCTGCTGCTGCTGCTGCTGTTGCTGCTGCTGCTTTCTGTTAGCAGTTGCATCATCATGTCTTGTTACTAGCAGCAAGTGCTAGTAGCGGAAGGATGGTGGGAACATACCTGCTTCGCCCACCTCAGGCCGCACGAATTACACAGATCCCGCTTCCCGCTCGGACCCCTCCTCCACTCGGGCGTGTCACGCCTATGACAGTTGGCGCAGTCACGCACCGCTTTAGAACGGACCGATCCGCCGGCGACACCATTTCTCCGCTTCCGCTTCTTCTTGTTCGCCGTCAGCTGGTTGAGCTCCTCGGCGAGCAGCCGGTTGACCTTCTCCATCTGCCTCAGCTCATACTGCCAAGAGCCGACTCTCGTCGTGCTCAGCTCCGCGAAGACCTCGTCATCCTCCGACTCCTTGAGTTCTTCCACCCTTGCCGAAGCGGCCGCCTGGGACCCGACCCGGCCCATGCTGATGTCCTCAAAGGGAACCACCACTGCCAGCGAGCTCCCACCGCCGACCTTGCTCGACCCCGCGATCGGCCGGGTCGCGGCCTTGGCCACCTTGATCTGCGCAATCAAGAAACTGCACCGCTGCTGGCCGTCCCCGGCCGCGTCCCCGGGGTAGAAGAAGGTATACGCCGGCACCATCTGGCCCCTCCTGTGCAGGATCTCGTGCTTGAACCCGACCACTTGGCCCCTCCGCGCCTTTTCGATCGTCCGCCCAAACTCGTCGAGGGACTCCTTATTCTTCAGCAGCTCCTGCATGCTCGTGCCCTCCAGATCCCGCGGCTTCAGGTCCAGCAGCCTATGCGCGGACGAAGAGACGAAGAGGAACAGGCCCGAGGGCGACATCTTGCTCCAGATCTCGGCCTCGCCGGCGCCAATGCCGCCCGAGTGGGCCTCGACCACGCTGCGGCGGATGGACAGGACCGGCCGTTTGCGCCCGACCAGGACAATGTACTTTCTGCCCTTGGACTGGTCGTAGTGTAGCGCGCCGTGGCTCTCGAACCAGGTGAAGCCCGAGTGCTTGCGGCGGATGCGGAAGGCGACGTCAATGCTCGAGTCCTGCCGGGCTTCCTTGAGCTCGCGCGTGACGGACACGATGTCGGACGGGTGGCAGACGGACGAGAGCGAGGCGCCCACCAGCTCGGCCGTGTCCCATTCGAGGATGCGTTTGCAGGCCGGGGAGAGGTAGAGGAAGAGGCCCTTCAGCGAGAGGACGTGGATAACGTCGTCGGCGTTCTCGAGGAGCATCTTGTCCCACGACTGCCTGTGCCATTCCGAGGCCTGGCCGCCGGGGTTGTGCTGCTCGAGGAGCTGCGTGACCTCCTCGACGCTGAGCGTTTGGCCGCTCTCGGGATCGAAATGCGTCGAGCTGGGCGGGTCGACAATGTACCGATCGATCTTGCTGTGCAGGTAGTTGACTTGCATGCTCCCGCCCGATTCCTGGCCGGAGATGGCGTCGGGGCACTCGACCAAATCCATCTGGAACCCGACGCAATATTTCATCTCGCCGTTGCTGTCCTCCCAGGGGATCGGGATCATGGTCAGCAGATTCAGGAACGGCTTCCCGCCCTTGCGGTAGTTGATGATGCTTTGCTGGATCTCCTTGCCTTCCTGAATGGCCTTCCTCATCTTGAAAACAGCATCATTGTCGACGAACTCGCGCTTCGACCCTGCTTCGACTTTACCATCTGGGCTCTGCAAGAAGCGGCAGTTCTGGCCCTCAATCTCGTGCAGGTTGTAGCCCGTCAGGTTCTGGAAGTTGTCCGACACGTAGACGATGGGGCAGTCGTTCATGGTCAGGTCGCACACCACGAAAGCGCACGACAGGTCGACGGCCCCGATCTCGACCTGCGGGTTCTTCCGATTCACCACGTTTGCTAAGACCTGGAGCATAGGGAACCCGCTGGGCGCGTAGATGTCCTTCTTGGCCTTCCGCGGGCCCTGGCTGGCTGCGGACGGCGCCAACGAGCCTGGGGTCCCTGCATGGCTGCTGGACCGACCCGCGCTCGAGCGGGACACCGCTCGAGCTATGCCGGATGCGGCTGGCGAGTGGATGGACGCCGGTCCTGACCGCGCCTGCGTCCCGGGGGTGGATACGGCTGTTTGAAACTGGCTCATATCGGGGGTCGGCCGCAGGCTCAAGGGGGGTTCTTGCGGCACGGGCGTGTTGTCGAAGCCCTCGCGCTGTCCCATGATGCCACCGCTGGGGCCAAGTCCGAAGCCGGAGAAGGGGCTGTCATCGCCCATATCCGTATCCATGGCGAAGTCCGTGCTGACAACATCGAGATTAGCGGGCGGATACGTTGCCGGCAGGTCTGGGCATCTCCATAGGCCCCCCGTGGCAGAACACGATGTCACCGGGCCGAGGCCTAGGTTGGAGAAGGCTGCCATGTCCATCGAGTCCGGCACCAACGTGCCGAATTCTCCCTGGCCAGGCATTGCTACAAGTCCCGGCTGGGAAAAGGGCACCGAGCTGCTCGGCAGGCCAGCAGTGCTCGCGAACCCACCAAGACCCGCCATGGTGTTGTGGGGAGCACCGAGGTTCCCGAACGAGAACGGGTCGAACGCGTTGCCGGAGCTGCTGAACCCCATCATCGACATGCTCGGGTCGTCGCTCTGCGGCGGCATGATCGGCTCGGAGAAAGGGTGCGAGATGCTCCGCCGCCGCCGGAGCTCGGGGTTATCCTGGCCGACCATGTCGTCCAGTGGGTCGCCCTCGGCCAGCGAGAGGCCCTCCGGGGTGGCCGACAAGGGATTCGCATGACCATACTCCCCTAGGCCCGTCGTGTTGAGCATGCCGGGGACCTGGTCCTGGACCTGCTGGGTGCTTTGCAGCATCGCCAGCCGCCGGCGGACCTCGTTCGCGGAGGGAGGGGAAGTGTGGTAGTCGTTGTTCATCTTCGCGGGTCATTAGCTGTCTTCGTTCCAGAGGGGAACGCTCGACCAAGCCAATAACAGTGCTAGTGTTCAACAACGAGGAGGAAGGACAGTCGCCATGGTGCCGAGGGCGAATCGGCACGATGCTCTGCACCTTCCGTCCCTGGAGTGCGCATAGGCAAGTTTATCAGACTGGCAGGGGGCAACGGACTGTTCTGGTCTCGCTGGACAAATACGGGGGTGCCAGGATTGTTGGATTGTTAACCTGGGCCCGCCGAAACTCAAGTTTTCATCCCGAGGGGCGGCGAGAGTCTGAATTGCGCGCGCCCGCCTTGAGCGTGTGCCTGACTATCTGTTTCTCACAGTTAGTCCCCTGATTGGCCCCGGAGCAGTTGCTGCGCGACAGAAACGGGGAGGGGGCGTTGGCCGTGTGCGAGCAACTGCAGTTGGACGACATAAGGATGAAACTGGGCAGGGACATTGCATTGCAGGATGCTAGCGGACAAAACGCGCAGAATGGCCAATCTCACCGAGTTCCTGTTCTTTGCAGGTGCTAGCTGTGCTGTGCTGTCGAGGTGCGGATAAGACAAGGAAGTGTGGCGGTTTCACGGGCAGGCGGAAGTCGAAGAGCACAAGATCGTCGTGGCCGGCCACGCTTGGGAGCACAGAGACACCAGATGCTGCCTATCAATTCGACAATGATATTGTGTGGTACCAATGCTGGCGGGAGGCCGCAGGTCTGAACTTTAAAGCGGGTAGCACAAATGGCATCCCCTGCTCTCTAGAATTCCGAGCAATTCAGGTATGGGAGATTTGACGTAAGTGTAGATCTCCACGACCCTGTCATTGGAACCCTGTCATCAGGAGCGGGGCAACAGCGGCGCCGTTGGCAAACTGGAACCGCCTCCCGTCAGGCAGGAATCCATCAGGAAGGTTCAACGTCTCTTAACAGATCCGGGCAGGTTACTATCGTGGATCTCTGCTCCGATTGTTAGTAGGGGTGGACACTCATACCTTGCGGAAGAATTGTGCACACGCCCCGCGTCTAATTCCAGAACTCGGTGCCGACCTCGGCAGTCAGCTGCTCTCGGTTCCCATTGGGCAAAGCGAGTGTGGCGTGGGAACGAACTCAATGGCTGAGCTTGGTCTCTTTAGATTGTTGATTGACCTTTTTGCTTTGTCATGATATGATTTTCGGACTATTCTCGCTCTTTTAGACTGCAAAATGGGTAGAAGCAATCGTCCCATCCGAATGTGCCGCCCCGCCTGGGCTGTTACCCCGAGGAGGCAACAAGAATGTTTTTGGTATCACGCTGCTCTCAGTTGCTGTATCCCCCGCCTCCCAACCAGTGACCGCTGATTGTCGCCGTGGCCCACCGTCTCCAAGTATGCCTGCAACTTCATCTGCTGGGCGGCTTTCCATATCCTAACATCCACCAACCGAGGCTCAAGCCTGCGCACATACCTTTCGCCGACGCAGCGGTCCTACGAAAAGTGCGCTCGGACGATGTTCTGTGCCTCCGGAGAGAATTGCTGCAACAACGGCGAGACGTCCGTGCTGGTACCTTCCACGAGCATCTTGGTGGCTGCCACGACGCGCGCAGCAGTCTGACCGCTCAGGGCTTCTGCCTCGAGAGCTTGCGCAACAAAGACGAATATCCGCGGGGCCTGCGACATGACCGCCGGGTGTTGCCTGCGCACGTGTCAGCTTTGTCCGGATGCAATTCAATAAGACACTCCGAGACTCACTTTGTAATGAGTTCTGCCAGGTATAGATATGCGTACGGCGCCGCCTCCTCATCGTTGGTGATCGGGAGCGTGTTGATCCATTCCGCAACGATCTGGTCAGGCTGGGCGACGGCGGCAGCATTGAAATGAAGGATTTTCGCAATGGCTGCGCATGCGTTTTCCGTCGCGTACACGTTGTCCTCGTTGCGCGCATCAGGAACCCGCATGACCTCAAAGAGGAACGGGACGGCTCCTCCCAAAAACGCCGACCAAGCTTCACCGCCGTGGCGAGCCGCTACGCCGATGCCGTAGGAGGCCGCTTGACGAATGGCGGGCGACGCATCTTGGCAGCCCTGCAGCAATGGCTGCGTAATATAGTTGGCATACTGACTGCTCTGAGGGCCACAGTACTCCAGGACATCATCCATGATGCACAATCCCCACTGCCGTTGCGTGGGATCGTCAGACTTGAGGAACCCTTGGTAAGTCGGGAGCAGGTGTTCCCAATGGCGAAGGAAGTTGACTCCGTGGTACTTGAAGACGCAGTGGAATGCCTTGTTCATGTCGGAGAGTAACGTCTGGTCGTCCTCAATAGCCATGAGCAGCTCTTCTTGTTCGTCTTCGGCGTCTTCCGCAGCCACGCCCCGCCGTTCATCCTCCCGCTGTGTAACACGGTCTTTGTAGTCCTCTAGCGTCGAGTTGACCCCCTCGATGAATCGGGCTAGGTGCGCGTCGGTAAGGCAGGGCCTAGCGATGACCTCGACCGACTCGTAGAAGCATTGGTACATCTCCGCGAGAGTGTCCACAGCGGGTTCTGCAGTGAGCACCTCCAGCAGTTTGTCGACAGTCTTGTTCCACAGACTTGCTAGTTGCTCAGACTGAGGTCCATATGCCTTCTTGACACAGCTAAGAAGCTGCGGGACAAGCTTGGCGGACACGAACCGGACGGGATCATGGAAAAAGAACGCTAGGCCGGGCAGAGCAATCTTGTCCATGATCTCGTCCGCGTGCGGAGCGAAATCCTCTTCAAGCACCTGTGCGTAGACGACGAGAAGCTCGATCGCCATGTGCTTGTCGTCCATCGAGCTGGTCTTGATGCCGATCGTCTTGCCACGGAGTGGTACCAGCTCCCAGCCGTCCTCTTGCTGGAACCTTTCGATCTGCTCGTCGTCATCGAGGAGTTGAATGTCGGCTTTCGCGCTCGCGAGCTCAAGCAGAGGCGGCATGACTTTTGGTAGGTAAGGAAGGAAAGCCTTGCCCATGACGCGGCACATTCGGCCCCAGCAATGCATCAAGTAGTTAGCTTGTGGGTCATCCGGATCCTGGACGCTATCTTGGATACTCGCCAGCAGCTGGACGAGCATCGCGGCATCTCCGCCAAGACGCTGAGCCCCGACAGCCAGCGCAATCAGCGTCGCACATTCCATTGCCTTTGCTCGGAGTAGCCGGTATTCCTTGTCGTTCTCGCGCCCGAGAACGCTCACAAGAAGGGGCATCAAAGTATCGTAGTACTTCGAAAACGCTTGCTCCGCCGCATCGGCAATCGTAGCAATCGTAGATAGGGCTTGCTCTTGGACATATCGCTTCTCGTTCTGGAGAAGCTGGTAGAGCGCACTCAGCAGCCCGTCAAGATAGGGTTCAAGGACGCTCTTTTCGGCCTCCTCGCAGAAGTTGACCAGAGCGGCGGCCGCGTGAGACTTGACCCTGGCTTCCGGTGAATCGAGAGCCGGAATGATGGCTGAGAGGACGGTGTCGTAATACTCCCTTTGCATTGTCGGCGCGAAATCTGTGCTCATCTGGCCCAGCGCATTGCAACCGGCCCACCGGACACGGGGGTGGGGGTCCTTAAGAGCAGGAACAACCAATTCGAGGACCTGCTTCAGTTCACCGATCATCTGGTCTCGGCAGCCCTCGGAAATGGCGGATATCGCCATGAGAGCGGCGTGCCGATCCCTCCAAGCAGGAGAGGACAGCATACGCGGCAGCCAGTTGAAGGTTGGTTGCAAGATGACCATACCGCCTAGTTTGTTGGCCAGGCGATCCATGCAGTGCTCACCGGCAACATGGTTTTGGTCACTCTCCGGGTCATCAAGGTCGTCGGCTGCGAGCCACTCGGCTGCATCATCGTCGTCTTCGCCCAAGTCCGTCATCAGGCTGAGGCATTGAGTAATCATGTCTGGGGTGTAATTAGGATCCTTTTTGCACATCGATGGCGCATAGTCGGCGAATGTGGCCATGAGCTCCAACGCGTTCTGCCGGCAGAGGTCGCTGAGCTCCTTGTCTTGGATCACCGATATGCAGAACTGGACGAGGACATTGAAAACTTGCTTGAACATCCGCGGCGCTCCCTCGGCGAGATCGATAAGCGCAACAAGAGCCTTGCTGAGGTCATCCGAGTCTTGAGAGTCCTTGATGGGGGGGAGGATGTTGAGCACCTCTGGGAGGAGGACGTGGTACTTGCTCTGATTCTTCTTGCTCAGACTGCGGAAGAAAGCCGCAAAGGCTTCCATGGCAGCGAGACGAACCTTCCAGTAGAGTCAGCGACCCCTGCCATCACAACTCCCAAGAAGCATTTCATACCGCGACTGAATCATCCTTGAAGGCCTGCGCGAATGCCTGGGCCACGGCATCCTCATGTTGTTTCTCGATGATACCTGGTGTCGTTGTGAACACACGGAAAGCGGTCTCTCGCTTGCCAGCATCCGGCGCCTGGCTGAGGGTGAACAAAATTTGAAGCAGCTCTGGCCACGAGTCACCTGAGAATATGTTAATGCCTGATTGCAGATGCTCCCGGGAACACAGTTGGCAACCCACTGTTGTCGTAATATTGTCTGGCGAGCTCAGCGACAGCATCGCTGATCTTGTTCCTTACGGTTTTGTCGCTTTCAGTAACCAGCGTTTCCAACAGCTTTCTGCGGATGAGGATGCCGTGTTCCTTGTCGAGAGACACAAACATGTCGACATTCTCCGAGCTGCCGACCTTTCGGGTCTTGGACGCTATCCGGCGAAAAATCACAGCCGCAAAGGAGCGCAACTAGTGGGCAAAGGTCAGCAGCAAGACAAGATCAGAGCGGGGGAAAGCTGAGCGACATACGGATGCGTCTGTCGAGTTCGCGATTTGTTCGGCCAGGCCCATCAAGAGCCACTCAGGCCGCTGACTGGTCCACTGGTTTTGGAGGACATCTTCAGCTTGGGATCGGATATTGTTATCGGGGGACTGGAGCTGATGGAGCAGCTGAGCCAGCTGGGCGTTGACCTCAGCCGGCAGGACCGACATCTTGACCAGGCGTTATGCTCGAACGGGAATCCGGGATACGTATAAGAGAATTGAGAGTCACGGCACCCCGGCGAGTAGTAAGCGTCGATCGAAGCGGGCTCTCAAGCTGTCGCGGCCTTCGGAAACTGTCTCTCAGCGCCCTTGCTATCCGAGACCAAGCCAGGCGGGGGAGTCAACTTCGGGCAGCGCCAAAATGAGCGGTCCGAGCGCTGATCCAATAGAACACGTTCGCAAGTGCTGAAGTCTGCCGCGCGGAGAGTTTTACGCCAGATAACGCGTCGGTCGCCGACAGTCGCAAAGGAAAAATAATCGTGGTGCCAGCGTGTTGAGGACAGGGAATGGGCTGCAGACAGGAAGGTTTGGAGGGGGAGCGAAAAAAGGGCAACCCCTGAATCTGATTGGTGTAAATGCTGGGTGGGGGAGGGGCAGCTCTCTTCTCGCACGGACACGATGGGTGCCGCTCGCGCTATGGCCATAAAAAGGGGGGCAGATCTACGTCTGGCTGTGTAAATCTGTTCCTGTTTTTTTTTGGACAGGGCGTTGCCGCCCCACGCTCTACATTGCTGGACACGACATGCATGGCTCTTCTCGCACCAGACATACACGTATAGGTATTTTTCGAATGTCGGAGCTTCCACCAGATGATGGTTCATAGTTCATCTGAATTCAGGACCTGGGAGTTGCACTGTGGATCCTGGTTTCCCGACCGCAGATCTCTTCGCCGGGAGCTTTGGTCGGAAGGAGGGATCCTATACCTCCTGCCAGCCCCAGAACAGAGAAGGTCATCGTACCTTACGCTGACTGAGACTTCACGAGTGAACCCAACACGAATTGCTTCCCTCACTGTCACCGTCACCATTCCGTGGGCCAGCTTGAGAGTTGCTTACCTCAGGGGCGTCTTATTATACGGAGGGCTTCGTACAGAGTTGTATATCCGTGGGAAGGGAGCGATAAGAAGTGGGATCCCCAGCGCATCTGATAAGAAGAGTGAGTGAGTGGGGCTCCTGCCGGCTGATCAATGGTCGGCTGGAGCTTGCTCCGAACTGCTGGATCTGGGTCGGATGCCGTCGACCACGGTGTTGCAAAGGTCCTGTGCTAAACTGCTGGCAATATTGCAGGCGTATTCGCACAAATCCTCCGTCGTGAACGGCTTCAGAAGCCGTTTTACCTTAATGTTGGGTCGTCCCATCGATCGTTAGGCTTCTTCTCCCGACCGAATATCTGCACCTGGGCAGACACCTCTCAGCTGTCGGGTGCAACCCCGCTCCGCTGAGCTCCGTCACTGCTCTGTCCAAGCACTTCCTCCCTTATTATTACCCGCCACCCACCTCCTCCGGAACATTGATTGTTGGAAACTGAGCAGAATCACGAGCAACCATCAACGCCGGAACAGGGTAGAGAATCCAGTTAGGACACACTCTACAAAAGCTGTCCGCCATGGACACAGCCGACTCCGCCGCGCGGGGCGTGACGGGGAACGCGGCGAGCAGCTCAAGCAGCTCGCTTGGTGCGGCGGCCGCATCACCCATAGAGAGGAGCAATTCCCAATCCAGTGCCCACAAACCTAGCCATATTGCTACGCACCGGCAAAGCTTCATCGAGAACCAGAGATTCCCTCCGGCGTCCCCTCGCAACCACCGACACCCGTCCTTTACACAGCAGGCACTTCAGGAGCTGATGAACCACCCGCCCTCCAGCAGACACCCAAACCCCCGATACGCAGGCAGAGACTGGAGAGATGTGGCTGTGGGAGAGCTCGCAGTGCCCGAGGATGTCAGGTGGGCCGATCTGGACTCGAGTGTCCAAGAAGCTACTATGGTGCGCTTAATCGAACCCTTGCCCGATTCCTCTTTAGTAGCTGACAAGCCGTACGGATAGCTTCTACTTAAGAACAACCCGATGAATGTTGTTCTTGTGCGCGAGTCGCCATCTTCCAAAACAGCAATTTCCACCTTCGACTACAGCGACTTAAATGCCTACCTGCTAGCAGTCGTGTCCGTTTTAATGCCCCCTGGTATAGTGCCGAGGCCAGATGAAGAACGCGTCTCTCTGTATGAGGAGATCTCGAAAAAGGCTCAAGCTCAAGAGGATATTCCACTGCGGGAGATCCAGCCGCTTCTCCGGAAGGAAGAGTTAGCAACTCTCCCTGCTGAGGTGACACTCGACAAGGCTATGGAGGCGCTCGGGAGTGGGATTCATCGAGCTCTGATCGTTAACCAGGCCGGGGAAGTGATCGGGGTTCTCAGTCAGCTGCGCCTCGTCGAGTTCTTTTGGAACGAAGCGGTCAACTTCCCCGCCATTGAAAGACTATACGGATGCCTTCTCCGGGATCTCCAGATTGGCACGCATCAGATCATTGCCATCAAGTGAGCAGAACCGAGGGTTGAATATGGGTCGTATGCTCCTTTTGCTAACATGCGTACTGCAGCCTTGATCGCCCTCTAACCGATGCGTTACTGTTAATGCACAATGAGGGGCTCACATCTGTGGCAGTTGTTGACCAGGGACTGAACGTTGTGGGCAATATCTCAACCGCCGATGTGAGGCATTTGACAACTGCAGCCAGCTTGCCTCTCCTCAAGAACTCGTGCATGAACTTTATCAGCGTCATCCTTTCAGAGCGGGGAATGGAACACGGCCGCGACTCGTTCCCAGTCTTCCACGTCAACCCCTACTCGACCCTTGGACACACAGTCGCGAAACTCGTAGCAACGAAGTCCCACCGCATGTGGGTGGTCGAGTCTGCGTCCCCATCGCCAAGCGCCCCAGCAACTCCCCTCCTCCAGCCGAGCCACCCGGTCGGACCTTCGCCCTCTTCATCAACAGTTGCAGTAGGCAGCTCCCCTCCATCCGCAACTGTTATCATTCCCCCGCCAACCAACGCACCGGCTCCGCAATCCCCGCTTGCCAACCAAACCTTCACAACCACCGTGATACCAAGTGGTCTGCCTGGGGCACACCTGTCAGGCCGCTTGACGGGCGTGGTGTCCATGACGGACATTCTGAATCTTTTCGCCAAGTCCAGCGGTCTGCGCCCTTCAGATCCGTCCGAGATACGGGCCAGGAGACGACGAAGCTCGAGCGCGTCGGTGCGGCCCAGTTTCGATGGCTCACGTGCTAGCATCGACTTAAGGAGATAAGAGGGAAGGGCGATTTTGCAGTTCGAACAAGGCGACCGTATCATGGAGTGCTATCGAGCCAACCTTCGCGCTTGAGGGTTTTGCGGGTGGGTATAATCGTATCTCATCTGCAACCGGGGACAGTTGCATTTATCAGTCACAGCATTGTTGGCTTGGGTTGAGTTTTGGGGTAGTTCTAAGACTGCTTGCCGTCTGATGCGGTTTTGCTGGGTATCCTATGTGACGAGGACGCCTGATACGTACAGTACTACTATTGAAAAGAGCGTGGCTCATAAGCAAGCTCACGCTGTGACATATTAGACTGAGATGGCTTATTATGACTGTTGGTGGATAACGGTGTGAAGCGGTATCATGGACTACAGCTATACGATTCAGGGGCTGCGACACGAATTGTAACAGATGCTTACTGGGGACTGCAAAACCGCAAGGGCGTATATAAATACATTACTTTCACATTCCCCCCTCGGCATGAACACTTAAGACGTTGAGTTTTATCCTTCGAGGCAAAATAGCCGCAGGATGGATATGGCTGTTCCCTATCCATCGTATCCCACCAAGACACAGGTATCGCACAGTACATAATACATCAAACACCCAGCTACAGATATGCAGCTGGCTGTCCTTCCTTCATCGGAGTCTAACTTGGCTGTATTGCTTCAGGCAAGGTGCCACTTGCCGCAGCAATCAAGACACAGCCCGAGGAACAACCAGGCTCGTCCACGGCTCCACAGCGGGCACCGGGAGACGGGTCAGAGTCCCCCTTGAGGGGAACCAAAGGAAGAACAAGGATCGCTCCTAGTCGACACCCCATTCGGTATCGGGCTCATTCCCTTGTTCTCGGCCTTGGCCGCCGTCCGTCTCGCCATCGGTTGTCGCCCCGCTTCCTTCCCCTTTCCGGCCCGGTGATGGCGAATTTTCCCGGGACTTAGGCCTATCCAACGGCCCGACCTCCTCCTCCTCCTCTGGTTCATCCTCCTCATCACTGCTCTCAGGAAAAGCGCCCACCATTCTCATCTTCCCGCCGCTCCCTTTCAGCCACCAGTCGTCGTTATGGACGCCCTTCCTCCAGCCTGAGTTCTCGACTGCAGTACTCGGTCCGATCGCACGAGAACGAGACTGCACGCTCACATCCTCGTCGTCACTCCAGTCCCAAGTAACGCTAACCCTCTCGCCCCCTTCCCCGGTGCCAAACACCAAGCCCCTCCACTCGCCCGCGGTAATCCGGGCCGCGACCCTCAGCATGATGCGGATGAGGTGTGACGGTGGTGACATGAGAATTTCACATGTTTTGTGGATGACTGTTATCGGTAAGCGGCGAACGGCTGCTAGTGCCCCGGTACTTGTAGCCGTGCCTGTGCTTGGGCTGGGGGCGGCGGAGGCGCGACGAGGGGCGAGGAGGTCGGCGGCGGCAGGGAAAGGGGATATGGAACGTGGCGTTCGAGAGATACTGCTCGATGTTGTGGCGCGGCGCGTTAGCGGGCGCCGGCGGACGGGTGTGGACGGTGATGTGGACGGTGATGTGGTAGGGGGCGAGTGGGTTCTGGTGAGGTTCGGTGTCTGCGAGGGTTCTGGGGTTTCAGAGTGGTCATGTTCATGTTCGGAATGATCGGGGCCGGCCGTTTCGTGTGCATATTGCACTCCAGGTTGCGGCGATAAACTTCGCGGCGACCCCGGCGTTGACAAAGGAGGTGATGGCGGGAGAGGGGTAGAAAGCCACGATTCCGGGCCGTGGAAGGACTCTCTCGATTCCGTGGGAGACTTGAATTTGGGAACCTCAACTGGCATGTCGGCCTGGCCTGGCTCCCTGACCTTTGGAAGAGGAAGGGAAATCAGAGGGACTTGCTGTGGAGGAGCCGATGACTTTTGTGTCGGAGGATCGGCATCGCGCGGGTTCATGTTGGGCCGGTCGCTCTGTTCTAACGCTTGCTCCTCTGTAGGCGGCTCTAGCATCTTAGTCTGCCCCCTCAGGTCCCTTCTAACATCTGCTGCTGCCCTTAGATCCGCTGCCCATATCGAACCCCTCGGCGTCCCCTCGTGCAGCCGCGCAATTTCAACCGGGGTGACTGGCGTCAAGGGAAAGGACGTGCTAGATCTCCGGACCGGGGTCCAGGGCCGTCTTTTGACCGGTGTTTGTGGACGCCTTGGGAGCTCCACGGTAAACGATCGTTTGAACGGACACTCGGTCTTCTCGAACTGCAAGATCATATCAAAGACTTCCCGAAGCTGCTGAGCCCGGCGCACATCTTCTTGCTCCTCGACTGGGACTTCAATCCGCCAATACTGGGGTCGCCGGATTTGCAAGACAAACTTGCTGGATTCTTCGTCGACGCACCAGGCTTGGCTCTTCGGGAGGATCGGTTGGAGGGCGGAACCGCAATTAAGGAAAGCTACGGATCCGGGCGCGCGATAGATCCTGAAGGGGCCTATTACACCAATGATTAGAAATACTGCTCAGCCTCCTAGCATACCAAGAGAAACCCAAACAGACGCACCGACTGCAATTGTCCGCTCTAGCTGGGTAGACCAAGGAAGCGACCCCGGCTCAATGTCCGGCTCGGCTGCTACCGGCGGATCAACAGAGAGAGAGCGAGAACCCGCTGTAAAAGAGATGATCTTGACATTTGGATGGTCGTAAAGCGTGTCAACCAAACTCCCGGCAGAATGCGGAGACGCGGCCGGCTGCGGGGTCGACGGCCGTACTGGCGCCGTGAAGACGCGGCGCGGCGTGGTGAAGGTAGAGCTGCGTGGTCTTGCGCCCTCCATTCTGTGATTCACTATAGGTGGTAAAACATCGCAAGGTGCAGGGAGGGACAACTGTGGTGTAGGACGCAATCCGAGGGGAAGCGCCAGTCGGGATAAAGAGGCCCAGACTTCGTGATGTACCGGTTCGGTCCCCGTGGCCGGTGTCCGGGGCGCCGTCTCAGGGTGGAACGATGCACGAGTCAATCGGCAGATATGACAGAGCAATCCCCGCAGGAGCGAAACAGCTCGGGTCTCCGATAGGTACTGAAGATGTAGGTAAGCGCCGATGACAGTAGCAACGAGCGAGTGCAGTTCAGAGAAGGATGCCAGTCTGACAAGCCGGCTCAATTGGAAATCCTTGTCTCCCTCTTCCCCCTAGCCTGCTGCCAGACGCAGATCCCACTTGAGTGGGAGCCCCACCTGGATTCTATTCGGGTCAAACCAGACGAGCGAAAACAAGAGCATCGATCGAGGTGCTCGTTCAACTCGGTTGTAAATGGAATTGATGTCCGATATACCACCCTATGGAACACCTCTCTCTTAATCCTGTAACTACACTATAGCAGAGGCTCCTCCACTAGCACTCACCCTCATGCTGTGCACGAGTGGGATCGACGAAGTGCAGCAGAGGCTGCTGCAAGTTAATGCATTACATGCTGCAAGGGACAACTTCGCAAGGAGATTACCCAGTCGTTGAGGTACCCAGCTAACTTGGTGTAACTGGCTGGTGTATGAGCGAAAGAGCATCGACCTCTTGCTTCCTCGAACTTCAAATCAACAAGCGTGCCAAGAAATACAAGTGGGGCGGGCATGGCCATGTCCCTGGCGCTGACATCATCGTCGAATAAGTTCCTACATACGGTAAGCATCGTGATTGTTTTAGTGTTCTCGACAGCATCCCACAAGCCCGAATCATTGCGTCCAACCCAACCCAAGACGACAGCAACCATGTCAGCCGATCAGCTACCGCACTTAGATAAGGTCAAGCTAAAAAAGAAGTTCGACATCTCACATTTTGATCTCAATGCAATCATTCGTGGCATCCAGCTAACGCTAGTCGGCGGTAAGAAGCCCCAATTCTTGTCTCTAGCACTTATTGGCGAGCTCCGGCACTAACGTCTCATCGCAGCCCATCGAGCGCTTCAAAATCCGGAGATATTCACCTCCGAGCATTACAAGCAGGCAGCAGTCGCCGTCGCCGCCGGCATTGTCATCCGGCTCTTGATATCCTTCCCAGTTCGTCCCTCTATCCTGGCCAAACTACCATACTCACCCCTGACATGAGTACCTTAGATCATCGGTATCAAACTCCTGCTATGGATCCTGTCCTTCTTTGTATCCCTCGACCGCGTGACCTGGGACGACACGCTGGTCAACAGTCTCAGCTTCATCGAGGACCACGTGCTGCAAGCCCCGCTCTTCCTCATGGGGCTCATGCGCTATGTCACGCCCGCGCTCGATGATTTGTTCATGGCCTCCCTTCGCTGGGTCGACCAGACGTACGTCGCGAAACACAAGCACGACCCGGACCCGTCCCAGCTGCGCGCCATGTACTACCCACAGCTGCGCCTGTACCGCCCCACGGACGGCCGCACCCACTCATCGAGCACCGCCGAGTCCATTACCATGTTCTTGTACCGGTTTGCGCGCAAGGGGGCTATCTCGCTGGCTATCTACGGGGCTTCGTATCTACCTCTCGTCGGCAAACTCGTGCTGCCGGCGGCCAGCTTTTGGACCTTCAAGCGAGCTGTTGGGCTGGGACCGGCGAGCATGATTTTCGGGACCGGGGTGCTACTGCCGCGGCGGTATCTGGTGATCTTCCTGCAGAGTTATTTTGCGTCGAGGAGCCTGGTGAGGGAGCTGCTGGAGCCGTATTTTGCGCGGATCAAGTTCACCAGCGAAGAGAAGAGGAAGTGGTTCCGCAGCCGGGAGGGACTGCTGTTCGGGTTTGGAATTGGATTTTATGTCCTGTTGAGGGTTCCATTGCTAGGGGTGTTGATTTATGGTATCGCTGAGGCGGTATGTTGCCCTTTCCAACAAGGAGAGGAATCCGGCTGACGAGCAAACAGAGTACTGCGTATCTCATCACCAAGATCTCCGATCCGCCACCGCCGCCGTCCGAGAGCCAGGGGTTCGCGGCGAGCCAGACCGAATGGAGGAACAAGCAGAAGTTCCTCAGTCTGTCGCTAGGGAACCTCGATGCCCTCCACGAAAAGCCGTCGCCGTACTCAGAGGTTGATCCTCATCCTGCCACGCCACGACAGTAAGAAGTCGGCTCGGAAACGGCTTTCCACGGGTTTCTCCAATGGGACGGTAGACATGGTGACGGCATGGGTTAGAGCGGAAGGGCGAGCGCGGGTTACGGGCGACCAATGGCCCGGTGGGCTTCAAGATAACTTTCCACGTCTTCCCAACGGTGGATCCGTCAGGTATGAAAACCAGCGCCTGCATAAGCGATCTTAAGGTCAAATTCTTCCCTGACTCCGAAGAGATCGCCGGATCCGAAATGGAACCGGCGCTCTGCGGTCCACAAAGCGTATCCGTATCTTATCGTGCCTGTGATGGAACCTGGGTGCAGCTCCGCGGGTGAAGTCGTAATACCCGTCAGTGTCACCATGTGTTATCACTCGGCGCTGATAAGCGTGTAAGCCGGCCCTTGACGATAGCCGTCGCCTCACCTCAAGGAATCTACACAAGTCAATTGATAGTGTCTGACTTAAGGAATTACGTCTTTGATCGACTGATTGGGGCTAATGCATGTCCTGTCCCAGGAAAAGGGGTGCGGGGTAGTCTTGGATGGTTGGGAGGCCGGATGATCGGACGGGAACTAGAACGAGGTATAAGAGGCATGGTTCCCAGTGGAAGTTGTATGTCTGGATGTATCCTGTCTTGATCATTCCGGTAACAGTACCAGGTATTATTGCGATTCACCTCACTTCAAAGGTCACACTGCAGTAGCGAGACACAATGGGCAAGTCGGCTATCCGGACGGTCTGCAAAGTTGACCTTGACAAGCCTGCTTCGGAGCAGCCCCATCTTCACGTCGGTGACTGACTCGGTTGACACATATGAAGAAGCTCCATCGGTATCTGTGCTGACTGCTTTGCAGAACAGATGGCATCCCGACAGTGGGTAAATTGTTTATAGCATACCCGTTAATATGCTAAAAAATATACAGTTCCCTTCGCGGCGACCATAAAGGATGGCGAGACTGTGAAGATCGAGTGTCTTGACTGGTATGTGCCCCCGGGAGAGAGTGATCAGGAGTTTGACTCTCATAATGGCAGGACTGGCGGTCAAATCAAGAACGACGACTGTGCCGACGATATCAAGAACGTCAACCTTACGAAAGTCCACTACCTCTCTGGGCCATTCGAGATTGAGGGTGCGGCCCCGGGTGATCTGCTCCTCGTCGAGATCATGGACGTCCAGCCGTTCCAGGACCAGCCGTGGGGCTTCACTGGGGTGTTCGACAGGCGCAACGGTGTATGTTCCCTTCTGCCTGCGGCTGTCCCTAAAACATGCAGCAAGCAGCGGATGCTGACTGGAGATACACACCGTGACCTAGGGTGGGTTCCTAGATGAGATCTACCCCTCGGCGTATGTCTCCCCTACTTGGTTGTTTTACGACAGTGCGTGAACTCAACCCTGCCCTACGACCTAGTGCCAAAGCGATCTGGGACTTCGAAGGCATTTATTGCACGAGCCGCCACATCCCCCACGTCAAGTTTGCCGGGCTCATCCACCCGGGCATTCTGGGTTGCGCCCCGTCTGCCGAGGTCCTCGCGCAGTGGAATACGCGTGAGGCCGAGCTGATTGCGGCAAACAAGCTCGACCGCGATGTCGCTCATCCGTGGGTTACCCCCAGCCCCCTTCCTGAGATGCCGCGCCGCTCCGCCTGACTGATTCCGTGTGTCGGGTTGCGGCAGACCCCAACCCCTCAGTGTCCACGCCGGGAGTGCAGGCGCGAACTTGACGGAGAAGGTTGGCCGGGAGGGTGCAAGGACTATTCCTGGCCGTCCGGAACACGGAGGTGTGTACACACACTCTCTCTCCCCCACTTGCCGCTTTCCGGGAGCAGAGCCGAGCCCAAGCTGACGCAACCCCGGGGGGATCAGGGAACTGTGATATCAAAAACCTCTCCCGCGTAAGCCACCCCCTTTCCTTTTTTTTTTCCTTTCTTTTTTCTTTTTGGCTGCCGAAACAGCAACACCAGGTTGCTAACCACAAGATGGTGGCCGACCAGGGCTCCAAGGTATACCTACCCGTCCACGTACCGGGCGCCAAGTTCTCGGTCGGCGACCTTCACTTCTCGCAAGGCGACGGCGAGATCTCGTTCTGCGGTGCCATCGAGATGGCGGGTGTCATCACCATCAACTTCACCGTCATCAAGAACGGCATGGCCGACCTGGCTCTGAAAAGCCCCGTCTACATTCCCGGCCCCGTCGAGCCCCAGTTTGGGCCGGGACGGTATATCTACTTCGAAGGCTTCTCGGTTGACGAGCACGGGAAACAGCGTATGATCTCTCAATTCCCCTGACTTAGCCTCTTCAAATTTTCTTTTCTTTCTTTTGTCTTTTTCTTCTTAAATATCGATGACTGATGTGCCGCCCCACTTACACGGTGCGTCGTCGTAGACTACATGGACGTGACAGTCGCCTACCGCCAGACGACGCTCCGCTGCATCGAGTACCTCCGGCGTTTTGGATACTCAGACTACCAGATCTACCTGCTGCTGTCCTGCGCGCCGATCCAGGGGCATGTGGCGGGGATTGTGGATGTTCCAAATGCGTGCACCACGCTGGGGCTGCCGATGGATATCTTTGGCTTTGACATCTCGCCTCAGGCAGCGGCCGGAGTGAAGAAGATGGATATGGGACGCTGCGCGTTTGAGACGGGCCGGACGGAAGGGGTGGTCTGTCGGGACGGCGGGAGGAATAGTCAGGTTAGTTTTGGAGGGGGTTTGACATACAAGGTGTAGCGGCGGATTGGAGATGACAGGCTTATGGGATGCTTGGCTTCCATGGCTGGCTCCTGCCACGGATGTACAGTAGATGGCATTGTGCGCTTGGAGGGTAGCTGGGGATGCCACTTCTCTTCTCTTCCGAATGTGATATAGCATGACGTCTTAAACTGCATACGCCCCTGTCTCGCTACGTGGCGCCGATGGTGTCAGATCTATTTGTCGCTAATGATAGCCAGAATCATCCGCACAACGAAGTTGAACCTTCCAAACCAGCATAATGCTTGTCTCACTGCTGCGGTCCTCCCTTAATCTGTGATCTGCATCTCCCCGAACTGATTGTGGCCCGTTTCTGTCTCGTGCTTCGCCGCATCTCGCGTCCCCTGGCCAATCCAGTTGCAGACCTGACACTTGATCACAAAGTCGGTCGTGTCAGTGTAGTAGTGGAGACGTTGCAGCTGCTGGGCAAGTTGCCGCGCCTTTTCCAGAACCTCCTCGTCGTCGGTCGACCACTTCGTCACATCCACCTCAACCGGGTAGCTCAGGTCCATACAGAATGCTATTCGGTCGTAGTGTATCCCTGAGTACAGAATGATGACGCGGGTGGATTTTCCTTCGCCGAAGCGGTCCACGCGAAGAGACTGGGTGTGGAGAGTCAGGTGATGCTAAGGGAGAGGACTATGCCGTGAGGAGGCTCACCTTGACGTCGATGGAGCTGATTTCTAGGTTGTAGATGTCTGACAGAATAGATAGTTCAATGGCACCGCCCCAAGTATCCATCCGCCTCATTTTAGTCGTGTAGCGCTGGGGATCTTCGCCGAGGATGGCCTGATTGTACTCGTTGGGGTGGTTTAGGATGTAGTCAGCCACCTGGTTCCTGAGTGTCCTAGATGGATTGTCTAGGCCAATGGCGCCCCCGACAGCTGTGAACATGCAGCTGTTGTCGTCAGGCATGACGCGAAGCACTAGACGACAAAGACGTTGTTAGTTGGCTTCTTCACCTCCGCAGCATGCCAAACACACCCATATAGCCGCCCCTCTCTTCCCATTGAAGAGACGTCTCATCGGGTTCGATTCCCTTTGGCGTGAACGGTTTGGGTTTCGGCTCCGCGGATGCAGGTTGTAACGCAGGTGTCGGGGGTGACGGATCGACAGAGGCCACGACAATCGTCTCTCCCCGGAGGTTCAGCTCCTTTACGGGTGTACCCTGCAATGCCGGGCTGATATCTAGGCTCTTAAGGGGGTACCCATATTTGAGGGAAAAGTTGGCGAGCTCGGTCTTGGTCTTGATAAGCTCCACAAGAGCGCTGAGCGGAGAGTCGTCATCGATCTGGATCCGTGACTGGCCGTTCGGAGCACGAAGGCTTATTTGAATCAGCATCTCGGTAAGACAGTTTATCGCCTAGTGTCGAAGTCTAAGTAAACCTAAGCGTGTTGCGTGTGGGGTTTTGAGTTTTCGACTGTGTGAGAGCTGAGCCAGTGAGAAGAGAACCTGGATTCAGTCAACAACTGAGTGACTCTGTATGTACTGCATGCAGAATCGGATGTGAATGTATGTGATATACGTGAACAAAGTGTGTAGAGTTAAGCTGTAGATAAGACGCCAACACAGGGCGCCTGGCTGGCATGAAACAACCTGAAGCTTACCAGGTAACTATGATATGTGCTCTTGATATATGATGTGACCGCAGTTTTGACCAGCGATAGTGTCAGGTCGTTTGCTCAGCGCAAATATGACTTATCAAACAAGAGCAGTGCAAACTGTGTATGAGGCTCAAATGCCGTGGAGGAACGTTACCAGCCGCGGTTCCTTGCACACAAGTGAATGCCGAGCTGCAAATTGAGCAGACTGATGAGTGACAGATTGGATCCAACCTGCTAAATCTGGGACTTCGGCAGCGGGAATTTAAATGTCACAAACCGTGGGGTTGCTGTTAGCGAGTAACGTTGTTTGTGAGAGCCTTGTGTCGTGTCTCAGTAGAGGATAGGTACTTCCGGATGAAGCGCTTAAAGCAAGAGCGACGGGAAGATGTGAAGATCTTGCAACCAGCGCTGAAAACTAGCGTTGCCTATCCCAGGGGCAAGACGGAGGATGTCGTCCTCCTCGTGATCTGTGCCTTACTGCTGACCAATGTGGAAGAGAAAGGAGCGGAAACAAAAAGTCGCTAACTAACATGATTGCCGCGATGTGGATCTGACTCCGGTAGAGGGCGCTTTGACCAGCATTCCCACCCTGGCACGCCTGGATCGGCAGAGCCGCTGCCGCTAAGCACTTATCGGGGCTTTAGCGCGTTACCGGATAACAGCCCAGAAGCTTGAGACTCGTTTACTGGCCAGACTCGCGCTGAAGTCTAAACATCTCCAGGCTGCTGCACGCACCTCTGTCGTTGAAGCTTCGAAAAGTTTGGTGCTGACTCGGCTGGTCGGTTGAATTACCCTCTTTGCGCCTGGCGACTTGCAAGCTTGCCGCCTGTGCCGCGATGCCGACTCTGCGCGAACGGCCCAGCAGAGGCGAGCTATCGCCTGCCAAGAAGGCATCGCAGAACTCCCCGACCGCGACGAGGTCGACTCCAAGGAAACGGCGAACCAGCATGCCCAGCGACGCGATTGAGGTGCGCGAGTCTATTGAGGCTAAGGGTGACGTCGACGACGATGTTGAAATGGAGGACGCGGACAGTCCGCCGCGTACGGAGAATAAAGATGGCGCCACTGACGCCGATGGAGACGCGGATGCCGACGCGGATGCCGACGCAGAGGGCGAGCCGGACGACAGCACTGAACAGCCGCGGCAAGAGGACGACTGGCGAAACCTACTGCAGCTCATCAAGGACACGTCCGAGTATCTGTGCCGCTACACAATTAAAGTGGATGGAGAGTGAGTTTCGGCCCCCCTACTTTTGGTGTTCCTTTGCTATGCGCCAGGATGCTGATTGGTCGCTCTCAGGGACCATGAAATCGCGGCGGGATTCCAGCGCCTCGTGAACAAGCGCAGTCTCCCCGACTATTTTGAGGTTATCAAGGAGCCAATGGCTTTCAGCACCATTCGTGTGAGTCAATTTCACCAACAGCTCATGCTGCGAAGGGCACAGACTGACCTAGAGTGCTGTGTAGGCTAAGCTTGGCAAGAAGTCTTACACAAAGTTCAACGAGTTTGTGTGTGATGTGACCCGCATATGCCACAATGCGCAGGTCTATAACAGGCCATCTGCGCCTATCTTCTCTGATGCGGGCCGCTTGCTGGAAGTGTTCAAGGAGAAGCTCGCCGAGATGGTGAAGGAGGGCACCATCACTGCCGAAGATGCTCTGATTCCCGACTTAGGACCTTTGCCTGAATTCGAAGACTCGCCACCTCCCGAAGCCGATGAGGAAGAGGCAGACGAGGATGACGATGAAGAGGACGAGGACGAGGAGGATGAGGATTCCGACGAAGAGGGCGGTCGCCGCCGCGGAGGGAGGCGCCGCCGACAGTCAGGAGTCCGGAAGGGCGGTGACGAGGGCGATGACGCCCACAAGAAGCGCGGTAGACCGCCTAAGGTATTCACCCCGCTGGAAGCTCGGATCCAGGCAATTCTTAAGGGCCTGCGCCGCTTCAAGAACGAGAACGGACAGCTACGTATCCACAACTTCGAAAAGCTCCCTGACAAGGCGGAGCTGCCGGATTACTATGCCGCCATCCGGAACCCCATTTCGCTAGAGATCATCAAAAAGAAGCATAAACGCAAGAAGTACCAGACTGTCGACCAGGCCCTCCAAGACTTGGAGCTCATGTTCGACAATGCCAAGCAGTTCAATGAGGAGGGTAGCCAGGTACATCGGGATGCAGTGGAGCTGGCCAGACAGGCGCGGCTCCTTGCCGAACAGGAGAAAGCAAAGCCTGACGACAACTTCCGTGGCGAGGATGGGAAGCTTCCCCTGGCCAGCATCGAGCACCGGGGGGAGACCTGGAGGGTCGGTGAGTACACGAGGCTGAGAATACCGCATACCGCCTTTGTAGCGCTTCGACTGACCTCTTTGCAGGCGACTGGGTCCATATTCGCAATCCCAATGACCTGTCGAAACCAATCGTCGCCCAGATCTACCGCACTTGGTCAGATGCGTCAGGGCAAAAATGGGTAAATGCCTGCTGGTATTACCGCCCGGAGCAGACAGTCCACCGCTTCGACAAACACTTTTATGAAAACGAGGTGGTCAAGACAGGCCAGTACCGCGACCACCGCATCGAGGACGTAGAGGACCGTTGCTTCGTCATGTTCATCACGCGCTATCCAAGGGGCCGACCGCGCGGATTACCGGCCGACAAGACAGTGTACGTGTGTGAGGCGCGCTACAACGAGGAGAAGTTCAAGTTCAACAAGATCAAGACTTGGACGAGCTGCCTGCCCGACGAGGTACGGGAGAAGGACTATGAGATGGACCTCTTCGATGTGCCTCGAAATCTGAAGAAGGTGCCGAGTCCCATCAAGCATCTGCTGCAGGCGGATGCCAAAGAGACGGATGACCCGCCGAAGCCTACCTGGAGGAGCCCCAACGCACCGCCCTTGATCGGAGCGGTGCACCGCCGTCCTCGAGAGCCAAATGTAAGTTCCCAGTATCCCTGCTCTTCTTCCTCTTGCGTCTCTCTCTTTTGTTTTCGTCGTTCGGAGGAGTCTGTGCCCAGCCTTCTCAAACTGCGCGTCGTCTGATAAAGGCAAGGCTCCTGAGCCCAGAAAGGGTCAGCTTCTAAAGCTTATCTGCTCTCTGTTGTATCTCCCTACATTCCGCATTGGCTTGCATGGCGTAACACTTCCGTCCGGAATTCAACGATCTTTCGTTGCTTCTCAATGAAATGCATAAGCTCACCGACATGCAGGACTCTCCTCCTCCCGAACCCAATCCGCTGCCCGCAGCGGTCGCACCTGTGCCGCTTGCCATCGCACCTACACAGGTTCCCATTAAAGCGAACGTCGGTACTTCCGGAACATTGACTTATCAACATCCCGCGGTCGTCGCTGCCCCGCATGTTGCCTCGCCATCCCATTTCCAGATGCAGCACTTCCAGCCACGACCGGTTCCACAGCCGATTCCTCAACAGGCACCGGCCCATCTCCAACCCCAACCGCAGCCGATGGCAATGCATGTGCCGCATCCTGGGATGCCGCAGATGCAGCCAAGCCCGCATTACCCACCCCAGGCGTATCCACCACAATACAGCGTGCAGCCCCAGATGGCTCCACAGCCAATTCCATATCAAACTCCGGCCCACATCGCGCCAGCTTTTGACCAGCATCATCGACCGGTGCACCACGCACCCTCCCCCATGACGTCTTCTCGCCAGCCGATGGCGCCCGTGCCGGGAATAGGAAATATCCCGCATGCCAGCGCTCATCCCAGCCACGTCTACAATGTCCCCCGCGCGCCTGAGGTCTACACTCTACCCGACAACGTCGACGCCGCCATCCCGCAGGAGGTGCGCGAGCGATTCCAGCGCGACGAGAATGGCCGTGTCCTCTTCTTCACGGCGCCTCCGCTTAACCGCCCCAACAGCGGCGTCGCGGAGCCATACGCCGGCTTAGGTCACAGCGTCCACTACTCGGCCAGGATCAAGAAGATCCGCGAGGAACGCGACCGTAAGCGCAAGGAGCGCGACGAAGCCCTCGCCCGCGAGCAAGAGGCGAACAAGAGGCTTTCTCCATCGGCCGAGGAGGCCGCTCAGCGCCAGGCCGAGGCCGAGCAGAAGAGCCAAGCAGAGATGCTCGAGAAGGTCCTCCTTGGGCTCGCAGCCGAGATCGATCACGGCACCAAGGTGCTCAAGGAGCAGATTGGTGGGTTCGAGAGTTGGAGAGCCATGATGCGGGAGGCCCAAGAGGAGACCAAGGGCCTGAAAGATACAGAGATACGCCGCAAGAATCTGCAGTGGTTCTACGACGACCTGCTGCGGCGCGGAGAGATCACGGAGCAGCAGAAGCGCGAGTACGAGGATACTTTCATCCACAGGAAGCATCTTGAGCAGAAGTGAGGGGTAGGTTATGCGTCCTCTACCCTCACGCCATCTTCTGGTGTGTAACACACGTGTACTGTTTTCAGCTCATTCGGGTTGGACCGGGTGTTTAGATTTGGAGTTACTGCGAGTTGGTCTGGGAAAAGGGGGACTCGGACATCAGGGATGGGGATACCCCTTTGTGCGCGGACTCTTTGCGGACTTGGGGAGGATTACAATGTTCAGCTGTTGGAATATCGCCGTCCCCGTGTTGTTACGGGACGGAGTAGGTGTACAATACTTCTCCACGTGGTGTCCTTTTACACATTGAGTAAATGAACTGAATGAAGCCAATGGCTCTTCCTACCGTTTAGTCGCGCTGCCGTGTCGTCTCTCGGCAGATTCTTCTGTGATTTCGTCCCGAATCAAGCCAGTCAGCCATAACAATGGGACGGTGTCCACTGACAACCGATCCGTTTGGCTTGGAGGAACAGCATGCCTGATCGCCATTACTGTCCGTTTACTGGTACTCTCGCGTTTGAATCCCATCAAAGTCGGATCTGCGCAGAGAGGAACTCCAATCTCCTTCTTGACCTCCTACGCAGTGTGATCGATGGCCGCGGGCCATCGGTTCTTGGGAGACTTGGTGGGTCAAGGGCCATCCAAGGACACATCAGAACACCGCTTCAACAAAGATTTGAGATCCAAAACATATAGGCCTACCATACCGGCCGAAGCACCTATGGTAATAAGGCCTCAAGGACGCTTTTCAGGTTGGAAGTCCCTCTTCGCTACCAACCTATGCCAAGACACAGCAGTAGTCTCTGAAGTCCGGCTGAAATATCCGTTAGTCTCCGCATAATGGAGACTCTGGTCACGGTAGAACAGTTCTTCTCGGACAAGTAGCGTCAGTGGTTTAGTGGTAAAATCCATCGTTGCCATCGATGGGCCCCGCGTTCGATTCGCGGCTGACGCAGCTTTTGCCAGCTCTGGAAGCTGCATGTTTTATCCACGTGATTTTCTTTTGCACCGGATGGAAAGTTAAAGCGTGGCTCAGGATGGGCCGGCAGCTTCGCCAGCAGAGGCCGATATGAACATGCTAATGTTGTTCTGTGCATAACTAAGCGACCACATCCGCATGTTGGGATACTTTTTGAAACCCGAAGCCTCAATGGTCTCTCAACGTGAACCCATTCATGATTGGAACGTAGAAGTTAGCATTATTGGTAGCCAACATGAATAGTAAAATTTTCTGGTGTTCTCTAGGTACCTATCCTAATCAAGTCGGGCAGTGACGCTGGCCCCGCTTTGGCCAAGTCATGTCATCGTCACCTCGAGTTTCGCCGCCACGACCAACTACTAGTACTAGTATCTCCAAGCACCTCATTCGCCGCCGCCGCGACAACTCGCTCGACAGCCTCCCAGCTGGGCTCCTGCCCGTGTAACGCGCAACATCCCCGTCCTTTTGCTGTTCCTACCTCGGCAAGATCCAAAGCTCAAAGCCGAGCTTTTGACGATGCTTTGGCACCAGCGGAAATCCGAAAACGCCGCCTCACGAACCTGAATTCCTTCTCAAAGTGCGTGCGCCAGACGGTATAATAGAATGCAAGCAGGCCTCAAGCCTTCAACCGCTACCTTTGACCGACCTATTGAGCACAATCTCTTCTTCCTCACTGCTCTCCAACTCTCGGAGTCGTTGAGAATTTCGCAATGGGCACTACCAGCTACTTTGGCCGCCCTGAAGACGGCGCTCGCCGCCTTGGGACCGACTTCGACCTCCTCGCGAAGTGGTCCCGTACTTTCAGACTGCGGGAACCTGTCCACTCGTATTTCCTCACCCAGCTCTCCGATGAGGATCGGGCAAAGCTATTCAGTGGGCCTGCAGAAGAGTTCAAGCTTGAAGAAGGGCCCGACAAGATCGTCAAACTTCAGACGGTCAAAGATGAGGTGGATAGGATCGACGCGGAGGTTCAGGTTATGATGCGATCAGCAGGATACATGCGATCCGAGGCTAGACGACTCGAAATTCTCGATGCGATCGAAGATGCCCGAGATGAGGCAAATGGTGCCGCTGCTTTGGCGCTATCGAAACATCTAATGGAAGGCATGGACGGCCCGCTCGCGGAGGAGCTCGCAGAAAAAGTCGCCAAAGAAGTCTTGGATTCTGCAAAGGCGCAGGTCAGAGCTCGGTGGTTGGCCGCCAGGCTCGACCGACTGAGCCGAATGGTTACGGAGAGTAACGAGCTCACGGATTCGATTGATGCTTGCGGCGTCACGTCGGAAGGCATGAAGCTCAAGACGGCAGATTCTAGCCCAGTGGGAGCGGAGTATCTCGCTCGCTGCCACGCCACATTTCAAGAGAGGTTTCCTTACATTCGCCTTCCTGATTATGTTTTGGCCTCGTCAGACGCTCCCACCATGGAGGCGGAAGATGGCCAGCTTTCCGAGGGACAGACAAAGGCACAGAGAGAGACGATACGCGGTTCCCATTTCCACTTCGCAGATCTCAGCGACCAAACCACGCCGCAGCCAAAACCCGTCGCCAACTTCACTTCTCCCAACGAGTCACTCCCCGAATATGGAAGTGAAACATCGGCCGGTTCTGCACAATGGGACAGCCCCAATTGCTTTTCTAGCGAAGACCCCTCATCGCCTGACGTTGACTCTGCTGCTGGCTTCCCGGATTTCCCAGACGGCGGCGTCGCGTTGCTACCGTCCTGCCTCATGTTGGATCTTGGACTGACGGATGAATCCGACATGGCAACCCCGAGACCACATTCGTGTTTTACTCATTCCAGCGCACAGCCTTCCGAAGGGCATCTTGGGGCCGGCCTTAGCCAGGCGTTTTCTGCTATTTCTACTGGCTTCGGTAGCATCTCTGTCCACAATGACCTTTTCGACCCGTCAAGAATCGTGGCCAATGCCGCCGTTGCGGACCCTTTTGCGACGCCTGCCAGCCAACAGGTTGAGACCGCGGCCAACGCTTCGCTTGCACCGCTCTCGCGCAGCGAAACGTGCAGGCGCCCTGTGGCCCAGCAGCAACCCTGGGCTGGGTTCCCCCGTTATGAGGTCCCACTGAATTTCAGCAGTGATCGGTTGGTCCCCAAATACTGGACCACCAAGCAAGGCAAGGAACGCTACCTTCGTCAGAAGCTTGGCTACCTCAAGTTGGATGACGCCAAGTTGCGCTCTAACCCAGCTTTGGGCTCTATCGCCCGCAATCCCGTGCACATATTTGTCGACCTGTCAAATATCGTCATCGGATTTTACGACAGTATGAAAGAGAGCCGGGGCATTCCTGCCAGCAAGCGCGTCATGGCTCCGGCTTTCTCCTTCAGGAACTTCGACACGATTCTCACTCGCGACCGAAATGTCGCCAAGAGGATCGTCGCAGGTTCTATGAGCAACTCGTACAACAAGCGATGGCCTGGCTACATGGTCCAGGCGCAAGAACTCAAGTACGAGATGAACATTCTGGAGCGCGTCCCGAAGCCTGCTTCACCGCAGCGCAAGCGCAAGCCGAAAGCTTCGAACCGTGAGGCTGACTCTGCTACGTCTGGACCTGACACTTCGGACAATGACTCCCCCCTGGGACCCATGAAGAATGGTGAACAGGGCGTGGACGAGTTGCTGCATCTGAAGATTCTTCAGAGCGCGATGGATACGCTGGAGCCCGCTACCATGGTGCTCGCTACTGGTGATGCTGCGTCAGCGCAGTACTCAGATGGGTTCAAGAAGAACGTCGAGAGAGTCCTTGCTATCGGCTGGAACATCGAGCTCTACGGCTGGCGCCGCAACATGTCATCGGCGTGGCGCGATCCCAAGTTTGTCGACACGTACGGTGGCCGGTTCAAGATCATTGAGCTTGACGAGTTCTGCGAGGAGCTTTTTGACATGACCATCGAATCCCTGGAGCATTGAGCTCCCTCCTCAGCAAGCGTCTTGCAACAGAGTGGCTTGGAGTTCCACCATTTTCGGCTCTCGTCTCCATGCGTCACGTTTCACAAGTATCCAAGGTTGTTGGTGTATCAGCACTGGACAGCAGGCCTCGGCCACCTCGGCTGTCGAGATACAGCAGCGACTCTGATGAGTTTACTACCTCTTTGGCGGATACTCTAACTAATGTCCGACGACGGATATCACTGGCTTCTTTGATGCCAACATCCGACGCGGCCAACCGATCGGGATCACGCCAACAGCTCTGCCGCTATGGCGATTACCTTAATAAATTTCGGCATTTCTTCAAGTTCTGCACCTTTCTATGATTTCATTTCTTTCTACGGCTACATCGTTTAAGGTATCCAGCGCCAACACAACGGTAACCACATTCTTACGGTTCACAGCCGCCACACTCGCTCGCTATGGGAGCCTCGACAAATGCGTCCTTGCTACGCTCATGTCGATGCATTCTCGGCCACTCATTCTTAATAGGCGACTTGACAATTCTGATTTCTGAAGCAGCGCGAGGTTCACGGCACGCTCAGTTGCTGTGATCTGCCTGTTCGGCTCGTCGGACCTCACCTCGAACGACGCATGTTGAGACGTTGGATGCAGCTGCGGCTAGCAACGCGTCAAGGCAACACAATGATATATGATGACACTTGACGACGGCGACCATGACATGAATCCATTCGGGAACGGTTGGCGCAGGCATAGGGTATTTTGGAGTGTGCAAGGCCGCAAACAACCGGAAGGCAGATCTTCTCTGCTTTAATCGTCCCCTTGGTTAAGGGGGCCTGTCCCAGCTGACCATGTTCCACGAACGGGTCGTGATAACGGACAGCGATCTTGACAGCTGGATGATATACAACAGGGATCTGCATGCATACCTGCACAGCATCGGGCACGGCGCGCGGCATGGGCATTTGGACTGGGCATGAGCACGGTTCGGGAGATACCCCTGCATATCTCGGAATTTTTTACTGTTTCCTTTCGTTACTTCAGTCTTTTCCCGCTTTCCGGATGGCATCGCTTGCGGCGAGGGATGCAATAACTCTAGAGACTTGCATGATCGGACAGGACAGGCAGGGACAGGAGTTACAGTTTCACTGAACATGGGTTTTCATTTGGCATTTACTTCCTTCTTCATGCACACAGGTACCTGGGTGATCAGCATGGCGTGGAAATGGGAAACACAAGACAGGGCCGGGTCTCTCTATAGGTTGTGGCCTTCGCGGCGTTCGTTGATCTGTTGTGACCTGACCGACAGCTGTAGTGGCCTGCTTGTGATTTAATCGACGCTGTCGAGATGCAGCTGAAGATACAGCGGCGGATTTGGTGCGCCGCTGGGTCTGTCCTCGTCCCACGGCAATCCCACCAGATAGGGAATTCTCCTACTTTCGCACTTATGGTTCTGTCATAATGGAATTGTGAGGTGGGTGAGCGGGAATTGCGATGTCTACGGGTCTGAAGTACCTTAGGGACCGCCTTCTCGGGACTTTGTTGGAGCAAGGATGGGGTCACGTTCTGCCAACAGTCGAAAAGGGAAAAGAACCTGGAACAGACAGGACGAGGCCATACAGTACATTTTGTAGATGGCGGTGGATAAGCTGGATCCGTGGAGCCCCGACCATCGTACCGCGCAGACGTTGATGAGTGATGCTCATCTGAGTCACAACTTCGTGTTGATGCATGATGGCGCATGCTTGTAGTTAGAGCCAAGCAAGAGAACATCTTTCACGGGTCATCATCGGTCGCAGCCTGAGTCTCCATTCCACGTCCATCCATTGAGGGTATCATCAAGCCTCCGTGGTCTATCATCTATCATGTGCTGTCTATCATCGAGCAAAATCCAATTGCACGGTATCTTGTCTTTTCCTGCCCTGCCCCAATTCCAACATAATCCACTCATACACTGCCCACTGCACGGCATTTACAATAAAGGCCCTGACGCTACACACCGTCAGCCCCCTGAAGAATGGCCGGATCCCGCCCTTCCTGTACGTCTCCTTGGCCACCTCCCACGCCCCCAGCCTCCTCCCCATCTTCGCATCACCGCCGATCAATGGCGCCCTTTCCCCGTCCCCAGACAAGACAGCCCCACGGTCCAGCAATTGCGCCTGGACCTTCGTCTTGATGACGTCCAGCGGAAAGATGCTCGCCCAGGTGATGATGCCCGCTAAGCCACCGCAGAGCAGCACCCTCGCTGCCTCAGTGCCCATCACTCCTCCCCCAGTGGGGACAAGGTCTCGCATCCAGCGCGAACAAAGCTCGTACCCCCAGAAGTAGAATCCGTAGCCGACGCTGTCGCGGATGGCAGTCACGGTGCCCCCAAAGTAGAGGCCGCGTATCCCCTCGGTGCGAATCACCGATTTGGCTATGGCCCATGAAGATGATGACGACGAGCCCCCTCCCCGAGCCGTGGTAACACCGCCGGTAGTTGCTGTCGTCAGGGGCCCCGGGAGGATACTGGATGGGGTTGACGTAGTATTAGTAGTGGTAGAGGTGATGGTGGGGATCGGCACCTGCAGCTGCAACTGGGCGCGACATTTCACCAGCTCGGTCGGCGCGGAGACCACCCAGGTCGCGAGCCCGCCGACCGCGCCGGCAAGCCACGTCGTGGCGAGGTTGGTTCCGCGGCCTTGCCCGTGGCCATCACCACCTGATCCACCCCCTACAATGAAGGCAGGGGTACCGCTACCGGCATCGCTGAGGGAGTTCAGGAAGGTCTCGGTGCGGTTGTACGACACGAACAGCAGCGCGTTGAGGGCGCCGTAGCCTAGGACCGGTGCGGCTGTGCCCAGGAGGAAAGGGCGGATGTAGGTCGAGTGGATTGAAGACGGCGCGGTTGCAAGGGATGAAGAGGAAGCTGCTGGGCGGGCGGGAGATGATGGTGATGATGATGATGATGGTACCGCTCCCGCTCCCGCTTGGAGGCGGACCTTGACTACGTCCAGGGGGTTGCCGATGATGATGCCCGCTGCGCCGGAGATGTAGCCTGCCCAGAAGTCTGCGGACATTGTTCAGGGTTTGAGCTGTGGTGCGCAGGCAAGGGATACCTATGGGGGAGGGATTGGAACGGTCGTGGCCGGGAGAATGCTAAGTACCGGGGTGCTTCTTCGTTCCGACGGTTGCAGGTTAGCCATATACACAGTAGGCTACGCCCTATCCGTTTACGCAGTGGGCCACGGAAAACAAAGAGGTCGAGTACTGTAATATTTATAAGATCCTTTGGCATGTCCGCAGTGTACCAGGATTATGTGATACGACGGCTATTTGTCTGAACCCGGCATTTGGTGTGGTGGGGGTGAGGTGGGGGTTAGGTACCTAGGTTACTGCGCGGGGGATCGCCCTGCCAAGACCTCGGTTACCGGGGCTACGCGACGCAGGGATCGCTGGGCCGCAGCCCTATTCTGACGTCCTCTGGTCAGCGGAACTTACGAATAACCTCGCATCACTTGCTGTCACGTTGGATGGAGAACATAATTGTCAGAGGCAAGCGGCGGACATGCAACAGCCGGTGCATAATATACGCGCATTTGACTCTACCTTGTCTTACAAGAAGACTTCATAACGGATTTTGTCGAGTCTCCCGAAAAGAAAACACCATGGGGTTGATCATGGATATCCATAAGTACCCTACCCAACTCATGAACTTGGATTTAAGATTGGCTTTTGAAGGGCGCATGTATTTGCCTTTCGTACCGGGCAGGCAGGTACTTGCTCAGAGGGAACCCATGTTACGCGCAAGAATGCCATCGACGTGGCCCCAAGAATGAAATTGTACGGCGTGTACCCGGCAAAAATCAACCGACCGACATTTCACTCATAAGGTAGCAGGTATTCTTCCCCACATCCCAAGTAAAACCCGAGCATGCAATGAAAAAACCATGAAGCTTCCTGCCTATGAACAAGACCAAGTGTATTAATGTGAACATGTCCTCAAGCGATCAACAGAGCAAATGAGTGACGAACCTGAACCTGGGAAAGAAAAAAGTCGGAGGGCTCATCTGTGCAGCCGGCACAATACTCAGGGACGGTTTCACAGGATGTCCCGAAGTCCTGATCACCAGAGTACCCCGGTCAGGCACCCCGCCGCCCGGCGCGGGACGTCTCGGGTTCGGGCGTCAGGCGGGAATGGGGGCCAGCTACATTGCAAGAGTTTCTGCCTTTCTGCAACTCTGCTCCGGTGGGGACCGTGAGTCAGGGTTGAAGAAGTCCAGGGACCGTTATGGTGCGTCACCTCGGTATGAGTACAACTCTGCTAAGTGTGAGGTACGGCCTGCTCGACGAGCCCTCGCTCGTCGCAGCATAGGTAATTCTGTCGGTTGAGGTCGGTGGTGTGGAGTTCGGCGGCGGAGTCCGGCGTGGTCGGTAAAGGTCGTCGATGGAGGTCGTCGGTGGAGGGCGAGCTCAATTGATGTTGATGTTGGGTGATGTTGATGTTGTTGATGATCAGCATGGTCGAGCTGAGTTGTGGTCAGGTTGTTGTTGTTGTTAGGAGGAAAGTGAAAGCAGAGAGTTGGGAAATTGAGGAGGTATTTATAGGCTGGGAGAATGGGCCCTGAGGCTGGCTGATTTCGCAAGAACCCAAATCAAATCGCTTGATCTGGAAAATCGCGTCTGGAAAATAGTACGCGTTTGATTTATTCCTGGCGCGCTTTTTTCACTCGCGGTTTACAGGTTGAGAGCAGGAGCAGGCTGTATGGGAGGCCACGATTGGTTGAAAATTCAAGATCAACTGATCTTGAAATCACGTCTGGAAAATAGTACGCGTTTGATTTATTCGTGGCGCGCTTTTTTCGTTAGTAGATAACAGGTTGAGAGTTAGGAGGAGGACGATATGGGGTTACAAGGGCTTTAGAAACACGCAAGCCCCAGCAGAGATTCTGCTAATACGGACCAAGCCAATGAATAAGTCTTCAGATTCAAGATAGTGCTATGTAACAACGGAGCCCAAGAGTCAGATCACACTAAGTCATTTCTATCAGGGCCCCGCGTCAACAGAGTACGGCACCACAGGGGTAGACGTCATTGTATATGACGGCCATGAAGTTCTGAAACCTCGAAGCTATAGGATACGGCCACTTGAAGCTGTCGTGACTGATAGTCTAGCTGCCTAGTCACGGAGAATGGCCGCCCTGGGTTCTGTCAACGTCTGATATTGGATAGCTGGGCATAGCATTTTCTTTCGAGGAACGGCTGATCGGCAACAGCGGGCTCGCTTTAAGTCTCTGAACCAAATTCTTCCATGGAGAACTGTGCTTAGCTTCCAATGTACGTGCCTTGTTCAATGACAGTGCCTAGTGAACTTCTCCAGACATTCGCAGCGGCGCAGAGTCGCAGACTGACCTTAAGCGTGTCTGCCGAGATTAGGGTCGCGCGACTGCCTAGTCGGCCAGATTAAGATGCCCCAATTGATTGTCCTGGTCTCCTAAACAGTCCAAACATGCCATAGTTTTAACCAAGTCTGAGCAAGTTAAATTACGCTTTTCAGCAAGTTTGCACAGCTTTCTGTGTTCAGATGTCGTCCGCATCCGAATTAGGAAGTCCACTGTGACTTATATCGGACAAAAGTGGGGCGTGGAGGTTTGGGTACCAGGCACGTGCCAGGTACTCGAGTGACATGGATCACCTGACAGCGTGGAGAAAGCGCGCTTGCTGCCTGGTGGCAACGCGTCCGGTCTGCAGCTCAACCAACAATCTACCCTCGTCCCTCCCGTCATATTACCACGCTCGTGCGGGAGACTGCCCTGCTCGCAGACAGCTTCATCAGGTATTGGGTGTCGTCGCCGAACTTTAGAAACGAGTCAAAGCTACGCCAACGACACAACGCATCATCATGTATGTTTGTTTTGGCCATTATGCGCGATTGTGACCGCGACTGACTCGTGTCCAGGGCGGCGTCACTCTTGACGCCAGCTACGCCCGCTACAAATAAGGAGAACCTCATCCCACGAAGCCGGTTTCCAAATCCGCAGTCCCTTGAACGTTTGCACAAGCCGTTCAAGTGCCCCGGCTCTGCGACGCGTTCTGTAGCCACTAATCGCCCGGCCCGGAAGAGGAGGAAAATTGATTATGCCGGTGCAGACGGGGATACGGACGCTGACAAGCCCTACACCAACGCTGATCGGCTTGCTCTGGCCAACCGAGAGGCCAATAAATTCCCCGTCTTCCAGGCCAAGGACAAGGACACTGTCTTTCGCAAGGCCTTTTCCGTTCCTTTTGTCAACAAGAGCCACCCCGCATACAATCCGAACCGGCCGCCTCCAACGCTGGGGCTGAGACAGGGCGCGGTCTTCACCCCGAAGCCGCTGCATGATCCGTGTGACGAGTTCGCCATTGTGCTCTATGACCCAACCATCGATGACAAGCCCAAGGAGACACCAAAGCCCGATGAGAATGAGAAGGAGGCGGAGCCGGCGACCAAGCTTGATGCACCGTTGATGCATAAGAGCCTCGCCGAGATCCTGGGAATAAAAAAGAAGGTCGCGAGCGAACATCCCAGGGTCCCTGTTGTCATCGACCCGAGACTAGCCAAGGTACTTCGGCCGCATCAGGTCGACGGCGTCAAGTTCATGTACAGGTGTGTGACGGGTATGATTGACGAAAAGGCAAATGGATGTATTATGGCGGACGAGATGGGTCTCGGCAAAACGCTGCAATGCATCACCCTTCTGTGGACCCTGCTGAAGCAGTCTCCCGAGGCCGGCAAGACAACCATCCAGAAGGCCATCGTGGCCTGTCCGTCAAGTTTGGTGCACAACTGGGCGACGGAACTCACCATATGGCTGGGTGCCGACGCGATCACGCCTTTCGTTATTGACGGCAAGGCGTCGAAGGAAGAGCTGACCCGGCAGCTTCGCCAATGGGCTATTGCCAGCGGCCGTTCCGTCACCCGACCAGTCATGATCGTCTCCTATGAGACCCTCCGGTTGAATGTCGAGGAGCTGAAAAATACGCCCATCGGCCTCATGTTGTGCGACGAAGGTCACCGACTCAAGAACGGGGACAGCCAGACTTTCAATGCCCTGAACAACCTCAACGTCTCCCGTCGCGTCATCCTGTCCGGTACCCCGATTCAGAACGACCTGTCTGAATACTTCTCTCTCATTAGCTTTGCCAACCCCGATCTTCTCGGCAGTCGCCTCGAGTTCCGCAAGCGCTTCGAACTCCCAATTCTGCGCGGCCGCGACGCTGACGCCTCGGAGGCCGAGAGGAAGCGGGGCGACGAGTGCCTTGCCGAGTTGCTCGCCATCGTCAACAAGTTCATCATCCGCCGCACGAACGACATCCTCTCTAAGTACCTTCCTGTCAAGTATGAGCACGTGGTGTTCTGCAACCTCGCTCCGTTCCAGCTGGCGCTCTACAACTACTTCATCACATCACCGGACATCCAAGCCTTGCTCCGTGGCAAAGGCTCCCAGCCGCTCAAGGCCATCGGAATCCTCAAAAAGCTATGCAACCATCCTGACCTCTTAGACCTTGCGGCCGACTTACCAGGCTGCGAAAAGTTCTGGCCAGACGACTACGTGCCCAAGGAGGCTCGAGGCCGCGACCGCGACATCAAACCATGGTATTCGGGCAAGATGCAGGTTCTAGACCGCATGCTGGCCCGCATCCGCGCCGACACCAACGACAAGATTGTGCTCATCAGCAACTACACCCAGACGCTCGACCTGTTTGAGCGCCTTTGCCGATCCCGCAGCTACGGCTGCCTCCGCCTCGACGGCACAATGAACGTCAACAAGCGCAAAAAGCTGGTCGACAAGTTCAACGACCCTAACGGCAACGAGTTCGTCTTCCTGCTCTCCTCCAAAGCAGGCGGCTGCGGCCTGAACCTGATCGGCGCCAACCGGCTTGTCCTGTTCGACCCGGACTGGAACCCGGCGGCGGACCAGCAGGCGCTCGCCCGTGTGTGGCGCGACGGGCAAAAGAAAGACTGCTTCGTCTACCGCTTCATCGCCACCGGCACGATTGAGGAGAAGATCTTCCAGCGACAGAGCCACAAGCAGAGCCTGAGCTCGTGCGTCGTGGACTCGGCCGAGGACGTGGAGCGCCATTTCAGTCTGGACTCGCTGCGGGAGCTGTTCCAGTACAGGGGGGACACGCGGAGCGACACGCACGACACGTTCAAGTGCAAGCGCTGTCGACCGGACGGACGGCAGCATATCAAGGCGCAAGCGATGCTGTATGGCGATACTAGCACGTGGAACCACTTTGTGAATGAGGGGCTGAAGGGGATCCAGGATCATTTGCTGAAGCAGGAGAGCGGTGAGAGGGAAGTCAGCGCGGTGTTCCAGTACATTTCTCATTAGGGGTCTTGTTCCTGTAGGTATGGAGGTGTTGCTGGCTGGGAGGGTTCGAATGCAAGGCTCGGCGTATGTTTTGCTTGGAGTCAAGGACTGTTGAGACATCTCGAGGATTTGCAGCTTGCTATGGTCCGCTGGCAGATGCTGCAATGGAGAAGATGGAGTTGGTGGACCACGTGGTGAAGAGCTACTAGTAGTTGATCAACACCGAGTTCGGTGTCCCACACTCGGGACACTCCGGGTAAACGACCGCGTTGGGTTGACGTGAACTGTCTGCCGGGTCTGGGGGAGCAAACGAATTGTGCATAGTCCCGTAGAATACAACTTGGCTTACTCCGTATGATCCGGTACGCGAGGCGCAGAACTGCCTAAAGCCTCCGTAGATATCCGTCGTACCTTAGAAGTTGTTCGGTTGATGATCGGCTTTAACTTCCTCGCTGTGTCTAAAACGGCAAGTATATCCGCTGTATCTGGTGGTTGCGGTGCCGTTCCTGCGGCTTCGGCGCAGTAACTGCCGGCACCAGTACTTGGCGAGTGTGCCGCGGGTTTTCAGCCCCAGTTCGCTTATTACTGTGTACGGATATGAGTGCCTGCATCATCACCAGACTCACCTCATTGCCCTGCTTCGAGGCGGATTCTTCCGTGAGTAGGACCGAATTGCTGGGATGGCTCTCCACATTATTCGGCCTCTCCCCGGATCTGCTGTGGTTTTCTGGAGATGATCGGTTCCCTTCCCCGCCCTCGGTGGCAGGTCGCGCCTAGGAAATCCCATCAACGTCCGCCTCGCCAAGCATGACAACACAAGCATCACGTTCTCCCAACCCAAACCAGGCAGGCATCATGTGCAGCTCTGATGGTACTATGGTAGCACCATGAGCCGACCTTCGATCGGCAGGTGCTTTGTGGAAAGACCGTAAATACCCCGTAAGGCGCCCAATGGAGTGAGCTCGCGAAGCCTGCCCACGACGTGCCCGATCTGCTGCATCTCCAACATAGCGAGCACGTGCGGGTTCACAATCAGCTGCTGCCATGAAGCTCACCCTCATTGTCGCGGTAGGCTGCTCGCACGCCGCGGGGCGGGCGCCTCCCTGCCAGCTCCAGAACGGCACGATTGACTACAACGCGGCGCCGCCCAACCTTTCGACGCTGGCCAACTCGAGCCTCTTCGACACATGGAGGCCGAGGGCCCACGTCCTCCCGCCGTTCGGCCAGATCGGCGACCCGTGCATGCACTACACGGACCCAGAGACGGGTCTCTTCCACGTCGGCTTCTTGCATGACGGTGCGGCCGGGGCGACCACCGACGACCTCGTCACGTACCGCGACCTCAACCCAGATGGCAGCCCCTTTATTGTGGCCGGCGGCGTCAACGACCCCATCGCCGTGTTTGACGGCTCTGTCATCCCGAGCGGCATCGACGGCAAGCCGACGCTGCTCTACACGTCCGTGTCCTTCCTGCCCATCCAGTGGACCATCAATTACACGCGGGGAAGCGAGACCCAGTCCCTGGCCGTGGCTCGTGACGGCGGCCGCAACTTCACCAAGCTGCCACAGGGCCCCGTCATTTCGGACCCGCCGTTCGCACTCAACGTGACCGGCTTCCGCGACCCGTTCGTCTTCCAGAACGCCCGGCTCGACTCGCTCCTGGGCAGCGAGAACGAGACGTGGTACGTCGTCGTCTCGGGCGGCGTCCACGGCAAGGGTCCCAGCCAGTTCCTCTACCGCCAGCGTGACCCGGAGTTCCAGTACTGGGAGTACCTCGGCCAGTGGTGGCACGAGCCGGCGAATTCGACCTGGGGCAATGGCGACTGGGCCGGCCGGTGGGGGTTCAACTTCGAGGTCGCCAACATCTTCAGCCTGGACGAGCGCGGATACAACCCCGAGGGCGACATCTTCACGACCCTCGGCGCAGAATGGTCGCTCGAGCCTGTCGTGCCGCAGGTGTCCGACTTCCGCGACATGCTCTGGGCATCGGGCAACATCACCCTTAACGAGGACGGCAAGCCCCAGTTCACGCCCAGCATGGCCGGCCGCCTCGACTGCGGCGCCTCCGCATATGCCGCGGCCGGCAAGGTCCTGCCGGCATCCTCCCAGGCGTCGACCAAGAGCGGCTCGCCCGAGCGCTTCATCTCGTACCTCTGGCTCACCGGCGACTTCTACGGCACCGCGAAAGACTTCCCGACCGCGCAGCAGAACTGGACCGGATCCCTGCTCCTGCCGCGCGAGCTGAGCGTGGGCCGGATCCGCAACGTCGTCGACAACGACCTCGCGCGCGAGACCGGCTCGTGGCGGACCGTCGCAAACGCCTCCGGGCTCGTCGAACTGGCAACCCTCAAGCAGGAAATTGCGCGCGAGCCGCTTGCGGTGCTCAAGTCGTCGTCGTCGTCCTCCTCCTCCTCCTCCTCCTCCTCCTCCTCCCCCCCCTCCAAGCGCATCACCGAACCGGGCCGCACGCTCAACGCATCGGGGATTGTGCCCTTCGCGCAGTCCCCGGCATCCAAGTTCTACGTGCTCGAGGCCAATCTGACCTTTCCGCGCTCGGCGCGTCGCAACGAGTCCAGGAGCAGCAGCAGCAGCGACTTCAAGGCCGGGTTCCAGATCCTGGCCTCGGCGGAGCACGGCGAGGTCACGACGATCTACTACCAGTTCTCGAACGAGAGCGTCGTCATCGACCGCAGCAACTCGAGCGCCGCCGCGAGGACGACCAAGGGGATCGACGCGCGCAATGAGAGTGGCAGGCTTAGGTTGTTTGATGTTGTTGACGACGACGAGGAGGAGGAGATGAAGAAGGTGAAGGTGGAGACGCTCCGGCTGACCGTCGTGGTGGACAATGCTGTCGTCGAGGTCCATGCTAATGAGCGCTTTGCGCTGAGCACATGGGTTCGGTGAGTTTCCTTATTTTTCATTTTCTTGTTGTTAAATCAACTTTCAAAAGAAAGGAGAGCGGGACAAATAAAACTAACATTGGGGAACCCCCCTTCAGGTCATGGTATGCCGACTCGACCGAGATCCGCTTCTTCCAGGAGGGCGAGGGAGAGGTCACGTTTGGGGATGTGCACGTCTATGAAGGCCTTTATGATGCCTGGCCCGACCGGTAGTAGTTAGTTACTAGTAGTTAGTGGTAGGTTCTGCCGTGGGAGTGGGCTGCTGACATGGACCTGATGATTGCGTATCTGTGAGAGTTGTGAGGGAAAGAAAGGTGCAGAAGACGATGTCGAGCTAATGTTGTTGCAAGAAGTGCCTAATGTGTAGTAAAATCCATAGGGTTCAGACATCTAGAAAATGACCCGTGGAGAACATAATCCCATTTGCCAAGCTCAGAGCAGGACATTCATTGTAAACCATTTCCGATGGCTTTGATTCTCAAACGAGGTGTAGTGTGGTGCCTGGTCGTGGGAACACATTTCATCTCGTCTCTTATTTTTAGACGGTCATTTTCCTACTAGAAACAAACCCTATATATACAACCTCCTACCTGCCCGACGATGCCGGTCGACACGTTACAGCTCGTCTCTGACATGCCCAGTCTCCGCAACCTGCTCTTCCTCGAGCCATCTACTCTTGGTATTCCTCTCCGTCCCGGCCGCCTCCTCTCCTTTCTGTTCCTGCTGCTGACCCGCGGCTTTCCGCCTCGCCAAGGCCGCGATCTCCTCGTCATACTCGGTCCACTCCGGCACCTGCCGGCGGGCCCGATCCAGCTTGGGCTCCTTCGTCTGCGGGTTGTTGCACAGGTCGATGGTCCTCGCCTGGGCCAGCGTCTCGTCGCTGCACCACGTCTCGCACCACAGCCACTCCTGCGGCAGCGAGTGGATCGGGATCTGGAACTGCATGTGGTTGGGCAGGTCCTGGTCCAGGTTCGCCAGCGAGTGCGGGTCGGCCGACAGGGTGTGGTACTGCTGGCGCAGGCGGTCGCCGGCGGCCAGCTCGCGGAAGCGGCGCAGGTCGACGACGTACAGCGCGCTGATGTGGTAGGGCAGGCCCTTGAGGTAGTTGGCCCAGTAGCCCGTCTTCCAGAAGCGGAAGCCCTCCATCTCGGTGCGCGAGTCGCACATGGGCGCGAACCCGTAAGGCGCGCCCTGCAGGTCGAGCGTGACGAGGTCGTGCATGTCCGTGCGCACGATCTGGTCGGCGTCGACGAAGATGACCTTGTCGAGCGACAGCGGGAAGAGCACGTCGAGGAAGAGGATCTTGTAGCCCCAGATCTCGCGCTGCTTCTCCTTCTGCTGCCGCAGCCAGTGCGGCCATTTGTACGTGACCATCTCGTACTGGAAGCCGTACTCGGCCGCGAGCGTGGGGATGAAATCCTTGAACGACGGCGAGAGGAACTGCTCGATGAACCAGAACTTGACCGTGTGGTTGGTGTGCCGCATGACCGAAACCATCATGATGTTGAGCATGCGCTCGTAGAGGTGGCCGCTGGCGACGGAGAAGATGTTGATCTCGGCGTGCTCCGTGTCCGACACCGATTTGGTTCCCGTCGCGGCCGGCTTGCCACGCCCAAGAATACCCTCGGCAAACTTGAGGCCCCTGGAGACAAAGTCGATGGCACCGCCGCTGCCGGTCGCGGTGGTATTAGGCTTGGTCTCCTCGAGGACGTCTTCCTGCTCCATTCCAGGCTTGCGCTTCAGGCGGGGATAGAGCGTGGTGCCTTGGAAGTCCATGAGCGCAACCTCGGAGGTCTCATCGCCGGGGACTGCTGCCCACCCGCGGGCGCCCACGCTCTCCATGGTAAAGATATCCGAACTCCGGCCTTCCTTGAGCCGGATGCTGTAGATACCTGGATTAGCTTTGAACTGGAAGAAGCCAAGGTTGGCCATGATGATGGTATCGGCAAAATTCGTGTCCTTCTCGGTGGACAGCACGAGCTGGACACCCCGAGGAGGAGGCCCCGTCGGAACCTCGCGGGAGTGCCCTTCAATCAAGATGTTCTCGAGCTCATAGATGGCTTCGACGTGCTCGGTGCCTCTCCTGGCTTTGATGTCCTTGATACGGAGGTTGTCCAGGTCGTCGACGGCAACCTTGGAGGTGACGAGCCAGGCAGGTGGGACATCCATGCCTGCGACAAGCAGAGTGTCCTGCGGCACGCCGGCAAAATTGGCCGAGAGCGCCTTGACTTTCCCATTCTCATCAAAGCTGGGTGAAGACTCGAGGACGTAGCGATAGAACCTCTTGACTGGAAGCTCCCCGAGTCCATCGGCAGGATTGAGGAACACCTGGAGATGGACGCCCTCCAGTTGCGAGAGGACATTGAGAACAGCGGCCCACCTCTGGCCAATCTCGCTGGCGGGGTTGATGACGGCAACGAAGAAGACGGTGGCCTTGGAAGCATCGCCGACTTGGAACGAAGTGTATGTCACGTTCCACGCCTCGAACGCCGTCGTCCTGATCGGGGATGCTGAGTCAAAGATGCCCTGCGGAAGATCCGAGATGCCCGACAGGGCGGTTACAGAGGTCAGCTTGGCGGCATCTAGCGGACTGGACACTTTGTCACCCAGCCCCAGATCCTCGAGGGCCTTGTGGACCGGCAGGATCCTGCTTGCGCGTTCGGCTTTGAGGAACTGCTCGAAGTCCTCCTTCTTGAAGTCGTCGGCGGAAATAATGGGGCCCACAAGGCGGCCATTGAGCAGCAAGGCGTTGTGGCCAGCCTTCAGGTTGGCATCCGCGAGGAAGTTGGCCAGAGCAGCATCGTAGGCAGGATCAGCCTCAGCCATGGCGCTCTCCAAAATCGTCTCCAGATCGAGCAGTCGATTGGCAGCGAGCAGCCTGTCCTCACGGCCCTTGAGGTGCTGGGTGAGCTTCGACAGAGAACGGGAGACATCCTCGGGGTTGTGGACTACATCCATGCGGATGCCAGCATGATGTTTCCGGAACTGGATCGCGTAGAAGAGCAGCTTCTGCCCTTCGAGGCTATCGAGGTCCACAACAACAGTCAGAGCCGCCCAGTCTTCCTTAGTCGACTCCTCCTCAGCTTCAATCACGGGAACTCTGCCGAAGACCTCGCGATGCTCCGTGTACAGCTTGTTCACATTGAGCACGGTAAGATCGCGCGCATTTTCGGGGAAGATGAACTTGTTGCGCCGTGTGATGGCGTTCTCGAGGAAATATCCGGGGATCCAGGTGGTCTCGTTGACCATACCAAAGTAGGCCGCTTGCTGCACTGCCTGCAGGTCGGCCATGAGCTTCTGGTTCATGGCCCGAAGCCAGTAATCGTCTCTGGGAATGGCAAAGCCGTCGAGGAAGATGGATGGAACGTCGCCATCAGCGCGCAGGCGCTCCGCCCAGTGTTTGGCAAGGTGGATCTGCTTCTCATGTGCCTCCGATGTGAAGATGTCCTCGAATGCCAGGGGAGCGGACTCCGCTCGGAGCGGCCGATCCTTGATGGCCTCGTTGAAGATACCCTCGTCCGGTTTGGCCGTCTTTTGGGCCTCAAGCGACTTCTCCAGGTAGGATGTTGCTGCTGCAAGGCCGTAGTTCTCCAGCAGATAGTAGACCACCTTCGCCTGGTCAATGGCCTCGCCCGTGGGAGTAAGCGGAACCAGGCCAAAGCGAATGGGAACCAAGCGTTTCATGAAGGCCAGGAGCTGCGCGGTAATGAGCTCGACGTCCTTGGGATTGGAGAAGTCCACGGGAACGACCATGTTGAAGATGTCCTTCCGCACTTGGGGCAGCCCATGGCCAAAGTGCTGGACCAGAGCCCAGATGCTCGGCGTGAAGCTCTTGTACCGCTTGTCCTTTTCGAGGTTGTTGAGCCAGATGATGACCCTGCCGTCTTCGATCTCGTCGCGCCAATCGAACCTGCGCGGCTCCTCATCCTCCGACTTCGCTTGTGCGACCTCTTGGTGGCCAAGCAGGGAGATGGCCTGCTGTCCGGTAAGGCCGAGGTCGAGAACGCCGTTGATCAGCTTGCGCTCTCGTTTCAGCAGGTCCACCAGTCCGAACGGCTGGATTTGGCGGTCGATTAACTGGACGCCGTTCATCCACAACACATTCATGCCCTCGGGAACCATCAGCTTCCGGTTCGCCTCATGCTCTGCCTGGAACTGAGCAGAGACGTTGTGGGCGACAAGTGAGGTTGAATACTTGGGGAAGTCCTGGGTGAGTTTGAGCAAGGTCTGGAATGGCGACTCGCTCTGCATAATGAACGACGCGGCTTTCATGCCCAGGGAGGAGAGCTCGGACTTTTCCAGAGGTTTGATATCCGTGATCTCTTCCTCTTCGTCGAGGATCATCTCAGAAGAAGAAGTGATGGGCTTCTGAGCCTCGTCCGCCGGAGCGTCCGCGGCCCCCGTGTCCCGATCGTCGATGACGATGTAGTCGGTTCGCTTCAGTGTGAGTTCGACTCCGTAGCCATTGACAGAGAGGGCTTCATTGGAGTGCGTCGGACTTCTCTTGTACCTGACCCTGTACGAAGCCTCTCCTTTTTTTGCCAGTTCCATAGCCGCCTGATGGTACCGGCCGAAGGTGTTCGACGTAATGTCGGCGTACAAGATAATGTCTCGTGGCCCAGCGCCAAGCTTACGATCAAACGGCAGTGTCCGTTCCTGGGAATCCCCGACCACGTCGTCGTGGGCAGCATCGAGGGCAGGGGAGCAGTATTGCTTTCTGTCGACGAGAAACCACTGTCCACATCCGTCTTCGTCTTCAGCCAGTAACGGTTCCACCGCCGTCGCATAGTAATGATAATGTGCCTCGACCCGGGGCGCTGCCGTCCGCATCGAGAGTGCCAATTTGAACGTGGACAATGCCTCCGCATCCATGTGCCCATCGGCCTGCAGAACCTCGACGAACTTCTCGTAGAGCGCCTGATCCGTCTTGGCCCCCGCAAAGCCGCCATTAGCGATCTGGTCTAAGAGCGCGAAGTAGGTTGTCGTATTGTCGGAAGCTGCTGTTTCTCTAGGTTCAGGTGAGATGCGCTGTCCAAAAAGGGGGTTCCTGGTCGGGGGAGAACAGAACATACAGCAACTCAACCAAGTATGGGGGCGACGGGAATGCTGCTTTCAGAGCCACGTTGACCGAGGGAGATGCTGTGACTTGAGTCGGCGGAAGCCATGTTGCCATGAGAATGGCAGCCGTGAGGCCCCATGGCAGCTGGGAGAGTCGAAGCATGTGGCCTCTACAGCCGCCGAGCGGCGCCGTCACGTAGGTCTGGACTCCGGACTCGTCTGTGCGAGTTCTGTCTTGTACAGCACGTAGTCGTGGAGTGCCCTCTGGATGCTGTTGATGCACCGGCACAGGAGGGAGCACCTCGCCAATGTCCGGCGTTAAGGGAGGAGTGTTGTAGGTTATTGCCACGCTGGCCGTTCGTCGGATGTGTTGAGTGGTAAAAGGCTGAAAGCTGCCTTCAATCGACTTTGGCGATACGACTCAAACTCCGTTGCTTAGTCTGGAATTGCTCAGACAACCCACGTAACTCTTGGTCTAAGTCAATACTTCTAATTCATCTTTCGTTCGCCTTGTCTTGCAGTCCATCTCACATTGTGTTTCGCGGGGTCTTTGGTGTAAGCTGAGCTCCCCTCGATGTCAAGCATCTCAGGTCTGGAGTCTGGACACATTGCCTGAACCAATGATGTCAAGCCTGGCAGACAGGGGAGCTCCTCAAGGTGACAGTCGGGCCTGCGCTGGATTCGAAGCAGGGGGGAGCTAACTAACGCTAGGCGAGTGGGCCCGGAAAATTGAATGTGCGCTTGAAGCCTGAGAAACACTGGCACGGACCATCTCAGTAAACCCACACCTCTGCCATTGAGATGCCACGGTTCCCTATGGTTTGATTGACAGGGGAGAACGACACCAGCAGCCGGAACTTGACTCCTCGAATAACTCATCCACCACGCCGCCTCACGCCCGGCTGCTGCACTGCGTCCTCTTGCTCCTCGCGACCCCAGCGACGGTCTTCGGAATTGCCGTCCAGTCCTGCGCAAGCTGCTTCAGCATCCTGTTGATGCCGAGAGCCTGCTAGGCCTCTCGGGTCCCCTCAGCCAAGATGCAGGCCTCCTCGGGAATGCTCACAAAGGTCGGTTATCCTGCGTTTTGCAAGATGCTCGTTTGGAATTCGTTGAACTTGCGCAAGGACTTGTGCTAACCCGCTGGTGCAGTTTGAGTCCAAGTCGTCACGCGCAAAGGGCATCGCATTCCACCCTAAACGGTTCGCAGGCTACACGAGCTCCCCACCGCCCTCAACCCTGAAACTGACACTCCGACTCTACGTAGACCATGGATCCTCGTCTCCCTCCACTCTTCCACAATCCAGCTCTGGGATTATCGAATGGGCACCCTCATTGACCGATTCGAAGAGCACGATGGCCCCGTCCGTGGCGTCGACTTCCACAAGACGCAGGTGAGGAGGGAATGCGCAGAGAGCGTGGGCGGATGGCCACTGACATTCGCGGTAGCCTCTTTTTGTTTCGGGCGGTGACGACTATAAGATCAAGGTATGGTCTTACCAGACCCGCCGGTGTCTGTTCACGCTCAACGGCCATCTCGACTACGTCCGTACCGTCTTCTTCCACCACGAGCTGCCCTGGATCGTCAGCGCCAGTGACGACCAGACCATCCGGATATGGAACTGGCAGAACCGCTCTCTGCTTTGCACCATGACTGGTCATAATCACTATGCCATGTGCGCTCAGTTCCACCCCAAAGAGGACCTCGTTGTTTCGGCCTCCCTGGACCAGTCCGTCCGTGTGTGGGATAGTATGTGATCCTCAGTTCCGGTGGATAGTGCAACGCTAACACACACATGTAGTTTCGGGACTTCGCAAGAAGCACTCTGCTCCGACGTCTATGTCCTTCGAGGATCAAGTCGCACGTGCCAACGCGAACCAGACCGACATGTTCGGCAACACAGATGCCGTCGTCAAATTTGTCCTCGAGGGCCACGACAGGGGCGTGAACTGGGTGGCTTTCCACCCCACCATGCCATTGATCGTCTCAGCCGGAGATGATCGCCTCATCAAGCTGTGGCGTATGAGCGAAACGAAGGCTGTACGTGTTCCCGAGCTTAGCCGTGCCTCTTCATCATACTAACGGAAACGCAGTGGGAGGTCGACACCTGCCGAGGCCACTTCCAGAACGCCAGCGGCTGTCTTTTCCACCCCCACCAAGATCTCATCCTTTCCGCGGGCGAGGACAAGACCATCAGGGTTTGGGACCTGAATAAGCGGACGGCTGTGCACACCTTCAAGCGTGAGAACGACCGATTCTGGGTCATTGCTGCCCACCCGGAGATCAACCTCTTCGCGGCCGGCCATGATAAGTGGGTAAATCTGTAACTCTCATGTTTGGTGCAAGCAACTGACTGGCAACAGTGGCGTGATGGTGTTCAAACTGGAGCGTGAGAGGCCAGCTTCGGCGGTCTACCAGAACACGCTGTTCTACATTACCAAGGACAAGTGTGTCAAGTCCTACGACTTCCAGAAGAATGTCGAGTCCCCCACGCTATTGTCGCTCAAGAAGCTTGGCAGCCCCTGGGTCCCCCCTCGCACCTTATCTTACAACCCTGCTGAGCGCTCGGTCTTGGTCACATCGCCGGCAGACGGCGGTACCTACGAGCTCGTCAACCTCCCCCGCGATGGCTCTGGGGCGATCGAACCAGCAGAATCCAAGCGCGGCCAGGGCAACTCGGCTATCTTCGTCGCCCGCAACCGGTTTGCCGTGTTGAACACGTCCACCCAGACCGTTGACATCAAAGACCTAACCAACAACACAACGAGGTCGTTCAAGTCCCCAGTGGGAACGAGCGATATCTATTTCGGTGGAACCGGCAACCTTCTCATCATCACCCCAACGGCTGTACACCTCTACGATATCCAGCAGAAGAAGACGACCGCAGAGCTCGCCGTTAACGGGGTCAAGTACGTCGTCTGGTCGAACGACGGCCTCTATGCTGCCCTGCTCAGCAAGCACAACGTCACCATCGTGACCAAGACCCTGGAACAGGTCAGCACGCTACATGAGACGATCCGGATCAAAAGCGCGACCTGGGACGACGCTGGCGTCCTCCTGTACTCGACTCTGAACCACGTAAAGTACACCCTTCTCAACGGAGACAATGGCATTGTTCGGACCCTCGATCAGACGGTGTACCTCGTTCGGGTCAAGGGCCGTAATGTCTACTGCCTTGACCGTGCTGCGAAGCCCAGGATCCTGCAGATCGATCCCACTGAATACCGGTTCAAGCTGGCTCTCGTGAAGAGGAATTACGAGGAAATGCTGCACATCATCCAAAACTCCAGCTTGGTTGGCCAGTCAATTATCGCCTACCTGCAAAAGAAAGGCTACCCCGAGATCGCTCTTCAATTCGTTCAGGATCCCGCAACACGCTTCGAGCTTGCGATTGAGTGCGGGAATCTAGAGGTGGCCGTCGAGGTGGCTAAGCAGCTGGACCGCCCGAAGCTCTGGACGAGGTTAAGCACCGAGGCGCTCGCTCACGGGAACCACTCTATTGTCGAGATGTGTTACCAGAAGCTCAAGCACTTCGACAAGCTCTCGTTCCTTTATCTCACAACCGGCGACAACACCAAGCTGTCCAGGATGGCCAAGATTGCTGAGCACCGCGGGGACTTTACCTCAAGGTTCCAAAACGCTCTGTATCTTGGCGAGGCCGAGGACCGGATCCAGATGTTCAAGGAGATCGACTTGTGTAGGTGATTTGATCCTTCTCTTCTGAAACATAGCTGACGTTGCGTACGTAGACCCCCTGGCGTACATGACCGCCAAGGCTCATGGGCTGGACGAGGAGTGCCAGTCCATCCTTGAAGCCACTGGCCTCACCGAGGAGCAACTTAACCTCCCAACGTTTGGTGAACCACTCACCCCGCCCAGGCCCGTGGTGCCAACGCATCAGGCCAACTGGCCGACCAAGGCAACCTCACAGTCCTTCTTCGAAAAGGCGCTCCTTGGTCAAATGGAGGGTCTCTCATTAGAAGAGGAGCCCGCTGCGGCCAACGGACTGGGCGAGGCGGAAGAGGAAGGCACCGCCAAGCGGGACGCTCTCGGAGAAGCTGAGGAGGATGAAGACGCTGCTGGCTGGGATATGGGTGAAGACATCGTTCCAGAGGTAGAGGAGGGCTTCGTCAACATCGAGAGCGCCGATGCTGGCGGCGCTGGCAGCAGCGAAGCGGATTTGTGGGCACGCAACTCTCCGTTGGCTGTCGACCACGTTGCTGGCGGCTCATTCGAGACGGCTATGCAACTTCTCAACCGCCAGGTCGGTGCGGTAAACTTCGGACCACTAAAGCCCCGGTTCATGGAGGTGTACCAAGCTTCCAAGACGTACCTCCCCGCGTCTGCCGGCCTACCGCCGCTCGTCAACTACGTCCGTCGCACAGTTGAGGAGTCGGATCCTAGGAAAGTCCTTCCCATCATTCCCCGAGACTTGGAATATCTCGCTGCCAACGACCTGCAACGCGGTTATGACGCAATGAAGGCCAACAAGCTGGAGGACGGCCTGAAGATTTTCAAGGGCATTCTGCACTCGGTGCTCATCAACGCTGTGGGCAGCGACAGCGAGGTGGCCGAGGCTAAGAAGCTGATTGCTTCAGCGAGCGAGTACGCTGTGGCCATGTCGATTGAGCTTGGGCGAAGAGCCCTGGGCACGCCTGACGCCATCAACAAGAACCCCCAGCTGCTGAAACGGAGCTTGGAGCTGTCGGCTTACTTCACGATTCCGAAGATTGAGGTGCCGCACCGGCAGCTGGCGCTCTTGAACGCCATGAACCTGGCTATGAGGAGCAAGAACTACAACTCGGCTCTGAGCTTTGCCAATAGGATATTGGCCAATGGAGGCGCGAGCAAGATTCTGGAGAGTGTAAGCGCAGCCATCCCAGCCCCATCTGTGACTATCGGAACATTGCTGACATTTACTATAGGCCCGCAAGACAAAGGCTCAGTGCGAGCGCAGTCCGCACGACGCAGTAGAGATCGAGTTTGACCAGTTTGCCGAATTCGAGATCTGCGCCGCAAGCCACACGCCTATTTACAGCGGCACCGCGTACGAGGAGTGCGCCTTCGACGGGTCCAAGTATCACACCAAGTATAAGGGCACAGTGTGCGTGGTTTGCGAGGTCTGCGAGGTCGGCAAGCACGGGAGTGGCCTGAAGCTGTTCGCTTAAGACGGTACAAGGCGAATGGGCGGAGCTATAATATAGCCAGAGGTGCTTGATGTATCTGGCTCGCAACTTGGCGGGGGCTTTATGGAGTGGAAAAGTCTAGAGAAGCTGGTCACGGCTAGGCGGGCATGTTTGATGTGTGGATCATGAGTTCCAGTAGTTGTAACCTGAGCAAACTGATTTGGTCAAGGTACTGTGTCTGAGGCTCTGAGCCTTGCTGCATGTAGTTGACCCTGCGTGGGTCATTCTCCCCAGACCCAGTGATTGCCCGATCTATGGCTCGGCATTATTTGTACATAACCGTCTGCACCCACCCTCCGAAACCTCATGGCCCTTCTCTTTACACGATCGTCTCCAGCTGCCGGGCATAGCCCAGAGTGTTCTCGATCACCATCTGGCTCATCGGCTTCTCTGCCTCCTCCTCACCCGTCTCCTGCGCCGAAGGGAAGTAGATCTGGCCGTCCTTAATCGTCCAGCCGCGACTGCGCGCAAACTCAACTACGGCACCCTCAGAGTCGAGGAAGAGCAGCGACTTAGTCGATGACAGCGGCAGCGAAGGGTAGGCGCGCTCGCTGGACGAGGCAATCTCGGAGCGGATTTGCGAAGTGAGAATCTGTTTATTTATACAGCATGTCAGCATCAGATCCATCAGCAAGACAGCAGTTGGGGTCACAGCACGCATACCTCGGAGAAGACCCCAAACTCCTCACACGGCACCTCCCCTTTCTTCATTGCCTTCCATACCCGGTCGTAGCTCCCCTCCATCAACCAGCGCTCCAGCCGGATCGGATACCCCAGGTACCGATCCCCTTCCACCTCTGCCATGCCACTATCCCCGCCCTCCCGCGTCGCCAGCGCCTCCAGCTCGCTGTGGAACTCGCCGTACAGCCCCTGCGTCAGCAGCAGGAGAAGGTACAGGCCCGTAACCTTGTTCCGCTCCCCTCCCGCAATGTTGATCTTCTGTCCCGCCGGTCCGGTGAGCTCATAAAACGGCCGGAGCTGGGAGACGTAGCGCGTGAAGGCGTCCGGGTTCTTGGCGCGGATCGAGGCCAGCGCGCCTTGCTCGTACACATCGCGGGCGAGCGAGAGAAGGGCCGGGTCGGTCGTCGTGGCCGGGGTGAGCGCCTTGAGTTGCAGCAGGAGCAGCTTGGCGCGCGAGAGCAGGCCGGTGGTGTCATCGTAGGAGAGCGTGCTTGAGGAGGACTTGAGGTGGGATACGAGCTTGGTGAGCTCGCGTTGGGCCATTGTGAATTCGTGGTTGGGGGTTTTTTGGAGGAGAACGGCGCCTAGGTCGGCCTGTGGAAGTTGGGCCTGGCAGCTCAGGTCCCGATGACGAAGACTGATCGTCTGTTGCTGTTCGATGGGCAGTGGATGGGATTTGGAGTATTTTCCGGTTTGTGAGAGATGCTGTCTTAGTTGGCCTGTATGGTTGATTAAGCAGCACTGTGTGTGTTCTGTGTGTTCGATGGATCGGGCCAGGACGTTAGAGATGCGGGACGAGGCTGGCAGCATTGCTGCAGCAGGCTGACGGGCTGACGTTGTGTAGGCTGCTCTTGGCAGGCTCCAGTGGGCCCAGCTTTATCAGCTGGCAGCCACTTGGAATCTTCCGAACAAGAACAGGAGCTCTGTTCCGCCCAGCTTGCCAATTTGGAACTTCAGCTCTGTGACATCTTCATCCTGCCAGGTTATCAAAAGCGAGATTTGACTACCATACTATTGTTTACTCAGCCCTCCTCTTACCAATCTGGGAGTCCGAACTTCGACAGGGCTTAGCACAACAATAGTTGAAATTTGAATTCCCATTTGGCGCATGATCACGCAGCGCTAACTTCTCGTTCCCGGGAGCGCAGCCGAAAGCTTAGAATTGCCATGGCTGTACCTACCGGGTCACTGCAGCTGACAGGGTCACAGGATATCAGATGTCACCCAACTTTGCTTGGATTATATCTTCATAGGAGATGGGATGGTCCCTCCTGTGGCCAATGTAACTGCTTCGATTCGACTTCAGTGTTTCTCCTCTTGTGGCAGTTTGTGCGCTCCGCCAGGCTGAGACTTGATACGTGCTACCCTCGGTTATCAACAAGACGATGATGCCCCATGGAGGTTAAGCTCAGGCGTGTTTCGTCGTCTTTGTGTCGACAGGTGACTTCGGTTGAACTTGTCACACGAACGGGCTATAGCAGGGACATGCTACATGCCAGATGTTTGTTCGGTAGGCTTGGTCTCCTGGAGCAATTCGCACCTGCCTTACTTTGGTGACTTGTGCGAAATACTAGTGCCCGGCTCTCGTTCATTCCAGCTGCTCAGTTTTAAAAGAAAGAGCCCCTTTCCCTCAACACTTCCTTTTGCTCATTGCAGGAATTATGCTTCTTGGGATAAAGTCGGTTCCGCCACGACATCAGGATGCCGGAGCATGAGGCATATCGCGAACATTGTGCAAGTCGGTTGCTGCAGCCTCCCAGATCCACCAAAACCGTTAGCTACCACCTACCCACACAAGTACATACAATGATGGGCCAAGACGTTGCATCCCCAAGACAGGGTAATGCCACGAGTTGCGCATACAATTCCCAAACTTTGGGGCCCTTGGATTTTGCTGTCATGCCGAATACGCTCATCAAGCATCTAGGTACGTTCCTCACAGAATGTTCTATGAGAGATCCTGGCAAGGCATTGGCGGGGCCCGTTCTATTTATGGGACGAGTGGTCCAGGGGCCCTCAGCAGGGGAGGGAGAGGCAGCGCCAAGGACGGGCACCAGGCAGTGCAGATCACCGGTTCATCCGAGCGCCATCGACAAGATCGCAGGCGTTGTGCTCCTCAAGCCGCTAAGGAGGTTGAGAAGGCTATTTGGGACTGGCGCATCTTCGAAAGCCATATACCTACCAGCCGCTTCATGATTATCGTAAGCCCATCCGTGGTTCTGCAGCTGCGCTTGCTGGGTGCGGTACCTTACGTTGACCCCGGTCTCCGTCCGATCCCCTTTGGGGACAGCCACAGTCACCCCTTTTCAAAAGAAGGGACTGGTCCTCGCATTCGATCTGACCGCGCTCGCCTGTCTGATTTATTACTCCCACTTCCGATTCCGATCGACACCAATATTGAAGAGCGAGAAAGAGCATCGGCTCAGAAGCGGACCGCGGACACTTTTACGGACATTGCGCTTGGCGCCCCCCCCTAGCTGCATTTCGGCCCTGGACTGCTGGTGCCCCCCGCCACGTCTTGAAGCGGGGAACAGCGAAGAGGGTTATACTTTTCGCGGGGTCTGGCCGCATTGGGCATCTCCTGCTGACTGTTTCGCTCATTAATTTTATTTATGCAGGATTGGGCCAGCCTCCTGGTGACGCTTCTCTCGACATGCCGGAACTTGGAGCAACTTTCGTCCCTGGGGGTTATGATGACTACTACATGCCCGAGGTCGTCGCCCCGGCCCCTCAGAGGTGAGTTGATGAGTTCCTTGTTGAAGACCGCTCCCTCGACTTGCCGCGCCTCGTCGGGTTCGAGACTCTTGCCGATCCATCCGCGCGGCACCCCTCTCTAATAAGCGGAGCGATTGGACGAGGCTCGGCCCAGCTGCGTGTGGTGAGGCTGGACGGAGGCTGGAGGCTGACACCAGTCGGGTCGCTTGCAGGGTAATGCCCGAGGTGCCCCAGAACATGCAGGAAGATATACAACGCATGGAACTCGAAGCTCGCGAAACTGAACCCAACCGAAACGGCAACGCGACAACACGCAGCAACCCAGACGGACAGTCCAAGTCGTAAGTACTTCCCTCGTTGAGACCCAACGAGTCTGCCGATATGATTGGGCCCATTTGGACCGGTGTGGATCAGACGCTGACTGCGGCAACCTTCGCAGCTTCAAACCCTTCCCCGAGTCCAGGGCGTCCGACTCCACAGCCATGGACGCGCCGTCGTTCTCGCCCTTCCCAAAGGTCAAGGGCGAAAACATACCACCCAGCGACGAGGAGAAAGAGCAGATCCTTTGGCAGGCGCGGAACTTGGTGCTCCACTCCAACAATGTATCCATGCAAGTGACCTGGGCTCGTGACGCCCTCATCTGGGTCGAGATCGCCCAAGATGCCCAGGCCAGAGATTGGAAGCGAGACGGCAAGGACAAGGAGCGGCCGGCGACGCCCAAGACCCAGCACGAGCTGCGGGTGGATGCGGTGAACATTCTCGACTACCTGGCCCAGCAGGATCACCCCGAGGCCACCTTCATGAAAGGGAAATGGCTCGAGTTTGGCAAGTTCGGGTTCCGCGAGAACAAACGGGAGGCGTACTCGATGTACAAGAAGGCCGCGGAGAACGGATACGGACGGGCTGAGTACAGAATGGGCATGCTGTACGAGAACTCTAACGACATCCCGAATGCCATCAAGCACTACTCGCGCGGCGTACAGATGGGTGACTCGGCATCCAACTATCGACTGGGCATGATGCACCTTATGGGGCAGCATGGACACCAGAAAGACTTCCTCCTCGGGCTCGAGATGATCCAGCATGCGGCCGACACGGCGGATGAGGACGCCCCTCAGGGTGCTTACGTTTACGGCATGCTCATCGCGCGGGAGCTGCCTGACATCGACCTGCCCGAGCACATTCTTCCATGCGATCTGGCCGTTGCCCGGCAATACATTGAGAAGGCGGCCTATCTCAGCTTTGCCAAGGCGCAGCTGAAGATGGGACAGGCATACGAGCTCAGCCAACTGGGGTGCGATTTCAATCCAGCTTACTCCCTCCACTACTACGGGCTCGCCGCTCGCCAAGGCCAGGCCGAGGCGTCGCTGGGCGTGAGTCGCTGGTTCCTCTTCGGGTACGAAGACCTGTTCCCCAAGAACGAGCAGTTGGCTTTCAAGTACGCTCAGGACGCGGCCCTGGCCGGCCTCGCAACGGGCGAGTTCGCAATGGGTTACTACCACGAGATCGGCATCCATGTCCCCAAAGACGTCCGGGAGGCGCGTAAGTGGTATGAGCTAGCGGCGGAGCACGGAAACAAGGACGCCAAGGATCGCTTGGACTCGCTGAGCCAGTCTAAGACACTGACCAAAGCGGATCACGAGACGACGACGCTCACTCGCATCAAGTCGCAGCACGGCTCGCAACGTGGCAAGAGGCCGGCCCGGTTCACGAAGCCAAACGACGTCATGCCGACTGTGAGCGAGGGGGAGCAGAACGTCCCTGCTGGTATGTTTTCAGCTTATCAAGAAGCAGCGGTAGCTGACAACACTGCAGGAGGGATCGACTTCCCTGATCCATCGCCCAGGCCACCCGCCTTCACAGTGAACATCGACAGCAATCTCGCGATGCGGCCCAAGTCTGCGGCGCCTTATCCTCTTGAAGACCAGCCACAGCCGCTCAATGTCAGGCCAATATCTACCGCGCCGTATCCCGAGGACGATATGCGGGGCCCACGTCCAAACGCCGGGGCTCGTCTCCCGGTCGGTGCCGGCCCACATGCAGACCGTCCCGGTAGTGCCTTCGGCATCCGACCGCTGTCGTCCAATGGCGGGCTGCAACCTGGCGTTGGTCGTGGCCGTCCTGGTTCCAGTCAAGGTGCGGCGGGCGGCTGGGACCCGCAGGTTCCCGGGAACTACAGAAAGCCGAGCCCGGGGCCGGGAGGCCAGTGGCAGCAGCCAGCCCCACCGCAACACGACCCGCGGTATGGAACCCCGAGCGGCGGGCCCGGCATTGTCCCCGCCGGAACCATGCCTGGCGGCGATCCTAGCCGGAACCGATTACAGAAACCCAACCCCGGGATTCAGCCAACCCCTCAGGGTCCCCCACCAGGCCAGTACGGTGGATACCCTCAAGGACCGGGAGGCGGCCGCGGAGCGAGCAATCGCCCTGTCAGTGACGCCTACGGGCCAGGCGGATATGACCGGCATGGCCCCGCCGCTGCGGGCGCCGGTGGCCGACCGCCCATCGCATCAGCAGCGAGCAGCCCGAACATGCGTCCTCCGTCCAGTGGCCGGCCCGTCTCGCACATGGACATCGGCCCTCCTGGGCGTTCAAGCGCGCCTCCGGCTCAGAATGCCCGGCCGAGTCCTGGCCCGGCTGCGGCCGTGCAAGCACAACAACGGCCCGGTGGGAAACCAGCGCCGGCTGGAAACCTCGTTCATCCCGATGGTAAGACTATGGGTCAGGGGCCTGCTACCTTCGAGGAGATGGGGATTCCGCAAGGGAAGACCGAGGGCGATTGCGTAAGCATATTGTTCTCCTGTTGTATCGCATTGATGACACTAACGAGCATTAGGTGGTCATGTAACGGCAACCTCTCAACGTCGCCGGATTGGGTCAATCAGTCTGCGCCGGACGGTTTTCTACCTCAGCCGACGAAGAACAAGGTAAAACGGTGTCTTCGTTTCGTGGATTTGGAGTTCAAGCCGAACCTGCCTTCTCTGTTGGGAAAGTGACGGGAGGTGATGGGACAGGATGGGCGGCATTTTGTACATACTCGATGCTTTCATCGCGACTTGGTGACGAGATCCTTTCTAGCCTGCCTATCTAATTGACACAAGTACCTCAGACTTTGAGTTGGCCTAGTTGTCGCGCATTCTCTCGACTTGTGGGTGCTGTAACCGGTCATTATCACCCGCTTCGGCCTTATAGATACTACCATGACAAAAACTACACTAGCCCCTGGCATTCAGCGCCTCCTCTCCCTAACCTTCCTGGATACTGTCCCAATTGCTGCCTATTTTCAGATCTTGTGGCGCTTACAGCACCGGTCGATGTACGCATTCGAAGTGGTACACGGCAGTTTCGCTACCATGTTCCCGCGTCGTCCGCTCACACAGCATGGATCGCTGTATGGCTGGCGGTGCTCTGTACCCCTTCAAGAGACCGGAGGAAGCATCTCGGATCCACAATCCGAAACGCGGGCGAGCAGCGCAACTGCCGGCGCCATGCGGGGTTCTAGCTGGACCCGGAGGATCATTCCCGTCTCGGCCCCGGGCCGGAGTCCAACTACCACTACTAGTACTTACTAGTGCCGTCCGTGCTCATACGACAGGATGTCCTCCCCAGCGTATATAGTCCCTGACCTCTTTGGTAACCCTGCGATGCCACTCTCTCCCTGGTCTTGTAAGTTGCTCTGTGTGTTTCTCCATCACAACGAACCATAAAAACCACGCACACCATGTCCACTACACCCAAGTCCATCATCGTCACCGGCGGCGCAAGCGGCATCGGGCTTGCCATAACGCGGCACTTTGCCTCGCAGGGCCACCGCGTCGCCATCCTCGACCTGGACGCCGCATCCGGGCCGGGCGTGGCTACCGCGGTGGCCGCCGAGTTCCCGCAGTCGGCCGTGTCGTTCCACCAGTGCAACGTCGTGTCCTGGGACGAGCAGGCAGCTGCGTTCAAGGCGGCGTTCCGAGAGCATGGCGGCAGACTCGACGTGGTTGTCGCCAACGCCGGGGTGTCGGAGCAGGGCGCCACGACGCTCGTGCGGCTTGGTGCTGAGGAGGAAGAGGAGGAGGCGGAGCCGGCGCGGCCGAAGATGACCACCGTCGAGGTTAATTTGGTGGGGGCTATTTATTGTAAGTTGAGTTATCCGAGTGCGGTTTAGGTTTGGTTAGGTTGAGTGGTTTCGCGAAAAGCAAACTGACTTGTGAAATCAACAACGCCGTCAGCGGTGAACCTGGCGGTGCATTACATGAACAAGAAGCCAAAGACCGAAGCAGGATCCAGGGGATCAATTATCTGCACCGCTTCCAACGCGGGCTTGTACCCTTTTCCTATCGCCCCGTTGTATGCGACATCCAAGTTCGGAGTGGTGGGCCTGGTGCGGTCGACGGCGAGATTGGTCGAGAAGGCGAATATCCAGATCAACGCGTTGGCGCCTGCTGTGTTAGGTACGTTTCCTGAGTTAACCCCACGAGAATGGAATGACAATACTGAACCAAGCGGCTGACCTGCACAGACACAAATATCGCCCCGGACAAAGATCTTTTCAAACACATGGTCGTCACTCCCATGGAGACGTTGATCCGGGGCGTGGACCAGTTCCTCGCTGATCCTTCCGTCTCGGGAGCCGTGGCTGAGATCCATGGGGATAAAGTGACGATTAGGCCGCCGCATGAGTTTGTGGACGAGGAGAGCAGGCAAAACATTGAAACGTTTTGGAGGCTAGGATACGCGTGATCTTTGAATTGATTCCTCTTCCTTTGTCTTGAAGTCACGGAACCCAACACAATCAAATTGTTTGGGTGGTGGTCGTTGTCCATTGTTATCCCGCATCGTGACCTCCAATGCGGCCTCTTAAACCCCAACTCGTCAACCTCGTGCCTGAACCTTCGGACCACATAGATCCTTTCACCTGGAAAGGATAGCCAGCTGAAGAAGTTGGCTGACGTTGGTACAGCAGACGACGAAACGCCAACTCCTACCTACGTAGGTAGGTTAAAACGACCCCCACAGTTCCACTGGTGAGAAGCGAGGTTGCCCTTAGGAGGGCATGTGACGCAATAACAAGGGCTGACATCCCATACCGGGCCAACTGCAAGGCGGCGGTGCTGTCTCAGTCCGGATATGGTCCGAGGTTTCTTTGTTGGTATAAAGCTCATGTTGGTCGTTGGTAGGGGCTTGCTTTGCCCGTCGGCAAGGCTCGTGGTGGTAACGGGAGTGCAAAGTGGCAAGGGGCGTCGGAGACGAACCAACAGCCGGATTTCCAACGCTTCTGGAAAAGAATCAGGGTCAGGCAAGCGTTATTTTTCAGTGCTACTGAAAAGGCGCATCAGCTCTCCCCATGTCACTTGGACTCATCAGCGACCTCCATCCGTGCTACTCAACAGTGGTCTCCTCCGCCTCGTCTAAATGCCTCTTTCCCTCTTCCGTTGTGGCATCGATGATTCCCTCTTCGATATCCAGACAGCTAGCCTTATGCCACGCTGAGTCAAAGGATCATTAGCGGGTGGTGTCATACTCGCACTACTACTCGAGTAGGGAAGAGCTCACCTCATCAAGAAAGCTGACCATTTTCTCGGCTTCAGGAACCGCCATTTCAGCCAAAACTTTATTGACCTCCTCCAAGGAGGCACTCTCTAACGCTGCTCTCATCTCGGGAGAGAATTGCTCAAAGATCTCCCTTCCTCTTTTCTCCTTCTCGTCCTGGCTCCCGGTCGGTGGAACCCGGATCCGAATCGAACTGTCCTCGCTTACTGGATACAATTGAACCTGCTCAACATCAACAACCTTTTGCTTGGAGTCCCGCCTTGCCATAGAACGGATTTTGTAGAACCTCTTAGCGATGTCTTTCTGAAAGTCCTCCTGTGCCCGGTGGCCCGGCGTTGTCATACATTTGAAGAAGACCACAACACCGTCGCGCCCGAGTATATAACAGTACTCTAACAGTAGAGCCTGGTACACATACTGCCAGGCCCGCTTCTCGTCGTTTCGATCCAGCATTGCGTGATAGGCTTCGATGAGAAGCCCATTGATATCCGACTCGTTCTGGACAATTTCTGGGTACGACTGCGGATAGCCATGACTAGCGCTCCTGTAGGGTTTTGTTCACCTCATCTAGAATGGTCGCAAGCAACTTTGAGTAAGTCGGAAGAGGCGGCAAGTCGCTGTTAAACACACCTTCTGGTCGTGGCGGGGGACTATCTTCTATGGGATTGGTGGACGCCAATTCCATTACGGCCTGGAATACAATGTCGGCTGGGGTCAAGTTGATGTCAATAGAGTCCGCCTGCTGCGATTGCAGGGCGGATGTTAGGACGCGGAGACATTGCAACAGGGCATCATTGACGATACGCTCATGCTTGAGTGCCTGAACCTCACGCTTTCGTTGCTATCGCCATATGTGTATCTAGTCTCTACTTTGCTCGAATGAACGACCGTTTGTCGACATTTGGGTGGACCTCGACATCGGAGTCGTCGCTGAGCTCCAAGGCGTCCTGACAAGTTCATCTTCAGTTTAAACCAGCCATCTTCCCAAGACAACTCTTCTCAAAATCCGAAAAAAAAAATAAACATACCCATTTGCTATAGTCCACCGTCTTGACGAAGCACTCGATGCTGAAAGACTGTGGTTGGAGAGCAGTTGTTTGTTTGTATGTTTGCCATTACGCCTTTACCTCGCGTAGAGGTAAAGGGGCGGGGGGACATAGGTTGCAGCGGATTGAAAGTGAATTGCGCAAATTCCACCTGGATATCTCCGTAGAAGAAACGAGTGCTCATAAGGACAGAAAATTGAACTTCAAGCTCTGATCGCTTCAAATTACAATACCCCACCTTTGACTCCTGAGAAACTAGAAAAGGAGAGTGAGGGAAGTAAACAAAGCAACCTTACATAGATTTGCACACATCTATGGGTGGATACATCCGATAGGTCGTACTTGAATGTGATTGAATGAGCGCAGATCGATGTCTATGTACAACAGGTAAATCTTATTATAAAGTCGTGCATGTTCGTTCACCGGTACTTTCGCGGAGGAGGTTGACGAAGTATTCCATCGTTCCGGCTGTTTACCGTTCCATAGCGCCGGTGCGTGACCCTATTGGACTACTGGTGGTGTTGTAGCAACAGCGGGACTCCAAGTCCCTGAGATCACTGAGTGGTGGGACCGCGCACGGATCACATCCGAGCAGAACACGATTGGGCCTGCTCGACCATTGCGCGCGACGCTTCCTGCTGTATACTACACTTATGTGGAGATCGAGGTTGCGACAACAACAACAACAACGACGAGCCGGACGTCAACTTGCACCGCCGGAATATTATGCGTGTTGTGCAACGAAGGCCTTTTTGCATGCTTAATCGACCATGAATTCGTGGCGGCTTTGCGCCTGAGATTGGTGGACCTGCTTCACCAGCCCAACGCTTGCGAGTTGCGATCTTCAACCCCGTTTGCGAGCTGAACACCGCGAAATGGACGACCTCGACGAGGGCCACCAGCCCGCTTCCCGCCCGCCCACAGCACACAGATTCGACCAAGAAGACAAGGATACTGCATCCTCCCCGCCCAAACCGAACCCCGACGACAAGCGCACCACCGTGGACGCCAACTCGCTCGAACCCGGAAACATACCCCTTCTCCGTCCGCCCGCCCCCCGTGCCCCGGAGAGCAGCTACCTCGAGAGCCCGAGTCTGAACCGGGGACACTCTGATTCGCAAGCCGAAATTATTGTACGCGAGCACCTGCAAGACATTGAGTCGAGCTTTTCCGCCCCAATATCGCCCTTACCAACCTCCAACAATGGCCTCGACGACACTTTCGTCTTCGACTCACCAACGAAACAGCCCGCCCCCCCGCGGCCCGCACAGGATCCAGACGAGTCTACGGAGTCCGCCGACCAGTCACAGGTGCTGCGCACGCTGAGCCGCTTTGTGCCGAGCACGCTACAGGACGCCGACGACTCGAAGGTGCACTCGCCGGCTCATGATCGTTCCGCCGACGGCGTCGGAAACTCAGCAGCGTCCCTAGAAGCATTTTCTTCATCGCCAGCGGCCGCCGCATCAGCGAGGTCCACCTCGCGAGCTGTTTCTCAGGCAACATCAGTCCGGAGCGAAGTTTATCGTGGACACGACGATTCTGTGGGCGACCAGCAGGCTCAAGATCAGTCGGCCGAGGACTCGCTCCTACATCCTGACTCCAATGCTTCCGTCTCGCAAGACAGTCGGGAGCACAGCCAAGAAAGAGCCTCCGCCGACGTAGGGCACACTCCGGGCCAAGCCCTCAAAACCGCCAAGCGGCCCAAATACCTGCGCAGCCGAATCGGCGACCAGCGCTCTTCGGTCTCGTCGTTCGTCACAGACCCAGATAGTGATGTTACCGTGGGAACAGGGGCCGACTATGCGCTCCAGTCTGGCGGCGCTGCGCCGTCCCTGGGAACGTCGCGTAGCTTCAATAACGCCCTGTCCAGGTCCATTAGCATGGGAAGCATGGCAAGCGGGATTGAGGATCTCCATGACTCGTCCGGGCCTGCTTTTGGTCAACTTGAGACTCTGGATGAGGTTGATGGCAGCATGTCTCCGCAGCCCGAGGCACGCCGTGACCACCACGTCCGCCCCATTCTTCAAACCCCGAGACCAACCAAGACTACAGCTCTCGACGCCCCGACAGATACCGTGATCGCCCGCCATGTCAGGGACGTACAGGTCCCGGAGTCGTTGGCCAAAGAGTACAAGAACAGGGGCGGCTTGGTAACGCCAGCGCGGCCCGGGACTTCGTCTGACGCGGCAGCTTTCGGAGCCTCGACTGCGAGTCGGCACGGCAGGAGCCTGACCCTCAAAGAGCAGAGCAGCACCATCGAGCGCCTGAGCAAGGAGAACTTCGATCTGAAGCTCAAGGTCATGTTTTTGAGCGACCGTCTGGACAAGCTCTCTGAAGAAGGTATTAAGGAGATGATCTCAGAGAATGTGGAGCTCAAAACAGGCCTGGCGGTGCTGCAGCGTGACAACAAAGTTCTGCGCCGACGAGTTAAGGAACTCGAGAAGCAGCTTAAGGACGAGGAGGAACGCCCGGGGACAGCGAGAAGCACGCAGTCGGAGGACGAGCAGAGCGCGGCTTACGACCAGGAAGCGCAAGAAAGAGAGGAGGAGCTGATTTACCTGAGGGAGCAACTAGAAGAGTACGCCACCGAGATCGAGCGCCTCAGGAATGAGAACATGAACAAAGAAGCCGAGAAACGGCGCATGGCTGAGGTGGTGCGGACGCTCGGAGAAAGGACGGGCGAGCGGCTAGGCGAAGACCTCGACCGGCAGGAGGAGGCGGATGTTTGGAAAGACCTGCTCGAACGGGAGACAGCCAGAAGGGAACAGGCTGACGAAGACAACCGGTGTCTCCGTGATGAGGTTTTCCGCTTGAAGCAGGAGCTCGCGGCACAGTCGGCGACGGGACCGTTGCACCACACCACAAACATCTACAACATCACCAAGAAATCTCCACATCGGCCGCTGGATTCTGCCTCCAGAGTTGGGACATCGGTCTCGGGGGAGCCAGACGGAAACGGAACAATCATCACCGTCAGTAGTACATTGGTTGAGGAACTGCGCCGAGAAAGCGAGCAGCTCCGCCACGAAAACGCCGAGCTCCGGCGCGAAGTAGGAGCCCAGACGTCTATGCTGACGTCGAGGAACCGCGAGAAGGAGCGGCTGTACCAGGAGATTGAAGATCTCAAGATGGCACAGCGGCGAGGAGCCCCAGCGCCTTCTACCATTGATAGCCTGCTGGAGCGGTCCGCTTCCCGCGCTGGCGTGCACGAGCGCTCGCAATCTCGGGCCAGTGGGCGCACCGGCGTAACGGGCACCGCAGTGGATGACGCCGAAATCGAAGAGATGGAGAATAAGATGGCCGAGCTGCGCGATAAGAACAACGACCTCAAGCTGCAGAACCAGGACCTCCAACGAGAATTGAACGCCTGTATGGAGGACTTCGAGGCAGCCGTGGAGGCCAAGAAACAGGCCGAGGAGCTTGCCGCTGCTCTTCAGGAGGAACTAGACACAGCCATGAACGATCTGATGGCTCTGCAGGCTGAGCGGGACGAGGCGCTGCAGGAACATGCCAACCTCGAGAACGAGTTCGAGGCTTTGAGGAAAGAAGCTCAAGAGGAGATTGACGCGCTCGAGGGCGAGGCAGACCAGCGCACTACGGAAATTGAGCGGCTGCAGCTCGACCTCAACGACCGCACGGAAAGCTTCGATGCCCTCCAAGCCGAGATGCGCAAGATGAGCGAAGGTCTCGTGAGACTGGAGGACGAACAGGAGACCAAGCTGCGCAGGATACAACAGCTCGAACAGGAACTCGCCGACGCCAACAAGGAGCTGGAGGACCTGGAAAACAAGCTCCGCGAGGCGAACGATAAGGCGCAACGCCTTTCTGTGCAGCAAGAATCAAGCCAGGGCGAGATTGCCTTCTTGCGGGAGGAGCAAGAGACCGACAAGATCCGGATCGGCGACCTCGAGGCCGCGCTTGCGAATGCTGAGCAGTCTCTGCGGGAGGAGAAGGACCAGGCGAAGGAGCTGGAGCAGAGGCTTGCCAACGAGAGGAGGCAGCGCGAGATCGTGGCGAACAGAGAGAAGGAGGAGGTGCAACAGTTTGTGAACGAGCTGAATCGGGAAGCGTCGGCCGCCAAGGACGAGGCCAGGAGGCTGCGGAAGAGCCTCACAAGCCGCGAGGTTGAGGCGACCGAGTGGAAGGAGAGGCTGCTCGAGCTGGAGAATAACCTGCGCGAGGCGCTGGGCGACTTGAACGGCACGAGATCAAGCCTGCTTAAGGTAAGTTTTCCTGTTTCTTAGCTATTCTGAATCGCACCCGAGGCTGACCGTTCCAGTCCATCGCAAAACTCCAGCGCGACTTGGAGAACACGGTGCGCGACCTCAACACAACCAAATCGGCGCTGGCCGAAAAAGACCGTATCATCAAACAGCGCGACGCCCTGCTCGAAACGCACGCTCTCGAGTCCCGGAAGCTGGCCGAGATGCTGGACAAGGAACGACAGGCGCATCGCAACGTTAAGAACCAGTTCGAGACCTTCCAGAACACACATCAACACGTAACCCGCACGGTCAGCTCCCAGGACCAGCGCATCATGGAGCTCGAGCAGGCGAAGGCGCAGGATAAGAAGCGGCTCTCGCAGCTCGAGAACACCTTCAAAGAACAGCTTACGGAGCGCAACAACCTGCTCCTCATCCTGTGGACTCGCCTCTCGGCCCTGTGCGGCACCGACTGGGCCCACAACAACAGTCTGATCAACGGGCGGGCACTGCCCAGCCTCGAGTCCGTCGCCACGATGCTACCGGGCTTCAGCAAGAACCTTCTTGCCGCCGTCAAGACCATCGAGACCATGGTTGGCAACTTCCAGAGCAAGATCAAGAGCGTCGAAAAGGACCTCTGGAGAGAGTACCAAACCCTCGAAAACCACCTCGACCAGCGCACTAAAAAGCTTGAGCGTCTCGAGGCCATCGTCCGGAACAGCATTGGCGCCGGTCAGCTCAATCCGTCACCCCACAGCTTCACCGAGACGCAGGCTCGGCTCGCCCGGCTTGAAGATGCCTACCGTCAGCTCAAGGTGGAGAATCACACTCTCCGCGCGGCGGCCGAGGCCCGACGGGCAGCACATGCAGACCGCCACGGACTGGCTTCTCCTGACGGCAGTCCGTCCCCTCTAGTTCCGACGGGGCCCAAGGCAAAGGCCAGTAATAGCAAGATTCCCAAGTCGAGCAGCAAGAGCAGCGGGCTGGGGGATGTGCCTACCCCGACGAGGAGGTCCTCTCAGCATTACCACTTCCATCATCACCACAGCAGGCAGAACCTAGCGGCCTCGGAAGAGGTTGTCATGATGTCGCGTTCGCGGGGGACGAGCCCGGCTACTACGCCCGGCCGGGGCAGTGGCGATGCCGTGGGCGACGACGACAACGACACAATCACTGCAAACCAGCAATCCCAGATACCCCAACCTACCTCCTCCCAACAACAACAAACGCAGCCACAAGAGAGCGGGAGAGAAAGAAACGCTAACAACGCGTCTTCCTCAACCACCCTCTCCACCACCACCAGCAGCAGCGTTACTAAGAGTGGCACGGGTGGAGGTGGAAGCGGGGTTAGCACCGGTATGGAGAGCAAGTGGATGCTCCGCCTGCGCGACCTCGAGTACAAGCTCAAAGCCGAGCGCGAAGGGCGGATCCTGGACCGGAAGGAGGCCCTGAAGCGGATCGACACGATCGAGAGCGAGAACGCCGAGCTGAGGGAGAAGCAGGAGCGAGAGCGGGAGAGGAGGCGGATGGGGAGGTAGGGCCTTACTCTCGCAGAGCACGAGGTCTGTACTACTACTACTACTGCTACTGTTACTACTCCTACTTGTAGCAGCAGAGTCAGCCGCCAGTTCTGGTTCATGGCAGCAGCAGGTTTAGCGTCGAGTTGGGGGTTTCGACTGCTGAGTGCGAAGTATCGTTCGCAAGCGGTGATTGGCGAGAAGAAGAGAAGGATGCACATGCACATGCGTTTGCGGCCAGGTATATCATTGCTTCTGGTGTTATTGTTGCGGATCATGTTCTGGAAGCCGGGTTCTTCAAGTGTCTTAGGGGGAAGAAGATGGCGCGTTTGGGAGTTTTGGGATATCCTAAGGCGATTATTATTGATATCCTATGCGTTTCGGATGGGGTAAGAACGGAGGAGTCGAGCTTTGCTAGAGGTAGTCGACTGGTTTCGAACATTAAACTGAACCATCTACGTCGTGTGTGTCTGTGGCTTGCAGCGCCCGGAGTGCTGATGCAAAGTTGAGCTTTCGTCAGGGCTGGCTACCTGGCTACGTGGACTGATTGGTGACAAGAGTTCAACGTTCGACACTGACGGGACGGCATGCAACAACAATGAATGAAGCGGGAAAAAAAAAAAAAAAAAAAAGGAAAAACGAAAAAGGAATAACTACGGCATTTAATATTACAGTCCCTTTTACTGTCCCTCTCGCCAAGGTTTCAGGTTTTCAGATTGAATGTACGGTACATGATACTAGTGACCATTATCATGGAAAGGAGCAAAGAGAAACGTTGCGAAGAAAATCCAAACGCTGCGTCGCGTTGCGTTGTGCCTTGCCTTCTCTCTCGTCTTTCCATTTCCCCCACTCCCTCAAGCCAACCAACTTGAAGCAGATAGATGTAAACAAAAGGAACAAGACAGCGTCGAGCTTTCTTCCCAACTAAGACCCAACCAAAACAGAAACACCCGCTTCGTAATCCAAACAAACCGAAACGAAACTAATTCTATCAGGTCATGATGCCGTCAGCTGCAATCCAGTCAGTTCCCGCCTCGCCTCCAGCTCAACAACGGTATCCCTTGCTGACAGATTAATCCCTCATTAAGCTCTCTTGTCTCTCTCATGAGCGATTATACCCCGAGATAATCCAGCCTTCAGCCTTGACCTCACGTTCTTGCTTCGACTATCTCCCTGCTACGCCCAGTCTGTCTTGGTTATTATTAGAACAGGTACACCGGCCCCGTCAATAACACCCCTCGCCCCAGCATAACTCACAACAGGTGAAAATAATAGTAATACCATCCGGAATTCAGCTGTCTCACCCATGCTCAACAGTGATCTCCAACCCACCGGGTCGTCTCTCTGCTTCTCCCTCGTCCTCCTCTGAAAACTCGCCCGCCTCTCCCGGGACCACAACATGATCATGATTCAGAGTCTGATCATCGTCATCACTGCTGAACCCACCAACTTCCTCGCCGCGCGCCGCGCGCCTCGCCGTCTCCCGTTCCCTATAAATCTCCCGCTTCCTCGCCTCCGCCTGCTTCAGGCAATCTACGTAGGTGCGGAACTTGACGATCTCCCGGAGGAGGTACTCGCTCTTCCGCTCCCAGTTGGCCATGGCTTTCGCCGCGTTGCTGCTGCGCGGGGAGAAGGCGCCCAGCATGGGCGAGCGGAGCGCGTTGTGGGTCTGCAGCTCGGCCTCGATGGATCGCACGTACGCCTCAAGCGACTCGAGCTGGTCCTTCTCGTTGAGCGGCGAAGGGCGCATCGAGTGGTTCGGCGGCGTCCAGTCGGTGATGTGGATGCGGTCACCAGGGAGCTTGTTGTTGGCGGGATGCGGGTTGTGGTGGTGGTGCAGTCCGTGCGGGCGCGGGAGGGTGCCGCCGAGGACGCCGGAGCTGCCTGATCCCGGGCGGACGGCGAAGTCGAAAGAGGCAGACCGCATCGAACGGCCAGACTGCATCGAGGAGCGGCCGACGCCCGTGATGCTGCTGATGCCTGCGGCGGCGACGGCGGCGGCATTGGCAGCGCTTCCGGGGCGGGAATGTCCTTTGCTGCTGCTGGGGGGTCGTCCGCCGCCGAAGCTGGCCGTGCTCTCGTTGGCTGGGTTCGTATTGTTGGCTGCGGCGCTATGGAGGACGCTGTCGCTCCACCCATACTCGACATTGGACATGCCGCCCACAAGCGGGTGAGTGCTCAAGCGAGCGCTCCAGTAGTTGGCTGTGTTGACAAACTCCTTGCAGATTTCGGCCGTGCCGACTTGGAAGAGATGCACGGCGCCGGTGGGGAGGGAAAGGGCCCAGACGTGTGGACGGGTTCGTGAGTAACCCGGCGGAGGGAGGGCAGAGGCAAGAGTCTGGCGGAGTGAGAATGTTCCCAGGTTAGTGGCATTGTCCTGCCAGTTGCCGCCGCCGACGACGGCACCTTTCGGCAGAGTACTGCCTAGTCCGCGTCTGTTCTTGCTACGGAGGGACTTGGCCGGAGTGAACGAGAACAGGCTCAGTTGTCCTTTTTGGACGACCGCAAAGACTTCCGTCCAATTTCGGTCTCTGGCTCTCTTGTCCACACCATCGAGGTGGTGCTTGTGCGTGACAATGCCTTCCTTGACCCACGGAGGGCCAGCAAGTTCCAGAGTCTCGTCCTCGAGCAGCTGATCACTCCTGATCTCGTCCTTGAGCGTCTCGAGCGCGCTGTCCTCACGAATGATCGCCTGGCTCAGTGCGTTGGCAAAGCCAATCGACTGCTGGAAGTCCCCGCGGGGGTATGAAGAGCCGAAGGAATCCATCGACATGGACGTGTGGGTACGCCCCAGCGACAGCTTGCTCCAGGTGGCAGACGAATCAGTCGGCGTCCACACGGAGTTGCCGTCCTCGAAACTAGTCCTACTCGACGAGAAGCCGGTGTTGAACCCCCTGGGCCGCGAGCGGCTCTTGGAAGTCCACCTGGACGAGTTCGCCTTCGCCGCATCGGAAACCCTGCCCCGAGTGGAGGCAACACCTTCTGACGGTGCTTTGCTCAACACGCTCGGCGTCCGTTTGAGCATGCCCATGACGAAGAGGCCACTTGGAGTATGCGGAGCAGCAGCCTCGGCACCAAACAGTGGCAGTCTGTCGTCGCGGATCGAGGCGTAAATGTCCTTGAGGACGATCTCGACCTGCGACTCCCAGGCGCGCAGCGGGCCATCGAATGGTGTCTTGACAAGGGGCCCACAGCTCTCCCCGGGAGCCTGATCGGAGAAGGCACCCAGGGCCGACCCCGGCCGGGGTGGCGGCTTGAACGAGGCGCGGAAGCTGTTGTGCTTGAAGTCCTCGGACGTGCGGACCTCGCTCTCGACGCCCACATTTCCCTTGCCTGGGAGGATGCTCGGCCGGTCGAACGCGTCAGGGACCGACTCCTGGACGGCCTGCCTGATGGTTGTCATGGTGTTCTTGATGAACTGGCTCCTGGTCATCCTGTGTTCGAGGTCGGCCACGTGAAGATCGGTATTGAGCAGAATGATGGAGTAGCATATGGTGTGGATGACGTCTGATAGAGATATTAGTATTAATGCTCAAACTCAGCAATTTCCTCGAGGCACTTACCAATCGACTTGAACCCGTGGTTGGGGTTGCAGTCACACCACCGCTTCGAGAAAGCCACCAAGATGCGGTCCACCTGCTGCGTCTCGGCTCTCAGGAGCAACCGCTGGCAGACCTGGCGTAGACTGGCCACGACGCTCTGGTTCTCAAAGTCGTAGAGTTCCATGTAGGCACGCAAGGTCCGCTGGCGTACAATGCCCTCTTCACCCATCCAAGCTGCTGCGCGGTCCTTTTGGATGAAGTCCTCGTTTCCGTCAAAGATCTTCCGTGCCTTCTGCCGGTCGTCCTCGGTCGGATCACCCACCACAATCTCGGGTTCGTCAATGGACTTGGCAGACCGAGTGATGGACTCGTTGGTCCCCATGCCCTGCGGACTGGGTTCGGCGCTGTCAATCCTCAGACTTGGCACACTGTGCTTGTGCATGACCCGGTTGCCGGGCTCGGTCGGTAGGCCCAGCGTATTGGAATCCCCCCGGTCGTCCCGATCAGACGTCGACCGCTTGGCTTCTGGCCGTGCCGATGATCGAGCGTCCAGGCTTGCCCTGTTGAGATTGGGAACGCTCTTCGACTTCGACACCACAGGTGAAGGTGACCTCTTCGCCCCGTCTGGGTGCAGTCCGGGCCTGAGATTCTTCTCGCGCGGCTCTGAACGCGGCGTCTTTCGCTTCCGTACCGGACTGTCCTCGCTGTCGCTGTTGTCCCGGAGGAACGACTCGAGCGGAGATCCATCCGAGAACTCTTTGGTCTGCCGGTTTGGCGTGGCTGCAGGACGAGGAACTGAAGAGGAGTCCTCGGGGCCGACCTTGCGGATGACGGCTTTCGGGCTCGGCTCATAATCGGGCGAAAATCCTCGAGGCGCGCGGCCTTCATCGTCCTCTGCAGCTTCTCGTCTGGCGGCCTTGTCTTGGTGAGCATCATATGGTGCCTCGACCGAAGGCAACGGCGTGTCGGCAGGAGTTTGGGCGACAGAGGAAGTCGGGCTTCCCTGCAAAAATGGGTCCATGGCCCGTCGGAGACTGGTGATGGGGCTAGGTTCCGGCTTTCCCGAGAGCGCCTCTACCCTGTCCAAAGGAACCTTGAGTGCCGGGGCAACGGGTACATTTGGCACCGGCGGAGGCTCGGATTCGGTGATCGAATACTTCCGTCTGCGGAAGAAGGACGAGGTTTTCTTCTGCAGCGTGTGCGTAGTAGAGTGGTGGGACTCGCGAGACGGCGGGGGGCATGATTTCTGCTGCGACGCGAACGACGACACCTGGGGAGATGAGGAACTGCTCGATGCACCCGACTTGGACGAGCCAAACATCCTCCTGAAAAAGCCGGGCTTTTCCTTCGGCTGAGGGGTCACAACCATCGGCGGCACCAGGATCGCGTCCTTTGTCTTCTCGTAGCCTACATGCGGTGCTGGGGCTGAATCTAGGTCGAAGGCAGGGACAGGTAGGGGCGGTACGTCGCGCGCCGAGTTGATTTTTGGCTCGGCCTTCCGGCCGACTGTTGCGCTCCTTGAGGATCTCGTGCTGCGGCGACGCTCAGGGTAAGCCGCCCCTACAGGCGACCTGGGCTCTACCTTGGGTTCCGGAGGCGGCATGATGGGCAGGGACGGTGCTGTCGTGAGCTTCCGCGGCCCACCTGGGATAGTCGGGGTGGGAGCGGCGTCGTATGCGTCATTCAGGAACGAACTGGTGAACTCGACCTGCCACGCGGCGCCCGATGGACGCGGCTCCCCGTCGAAACTGGAGGAGCGCCCCCCAAAGCCCCTGGCCCAGCGCTGGCTGCTCAGGACCTGTGCATACCCCGCATCCACACTGGTTGTGCTGCTACTCTTGCTTCCCTTGCCGCCCCTGGAGTGAAGCGGCCTTCCCGGGCTCCGCTGCGAGGTCTCGCGCATGCTGTTGATTCGACCCAGGCCCGGCTGATACCCCGAACTGCTGTTGCTTCGGCGCCCTCGCGACGATACCCTGCTCGCGTCATCACCAGCTTCAAAGTCGGAGCTGTACGAGTACCCGTGCCCGTTTCCGCGGCCCAATCTCGAATTGAACGTCATTGCCCGTGACTCGTCGGTATATGAGGGGTAGACAGCAGGCTCGTCGTACGCGGACCTCGAGACTCCAAGCGGCGTGCCAAGCTGGCCCATTGACAATTGGTCGAGGGACAGGAGCATGTTGGCGACGAGCGAGTCGCGTGTAACTTGACGGGGCGAGAGCGACAGGTCGTGCGAGTCTCTCTGGGCGGGGCGGCGTGGCTCGGGGCGGTCGGGCTCTTTGTTGTTGGACATGTCGATCGGGATGTCGACGGGGGCAAGGCCCTCGAGAAATGTCTCAATGTGGGAGGTATCCCTGACTTGGCTCTCGGGCAGCCGCAGCGCTTGGCCGTATGCAGGGGGAGAATCGCTGTCCCTGGACGGCGTGGGCGGCAAACGGCCAGTCGGCGTTCTCGGGATGCCGTCCCAGTCTTGCTCTAGATCTCGATCTCTGGCTTTTGGTGGCAACAACGGCGGCGGCGATGAAGACGTGTCGATGTCGGGGTCGGGTTTGCGTCTGCCATGTCGACGACCCGTCTCTGAGGCAGGCATGATTGGCTCCCGGCAGCAGAGCAATCGGGGGTCTGGAAAAAGCAATCACAGGGCCTCGTGTGATACAAGGTGCAGCCGCTGCAGCGCCGTCAACGCCCCATCCGACAGCCGCAGGCTGGACCAATCTCGCAGAATTCGGAAGGGAAATGAACGGCTTGACGCTGCACTGTTGGGATACACTGGGTTCACAGCACGCGGGACGGGTAACTTTAAAGAGCGTGCAGTCTGTGGTCCGTTTGGGCAATCCGCGCCGCTTCCCCTGGGTGCTGCGAGCCTGCGATTGGACGCAAGGACAATCTAGCGAGATCTTTGATTCGGCCCCACTGATGTTCAGGCAGCGGGTCCGCCAACCTCCTCGACCCCAATCTTTGTTCAGATTTGGGTAGCTGGGGAGTTTGAGGATATGGTGCTCGTATCGCGCCTCTGTATAGTGTATCGGTCTGTCTTCATTTACAGGTCTGTTTCTGACTAGGTACTAGTATTTCCGATCACAACGTAGAAGTGATGATGATTGTCAACCTATGAGTTTCTTCAACTTTTGTTTCACCCCGCCATGCTGCGAGCCCCAGTGCCCCTATCCCCCTGCAGCAGGGACCCGCCCAACGCAACCCAATCTGTGACCGCTTTTGGCCGCTACTCAAGTTGCCTTGTTACCCAAAGAACCCTGCTCCTCCTGCATGTTTCAACTACTGTAGTAATAATTCTTCAAGAGTCAAGACTTTGGGCTAATAACTAATAATCGATGCCAGTAAGAGACAGGTTATATCGGCTAATTTGACAAGTTGTATACTTTGTACGTTTTGCATCGGGTCCTTAACGGATAACTACACGAGTATGAGTTGTCACTCCGCGTCCGCTAAAGGTGTAAACCGATCCTTTCCGCTCAGTCTGGCTCACATTCTCACTCGTGGCAACTCGTTGCTCGATGCGGTTGAGGCACGATCAAACGTGGTTCCACGGAAGGCAGCGAACCGCTCGCGAGAAGGCGCGGTGGACTCCAGTCAAAGCTCAACTCTAGCTCTAACTATATTGTACAGTACTGTACATGTAATTACCTTATTATCCAAGCCACTCCTCACGTCACAGGTTCAGTTCTCAAGCAAAATATAATATCCATGGATTCGTAACTTGATGTTCATCCAGCTGCCACGTGTCAACCGTTGCAGCCCAGTTGTGTATGATAATGCGGGGCGTCTTTGTGGGGAAGACGGAGGAGCTCCACTGCACGAAGCTCAACACGTTCGAGACCGTGGCGGTTTGTTAGGGATATATCTGCCTCGTACCAAGCAGTCTACTTGCGTATAGCTCATCCACTCAGCAACGCGGTGCTCGAAGCTGCTCAGCTTCATGTTCCATGATATCATTCAGAATACGCAATCTAGGCGTATTGAATTCACCGGCGCTGAGGGTTCAGTGACAAGGGTGTAGCACTGAAGGGTAGAAAGTTCCTACTTCCTAGTGCACTACTATACTTTGCAAGTCCCTTGTATTCATACCAAGTGTCACTTAGACAGTTCTCATACATCCGTTTTCAAACGTTGCCTGAACCACACCATGAGGATACACTGCGATATCCCGCGGTGGATTGGTAGCACTGCTGGGAGACCGCCCAGTCTGGCATTGTGTAAGCGCCACCCACTTCCAATCATGTATGTCACGACACGACCCTAATTGGTGATAGGCAGTAATCATCACTCTCCAACCATCGACAAGAGGCCCAAAGTATATCGACGCAGAGGTTAGCATACCGACTTACCCCTTGTCAGTTCCCAAGCTGGACGACGTACCCCGTTTCTTGTCGTCGAGGACAGAAAAATGTCGCGTACTTCAGCCCGCTCGACCGTGGTAACCCAGTCGGTCAAGCACACGGCACAAGACCCGGGTTCGCGTCGACAAGGTCGAAACAGCGCTGACTCTCCCGCCTCCTGCTCCGGCTCCCGCTCCGGCTCTGACAGTTCCGGTATCCTCGCTAGCCACTTGCGGCTCCTGCACTCTTTGTCCACCAAGTCCGTAGCCACGTGCATGCAAATGCAGGATCTGCCCTCGTCAATCGCGTCTCGGAGCGTGACAGCCTTGCCTCCAAGCGTGTGGATTACACGGAGGAAGAGCTAGTCACCCCACTATTCGAGCAGACGGCTTTTGACACCACAACGGCCCGCCTCCCCAACTGCGTGCCCAAACGGTTTCGCAAGGATGTCCAGAGGGAGGCCTTTAGGCGCGCCGTAGAAATGGCGGTTCATAACGAGGCGCCCAAAGACATGATATCTATGTGATAGTAGTCAAGGTTAGACTAGGTAGGTGTTGGGCAACAGTGGATATTGCGGCTTGCACGTTACAGGTTGTACGGAGACTGGGCGCCGTTTGGGTTGAACACCTGCTGCGCATGACAGTAGAAGCGGTTGCGCCTGATATTTTCGAACACGAGGTGTTCTCTGCTTGTGGGATTCCATGCCGCTGAGAAGACATGGAGTTGGCAACAGATGGAGCAATAGAAATGGCCGTCGCCAAGGTCATTTTCAAGAAGTGCCAGAAGTTGCCCCCGACACTTCGCCGGCACTTTGGCGATGTCGTCTGCGAGGATGGAGCGGAGGCATTTGCAGGTGAGTGAGAGCGCCACAGCAGACTCAGGGGATTCAGAGAGCTGAGCCACAATGTAAAAAATAAGTTCGGCCGGCAGCCTTAGGAGAGCCAATAGTGTTGGAGGGAGTTGGGCTCGAAAAAGACGAGAAAGCACTTGACCCATGGCGGAACACCTTTTTGAATTGTCGTTTCATGGAAGTCCGATCGCACAAACCCCTCACATCGGACCTATTTGTAGAACAAAACAGAAGCAAAATTGCAAATGACATCATTCTAGATGGAGTAAAACTTGTAGACTAAGTCTGACACAACACCATTACTACGTCAAGGTTTCGCACCTTTTCAGCGTTGTTGAGGACAAGAAGTGACCTCAGACGGAAAGGGACTCGGTGGGGACGATTGGAGCATCAAGATTTTAGCTACATAGGTACCTACGAGGAGAGAGCTGAATCTTATGTCTCACTCAAACGTGAAGCTATATCATATCATATCTTCTAATTTCCTTATGGTAGTTACTCCTTTCCTGTCAACATTATCCAGACCGTATCTCTCCAAAGGCTAAAATCTTTTCAAGCGAAGTGTCGTTGTTCCGAGCCTTTCTCTTAGTTTACACGTATGGCACTATGAACACAGAGAAAGGGAGGAAGGAGTACTTCGTTGAAATTACATGGGAGAACCCCCAAAGTTCATTGGCATGGTGTAGGGATTGGGTGTCTCACCGGCGCAGATACGGGAAGTCCCTTTAGCGCCGGAGGACATTGTCGTTGTATGCGGCGGCTATCCTACGTATACATAGTGGGAAGAGAGAAAGGGGAGAGCTCAAATACAACCAAAAAACGGGCCTCAGGCCTATAATGATGTCAGATATTATAGAACGCTCCCTAATATCGTCTCATGTGATGTGTTATGCCCAATAGAATGCCTAGGTATAGGCATGGAGTTGTGGTTGGATGGACTGACAGATATCCTCATTAGAATCTTGACGTGGCATTAATATGGTAGTACACTCTAGATAGTATATGTCATGGCAGTGGTGTGAGGCCTTCGGTAAAAACGGCGATCCACCTGGAAAGGCGAGCCACGGGGCCGGGGGAGGGCAGCGGCGTCGCCGGATGGCCGTTTTCGAGGCCGACCGAGGACATGAGACGCTTTGCTCGACATTCATAGTGTGGGCTGCGCTGCGAAGACTGCGTCAAAAATGACCGCACAGGCCACATTCATATTGTATTCTATCCTCGTCGTGTCCCATTTTTGATTGTTTCTCCCACCACATCGTTGTGATACTTGGACACTCCACACAACTGTTGCTAACGCGATCAGGTCGGTCACCGCCACCTATTATTGAAAAACGCATTGAATTCAAACCAATATTTGAAGGAAGGATCAAAGTCCTTTGCATTACCATTGTGCTGAGCTTCGTTCTAGCACCCGCGCCAGCTGCTTCAGCCCAGGAGATCAAACTGATGAGGCGGTTTCACGCCTCAAGGCACCTTTTTATCGCCGCTCAGATGGGCATGCCATGCTGGTCTATTTCCAGCAACTGTTGGAATATAAAGCATCTGAGATGCCTATTATTAGTCCCTGATAAAGAAGTAGAAGGGCAGAAGGGCGGGTGGGCTGAGTTGTGGTTGGCACTAAAACAAGAAATGCATTGGGGTCTAAAAAGCAGGCACCAAAAGGAGGTAGATAAAGTAGGAACTGGCGGAGCGGATGGGCGAAATCGAGCAGCGGGAGGATATGTGATTTGAAGCTCTCGTGGCTAATCAGGAGACGAAGCAGAGCTAAGCAGAAGGCGGCAGGTGGGCTTGGAATTCGTCGTGTCCCCTATTACCAGAGCCAGGGTGGAAACTCCTGAAGAGGTGTCATAAGAGAAAGGGAACGGTTGGGGTCTAAGTCCTTCGGAGATGTCTTGTATTCGGTGTCTTGCGATCCAATCGCCCGAGTTGTTTAACAAGAGCATCCGTAGTCAATTATGACATGCTTTGGCCCTAACCCTTATCTCACGTCGATAAAACCATATCGACGCCCGGCCCGAACGGTCAGCATCGGCAAAACCGAGTCGCGCCTGGAACTTTTTTGTCCCCAAGATCTTCTCCTCCCTCTTGGGTGTCTTGCTCGCTTTTCCACGCCACTCGTTCTCCATGTATGCAATTCGCAACCATGTGGGCAGAGCTTTGTTCCCATGCGCCAGGCCCTGCCTCATCGCAGCGCGGGCCATATCCACAAGCACAAAGTCGGCCAAGTCCACAAAGTCCACAAAGTCTACCAAGTCTACCAAGTCTACCAAGTCTACCAAGTCTACCAAGTCTACCAAGTCTACGAAGTCGACAAAGTCTACGAAACCTACAAAATCCAAAAAGTCCGCAGACTCGCCGGCCGAGCCCGAATTATCTGATGTAAAGAGCGAGCTAGCTCGCATAGGCGAGGCAAGATACGAGGTAGCCCGTAAGCTGAAAGAAGAAGGAATATGGGGCTACCTGCGCGGCAGTCGGCGCAAAGGGAAAAACACCGACCGGTATCGCGTCAACGTTGTCAGCGAGAAGCTGTGCGATGACATCGTCAACTACATTAAACCGACCCTTGCCCGCCACGAGGGCTGCGACTTGATCGACATCTTCCCAGGCGCTGGCATCTGGAGCCGGACGCTCAACGACGTGCTTAAACCTCGCACTCACCTCCTGCTCGAGCCCGACACAGAATTCTACGAGCCCTATCTCAAACCGCTGCTCGAACGCCCCGGCACCAAGCTGCTGCCCGAGTCGGGCATCATCTGGGAGCACCTCAACAAGATCCTGGGCCCGGCGTATCTGCCGCACCAGGTCGAGCGGAAATACAGCCTCGATGAAACGCCCGAGCGCAACGACACTCTCCTGGTGACCATGAACTTGGCCATGCACCCCAAGAGGAAGTTCCGGTCCTTCGAGAGCTTGGCGCAGCTTGTGCTTTTCCAGATCGTCTCATCGATCCGGCCCGGCTCGCTCTTTCAGAAGTACGGCCTGGTGCGCATGCTCATATGGGTGCCGGATCTCGAGAAAGAGGCGATATTACCACGCACATGCCAACGGAGGAAGAAGATGGCGGTCGAGGCCGAAGTCTCGACCGACTACGTGTGTGAGATTGCCGGCGGCGAGCAGTCTGACTACGTGGGGGCGCGGCCGACGCATTGGTACCGTCGCGCCGCCGAGATTGATATGGAGAGTACACGCATGACGCTCGAACGCATGCGTCAACAAGGGTTCGTCTTACCACCAGGGCGAGAGCCACAGCATATGATACACTTTATGGAGTCACATCTGGAGAACATGCCTGGCATGAGCAGCAGCAGCAACGAGGGTTCGAACGAGCATAACTCTTCGGTGGATCGTCCTGCCCACGAGGAACTGGAACGGCTGGAGAAGGAATTTGCCCAGGGCTTGTTCGACAAAGAGTCGCCGGAATTCAAGCGCATCAGAACCCTCAAGTACTGGGTTGCATGGTCCGCAAAGCGCCACGTCAAAACCGACGACCTCCTCCGAGAATACGACCGCATCGTCCAGGCTTACGTTCGAGCGGGGTCAGACAAGAACCTCCTGGAGGAAGCAGCCAAGCTCACCGACGCTTGGAATGCCAAGGTTAACATACTGGAAAAGAGCCTCCGGGCCGAGGTCCTCCTCCACCGCGACAACGTGCACGTCCTGTACCAAGACCCACCCGTCCTTAGTTGGGATCGTCGCTACGTCGAACCCCTACGTGCACAACCCAACGAGTTCTTCCCGGCCGTCCCCTGCGCCCTGCTCGACATCCAGCCCAAGGCCGCTGCCCCTGTGCTGCGCGACATGGGGCCCAGATCGAACCGCGGCGGCGACACCTTTGATCTCATGCTCCGCCACCTCCTGCAGCGATCCTCGGACCCGGTCCTCAGGGCGCTCAATACCATCTATGCCGGCGCAGGCGACGGCGTCTTTCCGGAATGTCCCAGCCTCGTGGACCCTAGCTTGGGCGGGTCGCCGGTGGGCGGGGCCGGCCAGCTGGCGTCGCGGGCCCTGAACGAGAGGCAGCTCATTGAGATCATCGAGGCGTGGGTGAAGTGGCCGTTCAGGCCGAGCTATTCGGAGCTGGTGTCGCGGACGATTGAGGACTTTGCTGATAGCGAATCAGATGAGGTTACAGGAAACCACAATCCCGCTGAGGTAAATATGTAGGGTCATCTGTTGCATCGGGAGGTGTTTTGGTAGACAGACTCCACGGACCATTCTGTTGTAGCATACCTTGTATTTGTGGAACATTATGCATAGGTACATACGGCGTAGAACATCTCGAATAGCGCTAGAGTTATATCATGATGTTGCATAAGTTGTTGACGGCTTGAAATGGGGACGCCAAGCACCGTTTGTCATACGGTTCAAGACTCGAACAGGCCCGACTACCCAAGATGTAGGCCACTAAAGCACCCCTCCAGGTCCCACGAAGGTTTAGGCCTTTGTATCCAAGGGCAAGAAACCCTCGTCCAATACGTAGAAAAGAGTTGGCCGGTTCGATGACTCGATCTGCCCTGACCGAGCGCTGCAACACCCTGGACTGCGGGTTGCGGCTGCGGCCCGTGCCATCCCTGTAGATCGACCCCATCGCTCCCGCCCCTTGCCCAGATTAGCGAGTGCAACGGTCCTAGGTGTGTGTAAGTCGAACTAAGGCCTGCCCATGGTGAGATACGGAATTTCAGACGTCGGATTGCATGCTTGAGGAGGAAGCCAATTGGTCGAGAATGCAGTCTTCTATGTAGAGCACGGAGAGTCTTGCATGGCACTCTTCCTCCATGTAATCCTGTGTACCGGTACTTTCTAAGCGTGCTGCCTTGTTTGTCTCTGCCCTAACCTTCAGCGAGGCCCAGTACGATGCAACGCGCCTTCCTTGCCTTTCTGGTGTGATACGCAGTAACACGATTTCAGAATGTCTGAATCACTGTTCCACTGTCCTACTCATTCATTTCGCTTTGGGTTTGTTGTTTTGCCTTCAACGCCTTGTTCAGCTTCCTCTCCCCCCTGAGTTCTTGCTCCCTGCAATAGGATTGTAAACAGCCGACGGTTTTCATGTCGAGGTGACTCCGAAGCCCCAACTGACACAACTGCATCCTTGTCTCCGCTGAGCGCGCAGTGGTATGCTCCGGGTTCCGTCGCTACTGCCTTCGGATGGTCGACTACACAGAAACATTGTCTCGTAACTTCCAGGTTGGAAAGCGTCTCCCATACCAAACCGAACAAATCGGTAAAAGAAGTCCAATCCTCATTCTCCCTACTATGATACCATAACAAGATGGCCTTCCCTCGTCGACCTTCGGCTTTCCTCCGATACTTGGTATCCGCCCTCCTCTTGGCGTTGACCTTCTACAGTCTGACGGGACCAAACAATCTCTCCTCGCAAATCGGTCCGCTCCTGCCAACAATGTCGGGAAGACTGAAGTCCATTTTGTACGAGCATCCCATCGACAACTTGATCAAAGACGCAGAGAGAGAGTTTGCAAAGAAGATCTCGCGGACCGCCACGACCCTGGAGGCTGCCGCCCAGGCCTACCGCAAACGGAGGGGCCGACATCCCCCGCCGGGGTTTGACAAGTGGTATGAGTTCGCGAACAATAACGATGCCATCATTGTGGAAGAGTTCTGGGACCAAATCTATCACGATCTCGAGCCGTTCTGGGGCGTCAAACCGGCCCAGATTCGCAAGGATGCCCGCAACTTTGAAATGCGTATCGAGATCCGCGACCACAAAGCCTCGTCTAGGAGCGACTGGTTTTGGACGCAGATCTGGCTGCAGACGATCCAGACCATCGAGCACTTGCTGCCGGATATGGACCTTGCGCTGAATGCGATGGATGAACCTAGGGTAGTAGTGCCGTGGGAGGATATTCGGAGGCATATGCGGCAAGCAACAGAGAGAAGGGTGATCGTCCATCCCAAGGTGGTGGTATCGGAGTTTACCAGATTCCCACCGCCTGGAGAAGAGGACCCAGATGAAGAGGAGGCGCCAGAGACAACATGGGAGCACGAGAGTGAGCTTACCTCGAAGCAAGTTTTCGCAAAGATGTGTTGGCGTTGCTGACAGTTCTCGAGGGCACTACTGGCTCATCGCCAGACGCGGGTGTGCGCCGAGCAGCCCAGCCCGCAGAACGCAAGTCGCCACTGATTTCGACAACGCTCCTTCAGTCACGAGTGGTTTCCACCTCAAGCACATGAGACATGGGTACGTAGCCAACTACACCCTCAGTACCGACTTCTGTCACCAGGCCGACTTGCAAGCCCTCGAGGGCATCTTTGTCGAACCCCTCAGCGTCTCGACCACGAAATCCCTCCTGCCAGTCTTCGGTGGCTCCAAGTTGGCCGTGAACAACGACATTCTCCTGCCGGCACCCATGTACCTGAGCGAAGAAGATCGCTTCACAGGGGCCGAAGGCGCCTCTATCCCATGGGCGTCTAAGGAGCCCACCGTCATCTGGCGCGGTACCGCGACCGGCGGTTTCAACCGCGAGAGCAACTGGCGCTCGTTTCAGCGCCACCGCTTCGTGGCGATGAACAACGGCAGTCAGCTCGCACTCGCCGAGTCAAGCGGCGCCTCTAGCCCACCGCCCAACTTCGTTCTCCCACCGAAGCAATACTGCCTCGCCGCGCAGCGCAACAACTCGCTAGCGCAATGGATATCCTCCGTCACCGATGTCTCCTTCACAGACTTGATGTGCAGCTTCGACGGCTTCTGGCCCGGGTGCAACTACACCAACCCTTACTTCGCCGCCTCAGAGCCTGTCCCCATGTCGGAACAGTTCCGGCACAAGTACCTGCCCGACATCGACGGCAATTCCTTTAGCGGCCGGTATCTGGGCTTCCTCCGCTCGACCAGCCTGCCTATCAAGGCCACGCTGTGGAGGGAGTGGCACGACAGCCGACTGGTGGCGTGGAAGCACTTTGTGCCGATGGATAGCAGGTTTGGGGACTGGTACGGCATTCTGGAGTACTTCCTGGGGAACGAGGCCATGGGCGTGAAGGGGAGGGACGATGTTGCCGAAAAGATCGCCATGGCGGGGAGGGAGTGGGCTGCGAAGGTGCTGAGACGGGAGGATATGCAAGTGTATATCCTGAGGTTATTGCTAGAGTATGCGAGGGTGACGGATGACAGGAGGGAGGTGATGGGCTGGGTTGGGGACCTGGGGGAGGCTGTGGATTCGTAAACGCGGGTTCGTGGTGATGAAGGAGAGTCCATCTCGTGACTCCCTGCGCTCGTCTGCTGAAGGAGATGTGGCACCATCGCGTTAGTCGTGTTGCTTGTAGCCCTCCCGGCGCGTTGCATCTGAGGCTGCGGTGTTGCCGAGTCATCTCTATCAGGTAGTTGTTGTTGAAGACATGGGTGAAGTCTTGCCTTGTGATGTATTATGCTTCATTCTGTATGGCAGCTGCTGTAGAGGCCTGTTTAAACTTTAAAGGGCAGCATCCAAGACTGTAACCGTTGACACTTGACAGCCTCCTGATAGCTTGGGATCAATGCGGCCAGCATACCATTGAGTCTCAGATGAGACTCGAATTGAGGGAGTCCTGTTTCCATCTCAAAACCGAATTCGGTGTCAGCCGATGTCTCCGAGTCTCGGCGCGCCATCACTCCATGACACATCAAAAGTGAGACAAGAAAGGCATTCCAGTTTCAGTGGGATTCGCAATCTCTTACATAACAGTGCATCCCGTGAGCATCGCTCGGCGGCAATGGAGGCCGCTCCGGCCAGCGGTGAATAAAGGGAGAGCCGGGCAGGCACGGCGAACGGAAGGACCTGAGTGGTTGCGTGGCCCTGGTGGATAAGGGTGGACCGGCTCTTGCCGGCGGTATCCGCCCAAAACTCAACTCCTGCCGTTAACTGCAATCGCACTTATAACTTAACGGCAGTCGGGTCCGAGATGATGTCGTACTAGCATTCTTGTGCCTCCGGTTCTCTCCACGTGAGCGATTTGCCGGCACAGCAAATCCAGGGATGCGAGGAGGGAATAGGACCGAGTGACTCGATCAGATACCGATCCCGGGATGGCCCTGGGCTGTGTGGGTGGCATTAAGCGACGCCGTGGCCTGAGAGATATATATAGAGTTGCGTCTTGTCTATCCCGCTCTTTGTCTTGAGCCGTGGTAGCGAAGCTTCACGTTCCTTGATGACTGCAAAGCTGCCCGGCTTTTGACCTTTCGCAAACAAGCGCGCTCGCCAGTTATCCTGATCCGTCGTCGTGCTGACCGGCTCTTCGCTCCCACCGCAACCGCCTCTGACGCAGGTCTCGAGTCGTATCTCCTTCCCTTATCGCCGTTGGTGTCAGACAGAGTTGTTGATCGAGCCCCAACAAGGTGTGTTTCAATTTCTATTGTTGGCTCCCGTTTCGGCCGATCTCGCGCTTCGGCAGCGCCTGGGCTGAGCCCCACTAGCCCGCTGTGCTGTCACGGGTGTCTGGCTTCTGGAAATTCTTAGCACGGGCGCAGATCGCGCCAGGCATTGCTTGCCGCTGCGGCATGTGACGGGTCTCCATTGCAATAGCCTCCAGGATGTGGGCCAGATAAAGCATTTTCTGCTCTTATCTTCATGTTTTGTCTTCTCTTTTCTGGCGGGGTTCTTGGGTTCGACTATTAACGGGATCTTGCAGCAGAGTTGCGTCCTTTATTAGCTCACCACTGCTAGCTACTAGTACCTCACGTACGGCCTCCGTATCTTATCGACGTCATCCACCTAAGGTAGTCTCTCCTAACTTGATGTCTCCCTTCCGTGTCAGCGACTACGTCGGCGGCGAGGTGTCGATCCCGACTACCACCAAGACGATGCCCACGGCCGGCACGCTCACACCCCCGTCCACCACAGGCCGCAACTCGCCGCGCTTCTTCGGCAAGCTCAACACCTCCATGATCGAATCCAAGTTCCTCACCCACCCCGAGGACCTCGGCGTCGTCGCGGTCGGCTTCTCCGGCGGGCAAGGCAAGCCCGGCGTCGATGCCGCCCCGACCGCGCTCATCGAGTCAGGCCTGCTGGACCAGCTCCGCGATGAGCTAGGGTACAACCTGCACGGCCACGACACGGTGCACTCGTACAGCGACCTGCATCCCGCGCAGGACCCGCCCCACCGCGGCATGAAGAACCCGCGGGCCGTCTCGGCCGTCACGCGGCGCATTGCCGAACAGGTGTACGATCAAGCAAAGGAGGGGAGGTTGGTGCTCACACTGGGAGGAGATCACAGCGTCGCGATTGGGACAATCGCGGGGAGCGCCAAGGCCGTGAGGGAACGGTTGGGAAGGGAGATTGCCGTCATTTGGGTGGATGCACACGCAGACATCAACACTCCAGAGACGAGCGGCAGCGGGAACATCCATGGTATGCCTGTCAGCTTCTTGACAGGCCTTGCGAAGGAGGAAAACGAGGAGTTTTTCGGCTGGTTGAAGGATGAGCATCGGATTAGTGTGAAGAAGCTGGTGTACATCGGCTTGAGGGATGTTGATGCCGGGGAAAAGCGAATCCTGAGGGAGAATGGTATCAAGGCCTTCAGCATGTTTGATATTGACAGGTGCGTTTCCTAGCTCTTTCCCTTCACCCCCTCAGCAGAGCAACGTCCCAGGCTAACGTAAAGCCAGACACGGGATCGGTCGCGTAATGGAGATGGCACTGGCGCATATCGGCAGCGACACGCCCATCCACCTATCCTTCGACGTCGACGCTCTCGACCCCATGTGGGCTCCTTCGACCGGCACACCTGTGCGCGGTGGCTTGACGCTCCGCGAGGGTGACTACATTTGCGAGGTCGTGCATCAGACCGGCAGCTTGGTTGCCGTCGATCTGGTCGAGGTTAACCCGCGGTTGGCGCCGGAGAACGACATTGGAGCGCACGAGACGGTCCGGGCTGGATGTTCCCTCGTTCGCTGCGCACTTGGTGAGAGCTTGCTGTAAGACAGCGTGCGGAAAGGCACGGTTGTGGCGTATTATGGGTTAGACCTTGTGTTAGACTCGCCGGACCTTGGCATGTGAAGGGCTTGCGGTGTCGATGGATCCAGTTTGGAAGACTTGTTCGGCTTCGATGCCTCACCCATTTTCTTCGTGCTTCACATAAGTAAATAACGTTCAATAGACACAGAATCTCATCTAAATGTCTCCATCCACTACGCGCCAGCCGAGAGGCGCATCGCCGCTCGTGCATCGGACTCCGTCGAGAACACAGCAGGATCCGTCGCGGTTTGCCGGCAAGTTTCATGTGAGCTTCGCGCCGCCAACCACCGTCTTTTTTAGCACCTGCCCGACGGCCCAGCCACCAACATGGCAGCCCCACAACAACCCCCGCGCTAACGTTAAACCCGAAATGGACGCATGAACGACGACATTGTCTTCGCTGAAGTCTCTGCCGAGTGATGTGGCCAAAGTCAAGTCGATGAGCAGTCACATTGGAGCCCAATTATGCACAATTGGTCAACATTACGGATGATATAGCTAAAAGACTGAATCCCCTGACCTCGACATCTTGATCCCATCCGCAGCGCACAGACGACGGGAACCGATTCAATGATTCAATACCCCTGTCCCCCACAGTGCGATCCAGTCAGGCACCGATAAAGCGCACGCCAAGCCTCGTTAGTTCCCGCGAGACAACGACGCCGGCGCGGGCGCGGCGTGCAAATCCTCGAGGACTCTTCTGTTGCATCCCTTGACATCAGGCGCCATTCTTCTGCTCAGAGGGACTTTTGACCCTTTCCTGTCGCTCATTTTTATCCCATTGCCATCGCCCCGACCGACGCGCGCGACCAGACCCAATCTCCCAGCCACCAGAAGCTACCAGCTACCTGCCCCACCAAACCTGGAAAAGTGTGGGGAGCCCGTCGACAGCGCCGAACAGCCGAAGTCATCGCCAGCCTCTCGATATCCACAACCCGACGTGGCACTTGCTCTGTGTGCGATTGCGACAAGGCGAGGCGCTTTGCTTCATCGCAAGTGTCTGTTTCCTATCGAGGGGACGTTTATGGGAGCCGGAAACAGCTTGTCTGCGGTTTAGGTTACTTAGGCCCTTGGGCTGTTTGTTGCGGACGTGGGGTTTGCGACGGGACTTACAAACAAAGGCATTGTCCGGGCGGTCCGTTGCAGTTGGTTGCACGGTTGTGCCGCGATTCCGTTAGGAAACGAACGGTGCACAGTCGCTCTGCCCGTCGCTGCAACTCTCAAGTGTTTGAGCGGGAGGAGAAAAGGGGCATGCTTCAGAAAACTTTAGCGACGCCCCGATCCACGACCGGAACGAGCCTCCGTAGGTGACTTGGTGCCAGAGCCGAAGTCTGAGCCGAATTCGAACGTCGAAGACCCTGCCTCCAGCTCCGTCCTAGGACACCTTCCTTCGCAGTACTAGTACCCTAGACACCTCGGGTCAACAACCTGCGCCATGGCGTCCACCGTCACCAGCGGCTCGCTCGTCTACGAGCGCCGCGTGGTCGAACGCATACACAAGTACCATTGGCCAGCCGTGCAACTCAACCTCTGGATGCTCATCATGCTCATTGCATCCTGTCTCATCATTGGCGTCTTTGCGACCTTCATCCAGATCCAGAACCAACTGCTGCTGCCAATACCATGGTACGCGTCGCCCATTGTCTCCCTGGAGTCTCCCCTCCCACCAGAGCATTTACTGACAGAAAGCGTTGGCAGGTACTTCCCTTACTACATTACGGTCGCCTCCCTCACGGTGACCTTCATCATCCTCCTACTCTGGCTGATCTTTCAGCGGCGCCTGCTGCCCAGCATTGTCATGATCGGCGGCTTCATCCTCTTTGTGCTGTGGCTCACGGGGCTGATCGTCATCTCCATCCAGCTCTGGGGGCCTGACGGGTCGGTCAACTCCAATTGCGACATGTACGTGTTCGGCGCCGACCCGCAGCCCACGGGCCAGACCCTACAGACGCTGGCGTGGCTGCAGCAGCGGAACATCTGCCAGAGCTGGCAGGCCGTGTTTGCGTTTGGCCTGGTTGGGGCGATTTTCCTCTTGTGGATCATGGTTATGGCTTATCAGGTGTTTGCGGATGATTCGTGATGATACATACGGTTGACAGGACGCATGATGACTTCAAGTTGGATATTGTGGGCGCTGATGGGGTTTGTGTTCTGGCTGAAGTAGCAGAAGTACAGTATGTCTCTGTCTATCCTTACTGGTTTCCCGATATTTCTTTTCTCTTTGTCTTTTATCCGAGAATTCTTGGTTTTTAATGCATTGGTAGACGGAGTTGGCTGTTTGGGAGCATTGGAGTTGGCGACTTAAGCGCTAGGGTGGGTGTTGGGAGTTACTGAGGTACATTACTTACAGTGTCGAGCATGTGCACGGCATGTACCAGCAGAGCGAATCTGATAACAGAGAAATTCTTGGATCATGCTGTTTATTCGTCGTGGATACAGGCCAGGTCGATCCGGCTGGAACCGCTGTATCGGCAACTGAATGTCACAATTCGAGGGGTAGGCCGAGTAGCAGCGAGCACAGCAACTGAATCATAGGCTTAACCGCTTATAGAAAAGATGAACGACAAGAACGACAAGAACGACAAGATTGCGACAGTCTATGCTCATTCAACAACGCCAAGTCGCCGTGCACAAACGCACTACTTCCTCACGCAACCCTTAATAATGACCCCCTTCAACACAGTCAGTTTGGACGCGTCGCCATAGTCAGGGTTGGGGAGAGCACCTGCCCTGCTTCTCCTGATACTTGGTAAACTGATCCGCAGCCATGTTGGCTCCCTTGCCGACGTATTTGGAGTATTTTCCATGGGTTGCACCGTTGATACCTGCATGGCACACCATGTCAGCCAGCGATCCAGAACGAACCGTCGACACAGTCACGAATCCATCGCCCCACCAGCACACTCACCCATTGCTGCCCCCTGTGCAAGCGCCCGGTTTGCCGCCAGCCTTGCCGCGTGGTTGGGATCTTGATACTGGTACCTGCCACCGCTTCCACCATACTGGTACTGCTGCGAGCTGGGATGATAGCTCACATTGCCGCCGTTGACGGTTTGCTGGACGGGCCGGACGGCGAAGCCCTGGTCATGAACCTTGTTCTTCTTGTGCTTCTTGAAGAGGCCGCAGCAACCCATGTTGGATGATCTGGTGATGTGTGGTCTGAGAAATGGAGTTGAAGAAGGGACAGAGCAGACAGAAGGATCCTAGAACCAGGAGGCGGGACTCCACTGAAGATGGAAGAACATGTTATACCCTCATTGAGTTATTTTGAGTCGGATGTCCTGGTGCGTTTTGGGTCTTCTCGAGTTTGGTCACTTGTCGTAAACCCGGTTCTGGAACGAATGCCGCATGGGGTTGAGCCTGGTAACGTAACCAGAGGGGTGGCACATACAGTTCCCTTAATACCGTAGGTACGGTATTGAGATGTGGACTACCACCCGCGACCTACAGTCTTACATCAAGGTACTCCTTCTGGCAAAGTGCTCGATCCCTCATTGCACTAGAACTAGAATTAGGAGCACGCAATCCGTTTCGCAAACATGGCCCACGATATGCCGCACTTCTTCATTGTGTTCTAGTTGCTGCTTCAGCTTTCATGTTTATATTCATCTCTTGTCGTTCTATTCTCACTTCATGTCTCCCTCCGGAAACGTCAACTTCCGTTCTGACAGTCAACATCTAAATCCGACAACGGCCGCATGTCTGAGGCCTGGCAGGTAAATCGGCCGGGCTCTGTACCCGGCCTCGAAGTGGGCCGGGTCTTGGCTTTCTATTTCGGGCAACACGGAGCCGGATCGACCGGGGTGGCGCACCACTACACAGTACTCTCACAAGTTGACGTTCCGTCAACGCAGACCACGTCATGTCTAGCAAGAAGGCGCCAAACTAGGTGCCTTGATCTAAAAGACGAAATAGCTGAGTACCTTACCTTGGGCACTAAGCGATCACAAAAGTCATGTTATTAGACTGGGTAATAGCACCTTTTCCTTGCTCACCCATGGACTCATACGGGTTGTTGTAACACCCTGGACCCCCTTACCACACTGGCACCTTGCATAGGTACTCTCCAGGATCCACAAAAGCCTCCCGAGTCGCATCTCACGCTCAGCCAGGGCTTCCAAAGGTAAAGACAAGACGGCATTGAAATGCCTTCAATCCCCACCCTATTCATTTCGCTAACTCTTGGCAGGGGTAGAGCAAATTCAGGATCGATTCCAGACAACCTAAGGTCTTCCCTTGAATAGCACGGACTGAAATTTCTGGACCTGGTATTAGCATCAGAGTTTCTCCCGGCGAGCTCAAAGACATGGCAAAGGTGTAGCTCAGCACTGAATGGGCAAGTACCTTGAGTGAATTAAGGTACTAGGTAAGGTAGGTACCTAGGGAATGGTGCCCTAGATCTTAGCCCGAGATCGGAAATGTAGGTAGTCTCGCTCCGCTTGGTGCATGTCGGCTGTCTTCTGACATCGTCTGGACGGCGGAGTTTGTCAGGCTACTTGTTTGCGAAGCGTAGATGGGATGGCACATAGGATTGATTTGGTCCTGCTCTTTAATCTAACCGAGAAAGGTTGGAGGGTGGATGTCCTCTCGTCACTGATACCCCTTCCTAGGCATATACCTTATATCCGTATTGTGTGATGTATTAGAGCAATCTCGTTAAACATCCTACTACGGTGCGGGTTATGCGATTGTACTAATTGACATTAATAAAGCTATTTGTTCGTTCCTCATCCATCACAGTAGAATTACAGGACACTTTTGCTCAAGATACCTTCATGAAACTACAGTCGAGAAAGATCCAAACCAGCTCGCACAGAGTAAGGTGCCTACTGTACTACACAGCCAAGCCAACTCCATTCTCCCCTCCCGCATCAACCCTCTCAACCGGACTCAGTGACGACCCCCCAACACTGGGCAATGGCAGGTTCAACTCAGACGGCAACCTGAACCCCGGCGTGCTGCCGGGCACCCACGCCTCCTCAGGCGCCCCATCCTCCTCCTCCTCCTCCTCCTCCTCCTCCTCCCGCCCCTTCTTCCTTCTCTTCTTCTCATCCCCCCCATGATCCACCGACAACGACAACCCCACAGGCGTAACCGGCTCAAGCACGCCGCTCCTCCTCGCGACATACGACTCGCTCGCGGCCAGCCGGTTCAGCTTCCGCAGCACCCTCTCCAGCCGGAACCGGGCGCCATACACGGGACTCAGCAGCGCAGCGGTGGTACCCCCGCGCCCGTAGGAAAAGGAGGAGGAGGAGGAGGAGGAGGAGGGAGAAGCGTGCTTGGCGATGATGGCGTCCGGGTCGTACGTGCCCAGCAGCGAGGTCCAGCGCTTCCAGAGGCGGAACTTGTTCGCCGAGAGGGCGGCGAGGAGGGCGCGCTGCGGCAGGAAATACCGGAAGGGTTGCGGCGACAGGAGGTGGAAGAGCAGATGCGAGACGGCATACTCCAGGAAGGGGAAGGAGGACATGATCAGGTGGCGCTGGGAGGATACCGTCGGGGGAGGGTGCCAGGAGAGGGTTGTCTCGAGCTTTGTTAGGAGGGCCGATGAAGGGGAGGTTGGAGATCGAGATGGAGATGGAGGGGCGGGCGCTTTGCGACGGCGGTGGGCGCCGTGGCCGAGGGATTCGAAGTCCCGCATGTTGAGGCAGGTCAGGCAGGCGCGGAGAAGGGTGTAGTGCGTGATGTCGATGAAGTCGGCGATGGGGAGCGACGGCGGGATGGAGGGGTTGCCGCGCGCAAGGCAGGCGAAGCCGCGGCCGGAGAGGAAGAAGGTGCGGACGGAGCCGTGGATCGGGTGGACGCGCTGCAGGCCGAGCGGTTCGTCGTGGGCGGCGGCCTGGCGGCTGCTGTTGTCGGACCTGAGCTCGAGCAGGCCGATGGAGCGCGCGCGCAGCCAGCGGTGGAACTGAGAGGGCGTGTCGGATGTGATTTCCGAGTTGCGAAGCTGCCGGAGCTCTCGCATCGAGAAGGGCTTGCCGATATTCAGGCCCATGAGGGGACCCGATTCCCTGTACAGGCAGAATGGGTTGGGTTCGGTGAGCCTGACTGCGAGAAGGAGGTCGTTGAGGCGCATTGGCTCGGCAGCGAGCATAGCCCATTGGAAGAGGATCAGAGACTCGGCTCTCTCTCGGTCGTTCAACGTGGAGAGCATCCACTCGTACAGGCCGTGGAGATCACTGGGCACTTCTCCTAGCGTATACTCGATCATCTCCTGCGTTGCGCCCTCGATCATAGCCGCGTTCAGGATGTTGACCACAATCTCAGCCCACAGAAACACGCCCCCGGACTTCCGGACGACCGTAGTAATAATCCGATTCCGCTCTTTCCACCCACAAACGAGATTAAGCTTGACATAGCGCAGTATGTCATCGTTGTTACGCAGGTGCACGGGGATGCTTATCACGTTCTCCTCCTCGATGATCTCCTCGCGATAGCCGCTCGCGACGCAGATGCTGAAGTCTGAGTTGTGGGCAAGGTGCGACAGCCGGTCGAGCAACTCGTGGACGTAAGTAGGGCCCGCGTCATCCGCTATCTCGACGAAGATGAAGGTCCTTCGGGTGGACGTTTCAACCTTCCGCTTGACGTAGTAATCGGCAAAAAGGGAAACGATTTGCGCGTCATCAAAGGTCCGCGGGCCGCTCCGTGGCTGGCTGTATAAGGCAAGGAGCGCCTTACGGAGACGCGGATCCTGGAGGAAGAGCTGGGCAAAAAGGTTACGAGCGATGGGCGCGATTGGGTTGGCCTCGCGACCGTCGGGAAGGGAGAGGTCGGGAGGGATATCGTAGGGTTGAGTAGCGCTCCAGATAAAGGAGGCGCCCGCAGGTTTCCACTGCTTCTCGAGCCTGTTCCGGAGCGATCGGAGTAGCACGGACTTACCGCAGCCTGACGTTCCTCGCAGCCAGAGAATCTTGTGCTTGTTCGGGCCGTTGCGGTGAAGCCACGCCTGAAAATCGTGCAGGTCGTACAGCCAGAGGCATGTGCCCGGGTACACGGTGGTAGGATGGGTCTCGGGCTGGGTAGACGGCTGCGGTGGGGCAAGCGCGGAGAGGCATTCTGGACATGGGTTAGTGTAGGGAGTATCTCCCGAGAGGGCGCTTGGGGGTAACCCACCCGTCTCTTTGGTGTTTAACTCATGGCGCTGGAAAGCCGTTAGCCTGTCCTCTAGACCCGGACCAGGAAGTGAGATATCTCACGTACGCCGTCCTCTTCCCCCGAGACAAACGCGGCCAGAGTCCTCGCCAGAGCGCGATATCCGGCGTCCCCCGCGCTGCCAAACTTGCAGATATCGTCGTGCAGCGCGTAGATGGTCTCGGCACTTTCCCTCGGGTCGCCAATGAAGCTGGCAAGGCGCCGCATGGTCTACGCCGGTTAGCCAGTCCTTGAAAGCTGGTTCCCGGGGCAAGCAAACCGCTCAAAGCACTCACCGTTTCTGCTCTAAGCTCCGCATTCCGATAGCTCGGAATCACTGACTCCTGAAAGGTCTTAATCTTGAAGTTGTAATCGTTCCACAGCCGCACAAACGTCTGGCGGCCGAGCTCGACCTCAACGGTGTTCGCACCGCACAGTTCCTGGAGAACAGGATCATTGGGATCTGCGGCCATGGTGACGCTCGCCATGCTCCTGACGGCATCGCCCAGGTTGCAGTGTTCTGTCCCGCGGTGCGGACTGCCGAGGAACACGACGGCCGAAGTAGACAGCAGGACCCTCTTCAGGGGCCCGTCGCGTTCAGCTTCGGATAAGCGGAGGACCTGCGGGATGCCAAACAAGTGAGAACACGTGTCGGAGTAAAAGCGGTACCTTTCACCTACCTCCTTGACCAGCACACCGCCTGTGGAGTGAGCGATGAAGATAATTGGCCTGGCTGCGGCACCCAATCCTGCGCGGGTGCCGGCCAGTTCAACCAGCAGTTCCTCGGAATGGGCAAAGACATCCCCCTGGTGGCGGAGGGGCTTCCCGTCGGCGACAAGCGTTTGGTAGCCCCAGGTGAAAATCCTAACATTCGGACATGACGCGGGAAGGAAGTCCAGTGGCCAGAACGCGTCGACATCGGGCCCGGCAGATTGGCTGGCCGGTTCAGCAAGGTCAGCTAGCGCTAACCTCGTCGACGACTTGGCTGATGCCTTCCTCAAGAGACTCCTCGATCTGCTAGGAGGACTTTGCTTGGTCCGTTCGCCAAGGCCGTCGAGGTTCAGTCGGGACGTCGACTTGGTCGAGCTCTTCCCAAGCAGAGTCCTGGATCTGCTCAGGGGGCCTGTTTCTCTCACAAGCACGGGCTCCGAGTTTGATCGTCGAAGTCGCGTTTCAGGCGGCACTTTGGTCAATCTTCTCTTTATCCCGGGCTGAGGATGAGGTCCCGTGGGCTTGTCTGCTGTGGGAGCGTGATCCTGGCCTCTGTATGTCCACGTCCGCACGGGATGCCCGCCAATGCCATGGACAAGGACGATGCTGTGACGATGGTTATCAGAGGCGCTTCAAACAGCAAGTACGTCTTCCTGCTTACTCGACTACCGGGTCTGTCGGCCAGTCTGGCTCGTACAAGAGCGTGAGTCCGGCCGACTTGATCGCTTCCTGACGGATTTTCATTGTGTTGCTGCCCAAGAAAGCATCACAGCGTCCTGTGTAGATAGGTAGGTAGTAGTTAGGTAGCTAAGCTACTGTGCAAGAACGCAGCGTGATATTGCAGGGTCACGTTGCAGATCATGGCATGGGCAGCCATTTAGAAAGACGGCTACACTCATCACACTCATCATCCATGTTGGTATGGCAGGCTAAGTATGACACTGGAGAGCGGCACAAGTTATCGCTGATGGCCAGTATTATTAGCCTCGCTGTGCCGCTGTTTAACGGGAAGACAAGAATAATAGTTATAAGTGAGCCGGATGAAACGGCGTTGGCCTGGCCACTGTTTGCTCCGCATTGTTTTTGCCTGTGGTCCAAGGTGGCCGGAACCGGGCCGGCGAGGCTCACTGCTTCAACTGTGCCTCTTTCAGGACACGAAAACCCGGCCACTATAACCGAAGCGGCTGTTTGGGGCGCTGGAAGAGAGATAACTCACTTACGCCTCTGCGCCCGGGAACAAGTCCGAATTGACAGCTGCATTGTCCGGGAAGGCGATGACTGATGCGATGCGGACCACATCCCGTATTCACCGGATCCAGCGCCTTTGCCCGGGACAAGCGGGAATTGCGGCAGTGGCATTGACCAAGCAAGAAGATACCGGAACTCTCAAAGTCTTGCTAGTTGCATCAAGCACAAACGCGGCTACAGGCCAGAAGATAAACTGCCCGGAGGTTGCTGGGCTTGCACCATAACGTCACTGACTGACCACAGCCGCCACAGCGCCACAGGCGGGGGCAAGGCATTCACACGAAGCCAGCAGGACAACCTTTTGACGCACAAGATGGTGATAGATAGGCCAGTACTCGTCATGAGTGGTGAAGTGATGCGGCAGTTGTGATCAACACGTCCTTTGCATGAGAGGAGACGATGCTTCTGCCGATGATAGTGGGAGAGGAAGAAGGGACCGGGCTGCGATGCAGTTGCCGCCAAGGACTTTGACGGCTGTCAGATGCTGCCAGGTGATGACAAAGCAAAGGCTGCAGGTGACGCTCCACTTCCGCCGCTTTCCGAATCTCCAATGCTTTCGCTAGCATGAACTGGTAGCAACCCCAAAGATACCGTAGTGTATGGAATGCGCCCATCCACGCCGATACAAGGCAGCGCAAGATGGCCCCATGGGCTCGGCTAATGTGGGCCGCTTGGCTAAGGATTGAAGTCAGTGTCTTCTAGGTGACTTGCGATTTCCTCGACACATTTGCTGACTCCGTTTGTTCCAGGATGTTATCGTCGCTCAAGTAAGATTCCGATTTGATGCCGCTTCAGTCGCTCGTCTCCTGACATCCCGGGTGCTGCAGCTCCTTCGAAGCCCAAGTTTCCATCGTGGTGTTCGCCGAATCCACCGCACTGTCGAAGAACTTCGCTATGGTCGGGACCCGAGTGAGCCGCTGCGGCAGGGAGAGGCGACAGGTATGCGATACGTGGGTGAACGGGAGCGCGCGGATGCTGACAGACCACAAGCCGATCCGACCAGATCCTCAAACTTTCTAAAGCACTTCTTTGACGAGTTGAAGAACCAGGCCCGCGGGAAACCAAGCGAGCCCCCAAACCCGCCGAAGCGGTGATGTAGAGCACCCTCTCGTCCCTTCGCGCGGCGTCCGGAGTGCGCTGTGTCCTCCCTTGGCTAGAGACATTGGATCGGCCTTGATTAAGGGCACGTGTTACTTCTCGCCGTCGGCAGCTTCGCAGAAAGTGGGAGCAAATGGGGCTTAGAGGGTAACAGGCTACGAATTCTGGGTTTGTGCGCCCAGCAGTCCATGACCGCAAGAATCGGGCCACTCTTAAGGGCACCAGAAGAGATACAGGGCTTGTTCGCGGGAAGGGCGTGTAGAGAGCCGGGACAGCGTGAAGGATAGCGGACTACACTCTGGAGCAATGGACACAATAGCAACGTGGCCTGGTACTAAAGTCCTGGCATAAGCCCGAGGATCACGGCACAATGCTGCTTCACTCGTTGCAGCGCTAAAGCACCCAGTAGGTTCACTCAAACATAACCCCTGCTGAGCGTGAGTTGCAGTCAGCAGTGTGTCACTTCTAACGTGCTTCTTCTCAATTAGACGTCTGCTTGCGAGATATCCCTCCAGGCGGTGAGCCTTTAAACCCTCCCTTTTGCCTTGTAATCTCTCATGGGTTACCAATCAGAAGTGATCTAGCATTCCATGTCCGGCCACCTTGTTTTCCCTTCCATCTCCCGACAGGCCTCAGTCCCAACACCCGGACGACATAAAACGCCGCCCGTTCTCATCCTCCCGTCTGCCAAGACGGTCACCGTCGCACCCAATCGTGGTCTCTTCCTCGTCCAATCCCACTATCCATCCTAGTGGGCATGTTTACAGCGGCGCACTCTTGTTGTGTTCGAAAGCCACCTTGAACCCCGATAGGGCTGAGGTGGGGAGAGCCCAAGACATGGGGCGAGGCCATCAAGGTGGGGTTATGTTGCCAAGGGTGTACGCTGTAACTCTCATACAGGGCTGCTCCACAACCGTTATGTTGTCGTCATAGCTCCCGGACTGCATGTAATTCAGTCGGACTTACATCATTTGCATCATACCTCACACTAGAAGCATGGGGACAATGCAAGATTCACCGACTTGATTCGGGGTCTAAATATCATACAAATAGGCCCTCTCCGAGTGTGACCGTCACTCACCAATTGACCTACCGCAAAACCGGTAGCTACATGATTGTTACTTACCTTACACACGTTCCTCCTAGCAATTTGCTTGTCACCGAACGAGGCCGGTTCATTAGTACCCACTGAGTTCCTGTTCGTGGCTAGACAACCGTCAAGATGGCGATGGTTCTACAGGTAGGACACGGTTCCTCGTCCCATGCAGCAAGTGGGACATGTTGCATTCAAATAGGACTGCGTGAGCTGATATAATGACTTGCGTGGCAGATAACAACATTCTTGCAGCAATGGCTGCTTTCGCAGCCAAGCGTCAAGAACCTCCAGAAGGAGAAAAATCCAGTCCGCTTCGGCATCCTTTCCACGGCCATGATCAACCCAGCAGCGCTGATCCATCCCGTTGAGACGCACGGCGACGCCGTCATCACGGCCATCGCAAGTCGCGACAAGGCGCAAGCCGAGAAATATGCCAGAAAGTACAGCCTCGAGAAGGCATACGGTTCGTACGAGGAGCTGCTCGCAGACCCCAACATTGACGCTGTCTACATCTCTCTTCCCAACGGCATGCATGCAGAGTGGGCCAAGAAGACACTGGCTGCTGGAAAGCACGCCCTGGTCGAGAAGCCATTCTGCTCCAATGCCGATGAGGCCGTCTCCCTCATCGACGCGGCCAAGAGGTCCGACAAGGTTGTCGTGGAGGCCTTCCATTGGAGATTCCACCCGGCGGCGCACGTGGTGAAGGAACTCGTCCGCTGCGGAAAATACGGCAATGTGCTGTCGACGTACGCGAAGATGACCACGCCAGCCGGCAGCATCCCCGGGTCAGACATCCGCTGGCAGTGGGCTCTCGGCGGCGGCAGCTTGATGGACATGACGTACACCGTCTCAGCGACGAGATTCTTCCTGGACGCGGGTGAGCCCGAGACGATCGAGTATGCCAAGGCCAGGACGCTCAAGAAGGACAACCGTGTCGACGAGGCCATGAACGCGCGCATGACGTTCAAGACGGGCAGCGGCCGCGTCGTCAGCAGCGAGATCTACACCGACATGAACCAGGCTTTCGCTGGACACGTCGTTCCCAAGGTCTGGGAGATGCCGTCCATCCGCATTGAGCTGGAGCATGCGATCATTTACTACTACAAGTGAGTTCTGACCGACTGGATGGTAGAAGTCGGTAAAGCCGTATCTTGTGGCGCCAGAGACTGATACCCCTTCTCTTCCTATCAGTTTCATGATGCCCCATATCTACCATTACATCGAAATCACCGACAAGCGAACGGGGCAGCGCCATACTCAGAAGCACTACTCGTTTGGCCCCTCTTGGGGTCCAAGATCAGAGCCCTGGTGGAGCACTTACCGGTGAGTCCCTTCGATGCCCGCTATGTAACATACATTACGATCTTCTAAAAAGCTGATGAAACCTGTCTCAAGGTACCAACTCGAGGCATTCGTCGACAAGGTCAGAGGGAAGGAGCCCGTAGCTTGGGTTCCCCTCGAGGACAGCCTCGCGCAGATGCGGACCCTGGATGCCATCTACGAGAAGTCGGGGCTGGGGAAGAGGCCGAGCACGTCTGCTGTCGCTGGGAAGAACTAAGACTGTATTGGTAGGCTTTATGTCGGAGTAGGCCCTGTGTGTGAAACAAGTTGAGGGAGATTCTCCGGGAAGTGGAAGGGTTGTAAAGAAAGGAACGCATCGAAATGGCCGTCAGTACTGTAGTCATAAACGCATTGTTAAAAGCTTTGACCAATCAACCTCCTGATTTGATGGGAAAACCTTATGCTAAGGACGATGGGTGAACGGACTACTCTATGGATCTTCTAAGCATGGAATATATATATCTATGTGAACAAAAGTCCGCCTCCAGCTCAATGCACGCTGGGCTCCGCTGTGTCTCCGAGCTCCGAGTCTACGCTGCCAGATGACGTGTACTTTACCAGACAGACCAAAGGTATGTACAATACATGTACAATACACACCAGCCACAATCTATGATGCATCCCCTTACCTGCCCTCAGCAATCGAACCCGCATATGTCCCTCCCCACCCTTATTCGCGCGGAAGTAATACGGCACAAGCGTCAACCTCCTCTCCTGACCGAAGACCGGAGGGCCGGACGACGCGACGACGCCGCCCCCTTGACCCGCCGGCTTGGGACAACGCCCAACCGCCCATGGTTCGCATCCAGCACAGTGGACGGTGTGGAGCGCAACGTACGGCTCCCACACGCTCTCGAGGACGCGGCGCTCCTCGGCCACGGTTGAACCCCGTCCTGATGGCGATGTCCTTGATGTGGTTTGCCTCCCAGCTGAGCAGTTATAAACCGTAAGGCTGTTAACCTAATAGCATCAATTCAATCTACATACATAACGGCAGTTCTCTCCCCCACGCCCCTACCTAGGCCAGCCTAGTCCAGGACTCTAGAGTTTGCGGACTGGCTGCATCCCGCGGCCCTGCCACCGTACTACGGGCACTTTTTCCGGGGAAAAGACGATAGCTGTCGCAACATCGGCTCCTAGAGAAAGTGTTTGGCCGGGGCATTTGGGTGAACTCGCCGGTGTGGTTCCTCGAATAGCTACCTTAGTGGCCCGGCGCCCCTAAAACGAGCATGGGGTGGAAGGCCAAGTCCTAGATCACTAGAAGGAGATGGTAAGCTGACCATCAGAAGCGATCCCTTGGATTAGAGCGGTTCTCGCGCGGTGATTGCAGGATCTATTTTGCCTTGAGTGGGTTGTGTCCTAGGTATTAAGGAAGCTATCTTACCACCCCGCCATTGTCGCCCTTGAGAACCAACAGAGTTGTCCGCAGTGCTTTGTGGTTGTTCAACTTGTTTACCGGAACATTCTTACTCAGCACTGCAGTAAATGACTTGTCTACCCACGGGCGAGTTAGGTACATTAACCTCACGGTTGCGATACCTTCAAGCCAATCTTCGGGAGCAACCTCGTCACGGATACCAACCCCCACGAGCCCGCCCAGGTAAAGCATCAGTGTGGGATTATCCTGACCCAATTCGGTGGTGTAGGTATGCTTGCATTGTATGGAAAGGGCCGAGAAGATCTCCTCGTAGCGCGACGATTGCGAGAGATCAATGTCCAATGCAAGTGACCGGATTTTCAGAACCCTTGCTCTCGAGTGGCATGGATCTGAGGAGACGCGGGCGTGGTACTGGGATAGCGGTATAAATCTGGCGGTTAATGGATGTTTGATGGAATGGGGGCGTTGAGATTTTGATCCCGTCTGGGAGCTGTTCGACGACCCCTTGATCAGTGGTTCTTTTGGTTCGGAAGCTGGCCCCTGGTAAGCCGGCATCAATACCGCGTTCGAGCGATACAATAGTGCAACGGCTACCGAAGTAAATCCAGTCCATTTGGGTAACCCGATATGCCAAAGTGTCAGGTTCGTCTTGGGATATGCACAGAGCATCAATCCATATATATCGCTCGCCAAGTCGTTTTGTAAAGGTGATCAAGTCCTCAAACGTTCGTAGAAGGCTGGCAGACAAGAGTGCTTGGGGCTGTTTCTCCAAAGGCCGAGTGCCGGGAGGGAAGGAGAGTGTATTTCGACTTGACTCTTCGACCATGGTGTACTTTTGGTTTGCCGATGTTCGCCACACGTACGAGAAAGTCAGGTAAGGGACTGGATAATTATTGAGATTGGAGGATGCGGCGCAACTCGACGTCGAGCAACCGAAGCGAGCGGTCAGTATATCCGAACATGGTATTCGCTGCGTGGCCCTAAGTAGTAAGGGGTGCATTTCTTGCTGCAGGATCCGTGGGTTAGGTCACAGTCGTCAATCCAGGCTCGAATAGGTATGGAAACAATCGGCTTGTGTAGGATGGAGAAAGTGAAGTGGTCCGTAAGCAATACCGCACGACACATCGATGTTCTCTGACAACCATGTGAAGCTCACATGACCTATCCGGTTCGAGGGAGATGTACGGATACCGATATAAGATGGCTTTGCGTTTCGTGCCGCGTATCTTCCCAGCTCCGGTTGGTGCCCTGAATCATGATTCGTCGAAGTTCGTGATGCGTGCCATAGGAAACGACAGAGCGGGCATTCTTTAGATGCTTGGAGGTCTAAGAGAGATTTGTGACGGACTCGCGGCACACCGTTGACGATGATTTGAGTCGGAAGATGCTGGGAAGCAAATTTCATGGCTTCGAGGAGGCTAAGAAGCACACTGTTGACCACAGTTTGATTCGTAAGACGTTGGGAAGCAGATTCGATGGCTTTGGGGATGCTAAGAAGTCTAGAGCAACATCGGCAAACCGAGTCGGGTTGCGGTTCCTGATGGAGGTGCTGTTCCATTTCCGCATAGGCATCGGTGAAAAACTTGGGTGCGAGAGGCTTTGCCGGGTCAAGGCTAGCCGTATCAGTGTCCGTCATTTTCGTGGGATGTGTAGGACGTGGGACATGTCCTATCCTTCCTGGGTATGGGTGCTTTCTAGCATGCCGGCTGATCAAGGTGCAGTTCCCCAACCCGTATGAAACGATACGTCTAGCGGTCATACAAAGTTGTCGCCACATGGTAGTGTTCATTTGTCCATCCGATGATACCAGTGCTTCAGAAGTTGACAGTGATGATGGTTCGGAGACGATAAACGAAGGTGAAGCTCGTGAGTCATATTTCAACAGCGCTACGCCTGCCAGTTGGAGTCTGGCGGAAGTACGTTGTAGCTAACCCCAGCCTTGGGATTGGGTCATCATGGTGTGACATGAACCGAACCGTGTGCTTTATCTCTAAGATAGTTCGTCTACGGTTGGCCGCCTGGTCAAATCAGTCGACCGAATCCTAACGATTCAAACAAGTACCTTTGCCAGAGATATACCTCGTAGGATAGGTACTAGACCGGCGTAGTGCCTGGCCCTCCTAGAGTGTGGGTGTGTTGTTAAGATAAAAGGAGGCTGCTAATGATCCACGTGTGGTATTAGGCTTTAGAATAACTATAAGGAAGATGGCCTTTTTACTTCTACCTCTTCTCTTAGACTTACTCCCTTATATCCATAGGTAGGATAGCAAAGTATTAAGGATCCATGCTAAATAGGGTACATACCCATAAGCGTTTGGAGGTATGCATGTTTTTGCCGTGAGATCTGTTTCCGAGCGAGTCTTTCCAGGTTATATAGGACGTAGCGCTAGATTATGATCATTATATGTTTTGACCTGTGTACCTTAGACCGGAGAACAGAAGGGTGTAGGCCATTTATGTCGGCCAACCAACATTTTATGCTGGGGGGGTATAATGCTGGTTGGTCGACGGCCTGCCAATGGACATTCGCTTTCGGCTCAGGTGAGAACCCCGCGCAGCACAGGATCACCACAATCGCCCGACAACACTGATTGCTCACGCTGCAGATTTTCTCGACGTGTTATGCCATTGTACACCACGAAAGTGCTTATATGTATACAAAACGCGTTCATGGGCTGAGAAAATGTCCTCTCTTCCTGACATTCGACTGCAGATCTGTGTCCTAGGTAAAGCCCCGTCCAAGTGAAGTGGTGCTATGTATGTTCGTCCCAGGTTCCTAAACTGACCGCACATTCTAGGACTGGTCCGTGCAACCGAGGCCATCGCATGGAGCAGCATCTTTCCATACGCCTACTACATGATTGAATCGTTCGAGGTCCTGGAACATGATATTGCCTTCTATGCCGGTGCTCTGGTGGGCGTCTTCACGTTCGGCGAGTTCCTGACGAACATTGTCTGGGCTCGTGTCAGCGACCACATAGGACGGAAGCCGACTCTGATGATCGGCACATTATGCAGCCTTATTGCTGCGCTCTCGCTCGGCTTGTCCCGGTCGGTTGCCATGGCCATTGCTTCTTGTGCTTTTGGCGGCTTGTTCAATCCGAATGTCGGATTGGTGCAGACCTGCACTGGCGAGCTGGCGAATAAGGAGCAGCAGGGTAGGGCCCCATTTCCGGAACGGGTGCTGTACCGCTTCGTTGCTAGGGGGTTTCGTTGATATAGCGATACGTACAGCACGAGCATTTTCTCTCGTTACCTTTATCCCATCTCTCGGGTGAGTATGCCGGGATCATGGAGATCTCTCGATCGGACTGCGGTACCAAACTGCTGCTTTGTCTACTATCCATACCCGCAAAACTGATTTGTGCCATTGTGGTGCAGAGACCTCTTTGGCCCTGTTCTAGGTGGTCTTCTCGCCAAACCTGTCGCCTCATACCCGTAAATATTCACTTCACCATCGATATGGGCTAGCTATCCATACTTACTTCCCAACCTCGTCGTCGGCCTGCTGCAGATCCTCACCCTGCTCCTCACCTTCATGTTCCTCCAAGAGACGCATTCGCAGTTGATAGAGCGCCGCGATCCGGGCCTAGCCATCGTATGGCTCGTCAGATCATGGTTCGGGAAGGAGTCCAGACCACAACGAGGAGTATACGCTCCGCTTCCTGATGACTCTGTCTCACAGGAAGGGCCGCAAGCTTCTGCAGAGACACACGAACTCGATGACCTGGAGGACCAGGCGCAAGAGGCAAAGGCCGTGCCAACCTGCGCGTTCACGCTTCAGGTATTGCTGCAGATTCTGGCTGTCTCCCTGCTTGCTTTCCATAAGATGTCTGCAGACGCGCTCTCGGGCACCTTCCTCTCGTTGGAGGCTCCATCCGTGGGAGGACTGTCCTTTCCGCATACGAGAGGCGGCTTTGGTTTCAGCACGCGGACGATTGGCATCATTTTCCTCACCAAGGCGATCTTCAGGGTGATCATCCAGCCGACCTTCATCCCCTGGTTTATTTCGAAGCTGGGAGCCCTGCGCGCCTTTCGGTGCGTTCTCGGTCTGTATCCAGCCATGTACCTGGCGACGCCGTTCCTCCCCAACCTGCCGTCTCCGCTGGGGCTTATGGCCTTGTTGCCCGACTTGTGGATCAAAGTCGCGCTGTCGTCGGTGGGCTACGTTTGCTCGGCTATTCTCTGAGTCAGACACTTCTCGAGAGACTCTTGGCTTGGGAGAAGTCTAGCGCTGATGCACTAGTAGTATCACAAACGCCTCGCCCTCGAGTCAAGCGCTCGCTAGAATCAATGGCGCTGCTGCCTCGTTCAGCTGTCTTGCGAGATCCATAGGTCCGCTCCTGAGCGGGAAGCTCTTTGCCCTTGGCTTGAGGTTAGGGTATCTGCAGATCCCCTTTTGGGCGTTGGGAAGCGTGGCGTTGGTGGGTGCCCTTGAGACTCTCTTTCTCACGGATGGTAACTCCTAGGCCGCGCGTGGCTGGAGGGCTGCTTTCGGAGCCTTCGAAGTACTTCTTGATGTTTGTAATTCGGGGGAATGACTTGCACATCTGAACAGCTAATGAATGTCCCGTCTACAAACCGGGTTTATGTGTAGTGCCGATAGGTGAGCCATATGGTCTTGAGATGCTTTCCCTAGAAGTATCCTAAAATAGAGTCGTCGGTGATATAAAAAAAGAAAATGGTCCAAGCACCTGCACAAGCATCTCAGCAGCTTGCAAATAGAGTTCCACTTGGCCCCGCCGGTCCTCGTCGACGAGAGTAAGGTGGTCGTCCCACTCATCGTCAATGTCCAAGCCATACTGATTCGACAATTTGTTGTCTTCATCGTCTTCGTCACTTTCCTTCCGCTGTGTCTCGTCCTCTTCCTCTTCTCCGCTTCTTCTGTGTATGTAACAGCGCCCCGCAAGCCAGGGTTCGCACGTAGAGGCTGCCCGGTCAAGCTGTTCTTCAAAGCAGCATACTCATTAGGAAAGAACTTGTTGCACAAGATCGCCATGTTTTCTTTCACACTGCAGGTTGTATATCAGAGATTTGCGGGGAAGACGCTGGAATGCACGAGCTACTCACATTTGGCGTTGGTTACAGTGGATCAGGATTGCGGTTCCAAGATCGAAACGGAGCGAGTAGAGGAGGTTTCGGTCGTCCCATTCTTCCTCTGGACGAGCGGTTAGGCTTGCTGACTAACAACTGTCGTTTACCGCACGAAGCTTACCTGGGTGCGAGGCAGGGAACTCCCGCAGATAGCCCTTGACGTAAGGCTGCGCGCTCAGTCGGTGCCTCGCAGCTCGCCAATTCCCGATTTCGTACTCGTTGTGGCCATAGAAGGACCCGGCATCGAAAGTGAAGGGCTCGCCGGTTGCCATGTCGGTCGCCGTGTTCTCATCCCACAGGTCGCCATGCACGAGGTAAGGCGTGATACTGCGGCCGTCGGACTGGAGCGGCTCTAGCAGTCTCGGAATCACCTTGTCTAGGACAAGCTGGCAAGCGATCTTGAACTCGGGCCACTCGCTATGCTTCTGCTCGTCAAGGTTGATCATGTGGGCCAGCTGCTTGCGGTAGAGGACCGCCCAGGAGTCCTCCCAGCAGTCGGTGATCTGGGGCAGCTTCGCGTGGCAAGTTGTGACGTGAAATCTGAACTTCCCCGTTGGCGAGAGTGACTTCTTATGCATCTCCGCAAGACGCTTGGTAAATCTGATCGGGTTCGGCGGCTGCTCGCCGACCTCACGGTACTCGGCCACAAGGAAGTAGGTGCCCGAGCCATCGTACTTTCCCCAAGCATAGGGCTCCGGAACAATCGCTGGACTCACCGCGCGGATTGCCTTCAAAGACTCGTACTCGCCGAACATCATGGCTCGTCCAGTGTCTCCAAGGCTGGCAGTCTGTTGGTTGGTGGTTAGGGCGCCGAACAGATGAGCGTTTCGGATATATCATATCTGTGCTGAATATCTGGCTCAACGGCATACTTTGAGAAAATAGTTCTTCAATTGCCCGTCTGGGAGTTCAGCCGTGATCTTTCCCGTCTTACCCCAAAGGGACATGCCATAGCTGTTCGCGCCCAAGGGCTTCGAGCCAGGAATGGGAAGCGCTATTCACCGTGTATGCTTGTCAGATGTCCGCGCACGGGCAAAAGGTCAATGCTGTGAGGCTAAGAATAAAAATTGAAACTCGCACCGTTGGCAACGGCAGTATTCAGTTCGAATGAGGCTCCAACTTGAGGCCTAGGCACTGGCCCACTGGGCGCTTCGTTGCCTGCATGGCGGTCAACATCGAGCACTGCGCCCTCGTAGATTTCATGCTTGTGGTAGTCTAATGGCTGTATGGCCGGTAGGGCGGTATGAGAACACCAGGTGGTAGGTAAGTTATGTGGTTGAAGCAAGCAGAGTGGGACGAGTGATCGCTTGAAAAGTTCAAACAAAACGAGGAAGTCATGGTGCCCGAGCGGACGAAGGAAGGAATAACGGGCTCGGGGATGGCCGAACCCCACGACGTTTTAAATGCGCCACAGTCTGTGAAACGTAGCATAAGTCCCCGAGCACTGCGTGCAGCTTCCGGCTTTGGCGGCACAGATGATACGGACGGGAACTGAAGCTGCAGCTCCTGCTCTCGTCGAGGCTCTTGCTCGCCCTCGTGGATTCCGCTTGCAATTCCGCTGACCGGGAAACATTCGACTGACCGGGGATCTCTGAGCTTTCGAAGCAACACCATGAAATTTGGCGCATCTGTCCTCAGCCTACAGAATAGTGGTTTTCCCTTTGTCCGGTTTCGTTGTCCCAAATTCTCGCTAATAGCTCGATAGTTCCGAAGGTTCCGTCCCGACCGCCACGATCATCATGGAAGCGCGGAGTCAGAGGTCCAACCCGGAAACCCAGATGATTTACGTGCTGCCGAAGGATAATCTCTCCAAGACCTCCCCCTACGACCCTCTGAAACCTGGTTAAGCAGGGAAGAAACTACTGCTACCACTACGACGGTCGCCAGCTCGACCTTCGGGATCCGCAGCCCTGCCCCGACCGACATCGCAACGATTTCGCCGCCCCGAAACTCCCAAGGCTTGATGCTCGTACACGACCCCAGAGATCCCACCGCAGACATAATTTTCGTACATGGCCTGGGCGGATCCTCCTGGAGCACTTGGTGCTGGCGACATGATCCTTCCTTGTTTTGGCCCGCATGGCTTCAACATGAGCAAGGCCTATCGCATTTTAGGGTCTTTACCTTCGGATACAATGCCAACTGGCGAGGCCCAGATACGCCACTGAGTATCCTTGACTTTGCGAAGGGCCTTCTGGTTCGGATGAGGGGTTATGGCGACGACGACGCAAGCGCGCAGAGGTCACTTGGAAAGGTTAGTGCGACATCGAACGACACCGCTCGGCTCCGCGAGGCAGAGCTAGCCAGGGCTGCCATAGCGACCGATCATCTTCGTTGCCCACTCGATGGGAGGCCTTGTAGTGAAGAAGGTATGCGATGCACACTTACCTTATACACTCGACTGTGTACGGCCATTGCTCACCAGTCTACTAGGCTTATGTACTCGGGAAGTTTGACGAGCATTATACGGATATGGTAACTAGTGTTCACGGAATCGTTTTCCTGTCTACACCCCACAGGGGTTCTTCCTATGCGAGCTCCCTCAACACTCTCTCCGTCATGGTAGGGACATCGAACAAGGTGTACGTGTCCGAGTTGGACAGCAATTCCACTTCGATCGAGGATTTAAAAGGGCAATTCCGCGCGGTCTGTGGTAGTTTGCGTCTCGTCTCCATGTTCGAAACGCTTCCCACAAAAATATCACCTGCCGTCAGGAGATTGGTATGATCCCGATCCGGTATGTATGTACGAATGAGAGGGGATGATCGCTGATGGGCCTAGATCGTCGGAAAAGACACGGGAATCCTCAACTACCCGCAGGAGATCTCAGGCCCGGCGGACGCGGATCATCACACCATCTGCAAGTATCGTAGCCGGGTCGACGACAACTACATTCTGTTCATCACCTTCCTCAAGCAGATATCTCGTGATCTTGTCCCACACGGTAAGTTACCTAATTCCGCCGATGAAGATAGCTCTCTGCTGACAACTACTTAAGCTACACCTCCTGTGGCGCCCCCCGTCCCGATTGACCGAGCTCGAGCTCTTGAAGCCGTTCTTGGGATTGTGGAAAGTCCTCTCGAGGATCTGGAGAGATTCACTAGTCAGGCTTTGCCAGGGTCCGGCGAATGGCTTCGCGGACGAAAGACCTTCGCACACTGGCTGAGTGACCCTAGCGGAGAGGCGCGTCTATTCTCCTTGAGCGGCGTGCCCGGAACAGGCAAGTCTACTCTGGCAGCCATGACAATCCGCCACCTGCAGCATGTCTTCATGAATCAGAGCTGCCAATTCCATTTCTTCATGGAGTCCCAGCCGACGAAGCAGAGCCTCGCTTACTGCGTCCGGTCGATTGCTTGCCAGATCGGAATTGCCCACGACCTCTTCGCTGAGCGATTGCTTCGGTTACACCAAGATGTCGGAGATGTTCTGTCATCCCAGAAATATCAGACAATATGGGCAAAGGTGTTCGAAGGGATACTGTTCAAGCTTGACATTGGATACACCTTACACTGGGTATTCGATGCTGTGGACGAATCCCAGAACCCGCAGGCTTTCCTAAAGCTCCTCTGCACGATGCAGTCTGCTTCATGCATCGAAGTGATGTTTCTAACCCGTCCGAACAAAGACATCGTAAGCACCATGGCACAACGCGGTAAGGCCGCGGTGTTCGATACGATAAGTGTCCGAGACACGGCTGGAGATATCCGGGCCTACGTTGAGTCCGTCGTCAGTGAGACTCTCCCCAAAGAAAGTCGCATTCGGGGGGAGGTCATTGAACAGATACTATCGAGAACAGAGGGGTCATTCCTGTGGGCGCGCCTTGCCTTGGACAGTTTGCACCACAGCTGGCACACTCTGGGCGACATACGAAAGGCGATGGATGTCCTACCAAAGGATATGCATTCTTTATATCGCAACATGCTGCAGATCATCAGAGGGCAAGATCTGCGGCTCCAAGACATAGCACAGAGAATTCTGGCCTGGGTCGCATGCAGCTTCCGACCCATGAAAGTCGCAGAACTGCAAGCCGCATTGGAACCCGAGTTTGGAGGATTCATCAGTCTCAAAGACACCATCGTCGAAATATGTGGGCACTTTGTCAGGACCGACGGGGACATTGTATCTCTCATACACTCCACTGCTCGAAGCTTTCTAGTCACGCCCGACGCGGACGAGCCCGAGGTAGTCTCGTCAGAGGCGGGTCACGAAATGATTGCCAAGGCATGCCTACGGTACCTATCGGACGATCGATGGCGGCGGATTCTATCACAGGTCCCGGAAACCGGTACCGGGCACAAGGATCGGCTCGTCGCAGTCTACAACTCGCACTCGCTCTTGAGCTATGCGCTGAACAATTGGGCGTACCATGTGAGACATGCACCAGTCGACTCCCCAGCTTTGCTTCAGCATCTGAAGCTCTTCTTCTCGAAGCACGTACTCTGCTGGATACAAGCCGTGGCGCTCTCCAGGTCTCTACGTACGCTGCCGCAGGCGTCCCAGTACATCAAGCTCTATCTAAGACGACGGAAACGAAGAGCCGCGTCGTCACTCGACTCTGCGGTTCCACACAGCGCGTTGCTAGGCAAAACAGAAGTCCAGTTTCTCATACGATGGTCCGTCGATTTCATTCGTCTTCTCGGAAGGTTTGGTGAAAATCTGAGCGAGACTCCGTCTTCCATCTTCAAGCACATCCCGCCATTCTGTCCTAAGGACTCAATCATTGCTCAGTTCGGTGCACGCCAGGAGAATCCGCTTATCAGGGTTGGTGGGATTTCATCCCGCACTTGGGATGACAATCTTGCTAGGTTGTCAGTCGGACAAGATGAGCTGGCGTCGAAGGTTCGATGCACTGGCGTCTACTTCCTCACTCTAATCTCCAGAAACGGCACAGTGATCGTGTGGTCTGCGGAAACCTGCGAGGAACTCCGCCGTCTCGAACACGGCGAATGGGTTGTCCTCTTCGAAACGAACGGGACGGGCAGTCGGGTAGTCTTAAGCGGCCGGTTTACCTTCAAAGTCTGGGATATCTCTTCGGGACAACTGCTTCACTCGTTTGATAGAGATCCCAACCTCCGGCCAATGCAGCTTGCTTTTGGGGATGGCGACGCAAGCCTTGTTGTCGCCTACGATGACTATTTTGTCGTTTGGTACGATACCACTAGCGGCAGTGAGACGCGGAGCTTCTCAACCGAAGACCCCGAGAGACTTCGGGGTTGTCCCCGGCTCATGGCTTTGAGTCCGGACCTGACTCAAGTCGCTATTGCGTTCCGAGGGCGGCCGGTATTCGTGTGGGATATGAATGCAGCTTCTCCCACTCCACCTCGGCGATGTCTTCGCACCGCGGACGAGGTCAGATTGGACGAATCGGACGCCTACAGTGCCCCGGAGATTGCAGTTTGGCATCCCGATGGCGATTCCCTCTTCATCCTCTACCAGGACACGGTGATAGTCCACTGGAACATGATCGAGGACGAACGGTCAGAGCAGGACCACACCGTGGCGCGCGAAATGGTTGTGAACAGCGAGGAAACATTGCTGCTCACTAGCAACTTCAGCGGAGTATTGTCTGTGTGGGCATCGCCAAGGTTCAATCTAATCTATAGGCTCCATGCCAGCGACTACGTCCGGGATATGGCCTTCAGTCCCGAGTTGCAACGTATCTACGACATCAGGGGCTCCATTTGCTCCGCCTGGGAGCCGGACGCGCTTGTTCGCCCGGACGACATCGACCGTCATGCTGACAACTCAAGCAGCACGGCTGATGGATGGATGGTCTCCGAAGCAACATCAGAACCGGTATACTCACAGGTCCGCAGCGTTGAGCTTACCGCCCTTGCATACGACAGCGGCGGGGAATTCTACTGTTGTGGCAAGAGTGATGGAACAGTTGCCATCCACGACACGATTAAGGGGAAGATTTCGAGGAAGGTTTGCGCCCACGGAGCTACCAGCGATGTGATCAGCTTGACCTGGTCGGTGTCCGGAAGGTACCTCGTCAGTGGAGACGACACGGGGAAAATCATTGCAAAAAGGCTGAGGCTAAAGGAGGATGGCAAATGGGCAGTATTCCCAGTCTTCGAAACGCGATTCACGGACTCGGTCGCCGACCAATTCCTCTTCAGTCAAGACGAGAGCCTGTTGCTCATATCAACCCCTTGCGGTATCAAATCTGGGATCTCGCGGCTAAAACGGTGCTTCATGAAACGACAACCGCTGCAGAGCTGAACGGGCAATGGATTACCCATCCCTCTGACGACACCCGTCTGCTGTTCGTTGGCCAACACAACGTACACGTCCACGAGTGGCGGGATCTCACAAGTGAGACGGTTTACGACATCGCCACGAGTGATCCGGTTGACCAGATCGAAGAGGAAACCCCTCGACCACGGGATTTCAATGGCCCTGACAAGGTACAAACTTTAGCCACTACCCAGAGCCGCCGTTTCTTTGTCTGCCTGACTTCGCCGGAGCCTAAGAAAACGCGATCGAGAACGAACAGAGACAGGAATCAGATCAGCTTGCTCTTGGCAGCCGACCTGGGGCCTCAACCGTCAAATCCGCAACACAAAGTCAGACGCCGGCGACTGCCCGAGCTCTCAGCTCAGATACAGCGGTTCGTAGGATGCTACCGTGACAAGATAGTCTTCATCGACCATCACAATTGGTACGTGGTTTGAGTGTATTCCATCGCCTCCGTCTTCTTTTTCCCATGTCGGGAAAATGATATGAGTCTGGAAAATATCATTCTGTCCGAGCAAATATTGGTAAACCTCCCACTGATTGAGCTGCTGGACAGGTTGTGCACTAGTGACATCTCGTGGGACAGCAAAGCGCTGCCGAATGTTTGGCGGCATTTCTTCCTCCCGAGAGACTGGCTTGGTACAGAGTCTGCAATGCAATTGATACGATTTACCGAGCAAGGGGTTCTGCTCGTTCCAAGGAATGGTGAGGTGGCAATTGTGAGGTATGGGAGAGGGTTCTGAGGAGACAGTGCCAAGAGGTAAAGGTATAAGACATCTTTGTCTGGTACTTTCGAATCTGCCCGGTTCCAGGATGGTGTGGCTCACGTCAGTTCTCGGGAGTCCTAGAACTGTTCGATTCTATATTGAGCCTTGATAGCCTACGGCTTGCGGTTTTGGTTAGAAGGACCAATCTGTTCATCCGAAAATGCACGCCTTGATGATGACGACAATGAAAAATCTATTCGATCATGTACTTATATGGCGGATATCGTGTCTGTGGGAAAGCCTTCGCGCTCCCACCCCCCCAGACTACCTAGCTGGGCTGCAACAGGCCTCCTCCATTTCGCTCCCCGAGCTTGGTATCTCCCAATTCCTAAAAAGAACAAGATTGACCTGTATCGAAAATCGCAACAAGTCATATAGAAAACATGCCGAGCCTCTTAGCTCTCATCGACTCATGCCTCCACCAAGACAGGACAAACACCTTCATCAAGGCGTCCCCGGTGACCCGACATCCAGGTTCGGGTCAAAGTTGGCGATGGCCGGCGGCTTCGCGCGCCCGATGGCACCCGGGAAGGTGGAGTCTTTGAAGTCAATGGTCGCGGCGCCAAAGTCGTAGGCCATCAGCTTGTCGCGCACGGCAGTCGAAGGGAAGCCGTTGTACGACACGAGCGCACCGCGGAACCACACGCCCTTGGCGTTCTCGATCCTGTCGTCGTCGGCGTTGGCGAAGCGGAAGCAGTGCGTGCTGGCGCCGTCCTTGTGGTAGACCATCTTGGGATGGTCGCCGTCCCAGCGGACCTGGGACGCCGGCTTGACCTCGTAGTTGCCGTGCTGCGAGGCGGCGACGTACTCGGCCTTGCCCGTGGCGTCGCTCACCCACACGGCGATGTGCTCCCAGTCGTGCCTGTGGCCGGTGCCGAAGAAGTTCTGGATGGCCACGTCCTTCTCGAAGTAGTAGCCGTACAGGTAGATGCACCAGCCGTTGTTGCAGCGCTGCCGCGAGTAGACGTTGTTGTTGTCCAGGTCCGACGGGTCGCGGCAGTCGCTGGCGTAGCCCGTCCATTCGTTCGGCAGGCCCTGCACGATGTTGCCCTGCGCGTCGATCGCGGGGACGTTGTAGCAGCCATCCGTGTCGAAGTCCAGCGACGGCTGCCAGCGCAGATCGTTGGCTGTGGCGCGCTGTGGGAGCGCCGTCGGCGGGTTGGGCGCGCGAGCCAGGAGCAACGATGGCGCCGCGAGTACCGTCGTCGGCGCAGCCCCGGCGAGCAACACTAGCGCGTGGCTGAGCCTAGTCATGGCGCGGCGTGGTCGGCGGCTATAAAGGAGGAATGAAGGGCCTGAGGATGGTCGATGGCATCCCATCCGCTGACCCCTGAGTCGGGGTAGAGTATGACTTATAACATCGTCACCAATGCCGGCGCCACTGCAACAATCACTGCAAGTTGCTAGTGCAACTGCAACTGGCGGAGGGAACTTTCGCTTTCAATGAAACCTTGTCGATCGCCGGTGGTCTGCACATGGCAGCCGACCTCGGGCCGTCTTGAGACTGTCGATATCATGGGCCAGAACAGCGAATCCCATTCGCCATGTCGACCGGCGAGCGTGGAGGGAAAGGGAAGGTGAGGCCGCGCTCATGCACAACCTCCTCTCTGTGGCCCGCATGGCTGTTCCTGGTTCACATCAGAAGACCAGTGAGCTTCCATAGCTCAGGGTTGGCGTCGCATTGGCCTATGATCCTTCCGCCAATCGTGAGACGTTAATCTGAATTGTGATCTGGTCGCGCGCCAAGCCCCCGCCCCTGAACCCCTAACGAACTTCCCCTTTCCCTCCAGTCTGCCTGCCACGACATGCTGATGTGGATCCCAATTGGACACGGCGTCACCCCACCGCCGAACGACGGCTACCTTGAGAGACAAGAAGTGTTACCTTTAACTAACCCGGACGCTAATAAAATCGGCAGTAACGTTAAATTCAACTGATATGCGCAAGCTACGTACTGTACATAGGTACATACACGTGCAGGTAGTAAGCATCCTAAATTTCATGGAGCAAAATTACTAGGGCAGCAGCACCGCAGTACCCTATCTGGACCCTAACCCTACTGACCCACTAATTCCCCTCCAAGTCACCGAGCACTCAAAGCCTCAAGCCACTCATTTTCATAGAAACTTAGATACCGACACTGAAGCAAGCTCATGGAATCGTGGATAAACTAGCGGTAGTGGTTCGCTAGGCTGATTCAAGACTCATCATGCAAGCAGTGACGGGCAGTGGCCCTTGTGATCATGTCAGCAAGCCACTACGGTGTCGGTAACTGCCGAGCAACAGCTGGCTGGCAGCTGAGCGGAAGTGGACTCGCTGACAGCCCGACGTCGGTTAGTTCCGGCGCAAAACGGCGTTGGGAAGTCGAACCTCACACCCAAAATACTCACTCGCAACCGCATCAAGTCGATTGTAAGGTCAAAAGCGCAACACTGAGGGTAGGAGGAGGAAAGCGACCGAAAACAAACATGTTCCCTCAGAATGCGACGCTCCAACAACCGCGGTCGAGGTGACACCGATGGCCCATCTTCGTCCCAATCGCAATCGCAATCCCAAGACCCGCTGGCAGCGGACGACGGCCTCGGCAGCATGGACATGGGCACGCTCTACCCGGGCCTGCTCCCCGCCATGCCCGACAACGCCCCGCTCCCGGACAAAGCCCCCAGCAGCAACGCCGCAACCGGCGCATCGGCCGCGGGCGTGCGCGCGCTCACCTCCCAGGCCGTGGCCTTCTACTTCCGCGCGCCCGTCAAAGCCTTCTTCCGCACGCGCGTCGACTACCTGGCGTACGCGCGTGCGCTACAGGAGCGGGAGCGGGAGCGGGTGCTCGCTGCATCCATGTCTAGAGCAGGCCGATGCGGAGGCGGAGGCGGCGGCGGCGGCCCAGGGGCGGCCTTCTCCAGCTGGCTGCGCACCCGCCTGCACGCCACTACCCCGGGCGTGCTAGCCGCCGCCGTCCGCCGCTACGGCTGGCACGTCATCCCCGACCAGGTCCTACCGCCGCTGATCGCCAACGTCGGGGTCGGCGCCGTGCTGTATACGAGCTACCTGCAGGTGTTGGCGCGCTTGCATCCCGACAGCGGGCGCGCCAGTAAGCGGGTGTATCCGCCGCCGTCGCCGGGGGAGACCTTCGCCGCCGGGTTGGTGGCGGGGGCCATTCAGAGCGTGGTTGCCGCGCCGCTGGATGCGGTGCAGGCGAGATGGGATGTCGCGTCGGGGAGTGGGAACCCGATGCGGGACGGGGTGCCCGTGGGACGGGAACGGCCGACGAGTATGTGGGCTTTTAGCAGGGCCAAGCTAAAAGAGATCGGGCTGAGGGGGATCTTCGCCGGCTGGGGGCTGTCCTTTCTTAAGGATAGCATGGGCAGCGCCGTGTTCTTCAGCGTGTTTGAGTACCTCAAGGCGCAAGGGTACTATGGCTTTGTGACGTGGTATTACGGCGCGCTGAACGAGGATGCCGTGGTGCTGCTGTCCCGGAAACGACCGGGGCCCGAGGACGGACGCCCGGGAATGCGCCGGCAGGAGGACGAGGAGGATGATGGCCCCAGGATGCCGACGATCATTCGTCCGCACTACGCCATTGAGCCTGCCTTTCTGCTGCTTGCTGGTATGGGCGCCTCGGTTGCGCAGCAGGTCGTGCTGCATCCCCTGTCCCATGTTCAGTCCGAGCACTGGGAGCGGCTGGAGGGACTGGACGCCAAGGCACGGAAGCTCAAGGGAGAAGCTATGTCCGTGGACAGGCCGTCCAACTCGACACCCAAGTGGCGCATGTTCAGGGCGTATCGTGACGCATACAAGACCACTTGGGCAGAGTGTGCTGCCGAAGCTCAAGCGGCCGGCCTCAGCATGCGCCAGTGGTTGTATCGCGGCTTTTGGTGGAATACAATCCGCCAAGTGCCCAGCACGAGCGCGGGATTAATCATCTTTGAGTTGGTCAGGAGAAAGTATGGTCTTGGCGGCGACCAGGTCCGGATCAATAGGGATGGGTACGATATCCTTTTGGGTTAGATAAAGCTTAGACTTGGGAACAGCGGGGCGTTCTGTCTGGAATGAGGATTGGGTGAATTATCTACGAAGGGGCATGTCCTTGATAGACTCTTCTCAACATTTCATCCGAAGTTGATCGCACAAAGTTCTGACCTAGGGGACTTTTACTCCATGGCACATACTAGTTTTCCCAAAGGTGGCACTAGGTCAAGAGGGCGTTGAGCTCGTTGAGCTCGTCCATAAATCCGAGGGATCGGGGCTGAAATACCTCGATATCATGCCGGAATCCCCTTTCTACTCTGCCATTTAAATCCATATCTGTGAGTATTGTTCCAACTTTCTTCGAGCCTTCTCAGAGGATACGGGGAATGATAATATTATCAGTCAAACAAAATATCTGAGTATAAAATACCTCACGCACCCTTTGCGAGGGACACATAGACACTAAATACAGTCTTAGCTCTGCAGCCCTCGATAATAAAGCATCATTCCGACAGGCCATTCCTTTTTCTGCATGACTGCTCGGCACTGACGCAACCACCAGACAACATGAGCGGCAAAGCTGCCTCCGACGGAGACGTCGCGCCGCTTGCCAAGGTAACTATAGCCAGCCCAACTGCTACTGTGAAGCTGCTTTCTCAGCAGACACCACCACACAGATAGCCACCATCATCAGAGTTGCTAATGGTAACCCGAGAGTTGAGACCGGCTTTCCACCGTGGACAAAGGGGCATGTTAACCCCAGTCTCTTGCGAATCTTCGCAGAGCCTCATTGCGGCCGGCATAACAGTCTACTTTTATTGCTCTCCCAACGTCGCCCGTCGGTAACCGGCAAGCATGGACCGGTTGAAGATCGGCGCGGGTGATAGCCGGAATGGGATCATGGAGGATCTGGTACCGAGTGCAGCGACCCAGTGGCCGGGTTGCAACGTGGACTTGCCGAAACGGCCAATCCCATTCGTCGTCAACACCGGGGTTGCCAAGATGTTTCGTCTTTGTCCCGTGGAAGCGGTGGACTTGTCATGCTTGCCCGTCCTAAAGGGGTAAGGAGTCGGGATCAAAAGCCGCATGCAACACTGTTTGGCCCAAGTCTCCTGCAAGTCCCACTCCACCGTCGACTATGCGTATGGAGTCTAAACAGTATGGATGGATATGTCCGGGACTGCCAGGGGCGCAAAACCCGGTTTGCATAGCTGACACCGGTTCTTCATGATCCCCTTCATCTATTTCCGGTCGCTTAGGCGCCATCCATCTCGGCATTACACGGTGGGTTCTTGAAAGTCCATCCACAAATGGAGAGTTCACGCCCACACACGGGTCGCCGCTGCAACATTGACCTCTTGGTCTGCCGCGGATAGAAAGGGATGGAATCCGTGAGGGATCCGAAAATTGTGATGCGGGAGATCAGCAAACTATAAAGACTGGTGCAGAAGCTCATCCTGAAGATCTCTACTGCCATTGACCTAACTCCCTTGATCATCATCTAATCCAGCAAGCTTCCCAAAACTATCGTCCTTCGAGCGTTGAGACAGCTGCATCAGAAACTTTCCAAGATGAAGCTCACCTCTTCCGTTGCTCTGCTGGCCGCGGCGGGTGCCCAGGCCCACTGTCAGTTCTCGCCCCCTTGTCCCCTCGTCCCCATTACCGCCGGACTATGGAAGTCCTGCCTATACGGGGCCCATCCGCTGACAAGGCAGAAAACAGACACCTTCCCCAAGACCAATATCAACGGGCAGCTCTCGGCCGAGTGGGAGACGATCCGGCAGACCGAGAACCACTACTCGCACGGGCCGGTGACCGACGTCAGTTCGGAAGCCATCCGGTGCTACGAGCTCAGCCCCGGCACGGGCGCGCCCAAGATCGCCAGCGTGCAGGCCGGCAGCAACGTCACCTTCACCGTCGACTCCAACATCGGCCACCCGGGCCCGCTGCAGTTCTACATGGCCAAAGTGCCCGCCGGCCAGACGGCGGCCACCTTTGACGGCAAGGGTGCCGTGTGGTTCAAGATCTACCAGGACGGCCCATCCGGGCTCGGCACGAGCTCCATCACCTGGCCCAGCTCCGGTGCGTTTTTTTTTAGTTTTTCTTTTCTTTTTTTTTTCTTTTCTTTTTTTCCGTTTCTTCTTTTTTCTTCTTCTTTTGGTTTCTCTTCCATCATGTCCCAACCAACTAACTCCATGATACCACCCTATTCCAGGCAAAACCGAAGTATCGGTCCAGATCCCCAAGTGCGTCGCCAACGGCGACTACCTGCTGCGGGCCGAGCACATCGCGCTGCACAGCGCCGGCTCGGCCGGCGGCGCCCAGTTCTACCTCTCGTGCGCGCAGCTCACCGTCACGGGCGGCACGGGCACGCTCAACACGGGCTCGCTGGTCTCGTTCCCGGGCGCCTACAAGGCCACCGACCCGGGCATCCTCTTCCAGCTGTACTGGCCCATCCCGACCAGCTATACCAACCCGGGTCCGGCACCTGTGAAGTGCTAGTTCCAGTTTATCTTTTTTCTTTTTTCTACCTTTTGTGTGTAAAGGGTGGGCGCGTGAGTGAAGTACATATGAGGATTGGGCTTAAGCCAAGGGGCCTGGACACTGCTCTTGTTGTGAGCCGGTACATAAAGCTTCCAGCTTTCTCTTGTATATATTGCTACCTATGTCAGTTTCCGGCTTGCGTTTCGTGCTGTAGCCAATTGACTCCAAAGGTACCTATATTCCGACATTTTCGACTCCCACTATACAAGGTACTGCAGTACTATCGTAACAGTTACTAGTACTAGTACTGATACATACTGTAACGTTCGTTCATCTCCCACGATGCCACACCCAACACGCAAGCCCCCGCCAGTTCCGAGTCAAGCAGAAGAAGCCGGAAGCAACCAGGTCACGACACTGTTCGCAACCACATTGCCGCTCCACGTCTCGCCCTTGGCCGTCGTGAGCGTGACGTAGACGTCGTTGCCAAACGTGTTCTCAATCACCACGGTGCGCGTCTGGTCCGGGTTGAGCGTCGCGACCGACTGGATGCCGCCGCTGCCGGGGTACGTGTAGCTGCCGCTGCCGTCCAGCACGACGGCGCCCTTGGGGATGAAGCGGCTGAACTGGGCCATCATGTAGTAGTCGACCTGGAAGGCGTACGTGCCCGCGTCGACGTCGACCGTGACCAGGCCGCGGCAGGTGGTGCACGGCCCGCTGCCGCCGGACAGGTGCGGCCCTTGGTTGGTGTCGGTCGCCAGCGTCCAGGCCAGCGCGCCCCGCGCCCAGTTCTGCAGCGGGCCCATGGTGAAGTCGGCCGCCTGGCTCCACCCCGTCTGCGTCGACGTCCAGCACTCGGTCATGTACTGGTCCACCGACGGGTTCGCCTTGTGGAAGTCGCTCAGCACGCCCCAGTCGTTGTTGGGTGCGTAGCAGTGCCACGCGACCGTGTTGACGTATTGCGAGGCCTCATTCAGCACCGTCTGCGGGTAGCTGGGCTGGTCTGGGTATTGGGGAAAAAAAAAAAAAAGAAAAAGGTTTCGTTAGTTACTTTGGTTCTGGTATGACTACTACGTGTACTAGTAAGAAAAAGCCCGGATTGCAACCTCAACTCACCAGTGTTGTGGTCGTAGGCCCAGATGGCCGTGTTGAAGCCGGCGCTCCGCAACGCCGGCCCGACGTTCTCCTGGATCAGCCTGCCGGACTCGTCGGCGTAGATGTACATGGTGGGCATGCCGGCCTGGCTGTTCAGGGGCTCGTTCTGGATGGTGATGGCGTCGACGGTGACGCCCTGCGCCCGGTAGGCCTGCAGGTACTTGACAAAGTACTGGGCGTATTGGCTGGCGTAGGCGTGGTTGAGGTTGTTGTTCACCGTGGTGCCCTGCAGCACGCCGTTCAGCTTCATCCAGCCCGGCGGACTCCACACGGACCCGACAACGGTCAGGTCCGGCTGCAGCGACTTCATCCGCGCGAGCAGCTTCGCCATGGCGGTGCCGCGGTCGCCCAGGTTGAAACCGGACAGCGCCGTGTCGACCGTGCCGCCGTTGTCGTCGTATGAGTAGGACGGGTCCGCCGACAGGTCCGACGACGCGATCGTGTGCCGCATCAGCTTGAAGTTGGCGCCGGCGTCCGTCATAAGCTGGTTGAGCAGCGCCGTCAGCTTGTCTGCCGGCAGCTTGTTGAAGACGGCGACCGTGGCATCCGTCACGGCCGCCCCGAAGCCGTTGATGGTCTGCTTGTGGCCCGACGGCTGGTCGTTGATCGAGAGCTTCCATGTCGACCCGCTTCCCGGGTTGCCCGCCCCGCGGACCGGCGCGCCCACCGGCGTCAGCTTGTACGTGCCGTCCTTGTTGGAGGCGTACGCCTGCGGCGACGCCCGCGCATTGAGCGTAGCGCCCAGAGCCGCCGGCAAGCTCAGCAGGGCAAGTGCGAGGGACAGCATGGTGTGGCGTGAGAGTCGCTGTGACTGTCGACTGCGTCTGCAGTGGTGATCTCCTGAGACTCTTGATGGCCGACGACAAGCGCTGCCCTCCAACAGTTATAACTCAGGACTTACACCTCGGTCCCGGGTGCTTACTAGTACTAGTGCTCCTTCTATGGGTCGCCGTGCGGCACGGGACCGGCGAGGCCATCACGGTAGTACTGTATTGTAATCGGATTTGGCATGGTGTCATTTCTGAGCTGGAACTTTTCTTCTCTTTCCTTCACTTCCAACTCTGCTGCTCCTTCACCACGCCCCGCCCGAGTCGGTCCTTCCCCGGAGCCTCTCTCGAGTCGCGTTCGCTGCACCCCGCATATCCGGGGTTGAATGCGACATTGCGAGAGGCCGGCGACCACCGGCTTGGCGCTGCCCAATCCCGGAGTCCCGTCTCGCCGGGCGTGGAGTCAGCAAATCTCGCATGTCGCGAGCTGACGGCCCAACATGAAATGAGGGGTTTTGAAGCAGCGTTTCATGAAATGCTGTAGCCTGGATTTTAGCGTCCCCGTACTAAGCGTGTCACACACAGCCGGGAACGCTAAGCCTATTCCGGCAGCTGACGTCCAGGTCATAACCTACCGCATGGATGTTCTGCTGTGTCGGTCTTGTGGTCGAGGACGAACTGCTCAGGGACATGGTGAATTGTATTTACTCCGTACTTAGACTATCGTCTTCTCGTAGGAGGCTCAAAGAAGTCGAAGTCAGGACAGGTATCCATCACCTTCCCAAGCCGTAGAATTATCCCTTTGATGGTGATATCAATTCGTCAAGTCGAGTCGCTCTGTCGGGCCGCTTTTATCTTCACATTGGCTTGCTAAGATCCCCGTCTTCTAGAACTCGACCTTGGTCTTGACAACGGCCACGAAATCCTCAATATCCTGCAAAAAGCCGACGGGATCGTCGAAAGCGGCGAAATGCCCCCCCTGTTACAACTGCATCAGTTCCGCGCTCGGCACCGACAACGGAGCAAAAGAAAAGCGACTTACACTCTCATGCGCCCTGTAGAAACACAAATTGTCCGGAAACCAATGCTCCATCCAGGACTTCGCCACGCCCAGCACCTCGCCCGGGTACCAGGAATACCCCAGTGGCTTCGTCGTAATAGCAAGAGGCGACGGCAGCTTTCGACTATCATCTCGCAGGATGGCGGCCCAAGCAGATCGATACGACCACAGCGAGCGGCCGTACGACTGGGTGAGCCAGTACCAGGTGACCTGCTGCAGGATTGTATCGACCGAGTACTTCGAGGCTTCGGCGTACATGGAGCCGATCCTTGCGTAGATGTCAGCCGGTTGCCGACACCATCAAGAATTCAAAGGGAGATATTATTCTGCGGGCGGAGAATAGACTTATCACCTACCATCCCAGCATCGCTACGGGGTTCGTCATGAGCACCAGCGAGATTGTGCCGGGCTTCGTCCCTTGTTCTAGCAGGTAGCCAGTCCCCGCGTAGAGGAATTGCGCGCCAAGGGCGAACGTGGTGTTCTCCTCTCGCGTGACTGGGAGGTGTGCCACTCCGGCTCGCTCCGAAGAAGTGAGAAGGAAGTTGTTAACTTGCCAGGTCAGTTTCCACGCATGTCGCTCTCTAACATGGACAGGAGGGGCCCGAAGGGATGGAAAGTCACATACAGTGGACGGCCTTGCATTCATCATAGACGGCCCCGAGGGTCGCCGTCAGACCCGATCCGACGTCCCCGCCTTGGGCGACGTAAGCGTCGAACCCCAGTGCTTTCATCAGCCCGTTCAGCGCCTCGGCAGCTGTGTGGAAGTCTAGCTCCGTCCCGGTGAGATTGCTACGAGTGGACAGTCCGTAGTCCGGGATGGAGGGGGCGATGATGTGGTACGGGAGCGTCTCGGGGGTGTATTTGGTCGTAAGGAGTTCGAGGATCGGGATGAACTCGATCCACGAGCTGGGCCAGCCGTGTGAAAGGAGTATCGGAATGGCGTCCGGATTGCGTGAGAATAGTGCTGCAAAATGGAGATTGAAGATCTGGCCATCTGAAGGGGCGGTCACGTTGATGGTGAACTGTGGAAAGGAGTTCCAGTACGTTTCGTGGGCCCGCCAGTCGAATGTCTTGACCCATTCTTCTGCCGCATCTGCCAACCAGTCCCGTGTCCCTCCAAACGCATAGTCAGGACTGTCGGCCACGCTGTGTGTGTTATAAAACGAGGGAGCTCCTATAACGGCTGTCTGAACGAGGCTGGATAGCTGATTTAGATCCGCGTCGGAAAAGTGTAGAGAGAATGGGGCCGGCGAACCCGGGATCCCGAGGGGCACGACTCCAAATCCAGCATCAACCATTTTGTGATACTGTTCGTTGTCGGTTCGGAGATATTGCGGTGAGTTGCCACATACGGCTGAAGTTTACTTATAATACGATACGGCCGTTCGGAGGAGAATATTGAATTTATAGATGCGGTCTCTATATCCATCCTTGTGAGTATTTGTCATCAAAGAGGGGGCAGGAAGTTAGCCGGGAAGGTAGGATCTGTTATTTTCTTGGCTTTCGAGGCAGAAGGATTGACGAGGTGATGCCAAGGCTTGGGCGCCGACAATCAGCAGATAAAATACTACCACTGTGGCCTAAACCGTTTCTGGACCCAGTCTTCGCAACGCAGGCCACAGTACGTAAATGTCAAGCGAAGCGTCATACTGTTCCTCGGTCGGCCTTCTAAATAGTAAACGGCCATGCAGCGCCCTCCCAAGGGAAGGCCGAGGTGCGGGGGCGCTGGCATGGCCGTTTTGTAGGAGGCCTAGCGATGAACACTTACGCTAGCTGACATTGACTGGCCCGGTTGACTGGCCCTGGCCGTACTGTCACAATGATATATTACGAACAATCTAACCTACGTAACCTACCAGGTATGTAAGCTCCCGTAGTTCAATCTTCGTAGCTCCCGTAGGTAGTTCAATCCCATCAGCCACAACGCCACATCTACACCCAAACATTATATCGGCTACAATGCATAACACAACGCAATATCAGGGATCATGCAAGATGTAACCTTTTTATAGGCTTCCGGACTATATCCCAACAATAGTTACATCTTTTCTATCCTTCGTACAGTATACAACCACGATGTCCTTTGGCGCTAAACGGACTTCCCGTGTCTGAGCCGCTATGGCATCCAATGGGTACTCGAATTTCTTTGGAGCTTTTCCTTATAAATCAAGCGAAGCGTTCCTTCCCGGCTTTCTCTGCGTTCACAGTGTACTATATAACCCAGAGAAAGCTCAAAACAACGATGCTTCGCTTGAATAACGCAGGAACGAGTTACGCGTGCGCAGTGAACTTGTGCTCGCAGTGCTGGGGAACGCGACGTGGACACTGCTAGGCAAACTATGGAATATGGAATGAAATGACTCTAGATCACGTTCCTTAGTATCCTTACCTCAGGTAGGCAGGTGAAGTGTTTATCTCTTCCTCTCCTCTCTCGCCTTTTACCACGTCTCCGTAGGCACCCTCTAGGTTATGCGCAAGAGCATGTGTGACCACCTCGACCTCTGCTTCCCTATCATCTTCCGTAAGCCGGGTCGCCAACGGTCGTCGAAATTCGCTGATGATTCCTCATACACTTACTTGAAATTCCGATTCCTTGCTGCCAAAAGCTCTTGAGAAAAGATACGTGGTCCGTACAGACACAGAATGATTAGGCAGATTAGCTGCACTTTGTTGTGCTACAATCTTCTCTTGCTAAGGTAGATAGCTACCTGATGTAGTCTCCTGTAGGCCAAAATCCCCGATCCTCCAGGGCCCTATTATTGTTACACTGTGAACATACCCGTGGCCAACCAGCCTTTACCACTAGCATGCCCTAGGCTGTGTTTGACATTCGCAAACATTTGGTCTATCTTAGCGTTGATCTCGGTATGTGTAGGATTTGGCTTATAGTTAGTAGGCTTTACAGTATCATTAGGACCAGGGGCATACATTATGGGGGGAAAGGAGGATAGAGAAAAAAAATAACGCGTGATATAAGACTTCATTAGGCAGTTTGTTACTCGTAGGATGTCGTCGAGGTTGCGTCCTTCCAGTACTTACTATAGTACCGCCAATACTAGTACCGGCACTACCTTAACCAAATGCTGTTTAGTACGGTTACTGCATACCTACGGCGCGGAGTACCTTAGACACCGTCGCATTATATACAACAACGTCCATGAGAAACCACCGCAAGCTCGAGTGTACAAAACCAGCACTGTAGGTGACTGTCCCGTGAGTCCCCCTTGGTTCCGAGAGTCCGTTGCCCTGGGCATCCCGATGCCCAGTGGAGCATCGTCGCAACCTTAACAGAGAGGCAACCCTCAACGTTGCCCGCAACCATCGGGATTGGCTAGATGCTTACCACACACCCGGGCACGCCCCACCGACGCCTCGTGGAACCCCGCAACGCTAATGCCAAAAGGACTAAACTCCGCCGGGGAGGTCTCGCCGGCCGCCGCGGAAGAACTGGATGGAAGTCGACGTAGAGGGAGGATTGGTGCCCGCGCAAAATCGTCGAATGCAGGCTCCTACCTGAGCCCTTCGCACGTTCCCACACGCAGGTGTCAGAGTGTCAGAGAGGCTTTGATCAGCAGGACTGGCCGTGACAATCGCAGGCCCAGTACACACGCTGAGTCGCGCAGGGCTTGGTCGTCACTCCGTGAAACCCCTTGGGGAACTTTGGATCCTGGCGCCATCCAATCAATTGCACTCGGATGCCGATAATCTCACGTCTTATTTAACGCAGTTTGGCTGCTGCTCAATCGGGTTTAATCTCTCGTTCAACTTTGATAATAAGGGGGGCTAGTCCTGACAAGACCACGATCCCTACCTATTTTTTTCTCGGAGATTTTCAGACACCGCCCCCAATCTTCGCGCCCTCTCACCCCGTCTTTCCGCTTGCACCCCCTTCGCACGCGCAGCCAGGTTTGATCCCAAAACTGCACAATAAAAGCAACCAACAGAACCAAACGCTCGGATCCACGTCCTCGGGATCGACGAAGCCCTGGAATGTCATCAGTCGCAAACCCCGCATTTCCGCCGGCGGCCCCTGCCGAGATGGGTCCGGACCATGAGCCACTGATTGCTGACGACGTGCGTGTCACCGCCTGCTGGGCTTTCAGCAATTTTTGTGGCACTTCATGTTAACACAATCGCCTCACAGCCAGAGAACCTTGATAACGATGCTGACTCTGCCTATGGGGTAAGCTAGTCCATACAACTTGGAAGCGCAAACACCCTTTGAAAGGGTCCCTCGTATTGTACGACGACTGATCATCTTCTGACCTCTATCGCATAGTCCCTCGCAAGTTCATCGACGTCGCTGGCGTCAAGCATTTTGAAATTCCGCCAGGAGAATGGCCGGTCGTACCATGCATATAAGCCTGAAAGGGGTATGTGCACACAGCCAGCACGTCCCTGTCAGGGAGCTCACGATGCTGACATTGACCTCCCTCAAAAGGATACATCCTGCCCAGTGACGAGGTAGGATGGTCCCACAGTGAGATCCGGATTTGGGCTTGATGATTGATTGCTCTCCTACGCAGCAAGAAAGTGACCGGCTAGGTGAGTGTGCTCATCGCAATGTTACTGCCCGCTGCTTGCTAGGTGCTAACACTGGGATAGACATGCAGCATCATGTCTTTGCCCTGACCTTTGACGGCGCTCTGAACTTCTGCCCAGCCGGAAACGATGGGAAGCCACTACGGCGCGTCCTGGACGCCGGTACAGGCACAGGCATCTGGGCCATTGACTTCGGTATGCAACTCTGCAGACGTTTCTGATCTGTATCGACTCCGCTGACCCCGTTCGCCAGCCGACGCACATCCCGAGGCACATGTACGCTGAGAGATGAATCGAATCCCCCGCTCTGTTGCCGAATGGGCCTAATAGATCATATCATGACAGGTTATCGGCCTCGACCTGAGTCCAATCCAGCCACGTTTGTAAGGCTTACCCATCCAAATCCACGTTGTGGTGCTGTAGCACGGCTCTAACTTGCCCTCTTCTCAAAGCGTTCCGCCAAATGTGGCCTTCTACGTCGACGATCTCGAAGAAGACTGGGCCTTCACCGAACCCTTCGACTTCATCTACGGGCGCATGCTGGCCGGTGCAATGACCGACTGGCCAAAGTTCATGCAGCGTGCTTTCGAGTACGTCTTCCCGCTCGACCCATCCATCCACTTGGAATCCTACCTCTTGCGTACTACCATTGCCACTAACCCAACTTCCCTTAGGAACCTCTCCCCAGGCGGCTGGCTCGAGCTGCACGACATCGCCTTCCCCGCGCGCAGCGACGATGGCACCCTCCCCCCGGACTCTGACCTGGCCAAGTGGAACGACTACGTCATCGAGGGCGGTCATATCGTCAACCACTCAGTCGAGTGCGCGAAGCACTACAAGCAGCAGATGATCGATGCGGGCTTTGTAAATGTTTACGAGAAGCTGTACAAGTGGCCAATCAACCCATGGCCGAAGGACATGAAATATAAGGAGATCGGTCAGTCCTAACCCCCTTTGTCTAAACCTCGGAAGGCCCCTGGAGATAACTGAACTGACGGCCGGGTTTGTGTGGCGACAGGTATGTGGACGGAGGAAAACTTCTGCGGGGGACTGCACGGGCTCAGTATTGCGCTGTTCACACGCGCCCTGGGATGGGGTCCGGAAGAGACAGAGGTGTTCTTGGCCGGGGTGAGGAAGGATTTGAGGAATCGACAGATCCATGCCTACTGGCCGATGTAAGTTGGGATACCGCCCATCCCGTCGTTCGACGGTCGTCGAGCTATATGTTGCGAGATTTGATTGCTGACTACCTGGGTTACAGCTTAGTCGTATATGGTCAGAGGCCGGAGCGATGATGTGGTTGGATCCAGTGTGAACCACCCTGGCGGAATGCGCAAGCGGTATATGCTATTTATTGTCCGGGATCCTCGATACCATTGGCGATCCCTGGGAAATGCATGGGCATCTGTTTGAATAGTAGTGGAAATGGGTCCTCTTGGAAGAGAAGCAAGAGACAACTAGCTAAGTAGTTTCAACTGTTAATTTTACACACTGATAAAGCGGTCCGTTTCACCTCGTCACTCAGTTTCAGTTCAAGTAAGCTATCCGCAAAACACCTTTCAACGCGAGCGATTTGCTGACCAATTTCCGCTTCATTGACAATCTATACAAACATAAGAGAAACAGATTGATACGTCATCGGGATATTGAAATGTAACCTAACCTACCTCATACATACCTTTGGAATTGGACAACAACAGCCGACCAACCAAAACACAGACCACCGCCTCCGTTCAAGCCCCCTACCCGCCTACCTATACAGGTCTGAACCTACCTACCTAAGCCACTTCTTGCTGGGTCCCGAGTCCGAGGAACTCATCGAAGTCGAACGGATCCTCCAGCGGGGAACAGGGACTGGTCTCGACATCTGCTGCGCCCATGAAGACGTCCTGCTCAAGCGCTGGATCAATGTTACTGTCAGCAATGCTGTCAGCAAGCGAGAGCGGGGGGGTGGTGGTATCTAGTAGCAGGTACGAAAAGGGATCGTCAACTGCCTGGTTACCAGGGTCCGCCGTGGGTACGGCGCAGGCGCAGCGGGCACAGAGCGTCACGGGCTGCTGCTGCTGCTGTTGCGGAAACCCGCTCTGGAAGAAATGCTGGTCCGGCAGGTCAAACCCGCCGCCTCCTCCCAGAGGCGTATCATCCATGGCTGGGAGGACGAGTTCCTGCTGAAACGGAGGCTGGGGAAGAGCAACCTGGGCAGACGACGGCCAGCTCCAATCGTACAGGCTAAAGAGGCCATGGCCATTGCTATTGTCGAGGGCCGGGAGCGGTGCCTGTGCCTGCAGAGGGAAAAGGTCGAGGGATCCGGCAGCAACCTGCGCGTCAACCTCATCAGCGACAGTGGACTGGCCACCACTTACTGGGCTTGTGGCAACCATGATGGTACCAGCAGCATCCTCCTCCTCCTCCTCCGCATTGTTGTCTTCTTCTTCTTCTTCTTCTTCTTCTTCTTCTTCTTCTTCTTCTACCACCACCCCCCTCCTGCCGCCGGATGATGACTCCCTCGTCGGCTGACGGGGGCAGTATTTCCAGCCGGGAAAGGCGCGGCGGTGGCCCTCCTTGTCCTGCTCGGCCCACGCGGCGAACCTGTCGCGCAGGTCCTGGGGCTCCTGGCGCCAGCTGGCGCCCGCGATGCTGGAGATGTGGGCGTTGTTTTTTCGGCTGCGGTCGGCACGCCGGCGGCAGAACTCCTCGATGCGCGGCATGTAGCACATGCGGTACAGCATGAAGGCGTTGACCGGGCGGCCGACCTTGCCGCGTCGGCTCCGGTCGCGGCACCGGTGGATCTCGGCCTGGCGCACCGCCGCGGACCGGGTGACGAAGGTGGGGATGTCGACCAGCGGGATGTGCGCGTACTCCGGGAGTTGGCTGAAGGGGCCCGGGAGGCTGGAGAGGAGCAGGTTGGAGGTGGTGCCCTGGAGACTAGTAGTGGTAGTCTTGTTGTTCCGCTTGCTGATGCCGCCGCCGTTCCGGGGTTTGAGGGCTCCGCGATTGCGGGTGTTGTTGTGGAGACTGGAACGGGTGGACGGCATCTTGGGCGGTTGGTGGTTAACGTGGTGTTGGTGTTGGTGTTGTGTTGTGTTGTTGAAGCTTTTGATGTGATGTGTCTGTAGACAGGAGTGGTTACACAAGAAATCATCCTGTCTTCTTATAGTCTTGTCGATGGTAATAGACAATGGTCGCGTAGCCATCGCGGCCTTTGTCCGCCATACCACATAGAGTTGTGAGGATATCTAGCTCTTTGTGTTGTACTGGGGAAACAATACTCTTGTTCTGCTTCCCTTTTCAGTACAACCTACTCTTCCTTTCTCGACAAAGTCTTGTCATGTTGAAGGACCCCTTGAATACGGCCATTGTCCTCGGAACCGACAACTTCCGGGCTCTCGACAAAGGATATTCCATCATCTTACCAACCGAGTGAAAGAGAACAGCACACTCGATAACGAGTGAAAATTGACTTGTTCTCTGCTCCATTGCATCGGTTCTGACAGAACAGATCTGAGCCCCAGAGCACTATAGGATTAATAGAATCAGTAGTATTTTTCAGACCTTGCCTCAGCTCTGCGAGCCTCTCTCCTCGCGGGACTCAGGGGCTGAGTTCGCTCAGGGGGTGAGGCGACAAGGGACTATGACCTTTCGGGCTACCATTTCTGAACAAAGCCTGTACGGCATTTACTTGTGTTTTCTCTAAGCCAACAGCGGACCGTTACGGTGCATTGATTGTAAGATTGTTCACTTTATCTACTACTTGTATCCTAAAAGGGGATGGATTGGAGGATTGTGGAATGTTGAGGGTGTTCTTACTCTTCTGATGAGGCTCTGATTGGGGATAGACACGGAGATTGCGCAAAGAATAAAGGTAAGATGAGGTGGTGACGCATTTGGTAGTGTTTTGTGTGCGTGTGTAGGGGGTCAAAGAAAACCTCGACCATAAGTATGGGCCTGGCTGGACATAGAACAACAAAGGGGGACCCTAACCCTTGCAATGCGTGAGTGAATGGGGGCTTATAACGATGGAAGCTGCAAGGATTTGGGGTACTAAAGTAAATCATATTGTCTTTCTTGCCACTACCAAATCGCACAGCACAGTCCTTGATGAGGGCGGGAGGAAGCGTAAGTTCAGCCTTCCCTCTTGCTCTTGGCACATAAGTGACAAGCCATCGGCGAACAAACGGGACTTCACAGTACGAGTAGTATGTTACAGTTGAATATGACACAATCCTAGACTCTTAATAGTTGCCTCGTGTTCCGACCGGTCACAGATCGCGTGGAACCCCGGCGTGCAAGTCCCTGCGCAGCTTCTTCGCCGTGGCATTACCAGCAGATCCCTCCCCTGAATCGGTGGTAAATAAGCTTGTTGCGTTGCTGATCAGGTTGGAGATCCTCAAGATAGCCTCCACGCCGACGACATTGTCCCTGACGCGCCACCCCAGCTCGGTTGGCAGACGTTCGTTTTCTGTGTGGAAAACAAAAATTAGCTCATACTAGTACTGATTCATTTTGCTCGATTGATTCTGCGGAGAAACCCACGGAAGAAGTACTCGACCAACGTCCTGTTCACCGTGGCGGCGTCAAGGTCGCCGAAGGCGATGAAGGGCGCGGCCATCTCGCCCAGGCTGAAGTGCTCGACCGCATCGGTGAAGCGGTACGTCGGGTTGAAGGCCTTGGAGTCGATCTGGCGCGCGATCTTGGCGTTGGCCATGTGCGCGGTCGTGATGACGGGCTCGGACCAGTAGCGCCGCGTCTGGTCGAAGATGGTCTGGTTGAAGATGTGGTTGCTACCAAAGAAGGCGTCGGTGCGGCTGAGGCTGGCGTCATGCTCAAGCACGTTGTGGCGGTTGAGGTGGTCGCTGTGGATGGGTACGTTGTGAGCAATCTCAAGGAAATAATAATAATCATAATAAATGGAAAAGAAGAAGAAAATAAAAGAAAAAAAGGGAATCAGGACGTACAGCGTGAAGTAGGTAGCGTTGGGCTCGGGGTTGGCAATGACAGCCTGGTCGAACATTACTGTGGCGAGGGCCGGGTCGAAGTTGAGGCCCTGCTTCATGCCCTTGATAACAGCCTCCCTGGTGATGTTCCTGCCGTCCCGGGGCAAGATGCCGTGGTTGGCGAGCGTGTTCATCATCGGGCAAGGGCCGCGGACTATACACGATGAGATTGTGAGCGTTTGACGCTTTGACAAACAGTACGAGAAAGGACGGCTTACAGTCATTGGCCCGGGGAGGATGCCATTCGGGAATCTTGCCCACATTGTATTCCCGCGGCTTGACTGCCGAATCGGCAGATATGCCTCGCGGGAGCGTAGAGATGCCACTGAGCAAGACAATAAACAACTTCATATTCGAGAACGTCGAGGACTTCAAAGGGGGTTTGGATATCAAAATCCATCTAGGATGCTTCTGGACTAACACGGACGGCAGGCAATTTATACAAGACTCGTTGCCCTGAGAAACCCGCTAGACACAACCTCCGCTGATGAATTCGTGTTGTTCGTGTCTTTCGTGTTTCTCGTACAACTTTGCGCCCTCACTGCCACCCAGCAAGGGTGCATCCCTGCATTTTCGCCCATCTCTGGGGTAGATCGACACACCGCACAGTTACGGAGTAAAGGCCGTGCTTCTTCTTCAGGGGCCGGAGTATGGAGCTTGACCTCGGCTGCTCAACTCGGTCAATGAGCAGGGAGGTGATTACGTCGGCACGCAGCCCCATCGGAACTAAGCAGGGAGGCATGCTCTCGTTTCAGCGTGTACTGGTTGGTCCTCAGGATGCAGAACACGCGTATTACTTCGATGATATAATACGCGGAAGTTGGAACCATCTAGTAGGGTTGACCGCAACTGTGTGGACGTGTTTTACTCTTGATATGCATTGCGAGAAGAGTCCATCTGGATACAAGCTTCGTTGCTCAGTATGGCAGTGGGAAACGGATACGCCCGCCGTCTTGACTCCTGCTGCCTGCAGTGCCTGGGCGTAAAACAAAGGCGTCAGGTTGTTTAATGCGTAGTAGGTAGAAGGGTTCGAACTGGGATGGAACGGAATAATGACTAGTCCCTGAATACTCTATAATAGATCTATATGCGCTCAGTCTTGTGAACGCCAGTGCCTGCCTCGTGTTATACCGTACAAAGTAATACGCGTCTTAACTCCAGCTGTCACTATCCGACACCCTCCACCTGTATTACGTAGTAGTTCCTTATCCTCGCACCAACCGATCAAACGTATCTATCACGGTCCTCCTGTTAATCTCAAGGCCCTTCCCACACCCAACCACCCCGGCATATTCACCCTCGGCCTTGGTAGCCTCCCTAATCATCTTCCCGGTGTCCCTGTGTACCAGGGACCTGCCGCTCAAATACAGGCCCTGCCCTGAGAAGGCAACCAGGCCCAACACGCCCGAGGAGACCTTGGTGGTCATGTTCAGCAGGCCGACCGCGGTGCCCTTTGCCGCGCCCAGGGCCCCGTCCCGCTTGGCTCCCTTCACGGGCTCCGTCACGATCCCGCCCAGCCCTTCGACCATGCCATGCACAAAGTTCTTGCCCGCGGCCGCCCCGCCGGACTTCCAGTCGGTCACGCGGCCCGGGTCGTACACCTCGCCGCCGTACAGCCGCGGGGCGTTGCGCAGGCCCTCGGATACGGCCAGCGGCATGTCGAGGTAGAAGCCTTTGCTGAAGCTCTTGAAGAAGCTGCCGACTCCCGAGGCACACCCCAGGGCGGCCGCTGCCGCACGGTTGGAGAGGTGCTCCTGCTGCTGCTTCTTCGTCGTCTTCTGCTGCTCGGGGGGAAGATGGAACGCGGCGGGTCGGCAGTAGATCGTCTGTTCAGATGCTGAACTACTAGTACTATTACTATTAGTAGTACTGGAAGATGATGCAGCGCCATAGTGATCGTGAGTCTGCGCAGTCGAGCTGTCGTTTCGAGTGAATGCCTGGATGGGCTTGACGATTATGTCGGCCGCGGATGTGACCATGCCTGTGGTTGTCGTTGCCAAGGACGACATGGAGGCCGTGACTGGGTCCCACCTCCTGAGATCGATGTGTATTGGCTTGCTCTCGTATCTGTCGAGGGAAGGGCACGTTTGCGTCAACATTGCAATACCTTTCATATAAACTATTGGGAATAATTAATTGGTTGGCTGTGCCAAAGGCACACTTACCGCTTCAAGTGATTCCACTTCACTTTCGACTCGCCAAGCAGGACCTCGGCTGCCTCCTTTGACAGTCTAATTTGCTGGCGGGCGTTCGTCGTCTTGGTCTTGAGAGACCACGCTGCGGCGAGATGGGGCATCACATCGCAGCGCATCCTGTCTAGCGGAAGGTTTGCATGAAAGGAGGCGACGGCGCGGGCCACGCCGTTTTCGAACCGCATCTGAGCCGCCATGCGCTGAGCGGCATCGGATGCTTCTGGAGTCAGGCAGAAGCGTATCGCCTCTGCGAGGTTCGTTGCGTTGAGCTGCTTTTGCGGGATCGGCGCTGGGCCGGCACCGGCGGCGGCCACCATGGCGCCCCAGAATGGTTGACTGTCGTGGAAGATCAGAGGTGAGCAAGAGTCGTTGTCGATGAGGGGAATCAATAGAGGGATTCCTACTCGCCGAAGAACGGAACAATGACAGTTGGCTTGCCGTTCAAGAGACCGCAGGCGGTGGTCCCGGCCCCGCCGTGGTGGATGACAACCGAGACGCGCTGGAACAGCCATTCATGCGGACAGTCACCCAGATAGAAGACGTTTCCGCCGTCGTCTGAGGTTCTGTTCCCGCCGAGCTTGCTCCAGCCCCTGGAGACGATAGCTCTGACCCCGGTGGATTGGATGGCTGCCAGCAACGTGTTGGTGAGTGCCTCGGGGTTGTCGATGACGATGCTGCCGAACCCAATATAGATTGGCGGCGGGCCGGCCTTGAGGAAGTAGGCGAGCTCCGGGTCCGGAGTGAACGACGGCGGGTCTCGGAAGAAGAAGCCACAGACATCTTCCGTTTCCTGTCAGCACCCCGGGTCAATCGTCCTAGTCACAGCTGATGTGTCCACTCACCAATGTGCGCCGGCCAGTCGTTTGGCTTTGGTATCAGTGCCGGTGACCAGCAGTACGTAAACGGAACGCTAAGCGTCTCGGCCAACCCGGGTCCTTCTGAGAAGTGGACCGGCTCTAGATCGAGTGTCGTCCGCCAGGCATTGATGACGTCGCCCAGTCTATAAGCAGGATTAGACACGGGAAGGACGGAACAATAAATAAGGGAAGGGGACAACGGGGGACACATAGAGCCAGCGCTTACCCTTGCCAAGTCATCCACTCCACGGCCATATAAGAGACGTAGTTGGCCACCTCCTGCGAGACGCCCGACTCGCCGCCGCCCCTCAGGTTGGCCAGCGGATGGCAGAAGCGCCGGGTGCTGGTCCACGGCATGGTGAACATCAGATGCAGCGGCACGCCGAGCGCCTGGGCGCAGTGCACGTGGGCGAAGCTGGGTGGGTTCGCAATGATGGCTTCGGCCACGAACGGTGCGTGTGTCGCCGGATCCGGCTCGACGCACGACCGCCAGAAGCCGTCGAGCATGTCGGCCACCATCCTGCGCTTCTTCTGGATGTCGCCCGCCCGCAGGCTCTTCATGCTCGGCATCAGCCCGGGATTCTTGACCATGTACGCCATCAGCTCGGCCGGGTCGCCGCCGACGGGGAAGAATTCGAGCCCCGCGGTCCGGACGAAGTCGCCAAACGTGTCATGCGTGGCCAGGCGCACGCGGTGGCCGTGCCGCCGGAGCTCCATGCCAAGCGCCACAAAGGGCTGCACATCCCCGCGGCTGCCGACCACCTGGATGACGATGTTCAGCCGGATGCTCTGCGGGCCTTCCTCCGCGTACTTGGGCGGCGGTGCGAGTTCAGACTCGAACTGCTCCGCCGCCGCGTTCAGGTCGAACTTCGCCTCTGGGGGGATGAGGAGCGAGAGTGTCTTGCAAAGGCGTGAATTGAGATTGACGTCGACGCGGCCATTGTCTGCGTTCTGTTAGCTCTGAAAAGGCCTGTCATCTGTCTCCATGGCAGCAACCCTAGTACTTGTGCCTCCGGGTCAGGAGGATCTTACCAGTCGTCCGTGGTGAGTTGTCGATTTCTTCTCCCATGAGTCCCATCTCCAGTCCCAGCTATGGTGGGTGATGGCTGACGAGAGCTTTTCGAGGAAAAAGAGTTTAGTTGAGACACGAAAGTCTTGGAAAGCATGAATCAGGTTCCAATCTTCATAATCCTGTCTGCAAGGTGATGATCTGATCTTCTAATAAGTATCCATGGATCCCGGCCTTTTGAAGTCGGACAATGCCGCTGCTGGCAGGGATTTCCATGCGACGGAGCTGTCGATCTATGCATTGCCGTGGTTGCGCTTCACTGGTTGCCAACGGAGAGTGGAAGCGTAGACACTTTTTACCGACTGGGTACTAGTAGGGTACTACCTAGGACGGCGACTTTGGGGGCGAGTGTGTACGCGTATAACTATAGGTAGCGTATTGCTTTAATTCTCTACGTGTAAGATACGCGTATTCTCGCGACTCTCGTATTCTCGTACTTCTACGTCCCTGATTCGCCAGTCCAGACCATAACAGGGGGACAGTGCTCCACTTCTTTTTTCTTGATCTCTCGTGCGCTGGCTGAGTCGTCTGAGTTGCCCACTCATTAGGTACCTAGGTACTCGTCACCCGACGTCAAGAGAAGGCTGCGACACGGCGGCGTTTCGCACTGGAGCCGACAACCTAATGCACCATGACGACGCTGTATGTATTGTACAATACCAAGGTGGAACTTGGAAGCTGCAGAGCCTACAGGTGTCCGCGTGTCTTTGGTCGTCATTAGGTACCTAGGCTCTACGGTGACTAAGGTACAGTACCTTCGACCAAGCCAACGTCTAGTAGTAGTACTATGATACACTGGTTTACGGAAGTGTAGGTACCCAGCAAATGACCCTGAACTGCGTTGCTAGCATCTCGGCGGACTCCAACCCATCTCTTCGGTCGCCCAGACGACCCAATGGCGATGCTCGTCGTCCAGCAACGCCCACGTCTTGGCCATCAGATGGTCCGCCCAGCCCTCGACGTACCACTGGCTTTCCAACTTCCTCAGCGCGAGCAGACAATACGCAAAGATGACCACAGCTTCCTGCGGCGGCGCGGCGACATCGAGCAACGGGAGGAAGCGCTTTCCCTGCGTCCATTGCCATACCAGGATGTCCCACGCCTCCAATTTTACGCACGAGGTCGATGATGTAGACGGCTCCGGTGCCTCCGACTGTGCGATGCCGGGCGCTTCGTGGCCGCTGTGGGAAAGGGAAATAGCACAGCGAGGCGGCGTCACGACCAGACCGAGTATGCGACGGAGCTGCTCAATCATGTCGTCGTAAATCGGGATGAGATCAGGGTTGGTGCAGGTCCGGTGGATGAGTGATTGGACGTCCACAAGCAGGCCTGGGTACCGGGCCGGTGTGGTCTTCAGGAACGGCTGCATGCGGCTCCGGCCAAAGTCGAACAAGGGCGTCAGGACACCGCGGTACTCCTTCGGGTTTAGCATGTGCAGAATCGGCTCCATTCCATGAAGCAGACGCAGCCAGTGGGGGATCAATGGGGCCCCTGGTGCTAGATCAGCCTCGCTGACAGGACATCCTAGAGCTAAACCCCATTGAAGCCATATATATGTCCAGGTCAGCAATCCGGAACGGTGTCGACGTGGAGCAGGGAACCGAGTCACGGCGCACCATAGTACACTGTCAGCATCGAAAACAGGTGCAGCCTCTCGCACTCTTCGGGCCTCAAGTCGGTCAGTAGCTCGATGGCGGCCGAGCTGGCGGCTTGATGATGGTGCATGGCGCGCTGGAGGTAGAGATCCTTTCTCTGCGGGCGGTAGCGAGACAGGTGAAGAGCCGAGACGGCGAGGATGGACCGCATGAGGTACTCGCAGTCGACGGCCATGTGGACGGCTGCCGTGCGTAACAGCTGCCGGACGCCCTGGTCGCCGATTATGGTCGTGCAGGTATACGTGGTGAAGTTGTGCATCAGCTCGAGATCCAGCAAGTTGATGTCGCATGACGGGGCTATGGAGCAGGATCCCTGAAGTTGCGACGCCGGCAACGGGCCCTGCGGCGATGGGACAGCCGGAGAGGCGGACGCGGAATCGGACGAGGCAAAGTCGCATGCCACTGCGTGCTTTTCGCAGTTGCGGCAAGACGGCCTGCTTTCATCGCACTGCGCATGTATTAGACAAGAACTTGTACGGGAGCGCCCATCCTCGCGGCGGCTTCGACGACAGGACAAAGAAAATGACGGAAGGATAGGACAACACGAGCTGAAACAAGTAGAACTAAGAATCAAATGTGTTGTTTTCTTATCAGGTACCTTGATCCTGCGCCTCTTGCATGTCCGGCATCCCGTCCGCGATTTCGCGTGAGAACGGCGGTTCACAATACCGGACCGAACTCGTCGGGTTGTTGTCTCGGCGTTCCGAGCCTCCGTCCCCGTCGAAGCAGTAGTGGTGTGGATAGTACTGGATCTATTGGCATCTACGAGAACCTGGTCCGAGGAGCTGTCCGCGGGCGGTCTTGTTGCCATAATAGCGGATTGATTGGTAATGCCCGGTGGTACTGATACCAGTAAGGTAGAAACCAAGAACCTCGTATGCGATGCGAAAACGAGATACGGATAAGGATGACGAGATGTGCCGGGAAGTTCCGTAATAAATGATAGGTATCCGTACCCCGTACAGAATTGGGATCTTGGCGTAAAAACACGAGCCAACTCTCTTCTGTAAGTTACACCTTCAAGTTCAAGCGTGTAAATACAGCACTTCTGCGCTTGGCACCTGCCCCCTTTCGCTCTTTCCCTCGTGTCTCCCCAGATTCGGTGCTCGCCGTCGGCATTTCCCAGCTCCCGTAATAACTGGAAGGTAGACCAGGAAGTCCAGACCCGCGAGAACAGCCCGTCCAGGATCAGTCGCTTTTCCCAGGTACTCAACTGAGTCAAATCGCATACAACCGGTAGCCATCGCCGGTGATCACGATTCACCAGGCCTGGCTATCGCCGGATTTCTTGAACTCGCGGTACTCTCTGACGGCAAGCATGCAAAGATGGAGAGACAAGGCACTGCAGCACTCGTCAGATGGCACGCAGGTAAAAGAAGGCATTACACCCGCCGAGAACTCACAAGATGACCATGACAAGCAGCGCGCTGATCCAAGCGACCGCGCAGCTACTCCCACTGCAGAACTTCGAGATGCCCATGAACTTGAGAGCAATGAGGGTGAGCCAGAAGATTGGCTCGATGCAGTTTAGGATGAGGTTTGCCTTTACGCTCTTCCACCTGGCGAATCGTCGCGTGTGTTCGGTGAGAAGTTGATAGGCGACGATGATGATGGATTTGATCGACTAGGCGGCGGGGGCCCAGGGTCTTGTTAATGACTATGGCCAACCCGGACCTCGAGCGAGGGACGAGTTCAGCGGCAGGCACTCACGTAGACGATGCCCATGATGTCGGGCCGGGTGACGAACGGGGCCAGGTTCATGTAAACTCCCGTTAGGACGAGGAGCAACAGGACCAGGAAGAGCATGACAATATGACCCCGGAGCTTCCATTTCAGGTCGAAGAATGTACCCGATTTCGACATCATCGTCATGGTTGACTTGAGGTCTGTATTGCTGAAGAGCAATGTGAAACTGATGATGCCAACTGGGCGTTGAAAATGAAGGCAGCGCAAAATGAATATCGCAGCTGGCTTAACTACCTCGTAGGTAGCTTATATACTAGTAGTACTCAGCTCTCTGTACCTTACCACTGTATGTATGTATTCTGTACCAGTAGAAATCGAATGCCGTAGGCAGGCAGGTGAGGATCTAATGGTCACCGTAGTAACCATACCATGGACCATGGTACTCTTTGCTTTGCCGGTAAGATTCAAGGGCGGCACTATTGTTCTTTTGTTGACTCCGAGTTTGTTGTCTGTGTTGCCAGGCCAGATGCGGGCTCGGGCCTAGACGTCGGGATTGCTCGTTTATTATTCTGCAAGCGCCTCGTGTCGCTCGTGTTTGCGGGCCCTGAATGTTCCGTCAGCCGTGACCCCCCCGCAGTTCAAGACCATGTAGTGGATGATCATGGATGCGACCCATCGTGTCTTCCCGCGCGTGGGGAGCAGTGCCTCACCGAAAGATTCGGCCCCGTACACGTCACGGTGTAGCCCACCTTACCACGCCTTCCGGAGTGAGTCGTCTTTTCATTTGCATCGGGATCATTACCCATTCTAATACCTACCTTACCTTAGTAGTCCCAAGGTACCTGACCTTCCAGTTCACCTAGTAAACATGGTGGCATGCGAGTATTGTAGTACACTGCTACTATCCTTCCTCCTCAATCCCACTAGCTGTCATTGGATTCTCCTTGCTTTCAATCCGAGTCAATCACTATAAGCTCTTCCTCCCGCGTCTTATCCTCCGCCCCCTCCCCTTCCTCACTTTCCTCCACAGCCTTCTCTTTTCCCTTCCTCCTCCTCTTCTTCTTCTCCTTCGACGGAAGACGCACCACATCAGGCCACAGGTCCTCCTCCTCCTCCTCCTCCTTGCTAACCACCTCCTCCCCGCGCCCTTGCTCACGGCGTTTCACACGCACCAGTGCCCTGGCGGCGAGCAATGCTGTGACACAGTCCTCCTTCCTCCAATTGCTCATCTCGTCGCCCGGAGCGAGCTCCAGATCAAAACACCATTTTCGTAGCCGGTCCACTTTCTCGCTCTTCGTCATGTATCTGGTCAGGGTCTTGAAGAAGGTCCCGTCGTTTTCGTGTCCGTGTCCGTCGTCCGCTTGTTGTTGTTGTTGTTGTTGCTGTTGCTGTTGCTGTTGCTGTTGCTGCTGGCTAGCGGAGCGGTGGCGCCCGGACTCGCCAATAACTGTAACAGATTGGGACCGGGCACGGCGGTTGTTGTGCGGTGTGAACGAGCGGGAAGGCCCCGGGGCACCGTCATCCACCCCCGACGGCCGGATGTGAGGCGGCGGTGATATTCGACTGCGTTTGGCTTGGGCTTCGCCTTCTGTAGCTTCATCGGCCGGTCGCTTGCTCTTGTTGTGCTGGTGGTGGTGGTGGTCTGTATCGATGCTTTTAATGTACTGTTTGACGATCCTGAGACCTTCGAGAGCAGCCTGTTTGTCTCTCTGTGCCTGTGTAGCCTGGATATCTGCCTGGCTTACGCTAGCACGTCGCTCCCTGGCACTTTGGGATTTTGCTGAAAAGGCCGGCTGGGATGGCGGTCCATTGTACTTGTATGGCCCGTACCCGACCACTCGTGTCAGATGTTCTGGCTCAAAGCAAGGCAGGGAGAGTGGCGACGGGATTAGCCCCCGCGCCCGCCAGTGGTGTCCCGGCCCATCTCGAGCACGGCGGTGCGGGCCGGTTACAAGACGGTACTTTTGGGTGGATTGTAGGGTGATCCGAGGCAGCTTGAACTCGTGGGCGTAGTACTCGTTGGGAACCATTGGTTGGTAGTGGTTTTCATCCTGTATAGGTGTCAGCATAATAAATTAGTCTAAAGTCAGGGAACCTACTGCAAAACATAGAAAGACATGCCGATTGTTATACGCGCCGTATGTCTTCATATCGTACACCTTGTTCTGCCATTCTGGCCTTCCCGAGCCGTACTTGTAGAGTACCAGGAACATACCATAGACATCGGCCGTGAGGTTGCATATGTCATCCGGCATCCAACAGCCTGGTATCTGCAGAAGTTCCCACAGGTTTGCCGTGCCTTTCCAGGTCCCTGTCTTCCCTGTCGCCTGCGTAGGGATCTGGGCCTGGTTCATCCTCGAGTAGTAGCCGTTCCTGGGATGTTGTGGGTTTGCCAATACCTTCTCGAGGAAGTTCAAATGCTCGGCCTTGACACGGATCCAGAAGTCTGCATTGCCATACAGCAGCAAAGCAAGCGCGAGCCAGTAACACTGCCCGCTCGATACAAGTTTACCGTGCTTCTCGATGTCGGTCCAGTAATTTGGGTGTTTGACGAAGACGACGTTCTCCGCCATGGGGAAGCCCTTGAAAAGGAGCTGAGATTTGACCCGAGATGGATGTTGTAGGTACGGCAACCAGTCCGCCCCCTGGAATATGCTCTCCTGGTCGCTATATTCGTATCCGGTCGTGAGGAAGTCCGCCTTGGCTGCTCTGGCCTCGAGCGGAAACTGTTCCTTAAACGGCCTTGTGTATCCCATGTCCTTGCTGATGGCGGGGATGTCTAGGCGCATTGGGGTGGACGGACACGGGAGCTGTGACTCTTGGAGCCCGTTCCTGTTGTTGTCGTCGTTATCATTACCGAGTGTAAGGTCGTCGTGCGGGTTAATCCTAGCCGACTTTGCTAGGATGTGTTTCCGCTGTCGTCGTGAAAATAGTGGCAACGTTTGGATTACGCCGGCTCGGAGCCTGCCGTGGTCCTGACTGCTGTCATACAATTCCAACCCGTTCACCCCGAAGAGTCCAGTGTCGAGTAGGGGCTTGTTGCGGCGGAGGGTCTCGAGCTCTCGGTAGAAGAGCTGGCTGGCCAGCCAGTCCTTGGTGCCCTCGTCAGCGTCATCGTAGAAGGCTTGACGATCCATTGCTTGTTGTTGCGTGGAGTGTTTACAGGGTTCAATTAAGTCAGTATGGACACGCTGAGGTATCCTGCGTGTTTTTAAAGAGAGGGTTAAAAGGACCTCCATCGGTCGTGCTCACCGCGCAAGACAAAGACGCGTCAATATCCGAGGGTGGTTCATCCGAATCCGGATCCGGCCCGGGTACGGACACTGTTGAAAGACTTTGAATTCAAAGGGCCAAATACTGGAAATTATCGATTCCTTTGTCTTTGGCGAATTTCAGCAGTTTGGCAGAAACTGCTACTAGTCCATTGTCTTGCATGAAGGCGAACAAGGGCGGCGCAATCATAGGCCGGGTGACTCGCTAGTAATTGTATTAAGCCGAGGACAGCAGCAAAACCCTCTTTCGAATCCGCGCAGTCCAAGTTTCGTGCACGATGCCTGGACATTGTGCAACCCCAGAAGGGAGAGTCTTCAGTCTTGGGAGATTGCATGGCCTTAGGCAGTTTGAAACTTTGAAATGCAATCAGACAGCAAGAAGAGCCTCAAGCTCCACACCATCATGTTTACACACCGGACAGGTCAGTATCTTACTCGCGCACAAGAAATTGGGACAGCAAGAAACGGGGCAGAGTGAACCCCGCCAAGGCTCCCTAGTAGCCCTCTATTGTCTAAATCTATATGGATGGCAATTAGAGTACGCTATCCCTTGATCCCTTCGAGCTAGAGAGGGAGACGGTCAGAGTCTAGAGACCAGCGGAAGATGCTTGTTGACCCCTCGCGATCCAAGAAATGTACTCCTCCATCCCCTGGCATACACCTGCGCGGCAAACCAGGCAAAGTGGCAGTTGACGTCCCACTCCCGCTTGTCGTGCCACTTGGCCCCCTCTGCCAGCCACGCCACAGTGCGCGGCTTGCCGAGGAGGCATGTGATTCTGTATCCGTCAAAGTAACTCCAGAGCCGCTGGCGCACGGGCCGATTCCGGTAGCGGTTGTCCCGCGCGGTGAAGCTGGCGTTGATATGCGCCTGCGTGTACGCCTCGGAGCGGAAGCGGGAGACGTCGTACCGCGAGAGGAAGTCGCGCTTGAATTCGAGCCACGGTTGGCGCACTTCGTCCGACGTGAGCCATCGGACGAAGGCGTCCTGGCTGCGGAAGCCGAGGCTGTGCTGTATGAGACAGCGTGAGCGTGAGAGGAGGGGGGAGATGTCATTTGTGAACGGGGCGCGGCTCGGGTTGGCGAGGTTGCGCATGGGGCGGTAGGGACCTGCGCGGCGCTGCATGATGTTAGGGCACTGCTTTCCGTTGAGGTTGAAGACGAGGTGGGGTGCTGCGTTTCATTTGGCGAGAGTTCGCTTCATCCGGTTCGAGTGAGGCATCAGGTCCTGGACCGGTAACAGGGAGATCCGACCTTGAATCGAGTGCACACGACATCTTGACCTCGAGGCGTGTTCCCGAACAGGTGCCTTGAATAAGAGAACAAAGTGCTTGTCCAGTCCGTGATGCAGTGTCTAAGCCCGACAGACAATGTCTTTCAAGCTCAGTCAAAGAAGTCAAAGAAAGGACTTGTCATGTACAAGTTGGCTGAAAGACATTGAATCCGTCGCCGACCCGGCTTTTCACTGAATAAACGCCGTGTTATTAGTCTGCTTCAACTCGTTTCCTTCCAGGTTGATTCGAACCTGTCAACCCAAGGGCCATGGGTTGAGATACGGTCGTATGATATGGCTACCTGGTGTCCCTGTGTCGGTGCAAAGCCTCTAGGCCAACTTTTATGGTATGCGCTTGATTCTGCTCGCGGCCGCTTGAAACCCCGATGGGCTTTTGTCTTGTAAGAGTTGTACATTGCTTTGTCGTGTGCTCGGCTCCAGATACGCGGACTAGAGGTTCTCGGTTGTGGCAACATTCCGAACAATCGGGCGAAGTGGCCTCGGGCCCTGCTTTGTTAGCTTCTCGAGTCTGCAATCAAACGGGCACACGCTCTTTGTGATGGGCGACATATGTTACTAGTCATGCGTGTCTAAGGGTCAGTAGTACTGGCATTGAGATAAAGTTGGCTTGAAGAACAAGTCAAAGGTTGGCAACTTGATACTAGTAATCCTAAATCAACTTAGCTTGCTGCTGCAAGGCGAATGTTGGAACCTAGATTTTCAATGGTATCAGCGTGCATACCTACCACCGGTACTACCGGACATAGTAAGCCCTTGCCGAATTGAGAAATCCGCTCAACAACATGGCGCGAGTTCCGCCTGGCAGGAAGCATTTGCTTACTGATGGACCACTCGTCACCCCATGCTGATATGAGATCGAGAGACGCTCATAGCCGTTCGAACAGGGTTAAACCGGAGGGTTTTCGAAGATTTGCGCATAATAAACATCAAATTGGAGGGAGCATTCATGTCTCAGAGTCGCTCGACGGAATGCTTAAATCTCTGATTAAGTCGACCACCCCCCATTCCGCCCATTTTGTAAGTCCACACCGCTTTCTCAACCCAACCACTTCAACTTACCACAACTCACTCAATCTCTGGCCAAACGGCCTTTTTTTTTGGATCAAACTGATTGCCAGTTCAAGATGGCTTACTCAGAGCAAGATATACAAGATGCAGTTGAGCAATACCGTCTTGGGCGCCAGTCATTGTGAAGCATCTGTAGTGAGTTCGGCATCCCACGCTCTACTATTCGCGACCGCCTTCGTGGTACTCAGACCCATTCAACTGCGGCCGAACTGCAACAGACACTTAGCCGAGTACAAGAAGATCATCTTACGCGATGGGTCTTAGCCCAGGTCGCTCTAGGTGTCCCACCAACCCATGCGCAGATCAGGGAGTTCGCCAGCCGGGTTCTATAGGCCCAAGGAGCACCCGAAAAGACTATTGGGAAGAGCTGGATCAACCGGTTTATCCGAAGGAACCCGGTCCTCCGTACTCAGCGAGGTCGTAAGATCGACTTAGCCTATATCAATGGCGCTACTGACTCGGTTATCCGCAGCTGGTTCCTACTCTTAAAGATCCTAGCCATCAAGGATATCTTACCGGCTAACCGCTGGAACTTTGACGAATTCGGCCTTATAGAAGGTTAGGGTATCAACGGCTTGGTAGTTAGAAGTGCCCACACACGCATAGGACAACGGAAAGTCCCCTGTTCGCGTGTATGGACCTCCTTCTTAGAGTGCGTCTCTGCTATAGGGGTATTACTCCCACCAGCTGTTATTTTCAAGGGCAAGAGTATTCAACAGCAGTGGTTTCTTATTGCCAAGGACGAACTAAAGGACTGGCTATTTACTGTAACTGAAAAAGGCTGGGTAAATAGGGTGGTTGCGTTGGAATGGCTATAACGGGTCTTCATCCCCCGGACCCAGCCGTAAGATCCTACCTAGAAGCGTCTGTTGATACTGGACGGCCACGATAGCCATACAAGCACTGAGTTTATATGGGAGTGCTTCAGCAACAATATCCAACTACTCTTTTTACCAGCCCATACCTCCCACGTCCTCCAGCCGTTGGATTTATCAGTGTTCTCCCCCCTGAAGCACACCTACCGCAAGCTCCTCAACCAGTTAACCAGCTGGTCAGAAACTACGGCATTAGGCAAGCAGTTGATATTGCGGTGCCTTGTCAAGGCTCGCAGGGAGGCAATTACAGCTCATAATATCAAAGCTGGGTGGAAGGCATCCGGGTTGTGGCCTCTTAGTATGGCGAAACCACTGATAAGCCCTCTTTTATTGGAAAATTCGAACCAGGCGCTTGGAAAAGACAATCCACTACTACTACCACAGACCCCGGCATCTAGGCTACCTAGCCAGACCACAACTATGGCTCAGGAGGTCGAATTCCTGACACCACGCAAGAAAGTAGACCTTCGCGGTCACCTAACCAACCTGGCTATCCGGCGGCAAGATCTTTCTACACGACGGCTTTTATTCAGGAAGGTTGAGAAGGCATTTGACGAGAAGGACTTCCAATTGGCTCAATTGCAACAGGAAAACGAGGCTCTGAAGGTTCAGTTAGAGGCAGCCCGGCCGTCGAGAAGAAAGAGGGTGGTCCCGGATCCGAACAAGCAGTTCGCTTCCATTGAACAGGTCCACCGGGCTCAAATTGAGGCTGGCCGTATTGAAGAGTCTGGCATTGAAGACAGCAGGTCAGAAAGCCCCGAATCAGATGCTTCCTGTATTGTGGTGGGTTGAACAGACTGTAACAGGTGGTGTTGAAGAAGATGGGTGGTTTAGACGCCAAGACTTAACAAAGTGGGCGGAATGGGGGGGTGGTCGACTTAGACCTCCCTCAATGCCGTCGACTTTGGCGTGGCTCTGACATCATTGTTCTCTCCGCGATACAAAAAAGCGGGCAAAGGCATGTCGTCAGCGCGATGTAATCCTTACGCTATCTGTTCTTGTAATATTTGGTGTCAACCCTCATGACCTTATAAGTCTCAAAGCTACCACGTATAGTATCTGTCCTCACCAGCTCGCGCGAATATAACAAGCTATCTGGCAAAACAGCCTAACTGTCTACCCATGCTCATCGAGCCTCCAGATACCAAACAAGATGTTCAACCCAATCACTTTCGTCACCCAGGTTCTTGTGAATGGCCCCACGGCGGTGGCCTCCCTTGTTCGAAATGCGGCAGCGGGACTCAAGACATTCGCCGCGAATTTGAGCCTAAAAGGAGCGTCGGCCGTATTTGCCGCTGCTGACAATGAGGCGATCGTCGATACGGTATTCAAAGTGGTTCAACGTTCCATCGCGGCGTTTACAGGGAGCCTCAGCGGAGCGGCCCTGATCTGGAACTTCATCTTTACCAATGGCATTAACCAAGAGACCAAGGATTTCATTCTGAATAACCTCGGCGATCTGAAGCAGTTTCTGTATGACCTTGTCCGTCCTGGAACTGTCATCCCGGGGCCTCAGACTCCAGGGGTCACCGGAGCGGTTAATCAATACAACGAGTTGGATCTCTCGGTAAAGGAGAACCGAGAGGCCGTCGTCTACCAGTTGCAGCGCGTTTCGCTGACGCTCATGACGATTCTCCGGCTGGGGAGGGCCCGTCGCAACAAGTCGTCTCTCAACCTAAGCGATATCGAAATGAATGTCGAACTCAGCAGCGACTTTAGACCTAACGGACAGCCTCCAGACCGGTGCTACACCGCCAAGTGGCAGGAGCCCGGCTCGCCACAGAACTACAAAGAGACGTGGCTGTTCGTCAACGGCATTGCCAATGAGCATGTCTGGTTCCGCCGATCGTGCGACAAGATCAAGAAGCGATTCAAGACAGACGTCACGGGCGTGTACAACCGGAGCGACGGCATTCTCTGGGACTTTATCGAGTGCACCGGAGAACGCTCCCCCGCCGCCGCCGAAGCGTCACACTCCCTCATCCAGCGCACTGATAGCAGCATGAAGGCGCAAAACGCTCTCGACCAGGAACTCAAGCGTGCGCTCTCGGTCAGGGACGACAACCACAAAGTGGTTGTCATCGCGCACTCCCAGGGGTGTCTCCTTCTGCGGCTGGTGCTGCAGGCTCTGGTAAACCGCCCTGAAGGGGTCTCCGAGTTAAGGGAAAGGACGGAGACGATGGAAATCATGCGAAAAAGCCTGAACGTGTTCACATTTGGGAACCCCAGTGTCGACTGGTGCGTCGTGGACGACTCGGACGCAAGGCGAAGCGTCGTTCCACTCAGCAATTTCGTCCTCTGTACGGAGCACTTTGCGCATGCGACGGACTTTGTTGCCAGACTTGGGGTCATGAGGCACGGGAGGGGAACCCAAGGTGCTATCACTTCCGGTTATAACGCCGAAAGCGTCTTCCGCAGCAAGGACGGCAGAGGGCACCTGTTCGGAGCGCATTATTCACTGGATAAGGAGGACTACGACGAGGGTGAGAAGTCAGTTCTTCTGAATTGGGAGTGGCGACGAGCGACATCATGTAAATTAGACACGGCACCTAACAGGTCGTAATTATCCTGTATGTTGAGATGGACGCAGCATTCAACGATGGCTGCAGTGATTCTCGGGGAGGCAGGACAGAGTTATACATCGTCCTCTTGTTGCATCGTTTGACCTAGGTAGACTCTTATTATACTAGTAGTAAGTGCAGTACCTGCCATGAGCACCTGACCCAGTGATTCATCAGAGATCGTCGACGCTGGCGGGTCGTGTCGCATAACAAAGAGGCCAGTTCCCATTAAGCTACTTTAAAACGGTGACTCCAACCTACCATATGACGAATTTCCGCCCACATACATCCATTACTCTATTGAGTGGAAGGTGTTGTTGAAGAATGGAAGACTCTCAAAGCTTACAAGTGATATGGAACAGAACCTTGTGGTTACTATTGTATACAGTAATCTCACGCGTAATTATAGCACGGGTTGGTATTATACCCCTATAGGGGCGCTCAAATTCGGGATAGAGACTATAAGCTAGGCAGGTACCGGAGGTACCGGTACAGCAGGAACAAGGCTAAGAAGGATAGGAACCATGCTCTCTATATATATAAGGAACCAAGGTCCCTAGAGCCTCAGACTCCTTAAGAAAGCAATACAACCTATATAACCCCCTACGTTCAACAATCAACTTAGGTTGCTGCTGCAAGGCGAACGTTGGAACCTAGATTTTCAAAGGCATCAGCGTGCATAGGACATAGTAAGCCACTGCCGAGTTGAGAAATCCGCACAACGACATGGCGCGAGTTCCGCCTGGCAGGAAGCATTTGCTTACTGATGGACCACTCGTCACCCCATGCCGATATGTAATCGAGGGACGCTCACAGCCGTTCGAACAGGGTTCAACCGGAGGGTTTTCGATGAATTTGCAATAGACTGTGGCTGCCTATGCAAACGAGGTTCAAACCGATACAAGCAGTTTGCTATGCCAGTAACCCTACTGTCGGGACTTGCATGCAACATGAGCGTCGACAGCCTCCATGAGAGTGCGGCACTTGCGAGCGGCGTCGTACATACCTACCAGGTTTAGAATCTCGCGAAGACGTAGAATACTACGCTGCGTTACGCTCGCTTGCAGGGGGAGCTGCAAGGATCCAATTTAAGGTAGCATTTCGCTTCGGCTCGAGATCTCACGTCAGCGCGAAACTCTAAAAAACCCTCAGCTCAGCAGCCGCAGGAAGTGGTTCAACGCAAAAAAATAAAGCGCTTGGCAAAACTCGGGACGCTCCATTCTATCAGCTCCATTCTTTTTCTTTATGCGAGTAGCTTGGCCGCCATAACCTTGGGACAGAAGTCTTGGGGTTGACTCTGGCCCCGAAAGTTGGCCCCCAATTGCAACTCGCCAAGTTACACCCGAACGAGCAAAGAGGGGAACGATCGGTTGCTGCAACCTAAGCGCCGTGTGTGTGGCGGCTGGCGATTCCCTGCATGGCTGTGCCGCCCCTGCTGCTGCCCCATCTCGTTTCCTTTTCTCCTCATGGTGCTCGCGCTCGAGGCCGTCCCTCGTCCTCGTCCTCGTCCTCGTCCTCATCCTTGTCTCTCTAGTTGCGACAAGAAGGAGATCCGCAAACATGGAGAAGCCTCCTTATGCAGGCCTGGAACTTCAGGTTCCAGACATGCACAAGGGCCCCTACCCAGGCCTTGAGGTTCACAATCCAAAGCAGAAGGCCTACCCAGGCCTTGAAGCTCTGCCGGACTCGGACCTAGAAGCCGTCCACGGCGGCCACCACCACACCGCCTATCAGCCCTATCCCACAGAGCTGCCATCGACTGACCAGACACCGCCGCCCAAAGCCAGGATATGCGGTCTTCCGAAGGCGATTTTTTGGGTCGTCTTCGCAGCGACAGCCCTCGCTATTCTCGCGATCGCATTAGGTGCCGGGTTGGGTGTAGGGCTGAGGAAGGCCAACCAGACTACTGCCGGCGCTAGCGGTAAGCCTCAGCCCCTCATCCTAGTCGAGGGACCTGAGTTGGGAAAACGCTAACATCACTGATTTTCTTAGCAACAAATCAGACTGACGTTGCAGCGTCCACCACTCCCATAGTAGACCAATCCTCTTCACCGACGTCGACCAGCACGCCAGTGACGATTAGCGGCACAAGCGCCATCAGTTCCTCAACGTCGACATCCAACGCCACTGTCACGAGCGCGTCGACCAACTCTCCTGCGGATCCCTCGCCACCGAGTTCGACGAGCAGTGCCGGCGGTAAGTTTGCCCCCCCCCCCCCCCCCCCGCTCCCTAGACTCCCCGGCGGTATGTTCTGAGGATGAACCATTTTACTGACCATCGTCCTTCGCAAAAATAGCAACTTGCAACGGAGGCACCGTCCGAGAAGGCGAGACCGAGAACTACATCGGCCTGTGCAGCTTCACTTGCAGTTACGGCTACTGCCCGCCGGGACCTTGCAAGTGCACTTCGTACGGAACCCCAGAGGACCCGCCAGCAACCAACGGCCGCGAGGGATGCCCGCTGCCCGGCGAGAGTGACGGCTACTTGGGCCTGTGCAGCTATGCCTGCAACCATGGCTATTGCCCTGAAACTGCCTGTCGGTATTGCTAGGGCAGCACCAGACCTCCATTCTCAAACAAAGTCGTGGTCGACCGTCCGAGCAATGCCGTAGCAGCGGTGGCGCAGTGATAGCAGGTAGCCCGGTCTGAAAGGTGCTACAGGGGTGTAATGTGAAAGCTTGAAGGGTTCCATTGCGGTTCCTGTATGGTTAACAATTCATTCTTCGTCCTTCGTCGTCTCTCTGAGACTTAAGAAAGCCGGTCGTAAGGAGCGCCTGCGGTCTTTCCGTTTCGGGTCCGGTGCCGTCAGCGCTGCGACGATGGCCTGACCACGCAAAATCAATAAGTACCTAGTAGTAAGATGAGGGCTGGCTCCCCGGAGTTGGTACATGGTATGAGAGCAGAGAACGTACCTCGTCAAGAACAGCCTTGAGACGAAACGGCGCGTTGATGCTGCACTCCACATACTTCACTGCACCAAGCCTCCTTGCCAAATCCGCGCCCAACCGGGCGTAAAACAGGGGCTTGTCCGGGTTAGAATGCAAGTGCTCGTTTGGTGACATAGAGTCACGGACAAGTTCAAGGCCGTCCTGGTTCCCGATTCCCACAATGACGAATGGGACCCCAGGACGAAGGTACGTAATCTCCGGAATCCAGACATTCTCGATATTTCGGTAACTGGATTTGATCCCAACGCGTGCGAAGACAAGGAAGACGTCCGCCTGCGGGTAAACAAGCATTCTAAGGTGGGGATACATCTCCTTGCCTGTCGTGTCAGAGAGCCTTAGGGAACGGGACACGCCGTCCATCCTTGAAATAATATCGTCAGCAAAGGATGTCAGCTTGAGGAGGAGGAGGGTATCCCTTACATGACGTTTACCGTGGCGTCATCGGTCACGGATGGGATATATACACTGGGAAATGTCTGTGTGGTGTACGAGATGATTGTTGCTGTTTTCTCCGTGGAGGCATCTCCGACTACAACAACCCTGCAGCTATAGGATCAGCACCTCTTTCCCAATCGCATACTATTACTATCCATGATGTCGAGTGATGGATGAGGAGGCATCCCTACCTAATGTCGTCGTCGGCCCGTCGTACACGCAGACGGCTAGGCGCCACCTGAGCGGCGGCGAACGGGTGCAAGACCCCCGGCATGTTTAGTGCCTTCGGAGCATCTCTCCCTCTTGGTTGAGACAACATGCTTTGTACCGATCGTCCTCGCATCGAGTCGTTCGAGCCTCTAACCGTTGATTTAGCGCACTTGATACCTTTGGAGCTCCGGAGTGCTGGCGGTAGTATTAGTACTTACCTATTAAGGCCCGAGCCACGGAGGAGGGTCGCAAATGTCAGGTCGGGCGCGATAGGGTTGATATCGTCCAAAGTGATCGGAAGACGGAAGACGGAAATAACAGAAATGTCGTTCAATGACAGTGAGCTCCAAGCATGCGATCTGAGGGTCAAATCTGTCACTGAACCATCCAACTCGTTAGACTCCATGCCCAAGTACGGTCGTGACTTCCAGAGAGCTGCCTCGAATTCGAAACGGGTTTCTACAGAAACCTTCGATTCCGACGGAATTTCCAGCTCCCCCAGCACTGACGGACGAGGTAGCATGCGAAGGTCGGAGGCAGGGAACGGTTTAACTGGCCTTATAGTCGAGGTAGCAATTGAATCGTTGTCGTCGAACCGTACCGAACGGTCCTCCACCGTCGAACTATTCTCCAGTCCCCGGATATGCGCCGCGAACTCGGGATCTCTCTCCAAGATCCGCTCAATGACTATGATCAGTCTCTCTCTACTCCGCATAGCTTCAACCTCCGACCGGCTGATCCATGGCTGTAAGTTATACAGTATACAGGACAAACAGGGACAGTATCACGGTAACATAGCAGCAGCGCAAGCATACCAGAAAAGCACCGTCACCATCAAAGACAGCGAGGTCTTTTGGGATTCTAGCTGTGAGAGGAGATCCTTGACCCTCTTTTCCGCCGCAACCCAACTGAAGCGATCCGTAATGCCCGCCTTGATGCAGACGAGCGACTCGAGCTCCGACATGGTGAGGACGCAGTTTGTGAGGACGATGACGATGTGGTCGAGGCGCAATAGCACCCTTCGTCTGCTAGGCAGGCTCGAGACAGTGTCAATGAGCTCCTGGATCATTGCGAGGCCGAGTTGCATCTCTTCGACAGCGGCGAGGGCGGCCTGCGCGGATTGCGGTGCATCGGCGACAGCGCCGACGAATTGGCGGAGCACCGAGCCGACTTTGCCCGCCGCCGCGAGAAGGCCGACGACCGAGGCGGCCACACTGAGAGGGTCGGCCATTAACGTGGTCAACAGCCAACCTACGACAAGATGATGATTGTTTGTTGGGATCGAGAGGTGCTCGCTTGTCAGGACGAAGCGTCAGAACCGAGCGGTGCTGCAAATGTGTTTCCGACCCTCTCGGCTGGCTTTATTCAGGCGAGCCCCAGTGACCGAGTACGGTAGGTACCTGGTATGTATGCACCTTACTAGTACCTTACCTGCCCGAGCTGCCCTCGGGCTGCTAGGCAATTTGCAATTGAACTCCGTCTCTCCTACTCCGGACCCGTCGTCAATTTACTGCATACCTGTACCAAACACACTGGCTTCTCCAAGCTCTAAGTGACTGCTCGCTGGCACAATTGTACGATAAAAGACATGCACAACACCAGGATCAAGGGACTAAGTATGCAGGTACTCATATAACAGGTCAGAATTACCGCAACCCCGATTTAGAGGTTACTGCAGTCTCCACCAGGTACGAGCCACTTCACGGCCTGTCCTAGCATTACCAGCCGATTTAGAAAGCTAAATGCACACGTAGTATTATTGGTAACATCGTTTCTTAATAAGCCCCCCACAACAGCACACCTCGATGGGGAAGCTCACATCACCTGCTTACAATGAGATGCGTGAGTAAGGTATTGGTAGGTATGACTCACAGCCCACTCGTATAAGACCTCGTCAGTCAACTTGCCCCGACCTTTACTTACTTCATTCACAAGGCCTGGTGTCTAATGAATAACGCGTCACATCCCGAAGCAAACCATCGCCACGATGTCAGTGCACGCCCTAGCCCTCTCACCAACTCATGACTTCACCAAACAGCCCGTGTCCCGCCTCACCCTCCTCGCCGGATTGGGCGTGCAAGGCGACTGCCACGCCGGCGTGACTGTACAGCACCGCAGCCGGTTGCACATCCAGCCGCCGCCGCCCAACCTGCGCCAAGTGCACCTCATCCCCAAGGAGATCCTCGACGAGTGCGGCGTCGAGCCGGGGGAGATCGGTGAGAACGTGACGACTGTCGGGGTTGATCTGCTGGCGCTGGGCAGGGGGACGAGGCTGCACTTCTTGCCTTCCTCTTCTAGTCCTCGTGTCCCAACAGGCAGTGATGCACGGGATGTGATGTCGCAGCCGCACCCGGTTGTGGTCGTTCAGGGGCTGCGTAACCCTTGTCCGCAGATTGACAAGTTTAGAGCGGGGCTGAAGGAGCAGTTCATCGTACGGGACGAGGAGAGGCGGATCGTGGGAAGAAGGGCGGGTGTGATGGGCACGGTTGAGGTGGGCGGCGAGGTGAGTGTGGAGATGAGGATTGTAGTGGAGAGTACGGGGGACTTTGAGGCACTGGGTTGTGTGTAGAATGCGAGCGGATCCGATCTTGAAACGGTACCTTCCAGATGTAGAGGGTTAGAACGGCGTCGAAGACTGTGCTTTTCTTCTCTCTTATATTTCTGTTCTCTTCATCGATTCCCACCTCTTTAAGTTCCACTTCCTCCAAGCTGAAGCATGATGGCTGGCCTATAAAGCTTGAGCGTTGCTTCACACTACTGATGCTAGGCATTAGTTTGGAGATTATAGACTTTAATGTGATCGTGATTCTTTAGCGCGGATGAGGTCTCATCCACTTATAGGATGCTTGAATTGTGTAACTAGGTGCATACCAGCCAGCCATACGAAGCGCAGGGAGAACGCGCTGCCTGCTTAAGTCGAGCGGGATATACCAGCCTGGAGCGGGGTTCGTGGTAGGTCTGGGAAAGGGGGTGAGGGATTTTAGGCAAATCTATCAAATGCTATGTGCAATCCAATAACGGGATTTGTTGTACACACTCCCATACGACAGTTGGTTTTGAAGCACTGCCAAATTCCGAGATTGGCTCAGTCATTAAAAGATGCCGTGCCGGCGATCAATGTGGCCCTCCTTGACTCTGACGCCCTGGCCTCCCGGCACTTGAACACCCGGCGTCCTAGCCGCCATTACCCCAGATTCAATTTAAAGCATATTCGTAGTGGAGCCGGAGTTTAGGTTCAACGTCTGGGAAACTTGCATCTGCGGGCGGGTGAACAAATATCTTCCAGTCTGGCAGTTGGTTAGGCGGCTCTGTTTGTCATATGCAGCGTCCCGCCTTTTATTGTCGAGTAAAGACTCCGGTATCCGTATCTTTCCCTTTTCCTTGCTCGTCCCCTTCCATCGCACGATACCCTTCCTACGACCAAACCCAGCCCTGCTATGTCGTCGATAACTGGGGCCACGCTAATCGATGCTGAACGGGCCGCCGAAAGCAATGCCACCGCCTTCCTCGCTGTTATCTGCGTATTTTGGAGCCTGGCGTTTGTCACGGCGTGTGTCCGGGTCTACACCCGTGCGATCCTCGTGCGCTCCTTCGGCAAGGATGATGCGTTTATGGTGATGGCCGTGGTGAGTCGCCCCTTTTCTCAACCCCGATGAAGGAAGACCTACCTCATGCAGCGTTCGCTCTAATCCGATTAGCTGTGCGCAGTGGCGGGACTAGCCGCGTGGATCGTCGAGTGCAAGAACGGATATGGTCGCCACATAGACACAATACCACGGTCCGAGTTCTCCAAACTCATGGAGGCGCAGTTCTACCAGTCAGTCTTCGAAGCGGCGTTCGCCTTTGGCCTGCTCAAGATTTCCATCGCCTTGTCACTGCTTCGGCTAAGCAAGGGAAGCTGGTACCACAGGATACTATGGGCACTTATCGGTACGGGAAACTGGCAGTATCGTGCATATAAGACCCAATCCCTCTCCTGACAGGACACGAAAACAGGGTTTACTTGCTTCTACACCGTCTTCGCCTTCATTACGTTCCTGACTTACTGCAAGCCCATTGCAGGCCAATGGGATCCGTCCGTTCGCAGGACGAAGTGCTACAGCAGAGCCACGTACAGGAATTTCGGGCTCTTTAACGTTGGTCCGTGTTTTCAACCCAACGTAAATGCCAGTGCTAATCTTCCCTTCCAGCATGCAACATACTGACGGATATCTCCTTCGCGACGTTGCCGATACCCCTGATCTGGAACCTCCAGCTCCAGCGGCGCGTGCGCATATACCTGATCGCCATTCTTAGTGGCGGTTACTTGTAAGACTTGCACGCTGCTGCTGTGTCCGACAAGCCACTAAGATCGCGGTAGCGCCGTTGCCCTTGGAATCGCCAAAGGGATATTCATCATCGCATATGTGAAGGAAACAGATGGGACATTGTGCGACCTCACCGTAATTCTCCAGATGTAACGATCGAGACTGACGAAAGACTCAGCTTCCCATGGGCGCCATTCTTGGGATCGTGAGTGGCCCGTCGGGCAACAACTTCTACTAACGTTCTAACTGTTTCGCCAGACTCCAGCTCGACATTGGGATCATCGCCGCCTGCGCCCCCACCCTTCGACCACTTCTCGGACGCGCACTCAGGCTGTCCAGCACCCTTGACCCTTACCGAGGTGCGAACTACTATCGAGCTGGCATGGCTCTCAATCGACTCCCCGTCACTGGCGAGTCGGCTCGCGGGTACCTAAGACAGAATACTCGGTCGGGCGACTTCGTCGAGCTGGCCAAGGTCGAAGAGCACTGGACAGCGGCACACGGCGGAGACCATTTGACTTTCCTTGCAACCACTGTCCACGCCGAGCACGCGACAAATCAAGGTCAAGGCAGTCGAGAGACCTCGAGCAGCGACATCGGCGCCGTCTTGCCTCCTAGAGACACTCCCAGGTTCAAGGGCATTCTCAGGACGATTGAGGTCCGGGTGGAGAAGTGAAGCCGCGGGCGGATACCGGCCGATTCATCCACTCCAACGGCTGGTACTGTACAACGACAAGCAGCCAAAAGGCGTGTCAGAACGTCAAACTCCAGGAGCCCGCATCGTAGTGGAGTCCCACCCATGCGTTTCTGAACATACCGACTTCGAGAGTTGCTGTGCCACAGAGGATAAGCTTGGTCGGATTGGCGCGCCAGGAAAGGACCAAAGCCTACCCAAGTCCAGTCTTTCCGGCCTGATGCCCCTTGTTTCAGAGGATATATTCCGCACACGGAGACGCTCTGGCGGGGAAAGCAGAAGACGATGATAGCAACGGATGACGATCCCTCGGATTCTAAACAGCTGAGATCTTGACCTCGTTAGCAATCTGTGCGAGCCTTCCACTTCAAGTGTTCATGCGGGCATTGAAAGCACAGGACGGTGTAAGACGTCGGCATATAACAATTCTCAAGGAACCGTGTCGGGGTTGCTAACGATGCTTGGCCTGTTGGGTTCCACACGAAAGGCAATTCAGATGGAATAGTCAGGAATACAAGGCAGTCACAAAGTAGCTAGCGAACAATGGGACTCGATCCATCAAAGCAGTCTCGAGACATCACTGTGGCAGTTTCAACGCCCGCCAGACAGAGTGGGGGCGGTTCACACGCTACACCAGAGTCACTAAGATCAAAACTTGGATTCTTTAGTTTCTTTAGTGAAGCCACATTGCCAGTAGGAGCACATGGTGCCGATTAACACCATAAAGCATATCTGTATATGAAATAACGGATGCATGCCACCAAATGCACTGGCCTTAACGGTTTAACCACGAGCATCAAAACACTTACCGACGGGTGGTTCAGGCTAGTTGGAATGACCTGTCCCACTCTTTCACTTCCGCGGCGTGGTTGGCCCATTGTAAGCCGCTGTCACTTGCTTCATTCCATCCTTGCCTCCCACGTAATTATAGAAAATCTACGAGGTGGGTACTTCGTCATCTACATGAACAGGCCATTTCACGAGTTTGAAGGCTAAGGCCAGCGTCATTTATTGCTCCCTGGATAATGATTTGGGTTGAAATAATGTCCTTCAAACGAGTCTGATCGTCTTGGCCTTACTTTCTACCCCTTCAAGACGTAGACTTGGTCGATGGGCAAGCGGGAGGCCAGGCGGCTTCATGCATAGGAGTAAGTATAGTCCTAGGTTCCTAGCACACCTCCCCCTCGAAGTGCAAACCCGACTACAACACCTTTACGACTACGGTTTGCACTCTGAACTACGACTCCCCGAGTACCAAGTCTGGACACTCCGCTTCCACCTCATCTCCAGATCGACCAGCAGCTTCGATTCTCCTGCTGACGCCTTTGATACTTCAGGTAGGTGTTGAAAGTCAGTCCCATTAAAGATCTCAAACTAAATTTTCCTTATTTGGCGTCAACCGGTTCCCCACACCTTCCCGACGCCAAGAGATCGGTTAGATAAACCATGTCGCTCGGATTTGCCTGGGACGATCACGAAACCCTCTGTTTCCCGAGTTTTCTACAAGCATTAGATTGACGTGTCGCCTCTTTCATTAGGTAATCTGCTGAATGGCTCCTTTCCATACTCACATTCCAGACCATCTACCTTCAAAAATGTGGGTTCCTTACACTATGCATTTTCTTACCGGCACAGTCCATTTATCGGTTACACCCCGCTGCCGAGAGGTTGCAGCGCTGAAACCTGAAAGTCTGGGGTAGTCTTGGCAACAGACACGAACGAGTCTAGTTCTGCGGAGACCTTCTCCGAGTCACATGAACAAATTTGCGTTCTCACCGAGGAGAAGCCCCTCCCGATGGCAAGCGTGGCCTGTTTTCTCGCGAAGTGCACAGGTTGGCGAGCTGGACCGATTCCTTAACGACTTCTTGACTCTCTGTGGCGTGGCCGGCACCTTGTCTCGCGAGCACGGGAACACCAAAACCAAGCTCTGAGACGTATGTCACGGATCAGTGCTGCGCTATTGGAAGGTGCTGTGAAAGCCGAAGTGGCACCGCCCCTATTCCACGCAGTCCCAGCAGAGGCCCCTCAGCTCACCGCAGCGCGCAGAGGTTTTGGCCTTTGCAACAATTCTCGACCCAAATCAATCGACTTATACACCTCACCTACGGCATTCAGTATACGCCGCGTCGGGAGAGTGGAGCAAGAGAACATTGCTTGGGTCGTTCTACCCCAGCGAAGGAGCCAGTCTGCGCGGGTTCGGCATCACAGCCTAAATTCAGCCGCTCCACAAAAACCACAACGGCGGTAGCAGCAACCTGCAGCAGCCCAGCCCCCGATGGCCAGTCTCTACGACGACCCGTTCGCCTACGACGGAACCGATTTTACAGGCTTCCTTAGTCAGGATCAGTTCGCAACCGGATCGTCTCCCGAGGACTTCCATGTCACATCCGCCACGGAAGCGCATTTCCCAGCCACCATCCACCACTCACTCAAGGGAGCGCATCATCAGTCACAATACCTCTCCCCAACCGACCCCCTAGTAGGGCCAACCCTCGCACACAATGCCCTCCAAACACACCTCAACCGGTCGGCGCCAACCGACTTCCCCAGAAACCAACCTAACAACAATACGCACAACACCGTAGGCCTAACCTGGGATACCGCCGCCCCTCAAAATGCCGACGAGATCCAAAGCATGCTCGCCTCCTTGCACAGGCTGCAGTCCGAGCTGCGGCAAACGGCGCTCGAGCGCGACGAGGCCCGGCTGCAGCTCTCGACGGCGCGCAACGAGCTGTACGCCTCGCGGCAGGACCAGAAGCGGCTGCGCGCGGAGCGCGACGAGGCGCGGTCGCAGGCCGACTTCCTGACCGCGGAGCGCGTCAAGGCCAAGCAGACGGAGACGCGGCTCAGGCGGGAGAGGAACGAAGCGCGCGCGAGGCTGGCGCTGCTCCTTTCTGCCAATAATGGCAGCGGGCCTGTGGTTATTGGCGGCGCAGGGCGGACGGGGCCATCGTCGAACCAACTTATGGGGATTGTTGGTGGGAGTGGTGCGGGTGGTGGCGGCATGGAGAGTCAGGGGGAGGAGTCGGGGGAGTCGCCTCCTATGGGTGCACTGTTGGCACGGGATCAGGGGTGATGTGTGTGTGTGTGTGCTTTCCTCTGCCTCAGGTGGGTTGTCGAGGCGGATGTTGACACGGCAAAGAAAAACGGACGGTTTGATACCGAGGCCTTGGGCGTTCAATTGGTAGTATCACGGAAACAAAGGGTTACTTGTGATCTGGATGGAGTTTGATTGACGATATTCCTCTCCCCTTTTGGTTTGAATTCATAGTTTACAAATTTTGTTGGATAACGTATAAGGCATTATCAACTCATCGGAAAATTGCACGTGTTTGGCTGGTGTCGTCATCGTCGGTATGGGGAATGGATTCTATGTCTACGTTGCGGGAATTCCATGTACTACATGACACATCCGGCAGGGCCTGTTGGACCTGGAAGTGGTTGAATTACGATGCAGTAACCACGAGCATACCGTGCCTAATAACTACCATACGCGATTTTACCAGGGCCCAATCTCTGATCTCTTAAACCAGACGTCCCGTTAAACACGCATTGGAGCAATGACGTCGTCGATTCGGCTGGGTTGGCGCGCTGCCAATTCGCAAACAATGAGATCATCACTTCCACGGCCAATTCCGCAGGCTCATCATATCAGCAAACTGCGAACTAGAGCCGGTTTCGTGAAGCTGAGAAGGGACAAATCGAGCACAATGGTCAAGGACGACAATACAGTCATCAAGTGAGTAACGATGGTGCTGTTCACGAGACTCGACATTAACTAGGAGGTACTAATGTGGCCACAGGGAGTTCAATGAACTCGTCAACATGTCTCCCTCGGGCCTCGACTCCTGGCTGAAGGAGGAGTCTTCCCAGAGCGTGGGATGGAGTAAGAATGACGGGTCCGGCGAGAGTGTTGGACACGAAAGGTGGGATCCAAGCTTCCCGCTGGTGCCTATACCACTGTGCATATGCAATGGGAGACGACATGGATACTGACAATGCCTTCTATCTAGCGGAAGGAAGATCATGGAAATTCTGAATAAGAACCCGAGCAAGGATCCCGGGAAATACGACGAGGACGACATCGGCCATATGCGCAAGGTCGTTTCATACTGTAAGAGACATCTTGCGCAGGAGGGCAAGGCGAAGCAGGACCCGAATAGTAAGAGTGCGAGGAGTTTGAAGAACTGGGGTCATGACCCGGCCAAGGAATGAGCTGGGAGGCATAGATCTATGTTATACCATAGCCATCAGCTGGGAGCCCATGTGCAAGATAGTGATCAGCCACACTTTCAGGTAGAAGTAAATACTACCTACAACAACAACAGTCACTGGTGTAGCAGGTGTAGACCCGAAACAAATTGATCTCCCTTTGTTGGTCGTCAGACGCTGGTGTGACAACAGTTCTTTCTGCTTAGTTTAGGCGACTGGGTAGTCGGATTGAAATGGTGAAGCCCCGACGTCACCAGATCGTCGTATTTCGCCTCTGTACTATCATCTGCCATCAGTACTCCGGTGCTCCCATCTGACGGAACACATTCTGCCTGTCTGGTGCAATCACTTGACCTCGAGCAAAGTGAGGAGTACTGGAATAATCGGGGGCTAGACTGATGGCGGTCTGCTTACAGCACGTAGTCGAGCCACAAATCTTGACTGATATACTAGGAGTTGCTAGTAATATTCCGTAGATCTGCTGCCGAACTAGGACATAACAAATCCTCGTAAAAGCCAAAAGTATTGAAACCAAATCCAATCTCGGGGGTATCCTGCCAAAACACTTCCAGCATATTACGCACAAATCCATCTTTGGTCCCTAATCAACACCTAGAAAAACAGCCCGCCGCCCTCGTTGTTCTTCTCGTCCATGCAGATGCACATGGCCGCCATAAGCGCGAGGTCCACATTCGGGGCCACCACTAAATGGTACGTCTGCTGGCCGAAGAGCAGATCCCGGCCGCTAAGCTTGCGGTTGATGCGCCCGACGACGGCGCCTGTCTTCTCATCAACGATGTCGGCGGAGTAGTCCATCCAGTTGCCCTTCATCTTCAGCGATTCCGGCTGATGCGTCATGGAGTTGGTGAAGGTTGCTGTCGCCTTGGAGCCGAGGACTGTTCGTTTTCTGATTAGCAAACTGCAGCCCTGCTGCACACTCCTGACCAGAGCCGGATGATGATTGATTCACGCACGCGCAAAACTGCTCTTGACCTCGAGAAGCTTTCTCCCGGCCGGATCGACAGCGGCGTAGGTGGTATGGATGTGCAGGTGCTCCTTGACAATGTCAAACAGATGGTTGCCCATCATGTCGTAAACGGACTTGCGCCCGGAGAAGGACATCACGCTGCCCTGGATGCGCAGGAGGGGTTGTCCGCTCGCCAGCGTGATGTCGAAGCTGTCGCCCGACAGCGACATGACTTTTTCCCTGAGGACCAACGTCTCGGTCTGGCGCGCGAGGAACTGGTTCCAGATGCCGATCGGCTGCTGGACCGGAGCGAGTACTTGTTGGTAGGCCATCTTCTAGGAATCTGATGATTTTGAGTTACCGGCGAAGTGTGGACGATAATGGTGCCTTGGCGGGGAATGGCGTCTTCGTGCAACAGTCGATGCTGATGTGGTTCGGGCTTTTAAAAAACGCAGCGTCTAGGAAGCCTTGATTTCTTGAGTGACAGAGGATGCAGGTTAGATGCGGGGTCAAATCCCAGGAATTTGGTCGTCCCGTGTGGTCTTAAATACCAAGCTTCAGGAAGCATGATGATCGTCGGTTCTTCACTGCCAAATCGCCAAGCTGCGGCTGAGCGACGTTGATTGCTTGATTGCTGCTGGTCCTACCTAAGGTGGTATGGGCTAGGCAGCGGCGATGCACCCCAGCCATTCAAGTGGGCCTACATCAACTACTAGTTAATGTAGTATCTCCGATCGCGGTGCTTACTGCAAGAAGACCGCTGCGAAGTTAATCTTAAAAGGCAGCCATGCAAGTCGACCATTAATTATTGGGTGATTAGAGTGAAACTACCTAGGTGCCTTAACTTAGGTAGTTAAACTTTTGTGTACGGTACTAGTTGGCGGTTCAATCTCCACTGGCAGGAGGTCTGCTACCTAGGAGTAAGGACGCAGGCACGGCAGGACTGAGACCCTAACCCTGATGCGTAACACAAACCTCATCCATTTGTTGGCACCCGGGGTCCAGAAACGAGAATGAGTCGCTTGATTAGTCGACTGGAATACACCTGACGACGCCCTACGGCGGAGCGAGGTGAAAATGTGTTGTGGGGTAACGCCTGGGTTACGATCGTGGCAATTTAATATCATGCGCGATGGAGGGGCCGACATATCCGGATCCTATGCTGGAGATTTACCGGATGACATCATCTCGCAAGTGCGATAACAGTTCCTCCGAAGAGGAGTCCGGACGAGTTTCTCTGAACTTCTCGGAATGGGGAGTTGCGTCTCAGGATCAGGGACTAGTGCTTGCTTTGCTACAAAGATAAGTTCCTCCGCTCGTGACTATGCGTTGAGAATGAAGCTTTCTCCGGTGTCTGGTTCTATACTAGTAGTACAACGCAATCTAAAAACCGAGCTATAATGAACTGAACCCCCTATAAGTTATGCCCTACCGACCTGCTCGAGGGTGGAGAGATACGAGGCCAGCCAGTCGTGGTTGACCTTCAGGGCGCCGCCCATGGTGTTGTAGAGGACGGCGTGGCGGAAGCGGATGTAGTAGCCCATCTGGGCCATGTTGGTCTTGACGGTGATGCCGCCGTGAACGAAGGCGGTGAACAGGATGAGCGGGATCATGTCCGGGTCGTAGATGGCCAGGCCCCACGAGGTCAGCACGCGCCCCGCGGTGAGCACGTTGCGGACGAAGTTGGCGGCCAGGCAGGTGCCCAGGAAGCCGACCGAGGGCGCCACGTAAGGGCCGATCAGCGGCAGCACCAGGGCGACGATGCTCAGCCACATGGTGATGACGCGCTGCCGCTCCTGCTCGTCGATCTCGTCGGCCAGGCGCACGATCTCGCGCATGCCGACGATGTTCTCGTTGAGCGACGAGGCGAACACGGACACGACCCACGGGTACTCGGCCGGGTCGACGCGGTCGCCGTCGATGCGGAACCAGTTGGCGCGCAGGTCGTGCGCGATGCCGTCCGGGTCCTGCGGCGTCGTGCGGTATGCGGGGATGGCCAGCTCGAGGAAGGCCTTGGGGTTGGCCACGTCGCGGGCCGAGTAGTCGCGCGTGATCATGGGCGCGCGGTACCACCAGTCCTGGCCGACGCAGTTAGTCGCTCCACGGCTGGTGGCCGCACTCCCACGTGTCGGCCGAGTCGCGCGCCTGGAAGCGGAAGTCGTCGGGCGCGACGAAGGTGGCGTTGATGCCGACGTCGTGCTCGGCCTGCGCGGCCATGTTCGCCCACGACTTGCCGTCGCGGATGCGCCAGTAGACCGACTGCCGGCCGTTGCCGCCGACGCCGCGGTCGTCGTAGTTGGGCGGGCAGCGCTCCGACACGTTGCGGAATGAGAAGGGCGCATCGGCGCTCGGGAGGTCCATGTGGCATTCGTCGTCGGAGTCGTCGGAGCCGCGCGCGACGCAGTACTTGCACCGCCCCGGGTGGTCCTTCTCGACGACGAGCTTGCAGTTGCTGCAGCAGTAGACGCGCTCGGTGACGGTGCAGTCAAACCAGTAGTCGCCGTTGTCGCGCGTCCAGTCGCGGATGGCATGGTTCGCCATGTCGACAAACTACGTGGCGTACGTCGCGAACTTGGCGTCCCAGTGGTTGTCGACGATGTCCTGGTACTCGTCGAGCTGCGCCGGATCTGCCGCGCCCACATCTCGAGGCTGTGGATGATGATGCACACCTGCGAGTTGGGCCGCGACGAGTCGAACATGTCGGTGGCCGGGATGTCATCGAGCCGGTCGTACACGTCGGTGCGGCACCGCTTGCCGTCGCCGTAGCCGTGGATCGGGTCCTGCAGCGTGGCCGGGGGCCCGCTCCGCGGGTCGGGCTCGTCGCCGGTGCAGCCGTTGTACCACATCTGCAGCGCGCCGTTGCCCATGGCCAGCCCCAGATACTCTGCCCGGCCGTCGCCGTTGAGGTCGGCGAACCGCACGGCATAGCCGTTGTAGTCGACGCCCGTGGCGATGGGCTGCTCGACCGGGAACCAGATCCACTTGGTGCTGCCGGGCCCGCCGTTGCGGTACATAGTCACGGCGCCGTTCAAGGGGTCGACGACAAGGTAGTCTGCCTTCCCGTCGCCGTCGATGTCGGCGAGCTAGATGTCCTCGCGCCACGTACCCACGCCGTCGGCAATTCGGCCTTGTTGAATCCACTATGTTTAGGAGGAGGATCAGAATCAGCGGAATGGATTTAAGAAAAAAGTACTAGAACAAATTCAACTTACCAACCAGCCGCTATTATACAACGTACACAGTCCTCCGTTGGTAAAGGCCGTAGCCTTGCCATTACAATGCAAATAGACGAAATCGGCTCGGCCGTCACCGTCGGGATCGGCGAATCAGATACCCTTCCCTATACCGAGGCTAGCGCCGCTGGCTACGACGCCCCGGTCGATCTACAGCCACTTGCTGTCGGACCACTAACCGCCGTTCTACTAGGAATACACCGCTGATATATCCAGGTCGACAACGAGATAGTCGTCTTAGCCGTCTCCGTCTAGGTCGCCGAATCTATATAATGTAGGCCGGTGCCTATATCAGCTTCTAACTCTGGTAGTACTAGTATATTAGTATATACCTGATGTTGGCCCGCTTGGCCACGCCGGACGCCACCTGGCCCCGGGGATACCAAATCCACTTGGAGCCGCCCGCCGTACCGCCGTTCACGTACGCTTCGATGGCGCCGGCAGGGCTGACGACCAGGTAGTCGTCCTTGCCGTCGCCGTCGAGGTCGGCAAGGAAGACATTGTGCCGGCGCGGTAGGCGGAGCCGGACCCCTGGTTCTGCCACAGCCTGATGGCGCCCGACGTCGCGTTGGCAATGACAATGTAGTCGGTCTTGCCGTCGCTGTCGCCCGTGGCAAGGGTGCCCATGGCCTGGAAGCTGGGCTTGACCCCGGCCCCGACGTTGAGGTATCTTGCGAGGGCGCCGTACTGGCCGCGGACGGGCGAGATCGGCGCGCCCGTCTCCGTCGAGGTCGGCAAAGATGAGATCCTCGCCGTCGCCCTTCCTGCTGACGGTGATATCTTCGTCGTACCACATCCACTTATTAGTATTCCCGCCGCCGTCGGCATTGGCGCGGCCTCCATTGCGGTAGTAGCGTACACTGGCGGTCTCGGTCAGCGAGTCCATCTATAGATAGTCCGCCCGGCCGTCGCCATCGATATCGGCGAACCGGACCCCCTCGCCGGCGCCGATCCCGCTGGCCACCTGGCCGACCTTCTCCCAATTGCCAAAGTCGCCCGTGTTGCGGTACAGCACCGCCGCGCCAGAGTCGGCATCCACCCAGACATAGTCGTCCCGACCATCGCCGTCCAGATCGGCCACGTGCACGAAGTCCTCTTCCCATGGTCCTTGTGCACGGTGCCGCGGTTCCACCACTTCCCGGCGGGGAACTTGGTCGGGTCGCCGTCGCCCACGCCACTAGTCACGGCGCCGTAGACGGGATCCCAGTACAGATAGCCGTCGCACGCTTCGGCGCCCGACGGCAGCTCCGCCGGCGTCTCGACCCAGCCGCGCCCGGCCGCATCCACGAGGGCGCTGTACCACACGGTGGCCATCTTGGCGTAGCCGGCGTCGTTGGGGTGCAGGCCGTTGCCCAGGTCGGCGCCCGCGTGCAGCGCCGGATACATGTCGGCCCCGAGCACGCGGTGGCCCTGCCGCTGGTGCGTCCTCACCAGTTCGTCCACGGCCGCGTTGTACACCACCGTCCGCCCGTCCGTGAGCAGCAGGCAGCGCAGGTGCTGCCGGTACCCGTTGCCGTCCGACGACCCGTACCCCCACGTGATGGAGTCGCCCAGCGGGAGGATGCGGAGGGGCACGCCGTCCGCCAGCGCCGCGCGCGCGGTGTGGTGTGCCAGTAGAGGTGCTGGAGGGTGCGCCGTGACGAGGACGGAGGGCGTGATGAGCGGTATTATTATGGTCCATAATAATAGGGCCATGGCGTTGATGGTGGCCCATCGGCCTCCGAACTGGCCGAAGAGCTGATCCATCGCGTCCGACCCCGACTCCAAGGCGAACAGGTAGAATGGAAGAACAGGACTGTAAGCACTGGCGAGGCAGCGAGCCCTGTGGTGCCTCGAGAAATGGGATCTGTGCAGTGAACAACTGAACACCTCGAATTTCGAAGACACCGGGGGCTTCTTGTTTCGCTTTTATAGTCCGAGTCTCGGACTAGGCATTAGGCCCCCTATCCTCCATTGCCTCACCTCCAAAACAGAACGGACGCGATATTATCCACGGACCTCATGGGGGCCCTCATCTCGAACTGCCCTATGCAGCCTTATCCGAGGTCCCTAGTGCTGACGGGGTCAACGTGTCGAGGTCGGTCGACCGCGCGATAAGCTCTTTCCCGATTAAATTATCCGTAGTGGTCTCGCAGCTCAGCTGGTGGACCAGGCTCACCAGGGTAACGTTAAGGGTTTCCACCAGCAACTGCCAGATGCGGCATCCGGGACCCAGATCTGTGGAGGCAGTGTCGACGCTCAGACTTGGCGTGTGTAAGTGCAGCTATTCGATCCACATATGATGAAGTTCTGTCCTCGGAGATATAGGCACTGCGTAGTAGTACTATATCGGTGATAGGTGATTAGTTAGACCCCTGATGGGGTATACCAGGCCAGCCAAGACGGATACACGGCTGAGAGCGTTCAACCGGTGCCCGATAGGCCGGCACTAAACAAAGCACTGCCAAAGGGAACCAGGACGTATCTCACTTGCCTAATTTCGTCTGACTGTCTGACCGGAGAACGCTGCTGCACTGCGAAAAGGCGGCGTGTCATCTGACCTTGAACTACAACCCAAAATCAAAAGACATATGTATGTCAGGGAGCGGATATGTAACTGTGACCCGGGACAGCGAATGAACAAAAGAAGTGTTTTCTAGTACCACAGTTTCCGCAAACATACAGACTTAGAGTCTAGAGTGCCGCCTCCGTCTGTTCAATATTCTGCAGGAACATAGCCTTCGCCTTGTCCCAGGCCCCGTCGGGCAGCTTCCCGCGGATGGGCAGCCGCCCTCCTTCGGGATGGCCGAATCCGGCCACGCGGTATGTGGCTTCGATGATGCCGATGATGCCGTACCTCATGACAAACTCGCCGCCCTGACTCACAACGAACTGCAACCGCTGGATCTCGGCCTCCTGGGCGGCCGTCCGATCCCCTGTAAACATCAGCGACGCTAAGCGCACCACCGTCTTGGGATAAAACGCCGCCATGCCGTCAATGACGCCCGCGGCACCAAACTGCACGATCGGCCCTAGCTGCGTGCCAAAGCCGCTGTAGACGCGGAACTTGTCGTGGTCGATGTCGGGGTCAAGCGAGACCTGCACGTGGTGGGAGACATTGCCATGGGACCTGTTCCGCTTGTCAGCACCACCCATCGACGCCACCCACCCACCCAACAACAATAATCTCATATTCCTGTTCTGACCCTCACGAGAGAACTCCAGTCTTACATCTTGCACCCCACAATCTTCTCATGCCGTGCCAACGTTCTGTACGTCTCGGGCAGCACCTGCACGCCGTTGGTGACACCGGGGTAGTTATACACCAGGATCGGGATCGGGCTGCGGTCCGCCACGATGCGGTACCACTCCGCCAGCCCGTCCTGGCTGACCGCCGGCCCGAAGTACCCCGGCGCGAGGACCAGCCCCCACTGCGCGCCCGCCTTGGCGTAGTCGTCCAGCCACCCGAGCGTCTCCTCCACCTCGCCGTTCGTCAGGACACCCCCCATGAGCGGATAGTCTGGGAAGCCGGCGCCGTCGAGGCCCTTGCGGACCGCGGAGACCAGGTCGGTGCGCTCAGTGCGCGTCAGGTGCACGGCCTCGCCTGTTGAGCCGAGCAGGACGATGCCCGTGATGCCGGAGTTGGCGAGGAAGATGCTGTGCTTGATCTGTGTCTCGACGTCGACTTGTGGTTGGGAGGATGTGGGAGAGGAGGCCGCTGGGTGGAAGAAGGTGGGCGAGGGGACGAAGACGCCCTTGGGCGGGATCAGGGTTGCGGGAGACATCTTGAAGCTTTAAAGTTTGAAACCAGTACTCTAACCCTGGTGAGTTTCCAAGGGATTGAGGAGGTTATGGGTTAAAACTAAGGAAATATGTTGTGCATAGGTTCGAGGTGTATAGGTAACTAAGAAGTGAGCTGCTGAACGACGAAGGGATGGGGTTCTGCCGGCTTTGAATCGACTTGTCACTGCCATACAGGACCCCATGGCTACCGATCTCGCCTTCTCGAGCCCACTCGATGCGGGGTGCACCTTCGGCATTTTGACTCCCGAAAGTTGGAGTTCGCTTCAGTCACCACCGAGCATGCTCCACCGGATCGCGGGGAGCTTCCATTCTAGCAGGTGCTACCGTGCTTTACTTCGACCCAGGCAAGACGTCACGCAAATAAGGTACCAAAGTCCGGCGCCTTACCGGGCCAGCGGCTGAAAATGAGACCCAAGAAGTGGTTGAATTTGTGGTGGATAGGCAGAGTGGTGTAACTTGAAGTTCGAAAGCCACTGCTCTGTCAGAATTAGAAATGCCTTATTAACCCAGTGGTTGGCCGTACCTTCCTTCACGCCATCTCCAAACTGCCTTAAGTTAGAGTCATCTCCTTAACCTTGCACAAGTTACATCTGCCCTAGCGGTAGATGCAGAAACGGCCACAATCCCTAGGCTGCAGGCATAATCAATTTCAATCAGGTCTAGTTAGGACAACCTGGAAAGTGGAATATCACTGGTCTCTACCGACAAGTAATGTACCCTCCCTCCTAGCTCGCCTAACCCGAGCAGCGTTATGCTCATCGGTTGCCGGAGGATGAAGATCCCGCCGCCCTGGCTTGGGTGCTCCAATCTTCCTTTGCTTCATTCACGCCGTTACCTTGCGCCGAACCACCAACACTTCCACGCACCATGCCGACCGCATTCCAGGGACCGCTTCCGACCGGTTGACAAAGCCAATTGTCGATGGAGCTGCTGCCGGTAAAGCCCTTGGGGTTGCTCCTCGAACTTGGTCCTTGATGGGGTCGTTTGACCGCCACCCAGGGCTGGGTCAGACCCTTCGGAGAACCAGATGTGCCAGACTGGGCCATCTCTGGGAGTGTTGACCGTAAGGGACTTGGGCTTGGTGAGAACGTTCAGTTGCTTGTCGAATTTGAGACGGCGAAGGCAGTTTGACTTGATGGAGCGCGGATTAGAACGCTGAACAACTTAGGGGTCCGGGGACGGGTATAGGATCTTGAGGATGAGGTTAGTGAATTGGCTGTGCAGAGTACCTTGGGCAAGGACCTACCTTCTTTCCCACCAGGGCTCTCACCCGCAGGCGGACTGTCAAGTTTCCATAAACATAGGTGGAGATTTCCCCTTCTTATAACCGTTGCGGTCGTGGCCAGCACCGACATTCTGCCAACCGAGTAATGTGTGGGATGGCCTTCCACGACGCGGCTTCAGAATTGGCCCTCTGGAAGGCCGAGGTTTCAAGGAAATTGGCCCCTCGGGGGCGATTGATACTGGCGTGGGACAACATAATGTTAGGAGTGAGCTGACTAGGGCGCTCTGCAGAGCGGGTGGGATAGGAAACTGGCCCCCTGAGCGCAGGACACTGATTCTCAGCCTCGGCGTCTCACCCTTTTTGATTGTGGCCTTCGGCATCATCAGGGGCAAAAAATGCCTGCCAACGCGACTCGAATGTTGACTAGAGGTATGGTTCTCGGAAGTAAGAGCGGTTCTCAGAATCAGCCCCTCGCGGCTCTCCGATAGTGACACAATGTCATCCGCCCTATTGGCTTGGTCCCGGCTGTTTTTCGTATGGCAAAACTGGGTCTTGTCTTTTGCGTCTTTTGCACCGTACTATGTCCATCAAAGGCGAGAATGATGGGTGGCGTCTGGCGTTAGTAATTCAACACTTCCACTGACTTGACGGTCACTTAGTCAAGGACAGTCTGCTAAACTCACCACTGATTTCGAGTCAGATCTGGTGTACAACTGTCCGACAGGTTGGGTTCACCAAGGCCAAGCCAGGACGCGCATTAATAAAAGAACTGCGCGGAGCTATGCCTGACTCCATACCAAACTTCGCTTGATTCCTTGGACTCATTCAAGTTATACTAAATCTGTAAAGTAGGTACAGATCAGATCCGAGGGGATCAGTGGGGAGGCCATGTCAGTAATTTTACATTGACGGTGTCTTCTTCGGTCGTCCAACCTTCTTGTACTCCGATCGGTGGTGCTCCAGGAAGGAAGAGAAACTCTGAAAAGACTCCTTGCATTGGCAGACGTAGCGCACGGCGTGTCGCTGTTGGTCTTCAACGCTCCAACAACCGCGTTTGTGGTGAGCAACAAACTTGTCCCAGCGGCCGAATGACTTGCCACAATGACACTGGTAGCCCGCTGGGTTCTGACCGTCCGCGTTAAGGTGCCGGCACTGGCGGACATGCCGAGCCAGCCCCGGCTTGTCCGCGTAGTCCTTCCCGCATTGCTCGGCCGGGCAGGGGTATCGGCTTTTACACGAAGGAGCTTGGCCCGGTGCTCGCGGCTTGCGATGCGTCCTGTGAGATGGTCGGTCAGTAAGAGGCAGGCCTAAGGTGAGGCCAGTGGCCACAGGTGACAAAGGTTGGCAACGTGCCTGAGTCGTTCCGCGGTGAATTGCTTGTGACAGTCAGGGCATTGATGCCAGCAGGAGGGCTGGAGGACGGACTTGGCATTGCCACTGCTCGTGTCCTGTCTGACAAGGATGCTGTCGGAAAGGCCGCCGTCGAAGAAAATCTCTTGCTTCGGCTCCGGATAAGTGGTAGGGTCGCCGCATAGCTCGGAGGCTATAATACTCAGAGGCTCTTGGTCCCAGCTTTCGGCGGTGTCGCTCGCCCCGAATGGCGGGTCGGGAAACTGGAGAAAGTCGTCGTATTGAAACGTTAAATATGAATCACGGTCGTAGAATCCGTGCTGGGGATCCCATCTGCTTGCATGGTGACCGTGGTCTTCGCCAATGTTAGACGGCACTAGGGCCCGGAGCGAAACATCGAGTGGGAACATATGATACTACTAGTAGTAGATGGCTAAAACTCAGGATGAAGACGTACGGAATGGACATCGTGGGAATCGCGGGTCTGATAAAATGGGAAGGTCTTATACTTATTACTCGTAGGATACGTATCTAGGGGACTGCCGTTCGCAGCTCGCAGTTCGGTGCAGCGCTGGTTTTGCTGCCCGTGCAACCTTGAGGTGGGAGTTTCCAGTACTCGTGGCCAACCTACCGCAGCGAGCGACTGTCACCAGGAAAAGTGGCAGATCTCAGACTTGCGGTCGGGTGTAACAAAACCCAAGGTCTCACTATAGCCAACCCCCCAGTATAGATATCGAGCTACCAACCACACACACCCGACTATGAGGGCATGAACTCTATCCCGACTGTTCAATCACAATAGCTCCTATAGGTAGTTCAACTACAGACTCAATTATAATAGGAGCGCAGGAGCTACTACGGTTGAACTGCGAGAGCCACTGCGATTGAACCAAGTTGAATGTAGTGGTAAATTGAAGTTTTGGATCAAATGGGGTTTGTGGTTTAACGTAGATTGTTAATCGCTGCAAAGGTGTATCCCTAGTACCAGTAGCTTTTGCTTCCGAAAACTTTGAGCTCTGCATCTCGGTACCTACGGGTGCGGCCTGCAGGGTGAAAATGGCCGGGGGGTTAAAGTTGGCTGATTGTTCCAAGTGCAGCGGGAGGGCTGGCCGGAGCCATAGAACGTGCTTTTTTTTTTAAAAAGGGCCCCGGGCAGGGGTGGGCTGCAGATATACGCATACTGTGTACGCATACACACGACACACATGTTCGATGAAATCACCTCAGCTTCACTCCGCCTTCTCCTCGTGTAACTCCTCTCCTCATCCATGCTCGCTCATCAGCATCTCCTGCGCCATCCACAGCTCCGCATACAGGCCATTCCGCTCCATCAGCTCCCGGTGACTGCCCATCTCCACCACCCTTCCGCCCTCCAACACAATGATGACATCGGCATCATAAATCGTCCTCAACCGATGCGCAACAAACAGGCTCGTCCTCCGCTTCTCCCGCAACACCTCATTGATATTCGCCATCAGCGCCTGCTCAGTGTGCGTGTCCAACGCACTCGTCGCCTCATCAAAGAACAGCAGCGGCGGGTCCTTGAGGATCAGCCGCGACACGGCCAGCCGCTGCTTTTCGCCGCCGGAAATCATCAGGCCCCGCTCGCCGACCTTGGTCTGGTACCCGTGCGGCCAGGACTCGATCTTATCGTGTATGTGCGCGCGGCGGGCCGCGGCGTAGACGGCCTCGGGCGGGGCGTTGATGTTGCCGTAGCGGATGTTGAGCTCGACCGTGTCGTTGAACAGGGGAGTGTCTTGCGGGACCACGCCGATGGAGCGGCGGAGGGACGAGAGGGAGACGGAGCGGATATCCTGGTCATCAATGAAGATGCGGCCTTGTTGCGGTTCGTAGGAGCGGAAGAGGAGGCGGAGGATGGTGGATTTGCCACATCCGGACGGGCCGACGACGGCGACCTTCTTGCCGGCTGGGATCGTCACGGACAGGTTGTTGAGGATGGGTCTGTCCGGGTAGTAGCCGAAGGTGACGTTCTCGAAGCGGATCTCGCCGCCCTTGGGGAGCAAGAGGGCGGGGGCGTTGGGCTTCTCCTTGATGGAGACGTTGACCTTCTGCAGGTTGAAGAGGGTCTCCATGTCGAGGAGAGACTGGCGCAGCTCGCGATAGACCGACCCCAGGAAGTTGAGTGGGACGGACAGCTGAAAGACGAGCTGGTTGATGAGCACCAGGTCGCCGACTGAGAGGGTGCCCGCGACAATGCCTTTTGCGCCGAGCCACATCATGATGGTGAGGGCGGAGGAGAAGATGATATTCTGGCCGCTGTTGAGGAAGGCAAGCGAGGTGGCGACCTTGATGGAGCTCTTCTCGTACTGCTGCAGCGCCTTGTCGTAGCGGCCGATCTCGTACTGCTCGTTGTTGAAGTACTTGACCGCCTCGTAGTTGATCAACGAGTCCACGGCGACTGTCGACGCTTTGTTGTCCGCGGCGTTGGCCTGGCGCCGGAACTTTGTCCGCCACGCCGTAGTCCAGATGGTGAAGGCCGTGTAAGCCGTCATGGTAAGCGCCGTGATGGCGGCGAATTCCCAGCCGAACTGATATGTCAGGATGCCGCACACCATGCTGATCTCCAGCGCTGTCGGCACGATGTGGAAGACCATGCTCGTCAGCAAGAAGCTAATGCCCTTCGTACCGCGGTCAATGGCCCGAGTAAGGCCACCGGTCTGCTTGGACAGGTGGAAGCTGAGATCAAGGTTCAGGAGATGGCCGAACGTCCTGGTGGCCACCCTGCGGATCGCCTTCTGGGCAACGGAAGAGAACACAGCATTGCGTAGCTCCTGAGACAAGACCGCTCCGATTCTGGCAGCGCCGTAGGCAAAGATCATGGTGCCCGCGACGGTGGCCACCGTACCGCCTGTTGCGGCGATATCGACATTCAGGGAGTCGACAATCTCGCGGAAGTAAAAGGGCACCTGCACGTTGAGGACCTTGCCTCCCACCAGCAAGCCCACTGCCAACATGACGCGCATCTTGTCCCCCCAGCTGTCCTTCGGCCATAGGTAGCGCGACATCTCCTTCATGATGGCCCAATCGGCCTTGCGCTGCTCCTGCGCGGTCTTGTCTATCGTTGCGAGAGGATCCTGCTGTGGACGGGCTGTTGGTTTCTGGGGAGTGGCCGGCTGACCCGTCTCGACACTCGGTGTTTTAGGCCCATAGTTACGGATGGTGGTCGTATGAAACACGGCTCGGAGGGAGGAGGAGGAGGATAGGGACGCGCTCAGCGTACCGCATCGAGGAGCCCATGGTCGTCGGGATAGCGCGGCGCAAGGGTCTCGAGATCGTAGTAAGGGGGCTAATTTGGCCCGCTGTAAGCTCGCAGCCATCATGATCTTTGGTTGCGAAGCCATCTTGAGTGGCAATGGAGCAACATCTTCCACAGAAGAGGCAGCGTCCGGTGTTGTACTCAATCCGGACGGTAACCGGGGCGCCGCGCGAATTGTGCGCGGTCGTTTTTCAGCAGGGGCTAACCAGCTAGGTTGTGCTCCGTAGACACGAAGAAACTGCCGTCTAGGGTATCATGCCGGATTCCACAGACTAGTTCCTCTTGTGGTGAGCGATTTGTGCGTCCTACTGGTGTCTGCCAGCCTCGGCGGAAGAAATGTCGAGCTCCGAAAGCTCCATGCTGCGATCCTCGGATCCGGGCAGCGGTGGGTCTGGAACCCCGATGATGCAATGTGGGGCGCCGCCTCCCCTGTCAGGACTCAGGACGCAGGACCCTCCGCTGAGGCATCACAGCGACTGAAAAGTAAGGTACTGTACCTTATTACTCCATACTGAGAGATCTATGGGTTTGCGCGAGACGTTCAATGGGGACTTGACCGCAGTACTCCGTAACTCCATTCTATGCGATAGCTGCCCTTTTACCGGCCGAGAAAAATGCTACAGGAAATATCCAGTCCCAAAAAGGAAAAGCCTAAGCAAATGCTAATAAAACAACCCAACACCAGATATGCCAAACAGAAACTCCTAGCCATGCAATGCAGGGCGGTGACTGGACCCGAAAGCGAAACCAAGGGCGCACAGCGGCCCAACCCGACCGATGCAGAGACAAAACCACTAATATGAAAACCCATCAATCTCCTTGACTGCCCGCGGCAGAACCAACCAAGCCCTCATAAGCCCTCTCTACCGTTCTTCCTCCCATGCCAGGGAACATCCTCAACTGCGCGAGCGACTCGACCTGCGCCGACTCCCCGTCTCCCTTAAGCGTGAGGTGATCGACGAGGTCCTGCGCTTTCTTCGCGCCAAACCCATGCAGCCGCTTGATGAGGGCAACATCGCGCGAATTAACAATGTCCAGCAGCTGCTGGGCGACTGGCGACACAGGGCCGTCATACACCGACTGCTCCAAGACTTTCGCCTTGGATGGTGCCCTCTTCTTCTTCGGCGTCTTGGCCCGCGCCGGCTTCTCGATCGCGTCGTCTTCGACATCCGCCTCTGTGCCCTCCTGGTAACTCTCGTCTTCGTCGTTTTCCTTGCGCCTGCGCTCCTTCCTCGGGGTGCGCACAATGCTCTCGGATTCGCCATCGCCGAGCTGTCCCTTGCCCAGTTTGAGCCGCAGCCGCTCGATCTTGCCCAGCAGCCTCGCCTGTCCCGGGAAATACGGCAACGCTTTCTCATAGAAGCTGAGTGCAACCTCGTCGTCGCCGCTCTCCTTTGCCTGTCTCGCCTGCAGCAAGAATCGCAGACCTTCGGACCGCCCGCTGTCGTCGTTGCGCGATTCGCTGTCGATGCGCCGCTCCAGAGCCTCCAGGCGGCGCTTGACTTCCTCGCTGATCTGGGTCTGGACAGCGCCGTTAGGATCGGAGACGGCTGGGGTCTCAGGATTCGAAGCCGCTTCGGCGGCGCGAGATGCCAGGATCTCGGCGACCTTCTTCTCCACCATGGCCTCAATCTGTTCCGCTGAGATCGTTATGTGCTTTGAGGAAGTCACCGGCTGCATCACCGGCTGTGGCGGGCGGAGCTGTGTTGGCCGCGCGAGCTTTGAGGGGCGTGAAGATAGGGCATCTGGCACGTCCGACGGTCTCTTGATCAGACTCGGCTGTCTTGGCTGTGACGAGTTAGCTACTGGCGCGGCAGGCCGCGCGGCAACGGCAGGTTTCTTGTCGGTGTAAACAGAGAACGCCTTGACGGGCTTGTCGGGCTTTTCAGCCTTCTCTGCCGCCTTCGCTGCCAGCACGCCCGTGTGCACATTATGGGCATTATTAAGAGGCCGCAGTGGCTGGCGCTGCATGGCCGCTCCTCCAACCGCGGAATTAGTGCGGGGAGGCTGCTTGAACACCACCTCGTTCTCAATCTCTCGCACCTCGATACGCTTCGCCCGGGAACTAACGTTCAGGCTGCTGATCGTATCGAGGTGGTAGCTCCGGATCGGGGCGAGGTTCAGAATCATAATCGTGATGCCATTGTTCTGGCCCAGGGACAGAATACGCGTCATCTTGGATTCGCGGTACGGGATGCGCTTATCCCCTCGCGAAATGGCATCGATGCACTGGCTCAGAACGAAGAGGCTCTTGTTGATCGCCGCCGATTCGACCAACCTCTCCTTTCCATTGTCAGTTCGCCGGTTGTCTTCCGAGCCGGCTAGATCAATGGCAGAAGCGGTGCTCTCCTTAACCATATCTCCAGTCGTCTGCGTCACTTTCACCCGCAAAATGGCGTGGCTCCTGCTGCTGTGTGCGTTCAGCTTGGTCGCGGCCGTCACACGGTTGTTGTTGGCTTCGATGTACAACTTCTCAAAGTCCTTGAGATCCTCGCATGAGCGCTCAGACAAGCCGACTACGATCGTCTTTCCGTCTTTCTCGCGCAGCGGGAGACCTGCCGGCGTCCGCTTCTCTGGCGGCTCGAGCAGGTCGTACACCTTGTCGTTGTAGATTTCGTAGTACGAGAGAGCTACGTCCACCATCGTTGTTCCGTTGGTGTCCTTGACGAGCTTCTTCCCTCTGCGAAACACATTGCTAAGCAACCGGGGAATCACGCCGCGGTCCGCAAGTCGGAGACCACCGCGCATTGTGTGCGTCTTGCCGGTGCCTGTGACGCCATAGGCAAAGATTGTCACATCTAAGCCTTGAAAGAGAGCCTTCATGTGCGGGGCCACTGTGGAACGTTAGCAAACTGAGGTCGAAGCGTCCGCCTTGACGCGTGTCCGGCCTTACCTTCGGCTGTAAACAGCTGTTCCTGGGTTGTGGCCTGCCCATAGACGCTGTTGAAGGCAAACGAGAACTCTTCAGCCTCGTTCTTGGGGTTCGGGATCTTGACGACGGTCAGGGGTTTCCCTTCCTCGACGCGATCGGCGCGCACAATGACATCTTTGTCGAGCTCTTTTTCCAGCAGCGGGCGGATTCGGGCAACAACACGCACCGACATTACGGGTCAATTGGCACACACAACGGGAAGGGAGGAGGAAGAAGAAATGGAGGGACGGCGGGTAGAAGAGGAGATGCCAATCGAGTCCGCGGTGTTGCGTTGCAATGCTCAGGGTCTCGGGACGCGTTGCAACAAATTGCAGTTCTTGACCCTGGCTCGGCCCATGCTCCGCTTTTACCAAGTACATGTACACAAACGTTAACATTAGCTGATTTCGGTTCAGGCGTCGCAAATGGTATCACCTGGGCAACGGCAGCCTTGGCATGCGGCAAGCCTGAGGCCTGAACCAAAGAGACGGGATGGTTCGTGCTTCCCGCTGGCAACCCGCCAAGCACTTGCAAGGAAATGACTGAAATCCAATCCAGCCATCCAGGCTGCCGTCTCTCTCATCCTCTCAGGTAGACCGGGTCACATGTGAAGCGTGATGCTGACGCTCAAGCCACCGATCTAGGCTGCTTCGTCGACCACAGCGCGATCGCATGCTGCTGAGCAACCTCTTCAGAACCGCCGACATGACGGCCCAGAAGTGCGACGAGCACTGCTCCAACTAATCTGTACCTAGGTGATTTACAGATGCTTCAAATGACAACGAGTTCAGCAACCCGTCTCACTGCCAACCGGGCGGCAAATTGGACATCAAGCCCGCGTATATAAGAGCTTGTTGGCGGCCTAGACGACGGCCAGCGCGCAGGACTTGTAGGTAAATAGGATCAATACGGAGAATAGAGACCGCATGTCGACAATCCAACTTTAAGGCCTCGCTCTAAGAGTCGAAATATATGTAATTACATTACCTATTGCATGTATTGTATTGTAATCCGTACAATACTGACTTCCGAAATTGCTTGGCGCCATTTTCGGCAGCCCAATCACCACAACCTACACGCATTTTGGAGTTTGCAGGATCTGGAACTTTGGCAGCATCAGCTCAAACATCCGGCGCGACTGATACTTTACAGTACGCCGCTCGTGGCCGCGCAACCATGAGACGGCTGTCCCCCTTATCCAGGAGATTGCGGCCTACAGTGCTGGCACAGCAACCATCACCACCGGGTTTCGTGTGCTGGCAATGCAGAGCAATCCAACTTAGCGCATCCCCCACCACCGACTCGCGGCCCGCCGCCGACGCTTTCGGAGCGTATCTCGGATCACAGCGGGACTCAGCAGGTAGACATTGTGGAAACTTCCCGCGCTGCACAGCCTTGCTGACGACGGCTAGATGCTCGATTCGAGGTGCTCGGGTCACCATACTCCATCCTCTCCGTCACTCTTTCGGCATCGCAGCGGCTCTACACGAGACGAGGAACCTTGGTCTCAGTTGCCGGCAAGGTAGAAAATGTATGTATTATACCTTCTTCCCAACCCAAGTCGAGCCGGCCAAGCTGCCAGGCTAACCACCCCATCTCAGGCGCAATCTACCCTCTCGTTCCTTTCCCCCCTCCGACGAGCCTTCCTCGGCATCCCCTTCCTCTACCAACGCATCTCCTCTACGACGCCGATCACAGCCTTGATAGCCACCAAATCCCCCAACACGAGCTTTAACGTCCTCCATCTCGACGGCACAACCGACTGGATCGTAGCCCAGCGCAACGCCCTGCTCGCCTGGACGGGGCACACCCTCACGCCCACGACGCGCATCCAGCAGGGCATGTCGCTCGCGCATTGGGGCAACACGCATCTTACCGGCCGCGGCCTCGCGGCGCTGGCGGCCCCGGGACAGATCTATGAGCTCACGCTGGGCGAGCGGGAGGAGATCGTGCTGCATCCGTCGCACGTGGTGGCGTATTCGGTGACGAGAAATCCGCCGCTTCCCTTCCGGTTCAGGAGCACGAAGCTCAGCCTGCAGATTCCGGCTGTCCCCGCATCGGTGAGCGGGGCGGCCGGGCGGCTTGTGCCGGAGCAGGCGAGACGGTTTTGGAAGGCGATGAGAGATACGGCCACCTACAAGGCTGTGGCAAGGCTGCTGTTTGGGTTGAGGACAGCCGCGCGGCGGACGATATGGGGCGATCGGCTGTTTCTCCAGTTCAGGGGGCCGATGACGGTGCTGATGTCCACACGGGGTGTGCGGGTGAGGGATGTGCTCAGCAGGGAAGACGTGAATGAGATCGCGGATGCTGAGGCGGGCGTGGTGCCGGCTGCGGTGGAGCTAGCGACCAAGCCGAAGGTGCTAGAGGAGAAGGTCGGGCAGAAGCCTGTGGTGGTCCATGTTGCCAGTGTTGGAAAGGATGGGAAGGTCACATTTGAGGATGCCAAGGGTTTGAATGATTTTGTCCGGTGATATTCAGTATCACCGTGTATATCTTTGTACCCATAACTAGAGCATTAAGGCTTGTATTCGAGTTTCAGGGGCTCGTGTTGGCGCCGGAGCCTCTGCCCCACTTGGCAACCACCAAGCATCGTCGGGGATTACTGCGACGGTCGGATGGGTTCGAGCCGACCATCATTTATCGAAAAGAAATCGCGAATGATATCTTAGGTAGTCTCTGCTTCGCAGCGGCCAAGGGCTTACCGTATCGCAGCCAATTCGTTTCACAGCTGAGTTGCGTCATGGTATCACTGGGGTAAGCCATCTTCGATTTTCGTAATTTCCCGCTGCTGACCCGATAAGTCGCAGCCTCGGGTCCAATGCGCTACCTACATGTGCAGCGCACACGACATCCCAACATCCGACCAGAAATGCGATTCGCATGTGATGCCAGGCCCGGTCACGAACAGCCATCATGGCGGGTCTCAACCTGATCCCTATCGCGGTCGCCGTGCCCCTCATCATGCTCATCGTCGTGTTGATGCCCGCGCTTCCCCTCGCATGGGTTGGCATCGCGGTCACCAGGACCGCTCAGGGCGTCCGCCGAGGAGAGGGTCGAGGCTGCACAGCAAGAATCATTGCCCGCTACATCGCGATGAGCGTGGTCCTGCCATGCGTAGCGGTCCTCACCCTCAGTCTGATGATCATCGCCCAGCTGGTCTTGGCGCCACTTACCCTCTATCGCCATGTACGGAACCTCTACGAGACTGTTCTCTGGCTATCCCTACGCCTGGACCCAATGACCCATCCCATCGACGCCTTAGCCGCACCTCCCAAGCCGGACACCGCTGGCACGGATATCCCCCAGGATGCGAGCTCTCTTCCGCACTACACGTTCACCTCGCTCCCACCAAATCACATCCGCATCCTGTGCATTCACCCGGGGGCTCATAACACACCGCTCTGCGGCAGCATAATAACCACCCCCCTTTCTTCCGCCCCGAAGTACGACGCGCTGTCCTACGCCCAGGACACGACTCCCGTCGACGGCGCCGACAACTCTAACACAGAAGAAACCAGGAGGGAGCCGCTTCTCTGTCTTGACCACACCTCCTCCTCGCAAACTCCAGTCTGGGCAGCGCTGCGGATCACAGCAGACTGCGCAGCCGCGCTCAGACGTGTGCGATCGGAGGGTGGGAAAACGCGGAGGCTGTGGCTCGACGCGGTGTGTATCAACCAGGACAACCCGGTCGAGAAATCGGTTCAGGTGGGCATGCGGGATAAGATCCTCTGTGCCGCGCGGCGGGTGGTGGTGTACACCGGCGAGGGCGACGAAGGTACGGACCAGGTTTTAGATTGGGTTAACTCCCTCCCATCTTCATCGTTGGAGCATGGGGAGATGGAGCTCATGAGTTTGAGGGGCGGAGACCTGAGCTTGCTTGGTGAGAGACAGGGACGCGATGAAGTGGTGGGAGTGATGTGGAGCGGGATGCCCGTGAGGACACGGGAGAGGATGGAGCGGCTTGCCACTCAGCTGGCGGAGGCGTGGAGGAGATATGGAGTGGACGTCTGGCGGCTTGCGGAACAGCGATACCGTTCGTCGGTTGCCGCCCTGGGTCTGGACCCTGCGGCTCCGTCTGCTCCAAGGCCGGCACCAGAGAATTTGCTTGGGGTGTTAGAAGCATATTTCTCCCGTCGCTGGTTTTGGAGGGTGTGGTCGCTGCAGGAGCTTGCGGTGCCTGACCTGCCGCGGATCACGTTTATCTGCGGCACCAGAGAAGTCACGGGACAGAGGATGCTGCATCTTATGAGACTGCTGAAGGATGCTCGGGTTTCGAAGAACTCGGACACGGCGAAAGCGGTCGGGCTGTTTCTGCAGCTGCGGGCGAACGCGGGCCCGAGACGGCCTCAACTATTGGATCTCCTTATCCAAACGCGGAACCACCAGTGCGAGGACCCCAGGGAGAGGGTGTATGGAATCCTCAGCATCGCGATGCTGCTCCACGGTAGTAGCTCTACCTCGGCAGGCCTACTGGCAAACATAGACCATCGGGTTTCAGTGAGCGGTATTTACGCCGCTCTTTCAGCTCAGCTCATAAAACAGTACGGTCCGGGTTTCTTCCTAGCTCTGATCAAGTCTCCGCAGAGGGTCAGCGGGCTGCCCTCGTGGGCGGCTGACTGGACCGCGCCTTGGCCAAACGCGCGTGCGCTGGCATTTATGGACTGCGGTGCGCAGCCACGATTCGCGAATGAGAAGGACTGTGTCCTGGGCTTCCAGACCGAGCAGACGACCGATCGCACCATCATGAAGATCATGAGGCCAAGGATTGTTAGAGGGTTCTTTACCCGCGACGGGCACCTCGACGGCGTTGCGAGAACGCGTATCGAGAACGTCCGGCAACTTAACAAAGATGAGGACCTCGTCGAGATATTTCCCGGCCTAGCCTTGCTGCTGAAGAGAGAAAGGGGCGAGTCGGAGAAGTATACATTCATCCGGGCATGCCCACATGCTCTGTCCAGGGATGGCTTGGAAAGAATTGTGGCCAGTTGGAGCAGGGTGGTGGTTTTCCAGGAAGAAATCGGACGCCAGGATCTGGAAGGGTCGGCTTCTAAAGCGTATTTGAGTCTTCCAAGGGTCTATGAGATAGTTTGACGCCTCCTTGCCGGCGTATCTCAGGCAGCTTCGTTATTTCATCCTTTCCCTGACAAGTGACCAGCATTTCTTCATGCCAGTCCCCATGGACTCCCTGTCAATCTCTTCGACAGATGCCCAACGGTACTGCCCTCCTGGTTCGACTGTACCCGCGCCGTCATGTACCTCAAAAAGATGGACGTGCATGGTCAGCTTCAGGTGGGAAAAGAGCCAGGGCACACTCCCAAGCTCCTCGAAGTTCCCAGAGGAAACTGTGCACGAGCCCCCTTGTTTCGGCTCGGCCCTTCTTTCGACGAACAGACCTAACACGAACGTTATCGCATCTGTCTGCCTGCTTTTCTTTGTGCTATCATTCGTCTCAGGCAGTGTATGGCTCGGGAGCTCCCACAGCCCAGCCAGGAGGCCTTTCTCCGGTCTCCGGTGGATAAGATATCGTCCGTCCGAGGAGCGGCGGATGGCGCAGACAACCGTCTCTTCCTCGCGTACTTGCTTTTTAGGCTTCTTTAGAGGGAACTTCCTGGCATGGTTGACCACGATCTCCAAAGTGCGTGGGTCGAGAATTCTTGATGCCTTTGTCGTGTCTGCTTTGGCCAGCTCCGTGGCTGCGAAGAAGCGTGACAGCTTCCCACGGTTCCCGCCCAATTTGGGGTCTGCTGCCTCAGCCACCGCTTCACCACCATGCTGCTCCTCAATTTCGGGGTACGGCGCGCACAGGCTGCAGGTGTCTTCAATATCCCCGTCCTCGGCTCCCGCGACATCCCGCGCCTTTGTAGCCAAGGCAACTCCCTCGGCATAAGCCCGACACGTCTTGGTAATCGGACACAGCGAGCAGTTCGGCTTTGGCGTGCAAACTGTGCTCCCCAGCTCCATCAGCGCCTGGCCCCATCTTCCAGGCCGGTCGCTCGGTTTTTCCGTCTGTTCCTTACCATCCCCTTCGCCCTCAGCACCATCCCTCGCGACAACTTTCGCCAACTCCTCGGCCGCCTCCCACAGCACCTCCACCACCCTCCTATCCGCCTTCACGTCCCCCAGCACCCCCATCTGCCGACTCAAAACCCTGAGCACATTCCCATCCACCATCGCCGCCGGCAGACCAAACACAATCGCCGCGATCGCACCCGCGGTATACCTCCCGACCCCGGGCACCCCTTCCATCAGCCCATTCACATCTCCCGGTAACAGCCCTCCGTGGTGATCACAAACCTCCCTCGCGGCCAGCCACACCCGCTTCGCGCGGGCGTAGTACCCCAGCCCAGCCCACATGGCCAGCACCTCCTCCTCCCGGGCCGCCGCAAGATCGGAAATGGTAGGCCACCGCGCCATCCACCGCGTCCAGTACGCGACGACGGTCGCGACGCGCGTCTGCTGCAGCATGATCTCGGAGATCCAGACCTCGTAGGCGCGCTGCGCGAGACCGTCGCGGGTGAGCTGCGAGGGTGACGTCCAGGGCTTGCGCCAGGGCATCTGGCGGGCGTGGGAAGTTTTGTCGTACCAGGTGAGCAGGGAGGCGCGGGCTGATGGGGAGGTTAGGAGGAGGGGCCGGTGGTATGCCAGGGGGTGGGACCGGCAGGGGAAGATGGGGAGTGTTTCTGGTGGTGGTGGTGGTGGTGCAGGGGGTTTGCTGAAGATGGTATGGGAATTTTGTTGTGTTGTGGCTTTTTGAGGTGGGCGCTTTGGCTTTGGTGGTCGTTGTGTCTTGCGCCGTTTGGCGGGTCGAATGTCGATGTCGGAAGTATCATTGTCGGAGACCGAGTCCGCCTCTGCATAAGGCGATTGAGAACCCAATGTGCTGAGGGTCTCATGTTGCTGCAGCTTTGCGGTGTCTTTGTGAAGTTGCGATTCTCTCGAGGCAATACGCGCACTTTTGCGTGTAGCCATCTTGCACAGCTCTTAGATGTGCTGTGGTAACAATTCTCACCGTGCCTGGATCGCGTAAACACGACTCGGAATAACAGCGTCCGGGTGTGCAGTGGCTAACCCTAACCCCAGGTATCTTAACAGGATAAACCACTAGTAGTAGCGTGGCTACTGAGGTACGGTATCGTACCTTCCTACTCCTTTGCGCCCATTATAAAGTGAAATACCTACCTCACACACCTGAATTTCATCGAACGTGTTTTTTGTTCTGCAGTATTGCCCCCTCTATGTTCAGCAACTGGGTTAGTCAGTACAGCGCGGCTTTCTGCCGCTCATGCAGCTTCCTTATTTCAATTCCGTGGCTCTTGCCGATGCCTGCTCCTTCGGGGTAATTATGAGTGGTGAGCGATGTGTGGCAAGTGTAATTAACATTAGGCGTCCATGGATGGAAGTGAGCGTGGTAGATGTCTACATGTAACCTGTCAGGCGGTAATGATTGCGCTCAGTCGTGTTCAGTTCGGCAAATGCGAGGTGCTACCCCTTAGTGTTTGGTCGAGGAGACGATATGAAGCAGATATTTCAGCTCTCACTTGACAGGTTGAAATGGAAACGACCCGATTAATCCGGTAAGCAGGAAAGGCGCATCACATCCTGGAATGCATACATGCACCCCAGATTAATCTATTCGTATAGGCATACTCTCGGCTATGTTGCCGAACCCCATTCCGTTTGAGCCACAGTCAGTCACGACAGCGCCAGCAGACAAATAGGACTTGCTCATGGTCGTTTCCAGCACAACGACTCGCAAACTAGTGCCGGAGCTCCAATCTACACCGTCTTGGCGATGCCAACTCGAAGTGGAAGTTGCAGATGGCACATACAGCCGGCTATTCACCGAAACTCGGGACCAGGAGGGTGATGGGCAGTTACTAGCACCTTGATGGTAGACATGGTTGTCCGTTATATTCGCCTATCCTCTCTGAACTCCGTATTCGAGGATTCAGGACATGAAGCCTCGTACCATCGCTTTGTTGCGCCAGCAGCACGTTGCTCAACTCGACCATGCTTCTGCTGTCAGTGCTCAGCACGGTTCTATTCGCCGGCATCGCGGCCTCTCAAACCTATCCCCCTGACGAGGTCGATCAGCTGGTCAAGGCGTCACTTCCAAAGCTTCAAGAGTGGCTGGCGAAGAATCCCCAAGGTAACTGTACTCTAGAGAATGCAGTACGACGAAAGGAATGGTGAGAAGTCGCCAAGCCCGGCTCTGCCCCCTGCGAATCATTGCCCTGACAGTTGTCTCAAGGGGCGACCTATCTAAGCAGGAAAGAAAGGAGTACACGGACGCGGTACTATGCTTGCAGTCCAAGCCTGCCCTGACGTCCGCCGCGGCGCCGGGGGCAAAGAGCAGATTTGACGATTACGTTGTGGTCCACATCCAGCAAACACCGAGGAACCACGGATCTACTTTCTTCCTCCCGTGGCACAGATACTACATCTGGCACTACGAGAACGCCCTGCGGACCGAATGTGGCTACAAGGGATACCAACCGGTAGTTACTTATGTCTCTTACTCTGGCTGTCTGAAAGGCTACGTGAAGTAATATCCGACTCTGACATGTATTGAATGTATCCTCACAGTACTGGAACTGGGGACGCTACGCCAAGGACCCCGTCAACTCACCGCTCTTCAACGGAGACGAGTACAGCATGTCGGGCAACGGGCTCAAGGTTCAACACCCGGGCATCATGATCCCCGGCGCGCCACGGCCGTACGACGTGATCCCGCCTGCCGACGGCGGCGGCTGCGTGACAACGGGACCATTTAAAAAGTCAGTATTACCTTTTTTTCTTGCTTGCTTGCCTCATCTTTTAAACGCCCTTCTCCTTATCACCATACACAAACCACAAGCACTAAACAAACTAAAACAAATAACTACATCAACAGCATGACCGTCAACATCGGCCCCATCGCCCCGGCTCTTCGCGACGTGAAGCGCAACCCGCGCGCGGACGGGCTGGGCTACAACCCGCGGTGTCTGCGGCGCGACATCAACAAGAACTCGGCCGCGGTCACGACGGCCAACTACACGTACGACCTCGTCACACGCAACGACAACGTGTACTGGTTCCAGACCGTCATGGAGGGCCAGTTCCCGCAGGGCAAGTGGGGCGTCCACGCCGGCGGGCACTACACGGTGGGCGGCGACCCGGCGGGGGACTTCTACGTAAGCCCCGGCGACCCGGTCTTTTGGCTGCACCACGCCCAGATCGACCGCGTGTGGTGGATCTGGCAACTGCAGGATCTGGCCAGGCGGCTGCTGGACGTGAGCATGACCAAGACCATGAACAACTTCCCCCCGAGCGCGAACGGGACGCTGGATGATGTGAGCAACCTGGGGGTGCTGGCGGGGGACGTGAAGGTGAGGGATCTGATGAGTACCATGGGCGGGATGGGAGGCAAGTTTTGTTACATCTATGAATAGGAGATAGGGCGTAAGGTCGCATGACGGGTAACGGCACGCCGTATTTCTCATCCCAGAAAGCCAGCCGATGAATTCACGAGTCCTCACCAGCTCACCATGCCTCCCACTTCTGGCTCCCCAAGGCGATCAACCTGTTAAATAGCTCATCCCTGAACGGCACCGCGGTGACCTTGAACTTTGCTCCCTCGGCCGTGGTGATCTCCAACCCATCCTTGATCTCCCTGTCAAGGGACCAACCAACCACCAGCTTCGCCTTCCTGTAATGAAACCAAACATTGTCAGCCAAGTCATCTACAATGTTCAACAAACATATGCAGCGCAGAATAACACGTACCAACCATAACCCCCAATCTTCTTCAGCTCGGCAATATCCTCCACCGGCACACTCCACAACGGATGCTCCGGCACGGGCACCCTGCCATTCCTAGCACTACTAGCAGTATCTCCGACGCTAAAGCCCACAACCGGCGCGGTCGCCGCCGTCGAGAGATAGACACAGCCCTTCCGCCCCTCGTAGCGAGCCTCAAACGCCACCGGCCCATCTCCCACAGCATCACGCGCCGGTGGGACAGTCACAGCGCCCAGCCGGTCCCGCGCCGCCACGCTGACGCCGGCCTTGGCGCGCACCGTGTCGGTGCCGATCGCCGTGCGGACGCCCGCCCGCGCCGCAGACCGCAGCAAACCCACCACCTTCTTTGCAGGGCCCTTGAGGCCGCCCTTCTTGCCGTGCTTGTTGGAGTCATCGTGGTCCGTGTGTGCGTGCGATGGTACGGCTGCATCAATGTCCGGTCCGCCTGTCTCGTGCGCCGTGACCGCGGTCGGGTCATGCGCGATGGCGGCGTCGAGCTCGGCGGACGTCGCGTTGAGCGGGGCGTCGGCGCCTGTGGCGCGGAGGTGGGCGTCTGTGAGCCTGGCCGGCTGGGAAGGCGGTGGTGCTGAGACACGCGGTGGCGGGGGAAGCGGTGCGCGGTGCGCTTCTCCCATGCGCAGGAGGGTGAGTGTTAACTGGGCGTTGGTCGGCACGCCTTTGAGGATCGTGCTGGTGGAGATCAGAATGTTAACGATTAAACGATCGGTAGCAAAATTGAAATGGAGGCTGGACGTTAAGGACTCACTTGCGCATCTCGAGCAGTTTCTTCCAGTGGGGGATTGTTTGGTTGAGCCAGGCATACGCTCGCGAGGTGACAGGGTCGCCGAAGAAGACGAAGCCGATGGCAAAGGTTAAACCTTTCATGAACATGTACGAGGTGACGAAGAAGGACAGCCCAAGCAGTGGCATGATGAGTGTCGCCAGTCGCAACCGGTGCGTGTCGTGCGGAAACGGAGGTGTTGGCGACAAGGCGCTGTGGAATACCGTATGCGTGAGCAAACATCTACTTCTCTTGCCAATGAGGACGCAGGTCTACCGAGAGGATAACTACTTACTTCGCAACTCTCTCCCAGCTGTCCGCGAGGTCCCCAATAATGTGCATGATCGGTCTCATCTTGGTCCACATGGCTGTTTCCATGGGGACTTTTGTTTTGTCATGCTTGGACCCCGTCTTCACTCCCCTGGTCTTGCCCCTGGCTTCCGCTGCGCCCATGGCAGCAGCGGCTGGGTCTGGTGCCCCCTCGATGCTCTCTTCGTTCTCCGAGTCGGGGTCTCCCTGCGGATGCTTCCCTGCGGCGCTGCTCACTGCCACCGAGGCGATTCCGTGGACGAAGTTTGCGGCCTCTTGTTCGACAGCCTCGCCCTTGTGGTTCTCGGGAGCTCCTGTTGCGCTGTCGTAGCTACCCAGAACACCCGCCTTGGGCTTCTGGACGCCACCCGTCTTGCTGTCGACGAGAGCCACCGGCGCTGGCGGAAAGAGGTATTCGCGTGACGGTGGGTATACAATGAGCGATACCAGGGTTGCCAGCATCATGGGCATGATCAGATCGAACAGCCACGCAATGAAGTAAGCGGCTGCGAAGCAGGACGTGCGACGCGTCTCCCGCCATGAGCGGAGCCGGGCAATGTGCTTAACTGCACCCAAAACGCCGACTCCAACCGTCATGTACAGGCGCTCGACGTTGGCACGCATCTTGTCGGGAGAGAATTCTTCCTCATCGGCGATGTTGAGATCCAAGCCTCCGGGAACCGGATACGGCGTCGCCTTGACATGGTACATTTGCTAGCTTGTGTCAGCCCGTCCAGTAATCAGTTGATTTCAGATCATGGCGTCTGCCGGCCAACTTACCTTGTCGAAGCGACGGACCAACATCCAGAGCTCCTCGTTATCCATGCCGCCCACTAGCGGCTCAGCAATGTCTTCCTTCGGCTCGTGCCATCCCAGGTCCTTCGCCTCTTCGACATGGTCCACTTGCGTGCGCCCTTTGATTTCCTGCTCTGCGGTCGCCAGGGCATGTGACAGACTCGACTGCTGCCCTGGCTCCTCATAATCATTTGTCCCTGTGGCTGGCATAGGCAGCATATCGACAAGGTCAGTGCTGGGTCCGGAATCCCCGGTTACCGGGTTGGCCTTTTCTTCCTTTGACGCCATCAGAGCGAGGTCCAACAGCGCCAGTGGGTGATATTCGGAGCATCAATGGGTTGATTCGTTGATTGTGAGCCCAGAAAGATTGACCAGGTTCGGGGAATCCGGGCAGGGTATTTGTTGTACCCGTTCCTGAGTCAAAGGGTGACATGTTACCAACCGCATCCATGACTTCTTTCAGGAACTTGAATCTTGAGCTTGTACCTAGTTCGTCCGATGACAGGTTTCGGTTCGTCTGATGTCAAGGTCCGGTTAGATTTGTGGGGAAAGGTGAGCTGGGCGCCAATAAGAGGGCGTACCAAACGGTCGGTGACGCATTGGCTCCTAACCCCTGTCCAAGGACACGGAAGATCTGAGGGGGCTGAACAGGGGTCTACTGTGTAATGGAGACCAGGATTGAATCGGACTGGCTCCGGTCCAAGGCCTTACTAGTAATGTACCCCCGGTACTGTACGGTCGACATTATGATGGGCCTTCAAGAAATGCTCAAGATCTCGGGCTCAATACTAATAGGATGTTTAAGATTGAACTGTGAACCTCTGTGAGGGGTCTGTGTCCACCCTTTAGATCCCATCTCGAGAAACAACAGATGACTGGAACAGGGCTCTGATTGATTGAGAGCAATTGATCGACTGATTGAACGTCATGATTGGGCCGTAGGCCTAGACAAACTGGTGAGAAAAGCTGTTGCAGAAGGAAAAAGCACCCAGTGCCAGAGAGGCCTGGCCCAGTTACGTAATACTGGATCCAAGCCCAGGCTGTGTTGTACAAAATACAGTACAATACGTATCATACAAGTAAGGTACTTTCCCGGTTCCGTACCAGTACGAAAGTACCTTGCCTACGATGTCAAGCATCCCGGACAACTCCAATCCCACATTGCTGGTTGCAGGAGACAGCACCAAGATATTATCATCACATATGTTTTCCAACTTGCCCTCCATCCTACAACATCTTAGTGGAAGCTGTCGTCTTAACTCTCTATAACACACGATGCGACATTGCTGGTGACGCGCGCATATGCGCGATGCGATATTTCACTGAACGTTACTGAAGTGTCCGCGTATCCGGGTACATCTTTGTCATATGATGTGACGAAGCCTTCCACCTTACAGGCTAATATTACAGTGGCACTGATAACCCGCTATCTCATCGAGCATACACTACTAGTAACTGTTCGATCGACTGGCCCCTCGAGTCATTAAGCCCCTGATCCAGCGACCTTGCCGATCCATTCCGACTGATATCCGGCAGCTCAATACAGATTTCCTCTCCGTCGCATTCCTTGCCCTTTCTTGGGAACTGATGCTCCCGGAACTCCCGATGCTCGGTGCGGACACGATCACTCTTTTGACTGCGCAATGTCGCTGTGCGTTCAGGCCCCGTTCGACTGGACACACCGCGGCCTGTGCCCGCATATCCCATACCATACCCTGACCGCTGGTGTGACCTGTTCTCCGTCAGTGGCACGCCTATGGCGCCCAAGCAGCGCTGTAAGATGCCCTTCATGGCCGGTACACAGGCAGCCAGGACGCCGAGTAGCTGCTCCAGCGCGGTCCAAGTACAGATCGACACCCCCATTGCCCACCAATCCCCGGCCGTATCTGTCGGAAGGCCCCAGTCCTTCACAATAACCGTCTTGACAATCGACGAGATGCTCGCGAACAAACCCATGCCCATCAACACGCACACCAGCACCCGCTCCCGCAAGGGCCGATTGAGTTTCCTGAGGAAGGTTGCCGGCGCTAGCGACAGCAACACATCTGTCGTGATGTTGATCGAGCTGCCCAGGTTCGAAATGCCCCTCATGACCTCGGCCGAGACACAGTGCGCCCCGGGGATGAAGGGGTTCCAGGCCGCCGCCAGCGGACGGCAAGCGATAGCGAGGTTGAAGAGCGTGTTGCCCACGCCGTAGACGGCCTGGACGCTCATGACCGTGTACAGGAAGATGCGCCAACCGCGCTCCTTGCCCTGGATGCGCAGCAGGGTAAGGGCGATGGAGATCTTGATGCAGGTCATAGACAGGCCCCAGACGGCGATCGCGAGCCACGAGTTCTTGCCAGCTTCGGTCGAGCGCTCGAGCGAGATGAGCCCCGGGCGGAGCACCATCATAGGTAAGAGCATTGCCCAGTCCGCAACGGTGAGAATCTATATCTGGTGTGAGTGGCAGCAAAAAAAAAAAAGGGGGGGGGGGTAGTCGAGAGTGAGTCAGCACGTACGAAACCCGCGATGATGAAACAATCGTCTGCCCCGACCTTCCATACGGGGACCATTCTCTGGTGAATTCGGGTGCCGAAGGCGATCACACAGAGCATCATTAATACAGAGGTGACTCCAATGTAGATTTGGGAGAGGTGGGCGGCCCGGTCGGAGATAGCGATGCCCGGTATCACGAACGGACCTGTGATGTTGCCAGGAGAGGCTCCTGTCGCCGCGGGCGCCGTCGTCGAAGTCGCCGTGGACATGGTTGGGGGTGTAGAGTACCTAACCCTCCCCTGGTGAAGCAATGTCAAGCGAAGACGTACGAGAGTAGCTGGATCCAGGATAGGATGCACCTTTATGAGCTGGGAGGCAGAAGAATGCGCTGGAGTGATCTGCAACTTCGATGCACGAGGGCTCTGGCCAACACATCTTCCCGTGTCACACGGCTCACAGGGGTCTTCCCGATCCTCAGGCCTGAACCTCGTTTCAATCTGTAGAATCTGGCTGGAGTGAAACGAGGGAAGTCATTTGTGCTCGGGATCTTGGTTCATACAGTGGCTGCATGCACCCCGAGGGACCCCGCATGCGGTAGCTCTGGCTCGGGTGCAGCAGCGGACGACCTTGAGCATCAGGGAAGCTGTCAATAACCCCGTTCCCAAAGCTTCGGAACACTGGAACCGTGGGCCCGTTCGCAGCCGCAAATGGGAACTTTGCTGTCACACAGACACGGTAAAGGTTGGAACCGAGCAAACGGGAGAAGATGCAGCTGCCATACGCTCGGACCCAATCTTAAGCTGCCGGCAGATATCGGTTCAATATGCCGTGAAAGGGCCAATTTATACTTCGCCCGCAGATCGCAACGGCAGTTTCGAACAAGCTTGGATTTTGTTCTAGATAGGGGTGATTTGAAAAGGAAACGAAGTAGAAGAAAAGGGACTTGGTAGAGCTCAGAAGGAGGAGCCGATGATGTCTGTTGCAGATAACGTTCCGCTAGGTTGCGGTAGCATCAAGTCATAATCAGGGACGTTGACCTAAGGTAGATCAATGGAATCCATATATATATGCTCCCCTGACTCCTTGCTTTGCCTGCTGTGCACCTTTTCAGTCCGACCTTTCCTGATATCTTGATTGGCCAGTCACGTCAACTTGCCCGTCTGTCCCCAGGGGATTCACATTGGTTTTTGCTGTCTTTTCGTCTTCCGATCTGCCGGCGTTGATTGCATCAGTGCGCAAAGCCCGAAATTTGGGCAGCGCGTGATTTGTCTTCCCAAGGGCGGAACTGAATGAATGCGTGTGTCGGGTAGTATTTGGGGTCTGGGTCAAACAGGCAGCAAGAAAGCAATCTACATTGCTTCGTCAACTGCCCTTCAGAATGCCGAGAGTGTCCCAAGTGCACCTACTGTGCCGCCTCGATAGTAGGCGCAAGGCTCGGACAGGATACAATAGCCTGTGCACAAACTTCGACATTAATGTACGCTTTGATCAGCCCCCGGATACAGCATCCATAATAGAAATCGGCGGTACGGAAAGCCGTGGTCGAGACGAAGAAGGGTAAATGTGTGCTTGCCAACATCGACTTTATATAGGGTGGGTAGGGTCGGAAGTTTGACAACGTTGAATTCATCACATTTGCACTCTCAGCATTGTTCTGTACGAAGCACTCATGTTGTGACCGGCGGCGGTTGAGTGCGCAACCAACCTACCTGGGTACTCTACTAGTATCGGAAGCTCCAGGTTTGAGTTGCTACCAATGGTCACTGAATATGGCAAGTTGGGTGGTCAGTGGACGTCTTGACATCCTACGTAGTAACTTCCTAAGGTTTGCCCCATCAAACCCCCCCAACCGCGTTAGGTTCTGCGGCCTAATTGTGACAGCAGAAATTCGCCTTGAAGTTGAATTGACTGAGGATGTTTATATTCCCTTTTGTTGGATGCTAGTCCTAGTCTTGCGTCATGAAATAAGTACGGTTTGAATCGAGGAACTGGTAACTAATGAATTATGAATCAGGTGAACTTCCCCTCTGACTCACAAGCCTTTAGGTCCGGAGTGGTCATCGGGGTTGGCAACTCGAAGTTCCATGATTCGAACGCTTAACATACTCGGGTATGGCGCCATCGGAACCTCGGCCCTGGTGATGAGAACATGCGATAGCAATTGGCTGTGCCGGGTGGGGTTGCGCTCGGGGTCGATTACATTATATTTACTCATTACAACTTGAGCGATTCATGATGCATGTATAAGAAGCACCAAGTTTCTTCTCCCTTGGTCTATTCAACTCTCTAGGATGTTCTTTAAGTTTTGTCATCTTGCTCAAGGGTGCCGAGACCTCACACGAAATCTAGGTAGTCTTCGATGGCCACCTGTTGCTATGAGAGAACCAAAGGGCCGAACAGGGATTGTTAAGTCCTGTGACAACCTTGTGTACAGGTTCGCTTAGGTAACGTCCTCCTTCGGATGAATTCAATGTCTTAGTCTGACTTTGTCCCACGATAGATTTCTTGAATCTTCCCCATGGTTCCGCCGGCCTCCGTGTTCACCCGCTCTCCACTCGACTGTCCGGTCTCCGCACCGGGCCGTTGGTGGAGAATGGCCGTATCGTCGGCAAAGAACTCCACTCAGCTCAGACCGAGTCGACCTTTCCTTCTTGCCAGCTACGGATGCACTCTACACAAATCGACATCAACAAGTTCGCCGACAATGGAGCTTGCCTCTATAATACATGTTGGAATCGGTCCAGCTCGACTTCTTAGCGGGCCCACTCGCTTCCGTTGTGTGCAACGTGAAGCCACAGAGAATGAATTTGTCAGCCAGGGGGCGACCCTTGATGGCCTGACCGTCATCTCTCTGCCGGTGTTCGTTTGAGAAACGGTCCAAAGACGCTCCGGGAATTATTAATACTAGTATACTGGCATACTCGCCAACGTACTCCGTAGTGTACGGCAAGAGGGAACCACTGCGGTTCGATCCGAAGCTGGACGGAGGATTGGCGTCGCGGCGAACTCCACTTGAATTTCCCCGCTTGTTCATGCCCAACACAAGGGGCGCATATAAGTCTCCGAGACCCCTTAAAAGGGCCTGGCGTTCCTCAGTCACCAACAGCATTCCGACAAGACAGGACTCAGGACAAGGAGATCGCAGACGAACAGCTTCAACACCACCATCTTTCAGCACTGCATTCAGCCTCCCGCAAGCATCGCCAGAACCGCAAGAACCAGACCCAACATGGCCGCCATTCCGCTCTATGACATCACCGTGGGCTGCGCCCTCGACGCGAACAAGACGCTCCTCCACATCATCAAGAAGGCTCAGGCCCATCCGGATGCGGCGTCTTTCGCCTCAGCCCGCATTTACCCGGACATGCTCCCCTTCACGTTCCAAGTCTACACCGTCACCAACTTCAGCAAGAAGATGGTTGAGCGCCTGACGGCCCGCGGGGAATCCATCGGGGCGTGGGAGGACAACGAGGAGACCCTGGAGCAGCTGGTAGCGCGCGTCGAGAAGACCATTGCCCTGCTGGAGGGGGTGAAGAGGGAGGAAGTTGAGCCCAAGGAGCAGACCATCTCATACGGGCCGAAGTATCACAGCGTCCAGGCGACAACGAACCAGTACGTGCTCGGCTACGCGCTCCCGAACCTGCTATTCCACTTGAGCACGGCGTACGACATCTTGCGGATGAAGGGTGTCGAGTTGGGCAAGGGCGACTTCCTGAAGTACTATGCCAAGGACATCGCGCCCGTACCTAAGGAGGAGTAAAGGAGGGGTGTTGGGGTGCTACTGGTAGCTTGGACATGATCACGCAGGATTAGAAAGACCTACGGCAGCTCGGTCATCAAAAGTCATGAAATTAGGAATTTGAAACCGATACCAGCGTCGTGTCGCACTCAATGATACAAAGGTGAATCCCCTTGAGGACTACGACCCCTAGAATCCCAGAACAGCGTTTGCCTGTTGAACCACGGCCTCGCCCCCTACAGTATCCCCATCCACGATTGTCAATCTTTCGAGGCCCATTGCCCGGACGCCCAGAGGATCGCAATGCTTCTTCATGTACTCCTCGGTGCCTCGACCAATATGTCGCGATTCGCCTTCACCACCGGGGAAATCCGGGCCAGGAGTCCCTTGACGGAACGCGGTCCGCTGCCGGGCGACATATTCCGCACTGGCCTTGGTGGTCGGACATACAGGGATGTATAAGACGCTGGAGTCCGAAGCTCCCTTATGCTTCTTATCGACGGCGTGGATAGCTGCATCAACCAGACCCCGTCAGCAACACCTCCATTTCCCCTATTAGCCCGCAGAGCGAAATGTTTACTCACTGTCGCAGTGCCACACAACGTAATCGCCCGGCCGCACCTCCGGCATATGCACCATTGTCCTCTCCAGCTCCAAATGCGGATGCAGGCCCGGCGGGAACTCCTGCCCACACCCGGGCACGGCCCCCTGCAATTCACTCGTCATCTTCTCCCCTGCCGTAAACTCCCAGTTCCCGCCCTCCAAATACCTCTCCATCTCCTTCTCCCCACCAACCCCCTCCAACGCCCTCTTCGCCCGAAAGAAAGGCCTCAGTAGCGCATACACCGCAGTCTCCTTCACCAGCGGATTCACCAGCAGCGTGCCCTCCCCCGGCGCAGCCCTGCTCATGGCCAGCCAGCCCTGGAACATACGGAACATGCTGCACGCGCCCAGCCCGCCGTACAAATCCGTGACCGCACCCACCCGCGGCGCCGCGTCGAACGGATCGTACCCTCCTCCGTTCTCCCACTGCCCGGAGAAGACGGCGTCGTACACCCCGCCACGCCCGTACCCGCGTTCCTCCCATCTCTCGACGCTGCCACCGTCCTGGTGCGGGCCCAGCGCGAAGGCCACGTCGCCTGGCTGGCGGATGCGCAGGCGGTCGGCGTAGCACAGCGGCGTGTGCAGGGAGATGGCCGCGGAAGGATCCGAGACGTGCCATAGCATCGTCATCAGAGCGACCTGTGTTTTCAAAAGGGCAGGGTGGCTCCGTGCGCGGATCTGGGAGGGAGACCAGTACAGTTCGAGGACTTGCGGTTGGTTCCGCGGGAAGCCTGACGTAGATAAGAGTCAGTTCAGTCGGTTGTGTCTCAGTATTGAGAGCATATTGGAGGGGGGTAGGAAAGATGGGGCAGTGAAGGAGGATGAAATGAAGATACCTCTGGTGTGTGGGTTCTGCCGGACGTATTCCTCGATCTCGAACTTATAGGCGCGTGCCTCGTCTTCGGGGATAACACCCCTAATGACCGCCACACCGCGCTTCTTGATTTCGTCCCGCAGGGCGCGGAGGTCCTCGTGAAGGTGGCTGAAGCGGACTTCGGGGATGATGGCCGGGCCGGCCTGGGAGATGAGCTCGTTCTCCTTTCTGAGGGTTACGAGGAGTCGTTCCCAGCTGGCGATGACGGCGTCTTCATGGCCATCCACGAGGCGGAGCTTGAGTTCGCGGAAGCGGTCTGGTAGGGGCTGTGCTGGTTTCCCCGAGAGGGAGGCAAATGAATCGGAAATGTCGCCTTCAGCTTTCCCAGTAGGGTTCGAATTCATTGCCGCCATGGAGGTGACATGGCGGCGATATCGCTGTGAGAACCGCCGGTTCGACACTCCAATGAGGGAGCTACGCCAGGGCCGCACAAGACGAGGTAGCATTATGGAGTATATGATGATGAGACTCTAGAGAGAGTAAGAGGCAGTGGCATGTAGCGCCTGGGGGGCTTGGATGAGCTAAACGTTGCTGTGGGATTCACCGCGAAGGGAACCTGCAGCGCCATCTTATGACCTTCGACTATGGTACACAGGAGGTCCCGAAAAAGGGTACCGAACAAGGGTCCCGGGGCAGGGCTGGCATCCTCGCCGTCCTCGAAGGCCCTATGCCTCGCAACCAGCGGAGTTAACATCTTGGGAAAAGAGCGGCACAGAGTCGACGTCATTGGCGCGGGGTGGTTCAGAAGAGGGGGAGTACGGGAGAGCAGAAGAATATCATTGACTTGCTGACGCTCAGTGCGAGCGGCGAGCGCATCGGCGTCCTCGCCTAGGTTAGGTGTTCAAAAGGGGTCGTTGTAGTACGTGAGACCTCGGTGACCAGCAGAAGGCGGAATAGCTGGAACCGGAAATTCCGCTGTAACTTTATGTGGGGCCTGAATCTGGCTGGACTTTCGGCGCAACAAGCGAAGGTATACACACATCTTCTGAACTCTCTCGGAATTGATCCAAAGTGCCCAACCTATATATTCCCTCGACGATGTTCGAGAGCATCCTAGGCCCTTAAATTTTGCGCATTATTGGGATGTATCTGCACAGTGTGCGTGCAGTTCTCAGTGTAGCGTTATGGACGAGGACTTGAAGAGCTTAGTGGGGCCATGCAGATGACTTTGATTGGCGAATGTGTCTTGCCAGGCGGGGTCGAAGGAGGAATCAAAATCGGCATGTCCGCTCCGCTCAGCAATATCGAAAACTCATGAGCGGTCACCAGTGTCTTTCGAATCAATGGCTTGGTGACTCAACAAGGCTATCGAACAGTCTGCGCATATCAGAAGTCGTAATCCACCTCTCGTTGAGGCGCTGTATGAGGACTGGCCGCACGCGTCCCATTATGGCAGGCGCACCCGTCCACACCGTTAAATTCGTGGGACATGATGCCGCCGGACTGCCGGTGAAGAGGAAGCAGGTCAATCAAGCTTGCCTCCCTTGCAGGAAGCGGAAGGTAATTTGGTTTCCATTACCCGAGCCATCCTGACCTAACTCGTCTCACCCCGCCAGAAACGATGCCACCACGTTCCCCCAAACGCCCCCACAGCGCCAGCCGACAAGGCGTCCGATCAAGTGGACGTCAGGGCTGAGGACGGGCCCTCCCGCAGCATCCGCCCGCGAGGTGAAACCAGCATTCACGACAGAGATACTTCTGATGCCGCTGCTCAGTTGCTCCGCTTCTTCCATCACGCCTCGGACAAAGCTTCGGCCGGCAGCCCCGACCAGGACCCGAGACAGCAGCAACCTCGGCAGACATCTCCGGTACCGCCATTCCTCGGCGATCTGAATCCTGAGGGCATCCTTTGCGAGGCCACATTGGCGCCGGCTCCGACGCCCAAGACCCCCCAAACTGATGAGCAGCCTGACCATCAGATCCTAGGCTTCTTACCCCCAGCATCGCCCCAGAACTCGAGGCCACCCGCTGCCGAGAACCAAGGCCCAGTTAGCCTGGGGAGCCCAAAGCTTATGGAGGAGGTACCGGGCCCGTTCTTCTCTGTTCCTCGAGAGGACGGCACGCGGTGCACGATCCACGTACAAGACACCGCTAAGTTTGCCGCCCTGGCTCAAACCCTTGTCAGTCGCGGACTGGCAGACAAGGTGATGCCGTCTGAGACCGAGTGGCGAGCCCTGAGGGACATATACCTGGCCAAGATCCACCCCATCTTCCCCATCCTCGACGAGTCGACCCTCGTGGACCTACCAGAGGACACCGGTCTGCGTGAACTCACTCAAGCCTGTGTATGCCTTGCCGCGGCCACGGACCCGGACGCTCGCAGCGCCTTGACATTCAAGACACATATGGGAGGGTCGTCTCAGCTACGGACTGCCGTGTCCTTCGACGAGTACTCCCGCGAGATGGCCACTTTCATCAACAGGCGTCTCGCCGAGTTGCAAGAGGCACACCGGATTCCTCTCACTCAACAGATCCAGATCATGGCCGTGACCTGTCTCTACTGGCAACCAGCAGATCCTGCCGACAGGTTCAAGCCGCAATCTCTTTTCTACGAACTTGTTGCCATCGTCCACACACATGGCATCCATCTGGACGTGCTGCAGAGAGCATGCGCGAACGACTCACACAATACGGGAGGAAGCGCTGCCCGGTTGTTCAAATGTCTTTACGCTCTCGACCGATTGAATGGTGCAATGTCCGCGAGGCCACTCATGTTTCACAACTACGACGTGATACAGGTCCCTCATCCAGAAGCCCACGACACGCCCATATTCAAGCTCTTTTTGGCTTTGATCGCTCTGCTGGACCAAGTTATCGAGCTATACCGCCCGCGGCCCAAGGTGAGCTACGTTGAGATTCCGGTCTTCGAGCGCATGGCTATTGAAGCTGGAGCGCAATGTGAACCAGAAAGCCTCCTTGGTATGTGAGCCCCCAAATCGCCTGACTCCGGGCTCGAGCTGATGAGCACGCTTTCAAGCGACTCTTGAGGTCCTCTACCATGCCATTTGCGTCCTTTCTGTCAGGATGCCCCGATACCGCTTTCGCACGGCACCGGAGTGCGATACACTGCCCGGGCCCCGTACTCAGCATCTCCCACCTAGCAGTGTCAACGCGCGGAGGTCCCATTCGGCAGACCGCATCCTGGATATTATCCAGAGCTACCCTCTTTGCCCCATGCCTTTCGTTCCATACGCGCTGGCGCTTTCGCTCGGTGTGGCCTACCGCAAGTGGCGCTTCAGCCGACTGCCCATGTTCCGGACACGGGGAGGCGCTGACTTCAAGAAGGTGCTCCCGGCTCTGCAAGAGATGGGATCGATATGGAGCACTGCCCGCATCAACGGGCAGCTTGGTCAGGCAGTGATGCTGAAGCTGGATCGGAATGAGGTTCTGAACAGGAAACATCCGAAGAAAACGACTGAGGCCGCAACAAGCAAACCAGGACAGGCCACAGCTTCTCGTCATGATGATGGCGGCGCCGATTTCACGCGGCGTGAAGGATCAACGAACAACATTGCGAACCAGGATCATGCCCAACCTTCAGCTGAAGCAAACCTACCCCGGGCGACATCGCCGACAATCATCGACAGGACTACGACGCCGCCCGATGCGCCATCTAGTCCCCGCATTCTCCCTAGTTCAATCCTAGAGAATGAGCTTCAGCATAACGATAGCACCAACTCACAGAACCCACCGCCCAGCCTCCGCGGGTCGCTCCCTTCCCCAGCAACTTCATCGTTGACGGAACGACTCCAGCATCCCACTCTTACCTGGGCGGGTACGCTTGGCACAGATAGCAACAACACCATACCCATCAACAATAACCACGCTCCATTCGGACCAGACCCCGGGCCCAACAACTGTAATCCGAGACTCAATTCAACAAATCAGCAATCCTCGACCACAGTGAGGCATGAATATTGCGCCCAGGCGGACGACGCCATCCCCCTGCCTTGCGACCTAGTGTCTCAGCCAAATCCGCCCAGCAGGGTTCCGCTTCTCGGAGGTTTCTCGGAAAGCAACCTTGATGACTTTCTAGTTAATGACGACGATGCGCTGTTCAGGGCATGGGATCCCAGGTTCGCTCAGTCGGTTGATTTCTCGTTCAGCAGCATTTTGGATCCGGGGAACCCGTTTGCTTGGCCGGAGTATTGCAACTACACCGCGTGAGCTGTCTTACGCTATGGAAGGTGTCTGTCGGAATTAGAGTCTACCCCACGTCTCCTTCCTCCATGAAGTGTTTGTGGGTAAACAATACATGTCCACTGAGGTTTCACTAGTCACCAATCCTCAAACAATGTGTGGCACGGTCCCGAAATATGATACCATATATGCAGTTGTGCTCTGACCTGCGCCGCAGACTAAAACGCAAACTCCCAAAGTACCATACCAAGATTGCAGTTCGAAGCCGCTTATAGGTACCCCGTCGTTAGAGACATACGAGAAATCGGAAAGACCTTTGGCCAGCAAGGAATGCATATCCGTCTCTTAATCCAAGTTGCCAAATTTCGCAAATACACACAACTGCAAAACGCCACCACCAGAGTACTCTGCTAGGTTACGCGCGTACCGGACAAAGCGGCGTAGGCCCTGCTTGCTGCTAATGATACTGACGGAGCGTTAGCTTGATCCTTTTTGTGCTGTTTACGTACATGGATCCTTTTTGGTTCCTCTGACACCCATACGCGACCGCATCTGATACTCAAACGCGACCGCACCAAGTGATGACTTACCTCTAGCGTCTCAGCCTCGAGCAAACCATCCTATGCTCTCTACCTACCAAAATGTTTAGTATTGGAGTTGGCGAGCAAAGAAGTGGCGCGGTCAGTTCAGGGTTCCTCCCTCGGGCGCTTAGAATCCTCGACCGCGTCTTGGCTTCCTACTGTCTCAAGTCCCTCGCCGCCTCCGCTGTCGTATAACGAGACGGTGCTTGCGCTGGTACGATCACTGACAATTAAAAGGCTCAACTCGGTCAACTTCTGCCGGTCGCTCCCACGATGACAATTCTTAGCATCAACACCGTCTGGCATAATTTGACTCACGAATCAGGCACGCAATACGTCAAAAGACTAGGCACCTTATCTTACCCATACAGTCATAGTACTTCAAAACAACAGCGCAGCTATCATCGTCAAGATGCCTATCATCTGCAAGGTCTGCCACATCTGCAACGACACCGTCAAGTCTGCGCTGGACAAGATCAAGGTGCCCTACACTGAGAGCAAATCCGGCTCGACCACCATCTACCGCGTTAACACCTCCTCCCCGTCCAAATGGAGTCGCGGCTCGCTCGCCAGGATGTGCTGGTATGTCAAGTTTTACGCTGTCATATTCCATTAATTTCATTTATCTGGCAGTCTCGGGACTCACCGTGCTCCTGAGACATGCCGATTGCGGGAGAATTTGGCTGACGTTGTTCCAGGGACAAGCTCCAGTTAGGGCCATACCACGAGGCCAGAAAAAATGGTGACACGATTCACTGCTCCAACGTCCAGCCGTGATGTGGGGGCTACTGGTTGGAAGGTGCTACTTAGTTACTGGGGTGGGTTACTGGGTTTTCTGTGGTCATGGAAGAGCTGGCTTCCGAACACCACATCCGTCATTCAACCGACCTAGAACAAAGAGCATTATCATCACTTGGGCCTGGCGCCCCAACTTGTTGTTCGATCAATCAAATCATCATACCATCAATCAAGCTATCTCCAAGTCATCGTCCTTTTCTGATACCTTAGTAGATGGAAGTTGGAGTTCGTTTGCTAGATTGTGTCCTAGCTAGGGCCGGGTGTATGAATCCGATGGGTTTCTCGTGCTCCCCCCAAGTCTCCCTTGCAAAGAGCGACTTCACAGCAATTTTACGGATTTTTCATCTTAGGATAGATCTGGGTACCTGGTCCCATGTCTTCTTTCGAATTAGGTCTTCAAGACAGCGAGGAATGGCACAAACCCCAGTCAGCTTGGCTACACCTTGCACATTCCACGCAGCCGCGTTCATCACTCACCCACCGAGCCTCTTGGGCCAATAATGGGGGATGTCTTTGTCTTGTGGCGTTCTGTGGACGCTGGGATAAAGAGAGAAGGCGATGGGACCGCACCCCGCATCTCGACCTTCTGAGTCTTGTTTGTCTCGTCATGGCAGGGGTCACACGTGCGGTCCTCGGGACCGAGCAGAAGCTTGTTGCTCCCTTCATCTCATCTCGGTGGTTCTCGCCGCCCTGATCGGAGCTGCAAGCAATACATCGCTACAGCTGGCGTTGGATCGCAGCGATGCCAGCGGATATTCACCTATATTCCAGGTTACAAGCACGCGCAGCAACCCACCCGTTCTACGTTTGTCGCTATATCAAGGCGATTGATCAGGCGACAATGGAGCTTCCGCAGATGCGCACGATTGCCCGGCCAATCGAGTATCTCCTCTCTGGCATCTCCTGGACCTCGGCCATCATCACGCGCTTCATCCGTTCTGTGCGCGTCGCTCACGCTGACCTCGCAGCTGTGACCCGCGATCTCTCGGATCTGCGTCTACTGCTAGAACTGTTCAGGGATGAGCCCGGCGTACCACCGCTGCTCCAGGCCGAGATGCTCCCGGTCTTGGAGAGCTGCGGGAACATCCTGATCCACATCGACGCCATCTTGTCCCGACGCTCCGAGCCCACAAAATGGGTCGAATCGGGAAGGGCTGACATTGCCAGCTGTCGAACGAGGCTTGGGATGTTTCGAGAGGCACTTGCTTTAGCTCTCGATGTTACTAGCCTGTAAGAGCCCTCCCATTTCCTCAAAGTGTGGCACCCCAGGGTTTGGGGTCTTGTAAAAGCAACCTGACACGGTGGGGTCGACATAGGACGGCCTTGCCACACGAGGGTGGTGAGGCAGCCGTGTTCAACAACAAGATTGTCGCCGAAATAGACCGCCTTCAGGCCGGAGCCCAGTCCGCGGACCGTGGCAGGGATGATACGGAAGCGGTGCTATTCCACTATCTCCAAATTGTGTCTGGTTGCATGCAGTGTCATATCAAGGCTTCAGGAACACTACAGGCACGCAAAACACCGTATGCGTGACGTTTTCTACCGCAGTCGTACCACTGTGACTGTACTGACTAGGGCAGAGCCACATTCGATAGCGGCACAGATTCGGCTTGTCAACGCGACGTGGAAGCGGCCCATCTCGAGCAGACAACGAACGCCGACACCTCGGAAAGTCATAAGCATCAGCAGCCTCCCGGTTCGTGGTATTATCCGGTAGGGAACATAACGGGTCCACGTCATCCAGAAGAGCCTCCGCCATGGAACGTTTTTCACGGGCAAAGAAGACTAACACCAGGCATTCCTGAGTCTCCAACGCTACCCTCGTCAGAGGACCAGGTCACCCCTATGAGCCAACGTTCCCTCCCTCCGCCACTACTCAGACAACCGAGTTGGGATCAAGGGGATCTCTTTTCGGCAAAACCTGAGTCGCCCACCTCGGCATGTCATCCCGAAGCGGGACCCCCTGTATCTTCTGTCGAGTCATGGCTTGCCCGAAGTACCGAGTCGAAAGGCAGTTACTCCTCTGAGCAGCATTCCAAGGGGCCATCCTTCGCTTCGCACGGCAGTAGCAGCGGCTCCATTTCAGGTGTTCTGATCAACATGGGCCCAGTCTCTGAGAGCCTATCAGGCTCGGTGAGCCCTGGGTTTGCTCTGCCCCCACTCCCATCTTCACCACCACCCGAGTACCGCCGGACATGGACCAATCCGCCTACATCCGCTGTTCAGTTCGCGGTGCCGGCGCCCTCGAAGCAGAATCCATATCTATCCCAGGTCCAAGTCACGCCAAAACGTCACCTGACAGACAAGGGCAAGGCATCTGAGATATTGCACATCGATACGTCGCCGGGATCCTGCTATGTCGCGACAAAGCATAGCAGCAAGCTCGTCAAGATATGGTCCGTCCCCAGGAGTGCACTGCACGGCACCATCAAGATTACATCGTACGTGCAGCCACGAGTGCGATCCCGCGAGTACTTCATCCGCAGCCACGCCATTCTTTCCGAGAACGCCACGCTCATCGCCGTCGCCACACACTTCGGTCTCACCCTGGAGATCTACAACTTCGCAAAGGGCGGCAGCGTCGCAAAGAAGGTCCAGGTCATCGAGGAAGCACACCGCTGGGCAGCCAGTCAGCGCGACGCCTTCCACAACGAGTACGCCGGCCTGGCCGTCTACCGCCCAAAGTTCGACCGCATCGACCGCTTCTTCCTCGCTCGGAATCCCGGTGCGAAGACCCCGTTCCGGGAGGATCCTAACCACTCCATCGAGCTCTCTAAGGCCGACCTCCCCTTCCTCCCCAAATTTCCCGAGTTGGCCTACAGTTCCGACTCGCCTTTCCTCTTTGCCGCGGCGGGGCCCAGACCTGGAGATCCCCCACGCGCCAACGCAGTCATCCTCATCGCCTGGCACACCAAGCCCGTCTCGCACAGCAAGCTGCACGCCCAGACTCCCGAGCAGTCCAGCGCCTCCCTCCCAGACGAAGAGCGGCACAAACCCTACCGCGTGTGCGTCCCCGACCATCCCGCCCTGCAGACCGCCCTGCCAGCATGTCTGGCCGCCGCCGGCAGCACCGCCGTCTCCATCTGGATCCCGGCGTCTACCCCGACAGAACCACCACTCACCCCTATCGGCAGTCCAACCACCACCACCACCGCCATCACCACTACTACTACGACAAAATCACACTCCCACCGTCCCTCCAACGCAACCACAACCTCCTCCTCATCCACCACCCCGTCTACCATCCACCCTACCGCGCCGGAAAGGCTCGTCCTAACCTGGGATCTCCCGTCCAACACAACACGCCTCTTCTCGATCCCGCCCTCCGCACAAGCCTGCATCTCGCCCGACTGCCGGCAGATCGCCTACTGCGACGCCGCGGGGGGCCAGTTCGCCATCGTCGACGTGGCGTCGGCGTCCGAAGTCTGGCGCTGGCCGGACGCGGCGAGAGAAGCCGGTTTCGCGTCGTTCGGCCAGCTCGAGAACCTGGCGAGCGTGACCGTGTTCGAGTTCTCCGCCGACGGGCGGATGCTGGTCGCGGGCGACTCGGCGGGCGGCGTCGGGGTGTATGAGCTTGTCGAGACGGGGCCGAGGTTCGAGCTGGGGTCCGGAAACGAGGTCGCGCTGGCGGACATGCTTGATTCTGAGATGAGGCAGATGCAGATGCAGATGCAGATGCAGATGCAGATGCAGACGCAGACGCACTTTGGGAAAGGGAGGGGTTGGGGTTTGATTTCGTAGATTGAAGTTAAGGATTCCAATCATCCAAGCAGTAACATTGAATGGGTTGGAAGAGCATGGTATGATCGTTCCCATATGTCGGATACTTAAAGTGAAACAACGAGGTTGCCAGATATCCCGATTAAATCACTTCCCATCGGACCCTGATCCGTTTCCGTGGCATTCTACAATACTAACGTAAACTGGTTGCAGCCCCTTAACGCTTCCCCGGCCATCCCTCCTTTGAGCAGCTGAGGCTGCAGCTCGACTACGAAGTCAAGTTATCGCAATGCCAGAAGAGGTCATTCCCTGCTTGCTGCCAGTGATGTGAAGAGGGAAATGGGATGCTGCGAGACTAGCGAGAAAGTGGTGTTTTGTTATATTGTCGGTTTTTAAGGTTCTTTGAACTGATCTTTTTACACCGACGAGAATGATAATGCCACTTTGTGGATATAAACTTGTTGAAGAGGTTTTCAAGGCAGGAGCCTCTCTAACTAGATCGGAGTCCAGAGTCACACGCATTAATACACCCTTCGACCTTGACCTAGCAGGACGCGATTATACAGCTCCATTGGAAAAACTCGCCGCTTGGAATTTGCAAAACAATGGACAAAAGCATCCGTCCAGCTGACGGCAGAAGTTCAACAATCTGCTGCTGGTGGAGCAAAAGAACGAAGTCACTATGATCGAATCCAGGTTCGAACTGGAGACCTTCAGTGTGTTAGACTGACGTGATAACCAACTACACCATTCGACCATTTCGATGTGCGAGGCTCGGCAGAATAGAGGCTTCATCTATGGGTTCCTCTGCAGTTGCTGTATCGTCAGTCCAAGATCGCGGCAACGGAGTTCGGAGTGTTTATGCGGCATTCTCTGCGAGGAGTAGCAAACAATCCGTTTGCCGCGGGACAATGGGCTTTGCTGAAACAAAGAATTGGCGCGGGAAAATGAGCTAACGGAGAGTTGGCTGTTGATGCAGAACCCTGAGGTGACGAGGTTCCCCAGGGGCATCGTGTTCACCAAGGCAGTGTCATGAGGCGCATAAATACCGGAGGGAGAAGAGGATTTGTATTCTTGTCTACCTTGTCCGAAGACCAACGGCCCACCAAGCCTCGTCCATTCCATATTCACCGATAGATGATATCCAACCGCGGCCATGCCGTAGCCAGATACCAGTACCGAGTGAGGCAAGAAAGAACCTGCCTAGTTCGCGGGCCCAATTTCATCTTCTTTGCTTTCCACTCCCCCAGAAAAAAAGTTCTTTTTTTTTTTTCGTGTTGTATGCCATCGGCCCACTGCCCAAGCAGATCCCACGTTTTGTTTCCACACAAGCGGTCGGTCTGGAAAGCAGCGAGGTTGACGCAAGATAGCTGGGAACAAGGTTCGACGCTGTGATGCTATGCAGAGTTTAAGGGTCTGCCTTGCCAATAGAGCCGTAAGGTTCCAAAATGTGGTGTGTTGTCGCGGCCGGGGTTGTGGTCGTAGCCGCGTCTCGAGGTTTTCATGCAGTCGGCTACAGGCGCAAATGGCCTGCACCAGCAAATGCAGCACTAGAACTGCTGAACGCAGTTCATGAGTCCCATCCATCCGTGATTTCAGCCAAAGAGGAAAGCCACATGACCGAATACTCGGCAATAGCAGTCGTCGTGTAGGTTGGTAGTGAAACCGCCTGGACATCCCAACCACCGCTCTCGTCAAACGGGATGCATCACCTTCCACCGTATCACTTCCCCATTCTTCGGTTGTCCACTGCGCCCCTTCATCCTCCTCTACTTGGCGGACCTCCATGCCGCCACCATCCATCCATGTTGCGGGAATCCTCGGAAAACGCCAACCGCCCCCGCCATATCCCGCGGGCCCCTACCCGAGGCCTATATACCCGTTCGTCCCGTTTTCGTTCCCAAGTCCCCAGGCCCAGCCTCCCCCTGCCCTTCTCTTCACTTCGGTCCAGCATACCAACGAGCGGAGGCCGAAGGATGCCAGGCGCAATAGCAGCGGAGAAGAAATTTGAAAGGAAAAGCGGCCTTAGCCTTGCCCCTCTTTCCCGTCCGTCCACGCGCCAGCAACGTCCAGCAACAAAAAAGAAAGGATACGCCCCGTGAGCGATTGCCGGAACCAAATCTGTCATGCCAAACCTAACGCCAGAAACGCCGTTTATGTGAATCCCTGCTTCCCCCACCCAGAAACTCCAGACCCCGGCACAACCGAATGGGAATCTCGTCCGTCCGCTAACAGCACCCACAAGACTCCTGACCATGCCCAGAACGCGCGTCGTTTGGCTTCCTTCCTTTTGAGATGAGGGAAGGGGAAGAGGAAGAACCCACAAAACCGCTGGGTCGCGACTGCCCGTGGTGATCGCGTTGAACGAGCTGCCGAGAAATGGTTTCCGTCGAGCGGCAGCCCAAAGTACCTAGGTACGCAGCCACGGTGGCATCCAAAAACCACCTCAAGAGAACTTCAACTCCGAAACCCATTACGCCAGAAACCCGTGGCCGTCTATCGTGTCCACATCATGCCGGGAAACGAGGGTCGACTGTATCACCGGTAAAAGAGAGAAAAATATCGGTGATTAGGCGAAGAGCTGGATGGATGATGATTAGGCGTAGATACAATCGATGAGACGCTGAAATGTGCGTGTCTTGCGCCGATGAGGGACGTGGTCGTCTGCAGAAGCGGGTCGATAGGAACTCTTCTGGGAGGGCGAAAAGGATATCGCGCGAATGTTCGGTGTCGAGGAACTGGTGAAGCCGGACTGCTTCCTTATCGGAGCTTGTCGTGAAGGAATGGTGCGGAGAAAGAGAAGATAATATGTACAATCCAAATCAATCACAATGCATAAAACCTCCTGATATCAACCCCACGTAACGCCCTCGAAATGCATGAGAGAGGATCATGCTTGCTGAACAGGCGCCGCTGGCTGACCCTGTCCATGCGGACGGCCACCACGCTGGCCACCGTAGTTCTGACGCCCGCCCTGACTCTGGAAGCCACGGCCACGTCCTCGATGTCCACCGGAGGAACCGCGATTGCCCTGGTAGCCTCCACGGCCTTGGGGCCCAGACCCATTCTGACCATTCTGACCATTCTGACCACTCTGACGGTTTTGCTGCTGCCAATCTCCCGGGCTGGGAAGGGTCTGTTGCAGTGACGTCGGGGACTGGTTTTGCAACTGAGTGTTCTCTTGCTGCTGCTGCTGCTGCTGCTGCTGCTGCTGCTGTTGCTGTTGTTGCTGCTGGTATTGCATCGCGCCAGTCTTGAAGTTGGAGATCGGCCGCGGGATAGACTCTGGGTTCTCATACACGTAGAGCTTCTTGTCGATTGTTTGAGGGATAGGCTGAATCTCCGTGCCTAGGTCGCGCTCGATGTTGTATAGGTTGAAGCGATCGTCCCAGTTGATCAGGTTGATGGCCAAACCCAGGTGGCCGTACCGGCCCGAACGACCGATACGATGCAGGTAGGTCTCGGCGTTCTTGGGGAAGTCGAAGTTGATGACGACGTTGACGGCTTGAATATCAATACCACGGGTCAGGAGGTCGGAGCATACCAGATTGCGGCAAACGCCGTTGCGGAAGTCGTGGAACACTCGGTTGCGGGCTTGCTGGGCCATTTTCGCGTGGCTGTAGAAGCATGAATAACCGAGTTCGGTGATTTTCTTGGCGAGCAGTTCGACGCGGTTGGTCGAGTTGCAGAAGATGATCGATTGATTGATCTGGAGCTTGGAGAAGAGAGTGTTGAGACAATGGACCTTCTGCCTCTCTTCGACGTAGGCATAGTATTGCGTGATGCCCCGTAGCGTCAGCTCATCCATGAGATTGATCTCATAGGGGCTGACCATGTTTTTGTCTGAGAAGTCCTTCACTGACAAGGGAAAGGTGGCGGAGAAGAGCATGACTTGACGGTCCTTGGGGTGGAAGCGCAGGAGCTGCTCGATAACAGGAGTGAATTCGACAGAGAGAAGCTTGTCGGCTTCATCCATGATGAACATGGGGCATTCGCTCAGATCGGCTACTTGCTTGCCAGCCAAATCGAGAATTCTGCCGGGAGTCCCCACCACAATATGGACGGGATCCTGCAACCGGACGATATCGTCGCGAAGCCCGGTGCCACCGGTGGTGACCATAACGTTGATGCCGAGGTGCTTTCCGAGAGTCTTGCATACCTGGGATGTCTGCATTGCCAATTCGCGAGTCGGAACGAGGATGAGACATTGGATCTTCGCGACCTTAGGGTTGATCTTTTCCAATGCTGGGATAACGAAAGCGGCCGTCTTGCCTGTGCCATTCTTGGCGCGAGCAAGAATGTCACGACCAGTAAGGGCCACAGGTATGCTCTCTTCTTGGATGGGCGAGGGTTTCTCGAAACCCGCCTCGAAAATGCCCATAAGCAGGTCCCGCTTGAGGCCGAAGTCCTCGAAATCCAAGCCCTTGGTGTTTGTTACATCCTGGGGCCCCGCGGGATTAGCATCGTTCCCATAAGCGCCAGCACGCTGACAACACCCACCTCTGTCTGTTGCCTCGTATCCTTGGCGGGGAGCCTAAGGCCTTTCTTCCAGTCCTCTGAGCCCGATCCATCACTGTCCTGTTAGTTCAGTTCAACCAACAAAAGTCGGATGTAGTGGCAACAAACTTCAAGGTCGAGGCCTGGAGCTTGTCGACGAGACTGTCTGTCATTGTGCTCGCGGTATTAACGTCAATGCAGTCGATAGAGGCGTTAACTAGAACTTTTTCTCAGGTTCGATGAAAAAGGTTGGAGGGAAAGCGTCTCCGATTTGGTCAGTAGCGCAGATCGCTCGTCTCGAATGGTAGGGCGGATGATTATCGTGTCTTGGGGCGACTGTGCTATACCCGCCGCTTCGTAAGCGCAAGCCTTGATAGTAAACTCGACGCGCAAGTACAATGCAGTGTAGGCGGTCGGGGTTGCTCGGGGAACTTGTTGCTCAACCGACGGTTAACTTACGCCAAGATAGTGATCTCCTTTTGAGGGCTGAGGATGTGCTCAGTTGGAAGAAGGCGGGCCGCAAGTGGGGGGTGGTCTGTCGTGGAAGAGGCGGTATTTTTTTCTGCGGAAGTCTTTCAGTTTTCGTCGTGGTGGGGGAATCGTGAGGAACCAATCTCTTGGTTCTTTTGCGATCTCGAAAAGTTGAAGTGAGGTGTTTGGCTGCTGTGTCACGTGTGCCTTTCAACGCGCGGCGAAAGTTGCGCCACAATCCAGCGGAATACATAATCCATTCAGCCACTTGCGGGTAATGTGACGTATTCCAATCGGGGCAAGACCGCAATACCTTCGGCAGCATCTATTGATGTTACGGCATCATGATGTCTTCCCTGCAACCATGACTGACCAATTTTGAACCATGGTGCTCAACAAAACGACAATAGCTCTCTGCCGGACCTGTAGCTGCGTTCTCTCCGTTATCCGGCCTTCGAACTCGATAACGACATCATGCAGGCCGCATGAGCGCGGGAGCAATGGACCCTGCATGCGCCGCTCCCGACAACGTCGCTCGTACGCTTCGATCCATGACGGCAAAGGTGGGGGTGGTCAGAGCGAAACGGGCGAGGCCGGCGATCAGACGAGGTGGCCGACGTCCGCAAACCCTACCCCATACGAAATCCTCGGCATTGCGCGCGATGCCCCGTACAGCAAAGCTCGGTATTTCCAGCTTGCGAAATTATACCACCCCGATCGCAGACACCATACCACCGGTGACGGAATTCCACATGGCACGAAGCTCGAGCGTTACCGCCTTGTCGTCGCCGCTCACGAGATCCTGAGCAACCCACAAAAGAAGCGCATGTATGACCTCTACGGCTTTGGGTGGGGTGTCGAGAGCCAGTCTCAAGCCCGCCATCGCACAGCGGATCGGAGCTGGCGGCAGGAGCCGGGAAACCCCAGCATGAATGCAACGTGGGAGGACTGGGAGCGGTGGCACCAGCAACGGAATGGCAGCGGCGAGAAGCAGGAACACATATTCACGTCGAACCTCGCCTTCATGGCCATCGTCTCGGTCTTCTTGATCATAGGCACCTGGAGCCAGATGACAAGAGCAGGCACGAACTCGGTCAGTCTGATCGAGATGCGGGACCAGCACCATGCTGCTATCAGCAAAGAATTGCGGCAGCGCCAGAGCCAGAGGGCAAGGCTGGACCGGGAGGGCAGGGTTGAGAACTTCCTCCGACAACGAGAGCTTGACAGGTGGGCATACGATCCGCCAGGGCATGGCCCTCAAGCGCCAACGAGCGACAGCGGGACTTCAGAAAGGTCACAGCGATAAAACAGCGAGATGGTCACCACATTTACTGAGTGCTGCAAAGCAGCACGGTTTGCAGGCAAAGCCTACGGCAATACGCGCAGAGTGGAGTTCCAGGCTCCAATGTGCATTCCGGTTCCTTCGCATGTCCGCCACGTCATCAACATAGGTTCGGCCCACCGTCGAGCAGAAGCTGCTCAGAGCACGACCCAGAGAATCTCAGGGCGATGTCGGTCTCCGGATGGAATGAGAGCCAAGCCGCATGGTTGGAGGCGTTGCATGGCCCAATTGAGAATCCGGTGGACATGAGAAAGAAGCGGGAGAAGCTACCTACCTATTCTACTACCCAATTGGGACCGCGCATGGTCGCGTTCCGCGAGCAGTTTTCGAGGATAACGACGCATTGTTGATCATAAGATCGCCTGGCTCTTGTGGGAGTCTGGAAGGCACGATGAATGTTGCAGAAATTCGCTACCACAGCAGAATGCCAGCAAATAGGCCGAGCGCACGGACCACACCTGGCACTCGACACTCTTTCAGTTTCGCCTGCTTCAGCTCCACCTTCCCAATTCAGCCTTGAGATGTGTCGGCTGTTTGGTAGCAGGTTATGGTGTTGTCGTGCTTTACCTACCTAGGTAGTACCTAGAGGTAGGGTGTGAGAGTAAATGCGCAATCTAGCCGAATGACTACGCAGGTTCAAGAACCATGCCTCTATGATGAGTCCCTGGGGTGCTACACCTGACATGAGCTTTGTAGATGTCCGAGTCGTCTCTGATTTCTTTGAGTCACCTAGACGCACAGGCCAAATATTGACTGAATCAACATCCTCAAGATGCTGGCACTTATACAATGCTGAAGATTTACACGACACTCAACAAACCTTGTCAAATGGCAGAATGATGCTTACGAAGGACAAAGTAGGATCTGTCTTGGTATCGGTGATGCAAAATTCTACCAGAGTATCAGGATTTCAGTGGTATAAGAGTTAGATGGTGAGAAGTTGGGATGAGACGTTCGGTCCATAACTCTTTTTTCCACCAACTCTATACACTGATTTATTGCCCGTGCAGGGTTTCTTGTCAAGTTGACAACTTGGTTGGCCAGACTCTTCACATTTACTATCTTAGTCCCTGGTGGCACCAGCTGGCATCTCGAAGAGAATGGAGCCTGAAGTCACCGGCTGTCACTCATTCTCCTCGTGAAGCCATTCACGGAAACCATGAGAAGTACCCTAGAATTCCAACCCAGCACAGCTGTTTAGCGTTTCCACCTTTCGTCTGAACACGCTTCTAAATAGTGACACCAGTGGCGCGTTGACGAGTCTGGCGTTAGACGCGTCATGGTTATTTAAGAAGCATAGTGTTTGTGAACTCACTTGCGTCCTTTATCTCTGCTAGTGATCACAGTCCGACCGACTCTCTCTTTTTTATCACCCCTTCTTTCTCTGGCATCCTTCCTTTAAGATTACCCGACGCTGAACTCGAGCATATACAGCCTACTGCTTCCAGCTTCCTCATCGTCTTCTCCTTTCCCCCTATTCCAATCTCAGCCAGTTCTTCCTCTCTCACCATGGCAGCTGTCAACTCAGCAATGGGCAACCAGGCCGAGCAGCCGCAGCAGGACGGGTTTCCGCAGTTCGTTCGCCTTCCGTGCGAAATTCAAGATATGATCTTTGCAGAGGCAATCCGACACCCGAATATCCACATCGTCAAGGCCAGTCGCGTTCTCGTCCACGATAACTACAACGCGAACTGGGGCTTGTCGTTTTCTCCGGTGCCCAGGCGTCAGGACAAGTCGGCGTATCGCTGGGTCGCCGATCTCGCCGCGGTAAGCCGGAGGGCACACGCCGCCGTCCTCCGTGCGACGCGCAGCAGCCAGGATAAGCTGCCGTTTAAGACCGCTGGCGCCCGCTTCAACAGCGACGAGGACCTCGTCCTCGTCGAGTTTCCCACCTCGCGGTCTCCGACCCTCGGCTTCTTCCACCCCCTGGATCAGCTTCCCGGCTGCATTTTCGATAGCCTTCGGCTGGGAAAACTGGCCTTGTTCGGCATGGTCCAGAAGGTCGCGTTGAAGCACGCGTGGAGGCATCCCACCGCCCATGAGAGGAATTGCAACTTCCGCTGCCGCGTCCACCATCACTTCCATCACACACACAACGCCTGGCGCATGTGTCCGCGCGAAGTGTTCGGCTTTCTCAACTGCCTCCCAAAACTGCGCGAGGTCTACATCATCCTCGAACCGCACAGCAGCCGGGATCAGCAACGGATGCTCACGGTTTACATCAAGAACTTCTACACCTGTGAGCCCCCCCTTCGACATTCCCAGACACCGTTTCTCTCCGCTTCCCAGTTGCACGTCATAACTAACGTCCCTGTGTCTCACGCCGAACAGTGCCGCCTACCTGCCCCGCCCGGCTCGCCCTCGCCGTGTTTCATGCGTCTGAGGGCTCCTACATCGAGCTGGACCCGTCGCTGTGCTACGAATGGTACGAGGACGTGCAGAATTTCCGGTCGTTCCTTCTGGACGACCAAGGCTCGGTGATGGCTATGCTGGCCGTGCTGCGCACGAAGGACTTCCTTGCCGACACCGCCCCCGATCTGCAGCCGAACGCTCAGAGCACGCTGGGATTCCGCGTGCCGCCGTATCGCATGAGCCGCGCCGACAGGCAGCGTTTGGTCTGCAAGGTGCTAGTTGCTGTCCCGGAGGAGAAGAAGCACGGATGGGACGACCAGATGGGACGACGTGTCAGGGCTCTTTTCGGGGTCTAAATCTGAGATTATGGAGATGGGATTTTGCGTTGTTGATCGGCACATGATTTCGGGAATTGCGAAGGGGAGATTGTCCGCCTAGCTACGTTTCAGGACAGCATTCTGCTTAAGATGATTGGGCTTCAGGAGTCATTTCTCAGGGTCAGTATTTGAGTATGCAGTGGTTGCGGCGTTCAGAGTTGCGGTGACGCTCAGACCGAAGCCACTAAACTGGGAGCAGCGTCGAGGGTCAGTTAGGACCAGTATCGATTTTCGTCACGCAATCCATTGTAGGATCTCAGGACAAGCTTCCGCACGTATCCTGCCTAGAGAGAACCAGAATGGGTAAGGTATGTAGCGTCCGTCAACTAGTGCGATGAAAATTCCATTCCGAAAGACGGGAGTCGTATCCTGATACGGTGGAAGAACCAAGAAACGCACCATCTCCCATCATCATAGACATTCATGGAACTTCGGAAGTTACGGCGAAAAACCCGGGAGGATGTGCTCCGTCTTTACGCAAGGGCACCCAAAGTAAGTCGGATTAACCGATTTCAAGGCTTGATGAACTCGTCAAAGGCATGGAAGCTGGTTGACCCTGAAAATGGAGAAAGAGGGGAAGTGGCGAGAAAGAAAACGGGAGCTTTCTTATAGTGTGTTGGTTGATCTTCGGTCTCCCTCGTCCCATCGCCACCTTCCGCTCATTGTACATCATGTTTCCGGCTCCTTCACTATACTTTGAACTTTATGCTGGTAGAACAACATCTACCGCTGGGATGGTCCGCGACAGGCAACGGCAGAAAAGACTTCCTCAGACTTCCTGAGGACGTACTCCCGCATTTTCCGAGATCACAGGCTGGACTACGAAACGTGCGGTCTCCACGCGGAGGATCTTCGCTCCAATCCATACATTATACTTTGGCCCCCAATCTTGACAAGCTCCTGCTCCAGCGGCAAACCACATCCAGAACCGCATTCAATGATCCATCACTGCGTGCTCTCACACAATGCTGGATACCTACCTATCCCATATCCGCAAGCCTAGCAGGGAGCCTGAACGCAGTTCGGCCGCGTCAAAGACAACGGCCCACTAACACCTGACCTGTGTAATGCAGCGAAATGCCACTGTGAGAGAGGCGACTTCCGGGTCGTTGCCGACGAAAGCTTAAGGTACCTACTACCTGTAGTAGGAAGCGGACTGCTTCCATTTAGCAAGAGCGAGCCGAATAGATAACTGAAGCGCAACCGGGGGCGAGGGGGCCTCGGTCTCGAAAGTGTCCGCAGGTGTCCGGTTGCCACTGCCATCGTTCCTAAACGCAAAAAGAACTCCTGTCCGCTTCCCGAGTTTGACAGTGGCTCCCAAACCCGCCGGAAGGAACGACTCTGGCAACTGGACCACTGCCTCTAGAAACAAGCATCGGATACCTGAGTACCCACCACCTAAGACCCAAACGGCGTTCGCAACTGTACATCCCACAGCTCAAGCTACCGTCGTGTCAACCTGACTAGGTAGGTACCTAGGTAATTACCAATGTCCTGCAGATGAGGCAAAATATAGGCTTGCTACTCAATATTCCGACTCGGGCGCTTGTCGACCATGATGTCTCGCTGTTATCTGGGCAAGCGCCCGGACTGTACCCATCGGGATCTCAATCATCCCAGGGTTACCTACGGCAGGGAAGGGGCAGGGTGCCGTCCTGCCTCCTTCCACACTTCAGTTGAATTAGTTCGCAGCGTGACGCAACCACCCGGGTGGACCTGCCAAAGCCATCCCTACAATGTGCCGTGTAGGGAAGGACCCATGGAGACTTGCCAGTAAGAACCAAGCGGTCTTTCTCAATCGGGGGGTATCGTACGAGGTCGTACCATGGAGTTGACACCGTTGAGGCAGGAGTGCTCGTGCACCGAGTGTTGACAGGCAGCCATGCTCCTCGGGTATATACAGTCCTCCTCCGTCCTCTTCTCTCTTCCACTCCATCTCTCGTCCGGACATAAACAACTTCCATGGCATCCGACTCCTTCATTACCGAGACGTTAAACGTCTCTCCCTTGCCGCTCGTACCCATTCCCTTGAGTTGTCGACTGCTAGCATAGCGCACTTCTTCGGACGAGCTCCGTATTCGTCATTCCCCGTTGTCAAATAATCTCCCCTCTGACGGTCGAGGCCTCGCTCCATCGGCCAACCCTGACGGTAGTGCTCTGCCGTATCCTTGCAGACTGGACCCGGAATGACTGCAGAGAGGACGCACTGACGCAAGGTGAGTCTTTCATCAGCTACCTCCGGCGTCAAGCCATTTCACTAACCGTGTGTTCCTGGGCTCAGACAGCCTTTACCACAATTTGTCGACTACAGCCTGTCAGCATCAGACACACAACACTCAGCCCGCGCGGCAGCTGCATCGGAGGGTTCCGAAGAATGTGTTCCCAACGCCGACTTCGCATGCCGCACCCATCACGAGCTGAAGGCACTGCCTCGGCATGCTCATGGGAGTGGTGATTTTGATCGTCTCAGAACTTTTGCAGCTGCCGAGTCTCTCATCATGACCCGACCTCGGATCGGGTCGTGATACGAGGACCAACATCAGCTTCATGATTCATCAGCGACGATCCAGAAAAGGTGGAACCTCTTCAATGGACCTGCAGACCCTCGTTGATGAAAAGCCTCTGGTATGAGCCCATGGGTCTTGGCATAACCTGTGGGCGATGATTCAAAAGTCATGCTGAGAAGGCTGCTGTGGAACGCGAAGTTCCTGTGGGAGGGGAGGTCGGGTCTGTTTTTTGCCCTTCGGGATTCCTTTCTTTGCACCGTACCCCACTTAGCCGACCAGTGACGTTCACGGGGGCTAACAAAAGGAAACTGTCCCCACAGGAACCGTCGGCTCCACGCCGCCCAGAACCCGGATGCCGTCAAGGGGATGGAAGCCAAATTCGATGGGGCGATATGACCAGGCAAGGATATGATTAGGTCGGGATGGATCATGGCTGGTGCTCAACTGATATACAGAGAGAGGCTCGACGGGTCGGCAGGATTCAGTTGAGGAGGGGTCTTTGTTGAAGCAGAATCATGGGTCTACTCTGGATGTACAGGAGGGAGCAAGCTGCAAGCCCGACAGCTCGGTGGAAGAGGTAGAAAACTCTCCGAAGCGCAGCTGCGGGTCTATACAGGTGGAAGTGTCGATAATGCCCATAACCCGGTGTGACGTGACTGATGGTCCGCAAGCTTCATGAGGTGTTGGGACCTGACCTCGAGGCAACACCCGATGCAGGTCAAGATGAGGTACATGTTCCATTTCATATCATGCCGTATATTCCTACATCCCAAGGTTGACACCCCCACACTACCGGCGCAATGAGGAGGATAAGTCGCCATGCACAGGTTGCTAGAGGTGAGCGTGCCAACAAGGGAGGAAATCAGGCATTCAAGCCCTGGCTTCATGATGCGCGCAGTGTACCGAACAAAAACGCCACGGTAAAACGCTGGTGGTGCGACAGAACATGGCAAAGGACGGCTAGACCTTCTGCAAGGGCAGAGAACAAGATGATCACACTAGCAACAGCTGTGAGCGTAGTATAAACTGTGAAGGCAGCTTCACACCCTAGGTGATTTCTTACCTAGAATAATAACCCGAGCGAAAACAAGATAACGTATCTTATAAGCGAGATGAACATATAAGCGAATTGAACACTTGCCACCATACTATAACAGTCAACTACAATTACAACACAACAACATTATGAACCTACTATAATTACATCAGAAACGGCTGAATCAGATGCTTCTGCAACCTCCTGACAAGTGCGGGCATTATGACCAGGCTTGCCGCACACACCACAGCACCGAACCTTCGTACGAGCCCCCCCTGCACCACCACCATCCGGCTGCATTTCTTGTGCCACCTCCCCAACCATAGCCTTTTGGTCTAGTAGATCCTTTGCATCTTGTACTGCAAGCGATCTTCCAAGCTGTACACGCGTTCTTTTGGCTCTTCGGCGCTTGCTTAGCGCCTCGTTAGCCTTGTGGAGCGAAGACACCTCTGCCTAAAGGAGGGCCACCTGGTGCATTATAGCCATTGTACCCTTGGTAAGCTGGTCCATAGCAGCCAACATCGAAGTCGGGGAGCTATTTTGATGGTTGGCAATGCGAGTCTTGATGAGCGTTGACTGTGAATTGGCTTCTTAGGGGTTGTATAGTGTCTGGAAGACCCAAGATTATACAGTGCCTGGCTGTAAGGTTAGGGGTGTTGGTATACGAAGCTTGATATTTAGCTTCGAAAGTACCCTCTCTAGATCGTATAGTACAAGGCCAGCCCCTATAAAACCGCCCTATATATTCCTCTTAGTAATAGAGGCAAAGAAGGCTGTACGAAAGGCACAAAGGAACTCGAGCTTGCTTACGTGGCTGATATACACGCGTATTAAGTCCTTGATCTGGCGACCGTATACCTGCTTCAACGGCCCAAAGCAGCCAACATCAAGTGGCTAGAGGAGGTAGGAGGAATATAGAGGCATGCAGAGCGTGATAATATTGTTCTGCTAGCAGTAGCGCTCGAACTCGGTTGAGTAGTGGCTTTCGTGGCTATCGAGGATCAACAACCAGTATTTGCCCTTTATCCGAGGCGCTATATAGTAGTCGAAGTGCTTGATCCAATCAAGGCCTACTGCATTGGTAGTCCAGCCATTGTCGGTAGTTATAATACGCCAGTCGGCCGGGAGGTTGCACTCGGTATACCAGTTGGCGAGATAGTATTGCGCCGCTAAGATGATGAACGGAGGGATAGCCCAGCTAAGGGCATTGACGCCTTGGATTATAGTCGCCCATTCGCGGTTGCCAGGCTAGGCTAGCTTTGCCTTGCCATGGCCATCTGAGGTTATTGCCACCATGCCTAGGAAGATAATGCCTATTATAAACCCAGTCTCGTCGAAGTTGTAGATATCGTCATCTACGATACTATACTTGGCCTTAACGTTCCGTATAAGGGTAAACCATTCGCCAATGACCTTTGGATCCTTATATTTGGCCCTCTGGTAGTCGTATCTATACGTATAACGCGTCCAGAGCTCTGGCTGGCGTTTGACGAAGTTATACGCCCAGAGCTTGCCGATAGGGGGCGCGTCGCGTACGTATAATAGTTGGTTAGCCATATCTTCTACACCACGTAGTCTCGGGGGAAAGGCTCGCTCAGATAGCTCAATTATATACTGAACAAGAGCCTTCTCTTCGGAATCGGTAAGCCGGCGCGAGTTGGGCGTAGTGTCGCGTCGTGCAGGCTTGCCGTCGCGTCGGTTTCGGATAGTATTGACTGTAACGTTATAGATCTTTGCTGCGGCGCGAAGACTAAGTTTTGGGTTCTTTTGAATAGCTTCAAGGGCTAAGATTACCCTAGATTCTCTTGAAGCCAAAGACATCGTTGTGTGTAGAGGATTTTGGTTGTAGTATAGAGAGAAGACGTGTCGCGGTCAAAGTGTTCAATTCGCTTATATGTTCATCTCGCTTATAAGATACGTTAGATAAGGTATCTAACGAACCGTGTCATCATAGCACAAACGGACCAGAATCTGACAGTTCATTTTGGAAAAGAATTCATCTGAGAACACATTTTTCAAGAGGCAAAAGGGAAAAGAAACCCCTGTCATTAAAAGTCATCCGTTTTGTTAAAGGCTCGACTCGGGCCCTCGACATTAGAGCTTAGTGCGAGCTCTTAGCCAACCCTGCCAATTGCCCGAAGGCAATAGCACACATGTGTCACATACCTAAGTATAGCGGCCCCACTCTCAATTTCCTAATTACGCAAGGACTTCAAGAAGTCTTACCTAACCTACCATACATAGTCGATAGTTATACAGCTAGCTTGCCAGAGAATATATGCGGAAACAACCTGGAAGCTAGTACTATAGAAGAAATGACTAGATTATATATATGCTTTCAACGAAATATAAAAAGAAATGTCATCCTTCAACATAGGCTCAGGTTCTGCTCAAACCCATGACCTTTAGAGCTTGGTTGGAGCTCTTAAACCAACCCCGCCGAATGCCCGAAAGCGCATGTAAGAACCAGTCATCTTTCCCAAGTACTACAGCGCTCCTCCCATCCTCAGTAACCCACACTGGTCACTCGGCAACGCCAATCACCTTGCTCCCACCTCATACGGACGTTTCAGGATTTCCCTGAAAATGCGCGTTACGAATGTGCTCATACGAGTGTCCCATTCCGGCGCGCGTCCCTCAGCGTACTAGTTGACAGGAAAGTTGATGCTGCCTCAATTGCAGTCAAAGAGGACAGGGGCTGCATGTACGGATGAACTATGCAATTGAGTAAAGGGAGGTCGTGTTTAACCGACCCGCTAATTGCCTTGTCAGGAAACCCAGTAAATAAACAACACTGGCACTCGACTGTGATAGGTCCGGGACGCGAAATCGCACCTGTCCTGTCTGCTACCCTCTCTTCAGATCGTCATATCCTCGTCTCGCATTCTGAGTGCACGTTCTGAAATCAAGGCGTTGAGCAACATCATGGGGGACGAGTTGGATCTCCCGGTTGCACTGCGGCGGGCGCGGCGAACCCTGGCCAAAATCAAAGCAGCGGAGCAGACCTCATCTGTCTTCCAGACGCGGCCCGCCCAAGACACCTTGGTCGTAAGCACGCCAAAACCCAAGAAACGGCGCGTCAACCAGGAAGCCGATCAGCCATCGGCGACGGGCTTGACGCCCATGATGCACCGGGCGCGGCTCTCCAGCAAGCGCCGGATCCAGCGCACTGGCATAACCGAAGAAAAGGATGCCGTCGCTCCTAGGAGAAAGCAACGAGCTCGAGATATCAAGGACCAGATTGAGCGGCTAAAGGAAGAATTAGCCAGGAAGGACGAAGAGATTGAAAGGTTGCAAGACGAGACACTGGTGCTTGACACTGACCGCATCTTCGACTTGGAGCAGCAGGTCGCAGCTTTGACGACGGAGCTGGCTCGCCATGCAAGAGGTCAACAAGGACACATCAGCCGAGTTGGCCATCGAGCGACAAGTACTGCTCGCAATGCATCTGATGGAGGTTCCATGCTGTTGGATATTGAAAATGAAGTTGAGGAGCTTGGCGAGGTGGCGAGAGCAGAGATCATAACCAGCACGCCTACGAGGAGAATAAGGGCGTCATTCCCAACACCACCGAGTACCAGCCCTTCTGCGCCGGAAATGCAGACTCCCTGCAGGCGACTAACTCGGTCACGCTGTGATGTCGGCGTACAAAGCTCCCTTCCGGATCCCGAGAAGCAGCGAGTAGAGACTGAGCTTGCATCGCTTCAATTCGAGATGGGCAAGCTGACCGCGGAGTTGGAGTCTTACTCAGCGTTGGCCTCTCGACTTTCGGAGAAGCTCTCGCCGTTCTCTGTTAATACAAAATGCGAAGCCCAGTTATCATCAACATCGCACTCAGAAATCGAAACGCGCTTGACCGGTGTTCTGCAAACACTATCTGACCAGGCCGCGGTAATTGCAGAACTGGGCGCCTCACTCAAGAGCCTCGGCTTCAAGGGATCAGACGCCTTCGAGGTTGTTGACTCACTGCGTACCCATTTCCGAACCGCGCGCCTGGAGCTCGAGTATCTCACTCCTGGCGAGATCGCCCTACCACTGGCAGGCGCAGGCGCTGAAGTCCTCGACTTGTTCCTTTCCCGACTTAGGAAGCTCGCGCGGAAGAAGCGCGAGGCTGATGATTGCATCGAGGAATACCACGCCATCGAGGTCTCTCTCCGGCAGCAGCTTTCCGCGCGGGTGGACGCCATGGACAGTCTCGTCAATCAGCTTCGCGAATCCGAGCGCAGTTCCCGAGACAAGGACACTCGCATCGCTGAGCTGGAAGTCCGTCTGGACGGCCTGAAGAGCGCAGTTAGCAACTATACGCGTGGAATCTCGGAAATAGACCCCCTCACAGAGCGAATCGAGACAGAGTTGGCGGCAGCCGACTCCCAGGTCGGCGGGAAGAGGCAAACAACAGAGGGCCAGACATCCTTCACCGACCTCGAGACGAAGCTCGCCTCAGCCCTCGAGCTGATCACGGCTCTCCAGTCTCAACTCACCTCCCTCTCAGCAACCCACGCGGAAGCGTTACAAGCCCACAAGATCCAGGTGTCCAATCTCGTCAAATCTCAGGGAGCCTGCCTCGCCCAGCGCGACGCGCGCATGGTGGAGCTCCGCGCGGAAGTACACCGGTTCAACGCCGCGTTGCTCGAGGCCCAGAGCGCGGTCCGTAAGTTATGGGTCGAGAATGCCCGCCTCGTGGCGGCGAATGATAGGCTGGTGGAGGAGAACAGGGAGGCGCTGAGGCAGGTCGAGGAGGGGCGGAGGAAAGCAAAGGAGAACGTGAAAGGCAGTGATAGCCGAAAGATTGGCCGCCTGTTAGTTGGGGAGAGGACGAGGTTAGGGAGCTGGGGGAAGAGGAAGAGATACGATAGTGGCTTGGGCTTTTGGATGAAGAGGACAATGATGAGGTTTCATGAGTATATTAACACAGGCAAGTTATAATTGGAAAGAAACCCTGATTACCTAGACATTGCATTATTCCCTTCCTTTTTTTTTTTTTTTCATGCTATCTGAAAACTCCTCATTCGAGCGAGACAAGTTCGATCAGGATCACGGGGAGGACACGATTCAAGATGGGTGACGCACATGACGACCTCCTCATGTTTACCGTCACTAATGCGTCTCAGCCATGCATGTAGACACTGGCGTCTGGGGCCTCCGCCTTCCGATGTGCATGTAGCGCCTAGGCCATGTTCTCCAAGATGTAACTACAATCAGAGTTATACTCTTCAATCCAACGTTGAAGGGCCAGACACTTGAACCTTGTTGCCAAATCATGCGGTTACACGGCATCATAGGACTCGGCCACCCTCTTGACTTTATACTAGAAATATAAGCCTACCAAGTCGCTACAAAGTCAATTACCTCCAGGCGTTTCCTTTTGATATCGGCCTAACGCCTCTTGGGCTTGCCCAGGTGAGGTACGGTAGGTACTAGTCTCTGAGCGGCATCGGGGAGTCCTCTTCGCCTCCCAGGCTCCAGCTCGTACCCTTTTGTCGGCAGTGGCAATCTTCACAGAGAATTATCCTTGTCCTCTGCCCAACCGACCTGTTTCGCTCTTTGGCCGCTTCCCGCAAATGCGCTGCTCGTTTGGCATGGTCTCCTTTCCATTTTGCACGGTGCCATTCTCGGGGGCAAGAGCATTCAGATTCTTGGTCAGTTGCGTCCAGCTCTCTGACTTCGCGCCGGACTCCTTCAACTGCTGTAGCCTTGGTAGTGACCTCCTCTCGAGTCTGGAGAAGATCCTGTTCTGCTATGCGAGTAGCAGTATTACATCAATCAAACACCATAGGCTTTCCGTTTGGCACAGCGATGTCCCTAGAAAGCCTCTCTCACACCTCTGTGTGCGGGCCTTATCCTTTCTCTGCTGTGCTCTGCAGAGTTTCCTCAGTCGGACTCCATCAGGGGCCGGCCTTTCCAGTTTCTGTACCAACATCTGCTATGTTCCTTTCGCGAGTTGACTTGTGTTCCTCCAACAGGGGTTTCGGTGTTTCGAGCTCATGCCCGCGCCGTCAGAATAAAAGCCAATTCAGGGGTTCGCCGGCATATGAGAACGTTGTCCGACGAAGAAGGGAAGATATAACTCGATGCAGAAACCAGGTTCGTAGCACCAGCGGTCAGCCATTGAAGGGAGTGTTAGTGGAAACTTAGTTGTGCAGGATAACACGGATATCTAGGTACCTACCTACCTACCTAGCCTGTCGTTGAGAAGTACTAGACCGGAGGCAGCCTAATCTGTGGGTGCCAGATGATCGATGCACGGCATCTGCAGTCCTCGTATGGAAGATTGGATGTGCAAGTATAAAACACGCTGTATATGACCAGTAGTACTCAATGTACGGCACGTTTGACCACCTCCCTGGGTCCCTAGGCTAACTTCCTCGGCCGTTATGTTGCTAGCGAGAAGTCTGTCAGTGTCTGAAATGAGTTACCTGACCGCCGACGAAGTAGACTTTCAACTTCCCGTGCCTGCCTACCTATGTACATTGGATGACTTGGATCCGCCTTCGGAGAAGTCTCTGGAGTGCGAGGACGAGTGATTTGGGCGTCAACCTGGACGCTTCTCGAGCGAGCTCTGAGTCAGTCATATTGAAACAAAACCCTGGACAGTTGGCACATCTCCTGATTGTCTTCCTGAGATTATAGGCAGCCTATGATACCTTCTAATCAAGGTGCTATAGTACCACCTAGTACTTCCACAACGCTTGACTCGTGGGATGTGAGTTTACCTTGGCTGTTTAGCTGGGTTGAGTCCACAAGCAGCGCTCTAACCCTAACCCCACTCCCTGACACGGCAACTGCAATATCTGGCAGTTGAAGCTCCGAGTCGTCTCTATCTTTAGAAGGTGAGCACCTGAGGTAAGCAACGCTTCAAGTTCAATTCGATGTCTTAGGGGCCATTTCCTGTCTCGGTTGGATGTGCAGATCACAGACGGGCCGCCGTTGCTCCTCCCTTCATGGCGCAGCTGTTGCTCGGTTGTGGCCCCTGCAGCTGGAAGGCGTCGTGGGCGTCTCCACCACTGAGCTGAACCCGACAAAATTCCATGGAAGCCAATTTCTAAAGCTTCTCCATTTCACAATCACCAAGCGTTGGCATGTTACTCTACGCTTCGCCATCTGTTTGCTTGTTTTAGATCGCCTCAATTGCAACCCTTGCAGAAATATCTTGCTTTCCTGATTTTCCAAGTTTCGCATTTCGACCTGCTTCGCGAGGTCCAAAACCGACCGATTGCAGCAAACTTGAAGTTTGTACAGTCACCGCAACAGCGGCGACACCGCCCTGGTAACGCATCGACGACCGACATGGCGCCAAAGGTTGAACCTATCATGCTTTTTGGGTTTTGCTGGGCAACGCAGCAGAAACAGCAATTCAACCATGCCTGGGCTTGTGCCTTTCATACTAGCTGGTATTCTGATGAACACCATCCAATGTGGGATTCGGTAGATGACGCCAACAAGAGACGCGAGATCCGTTATGGCAACAACATCTATGTCCTCTTCCGCGCCCTGCTACACTGCAAGGAATTCTACAACCAGGAGAGCTTATGGTCTGCCATTGCACGAGGGTTTAACACCAACGCAATCATCGCCAGAAATACAGCTGAAATCCTCACCGAGGCCCGCAGGGCTCAGCGCGCCCGGCCCGCAAAGGACGTGTCTGATACGGCACGTGCCGCTGATGACTGGATCGACTTCCTCGACAGATGGAAACCGTCTCCTACTGTACTGTCCGACCCAGCGGTCCACAAGCTCGCTGATGCCTTCTTCAAGACGCAAGAGAAGAAGCTTGTCAACGCCGCGCGAGTGCCCCCTAGTCCGTTTCTACGCCAACCAGCCTATGTCAGTACAACTCATCTAGCTCTGAAAGATCCGGGAGAGCCCACAAGTCCGTCTTCCCGTCTGCCGCAATCTCCGTCCATCAAGGTTGAGAATCAGAGGGAGCGCGGCGACAGGAGCCGGCCGGTGCGGAAGCGTTCCGCTTCTCCTCCGCCGGCTGACCGTAACGCAAAGTCCATGCGGTTTGATCATGATGTCCGCGCGCAGCCTCGAGTGGGATCAGAAAAGGGAAGCGACCGCATCGAACCGCATAGGATCCAACCGACAAGGAGCCCCCCGCGCCCAAGCGACTCACGTCCGGCACAACCGGGAAAGCTGTCAGTCCAGCACTTGTCCCCACCAAGTGCTTCGAGAGGGAAGGTAGGAGCTCCCAGTGCTTCAAGTCAGCCCTCCATGGATGAACGCTTTTCGTTGAAAGCCCGTATCGCAGGCTTGGAGAAAGAGCTCTCAGAGATCAAGAGTAAGCCGAGCGCGACCCTGCCCACGGCCGCTCCAGCTGCCGCTCCCCAAACCCACCTGGACGAAGATGTAGTAGAAGGCCTAAAGAAGGACGTGGCTACCGTTACCAACGCCGTTGGCACCATGATGGAGTCCCTGCACGACATCGTCGACAGCCTGAATTCACTGCAAGACGAAGTCTCGGGGCTCGCAACGCAGCAGAACGAGCTCACGACAACAGTCTCCCAAGGACAAAGTGTCAAATTGAACATCGAGGACCTCCTCCGCCCGATCCAGACACTGTCTGACACCGTTAATGTACTCCGCGGCGAGATATCGGACCTCAAAGAGCAAACCACCGCCGCTACGACCATCGCACCATCCCCCGCCGCCTCCGTTAACCACCTGCAGACAACCACCAACCTGGAAAGGCTCTTTCACGAGCAAAACGCTCGCATTGACACTCTCACTCGGCAAGTGGCCGGCATGCAAGCGCAAATGGCATCAATGCCGCGACAGCAGCAGGCGACCGGGCAGCCCCAGACGCTGAGGCAGGCGATGGCAGCCGCCGAGCAGGACCTCAGGCACCATCTGAATGCAGTCCAGCGATTCTATCACTCGTTAGACGGGACTCGTGGGGGCGCGAGCCGGGCGATAACGGAGCGGACGGCGGACTTTCTGGCTTTGCTCACTGACGGACTCGAGGTTGCGAAGGCATGGGAGAGTTGATGGCATGGATTTTGAGGAGCGAAAGCCCGAGCAGTTAAATGGAGCGATCTAGCACACACATTGCGGGAGGCTAGGTATCTACGGTCTCTTCCATTATATACACTAGTAGTCTCCTATTCGAATCCGGATCCTCAATGCATGGAACACATTTTCTCCATCGGAGAAGACTAAACTGTCATTGGCTTTTGGGGCTCCTCCCTGGTCTGAGGGCCGCCCCAGTCCGTCAAGCTGACCTCGACAGGTTTGCTGCCGCTACGGATGACTACCAGATGAAAATCAACCCCAGATTCATTCACAACCTGGTGTTCTGTCCAGGCAGGGATGAAGGCGAAGTCACCCGGTCCAATCTCGTGCCGCTTCGGCTTCTCGTCGTCGCCCTCTGGTTGGGTGAGGAGAGCCCCGTTTCCCGATACTGTGTAGAGGATGGCTTCTTCAACGTTATTTAGACCCGTGGCTCAAAACACAGATGCGGCGCATTTACCGCTCTTGGATACAGCGGGGTTTTGGTTTGTGGGTTGGAAGATATCCACGTACCTTGCTCGCCGTGGTGGCGAACAGATGAGGATGAGTTGGGCTTCACGACGAGCACTGCGAATATGAGTATGTATCTGGGGAGAACACCGCGGGGTGGCGGCGGAGCTTGTAACACTGTTTTGCTTACCTGAGGCGCACATCTTATCGGCCTTGTCGACAAGCGCATTTCTGCAGATCACCCGTAGCCCAGAAGCCTCTCCTTCTCGTTGTGACTCTGATTCGGCGGGCTGGGTTTGCGCGGGTAGGATGTCTGCCGCTTTTGTCACGGCCACGGATGCTGGTAGGATCATTGGCAGGATATCCTGGATCAACGGTAATAAGGAGGCCATCTTGATCCGGTGGCCTGGGGCGCTTGAGAGTCACGTCCCTCAATGCCTCGGCGTAAAGACGGCTAGGTCGCTCAGCTGAGGGCTGCGGCTGGTTGGTCCGAGGGGCGGGATGGGTAGACCGCGCAATGCGCTGGGAAACGGCGCCGGGCGGCCGGAGAGGTTAGAACAACCTAAGCTCCTAGAGGCCAAACGTCTCCAATCTCAGTGGTATCGCCGGGGTTAAGCGCTTCCCGTTGGATTCGGAAGGATTAAGGAATCTGTACCATCCGGTGTGCGCGGCAAAGGCTCGCTGCACAATGACGGTTGTGGCCTCAATCGACCGAGGATAGTACCTCAGAGGCCCTTTCAGGTCGAAACAGCTCAGGAATACGAGATAGATGCCGACTCCGCTCGCCTTGTTCGTTGGAAACTTGCAACAGGTCCGAACCTTCTTGGGCAAGACTATTAGGTTCGAATTTGTCGGTGTCATGGAGATACTGAAATACTAGTAGTTATTTGAAATCGTCATGCCGACCTAGATTGCTAGAGCGAACTGAACTAGCTCGAATCGATAGGAGCCCCACATTACTGTGCTATGGAATATGCCGCCGAAGTCCGTCGTATCGATGCTGTACCTAGTAGGTCCGTACCTTCGTATACATGTAATGTACCTTACGAGGAGGACGGAGGATCCACGAGCCCCTACAGTGTATGAGATTCCATTGCATACCTTAACCTATGAAACTTTTGCGTGCCTTGTCAACCCCTCTTTTAGTGAGCAAGTAGCGTGGGTGCATAGCATAAGGATTAAATGACTTGGCGCGCATTGTCTGACATGTTTGATACTTAGCGAACAATCTACGAAGGTACTCCATCTACCCTATACATATATGCTAAATGAACCGGTAAGGTAGTGTACGCGTCGAGCTGCACTGACGCGAGGCGGATCGGCCCGGACTTTCAAACGGGCTGTGGGACTGCATGGTTGCTGCGGGGTCAACTGCGGGGCAGGGGCCCACACTGAGCTCGGATCTCCGCCATGGGTCCCACAGTTTCATCCTGTTCGTCATCGAGATCGGATGCCCCGCCACTGCCCGCGCTTCAGCAATACATATGCCACACAAGATAATGACCCTGACACCAAAATGATGCTTAGGTCATCGCCGGCCGATAGTCCTCGTCCTTCAAGCGAGGAGGCAAATGGGAAAGCACAGGCACTACGTAAGTGCGAAGACGTTCTTGCAGCTCACGCTGCCGACTTAGTCCGATGATGGTCGAGAGATCTAACTCTTGCATGTAGATGTGCAGTCCAGTGCGCCTGGTAGCAAATCTAGTCTACTCGGCCTTCCCTCCGAGCTTTTATCCACGATCCTAGCATACCTTTCCCCGACCGATTTGGCCAACGTCTCGGAGACATGCCGTGCCATGTACGGCCATGCAACGGCCGACCATCTCTGGCAGGCCCTCGTGCAAGCCAACGTGCCGGGACAGCGCGTCATCTCCTCATACCCCTGTCTCTCTTTCCGCGAGCTGTTCAAGAAACACTACCCTCGCTGGTTTGTGCCTAAATACAAAATCTGGTTCTCGGACACCGGCCTTTCGGGACGGGTGATAGTGACCCGCTACGACCAATTGAGGGGATGCATTGAGGGGTACCAACTGGTTGCGAACCAAATAGACGACAGCGACCCTCAAATATGGGAGGGCGACGGCGAGAGCACCATTAGTGACTTCCATCCGGAGGTAAAGCTGCACCTAGACCACCCCATTCTACGCCTAGCAGTTGATGAGGCCACGGATGAGGCCGAGGCGGATCATATAGCCGTCAGGATCTCCCGCCCGGATGGCCGTGAGGAGTCGGCTAGTTCTTTGCAGGCGAGCAGCAGCACTAGCAAGGACGAAGAGCGCCCAGAAGGGAACCGCTTTCAAGCTGAGATTCCGATGCGACTGGCAGGTGACGACCACATACGAAGCAGCTTCATTCACGCCCGTGCCTGCCACCCGTCCGAGCCGGGGGCCACCCAACTCTGGCCCCCGACCACCGTCCCCGCCTCTCGCCGCGTTGCAAGCGTATCCGTTGAATTCGTTGAGACCCCCGACTCGCTCGGGCCAGTGCATGTCGCGGCCTCTCGTGGTGCTGTCTTTGACCAAGCTTTCCGCATACACAAGTGGATTGAGATGCGCATCTTCGGGTTCAACCCCCGCGCGGATCCTGGAATAGGCCCGCGGCTGATCCGCATTGGCCAGGAGGTCTCGACATACGCGACCCTCGACCCCAAACTGTACACGCCGACTCCGGACCGGCCCTACCGTGGGATATGGGTGGGTCAGTATGGCTCGCATGGGTGCGAGATCCTCTGGATTAACCAGCCTGACCAGCCCGACGACGCCTTCAATGCGGATGGCATCCCCCGTCTCGAGCACGAGTCCGATGAAGGCTATGAGCGGCGTAAGCACGACGCTACTATTCACCGGGGCCGTCTGGAAGCGGTCAAGCTCACTGGTGACGCCAACGTACCGCGTGGCGAATACAGCTTCATCTGCGACGACCTCGGGGACGGCGGGTTCGTGCGGGTCTCGGATCAGCGGCCATTTGAAGGAGTCAGGGTCGTCAAGAGTAGGGGCCATGTTGCGGATCACGGGTTTGTGGACGGTGAGTTGTTTCAACTACAATCGCTGTGGCGGCGGCATCACACATTTCGTGGAAATATCTGTTCACGAAGGAGACGCTGACAAGGACGCTGGCAGATTTCTATATCTTTGGCCATTTAATGCTGATCTCACCTGACCGACTGGCGCATCATTGGATTGACCTAAAACACATCAGTTACTATCAGCGGATAGACATCGACCAGTTCTTGGCTACACACTGAGTTGATATCTTCCTAAAGTGGTTGGGAGTGTTTACGGGACTCGGAAACGATATCTAATGATACCCAGGCCGAGTAGGTGTGACACTACAGGAAAGCCAAGGGGTAAAAGATCACTGGGAGCATACGTTGAAGATAGGTGCATTAAAGTAACCGATCAGAAAAGAGATCTAATGAGGGGACGGATTAGGGAGATCACTGCTTATATATATAGGAAAGGTCCCTATAGTGGTATGTGGCCCAGGAATCATTACCCCGGTCCATGCCAAGCGCTCTGCTGCGTCCGACACAATAATACTCAGGCCGAGTTGGCCATGCAGGATAACTGCGGTGGCGAGATATTTTCTTCATCCGATGTTGTAAGCTAAAGATGAGTGAGTGTTACCAAGTGTATTTAGACTCTCGCCGTTTACTAGTGTCCTGTCTCTCAGTGAAAGAGAAATCGATAGACATGCCCGATTACCGCTAACACCGTGACTATTGGTTCACCCATGGTCCCTCCTCCCATACCACATCCAGACATATTTCTCCCATGCTCTCGTTGGCCAAAACCGGTACGACACTAGTGAGTCGCGAGCACACCTGCACTTCGCAAACCGCTCAGTACCTTCCCGACAGCTTGGATAACAGCCGCCGCGAGCCTTTGAGCGGAGTCATCTGTGTCGCACAGCGGATCGAACGAAGCGATAGTGAAGGCCAACGGCTTTGTCCGTTCTGTAATTGCCGCCATACAACCCAGCAGCTCTTCTTCCAGCAGGCCACCGGAGCAGGCAAACTGGTTTGCTTTCCCCAGCGAGCAGTCGAGCGAATCCACGTCGAGGTGAATCAACGTTGCAGCCTCAGAGTCGCTCCCAAACACGCGATGCAGCTCGTGGCGTAGACCAGCCTCGAAATCCACCTTCCGCGCTGCATCCCCCCAGACGACAGCCATATCGGCCGCTTCCACGCGACTGCGCTCCAGGTCATTCACGTCGCGCATGCCGCAGTGTATCACCCTCCGCAAGCGGGTGGGACGAAACCCGGGCACGGTGTCCAGCAGCGCCTTCCAGCACTCGCCCGCCATCATGGCGATGCCCTGACTGTCAAAGTACCCGCTCACCACGGTGTCGGGGACGTTGTAGTCGTCGTGGGCGTCGAACCAGACGCAGCCCAGCGCGTCGCCGTCATCGTCGTCGTCGGCGGCGGTACCTCTCAGGTCGCTCGACCCCCACAGGCCGGCCGCGACGCCCACGCTGGTGCAGCAATTTCCTGCGAGGACGATGGGAAAGGAAGACTGGTTGCGCGCGTGGGTGACGGCGCCCGAGACGCGGCGCAGCAGCTCAAATGTGCGGCCGATCTCGCCTTCGAAGTCGTCGGCCACGGGCGGGATGTCGATCTGGTGGACGGGGACGTGGTAGGTCTGCAGCAGGGAGACGAGCCCGGCGGATTTGATATAGTCGGGTCCCTCGCTAATGCGGCTGCGGTGGATTGGGCTGGCCCGGAGACCGACGTGGTATGGGGATGAGATGAGAGTGATGGATGAGAGGACTGGTCTGGGCCCTCTGGGAGGCATGTTGGCGGTCGTTGTGGACTCGGAGTCGGGAGCGGTCACGTAATAACGGCATTGGTTGTTCTTTTCTAGTTCACCAACTAGATAGTTTCAAAGAGTGTATGCCTCGGCCCTAGAAGCATAGTGTCCTCCTGACCATTGACATATTCTGTCAGCAGCACTCCCTAGTGTCAAGCTTAGCTTTAGTGTGAGTCATGCACTAAGGTAGTCACTAGTAGGTACGAGTCCAAGGTCCGTCACGGTACTCCACCTGGGAGTCCTGCACGTCAGCACTCGGACAAATAGTCCCCGATTCTAACATCACCGAGTGCCTTATCTAGTACAGCATGGATGCTTAAACCCTGATGCCATTCGGCCATCTAGTACAGAAATAAATAATATTGATCTTGAGGGAACCAACAATGTCGAATGGAACCGAGAGATCTTCGGCAAGGTTATACCTTCACAAATCACAACTGATGAACTCGAGAAGTTACCATCAGCACTTGGGAAGAGAGGCAACGCACTATGCAGATTGGATTCACGTCGTCATATTACAACACTTGTATCCATTCCCCCCGTATGCTAAATCGAAACGATCTCTATGCCCGTGCCTCGCAATGCATACGCTGCTTGTCTTTCCATAACCCAACTGCTCAGGACAATAATACCCAAATAATGGCAACGCTGTATAAAACGCACAAGGATATCAACCCAAGAACCCCGATCTAACGCGCCATCTAATGGTAATCAGACAACTTGACGCCCAAGATAGCAAGCAATACCATTTCCACAACCTAGTTTGATCTTTTGCTCGCATCAGAACCAGGGGAGGTCAAATGACGACTCATCTCCTCCATCACCTCCTCTGCCTCCTTCTTGAACCCGCACCCGTACGTCTCCCCCGTGGACCAGGTCAACCCCTTGCCGTCGCCGTTGTCCGTGCACCGCGGGCAGATCTTGACGCGATGCCACGCCGTCGCCAGGTTGCCTCTCACGTTGTATATCGGCTTGTGGCTCTCCGGCTGCGTGTTGTACGCGTCGTCCGTGGCTTTGACCACCAGCGTAGTGCAGTGTTTGGGCCCTTTTCGGCTGTCGTCATGACAGTCCCCCTTTCCGGCAGCGGTATTGTTGCCGTCAGGGGGGGCAGTGGTGGTCGGGAGGGATAACACGGGCAGTTTGCCCACGTAGCGCCAGCGCTTCCAGGTCCAGGTCTTGTTGCCGAAGCAGTTGCCTGAGCCGCAGTCGTCCACCAGCTCGGCCTGGTCCCAGGTTCTGCCGCCGTCGAGGGACACGTCGACGCGTGCGATGGCGCGGCCGCCGCCCGAGTAGGCGTACCCCTGCAGCGCGATGGGCTCGGCGGGGGTTTGCGACTCGGTGTCGGAGGGGTTGGATGGCGTGCGCGATTCAGGGGTGAAGCCTACTTTCTTGGAGACAGCGGCCATGTCGACGATTCGGCTGCTGTTGCTTCTGTTACTGTTCTGGTCCGCCGTTTGGAGATTGGCGTCTTTGCTGCCGTCGTCCCCCATCCACGGGACGCGCCCGCTTCGGACGCAGTCTCCTACCCAGACGCCGGTAATGGCGCTGGTGACGGGCATTTCCTGGATGGCGAGGGCGCGGTCCCAGTCGGGGTTGGGCCCTTCGTTGGGCCCGAAGGACTTGTAGTCGCGACGCTGCCATTGACTGGTGCTCTCCTCGTCGGAGATGACGATCTTGCTAAGCCACTTGACTGACCGCGCGGCAACATGGCCGGGCACGACGGCGCGGAGGGGGAAGCCGTGGTCCCGCGGTAGCGTCTTGCCGTTCATGCTGAAGGCTAAGAGTACGTCGCCGCGCGGATCGAGGGCCTTGGCAAGCGGGATGGAGGCGCCGTAGGCTTCGAGACCGGTGAACTGGGCGTGCAGCGAGTTGGCGTCGACTTGGTCACCGCTTGGGGCTGTCGAGCTGGCGGCCTGCGTCGGCGCCGTTGGATCGAGTACTTTCAGGCCCGCATCGGCGAGGACATCAGAGAGCCGCACCCCTTCCCACTCGGCATTGCTGATGGCTCCCACGCCCCACTGCAGACCGTTTGTTTTCCCTGCGTGCCGCGTCATGTCGTTCCGCCTGTTCCCGCTACACTGCAGCACAGCCGTAACCTTATGTGTTGGGAACTTTGTCTTCAAATCTTCCAGCGTATACTGCTTCGATTCTCCATCCGGCAGCTCGATAGTCAACACGTGCTCGTCCGCTTTTGCGTCGTCTACGACGGGCACCCACATATGATGACGCACGTAAAAGAGCTCGTTGGGGGTGTGGAATGTGCGGTCGAGCTCCTCGTTCGGCGGCTCGGCGTTGCGCGGCTTGGCCGTATGTGTGATGAGGCGCGGGTCGCGGGTCGGGTCGTGAGCAAAGGGATCCTCGATGGTCTCAGCCGCCGGCAAGCCGTTGGGACCCAGGTCCGCCACGTCGATGTATCCAATCTGGTATTGCTGAAGAATCTCCCGTACGTAGGGCGACTTGTGGATTGTGAAGATGTTCCAGTATGGCTCAATGCTCCCGCCAGCCGCACGGAGGATCACGTCGCCGCCGGGGTGGGCAGCGACCCAATCCGTGATATTGTACACCTTGTCTTCGAACATAACCCATGGTTCGGGCGAGGAAGCATCGTGTTTCCGTACGTCTGCGAGACGGTATCGTGGCAGGGAAGGGTCTCGGTCGTCGGTCAAGGCGGTCGAGGCTGAGCCGGCGCCATCCAGCCTGGAGTTGTCATTGCCGGGCTGGAAGTACGCCCACAGGGATGCAAGAACGCCGCCGCCAACAAGAAAGCCCAATGGCGCCACTCGTGCCTTACGAGCGTGCCGCCCAGGTTCCTTCGAGAGGGTTGACGAAGGTATCCCTGGCGCCGCAGCTTTCGACGCTCGAGGCGGGCTTGTATGCAAGGGGCGAAGCTGTGATCTGCACGGCCGGCATATTGTCAACTCGGCGGCGCCGCGGCGGTGAATCTGCTGGAGGAGACTGGTTGCGAAGTGCTTCTGGGCTCGTGTTGCCATTGTTGAACTGCGGGAGATACTGTAAGCAAGAGCGCACCGACCAGGTCCAGAGAACTTAGAAGCGAGTCCTACTACCAACGGATCTCAATCCATGCTTTATGTGCAGCAACACGCTCGCGCGGGTACTGAATGCGCGTCTCAGTAAGCAGCACCGGTTTGACTGATGGGCGGCCGGTTCCGCGACGGGAGTAAAGCAGCGATCCGGTGTTGCACAGTCACGCGGCGCAATGAGACGACCTCGGCAACAACACGGCGTTCGGGGTGATCGGGGCCGCTCAGGTTCCTTCAATCCACGGAGTCAGGAGAAAAGCAGGGTGCTTCCCGCCTTTAACTAGCAGCAATAGTCGTTCACCGCCTCGCACTGTCTCGAGGAAAAGCAAAGGATTCATGGCTTCATGGGGCTGCCGCCACAGCAAGCTGTTCAGGAACGACCGCGTGCTTTCTTTGCAAGGATGCCGGCCAGCTCAGTCGCCGATACTTGCCGCCACGGCAATCGGGGTGGATCCCCTTACGTCAGAACAGGGGTCAGCCGCATGTTGGAAATACGGCGGCCGATAAGTTAAGACTCGGTCAAACTTTAATAAAACAAAAAAGGAGAAAGAGAAAAAGTAAACCCAAATCTGGGTCTGTTTATCCAGGTCGAGTGGTTCCTTAACAACCGAAGCTACTATACAAATTCCTATAAGCTTGGAAAGCTCGGTCAATACGTGCTGTCACAGGTTCACCGCCTGGCTCATCCCGTTGCATCCCAGCTGGACTGCACATGCCAACGGTTCTCAACTGTAATAGCATCCTGCTGTTGCGGCCACCCGCTTTCCATGTCCGACAGGGGGAGAACTTCGACTGTTCCTGTCGTATCCAGTGTGCCCGGCACTAAACATTGGGACAGGCCACCGTGAAAGACACCCTGGGCGCTCGCGGATGACCGTTGAGGCTCTGGCTCGTCATCGGCGAGGGTTTGTGCACTCGACTTGAGAATCAGGGTATACCACGAAGACGGCGGGCGCGTTTGGGACGGATGGAGCCCCCGAATTGTGCTGCGGCGGCTTGGACGGGTCAGAAAGTTTGGCAGTCGACCGTTTCAGTTGAATGGTCATCCAGATTCGTCACAGTGTTGAGAGACATGCTGAGCTTGAGAGTTAGAGGTGCTTCATCGGGCTACTGGGGTGGAAAGAGAGGACGCATCTGGGATGACTGCAAAATCGGCTTTCACCATGACCATTGTTCCAGGCTATATCAGCATGCTGCAGGCGGTTGGCGGTGCCTATCCCCCGTTCATCACGGTAGATAAGGTACGGCGAAGTCGTCTTCATCATGTCCTGTTTCATTTACAGAGTAGTGATTGATTACCCCGGCGGCCCGGCCCTCCAAAGGTCTCGCCCTCATTGAGCCGGAGCCTTGCAATCTGGCAATCGCTATGCTGCGATACGCTGTTTGTGTATTGCAGGTTTGACCGGTTGAGAGAGACGAAGACAATCAACAGGAGACACTATAGCTTTTTGGCAACCCACACCAGCTTCGGGACCATAATTGCAGCACCCCTTCGGACCTCATCCACTGCCTTTTGTTCCAGCCGGCTCGACTCATCGGGCGTCTGGAGCGCTTTCTCTGCAAACTCCTTCCACGTACTCACATAACTTAAGTTCATCTCATATCAGCCAACGCTGACGAAGTGGGCAAAACAATTGGGACTGGACACTTACATCTCGTTCCAGATGCGCGCCCTATCCAATCCATCCGTATAGGTGTGCAGCCGCGACCCTGTATACCCATTCTCGTCCAAGATTCGGGTCATGCAGGATGTCCAACTGTAGGTTGTTGGCGTCTGTGATCAGTATAGTACTAAAGGATGGTCGCTTCGCTCATGGCTTGCCGCTTGTCTGCCCGGCGGGAGACCAAGACTTACGTGTCGCGCCCGACCAGCTGGTACCAGATCTTTTCTATGTTCTCTCCCGACACGCCTGGGAGTGCCTGAACTGAACAACCGATGGGGTCGACCTCGCCCCATTGCAGATAGCCGCCCGGCTCTGGAAATGGTTAGAAAGAAAAGATGGCTTTAGATGCATTCAAAATATCGCATAAGTCAGCGGGGTGGGCACCTACTCAGTAGTTTGGTCAGGTTCGCGAGTACCGGCCGCGGGTCGTCGTTCTGGATCACAACGGTGAGGAGCCGGACATGCACCACGTCGAAGTAGCCGACAAACTGTGCGGGTGGCTTTTCAAAGATGTTCCAGGTGTGCATGTGTATGTTGGCCGGCAACCAGGGCTTGGGGCCGACTTGGTCGAGGCTAATATCGAAGCCGTGTAGCTCGGTGATTGAAGGGTTCTCGCGGGCCAAGTCATGGAGCCAGATCCTGTGAGACTGTTAGCGTTTTGGAGAGAAAAACAGGAAGCAAAATACATTTCAGGAGGCAATTGCTCCTCCATACCCATTGCCGGTGGCGACGTCGGCCACTTTGACATCGCCTCCCTTGATCGGGATGTCGGGGTGAACGAGGAAGCCAAGAAGCTGCCTCCAGAGGTAGTGCTGAGCAGTGAGACTGAAAACCTGCGTCAGCGGGTAGGATTCCAGTCATGAAACATGGCAGATGACGCCTACCGGGTGTTGGCGTTGGAGTTTCGTAAGAGCACGTAGGAGTCGTTTGCCTTTTCCAAGGTCCCGTCCCGCCCGCTTACCTTGCCGATGCCATCGGCGCTAGTGCTATCGACAGCGTCGCTGTTAGTTGAGACCATTTCGGCGAGCAGATATGACGGACGGAAAGTGTCAGTAAAGTTCAACAACAGAACAAAGCCAAAAGGAGGCGAGGGACCCAGGAGCGAGCGCCTAGTGGCGGGCGGAGATGGGTATGATATATGCTAACGCTGTGTCACCGTCCCCGCTGCGCTTGCTTCATGGCTTGCTCTCGCTTTCCGCCTTGTATGAAATCGAACCGGAGCTGGTATCCGAGACCTTCTTGCGCCCTTCTCTTCACCCTCGCCACTCCTGCTGGGACACGTCGCACAGCGGCGGCGCTTGGCTTCTCAAGATGTGATCCGGTCCCGCGCCGGTCCATGGAAGAGAGTCGCGGTCCGAGGAGCGTAGTGGCTGCAGAGGATGCGGGGGTGATGCGCAGAGCCTCCGAGTCCCGAGATATGGTTTGCGGCCCAATACTGTGTAGACACCCCTCTCTCTCTACTAGTAGGTTCCACCCAGCGATCGAATCGTCGGTATCACACAAGTACGGTATTGGTCTCGTCACGAGGAAATCTGTTAGGGGTGCATCCTGTATGCAGCCGCTTGCTACTTTGGTGGCAAGGTCGTACACGGCACAGATTCCGTACCTATATTTGAGATGGTGCCGTGTTGGGTGTCGGTTACCTACGCCTTTACCCCGCACAAAGATGCAAGCCGTGTTGCGTAAGGTAGCTACGAAGCGGATTGTAACCCTCTTTCCTACGCCTAGCCTGGTACTCGATGCATAAATGCACCTGTCAGCTTTCATAAGGTACGCGACGGGACGGCAACCTTCGGCCAATCATCTACATGTGCTCTCTTGACTCTTCCGTCCATCGACCATTGCAGCTTCTTGGTCCGCAGAGCACCTACAAGCGTGGAGATCTTCTTCAGGTTGTCGACGCTGTCGGGGGCCGTGCCGCCTGGCGTGACCCTGGCATGATGTCTTCGGTAACGTCCCGTCCGAGTCCTTATCAATGCTTTCGCTTAGCACGCAATAGACACCTGCAGCCCAAGAGCGTCCCACCAAAAGTGTAAAGTGCCGGGCAAGGCAGTCTACCGTTTGGCGGAAATCCTGAAAGTTGTCTGGGAGTGGTTACACGATCGGGAGCGGGCGGTCGACCGCGGCCCGGCCCAGAAGTTTAGACTCTACAGAGGCCAGAGGGCGTCATCCGATGGCGGCTTAATAAACCCGTTGAAGGTTGGGGTCCGAGAGCTCTAGTAGCATAACCGGCGCTCCCACTCTCTTCTCGGAGGTCAATTTGCTGATGACCAATGCCGGGGGACTTAACAGTGGGGGTCGAGGCGTGGCGTGCCTGCCGCCGTGTCAGCTTAAGCTTAAGCTATACGTTGAGAGTTCCGAATTGCCTTATTCTCCCCTTGAGGTGGGTAATGATATAGAATTTGAGGTTTGGATGCAAACTACAGTGCTGTACGTAGCTTAGTCGGTTACCAAGGCGCTGATAATTACACATATCGGAAGGTTATTAATCGACGCCAGGGTTTGTATGTAAGAGAAGCGGAGTCTTGCTCGACTTTGTGCGCCTCCGTACACCTTGAACCGTTCCCATGCGCCGGGACCGTGGCACGTGCGTGGCCTTTGGTCAGCTGACCAAAGCGCGAAATCCCAGTTACGGTATTCCGTAACTTACCTTGTCAGACCCGGTGGATCACGATTCACCCGGCGCCGAACGGGACCAGAGAGCCACCGATGCCCGCCGAGAACCGTTCTCAGCTTCGTTTTCTCCCGACGGCTTCCGATCGGCTTCCCAGTAGCACCATGGAACACACTCAAGCTTTTTATGACTCACAAAAAGCATTCGACGATGACCAGATATGGCCTAGATTACCCAACCTCATCTCATTGGTTTAAGGTTGGTAGAGCCTCAATCAGTCATCAAACAGCCCACCAGCGCCTCATTCAGGAACGCCGACTCCATAATCCATTCCGGCCGTGCCACGTCTCTACCCTACATATTCCGTGCAACTAGGTCCTCTGATTGCAACTCTCACCTTAAGTACCTTTGTTCATACCCGTGGTCTCGCTTTTACTCCGACGTCTGCAACCTGATTAGCAGGCGCCAACCTCCTGCGCGGGGCCGTTTCCCTTGCCGGCGACGGGCCACGAACCAGCGGTTCAGCGTATGACACCGTGCGGACCGCTTTCGCCGTATGTCTCGGCTGTGCCTCCGACCCTCCACCGGCTTCTTCATCGCCCCGCTTCCGCTTGGATACGCCTGTCATGGACCTGGTGATCCTTCTCTGCGATGCTGATAATACGGGCGCCGCTGCCTTTTCGGGCTTTGCTCGGATCATGGCCTTCGCTTTTCCTTTCCCCTTGCCTTTCCCTGCCGGTTGCGCCGGTTCTAGTGTTTCTTCCGGTACGAGAGGTGGCGGCGGCGGCGGCGGAGGCAGAGGAGGGGTTGGAGTCGGAGGTGGTCGCCACGATTCTCTAGAGCGACGAGAGTGGCTTGAGCTCGGCGGAGGTGAGAGGGAGGAATCACTAGCGGCAGTCGAGGTGCGACGTGGTGTTTTCCCTTTTGTGGTTGTGGGAGGAGGTAAGTTGTTTTTGGGTCTGTGATGGGTTAGCACACTCTGCGCAGCAAAAGGTGGAGGGAGACGGGGCTGGCTGACTCCTTTGGCCTCTTTTTGCGAGCCGTGTCTGCTTTTGCTGCTTCTGCGGCGGCTTTTGGGGCTTTACCCATCGACTCTGTTTCCTGATGCCGGGATGATCTTGGGGTGACGCCTCGGTTGAGACTCGGGACGAAATAGCACCCGTTCGCCGTGTCGATGGGGCCCTCGGCGTCATGGCTCGGCTTCCTGGAACAGCCTTCAATGTGCTCCAAGCGCGCATCGAAGCCTCGATCGAGCTCAATGCCGCACCACGGGCAGTACTTGGCGTTGTCCCGGCCATGGCCCTTGCAAAAGTGGTAGTGCTTCACGCGGTACCCGTCAGAGAAGAGACCCAGGGGAAGGGCGCACCCTTCGCAATACTCGCCGGACCGAACACCCGCGCCATGCGTATGTCGCTGTCCCTCGCGGATCCGGTCCCCGCAGGCCTTGCACGCTGACCACTCCGCCTCGCGGTCCTGCACGCCGGGGTAGCAGACATTGTCATGTTGTGTCCGGTCGGCGGATGAGTTGAGGACCGAATGGTCGCGTCCGCAGCGAGAGCAGAACTTCCAGCGCTCTTCCCGCGAGCGGTCGGTGCGTCGCTTGTCGAGAACCTCGATCTCGTCGTCGGCCACATCAGTGAACATGGCTTTCAAGTCGCCCAGGTGCTTCTCTACGTAGTGCTGGTAGCGCTGCTCGGGCGGCCAGTGCTGGAATAACGGCTCGTCGCAGAAGTTGCATTTCTCTGCCACGTGCTTGTCTTGCAGATGCAAATGCATTGCCATCGGCTGGTTTGCCGGATACACAGCACCGCAATCGGGATACGGACAGCGCTCGGTACGTGACAAGACCAGGTTGCGCATGTCATGGTAATCCCGTTGCAGGCGGCGAACTTCGGTGGGCGTCAGGACCGACAGCGAGACAACTGGCACGCTGTCGTGCTTGAGGTTGAGCAGCATGTCGACCGGCGGCGCGTTGATTGGCACCGCCAGGTTCGTTTGCACGTCTAGCGGGTGCGCATAGCTGTACTCGCGTAGTCGTTGGCCCCTCTCGATGTCGGTCAGAACTGGAAAGCTGGCACGATCCGTGGACGTGTCTTCGCTTTGGTCGCTTGAGCCGGATATTACATCCGCTCTGTTGGTGCCCTTGGCAGTGCGGTTTGCTGACGACGATGTAGTGCCCGAACGGAGCTGCACGGGGAAGGAAGCATAATCATAGAGCGTTGACAGAGACGCTGGCTGCTCCTCCCACGGCTGGATGGTGTCGAGGTGCGGAGTCACCACTTCCCCCCACAGCTGCCAGTCATAGTGCCGAGCTGATGGCGGGAGCGGCAGATGGTCCTTGTCCAGCGCCTGATATAACACATCTGTCGGCGTCTGGTAGATGTCGCGGTACCCAAACGGCTGCCCGGTTTCCATGTCTCCAAACCCTGACTGGTGTTAGCAGACTGAAGATCCGCTTCAAGGCCGCTTTGACTTACTGGGAAGGCTCCCCTCGTCTACGAGGGAGACGAATACATCGGGCTCGACAATCATCCTGCGGATTGCGTACCACTCGGCTTCCGTGGCCTTGGGACCGACGAGGAGTTTTGGCCTGCTCTCTGTCGGGTCGGAACCCTTGTCCTTGGTGCCCGTGGTCTTCTTCGGGCGACCCTGGGTAATGGCCACCCAGGTGATATCAGCCACATACTGCTCCTCATGGTCGCTGGTTGACCACAACCTCGCCACCAAATCTCGCAATTGCGCAACGTTTGTGCCCACAGGATCCCACACTCGAGGCTCCGCAGTCCTGTCAGCGTCACAAATTGTGTATTCCCCGAACACGGGACGAAGGGTGATGAATTGTGGGAACAGACTGAGTCCGTCCGCGACAGGAGGGACTCGAGGCATTTCTTGGAGCCACTTCCTCCAATGGACCAGGCAGTCCACAACCCGCTGGAAGACCGAGTCCTGGTCGTCGGCCGTCATGGAAACGACGAGCTTCGGTTGGTCCTGCGTGACGATAAAGAACCCGGCGCCGGGCAAATGCACTTCAAGCGAGTGCATCTTGGAGAAACCGTCGGCGGACATCGAAGCCTTCAACAGACCCACAATCCGCTGCCGCACAGCCATGACATTGTCGACATCCTCGTGCAGGATATACTGCTTTTCGTACGGACCACCGAAGCCGGGGACGAAGAAATGCCAGCGGTCACTGATGTGCAGGTTCTCCCCTCCACGCTCCGGGCCTGTTCTAGCCTCGAGCGTCAGTGGCCGAAGCTTATCCTTCTCCCATTGCGCAACCACTGTGTCCCAAAGCTGAGGGAGGAATGCCAGGCCGCCGTATGTGCCGATGACGCTGCCTCTCCGACCCCGGCCCTTGATGGTGAACCAGGCGTCCGGGATGGCCGGGTAGCCAGGGCGGCTGGGAATCCGTCCAGCCGCTAGCACACGGCATACATTGGTCATCCAAGGCCAGAATTGGTTGCTGTAGACGGCGTCCCTGGGATTCTCGGGCAGGCGAAGGTAGGCAACATCCGGGCGGTCCATCTTCGGCACGTTGGCCCAGTCGAGTATGACCTTCATGACTCCGTGGGAAGGGCCAGGCTCCCATGTCCAGGGGATCGGATCAGCCGGACCAGCAACAAAGAGAACTTTCCGTTGTTCTCCTTTATTTTCCTGTTCCGATTCGACGAGCTTATCTACCGCCCACTCCCAGGCAAGCTGGTCATGGCTGTAGTCGCCGGGGCCACCGCCCCAGATGGAGAGTCCGTTGTCGTCGAGGTTGCTGAGGTACTCATACCGTTCGGTCTGGGAGCTGTAATCCTTTCCTTTATCCAGGAGGTAGAGGTTGTAGGTAACGCCCGCCCGGTTATCCAGGCCCAGCAGCCGGTCAATAGCGTCGACGAAGGTATACATCATATCCTTCTGGAACCAGACAACCCCTTGGTAGCCGTACAGAGGGGCCCACTTCTGGTCGATGCCAGCCGAGAACCCGCCAAGAGGGGTGTAGAGGGAGGACTCGAACCCATCCGCGACCGACCATCTGCTTTGTTGCTCGTCCGCTCCTTCATAATCCTGCAACTCCTTGAAGACGCTGCTTGCGACCGTCCCGCCGCGGAGTAAGAGATGGCTGGGATCTGTGGCGGAAGGCTCATCCTCCTCTTCGCCATCCGTACCTACCAACTGTGACGAACTGTCGGAGTCATCCTCGTGAACAGCCTCGCCGCCCCGCAGACCCGAAGAAGTCGGATCTTCCCATGGTCTGCCGGTTCCATAGTGTCCGCGCCGGCGATGCCGAGTCCTCTTAAGATAATATACCTCCAGCTTCGGATCCGGCTCTGCCCCCGCCGTCAGTGATCCAACTTCCCCCCCCCCCCCCCCTTTCCCCCTCCTTCTTCATCGACGGACCCCCGGAACAACTTACCTCGCACTCCAGCATCCCGCTCATAGACCCGCTCGTTATACCCGTTCAAGAACCTCAGCGCCTCCTTCCGCACACGCTTCTCACCACCACTCCCACTCTCATCTTCCGAGTCACTGTCACTGTCTCCCTCCTCCTCCTCTTCCTCATGCCGCCACCCCCTAAACAGCCGCTCCACCCCGCCGCCCATGGGCGCAACCGGCAGGCCAAACCACGCGAGCGTCAACTTGAACGCCAGATCCGCCCGCCCCGCCCAGCCCCGGAACCGCTCCGTCTTCAGCAGCTCCCCGTAGCGCCACCGATTGCCCTCCTGCAGCCTGGCCAGCAGCGGATTGCGTCGGGCGTCATCGCCGCACGGCTGGAGAAGCTCCCGCTCGTACGGGGAGAAGAGGGATGTCAGGATGGAGTCGATCGTCTGGGACGGGTCGCGCAGCAGGACGGTGAAGCCTTGCAGCACGGCGGTGAATTCTGGGGAGGTCGGTTGGATGGACGGGTTCCAGCGCGCTGTCGGGGCTGTAGGGGTGAGAGTGAGGGTGTTGTTGTTGTCTGGAGAAGAGGAGGAGGAGGAGGAGGAGGAGGAGGTGCGGCGCCGCTTGGCGCGTTGTGGCGGCGATGCTTGAGACGAGTCGGCGGCGCGCTTCGATGCGCTGGAGCCGCGGCGCCAGAAGGAGAACATGGCGGACGGTGTTTAAGGTAGTCGCGCTGGTGTTGCACTCGGTGATGCTGTTAGTGAAAAGGAGGATCAATGTAGGCCTGAATACGATATTACGGTCAGCTACTAGAGAGAGAACTCGCGTAAAGTGAGCTGGGGAACAAGTGTGAGCAGGCTTCAGCAATGAAGCTCCATCATGGACATATCCAGTGTTAGGAGACAAAGACATCAATTAGCTTGTGAGCTGTGGCAGCTCAGAGCATTCCAGTTAAGCCGCGCCTCCTCCCTTTGAACAAGCGCTGCATTGTTCTTTGTTTCGGGACCTGCAGGACCCCATTGCGGACTAGAACTACTATAACAAAGACGAAGCTGCTGTATGCAAACGGATATGTGCGTCGGTCAATAAGCCGGTAAAGGGGCCAACGCTGGATTGTTCCCCGAAAGGGAAATCCAAAAAGCCTAAAAGGTGTGCTCATAACTCCTCGTCGGATCCTCTCCGAATTTAGCTTGAAATGTGTCTTCGCTCCCTGGAGGGCGGTAAGAGAAGGAAAGAAGAAGATATACGGTCTTTGGAGAAATCATATTACTGTAGTAAGTAGTAAACGACGACCTGAAGGGCTCAAGCCTACCTACCTACTGAGCTTGTCTGATGGAGAAAACTACTAGTACCTGGTAATGCAGCTACGCATACAAGCATTGCATAGCCAGGATCTTAACAACAAGACGTATTGGTAATTTCGCATCTATGCTGTGTAGTGTGTACTACTAGGTTAGATGTTCTGTACTTATCATTAGAAACAGGAATAGTATGAGCGCTGGAGACGTTTCCTCCGCTTCTATTATTCTATATAGATACTCCGTACCTGAGGGTCTCCCATACTGCCAGTTGCCCTGTCAAGATCGTGATGGTTCGCTCCATTGCCACTTTTAAGGTATGAGTACGGTACCTTGGTACATATACATACATAATACAAGCAGTGAAAAGGTTAGGGCGATGAATAGCCCTTCCCTTTCCAGATCGCATGTGTGACATTCTACTTTTGACAGCTCGCCCACCTTCCCCGCCCGGCAGAGATCCAAGGCTTGGTCAATGTTTACATCTCATCAAGCAGAAGAGCGCCTCAGCGAATCTACCTACCTTATGTAGGCTGATGTTGCATCAGATGCTAATGCGTCCAACACGATACCGGTAAATCCCTAGGCGAGTGGGTTTTGAACGCGAGGCCCACCCGAGTGCGGCTGAAGCGCAGCTGCACGTCAGTTGCAGCAGAGTTCCACATTGTATGTACGGTAGTAATATGTAATAGGGCACCTTATCGTAGATCCTTACGGAAAGTGTAAGTACCGACGTTGGGCGCCCTCTAAGTATGAGTATATTAGAAACATAAAACAAGCCGATACACACATCCATAGGTTATTACCGTTGCAGCGCACTTGCTGCTGATTGCGCCGTAAACTTTCCTTTGTTATGCACGGTATGATACCTGTACGAACCATCACACATGCATTCCGAACTTCAATACGTCAACCCCCACAGTCGTTTCTGCTCGAGGGGGATCCACCTTTTGGTCGCTGCGGAAACCGGCGGTGGAGTCGCCAAAACAGTCAACACGCCAATCCAGGACGAGGAATTTGCGGGCAGGAGAACCATCTCAGGACGCGAACGTCATTTCCTTGGTTTCCTTTTACCCATACGATCGCGATTCCTTCTCGAAGCCGAAGCAACATTGCCCGTTCATTCCACCAGTCGGCCGCCGCAGCCGACTTCCGACTTTGCTTTCGCCCAGTATCCAATTGTTGACCGGCACGGCGGAGATAGCCTGGATTGTTGACCTTCACTCGACAATTTATTGACTGATCGGTCGCCCACACGCAGAGGGTGACCGGCCGTGAAGCCGCCACGATGGACCCAAATGCTTCCTCAATCACCGTCGCTGGTATAGTAGACCTCTCCACAGCTGATGCGTAGCGACAATGCTCCTAACTGCTTCCATGCAACAACAGTTCGGGTGCGGCCGTTCACCATCCGAGAGGCTGCCCAATTGTAAGCGCCAGCCTCGGCTTCGAACTCCATCACCACGAGCTGACATGTTACCAGAATCAAGACCGATGACAACCCACTCTTCCTCGGCGACGGCTCGCTAGCCGCGGCGCCCGCTCCCAAGCTGAACCAGCGCGGACTTCGATCAGTCATCAAGGTAGTCGATGATAGGTGTCTGTACGTGCTCCTTGTGATTAGGTACCATCCTTTGCCCCGGGCTGACTCGCCGCAGCGTTTTCGACCCGCCGGAAGACAATCCCGTCCAAAAGTTCTCTCGCTCCGTTGTGCCCACGGGCAAGAAAGTCAAGGACCAGGTTTTCGCATTCGACCGTATCTTCGATCAGAATGCTACGCAGATGGACGTTTACGAGGGGACTACCAAAGGGTTGCTGGATAGCATCCTCGACGGCTACAATGCCACGGTATTCGCATACGGCGCCACGGGTTGCGGAAAGACACACACCATCACCGGCACCTCTCAGCAGCCGGGTATTATCTTTCTCACGATGCAGGAACTCTTCGAGAAGATCCAGGAGCGCAGTGACGAGAAGGTCACCGAGGTTTCGCTCTCGTACCTCGAGATCTACAATGAGACGATCCGCGACTTGCTGGTTCCCGGCGGTAGCAAGCAGGGCCTCATGTTGCGCGAGGACTCAAACCAGGCCGTCACGGTCGCCGGTCTTACCAGCCACCACCCGAAGGACGTGCAGGAGGTCATGGACATGATTGTGCAGGGCAACGAGTACCGAACTGTGTCGCCGACTGCAGCCAACGCGGTCTCGTCGCGGTCCCACGCGGTGCTGCAGATCAACGTCGCCCAAAAGGACCGCAATGCCAGCGTCAACGAGCCTCACACCATGGCCACTCTGAGCATCATTGACCTCGCCGGCAGCGAGCGTGCCAGCGCCACGAAGAACCGGGGAGAGAGGTTGCTGGAAGGCGCGAACATCAACAAGTCGCTTCTCGCTCTGGGAAGTTGCATCAATGCACTGTGTGATCCGAGGAAGAGGAACCACGTGCCGTACCGCAATAGCAAGCTGACTCGCCTGCTCAAATTCTCTCTTGGGGGCAACTGCAAGACAGTCATGATCGTTTGTGTCAGCCCGTCGAGTGAGCACTTCGACGAAACTCAGAACACCCTTCGCTACGCCAACCGGGCCAAGAATATCCAGACTAAAGTGACGCGCAATGTCTTTAATGTCAACCGCCACGTCAAGGATTTCCTGGTCAAGATCGACGAGCAAATGGCTATCATCAACGAGCTCAAGGCCCAGCAGAAGGATGCCGAGAAGACCTTCTTCGCCAAGTTCCGGAAGCAGATGGATAAGCGTGACGGCGTGGTACGGGAAGGTATCATGCGGCTGCGCGCTGCCTACGAGAATGCGGCTTCTGAGCGGCAGGAAAAGGTCAACCTGATGAAGAAGCTGAAGGCTATCGAGAGGCGAATTGGGCTGCTCTCTGCCTGGATTGCCGCCTTTGACACGGTTTGCGATTCACGGGGAGACGAGGAGGCGATGCCGAGCAACCTTGCAGCGATGCGGAAGACCGCTCACGGCATCCTGATGGAGCTGGAGAGCAGCAGACACCACCTCCACCAGAGGCTGGAGCGGTCTAATTGGGAACGCGCCTTGGATACGGCGCTGAACCACAGCATCGCTCAGCTCCCGACAGGCGACGGCATCGTTGATGGCTCTGAGCGGGACACGCTGGCCCGGGAAGCCGAGATGCTCAAAGCAAGCTTCATGCGGGACGCCTACAGAGAGGTGCTGGAGCAGGACAAGGCTGGTGATGCGGCTGTCCTGCAGGTGCTGCTGACGGCCCAGTTCGAGATATTATCTTCCCTCTCCGACACGCTGAATATGAGCGAGGAAGAGGCGGTCGCCCATGCCAAGGCGATGGTCAGCCGTCTCCTCGAAACTGGCTACTCGGCAGCCTCACACGTCGTCAAACCCGACGGTTCCATGATGCCCGTCGAAATGTTCCCACCAACCAAGCGTGGCACCCCGAAGCGGAAGAAGTCTCTTAGCCTGCACCCAAAGTCTATCCCCGCGCCCGTCCTTTCTGCCGTTCAGCAACAGGCGCTTGCCTCGCCGGTTAAGGCGTCCCCACGGCGCCGCAAGCTCGGACGTAAGAGCGTGGCATTTACACCCGTCAAAAAGAAGCACTCGGTGCGCTGGCGTGACGACGAGAGCGAGCAGGGCACTCTCGCGGACTACGAGAAGACCCCGCAGAAGTTTCCTTCGCCTGAGAAGCCCTCGCCGGAAGAGGCCCTTCCAACCAGACCGCCGGTGCCCTCGTACCTGAACCATACGGACTCTCCTCGGGACTCTAGCCCAGCTCCCGTAGTCCCTGACGTATCAATCCTGTCTCACGGCAAGCCGAACCGGTTTCAAGCCGGCTTCTTATCCAAATCTCGGGTTCCTCAGCCGAGCAACGGCGCCCTTGGTAGCTCACCCATTGCGCCGCCGACACTGTCTCTGAACCTAGCCGGATCCTCAGATAACGAAGACCGCCCATCTCCGCTGCGAACGGTGCCAGTTAGCCGAGCTACTAACTCGCTTTCGCCACCTCCAGCGACACACAGCAGTCCCAAGCCGACGACGACAAGCATGCTCTCTACCCTCAGCGAGAACGGGATCGAAAACCAGCCTCCTCGTCGCGCCTCCCCAGCGTCTCGCCTTCCCCGTTCGTCCTACGGCTCGGGTTCCGACTCGGAAATCGACCCGCTTAAGATCCGCTCCGCCCTGCAGCTAGCCAAGCGCCGCGACCGGCTGTCGCTCATGTCGGGAACTGCCGCGTCCAACGCGAAGCGCATCTCCTCCCTCGGCTCGAACCCGGGCGGCCACCGTCGCGCCTCGGCTAGCTACTCGGGCCCGTCGGCGCTAGCGAGCTCTGCCAATGGCATCTCCCGCCACCGCAGAGGTAGTGTCGAGCGGCGGCGCTCGCCGCCGAGGCCCATCGCTTGCTCGCCTCCTTCGAGTCATCCTCAGGCGGGGGACTCGTCGGTTCTGGGTGGGGCCGGTACAGTCGGGAGAGGCGCCCTGACGCCGGGCCAGGCGAGGAGGATGAATATGGGGGGTAGCCTCAGGCTGGAGAAGCAAAGGGAGAGGGGGAGTAGTCCCACATCGCCGTCGTCCAGCCATGGGGCCGGTGGCGAGTTAGCTGGGGTCAGTGGTAAGGCTAGGAGAGTTACTATTGGCTTTGCTGGCACGGCGCCGAACGGTAGTGGAACCGGGAATGGCAGTGGCGGGGCCTCGTCTGGGATGGTGAAGCCGAGACCGAGTATGGTGTGGAGATGAAAGTGCTTTTCGTTGCTTAGGTGGTTTTCTGTATGGGAACATTTTGCATAACCATCATACCCCCCTCCGTGTTCCTCGCTTGCTGGAGCGGGGCTGAGGGGTTTGTGGTTGGAGCTGGTGGCGTTGGACTAAGACGAGGACAAGACAGACCGGGCTGTTTGGTTTGATGCTCCGGGCATGGCTTGTCAGAGTTTGCTTTTACCTCCTACTACATCATGGTCAGGTTTCAGGGGGATAAGGTTCGGATTCCCATTGGGTTCGTGTCTGGCCAAGACAAGGCTGGATACCCAAGAGTCTTGTTTGTGTATAATGATTCTTTCATTCCTGTTGACGCTGTATTAAATACTGTTACCGTCGAACAATACGATAGCGTGCTTGGGTGGCCGCACAAGGTGATTGAGCCTCTCAATGTCATCCTTCACATGGACATTGTGACCCGCATGGGTTAGTCAATCATCAAACTGGCATTTGCATGGTATGTAGTATCGAGCTTCTCCACCCCCTGAGAGGTTGTTGATTTCCTTTACCACTGATATCCACAACAATGGCAGAGTCAAACTCCTTGCCGTATATGGTCAATATCCTCAACTAGTACCTAGTAGCATCCATCAGACCTTTTCAGTACTCTCGACCTGGTTCTTTTCCCCAACGGTTGTGGATACCACGCTGTCACCGCGGAGGAGCTGGGTGAGGCCGATCTCAGCGTTGATCTCCTCCATACGCTCAAGGTCGGCCTGCGCTGTGCCCTCGGAGCCGAAGACAACATCCTGTTTGAGCGCATTAGTTAGTTAACCTTTCACCCAGGCAAACACAATCACATGATAGAGAAACCAGATTTTAATTTAAGAGCTTACCATCTCCTCAAGCGTCAGCCGCTTCGTCTCCGGCACGAAGAACCAGATGAAGGCGGCACCCATATAGGTCAGCAGGCCGAACAGGATGTAGGTGCCGTAGGTGATGCCGTCCAGCATGTCCGGGGTGACCTGACCGACGATGAAGTTGTTCATCCAGTTGCTCGAGGCGCCCAGGGCGACGCCGTAGGGGCGGGTGCTGAGCGGCCAGATCTCGGCGACGATGATCCAGGCGCAGGGGCCCCACGAGTAGCCAAAGTGCACGACGAACAGCCAGACCATGCACACGGCGGCCCAGCCGGCCGCCGCGTGGTCGTGCCACTGGTTGATGTTCTTGGCCACGATCACGGCGATGATCATGTGGCACGTGGCCATGCCGATGGCGCCGATGGTGAGCACCGGCTTGCGCCCGACCCGGTCGATCCAGAGCACGGCCGGGATCGTGGCGAGGAACATGGCAATCCCCACCACGCCGGTGGCGAGAAGCGAGATGGTGTTCTCGGCCAGGCCGAGCTGCTCGAAGATGGAGGGCGCGTAGTACAGCACCGCGTTGATGCCCGTCCACTAGGAGGAGGGGATGTGTCTCTCGTGTTAGTTCTTCTTCTTCTTCTTTTTTCTTGCTGTCATTCATTCAGCTGCGGACTTTTGACTAACCTGCTGGAAGAACATGGTCACGGTCGCAACGACGACGCGCTTGAACATGGCCCGGGTCTGGAACAGTTTCTTGATGGCGACAAACTGCAGCCGGAAGACGTTCCAGGCCGTCTGCTCGCGCAGGTGGGGGAACAGCTCGGACACGGTGCGCTTCTCAAACAGCGACTGCGCCTTGATCTCGAGGAACTCGAGCTCGACCAGCTCGTGGTCTTCCGGCAGGCCGCGGAGCCGGGACAGCACCCCGCGTGCCTCGTCCTCGCGTCCGTGGTGGATCAGCCAGCGCGGCGAGAAGGGCATGAAGATCATGCCGACGAACAGGATGATGGCCGGCGCGAGCTGCAGGCAGATGGGCACCAGCCACGCGGCGTCGGACTGCGTCTCTGGGGTGGTGCCGCCAATGTAGTTGGTGCCGCTGTTTTGTTTTTCGTAAGTAAGGTACTAGTGCAGACGGAGTAAATGGTCCTCGTAAAAGAAAAACTCACTAGTCGATCCAGAAGCTGATCATGATGCCAAAGGTGATGGCCAACTGCTGCGTCGCCACCAGCGCTCCGCGTACTTCAGGGGGCGCCACCTCCGAGTTGTAGAGGGGGACAATCATGGCAAGACTCCCAACGCCCATACCGGTCACGAACCGCCCCGCCAGAATGGCATTGTGTCCGTTCATCTGTGCAGTCGCCTGGACGACCACGCCGACCATGAACACGGTGCAAGCCACCAGCACGCCGTACTTTCTCGACAGCGTCTCGGCAAGGAAGCCCGAAAGCAACGTTCCCAGCCAAGCACCGAGCTCCAAGATGGCTGTCAGCCACCCCTTCTTTGTCTGGTTCGTCGTGTACTCGCCCATGTCTAGGTAGTAGCTCCTTATTAGTGATGACGCCCCAAGAGAAAAGAGAGACCTGGGAGCAACACATACGGTTGTTGAAGGACGGCATGGCCAGAATACCCGAGAACATGCCCTGGTTGTAGCCGTACAGCACACCGCCGATACAGGCAAAGGCGGCGATGCGGAAGACGCGGAAGTTCTTGATCAAGGCTGAGGGCCCGCTCTTGCCCATGAGCGCCTGCCGCCTGTGCAGTGCGGCATCGTAGAAGGCGCCCGTGCCGGCGTCGCCTCCGGCACCCATTGTCGCTGTCGTTTGTTGTTTCACGTCTTCCTTTGCCGGGTGGATTCGGGTGAGAGGTCTGCGTTGAGGTTGGGTATCGATCCGGCGGGCCGGGATCGGTATGGGATGGCGAGGAGAGGTGTGTGAGAGAGAGAAGCGAGCAAGTCAAGCCAAGAACTCGAAGAGCATGCCGGGGAGCTGCAGTAATATATACCTTATGTACGGTATGCAGATGCGGGGAGGCAAGATACCTACCTTACCTTAGCTTCCTGGAATTGACCCCTGGGCCCCTGTTACCACGCGCCTGGATGAACGGAAGAAGGCAACGCAGCCGGGAAGCCCGCAATCCAACCCAATATCCGGTGCCATCCTATCCACTCCTGCGTCTCTCGATGGCCCCATTACTCCAATTGCCCGGAACCGGACATATGAGCCTAGAATCGCCCGGAGATATCCACATATTATTGCCTCCCCGGTCCCTATCAAAGTCCCTACCCACTGGACGTCGGGGGCCAGCCATGGCAGGTGCTCCGCAACTGGGGAGTTCTCCATGGGGAAGAAGGAAGGGCACCCCACATCCCCAGACACCACCGCCATGCAGCAAGAATCATGTCGTCCTACAGTACCGTCCCGGATGAATGGTTTTGTGGACCGGGCTAGTATAGGCAGCCTACACTAGGCTGATGTTCGGCGGTTCTCCTTGCTACCCGGCCGCTCTCCGGCTTGACTCTGCAGGACGGTCAGCATCAGCATCAGCCAGGGATGGGAGCAGGTCTATCCCATGGACTCCGCCACCCGTATACCGCCCATATACTGTAGCTTACACTGCTCAGCAGACAGCATACCTACCTAACTTCACGGTTTATCAACTGCCACCGTCATCGCCACGCTAACACTGGAAAACGTCGAACACCACAACCAGCGCATGCCAAGCAAACGCTGCCCGTCAACCGACTCCTTAGCCGCACCCATTGCCGGACGCATCCTGAACAAGCGTGAACAAGCATCCGGCTAGCCCTCGAATGGGCAAGGCGCGCTCGCTGAGGGTTTGCCCCCTCCAGTCCAGGGTGTGGTGCCGAACGCAACTCTAACCATTTAGCCTGAATGCGAGCTGCATTCTTCCCGCCAGCAGCCTATTGGCGCGCTCCGAGGGGATGATCGGGCCTTTTTCTTCTCGTTCGATGTCAAGAGATCAATTGATGACAGTGTTATCCGCGATCTCTTGTCCACGTCGCTCTCCTCCGCACTCCGCACAACTTTACCCCGACTTTTTTTTCCCCATGTTTGCAGCCCGGGGTTGCTTTGTTTCCCCTCACGAGAAAGGTCTGGGGGTTGAGGTGGAGGTGGAGTTGAGACGTTGCGCTCACCGCACACGAGTCAATCATCAAGTGAAGTCAAGCTTTTTTGCCCCTTGCCGGGAGACCGTTGGTGCAACTTGGTGGCGTTCAAGCATTCTGCCGCTTTGCGGTGTCACTGGTGGCTTGGACCATTTCTCCATTTTGGCGGATTGGCACTCTCACAATCTCATCAGCCAGCTTCTCTTGGTGTGTATGCTATAATAAACGTGGCAACCCGAAACATCACCTAACTGGATCGGGCCGTGGCCATTCACCTCGAGCTTGCGCATTGAGAGTCGAGACTTGACGCGAACAGACCATGATGACACTGCACACTCTTGGTAGAGTCGCAGTCAGGGAGACTGTGAATGTTTTAGCACAGTTTCTGAGTTCTGACTGACTGACCCGTGCGCAGCCCTCTCCTGATGGCGGCGTGGCTGCATACGAATGCATCACGCCCAATAGCCGGACCAACTCCAGTGCATTTGGCTGTCATGAGAGGTGCATCGCCATAGTCGCACAGCACGCGAATGCAGATATCCGGCCCGGCAAAGACGGGGAGGCATTGGCACAGTCATCTTCTTGATTTTCGGACCCCAACCTCCAAATCTGCAGTTCTAGGTCCCAGCTTCTAACCTCGCGGGTGTCAGTTGTGCCCCAACGCCGTCCCCTAAATCTGCAGATGATATACGCGAGCTGTCAGATCTCACGTCGGTCACCGAGTATGGCCAACATGAACTACATATGTGACGTCTCCCAGCCCAAGGTCGTCACTCGCTACCGTAGTACCGGGGAGCTCTTGGAGAGGCCTGGGTGTCATCATAGCGGCATGCGGTGCATGTTGAATACTAGGTACCGGGCAAGTCAATCATGTCTGGTTGGGACTTCCCAGTGTTTGTATTCCTGAAGACAGATGTTGGGAAGGTGGCATGAAGCAAAGCTGGTAATCATGTGCCCACCGATCTCCGGGTCCAGGCGCCCGGGTGGCCGGGGCTTGGTGGAGACAGTTAAACGAACCGCGTCCGGTCCGGGCTGTTGCGGGCGGGTTCCCCCACCCCGGGTCTTTGGTACCATCAGTGACCAGCTCCTCACATTTTCGGCCTTCAAGCAATGGCACGCGGCATTAGCCGCTACTGGTAGCATTAGCAGGTAAGCCGCCGGGACTGGTATGAATCACGAAACAATGACGTAAAGCAACAACGATGTGCTCTGCTTTGGTTGACGGGAAGTCAGAGCGTTGGTTGGGTCATGTATCAACCGGGCCGTAGGATCTAATTAAAACCGGGAAGCGAAGTGACTCAACCTTGAAATTCCGGGCCGAAAAAGTCTGACAGGATGGCCTGAAGCACGGCTCAAACCAACGTTTTCTCAGGTGAAATCTTCAGTTGTCCTTATCAGATAAGATGCGGCGCAGAGAGCACCGCTAACGGAGCTTGGCGAGTGTTCCGGGCTTTGGGTGGGGCTTCCGGGACCTGCCCGGGATACAGCCTCGGCAGCCTACCCGGCAGCTTGGGTAGGCAGCCGAAGGTGATTTGGACTCGGAATCGCTATATGTAAATAAAGTTAACTCGTTCGACAGATCGGCCAGACATGCAGCCTTGGCCGGGAGCCGGTCGATCAAAGGCCTGAAATGTTTCGAAACAAATGGTCTCCAAATCCGGTCTGGGGTTCGCGCATTATGCATATGCCTCCACCTGCCATACCTACGATACACCCGCTAACATTCCGAATCTGAGCTTGTGGCTGAGTGCGGGAGGCTTAGGGCTGTGTTGAAACCCAAAACGATATACCAGATGCTCCATGCTAGCCTCTTGCCTCTTGATGCCAATCACCCTATGTCCTTGGGTGATGTTCGTGCGTCTCATGGGGTCGTTACTCCTGCCGTGCTGAGACTGTAAATGGACGTTTCGACGGTTCGACCATACTCCGTAACGCCGCTGGAAGAGCCGCCCACCAGGTATGCCAAGGCCATATGCGTGATAGCAATACATGGGGATATGCTTTGGTCACGAACGAGTGGGTATTACTCGATTGCGGCGAGTGAATATCTTCATGAAGACATGTGCACAACAATTTGACATGTAAGAGGCACTGAAAACGGCTTGGATGCAGCTAAGCAAAAGGTAAAATAGCGCTTATGTGCACTAACTTACAGCCCCCGAATCTATGCAGTAAGCTGATAAGGAGTTCCTACACAACATACTCTCCGTGATTTCTGGCCAATCATCTTCGGCGTCAACACCTGAAACGCTGTCGGTCAAATTGGCCAATCAGAAACGGTCCCGCTCCAGATGGCTCCAACGTGGTAAGTTAGCGCGATGTTCCAAGGAATTTGACGCGCGCCTGTGCTGAGAGCTTGCACAGTAGGTATCCATTTTCCGACCTCAGCATCTTAACAGTGCACTCTGAGATTTGCGGATGCTGAATTTTGAGCCTCCTTTCGGCAGCGCAGCCAATCCCGCACCATTCTCAATTTCCACGGAACCAACAAGCTCGTGTTTCAGGGCTGATACCGACAGCTGCACTTCGCAATTGCCATCTGCCATGTGGAGTTGGGAAGCAAAGCCGAGTGGCCGGTTGCAACTCCCTGTTGCCGCCGGTGATCGCCCGAGCCGACCGATCCCGCGGCTACAGAGCGCGCATCGATGAACAACCTACCAAATGTTTGTCGCGAAAGCTTTCCTTTTTCTTCCGTATGAGTGCAACGCTTCCTCCCTTAGCGCTGCAACATGGCTGTACTTGCAATTCCTCCCCGCTTAACATTCGTACCCGCGATACGCTAGCCTCCGCGTTTGTCGCGCGGCAGAGCGCGTTCTCCCTACAGTGTTTGAGCTTGGGTGGATTGTCGTCAATGTCGTCGCCCTGGAAGGATACCATTCTGTCGGGTTTCCGGGGGTTCCTGCGAGGGCCACAGTAGGCCTTGTCTCCAGGACCGTCAGTCGCAGAATGGGTCATGCATCGATCACCCGCTGAGCGGCCGCCCGGCCTGTTTGGCAGGTTCTCACTATTTTTTACGCTTACGGGGTTCCTCAAGCGGCCGTTGTCGAGGGCAATGTTGCATTTGCCGGCCTGCTCTGGATTCACGTCCAAGATCTGTCAGTTCCGAGGTAATCTGTCTGCGCTAAGGCCAGCAGAGCTTATCAGTGGTGGGCATTGAAGGCTTTTTAAGCTTGGTTGGCATTGGTGGCCGAAGTGCCGCAAGACGAGGCTCGGAGCTCTGCGCAAGGCTGGCGGCTAACATCCCGAGCGGGATTGATTGTCTGTGCTATTTTTTGACATGGTCCGCTTCCTCTGCTCCACAGCAGATGTTTCCGCATTGGGTCTTTGGATTTTGCTGAGATCCGCGGTGCCGTTCCGTGGTACTTGTGTCGACTGCGCAGCGCCACCATCTGGCGAGGTCACGGCACAGTACGTACCGCGCCATACTCTAAGCAAGACTCCAACTGGCACGGCCGTTACGAGTTGAGATCTCTGTATCTCTTACATTCACTCTCGTCGTCTCCCCAGACGCAACATTTGCCGGTAACCAGACCCGACCCTTGTCCCGTCAAGCCCCCCCCTTGTCGCCGGCGGACCCCAGGGTCCATCATCTATTAACCGCCCTCTGGGCACATCCACCCGAGATGGCCGACTCTCATAGCCGCCCGTCTTCAAACAGACGCCAACCCGAAACCCACCAGCCACTAGCAAAGGCCGCTGGCCGTTCTATGAGGTCATTTAAAAACACATGCTTAGTTTCATCAAGCAACCTCTCTCTGCAGCTATACCCTTGTTTCAGATCTGCTACCCCGGTCTTGCATACATCTCTACTGTCATACTCTGGTACCTCCGCGCAGATCTAGGACCCGCAAAGCCGGCCCTTGACCGATCTCGTCTTATTGTTTCTGCCCAGGTCTCCATCGCAGCCGGGGGATACTATAAGTCGACCGCCCTTCCTGCTCTTTCCGGCCGGCCTCTAGCCAGTCTCTCAGTCCTCGCCCTTTGACCAACCTGCTCGCGACCCGTTCGCCATCTTTTCTCTTTTTGTGCTCTTTTCCTTTTCCTAGATTTCCTTGGTTTCCTTGGGTCTCTCGTATCTGTTCTCACTTTCCGTCTTTGCTGGTTGCTAGCCAGCCCTATTGTTTGATACGAAACATCGTATCCCCTTCGACCTCACACCTACCTTTGACCCGATACTCGCCGGCCCAATACCCCTCCAAGGACAGGGCGCCGGCTGAAGAGGGCATCTCCGTATCATGCCCGACCTGACACGGGCACCAAGCCAACACCAGCATTACCAACAACAGATCCCCGTATCTCTCGGTCCGAACATTCCCACCATGGCCTACTACCAGAACCCCCGGCAGCTGTCCGGGTTCTATGGCGATCTGTCCACAACCGGCGCCGGCGGGATACCGATGCCGGGATACGACCCATATGCAGTGAACACAGTCGCCCCTCTGCCCATGCCGACGGCCGGCACCGCGATGGGTGGACCGGTGGGTGGAGCACTACCGACACAACACAGGGCATCTTCGGGCGCATGGAATCAGGAGGACGACCAAACACTGTTGGCGCTGCGGGCGATGGGCAAGAACTGGAACCAGATCCAGAGGGAAGCCTTCCCGGGCAAGACGGGCAACGCATGCCGGAAGAGACACGAGAGGCTGATGGAGCGCCGTGGCCAAAACGACTTTGACAACCGCAAACTCGAGCGGCTATGCAAGGAGTATATGAGCATGCGGAAGGAGATCTGGCAACCTCTTGCGTCGAGGTGTGGCGAGAAGTGGAATGTTGTCGAGATGCAGGTGTGCTTCTTTACCCTGCCTCCTGTCCCCTCTGTTCCGACTAACCTCCCTTTGCCCGTCCAGTGCATGTCCAACGGCCTTAAGAACATCCAATCCCATGCCCGCGCCTTCGCCCGCCGCGAGCGCCTCGAGTCCGGCCGACCTCTCACCGCCTACGACGATCCCGACGGCGCCCTTGGCTGCCTCACCCCAGTCGACGACGTAGATGTCGCAGACCAATCTTACAGCTCCCCGGAGACAGGCGGCTCCACCACCGGTCCGCACTCCACACCTGGCGGCAGCCAGGGCTCGGCCGCGTCGGCTGGCCACGCGGCGTATGCGAACATGCACCATCCACACCACTCTCAGGCTGCGGCGGCAGGGTATCAATATGGGGGTTACGGGCACCCACAGCAGCATCACGGGCACGGGTACAGCAACAGCGTGTCAAGCACGGGGACGGCGGGGGGGTACACCACTGGTGCGTCACAGCAGAGTGCCGGCGGGAGTCAAGGGACGAGTCCATACATGGGCCACGGTGGGAGACTGCCTAGTGTCGGGGACATGGGGATCGATTCCCTCATTAATCGGGGACAGGGCAGCTAATGACGTTTTACTTTTCTTTCGTTTTGTGTTTCTGTCTCTGTGTCTGGCCATGACATGCATCACGCTCCTTCCCTTTTTCTTTTCCAATTTTTTCTTTCTATCCTCGACCTACTCATCTATAATCACCTTTTTCCTTTGTTCTTTCATGTCATGTTACGAGGCTGAGGCTGAGGCAAGGATCTAACTGATCGCGACAATGGTGGGGGCGGAGCAAAAACGGCGTTGGGGAACTTGGTGTCTGGGTTGGGCGGTCTTGGCAGGCACGGCGTTCTTAGGACAACAACAAGGGAGGCATTTGGAGTTGGGGGCGTGCATTGTGTGTTTCCTTTTTCCTCTCTCAAAAACAGGTTTTTGTTTACGGTCCGCTACCGGTGGTTGGCAGACTGTCTGCGGAACCCGGGCCCGAAACAGCACCGGCTTTTTGCGCCGCAGATCGCTTTATTCTATGGCATTCCGCATTTCTCAAGTCTCTCTCATCTCACTTTTCGTGTGTGTGCGTCCTATGTCTCCTTTGCTCTTTTCACCACGGTCTTAGTCATTATTCCACGTCCTACATACATGGGCTATAGAGATGGGTCCGGGCGCTTCATGTGTGTGGTTGAGGGTAATCTGCTACCTTAGTCAGCTCACCACTTTCCCCTCACAGCATTACCTGTTAGTAGATGTCTCTCGACCAGTCAGCATCAGCATTGGCATCGCGGTCGTTGGGAAGTATGGCTGACGGATTCAAGATGCAAGGTGTCGGTCACAGCATTGCTGCTCGGCGTTGGTAGGAGGTTGGCGCGTCAGGTCAAGCTAACTTCGCCGCAGCGGCGGCGGCACAGAACTGAAGTTGTTTTAATCATGATACGTTACATAAGCGTGCCTGATGAACTGGATCTTTTTGTTCTCTGGGGTAAATCTAGTGGTGTTTGCAGGATTTCGATCTCCACGAGATTGTAAGGCTACAGTGGATTGTGGACTTCAACTGCTTACTGCTCCGCCCCGTTGTGCAATGTACATTAGGAAAAAGTATGGGGACGGCGTCTCGTTAGCGGGAAGGGGGCATTGGCGGGAGGCGGCCAGCCATTCGTATCACTACTTCATACTCTGTGACTTGCATGTGACTCTATGGGAAACTCCGTCGTCCTACCCACCGGTCCGGATCACAATGAGATTGCGGGGAAAGAAGATCTTGCCGGGATTCCTGATGTTGAGAGAAGCAAGGGGTGAGAGTTGCAACGCCAAGCCGGGGGGATCTGGTGGATCGCCGGTTGCAACGTTGGATCGCGATCTGTGGACATGGATGTCCAAGGCAGACGACAATTCGATCCAGGAGCAAACAATCCGGAATGCGATTTGGAATCTCCTATGGAGTTATGCTCCACAACACGTGGGATATTGCCAAATCTACACTAGATCTGACCAACATCAGAGCCAACAATGGGGTCTGTTGAGTGCCGAGACAGATAGACAGATAGAGTGCTTATTGAACTCGATGACGTGCAGCTGGGCCAAGGCGGTCGGACAGGGGGGCGAGTCAGATCAGTGTGTGGACAAAGTTGAAAAAGTCTTGTAGGACTACATGGATCCAGCTATCCATTGGTCGCTTCATTGTTACACCGGCCGGAGACTGCGGCCGAGATTACCTCCGGGGTGCACCGGCGAGCCCCACAATTCCGGATCCGGCCCCGGACCCGGCCTCCACGAACTCCGGATCTTCCTCATCAAAATCATCCTCATCATCAGGCTCACCGGCCACGCTCCTCCACACCCGAGACCACATCCCTTTCTTCTGGGCAAGCGCCAGCACCATGATAACCGGCAAATGCCAGACGCTGGCCCAGAACAGACTCCTCGCGCTGCCTTTGTGGCCCTCATATCGCCAGAACTTGACAGCCTCCCGTATCAACCACAGATTCGCCGGCAGACTGGTGACGGCAAAGCTCCATTCGGTTACCCCGGCCGCACACAGCCCCAAGCATAGCGGGACGAAGACGATGCTGTACCGCAACGCGACCCTCGCGTTCCTCGCCGGATTCACCCAACACAGCATCCTTAGCCCAGCCGCCTTGTACTCCTCCCGGATGCCCCAAGAGAGCGGCATGAAATGCGGAAACTGCCAGGCAAATAACAGCCCGGCGAATAGCCAGCCGCCCAAGCTCGACCCGTCGCTCGCAAACAGCAACTCCCGCCAGGTCCCCTCGCCCGTGGCGCTCTCCCCCGCGGCGGCAGCCCAGCCCATGAGCGGCGGGATCCCGCCCACGATGGCGCCGACCCAGGTATTCACGGCCGAGATGCGCTTCAGCGGCGTGTATGCGCCGGCATAGAGCAAGATATTCGCCGCGCCGAGGAACGAGACGGTGGGGTTGACTCCCAAGTACAGCGCGGCAGTCCCCGCAACGCCGCACCCGATCGCAAACAGCACCGCCGCGCGGGTGCTCAACAGCTTGCGCACCAGCGGGCGCGCCCTGGTGCGGCTCATCTTGGCGTCCGTGTCGGGCTCGTACAGCATGTTGAGCGCGTTGGCCGAGGCCGAGCACAGCGTGGTGCCCGTCGTGAGGAAGAGGAGGGTCAGCGGCGAGAGCGAGGGGATGTCGGCTGCCGAGGCGAGCGCTGGGGAGGAGAGGAAGGCCGGAACCGGGTAGAGTGCGTAGGGAACCATGGCGGACAGGACGACGAGGACGGTGAGTCGGGGTTTGGAGAGCGACAGGAGGGCCGACAGCGTGCGCCGCAGGGAGTTGGCGGGTGCGCGAGCCGCTTCGTCGGCTAGACGGGAGGAGGCGTTGCGAGGTAGAGAAGCCGCCATGGAGTTGGTAGGGGTTGAGGTTGGTGAGGTAGCGGTGCTGTTTGGTGCGGATTGCTCGGTGGCATTGGTCGCGGCATTTCGCCTTGCGGCTTGTCGCCGGCGGTGCGGGAGGAGGGAGTTGTCGGCCGGAATGTCGGCAGTGGTTGCTGAGAATTGCGCACCGGCGGACGAAGCACCTCCATCCGTGCCTGGCGAGGTTGGGGGCGAGCCATTGGCGCGAGTGAGAAGGTTGTTGGAGAGAAAGTAGCCCGGCCTAAACCGCTGGGGACGGACGGCGGCAGTGGCGCCGCCGGCAGCAAGGTCGTGCAGAAGTGCCGATTTCGAGAACGGCCTCGCGGGCCTCGACGGCCCGCTGGCCTGGCGCAATGCGCGCTGCGTGCATTGCCAGCAGAGGTCCCCCAAAACGCCCGGCCACGGTCGCAAATTTCGTATCGGCGGCCGCATCGTACTTTAGGTGCCAGGCGGCATCGCCATCGTCGTTGGTCAATTGGCTTCGGGCATCCTCGCTTGACGAAGTCGCTCAAGCGCGCGAAGACCAAAGCTCAAAATCTAGGCTTTTGTGGCTGGAGCGGTGGCTTTTATCCTAGGGTCAACTGTGGCGTTAGCAACAGAGTGGGTGACTTGGGACTCGGCGGGCCGCACCAAACTGAATGGAAGCAATTCTCCTTGATCAGGCAACCGACACCAAACTGCTGCACTCGGCTGACATCGCAACCGCTCGGGTAACACCGCGTCGCGACACCACGCGGGCATGGCCGCAGGTGCTTTCATCATCGGTCTCTGGTGCCTCCAAGCGCCTATGAGCGGGCTGTTGCCGATATTGATTCCATCACCCACTAACCAGGTTCCACAGGATTGTCGAGACGGCCAATAGCATCATCACCTTTCCAAGTTGCTCAAGACGCCACTTTAACTGTCAGGTTTCAGCACCCGCGCGCTCTCGACCTGCCATCGTAAAGGCGTGATGGTTCTTGACCAATGCCGAAGGACTTGTACCTGAGCATAAGAGAAAGCCGGCCGATGGCTCGGTAGCGGCTGATGTCAAGCTGCCTCCGTCGTGGGCGGCTTGCATGCTAGATGCAGCCCTAAGACCGCTAGATGCGGCCGGGCCGGTCAGTGTAACACGGGCAGGTAGTGCTCGTTGGGCCCCCCAGGCCCCCTAAAAAGGTCGATCTGACCGCAGCTACGTAGCAACCAAAGCAGGTGCATAGGAGTGGGTTGAGAGCTTACCCACGTATCTTGCCCTTCTCGAATCGGCTGCCCTTCGAGACAATGCCATCCTGTCTCGGATTCGGGCGTTTACTTGGAACGTGCCCAAGAGAGCTAGTTGTCTGACGTATAAAGCATTCACTTTAGGTGGTCCTGCGTGCAGGATAATGGACACCAGCCACCTGGCCTGCCCCCTAGGCCCCTACTGACAGTACCTTACCTTTAAAGTTCCCGATTTGGCATCTCCGACCGGTAGCCAGACCCGGCCGTGCGGCCCCACTCGGTCCCCCGCATTTCTGTCTTCCCTTGTCGTCCCAATAGGCCGGATGAGCTCCACCGGGACCGTGGAAGGCATGCTGCCGGAAGACATCATCATGGCTTGTGTCAGGTTGTCCTGCGTGAGCCCAAACATCAGGCGTCATTAAGCAGGTCTATCCGTACGAAGCCTTTAGCTTGGATTATACCGATGACAACATCTGAGATGGACAACCTTTTGGACCACCTGCGGTCGCTGAACGCCGTTGACTGTGACACTTTGGATGCGGAAGGCGAGTTGTTTCATTTCGACGTTGGGTCATCCGCATGTCAATAACCTGGAGGCTGGAACTCACCAATTCCCAACAGTGGCCGCGGAGTTAGGTCCGTTTGTTGACTGCACATCAAACCAGGCTAGTACAGTCATAAAGCATACTTAGCCAGGTATCTCGAGCTGACTCACCATTGGCACACCAGGCCATCGCATTCGCCGAGTTGAGCAAGGTTGACAGTAATGGGCTCCCTCTTTACCAGCAGGTGATTGCCGAGTCGGTCCAGGTTGCCCACTGGTTGTTTGGCAAGCAGACAGATGCGACACTCGAGGAGCTGGCAGTCGAGCTGATGGTACGTGACTGCTCCCTACGAAATCGGATGCTCAGTTGAGAGAACCAAGTTACCAACACCGTAGAACAGATGGTCGGCCTGTCCCTCCGGATCGCTCCTCACACGACCGGCTACCTTCATGTGCAGACCAACCCGAAGCTGGCCTATTCGACTGCCACAACCGTCAAGAACGCCGAGAGTGAGTCGAAAAGGGGCCATTGCCTTTCGTCCCTCTCGCCTGTTAACATGCTGCCAGGAATCGTCTCCCACTTCAAGCAGCTCGCTCCCGACTTCGACACCAGCCGTGTCTGCATCAAGATCCCGTCCACGTGGGAAGGGCTACAGGCATGCCGCGAACTCCAGAGGAAGGGCATCGCCACCCTCGCGACCATCATGTTTTCCCTCGAGCAGACCGCCCTGGCAGCTGACGCGGGATGTCGGTACATCGCTCCCTACGTGAACGAGCTGCGGGTACACTTTGATCCCGGGTATAGTAGTACCTCTTCTCTATCGTTTCTCGCCTCATCCGTGCAGGAGAAGCAGATGATGCCGCGTCGCTGATACCATAAGCTGACTAACGCGGCGGGCGGCACAGCTACGTCGACACTAACCCAGCCCTTGCGTTCTGCGGCGCGGCGCAGCAGTATCTGGACTCCCGGATGAATAATACCACGCAGGTCATGGCCGCCTCTCTGACATCCATCGACGAAGTCATGCAACTGGCGGGTCTGCACCACATCACCGTCTCGCCAGTCCTGCTCGCCGAGCTCGCTGCCACGCCCGCTGCTGGGTGGGCGGGGCGTGCCTCTATTGGGCAGGTTGTCAAGACTGCTGTAGGTGCAGCTGGAGGTGGGCCGGCGGCGGGTACCGCTCAGTTGGGGGCCGAAAACCGAGCTGCCGTACTCGACACCCTCGTCAAGGACGAGAGTCTCTGGCGGATGGCCTTCACCAGGTCTGATGGGGGGAGGAGCGAGACCAAGCTGGTGCAGGCGATCAATATCTTTGCGGATGTCCAGGACAAGCTGGAGGAGATGGTTCGTCAGGCCGATGTCACGGCACGGGCGGCCGCTGCTTGACTGGCTTGAGCGGGCTCGGCCCTTGAGCGGTTCAGGGATGCGGCGTTCGCCAAGGTGAGGAGTTGTCGTGCTTACTAGGGGATTGCTTGCCGACTTGTGCCGTGGAGGATCGCCCGGCGGTCGTGGGGTATATATGCATTCAGATTCTAGGAAAGGGAACTCACGTCTTGGTTTCGCTCCGCCTCTCTAATCTCACTGCCACAAGTGCCTTGCATTGGGGCACAAATACAGTGATGTCTTCATCTTCATCTGGCGTAATCAGGGTCGCTGGGTGTGAACAGGTCGGCTTCAGAGAGGTCAAGTCCATGGGATAGACACCCGTGCCGCCAAAAACACAGGGGATTATCAGGTCTAGTAAGAGCACCTTCATTCGGTGCTTCACTCTCGCTTTCCCTAGATCAAAACGACTTCCGTCAGACTATCTGGTGGCATCTGGACTTCTCCGTCCATTATCCCGTGGACATACCATTCGCCCACGAACTCGTACACATCGTGCTCGACAGGCCTCAGCAGCCAGGGCCCATCTCCACTCAGCGGAACACAGACACTTGATCGCCATTTTGGAGGCTCCGCGGCCCGAGGCTAATGAACTCGTTTGCGTTCAAGAACAGAAACGCGGCACGCCACCCGGAGAGCGTCGAAGAACCTTGTATCGTCTTTACGGAAAGCGGATAAAATGGCAGGTCGGCAGTCTACACTAATCGGGGGTCCAAGCCGCGAGACCGGGTTAAATGTGGCTTGCTCGTCGGAGTTACACAGCCGATGGGAGTGGGAAGATTCTGGTTCGCCTTGTGTGTTGCTCTGAGACGTACGATTCCAATCATATTATCAGATAACCATCGAGGCAGCACAGACGCCTCCATATATGGTTGGTTGGCTAGGAATATTGAGACATAACTGATGCTCTTGTCCACAGTATGGTAGGAAGCTGTCGTCCTATGACCATTGCCTCGTGTGCAAGGTCAAGAGCTGCTATGAAGTCTGCCTTACTATGAAATAGATGAAAAGTATATAGTAAATCAAATCCATTTGAATTACATAAACGGATGTGATACCCCAGACCCCCTTTCAACTTTAAATCCAGATTACCGTGCTGGGGCCGCCACTGAATCCTCTCGAGTCACAAATAAGTGCAGCTGATCTTGGGAAAGGAAAAGGAGGAAAAAAGGCAGGTGGTGGTGACTTCGAGCGACGAGATGACCGACTCAGTTCTGCAGTATTCCACACAGAATCGGGGAGTGCCAGTCGTCTAATCTAAAGACTTCACACCATCAATTGGAAGCATTCCTTGAAATTACCTCATTACTCCTGGTGCAACCACTCTGGCATCGTAGAGCAGGATACTAAAATACTACTAGAACTTATACTATACAACCCCGCGATCATTCAAAAAACTCGTCCCATTCCTCTTCCCCGCCACATCCCCATCGCCATCCCCATCCTGCCCGCCCCCAGCCCCGCCCCCGACAAAGAAACTCTCGGGCGGGCCCAAGTAGCTCGGCCTCACCCCGCCCAAGTCGACCACCACCCTCTGCACCACCACGCCCGGCATCAGCGCCCAAATCCGCAACTTATACGCCCCCTCCCCGGCGACCTCAAACCCGCTGGTCGTATACTGGCCCCTCCACACGCCATCCGCGACCGCCGATCCCCAGCCGGGCGGCATGTTCCCTCCCACGGTGGCACCCACCGGTTTCACGGACGTGATGTTGTTGTTGGGTTCAGCGGAAGAGGAGGAGGACGACGAGGACGCGGGGAAGAGGGAGATGGCGTACTCCAGCGGGGTGCCCTCGCCTAGGTAGTTGAGGGCCGGGGAGAGGTAGACGGTGACGTTGGCCCTGGGCGTCCGGGTGAAGAGGTAGAGGTCGTATTCGAGGGCCGGCGCGGTCGCGAGCGTGAGCTTCTCCGTGTTGAGCGGGACTAGGCCGACGCCGGACGAGGTGCGGCCGTAGGAGGCGAAGGTGTGGTACGTCGGCTGGTTTTTTTCCCCTTCTTTTTCTTCTTCACCTTGGGTGGATTGTTGTTGTTGTTGTTGTTGTTCTGGTTTGATGATGGCCGAGTAGTGCTCGCCCGCAAAGGCGACGTGGCGGTCCGACTCGACGAAACCGCGCGTGAAGGTGGGCGGGACGGAGCGGATGGTGACGGGGACAAGGACGTGCGGATCCGAGAAGCCGTAGCGGTCGAAGGCGCGGCAGGGGGTGGTGAAGCTGATCTTGACCGTCTCGTTGTGGGGGCCCCTGGGCGCGGCTTTCCAGTCGACCGAGAGGAAGACGCGGTTGTCGGGCAGGTCTCCGCCGACGGTGCCCGCAGACTGCGAGAGCTTGACCCACGGCTGCGAGGCGGACGCGTTCCACGCGCAGGTCTTGGTGCCGCGCGAGAAGACGTCGAAGTAGCGCGTGGCCGGGCCGTAGGGGTCGAGCGGCGGGACGGAGAGGTCATTCGCACTGTTGGGGTGCCACTTGTCGTCGCCCTTGACCGTGGCGTTGGAGCCCTCGACGCCGATGCCGATCTCCCCCGCCAGCGCGGCGAAGTCGGTCTGCACGTGCACCATCGCCGGCAGCGTGTTGCGCATCGGCTGCTGCCAGTAGCCGTCGTAGCCGAGGTGCGTCTGGTCCATGAAGTGCTTCCACTTGCCGTCGAGCAGCGCATCCCACCGCCGCGTGAGGTTCGCGTCGGCCGCCGAGAGCGCGAGCACCTCCCGGATCACGCTGTTGGCCGCGTTGCGCTTCTGCCCGGCGTAGAGCAAGTTCCGCGCGGCGCCGATGTGGATCTGATTCACGATCTGGCCGGCCAGCGCCGGGTGCAGCACCGTCTCGAAGAAGGCGGCCTGGGCCTCGGTCGGCAGCTTGTCGTAGATGGCCTGCGCCTTGGCCACGAGGTCGGCCCACTGCTGCAGCACCGCGTCGGCCTCGTTGTAGTGGATGACCGAGTAGGTCTGCGGCTCGACCAGCTCGAACTTGCGCCGGCCCGCGTACATGCCGTACCTCATCATGACCTCGGCGATGTCCGCGGCCTGCTCCGGCCCGAACTCGCGTGCCGCCCACGCCTCGGCCCACGCGCGCGTGCTGTCGACGTGCCACGTGCCGGCGTCGTAGGCCATGTCGAAGAAGTGGCTGATGGGGATCTCGAGCGCCTTCATGTCGCCGACGTTGACGATCCAGATGCGGTCGGCGCCGCGCGCGTACGCCATGTGCATCTGCTCGGCCGTCTTGGACAGCTGGACGGTGTTGATCCACTTGTAGTTGCGCACGTCGCCGACGTAGTCGAAGTGGTAGTAGATGCCCGCGCCGCCGCGCCGCCGCGTCTCGTTCCGCAGCGGCAGCCGGCGCACGTTGCCCCAGTTGTCGTCGGCCCAGAGCAGCGTCACGTCGTCGGGCACCTGCAGGCCCGCGAACAGGTAGCTCATGACCTCCTTGTACAGACACCACATCTGCGGCACCGCCGTGATGTCGGCCACGCCCAGCCCGTCGGCCACGATGCGGCGCTGGTTCCGCACGAGCACCTGCAGCATCTCGACGATGTGCTCCACCCCGAGCCCCTCGATGGCCGTGTCGCCCGTGCCGCGCATGCCCATGGTCCACAGGCTGTTGCGCGCATACGGCCGGGCGCGCTGCACGCCGTAGCGGAAGTAGTCGTCGATGGTCGCGTTGTTCACGTTGTACGCCCACGCGCCCTCGTAGAAGTGCCCGAACTCGTTCTGCGCCCGCATCAGCGGCTCCGTGTGCGACGACCCGATCACCACCTCAAACGCGTCCGCCAGCGGCTGGTTGCCCGGGTCGTCCACCTCGAACATGGCGCCCCAGATAGCCGGCCACAGGTAGTTGGCCCGGAGCCGCAGGAGCAGCTCGAAGACGAGGCTGTAGAAGGCAGGGCCGTAGCCCGCGCCATAGGGTGTGTCTTGCCAGTGCGAGCTGCGGAAGCGTCAGTCGATTTAATTTAACTGGTGGTACAGTACAAACTGAATGGACTTAGCCAGATAGATAGACGTACGCAACCCAGTTGGTCAGGGCCGGCTGCTCGTCGTTCAGGAAGAAGCCCCGGTACTTGACAGAGGGCGGGCCCTGGACCTTCTTCCTCGCCGTGACATACAGGTCCTTGCTCTTCTTGGGCGGGCTGTCGGCCCAGAAGTACCACGGGCTGACACCGATCTGCTCGCTGATGTCGTAGATGCCGTAGATGGTGCCCCGCGGGTCGCTCCCCGCGATGACCAGTGCCTTGGAGCAGCCCGGTACCGGGTTCTTGACTACCTGGCTGACGAAGGACTCCCACTTGCCCTTGACGCCCGAAACGTCGATGGACCGGGACGACACAAGCCTGTCAATGACGGTCGAGTGTCCAATGGTGCCGGCAATGATGACAACATCCTTCGGCGACGGATCCGCGTAGCTGGGGCCCGTGAAGTTTGCGGTTCCCGTCGTGGAGTACTGCAGGCGTCAGCAAAATAAATAAATCCCTTACAAAGGAAGGGTCCTCCTTGCCGCATCACTCACGAAGGTGTTGTTCATGTTGTTGACCGGGTGGTACGTGTAAGTCGCCGGCGCCGCATGCTTCTCCCCGTTGCTGAGCGTGTAGTTGATGCCCGTCACACGTCCAAAATCCACGGCGAGATCGCCCGCAGCGCGTATGACACCCCAGTAGTCGTTGCTCGAGACCAGAATCTGGCCCTTGCCCACCCGCCCGCCGGCGATCTGGAGTTCAGCGCCATGGCTCTTGGTCGAGATGATCTGATCCTGGCCCAGGCCCGCAACCACCGAGCTGAAGGCGAGCCAAAGGGCTCCCACAAGGCCCCTGGATGGCATCTTGGGGCTGATGTGCAACCCGGAGAACTGCGAGGGTAGCTGAGCGAGGTGACGGGCTGGATGAGAAGAGGTGAGGGGATGCCACCTTGGATGCAGGTCGCATATAATAAATATACATCATCCGGCCCCCCGGGTATGCAAGGTACGCTGCTCCACGGGCGGCCCAGCGGCCACGAACTGGTAAACAGACATGCTTGTAGGATTGGCGGAAAAATATACAGTACTAGTAATATGTAGACCGGGATGGGGGCATAGCTCCCACGTCGTATCGCCCGACTTACACGCTCACTCGAGAGGTGTCCCAAGTCCCTAGCCAAGAATGGGAGAGGCAAACTCCACGCCGCTCGGGTGTTTGCCGGGCAGACGGGTAAAAGAGAGATTAGCGTGGGCTGTTATTGAGACTAAAGCCTAACAAGGTTGGCTAACCGTTGCGCTTCGGGTCAGTAAATATGCAAGAGTTTGGTTCGTGTCGGGTCATTCTCCAACTCCAAGTACCTGTATGTACGGACATATCCCGAGATCTGCCCCAGCATCCCCACACTTCCCCATGAATGGGGTGGGGATGACGGACCTGGGGGGTGATGGTGACATTTGACTGTGAACTCCTCACCGCATACCTAGGGTAGCCGTAGCCGGTAGATGGATCTTGCATGCTTCTTGCGGCCGAGATGGGTTCTCATCAGGTACGAACTGTTGCCCCGAGCTGCTCCTTGGGAGATAAAAGGAACTATGAGCGGTAACCAGAGAAAGAATGGTATGTAAATGCTGCAAGTTGACCAGAACCGAAGAATAGGTATTGGTCAGTGGCCATGCGGAGAGTGCGGAGCAAAGGGCAACGCAAGGTGACGTTGGACTTTAGCCGGGAGCTGGATCCACGCCCTATTTTGGCTTCCGCGGATTGGAAGCAACGTCCAAGAACCGGGATCAGATCCGGACCGCATCATGCCATCAACAGGAGCTGGTTGTGCCGGAAGTCCCAGAAGCCGGGTTCGCTTTGAGGATCGAGTCCTATTCACAACAACTCGGTAGGTATGCGGTTTCCGGATTGCCCTGGTCGGAAAGGTCACAGTCTGTAGGGAAGCAGTGTTCGAGATGTCATGGATGAGCCAGCTTGTTGGTTCATAGCATTCGATATGCAGCAGTCGTACAGAGTGACAGTGCATACCGCCTGTTATGGCGTACATGCAAATGCTGCGATAGTCTCGCCAGGGAATGTGGGTGGGATTGCCGGGTACCGATCAAAGCAGGCGACCTCACAAACGTCAGCAGCAGCTGAGCTGAGGTAAGTGACCAGACACTCACGCTCCTTGCACACGTCCCGTATCATCAAGGGGCCTTGAGCATCGAGCTGATATGAAAGTTTTGCAGTATCCGCAAGTCGGCGATGGTCTCAAGTGCTATGAATTCTCCATTCCTCAGTGTACATGGCAGATCACATACCTAGAAGTCCCCAATCCGCCAAGCCCATCCCATAGTAATCGTACAAATTGAGCAGGGCAGAACCTGCAGGTAAGTCTTGCCCCAAACTCTCGATTGAGCGTGAGTCGAGCGGTCGGGCCGTGTATACCGCCTGGAGCATCCCAGTCCTTTCGAGGTGATGCGAGCCCCAACCGCCCACGATATGCAACTCCCACGTCCCCTCAAGCAGCGGTCTCCTCCGTCCACCGATACCGCGACAGCAAAGCCATCTTTTCCTCCGGGCTGACCTCGGTGTCCGCGTACACCATCCGCATCTCCTTCTTCTTCCTCTCGCCCGCCGCTCCTCCTCCTTCCTCTGTCTGGGTCCCGTTCTTGGCAGCAGGCGGCCGAATGCCCGCCTCGGCCATCCGTATCATCTGGTCGATATCGTCCGCCGCGCCACCGCCCTGTCTTGCCGCGTTCGCAACCAGGTCGTCCACCGTCGAGGGGACCGCGCCGGGAGCACCGGGGAAGCCTGGCGCTGGCGCGCCGGAGCCATTGTAATAGTAAGGGGGGGCAGCGCCAGGTGCGGCAGCCCCACCGGGCGGTCTGGCCGGGAGAGGGAACGGAGCTGTCACGCCCGGAGGTGGTGAGGGGCCCGGTGGGTACGTAGCTGTCGGCGGGTAGGTCTGTGTTGCGGGATAGGTAGCCACGCCGGGTACGCCCGCGGCAGGGTACGGGTAGCCGGCCTGTGGAGGCTGGAAAGGGGAGGCCTGTTTGGAGAGGTGCGGTGAGACTTGACTGTCGGGAGGGAAGGGGAGCCGGTGAGGAGTGCTTACGCCTTGTGCTGGGCTCTGGCCGTCAATCGGTGCAGCGGCGGGAGCGACGCCATTTGCGGCCGCAGCCTTCTGGGCAGCGACCCTTGCGCGGTGCTCGGCCAGCCGTTTCTTGAGCTCCTCCGGCGTCTCGTACTTGAGCTTCTTTGCTGGCCCCTGGCCGCCCGATTGCCCTCGCGGCGGATTCCCCGTGGCGGCTTGCCTCTCGGCCTGGGCAGTGTAGAAGTTCTGGATGATGCGTTGGTTGTGCTGCTGCACAATGTCGTCGGGGACACCCTCCATGCCGAAGATCTCGACGTCAAGGCCTTGCCGGTTTGGCAGTGCATTCTCGACGCTTGAGAGGGTTTCTTTGTGCACTTGGTTCATGTGCACCGAGAGACCTGCAGTGAAACTCGTTAGCTTTGCTGCGCGGCTTCTAGCATGAGAACAGAGCGCGTCGTGCCGCGCCCGGCGCGGGCCATACCTCCAGCGGTGTTTAATCGCTTCCCGCATCTTTCGCACTTGAAGTGTTTCGCCTTCTGATGGGAAATCAGGAGCTTCAGGTCTTCAAAGTCTCGTTCGCCTACAGCCGCGTCAGTCAAAGCCGCATGGGAGGATCACGGCCGACAAACAGTAATAGCACCATGGCCGCGCAAGGAGCTCCTCCACATCGGGGTGACCGCGTTTCTTTTTGCCCATGTTGACAGGTGGTGATGGTTGAAAGGCTGCGATGTCGAGTAGACCTCCAAGCGATGCAGACTTTCGATGCGCGTACGAAGTAATGTTCGTCGGTTGCGGGTGTGAACTCTTCAACTCGACACTAAATAAGGTAAGCTTGCAGACCGAATCATTGACGTTGCGTTGCGCTCCGAAATGTCAAGGTACCTTACCTAATTTAGCTATTGCCCGGATATGACGATAACCTCGCTTGCTTTAACGTTATGCGATGGGTATATGCATAGATTTCATTACGGTGCGTAAGTTTCAAATGCATGTAAAAGTACAGATTACGAAACACCAAGGTAGTACAATACCTAGGTATGATGAAGCTAGGTACAATACGTAAAAATAAGACCGGCATAACGCGGCATACGGATTTCAAACTATCGTCGGTTTTACAATCAACCTTCCACAGTACATATCCGTATATACTTGGCCGTCTTATAAGCATGGGGCCAAAAGCTTCTACCACTTAAGTTTGTTAATACAAGTCACGTGTGGTTAGTTACACAAGATGGCAAATGATGTCGAGGTAAGGAGCAAAGAAAGAGAGAATGGCAAGCGAAAATGAAAAAGAAAGATATGAAAACGGAGGAAATGAGGAAAGATGCATAATAATGGAAAGATAGAGATGCAGCAAAAAGAAACGTGCTGTTTTAGTAGCAACAAAAATTCCACTAAGTGATGGTGACATTGGTGTAGTATGACAATCTTCTAGCGGTCACATGACCTGCACTATCCGAGTACCTAGTACGTAAGGTTAACACTACCGGCCGAATGCTCTGTACGGGCACCCTCAACACCAAGAATGTATCACCCCTTGCCGTGCACGAGCCCAAAAATGGTCTTACCGCACAGTCATCGTCAGTCACTTGTTGGTCTCCTGCCAGTTCGGGCATTTAATCAATGTGATCTCTATCATCTCCAGTGATTCTAAATTTTCGATCACCAGATGCATCTGACTCCTCGAGTCCTCATCACATCTCCGCTGAGTCGGCGTTGGCAGAAGTTAGAACGATCTGCCTTGAGCCCAGTCTAATCTCAGCCAACAGGGGATCTTTTCTATCCAGCTCCCCCTCCAGCTTCTGCCGTTTTACCTGTTCCTCCTGCAATAGAAAACCCATTTTAGTATCATATCACTCTCAATCTACCAGTTTCCTCCCGGACAGGAAGTGATATATATAAACAGAAGAAAATAAGGGAACTCACCTTCAGCTCCTGAAACTTCCGTCTCTCCTCCTTCATCGGGCGTCGGCCTGACAGCCCACCGTAACCGTCTCCTCAGGCCACTCTTCACGTATCTTGCCTCTCTCAACGATAGATCCAGCTGCTCTAGTCTTACAGCTTCGTCGTGGAGAAGGTCGTCCACTAAAGTCAACCTCAGACTTTCCCAAGGCGGGCAAGAGTCGGTGAGGAGTCCCCACAACATCCACGAGTCGAGGCCCGAGTCCTTATGTGTTTCCAAATTCCCATTCAAACTGAAACCGATGGGCCGTCGACAGAAGGTCGGCCCGTGTTGTGGTCGTAAACAACACGGCTTCGATATTGAAGCCGCATTGCGGTGAGCTGACCAGCTCTTCGAACGCCGCCTCCATGAGTGCGGAAGCCTCCACCACATCCTGCCGGACAACCGAGAGATAGTAGCGGCTGATCCCGATGAGGTCATCCAGGCTGCATAGCGCCAGAATACCATCGGGATCCGAGTGGTGGAGGCTTTGATACTCCGCAAGAAGCGATTGGATCGTTTCGGTCGGCAGAACCGGTTGGCGGCTGCAGAGTTCGGTCGCTCTGCGGAGCATGTATGCGTCCACGAGCGCATTTCCCAGAGTCGCCTTGACCATGCGTCCCAAAATCCGCTGCCGGTCCAACAAGTATTGCTCATGCAGGACTGGCAATGAGCGGACTGCAGCCATCAGATCCTCCAAGTTCGAAATGGATGACAGGATCTGGATTCGGAGTTCCGCAGGCAGGGTCTCGCTGGTGGGACGAGGTTGGCAAGTTGTGAGTTGGTTCTCCATATTGAATTGATGGTGACTATGAGGTTGTAGCAAGCGTTGCTTGATGCTTGTGAATTTGAGTGGGAGAAAGAATTCCTGGCTTGATGGTTGTGAGTTTGACTGGGAAGAAGAAGCTCTCGCCCTCTTGGGCCGCAGGTCGACAGTTTTTAAATAAAGCCGCTCGGACGCACTCAAATCACTCCTTGCCACAGCTTGCGTCGAGCGTCGCCACATTCGTGTAGTATGATCAAGGTACTATATGTCCTCGACTTTACGTACTGTGTTCACTACATCAGACGACGTCCGGTGGCAACTAAGGCAAGTATGGACGTCACTGGTTAACTAGACAAGCCGTAGACGTCCTTCGAAGTTGCCTCGATTGATACTGTGAATGGACCAACGACAGGCCCAGAAGCTCAGGCGGTCCTAGAGCTGACGATAGACACCAGGGAGTATGGTGTAATACTCAGCGGAGCATACGCAAATGCCACGAGCCGGGGCCCGAGACATACCAGGTATTCGCCCACAGCGCTGAGCTGACTCCTTTCGGCTCGCAATAGTCGAGCGGCTTATAAGCGGCTCATAGATTGAGCTGTTCAACCTCTGGATCCGTTTTGTTCAAGCAAGCCGCGATGTATTCGCTCAAAGGGTGAGCGGCCTTTGGTTGGCTGTCCTCGAGAAACTGCCTTGCTTACTACCTTAGGTATTGTACCTATCCCGTTACTCTGGGCATCTCTAATCCACCAAGCAATAGCTCGTAGGTCAGGCGCGCCAGGTCTAACACGTACGGTGCATGGTAAGAGTAAGGTAAGTATTTACAGTACTGCAGCACTGGCATCATACACAGTCCTGAGCGGTGCATGTTTCAACCTAGAATGATCGTCCACTACGTGTACTAGAGGTGTTTTCAAGTTGTTCCCCAGTCTTGGTCTATGAGCGTGGTTTCTTCCCCCACACCAGATGATCAGAGAACGGTCCGATCAACCATCTCGACACCGCGCACTCTGAAACTGGACGAATATTGATTACTTCATTCAAGGTACATATCTCGGCGCCTGTTTTGTTTGTCTTACGCATCTAGAAGCACTGCAGGACATGCATGAGAATCGGGCTAAGCCGGCCCAATGCTAATTACATGACATCGCTCGATCCCGTTGGCCCCGGATATGCCCCCTTGCCCAACAAGCCCCGCGACGAGAATCACCTGGCATCTCAATTGCCCGTACATCCGACGCCCGGCGCAGCAATGTCAAACGCGTAGACGTCGATGGCGAAGTACTGGAGGGTGTCGCTGTCAATGGCCGACTTTGCCGGATCGGTCTTGGCCAGCTCAACCACGCCCTCGTAGTCCTCAGCGAAATGCTCGACGACGTTTTCGCTGATCCGCGGGACGTGCAACACCCTGTGCAGCAGATCGGTAGCCCAGAAGGTGTTGAGCGGCGACTCCGTCACCGTGTAGCCCAGGCCGCAGACCGAGTCGAGCCAGCGCCGCTTCGCGAAGGAGAGGTCGCAGATGACGGTTTCTTGCGTGGCGTTTGCTCCGCGCCAGTGGCCCGCCCAGCCTGGTTCATGAGAGTTGACTGTCAGCTTCAAGACACTGGATAGAGATTAGAGAAGTAAGGTAAGGAATTGACCCACCATCCTGCGTAGCGCAGTTGCGATCCGGGTCGTCGCAGCGGAAAGTCATGTTCCTGCGGTCTGCTGCAATGACACGCTCGTACCAGCCCAGGGGCGTGGCCGTCGCCGTGCCGTTTCCAAAGTATTTCTGCACGAAAGGCGAGTCACCTCCCCAGCGGAGGATGTGGTCGCGCGCATGCGTGGCAAGCTCCACGGTCTCGTTAAGAGCCCGCTCAAGCTGGCGACGCAACGTGGAATTGCAGGAAGAGTGGACGGGATATTCCGTGACCGCGCCTCTTCGGAAGTCCCATGGGGTTGGGCTGGCGCTTGAGGTGGATGTGCCGCTGGTCGAGGTGGCTGTAGTCTGTTCAGCGGGCGCGGGAAGAGCCCATGTGCTGACTCCGAAGAGGCACAAGACAGAAAGGAACTTGAGCTGCATCCTGATGGAGAGCTATGAGAGAAGTCCTGTGTAACCGGATTGTGTCCTATGTCTCTTCATCAACAGGCGGAGGGCCCGGAATTTATTCTTGTCCTGAACATGGCAGCATGGATGATGGCCCTCGACTGCGGACTGCCTCAGTGCCTCTTCGACAAACCACCTTCCGATCCTGTTCCTCGGGATGCGCCTAGACTTCGCTAACGCCAGGTTAGTTACCCTGCTGGACGAGAATAAGAGGCAAGGCTTCTCTTGGCCTTCCGAGATATCGCGCTATTTGACCTGAGGTGGTTACCGAGCGCTGAGCAAACTCAGTAGAAATGTTGTGATAGTCTTGGCTCACTCCGCCGGAGACGACAGGTCCCGCATCAACCCATCGGTTACCGGTGGAAGAGTTATCGAGAGAGACCGAGAAAAATCCAGCAAAAGCCTTGGCTAGGAACCTTGATGGCCCTTCGTTCCGTTGCGGTTGTATTTTTCTCACAACTCCAAAGCCGGCCATCAAGGTCCCCGCCAAGGGAACCAAGACTCCAACTGCATATGTAGCGTATGCTACCCCCACGTCTACGGCACCGATCCAGCCTCTCGTGCGAACTGCCACGCTCTTGGGTAGTCCGTCCTTGGGCCCGGTAGGGCTCGGCCATGTCATACCATCACGTCATACCGCATCCGACTGCTGACGTCCTTGGAAATGCCGCGGTTCACTAGGTCTTTGAGAGAGTCGGGTCACACCGGAGAGCAAATACTACGACATAGCACAGGATTCATCCTCCCTCCTTAGCTCATATGGCCCAGACCATGTTCCTTACAACACACTCTTCCGCCTCAGCCAACTCTCTACAGACGCCTTCAGATCCTCGTATGGCACGCCGATCAACTTATTCGCGCTCTCGTCCTCCGTCAGCGCATTCCCAGCGCCATCTGCAGAGTTGTGCGCCCTCAAGAAGTCCACAAACGCCCGCGGATCGCCCGCCGCGAGCTTCTCTTCGCCTGCCTTCTGCAGGTCGGCCGACTTCAGTTTCGTGACGGGGAGCTTCGACCCCGTGAGCTCCTCGACCAGCGCGATGAGCTCGTTCTGCGAGAGGTTGAACGACGCCGTGGCAAGGTACTTGTTTGCCGTCTCGTCCGGGTGCTTCAGGATGCCGGCCACGGCCCTGCCGATGTGGGCGAGATTGCTTGCATAGAACTTTTCGTTGCCCGAGTCGATAACCGTGGCCGTCTTGTCGTTGAGGTTGACAGTTCCCAGGCCGGAGAAGTCGAGACCCTATGGTTCCCCCAGTTTAGTAGCTCCCTGATGGCCACCCGATAACTTTTATCTGTCGAGAAGTTCGGAAGGTAGAAAACGAGTACATACCCAATCGAAGAACAGCCCCGTCGACAAGCCCGTCCACGTAAACTCCGGATTCTCCTTCACCTTCTCCTCCAAGTAATCCACGATGGCGATCTTGCCCGCCAGGATCTTTCCGATCGAGGTCCCGCGCACCTTGCGCGTGTGGATGCCGAACTCGGACGGGATGAAGCGCTTGACGCCGGCCGCCAGCGCCGCGTCGATGGCCGTCTTCTGTGCGGCGATCCCAGGCGCGCCGACGACCGAGACGACCGCATCTTGGCCGTGAAATGCGTCCTTGAGGGCGTCGAAGGAACTGTAATCTACCTTCTTGACGGGGAGGCTGTCGGGGAACTTGGGCGTCGAGTTCGTGGATCCCTCCCGCGTCACCCCCGTGACCGAGAAGCCTGCGGAGACGAGCTCGGTGATCACGGCCGGACCAAGGTTGCCGCTGCCCTGTTCGTGTACGTTAGCAATATGCAATACTGATTCCATGACGGATTGCGTGGTATTTGATTTTCTTACTCCGAGAACAGCGACTGTCTTGATGGACACCATTGCGTGGAAGTTACCGTTGAAAGATCCCAGGCTCAGGTGTTGATGGTCAAGGTTGGTGGTGATGCTTTTGAAGTACCTTACTCTTGAACGAAGAGGTAGCGAGGACGGGAATGTGATGAACAGGACCAGCTCATTGAAATACAGTAGCTCCTGCTCAAATTACTACCTTAGTTGAAGTCATATGTTGCAAGACTTGCGTAGTATTGCGGCATGGGAAGGAGCCATGAAACGGTTGACTTTCCCCGAAGGTGGGGTTACGTCCCGTCATTGCCGTCATTGCCCCTCCGGTCCGGGTGGGAACGAAGGTTCTACGACCGGCGGCTCGGCAGATGACCTGCGGCAGCAGGGTGCTTAAGTTGAATTACTATTTGATTGCTGAAACACTCCGTCTCGGGAGCCGCCAGCTGTGTGAGAAATCTTTTATCGCAACCCTACACGACGAAGACGGAACTGGTATCCCTAGCAGGCGATATATGGTACTCTTTTACCTACTAGTAGGTAGATCGACTTCCATCGTGTCGTCATCTACTACATCAAGGAGGGGAAAGGTGTCAGTGTCGTGTTGATTTGGTAAGCATGATATCTAGATTATCAAGTCCCGCCCCGCCGTCTACTACAGTACGACGAGTCATCTGCGTTCCATGTGGCATGATCTTGGTTCCACAAGCAGCGCCGGCTGGTAGCACGGCTGTGGCAGCGGTACACAACCTCGGACCCCCCCTCATTTAAACTGTCGACGGCGAGCTAGGACACAGTATCCAACCGAGGCTCTGGTCCGGCAGGGCTTGTGTAAGCACATGTGCTCTTGAGTCTTTAACTGACAGCACCGATTTGGATTTGAAGCAGACCAGACCATGCACCCACGGCCCTTCCCTCCTCTCGCAGTGGACGCGACCCAGGAGTCGGCTTCTCTTCATGCAATTGGGAGCGAGATCCGGCACTCGCGCTCTGCCAGTCTCAACTCTCTTGGAGCTGAGCGCCATCGAGGGGGTTGCATATGCCCTTGTTGTCGTACATACAAGCCGTGACATATGCTGTGTTACTCCGGCCCGAACCTAAGACGGGCATGAAGCAGTGCGCGCTGTGTTCTTGTAACGGCGTCTCTCAAAGTCCACCTGCCAGTTGTAAGTCAGGAATAGTCATGCGGGCTACTCTTATGACTACTAGTAGTACCGAAAAGAGAGGAATCTGAGGTATATTTTGATGCTCTTGCAGCGCCCAGTCTTCCCACCGTGCTCCGCCCAGAAGTGGTATCCTAAACGACGCTGATGAGGAGAACAGAAAGTGGAACAATCCACTCAAGAGAAAACGCATGGTCCGAGATTGGACCAGCTGAAACAAGTTGTACGCCTCCGTCCACTTGGCAGGTATCGTTGAGGCGCGGCCGTCTCACCCGTTCCACCCTTCGTAACAACGCGGGTAAAGCATCCCTTTGCGTCCCTGGCAATCGGATCGACCCCCTATGACCCGAATTCCTTCGCCTTCCGCGCTAGGATCCGGATATTATTGACTAACCCCTCCACCACCTCGACGTACTGATGAGGTTGACCCTCCATGGCCCTCTGGCCCTGATCAATGAGTGGGGTGGGATCAATCTCGACTTCCAGTTCGTGCTCCTTCTCTGTGCGCGGATTCTGCGTCATGGTTAGTGCTTCGACAGTTAAAGGGTTTCACGGAAATCAATGAATGACTTACACCTTGTCCGCCGACGCTCTGAGTCACCTGCGTTAAATCAATCTGGTAGCACCCATGCTTGTAACTCAATCGATCCTTGTTCCGCGCTGGGATGGGCGGACGTCCCGACGCAGCGGCCATGCTCTCCAGTTCCGCGATCTCGCCGTCCCAGTCCATTTCGAGATTCACGCTGATCCTACAGTCTAGCGGCTGGTCAGGGAAGTGCAGGCTGATGTCGGCGATGCGGGCCTTCACAATCTTGCTGAGCACTTTCTTCGTCTTCTGGTCATGCGTGACCCGTACCCTCGCGCCGTGGCCCTTGGCGGCGATGGGCCTGGCAACGCATACCGGGAGCATGCGATCGCGGTGTGAGGCGGGGATCTCGTAGAACGTGTCGACCTCGTAGCGGTGGCGGTAGTCGATCGGGAGACGGGGTCGTGGCAGACCGGCGTGGGCGGCCTTGTTGGCGGGGTGAGTTTGCTGAACGAGATAGTTGAGAAACTCGTTGAACGACCTGTGCTCTTTCTCCGTCATGGTAGAGCGGAACCCGAGCCAATTACCGCTATCGTTGAGGACGCATTCAGAAAGGACCGGGAGGTCCACACGATGGTTCGTGGATTTGTCGATGAGCATGCCGAGTTTGGCTTCAATTTCGAATTTGACACCGCGACTTTGGATTTCGCCTCTGTCTTGGTTTAGGATGACGTATTGAAATATGAAATCCGCGATCGCCTTGGTAAATGACTCCTGAGGAACCGAGTTGGTAATGCTCGCCTCCCAGGGGCCCAGTGCTCCCCACTGGCTGACTGCTTCCGGGGGCACGCTGGTTGCTGGAGTGATCGATGCCATGGAGCGTTTCTCCTCCGGCGATGCGTGGCGACTTTGGACGCGGTCGGTGCGGGCCGGCTGCCGATCGGGCTTGCCGTTGACCTGCGTGCCATTTTGCGCGAGCGGTTGATATAGGATTCGGTTGGGATTACTCGGGGCTTGATCTTTGCGCGACTGTGCCCATGGAGGAACAACCCGATGCGCCCTCCTCTTTTGGACGGTCGTCATCGGTACGGTCGGATGCTGCACAGAGCTACCAGCATCAGCGCGAGCGGGACGACTGTTCCGGTCTTCAAATGGGGGAGGCCGTGCGTCCCGCTTCTCCAACTCGTCTGGCTGTAGCTCACGATCTTCTAGCTTCCGCTTGGCCGGAGTAGCGGCGCGCTCTGACATAATCGGCGCGGGTTGGATTGCGGTAGGGCGTGAGTCTGGCTCCGAAATGGAAACTGAAGTCCCCGGTCGGCCAGAGCTGCTTGGCAAACTGGGGACGCGCGTTTTGGGACTAACGCTTAAGCTTCGGTCTCTGTCGCTCTGAGACTGTGGGCCCCGGACGGAGTCCTGGTTGCGGGAATCAGCGAAGCTTTGATCACTCGACTGCCTGGGCAACGATGGCGGCGGCGGAGGCGGCGGCGAGGTTCGTGACGTCAGGTGGAAACCCGGGGCGGCTAAACGCTGCTGGTACGGGCTTGGCGGCTGGCCGTACCCTATGGACTGGGCCGGGCGGGCCGACAGGGGAGCTGCTCCTCCCGGAGTGGGCGGTTGCGAGGATTGGTGCTGTTGAGGGTCCGCTTGCGCGAGAGGACGCGGCGTTGCCACGGGGCTGCCATGAGTGTACGGTGCGCCATATTGTGCCGGCTGGCTGTGGGCGGAAGTCGGTGTAGGCGTCGAGTGAGACGACTGAGACCTGTGCATATAAGGGTGCGCCGTACCGGGTGTCCCAACCCGGGGGGTCTGGGGAATGTGCGACGCCTGCATATACGAGGCAGTGGCAGGCGGGCCTGTCATACCGGCCGGAGCAGCTGGCGGCGGATAGCTGTCCCGATGGTACGTGCTGGCCGGCGGGTACTGATGTCGTTGTACAGGACTTGTCGGGCTTTGTTGCGGTGGGAATGGGTAGCCGCTTGCACTGCTGAGAGAAGCGGACGGGGTCTGCCGGTATGGAGAGGGTGTCGGCCCGGCAGCGAGACTCGGAGATCGGAGGTCGGCAGTTGGCATTTGTTGGAGCTGCGGCGGTGGGGGTCGGCTGGCGTACGGGCCAGCAGCAGCGGTCTGAAATGGGGGCGGAGATGCGAATGCGCCAGATGGCAGAAGCTGTGCGCCATAATCCTGCGCGATGTGTCGGCCGGGTGACGGCTGGGTCTGGCTGTAGTCGCGGAACGACTGCGACGGATTTGCTTGGATCGGTGTCGACGGGAGCGTGGGCTGCTGTGCTGGCTGCTGTGCTGGCGGCTGCGGCGGCTTGCTCGGCGCTGCTGTTGAAGGGCCGCTATCATTCAGTATACCCCGGAGATCCATCGTGAACTTGATTTCGGCCGCTGATCCACCTCCGTCTCCAGGCCACCCGAGCAGTCGCCGTCTCCCACGCGACCACGCTACCGTGCTTTCACTGTCTTTGCTCTTATCGTGCAGCACGCCTCCAACGGCTCATCGATCCGCCGCTTTCGCAATGGCCGACAGGGTACAGCAAACACAACAGTATCGTGTCGCAACGCGCACGCAGTGTTGTCGTGTCCTTATGTTCTTGGTAGTGCGCCAAACAGCGTCACATTGTCGTGTCGAGCTCTCGGTCGGCAAGGAAGCACGGGCACATGCAGTCGCGGCTATTCATTCCCATGTCAATACGGCGTCGCTGAGAAAAAAAGAAAAAGAGGTGTGGACTCGAAGCGGAGAAATAAATGCTGAAAGCTCTACTGCCGACACGGTGATAGCGTCATAGTGCGATGCATTACGCAGTAGCAGTCAAACGGCAGAGCTAAAAAGGCTGATGTGTGCGCCAGACGTGCGCGCAGGTGGATTCTGCTCCTGGCAGGCTTGGCCGTAGCAAACTAATAAATCGCCGTGACTGCCTAACAATGACCGACCCCCTCCGTTTCCGGAAGCACTGCTGTCTCGCGATTGCCATCTTTTATTCACTTTGATAGGAATATGTACAGCAAAAGGTAGAGCTGGAAAACGTCTATGACAGCTAAGCCGCAGTGCCTAGCGTCTAGGATACGATGCACGTCTGGTGTTGAGTGTTACCAGGTACAAGAGGCTCATGAGCCTTCTGTTGGTTCCCAATTGTCGCAACAAAAGTCGTAACTATCCATATCGCGGTTAGGTAATAAGGTCACAAGCATAGCTGTATCTTACCTCCACTAACCCAAACAGGAAGTCCCAAGGACAAGAAAAATAACTCGGTAATAAGCTCGCCTCAGCCCTCAGTTACAGCCAACATTAGGATGAGCCTGATTTTAGTGTATATCCACCAACCTTGTGCGCAAGTTGTGTTGCCCAGCAGGGAGTTTTTGTTCGACTAGTCTTTCCAAGCGGCTTTGCGGTTACTGGAAGGAGGCTGGAGTTTTGTAACTTTAGTATTGATGAGTGCTGGGCGCCAAGCCGGAGCCCGGAAAATTGCTAATTAGGAAGAACTCTGATTGGACAGGCGATTCGGGTTCTGTGCGCAAGGCAGGAGCTTCCTGACGTGGACCGCTGGTGAAGCTGTTGCCGCAGCTGAGATTCCAAACAGTTCGCCCTCTCCGTCCAACATCCCAATCAACCCTTGACCAGCCCAAGGCGTTGCACTAAGCCGAGGCGCACTTATCTCAGACCTAACTCGTAGAATTTGATTCCACAGCTCGTTAACTTCAACAATCCGACCGACCCTTCGAACCGGCATCATCCATACGATTATCACAATGCCCGGTCTCGTTTCAGCAACCGGAGTCTTGGCCTTCCTAGCCGACGAGGAGCCGGAGCTCAAGGTTTTCGCCCTCAAGACACTGAATGATGATATCGATACAGTTTGGACCGAGGTCGCGGGCGCGTTGCCCCAGATGTGGGTACCCCGTTTTCGCCCATCCTAATGCTGAGCTGACTTGCGCTTCCAGTGAGGCTTTGTACGAAGACGAGAGCTTCCCGGAGCGGCAGCTCGCTGCTCTTGTCCTCGCCAAGGTCTACTTCCATCTACAGGCGTACAATGACAGTATGACCTTTGCCCTTGCGGCCGGGCCCCTCTTCAACCTCGGCGCCCCTGGCGAGTTCGAGGAAACCATCATCTCGAAATGCGTCGACCAGTACATCGCCGTCTCGGCGGCCCGCCATACGCCTGCGAAGCAGTCCAAGAACGACATTGCGTTGCCTGCTCTGGCTACCAACTTTGGCAGCGGCTCGCTCGACGGGTCTGCTCTTCTCTCGCCCACCACCCCTTTCTCTCAGTCGACTCTGCCTTCCAAGTCTCTGCTCTCGCGGGCCTCGGTCGACAACACCATTCTTGATCCCACATTTCAGCCGACCAAGGAAGGGCGTTCTGCGTCTGTTGCCCAGATCACTGACGACAGCACGTGGTCGGCTCTGGAGAGTGCCATTGAGCGCTTGTTCGAGAGCTGTCTGAAGGAAGGCCGGTACCGGCAAGTGGTCGGCATCGCTGTGGAAGCCAAGAACCTGCATGTGATCCGCAGAGTGATTAAGCGCGCTAGCGAGGAAGGCAAGCGCTCCCAGACCAAGGCTCCGGAAGGTATCCAGGGCCCGGCGGAAGAGTTGATGGACTACGCCCTCGGCATATGCATGGACGTTGTGCAAGAACGTAGCCTGCGGACCGAGATTTTGCGCCTAATCCTGGATCTGCTCAACGACATACCAAACCCCGATTATTTTGCCATCGCCAAGTGTGTCGTTTATCTAGACTCGGACGAAGAGGCTTCCGCGCTACTTCGGCAGCTCGTCGCCAAGGGAGACAACAATGCGGTCGCGACCGCGTATCAGATCGCGTTTGATATCTATGACAATGGTACCCAGGAATTCCTGGCCAAGGTTATCAATTCTTTGCCTTCTGGCGAGCCGCCAAAGAAGCGTGAAGCGGAGCAGCCGACTGAAGGGGCCGCCGAGTCTGAGCCTCTTCTCCAGAACCAGGACAGCTCTGAAGAGACAACCGCGGAAGAGGCCCTCCCGGAGGAGGTGGCAAAGGTCTACCGCAACATCCGATCGATCCTCGACGGAAGCATGACAATCAAGCTGAACCTAGAGTTCCTCTATCGCAACAACCACACGGACCTCAGCATCCTCAACAAGGTCCGGGATAGCTTAGAGCCGCGCAACTCCATCTTCCACACAGCGGTCACGTTCTGCAACGGCTTTATGAATGCCGGGACGACACACGATAAGTTTTTCAGGGACAACCTGGAGTGGTTGGGCAAGGCGGTCAACTGGTCGAAGTTCACAGCGACCGCTGCGCTGGGTGTGATGCACCGCGGCAACCTCAGCCAGTCTCGCAAGCTCCTCGAGCCTTACCTTCCCAAGCAAGGAGGCGTTTCCAGCGGCTCCATTTTCAGTCAGGGTGGCGCGCTCTACGCATACGGCCTGATCCACGCTAACCACGGTGCTGAGGCTTTGGAGTATCTCCGTACTATGTTTAATGCCGCGGATGAAGAAGTCATCCAGCACGGTGGCGCCCTGGGCCTGGGCATTGCTGGCATGGCTTGCGGCAGTGAGCAGATCTACGAGGAGCTTATTAAGGTCCTGTGCGCAGACTCTGCCCTGAATGGCGAGGCCGTCGGCTTGTCGATTGGCCTGATCATGCTCGGAACCGGGAACGCCAAAGCGCTTGAGTCATTGTTCTCGTACGCTCATGAGACAAGCCACGAAAAGATTGTGCGTGGCTGCGCTCTCGGCATGGCGCTAATCATGTACGGCCGGCAGGAAGGCGCCGATAGCATGATTGAGGGCCTGCTCAATGACCCTGACCCGACGCTGCGGTATGGCGGTATCCTCACCGTGGCATTGGCGTACTGCGGAACCGGAAGCAATAAGGCCATCCGGAAGCTTCTCCATACCGCTGTGAGCGATGTGAGCGACGATGTCCGCCGCATTGCCGTCATGAGTCTTGGCTTCATCCTCTTCAGAAAGCCGGGCAGCGTTCCTCGCATGGTTGAGCTGCTCTCCGAGTCGTACAACCCCCATGTGCGGTATGGCTCTGCCATGGCCCTGGGGATCGCGTGTGCCGGAACCGGATTGGACGAGGCCATCGACTTGTTGGAGCCCATGATGAAGGATCCGACCGACTTTGTCCGCCAGGGTGCGCTCATTGCGTTGTCGATGATTATGATCCAACAGAACGAAGCCATGAACCCTAAGGTCACCACGATCCGGAAGACACTGAAGAAGGTTGTGGGCGACCGTCACGAGGACGCCATGACCAAATTCGGCGCTGCGCTTGCGCTGGGCATCCTTGATGCTGGCGGTAGGAACTGCACCATCGGCCTCCAAACTCAGACGGGCAACCTCAACATGGCGGGCATTGTCGGCATGGCCGTTTTTACCCAGTACTGGTACTGGTTCCCGTTCACGCACTTCCTGTCTCTCAGTTTCGCTCCCACTTCCATCATCGGCCTCGACCACGACCTTGAAATGCCCAGCATCAAGTTCTACTGTGCCACGCGTCCCAGCCTCTTTGACTACCCGCCCGAGCAGGAGGTCAAGGTTGAGGAGGGACCAGCTCCCGTCACTACGGCCATTTTGTCCACTACGGCCCAGGCCAAGCGCCGCGCGCAGAAGAAGGAGCGCGCACAGCGCCGCGAGAGCATGGACGTTGACACACCTACCGTGGCCAAGACGAATGCCCCGGCCGGCGACAAAATGGAGGTGGACGAAGAGAACAAGCCCAAGGCGGAAGAGCCCAAGGAGAAGAAGGAGGGCGAGGCTGGCGCTGACAAGGAAGCACCGGCTAGCCCCGATGGCAAGAAAAAGGCCGAGAAGGAAAAGGTTGGCTACGAGATTGAGAACATGTCTCGTGTTCTCCCTGGCCAGTTCAAGTACATTAGCTTCCCCGCTGGACGCTATAAGCCGGTCAAGAAGGCATGTCTAGACATCTTCCATTCTTTTTTTAAGTTTGCTAACAAATTCATAGCCTACCGGCGGCCCTATTCTCCTTCATGACACGCAGCCTGGCGAGCCCAAGACTCTGATCGAGGAGAAGCTCAAGAAGGTGACCACTGAGCGTGCACCTGTGGCCGGTGCTGCTACTGGGGCCACGCCTCGTAACACGGCGCAGTCGCTACTCTCGAACTGGTCCCAGGGAAGAGGGCTGCCTTCTGGCAGCAGCCTGCAGGAGCTTAATGAGCTGTTCCAGCTGACAGCCCGTGGTGCGGAGGGACGTGCTGCTGAACTGGGCGGAGCTGGTGGCGGAGCGGCCGCGGCGGCTGGTGTGCTGACGGCTGTGGATGAGGACAACGAGGGCGACGAGGAAGCGCCAACTCCGGCTGACTTCGAGTACTTTACAGATGCTGAGGATAACGAGGACTAGGGGCGCGAGGCGCTGTTCTAGTATCTCGTGGGGCACTTGTTCAAGTCTGAGTCAGACTCCGAGTAAGGGAAGCGTCCTCCGCAGTTGGGGATAAGGTGCATGTACAATAACCTGCTGTCAATCTACGAGTTAGGAAGCCACAAAGTATACTGCTGCTGATGCGGTTGCTTGGGCCGCCGACCTTTCATTTCAATATCAGAACCGAAGACTCCCAGTTCACAGTGTGCTAATAATGGGTGCATTGACCGCCCGTTTTTCGAGTCCCTTTGGGAGAGCTTGGCGGCAAAGGGCCCTGAATTTCACATGCTTGTGGAAGGCCAAGACCGACGTCATCGAGTTGCCCCATCTTGCAGCGAGAAAGGGAATAAAACGACCTACGATTGAGCTTGACCGAACAAGTCGAAATTCGAAAGCCCATAACCACACAGCACACTTTACTGTACTAACGTTACTCAACCTCATCCGTTACCTTTAGTGCTCAATCACCACTTTTGAACCCCGAGTTTCTGCCCATCAAAGCTGGCTCAGATGGCAGACAAGTACGTCATCCGGGTGACGGCGGGCCCAGGCTACGACCTCGCCTCGCACGTCGAAGTGCCCGTCAACTCGGCCAAGCCCGTCCACATCGCCAGCGACCGGATCGAGGCCGACCTCAACGTGCGGGTGCAGAACTACAGGGGCCTACCCCGCAACGCGCCGAGCACCTCGCCTTACTTCGAGGCCGAGCCGCATAAGTACAACGGCGATCAGTATTCAATTGCGTTCAGGTTCCGCTTGAAGCGTCCTCCGCCTCCGCCTGCACCGGGGAATGACGGAGAGGCTACGGTTGTGAGGGGAGATGATGAGGATGAGGAGGAAAGGGGGACGCGCGGAGCGGAGGACGATAACCAAGCAGAACAAGCAGAAGAAGAAGAACAAGATGATGATGATGATGACGTGGACGGTGTCCCCGGCACAGACCTCCAATTCGGCAATGACTTCGACCACCCGATCCGCAACCGGCTGCCGCCGGGCTTCGGCACGGCCATGAACATCGTCAAGTGGTGGATCGACCCGGGGCTGGAAGGCGATCCATACGCCGACAAGCCCTATCTCTACGGGCCGGCGCTCAGTTCGTTCAACACGGTGCACGTGGGCGAAGGGGAAGTTGACGAGGCCCGCGGCGGGCTGTGGTTTGACGAAGGCGGCGACGAAAGGGGGCTGGTCTGGCGGAGGGAGCTCGGCGCGCCCGACAACGCCAAGGCGCGCATGAAGTGGGCGCTGAAGGCACCGAACAAGGAACGCTGGACGTGGGAGTACGGCAGGACGTACGGCGCCGATTTCTTTAATCCGTACGTCGACTTCAGCGAGTTTGCGCTGCGCTTGCCGGGGTTCAATCTGCCCATTATGCGGTACTGGGATGGCCAGGGCTTGAGGTACGTTTTCCTCTTCCTTTTTTTTTCTTTCTTTTCTTTCTTTTGTCGTTTCTGTTGTTGATGACGGCGTGTATGTCTTGTGCACTTCTTTTTGGCCGAGGACGCACTCACACACACACGCACGCACAACTTCAGGCACCACCGCAAGCGCTCACACCAGCTCAGATATGTACTCCGCAACCGCTCGACCGGGCAAGTCTATCTTGTTGTGCTGTTCTCGCTGCACATGGCGGAAGATATCAACGAGGATGGCACGCTGAAGCCTGCGGCGCTGGAGGCTATCGAGCAGGCATCAGGGGGTATGAAGGCGACGCCGCTTGAGCCGAGACCAGACATCGAGCCAAAACCGGATGGGGAGCAGGTTCCGGAGGAGGAGGCGTTGGAGGAAGCAAGGCGGAAGCTGTCCTGGGTGGACGTGAATGCGGAAGACGACGTAGATTAGGTAACGATATGGACATGCTAGAAGCCAACAAGGCTTGCAACACGACTTATATATCATGTTCACTAGAACCTCAATGCATGCACGGCTCCAATCAACAAATTCGTCAAGCGCCAGCCCTGTCTCCATCCGTCCCCACCTAATTTACGTCCCTTCGAGTTGCTGGGATCAAGGTCAGTGAGTTTAACCCATCTGCCTTCAAAGTGATACACACACACAGAGAGAGATAGAGAGAGAGAGCACTTACACTAGCAAACGGACTCCTCGCCCTGATCCTCTGCCCAAAGAACACCAACACCCACGGCACGACCGTCAACGCAGTCGCAATCCCGCCCAGCACTGCCCCGGCCCTTGCGTCCCCTAAGTTCCGGAACAGCGGCCCCGTGACGAGCGGGAAGGCGCCGCCGAGGATATTCCGGCAGAAGGACTGCGCGGCCAGCGCCGACGACGCATACTTGTGGTAGGTGTCGGCGAAGTAGTTGAAGACTGCCAGGTAGATCAGGAGGATGCCCATCGTGGCCAGGACCACGCCGATGGCCGGCGCGATCCAGTGCGTGTCGGCGCGGGCCGTGAAGCCAAACACGAACAGGCCGATCGGGAGCAGCGTGCTGCTGATGCACGTGAAGTAGAGACGCGACTCAGGGGACGAGGCCGGGAAGTGCCGGCGGAGGAAGCCCCAGAAGCGGTCGGAGCGAGCGGGCGGGGATGGGGGTGCGGGGATTTTGCTGTTGGAGTCCTCGGAGGTGTTGCCGCTGTCAACTTTGGCCTCGTCGAGAATGGGGGTCGCCCATTTCGGGTGTAGTAGGACCTGCTGCTGCCAGATGCCGATGGCGGTTGCGAGCACGGCGCCGATGATGGTGGAGGCGAACATGTAGCCCGCCTGCTCGAGTGACCAGCCGTACACGACCTGGAAGACGAGCGGGATGGAGCCGAAGGTGAGGTACAGGATGCCCCAGGCAAAGGCCACCCACAGGGAGAAGAAGAAGACAACGGATTCTGTGAACAGGAGGTGGAAGGGCCGCGAGACCGAAGTGGCAATCATCTTGCCGAGGGACGCCCGCTCCTCGTCCTCCTTGACCCGCCACCGGATCCGTTTCAGTTCCGTCGCCGCCGCCGCATGGTGAAGTTGGGTAGGAGTGACGCTCTTCTCCTCCTCGAACGAGACACCGCGCAGATTCCCACTCCCACTGGCCTCGACATGCCACACCCCGAAATAGCCTTCCCCTTCCAGCTTCTCATACCACTTATTCAGCGCTCTCGCCTTCCTCGACAGCAGCACCGACCCCCGACTCTCCCGGAAACACACCACCAACGCCACCATCAACACACCACCCATCACAACCTGATGCCAGAAGATCCACTTCCACCTGTCCCCCTCCCGCAACCGGTGCGCCATGATCGCACCCACGAGCGGCCCGGCCCCGGTGCCGGCCAACACGGCACCGCTGAACAGCGCCATGGGCATGTTCCGCCCCCTCGCATCCCACATGTCGGCAATGACGCCGCCGACCATGGTGCTGAACACCGACCCGCCCACGCCGACGAGGAAGCGGGCCACCAGCATGCCGGCGAGCGAGTCCACGACGCCGCAGACGGCCTGGAACACCACGTACACGACGCCCGCGGCCACAAAGACCGGGTACCGCCCGTTCATCTCGGACAGCGGCGCCAGCACCATGGGCGCGAAGGCGAAGCCCAGGCAGAACGTCGTGATGCCCGTCAGCACGGCCTCCGTCGACGGGTGGTCTTCACGCAGGGACGACCGGATCAGCTGCTGTGGTGGCGAGTAGGAGCCCGCTGTGTAGGCTGTTAACCACGTGGCGATGCAGGAGAGCGCCAGAATGAGGTATTTCCGCGAAGGGGCCCAGGTGAGCGGATCCGTGTAGCGGGTGAGGTCTGGTGGTGGAGGGGGAGCGGGAGCGGGAGGAGGATGGCGGGGATTTGGGGGTTCCGTCCGTTTCAGGGGGCGTTGGAGCGTCGTGTTGGCTGTTGGGAGGGGGTTAGCGGCGAAGGTGAGGTAGAGATGCGTGATTTCGGTGGTCTCGTCCGGGCCGGCGTAGGACGGTGAGGTTGGGGGGTCGGCTCGGGGTGTTGATGAGGGCTGTTCCGGTGCTGATGCTGTGCCGGGCCCGTCTCCTGTCCCGGAATTGTCTACCACCGGAGCTTGGCTGTCCCGTAGCCCAGCCATCGTCGCTCTATGACGTTGTCTCGATGGAGCCGGAAATGTTGAGGAGTGACATAAAAAGTATATGCTGCTCGAAATAATGAGGCCGGCCGACAGATACCAGCAGGACAGGCGGCATAGAGTCGAAAGCAGGGCGTGAGACCGTGAGACTGTCCCAACTCGGCTGCTTGCCAATGGTGCTAGGAGTAGGTATATCTAAGAAAAGGAGCACAGTACTGAGATCTGTAGATCAACAACAGCGGCAAGAGCGATTTACACTAGTCTCTTTGCATCGGATTTCCCTCTTCCATGTTAAACCCGGAGCCGATGGATACTTGGCAGGGGACCAAAGACATCACCGGGGACAACCCGGATCTATCTACCTAGTACCTTACATGCATACATACCTGTGTACATACGCTATGGACGGCGTGCTCCATCTTCGGTCGAGAAAGAGGCCGCACAATTTGCATCGCACGGTTCACACCTCCATCACATACTGTAGGCTTGCACAGACCTGAGGGCTTCGGGAAGTCCTCGTTGGGGGCGAGACTGTCTTCCCGAGCAATGAAGACGAACAACGTCGAGTGAAAAACCCAGAGACCGGTCAGAAAGGTAACAAATGAGGGCTTCCATCTCAGCTGCCAGCATGCATAGACGAGATGCAACTCACCGGCACTGTACAATTATTAAGACGGATAGAGGTTGTTGATTGGTGAAACGGGAGGCGAGGAGAGGGCATGGTGGTGGCAGCCGCATCTGTGCCGTAACCGTTGCTTTGACAGTGGGACCTTCCGCAGATGACTCCTAAAACCGATTATTGCCGGATCCACAGAAGCTTATCAACCAATGAGACGCGTTGTCCTGCTACCGATCAACTGCACTTCCCCGCTTGACGGAAAGCTTGAAGTTCCTCAATCATGATCCTTCAAGGGGGTTAAATTTTCTCCAGTGCATCACCAAATGACAGCCCTTTGAACGCTGTTCTTGGCTGGCACCATGGAGCCGATAACGCAGCAAGAGAAGAGAGTCAGCGCGGGACTACCACCAAGGCGAAAGACGCGAGCCAGGCGCATATCATCAACTCAACTTCCGGCAATTCGAAAGAGAACCTTCATATGGGATTATGGATCGATCTCGCCATGCCTTATTTACAGGGGATACATTTGGCGCCACCACACCTCCACCACACACCCCGCCGTCATTCCTAGGTAAGGTCGAGCTACCGGTGCCTATGACTATCCATCATCAGAGTGAAATCGGCTCTTCCACCGCCCGGCCCGACGTTTTCTGAGGGGCCTGCCCGACTGTCACGAGAGCGTGGGGAGGCTGGTGGCCCAAGGCGCCCAGCTGGCGGCATCGACATTGGCGTCGCTCCGCTCGACGGCCGGGGGCGCGGTGCTGCCGTTGAGCAGGAAGTAGTTGATGTAGGCGGTGAGCTCCGAGTTCTGGCTGCTGGGGAACTGGCAGTGGTTGTGGCCGCCGACGAGCGAGAAGCCCATGTTGTTGGGCACGCCGTAGGCCTTGTAGATCAGCCGGCCGGCCTTCATGCAGCCCGTGGTCGACACGGGGCCGAGCCAGTCGATGTTGTTCTCGAAGGCAATCAGCCCGCGTGGCACGATCATGGCCGCCAGGAAGTGGTGGTCCTGCGGGATCGTCGTGATGGACCGCACGTACGGGTCGAAGTTGCGGCTGAACCACGGGTTCTCGCCGATGATCTGCTGCGCCGTCTGGATGTTGGCGCCCGACGCCTTCTGCTGGTCGCTGATGCGCCAGCACGCCGCCCCGCCGGCCCCGGACTCCTGCGGGATCGTGAGCGCGATGCGGTCGACGAAGGCGCCGGTCACGAAGGCGCCCTTGCCGTTGCGCGAGCAGCCCGTCACGCCGAGCCGCTTGGTGTCGATGCCCGACGCCGCCCCGACCTGCTCCAGCCCGTCGATCAGCCGGTCCACGCCCCAGGCCCACGCCGTGAGCGACCCGGCCGAGTGGCTGCTGCCAAAGAGGTCGTAGAACTTGCCGCGCCCGCGCGAGCCGCTGCCGGACTGCGCGCCGAACTCGTCGTTGTTGAACGTGATGGTCGCCACGTTGCTGGGGATCGGGATCGACGCCCCGCCGATGCCGATGATGGCCGGGAACGGCCCGCTGCCGGACGGCTTGCGGATCGACGCCGAGAACGAGATGGTCTTGCTGCCCACCGTCACCCGGACCGTGATACCGTTGCCGCTCATCGACGCCTCGACCTTGTCCGGCGGCGGCGGATACGTGCCCAGCTCGTACTGCTGCATGATCTTGCTGATCTCGGCCTTGCGGCACTCGAAGTCGGCCTTGGTGGTGATCTTGTTGCCCGCCGCCGACGTGAAGGGGTCGGGCAGCTTGGCCGAGTTGACGGTCGGGTAGCTGCCCTGCGTCGAGCACGTCGACTGGCGCTCAAAGATCTCGCTGGCGGGCGCCGCCACGGCGAAGGCCGCGCTAGCCACCAGAAGGGCGGAAGCTAAATGCACCATATTATTCTTTATGCCGGGAAGCTATTGACAGCTGCTGTTGGTTTGGATGCCACGAGCGGAGGTGTCCTCTGCTGGTTGATGTCGCTCCTCGTTGCGGCCATCTTTATATCTCATGGCGGGAGGCGCTGCGTTCATGGGCCCGGCTCATGCAATTACTTCCGGCCGCGTGGCGCTGTTCCGGGCGAGATTAATCATGGGTCGGAATCCATATTGGACAGTCGACGACAATGACCACCGTCCTGGTTTCCTTCGCGCCCCTCGATGAGCGACAAGGGAAAGCCCCCACTGGATACTGTGGCGGATTGGAACCTTCCCCGCTCCCTTTTCCTCCGTACTTCCATCCTGCACTTGCAGCCCGAGTGGTCCTGTCCTGTTCGCTGCCAGAGAGGTCAACAAGCGTTGTGCGCCCCAGCCAAACCGTTTGGCGGCTGAAAAGGCAACTCCGAGAGCCCTACCTTGGCACTTTGGATTAGCGCGGGTCCAAGCCAGAGCGATTCTAAGGGGCGACTCTGGGGCAGGTTCGGGTAATATGGCTATTTGCCGGCCCTCCGCTGATCATTTCTTCGGGCCCTACTTCGATCCCCGATTGGCACGGCCGACTGGAGACTGCCGAATGCAGCCACGGCCGCGTCGGCCCCGGGGTTGCGGGGCAAAACCTTAGTCTGTGTTCTATCATCCTTCTCTGCCGTTTCTTTTGTGTTTCCCTTCTTTCGCCTTGTCGTCTCTTGAAGGCTATAGGTGGGAAAACTGTCCTGTCAGGGATATTGCGCTGCTACTCCAATATGATGAAGGGCATGGAATTATGGGGACAATATGCGGTTTCCCAAGTTCACCCTTCTCGAGATCTGATGTCTCGTTGTTGCCTCCCTGTCCAGGAAAAGCTTGTGTCACTGCCCTCAGCAAAAGCAAAGCAGGCCAGCAGTTATCAGTCAACATCAAATCATGGAGCCAATGTCCGCAGCTGGCGATCTTTGTTATTCGATTCCTGACTTCCGTCTTGGGCGCTATCGATGGACATGACGATGCAGCATCTGAACATCCGGGGTGTCATCGAGTCTGTGTCACATCCCACGTCGGAGTGTTTTGGCTGCCAAGCAGCCTGACAGGTTGCTGGGGGTGCCTGATATGCCAGCGGCTTGCATGTGTGACCGGCAAGGTCTTTTCGCCGTGTAATGTCGTCATGTGCGGTCCTCAATGTAACCCGTGCTTGGCGTCTAGAAGGTGAACGCCTCCGATTGCTACGCTACATTTGGATATCTCCCAATTCGGGGCCCGGCTTTACGCGGTCAAGTTGGTGCTCGCCTCATCGGGAAAGTCCTTGTTTCTCGTGGCATGGAGTGTCGGTCCTGGGTTGTCTGGTCTAGCCGATCTGTAAGAAGCATCCTTGTTCATCAGGCACGGTTATGTCTAAATTGGGCATGGAGCGTATACGCATCAGTGGACTAGACTCACTGTAATCTGTACCGAGGGGCTTTCCTGTGTTGCTGGTATTGAGCGAGCCGAGAAGTAGATGAGGTCCTTACCCAGACTCTCTCTACCCTCATGCTACTGAACAACCCAGTCAGACGAGCACACACCCATGCCGGCCGGCTGTAATGGACCCCCTTCCTCCGCGGCCAAGATATACTACCAGCCTCACTCCCCGAGATCCCACCTGGAAGTTACATGCCCAGCTCCCTTCAACCATCCGCCATGGCATTCCTGCTCTTGGCAGCCTTGGCCACTCTCACACGCCCGGCCCACGCTCACGGCGGACTGGCTAACTACACCGTAGGCAACACATGGTACAGAGGGTGCGTATACAGAGAGTAACAGATAGACGGATAGACCGGCAACACTTCACGCTTGGCTTTTACTGACTGACTGACTGACTGACTGCCTCCGGGTCACAGCTACGACCCGTCGACGCCACCCGCAGACCAGCTCGGCCAAGCCTGGATGATCCAGCGTTCCTGGGCGTCCATCGACCCCATCTTCAGCGTCGACGACAAGTACCTGGCCTGCAACAACCCGGGCACGGCGCCGCCGTCCTACATCCCCATCCGCGCCGGCGAGACCATCACGGCCGTGTACTGGTACTGGCTGCACGCCCTGGGGCCCATGACAGCCTGGCTCGCGCGGTGTGGTGGTGATGGTGGCGATGACGACGACGAGACAGACTGCCGCGACGTGGATGTCAATCGAGTGCAGTGGTTCAAGATCTGGGAGGCCGGCCTGCTGGAGGGGCCCAACCTGTCCGAGGGCCTGTGGTACCAGAAGAAGTTCCAGAACTGGGATGGCCGTCCGGACCTGTGGCCCGTCACCATCCCTGAGGGCCTGAAGGCCGGGCTGTACATGATCCGGCACGAGATCTTATCGCTTCATGTCGAGAATAAGCCGCAGTTCTATCCCGAGTGTGCGCATCTCAATGTCACCGGGGCCGGGGACCTGTTGCCGCCGGAGGAGTTTCTGGTTAGGTTCCCCGGGGCGTATGATAAGGATGGTGAGTTTGTGAAAGTTGTTTGTTTGAGGGGAGGCGGTTGGACTTGGAAGGGGTGATGCAGCTGACATGGGGCTAGATCCGTCTATCAACATCGATGTGTACGCGGGGCCGACGGCGAATTCGACGGTGAGTGAGTTTGGGGCGGGAGTTGTTGAGAGCGGGATTGACGCGATTGCAGAATTATACGATACCGGGAGGGCCGATATGGGATGGGTAAGCCTCTATTCTACATACCTTGAGCACTTGGCGGCCATACCAGTACTCTGAACTAATCTCGCGGATAGATTTGGCATGTCGGGACAAGTAGTGTCTTGAATGATAGCAGAACCAGCTGCCCATCTTATACTAGTCGTGACTACTAATCCATCCTGAGCCGCAAAAACAAGGCAATGTTAAGAAAGGGCCACGAACATCGTGAATCCTGCTACCCCTTCCTTCAGCACCGTTCAAGCGCCCTCCGGTCCAGAAATGTCACCCTCCAGCCGCCTCAACGCCTCCTCCCTCGACCGCTTCACATCGGCCCATCTCCTCTTCTTTCGCCTCTCCTTCCTCTCCTCACCCAAACCCAATTCTCCTCCAACATCACCAGTCCAGCCCCCACCCCCAACCAACGCCGCGAACTTCCCTCCCCTCTTAACAAGCTCCTCATACCCTCCCCCGCTCTCCACCACTACCCCACCATCCATCATAACCACCTCATCCGCAACCCTCATCATCTCCTCGCTGTGCGTGATAACCACAACCGCCATGCCCCCCTCCTGCCTCTCTCCTTCCACGTGTTGCACAAGCCGCTGTACAACCCTCCTGACCTCCGCCGCCGCCTCGGCATCCAACGCACTGGTCGGCTCATCCAGGACCAACAACCTCGGCCTGTGCGCGAGCGCTCTCGCAATGCAAAGCCTCTGCGCCTGGCCCCCCGAGACGGACAACCCGCCTTCCCCGAGGGGTGTGTCGTAACCCCGGGGCAGGGAGACGACAAAGTCGTGGATGTTGGCCTGCTTGGCGGCGAGTGTGATGTTAGACTCGGAATGCAAGGGGGAGGTGTCGTGGAGGCCGTAGGTGAGGTTGGCGCGGACGGTGAGCGGGAAGAGGAAGGGCGTCTGCGGCACATAGGCGATGTGTGTGCGCAGGGAGGGCGTATGCAGCGCGCAGGCCGGGTGCGAGGCGTAGGTTAGGCTGCTGGGGGGGTGGACAAAGTCGTGGTGGGAAATGCTAGTACTAGTATCGATGGCGGGAAGGGTAGTAGTAGTGGTTGGCGATTCGAGGATTGGGGAGATTGCAGTTGCTGCTATTGTTGTTGTTGTGGTTGGCGGTGGTAGTCGGCGCGGTAAGGTGTTGATGTTGTTGTTGTTATTGTTGCTGTCGTCGTCGTCTCCTGGCAGAGGGTCGTAGAGGCGAAGAAGAAGGCTCGCGATGGTGGTCTTACCGCATCCTGAGGCGCCGACGATGGCGGTGCAAGTTCCCACGCGAATCTCCAGGTTGATGCCGCGCAGAACTTGGGTCTGCGGATCGCGGGCGTAGGCAAACCGGAGGTTGGTCATGCGCACGGGCAGGGGCGTCCGCACGCGCTGCTCGCCCTGGGCCTCATGGCCGGCCGTGTGGGCAAGGTTGGCGTAGTACAGCATCTGCACGGCCGTCACCTTGGCCGCGGCGATCTGCGGGACGTTGCCTAGCATGCCGACCGAGGTGCCCAGCGAAAAGAGGAGCAGGTTGATGACCCGAACGACGTCGGTCACCGTGGTGCGGCCTTCGCTGAGGATCTTGGCGCCGTAGAAAAAGACGAGAGCCGTCAGAAAGAAGGCGATGGACTGGTGCACCCCATAGAAGATGCCGACGAAGCCCGCGCGCTTCGCACCGAGACGGAAGGCTGCCGAGGCCGAGCCGGCGTGCTTGTCGGAGAAATAGCGCTCCAGTGTCAAGGCACGCACGACCTTGATGTTGGAGAAGGTCTCGCTGAAGACGGCATTCGAGGACGCAGCAGCCTCGTCGCAGATGGCCTCCCACTTGTCGCTCATGAAAGAGTTGGCGCGCACCGCGGCGATCACCACCGGCACGCCTGCCAGCGTCACCAGAGCGAGATCCCAGCGGATGGCCAGCGCCCAGACCACCGAGGCGAAGATCATGGTGGTGACGGTCAGGAGAATCGGCACAAACATGCCGACGAGCTTGCGCATCTCCTCGCCGTTGCGGTCGAGACACTGGGTGATGCGGCCGGGCGAGTGGCTGGCCTTGTCGAACCACGCCTTGGGCTGGCTGAGGATGCGCTTGATGGCCTCGGCGCGGAGCGTGTTGACCCATTTCTGGGCCACCTGCTCCATGAGGAAATACCCAAAGAAAGTGGCGCTCGCGTCGATGACGGCAATGGCAGCCAGCAGACCAGTCCACCGGGCGGTATGGCTTCGTCGGCCCTCGGGAAGCCAGAATCCTTGCAGGAGGTTGGCAAAGAAGAAGGAGAAGACGGGAGTGCTGGCGGCCATGACCAAGCACAGCACAATACCGAGGACCAGCTGCCCCTTGCCCACCTTGTCCAAAGTCGGCCAGACAGTTCTCAGGATTGCCATGAGAGACGGGACGAGGGGACCTTTCCGTGGCTTCTTCTCCAGGTCCTTGCGCTTAGCAAGGCGCTCAAGGAAGAAGAGCTCCAGTGAGTCGAGCGAATCCTGCCGCTGGGCGTCCAGGTCGTTGCGACGGGCCTGTCGTGCGTTGAGAGTCCTACTCTTCTGCACTCCCAGGCCCCGCTGGGCTACGATCTGTATGCTGGAGGTGCGACTGAACCTGCGCGACGCGGAACGGTTGACGGCTGACGTACGGGACGCAGAACGGCGAAGCGCTGACTTGTTGGGCATCTCTCGGTTGTGGACTGCTCTGCGCGATGCCGAGCGATGGACAACAGAGTCTCTGGCTGGAGCCTCCGCCCGCAACGAGAACCGCCGGAAGAGGCCCACAGTCAGCGGCCGGCTGTCGACCAGCGTGCTGCGAAGGAACTTGGCGTACTGCGCCTCCTGAATGGGTTCGTCATCGGAAGCTTCCGAGACGAACTCGTCCTCGCTCGAGACCGAGCTGCTTGATGGAGAATCGGCCGCCGAGGCAGCCAGCGAAGCAAACATGCCGCTCTCATTCTCGGCCATGTCCGCCTTCACACCCTGCTGAACAACGCATCCGTCGGCCAGGACGTAGACATACTCGCCGTCCTCAATATGCCCAACATCGTGGGTGATGACGATGGTTGTCTTCCCCTTCCTCCAGATCCGAATAGCCTCCATGATCAGCGTCCGGCTCACAGGGTCCAGCCCACTGGTGATCTCGTCCAAGATCAAGACAGGTGGGTCACGGAGTTTCGCCCGAGCAAGCGCCAGCCTCTGCCTCTGCCCACCGCTGAGGTTGTATCCCACCGAGCCGATCACGGTGTCGCCGCCTTCGGGCATGCCAGAGATGGTCGACTGGAGAAGAGCAAAACTGCAAGCGTCGCGGATGTCATCAGGGGAGACCTCGTGCGGTTCCATGGCGCCAGAAGCGACATTACGGAAGAAGGTGTCGTTGAACAGCGTGCTGGACTGCTGGATCAGGGTGACGTTTCGGCGGAGCCAGTCGAGGTCAAGGGTCGTGATCGGGTTGCCGTCGAGAGTGATGTACCCGGTCCGAGGTTCGTAGAACCTGACGAGGAGATTCCCCAGCGTGCTCTTGCCTGAGCCACTCGGCCCGACGACAAACGTGAGCTTCCCGGGCTCGAACCTCAACGACGATCGCTTGAGGACTGTCTTGCTGGGATTAACCGGGTACGCAAAGCTGATCTGCCCGCCGTCAGTTAAGGGACCCAGAGACCGTAACACCCAGAAAACTTACATCGGTCATCTGAATCTCTCCTGAACATTTCGAGGGTTTCCGCCAGCCGGTGACCTTATCCACCAGGGCGCTTCCTCCCTCCTTGACCAACCCCTGAAGCAACTGCCCCGCCGCCATGCCCTTGGCCAGAACGAGCCAGTGCGGGCCCAGCGTTTCGATCGACTGGAAGGCAATCAGCGCGGCGTAGAAGGTTGTCAGCGCATTCCCCGGCGTGAGCTCGCCCCGGCCGACCAGCAGCACGGCGAACCAGAAGCCCAGCACGAAGAGCATGATCATCCACAGCTTGATGTAGCTCATCTGGCCGCAGTTGCACAGCACCTGGCGTGAATAGTGCTTGGCGGAGCGTCGGACGGCCGAAATGAACTGGAACGCCTCGTGGTCGGCCCCGTTGTACACCTTGACGAGGTCGATGGCGGTGGTGGCGGCAGTGACGTGCTTAGCGGCCTGCGCAAGCTCCCGCTTCTGCGCCTCGATGGCCGGGTCCAGGAACCGGCTGATGGTCCAGAGAACGAGCGCCGAGGGGACGCCCGTGGCCAGCATGACGAGCGTCAGCTTGAACGAGTAGACAAAGGCCACGACGATGCAGGCCCCAAAGACAAACACGTCACAGACCAGATACCCCAGCGTCTGGGACGTCGCAGTCTGAAGCTCCCTGGTTTGTCTGTATTGTACCACGTCAGCATAGATAAACTTTCCTCCCTTCCAAAGAACAAAAAGCAGCAGAAGAATGACAGAAAGAGAGAGAAAAAAACCTACGTCTGAACACCAGCAATCAACCCACCGAACCCCTCCCCGCGTTTCTCAAACCAGCCCATATTCCGTCCCAACAAGGCCTCAAAAACGCTCTCCCTCACCCTGCGCGCCCTCAACTCGCCCCCCACGACCCAGGCCATGACATCCACAGTCGAGAACACCAGCATCCCGCCGCCCAACACACACATCCAGACGGCCCACCGCGCAATCTGGGACAGGAACTCCGAAGTAGGGAGTAGGCCTGCCCCGAACCGCGCGACCACCTCAAAGATCTTGCCCAGCAGTATGGCGTACGCCGTGCGGCCCGCTGCTACGACCGCTGCGGTGCTGACGGCTAACGCGAGGAGGGGGATGTGCCCCGCGGGCGTGAATGTGAAGAGGTGTTTGAAGGATGAGGAGGAGGAGCGGGAGGAGGAGGATGGAGACGATGGTTGGTGGGGTTGGTAAGTACTAGTATTAGTGGTGATGATAGAAGGAGGTGTGACATCGGGAGAGGGGGAGTAGACGTGTTCCAGTTCGATGACGCTCTCTCTGTCTGATGGCGTTGGCTTCAGCGGCCACGGCTGCCGGTACTGACCCGAGGAGCTTGAGGGTGAGGCCATGCTGGGTCTGGGCTGATGGTTATTGTTGGATGGATACCTTGTGAAGAGATAAAGGAGAGTGTAATACTACCTCAGGATCAAAGATGGGAAGAAGACGGGAAAGTTGTCGTCGTGGCCAAGTCATCTGAAGTGGTTGAGGATGGAGGCTAAGAACTTGGGTTGAGAGCCGGGAGAAATACCAGATGAGGAGCTGGGCTGAAGTGTTAGGATGAGTAAGGTATAATAGCACCGCATCTTCATCGAAGAATGGCTTCCTGCAGTCCGATGCATCCGCTGCGTAGAATACCAATCCCCGGTGCCGCGGGAGGCTTTGTTTGCTCTTAGTATTATGCTCGCACCATCGCAGGGGCCGAGCCAGGGGAACAATACTAAGGGCTGAAAAGGGCATTCCGGGCAGGAGGCGCACCCACCCACCACATTTCACTCGAGGCCCGATAAATCAGCGATAAGGGGGGTACTTCCTCAAAATGTCATGCAAATTATCATGAGCTAGATTTTGCCGCCTCAGCCTTCTCTTTTTGCGCCTGCTCGTAAATCCAGTCGTTCAGGCCCAGCCTGTTCCTGCGAAAAGAGTCAGACACCGCCAGCAAAACACAGCAATTCGAGAGACAACAACACTTACCTCGCAATCTCAACAGCATAGAACTGCATCCTCGGCACTGCAACCCCGTCAGCGACTGTCCGCTCCTGCACCTTATTTCCCCCCCCCCCCAAGCGAATGCACCCACCGAAAATGGTCTCGTCCTTGCCATACTCCCACTTCGGGTTCGAGCGCAGCACGGTGCCAAAGTTGTAGTCGTCCACCTTCTTCTCGTAGGCCATCATGAAGGTGCGCCACCGCTCCTTGCCCTCCTTGCTCTTCATCTTGTCCTCGTCGATGGTCTCGGCGGGGTCGAACTCGGGGAAGTCGCGCTTGAGGTGCTCGTAGATCTCGTCGTCCAGCCTGGTCAGGCGCAGCGACGAGCCCTTGACCCGCTCGAGGATGGACCAGTACGTCTGCATGTGCTGGACCGCCTTGACGGCGAACTGCTTCTCAATCTACAAGAGGTTCGAGAGGCTGTTAGTAGGCGTCTTCCCGGTGGTGTCGCTTTGGGGACGAAGTCGCACATCTTCGAGATTGTCCGCCTCATCGGCGTTGAAGGTCTTGGTCGACGGCGCCATGGCGTGATTTGTAGTGTTTGCCTCTGCGATCTGGAGCGAAAGCAGCTGCTTGTGATGCTCCAGAAGCTCCTCGAGAACGACTGGGATGGCGGGGTGGTTCCGCGGGGCACTTTTCTCTTTATCGATAAGAAGTGACGCCTTGATTACCTAATCAGACTAAGACATAGGCAGACAGGGAGGAGCAGGCAGGAGCAGGCCCTTTCCAACTTTCCAACCTCCGTACCCCTTATTCCGAACCTTCCAGGTTCTTATAAGCGGCTTAACGTGTTGTCAACTTCTGTGTTGTCGGACACCTCAAACTGACAAGGAGATCACGTCACAACTTTTCTTACTCTTCTCGTCAACCCTAGAGGACTAGACCTGATTCAGAAGTGACTAACTTGAGAGTTGACACCTTCTACTCTGTGCGTTCTAGCCTCTGTGTTGGTCGCGATGGAAGATGGCATTGTGTACTTGTTTCAAAAACCGATCACGCCTCAACTCAAGAGCCGCAGGCTTCTCTGGCGATCCTAGTGATTCTGGTGACACCCTTTGGAACAATCAACCTTTGGACCTCTGTCCTCGTCTCCTCCTGGATGGAGCCCGGCTTAAAGTTCGGGCAACTTACCTTACAGTGACACAGTTAACACTACCGTACTGGTTCTTGAAGCTAGACCTCGGATGGCATTCATCTCTTCCGTACCTGATGCATCTGTATTCAAACAATCTGAGAGCCTGCTCATTGCTGATCCCCAAACTCGTGTGTAGTCACATGGGTTCCACGGTTGACAGTTGGCCAGTATAAGGTACTAGCAGGTTCTTCTTTCCTTGCGGAACACCCAAGTCCTCTTTGACATCCAGCATCCGGCAGCCACGAAGGGCAGCTGAAACATTGAAGTCACTTCTCGGTGATGCCTAACAGCACTTGGAGACGTATGGCATCTGACTGCACCGGTACTTAATCCTCGTTGGCCGCCTTCTTTATGGATCGGAAGCACACATTCAACCAGTCACATTGGACATCTGACCCAACCGGTGAGGGTATACCACTCAGAACCGCGTAGTTAACTAAGACTTTCACGGCGACTTCACCTTTGCAAGTGTCTTGGTAACATACACGCAGTAAGAATGCCCAAATTTGGCAAGAGATTATCACAGAGGCTTAGAAGGTCGCGCTCCAACGCCAGTCCGCCTGATGTCCCCTTAGTATCGATCACACCGACTGAGACGATGGATGGGGAAGAGGGAGTCGAGAAAGTCAAGCTGCATGACGCCTCAGAACTTACAGACACAGCAGACAGCCCACCTCTTCCAGGAACATCAGTATCGAGGTTTCCAAGCTCTACCCTTCCATTCAGAAAGCCTAAATGGGCTCGGATACGCCCTTCAGGCCTCCAGCTGCCGGCTGATTGTGCCCCGGAGCGCGGACACACAACCTCAGCTGCTCTCACAACTTGCGGTACCAACCGCCACCCACCAGGAAAGTCAAAGGAGGCTAGCCCAAGATCCAGCTCCGCACCGAACGCCTCGACACTTGCCGAGCTTCCAGCAGTCGGTCCGTCGTTGACTTCTAACATCCCTCTCAACGGGAAGCCGCCCTGGGACCGCACGGTTGAAATCGTGTGGACGAGGAGACGTTCCCACACCGAAGAATCAGATCGAGCCGACGAAGCGACCTTTCGCGAGAACCTGAACCAAATAATAGCACACGGTTCAGTCATCCCCATGCTTGTTGACCCTCCTCCCGGAAGCGAGAGCATAGTTCCTAGTAGTAATGAAACGGGTTACGTGGAACAGTCCAACCAAGCAAACGCCAACGGGCTAAAAGCCACCAGTAAAACCCCGTCAAAAGCCAGAGTCCAAAACGCCAACAGCCGCTACTTCCAGCTCCCCGACGCGATCCGGCTGAGAATCACGAAACACCTTGTCCAGAGCCACAACCCACACAACAAGCCCATACGCATGAACAACCCCTATTTCCTACACTCGGTCTGGCCCGTCAACCGGCCCGCCAACAAGCCGAGGCCCAAGCCCGCGAAGAAGGAGAAGGAGAAGGTCCAGACGCAATGGCCCACGGAGGAATACGAATCCTTCGACAGCCTCGAGAGCGTACTATCCTCCCTCCAACCCTACACGGCCGTCTGCGCGGCCCTGCGCGCCGACGTGCTCGCCACGCTCTTCCTCGCCCGCCGCTTCCACGTGGTCTACGCGCTCGGCGTGACGCGCGCCCTGCAGCCCGCCGCGACCGAGTACATGGACCGGTACGGCCCGCTGATGGCGTCGGTCACGCTCGAGCTGGACTTCACCAAGCTCGGGGGAAGCTGGAAGCCCGAGGCCGCCAACCTGGATGCCCTGGCCGGGATGAAGAGTGTGAAGCGGTTGGTGGAGCGGTTCGTGGACAGGCGGCTGGCGGCGACGGCAGCAGCGGGTCGGCGATATGGGGCTGCTGCTGCTGCTGGTATTCATGATCTGAAGGTGTTGGTGAGGAGGTACTACTACCACTCAATATCAGCCAGTTCCAGTCCCAGTCCTGGTTCCAGCTCGTCACATCCCCCAGAGGCACCCGACGATCACATCGTATCGAACGTTCTAAGCCCACTGAAGCGTCTTCTTTTGGAATCGCGAATTGACACGCTCACGCTATCGGGCACGTCGAAGTCTGTTGCCCTGGAGCTCCTCGCACCCATCCGTGGGAGGACCAACAACCGAGTCCGACCAACTACTACTGCTGAGTGTGATTATTCCGATCCTGACGGCGGCAACGCAGCACAGGACGGCGGAGAAGCACGAGAAGAGGAGACGCTTGTTGTTGATGATGATGATGATGGTGATATCCTGTACCGCATGCCGGCGCGGGAGTGGCCGCTCTTGCTCCCCGGCTCCGACCAAGGGTGCGTGGTGAATTGTGGTCCGGAAGACGGCGGAGTGAGATTGATAACCTGGGATCAGCGGGCCGGGGTGGATTGCGAGGTAGCTGGGTGTCGTCGGCGCTTGGCGGCGACCCCGGTATCGGATCAGGGGATAGCGGCTGGCGAAGGCGATGGTGCCGTGGGTGATGGTGAAGGCAGTGATGGTGGTGGCCAGGATATGCGGGCAAAGAGTTTGCGAAGAACTAGCGAGACATGGGGTGTGAGAGCGGTAAGGTCGTTCTCCTCAGGGTCCCCGGTTGCGTGGCCGAGGCTTCTTGCGAGGCAGAATAGAGAGGATAGGGCTGGTAGGGGCGGGGAGGTGGAAGACACGAAGGAGCATCGGGAGGAAAACGGCGAGGAGGTAGGAGGGGAGGGAAGGGAACAGAAAAGGAGACTGGCGCGCAGGGTGCTCGAGAGGGCTGTCAGTGGAGGAGCGAAAGGGTTGTTTGGGTATTACTGAGCAATGGGATTCTGCTATCCGGCTTTAACAGTTTCAACATAGCGCAAGAGTATCAGCAAAGAAGCCACAGGTTAAATAAAGACACTATTGCCAAATACAGCCTGGGCTACTAAGGTAATCAGTACTAGTATCCAAGACTGAGAAGCTCCTCCCTTCCCCGCCCGATTCCGAAATCCCTAATCAGTAGCCTCCGGAGGGCACTCGATATCATCCAGTTCCGGATCCGTAGCGGTAACCACGACACCCGTGCCCGGGGCCATCCCCGTGCAGTACTGGGTGCAATTATTCAACTCGCCAACCTCGCCCCGGATCTTCAGCACGGTACTAAACCCGGCAGTGTCCGGGGTGGGATTGCACGAGTCATTGTATTGCGTCTCGTCGGCACCACCAGCATTGCAAGCGCCCGTCTCCGGGTCGCCCAGGGTCGACGGGTACTCGATGCTGAAGACAGGCTTCCCGGCGGCGACGTACGGCTGGAAATCGGCGCAGAAGGGGGCCGGCTCCTCCGCTTCGTTCAGCTGCTTGCAGTCCTCGAGCACGGCAAAGTCGAGGACGCCGCCGAGCGGCCCGACCAGCTCGCGCGCGTTCTTCTGCCCGATGAGCAAGGTGTGGCGCTGGCTGGTGGTCAGGCTGTGGGCGTGCGTGGCGAGGTCGGTGACGAAGGAGACATAGTCGGCCTGCGCCAGGTTCCATCCGGTCCCGTTGTTGCCGTCCTGGTCGTTGAGGTAGCCGTCGATGTTGTCCGGGTCGACGCCGTCGCAGCCGAGCTGGTTGGCGAGCGTGATGCGCTGCTTCATCCAGTCGCGCGCCGTCTGGTTGCGGATGTTGACCCAGCGCTCGTCGCTGAATTCGGGGTCTTGGGGGTCGTACACGTTGCCGAGCAGGCCGCTGTTCCGCCACTTGGTGTCGTAGTCGCAGTCGCTCTCCTGGGCAAGCCCGGCGTTGAAGTAGCAAATTAGGATGGTACCGGGGTTGTTCGTCTAAGCAAATGTGCAAGTCAGTACTACTAGTAGTAGTATTGGGTGTGTTGGGGCCGACATCATGTCACTGCAGCGGGCCTTACCCGAAGATAGCCCACAATGTCCGGGTTGCGGGCGATGTGGTAGAGGTCAAGATCCCAGACTGTCACGTTGTTCGGCTGAAGGGGCTTGGTGACATCGAGAGTGTTTTGAATGATGATCTGCCAGGGCACTCCCGGGGTGAAGTTCGGGGGGACATCAACTTGGGCGAGGGCTCCGTAGATGGAAAGGCCCGCGGCGCACAGATAGTATGCCGGGTACTTCATGGTGGCGGAATAGAAGGTGGGATGCGTTCTACTGCTTAAAGACTGTCAAGGGAGGAGTGAGACCAGGAGCCTGTGTGAGTTGATTTGATTTAATTCAGAACGGGATGATGGGGTGAGCAACGACGTTTTATACAAATAGCTGCTCTGAAAGGATCCTGCTCATCTGCCAGAATTGGCTCATTGAAGTCTAGCTGAGCTAGGCAGCTATAACCTCAGCTGGAGGTCATGGCTGGACTTTGCAATTCATCAGACCAGCCATCGAATCCTTCAACGATCCTGACCGACGTCGACGCGCTAGAGGCCAACCCTGTTAAAGCTCACATGGTAAGCCTAGGTCTGCGTGCACTTGGTTGGGTGCTACGCTCGAGCTATATGTAAGCTGACCATGTTAAGTGTTAGTCCGATGCTGCCATTCAGAGACAAGAAACGCTGCTTGCTCCAAGCGGTCAAATCCGGATTCTTTATTATTTTTTTTTTTTTTTGTTTTTTCCTTCCACGTGCTGTGCTAAGGCTTTGTGCAAGGCACTTTGTCGGTTTCAGTCTCAGTATTATTAAGCTCCTGAAAGATGAGCCGGGACATCCTTGCTTGGCAGGATGGGCGGGCGCCGGGCAGATGCTAGTCGTGCCTGTCACCCCTTGAAACAGCGGGCCCCTTTCCCAGATTCAGTCAGACCACCTTCCAATCACTTGTTCTCCCTCGGCCAAACATCCAGAACCACCTCCTCCCCAACGACCTCAAACGCAACGCTATCCTGCTCCGGCTCATCCACTACAATCTCATATCGCCCCGGGTACAGGACCAAATCCCCGCTCTCATTCCGCCTCGCCAGATCCCCGAGCGTCCACTCCAGCTTCGCAACAGCCATACCCATCTCATGATCATCTTCTTTCCCCTTCATCATCATGGGCTTGACGTCCCGCACCCGGCTGTACGCGACCAGGGTCTTGAGCGGGTAAGGGCGCGGGCCAAACTCGCCGCGCAGGAAGGCCAGCGCGACAAAGTCGGATGTGAAGCGCGTCCCCGTGTTGGTGATGCCTACGTGTAAGGGGGGTAAGGGGCATGTATCCTTGTACTTGTGATTGTGAGGGGAGTGGTGGTTGTGGTTGTCGCAGAAGCGGAGGAGGTCGCGGGTGTGGATCTTGATCGTCGTCTTGTGATCGTTTTGTTGCGAAGAGAAAGGGAAAAGAAGCGGGTCAAAGCTAGAGTTGCTAAAGTTGTTGAGGAAGCGGGCTTGGAAGGTGGTGTAGTGCAGGCCAAAGCCGAAGGGCAGGACGGGCGTGGGGTACCAGCGGTAAGTGCGTCCCGGGGAGGAGCCAGAAGGACGGAGGGCCATGTCGGTCATGGGCACGAGTTGCGTGTAGTTGGACGGGTACTGCGTGACGGGGAGGCGGCCGGCGGGGGACTTGCGCCCGCTAAGCAGCTGCACGATGGCGGTGCCCCCGTCCTGACCGGGCCAGTTGGTCCAGAGGAGGGCGTTGATCCCCGCGAGGGAGAGCAGCGGGGTGGCGTCGAGCTGGTCGCCGAGTTGCAGGACGACGAGCGGTTTGTTGAGCTGGCTGAGCCGCTTGATCAGGGCCAACTGCGCCGAGGGCCAGTCGAGCGTCATACGGTCTTTGGTCTCGCCCGCGGCCGTGGTGTCGAGCCCGCCGAAGTAGAGGATGTACTCGGCATCGCGAGCCGCGTCAAGCGCCGGCGCCGTCCACGAGTCGTTGGCCGAGCCCTCCCCTTGGAGCACCGGACCTCCCGCGGTCTTGACCTGCCAGCCCGCCTGTCGAGCTGCGAACGCAGGTGAGCGCAGGAAAGCCGGCGTCCCGCTGTACCCCCCTGAGAGCTTCTCGGGGGCATCCGCCCAGAAGCCGATCATGGCCACCTTGGGCGGGCGCGTCAAGTTGTTGTGTCCGTCCACCGGGAGCGGCAGTGTGCCGTCATTCCTGAGCAGGACAATGCCGTCGACAGCAGCCTGCAGAGCCAGCCGCTGCGACTCGGGCGTGTTGACGTCGGCCCAACCCAGCGCCGCATGCGGCGATTCGGCACCGTCGAAATATCCCGTCCGCACGAGCCCCTGGTACAGCCGGCGGAGCGCTCTGTCCACGGTGCTCCACGTCAACAGCCGCTGGGCAGACGCCCCCGGAATGTCTGACGATGACGTGTACTCGCAGCTGGTGTCAATGCCGGCTTCGAAACACATGGCCGTGCCGGCCGCGTTGGTCGGTGCGTAGTGGTGGTTGGCCGACACGTCCAGGACGGCCTCGCAGTCGCTCGTGACGTAGTTGTCGTGCTCGGTCCAGTTCCAGTGCTCGCGCAGGACCGTCTGCAGCAAATAAGCGTTCGCGCACGACGGCACGCCATTGACCGCGTTGTACGCGCACATGATGGACCCCACGCGCGAGTCGCGCGCGCACTGCTGGAACGGGGCGAGGTAGTACTCGGTCAGGTCCTGCGGCGTGATGACGGCGTTGAAGTCGTGCCGCGTCGCGCCGTTCCAGTCCTCGAAGTCGTTGGCCGCGTAGTGCTTGCACGTGGCCACCACGCGGCGCTCGGGTCCCGGGCCTTCGAGACCGCGGATCATGGAGGCGGCGTAGCGCTTCACGCGGAGCACGTCCTCGCCGGGCGTCTCGGAGCCGCGCCCCCAGCGAGGATCCTTGAACGGGTTGACATTGGGCGTCCAGTAGTCCATGCCCGAGAAGCCTGCGTTCCCAAAGGCCCGCCCCTCGATGCCGATGACGGTGCCAATCCGTTCGATCAGATCGTCATCGAACGCGGCGGCCATCAAAAGGGGCATGGGGAACGAGGTGGACGAGTTGAAGGAACCCGGCCCTTTGCGGAACTGCGTTCCCGGCGCATAGGCCACGCCGTGGAGAGCCTCGCTCCACCAGTTGTACGCAGGCAGCCCGAGACGGGGTGCTCCCTTGGAGTTGCTAGGTTGGCTGTTCAGCTTTTCTTTTGTCTCGTCTCTCGGACCGAAATATGTCATGTTATGTAGTATACCTCACAAGGTTCTGCAGCTTTTCCTCGTTCGTCATGGCCGCAACGAGCGCCGCAGCTCTCTGGGCCGGCGAGAGCGTCCGATCGCACACCTTGTTGGCCGCCAGGGGCCCATTGACACAATCTGGATATTTCTGGAAGGGGAGATCGATCGCGTGTACCGCGGCCATCATGCCGCAGATCCACGCCGTCTTCATGGCGAATGGATTACGGGTGACAACTCACAAGTAGCGGCCGGGACCTGAACTCGGCGCATGTATGATTGATATCTATTGCCTTTCAGAAGGCTAATTGCACACGCAGTTATTCTGCAATATGTATATACGGAGGTCGGTTCTCCAGGCTCTGGCAAACCTCTGGCAGGTCTCTGTGCATCAAGAACGGACTGCTATGTCTCACAACCGCTTGTCGTTGATGAGGTCGACTTGCCGTCCCCAGCTGCCGAGGAAGACCGTTTCGATTCAGCACATGTAGAGCAGCTTCACCCGATTGGGGCGCATCGCCGCACAAATCCGAGGACCGAGATCCAGGAACGGGGAGATCGACGATATATTACCCGGCGGTCTTTGGGGTTGCAATGCCAATGTTACATACCCCGACGCTCGACTCCCAGTCGCTGGGCTGACGTTGGCGCCCCCCTTTAGATTAGCCGCTGCACCTTGAATGACAGGACGGCACCCCTATTGGTACGGAGCCTTGGATATTTCCTCTTTTGGGCGGCGTTGCATTCTGGGCCACTACGTTTCCCGTTCCCACTTGACGTCTGCTTCAAGAGTCAAGACACGGCAAACAAGGTCCCCCATGGTTCCGCACGGGAAGGTATGTGAGGGGGATAGAATACAAGTTCGTGGGGCCGATCATGAGCAGAACCTCCAGACAGAGCAGTTACGAGGCTGATATGAGTTGGAGCGTTGGCCTTGAGGTGGATAAGGTAAGTACACATTACAGAAGGGTTGATGACCCGAATGAAGATGTCCCATGAAAGTTGAGCTTTCCATTGTTTATTGCACCACCTAGATAATAGTACGTAAATCTCCTAATCAAGTGTTGACCGAACACCTAGCTGGCATTTAGGGGTAACGGGTCCCAGAAGCAGGTAGTAGTTACGACAGAGAGGGGGGAGAGAATGAAGAACCTCCCAGAAACCTCCCATCCCACACATGCCGTTCAGTAATCTCGAAAAATTCAGTTGATGTTCGCCGAGAACTGCGAAACCGTCAGGGTGGCCGGTCCGCCGGTGAACGGCTCCGTACCCAGTTGGAAGACTGGCACGCGATCACAAACTCGTCAGTCAAAACCCCGCGCACAAAAATTGGATGGAGTGACCGGTCGGTTGACAAACTCACCGATCAGATGCTGGTCATTTGCCGGATATCCCTGGTTGTTCTGCAGGTAGTTGAAGAAGTCCTTGACATTGGCGCTGAAGCTGTTGACGGGGCTCGGCGCGATAAAGCTGAACACCTTCATCGACCCGTTATAGCCCACCCACAGCTCCCAGGTGCGGCCCGCAACGTTGACGGTGCCCACGGACGAGCCGATGGGGTACACGTTGCCGTATCTGGCAAGCCTGCAGTCATGAAATCGTGTCAGACTGCGCCTACCTAAGGCAGGAATGGAAGGAATCGGGCTGGGGGGGATGGGGGGGGAGAGGGCCCAAAAACTTACCAGATCATGAGCTCGTAGTCACCACTGCTGTTCACGTGGTTGGGATCTGCGGCGGTGAAGACATCGTAGGCAACGTTCGCACGGATGTTGGTGTTGCTGTACGACCACGAGACCGACGTCTGCATGCTGCCGATGGAACTGATCTTGCGGCCGCGGGTGACTTGTCTGCCCGCGTTGGCGTAGCTCTTGACGTTGTTCTCGCCCCCCTGCCACGTCCATGTCGTGCGCCCTTCATATCATTCGCATCATGATTAGCAGACATATACAAACACATTGATCCTAAGTGGTCTTTGAAAAAGAAAGAAAGAATGAATGAATGAATGAAGGAAAGAAAGAAAACAAGAAAAAAGAGAAAAGAAATGCGTCTGGGTACTAGTACTAGTACATACACTGAATGCCATTGGAGGAGCTTCCGTCGACATAGGTGCACTGCGACCCGGAGCTCGCTGCAGACCGGCCCCAGTTGTTGTTGTTGACTTCGTATCCGTTGCCGGACCAGTAGCCGTACTGGTCGCAGAGCGTGGCCTGTTGCCGTGCCTCGAGGGAGTTGGCTTGGAGTGGGCTTGCCGCGGCGAGCGACGAGACCAGGGACAGCAGCAGCAGCTTCATGTTTGACGAAGGGCCGATACTAGTACTTGGCTTGGTTCTTGATTCCTTGATAGTTGGTGGTCATAGGAGTACCAGCCAGACTTTCTCCAAGTCATCGAGGCGCTTTAAGTATTAGTATCCTTCAGGCTGCCAGCCATTCCTCTCCTCGGAGGCAGATTCCGGTTCATCGCCGCCGCCATTTTGGGATCGGAACTCCATGACCGCTTCGCTTCAAACTTGCTCGTACAATACAATGCCCAGACGGTGTTACTGGGCTTTTTGCGTTGGTTGGGGCAGTAGCACAACTTCTCGTGCGTTCCATGGAATCCATGCGTGATGGTGCCCCGCAAAGCCGATGCCAACTGCCGAACCCCCTGGCACACTTTAACCTCTCGGGCCCTCCCCGGTGCTTTTCTTGTCGGACTACGACGTCCGGACTGTCGCTATTGCGCCGGCTACTCGGTCCGCCTTGCATCTTGGGGGACCTAAGACGACGTGAATGATGAAAATGTGGGATCGAGGGATTGCAACATCAGGTCTATTCGAAACTGTAGGTTCACGGAAGGGCCGAATCATGATTCAATCATCCCACCGTTCTTCTGGCTAATACCTACGGTGCTGGATAAGAATAACTTGGAAGGCGGTGGGATTGGATATACATCATTCGACAGAGCTATGGTCACTTTTGACTTTTAAGACCATCCGACGATTTTGACCATCAACAGAAAAGCCTTGTTCAAGGACAGGGTAGCGAGAAGACGCCAAAAAAAGGCTCAGCAAAGCGAAGAGCAGATCCCCTGTTATTCCATCTTTGTGGTGACAGTAAACCCTTTCACTTCTCTGAAAGAATGCCCCATACTCCATGCTTGGCAGGTACTGTGAGGTCCTAGTTGTGGAATGAAGGGAATCGACATGATGCATCTCTTTGGCGTTTCGTGTTCATCATCAACTATGGAGAAGTCTCAACCACAGATGAATGTGGCTGACTGGACTAAATACAGGAGGGAAGAAAAGCCCAACCCTCACACTACTACTAATATGTACGTGAAATCCCCCTCAGAAAGCGCCCCCGCCCCCATTCCCCCAACTTCCTCCGTCCCATCCCTTAGTAGTAGTACTACTACTACTACTAACCTCACTCAGCGGAGCAGCGTCAACAGACCGGGCCTGTACGGCAACTTGTTATACTCGCCGCCCGAGCTCGGCGACCGGCCCTGGTACAGCAGCTGCAGGTTGCACGGGTCGACCGTCATGGTCTGGTCGGCGCTGGTGCGGATCAGCTCGCCGTGGCTGATGTCCCGGGTCCAGGTGGCGCCGCTGTTGGCCTTGCCGGCGAACGGGTTGCTCTCGGTAGTGGCCTGCGGCGTCCACGTGCCGCCGAGGCTGGTGGCCGTGAAGGAGCGGAAGTAGCGGTCGCCCTGGGCGCCGATGGCCTCGACAATCATGAGGTACTTGTTCTGGCCCTTGAGGGTGTACACCTGCACGGCCTCGAAGAGGTTGTTCTTGGTGTCGCTCATCACGACGGCCGAGGCCGAGCCGAAGTTGCCCGGGAAGTTGCCGATGGGCATGCTGGCGCGGTAGATCTTGCCGTTGTCGCCCGCGAAGAAGAGGTACATGTTGTTGGCGTCGCCGATGACGGCCTGGTCGATGGGGCCCGTGTCGGAGCCCGAGATGGTACCGGTGAAGAGCGGCTGCGGCGCGGACCAGCCGTTGGGGTTGGTCGGGTTGGACGACGTGCGGTACGAGAAGGCCGTGGGACCCCACTGGTGCGCGAGCACCCAGATGTTCTTGGGCGCGAAGTAGAAGAGCGACGGCGCAACCGTGCCCTGGTTCATCTGGGTCTGGCTGACCGAGCCCATCTGGTTCCAGTCGGAGAAGAGGCCGAAGCCCGTGGAGCCCCAGTTGCTGCCGAACGTGGTCGCGTACACGAGGTGCTGGCCATTGTACGGCGCGTACGTAAAGTCCTTGAGCGAGACGGCGCCGTTCTTGGGCTGTGCCAGCGGGCCGGTCGAGTTCCATCGATACGTGGACGGAAGCGAGCACTGGCCCATGACAACTGCTGCCCATGAGAGCAAGGCAGTGCCGCTCGAGGCGAGGCTGAGTTTGGTGTTCAGAAGATGCATCCTGGATGATGGATAGGACTTTGTCGGCTAGGGATTGGGAAGCCAAGAGTGGTGGTGGTGGTGGTGGTGGTGAGAACGTGGAAACGGCTGCCACAATCGAAGGTGAAGCGGGCTTAGTTATATGCCCCTGAACTCGGAAGCCATTGTAATAATGCTAATAATGCTGCTCTAGTGTCTTTCCCACCGCTGCTCCATCTGCCGATTCCCACCGACAGACCCGGAGGCGGCCTCCGACTCGCCTTTCCGGGTTGTGCTTACGAGCATGGCGAGCATGGTCGGCCTTCCTCTCTTGGCACGGATCGTTTCCCAAGAAGAAGGGCGGAGGCAGGCTCCGTGATGGTGAACCGTGCGAGCGCCGGTGGAGGCATGGGTCAACTGAGTCTGATACTGGTGGGTTTTTTATGTGAAGGAGCATGGCAGCATGTACATACAATACAGTGCATATCCCAAGCTTGGGCTTGATGACGGTGTATGAATACTACACAGTCCACACTCACAGAACAAATCTCGCCGTTGAGCGTTGACCGTCAATAAGGTGTCGGCGAGGCTCAACAACGCGAAAAGAGGTTCGTGGGTCGGGTGTCCTTGCAGATCGGCGGACCTGAGACCTCGGTATGAGATGATCGGCGGAAGGAAGAAGAATCTAGCCCATGACGCCCATCTGCCGGCTGCTTGAGGGGCGGCCCCTGCACGGTGTGCTGCACCCCGGACCCCGGCCGCCTTGAAACGGCCGAACCTCGTCCGCGGGCCTTCGCTACCACGCGGGTCGTGCGCTTGTAGCTGGTATCGGGCCGGATCGTTCCACGATCACGTTGACTGGCGCGCTTCTCGAACTGTTGCAGTGCATGGTGCTGAAGAGCATGAACTGGGATCTTGGATCTGGGGATAATTAACCGGGCGCGTGTGGCGGGTTCAAGGGGTTACATCGGCTGGATAAATGGTCAACTTTATGCTTCTTCTGTGTGTGGGCCCTGCAACATCACATTACCTACTATGAAACGGATGGGTTGTTTGTTTTGAACAAGTTGGTCGCCAGCATGGTGGTGGTGCGCATTTGGAATTCAAGTTTTGGACTGGTGGGAGTCTTTGGAGCACTTTAACTCCCCTGCCCAGTAATTATCCGATTGTTCTTCTATGTACTCTGACTTTTCCCACCTATCAACCCCGTTTCCTTAAAACGCACTCCTTCAATTTCTCAACTTCCTGAATCATGGTCGTGTATTCATAACGTTATTTGTTTTGCTGCAGTGAGCAATCTGGCAACGACAAAGTAGAGCCATATCGAGGTCTTATTAGCGGAGATCTCAGCCACGTTCATCCCAACACACCGTGCCTGACACTCGCCCCTCCAATGTTTCGAAAGATTGATTATAATCTCAATACATGGTACATTTCTTCTGGTGCAGCAAAACCGTAGGGTACCTACCTACCCAAAAGGACGAGGGATAATCAAAGCACCTTCGGAAGGGTAACGAAAAGGAGGGCAGGGTATCCCTCTCCGTTGATAGCAATGGCTTGTCCCGAAGGAGGAATCGGATGTGCGGTTCAAATTCGCGTTCATCGTCTGGCATTCCATGCTGATCAATCCAACGTGGTCGCTTACGGCCTAGGGTGTGCATGTGTTCGGCGCAGAGCAACGGGTAACAGTGGAACGCGGTGTCCATTGCCTGGATGACCATTGCAGTGATCCTCGACGCGGAAAAGCTTCATTGTTACAATCATCGGCCGACATATTCCGACTTATCAATTCCTTAAGCTTCTCAGTGTCCCTGACTTGCACGATCTCCGGGGTTTGGTTTGCGTCGTTCGTGACGTCCATCACAATGACATCGACCGCGGTGGAAGTGCTCTATATGAGGCATGTTTGAATATAAAACCATCGTACCTGAGCTTTGTCAGATAGGCGGCATACGTATCAGCGGCCTCGTTGGACATTGATATCGAAGCTCAATCCCTGGCAGTCGATCCTCTTGATGAATTAGGTGTTCAGGTAGCTACTAGTCTTGGTCGGCCCCCGGTATCGAAAGTACCTAGGTATCAAAACAACTGGTGCAGGAGGCCAAGATGGATAGGTATCGTGGGCGAGGCGGGGGTAGGCACTACCGCCTTTGAATTTACCTCAGCCGCACTTGGTTGATACATTAACACAGCAGACCTCCGTCGAGTCAGCCTGTCAGGACTCGGCCGCATAGTGCCTTGTGTAAGTTCGGAGTTCGGACAGTCAGGGCTCGGGGCACAGTAATCCCGCAACTCGAAGCACCCCATATTGAATTACGACCAAGTACGTACCACAGCGAGGATTTGTGAGAGGACGAAATCATGAGGAGTGACGATCTACGATATATAGGTGTGACGTTTGAATCTCTGTTTGTTTTATTTACCCCACCAGCTAACCGCGTAGCTTAGGTACTCTTACTACTAGTATTAGCATTAATAAACTGAGATATTTCCAAGATAAGGTAGGCAGTACCTCAAGTATCACAATTCACTCGATATAAAGATACCTACTACGTAGGTACGGTAACTAATCTTCATCCCGGTTTCAAGGATCCTACGGTCCACAAAAAAAAAGGAAAAGAAAAGAAAAAGAAAAGAAAAAGAGGAAAAAAAAGAAAAAAAAGAAAAAAAGAAAAAAAATGACAGGACTGTCGGTCGTAATGCTGAAGACGCGTTGCGGAGAGAGGATTTGTTGGACCATTGAGTGACGTCTAACTCGTGGTTGCCTGATCGAATCCTCCCAGGCACTAGGTCTATTTGGGATCTTCGAGATATTTACCCAAGTCTTGGCGAGTACAACAGTCGCACCTGGCAGGCTCATCATATTCTTGCGTGTCTTCCAGGTGCTACTAGTTGCAATAGTGTCAGGCTGACGGGTGGTGCGTGTCCTCTTAAAATGAACAGACACGACAGACTTGCTGGAGTCGTGCCTCTGAATCCTTCGGGTTCTTTTTCGGGCCCTTTTCACTAGCCGACTTCCCGACGGCTTAAGGATGGGCCGGTCACAATCCATATAAGAACGAAGATCTGGGCTGAGCCAGAGTGGCAGACACAAGTTCTGCTCTCCCGGCCGTGAAATCTTAACACCGTGCATACCTTAGTTACTCAGCACAATGTCCGCGTCCAACGACAAACTCACAATCCTCATAACTGGGTGTTCCCCAGGCGGAATGGGGGCAGCCCTTGCCGAGGTTTTCCATCATGCAGGACACCGAGTCTTCGCAACAGCGCGGAACCCGTCCAAGCTGTCGCCCCTCGCCGAGCAGGGCATTGAAACGCTGACATTAGACGTGACATCGCCGCCGTCCATCGCCGCTGCGGTCTCCTCGCTCACGGCGGCCCTCCCGCCCGACCAAGGCCTGGACATGCTCATCAACAACGCAGCAGGCAGCTACTCGATGCCCATCGCCGACATCTCGCTTGACGCCGCGCGCGATCTCTTCAACCTGAACGTCTGGGCGCACATCGCCGTCACCCAGGCGCTCCTCCCACTCCTCCTCCGCCGTTCCACTACTACTACTAGTACCATTTCCACTGCAGCAACATTCCAGCCCATGGTTGTAAACCACACCTCGGTCGGCTCCGTCGCCGCCCTGCCCTTCCAGGGTGTCTATAACGCCTCCAAGGCTGCCCTGGCCATGCTCACCGCCACCATGCGCATGGAGCTGGCGCCGTTTGGGATCCGTGTCGTGGACCTCAAGACAGCCGGCGTCAAGACGAATATCATCAGCAACAACAACGTCAATAACCCTGCTGCGGGCAATGGTGGCCGGTTACCGGAGGGGTCAATCTACGCGCCCGCCAGGGAGGTGGTGGAGAGGGCGATGAGTCAGGAGGAGTTGAGGGGGGTTGGGATTACGGCTGAGCAGTGGTACGTTGTGATTTCTCGTGATGTGATTGTGGGATGAATCAAGATACGCGGGACTGACGATTACCGTGGGACAGGGCCAAGGAGGTCGCCGGGCTGTTGTTGGGGAAGAATCCGCCGGCAGTGATCTGGAAGGGGGAGAGTGCGACGGTGGCGAGGGTGGCAAGTGCGATGCCGTGTAACCTGTTTGAGGGACCGATTAAGAAGATGACTAGGATGGATCGTGTGGAGGAGATTATTAGGGAGAGCAGGGCGAATGGAGAGGCGTGACAAGATGAGGTTGGGATTAGAGGGTGTAAGATGGCATGTACGTACATTATTACTACTTGAAAGCAATCTGTTGATTAGATGATGTGTTACTCTTCACTCTATTCTATAGATACCTCTACATCCAGTTCTTTTCAATTCCTCTGTTCTACGTCCTGCTCCTCGTCCAGATCCTTGTTTCCGTCTGATTTCACGACAATCCCGCACCTCAATGCCCTCAACAATGACCAACGGAGTGAAATCGGGACATCCCAGGATATTCTTTTGACTCTTACCATTCGTATTCCGAGCAATACCACCGATATGGGAACAAGAGCGATGTGGGAATAACCCCAAAGTACCTAGATAGAAAGACAGGAAGCGATTAGCTACAAGGAGACATTAGCAACTGGAGGCCATAGGGCTGCTAAATACATTGGTTGATGCGGTAACAGATTCAGAAAACGCCTTTTTGGGATGCTGAAAATGGAAAAAGAAATCATAGAACAAAGGCTTGGGAGGCTCTTTTCGAAACACTGCTCACCTCATACTCAGTGTCCTGAGGGGCTCATATGGATATGTGCTCCGTTATCATAGCAATAGCCGCACCGAGAATCAGCGGAGATTCGCGCCTAGGGCGTGGTGGACAGGTCCATCCACCTGGGACTGCTGTAGTACTAGCTATGTATACATTTGATATACCTACCCACCAAGAAGTCAACTGTTATGCTCGTATCAGTACCGATTCTTCCCACTCATGTTCGTATCTACTGTAGGTGTCGATATCAGAAGTCTACTGACAGGTATATAGGTACCTATGTATGTATTGTACAATCCTGTATCGCTACCTTAACTATGATATCGTAACTTTCGTCTTGCGTACGTCATGAGCACGACGACCGCCAAGCAAATGTGGGCCGGCCGCCTTCCATTTCCGGGACTTCCGACGATGGATCGGCAGCCGAGGCAGACCGGGCTTGCTTCGCGGCCCGTGTTGCATCAAAACGTCCAAGAATCTCAAAGCCTCATCCCGTACCACTTAAACTCACGTACAAAAGGAAGGTGCAAAGTGAACTCACCTCCAATTTATCCCAATTTGCTCGGGCTCGCGATTCATTCAGTATGTCACCTACAACCCCAGAGCCGGCCATCCCAACGGTCGCCGAGACGCTCAAGCATCCAGCATTCCCAACCGCCACCTTCAGGTTCGAACCGGATCGCAAAGGCCTGGTGCCAGTAGCTGAAGGCCGCGGAGGGCCGGTCAACATATCGTGGGAAATCCATGGCGCCGGACCCATCAAGCTTATCGTAAGTCCGCATGCTGGTTCTTTTTTTAGCCCCCATTGCTCATCCCACCCATCCCAAGCCACTCGTTAACCTCTCCCCCCCAGTTCATCATGGGCTTGGGCGGTCTCAAATCCGCCTGGCAGCGGCAGACGCTGCACTTCGGGCACGAGCGGCGCGACCAGTACTCGGTGCTACTGATCGACAACCGCGGCATGGGCGACAGCGACAAGCCGCTGATGCGGTACAGCACGAGCGAGATGGCGCGCGACCTGGCCGAGGTGCTGGCCCACCCGTCCGTCGGCTGGCTCCCGTCCTTCCCACTCCCGGCCTCCTCCTCCTCCTCCTCTTCCTCCTCGGTAGAGCGCACGCTGCACGTGGTGGGCGTCTCGATGGGCGGCATGATCGCGCAGGAGCTGGCGTGCCTGATCCCGGCGGCCATCTCGTCGCTGTCGCTGATCTGCACGGCGGCCGCGATCGAGAAGCACGACGTCTCGTTCGCCGAGAACGTGGCCAACCGCGTGCAGCTGCTGCTGCCCAAGAGCGTGGACCGGTCGGTGCGCGACACGGCGCGCCAGCTGTTCGCGCGCGCCTGGCTGGACGCGCCCGATGACGTGCACCTGCCGGACCCGGCGACCACGCCCAAATGCCTGCCGCCTGCCGGGGAGGGGGCCGGCGAGAAGTACCTCAGGTTCGAGACCAACGCGCAGCGGTTCGTGGCGCAGGAGATGCACAAGCGTCTCGACCCGCTGCGCAGGTTCGGGCTTAAGGGGTTCCTGCTGCAGCTGATCGCGGCCGGGTGGCACCACAAGAGCCCGGAGCAGCTGCGCGAGATGGCCGACCGGGTCGGGAGAGAGAGGATTCTGGTCATGCATGGGACCGAGGACGGCATGATCAGCGTGCCGCATGGGAGGAAGCTGATCGAGTATATTCAGCCGGCGAGGGGCTTCATCGAGGAAGGGATGGGCCACGCGCCGCTGGTGGAGAGGTACGAGTGGTTCAATCGGACAATTGAAGAGCAATGTGCTATTGGGGAAAGGTTAGATGGGCGGCTGTGATAGAGACAGGAGTATAAATACACGGTTGGAGTTGGAATCTCTTCAGGGCATCGGCATTATTCTGCAATCAGGAGAGCGGGTATCATTCGGAGTGGGTTGGCATACATTCATACAGAAATCGGCTCAGGCTCATTCGAACAGCATGCCTAAACTCAACATGCTGATCTCCTCCTTGCGATCTAGATTGCGCCATGTAGCTATCCTTCATCCCATCCTCGTGCCTTCTCCCGGGCGCCGGTAACCACCCCGCTCAAAGCATGACAAACCCGACCCCACTGGATACGGCCTCCTCCAGTTGGTTATGCTTGTTGACTCCCCCGTGAATCGGGTTCGCCTTGTAGTTGAAGAGGTAGTAATGGAGCTGGCCATCACCGGGGCCAAACTTCTGCTGCTCTAGGAAGACCGAGTTGTCCATCAACGAGAGCGCATTGAACACATCAAAATTGTGCCGTTTAGCGAGGACCAGGGCGTCGGCGATCAGAGCATTGAGGCGGGTGCTGAGGGCAGCGCGATCCCCAGGGGCTGTGAATGCCGTCTCCGTCGCGTAGTAAAACAGATATGCGGCCCGGATAGACGAGTATTTCGTTGATTGGATGACAGACGACTCGAGGCAGTAGAAGGAGAAGAAGTCGGTGATCTTGCCATTGGCGTCCTGAAGCATGCGTGAGCATATGAGTCACGGATTGGGGGAAGGGGAAGGGGGAACCTCACCTCAACCACATAAGACCAGATCACCTGCTCCCCGGCCGCGTCCTTCTTGTGGAGCAGCCAGTGGTCGACCTCGGTCTTGTTCCACACCGGAGTGAGATCGAACCGCTTGAGATACCGTTCAAGGAGATCATGCACGGCATCCAGGTCCTTGGCCTCCATCTCTCGGAGCCCACGGGTCGACGTGTTCTTTGGAACGTCATATTTTCGGGCTTGGAATGAAGGCTTGCTGTTTGGCGGGCAAGGGCTGAAGCCCACCTCGTACAGCTTCATCCAGTTCAGAGCCCGGTGGTAGTATCGGCAGGTGCTCACCGGCCGGGGAAGCACGATACCACCCGTATAGATAGCCTGCCAGACTCCTTCGAGATTGATTCGCCGGGTGATCTCCTTGATCAGAACAGGGGTGAGGCGCTTGCCTCTCAGCTTCTTGTGGATGCACAGAAAGTTCACCTCGGAGCTATGAATAATGTTGTTCCGAACTCGCATCTCAGTGGGGATGGCGGAGATGAAGGCACAGAGAGTGTTGCCGCTGCGTATGCCCACATGCCATTCCTTCCTCCAGCCTGGAGACAGAAGGGACCTGGCCCGAGTGTTAGCCGCCGCATTGTCGGGGGTCCCCGGTGGAGGTAGCGTATCAACCTACCAGCGTAGTAAAGAGCTGGAGTATTTGAACCTGAACATGGCTTCATCATCCTCCACGTAGTGACCGTACAGCAGCTTCTCAACCTCTGCCAGCTCGTCATCGTTTGTGAGATCCATGGTCACCCAGCGGAATGCCTCAAGAACAAGAGATATCGGTTCTGTATCGATGTCCTTAACGTCCTGGACTTTTAACGGGCCCTCTTCGAAGAGCTTTGGCTCTTCATCGAACTGCGGGACGGGCTGTGTGCTCCAGAACTTGTACGACCCCATATCCTTCCGGTTCTTCCCACTGCTCGCGAGGCCGGTCATGATGTCCTGAAGCTTGAGTTTCTTGAATTCTTCGATCGCCTTTGCGGTTGTGTCCGAGGAGCCCTCGCCATTAAGTAGCTCGTTGGCTAGGGCCGGGTTCAGAGCAATGAATTCGCTGACTTGCTGGGGCGTCAAGCCTTCAATGGCCTTCTTGGGGTCTGCCATGGCCTGCGCCGGCGTCATATTGAAAGTGTCGGCCACGGCCTGTCTGATCTTCTTCTTCTTGCTCTTCTTTTTCTTTTTCTTAGCAGATCCTTCGCCGTCTTTGCCGGTAGGTGTCTGGCCGGCGGCTTCTTCGGCTTCTGATTCCGAGTCGGCTTCAGCTTCGGCTTTGGCCGGCCTGTTCGTGAGGTCGACGAGGGCGTCGGCAGCTTCCTGAGCCTCTTGCTCCTTGGCCGGATCCACCTGCTTCGACTCTTCTGCCATGGTCACTCGTACTTGGCGGGCGATGTTGATGATCGTTGTTTATGCTTTGATGGGGGTGATGCAATGCGAAGATGAAGAGAGAGAGTGGGGGCAACCTGCCGCGGGGTCAGAGCTTCGATGGAGCTGTGGAAGTTCTGGAACAGGGGCTCAGCCCACCGACCTTATCGATAAGATGGAATGACAAGGGGTTCAAGTTTACCTTACTGAGCAGGTGTGTTACTGTTTACAGGTGAACTGACAAGTCTCCAGCGAGATCGACAGATCAGTGGCCAGCATCTTTTCTCTGGCATTAGACTATTCAATCGCTATGTCAGAAGCTGAAGAAGCATAGCTCCGACACCTCACCACTGGAGTTTAATGCACAGGTCGTGTGTCTCGATCTGGGACTAGAGTTGAAGGTTGTGATTGGTGAGCACGGTGAGCTAAAGTGCTCCGCCACGGTTGCCTTGACGAACCCCCTGCAGAGATGGCAAGCTGAAAGTGCTTGAAGACCCGGGTGTCCTCCGTCTCTCTCCTTCTGGTCCTGTCTTTCAGCCCATTCCCTGCTTTGGTATTCATATCTTCAAGTGCTATTTACGCATTTTCTCTTGGGTGCAACTGGACAATCGCTTCATTATGGGGAAACCTGATGCTCTGCCTGTTCCCGGCATCGCCGGCAGCAGCTCCGACACCGATGCGGTGTCACTCCACACCCAACCTGGCGACAGGGCGTTTGCCGACGTGCCGGAGCTGCAACCCGACGATCTACCGCCTCTGTACTCGGATATTGAGCCAGATAGCAACGCCGATGCTCCGCTCCTTCGTCCCCTTGTTTACGGCACCTCCTACGTCCTCGAAGACTTGGACAACGGGCTTGGCTGGCACACGGTGGACGCCAATACTGGCGCAGAGTGCTTCATGAACCCGCACCTTGATGAGGATCCCCAAGTGCTTGAGAGGCAGATCAAGTTGTCGGCAGAGAAGCCGCCCCGCCCTTCCGTCCGCATCGTGGGGACCCATAGCCAGATGGTCAATGAGAACGGGAAGCGGGAAAAGAAAACCATCACCGACTTTGATGTCTCGGTCGACCTGACGCCCTACCTCTTCTCAGACGCCACAAGACGCGTGTCATGGAAGCAGCTGCGCACGGTTGATAACAACGAGAAGACGCGGCGTGGCACCATCCTCCGGAAACGGGCACCGGGCGTCAAGCGAGACATTGAGATCACCGACACGAAACCGACGCTGGCGGAGTGGTGCCACCGGTACTGCGCCAGCCATGCCGGGGTGAAGTGCTTTGTGCTGCAGCGGCGCGTAGTGGGATTTGACGAGAACAGGCTGAAGGAAAAGCTCATGGAACTGGTCCGCAGCACCAACTACCGCGGCAACGTCTCCATCACCTTTCCAGTCAAGGACGACCGTGTCTTCGTGTACAACAGCTGCAAGATCAACAAGTGGCGGGTGACGCCGTGGATCGTCTGGCTGTTCTATCTGACATTTCTGTGGCTGTTCTCGTGGCCCTACCTCTTCTTCCGAACGAAGATGTTCGAGGTCGCGGTTGCAGAGTGGCCTTTCTCGGTGACCGAGGGAAATGGCAGAAAGCGGTATGTCAGCATGTCTGAAGAGCATGTCTACAATCTCTGGGGGCAAGCTATTAGTCGGGCGGTACTGGCCAAGCGTCAGGGCACGCTTGACGCTGAGGATCTGGTTGCTTCCCAGACTGCCCCTGCTGAACCGCTGGGCAATCTTCTGGAGGGCGCGCCGAGGTTCCTCAGAGAGGGCATCAACGCTATCACTTCGGTGAATCGCTCATTCGGCTGGGGTGCGGATTCGTGTTGATGGCTAGTTGCTCTTTCTATTAGGCGTGTTTTTTCCTTCAGGCAACTCACCTCATTACTCTGCTCAATCCAAAGCCTGTCCCGCCTCATCAGGAAGGGTGAAGGATTTCATGACGGCCTTGAGTACGGAAGTGTAAGTTAGAATACGGTTATGCCCTGAGAGTTGTGTCAGTCCTTGCATACTTGAAAATGCAACCGTGGGAAAATGGTAGTTCACCTCCATGCGGAAACAGCTCCTGTTGAATCACCACATCGCCCTCCGTCCAGGTGGCCACAAACGAATCCTTGCCCCTGACCACCATCCTCCTATCCTTCTCCTCCTCAAACCGCTCAGCCGCCGCATCCCCAATCAACCCCTTCACAGCCGCCCTGAACAGTTTATCGTCCTCGTGGCATGGAATATCCCAATCATTCCGCGCATGCACCAAGCTCAACCTGAGCCTTCCCCCCCTCCGCTTCACCTCCCCCACAATCTCGGTCCAGCGCCCTGCGCTATCCCACTTATCCACCACCCGGCCCATCACAACCCTCAGCAGCCAAGGCCACCACGTAAGCGGGCGCAGCACGGGCAGGAACCCGGCAATGGCATACCCACTCAACATTTCCGGCAGGGAGCTGAAGGCAGCGACGAGCACGACGCCCGCGAAATCGACGCCCTCGTGCCGCGTGAACAGCTCGCTCGCGGCGGAAGCGACCGCGGTGCCCAGGCTGTGGCCGACGAGCACGATGCGCGAAGGCGGGATCCCCGCCGTGCGCACCGCCCAGTTGATGGCGGCCTCGGCGTCGAGGATCAGCCCTTGCTCGGTGGGCGTGCCCGTGCTGAGGCCGAAGCCACGGTAGTCGATGGCCAGCACATGGTACGGGCTGTGCAGGGAACTGAGGGAGTGGTAGTGCGAGGTGCGCAGGCCTTGGGTTAGTTGCGCTGCGTTGCCGTGGACTGGCACAGAGCAGGATGGTGAGATTGCAGGCTGCTAAGGGTGGGGGATTGGTAGGGGAGCTTACATGTGATGACCAGTTTGGAGTTGGGGTCATCACGGAGAAGACGGAAGTTGGTGGTGCCGGTTATGTCAGAGCAGAAACCCGTTGGTTGGGAGGCTAGTGTGGGCTCGTGTTGGGTGTAGAGCGATAAGGGGAGGATGTGCCAGGCGTAAAGCGTCTGGTTGTCCGCGGTAGTAATGTGGAAGGGTGTCACTTGGTTTCCTTCAGAGTAGCACTCGTGTCAGTCCGGCAGTAGGCAATCAGTATCTACAGCCAATCGACGGGACATTGACTGACTTGCAAACCCCCATTGCTCCGGCTCATTGATGTCCCCCCACCATAGCGTGTGGATCTTGTGTGCATACACGAAACTGGCGGAAGTCCAAGGTATCAGCTCAACAAATGTACGTTTTACCTGACGACTGCCAGAATCCTTACTTCCGCTGAAAATACGGAATGGCGCTGAGACCAAGGAAGAGGATGTAGAGACCCAATGGTACTATGACCACAAGACTCGCGAGGACAATGGTCACCGGATTCGCCATTGTGGAAAGATGCTTCTGGCGGGTCTTGGATGTCGACATTGCGAGAGGGCGTGTATCGGCGGTTCGTTTACCACTTAATGTCCATACTCCCCATCTCGGTCCAGCGACTTAGCGTTCCGCCTTATGAACCCGTCGCGAGACAAGGGCAGGGCTCTTGAAGGGAGAATGTTCTCAAAGCCCCGGCACGCGAAGGAAGGCCGCCAAGAAATCCCCCCTGCCCTGTCAGTTGTACCCCACCCGACCTCTCGTTCTCTGGCTTACGTATGCAACGAGAATCTACAGATAACGTTACCTTATGCAGCTGTGCCAAATCAGCAGAGGTAGACAGTTGTCTGTTTGTTCTACAGTGTCTCAATGAACCAGTGTGAACTATCCAATTTTGCGTTCGTGCTTCACTTGACACGCGAATCCCATGGAGAGAGCTCAGTAGCTCACCCGAGCTCCGGAGGTTGCATGTACGGAGCTGCACTGGTCTGAATCCATCCTCTATGCACCCCGGTATGTCCATATGAGCGCTCGTCCATTGCGCCCAATTTTGTGATGCACTCTGCTCATCGGATGAGTAAGGTATTGTTCACTGCTCTATATTCCCAGATCAAGCGACCTAGAGCGAGTTCCTGGAGATCAACGTTGTACCGGAAAGTGGTTCCAAGTTGTAATCCAGCGAGTTCTCGGTTTCTTGTATGTAGCACCCGAACGGGGAGAACCAATAAGATCCCGATTCGGGGAGCTGCTTCCCTCAGTCCCACCGTACCTACTTGGCGCGTCTCTAGCGCCCATTTTCTTAGACGGGTCTCTCCGTTCTTGCATTCGCAACTTCCAGGTTGCAACCTTTCCGAGCTCGAGGGTCGAGGGGACTTGCCACCAACGCCCCCAACTCCCGCGACAGCAACAATCCCTTCACAATCGCGGGATACATTTATGTCATCGACTTTCCCAAACATATATTTCACGCTCATGACTGTATAACGGACCGTTGCATGCTTCGCACATCTGCTTCGGCTGGCCGCTGCAATGGAGAAGAAGAGGAAGCTGCCGGCGCGCGCTGCTGCTAGAGCCGAGCAGGCCGCTAAGAGAAGGACCATGACGCCTCCGCAGAGGTCAACAACTCCAGCAGCTGCACCCGAGCCCGAACCAACTCCTGCCGAAGACCTCCCTCCACAACTGCCAAAATCAATCAGCGCCGGCAAGCCGTTGCCCACGGTCGACTCTCCACAGCCCGACGACCTCTCAAGCAGCGAATATCAGACTGTCACAGAAAGGTGCGCCCTTCCTGGCCAGGTTACGCTGGGCCGTCCTAAAGCTAACAGCAACCTAGTGGTGTTCTTGCCGAGTCTTTATCCCGGTCGAGGCAGAGGTGGATAACGGAGGGTATCTTCGAGAAGTATTGGTCGAAACCTACCAAAAGAAAGGGGGTCGTGATCGAAGAGCCGAATAATCCGCCGAAGGAAAGCATGACCAAACTCGGTCAAGTAACGATTACCGTAGAGCCGCACGTCTTCGAGGCGACCATGTACGCCGTCCGAGATCCGAAACCACCTCCACCGTCTACCGATAGACCCATCGTACAATACGGACCGCCGGGGGGCGTCATGCCTCCTCCGCCTACGCCTACACCGAAGTCCGCGACGCCTACAGGCTCGTCAACTCCGATTCCAGTTCAGTCCCAACCACAGCCCCAAGTTAATACCCCCGCGGAGACGAAGCCATCGACGCAAATACCAGCACTGGGCGCTTCGCATACGCCCACAACACATACGACGCAACCTGCCGTTGGCCAGTCGGTACCAGAGGTATCGCGCCAAGCTCAGGCTGTTCCAGCAACGGGACCGAGACCTGTTGCGTCGCCACGGGGGATGGAGTCAGTCCTCTCGCCCAGCACCGTAACACCAATGGTGCCACAAAGCTCCCCCGCAATCCACACGCAACCGCCTCAATCAACGCTCCCTCCCATCCAATCACCTCTAGCAAGGACATTCACCCCAACGACAGGTCCCACTCGACCTCCGAACTCAGTTGTCAACAACCCTCCTCCTACTGGGGCGCCGCCTACGCCATCTGCTGGCACACCAGCAAAGACTGCTCCGGGCACCGATCCCATTATTCTGATGCTGGCCGAGAAAGCCGGGACAGATCCTCAGCTCCGCGAACTTATGAAGCGCGTTGCTCAGGGGGACGCCGCGAAACCTGAACTCGAGCGGTTCCAGGCCATTATTGATGCCATCTCCCTCGAGACCAAGCGGAACGGAAGCACAACCGTGCCCTCCGCCGAGCGACTCCTGGTTGACGGGAAGACGGTGCAATATTTCGCTGATGAAGTGCGCGCCATCCTCGATATTGTGCTTTCGTCAAATCCCAAACAAACCTCTGTCGACCTCCGGCCGCCAGTAGGCAGCGATCCCCTAGTTGTGATGCTGGTCAAAGCGGCGCTGGACGATCTCCGATTACGGGACACGGTGCGGCGTATCGCCGAGAACAAGCCGCACTTCTCGGACGCAACCGATCTGAAAGTCAAACTGGACAACCTCCGCTCCAAGCTCGTTAAAGACCGTGAACCACAACGGGTGCCGTTATCAGCGTCCCCCTCTCCAGCCCCCACGAAGTCGAATGGCCCTCCCGGCAGCCATCCAGCCCCTTCCGGAGGAACATCGCAGAGCCCCGCGCCACAGCAAGCTCTTCGGTCTAAGGGGCCACCACCACCACCTAAACCAGACATCTCGGCAGTTGTGTTCGAGTTCGCCGGCGGAACAGGCGACCGGTACCTGTTCCCCAAATTCAGCCTCCTGGAGTACGTACAAGTCCCTTCCGGGCAGCAGGTGATCGCCTCGTTCCTGCTCGTCCGCAAGGGCAGCAAGGCCGAGTACCCCCTGGCGGATCCCGAGCTGGACTACTACGAACCCATGACTATTCGACTGTTCGCCCACACGGGCCGCCATCTCGAACACCTGGCACGAGTGGTGGCGCCGCCTGATGAGGTGAGGCGGTACATGGACGATGTCATGGCCAGGATGACGAGGGCCGAATATATCCTTCTGGCTATGAGGTTGCCGAGGGGTAACAAGGCAGAAGAGGAGAGGGGGAAAGAGGAGGAGAGGGAGGGGAAGCAAATTCTTAATGCAAGCGGAGCGGTTGGTAAGGAGAAAGAGACAGAGAAAGGGAAAGAAAAGGATAGCACGGTGGGGGCAATGGCGCAGCCGCCTCAAGTGCTGTGGACTACGAAACCGGCGAAGCAGGAGATACGGGATTTGCCGGGCCAGAATAAAGGACACGCAAAGACGGCCGATGACGACGAGGGGTATCAGCAGTTTATCGCTTCGGTCACTCCAAAAAGGTCCGAGTGAAGGGGCGAACTTGAGCTTGGGCGTCGGATAAATGTAACGGTCTAGTCCGTCTCGGTTTGGCAGCTAGGAGGCTTGTGTTTGGGTCGGGTTTTATAGAGGAAGCGAGCAGCGGTGCTTTGATTGATTCTTGTCCAGCTTCGGTATCCGTCATGGCTATAGCGACGGGCTTTGTTACTAGTACTATGCTGGACCGGGCTTGCTTCCGGGTTATGGAGAGTTCGGTTCTTTACATTCAATTCGGGTTCGGGCTGGGGATACGGGGTGTCATGAGCGGAGTTCCTGGTGTGCTATAGTAGTTATTGCTATTATCTACCTAAGGCTACTAATACCTACTAGGTAGGATCACCTCAACAGTCTTATCTGATCCTTGGGTTTCTACTTCAGCACTCGCATTGCCGCCAGGGACACTGAGTCCTGCAATCTGTTAATATCCCTCTTGGGCAAATAGCTTTTGAACCAAAGAACAGTCAGGTACCCACGCCCTGGATCAGGTCCAGCGTATTGACGATGAGCAAGTCATACTGCCCGTCGCCACCGCGGACGACGAGCCAGTCGAGGGTGGTGAGCAGCCGCTGGGCGATGTTCCATTTGCAACCACTCGCTCTTTTGAAACTCCTCGGAACGGGGGTGGGAAGGATTTGGACCTGGCCGATGGACGCTTAGACCGACCATGGCGCAGTCCTACTAGTAGTCAGTCGGGTTGGGGAAACAGTCCTTATTAGGCACCACCAAGAGAGCCAACTACTGGGTATACGGCAGATATTATTTTCCATTACGATGCATGCAGTATCTAAGAAGTACTCTCCATCCTCCTCTTGACACCACAACTCCACTCTCTCACCTCGCCTTTTCAACCCCCCTGTGCCCTCTCTCTCTCCTCAATCATCGGCTTCGCTGGCGGGGATACAGTCGACCCCGATATCGCCCTCGATATTCTCGCACACAATCTGCGGCGGGCTGCCGGCGGGGCTGGTGATGTTGATGTCCTCCAGGTGGATGCCGCTACAGGTCGCGCCGGGGCTGCAGGTCAGGTCGGCGACCACGCGGCCCCGGGCGCCGCTGCTGGTGCCGTGCACGTTGATGAAGCGCACGTCGGTGATGTTGACGCGGCTCGGGTAGGCCGCGCACGCCGTCTCGTTGACGTTGAAGTAGCACTGGTCCAGCACGACCGGGCGGTCCGTGTTCTCGACGCGGATGTCGCGGTACGTGATGTTGGAGATGTACCCGTACCCGACGCCGGCACCGGCCCAGGCCTTGAGGCGGGCGCCGTTCTGCCCGTTGAGCAGCGTCACGTTCTGGATGTAGGCGTTGGAGATGTAGTCCATCACGCCCGGGTACTGGCCGATGCTGCCCATCGACACGCCGTGCGTGCCGTTGCACCACAGGTTCTGCACCAGGATGTTGGTCGTGTTGGGCTTGGGCGAGAAGCAGTCGTCGCCGACGTTGACGCGCGTGTTGGTCACCGTCAGGCCGTCGACGTTGAGCGAGTCGAAGCCGTCGGTGTTTTTGGGCAGGGCCTAGATGCGATACCGCCAGGTGAGTTATACGATAAAAAGCAGAGGGAGAAATGTTGAAACAAACGGGGTGAGGTGTTAACTTACGGATGCGTTGTTGGAGACGGCTGAGATGTACACATCGTCAAACACGACGTTCTTGGTGCGCACGAAGAAAGTGGTCCAGCATGGAGAATCTTTGAGGTGGAGGCCCTTGACCTCGATGTTGGTGGCATTGTCCGTGAGGAAGAGGATCGGGCGGTAATATGTGTTGTCCGGGTCCAAGATCTCGGATCCCGCGAATCCGTTCCACCAGGCCTGGCCATTGCCGTTGATCATCCCGGAACCGTAGATCTTGATGTCCCTTTGGGCTTATGAGCATTACGTAAAACCAAAGAACTGTGGGCAATAAGGGAATAATCTTACTTTCCACCCCAGACCCAGAAGGTGATGCTCTTCTGGAACGAGTAGTAGAAGTTATTCGCTTGCCAGTACTCGATGTCGTTGGTAAACTGGGAGCCGTCAATATCATACCCCGTGCTGAGGCAGACGGGGTGCCGCGGTGCATACCTTCAACTCGCCGTCGATCTTGACATACACATCCTTCAAGAAGTTCAGGTTGAGCTTCTTGCCGATGACGTACTTTTTCCCCTTCTCCAGGTGTACCAAGCCGCCATTGTTGGCCTTCTTGACAGCCCACAAGAAGTCGTCACTGATGTCGTCCTTGTCGTTATTGGATGCCCGGATCGTGACCCTCTTGCGGTCCTTTTCTACTGCATTGCCCCAGTTGTCCTTTTGCTTGTGTTGTCTGTCCCTGGGGAGCGGCGAGCGAGGAAGGGTTATGGAAGCACCGGCCGGGGTGTGAGCATTATTTTCAAGGGCAATAGCCGATGCCGCGGCCAAAGAGGCGGCTACGGACAGAATGAACGCAAATGCCTTCATGGCGTCAATGTCCAAAGTCCTGGAAGAAGGTCGGTTGCATCCATTGTCATGTCTCCAAAACAAAGGATATAGCCTCTTGTATGTTCCCTGGCGACTAATGGAACTGTCCGTCATGTACTGTGACCTAGGTAGTCTTCTGCTGGGAATGCCAAGAGAGCATGTCTAGAGTTTCTCCGCCAAAGGAGCGTGTAACTGACCGTTGTTCCGTTCATCTACGCGATAAAGCCGTGGGGTCGATCTCCGCAGAGTACTACCGAAGCTAGCTAAGACGGGGGTGATTCCGGGGAAGGCTTGGTGAAAGCGCGGGGGAAAGCTTGGGGAAAGCTTGATCAGGTTGCGTCAGCCAGGGGGCAAGCCACGAAGCGTGGTGAACTTGCCATCTTGCCCCTCTCGGTTACCTTCCCCGATGGCGGTCATGAGTTGTGGTTCGTGGATCGGCAAAATTGGAGTCTTGTCATTTATCCGCGAATGGCGTTGCGTTCCATCTGCGCTGTGTTCGTGCTGATCATCTACCAATTTAGAGACGACTCCTGCATTGAGCTGTTGAATGATAGCCCGGGTTTGACGGCCTTGTCCATAATCTAACCGAGGGTACGGTGCCGGGGATGGACTCTGTCTGCCGCAGATCCATGACCCCAGGCTTCCGGAGAGTAAAAGGTTGCCAGCCTAAGAGACATCCTTTGGTTCCTCGTTGCGATGCTCACAGTCCTTGCTAGGAAGGAAAGAGATCGAAAACGATGAAAGTAGACATGGAAGACTAGGAGACGCAATACCACTATGATGTCGGTCAGAGTTGCATGTGGTGTTTCGAGAGTACTGGAGCAAGAAGCATGGGTAATATGCCATCGTTTGATGCGAGGGAATGCAGTTGACTACATAATTCTCTTCCCGGTCATTATGTGTGGTATATGGGAGTCAAACTGCGGACTCCTGATGCTGGTATAGTCAATGGGTTTACCAACGGCAAACCTTTGAGTTTGAATGGTCACCCTGTACCCCGTGGCAGTCCGTAAGCTCCGGTATGGGCCGGTGCTTCGTGAGGTTGAGAAATTGGGGAAGTATATAGAAAATGTGGTGCTGTCCAGAACGGTAGCGATGTTAGGATGTGCCGATAATGGCCTGAATCCGCCACTACTACTTGATTCCAGACAGCAAAATAGACAGTGCTGGCAGCTGAGAGCTCAACGAGATATGCGGCCGTTCCTGTGAAGCAGACCCATGACACCGGGCTTTTCGGGTTCCAATGCTATGACTGTGATTCATGGTGGCAGCTTCAGCTCCAATGCGCGAGCCGGACTTGTAAGTTGTACAATACAGCACTTGCAACTGTTACGCAAGAGGCAGCAAACCCGGTACTCTGGCGAAGGAAAGTTGTAAATATATGCTGCCGACCGCAGACGTCTTGGTTGAGGCCCGCGTGACTTAAGACCCCCCGAGACCCCGGCTCACCGACGACAGAGAATTGACTCAAATGTTGAGACTCTGAGAGACAGTTCAGGCGCCGCTGGATCTGTAGAGACTAGACCTAGGCGGTCCACTACAACCATACGAAATGAGTCGAGATCGAACTTAAAATGTAAATGTCTGTGCCCATGAAGGTGAGCAGGCACCGAGCTCTTTTTCTTCTAGTCTATGGACAGATTGCAGGTTGACCTGCTCGGCAAGACTTAGGTACGCGGTCTTCGTCCGAAAATTGTTGCGTGTGCCCGACAGGCTTAGTCAGCCAGGCCCATCGAAGCCCTGGGTGCCACCTACATTTTCTGGAACACGTTGGACACTTCGTACCCAACATCACCACTTTCCATAGTCAGAATTCATGGTGTTTTACCTGCAGTGCCCGTGCCCGGAACAGAAACTTCGTAATGGACTGGGCTCGCACGGCCTGTAGCGTCACTGTGGCGCCTCGATTACGTGGGTCCGTGCTCTCCAGCCACCGAGCACGTGAATGCTATTCTGCTATTGTCCTAGCGCCAATCAAACGGTCGTCATCCCTGCAGCTGCTGTGGTTGACTTCGCCGCGCGCCACGAGGCGGCTCTCAGCTCAGAGCTCGATCTTCCATAAAAGTTGCCTTTGTCCTCGTACCCCAACCGACTTTTCTTCTTCTTGACACCAACTGCCGATTCCTCACTGCGCTCATCCTGAACGACCACCATTCGCGCACATCGATGCTCTGAGATTTGCGTCATCGTCGAAACCACGTAGTCGAAATGACATCAAAGACCCCCTTTCAATTCGCGGATGATTCCGGCTCGGAAGACGACAATTTCAACCCCGCGCCTGCCGATCTGACAGACGATGAGACCACGAAGAGCGACCGCCGCGGAAGCGAAAGCGGCATTGCCGCTGACAATGATGACAATGACGAGGTCAAAGACGAGGAGCGCCCTTCTAAGAGCGCATCTAAAAAGCGGCGTCGCGATGACGATGATGATGAGGAGAATGAGAACGGTGATGAGGAGGAGCAAGAAGAGAAGGGTGAGGAAGAAGAAGAAGGTGGCGGCGATGTAGATGGTGATGAGGAGGAGGAAGAAGATGACGACGATGAAGATGTCCATGTGAGTTATCACCGGTTTGCTGCACGATGCCGCGGGACAGATAGTGCGGCCGGTGCATTGCTGCTTTGCCTGAGCATGGTGACTAACAAATCCCGCAGCGTCACCGCCGCAAGCGACGTAAGGATTTCCGCTCAGCTTTCTTCGATATCGAAGCCGAAGTCGAGGACGAAGACGAGGCCGAAGAGGACGAGAAAGACGGCGAAGAAATTGAAGATTTCATCGACAATGCCGAGGCCGATGATATCGCCGAGGGTGGCCACATCAATGATGACAGGAGACATCGCGAGCTGGATCGGCGCCGCGAGCTCGAGGCGAGCATGGATGCAGAGAAGCAGGCCCAGATTTTGCGGGAGCGCTACGGCAAACGGGCTTCTAACAGGGCCTATGACGAAATGGCCGTCGTTCCCAAGCGGCTACTTCTGCCTAGTGTCGACGATCCCAGCATCTGGGCTGTTAGATGCAAAGAGGGCAAGGAGCGGGAAGTCGTCTTCTCCATCATGCGGCGCGTCGAAGAGAGAGCTGGTTCTAAGAACGAGGTTCCTATCACTGCCGCGTTCGAGCGTGCTGGGCCCAACTCGGTCATGAAGGGCTATATCTACGTCGAGGCCCGCCGGCAAGCCGACATTCTTGTGGCGCTAGACGGAATGTTGAACGTTTACCCCCGGAGCAAGATGATGCTCGTCGAGATCAAGGACATGCCGGACCTCTTGCGGGTGATCAAGACCCCAAGCTTGGAACCTGGCGCTTGGGTGCGGTTGAAGAAGCCGGCCAAGTATGCCGGCGATCTTGCCCAGGTCCTCGACGTTACGGAAAACGGCCTAGAAGCGCGCGTGCGCTTCATTCCCAGACTGGACTACGGCGTCCGTGACGAATCGCTTTCGACGTCTGCGGCGGATGGAAAACGTAAGCGCCCCGGCATGCCAGGTCCGCGGCCCCCTCAACGACTCTTCAGCGAAGTCGAGGCACGGAAGCGACATCCCCGCTACATCCAGGGCAACCCACAGACCAATACCTGGACGTATATGGGTGAGGATTTCGAGAATGGCTTTCAGGTCAAGGATATCCTGATTTCGCAGCTGGAGGTCAAGGATGTCAACCCGACTCTGGAAGAGGTCACAAAGTTTGCCAGTGGCTCCGAGGACGGCACTGAGAACCTCGACCTCAAGGCTCTTGCCGCCAGTTTGAAAGACAGCAACGTGACCTACGCCGCCGGCGATATTATCGAGGTGTTCGAGGGCGAACAACAGGGTGTCGTTGGCAAGGCGCTCAGTGTGCAAGGGGACATCATCACGCTGGAGGTGACCGAAGGCGACTTGGCTGGCCGGAAGATCGAGGTGCCTAACAAGGGTATCCGTAAGCGGTTCAAGACGGGTGACCACGTCCGGGTCATTGGCGGCAGCCGTTTCCGCGACGAAGTCGGTATGGTCGTCAATATTGTGGAGGACCGCGTCACTATCGTGACAGATCAGACGAGCCAGGAAGTAACCGTGTTCAGCAAGGACCTGCGCGAGGCCAGCGACATTGGCGGTCAGGGATCCCTTGGGCAGTACTCGCTACTCGACCTCGTGCAACTTGACCCCACCACTGTCGGTTGCATCGTCAAGGTGGACCGCGAGTCGATGGTCGTTTTGGACCAGAATGGCGAAACTAGACAGGTGTTGCCGTCGCAGATCACCAACAAATTGCCGAAGCGAAGGGCTGCCGTCGCTGCCGATCGAAACGGCTCCGAGATACGGCTGGATGACGTCGTCCGTGAATACGGCGGACAACAACGGCAGGGCAAGATCATCCATATTCATCGAGCCTTCGTGTTCCTCCACAGCAACACGACCGTTGAGAACGCCGGTGTGTTCGTCACAAGGGCCAGCAGTGTCAACACAATCGCGGCGAAGGGTGGCCGCATCAACAACGCAAATTCTGGTCCCGACCTAAGCACGATGAACCCGGCCCTCAAGCGGAACCCGGCGGGTAACAACGTCATGAAGCCGCCCAAGACCTTCGGGCCCGATCGCGCTGTTCACCAGACCGTCAGCATCCGGAGAGGCGGCTATAAGGGTCTTCTCGGCATCGTCGTGGATACTACCGACACGCATGCTCGCGTGGAGCTTCACAGCAGAAAGGGCATCGTCACCGTTCCTAAGGCCGACCTTATATTCAGGGACAAGGTCACGGGGAAGCCGATTGACATCTACAGTCGCTCTGGGCGTGGTGGCTTTAGTGGCTCTGGACGGGGCGGACTCAACGGATCGGTGGGATGGTCGGGAGGGAGCAGGACGCCCATGGGCGCGGGAAGCGGAGAGCGGACTCCAGCTTGGGGCTCTTCGAAGAGTAAGTCCCGTGCATCAATGTCGCGGCATCCTTGTGCTAACTTACAGACTCAGCCACTGCGCGCACACCGGCCTGGGGCCGTGGCGAGACATCCGGCTCACGCACCCCCGCATGGGGCGACGGCTCCCGTACCGTCAACCCCTACGACGGCAACCGCACTGCATATGGAGGCGCCACAGCCTACGGCGGCTCTCGTACACCTGCCTGGTCCTCCAGCGCCAAGACGCCCGCGCACGACGGCTTCGGCCACGGATCCAAGACGCCTGCCTACGGCTCAGGAAGCAGCGACCCCTGGGGTTCCAAGACTCCTGCCTACGGCGTCTCAGCCCCAACTCCCGGTGCCAGCGGAGCCGACAGCTGGGGCTACACGCCCGGTGCGAGCGGCGGATCCCGCCCCTTCGATGCGCCGACCCCCGGTGCCGGTCTTGGTGCGCCGACGCCTGCGGCCCTCAGTGCCCCGACCCCCGGCGCGTACGCGGCGCCTTCACCTGCCCCGGTTAGTGCCCCGACGCCTGGTGCTTGGCAGGGTGGCTGGGGTGCCGATGCCGCGCCTACTCCTGCTGTTGGGGCCCCGACGCCGGCCGCTAGCGGCGGTTACTACGGTGCGCCGACACCCGCTGCGTATGGCGGCGCTCCGGAGACACCCGCTGCGACGGGGGCTATCCAGTATGCCGAGGACGATTGAGCGTCCATAAGTGGGAGGTATAAAACTTTTGTGACTGGAAGACTGATTTGGTGCGGGAGACTGGCGTTTGGCGGATATCATATCATAGAGAGCGCATCGGATTTCAGCGAAGGGGCTTCTGCCGCTAGCGCATGGTCTGCTGGAGGGTGGGTCGGGGCAGATCGATCAAAAGGATGCTTCTTTGACTGCGGGTGGACTTTTTTTGCGGATTTCTTCTCTACCTGCCTACGATTTTGGGGCAATGGGATTCTGGGAATGGGATCGCACAGTTTACGAGCTAAGCTAAGGGATCACCGTCCGAATGACAGAGATAATTCACAGTCTATCAGGATAAACTGGGTCTCGATGAGTGATTGTATTTGTGTCCGATCAAGCTGCTCCAGTTCCTCTCGAGCAACTCACTCACTTCCTTGCCTTACTTTCTGCAGTACAGTACCTTAGGTACCACAAATCCTCCAGAGTTGAGAACGTTTGACTGCGGTTACAAAGAACCCGCCAGAATCCACCCCGGGTTCCTTCTTCTCCTCTCTGTCCCACTCTCGTCTTAGCCTTCTTACCTTGAATTATCCCTCCAGTCGACCCTTTCCATATGATCGTTCGTTCTCTTAACGAGTATTCCCATTCCCATTCCATTTTTACCTACCCCTCCCTCCCCCGGACTAGAAGACTCCCCACTCCGCTCCAACTTACCTTACCTTACCCAACCAACTTACCCTTCCCCAATCTAGCACCCTTGCCTTTCTTTCTTTGCCTTGCTTCAAAGGGCGGGGCGGGGCCGGGGTGGCGGGGTGTGGTAAAAAAACCAAGTCTCAAATCCTCAATGTGAGTGAGCCATGCAACGCAAGTTGACAGTCCTCGACCTGCGCGTGTCCTCGCTGATCTGGAAGTCCGGGCAGACATACCCGGGCCCCTTGAGCTTGGCCCACTCGCACTTGACGAGGGTGCGCGGGTTGCGCAGGGTGCAGCCGCACTGGGTGAAGCGGTTGTAGCCGATTGTGCACATGGTGGAAATGTCGGTTAGCCCGAGGTTGTTGGATTTAAGATGGGGTGGGGTGGATGGTGGTGGTGGTGGTGGTGGTGGTGGTGGGTGTCGGGAGCAGGACTATTCACACTGGACTACCTACCTTACCTAGACAGGATCCCGGGCCTTAAATGCTTGCGTGATGGTGTTGAATTCTTAGTTGTGGATGGGGCGGCACTTACCTTACCTGGTACTCTTTTCCTTACCTTGCCTGAGGAGGAAGAAAATGGTAAGTGCGAGCTAGGCGTCGTGGCGAGATCCGGTTTGAGTAGGTAGTTTGCTCTGTGGGAAGTAGTCGGTTAGGTGGTGGCGTAGATGGGAAGGGAAGGAGATGCTGTGACGGTGAGGTTCAGCCGGTTTATATCGCACTCTTCCCATTCGAAGGTGCTCACCTAGGATCCGCACACTTCCTTTGTCTCTAGTTCGATGAATGGCATTGAGCGCACCGGGCGACAATTGGATTGTTAGACAGTGAATTCTTTCGCTATCCACGGGAAGAGGTGGTTCCGAATCTCAGGTTCAACTCCGTGCTTTGTTCCATTGTTGACTGGAAAGCGGTCTATCACTTCAGGTTGGGGCGGTGGCAAGAAGCCGGGACGGTTCTTTGTCTAGTCCATACTTACCTAAGCAAAGAAGGGTTTCGTGTTTCTGGTTCGACGACGTGATTCAGTCGAGAACTGGAGGTCTTCAACGAGTCACATGTGGCCGATTTGGCCATTGAACCAGCAAACAATCCGCGGTGGCACCACCGTGTGACGTCCCTTTGACCGGATTAGTAACGCTCGACCTGGAAGAACCAACTTCTTCTTGATGACACAACCTTGCTCGCCTGGAGGATTTGACGCCTTGGGCGAGAGGAGTCATGATAATGAACAGAAGTAAATAATAACAGAGATGAAAAGGGGGGAGATGTGAAAACAAAAAAAAAGTGCAAAAGCTCAGCCTCCGCAGGTGTTGAACCCGTGGCGCCTACGAAAACCTGCCACCTACTCGAGATGTAGGCGCCGTTTTCATAGTTGGCAGCAACTTGCGTTGAGCGCAACGCAATACCACTCAGCTAGGCGGCCCCCTAGCCATGGTGCTACCAACTTGAAAGCCTGCCCTGTCGAACTTTCCTATATACCCTCTTTCCCCCTTGCCCCCTTGAGGGAAAGGGGACGCCACCAGATCAGGCGATGATAAACAGCCTGATGAGGTCGGTCAACACACACACTCGCATCGGTCCGTGGAAACCATTGCCACCACTCTCTGGAAAATTGTTCATCTGTTGCCTCGCGCTCTGGATGAAATCACACCCACCCAAATCAAAACCCCTTGTTGACACTGAATATTCGATCATCAAATATCAGCAAAGAACGTGACAGATGCCACGTTATATACAATACATCACCACACACCAGGTAGATACACCAACAACCACGCCCTCCCCCCCTGCCCCCCCTTTCCTCCCTTCTTTAAATTCCACTACTCTCAGCAAGTCTCAACCGGCGGACCAGGAGGCGTGTAGCTGGTCGGGACGGGGTAGTAGATGTTGATCATGATGCCCGGGTCGGTCGGCCGGTACGCGCCGGGGAAGGCGACCCTGTTCCTGGGGCTGTAGGTGCCGCTGCCGCCGCTGACGGTGAGCTGGGCGCACGAGATGTAGAACTGGGCGCCGCCGGCGCTGCCGGCGCTGTGCAGCGCGATGTGCTCGGCGCGCAGGAGGTAGTCGCCGTTCTGCAGGCAGCTGGGGATCTTGACGGGGACGGATCGGGCGCCTTGGGTGTTGTTTGTTAGTACCGTAGGTATGTCATCTGTGTGACAAGTCGGGGGGTTGTTTGGATGTTTGGGGACATGGAAGGAAGGGATTTTTAATTTTTAAATTTATTACCGTTGGTCGGCCACGTCAAGCTTCCTCCGAAACGCGGGCCGTCGTGGTAGATCTTGGACCACACTGCGCCCTTGCCGTCCCACGTGGCGGCCGTCTGGCCTGCGGGAACCTTAGCGATGTAGAACAACATCGGGCCCGGGTGGGAGATGGAGGCCTTGGCGTTATAGTTGAGCGTCTGGCCAGCCGTGACATTGTAGATGCCGGGGGCGCCCGTGCCGGGATTCCGTTCGTAGCAGCGGATCTGGTCCGAGTTGACGTCCGTTACGGGCCCGTTGCTCTGGAAGTTGGTCGTCGTCCGCACATATTGCCAGTCGGCCGTGTTGGCGATGCTGGGGAACGTGTCTGCCGCTGTCAGTGTCGTCGTCAGGGGTAAAAGGAGGGAGCTGGTAGTCGCTTACAGTGTGCCTCGGCAAGGGCCGCCGCGAGCAGCGTGATGGCAACGGCCAGCTTCATTGTGTATGGGATATCCGAGTCCGGCACAGTGATTCTTGTGGGCACGACAAAGAGGAGGCGGCAACTTCACGGGGATCACACGAACTTTACCGACCAGCCCTGAGACCTGGATGACAACCCTTTATACCGGGCTCATCCCGGTAGTCATACCGTTCTCCTAACGAAGTCCATTAAGTATCTATCCATACGTAGCACACGGAACCGTCACCGCGCCAAGGAAGAACTGCCGCCGAGGCGGATGAAGGGGCGGCGGGTAAAAGCACCCCAGACGCAGCAGCCAGTTGGGTATTTGCGATATATTGACTATATGCTATGCGTGGATAAGGGCTAGGCCGAGGATGGGATTCGCGTTCCACATGATCCGGGGTAGCTAGACGAGGCCATCATTCATACGTTTAAGGAAGCTGGGGTCCCGGACTGCACGTCCCAGCTGGCGCCTTCGGCAGAGCAACGCATATTGATCCATTAAATTACGGTCATGATACCGGATAGGCACATCAAAGCAAACGGCACCTTGCCTGGGTTCAGACCACAATCACTAATGCCTGATAAGGGAAGAGTGATGCCAAAGAATACGAGCGGTCGACAATGGGTGCGGCTTGAGGATGATGGTTCACTACAGGGATGACGGTGCTGAGCGCGCACCTGCTGTGATATGAGAAGGTGATACACTTCTTACACTTAAAGTGATTGGCAATGGGTTGTAGAGGTAAGTTCTACAACGGAGGGACGTGGTGGCGTTCATTGTCTGCGTCATACCAGAAATGCTGCTTTCCGGATGGACGGGAACAAAGCCATCACGTCTTCAAAAGGAAGAACAGTAGGCGATGCTGGGCCTTCACAACGGAACAAAGGTTTTGATCTAGAGAAACGGAACAATGCCATAACTATTGGAAGACTCAAACAAAGGCCTTGTTCTCAGTCAGTTGAGAACAGTAATTGCAAGTCTAGCTCTCGATGGCTCAACGATACGACTAGTATCTAAACATCCCCCAGCCCCTTGATGAGTGTTTTGTGCATCGTTCCTCAACAGGACCTCATCACCCATCCCATCCATCATCTTCAACCCCCAATACTATACATCTCCATTCCCCGCGCATAGCTCAGGTAAGTAAAGGTAAGCCCTCGCTCGAAGAATTCACCCCCTACACACCACCAAAGCAAAGCAAAGCAAAGCAAAAAAGAAATCAAGATGTGCAAAATCCGCATCGTGCACTTCTCGTCGCACGACGTGCGCACCCCCATTGCAACACACCCCTTCAGCGACACGCCCTCCAACGCCGACTTCATCGCGCCGAACCTCATCCACCGCTGCGACTGCACGCTCAACGCGGCCTCGCTCCTGGACCTGCCCGAGAACCGCGCCGCGCCGGGCACGCTCCCGCTGAACGCCTGCCCGTGGCACAACTGCTGCCTGATCTGGTACCAGGCCGTGCTCTGCCGATGGTACTGGGACAACCGGGAGGCGCTGGGTCTGAACCTGGACGACGAGCAGCCAGAGCCAGAGACGCGGTGTCCGAACTGCTTCGTCGTGGGCGAGTATCACCCGATCCGCATGGTGCTTGACCTGGAACAGTCCATTGAGCGCTGGGGGGATGGGTGGGAGTATACTACTAGTACTAGCGGGTTACCGGTGCGGGAGGGCGGGGATAAGGTAGGTGGTGGTGGTGGTGGTGGTGAACAGTTGCCTTCCTTCCCGGCGGAGGAATTGTTTTACTCGCGCGAGATCATCGACGCGGATCAGGTGGGCGCGGAGAGCGCCGGGCTGCACGAGGATCGCATGCGGGTGCCTGTGCTGGGCCAGAAGCTGCGGACGGCCAAGGAGCAGCTGAAGAAGGCCATCTTTGTCGCGTGTGCCGCGTTGGACTCGCTGGAGGACGATTTGGGCATGGGCGAGGGCATCAAGCGCATCGTGGACGACCCCGCGTTTCTGCTGCTCAGGTTGAGGGAGGCGCAGGACCTGGTGCGGGAGGTCAGGTACGCCGAGGTAATGTCCGCGCTGGCCTTTGGCGACTTGATGGAGTCTGTCGGCTTCGTGCTGACAGCCCTTAACAAGATGCCTGGTGAGGGCCACAGCGTGACTTCGCGCGACGGGTTGTACTCGGTCTCACGCGACCAGCTCAATATGGCGGAACTCGAGGCGACGGCTATTGCGGACGCCTGCGATGGACCGTTGAAGCAGTCGCCGGAGCTGCGGGAGCGGTTGCGGGTGATCAAAGACAACGTTGGTGTCTTTAGACGGAGAGAAACTGCTACTAGTAGTAGTAACCGCCGGAGGATGTCTTCGGGGACCCCGATCCGAAGTAGTACCAGGGCAGGTGAGTAAAGTATACAGGGGAAGATATGATCCTAAAAGCCGTGGCCGAGTTACTTCGGACACGGATTAGCCACAGGTATGGTGAGTTACATAACTGGTACCGGCGCCCCCTGGTTCCGATAATATCGTTCTGGCTTCGAAGTTGTCATGAAGCGATAACACAACAGATTGGCATAAATACAGTATTGAGTATGTATTACAGAATGAATGATTCAATCGAGGTATTCTCTGACTGCAAGACGCGTTAGTGTCCGTCCCCTGAACTGAACTGACTTGCAAAGTGATTGATTGACTTGGACTACGGAGCACGAAATCTTCTGCACTCGGGCAACTCAGTGCACGACATCGAATCCAACAGATGCTAGCACTAACCTTTGGAAATGGCCAGTCAATCTTCTTGCTCAGAGCTACGGGGTACTGGTCTCTGGGAGTCTCAGATGTCAGCTCGTGGACTGACCGGCCCACCAAGCTTCTAGCACATTCCATGCACCTATAGTCAGGACAGTGACTTCAATACGGTATTAACAACAAACAGATCCTCAGACCTCAGCCACCGTACGGGACCCCTTCTTACACGCACCATCCTCCGTGAACAAACAAGCAACCATGGATATTGACACAATTCTCAACCACAACAACGATGTCCACAACTCGCCGAGCGCAGAGCGGTTCTACCGATTACAGACGCGAAAAGCGTACAATCAGGCTCTAAGACATTGGTATCGGAAACACACCAGAGCCAAGGAATTGACGCGTGATCAGAAGGTATGGGGGAGTGCGCGTGCTGTAAGGCTAGAGCTATACCGAGAAGGAGGGACTAACTGCTTACTCACCTCTCCTTCAAGTAGGTTGAGATTCGGGCCCTTCGCGAATATTGTGGTTGGGATTACCGTACCATTGCGGCCGCTACAGGCACAACAGTGAGACAGGTCCAACTTGCCATCAAGAACCCTCTGACGCCCAGGAAAAAGGGGAACTGCGGTCCCAAGCCCAAGGTCGCCTGCAGTTCTCCGGGCAAAAGACGCCCATGTCCAGTGCGTTCGACCAAATCGGAGAAAACACAAGCTTCTTCGGGTTGATGCGCTGTATCGGGTGTATTATTCCCGGTTTAAAGGTGTATGAGCAATCGAGCCAGAGGGACGCATCTCAAGGTCGCGCGACCGACGAAGGACACGTGAGGCCGCACGGAGGGTATACACTCTGAGTCTGCGCGGGTCAGCAAAAAACAGTGATATGTTCCCATTTCTCCCGAAGATCGACGGACGATTTCAAAAGCACCTATCATGGACAATTGAGCCAACAAAATTACCTCCTCGCCGTCTCCAACAGACCTGGTTTCCCCGCACATTGCGCCAAGTCCAGCAACCGCAGCCTGTAGGGGACAATGCGAGCGAGCTCGGGATAATGTCAGCCAAAATGGATTGCAACCTTTACCGTCTTGCGTCACAATCGTCACATTGTCACGTCGGTGGTTATAACACCGAGGCTCTTTTGCGGACGGCACCAAGTGCTGTGGTAAACCATAGATATATGTATTGACTCGCTGAGCCGGCCATGAAGACCCGACGGCCTACAGATCCGTTCATTCTCACGCCACGGCTTACATGAGGATCTAACATGACTAGAATAACACACCTAGCGGCGCTCCACGCAGCGACAGCCCCGATCGCAGGGGCCGTCACATTTGCCGTTCCCAGCAAGGTCGGAACCGGAGGGTATTCGTACGCACCGCTCGATCCAGCGCCAGTCGGCATCTCATTCGAGTTCTTCGCCTTTCCGTCCTACTTCACCAACGTGACGGCGACCAACCAATGCCTCTCGAACTGGAAGGACCTGACCGGGGTCTGGCCGCCCATCCGGATCGGCGGCACAACCCAGGACCGAGCGTCCTTCGACGCGTCAAGTTCGGCCTATGTCGTGTACTCGGTCGCAAGCCCGGCCGACGCTCCGATGACGCTGACTTTTGGGCCGAGGTTCATGACACTGGCCGGCACATATCCCGGAAGTGTTGTGGTGGGCTTGAACCGGGGGAAGAACCGGATCGACAACACCATCGCTGCTGCCAAGGTCGCTGTGGCTGAAGTCAAGAACCTGCTGGCCATCGAGCTCGGCAACGAGCCAGAATGTAGGCATCCCAATCTCAACCCTCCTAGGGTGAAAAGCCACCAACCTAGGTACGCTTGAGCTAAACCACACGTTTTTGCCAGACTACCCCAAAGACGGACAGCCCATCGCCTCGGGGGTGACATGGAACCCGGCCGCGGACGCAGCCTCCCAGATCAGCTGGAACATACGCGTGGGCAGCGCACTGGGCAAGAACAACATCATCCAAGCCGGCAACTGGAACCAACCACCACCCGAATGGGGCGCGGCCCAGCTCATCGCCCGCGAGAACGCCACGTCCCGCCGGTATGTGCGGCACTATGCCCACCACAACTACCCGGGCGGCAGCGTGCAGAAGCTGCAGACCCACTCGCAGACGGCGAGCAACATCCACAGCATGTTCGACGCCGACGTGGCCGCCGCGACAGAGTCCGGCAAGGAGTACGTGCTCGGCGAGACCAACTCGGTGTCGGGCGGCGGCGCGGCGGGCGTGTCACCGACGTTCGGCGCGGCGCTCTGGACCATGGACTACGCGGTGCGCGCCGCGTCGCGCAACATCTCGCGCGTCTACTTCCACCACGGCACCGTCGGCAACTGCCAGTACTGCTTCTGGGGCCGCTACAGCATGGGCGCGCCCTACTGGGGCGCCACCGCCGCCACGGCCCTGCTGGCGCGCGCCCGGCACCTGGCCGCGCTGGATGCCGGGACGAGCAACTACGCGGCGTACGCCAGCTTCGACGCCGAGGGGAGGCCCCTCCGGGTGTTGTTGTACAACTCGGATTACTACGCCGGCGGCAGTGGGACCCGCACGAGTACGCTGACGGGGTTGAGTGCGCGGACGGTGAGGGCGAAGAGGCTGACTGCTCCCAGCGCCATGGCCAGGGTCGATAAAGGCGAGCGGGTCCTGTTTGGCGGGCAGTCCTTCACCGACGGGACGTGTGTCGTGTCCGGGACGGAGACGTTTGAGACGGCGGCGGTGCAGAATGGGCAGGTGACGTTTGATCTCAAGGCCACGGAGGCGTTGCTGGTTTATCTGCAGTGATGACAGAGGTCAATGGGGAAAAAAAAAGGTGTGCGGAGTGGGGGTGGCTTTTTGAGCGGGCGGTCGACAGTCAAGTTGACGGTACTACTACTCGAAAGCGTAGTAGTAATGAGGCTCTGTCACATACTTGGTGATGAAGGAGAGCAGAAAAATAAAGAGTGAAACTGGACGAAAGATGAAGCAAAAGTCGTCACCTGTAGGATTCGAACCTACGCTCCCGAGGGAACTGCCTAACATGCTAACTGTCAATTAGCAGGGCAGCGCGTTAACCACTCCGCCAAAGTGACTGAACGATGTAGAGATTTTGTCCAATACAGCAACTATGAATGGGAACTAAGCCTAACACTGCCATCGCGTCTACTAACGCTAACTTGAAGAAAAAAGTCCCAACCATGTTGTAGCGGAAAGTTTTATCCGATTGACTGACTAAGTAAATGAAGATGGAAAAAAGGAGGTTCGGAGGTTAGGACCTCCGACTGATCCTAAATACAATGCCCCGCGGGCACGTGACCTATGGAGGGTCCTACCTGGTGACCCGTAACACTCCCCCCTTCCGATAAAAATCGACGTCCCCGTCGATTCCTCTGTGATTCCGTAGCCCATTATATATATCCGATTCTAATAACCCTCGCCACTACTTGTTGAACCCTTAAACTCCTCTGTAGCACTTTCAAATTCAAACGATATACTATATCGTTTAACTCCCTATCCGATTCCTTGGTTACGACCCTGGTTACCTCTCTGGTTCCGGGACGTCCGATCTATCGATTAGCCATAGTAGTTCAGCTTTCTCGAGAAGCTTCCTAAAAGTATGGTAGCTCTACCTCTTTTATCCGGTAAATATCGTATAAATATAATCTTGGCCGTTACTAGGACCGTCGGGACGTAATGTTCTCCCTCGTCTACACTTTGGCGTCGTTCCTTTCCATTCCGCCACGTCCCGTAGCCTCCTAGTGAGATTTTTCCAGAGCCTGGTATCCGATTTCTATTTTGCTTCTCCCACGCTGTTAAGCAAGTGGGTAATGATGTTCGGATCGCTGGGATTCTCGACGTTCTGTGACGACTAGATGCAATTGAACAGGGTCAAGCCGGCTGTTGTTGTCATTCTATTTCGTGAATCTAAGGTTGAGGAAAGGAAAGAGAAGTTCTGAGTCGGTGGCCCAGAACATTACACGAAGATATTCCTGATTTGTGGGTCATGTGACCGGTGCTCCACAACAGCCGTCAATCAGGGAGGTCGTGGGTTCGACCCCCCATTATTTTAGAGATATAGTCCTATAATCTTAGGGATAAAGTCGCGGAAGAGGTGAACCTTACCGACGCTGCCCTTGGATCCGTCTTTGCGATCCAGGCGATGTCGGCCTGCACGACGGTCGAGGAAGTACAACATATGAACCACGGCCCGGACACGACGGGCCGGGTCCTAGCCTCTGCGCGACGGCCATGCTGAGCGAATCGGCCACGCAGCAGCACTCGACGCTCCATGGGTTCCCCGATGGACAGGGTCCTTCCGCCCCCTCGGGGTTATGCCGCCGAACTGCGGCCGGGTTTTCGGCGACCGCTTCCGGCTCTTCTATGACTTCGTAGTAGTTGAGTTCCACGAGCCTTATAATAGCCACCGCAATAGTGGTCCCGCGTAACCCGGTTGTAGTAGGGAACCCGCGGATCACTGCCCCTGTAACCGACAGCAACGGTTCGGGCGCGTTGGGAGGGGGTTGGGGCGGGGGGGGTCGGCTGTCTGCTCTTTGAGGTTCGCTCTCAGTTCTCCGCCTGTTGAGTCAACTTGTCCTGCGCTTCCTCCAGAATGACCTTCTCGATAGGTGGTATACCCAATTAATGTCTAATATGCCCACCGTCCCGCAGTCCGCTCGGCCAGAAGACGGCCGATGGAAGGATGCATTGTCTCGGCCTCGATGTCTTCGAGACCTCGCAGGTGGTCCACCACGTCAAGGACGAAAGGGTAGAGGGTGTGAACGGACTCGTCGGGCTCTGGGACTTCTGCCTCGGACAGCGGGAGGGACACGTCGAGGTGCGTCGGCCAGACCATGACGGTTGCGAGGTTAGATAGGTTCAGCGCGGCGTGGTACTAGAGGAGGAGAGCGAGGCACTGTCTGCGGCGCCACTCCTGGTCGCGGGCAGGCCCGTGCTGGTCCGATGCGGCGTTGGAGATGCGGATCTGCTGTTTCTCAACGGCTGACGACCGGCCTTGGCGCTGGGGGCGTAGGGCATAGTATCGCAGGCTGCAGGGAGCAAAAGGTATGCCGTCGACGTCGTATGCGACGAATATCGAATAGGCCAATTCTGGCCGTCTCTCTCCTAAAACTCTCATACAACCGGACATGGAGCTCTTCATGCAGGGGTTCTCTAAGGCTCGCTTTTAGCTCTGTCCTGTGGTTGTCGAACCCGGTAGTTCCATTGCTTGCGGATGGTGCGAGGATGGGGTCGAACGAGACAGAGGTGAAGGTGGGTGAGACGATGGAGAGGTTGGACGAGACGGACGTGAGGGTGGCCGAGACAACGGACTATAAGATGCGTAGCAGCTCGAGGACATTGACGAAAAGTGAGGATCATTAGAACACCGCTTCCCAAGGGGCCAAGGATGCAGGTCCTCCTGGAAGTCGGGTGAGTGTTTACGGACGACCATAAGGAAGTCCAGATCCGTAAGCTTGGTGGCTTCCTCCAATAGGCAGACATCAGCCTTGGAGTGTCGGACGAACTTTGACGCGCAGCCTGCAAAAGGGGTTGCCGCGACAACACCACTAAAACTGTCGAGAAATCTCCTGTATAGTTCAGAGATGAGCCTCTTCACCTCGGCCCTCTTGTCCGGATTAGACGCCAAGTTAGGGTTCTTCTCAATTTCCGCGAGCATATCCCGCAGCTCTGGGTGTTGATCGAGGTGTTCGGCGTAGTGTTGGAAGACGATCTGATGCAGGCTCAGGGATGTCGGCTGTAGTGAACAGGTACACTGGGGACCACTACCAAACTGTCAGCTCGTTATAGCAAGAGGGATAGCGTGGTAAAGGTGTCGTACAGCAATGAACAGACTAGGTAGGCGGAGTATATATCAGTATAGCAGTATCACACACCGCGGCCTCCCATGTCCTTGTCTGTCGACGCAATCACGGCCTGGGCATAATTGCTCCAAGTGATGAGAGAGCCGTAGTAAATTGAGCGGCTTTCTCATTCGAGGGAAACAAGAAGCTGGACGCCATTTCGACGTCGACAATGTCGAATCTCCCGATGACAGGGACAAACACGTGGGACGACAAAACAGTAGCAGCACAGAAAACTGGACTCTCGCTCTTCGGCCCCGGCGGAATGTGGCCGCCGAGGGATCAAAACAGTGGGAATCGTGACGCAGGCCGCTTTCGACTCAGGTGAGTTAGGGTCAAGCGGAGGGATGCGTACGGGTAGTCGGCTTGCCGGGGTCAATTGCAGGTCATCGAGGTCGAATGTGTGAATCTGAGATCTTCGGGCCTGTCGAAGGGTTGAAGGTTCTTTGGATTACCCATCTCGGCCTCCATTCTTCTTCTACGAGTGGGTACGCTGGGTGCCATTGCAGACTGTATGTGTTTTCGTTGTCAGCATCCGCTCCAGGTACCGTAGAAGTCCCCGGGCGTCTTGCGGTCCTGATCCTCATGGGGGGATATTTTCCTGAGGATAAATTGCTTGGCCGTTCGGCAGGGTCACCTTGGTGTTCATACCCCTGTTCAGGACGATCAGGTGGTTATGTTTGAGGATGCGGTTGGTGCGGTCGCTCAGAGACTGTCCGTCCGTGATCATGGACTGGACGGTGTTGAATGATGTACTGCAGCATCTTCAGTCCCGTGTAGGGACCGCCCGCAAAAATACGCTTCCAATCTTGAGCCGCTTCGAGGGCGGTAGGTGGCTGCCGAGACAAGGTGCCGATCGGTAATGGGAAGAATGAGAATGAGAATGAGAATGGGAATGAGAATGAATGCCAACAAGGAGCAAGCTGATCGTTGAGAGATGAACCGTTCGAGCCGTGGCCTAACTGCAGCGATGGTGGCTGCGACGTGCAGAAGAGTGCGTGTTCTACCTAGCCGGAGGTAGTGGCGGTCAGGAGATGGCTGAGGGTCCTTACCAGTCTCGGTAGTCGTTCATCACGGTTGAATACGACGTGTGGCTTCATGTCGTTGGTTATAGGAACTCGACGGTGAAGTCCTGAACTTCATGCAGGGCTTGGACGCAGGAGTTGCCTTTTTAGGAGGCTTCTTGGGATCATCGCCATCTTTGCCACCAGTGGTGGCCTTCGACGGAGTCTTGCGCGTTGAAACAGGCATCTTGGCAGCGAGTGATTTGGGCTGAAGTTGTTGGTTGAAAGTGGTGATGTGAGGTTTCAGTCTTCAGAGCAGCGTATAGATTCTGTCACACGGCAAAACGACATCGTTGCGGAATAGCAACGAGCTTTCCTGTATACGGCAGCAGGAAGTCGGGCCTAAAGGAGCTCAATCGTCAGTACCACACATGATTGCCAAGAGGGTGGGATCACGTACACCGGGACACATGTGTGCCCGGAGGCACACAGGTAGCAAAGCTGGCCACCGGCGGCGTTGTCATGGCAGATTCCGGAGCCGCCGCGCGCAGAACACGCGGATTTGACGGATTCGGAAAATGTTGGGGAGTCGCCAACGGTAGATCCGTGCGTCGTGTTTATCCCTGGCCACGTTCGTGATCTGGTGGCATGATTAGCCACAGCAATTGTCGCGGATGGAATGGCAGTGCGTTCGACTGACTGAATGATGATGATGAAGGTCGGAGGAGGTGTGTACATAATGACGCGTCGGTTGATTTCGTCGTCCAGACGGTCTTGCTTGGTTTCGGCGCGATCCAGGCACCAGCCTATCAGCGACTCTGCACCCATGGCTTTTTACTCTCAAGCAACAGGTTGGCTTGGTAGCGCTGCGGCTGTCAGGGGGAGGAGTATTGGAAATTCGGAATGGAATGCTTCGAGAAGAGACAGGAGGAAAGGCCCATAAGAGAAAATAAGGAGAAATACTACAAAGTTGTTTGGACATCATCAAGAATTGCAGGAATTGTTCATTTTCCTGGTTTGCTGTTGTTATGCTCCTTTCCACTTTGGGTTTGTGACCAGGGAAGGGCTAGGAAACATGGGATAAGACAAAAGTTTAGACTCTGTCCCAAACTGGCAGGAACCCCTGAGTTTTTCATCGGCTGTCCCTTCCTATTGTGTATATAATCTTCTGTTGTTCTGGGCATTGTAACGAATGAGCAGGAGCGTCCCGAGCAGCATACTGCTGACCTGGACCAGAGACGGTTATCTTTCTATAAATCAAGATGTAAAGAGTCAAGACGTGCGACTTTAGATCAAGAAGCAGGACTCTATTATTATAGACCCTAGGGAACTATTATTCTCCAATGGCAATCCTGATGTTTGACAATGACTCAACGATATTCGGTCCGTGGTCGCTCCCGGTCCTGTGTCTATGAGAACGAACAAATGGCGATTGAAGTCTTGCAAACTCTGAGCAATCAGTGAATCATTTGATGGTTGACACAAAAGCCCGGTTGATACCCTCTACTCTAGCTATGTGAGCATCTGTGATGACAACCGAGTGTTCCGGGGCTCAACCCTACCTTGTTTGGCATGTAGCCAATAGTCCAGAGCTAGATGAAGGCTAATATCATCATGCCATCCGATTCAACGGCCCGCATCGATAAGGTGGAAGGTAACAGGAAAGCAAAGTGAGGGTTAGAATCACTGCTATCGACCACTCCGTAAACGTGACCAGATAGTATTGTTCAACAATCCCTGCATTATCCGCCTAACGCTTTCCCCATACACAGCCCTCCAAAGCACCACCTGTGTCCGTCTGCGGCGGCTTCAGCGTCTCGCGAACAGTGCACGGAACACTCATCAACAGCAGAGCCATTAGCTTAGTCCGTCTGTTTATACTGTACTCTGAGCTATCCCATATGTCACGCCACTACGGCCCGCGGATATTCTTCTTGGAAATGGAAGAACTGCAAAAGGGCTCCTAGGAAATCTAGGGTGAGGAGAGAAGGACTTCCTCGCCATGCACTGGTCTGGATCACGGGTTCTCATAGGGCTTATACGCGCGTTACTAAGTTTTATTGACCGGCGTCCTCTAAACGCCTCATTTCCATCCACCCATGACCTTCTGACCAGCTGCGGTTGCTTGTTGAGATCAACTGAATCCAGACCGTTCGCGGGTGGGTGGGACGGGGGGTTGATTCGAAACTCTCCGATTACAAGAACCACTCCATGATCCCCATCTAGTCTCGTTCATCGAGCAAGAGCAGGCCTTCTTCAACAAAATGAATCCGAACACATCACGCCATCAGTCCCATGCCGAAGTCCGGTTCTTCCAGGAGCATGAACCCCGGACCGCTTGAACCTGTCTCCATGTTCCTGATATTCACCACGCAGAGCTACCCGTAATTTTGCATTGTGATATCAATGTAACGCCGGCCGTCGCTGCCTGGCGTACACCTGGGCGCTAGCTCGTTTCCCAAAGCCTCGCGCCGTCATCCAAGCGCGTTGTCTGGCCATTTGGGCCGACATGCCGCTGGTTCCTACACCGATAATCTGCGCAAATGTGCATGACCGCATTATCACGGCATTCCCAGACCGGGCGTCGAGGTCCAAGATCAGCACTGATTCCGAGACTCGTCAGTGACTGATGATATCAGTGTGGGTAAGCATACTATTGGACCTTATCCCCCGCGGTCTTTTTCATGAGAGACCACCAGAAGCCGAAGGAACCGTTGCGTGATGTCCCGTCCTTGGAAAGCCGCCTGCCATGATGTGATGTAGCGATGCTCGCGTAATGATGCTTGTCGCCCAAGTGAGACCGTGAGACAACCCCCAAACCCTCGTGTGATGTGAGACACCTTGTTGCCAAGGCATCGCCCCCTGAAAATCGCACGGCATCACCACTCCTCCCATAGTCCCCTCCCCCTTCCTCCAGCACACAGCATCCCAAACCGGGACGCAGCTCCCATCACCGCGCAGTGCATCACCAGCAACACCAGACTCCTCCGCCAGCCCACAAACCAGCGGTTCACCCCGCGCACGCCCGACACCTCCTGACTCTGACCCTGAACCTGACTCCGGGTCCATTGCCTTCCCCTAACCCAGTCTCCGGCCGCTCCATCAGAATCGGAATGCAAATCTAGTGTCGCCAACGCCACCACCCCAGCCACAAATCCCCACTCGGCACTATACGGCCAGCAGACCCATGACAGAGAAAGGATCTTGATCCCAAAGAGCACCGGCCTCAAAAGCGCTGTATGTCGCGTCACCCATCCCGCAGCACGATACCCAGCCAGCGCAGCAGCCTGCCTAACGCGCTCGAAGCGTGTTGTTGGAGGCGGCATGAGTAGGGGAGTGGTGACGGTCGCAGACTGCGAGACGGACTCCGGGTTGAGGCTGAGCTGGGATGAGGGGGATGGGGAACGGCGTGGGCTACGGTTCCCACCAGTGCTGCGGTGGCTGCGGGCGAGGGTCATGGCGTGGGATGTGCTATCGTCTTGGCGAGGTGCTGTTGTTGTTGTTCTGGGGGACGGCGGGGTGATGCGTCGGGCGATGAGAGTGCTGCTACTGCTGGGCTGTGGGCGAGGGTCAGGAGATGCGCGGTTGAATGGGGCGGGGAGCTCGTCGTCTATCGCACTGTTTACACGGGCGCGTTTCGAAGGGTCTGCGGGTTTCTGTACGTGAGTACATACACTGGAGATAGCAGACACGGGTTATTCTGGGGTGGGCAAACCTCCAACGGGTGTGCTGGGCGGCACGGGTGAATCCAAGTTCTGTATACGCTGCCCAGAGACGCCGAACAGTGAGCTGGTGTTCCTAACACCCCTCATCATCCCGTCCAAAGCGGAATCGGCTCCCATAGCGCCCAAGACCTCACTAGCGGTCGGTCGTTCTGCGGGGTTGACGGCGAGCAGTCTCTTGAGCAGGTGGTACAACTTTGACGGCAGGTCCGGCCGTTCCCTTCTCTCGTCCTGGAAGCCCTTCCAGTGGGAGATCTCGGCACGGAGCTGGTCGATATCTTCCAACTCCTCGTGGACCGTGTTGGCATTGTCATATGGCAACCGTCCAAAGCACATAAAATACAGAATCAAACCCAGGGAGAAGATGTCTGACTTGGTGGTGAAATTACCATACCGGCCGCGTGTGTCTCGCTTGAGGACTTCCGGCGCACAGTATGAGATGGTCCCGGTGGACCCTGTCGACTTACGAACGGCATCCTCTGGCTGAACCTCGCCGAAGTCGCTAATAAGACATTTCAGCTGGTTTCCGTCCTTGTGCAGGAGACAGTTGCTTGGCTTCAGGTCTCGGTGGATGTAGTTAGCGGCGTGTAGATATGCGAGCCCCGAGGTGACGTCTTTGAACAGCGAGTAGATCTCTTCGGGTGGTAGACGCTTCTGAACCTGGGGCCGTTCAGCTTGTCCCTTGGACTTGCGCCGCATCTGAGCCTTCAGCTCCTCCTTCGTTCTCGCTTCTTTCGGCATGTCGCCGATGACGTAGTGTAACAAGTCGCCTCCGTTGCAGTACTGCTGGAGGATGAAGGCGCATGCAACGCTGGGCCCGAATCGTGTGAGCTGGACATCTTCCAACCAGACGTGGCGGTACGAGACGAGGTTGGGATGGGCCAGCTTTGCCAGCAGCTCAACTTCGACGAGTACTTTCTCTAACCAAGCGTGATCATCCCCGACAGGAACGCGCTTGCAGGCGAAGTGACCCAGGTTGCAGCCATCAATTTCGTGCCTCACCAACAGCACGACTCCCTTGCCTCCTCTGCCAAGCACTCTCTCCTCGATGAAGAACGTGTTGAAGTAATTCGGGCTGAAAGCCTCCCTCTTTATTCGCCCACCCGGCTGAGGTGCAGGGGAGCTGCTCACAAACTCGGCCGCGCCCACGTCTCCGTCGTGGAGGACCGGCTCGACGAGGCGGCGGATCGGACTCGCGGGGGGTCGCGGCTGCGAGACGTTTTGAGCATTGTGCCCGGCGTGTAACATGCGGAAATAGTCGGGGTCCACGTAGCTCTCGCCATGGTGTGTGCTTTCGTAGTGTCTGTCGGGCGAGGTTGGACGGAGCGGCTGGTGGCAGGTGGGACACTCGTGAAGCTGCAGACCACGGATCTCGAGTCGCTGTGATGATGGGTCTCGGACGACAATGGCGTTGTGGTGTCGGCTGTGGCAGAGGGAGTTTTGTTATTAGCCATGCCCCAAGTCGGTCTTTCACGAAGCTTCGTTGTGCCAAGCGCAGGATTGGAGCAGCGTCAATCGCAGGGGGGTTAGCGAACTACCGATGACGTACAGGACGATCTCACGACCCTCGCGCGGATGATATGGAACGAGCGACATTCTCAACAATGAAAGCCTTCAAGTTAGGCTCTCTGAGTCGAAGTCGTGCATGCTCGTCCGACTGTCTGTTTTCCGTCGAGTTGATGTCATGCGGGTATGTTGAAGTTCAAGTCGTTCCAAGTTGGCTCAAAAGTGGAAGTTCAACAGGTGCGCCGTCCGTGTAGGGGATGCCGTCTTGGCGTCACGAGCCTTGTGGCACGAAAAGGTCCGCCGCCGCCGCGATGAACGGAACAAAGCAATTGAATCATGGAGACGGGAGATTTGCAACATTGTGTGGCGAGTAGTGAACATTCCACAACCTTCGCTCTCTGGGTCATTCTGGAAGCACAGCATACTGAGAAGCTCCTGAATGGTCAACACTGCAGTTCAAGCCTGTCCAAAACCGATGTCGATCCAAACAAACAAGCATTGGCCAATCGCAGAGGACCCACTCACAGGAAGATCCCTGAATCATCGGACAACGTTAGCCCCACCAGGGATTGAATGCACGCCAGGGGGCCTGACCCCGACAATCCCGACATAGCATCCATATCAAAGCTTTACTGTGCTCGAGCTGAGGTAGGTAATGTGACTGTAGACTGCTTTAGTAGGGATACACCATGGTGAGACCGGGGTCTGAGACGTTGAAGAGTGAATAGGTTGTCAAGCTTGTTGTTCGGGAGGTACTTCTAGAGACGGATAGTTTTCACTGAATGGGGTGCTGATGATCAAATCTCTGGGAATAATGGGCTGGGGAATGGCCGGAAGCGAAAGCTAGCCCGCGGGCAGGCCACTGTAGCAGCAGGCCAGCACTGCACCCCATATATGGCAGCGGGCACATATCAACGTCTGGCGGGACGTCTGCCAGTTACCTTGCAGCAGCATTAGAAAGTGTTCAACTCAAGAAGTGTTCTTGAGCTCATGTACGGTCCGCTGCTACGCGGAGAACTCGTGAGGGCTGAGACAGTGTCAGGATTAAGCTCTAGTTGAGGTAGTCAACAGGTCATAGGAAGAACAGAGGTCAGGTGGGTTGGCAGTTGAAAACGGCTCTCTGTGTCTCGTGAAGACCGTTCATGGCGAGCTCTTCTTGTTAGCCCTATGCTTCGTCATGCGTCCGTCTGCCACCGCCATCTGAACTTGATATCGGGTTTAGATACTCCAGCTGACCAACAGGCTCAGTGCGAGCTCCTTCGCATCAGAAGTTTTCACGTCTCTGATTCTGGATTTATAGTTGCCAGCAACTGTAGCAGTCCATCCTAGAGCTATAATCTCCGATGACCCGCGCAGTATCAAGGTACCTGTATGTCTTTCATGTTTGTGTATATACATTCCCGAACAATGAAATTATGAAATAAAGGCTCTTCTCTACTTCGTCCCTGGACCCGAGAACTGATGGCCTTGCGAAGTGCATTGTTAGAGCTCCCTAAGGTACTCGAGCTGCAACCAATTTGCCGAGTTTCATGCCGATTGTTCACCCAAAGGAAACCATCAAGTGCCTTGTAGAGCAAGTGGGGGTTTCTCGTGTTCGAGTCAGAAAGGCACCTGAAGAGTCAGTCATGTCACCAGGACTGGCGAATGACAATCAGGAGGAAGTAGGTTACGTTTCGTGACGTGTATGGGATGCCGATTACCGGTCGGCTGAAGACGAATCGACGTGCATCGTGCGCTCCAAAGACGTCTCTCGGTCGTGGAAGAGGGAGTGGGCCGAAGAGTTCGGTGTGCAACCAGGTTGAAAGCATATGAATTCTTGCAGTCTGCCATCACTACAACCATATATATTGACATGTTGCTGGCATGGCGTAGCGAGGTGGGAAGCGGTACTACGTGGCCAGGTGGCCTAGATTTAGCCGGTCTGTTGGGAGTATCCCCGGCTTCCACCACGTCGCATCCGCGCTCCTTGGATGAGGGGATAGATAGCCCCGGATACCGGAACACTGAGGCGGGGAACGAGATATTAATAGACGTCCAGGTTTGGGGGTCCTGATGATATGATGCTTTACAACACCGTTAGGCCACGGTCCTGGCCACCTGCCTAGGGGAAGACTATAGAGCCCGCTTAAGAAGGCCTGGCAACACAGAAGAAACTGGATCTTAGGAATGTAAATGTGACAAGGCAGAAAGAACGTTGAACGCAGACTCTACACAATCTTGGTCAACTAGCAGTAGGTAGTCCTCATTGAAAGTCGCCCTCTCTCATGTTGCGGTTGCGGCTCAGCTCAACCATTCCCGAAGTCCAGTCCCGAAGCGCACTTGAACTGTCCCATACTATATGTTGCATGCTACCCAGAAGCCTCGAGAATGGTTCCGGTGCTAGGCGAGATTGTGCATAGATTGAGCGCTCGACGAAGCCAAGAATCGCATCCATTGCAGGCGTCTTGATGCATAATGAGTGTGCCTCTCCTAAGGGTCGGACGCTATAAGTCCTGTTTCACCACGAAGCACTTCTCTTGGGGACTGTATCCTCTCAACCTTCACGTCACCCCAGATACATTCCATTTCTGGTCCCCCCTAGAACATAATGCGCGCCCTTGCTCTGTTCCTCGGCCTCGGAGCCCTCAGCAGCGCACTTGCGCAACAATGCCCCGGCAGCTGGTATCTTGAACCGGACGACTGCATCTGCATAAACAGCAGGGACGGCTCCTTACTCAAGACGCAAACTTCGGGATGCTGCAAGGCATTGGGTTACAAGACCTATGACAATGTGAGACCTCAATCCAATATCCATACCTCCTTAGTCCGGCAAGCCAGTCCTGCTGATCACCCTGGCCCAACCCAGATCTGTGCCGTGGATCATAACAAGCGTCAAGTCTTCAAGGACTGCTGCAAGGGCTTGCAGCAGGAGTCCGTGATTGGTCATTGCCGCTGAGGGAAAGGGAAGCTGCTGCAACTCAGACGTGGTGGACATGTTGGTGGTCGGATAGGGGATCTTTCACTGGCCATGAGGTGTGTAGTGTTCAGGTGTGAAATGGCAGCGTGTTTAAACTGTCCCATCCATTACAACATCGTGGCTTGTATCATTAGCGCGCGGCTCCTCCATTGATTCAACGACAGCAGCATAGACGACAGCCTCAGGGGATACAAAATCCTACATGCGCGCCCTCTTTCTCTTCTTTGACTGCCGTCGAGCCTTCTCGTCCTCCGAGTCCGAATCCGAGTCCGAATCCGAGACTTCCCATGACTCCTTGTCCCCCTTTCTCCCCTTACCGTCATCCGAATCATCATCGGAATCCTCGGTCATCGACTCATCGCGCTTGTTAGACTTTCGTCTACTTCGACTTCCGCCCCTGGACCGTTTCTTTGGCTGCTTCTTCAAATTCCCTTCCTCGTCTTGCGACATATACTCGTCATCTCTTTCATTAAATTCCTTCGCGTGTTCCGGGTCGGTGCGGTCGCTCGCCTGCTTGAGATACCGATCGAACTGTACGGCGCTCTTGGCAACTTTCTCGAAATGCGACGCTTCGAGGACGGTGCCCAGCAAGCCCGTGTTGCCGCTGTTCCCGTGTGCGCCGTAGGACTCGTAGGCAGCGATGGCGACGGCGGTTTGGAAGGCGTTCCGGATTTGTCTAGGGGACATGAGTGAGTGCTAGTTGTGTGCGTATACGGTATATACTTGTACAGTTGCCACTGGATAACTTTACCTTGCGTTCCACACGACGAGATCCGGCGAGCGCTTGAGCCGTTTATAATGGTCCTTGGCGAACTCCATGATCTCCGTATTGTTAGAAGCAATGCCGAGCTTTTCCCTCACCATTTTTAGGTTATTGTCCCAGATTCGGAGAGTTCGCTTTAGGTCCAGCTTCTTGTATAGAAGGCTGACGTGGATGCGCGACTTGAATGCTCTGTCGATCTTGCCGACTCGGTTGGTCGTCAGAAACAAAATGCCCTACATGATATTAGACAGCATGATTAATAGCCCGACAGCGGTTGGGGATGAAGCGATGAGGTCAATAAGACTAGATTGAGACATACACTGTAGTACTCGAGAGTCCTCAAAAACACTGAATATTAAAAGATATTGCGCCATTTGTCAGCCAAGGATCTTCGATTCTCTCCCTGTATGGATATGGCAGACGCACCGGACACGATAGCGTTTCGCTGGATGTCCTCTTCGCTGCGTGCGCTTAGGAAGATGCTGTATATAGGATTACCGTCGGTCAGCACCGAGTCGATGAACTTATCACCCAAGTGGGGAAGGCGGATGCCAACACATACTCGGCTTCGTCAAGCAAAAGGACGCATCCCCACTTGTGGGCAAGCTGGAAGTTCTTCTCCAGGTTCGTCTCGACCGCCTCGGCCTTGTCGCCAATATCACCGCACGTAATTGGGAACAGAGGGCGCTTCGTATAGGCAGCTACGCATTCGGCAGTGCTCGTCTTGCCCACCCCAGGCTCACCGTGGAGGAGGATGATCAGACCCCTTCCCTTGCCCGGGACCAAGTCTACCGAGGACAATCCGCCGTTGATCATCTTCTCGGCATCCGCTTGCCGTTCATGGTTTGTAACCAGCCCGAGAACCGTTTTTTTGATGTCGGGGTCGATGACTAGGTTCTCCCACGCATCTTCGTTGCGCGGTATCTCTTTGAGAAGATCGATATCAAAGGTCGCCCAACGCCTCGTCCTGAGGACGAAGCCGTACACATGAGGCGGCAAGAGAATGATGTGTTTCGACTTCAAGAGGCTCGGATCCTCGATGTTGGTATCAAAGAGGTCCCGGTCCTTGTCCCTGAACTCGTTGCGCTCGAGCTCGTCCACCTCATAGTCGTTAAAGGTGATATCGTTTCCACAGCAGCCGGCTTGCTCGCACATGGGATGCATCGTCTTCACGCTGTCCCTCAGCTCGCGCATGTTGTCTGATACCAACCTGTCCTGCAGTCCGAGAGAGGGCTTGTCGATCTTGGTCTGAATGAAAGCGAGCTCGAAGTCGATGATGACTTCGGACTCAACCTAGGATATGAAGAATGTTTAGCAAGGGTCAAGAAAATACTGGGAAGTAGAAACACTCGGGGTGCAAAAGCAGCAAACCTGTTCTGGGTTCTTGTCTAGCGTCAGCCCTTTGTACCGGCGATGCGCTCTCTCCTTGGGATGGGAAAGTTGCTTGAACTTATCGCCACGCTCCAGCAGCCTCTTGCGTATCTCATCTTTATTTTCGTACCACTGGAGAGGTACAACTGGTAAGGCTGTGATGTCGCGTTCACCGTCGAACTTGCGGATCTGGAATGATGCATTGACCGGGCCAAACCTGGTGCCGTCATAATGAATGTAGAAGCACTCAATAATGAAGGAACCTTCAGAGTATCCATCGTCCTTGAACTTTGTGGAGGCGCGATTGATGTCTTCACCCGGGACCACCTGCATGGCACGCTCTTGCGGTGTCAGGCTGACTGGGTCTCGTCCTCCTGTCACCTTGGCAATGCGGTACCTGTGGTTTCCTGGTGAGAAACGGGGGACCTGAAATATGTACGCAATGTTTGAAGATAGACCCGTGGTTGGGAGAATGGAAAAAATGAAAGGCTTTAGCAACGAGAAGCAGGACTCACAGTTGTATCTGAGAATCCCTGGGGGTCCGGACTTCATACCCGGGTTTGAAGAAGTACCACAACTGGCTGAAGGCGATCTTGGTGACTCTGTGGTCGATGCTCTTCTGCAAGCTGAGTGGGTGGGACAGGTACTTGTTAATCGTGTCCGTCAGCAAGTTGAGCTGGTCGATCGCTTCCTGTGACTTCATCTCGGGCACCGGCCTGGCTTGGGCTGCAAGCTTGTTAGTCAATCAATGTGCTACACCTGCGCGGTGCATGTGTCACCTCCCATTATTGATCCCCTCGGCCAGATCTTGAGCATGTTTTCGTATGTCCTCCGCAAAGCGCACCAGCAGCTTGAACGGTCGCAACATTAGCAGCCGATGCTCGTGAGGGCCACGAAGAACGTTGCATCCGGTGAGCTGCTTGATGAGCTTGAGAAGTAGCTTTGACCGGATCCGGATGCGATACGGCTCAGCTAGCGAATGCTGGTTTTCCAAAGGTGACGGCACGTGGCGGACGCAATGCAACTTCGTCACATCCGAGGGGTGGCTGTAGAAGTCGGTTGGGAAGCTGCCGTAGCGTGGCTCCTCGGTGAGTATCTCAATGACGGGCTTCGACGCATCGTCGAGTTCTGGGCGATGCGGCCAATATCCCGGATAGTCCTTCCGGCTGACGTTGAAGTTGGCGCGGCTGTTGAACTCGCTCCACCCCATGGGAACGGCTTGCAACAGCGTAGGGACGTCGCGTTTAGACCTGCCGGCTTCGACCAGGGGAGTTTCGTCGTTGGAGAGGCTTTGGACCTTACGCTCGAGCTCCAGGATTCTCTCTTCGATCAACTCGGCGTAGGCCTTTGTTTGCATGAGCCTTCGCGCAGCTTTCGCTCGTCGCTGGGGCAGCGACGGGAGACGGTGCGGACCGAGGTAAGAGATGCCTAACGATTCTCTTTGAAGCGACGAGAATCTGCTAAACGCCCCCTCACCATCACTATCGATGTCTTCAAAGCCCTTCGCCGGGGGCTTCTTGCTGCCGGGCTTATTGCCAGAGTCCTCATCGGTTTTGTCGTGCGTCTTGCACTCGGTTCCCGGATCCTTGTTCTCCCTCGCATCGTTCATGTTGCATGGGTCATGGCTGACCGTGGCTTTGGGCAGCGGGCTGGCCTTCTGAGGACGTGCATCATTCCCGGGAGGTCTTGGGGAGCTCGGCTTCGAGTCGCCGGCTAGGGTGTCAGCTGCGCTAAAGCTCGAGCCGGAGCAAGAATCGGTACTCGTCATCGGCGGCGTGATATAAGGAGCGTCTGTCATCTCCATCCTCCTTTCAGAATGTGGATGGTGTCGAGGAGTCGAGGAGTCAAAAGTGAGAAAGCGCTTCTCAGACTTATCCGAGATCTAACGCCTGGGCAGTCGTTCGCCAGCTCCCCTTCGTGAAAGCGAATAATCTCGACGGAAGCAATCCAATCAAATAGCCGAGGACAGATGAACTCGGAAACTAAAGTTTGCAGTCCCGCTCATTCAACGGTGTGGGTAGGGAACAGTTGTGCTTTCAAGCTGTTATGGGATTCAACACCGAAAGTTCCGGCTCATGACATCCCTACTCCCGACTTCCAAGGCGACGGGTATGAGCCGCAAGGCTGTAGTAGAGTTCTGGGATTTGGGAGATGGGGAAGCAAAACCACTCACCCGCTGCTACGTCGCTGCTACGTCCAGAGGTCACGATCTCAGGTGGAGATGCTCAGTTTCCCGTCCCGTCGCCATTGCCTGAACCACCCTGTAGATATAATTGGTCGGGTTACGAGACAAGGCAACCTCACTGCCTGAGTTAAGACGGCCGCAGTATCGTCGATTTTGTGTAGAGCCAGAGTTGTTGCCCTATCTAGCTCCAGAAATTGGATGTGCGTAAAGAGGGGAGCTGAATGAGGTAGGTACCTATTACGGGAGATGAAGGCTTGCCTGCATCGTGCTGTCCAACCCACCAACTGTGCCTCCTCGGCCAATTGTGTTACGGAGATGCACGGGACGGCTGTTGCACCGCCGACTCGAAGCGAGTCTAGGGGTAGTGAGGCGGTTCAAAAACCTCCACCTTCATTGGTGCCCCGACGCTCGAGGATAGGACCTATTGGCAAGCGGCACTTTCATGTGTTACCCAACGAGTCTCTCGTTCTAGTTTCCGCATTTGTCTTATCGTCAATTCGTACTTGGAAATAATATTGTGGGGGTTGGCTGAATAGTAGGTCCCCGGGCGCTCCTGCCTTCCCGACTTCAGTGCCCGTGGCAGCCATAACCCCACGACCCGAGGGCCCCTCAATTGATGGTGTTCGTCTGGCTATCAATTTGGATCTTGCCAACGTTCACAGCCTTGCCATAGTTGTACACCCACGTACCCCTGCCGCCCGCCTGTGGTGTGCACCCGGTCAGCCCGAACCGTCAGTACAGCCCTTGTTAACAAAAGCCGCACGCTCTGTGGGTGGGGAAGACGCTTACACCTTCGTCGTCGAGATCGGGCGGGGCCAGGCTCTTGCGGATTTCAGCCACGATAAGACCGTAGCCTTCGTCCTTTTCGGACGTGAACTTGCAGATGTCATGGTGGTCTGCCCGGATGGGGATGGCATCTCCGCAGCCCGGCAGCTGGGCAGAGTCGTTCTCGACAACCTGGAGGGTAGTCCATCTGTGCATCAGCGATGGGAACTTTCAGAAGACATCAGACATCTGAATTTACCTGGATGTATTTGAGAGTTCCAGTGACGCGGGTTGTCAGCGTCTCGTAGAAGAAGGAGGCGCTGATCCGGTCCTCGGCGTTTTTGGACATCCTGCGCTTGTTGAGCAGGTTGGAGAAGGTTCGGGCGAGCTCGTTGATCATTTCCGAATTGACGCCCAGCAGCTTCAGTGTGTGCTCTTGCGTCTCGACACCCAGCAGCTTGAGGATCCTCCTTGCGTATTCGGCCGGCCCAGCCGGGACGGAACCCCGGAAAGGCGTTCCGAGGAAGATCAGGCCGCGGATGTTCTTCACAATGGCCCTTGCGTTGGTGTCTTCGCTGCTCTGCTCCCCGTTGTTGAAGAGCTGGGCCGCGACAAGACCACCCAGACTGTGCGCGACGATGACGATGGGTCGGTTCCCCTTTTATCCATGGCACGGGAATTCAGCCACATGCAGTCCCCATCAAGTGGCTGACTTGAATACTGTAGATGTGTACTTGAATGGAAGGGAAAGGGTGTAGTGATTGGGAGCACACTCACAGCCTCGGGTTCCTTGGACCTCTCGGCCGCCAGCTTGCTGCAGAGGTCGTCCGCGTTGCTGCGAACTTCTGTTTTGGCGAGCTTGCCCGGTTGCAGGTTAAAGATGGTCGAATCGTATCCGAAGAGAAATATGCGAGCCTCAGGGAACTCCTTTGGGAGGAGCTGGGCCGGCCAAAGGACCGTGTCTCTGGTCCACGTCTTCTCCATGTCCGCCCGTAGCCCGTGGACAAACACAATGTCCACTTTAGGGTCCGTTCCCGGGGCTACAAGCACTAGTCCGGTGTTGGCCATTCTGGATGTATTGTGTCGGGCCTGTCGGATTGGAAGTAATTTGCCAACGAACATTTGTCCAGACTCAAGATGGGATGAACTGCGTCCTGTGTCCGCAATCTAGGACCTAATTATGTGATATCTTTCATCGAGCGGGACCTCGACCGAGCTCTGCTTCGTCTTTGTCCTCCCATGGCTTCGAAGTTCCGACCCAACTGTCCAACACGGACCCCAAAGTGCTACCCTCCCAAGTGCCGCTGAGACCAGGGTCCAGACCTGCAGCCTCTGCAGGACCTATGCGGGTTGTCAGCCGTAATCACGAGGCAGCTCTCTGCGGGCCGGGCAACTGCGCCAATGTGTCTTCGCTCGTTGTGGGCGCCATGAGCCGCGCACCGCTATGTGACATGTCCCGGGTAGCTGTCCAACCCCAGTCCCGCACCGCTTGCCGCTCGACTCAGCATCGAGATAACGAGCGGTCCCTGATTCCATTCGTCCCCAGGCAATGAATGATTGCCTATGCCGAGTTCGGTGACCCACTTCCCATTTGGGGTCGCTCGGTAAGAAATGACCACTCTCAATTCAGGGGAGTTGCACCCTGTGAGATTTCCTGAGCCATCTTTCTCATAGGTTAGGGCCTCATCGTCCAAACGCATCAGATCCCAGCGATGACAGGTCGTTTGCGCTCACTCTGGCATCTACCGCGCTTGGAAATCTAGAACTCGCCGCGGGCTTTGCCTCTGCACCATTCTGATGCGACACCTCCTGAACTTCCATTTCCGAACTGCAGAGCTCTTTTGGGATGGGATCTCATCCCTTGAGCATCCCAAATAACGGGCCGGCCTCCAACGTGGGCCAGGTGGAGGTACAGACCCAGAACAACCAGTTTGCTTCTGGAGCGAAAGATGTCCGCGTCGATGAGCGCAAGCAGGTCTTCTACACATACCACATTACTTTAAATGACAGCCCTCGTCCTGACGAGTCACGGTGGCCTGAGTACTGGCGGGATGGTGCAAGATTCGCTCAACGTTCCAACTACTCGAACTCCCCGAACGACTCTCGGTGGAGCGTACTCCTGGCAGACTTTGCCTCGGCCCAGGAGGATGCGAGACTGAATGCGGAAATGTATATATATTATCGTCTCATCCATTGTGCTAGCCACAGAGATCCCCGTGTCTGGGCTTTACTGACTCATAGGAATTTGCACAGACAACAGCGATGGCAGCAGACCTGGCCGAGCGTTAGGAAACTCGAAGAGGCCGTGGTCGCATTTCGGTCATCCAAGCGTCACAAGGGCGGCAAAGAGAGCGATGATTCCGACATTGCAGATGAGCCTCACCCGCCCGATATCGTCACTGAAGACGCCGTCCATGCCGAGCTTGAAGCGTCCATATGCTTCTACAAGCGGGGCTCAAGAAAGCAATCCCCCGTCTTGGGTAGTCTCCGGGCTATCAGCACCAATGTGCATGCTCTCTGTTCCTGGCTAGGGGCACTTCGTGACACCAGGCACCGGTCTTCAGTACTCTGTACGTCTGCACCCAAACACGAGCTCTATGGGGCTCGTCGTCTTGTATTGATGCTGATTGGAATCCTTTATCTGCAAAGTCGCGTTGATGAGCATCATTGAGGTAATTTTCATGGGACCAACCGCTGCCTACCTAGGCACCTTGCTGCATGACCCTCTCGTGACACCGACTGACAAGGGGCAGACAACGAGAGACCAAGACAGACCGGATGACGACGTGGTGGAGACGGTGGCAACCATCGTTCGCGCCTTCACAGGCGGCTTAGACGACTATTTCTCAGCGATGCGGGCCAACCGACTGACGAGAGCGATGGAAACGGATACGATCGAGATCTTTGAGAGCTTAGCGGCCATTTTCGTTCAACTTCTGGAGTTTGGACGGAGGAGGCTTAGGTGTAGGTCCTAGTTAGATCCTAAGCACCGAGCTTTTCTCCTGGTTAGCATCGTGCAGCTGACGAGTCCAACCCCAAGCAGCTCAACGAGGGACTCTGGATGACAGCATCAATCGGCTGACAGGAGCGTTGTTGTCCGTCAAGAACGCGGTGAAGAACAGAGAAACGCAGCGGCTGTCGTATGACATGCCCCTCGATCTCCCACGCCCGGATGAACAGGGTCTCGTCATCAGACATCTTTTTCATTTCCTAGAATCGTTCCAACGCCAAGGCTCCCAAAGGCCAACTTCGCACCCTGATGCGGCCGGTAAGGCACCTACTCTCAGGAACCTGGTTGTCGCGGCCCTTTCTGCTAGTATCAGCTGGTGACGAATAATTGCCGACTTAGGCGGACCGCACTGACACATCTTTGGTCTAGGAATCGAGGGAGTATCGGGGTCCGGCCGGGCAAGGACGGAAACTCGGCTTACACGTAGGGCTTCAATGGGATTGAGGGATGCGGGTACGTTCCCCATGGCATCCTCACTCTCCGTGCTTTTGGAGAGAACGCACTGCATCCTTGGATAGGCGACTAATGACGAGGACCTCAAACAAAGGTTCCATCCCTGCCGAGACGCTTCTCGGCTATCTAGGCTACGAGGATGCCGGACAATCGACGCGCGAGATAGACAGCTGCCTCCGGTTGGCGAGGCCGAACGCGCGAGGCATGCGCACCCTGGCCGCCTTCACGAAGCGCAGGGAGTACCAGAAGTGGCTAAAGACCGAGTCGGAACACTCGGCGTTGCTAGTGCGGCCCAGTTCCACATGGGCGCTGGAGCAGACGCTGCGTCGCCGTTCCTTCTCACCCCTGTCGTTCCTCTACGCCCGCCTCGCCCGCGAGTACGCCGGCCAGAGCCGCGTCGTTGTCCTTTCGTACTTTTGCGGCCTCCACGCTCCCGGTGGGGATGCTGCCCCTGGCGCCACTGTCACACGAGCGGCCGGCGGGACCGCCCATCTCCTGTCCCAGCTCATCGGCCAGCTGCTGTCGCACCCTACTGTGGCGCGCATCTACGCAGAGGAGCCGGTCCTGTTCGACAGGCACTGGACGAAGGGCATCAAGGCGTGGAGCGTCAAGAAGCTAATCAAGGTCTTTTCGGCGCTGGTGGGACGGCTGCGACCGCACAAGCTTGTGATCTTCTGCTTCATCGACGCCATCACCAGGCTGGAGACGCGCGGGCCCGGCCGGGAGCTGCACTTACAGGAGGACGCCGAGAGCCTGTTCGCAGAGCTGAGAGATCTCGTCCAGGAGCAAAAGAAGGGGCGCAAGAGGATGAAGGGCGACTATATGGTATTCAAGCTGCTGGTGTCGGCCGGTGCGAGGCGCGTGGCTGCGCAGAGCTTTTTCGACACAGGCGAAGTCATCGACTTGGGTTAAAGGGCTTTGAGCTGGGTCCGCGGGTATCATACTAGATTATAGAAAGCGTATAAATCGTAGCTCAAGTCTTATCCCTAGCCCTTGTCTTTGAATGTCAGAACCAGCCGTCACAGGTACCTAGTTTAGGTGACAGACACACACTTGGACTTCAGTTAATAGAACAATAACGTATCTTATCAGCGAGCGCCGCATATCACCGAGCGCCGCACCTTTCTACACTACATGTCACCTCTGCACTTAACACCAATTTTTTCATCAACCCAATATGCCTCCTACTTCAAATGAAGCCAGGGTAATCTTGGCCATTGAGGCTATTCAGAAGAACCCGGAACTAAGTATACGCGCCGCAGCAAAGATCTACAACGTTGCCGACCGAACTATCCGCCGTCGACTTGCCGGCCGTATTGCAAGACGCGATCTTCCAGCCAACTCGCGTAAGCTCACCGATCTAGAAGAGAGGGCAATAGTATAGTATGTGATTGACTTCTCTATACGCGTATTCCCACCTAGATTGAGTGGTGTAGAAGATATGGCCAACCATCTGCTACGCGAACGCGACGCGCCGCCTGTTGGCAAGCTCTAGGCGCATCGGTTTGTCAAACGCCAGCCAGAGCTCCGAACGCGTCATACGCGTAGATACAACTACCAGAGGGCGAAGTGCGAGGATCCAAAAGTCATTGGCGAGCGGTTTGCCCTTGTATGGAACGTCAAGGCCAAGTATGGTATTGTAGATGACGATATCTATAACTTCGACAAGACTGGGTTTATAATGGGTATCATCTTCGCGGGCATGGTGGTCACAACCTCGGATGGTTATAGCAAGGCAAAGCTGGCCCAGCCTGGCAACCGTGAGTGGGCAACGGTGATCCAGGGAGTCAATGCCCTCGGCTGGGCCATCCCTCTGTTCATTATCTTGGCCGTGCAATACCACCTCGCCAACTGGTACACCGAGTACAACCTCCCGGCCGACTGGCGTATCACAACCACCGACAATGGCTGGACTACCAATAAAGTAGGCCTAGATTGGATCAAGCACTTTGACTTCTATACAGCACATCGTACAAAAGGCAAATACCGGTTGTTAATCCTCGACGGCCACGAAAGCCACCACTCGACCGAATTCGAGCTCTATTGCCAGCAGAACAACATTATCACACTCTACATGCCTCTGCATTCGTCCCACCTCCTCCAGCCACTTAATGCTGGCTGCTTTAGGCCATTGAAGCAGGTATACGGTCGCCAGATCGAGGACTTGATGCGCATGCATATCAACCACGTGAGCAAGCTCGAGTTCCTTTGCGCCTTTCGCAAGGCCTTCTTTGCCTCCATCACCGAGAGGAATATCCAGGGCGGCTTTGCAGGGGCTGGCCTTGTGCCGTACGATCCAGAGAGGGTGCTTTCCAAGCTGGATGTAAAGCTTCGTACGCCAACACCCCCAACCTCCCGGCCTGGCACTGCGCAACCTTGGGTGTTCCAGACACCACACAACCCTCGGGAAGCCGAATCGCAGTCAACCCTCATCAAGACTCGCATTGCCAACCATCAAAATAGCTCCCCGACTTCAATGTTGGCTGCTGTGGATCAGCTTGCTAAAAGCACAACGGCTGTGATGCACCAGGTGGCCCTCCTTCAGGCAGAGAACGCTTCGCTCCGCAAGGCCAACGAGGCACTAAGCAAGCGCCGGAGAGCTAAAAGAACACGCGTGCAGCTTGGAGGATCACTTACTATACAGGAGACACAAGAGGTGGTAAGTCAGGGGGCTATAGGTAGGGAGGCAATGCAAGAAACACAGCTAGATAGTGGTGGTGCCGGGGTGGGTCGTACGAAGGTTCGGTGCTGTGGTGTGTGCGGCAAGCCTGGCCATAATGCCCGCACTTGCCAGGAGGATGTAGAAGGATATGATTTATCTGTTTCTGATGTAATTATAGTTGGTTGCTAGTGTTGTTGTATTGTAATTGAAGATGGTGTTCGTAGGGTAGTAGGGAGTGCGGCGCTCGGTGATATGCGGCGCTCGCTGATAAGATACGTTAAACCTTTATTATCGTCGACGAGAGGTACAAAAAGTTCACAGTTGGAAGGTTGGAGAGTCGCTTAGCAAGGGAAGTTGTCTACCGCGGCCTACACAGTACCTAAGGCCGACTCTCCAAGGACGGTATACATTCGACTATCTCGTCAAAGGGAAGTTCAGCCGTCCCATCAATCGTGATAGGCAAGGTATTTGCTGACGATGATTTTGATCTGCCGACCGCTCGGTTCTTGCTCGGTTCCATGTTGCCAAGAGAGCGCCCCACTTTGCGGCACATGCCAACCTGAAGTGGACCAGCGGTCTGTGCTCTCTGTACTGTGGTCCCACCAAGATCCATTTTTCCGTCCATGAATTTGCGACGATTTGCGACCCGCGTTGGGTCCTGGGAAAACACACATTTGGATTCTTGGATTGCGAGGAAAACGCGACATTGATTGCTTTTGAGAGAAGGTACTCCATCCTAAGCTTGACAGGGAGACCGGTGGAATGTGATAATCTAACAACCTCGCGCTTCCAAAACAGCCACCTCGTTTGACCCCTCCTTCATTCGACTGCTCCCCGGGGTGTTGGGAACCCTCCGTCGTACCAATCCCGACAGTATCGCCGCACATGTCTCTATCAATGTTTCCTATCGGGGTGCTATTCCGCGGCACTAGTTCCACAATGCCGGGGACTTCGCTTGTAGCGGCATCGAGAATATTGGGTTCGACCAGGTCGCAAGCCGAGGCGATAACGACTCCCTCGAGTCTACGGCCAGGCTATCTCCTGAGAAGATCCTTTAGTACTCCGAGACCAGTAAATGCGAATCGCCAAACCTCGAGGTTCAAGCGGGCCGGCGCCTCGTCAGCAGGAACACCAACTGGCGCTGCGGGCGAGGGTGGTCATGTTGGCTCCGTCACTTCCTCTCCTCTAGCCTCTGCTCCAGAGTCTCTTCCTATCGCCAGTGCTAAGTCCGCATCGCCCTTTCCATATCGGCGACTATCTCCCCAGAAACCAAAACCTTCGGATCCGTCGAGCAAGGAGTATAAGCAAACCGAGAGGAAGGTTATCTCGATAATCGTGGGGCTGCCGGTTCTGTTCGTCACGTCGTATTATCTCTATGACAGACGTGAGTGTTTCCAGCGACCAAGAGGGTGATGTGGTTATTAACATGAAAGACTAAGTGTCTCCATTCCTTGCTCAGCGCTTATCCGCTGCACAGCAACAACACCCAGAACAGCGCAGCTGAGAGATGACCAGGCGTCGCCAGCTGATTGAGACGAACCTGGAAGGATGAATCCCAATCCCAGGCCGAAACTCATAGAATCACTGGTGTTAACGTCGTCAAGACATGGTCTCTTGAATGGATCAGCTGGCAGCGTCGTTCGCTTGCTGAATGCGCCGACGCTTCACTGCTGGTCGTGTACTCCTCGATGCGTAAGACTGGGCTAGCGTCTCCTGCTAAGGTTCCTGTCGCCGGAGAGGTCGCGGTGATAACTCGCAAATGCTCGCCGTTCACCAACTGCCGCGTCCCACAGGATGCTGATGCGAACGTAGTGTAAGCCACTGTGAAATCCCAGGGCCCCGCCTGCTTGCTTATCATTGCCTGGGCGCTACCAGCAGGCGGCTTCAAACGCTCACGACCTGTGGTCGAGTCGTCGCAATGTCGGATACATAACTGGTTGCCGACGCCAATCCCGATTTGGACGAAGCTCGCTAATGGTTCCCTCGAAGGCTTTTCGCCCCTTCCTCCGCTCCGCCGTTACGAGCACCTCCAGCTCCCCCAGGTTTCGTCCTTCGTGCGGGGAAGAGCGGCCCACCCCACATGATCGAGCGAGTTTGTCCCTTGGGAGTCCAGGGATGAGTGCGTACAGGCGGAACGGGTTATGCAGTACAGGATTCCGAGAACACGACTCATGTTTGGGCTTCTGCGTTTGGAGTGGAATGCTCTGAGCAGATAGGAGGTTATGGATTTCTATACGCTAGTGCTCCTAACGGTCTGAACTGATTATATCATCTCAAGAACGGTCCTGCCGTCTACTGATTGATAGTGTAGCTGAAGCCTTTTCGCTCCTTGCCATCTCCGGTGTTTGGTATCGATGGGTGGCCACAACTCCCAACATGGGTCTTGGCCCGTAGCTTACGGGATGGAGCAACGGTGTTTGACACAAACCGACAATTGCATGGAGCGCCTCCAGAACCTGGGGAAGTGGACCGAGCAGCCTTGTGACCATGCAAGACTCCTCCACCTGCCAAGGAGCGATAGTTCCAGGAATCCAGATTGGCGTGGACTCCATTGGGGACCAGCTGCGAAATCTGGGGGCGGATCCAAGAGCATGGTAGCAGAGGAAGAGACCGGATGACTCGCCTATCTGCTTGCTAAGGTATTGCACAGTCAACCGGAGGCAATCTCAGGTCCATGACTCGCTGAGCTTCGGAACGCAACCCCCACGAGCCGAAGGAACATGCAGATCCGGTCTGTTCCATGGTTCTTCGATACTCACTGTCGAAGAACAGAGAACTCAACAAGAGCGCGGGCTAGATTACTGGAGCGTCATATCCGGCCATCCACATCTTCAAACAGCACTACATATGGATTTGTCGACAATGGGAGAATGGTCACTGATGAGTGATGAATCCGAAAAGCTGTGCCCACGATCGCTCCCCTGAGTTCCCCATCCGATCTCCGCATTGTTGAGTTCGGGGGTGGAGATCGTGGGGCCGGTCATGTTCCCGACTTCAGGCTGGACCGGGATAGCTGCGGGGGGAGGCACCAATGAGGGGCGTTTGACGTGGGTCACCGTTGCAGCCATTGGCGAATCGGCTTGCGACGCTGGCCAGGGTCTAACATCGGTCACAGGCACACAGGCGCAGCGTTGCAGATGGAATTGCCGCGATCTGGTTGAGGATATGTCCGAAACCCGAGTTCTTCCCAAAGGTTGGCGAGCACCATCCGCCACGAGGAAACTAGGGGTTTGCAGCTTAGCGCACGGCGAACTGCCACACCATCTGCAAAGGCTGTGGATTCTTCACGTCCCCAGAACTCCGGGGTTTTCCCCCCTTGGCAGGCTGGGCGAACGTGTGTGGACTCCACGACATCGTCTACCACATTGACTATTGGTATGCCCGGTGGGCCTTTTTCAACCAAACAAGAAAGAAACCTAGCGCCCCGTCACAGGGCGCAGGCTCCCACACAGGGCGGGCCCTCGGCAGCAGATGCTGTGGTAGGTACTGCGGGGTGCCAGCCAGCTGCCCCTGCGAGGAGCTAGGATATTCCGTTAGGCACGGCTGTTGTCCACGGCGCTGTGATGGACTACATTTATTAACGGGCACTTGTCCGCTCGCGTGTATCGGTCGGTTTGGCGACCTCATTCCCTTTCCCAATTTCGTCCGTCGTGACGTGCTTTTGCTCCTCGCGCCGCTCTAGCTTCAACAAGCGCCTCTCTACAGTAATAGAAACCGTATTCACCGCGCAGATATCACGACTGGCATTTGCGAGTTTTCTAGCACACCTGACGTGAAGTTCCCGACCATGGCCACAACGACGAGCTCTGGCGGGAAGCGGAGGTCGCGCTCAGAGGGGGAGAGTGACCGAGCCGGCTCCGAACATGCAGCCAGTCCCGCGCCCTCGTCCCGATCGTCCACCAAGCAACAGATCCGACACCGGGCGTCCATTGCTTGCGCCTCCTGCCGTGAGCGGAGGATACGGTGTGTTGTCGGCGAAGGCGAGTCGGAATGCGCCCAGTGCAGGAGAACGGGGTCCACATGCGTTATCAAGGATGACGATGAGAGAAGGCGGTAGGTGCCCACACCCGGTGGTCCCACCCGTCGGTTCTTCAGCCTAATTCCGTCCCGCAAAGACCCATATCGAAGGCCTACATGTCATCCCTGTCGAACCGGATCGCCCTTCTGGAGGAAATGCTGAAGGAGCGCGGCGTCGTGCCTCCCCCAGCCGTCCACCCGCCAAAGACGAGGCAAGAAGCGCAGGCAAGGCAGCAGCAGGAGCAACAACAGCAGCAAACGCAGGGTGGCGACGAGCGTGAACGGTCAAGAAGTTCCGAGCCCTACCTGGCTCCGCCATTACCAGCGAACCACCCCGCCACTCCGCCCGGCTCAGGCGACGACGACGTGATCATGTTCCAGCCAGAGCAGCCAAAGGGTCAGGGTCTCCTGCCCGACAGCCATTCCGCCCTCGCCCGCCTGATCGACCCGGCACTACTTCAGGACGCCGAGCAGAAAAAGGATGTCAGCACACGGCACCTCCTTTGCGCGAGAGGCAGCTACGTCCATGACCAGTCGGCCGGAAGGGCCAGGTTCTTTGGTCCCACGGCTAACATCCATCTCTATTCTCGATCTACATCCGGCTTCGCCCCGTTTGAGCAGCCCGAGCATATCCGCAGGGCTGAGCGGCTCATTGCGGCTCTCAGACCGTCCACCCACGACCATCTAATGAGGTGTTTCTGGGAATATTACAACCCGTGGTACCAAGTGGTTGACGAGGCAGCCTTTGAGGCCGGTCGCACCACCCAAGACCCGAGATTCTATTCCGTCTTCCTCCATCTCGCCATGCTCGCCATCGGCTACCGCTTTGCTGACTGGGACCGGGAGGACGTGAAGAGGGCCACGCTAGGCAGCCGAGAGAGCACGGTGCACAGGAAAGCCAAGTCCATGTTGGACGCGGAGCTGGAGAGGCCTGGCGGGATCTCTACCGTCCAGGCTCTCCTCCTGCTCGCCGACCTGGAGTGTGGCGTTGGCCGGGACACCGCCGGCTGGATGTACTCGGGTATGTAGTTTGTGCTCGCACCAAGCGAAGCTAGGTACCTACAGATGCTAACAGAACGGGATGAAGGGATGGCAAACCGATTGGCCTTTGACCTCGGACTGCATGTCAGCCCATCCTGTGCGGACCTCTCCGAGCTCGAGAGGCAAGCAAGGCGCCAGGTCATATCGGCGTGCGTCATGTTCGACCGGAAATGGGCGCTCTTCTTGGGCCGGCCGACCACGATCAAAGTGCAGGATATCGGTGTCGATGTGTTGCCAAAGATGCAGAGGGAGCCTGTCGTTGACACAAGCCTGGGCACCGTGGCAAGCCAAGCTGCCATCTACCGGCAGATGTTCGAACTGCTAGAGCTGGGAGGCAGGGTGGCCGACTTCCAGAACTCGACGTTCGGGCCCGCCCACGTGTTCTCGACAAAGAGCGCCGAGGACAGGGCATACCTGCACTTCATCGGCCTGGAGCGCCTCTTCCACAATTGGTACCGGCGGCTTCCGGAGAACTTGACCTGGAAGCCTGTGAATATCAAGTCGGCACCCCTGGGCTTCTTCATGCTTCACCAACAGTTCCATGTCTGCATGATCCTTCTGCACCGTCCGTGGGCCCGATACGGGCCCATGTCACTGGACGGCTCGGTTGCAGCACGCTACCCGAGCCCCGAGTCCCCCGGCCGGGACGACGGCACCAACCATATCCCCTCCTGGATGGCGCCGCTCCCGCACCACGACAACCGGGCGTCCCTCTCCCGAAGCATGTGCACGCAGCACGCCATTCGAGTTGCCCGCATCTTCTGGCATCACCGTCAGCGCTTCGATGGGCGGCGGGTTGGGCTGTCGACGATCCAGCACGCCGGAACTGCCGCCGTTGCCCTGATGGCTGCTCTGGCTCACAAGAGCGCCGAGCTCGACCACCAGAGTAACCTGCGGTATCTGCAGGTGCTCTCCTCTGCCATCTACGACATGAGCCACCTGTATCAGCCTGCGGCGAGGATGTATCAGGTGCTCAAGACCATGCTCGTCGAGATCCGCTCCGAGATGGTCAAGTCGGGAGGCTTCGATGTCAGCTCGTTTGTTGGGCGCTACCAAGGCACCAGCAACAGCAGTCTTCTGTTTGGCAGCAACCAATGGGCTACTGGCACCGAGGGTAACTGCCTGTCGACCGACCGGCTAGAGACCATCCCGGAAGAGGCGCGCGCCGTCAAACGACGCCGGCTCTCTAGCCTCTCCTCCGTGGACTTCACGACCGTTGGGCCGTCGTTCTTATCCGCCACCCTTCAAACGTGCCCGTCGCCGCCTAGCTCGTCACGGAGCCACGACGGCTCCAACTCTGTTACACTGGACCAGGCATCCAACGAGCCGAGCACCTTCGACCTAGACTTCTTCCACTCGTCGTTTGTTGACTTCATCAGCACCGGCGGCGAGAGTGCCAGTGCCCAAGACTGGGCAACAACGGCCCCATCAGCAGTAAATGTCGACACTACCGTTCCAATGCTGATCCCCACCGCCTCCGGAGACCTTTCGTGCGTGAGCATGAGCGCGGACAGCACCGTCTCGAAACCCAACGAATCTCCTGCCACCATGTCAACTCCGGCGCCCGCAGCCCCAGCTACGCAGCCTGCTCAACTCGCAGACGACGACACGGCCGTGGACAAGACCATCGAGGAGTGGCTGGCCGAGCCCGCCGCGCCGACCGTGTCCACTCCTTCCGACGACAGCACTGGTATCGCAAGCGGCAACAATCCGCAGACAGCCGAGCTGCCGTCTGTCCCTACCACCAACAACACCACCACCGCCGCCATCCCACCGACCGAGGAGGAAGTAATCCACCCTTCCCAGCCGCGCAGCACCCTCGCCCACGCCACAGCAGACGGCACACCCATCTGCCGCGACCCATACGTCCTCAGTCTCGAGACAGAGTTGGGGTTGACGCTCGACAACGACAATAAGGGTCATCATAATAATAACGGCGACTGTGCAATGGACTGGCTCGCCACCAGTTCCCCACCACCACCACCAGCACAGCCAGCTACAGCTCTGTCACCAGTAAAGGAGGTGGACAACAGTAGTCCCGGCACCGCGAGTAGACCGCCTGTGCCGCCGCCGCCCATGACGCCTGTTACGCTGGATGAGTTGGTGCAGAGTGTCGAGGAAGCGGTGGGTTCGGCGCGGGCGAGGGCTAGGGCCAGGGCTGCTGCTGCTGCTGCTGCGGCTGCGACTGGTGGTGGTAGTAATAATGCTGTGGTGGTGGGTTGTGGTAGGGGGGAGTCACCCTTGGTGAGGAATAGGGAGTTGGATTTCCTTACTTTGTGAAGAGGACGTCACATCACATAATATGTAAGAAGGGGAGGTAAAGTGCGAGAGGGAGGGGTCGGGGGGAGGGGTTCCAATGGTGATATGAGGGATGAGGGGATGATGAAGAGATGCCTCTCTCGTTTGGTTATCATGACTGATGTTTCAATATCTGATCTTAACCATGGAGCGGGCATTTCGGGGTTGAGGCTCAACGGATATGCTAAGATGTTCAACAGGCACTAACTACCTAGGACACTAATGTCTGGGTGCTGCCATCGTATATTCCGTACACAATATACCACCACATGAGAGAAATGCCAACGTGTGATACCACCCAGAGCGGGAGAAAGACGTGCTGATCTGTTGTTGTCTCAGCTAAATCCTCCGCGGGCCGTATCGAGTCTATCCTTCACCTTCCACGTCTGCTCCTCAAACAGTTGAACTAGGAAACGGTCATCTGTAAAATGGTATTTAAGCGCCGTGTGAGACTCATTACTCGTATAAGAATCCTCCCAAGGCCAAAAGGGGGATAACCAACCAACCCGCTGAACACGCCGAACACCGAACCTCATCCATACCACCATCATCCCATCATACTACCTTAGATAAACCAAATCCCGCTAGTTCATATTAGCCTGCATATACCCTATCATCCCGATGCTCCCTTAAGAACTCCATTGGAACTTCATTTCCGCTGTCCTCCCTGCACAGCGCCGGACGTTCCAGTTCGCGGTGGTCCTCCGCCGAAACGAGCAGGTCCGGGGGAACCTCGTTATCGCTCTCAGGCTCCCTTTCCTCCTCGTGTAAGTCCACTAAGTCGCCACGCTTACCGGGCCCAGCGTCTCCAGAAGCCTCATCAAGCCACTGCACCGAGGTTCGCGGGCTCGTCGATCCGCCAACGTGGGGCGTTGAGTCTCCTTGCTCGACATCGCCTTCCTCTGCGGCAGTCCCAAAGCCTGCGGCAGTCCCAAAGCCTGCGGCTCGTAGCGCCTCCCGTAACATGCCCTCCGCCTGTCGGAAAGCTTCCAGTTCAGCGCCAATGGCACAGATGAGCAAGTTCCACCCCTTCTCCTCCGCGATATGCAGTCGCTCTTCTAGGGCTGCCATGACGGCGCGCATCTTGTCAAGCTGTGCGTACATAGCCTGGTCAGGAGGAGGTGGTGGAGGTGGTGACGACGGCGGGTCACCCTCTCTCCCCTTCCCTTTCCCGTTACTACTACTCGTCTCCCAAACATCTCCACCTCCGCTCATCTCTCGCATCAGCCCAGCTTCAAACTCAGACACAAGCTTGATCGTCTCCTTCCATACCTCCACGCCCTGCTCCAATGCCGCCCTCTCCTTGTCCACCTCCGCCTTCCTCCTCTCCAGTATCCTGACTTCGGATTCCCACCAATCCCTCGCCATCTCCGCCGTCCTCCTCTCAGGCCGTAGGTGCAAGAATTCCACCCCGCCAGGTGATTCCCCGAAGGCCCCTTCTTGGACACCCGACTGGGAGAAGAGCTCCACATCCAAAGGCTTCACACCAGGCCGGGTAAGCAGCCCCGCAATCCTCCCCTCCACCTCTTTCAGCGCGCCCTTATAGCCACTCAACCCGGCGTCCCTCCGACTCCTGACCTCTTCGACCCGCCCATCAAGCCATTTCCTCCTCCTCCTCAACCCGGCCAACCTCTCCTCCAACTCCGCGATCTCCCCGGCCACAGCCTCCCTCTCCCGCTCCAGTTCCCTCAACTCCCTGCTGAGAGACTGCTGGCCCTCGTCCCCCTCCTCCGACTCAAGCACCCGCAGTTCCTCCGCTATGCCCTCCCGCCTCGCCGACAGCCGCCGCAGCTGGGACAGCGCCTGCTTGCGCGCGCTTAGCGCCAAAGTCAGCTGTGCGTCCTCCTCCGCTTTGAGGTCGGCCAGCAGCGCGATGGTGCGCGTCAGCCCTGTGCGGGCGGCGCGCAGGCCGAGGGGCTTTGGGGGCCGCGGTTGTCGGACGGGGACGAGCGTGCCTGACGCGGTTGTGGTTGCGGTTGTGGTGACGATAGGGTCGAAGGTGACTTGTCTGCGTCGGACGGAGCTACTGCTGCTTGACTGGGTGTGTATTGTCCCCGTGCCGGCGTCGCTCGCGTCTGAGGGGGCGCTGCTGGATATGGACGGTTGTTGTTGTTGTTGTGGGTCGAGGTTGGCTGCCAGGCCGGCGGATTGGGCATCGAGGAGGCGCTGGAGGTCTTTTTGCAGGGCGCGCTCGCGGCGTTGGAGGTTGAGCCAGACTGCGTTGGGCTTGTAGTCGTATTCCGCGTCCCGCGAGCGGTTGGGTGAAACGAAGGAGGAGGAGGTTTCGCGGCTCCTGTATAGGGAGAGGGATGTGTCCCTGTCTTCTTCGTCGCGGTAGAGCATTTGGGAGGTCGCGATCGGCGGGGGCGGCCCTGCGAACAGGATGCGCTGGGTCGGGTTGGATTTGGAGGCTGAGCCTGGGTTGCTCTCCTTGTCGCTGTATCTAGCCCTTGGGGAGGGGCTTCTGCGGGTAGACATTGGCATCCTGCGGCCGTCTGTGGGCTGCGATGATAGCAGACCATCGTGTGGTCGAGAAAGCTCGGACAGGTCGTACTCGCTCGACTTCTTGCGGATCGGGGGACTCGTCCGGTGCAACGGAAGGATGGGGCCGTCACCTCGGGAGAGCCCTAGGCGCGGTAGGAACGATGACTTCGCAGACATGGGGAGTGGAGAAGCTAACAAATTTAAGCAGGGAGTTGCGCGTCAGCAACTGCATTCCTATTACTCGGTCTGTTGTTGGGCGAAGCTGCGAGCGCACTTTGGCGCACGGCGCCGGAGGTCCTGAATCGAGATGATAGCAGTTTCTACTTTGAGGCTCCTAAAGCAGCTGCGTACACGAACAGTAATATCACGAAGTGAGAGTGACATGGGTAACAGTGCAGAGTTGGAGGATGGAATGGACAGCTGCCTGGGGGATAGCACGAGAACTGCTTCAGGGCAGCTGCGCATGTGCTCTTCGCTGTGTGCTGTGATGCGATTGGTTTTTCTGTACGGAGCTGCCCCACTGGGCTCCATGTGGGTCCATGCAGTCCAGCCAGCGGAAATTACCGCTACTTCTTAACATCAGGCATCCGAGTGTTATTGTCCAAGTTAGAACTCCCAAGAAATACACGAGGTAAGGTTTCCCAGCTACTCCTAACCGAAGTTACCTGCTCAAATGAGAGCTTAAGAGTGCGCCGACCATCCATGTTACAGAAAGATCCTGGTCTAGGTTGATTCAGCGATAGGACGACAAGCTGTATACTATATCCGTAACTTGTCGTCCATATGAGGGTTGGTAGGTGTAGGTAAGGTACCTATATATTCCGACCTGCCGCAAGCTGCTGACTCTTACCAAGTTTCGTTTGAATTTTCGAGACGTGCAGAGTGAGGCGCAAAGCCGCGCATAGCAGCTGCACTGCCCGTCTGCCACATGCGTCTATCTCTGATTGGTGCATTCCTACCAATAGACCCGGGGAGAAATGGACTGATGCCGCTCGCCGCTGCCCAACCGCATTGAAGACCCCAAAGAGGCCTGATGAAAGTGACCCAGAACGTCAAACACTCCGGGCTTCATTGATCTCCAAAGGTTGTGACAGTCTTCATTGTGAATGCTTCATGAATTCTCAGCCCCCCAGGCATGGGATCCGCTGAGCGCTCTATCCGTTGCAGCGGCAGTGGTTCAGTTTGCCGACTTCGGCTTCCGCCTGCTGAAAAGCACCCGTGAGCTCTATAAATCTCCATCCGGCCAGAAAGCTGCGCACATCGAGCTCTCCGTCGTGTCCCAGAATCTTTCGCGCCTCGCAGCCTTTGTTGAAGCCAAGATAGAGGAGAATGCAGGACCGTCGGCGCAGGTCTTCCTCGGCCTCTGCCGCGAATGCGCGTCAACCAACGATGAGCTTCAGGAGATACTCAGCAAGGTCGAGGCGCGAGGTTCTACCAATGTCATGCTGGCTGCGGATAGTTGAAGGGCCGCGCTCAGAGAGGTCGCAGCCGCTGGTGACATCGAAAGACTGGCAAATCGCCTAGCCAGCATTCGCCAGCAGATGAACAGCGCATTGCTTTATCTATTGCGGTTAGTACCTCTTCTGGCATGTCCATACATGTGTGCAGAACGCGAGCTGACTCCGGTCCATGGTTGATTGGTCAGAGATGAAGCTTGGGGGAATGGCGTGGAGTTACGCCAATTTGCCAAACAACAAGCGGGTATGATCGCCACGCTAGACCGACTAGATCAACACTACCAAGCAATTCAGCACCGATGTCATGGGCCTTATCGACAAGTGGCCTGTGAGCAACCAGTCGGAAACCGACGAGATGGTGCGGTACGTGCTAAGTGACAAGTGGAAGGCAAGTGAGTATGCAAAGCAAACCTTGGTAAATGGGAGCCGAGACCGTGAGAAGTTCGATTACGTATGCAAAAGTCTATACTTCGATTCGATCAGCCATAGGGAGGCAAGCATTCCCAAACGACATGCCGCAACCCTCGAGTGGGTATTCCACGACCCGCGGGCATCTGAAGATGATGATCCGCTATGGTCGAGCTTCCCCCAATGGTTGGTCGGAGATTCTCCTGATATCTACTGGATCACAGGGAAACCACGGGCCGGAAAGTCGACATTGGTCAAATTCGTCGCACAGGACCCGAGATTTGAGGAGCTGCTTCGGACATAGGCAGCCGAGTCCCAGGTGCTCGTGGCTCGCTTTTTTGCCTGGACTGCGGGAGCGAACGTGCTCCAAAAGTCTCACGCTGGTCTTCTCAGAACCGTCCTCCTCGAGGCCATCCGGCAGCGGCCTCAGCTGGCCGTCGATATCTTTCCTGCCAGATGGTTTCTCCTCCAATCTTTCAATGGTAAAGTGAAGTTGCCAGCCCTGACGATGGATGAGTTGAGGATAGGTTTCCCGAATCTCCTATCTGCTACCGGGAAGGAGGTCAAGCTGGCTCTCCTTGTTGACGGCCTGGATGAATTCGATGAGGACCACCGAGCGCTGGTCCAGCTCCTTCGCGATGCCAACGCATCAGTAGGGGTTAAGATTTGCGCCAGCAGTAGACCATGGAACGTCTTCAGGGATGCGTTCGGCAAGAATCCCATGTTGCAGCTCGAGCGTCTTACTCGAGAAGACATCAAGTTGTTCGTTCAGGAGAAACTGGAGCTCAGTCCGGGTTATAGCGATTTCGCTGCCACTAGCCCGCAGGAGGCAGGCAAGATCATCGGCGACATTGTCGACAAGTCGCAAGGGGTTTTGCTCCGGATATCCGTCATTTCGGGCTTGCTAGAGCCTAGCTTCGAAGAAGGAACGGGCATCTCGGAACTGCAGGCAGTGGTCGACAAGCTCCCGAGCGAGGTTGCCGACTTGTTCCGCTACATCTGGGACCGAACCAGCAAACGATTCAAAGCCGAGGCATTGCAGAATTTCCAGCTTAAAAGAGTCTGCGAGGAGCATGAAATTCAGCTATATGCCCTGACGCTCTGGTTTGGTGCTAAGGAGATCCCTGTTGACCTCGATGCCAGCGAAGTCACAGCCACGTACCTGGACGGGGTCATCAAATCCTTGGAAAGGAAACTGATGAGCCGGACCGGAGGGTTGTTGGAGCTGATCTCCCATGACGGCCCGCTGAAATACTCAAAAAGGCGAGTGGAATTCATGCACCGGACGGCAAGTGATTGGGTCCGCCATAATTGGGGAAGCATCACCTCCTCGACGGACTGTAACTTTGACCCTTGCTTGTGGATTGTTAAGGGCGAAGCCCTGAGCTTTGTACTCGCAACTGAGCCGTCTCAAGGCGATTCTATCCTTGTGGATCGCTGGCCAACCATGTTCGAGATTGCCTCCCTTATCCCGGCTGCACATCCAGATGGAAGGGACCTCGTTGCTGCCCTTGCGCGTCTCGACAGTCATATCAACATTTACGAGGCCAAGTACTTCGGGTCATCAAGAACGTCGTCGTCAAGTTCCTTCTGGGCAAGCCAGTACCCCTTTTATTCCGGTCATGGCAAACGGAAAAGATCAAGTCTGGCAGGGGTAAAAGGAAACACCCCATGCAGGGACCTCCTGCAACTCGCAGCTTACTACCCTATCTCTGCCTATCTGTAACAGAGGGCCTTGGAGGATCCTAGCACGATCCTGGGAAAAGATCGCTACCTGGATATAGTGTACTGAGCAACAGCATATTCGGCGAAATCTGGATTTGCAACTCAACGGCCCGACTAGATCTCCTAGACTTCCTTACTCGAGAAAAGGCACCCCGATGGGTGGATGCCGACAGCATCCACGAACTTGTATGCCAGACGAGGGCCATGAAGCTGAAAGTCTCGCGCATATCTTCGGCCGGCGACCCTCTCGTCGCCTATTTCACAGAAGTAATTAGGATACTAGAGTCCTCACACGGTCCCAGATCCAAGCCGGCAGAGCAGGGAGCCAAGTCAGTGGAGCACATGTCCAAGGCACAGAAGCAGAAATGGAAGGAAGAGGTTTGGCAATTTTCGATCCGGATACTTGGCCGTATACCGGGAAGACGAAGTCACTTGCACTAGGTACTGCTGATCAGACGTTCAAAACAGCGTGGGTCACTATACCCAGTTCCAAGTTTTCAATGAAAATGAGGCAAGCACCGGTTTATGATGTTTTGGAGTACGATTTCAAAATACCTACAATCGCTCACAGCTGCTGATGGTACTAAACAGAAATCATGCTCACAACAACCTCCTGATCTTTGAGAGGACGTGCAACCGTGGACAGCAACCGCCTCGGCGTCCCCCTTGTCGGGTCATCCATTCTCAGTTGGTCATACGGCTCAACCTCGCCATTCCACCACTTTTCCTCCGCATCCCTCAGCGGGCCGGGGAAGAACTCTCGCAGCAGGCAACGACTCAGCTCCGGATAGGACGTGTAAAAGTCCATAATACCATCCATTACCTTCCTCGTACGAAGCACTTCCCTTCGTCTCAAGGGCAGGTTGCGGGCCACGGTGGGCAGGCCCATCCCCGCCAACACGCCATTCTGGAACATGCCAATGGCGCCGATGAGGAGAATAAACCAGCTGTGGTCCTTGGACACGGTCACGTTGACTAAGAGCAGCAGCGAGAGGACGGATGTCGCAATCAGCGCCGCACGAGTCAGCCAGAACCCGACCGGGAGCCCGGCCGCAAATCGACTCTGGCGCCGGCGAGCGAGGTCCGAGTCCGTCCGCTCACGCTGCGGGAGCTGCCTGCCACCAGGACTAGAGGGCACCACGCCCTTTGCCACGGACGACAAGAGGTTGTGGTTCTCAAACTTCTGCCAGACCCACCCCTTGCGCGGTGACTCGGCGTTGGCCATCTCCTCCAGGTCCAGGCACTTGCCGCCGCCGATAATGACAATGATATCCCGCGACCCGTTGCCCGCCGTCAGCGCGTACGTCCCACGCGCGTGCTGCCGGTTGGGCAGCTTCTCGGCCACCCACTGCGGCAGCAGGCCAATCATCTGGATCAGCAGCGTGCCCACGGCCGTGATGAACAGCACGCTCCAGTCGCCGCCGACTGTAGGGATGGCGGGAACAGCAGCAATAACAAACTGCAACAGGGTAATGGCCAGGCTGACAAAGTGGACGCGCCCCCACGAGAACTGCGTCGGCCCGTTGGGATTGTCCACCGCCTCGAAGACGGAGATGCATAATCCATAGGGCGGCTCGCCACGCGGCAGCTCCCTCGCCGTCTGCGCCTCCAGATCGCGCAGGATGCGGCCCAGCACCCAGTTGCGGTTCTCCCTGCTGTATCCCGACTCGAGATTAAACACCCGGACGGGGTAATCCGGGGGCGGCAGCAGTCGGCCGTCGCCCAGGATGCCGATCAGCGCGGTGAAGGCGTAGGCCACGCACCCGAACGAGAAGCACACGGGCGTGTAGAGCTTGCCGGTGCCCTGCGCGAGGGCCTTCTGCACCACGTCGCCGCCGATGATCATCAGGATCGTCGAGACGTCCGTCGGGTTGGCCCATTGTGCGGCGAGGGCTGAAACGGTGCTTTCCCGACGGGCTAGGGGTTGGGCTGAGGAGGGAAGGTGCACTGAACTGACTGAAGGCATTGGATACGTGTAAACGAAGACATGAGGTAAAATTCCACTTTCCTCTGAAAGAGAGGTTGGTGGGATGTTTCGGTGGGCCTTGTTTAGGAGAACTTTAAGTTCAGTGCCTAGGCTTTTTGGGGTTCAGCCAACTCAGCGTCTCAGCCCATGCTGTGTTACCCAGTGCTACATTAGTAAGCTCACCATTTTTAGGTTCAGCTGCATTTAGGTAACCCACGGCCCAGTGCCCGGCTGCACCTGTACGCGTCGCGAGGTTCTGTCCACTGGCAGTACCTGGTAGCTAGAGCAGGTTTTGTTGCGCCGAGCTCCGGCTTCCGATGTTGACACATGTGAGGGGCTCCCGTTGTACTGTACGTACTGTACTGTACTCGCTGTACTGTACCCTAGCTAAAGACGGTAAGGTACCGGACACTGGTACAGTACATGCAGAGATGAAACACTGCCCGAGTGACGCCGGTAAACACACTCAGCTTATCAGATTACCTACCTATACTCTATAGGTACTGTAAGTACCTTGAGTCAGGTAGTAGTTGTACCAAAGGTAGGTTCCACCTATCGCCAGTTGAAGGCCACTCAAAGTTGCTATATATCTCTGATGTTGATACTTTCCACGTTGATACGGGGGCATATGGTTAGATCCCAAACATGTATGTGGAATCAAGATTGGCCATGGTCAATTTGTGATGTGCAACCCTCCAAATGTACTGTTACCTGTAGCTGTCCAAGAACTAACAACGCCAATAGCAACGCCTCCCCCTCGCCCTGTACTCACCAAGGACCAACACTATCGTCTCTTGAATCTATACTTTCCAAGGCGAGCTCAGAATCTTCACGTTCCGTTCGGTTCCTCTCCTTTCTCTCTCCCTTTCTTTTACCTCTGGATTTGCCCTTCCCTTTTGCTTTTGACGATGGACTCACTTGCTCTTGACCAGCCAGCCCCTCCGGATCGATTTCTGACATGGCCAATGAGTGTTTCCACTTCTCAAATGCGGAATCCATCTTGGAGCTGAGCCAGTTAGACGAGTCGTATTCCGTCCTGGCATGGACCACTTGCTGGAGAAGCCGGCCGAGCACGATCAGTCCCGCGATCCGAATTCGTACGTTCCCCCCATACGTTTTTCCCAGTTCCTCGGCAAGCTTGCGAAATGTGTGAATTGCTAAGAGTGCTGCGTCATTGTTCTGGTCCGTCGAGCTCTTTTCAAACTCCTCGTATGCCGTTGAAGCAGCCCGCGCGAGGAGGCCGCAAATCTTCAGCGAGAACGGTCCCCATGACTCCTCTTCCCATGGCTCTTCGTAACAATACTCGAGTATGTCGTTGATGATTGGCAACCCGCGTTCGCAATCGGCTAGCTCCACGGCGTAGATTGTCGCGATTCTCTCCTCGAATAGCAGGCTTTCCATCAGTCTCTCCCTACGGATCTCTCTCAGTCTGAGCAGCTCAAGTAACCGGGCGCCTGTTTCGTGCGCGTCCTCATCGTGATAGACGAACAACTTGAACACAAACAACCGCCACCGCGAGTCCACCACGATAGGATGACACTCGCCCAGTAACTCGGCCTGCTTGTTCATTATGACGGAGGCCTCTCGCCTGAATTTGGCCCGTTCTTGTTCCACGTCGCCTATAGTGGATGTGAACAAGCGGCCGAGTCGCGCCCACCAGGTGTAACCGTGATTAGTTCCGAGGGAGTCTTCACAGTCGATGCATATGCGTTCGAAGAGTTCGGCAACCTCGTCGTGTTCGGGTCCGTATCTTTCCAAGCGGCTGAACGCCAGTTGCAACTTGGCCCACAGAGTTTCGAAGTGTGTGTCGGTATAGCGAGATGCCCACCCCTTCCATACCACCGTTAGGGCCCTATCCCTGAGCTTGCCTCCGTCGGCCGGATTTCCCCGTTCCACAACCACCGAGCAGACGTCAAGGGATTCGAGCAGATGCGGATGTGGCGAATCTGCCTCCACGCCTACTTCCTGGCACTCCAACTGTGATACTAGCCGGTCGAGTGTGGGCTTCAGCCCCTCTTCTCCGATCTCAAATCTCGGTAGGAAAATCTCCAGCTGCCAGCGTAAAGCCTTGTAAGCTTGCTCTTCTGCATCCTTCACATTTTCTAGCCAGCAGTTCACCATCGCCAGCCTTGCTAAACATCGAGCAAGGTCCGGGTGCCTTCCCCAGCCCTCTTTCGGGTCTGGGCTCGTCTCCCCGCCCCACCTCTTGCTGGCAATCATATAAAGCGCCTGAAACTCGCTCCGAGCTTTCGCGTAGTTTCCCACCGAGAAATTGACCTCCCCGGTCTGGAACCAATATCTCATTGTCTGCGGATGTTGGCTGCCGAGGTCTTTCTGCGCCCGCGCCCGTAGGTAGTATACGGTATCCAGAGCCTCGAACAGCCGTGACCGACCCAGCAACACATCTGCCAGAGTAGACAGGACCTCCATCACCAATGGGTGGTCCTCCCCCAGGTAGTGCATAGAGGCTTCGAGTGTCGTGTTGCAGGTCGTTTCCGCCTCAGGGTCGCCCATACGACATAGAATCAACGAGTGCAGGGAGGCTGCTTGGAGAGTTAGAATGTGCTGGCGACCGAAGCGGGCATTGGTCTCAAGACGACGAAGAACTGGCGAAATGATGGTCAAGGCGGCTGCTTCAAGGCCTTGGAGCATGAGAATTGTTGATTGTGCGAGCTTTATCTCGATGGAGAGAACGCTAGGACTGAGGGGAATCTGGGGCAGCGCAAGGTTTGCTGGTTTCTTGTATTCGAGGTCGGTGCCGGAGGGTAAGGCCCATGGATCCGTCGACGCGAGCACTGGTCCGGGCGGTATATGTGCTGGCGTTCCTGGAGGCGAATCTAATCCTAGCCACTGGCTTTCCCCCCAGCCTCGATGGCGGGCGAGCAGAAAGTTTGAACACTGATTGGCGGCCCTTTCAATGCACTCGGAAGCAACTTTGAACTGGGCGTGGTGCCCGCTGATGAGCGCCAGGACCCGGTTGGTATTGATGACCACGTCAATCATCGGATCATCGAATCTTGTTGGTTCGATGGCCTCTGTGGATGAAAGCAGCTGCTCTGTGCTCTGGAACCAGGATTCCTGCTGCATAGTCGTCAGGCTGTGAAGTGCTTCCTTGTATTCACCGAGGCGCGTCAACACGACGGCCAAATGGTACTTGACCTCCCGTTGAACGCTAACGAGCTCTGGCTGGTTCCCAATTTCTTTGAGAAGCCTGGTAAGGTGGTCCTTTGCCATCCTATCGCGATAAGTTCCGTCCCTCGAGTCCAGAAGCGCCCTTCGTGTCTCGAATCTGTAGTTGAGAGCCTTGACTGCGTTGTCATTCGCCGGGAGCCCCTTCAATAGCGCAAGACAGTATCTGTAGAAGGCCGCCGTATCGGAACCGGGAGAGTCCGGTTTATAAAAGTCCGCCATTGTGTTGTTCAGTTTCAGAATGATGCGATCTGCAACCGTATGGTAAGTAAGCACCCCAGAGGAAGTGCTGAAAAACGAAAAGAAAAGAAAAGAAAACCAAAGAAAATAAAAAGAAAAAAAAAGGAAAAGAGAAGAGAAATATAATGGAAAAGTAAGAAGGAGAAAATGGAATCACATGCAATGGTAGAACCGGAGATAACAAAGAAAAGGGAAAAGGAAGAAAGGGCTAAAGAAAGATAGACTCAAGGTCGAAGATAGAAAGAGAAAAGGGAAATCAAAGCATCTATATGGCGATACGTACCTACTGGGCCCAACCCATCCTCTCGTGCCTTGGAGCCTTTCGTCCTTTGGTGTCTGTGTTTATTCTGGAACGAGGATTCCGGTGGATTCCAGCTATCCGACCGGAGGAGGGATGGAACGTATCCATTTCGCGGGGCCATTTGATCGTTGATCATGACGGTCAACGCAGCGGGGTCTGTCTGCACCTGTGGCATATTGACATGGGAACTCCTTCTGCCATGGGACGCGGGGTCCCCTTTAGGTTGAGGGCTCTCCGTTCGCTGAACCGGCGGAGATGTTGCTGCCCCTGACGCCGTACTCAACTGACCGGCGGGTTCGGCACCGGCAGAGACAGGGCCAAACTCCACTTCTATGTTTTTGTTAGAAATAGTGGAGCGTAAGTTGTGAACTGCGTGCAGGACTGCGGCGGGTGTTGAGCCGCTCCCGGAATCTTCGATAGAACTCGGAATGCTGTCATTGGTCCGCCTGATGAGCGTTCTCAGTCTGTGGATGTACAACTGATTGTCGAGACTGGAAGGGCCTTGCTCTGGATTCTTAGTAGACGACAAGTATTGTAGGACCTTTTGGCTGAAGTCATGGGCTTTCTCTTCCGCGTCAGCCGGGGGGTCATGGGCCTGGGTGTCAGCGATGCGAGGCATGACGTTGTGTCGGTTTCTGAATGCTAGCCGATCGAGCAGGCCTCTAGCACGGCTGTTAACACGGCCCAGCCCATCTTCCCTGATGTTTGCCGTCTTAGCGATGGTAGTGGCCTGCACAATGCCATGGTTAGACGTTTGCTCGGATAGCATGACGGAATCGAAGGAGCAATGTAGACTAGGCAAGCGAAATCAAGTACCAATGTTACCAGGTCCGGGGCTGGCAAGATCCAGGTGTTATCGGCTAAAGCAGTTCTCCTGTTGTGCAGGGTCTTTTCGAACTGGGAGTCGACAGAGCGCAGCTTTCTACTGAGGCGTCTCAACAACTGATCTTCGACCGCACCTTCCACTTCGCTCATGCGTCTGAGTCGATCCGTCACATACGTCTGATGCTGGAATTGCTCGCGCTCCTCGGCACCTAAGAAGATGGTTTTCGCCGGCCGTAAACTTAGAGGGAGACTCGCCGGGTTGTCCAAGTCCTCGTCCGAACCATAGGTCTCGTATAAGAGGTTCCTAACCACCCATGCACCCAGCTCATAAGTTATGAAGACGATGTGAGGCGCTCCTATTCCGCCAGTCCCGCGCAGAGTTGCCTTAGCCTTTGCAGTTGAGGATAAATAGTCAGTATCTGTCTGGCACGCATGATGTATCCTCTGGATGGACGTACCAATGTCGAGTGAAGGCGCGCGGCGAAGTCTCCATACTCATAATCAAAGCCGCCGCTTACCCTCAAGCGGTTGGTGTCAATCTTATAGGAATGGATGCGATGGGATTCCAGCCCAGTTTCTCTGCTAGCGACTGCGCAGATGTCGGCCACAGCACGCTCCAATTTCTCTTGCAGATCGTCCCTCCTGCGGAGATCGTGGACGATGAACACTCTTGGGAGAGTTATGTCAGCGCGTTTTAGCAAACTTATGATCGAAGAATACTCACTCAACAAGGAATCCATCCGCTGCTGCTGGATGCTTCGAGACATCTCTCAATCTCTTCCTTTGCTGGATGAAGGGGCTGTTGAAGCCTGGCATATTCACCTGTCGCCGCTGTGCAGGTGGCAGGACCACGGACGGGACCACGGGCTGTTCAGGCGTCGCCATATTGAACAGAAAGGGATTCTTGGGATCTGGCTATCTTTGTGTTGGGATCATCTGATTAGATGACTCACTGTGTGATTTGGATTGTTCCCTTTGCCTGGGCGTCAATCAGGCAGCATCGCCGCATCACCACCAGGAAAAGCAAGGTTGTCGAGGAGGAAGATGAGATCCCCTGCCTGACGACGGGGGCTCCTCTTGCCAATTACTAACGAAGTGAAAGTCTAGAGGAATGTACTGGTACCGAAGCTGAAGAGTTCCAGGCTGTACTGCATACGTACGTAAGGTACGGTAGGGAACTGGGGATACTCTCGGCCGCAGCTGCTGTCTTGGACTTACGGCAGGGAGACTGCATGATAAGTCTCGGGCTCTGCGAGCCAGAGCATGCAATTGGCTTCCCGCTCAAGCCGAGAAGCTGAACATTAGCCGCCCACTGACACGGTGCATGCGCAGCTCATGCAGACGACGAATTGCCCACCAATGCGGTGAGATGCTGCGTTGCACAGAACGTCAATCTCCGGATATGCCACTCTGTCACCGCTATGCTGCAGCTGTAGTCCCAAATGGCTTCCCGCTCCCATTGGTGGCTGAAGCTAATTGTATTCAGGGATTGTCAACACGCATCTGCAAGTGTTCCTAGGACTCGGCGTTGGAGGAGGCCGAGGCTCTGCTTCGAAGTTTGCTGACACACTGACTGGGGAACAGGAGGAACCCCCACCCCAGCAAGCTGCGATTGTCTACTGCTTCAAGCGTGGGCTTTCACGCTGTCCTTGACCTGTCTGCTCCTTTACATACCTCTTGTTCGGTACCACGCCCTAAAATTCGAAACCTTGTTTTCCTGGAAACGTGCCGAAGCCTGCTGCTTATTTTCGTCTATCTTGACCGAGACAGCGGGGTCGAGTAAACAGAATGCAACATCTTGCAGATGAGAGTTTCGTAGATGTCGAGAAAGCACCGCGCGTGCTGTTCAACCTGGACAGGGACGAACAGGAGTCCGACATCAAGAAGCTTTTCGAGCGGCCTAGCTTCAACTACAATGACTTTGTAGGGTTTCTGGAGGATCGCGGTTGGACGGCCGACCGAAAAGACGACTTCAAGCTGAAGGAAGTTGTTAGGGCAAGAAAGGAGAAGCAGGAGCCAGGACGGGGGCCCGGCGGACCGGCGGCAACAGGTGTCCCGGCGCCGAGCTACAGCAGGGAGGAAATATGGCAGGCCTGGCTTTTCTTCGCCCTCATTGCCTGCGTGGTCAGGAAACGGGGACAGCCAACTCGAACGAGGGCCAATCTGGTCGTCAAAGAGAAAATAAGGGAGACTCTGCATGGCGTGTCGGACCATGGAAGACAAGACGACCAAGCCGATGGCACGGTCCCAATTCTGACCTTCAAGGACCTGGTGGATCCAGATTGCGAATTCCTAACCACAGTGAAGCTCCCAGCAGCACTACAGGAGTGGCATGACTGCGTCAAGGCGACTACCCCAAAGGCGAAGCTTCGTGCACGGCTGATTGAAGCGGATCGAGCTCTTGAACTAGCGCGCAGGGTCATCCGTGCAAACTTGGTGCCGAAACCTCCCGATCCCGAGGAGAGCGCCTCCTTAGCTGGTCGTTCCCCACGGGATTCACATCGGAAACAGAATGGCTACGGCAATGGCTACGGCAACGGCTCTGCTCGACACTTAAAAGGGGCTATTCCCAGGCTTAGCTCTCTGGAAATGGAATTGCCGGAAGCCCGTCAAGCGATTCTAGAAGACGAGCCGGGCGATGACCGGTTCCCAGAACTGTCATTATGCCTGATGGTCCTGGGAGAGACACTGTCCGCTGCGAAGAAACAGATAATGAGCGACCTTGGACTGCGAATCAATGGCTGGCTTGTTGATGATGACGAAGGCTGGGGTCCCCCATCCTACGTACTCTCCAGGATGGAAAAGAGCTGGTGTCCAAGGGCTCGCGCAGTGTTGCAGGGCCAACTCGGCTCCAGTGCAATCCTGCTCTATACCGCCTTCGAAGTGCATCAGAAGAAGCCAATTGTCAAGAGCGAGCACGAAAGGTGTAACGCAATGGTATGTTACCATGTGCCGGGCGTGGAGGAGTCCAACGGGGGGAAGATCTTCTACAAGCCGCAGCACCACTCCGACGAGCTACCATGTGCCTCCGGGAAGAGCAGGTGTTTGCTGGTAGGCCCAAAGATGTCGCTACTATATAACATCCTCAGCAACACGATTTTAGCCACCGAGTCCTCCGATTTCCCCATATTACGTATCGTCAGTTCCAAGCATGCTGGTGGTCGCCAGCGCGTGGTAGGCGTCTCGGTGGAGAAGTGGAGCATTGAGGAGCAGAGAGGTCTAAGGCGACCTAACTTCACTGCTATCTCGCACGTCTGGTCGCAGGGGATGGGGAATGAGACATCCAACAGGCTTCAGGAATGCCAGCTGGAAATCATCTACAAAGCCCTCGCCGCTGTCGAGGAGGACAGAAATTATTTCCCGGACCAGGACAAGGATTTCAAGATGAAACTCCTCAAGCAGGTGCTTGATGAGGATGACCTCACGGGCGAGACGGATGACTACGTGCTCAGCCCGCCATTCTGGATGGACACGTTGGCGATCCCAGTCAAGCAGCGCGACAGCCCGGCAAATTTCAAGGAGCTGAAGATGAGGGCTATTCGTCAGATCTACCACGTATTCAGCATGGCCGCCCGCGTCATCGTCATTGACAAGGATCTCTGCAACGAATTCCCGCGCAAACCCTTTCCGATCATTATCAGCCTCTTAACCAGTGCCTGGATGCAGCGTCTATGGACGCTACAGGAAGCCTTCCTCAGCCGAAACTTGCTGGTTGCCTTTCGTGGGGGAAGGGTAATGTAGAGCTTACACACACGCGTGGGGTCTTCCTCAAGCTCCAGGACATCGATAGCCGCATCCGAGAGCTTGACAGGCCGCAGAAGGATGCCCACGCCACCGCGATGGCGGAGCTTGTCAAGAGGAAGTTCTTCCATAATCTAATGGGGGAAGACAGAGAGATAAGAAACCGAAATGACCACCCGATCCAGACCCGAGGTTCCATGGTCATCGCCAGCGCTTGGAGATCTAGTAGATGGCGGGCAGGTACCCCCGCTTGTTTTCCGAGATTGTGACCAGTAACTGACACTAGAGTGGCAACGATGCAGAACACCTCGAGACCTGAAGATGAAACTCTCGCGTTATCCACCCTCCTCAACCTGGACTACCGAACAACCGCGATCGAAGAGGCCACAGTAGCAGAGCCTACCGTGATAGATGGACTGTCCCGCAGCGAGAGAGACGGTGAAGAGGAGCGAAGAGCCAGGCGGGAGAGGATGGTTTGCGACTTCTGGACGCTCATCCATAAGAACTACGAAGGGTCTATCCCCGCGGGTCTGATCTTCCTTCCGGGGGAGAAACTGCCCTTACGCGGGTTTGGATGGGCACCCATCACCTGGATGTCGGCCAAAGACGAGTATTACCCTTATCCCCTTACGATCCCAAGCAGACCGACCGAGCTGCATGAGGAGGGCCTACTCGTGCAGTACCCCGGCTTTCTGCTGCAGTGTGGCCACCCCAACGCCATCCTCGGCAGCAACCTCGGCAAGTCCGGCCTCAAGTTCCCCGTGGACCAGTACATGTCCGAGTGGTACCAAGTCCAGGCGATTGGCAAAGTCCGAGCCGAGTATGGCACCGCGCAAAAGCTTCTCCCTCGGACCTTCGCGCACACCCCGCCCGAGTTCGGCGTCATCCTCTGCCGCCCGAAGCCCCGTGAGTGGCCCGAGGAGATCGGCGTGCTGGTCGAGATCTACCGAGAGACCTGGAAGCGGAAGGAACCCGAGCGCGTTAGGTTAGAATTATCACCTTGAACCGTAAAAGCCCAGAGATGACATTAAGAGCTAACTCACTTTCTCTTTCACAAAGTCGGAAATATTACTATAGTCAGGTAATAAGACGGGTGTGGGTGAGCCGATACGCGCCCACACCCGATGAGATCAAAAACTACAAGCTCCCCAGCGGCAAGGTCGGCGACCAGCCGATCGGCGAGCTGGTGCCGGAGGATACCTTCTGGTATGTGGATGGCTATCAGGCGAACCGCGACGACCCGGCGCCCGAATCGCATATCCCTGAGCTTCCCGCAACCAAGCCGCTGGAAAACAGGGGAGTGGAAGAATTCAGACGGCCGAACACGCGAAAAGCGTTTACCCTGATGAGTAGGGTTACGGCCTCGCACTTCGTTCCACAGCCGGTGCAACCGGCGAGGTTGTCAGGCACTGATCTGGCCACACAAGAACCCGACATCACTGCCAGTAGCGCAGATGTAGAAAAGGCACAACCGCCCAGTCAGAGCGCACCGTCCCAGCATTCTGTACCAGGTTATAAGCGCTGGAGAGAATATTTGGGTATGTGATTGGAGACTTAGAAGTCAGCTTTTACGCTCTACGCACCTATCTACCTTAGCTAGAACCGTAAGTGACGCAAATATCAAGATTGTCCATAATGCTAAAGTGTGTACCTATGTACCCATCATCAATCTCAGCTGGAGTCCAACCCTCAAGAGGGGAAAGAATTCATTCGGCTAATGGTGCCATTTCCCTTTTCTTCCCCCTTCTTTCTCCTTCCTTCTGTCATGAGTTGTTATCTTCTTTTATCTTCTTCTCAGTCTTTTATCTTTTTTATCTTTCCTTTCTTTCCTTTCTTTTCTTTCTTTTCTTTCTTTTCTTTCTTTTCTTTTCTGTTAGAGGAGGAGGGGCGAGAGAGGGGTACTGCTTCTTGTTTTGTGCACTGCGTTTTCTATCATAACGAGGACACCTATTCTTATCTTGGAAGACCGGAGACATGAGGTATGAAGATGGTCTGAACCGATGGATTACGTCTCATGTTGGATAGACGTTTGGTTAGTGTGGGACATGTGCTGCATAGAATAACACTGGCAGGGACCCGCGGGCAGAATGAACAACTGGAGATACCGATAGAAAAACAAATCTATTGTGAGGCCCGCGCCCAGAGCCTCCCCGTAAACTAAATCTCGTCCCGTAAACCGTGAAGCCCATGCATCTGCTTAGCGAAACGGAATCAGGCCAGCTGACCGATGCCAAGATGGTCCACATCAGCCTTGACAATCCGCATGGTGTTGGTGTTACCCATACCGCCCTATCATCATTTGAGTCAGTAACCAGGAACACGCAGGCGAGTCAGAACTGGGACCGTCTTACCTTCCAGCCCTGTACAACCACCACAGTCTCACCCTCGTTGAGGATGCCCAGGTCAATGGCATGGCTGAGACCCCACTTGATACGGCGGTCGACATCCTCCTGCCAGTTGACCTTGCTGAAATCGGGCTTCGCCTCGGGGAAGAGGAACGGATAAACGCCTCGATACAAGTGGGCGTACCTAGAAGCAGACGCGTTCCGGGTGATCATGATGATGGGGCACACCGGCCGGTACTTGGAGATGAGGCGGGCAGATTCGCCGGACGTGGACAGCACGAAGATACCGGCGGCATTCAGGTCGAGCGAAGCCCGGACGGCAGCCATGGCGCACGATTCGACGGTCGAAACAGGCCTCTTGGCCAGCGTGCAAAGCTCCTCGAAGTGGCTGACATAAGGAATCGAATTCTCGGCCTTCAGGCAGGCCTCGCTCATCTCGCGGACGGCTTCGCACGGGTAGTTGCCCTTGGCGGTTTCACCGGAAAGCTTTTCACGGATGTCAGTCTCAGTGAATGCATCACAAACGTGGTCGTCTTACCATGACACAGTCAGCGCCGTCAGTAACGGCGTTGCCGACGTCACTGATCTCGGCTCTAGTCGGCCTGGGGTTCTTGATCATGGACTCAAGCATCTGTGTGGCGCAGATGACGGGCTTGCCCGCAATGTTGCACATGGCAATGATCTTCTTCTGGGCTGCGAACACCTCGGCCGCCGGAATCTCGATACCCAAGTCACCACGAGCCACCATCACACCATCAGTTTCGGCGAGAATCTCGGGGAAGTTGTTAAGACCTTGGCGGTTCTCGATCTTGGCAATGATCTGGATGTGGCGGCCCTCCTCGCCAAGGACCTCGCGAATGTCCTTGATGTCCTGCCCCCTCCGAATAAAGGCTAGATGGGAGAGTCAATAAGGAGACGGCAGTTCTCTGAGGATCAGCACTTACAAGCAAAGACCATGTCAACATTGTTCTTGACACCAAACCTGAGGTCGTTCTTGTCCTTCTCTGAGAGGGCAGGCAAGTCGACATCCGTGTTCGGCAGGTTCACACCCTTACGAGAAGAGATAAACCCGTTGTTCCGCGCCTTGACCTTGACAGTCTTGTCGTCGATAATCTCGAGCACATCGAATGCCAGAACACCGTCGTCAACGTAGATGATACGCCCGGGCTCAATGACCTTGGTGATGTTCTTGTAATCAACATACCTTATGTGGATCAGCGGTGGGTGAGGAGATAGTGTGAGAGGATGATGGAGAACTCACATATTCTCAGTGTCACAGCTCGTCGCATACTTCTCGTCGGTCGTGAAGTTCATGATGGTACCAGCCGAGATCGGAATGTCGACATCACCCTTGGTGTTACCCGTCCGGATCTCCGGACCCTTGGTGTCGAGGGCGATGGCGACCTGGCGGCCCTTCTGTACCCTCTCGGCCTCGCGAGCATTGTCAATGACAGACTCTATAAAACACAGGCGTCAGCGGTGAAAGACAAAAACACGCCAAGAGACGTCAATTGGGTTACTGCGGGCCGCGCCAAAAGAGTACCAAAATGTTGAGTGAATCAAGCATCCAACAAACAAGATTGGCATCGTCGACTGGCATTGGCAGTGGCATGGCAGGACATACGGTGGTATTCGTAGCTGCCATGGGAGAAGTTCATCCGCACCACATTCAGGCCAGCTTCGCGGAGCTTGTTGATGGCTTCGACAGAGTTGGTCTTGGGGCCGATGGTGCAGATGATGGACGTCCGGCGGAGATTGCGTTCCGGCTGGTACGCCGTATCAAGCTGGGCAAGCCATTCGATCTTGCCGCCGAGCTGCAGGTGGTCGAGAGCAGTCGTCATTGTGAGGGATTGACCGTCTGTGGAATGTCTGTGTCGTGTTTACGGAGTTCGTGCGAGGCTCCGGGTGAGAGGATCTCGGGACTTTTAAGCCTGAGATGGGTGGACTGGTCAGCAATCTCCGACTGCGGATGCAACAGCGCTTCTGCAAATGCAAGTAAGATTGAGACATTTCTCGGTGGGTGGCTTTGGAAAGTTGGTGGGCGGCAGAGCTGTCTGAAACCGAAAGTCTATCCGGAGCAGCTGACTTTTCAAGATCGCACGCCTCTCCTCGCCTGATGGTGGTGCGCCCGATATGTGCAACAACGCCCGAGCGGGCCTGAGAAGGACAGGAAAGGAAGGGACTCACCTCTCGTAGTAGAAGGAATCCGCTTTCGCGCCGAAGGGAAGAAGGCGAGAGAAAGTCGGCCTGATGAACGTGGTATCGTTTATCTGCGCGAAAAAGCTGCTGTCAACAAATGCAATGCTTCCCACGTTTGGAGGGGAAGCTCAAGGTTTCCCAGCATCCCACTCAGCCCCACGTACCCCTCCGAAGTGCAGCCAGGTGCGAACGACGGGGCAGGGGTTGAGAGTACATACCGCAAGATTTTCAAAGACACTGACAGTTGATATTGAGCCGCCTTATTTAGAAACAAACCACAAATGTGGTCTGAGAATAACAGCGTTTCGATGAGCCTGGGCGCGATTCTCCAAACACCCGAAGGTGCGGTTGAAGTTCAACCTCAATCGTTGATCGCTGAAGTACACATCTTCGATGCATATCGCGCCGACAGCTGAGGACACCTGGGGCTGCGATCCAATGGTGCGGCTTCTGAAACCAATGGTTGACGAGTTCGAGACCATGTGGGTCGGGCGTGGTGCGAGAGCCCGTGATCAGTCATGTGATCAGAAACTCGCGCTTGTTCATTTTCGGACAAGTCACCGACTCACCGCCGGCTGTCTTGTGATCGGTTGCCGCCGCCGCTTCATTGAGGTCTCCCATCCGCCGTTGCATTGTTTCAGACGCCAAACAGACATCCGCAACAAGCAACTAGTATAACAACGTCGCATGGTCCGGTCGTGAGCCACGCAATTTGCCCGTACTTATTGCGTCCAATCCTCTCGCTCGATCTCCGATTCCGACACGGTGGTAATCGGTCACAATGGTGGTGGGTGGCATCCCTTCTGGCGCTTGTTTTCGAGGGCCATGTACGACCCTTGCCGTGGCTTCGGAGTCTAAGATTGCTCCCAGCTCCTCGACTTGCTGACTTTGGGGTTATGGTCGAAGCTCGGACGGCTGACCCATTATGCCTTTGATGCTGTCCTCTGTGAGTGTCCCTAGTCCCTGCCCATCGCCCTTCAAAGTGACTGCCCCCGACTGACGGTCCGCTGAACAGTCTCCGCATTCCTGGCAGGAATGAAGCGCTCGACCGGCTTAACGTGAGTGATCACCCCCGCGAATACTGGTCCCAACCCGCATCACTACGGCAAGAGATGCATGTCCCAAGAAGGGCGATAGTGAGTGCAGCTGACCAGTGCTCCCCGCCCCCGGGGATTCGTCAAGGCCCAGTTTCAAAACGGACAAAGTTGCTGGAGAAAACAAGGAGGTATCAAAATGGGTGGACAAGTACCTTGGGATCGGGGAGTGGGTGATGGACCAGTCAGTCGCCATTGCCGGCTCGAGCGGATATTTTGAGCGGACGCGGTAGACATGGCATCCGGGACGTCGCGGGGAAAGGCTAACTATCTCGATGCCGCGTCGGCACCGGGACAAAGTGTGTTTTCATAACGAAATGCAATGCGGTGGGCCGGGCGGCCGGGTTCGGCTCGGGCCGGAACGTATCGCAGTTCCCGGCCCGGGTTCTGGTTTCAGGTGGTCTCAATGGGCGGCGTTCCGGGGTTTAAGCTTGATGTTGGGAGCTCATTCCCCCCTGATTCATGAATTGTTGACTTGGGAGGCGCACCTTTCACACTTGTGCCGTTTATTTTGCTTTTTGGTGACCCATACTGTTGTTTCTCTTGACTGTTCCATACGCCGACGCCGTAACTTTCCGGTCATCCGGGATACCGTTAGCCGAGGCAGTCAGGGGCCCGAGCGAACCAAGACATCTGACAACTTCCATCGGCCCAACACCACACCGTAATACATAGGTAACGAGTACTTGTTGCCCAATAAGCACCTACTTAATTGGGGTGTTTTGACTAGTTCAAACCACCACTGACCTCGATATGCGGTAGAATTCAGGCGCTGATACGCTGTCTTCAAATCCATACCCATCATAACTCTTCTTGAAAACCACCAGGACACAAACAGGAGACCCGGAAATGAACCGCCAAATCCCCCGATCCTCAAAGACGGCAAAAGCACCGTGCCACTACTCCCAGTTCACGCTCTTCGTCGCCTCATAATCACGATGTCAAAACACAAGCTGATAATAAGAATAGCCATGATGCTGGCCAGCAGCGCGTTCGCCCGCACCACCCCGAGTTTGGCATACATCCTCTGTCCGAAGAGAGGAAAAAAGCCGCCGAAGATGCTTCTCACAATATTACTGGCTGCCACCGCGTGTTCCGCATCTTCGGCCGTAAAAGTTGCACTCACAACCTGGATGTCTTAGTGTCTTGCCCAATGTCGCTCAAGAGGTCTGAAACTCACCGCCCGCCAGCAGAGAAGAGTAATGGTGGACGCCATGCCGCTAAACACGCGTCAGTATCTGTGGTATGGGCCGGGCCAGTGTTTCAGTCACCAGGCGGTAGGCTTACACGAAGATGTGGCCTCCCATAGCTAGTATCGCCACAAAGACGCGTGACTCTGGGTACCGGTTGGCTAAGTTGTCCGTCGAGGCGCACAGTCCGAAACCGACCATGGCGACGGTCGCGCTAAAGAACACAGGCCAAAGACGAGCCTCCATAACCCCTGCTTGCTTTGTAAATTCAAGCCAACTCACCCACCCGAGCAAGCATCCCCCCCCGAGACCCAGGTAGTAAATACCAAGGCCGTCGGTACGCAGCAGGTAGAACCTGGTCAACGTGAGACCAATGGTGGTTAACATGACGTACAGCAATCCGTACATGATGCCTCCGACGCAGGTGTACACGGTGCACAGCATGTTAGAAAACAAGACGGGGAAAGGGCGGACGATGTCCCGCCACAGACGTTGCGATGGGGACAGTCCGGAATCGAGGGCTGAGCGGAGATGACGGTTTCCCGTCTCTCGGCGACGGTGTGCGACCTTCTGCCGCAGCAAAGCCGGGATGTACGTCTCCCTGGAGACCACCACCATGGAAATGGCCACCGCAGCAGCGGCGCCGGCGAGAAGTGCGAACGTCCGGCGCCAGCCGAGTCCATCGGATATGTAGCCGCCACAGACGGGTCCGAGGATGAATCCAAGTAACCCACTCAACTCATGTAGGAGTCCGGTTTTTCCCCACAGCACCTTCAGGTCCTTCATGGTGTATGTTCCGTTGGACAGTGCACCACCGCCAAAGATGCCCGCCATGGACCGGAAAAAGATCAGCGTGGCCAAGGATGAGGCGTAGGAGCACAGCAATGTGGATAGCACGAAACCACTGTTGCACACCCTGGAGACGACGGAACGGCCGTAGATCCGGCTGAGGGGAGTTATCAGCAGCGGTTCAGCGAGATGACCGAGGACAAATGCCAATACGATATAACTGGAGAGCTCGAGTCTGTCTTCCGCACCAAATTCGCTCATGATTTCTGGTAGACTGGTGACGATCATCCCGGCGCTGAACTGTATGAAGAACGTCATGAAGTTGACGAAGAGGACGTGGGTATTCTTGCGCCAGATCCGCCAGTGCTGCGGGCCCCGATCTGTTGATTCCTATTCGACAATGTTCTCATCTCCTGGAGGCCTAGGGTTGGTGCTGATGTCAATTAGCAGGTTTCCGACTTCTGCAATTTGACCCAGCGTCTTACCTTGTCTCGGCCGGCCTCCCAGATTGAGGGTCCAGGTCCTGCAGCGGGATGTCGTGCATGGATCCATCGTCGCCTTGGTTATTGGCGTCATCACGACTCGACATTGTAGGGGCAGTGACGGAGCGTATAATGAATTGCGGAATAGAAATGAAGTCAAATCCAATGGAAAAGTGCCGATGACCGCTTCATGAGACAGAACAGGCAGCGATTGCATCGTACGGTGTAACAAGCTGGGCATACTATTCGCTGTGGTTGCGACAAGTGTGGTCAACATCGCGGCGCGTCTTTGTGTTGGAAGCCGCGAGGCTACATGTTCGGGAAGGACCTCCCCGTCTAGGTCTGTCTTCAATCTACTTGAGGTGTCAATGCAGCTGCCCCTCAGAATGCAGAATCAAAAATGGAATTGTACATAAATGAGTGCGTGTCTGCCTACGTTAGGCATCAGAGCCTGCCAACTCTGCAACTCCCGCAATGTTCTTCCGGGGGCCAGGGGTGATCACTTGAAGGGACTTTGCAGCCCATTTGCCCGTCTACCACGGGCAACCAGGCCCCTCACCAGTCGACGGGGCTTCATGACTCGAGTGCTGTCTCTACCAGACGCAAAGTCGGCCAAGATGCCTTTTCAGCTTGTCGAAAATAGGCGGTGGCAAAGACTGCTACCTAGGTAGTGATAATAACAATCTCATCCCGCACTTGGGATGCAAGATAGGGATTCGACCAAAACCACCACGTTCGGTATCCCGGGTTGGAAGCCGAACATGGCGGGATGATGGGATCGACACTCAAGCAGAGAACACGGTATGTATTGATGGAAGCTTCATTGGTTCCGTCTGGAGATGAATCCCTCTATCGGCATAAGAAGCACGGCTCGAGCTGGCTCGAACAACGCTGATGTCGAAGGCAAAACCTGCAGAATGATAGTAAAAAAAAAAAAAAAAATAAAAAAAAAAATAAAAAAAAAAAAACCCGCTGACCGACGCCTCAACCATTCACTTGAAAGGATGAGTGTCAGCAGACAGCGGTCAACGGGGGAGATGGGCGATATTGCACGCCGGACGCTCCCACCATCTAATAGCGAGGGGCATACTAGATAAGGTAGATGGAAGGAAGAGAAAAATGCCCTTCATGTCTATGAGTGCTGAAACCATATCAAAAAGCAGTATCGACGGCGTGGAAGGGACATAAACACCCATCTGTGCAGACCCGGATTGTCGGCTCAATTCCCCGAAGACGCTGGCGTCCATCGCGCGTAATCGCGATGCCACCAACTGTCTTGAAGTCATGGCCAAGCTTTTTAGCGTAGTGTCTCGAATCTGTCTCACGACCCTAGACACGACGTTTGATCGCATCCGATGCCATCAAGCGCGGGCGTGTCAGTGGCTGCAGGGGTTAAGATCCGCGACACAGTGCCGAAGCGAGCAACATCCGAGCTGGGTTTGAATTGCGGAAGCCGCTAGATTCCGGAGCGCGTAGTTAGCCCGCAGGTTTGTTTGCGATGGACGGTATCCATGGTTATGGAAGTAAACCGCAAGGGAGGACTTCTGCATTACTGCGTAAAGATAACTGCCTGGTTACCTGGAGTTGAGATTAATAAACAGAGCTGGATCGCAGACAGAACCTTACAAAGCGTGGGGAAAATTTGGTGGGTCCGGATATTTAAGCTTGAATTTCTGCACGGACCACCGATGCTTGGCACCTCAGGGCCTCGGGGGCTGGACCTTCTCCCTTCTGCACACACCAAGTCGAAGGTAGTCATCAGTCAGATCCGCCAACAACAGTCAAACTGTTGCCCCTGCACACCCACAGATCAGCATGATGGGGGTTTGTTTCGCGGATCAATGACAATCAGGCCACGGCAAGCTGTTACGACGACAGATGCAACCCGACTTTGGGCTCTTGGAACCAGAAACAGAGTCACATTCAGCCCGAGTCGTGCAAGCACCCGCTCCAGGACACAGCAGCGCAGTGTCTCATTAGTGTAGTGGCACCTGACAGCTTCCAGCAAGCTTTACCGTTGTTATCCCCTTGAAACGGCATTGGCGGTTATCGGTCGAGGTTACTACATATCGGCTGCAGGGCGAAACTGCTGTAAGCGCTCGGAAGCATCATCGCCCGGTACGTCTTGGGGGCCGCGGTGACATCAACTCGGCAAGCCTACCCATATATCGTGATTCTCATAGTTGGGTCGCCGAAATGAGCCTACCTCGTCCTCTTGATTCATGGTTCATCCAAGCTCCTCTGATCCAAACATGACAAGCTGGGGACCTCGCCGAGAACCCTCGCCTCAGATCGCAACCCCTGTCTGTGTTGACATCAGACGGTATCTAGATCCGGCGCAAAGGACGCTATCCGGGGCCGCAGGGGTCCTCGACTCGCCTCGCATCATCCAACCCCAGTCCTGCGTTGCCCCTACCAAGGTGGGAGAACGGGGAGCGGATTACCGTTTCGATCAATTCTAGACTACGATGTCCTTCTCTTGGCCCATGTCCTTCTCTTGGCCCATGTCCTTCTCTTGGCCCATGTCCTTCTCTTGGCCCATGTCCCTCCCAACGATCATCCCAACCACGCGCCAGTATGATCGTCATTAGGGAGCGCAGACTATGAGCCCCAGCCCATGGGGAGCGAGCGCCGTCCAGTGGTTCTCGCGTCATGGTTCACTATGTCAAGGATCCTGATATCTATATAACTCCAGCTTCAGACCGCATAATCCCAAACTTATGATTTCCTCATCCAGCAAGTTGTTCGCCTTCATTCTTTCTCTTTCCGGTCTTTCCAGTTCTGTGAACTTTCGCTTCGTCTTCAACGCTCTTTCAGCTTCATCTACATTCTCTTCCAACCGCCAGGCCGGTTTTCGATTCTTCTTACGGCGTCCAACTTACTGTGGTCCTTGGATACGAGTTTCTCTCGGTCAGGTCAAAATGTTCTCCAAGATTGCCGTTGTTGCTGGTCTACTGGCCATTGCGGAGGCGCGCTTCGGTCAGGAGGGAGCGGTTCAGTCTGCCATCTCTGCCCTGGGTAACTTTGGTCAGCCTGGTCAGGCTGCGACCCTGGCTGGCCAGACCCCTGGCGTCCTGCTCGCTGGTGCAAATGCCTGCGCGAAGGTTGGTATATGCAAATACCAAGATGGATAGACTCTTGGCTGATCCGGCTTAGCTCCAACTCGCCGACGAGATCGTGTCAACTCTCGGCAACGATCCCGAGGTCATTTCCGCTGCCGCTAAGCTCGTGGCGGCGGAGAAGAACTTCAACCCATTTGCCGTTTCCATCCCCAGTCTCTGCTCCGATGCGAATCTCCCCGCAACTCCCGAGCTCCGCGGCATCCTTCCTCTCGTCGATCCCGCCGTGACCGGCGCGGACGTCGAAAACGCCAACTCAGCGCAGTCGCTCACGACTCCGTTTGAGGCTGGTGGTAAGAGCGTCGCCGAGATTGCGCAGCTCAATGGCTTCAGCAACTTCACGCTTCAAGGCTCTGACGGCTCCACCGGCAACGCTGGCAACAACAACAACGGCAACAACGGCAACAACAATGCCAACAATGGCAACAACAATGCCAACAATGGTAACAACGGTAACAACAACGGTAACAACAACGGTAACAACAACGGTAACAACAACGGTAACAACAACGGTAACAACAACGGTAACAATAACAACGGCGGCAACGGCTCTGCAACCTCCACTGCTTCGGCCGCCACCACCACGGCTGCCCAGTGTGGCGGCGTGAGGACCTTGACTACCGTTGTTGTGGCCTCTCCGACCGCCACCAAAGCTGCAGGCGACAACAACAACAACAACAACAACGCCGGTGGCAATAACAGCAATAACAACAACAACAACAACAACAACAACAACAACAACAACAACAACAACAACAACAACGGTGGCAACAACAACAACAGCAACAACAACAACAGCAACAACAACAACAACAACAACAACAACAACAACAACAACGGTGGCCAACAATCCAGCATCGCAGGCCTTGACTTCGGCACCTGCGTCCCGACGATCAAGTTTGTCGGCGGCCTCGGCGGGCGGCCGGCCACGGAGTTCACTTTCCAGGCCACCGACCCGCAGATCTCGAGCCGCCAGCAGGAGGCGCTCAACCCCAACATCATCACCAACCGCATCTGCGACGAGCTGACCAACATCTGCGACGCCAACCAGGCGGCCAAGGACGCCTGCCAGGATGCCAAGGCCCAGATCCAGGCGCTCGGCACGCGGAACGCCCAGACCGCGGAGACTTGGAATGAGTTGCTGGGCTTTGCCGGCGTTGATGTCTCGCAGAACTGAGTGAGCTTTAAGCTAAGCCTACTAGTTCCTTAAGAGGTCCGTGTTGAGCGTGTTGATTGGGGGTTGTTGGGAGAGGCTGTCTGCTTGGTGTCTGTGATGGTTGGTTGAGGGGTTCTTGTCTTCTGTTGTACCATGGCGACTTTGGAGTACTTTTACTTGGTATTGGAGGGAATGCTAGCTTATTCGCGGTCCAAGGAGGCCATCAGGAAATGAGAAACGCTCGGACTGTGAAGCAGATGCCCCCGACTACCGTATTTACCTAGGTATACCTCCGTATACCAGTGCCCCTCACTTCTAGCAAACCGGTCCTGGCTTGCGGCATTTCCGTTCACCGACAGCTTACAAAGCCCCTTCCATCGCTTTCAGACTCACCCGTGGAGCCTCCAACAGACAGACCCTCACATTTTCACCTTCGGCTTTGGCGGAGTTGATACTCAGGAAAGGTGTCGTTTCGGCAGATGCCAAGCGCTCTTCACCTGGACTCCAGATTTGACTCCCGGAGCGGCTCAGACCGATCATCGATACATACGGAGTACCTACACTAACGTCCGTATTTTGCCACGCACTGCATTGCACTGCTCGGCAGTCGACAAGGCACCCAACATCATGAGGTTGGGGTGGAGCCGTTGCCGGAATCCGGAAGACGTGCATGTTCGGCTCTTCGGATAGCTCGGTTGGGCTCCGGTTGGTGGGAACTGCCCAGCTACCTTCTTGGTCAATGGCTGCGGGTAGCGTAGCTATTGGGGATGTGGGTTGGTCGATGGGGTCGGGTGGCGTCATTGAAGCGTTTTACTGTACCTACACACGTGTATGGTGCTCTAGGTCGGCAATATTTGAGTGTATAGCTCAGTGTGTAGCAAAATTCAGTTCCTGTATCTGTTAGGTTCACTGGTGATAGCCATTTCCGGAAAGACAACTGCCATTCTCAGGGGGCAATTAACGCTTGATCTGATTTGGATATCGAGTGAAGACTACGGGAACTGCATCACCAACGACCCAGCATGAAAGAAGCACTCGTCAGCAAGGGCAAGTCTCTCCTCCCCCTGCGTTGCCTCTCAAAACACCTACTAACCCCGCCGCAGGACCGAAGGTCCAGATCGTGGACTCGCCCATCCCAGAGCCCAACGATGACCAGGTTCTAATCAAGGTGGTCGTGTCCGGCTCCAACCCCAAAGACTGGAAGCTCCCCAACCTCTTTGGTGGCTCGACCAACGAAGGCGACGACATAGCCGGCATCGTGGAGAAAGTGGGTGCCAACGTCTTCGAGTTCAAGCCGGGCGACCGCGTGGCCGCCTTCCACGAGATGCGCACGCCTGCCGGGAGCTACGCCGAGTACGCGATCGCATGGCAACACACCACTTTCCACATCCCCAAAGACACCAGCTTTGAAGGCATGTACGATACAATGTCCTTCCCCTTGCTTCGCTTCCCTCGCCCGCCCCCTGACCTTCCCATACTGACCAAGTCCAAACAAAAAAATAACAGAGGCGGCAACCATCCCCCTAGCCGCCATGACTGCCGCGGTAGGGCTGCACCTCCGGCTCGGGCTCCCGCAGCCGTGGTCGCCCGAGGTGGCCGACCTCGGCCGGATGCCGGTCATCATCTACGGCGCGGCCTCGTCGGTGGGCATCTACGCGCTGCAGCTCGCGCGGCGGGCCAACATCCATCCGCTGCTGTGCGTCGCGGGCAGGGCGTGCGACTACGTCGAGGGCTTCATCGACCGCAGCAAGGGCGACGTGATCATTGACTACCGGAAGGGCGACGAGGCCGTGATTGCCGGGTTGCTCGAGGCGCTGAAGGGCCAGCCGCCCGTGCGCCACGTGCTGGACACCGTGTCCGAGGGCAGCAGCATCACGAATATCGCCGAGGTGTATCGCCGGCAAGCCGAGGCCCGTGGCGAGGCGCCCAAGGGGAAGGTGACCTTCGTGCTGGGCGGGGACAAGAAAGGGTTGCCCGAGGGTGTGGAATGGAGCATCACGATGGTGGGAAGCGTGCATAAGGAGGCGAAAGATTTTGGCTATGTGTACTTCCGGTACTTCGCCAAGGGATTGCAGCAGGGCTGGTTCAAGGGGCAAACGGTTGAGGCAGTGCCTGGCGGGCTCGGAGGAGTCCAGACCGCGTTGGAGAACCTCATGAATGGCAAGGCCAGTGGAGTGAAGTACGTCTTCCGGATTGCAGAGACGGAAGGCGTTGGAAAGTAGAGGCAGGGCGTCATAAGAATCCGACCTTCTCTGGGGTGCTCACTGTGTGCCGAGCTCGGAATCCGTGCAGTCATCTTCCACAACTGTTAGCACACCGGCACAAGCAGCAGGAGAGATATTGCAGGACGCCACCTCAACCAATCCTATCCATAAGCTGAAGCTTCTCTCGTGACATAAAACAAGACGGACCCCGCGCAATGCATGCCAGCTGCTTAATCCCACATCTTGATCTCCCCTTTCGCTCCCGCCGTGAACACCTTGCTGGTCTCCTGCTCTGACCACGCCACGCAGTTGATGGTCCCGCCGGCGCTGTCTGCCGTGAGCTTGTTGTACATCTTGCACGTCTTCCAATCCCAGAAGCAGACGCTGCCCGCGGTATCGCCGGAGGCAACGAACTGCCCGTCTGGACTGCACGTGAGCCCGATCGCGCTGCCCGCCGTGTTGTGACCGCGCCACGCCTTCTTGCGATGCTGGCGGAACTTATCGGAGCCGGACGAGTAGGCGACGATCGAGTTGTCGCTGCACTGGTAGAGCACATATTTGCCGCTAGGGTGCTGCGTGGATTTGGTAAGAGCGAACATGTCGGGTTCACTGGGAGACGTCAGCATGGAAATAAAGATTGCAAGCTGGGTGGGAAAGACATACCTGATGGTCTTAATTTCGACAGGGATACCATACTCCCATACCCTGAGGGACCGATCGTCCGATGTCGACATAAACCGGCGGTTCTCATCGATGAATTCGATCGTGTTGATGGCCCCCAAGTGGTGATCGTACGTCTGGACGGTCTCGTTGCCCGCGCGACTGTCGTACTGCAAGATCCTGTTGTCTGACAGACCCGCCAGGAACTCGTGCCCGTTCTCTGCCGAGGGGTTGAACTTGATGACATGCGGCGTCTTGCCGCAGTTGAAGCGGTTGACACACTGGCCCGTCTCGGTGTCCCATAGCCTGATCCGCCGATCAAAGCCACCGGACAGAAACTTCGTTCCCTCGTTGTTGAAGGATAAGTCCGTGATGGCTTTGTTGTGTCCCGAATACGTCCGCAATAGCTCCCGCTGGCGGTAGACATCCCAGATCTTGACCATGCCGTCCGCGGCGCCCGACAAGCCCAAATGACTCGACCTCGGAAACAGCTGCAGCGCCGTGATTGGTTTCCCGTGGTGCCTCCACGTGGAGATGAGCTTCTTCGGGATGTAATTCGTAATACTCCCAACCTCCTTGTGCAGCGAAATATCAAGGTCCTGCGGCACATGCATGTACGTCCGCCCCAGATAATCGTACTCGCTCTCCCCATGGAACGTCGTCGTCTCCTCGCCGAGCTCCTCCACTTCTTTCCGCCTCGCCAAGGACGGCGCGGGCGCCTGCACCATCGTGCCGCTCGGTACCACTTCCTCCTCCTCATCTTCGTCCACAACCTCATACTCCTCGTCACTCCCCAGCTCGTCCTCGTCCTCCACCTCCACAGTCTCGTATTGCTCCGTCTTGTACCGCGCCCACGGTCCGACATAGGCGCCATCCCCATCCGCAACAGTCGCATTGCCCTTCTGTTCCCTTGCTCCCCGCAACCGCTTATTAATCTCCTTCTGCTCCCTATTACTCAGGACCACCGCCGCGCCTTCCCTCTCCGGGCCCCCAGCGCGCTCTATCGCTCTGTGCTTGGCGCGGAAAGTGTGCTCAGAGATAAACGTCTCTTCGGCGTGGCCGGTCAGGACATTTTTGCGTTTAAGGGCTGTTGATGCGGACGACGACGAGTCGCCGCGGAAGGGGTTGGCGGGGCCAAAGCTTGGACGGGCGAGGTTGTCGCCTGAGTAGGGAACGACTGCGTGGTCGGGGCATTGGGTTTGACGGACCACAAGCGCATCTCTGACGGGGAGATTTGGGGGGTATTCGTTAAGGTCGGCCATTCTGGGGAATTGTTGTGTTATGTTTCATCAGTGGCGAGTCTGTTCGTCGCGGGGGAGCTGTGTTTTGGTTGCCTTGGGTTGATGCAGTGATAGATGGATGGACGAGACCGAAACGATAAGATAAGGACATGGTTGGGCAAGTGAATCAGGGTGTGCACGGGCCATATACGAGTAAGGCTGAGCAAGGCTTCCGGACTTTAGATCCGTTTTTGCGACGCTTCAGCTGTTGTAAGTTGTGCCACTACTATTGAGCTTGTTTGTTTCACTTTAAGGCACTGGCCGAGACCTGTGCCGAGAGCCCGAAGGCGTCACAGACCCACAGAAGTTGGCCCTGTGGATGGTTCGCAGCGAAAGCACAGGCAAGGTCAAGACCTCCAATACTGAACTTTCCTACCTCCTCCACTCGCCGAAGACAGAGGATTTACTTGAACTACTTGGTGCCTCGCAAGACGTCACCTCAGTTAGTTCGACAAGCTCCCACGGCCATACCCGCACCTACAGTCCAGCAATTGAAATGGGGATATCACCGCAATAAGTCTCCGCGCGCCCGCTGAGAATCCCCTTCGCATGCTCTATGCTTGTGACGCTATCCAGATCTGTACGGCGACGGGACTATTGTGCCCGTGTGCGGTCACTGCCAAGCCTTGTCCGTCAACCTCCATCAATTCCAACGTCAAAGTGTTCATTAGCCGATATGCTCTTCGTCTTCCGTCGTGTGTTTCATATTCATGCCCCATTCCGCCATTAGTGGTATGACAACCCACCCACGCCGTCCAGATCCGCCTATATAGATCGTCTCGGCAACTGCTCACCGCGAAAGTCGGTACAGCTTATAGTCGCAGTTATCTACTCGAGTTCCCGCGAACCGCGGCCATCAGGGAACGTTCGCTCGACGACCAACATCGTTTCGAGAAGTCGCCTAGTGGGCTTCATCCTTGATGAGGGCGACGATCATGCTGTAAAGATAGAAGAAGAAGAGGACGAGGTGGAAGCCGAGCTTGGTGAAGGATTCCTGGAAGGGTCTGTTAGCGCGGGTTCCGCACACGCTGGACCGGGGGCTGCGTCTATACCTTCTTGTGCACGTTGAGCTTGCGGAAGATCTCGGTGGCATCCAGGAGATGTGTGTTGTCAACGATCCTACATACAATCAGCACTGCTTCGCGGTCACTCCCCGTTCCATTGATCTACTCACTTCTTCACATTCCACCCGAGGAGGGGCAGGTTGAGGATCAGGGGAAGCCAGTATCCGTTGATAAGGAACAGGAACGTTAGGAATCCGTGGACCGCAACTTCAGGAATGATGTACGTGTTGAGGCGGTTGCACAGGTCAATCGGGTTGATGTAGTCGCTGCCCAACACCTGAGGTTAGCAAGGAGTGTCGACAAGCAGCAAACCAGGCAGTAGTGGGCTTGACGTAGTCGCGCCAGCCAGCGACCGTTGCTGGCCGATATGGCCTGCCGCCAGCCGTCCAAGTTCACCAGCTGCTGCTGTCCAGGGAAGCCGTACCATTCCAAATCGCTGTACATGATGGTGAAGAACACCTGGAGGAAAAGGTTGACCGCATTTATGATGACGGCGAAGAGGTATAGCCACGCCTCGCCCGACATTTTGACGACGGGAGACCGTAAAGGGTGTTCAGATTAAAGAGCTCAGCGATTCGTGATAGGGGTCGACAAGCCCGAAGTCTTGGGTGCGATATGCGACGGGAGGACAATGACGTGCGATATGCGCACAAGTTTTGTGGGTGCTAACGGTTGGAAGCAATGGAGTTATGACGCTTTTCCCGGTATCAATATCGATGCGAAGGGTCCAGCTGAGCTACTGCGGCGAGGCTGTGAACAGCTTTTCACCCGTTGTGTGTGCGGATGAACGGCAGAAAGCTGTCGACAAGATTGGATTCTTGACCTGGTGGTTGGTGGTTGGCTCGCGGACTCGGAGCATATGGACAAAATCGCATAGTGGGGCACGCTGGACAAGGTGGCCCAAGCTCCTTCAATGCCGATACGCAGATCTGTGTAAGGTACTGTAATCCGTACCTTACCGGTATTCGCTGGCACACAAACTGGCGTTGTATCAGGGGAGGGTCGGAATGGTGTACAAGACACAACATATCCTTGTGATGCATGGGCCAATGCTCTGAAATATTGTACTAGAGACAATCTGATCCTGGAAGTTGCAATGAACGCCATTTGGAGGGCGCCGACCGCCATAAGCTTGATCACTGGAGGCACAGTACCGTTGTTCTGATGAGTCTACGGTTATGCTAAGCTATTGTTGGGTATCACAAAGCCTGCCTCAGCCTGCGCTCCCATTAATGACACAGACGATCGCGCCTCGATCACCCGCCATCCTATTTCGTGCCGTTAGGCGTTTCTGACGCAGCGGCAAGCATGGGAATCGGCCCGCCGGGGGAATCCGCTTTTCGAGCCGTTAGAATCTCCACGCCTGTTTCCGTCACGAGGAGAGTGTGTTCTGTAGACGAGTCAGTCGGTAAGTTACATGCGTGGCAGAGCATAACCTACCAAACTGCGCCGTCTTCTTGCCATCTATTGTTGTGCTCGTCCAGTTGTCAGGCCACGTCACATCCCGATATTTCCCAAGCGCGATCATGGGCTCAATGGTGAAGGTCATTCCCGGCTTGCACTCGCCGACCGCCTTATTCTTGGCATAATGCGGAATGTTAGGCGGGCAGTGGAAGATGCTGTTGATGCCGTGGCCGACGTAAGTGCGGATAACACTGCAGCCCCTGGATTTGGCGTGCGCCTCGATGACGTTTCCGAACTCGCGGAACAGTGTGCCGGGCTTAACCAGCTTGATCGCCTCCTCAAGACACTCCCGCGCGGTCTCTACGACGCGCACTGTGTCGGGGTCGGCCCTGGCCCGATTACCAACGTAGTATGTCTCATTGAGATCGCCGTGGTACCCCTCATGGTAGAGCGTCACATCGAGGTTAACGATGTCGCCATCCAGCAGCACACGCCGGTCGGGAATCCCATGGCAGATAACCTCGTTCACAGAGGTACATACTGACTTGGGGAAGTGATTGTAGTTTAGGGGGGACGGGTATGACTATTTCCAGGATTAGCAGCCCGCTCATCGGCGTACAAGGACGGAGTGGTTCTCACATTCCGCTCAATGCAGGCATTGTGCACTATCTCGTCAATCTCGTCCGTTGTGATGCCCGGCCGGATTGCCGCGGCGGCAATGTCCAGCACTTCTCTCGCCAACCGACACACCTTGCGCATCCCCTCCTGGGCCTTGGCGTCTAGCTGCTGGATCTTGTTGGCCCTGACGAGCGACCTCCCGCTTTTGGGAATGCCATCTTCGGCATAGTCTGGATGCGGTATCGACTTGGGCACCTGGCGCCTTGGGGAGAGCGGGTATACCGGCCGTAGGGGTCCGGTGAAGTTGAAAGTCGGGAATGGGTTGTAGTAGCCGGTTTCTGGATCTGGTTTAGAGACAACCTTAGGAGGAAAGAAGCGGCTCAAAATACTGTTCTCTTGTTTGTGTACGCTCTTGTGCGTAGCCTAGCAAGGGAGCAGTCAGTAAGCAGCATTGGTCGTGGAGCAGCGAATCTCGGCTTACCCAGTTCTTTTTAAAGCAGTCCTGGGAGCAAAAGTAGCTGTCTTTGATGCCTAGGCTAAGGCACTTCGGACACTGCAAAGAGCTGGCTTCATTTTCGCAGTCGACGCCAAGACATTTCCTCTTCGTGGGCGGTTCCTCGGCCATATTGTCGGGTTGCGGGGGCGGTGTCAGGAGCAGAATCGGATCGGGAGGTGTCCTGATAATGGTGCCGTGTACAAAATCTGCGTCGGGATCGCAGTCGTTATGCGATCTGGGACGGCGAGGGGAAGCGTTGGCTCTACGACTCGTCAAAGAGGAAACACGCCAGACTGGTGGGATGTGGCACAAGCCGAGACCAGGGTCCAAAAGTTTATTTTCGGCGTGTGGCGTTGAGAAACTGCTTATCTAAAGCTGCAGGGACCGGGGTCTGCCGATCTTAGCCGATCAGCCCACTTGATAGCCTCAGGCTCTTGCAAGGCAACCTTATCCCCATTGAAACTTCTAATACCAATAACCCAGGGTTACGATGAACAACAAGCAAAAGATTGTAGTGATTGGGGCTGGGCCTGTTGGCTCACTGGCCGCTTTATATGCTGCGAATCGCGGCGATGCCGTCGAAATCTATGAGCTCCGGAGCGGTAAGTTCGGAAGCGTCGTCGAATGGTTTCAGTGACCCCCCGTCTAGCAATATCATATATTCACGACGGAAGTTGACATTATCATCAGACCTCCGAGATCCCTCGACAACACCGCTCAATTTTACCAAGTCCATCAACTTGGCCCTCTCCGAGCGCGGCATCAATGCCATGCGCCATGCTGGCCAACCAAAGCTTATAGATCATGTCATGGGTGCCACCATTCCAATGCGCGGCCGCATGATCCACGGAAGGCGAGCAAATGGCGATCTCTACGAGGAATCGCAAGACTACGACGTACACGGGAGGGTATGATTGTTGTACCTATCTAGCCTATATAGAAAGATCAAAGGCTGACATCACAGTGCATCCTTGCCATCGACCGCGGCGGTCTGAATAAGCGCCTTCTTGACATTCTGGAAGAGATGCCGAATGTCACTTTCTTCTTCAATCACAAACTCACTGGGGCAGACTTTCGAAGAAATAAGGCTTGGTTTGAGGTGCGCGATAGCACCGAGAGGCAGGGGCAGCGAGCACGCGAGATCGAGGTCGACTTTGACCTCATGATCGGCGCCGATGGCGCTCACTCCGCAGTCAGATACCACATGATGAAGTACACCCGGATGGACTACCAACAAGTATACATCGACACGCTGTGGTGCGAATTCCAGATCCCACCCAAGACGATTTCGACGACCACGGATTTGAAATCAAGGTTTTTGATTTCACCGAACCATTTGCACATCTGGCCCGGACGCGAGTTCATGTTCATTGCGATTCCAAGTGATGTACGGGGCTTGCCATAACTCCCGACAACATTTGGAACTATTTGCTCACAGTTTTAGGATGGTTCTTTCACCTGCACCCTCTTCGCACCCGCGGCGCTGTACGAACACCTCGAATCCGACCCAACCGGCGCTCTGATCCCACCCTTCTTCGACAAGCACTTCCCCGGCGTGACGTCCCTGATCCCTCCCGCCGATCTGATCGCTGCGTTCCGCCGCAACCCTCACCTACCGCTCATCAGCATCAAATGCAAACCCTACCACTACGGCTCCTCAGCCGTCATTGTCGGCGACGCCGCCCACGCCATGGTGCCCTTCTACGGCCAAGGGATGAACGCAGGTCTGGAAGACGTGCGCATTCTCTTCGACATCATCGACAAGCATGCGCGCATGGACGAGCTCAGCACCGGCGCGGTCGCGTCGGCGTCTCGCGAGCGAGCGCTGGCAGAGTACACGGCCGTTCGCGTCCCCGATGCCCATGCTATCAACGACCTAGCGTTGCAGAACTACGTGGAAATGCGTGCTTCGGTGCTCTCGCCGGCCTACAAGCTGCGCAAGTTCCTCGAGGAGGCTGTGTCCAAGTATCTTCCATCCCTCGGGTGGCAGACCAAGTATGCTCGGGTGTCTTTCGGCAACGAGAGGTACTCGGATGTGATGGCCAGGAGCGAGTATCAAGGTCGAGTGTTGATGCGCGGGTTTGTATCGCTGATGGGGCTGCCATTTCTCGCCGGTGGGGTCTTCTTAGTTCTGCGATACCGGAGGACTATGGATGTTGGGCTGAGGGCGGCGCTAGGGTCGGTTGACTCAATGATCGAGCTAATTGCCATGAAGGCGTAAAAGCATGAGGTCAGGGGATGTCAAGTATAGCTACGGCTGCGACCACATGGCGCTGGTCCTACACATCCAAGTATCCTTGGTGGATCGGACCATGATCTCGGATTCGCTCTTGAATAAGATACGCTGCCTGTGATTCCACCCCACTCAGAGCTTTCCGTTTTCAAAGGACATCCGAAGAGTGTCAACCTTTTATTATCTTCGTGACTGTCTCCGTCACATCATCGCGCGGTATATCGAGCAGCTTGTTGTCCGACAGACCCGCGGCGACAAAGTCACCACCAAGGCCTCTCTTGAGGCCGACGAGAAGGCCCAAACGGCCGATCACTTGTATCTTGTCTATAAAGTTGGAGGAGGATATACTAGTTGCTTATACCTCTCTGATACCTTGCTCGACGTCGATCTAGGTAACATCCTACTCGGAAACCCCAGTAGCCGACTTATATATAGCCAGTAGATCGTTCATAGATATATCGAAGGATGAGATATAGACGGTCCTGTTCGCCGTCTCGGCGGGCTTGCTAAGGATCTTTGCGACGGTGAGCCCGATCGTGTCTTGGGTGGTGACGGAGAATTTGGTATTGCCGTCGTCCTAGATCGTCGCCGTATGTACCTCAGCATCGAAGCCGTAGAAGTTGGTCAGGACGCAGCTATATATATGTCAGTGGGCGACCTTTCGTATCAGGAACAGAAGTATACTCATGCATACAGGTCGTGGAAGAGGCCACAGGCCACTGCCGTATAGCTCCAGCCCGGGGCTGGTAACGCTTTAGACTTGACATAGTCAAGCAAGGCGCCTTTAGAAGCCGCGATGGGGAAGATCTCCAGAGCCTCGGGGAGGTCCAGCCGGCCGCCCCAGATGGATGGAATCAGCCGCTTGACGCCCGCCTCCAAGGAAGCATCCACCAGCATGTTGTGATGCTGCATCTCGGCCATGTAGTTCAAGGATAGCACAACGGCATCATGGCCCTTAAAGACGTCGAGGATCTCGTCTTGGGATAGTTGTCGCCGACCCTGACGACTCTTGTATCCGGTGCAAACTTGGCCGTTGAGCTCTGTCGCGAGATAACAGTCGCGTCGAACGCTGGATTATCCTGTAGGGCCTTGAGGAGGTACGGTCCGAGATGTCCAGAACCCTGCCTGAGTGAGCATAGGATAGCAAAATCCGGATGCCAATTCTTACCCCAAAGAGAGCGACCTTTTTCAGCGTGCTATTAGTAGCCATGATGATATGTATTGAGCACCGGTGTCAGAGGTTTCCGACGCAATTGGAATTTGGAAGCAACAATACGAGGCAAAGCTATCAGGCGAGGGGACATGAGAAGGAGGAAGCTACAGCAGTTCGTAAGACGTTCTCTTGGACTGCATATGACACTTAGCATCGGTCTTTGATCTCGCTTTACACCGCACTTCGTTCCGTGATATCGTGGCTATGCCCCAGCCTTGGCGCTTACACGCCTAGATTACCCCGTTCCTGTCCTCGGATTATTTGTCGAGTCCGACAACTCCAGGCTTACCTCAGTAGACGTCAGAGACACCCAACCAGACACAGGGCCAGACACGTACCTGCGCCATGGCCACCCGTACCGACTGACTACGTTCTTGTGTCGGAGGAGGAGATCAGCTGACTGTCGAACCAACACCATGCTATCAAACAGAAGATGGTCGGGCTAGTGCTCGCGCCAATGGATTCTATCCAAGCCTTTGCTGCGCATCTCAAACCCGGCTACCATAGACGGTGCAAACCCCTCCCCCGGCCGAACTCAAGTCCTTCGTTGCATTCCTTGCTATGCGATTGATCAATCCTCTTTCTCGACTAACCCCCTCTGCTACTGGCACGCCCCAATCCGCGCTGTGCTCCGGGGCGATATTGTATCTGATATCCTCCATGCTGCTGCTGACATTTTATTCCTCCAGGAATTGCCTGCTCTTAGGTCCTCGGTTTGCCCTCGTTTTCGTGGCGTGAGAGTGTCAGACACGTTGCTATGGCGACGGCCCCCCTTTTCGTTGTTTTGTTGACATCGTGACATCCAACATATACCAATACCGAACCAGGTAATTATGGTCTGACGTGGAATATGCGCACTGGAGCTTGCTAGCTATAATCAGGTAGGCTGCCGTCTTGGGTAAGCCCCGTGTCCAGCTCCCGGTATAGCACGCCCAGGACCAATCAAGGCCGAGCTTCAAAGACGCGGTCGCCCACACATTCCGGAGGACGAAGATGCGACACTGGCTTGGTCAATCCCTAGCCCACTCTCCTTCCACGCAGAATGAAATTGCGCCGGTGACGGGGAGAAGAAAGGCAGGAAGCCAACGTGGTCTCGCTCCTCGTCTCCGTGTCCCAGCATCCAGCCGAGAGCACAGTGATAAGGAGAAAGACCATGCGCTTGACATGGCCAAAACTCCTAGCTAACTAAGCTAAACGAAAGACTTCTAGAAACACTAGGCACTCTGCAAACACCACCCGTCCCCCCAACCCAACCCGCCCTTCCCACCACCGAACGATAACCACCGGGCAAGGAGTGACTGAAACCGAACCATAACCACTAGCCAAGGAGTGACTGAATTTCAAATAATGGTGTGGGGCCCCGAGTCCGGGACAACAGATCAGGAAGCGAGCGACTAAATACCACTTGGCGACAAGACCACTTGGTGAAGGAATGATTGAAAATCAACGCTTGTTGAGGCCCCAACTCCCGTAACAAAAAACAAAACGATGCGGTAACGACAGACTAAGAACGCCAATGGGACCTCGTGGCCGACGACCCCGTGGCGGTCCGACCACTCGGCTGATCCGACCACGGGGCGAACAGTTACCTCTGGCCCCTGAGCTGTTCCCATAAATTCCAGACTAAAAAACAAAGCAAGAGAACGAAGGGAGCCGACATGTAGAAGTCGACGTAGACGAAAAGCAGCAGAACGAATGGAGCCGACGTCTTGGAACCGGCAAAGGCGAGAGAACGAATGGGTCGTGAGTGCCGTGACGTGTGTGCGAACGAATGTTGCTTCGAGCAAGTCTGTCGAAAAACCTAGAAATCGAGCGAGCGTTGGCAGCGAAAAGTCGAGCGAGCGCAGCAGAGAAGCTTCCGGAAGCAGTTGAGGAAAGAAGGAAGAGGAGGAAGGGGGGACCGGAGCGGGGAGACGCCAGTACTTAAAAGATAAACTACACGGAAACGGACGTCTCGACCATCCCAGGTAAGCCGGTATCTGCCACCGTCTCGCTAGTGGTATACCTTCACACGGGCTGTAATGGGCTTGGCAGCCCGTCACCAGTCGTATGGTAGTACATACTCTTATAGATGTAATTCTTCTGGGGATGGGCCATGGGGCTCTACTGAAGCGATGATGTACGAAGTTAAATGCTGTCAGAAAAAATATGCCGCTACCTATAAGACTGCCATTTATTAGGCCTTATACATGAGCCGCCTTTCCCGAGGGGACAGTCACGGTAGTTGCAGATACCGCCGGTACGTTTCAGGAAGGTACAACCGTCTAGGCACCGTCGACGGAGGGCTTATTGACAGTTCGGAACTAAGGTATCCGATCTGAACGTTCGGCAAGACTTCTCCCCGCGCGCTAGAAGTCAGCAGCAAAAGCGTCATGCGTCTAGGGCGCACCCCTTCCGGCACTATGGTAGATTGGAGGACCAGATCCTTCTCCGCAGAGGACTGTGAAGAAAAGGGATTAAGCAAACGATTACTGCTTACGTAGACTTTGGAATCGTTGCTCAACACGTTAGAATGGTACGGACGTCTGGAGAGTGGGAGGCTGCGGGACTGGTAATTAAAGAACGGTTGACCGACGGTTGATTGTCAGTCAGCAACGGTGTTCAAATGCTCGTCTATAGTGGCGAACGTCTTCCAGGACCCGTCAAATGTGTTAGAAGTCAGTACGGAGGTTGGGGTTGCTCACACGGTGGCTGTAGACCGGCGGGAACGGGAACTTTGGATCTTGGGACCAGAGCGCGCCGCTACAACGTACCGGGGGCAGGCCATTGCTTCTGCCTGAGTGGCGTACAAACTAGGGAATATGTCCGTGTGAGGGGTGCGCCCATGCACTCTAATACTGACTCTATTGCTCTCTGCTCTCCTTTCTTATCTTCTTCCTTTCTCCCCTTCCTTTCCATTCTATTCTATTCCTTCTTTCACTATTTCCTATTTTGTATTGCTCTTCGTTCGCTCTTTTACGTTTCCTTCCTCTTTCTCTCTTTCTATATTTATGCTGTCGTTTGATTAACTAACTTTGCGTTAAGAAGTTTGAGGTACGGCCTCAGACTGAGCCAGTGTCAGGAGGTGGATGATCCTAGCATTCGGGCTACTATATACGAGCTATAGTCCGAAAAGGCCATCTCTTTCAGAAACGCTCAACCCCTTTTGAGTAGTTGGCACAGATCCGACTGCTTGACGAGCAGCGCATGTTTGCGATGGCCGAGTAGCTTGGACAGCCCGTGTGGGACGGCAGCACAAGGACAGGACATTCACATAAGCTCATCCATAAGCCAGATTGTTTCAGGCCTGGAGTTTAGCCGCTAGGCACACACGTGTATTACTACCCTATCGTGCAGAATCTCCTAACTGGATACCCCTTCATGACCACAACGAACGACAACAGTTGGTGGGTCAAAGCCTTCCCTGTCCTGCTCAACCGTCAGACGGTGACACCCCAGGCCTTGAAATTTCAAGCGCCGACTTTGGCCGAGGTACCTCCACAGCCGCAGCCCTGAAGGCGCTGGAAGCCGCCGTTGAGACGGACGTCAGCCTGGATCTCGGCCATCTTCTTCTGGTCGCCGGTGGGGTCCGTCGATTCCTCGTCCAGCGGCCACTGGAGGAACTCGTTGGTGTAGTTCGGCACGAAGGCCTCGTCCAGCACGCCCAGGCGCTTGCCGTACTCGGTGACCTTCTCCCAGTCGCGCTTCACGTTATTCAGGTCGCGGGAGAAGTAGGCGAAGCTCCGCTCGAAGATCTTGCGGTTCACGTCAGTGCCCATCACAGGCTTGAAGTCGACAAACTCCTTCCAGGCCTGCTCCGGCTGCTTCAAGACGAAGTCGGTGGCTCGTTTGACCGCCCGAAGGAAGGCGCGGACCTTGTCCGGGTTCTCGGCGATGAAGCGCTCGTTGCCGATGTAGAGGATGGAGCCTGGGCTTTGCATTAGTCGATGGAGAACGCAATCAATGGGAGTGAGAGAAGCGCCCAACAGAAGCAGCAGCATTTCAAGCCCGCGGCGCTGTCTATCCGGAGCATCTGAACGTCATCGCGAGGCCGTCCCTGGGAGACGAGCCATTCCTCCAGCTCGACCATCTGGACATTCTCGAGGCCGATTCCGCCGTCGACGGTGCCCTCGCTAGAAGAAAGGCGATTGAATGCGTCAGAGCATGAGTCATAGTAGAGAGGTCGGTAGAGGGATAAAGCTAACCGGATGGCCTTGGCTACATTCATACCGCAGCGCACCGCCGTGTAGTCCGCGGGCGTCATGCCGTAGTGCGAGGTCAGCTCGTCTAGCTGGATCTTTCCGAACTCTCCGACATACGCGCTTATCCAAAATTGTCAGCCATTTCTTACCGGATCGAGATGTCTGGGGAGCAATTTGGGAGCAGAGGGTTTCTCTCAGGGGCAGAGTGATCCCCGAGACAGCGGGATTGGGGACATCAATAGCGCGAATACGACATACATCCGTTTGCCCTTGAGGCTAGTGAAGTCCGAGGTGATTCCGCTGCCCTTGAGGTAGACAACGCCGGTGAAGGGCTCGTCGAGAAGGGAGCCGATGGACAGCACGGGAAAGCTGCGGGCTTTGGCCTGGAGATATGATGTCAGCAAGGTCCATGGGATCACGGACGTTGCCTAGCACTTACCGCGAGTGTATGTATCATCGCCTTTAGGGCCAGCTGGACGGCACCTCTCCCCACCACTTCGGTCACATCACTGAGGCGCGTCAGGGCAAGAGTCATCAACACGGGGAAGTCGCGCTTCGTACCTGGGGTCATTCGGTTCGAGGATGGCGACCTTGATACCTTCGTCGTGGAAAAAGCCCTTGACCTGAGCCAGGTAGAGCGGAGCGTGGTACGGCGTAGCGTGCCTAGGTTCGGTCAACACTGCCGGCAGAGAACAACGAAAAGACGCCACTACCAGTTGGTTAAGAAGGTCAACTTTTCAGTGGACATCTTGACAGATCAAAGCGTAATAAACTGTAAAGTGTCAGCCGCAACTCACTTGTGCCTGCTTAGGCACTCTGGGGGGAAATCATGGAGGCGAGCAAGTCCTTTCGCTGGTATTACCCAGATCAAGTTCTCCGGTATGATCTCAGCCCGACAGCCCGCCGTGGTATCCCGCTATCTGTTCTTCCATGCCCGTTTGAGGACGAGGAGGACGTCGGCGAGGAGACCAGCAGCGGAGCTTTCGGGCACCCGGCTTGCTTTGTTTTACGGTACCTTGATCTGATCTGGATAACATCCCTGCGGCAGGCCATTGCTTCTGCCTGAGCGGCGTACAAGCTAGGGAGTATGTGTCCGTGTGAGGGTGCGCTGGTTCTAAATTCTTTGGTGATGACGGTTAAGATGAGATCCTCGGTGTCAAAAAGGATAAAGTCGACGGACGAGCGGACAGGCAGGCGATCAAAGGCTCACAGCGTCTTATATCTCCCGCTCAACCCCCCCATGCTTCCTTGATATATCCGTGACATTACCCGGTAATCCGCGCAATGGAGGCCACTACATACTCCGCGTCGTGCTGTCATACTCGCCCGTGGTTCGTGCATCGGATCGACACAGTATCCGAAGTCGGCGGCGAGATGGACTTACCTATTAGTTCGCATCGGGAATCTCCGTGGGATGTCCACAGGCCAAAATGGAACGTGTATTTGGCCTTCGGGCACATAAGGTATGTACAATACGAGGCAGGCACTACGAAATACAATCCGTAGGTTGGCAAAGCTTCAGAGACGCATTTGGAAATAAGAGGATATAAGGAGAGTGAAAATGGACTTAGATGAGTGGCAATAATCATACGCAGCCGTGGACACAACTTGTACAGTACCTGATAGTATCTGGTTCTGGACCTTGATCCCACACAGCGTTAAATACCTCGCCGCCGTAAATGTCAGGCGGGCCCCGATCGGATGCAGGAAAGCGGAGAACGCAGAACTCAACAAAATCTGACAGATGGAGCAAGCCACGGGGGCTCAGGGGGGTCTCCCAGTGGGAACGGCAATGGTGAATAACAGGCTATCCATAGAGTAGCTTCACGTATTATCAACATGACAATCCGGATATTATCAATACTATCAAACTCTTGCCCTCGGAATGTCCATGACTTGCAAGATCAACCTCAAGGCAACACTAGAGGAAGGGTTAGGGTTGTACTATACGTCGACGTCCGCCAAGCCGCGCCCGCCGCGCTAAGATTTTCGCGCTGTCGATCCGTCTTGAAGCTTCCATTCGCTGAGCATTTATCCGTATGATGTCAAGCTTGTTGTTGTGAGTAGAAATTTGCTCGCCACCAGCTGCAGAGGGAATCCGAACATTGTGAGAGCGATGCTCAATTCGCGTGTTGGTGCAACACTGCTGAGGTCTATATCCCGCCGAACACTCTCCTCACCCGCCGTTATCAGACAAAGCTCGTCATCGGCTTTCAAGCCTACCACTGCCACCCGTAGCAACAACACCAAGATCGGCGCTGGCAATTGGCGCACCATGGCCGAAAAGGACGTCAAGGACTATCTGCAGCAGACGCACGACCGCTGCTTCGAGCACAACCGCGCGTGGGCGGCCAACAAGAAGGCGGCGGACCCGGACTTCTTCGTCAAGCTGTCGGCGGGGCAGAACCCCGAGTACCTGTGGATCGGGTGCAGCGACTCGCGGATCCCCGCGGAGCAGATCACGGGCCTCGAGCCCGGCGACGCGTTCGTGCACCGCAACATCGCCAACCTGGTGTGCAACACGGACCTCAACGTCATGAGTGTCATCACGTACGCGGTCGAGCACCTCAAGGTCAAGCACATCGTCGTGTGCGGCCACTACGGCTGCGGCGGCGTCAAGGCCGCCATGACGCCCAAGGACCTGGGCCTGCTGAACCCGTGGCTGCGCAACATCCGCGACGTGTACCGGCTGCACGAGAAGGAGCTGGACGCCATCGCGGACGAGGAGGCGCGCTACAACCGGCTCGTCGAGCTCAACGTGTACGAGCAGTGCCGCAACGTGGTCAAGACAGCCAGCGTGCAGCAGTCGTACGCCAAGAACAAGTTCCCCGTCGTGCACGGTTGGGTGTTTGGCTTCCAGGACGGGCTGCTGAAGGACCTGCAAGTGGACTTCCCGGGCATGCTGAGGGACATTCAGAAGATCTACAACCTGACAGACAGCTCGGCTTGACGGGGGGGCTGGTTTGGCACTTTATCTAAGGTAGTCTATGGAATTTATGTACAGGACGATATGGATGACTGAGGCTCAGATTGGTAAAGGTGGTTCGGAGTACGGAGCTAGACATCTGTTAACTTGAAAGATGTGCATAAGGCGGTGAGAAGGAGTTGAGGTTGAGTAAATGCTGACTGCTTCTACTGTTATATGACAAAAGCAAACTTCAGTGCCTGTGCTCTAGGTGAATGGGTGATGAGAATGGTGAGCGGCGTACGGTGGCTTGCTGGACTCTATGGTTGTAGACGGGAAGTAGACAAGATCACAGTACTCGGTGTCGGCTTGGTTGTATTAAGCGTTTCTGTAGCATATCTGCAAGTACTACATATAGCCTTCAAGCTGCAGATGTTTGTTTTCCATCCGGCCGTACCTAAGGGGTGATATGTTTTCGAGATCTGGAGCTGCGTCCCTATCAAGGTTCTGACTACAAACATCGCTGTCATCAAATAAATGTGCGAGCAGAGAGACCCAAATCTGCCGCGTAGGGTGACATCAGCGCTAGTGTTGGCGAAGGCAGATGAAAGGGGTCCAACTATTTCATGCACGCCTGAGGCTCAGCTTACAACACTCGAGCTTGGCTTTCCTATTTAGGTCTCATTATTAAGTCTTCATTCCTGTGTTGGCGCCTGCGTCGGGCTCTCAACTTTTGGTTCTTCTTCACTCATTCATTGTCACATTGCATCTTCAACTTCGTTCTTTCGAAGCCCCAAGGTATCCTGTTCTTCTGACATAGCGCGCTGCTCGAAATGGTCCGCAGGCTCTCTGCCGGCCATTTATTAGCCACCGCTATATCCCTAATCATTCCTACCCAAGCCGTGAGCCTGGAAGCCACACTCGCGGACCAGGCAAACCTCACAGCGTTCCGCGGTTTAGTAAAGGTGTGCTACTCCGAAGACCTCAGATCCCGTTGCTCGTTAGTTAAACTAAGAGATATGCAGAATCACACCCACGTATTCGCCGATCTGCCCGAGGGCGTGACTGTTGTCGCTCCAACCGACAATGCCTTCGGCAAAGTCGGCGACTGGGGAACGTACAACGCAAGCGTGGTCGAGGCAACGCTGAAGTACCACATCCTCAAGCAGGCAATTGCCATGCCCTCCATCGCCAAGGGCGACTCCATATGGGCATCGACGATCCTGACCGACCAGGGATTTGCCAACGTGACCAACGGCCAACGGCTTCTCCTGACCAAGCAGCCGGGCGGAGAGGTGGTCCTGACCTCGGGCTTCGCGACGCGGGGCACCGTAGTGGTGGAGGATGTCGCATTCGACCACGGGCTGGTGCAGATCATCGACTCGGTGATGCGCATCCCCGAGTCTCTCCCCTCGACCGCCCGCAGCGCGTACACGGACCTCACGGCCTTCGTCGGCGCGCTTTACGCCACCGATCTGATGCGCGAGCTCCTGAACGAAAAGGACGTGACCATCTTCGCGCCGCACAACGCCGCCTTCCAGCAGCTCGCGGGCACGCTCGCGGCCATGGACAGGGAGAAGCTGCGGCGCGTGCTGCGGTACCACATCGTGCCGGGGCGCGTGGCGCACCTCTGGGAGCTGCGCAACGGCAGCGCGCTCGCCACGGCCGACAGCGGCAACAGGGCGACGGTCACGCGCAGCAACTTTGTCTATGTCAACTCGGCCCGGGTCATCCAGTCCGACATCCTGATCGCGAACGGGGTCGTGCACATGGTCGAGGGCGTCCTTAACCCGGACAAGGCGGACGCGCGGCCCGATGAGACGCTCACCACGGCCCAGCCGCCTGTCTTTCCGTCGCTTGTTGGGCCGACGGCTACGGGCTCGACGGTGCCGACGCCGTTTGCGTCCGCGTTGCCGTGCACGGCCAGCTGTGCTACTACGCGGCCGAGCGCTGCTGCTACGGGGGCGGGTGAGCAGGGGGCTAGCTCAAAGAATGCTGGGGTGTCTGCAAGATGTACAGGATTGGTTGGGGCGGGTGTTGGTGTTGGGTTGATGGTTGGTGGTCTCATGCTGGGGTTGTAGTAGTCTATACTGTTTATACTGGGATACCTTCAACAACGACAACATTCAGGGGCAGAGTGGTGGATGCTTGATACTCTTTGATTGTCTTCTATTCGCAGATACCCTTCTTCTGAGTCAATGGTATTCCATTTTATATCTCGTTTCACGGTTACAATAGAGCTCCCTCCATTGTTCAACATCACGCTGGATTGTGCGAGATCATTTTGTAGTACAATAGGGGTATGTCTCACCCGTCACCCGCGCCGTGCTATGGATTCACGTGTGCGTTCATGATCTCTAGATGTTTTATCACCAGCGTTCTCTCTTACAACCTCCCCCCCCCCCCCCCCCCCCCCCATCATCCATTTCATTAGTCCCGGAACAAGGGACCGAAGAAGTAGTGTATATACCCCTTTCGGACGAAGAGACCCGCGTGCGGCTGTCGACAGTCGACGGTTCACACTAGTCGACACCCCCGACAGCTCATATCAGATAGAACCCACGGCTCCCTATCTCGGCCCTCCCTCCGGAACCAAGTCGGCGTCACAGTCAGTGAGTCACCCTCCCCTCGGCATGTGCGAGAACTGACCCGCCGCAGGCGTTTCTTCCTTCTTCGCATCGTCACAGAGCAGCACGACACATCTTCGCACCTCATTAGTTCCCTTTGCGCCGCAGAAGACGTCCTCGCTTTGCCTCGCTGCTCACCAAACAAACAAACAAAAAACAAATCAAAACTGTAATCGAAGATGGCTCGCCGCTCCGTCCCCCGCGTGCACGACCACCCCGGTCGCCGCCAGCCGACCTCGCCCCTCGCCGCCAAGGGCATTTTCTTCCTCCTCCTCCTCTCGCTTCTCGGTCTCCTGGTGGAGACCGCACCCGCTGCCTCCGCCACCCCCGCTACTACTATCACCACCACCACCACCATCATCATCATCACCACCAGCTGCGCCCTCCCCTCCTCCTGCGCTACTACCATGCCGGCTGACGACCGGTACATCCCCGCCGAGACCACCAGCAGCAGCAGCAGCACCACCACCATCATAATCAACAACAAGCACGGCAGCAGCAACACGAGCACGAGCAAGAGCAAGAGACACCAACATGCCAAACCCACCGAGCACTTCCAGGACTCCATGTATGACACGCCCGGCCACGCCATCGCGGCCGGCCTGATCGTGGGCGTGACCGGGACCGCCCTCTTCTGGGCCATCATCGGCGTGGCCGTGTTCATGATCAGGGTGTACTTTGCGTGGATCTGTCGGGCACTGTTGTTGGGCATCCGGAGGGGATGGGGTTGGCGCTGGCATTGGCGCTGGTACTGGCACGGAGGGGATGGGGAGGAGGAGGGGGTTGATACGAGGAGATGGGGGGTTGTTTTTGTTTAATTTTGACGGATCCCCCAGGTACTGGGGTACCTAGGAGTGGGAAATGGGAAGGAGGGGGGATAAAGGGGGGGAGGGAGGGTTGACAAGGGCTACCTACCTAGGTGGGAGCCCTGCCCTGTTCATAGGGCACTTTGAAAAAAGACGTGCTTTGTCGGTTGCCAAGCTTCAGCGTGTGTGTGGTAGTAATGGTCTGCATATGTGACCCCCACAGACAGCAACAACCATTCGATGAAGCGGTGATTCGTTACATAGGTGCTGGACTACTAGTGCCTGTTGACGAATGCTTGTCTCTTCCCCGACAAGGACACTGATATGCCCTGCTTCTCACGAGGAAGTCTATTGTGTCGGGATGGACTCCGCCCTTCTGACAACATTATCTACGATCATAGTCCCGGCTACGGCTCTTGCTGCGCCTATCGTAAACACTCGTCGGCGGAGATCATAGCAATGCTAATCAAATCGTCTTCCCTGCCTTCCCGTGGTGTACGAGTCGAGAAATCATGCCCATCCCACCTTGCCTAGCCGTCCTAATGCAGCCGGCCACCCTGAGCTTGACTGCACCGGTACTGAAACGGCTTGAATTAGGCAATCTGACACTTAGATCGGATAGTTGCTCGTTTGCGGGGTGTTGATGAGCGTTGTCGGCGGTTTAATTGTCTCAACTAATCCCGTTTGCGGATCTCCGCCGGTACTATCCAAGGGCCGGTTCTAGGCCTCGTTAAGATCCTTCTTGCTACTAGTAGCTTCATCTGACCTGACGGAAGGCGACGTAGTACCTCACCAGCTTACGCGTGGCCCTTTGTGACCGCGAGGGGTTATGTCTCGAACTTCCAGGGTGCGCCTGAGCAGGATTGCCCCTCGCTCACTTGGCGAAGGTACCATGTTCAGTTGCTCTGGGAGATCAGGAACAGAGACTCCAGTCCCAGCCGTCTTACTGCACCGACTATCTCACCCAATATTCTGTCCAAGCCTCGGTCGTGAAATCACGGATTCGTCGCCATAAACCCGTGGCGATGGAATCCTCGCCGCGAGAGGCCGCGCAGTCGCACTTCGGCGGCGGGGATGGCGCTGAGAGAGAGGAGTCCAAAGATGAGGTCACGGGAAGGAATACTATCCAAAATGGCCGGCTGGCGGTGGCAAGTACCGCACCCAGGACTACGAGGTGGCGGTGAAATACGACGAAAAGCCCGGTGAGGGGAGACGGCCAAGGCGGTCCCACAATACATAAAGGAGATGGCGGAAAATCTGAACGACGATATCAAGCAAGCAGAGGAGAGCCGTCGATAACGCTGGGCTATCAGCCGCGGTCTCTGCAGCCCCGACACGTCAGACGCATACCAGCGGCGACGGGAGCCGAGAAGACATTTCACCGAGACGTATCTCCAGCGACGCCGGCACCATATACCAGAGCTATGCCGGCGTGAAGGCGGATACGGATGGGACACAGCGAAGGGCAATGGCACGGCCAAGGACCCGACTGGTTCCACAGCTCTCTTTGTCTGCATTGCCAGAGGGAATCATCTAGAGTGCCGCCCTCTTGAGGATCAAAGGAATTATGTTCCACTCTCTCCGCCCAGAAGGATGGACGAAAACTTTATCAAGCTCTTTCAGGACATCAAGATGTTCTCATTCAAGATGAGAGAGCCGACTATGGCTGATGATGTAGCCGGGCCGCAGGGAGAAAGACGACAGAAATGGATTCGCCTTGTGGAAGGAAAGATTGAAGAAGTGGAACCTGTTGGACGATGGGAACGGCTACTCCCGCGTCCTCAGGTAAGTCCACCGTGGAAATGGGGTGATCTGCCTCTCCCTCCCGGGATCCAGAATGCGATGGGTTGTCTGACAGTCAGCGACCAGCGAGTTCCCCTGTCGTCCTGGCGAGCCGGGCTTGTCTTGGGCCAAACGTGAAGTTTACCTTCCCGGCCGACTGCCGACACTGAGAAGTGTTCTGGCGCCGCTTATCCGTAACTCATATAGGAAATAGGTATTTATTCATGCCGGGAGTATGTTGATTCAAAGCGGCCAGCTATATATATGACCGAGATGACCGACGCGGGGAAATGTCAGATTCGGGGTTGTAGTCTGTTCCGTGGCATCCGTGGCGGTCCTCGGAGATCTGGTCCTTGTGTGTTTCCAACTCGTATTCGAACTGAAACCGATGGGCCGTCGACAGAAGGTCGGCCCGTGTTGTGGTCGTAAACAACACGGCTTCGATATTGAAGCCGCATTGCGGTGAGCTGACCAGCTCTTCGAACGCCGCCTCCATGAGTGGGGAAGCCTGCACCACATCCTGCCGGACTACCGAGAGATAGTAGCGGCTGATCCCGATGAGGTCATCCAGGCCGCATAGCGCCAGAATACCATCGGGATCCGAGTGGCGGCGGCTTCTATATTCCACAAGCGTTGATGGGTATACAGGGCAGTCGCTTTCTGGAGCGTGTATGCATCCAAACGAGCGCATTCTCGCAGGACTGCGACGGTGGGTCCGTGGGTGGGCGGTTTCTCCTCGTGTAGAGGATACCGATACATGGTGGAGGGTAGCAGGTATATCTTGTACCGTACATGACAACTTCCAACCCGCCCCAAATTCCTCTGGGACGTACGCAATGACACCGACGCCGTGTGGTCTCACGACCAAGTACGCCTCGGCGGAGGGTCATAGATGTTCGACCCCTTGAATATGCCTGCAAGGACCGTCGACGAGGGCATCCCCCTTGGCTATAGCTCGCGCCAGTTGGTGACCGGCGCGTCGTCGTCGCCGTCGCTGCTCGCCGTGTCGGCGTCGACGGGAATTCAAAAACGATTACTACGCTCCGGCGTGGCGGTTTACTTCAGCTTAGGACCCAAGTGTGACGCTAATCTTGGAGGGCAAGGCTCATTTCCATGCCTGACTGCTCGGCCGCTTTAAACTTGGCGAGCGACTTTTCCAGCGCCCCCGCGGCCGGCCCACAACGTACAAATGATAATCTACGACTTGATCTCGACCACGCTGACACTAAGATGTGGTGGTGACTTCACAGTGCAGGTCACCAAGGAGAACATCGTTTTGGTCGCCCAGCATCGAAGGTATGGGGATGAAGATAAACAAGCGAACGCATCCACATGCACATTCGTCATGAGGACCAGAACGTCAACATTCGTTTCGTACATTACGTCAGTCATTGGGAGACACAACTTGTCCTTGCACACTCAACTCACCATCAGAAAAACAAAATCCTGTGTCTGGTGTACTCTCCCCGTGTCCTCTCTTCTTTCCCTGATACCTACGAAAACACCGCCTTACCGGATAAACAACTTTCCTCCTGCCAATCCAGCGGACCAAAACCCGCCATGTAATACGCTCTACGTTGGCAATCTTCCTATTGATAGGTCAGAGGAGGAGCTCAAGGCCATGTCGAATCCTCTTCGGCAAATGCAAGACGTCCCAGGTCCCAAGTCGTATGTCGTACTCTTACTTTATGAACCTTTGGTATAAAAGGCGGTGACGCTTTACTATCTCGTTCCAAAACGTTGAGGCTCGTTGCTATGCCTACGAACGTAACAAACACATGACCAGAGCTGGTCGCGACCGCCACAGGTTAGCGCTTGAATACTTGACATCGGACACTTCAATCGGCAAATTTCATGACACTTTACTCGCAGTTTCCGTTGAAAGAGTCACCATAAATCTAGCACAGTCGTGCTCTGTTGGATGATCTTTTCTTTGTTTCCAATCAAATACGAGACAGTGCTACCTCCTTTCAGCATCCTCTCCAACTGTGTAACCCCGGGCAAGTCCGCTCCTACCCTCCTCGATCGCGGTGCTTGCCTCCTCCGCGTAGTCGCTCCCCAGACCCTGCCACGTCCGTTGTGACCGGAGGTACTCGGCGCCGGGGCTGACCACCCCGTTCACCATAGCCAGCTCAGCCTTGGGCCGCAGCGCCAGAGTGCTACTCGACGATGTATCCTCTCCAGCAGCGCTCCCGTTCGGCTTAGCCTTCCCATTTACCCCCCTCGCCGCCCCATTCCTCCTCATCGGCCGACTGGTGCTGATCAGTCTCCCCGTGCGGAGATCAAACTCGGGCGGTGCCGACTCCTCCTCATCATACTCCTCCTCTTCATCCTCCTGCTCCCTCTCTTCTTCCCCTTCCCGATCTGCCTCTTCCCGCCCCTTCTTCCCATCTCCTTCCCCTTCCCCTTCCGCCCCAGCGCACTGCACCCTTTCGATCCCACCCCACCACTCCCCGCTCCACACCCTCTTATCATCCCCCATCAGCGCCACCTCCAGCTCGAAGGGCGTCACCACGGGGCGGTAGAACTCGCCCCGCTCCTCCTCCTCCACCAGACTGCTCTCCCAGCAGCCGACCACGACCCAGCCGTCGACCTCAGCAAAGTTGGCCAGCTTGGCCGGGTTGAGCTTGCCCACCACCATCGTATAGCTCTTCTTGCCGGCCGCCGCGACCTGCTTGCGGATGGCGTCCACCGAGGACAGGTAGTTGGACACGGAGAGCGTGTTGACCAGGATGCCGATTACCCCCGCCGAGGCGAGGGACAGGCAGCGCGCGTAGCGGCGGCCGAGGAGGCGTTGTGTGGAAAATGTGTTGTTGTTGTTGCTATTGGATGATTGGGAGGAGGAGGTCGTGGTGGGGTGGATGTGTAGGGCTTGCACCCGGGAGGAGAGCACGAGGAGGAGGGCGGTTGGCGGGGTGGAGATGTGGAAGATGGAGTACGTCTTTAGGTCGATAGCAGAGGTGTCGGGGATGTCGTCGCCCTGCAAGGTGACGAACTTTCGGTTGGGTATTTGGCCGGTCGGGTCGCGGACGACGGCTGTGGAGAGGAGGTTGGTATAGCCCCTGGTCTGCAGTTCAGACGCGAGACTGGGGATGTGGTTCTGGTAGGTTACGTCGGCCATAAGGACCACCTTCGCGTCCCTGTCGGGGTATTGCTTCTCGAATGCGGCGAGGGTCTCATCGCGCTCGAGGTTGTGATGTGTGAAGACGCAGATGACGGGGAGGCGGGAGGTCGGCGAGAGGCACGAGCGGCCGTAGTGCACGACCACATCCGCGTCAACATGTTCGGCTGCGATTTCGTCGACGCAGCATGCACTGTACGAGGTATCGGCGAGGATGTATATCTTCTCCGGGTCGCTAGGTGAATCCGCTGATCGCCGAAGAGGCTCAAGCTCTGCGTTTAGCGCCTGGAGCACCCGCGGTGCATCTCTGAGCATCGCGTCTGGAAACTGAAGGGCTATCCTCTTCCACGCGCCCTGTCGGATCTCCCGCGCTGTCCGCGCGATCTCATAGATGTCGCGCAGCTCATCGTCTGTTTTCGGGCTTGTTTGTGCCTCAACTTCAGACGCCGTCACGGCATACTCGAAGGCATGCTCCGCCGGCGTCGAAAGGACGGGTGCAGCAGACAGTCCAGCCATGATTGCAAGGACTAACAGGTGGACGACTTGAGGCCGAAATTTCTGGTGGGGGACGGGTCGTGAAGCTAAATTGCCCCGCGGTTTGGGTGACGTCGGGTAGCTGCGGGTCTTTACAGGGGCAAAACAGGGGTGTTTTGCAGCTTGGCGCAGGGTCCTGCGATTCGGACGTTGAACAGTGAACAGTCATCCTTGCCATTCACGTTCTCGTCAAGCAGCTGACCTCAAACATCACCAAGGATACTAGGGGAAGGATCTCGATGCAGTAACCTTGTCCACGTCCGCTTTACCACCTAACCTACGGTAGGTAACTATCTAAAATGCTATCCACTTAACATTACTACTCATAGCGTGTTTGAATATCTATCGTCAGCTCAAACAGATCTATCTCATCACCCTCTAGAAGATCGTACGCGGATTCCATCCAACGGCTAGCACACGCGCAGTTCCGTAGCACACCAACGCTACAAAATATGCGATACCAGAAAATATGATTAGGTTCCTCCATCCGTCTTCGCCTGGCGCCGAATCCAGCAGGGCACCTCCAATCGGAACGCTGCTGAGGGTGCCGAAGCTGGCGACCATCATGGCGGTCGAGAACAGCCGCCCATATCGCCGATGGTCGCAGAGCTGGCCGAGGCAGACAGGCATCAGTCCCAGGTTGCTCCCGCTGGCAATACCGAAAAGCACCGAGTAGACAATCAGCAGGGCCTTGGACGTCCCCGCGGGCAACCATAACGCCAGAACCGTGACGACGCACAGCGCGATGGTGACAATGATGATGTTGAAGCGCCCGAAACGGTCGGCCAGAAACCCAGGCAGCACTCGTCCCAGCACGGAACCGGCATTGAGATATGACAGCAGCAGGTAGCTTTCCGTCGCATCCTGTCCGTGGGCGGCGGCGAACGAGACGATGAAGGTGACCGGGACAAACAGCCCCCACTCCATGAAGAAAATGCCGATGGACGCAAAGGCGAAGCGGGCGTCCCGGAAGACGGTGAAATCCGGCCAGACGGACTGCACCTTCGGGCGGCCGTCTCGGCCCTTCGCAGGCGTCAGCCTCGTGCGGATGAACAGGTTGGATGGAACGGCAAGCCCTAACATGATGAGAGCGAGGATGCGGCAGCTCCAGGCGAACCCGAGGTTGGGCAGCAGCGAGCGCAGCAGGACTGGGAACACGACGCCGCCAACGCCGCCCGCCGTGCTGGCAACGCCCGTGGCCAGGCCGCGGCGCACGTTGAAGAAGTGGGCGATGGCGCCGTAGGCAGGACTATTGAGCAGCGCGCCGCCGAGGCCGCCCATGACCGAGTAGGTGAGGATGATTTGGTAGTACTCTGTCGCCACGTCAGCCTTTATATTCATTCATTTTAACTGCAACTCTTCGCGACAATGAAAAGCATGCCAAACATACCATCACAAAAGCTGAGCAGCACCAGACTCAACACAATCAACAAGCTTCCCACCGCAACCAGCAGCCTCGCACCGAAGTGGTCAAAGATCGGGCCGACCTGGATCCCGACGAAGAAGACGATGAAGAGGTACAGACTGAAGATCCAGCCGATCTCCGACGCCGTCTTGTCGGCCAGCTGGTGGGTCGAGAAGTACGACTCGAACACGGCGGCCGAGTTAATCAGCCCAAACAGCGAGAGCATGGCGCTGAAGGAGCCCAGCACCACCAGCCAGCCCGTCACGCCGCCCTCGGGGAAGTCGATGGTCGTTGCCGTTGTGGGCGCGGCCGAGGGCAGCCGGGCCAGCTCCGCCTGGGCCCGAGCCTGGTCGTCGTCGTGGTCGGCATTTTCCGGATCCGGGCTGTCGGAATCATCGCTTGCCGTGTGTGGAGAATCGCCGGCTTCGCGGTCGACCGTGTGTGCCCGGGCGGTGTGAGTCGTCTTCTCCAGGTCTGCACTATCTAGCTGCTCTAGCAATGACGGGGCAGACGACTTGGTGGCGGCGGTGCAGCTGCTGTCGCTTGGGCTGGGATTCCATGGGATGGAATTGTCTCTTTTTGCCTCCATCTTTTCATCACAAGCCTCCAGACGGTTGAGTCCGGTAAGGAAGCGGGTTCCGTAGCGGCTTTCCGAGCTTCGGCTCAGATTCGCCCCTCCGCTTTGAATTTGATGGATGCGTCCGGCACAGGTTTGCTTCCCAGATGACGGCGCACAATCAAAGGTACAAGTACCAAGGTCGTACCCGCCGGTATGCCCACAAACATGAGATATTACAGATTGGATTTGAACAGGACAACAAAAGATCACCCCAACGGAAGGAAAAAGAATTGTGAGAGTAAGAGAAACTGAAATTTCGACATGGGTCTCGGCATTTTTCTCCACTTCTTCGGCCGCCCCCGATTTACAAACGCCGGCGCGCACCGGGTTCCCAGCGTATCCGCGCCGTTCCCGAGCCTACTTTTGTCGGCATGAGTTGTCGGACAGGACTCGACCGTGCCTTACGTGCAAGGTCGAACAGTGACCGATTGTGCACCTCTCTTAACTCCTCGAGTCCGGGCCGTGCTTCACGTTTCAACTGCCGTCCTCCCCCTGAACAACCTGGTTCTTGGCACACACCGGTCACCCGAGGTTACGCTGGCGGTGAACCTGAGCATTCCACGTTACGTCCCTAGACTCGTCATGATCCGACACCGCGTTCTTATCAAAGAGCAGTCATCGACTTGGGTTCCAACTCTCGTACTAATCATTCGATCTTCGGTCGGGCAGGTAGGGTGGAAGTGAGCACGACAAGTGGTTCCTCGTCTAGGGCAGTATTGGGAAGACAGCGCGACTATGATATCTAGTGGTAAGTGCACGTATCTGCTGATGGTATAGAATATATTCTCTGCACGCTGCATTGTGGCCGTGACCTGGCTGGAAACACGCAAGTCGTGGAACCCAAACTGCCGCTTGACCCTAGCCATTTCTAGATTTGGAGACGACACAGATCAGAAGGCCTTACATAGTACTTGACAGGCCGCATCAAGCCGGCATTTCTAGCCCCGCCTGACATTGAGGAGTCGAATGCTACTCTAAAGAAGGCATCGACAAGATTGACGTTAACATGAAGACCAAGCGGGCTTCTTGGCGGAAAGCTAATCCTCGCCGGACAAAAGTCCGCCGAGAACTCCCATAGATTGCGAGGGAGCCAAGCCGGCCGGCCATGATCCGGGGCCGTACGGAAGCACCCAGTCCAGTTCGTCGCCCGCCAGCGTCGATCCGGTTGAATCTCGCAGCATGACCGCCAAGCAAACATATATTACTGACCCCAGCTCCATGGGCTTCCACCCATTAAGGTCTCCCGCTTGGGAAAACAAACCCGCACGCTGATATGACGACAGCGACATGATAACCATGACTGGGGTATCTAGCGCTACCTCACATGTCGCAGTTATTAAATAGCCCTGCTATGGCTCCAGTGCAGACTCAAATATGAGTGCTGGTTCGGCCTCTGGAATTTTGTGTGAACCGTGATCTACGTACCACTGAGTGTAAGTGATCGTTCATTCCCTTAGGACCTCCTCACTTATAATCAACTCCAGAAAAGCTGCCCGGCTGTTAAGTGGATCGACAGCTACACGCAGTACGTCATTCGCGACTCATCTTGGTAAACAGTCATGGGCCATCTCGGCACGGTAGTCTCGGGCGTCCTTGCCCTGACGTCCATACTCGTCCCCGGAGCTGCGGCTCAGACATGCCCGGGCGTCAGCGGCCGCTTCCAGCCCAAAATGGGCGCTGGCTACCGATACAGCGTGCTCGCGACCGGACTTCGCCAGCCCCGGCATATCGTGGTGGACTCTGCGGGCAACCTGCTCGTGGCTGAGGGTGGCAGCCAAGGCGTGAGACGGCTCGTCCTGCAGGACCAGGGGAACATCGTGTGCGTCCAGTCCAACACCCAGATCGCCAGCGGATCGGTAAGAGCAGAATCGTCGAACGCCCTGCTAAAATAATTGTTGAGTGCACTGACAAGCAATTGGCACCCTACCTAGACAAACCACGGCATCGCGCTGAGCGCAGACGGCAAGACGCTGTTCACGTCGAACCTGGCCAGCGTGACGGCATACTCGTACGACGCCAGCACCGGGCAGGTCGGTCAGGGCAAGCAGATTGTGACGGGCATGTCCTTCCAGGGGACCCACCCGACGCGGGCCATCGCCACGTCCAAATGGAGCCCGGACACGATCCTGGTGGCTCGCGGGTCCATGGCCAACGTCGACACCGGCACGACGCAGCAGTCTGCGGGCCGCAGCATGATCAAGACGTTCAGCATCAGCCAGGGCATGCAGGCGGCCCACCAGTACGCCACGGGCGGAGAGGTGCTCGGCTGGGGTCTCCGCAATGTGGTCGGCCTGACCGAGGATCCCATCTACGGGGGTGTTGTACGTACTCTTACCTCTTCTTGATCATCCATGCTTATTATGTGACTACCTCCCTACATAATAAAGGCGGACTGACACTGCCGGTCCAGTGGTCCGTCGAGAACGGCATGGACGACGTGCGGCTGAACGGGCGCGACATCCACATGGACAACCCGGCCGAGCGGCTGAGCTACCACGGCGAGCTCAACGACACGGGCAACCGCTACAAGGGCCTCAACTACGGCTACCCCTCGTGCATCGCCGCCTGGGACCCGCAGAACGTCGGCATCAGCGGCCTGCTGGTCGGCAGCCTGTTCAAGCCCGACGGCGTGCCCAACGTGGCCGCCGACGAGTGCACCCGCCGCATGACGGGGCGCCTGCACTTCCACGCCCACACCGCCCCGCTGGATGTCAAGTTCAACGCCAACAGCACGGCCGCGTACATTGCCTTCCACGGCAGCTGGTATGTTCATTCCCTAGCAACCCTGCCCTTCCCTGGGGATATGTCACTAAGAAACGCAAAAACAAAATAAAAGGAACCGCAACCCCGCCGACGGCTACCGCGTCACCCGCGTCGACTTTCGCAACGGCCAGCCCGTGCACGATGTCACCAGCAAGACGGCCCAGGTACCCGTCATGGAGAACGCCAACGTGGGCGGCTGCCCCAACAGCTGCTTCCGCCCCGTCGGCCTGGCCTTCGATGCCAAGGGCCGCCTGTTCGTGTCGAGCGATACGTCGGGGGAGATTTATGTCGTCTATGGTGCTTAGTTACGGGTACATACATACACCACCTTCATGCTACTAGTAGTAGCTAAGTGGTCGGGAAAGGCTCTGTAGCCAGCTTGAGGGTATACGGTGAGGGGGCGTGTGGGATGCGGAATTTGATGTGTAAGCAGAGTACTATCATCAGATGGGGATGGTGACCTCCTTTGGAGCTATCGTTGCGGTAGTATAGTATATGATTAACGGACGCTCCCTTTGCATGGCAGGTTATCGTGCTGATGGCCAACGACCCACGTACTAGTAGCAACCAAGCTCACTTTGCATGACCACGTTGGTGGTGTCGCCGGGGAGGGAGGGGGCTATCATCGGAGTAGAGCGTTGGAGCAATTGAGGGCAAAATTAGCTTTCCTGTGTTGAGAAGATGGCTTTGGGCAAGAGCATCACGACTGAATAGGTTGGTAGATACCTATCTACCACCGCACCTCGCTAGGTAGGTGCCGGGTGAGGCAGGCTACCTACATGATAGGGAAGAATGAAGAGTCTCTTTCCAACCATATAAAACGACCCCTTGACCTTTTTACCTTACTGGTCGGCCAGAATGCCCCTGCCAAGAAAGCATCTCGTCGTCCTCTTGCCGTGATATCTGTCCGGCGACACACTTGGCAGTTGACACCTTCCTCTGTCTGGTATTTTCTAGACCCGACTGAGAGGCAGTGAGGGCGATGTGGGATCAGGACCTGCCTATCTAGATTTCATCTATCTTTCACTAGTATCTGACTAGAAGCTCTCAACAGCGTTTCCATCACCTCTCTATTCTCAATCGCGCCGACCAGCGGACCACGAACGACAGTCCTTCCGCATCACTCCACCAAAAATCAGCCCTAGCTTAAGGGTCATACCCCATGCACACCTTTACTTCTACTTCGCCTTCCCTTTGCCCCGGCTCGCCCAAGTCGTCTTACCATCAGCGCCAATGTGGTACCAGTCCTTCGTCTTCTTGCTGTACACCCAGTAGCCATCCGCGGATACAGCGCCGTCTGCGGGTTCCTGCGTGGAGGAGGAGCTCTTCGACATAGAATTCGAGGAGCCTTGGGTCGACTTGGATGCGGAGCCGGACGACTTCCTTATTTTGGCTGCGACGACGAGGCTTTGGGATCGCCCTTCGACGACGAGGATTTCTGCCGACCACCGAGTCGCTGCTTGAGTTGAGCGCGGGTGGCCCAGGAGCGCTCGCTGCCTTGTAAGATACCCTGCGCTCTCGGTTCGTGAACTGCTTCCCTGGTCCACTCCTGACAGCGGCGCAATTGACTTTTCGGGACCAGCAGCTTCGGCCCATGGTACTGCTTGGCTGGGGGCGGGATTGAGGAGCAGACCGAGTGAACCTGGTCATACAGACTCGCAGGGACGTAGCTGATCTCCTTCATTGCTTGTAATGAGACTAACTCCCGAGGGGGGTGTACCGGTTTCGGGTTGTAACGCATGCCGGTCTGCACACTGCCTTCGACGTGATAGAGGTATCCAGATCCATCCTCTTCGAGCTCGACAAAGATATCATGATGATCCGGGGGGGCGCCAACGTAGGCCTGGATGAAGACTCGGTACTAGGTCTCGGTGTCCTTGGAGTGAGCCATGCTGAAGGACCTCAGAGAATCTGTAAAACGGTTGGTCTCACAAGACAATTCGCCATGGCTCAGAGCATCCCTCCGTACCTTGATACGTATGTTGTAAAGGGAAGAAGGGGACAGGTGAAGTGCTGCTAGCTGATTTTTTAACTCTCGGGAAGTGGTGCCAGTTGATGCTGTGGATATTATGCCAGACATAACTCGAGAGATCTTAGGATAGCCTCTGCCTTGAGATATATCTCGCTCTTCACCTACTCTGCGTATGCCTCTCCAACCGCTGCTCAACTTCCATGATGACAGTCCCTGGGCTCCCGGTCCGTAGCCTCAGGGCCCAACGAATGAAACGTCGTATGGTCATCTTTGTCCAAAGATAGCCGTGATAGTCCCAAGAAGATGTCGGGAATCTTGATGCGTTACCCGGACTGCCACAGAAAGCCGGCCAGCGGCGCGATGGCCGGCGATGACCGGCGTCTTGGTGGTGCATGTAGCCCAGCACTGGAAACAACTGCTTACAAGGAGAGAATCAACCTAGGGTCTCAGCCGACCACTGTCCCGTTGCATGTTAGAAGTTAGGAACCGGCGATGTTTCATGTACTAGACTCTTCAGCTGGACCCATGGGCCCATTGTGCTTCGACGCGGCACATAGGTAAAGGAGACAAGGTAGTACTGTTTCGACATGAGACATTCGCGGGAGCACCTGGGTGTTTGTCTCGACGGCCTTCAGCCAGGCAGGCGAATATAGAGTTGGTGGCGGGGAGCTTACTGAAGCGGTAATAGAATAAGAACCCAGGTCCAGTAACACCAAAATCGGACCCAAGCAACCTGCTAGCTCAAGCACAGCAGAACCGGTCTGGAACGTTTCAACTCAATCTTCCCCCGAAACTGCATTGTGGCTTTTGTTTTTTTACCTTATCTTTGGCGTGGCATCTGCATCTATAATAAGGCACCGTTCAAGTTCAACAAGCGGGGCTCCCCAAAGGCCCCCAACATTGAACAAACCATTGGAACCGTGGAACGTTGGGTACCTATTCTCATCGCCCGCCACCTGGACACCAGCAACCACAAGTCACCAGATTGTAATTCTCTGATTATTCGGTTGAAGAACACAAGCAGGATGACAAGAGAAATGGGATTGGAAACCGAAATGTCCAACCTTTACAAGATCCCGTTTTATGCGCTAGCACACACACTAGCCGCAAATCTCCCGTCAACCGAAGAGATTGAGGCCGGCGAAGAGATCAACACCAAGTTCTTCGACGGCCAATACATCGTCCGTGTCGGTCAACGCTTCGTCGTCACATTGGTTGATCCGCCCTCTCGAGGGGGAGAACATGCTCTTTGTCAGCGAGCAGACAGACATCCCGATACCGCGAGTCTACGCCATCTATCAAAGGGAGCACTCTTCCGGTCGCACGTGGACATACATCATCATGGAGTACATTGAGGGCCGGCCTCTGAACCAGTGCTGGGCCTCCTTGGACATCGCGACAAAGGAGTCGATCGGCTCCCAGTTGCGTGCTTCGCTCGACCAGCTTCGCAGCCTCGCTCCACCGGACTACTTGGGGAGCCTTGACCGCCGCCCACTCTACGACGACCTGTTCCTCACGGATGAGGAGGAGATGCCACGCATCAACGGTCCGTTCGCGTCGGTAGCCAACCTCGCCGAGGCTCTGGTCCTGAAGCTTCAGCACGAGGACGACGGGTTTCCCGCCGAGAGAGCGGCCTACTACCGGCGTGTTCTGTCTCGTGTCTTGCGCGGCGACGGCAACATCAGGTTCACGCACAGCGATCTTCAAACCAATAATCTCATGCTGAGGCCGGACGGCAGGGTGGTCATTCTGGATTGGCAGTCGGCGGGTTGGTACCCTTCGTATTGGGTATACTCTGTGGCTCTCGTTGGTTGCGGTTTGTGGGAGGATGACTTCCACGCTTGGGTTCCCAAATTCCTGGATGAACATCCGAACGAGTATCTGTGGTTGGAAAGTATTCGTACTTCTCTTTGGTATTAATAGTTAGTGCTGGTTGTGGCGTGGCTGCGTCTGGTTAATAAAACTGCTTGTCATTCTCGCTTGCTTCATATCAACACGTGGCGTGTCCAGTATGGTATACCGCGTGAAGCTCAGAACCTACATGATTTGTTGGTGATGAGCCACTGTATTATCAACGTGATAATAAATTAGGTAAGGAAAGGTAGGTCAGTCACCTTTGCTTTTGTCAACAAGACAAACAATTGCCCAAATGGCTGCCAACCTTCCTATCGTCCCCTTCGCAAACACCGCGCAGACAAATTCACGAAACCAAAACCCGCTCTATTGCCAGTCCGTCATCCACAGACAGCTGCGTTTCACTCATTGCCCATGTCGCCGCGGGCCAAGCCCAAGACACTGGAGGACCTGCGTCGGGCCGAAATCGAGCATGGGCAGCTACGCGCGTTGTGCGCGATGGAAGAGGCTCTCGAAGAAATCAGCACCCACATAATCGACATAAAAGCACTTGAGCTCTGAACATCGCCATCGGCGACCCTCTTGATCTCGACGGCGGGAGACCCTGGGAGATTGGGACAACGTTCTTTCAGCCCTGGGTGCCCGACGAAGTCTTTGGGAATCTGTCAGATTACATAGAGAGTTGGCACGACCGCTTAACATGGGATGTGGAGAGCTTCGGGTACCCATGCGAGTAAGCTACCTGAGGACTATCAACTTGTCTCAGTATCACTACTACAATAAACGCTAATAAGATTATCACAGGTGGCAGTATGGTGATACCAAGGCTCGGTGGTTCAACGACTCTATCCAGGAGTTGTACAGAATGGACCCCAGCGTCTGAAACGAGCCGTGGGAGTAAGCGGCGTCCATTTACCTATAGAATCAAGCGAGCTGCAGCCACTACTAACACGGGAAATTCTGCCAGCGTCGACCAACACCAGATCTATGAGAAGACTGGACTTTGGCTTCCGACGTACATGTTCCGCGGTCTACATGTAGGCAATTCATCGCACCCCACCGAATACTTATCTGAAGCCGCGTACTTCCCCGTTGATGAGAACCAACCCCACATCGCCTCCTTCATCATCGACTCAAACGAGGCACCGGGCGACCAAGTCCTCCGAAACGAGGTCGACTACGCCATCACGCTCGTCAAATACCGGCTCGCACAGGGCCGCCACACCAACCATCACACCAAACCCGTAAGAGCCCCGGTCCAGTCCCGCCTGGCCTTGGTTTCCCGCGGGGCATCCTTCTCATTCGTCTTCAAGACTCCGTTTGCCAAACCGCTCTCGGGACTAATTTGATTGGGGGCAGGCCACCATCTACACCATCGAGCGCGAGAGCTTTGCCCGCATCACACAGGCCTACTTCGACGGCAAGACCAACAAGCTGGTCTTGCGGCAGTTGAGACACCTGGACCTGTGGGGACCCAAGCCCCCGGACGACGCCTACACCCTCCTGCGCTGGATGGCGAACCACCCCTGCGGCCATACCGAGTATGTTGACGAGGACGAGCCGGAGGAGGAGGCCAACATGACGACGGACTCGTCGGATACGGTACCGAAGCTCCTGCTTGGGCAAGCCTGATGTCGCCCGTGGCCTTGCTCGCTCTTTTGCTTAAGTGGTAGCGGGACATTGGATAGCTCTAGATAGTTCAGGACGGGAAATGCTACTCCAGTTTGCTGACTTGACTACCGAACCACATATCATATCACATGCGGACACGATGTCTGGTACAATACAGCACAACGCCGCGTTGGTGAGCCGTTCCTCGTAGACGTCCCTATCTGTTCAAAAAAATCGGCCAGTGACTTGGCTTGGATGAGGGACATCCAAGATGATTTTGTACAGCGAGATATCGTTCGACTACGAACGGTCAGCATGGACGCACAGCTCCAACTTCACCTCTCGCTGCTCCTTAGCCTTGAGAAACCAACATTCCTCCGGATCATTAATTACCTACTCCGTCAACGTATCTCGCAACTACACAAGCTCTGACAGTGACAAAGCACCCCTTGGGCCGAGGTACAAATAGCGACCCCCCCACTTTACCCCTATAGCCCTAAGCCAGGACGCCCATAGAACAGCAAATATGTCTAGCAAGTATTATCCATGACATGGAAGCAAAGCACCTTTGGCACCTTTCCTTAGCAAACCAGTAAAAAAAGGCAATACCAACCCCAACACTCCCCAACCATCAGAGCGCTTCGATAGCCTTCAACAATACCTCCACCCCGCGCTCACCAACCTCGACACCATCCACCCCCTGATCCCCGTCATTAGACCTCAGCAAGTTGGCCACATCACTCAGCACACCGAGCGGGATATAGCAGCCCATCTTGGCCCGCTCCAAGCTCTCCTTCAGCCGACTGGTATGCTCCCACTCGCGGGCCGCCACTTCGGCCCGCTCAATCACCTTCGAGGGGATGCCGCACATGGCGGCACAGTGCATGCCGAACGACCCCTCGGCGACACCGTCCTCGAGGCGATATAGGAAGGTCACACGCCTCTGCTCGTCGTCGACGCGGATCTGCATGCGGCGCGCCCTCACTTCCGGGTGGTGCGCAAACTCGGCCGCCAGGCTGTGGTAGTGGGTGGCAAAGAAGCCGACGCAGCCGATATGGGAGGCGACGTGGTGTAGCACGGCCTGGGCGACGGCGACGCCGTCGTAGGACGAGGTGCCGCGGCCGAGCTCGTCGAGGATGACGAGCGAGCGCGGCGTGGCCTCGGCGAGAATCTTCTTCGTCTCGGAGAGCTCGACGAAGAAGGTGCTTTGGGCGGCAAAAATGTTGTCGTTGGCGCCCAGCCGCGACATGATGCGGTCGATGGGGGTGAGCCGCGCCGACGAGGCGGGCACGTAGCAGCCGATCTGGGCCATGATGACAGCGATGCAGGACTGGAAAGGCGGGGTTAGTGATAGGTCTAATATTGAGGGAGGAGAGGGGGCTTGTGCTCCCGATGGCTTACCATGCGGAGGATGGTCGACTTCCCGGCTGCGTTTGCCCCTGTGAGAAGGTTGATCTTGGCCTCATCGCCGCCCAGTTTGATGTCGTTAGGGATGAAGTCGGCGACGGTATTGATCATGCAGGGGTGGCGGAGTTCCTTAAACTCCACCAGACTTCGTTCGCCGTCCACAAATATCGGGCGGCAGCTGGGCACGCCCAGCGCAGATGACGACTTGGCCAAGCTGATCAGGCAGTCGAGATGCGCAATGATGCGGATCGATTGCAGCCAAATCTCGTAATCGCTATCGAACCGCTTGAAGAATCGCGAGGCTACCTCCTTCGCGATCTGCGAGTGCGTCTCCTCCGCCTCTTGGAGCTCCCGGACCAGATCCTCCAGCTCCCTGAAGTAATACCGCTTGACAGCTGCGGTGGCAGACATCTGGCGCCAGCTCGCAGGGACCTTGACGGACTTGGGCACCTCGATCTGGTAGATCTCTTTGCCTACGTCGGTGAACTTGAGCGTCTTGCACTTCAAGACTGTCTTCTGCCTCTCAAGAAGCGCATGAAGCTCTTCCTTGATCCGCTCCAGCTCGTCCTGGCTGCTATCAAAGTCTTCTTCGATGCCCCTCTCGGGGATGAGCACTTTGCCATCTCGAGCCTTCTTCCTGTCAAAGGCAGTCTCCCAGTAACCTAGAGGCTCCTTGAGGTCCGGCATCGATGCAATGAGCCTGTCGACGATTCCGTTGCCACCGCCGAATGCACGGAGAAGCCCCATGGTGTAGTCGATCTGCTCAAAGCCCTCAAGGACCCGAACAAAATCCTCCGGCTTGCAGGCACCAGCGTGGATGCGCGAGATGAGCCGCTCAAGGTCCGGCATCTTAGTCATCTGAGTCGAGAACTGCTGCAGGATGCTACGGTCCGCATTCAGCATGTCGACTGCATCGAGCCTCTCGTTGATCTTTTGGGTGTTGCACAGCGGGTGGCAGACCCACTGACGAAACAGGCGCTTTCCAAAGGGCGTGATGCATCGGTTGAGCAAGCTGAACAGAGTGCCCTCCGGACCACCGTTGGCTGTATTGGTGAAGATCTCTAGGTTGATCAGGCTCTGGCCATCCAGGATCAGAGTGCCATTCCTATGGATAGGATTGTACCACTCGAAACTGCCCTGCGATAGCAGGCTCTGATCGAGCTTCAGGACGCGGAGGTAGTGAGTCAAGCCTCCGAGAGCCGACATCGCCAAGTCCTTGTCCCTCGCCTCGCTCAGCTGCTTGGGCCAAGCGTCTTCCTGGCTCTCTTCGGAGCCAAAATAGCCGCTACAGTCCAATTCGCGTCTGGCGAGATCGGCATCCCAAAATTCGGTTCCTGGCTTCAGGTAGTTCCAGATAGTGGTTGGCCCCGTGTTGTTCTTGAGGATGCGCAACGCCTTGCTGGACAAGCGCGACTTCTCCAGAACCAGCTCTCGGGGCGATGTCTGGGCGACAAACGTTTCGAACCGTGTCAGGTCGACGTCATCCTGGAACTCGGAAAGGAAGAATTGGCCAGTAGCGGCATCGACAAAAGCGATCCCAAAGGCGGGCCTGTCGTCGACCAAGTACTCCTTGATGGATGCACAGTAGGTGGCCATGTCATCTTGGAGCATGCTGCCGTCTACCAGCGTGCCTCCAGTAAGGATGCACGTCAACTCTCTCCGGATGATCTTGTCAGCCTTCTTAGCGCTGCTCTCGCGCTCTCGCATCTCCTTTCCCAACGCCGATTCCATCTGATCGACTCTTGCAACCTTGAAGCCCTTGGCCACGAACTGGTTAACCCACATGTCTAGAGAACTTTCAGGAACGCCAACCATGCGCATGTTGACGCGATCGGTGAGCTTCAGATCGAACAGCTGGTGTCCGATTGTTGCATCATTCTCGTAGAGCTCATAAAATTTCCCCTTCTTGAAGAACACAACTGTGTCCCACAGCTTCTTCTTGATGTCCCAATACTGCTTCTCAAACGCCGAGAACTTTCTCTCGGCCGCTGGTGGAATGTAAATCGACGTTGGATCGAAATCCGGGTGCCCAGGAGGGTTCTTGTTGCCGTCTAGGATGTTGGCCAGCCAGGGGTATCTCTCCTCTGGCTCTTTTGTGTGCGGCTTAGGCTTCGGCTTTGGCCCTCCCAACTTCGGTGGGGGCAGGGGCGCCCGGGAGCCTGGCTCGCTAGGCTGCACATTGTCCGGATCGTACTTCCATTTCTGTGCAGTTGAGGTTGAGGGTGGGATATCCTGCATGACCTCGTCATCGTCTTCTAACGGAGATTGAAAGTCGGGAGCAGGAGATGAGGAGTGGTTGGCCTTTTTGCGTGGGGCCGCAGACTTGGTTGCCGCCCGTTTCCTCTTCTTCGACCTGGAAGGCGCGTCCGAATCGTCGGAAACCACGAAATCTCCCAAGTCATCTGCGTACCTTGTTATTAGCTCCGCCTTGTGTAAAGCTAAGTGTAAAAGAGCGGGAAGAACGTAAATACCATCTTCATCTTCGATCTCATTGACCGCCGCCTCGTATGTATCTTCATCATCATCCTCGTCCGGAACTGCGGCACGGGAACGCCGTTGTGTGGATCTCCTAGACTTCAGCGTAGCAAAGACCGCGTCATCATCTTCGTCGGAGGACTCGGCGTAGTTCACGGTCTTCTTCGCCTAAAGATGGAATGTTAGACGGATTAAAATACGAGACGGGGTGTGCTCCGTGCCTTTCGAGACGGACTACTATGCAGGCTGGGCTTTGCACTGACAGCCTGCTTCTTCGCGGTCTTAGCAGATGCAGCGGGTGTGTGGAGGCCGACGTTAACCACCTTAGCAATACCGGTGTCTCTATTCTCTTGAGAGCTCGAGGGTTCAATGGCATCGCTGCTCGGAACAGGCGTGACAGTGGTGGTGCGCCTCGATACGAGCATCGCATTCGACTTAGTCTTCGTCTCTTTCAGGCACTGGGCCGAGGTGTCGTCCTTGCTTGTGGATGGCGGCCTGGTGGATGGCGAGGGGCTTGCAACACCTGCTGCTCCAGCTGCTCCTGTCCTAGAGAAGAAACCGAGAATGCTCTGTTGCTTGCCCGTTGAAGGTGCCTTCTTGACCGTGGGCGGCGCTTTCGCAGGAGTGCGAGCGGCGCTGGCAGTTTTTTCCCCCATGTTGTCCGATCTGACTGAGGACGAAGAATGCGGCTATAGGATAACGAAAATGATGCGAGAATTGCTCATTAATAACCTGAAGAACGCGGTCAAGTTTGGAGGTCTTTAAGTGGAACGCGAATAAACGCGGCGCGCAGGGAAGCCGCGTCCGAACTACTGGGGTCGTTCTCCACTCACTGAAACTATCCACCCCTGTCGATGCCCCACCGATCATGGAAGCTGACCCTCACATCTAGTAGCATCAACGCCTTCAACTTCACCGCACTTATACCATTTCCCAAACTAGACGGTCACTTGGGATACCAAACACTGAACATCTTGTGCCTTGTCTAGGAATACGCAATTAAAGCGGAGCCTTACTGGACCGCAACACAACAAGCCGAAATGACATTTCACAATAGTCCATCCTCAACAAAACCTGTGTTGTGCGGCTGCTTCGATGGCATTATAAATGGTCTCCAGTCCCAGCCATACTCGCATGAGGAACAGGTGCTCGTGTAGCAGCGGCATCACGACAAGGTAGCATTCGTGCGCTCGTATGATGCTTTTTTGAATCGTCTGAGCCGGCCTCTACGTAGAAGCGGACTTCGGTGCACTCGTAATGCTGGAGACAGAGAACCTAAACGCATAAGGTACCTTAGGTAGGTAAGAAGCTCTAGCTGCCATATATAGCCTCAGCCGGCGACATCAACCTTTAGCGCTTAACCTTGCCACCTTGTTTTCGGGATGTCTGAGCTGTTGCCAGGTGGTCACATCACTCCTAGTGGGCATAAGCATAGTTTCACAACTCAAAGCTATCCGGGACGAAAATCCAGTAACCCCTGGATGACGACCTCGAAGCCTCGTCAGCGGCAACCGGCCTCCAAAACCCCTGTCCTGCAAGCCCTGCTAAGCCGATCGTCCAGACCAAGGGCTCATCATCCTTACATTGCTTACGCAGTCTCCCTATCGCCCAGGGAACGACTGACACATAAAGTACCTCAAGCTTGCGGCAAGCCCGCGACCTGACAAACTTATCCACGGCACCAGGGATGACCTCGTCGAGCGGTCCCATCAAGAAGACGTGCAACTGCCTCAGGCCCGGGAAAGTGGAAGATAGAAGCTCAAACGGCAGTGAAAACTCAGAGTTTGACACCTTGCTAACCCGGCAGGAAAAATAGAGGCTGGTGATGGATGCTAGGCAATGGAGAGGCATGTCGGCGCAGAAAGGGTAGATTAATGTGTAGTTTCGCGGATCCGTAGGCCCTCTCCGGGGTTCTGCGTCCAAACTGAACTTGCTCGTGGAGTAGAGCACGTCGATACCTTCGGCATACGCCTGTCGGCATGCCAAGATCCATCCCATAGCGCCCAAGGGCTGCCGAGGAGCGGGATTCAGCGCCCCGTCCACACCGATAATCTCCTTGCTCGGGTTCATACTGTGCCTCCATTGTCTCTTCATCGCTAGGCTTTCCGGCTCGACCCGAACCTCCTGAGTGTGGTAGACACGGAGCAGCCGGTTCCCAAATGCTTCCTCGAGGACCATGCGTCGAAGTTCAAACGGAAGCCGGTCAAAAAAAGGCCCCAGGGATGGACGTAGACCGGACGACGCGTCGGGAGTGAGTGGGCGGCGTTGCAAGGCGGTCATGGCGAGCTTATAGTCTATAAAGTCGTCCGGGGGTAGATAGAGATCGGCCGGCGCGTCGGGACTCAAGGAGCGATGCTGCATGGTGAACAAGGTGAGACCTGGCTTCTCTTCTTCCCTTGTCCCCGGTAAGTTGGAGACAAACTGCATCGAAGTTATCTGTACAGTATCAGAACGGCAGAGATTCAGTTGCCCGAGCGTCTAACCGCGTGGCATGCCCCGCTTTCGTCTGCAAGAGCCATTGGCTGTTATCCACGCCAGGGACCGGACTTTATAGGGTGCACAACTTATCGCGTTCACCGGAATGCGACTCCGCCAAGATATACGCACCGCGTACAGTAGAACCGAGTACCCTCGAATGTGAAAGAGGCATATAAGACCTCATCTCTCTTGTTCAACAAACCCTCCGCGGCGTCGGGCAAGGAAGCAGTCTGCCAAGGCGGGAGAAAGATGATAGGCCCACGTTGACCGCGGTTAAATCATTTAGCAGCTTCACCATCCGGTCTGCAGGCTTCGGAAGTTCGGAGTGCGGGTTGCAACAGTCGCCCGCGGAGCCTAAGACGCCGGTGCAGGTTCTTAATCCTTGATTGGGTCCGCGCACTCAAACTGGTTGAGCAAAGATAGCACAGACGCTCGCAAAGGAGTTGTGTATTAATAACGTTGTTCAGTTGTTTGGCAATTCCACATTCCCAGTCAACGAAAAGGGTATAAGCAATTCCCGTCTCTCATTGCGCCAAGCAGCTGTCGGATAGCGGCTGTCAGCTGCCGAATCGGCCCCGCTACCCCGGATTTCGCTAACGCTCCACTCCGGCTCAGCGTTAGCGCAGAAGCTCCTCGCAACACGATACAAAAGGCGGGGATTTGATCAGTGAGCGAAGAAAGCCCACGCTGGCGCGCCCGCGGTGCACAAATGGATCCCGATGCGATGGATCGGTCGGACAGTGCTCCCGCGCCAGCGGCTGATGGCGCGCGCGATTCACCCAGGGACCAGAACAGCCGCAGGGCTGCCGCGTGTCTCGTCTGTCGCCGATCCAAGATCAAGTGCGAGAAGGGCCGTGACCAGAACGACGGCCGCTGCCACCGCTGCCTCCAATTAGGCGTTGATTGCGTGCGCCCGGACTTCCACGTCGGCCGCCGCAAGGGCGTCAAGAAGTCAGCTCTGCATTGTTTTCGTTGTGTTTTGTTTATAGTTTGAAGGCCCATTGCTAACCGAACTGCAGCAAGCGCACGGGACTGGAGAAAGCGTTGCATCAGGTGGAGCAGGCGCTGAGACGCACCGGATCTGGCATCGAGGCGGCCAAGGTTGTCTCGGATCTCAAAGCGCTCCTCAGTCCCGGTTCCCACGGGTCTCTGTCGGTCGTTAGCCACCACCAACCCGGGGCCAGGGTTGCGGAACCACGCCGGGCGTCCAAGCAGAGCGACATCCTGCTGCCCGATGCTTCCTCGGATGCTGGCGATAGTTCTGCCTCAGACCAGGACGCCATGAGTGTGCCGCAGGAGTCTACGCCCCCTCAGGGGCACGTTGGTGAGGAGAGCCTAGCTGTCGATGACGCAGAGAATCCCCTCCAACTCCTTGCTCGAGCATCCGACTTGCATGTCTCGCCCAAGACCAGTGACCACGTGGTTGCCGAAGCCATGTCTCATCAGCGGACCCGCCAGAGCAAACAAAGCGAGAAAATATCCGAAGTAGAAAGGTTCTTCAAACTCAGCCAGTTCAGTCTCGACACAGGGCCGGACCTAGATCCGGTCGACCTCGGCCTGATTACGCTCGAGGAGGCTGAGACGCTGTTCAGCTTGTGGGTTTCGCAACCAACGTCATGAACTTTATGTACCTCATGTTGTGGATTACTAACCCCACGCAAAGCTTCCACCACAGCCTCGCCCACACGCGCTGGGGACTCGACCCGGCGCTCTACACAGCCGCATTCACGCGCACCAGGTCCGCCTTCCTCTTCACCTCCATCGCTGCCGCTGCCGCTCTCTTCATGCCTGCCGCCTCGGCCCTCTCTCGCCGCCTATCTAATCACTGCAAGACCCTGGTCAACCGCATCATCCTGGATCGCCACCGCTCCGTCGAAATCGTGCTCGCCTTCATGGTGAATGTGCCCTGGATGTTTCCTGGAAAGCATAGCACCGACGACGAAACCTGCTGGTATGTGTCCATGGCTACCACCATGGCGCTGGACCTCTCACTGCACAAGATCCTTGTGCCAGTTGCTTCGCTGCGGGATGGACCCGGTGGGCGTGGCGGCACCTTTGGAGGGATTGCAAGGGCGGATTGTATTGACCCCAAAGTGGCACTGGCGTTGGACGGGTTCGGCGATGTAGATCCCAACTCGGAGCTGGGGTTGCGCTTGCTAAGGAGACGGGAGAGGTGTTGGATTGCTCTATTTGTATTGGAGCGTGGGTATGTGTTACGGCCCACGAGGGCTTTACATGTTGGCGAGCTGACACAAGTGTAGGATGTGCTTGGCGAGAGGGCGCTGTTACACCGTCCCTGTCACCCCTATTCTTCGGGGATGTGACCAGTGGCACCTGTCGAACATTGCGGACAGTATGGATGGGCATCTGGTGTCCATGGCGGTTCTGCGAAGAGATCTGGTAAGTCCCAGAACGCCGGTAAGTCGCCTAACCGACACTGATTTGCGGCAGGACGAATTGTTTGCCTCCATCAGATCCCTTTGCGACCAGTCACGCGACGGCAGGGCGGACGGCGCCATGGTCGCCCGGTCGTACGTATCTCGTCAGCGATGGGTCTCTCTGAATACATTTTAACACAGACGCAGAATTCAGATGATCGTGGAAAAGTTCTTCGATGAATGGCATGCCAAATGGGGCATTTCCATTGGCAGCGGCCCCCGTAAGTCACCGGGCCTATTGGGGGATCACGCGACACTGACTGGTCCCAGAACATCGGTTGCCTCCCTACGTGCAAATCTTGGTCACGCATACACGTCTATCCATCTACAGTACAGTCATCAATCACCCGACGGCCCCGACCGAAGTCCGCCACTTCTTCCATGCGGCAGGTTTACAGTCAGCGCTGAACGTCATGCGAGCCGCGATCCAGGGCGAAGGGCAGCTCTCGAGCATGCCCAATAACACGGCAATCATGATATCATTCGCGGCATGCTTTGCGCTTCGACTGAGCGGCCAGTTCACGGGCAACTCTAACCTAGCACCCAGTGTGCGGACGTTGATTGAAGAAACAGCAGAGGTTCTAGAACGCATCGGCTCGACAACACCGCACCGCAATGGGATGTCAGCATTGTATGGAAAGTACCTCAAGTACATCGTCAAGAAAGCCGCAGCAGCCGCCCCAGTCTCGGTCGAGAAGGCCGCGAGGCCGCGTGGCGTGACACAGCCGGAGCTAATCTCACAACATGGCCTTCCGGCCACTTATTCGCGGCCCAACAATGGGCGCGCAAGCTTCAGCGTGGCGGACTCGTTACACCAGAGCCCGCCTGTCTCCGGCTTCCTGGACCAGCCTCTATGGTCGGAGCCGATTCAGTTCTCGTCCATGTCGGATGATCAGATTGCCGAGGCACTCAGCAGAGTCAACAACGAGTTCGATCCGGCCCTAAGCATGTACCCATGGGACGAGGCTGCTGCTTTGGATTGGCTCAATTGGTCTAATCTTCCAGACTTCGGGACTTGAATCCCCGAGCTCACACGTCAGATAGTAGCGCGGACCGGTGACGAAGCCGTCAAGTTGACCAGCTCCTGCAGCTTCTCCATGAAAACGAACGTTAAGATGGTATGCGGTCTAACGCCGGTTAGTCTAAGGTCTTCCAGAGAAACAGTTCAGATCACATACGTCAATCGCAGCCAGGCAGGTGTCCAACCCTTCATAAGGAACGCCATACCTTCTCCCCTCAACCCGTCGCGAATGACCTGCATTACCTGAGGACAGGGTAAGTCACGCGGAAGACATCCGGTGGCGGGTCCACATACACTAGATCCCTTTGCCGCGCTCTGAATTCTACTCTTGAGCACATCAGCCGGAGCGCAGGCTGTCGTGGCCACTGTCCCAGCGAAAAGCGACGCAAGCGCATGTGTGCGAATATCGTCCTGCATTTGGGTCCGCGAGAGGATGGCACGTTTTGCAGCGGCATAACTGGAACCGCATCAGCACGAGACACTCCAAACCTGGAAAGATACACTCACGGTGCAATCTGCGACACATCTTTCGTCACTGGTAAGCATGATCCTGTCAGGATCGAATCGGGGCTGGAGTCTTACTCATGAGGACGCTGCGAAGGATGTTGGCGGATAAGCCCCTTCCAAACACTCTGATTCCTTCTTCTTTCGCTATCCGATATAGGCCGGTCACCGCGTCAGAGTAGCGGAAGCGCTCTGCACTCGGTTTGGCGGCATCGGCGCACATGCGAACGAGGATGACCTATAGCCACGCGAAGGAAACCAATTAGCAGAGTGATGGTATGCCAGTCACGTATGTGGCTTCGGTGGCAGTTTACCTCTGTCGGATTCCCAACCATCCCGGCCAAGCCGCCGGCAACCCCGGCACAGGCGATGGTGGACGTGGTTGATAGCTTGGAGGTGCCTGACCTCTGCTGCAGTTGCCGCGAGAGGACAGTGTACAAGCCAAAACGGGCGGTCGAATAGGTGGATTGTCGGAGGATAGAGGCGGACAGACCGGACCACAGAGACATGATTCCTGTTGGCAACGGCCAGTCAGCGTGGGTGGACGAGGGTTCTCCCGCTGCTGGTTGGGCTCACCATCGCGTGTGGCGAATTTGTGGAGGGTTGAGAGCATGGGGGCGTGAGTCTGGAGGACTTGCATCCGGCTGAGCATCGACACACGTGTGAGCCTTGATCCTCGGTTGAAAGGATTATGATGGCAGGTTGGACATACTACTTTGTGAGATCTAGGGGATGAGCTGGGCAAGTATGTCAGAGAACACATGCATCGTGGTCAACGCCTGAACTGTTGACGTACTGAAGCATACTGCCATGGACGCCGCGGCTCCACTGTTGGATGGTCGCCATGCACGGTCAGGACGGGATTCCAAACCTGGTATATGGTATGAAGGTGGTGGTGGGACAACAGGGCACTCACCCAAGCCAAAACGGCTGCTTAGATCCCTTTTGCCCGGCCATTGCTCCGCTCCGGCCAAGCGTTCCAGTTACTGCAGGTATTCTCTGGTAACTCTGCCACCCTAGGTCCGGGACGGGAACTTGGGGTACATATGCGTCGCGTTGCAGATAGACGACCACGAATGTGAACTCCAACCTGATAAGGGGTACAGGACGTTGCTCTGCATTCAGGGACCCCTCGATCGGCGACCCCCAACTTCCCGCCGGCGCTCCAAGCACAGAATACCCCCGATAAGATTCCCAGGTCCCAACGGTCCGGGCCGATATACCCGCTCATGGCTAGGTACACTTGCATGCCAGCCTGCAGCCATACAAATCTGCTTGATACCAAGAACCCTACTGGAGATGGTCCCAACCAAAGCCCGGGCTGATAGTTCGTAAGCGGTTAATAAGGTTCTTAATCCTTAGGTACCTATCTGCTGCAGGCAGCTAATCGTCACTCAACTCCTGCGGCTCCTCTATCGGGCACCTGTACCTCACTTACGGCCCCAAGTACTCTTGAATCACCGCCTTCATCAATAAGAGACCAAATGCTCAGACACACTGGCAATGCGTGATGTGAGTTGAACTGGTGGGGCTCGGCGCAATTTGTAGGTGCCGGTGTGCAGCCGTCGTCGGGGATGTTTACCCACTTGGTACGGATACAGCGAGGTGGGGCCGTTAGTGACAGGGATGTGGGCCGTCTCACATGCCGGTCGATCCTGAATCTCAGTCGATGATGTGATGGGACGGACAGGGCGGATGATCAATCTGGCAGCCGGTACGGAGTATTGTTCTGGTGTACTGTAACGACCAGGTACCTACGGATAGCTGGTAGCGATTTCGTTTGCTTGACATCGGACAGACAGATGTCCGAGAGGATAGTAAAGAAGACAAAGCTAACGTCGAAGAAAGTTCAGTCGGAGAAAGCTATTGCTGCGCGAGACATGTCGAAGCTCTCGCCGTCGCTCAAAGCGCTCATCAACGCGCCGTTTGCCCGCCCGGGGCAGGCGGCGGCACCGCGGCACATCCGTGACATCTACGCCCGCATCGCACACGAGGCACGCGAGCGCAAGTATGGCGAGCGGCCGTGGGTGACACTCTCGGTACGTCTTTCCTCTACTCTCATTCACTCAATCATCTTCCACCACCTACCAAAACCGAACTCTTTTGCTGACAGTAGACGGGGGGAATAATAAAAGGCAGCAGCAACATTCACCCTCAACTCCCCCTCCTCGCTGCTCATCCTGCACGACCTGGCCTCCTCCTCCTCCTCTTCAACCAATCTCTCCCCGCTACGCACCGCCGAATTGATCCGCGAAATCGGGCTCAAATGCATCTCCTTCAACGGCATCCCGCGCACAATCAACTGCCTCGGCGCCTTCAAAGCCGGGCTGGACCCTTCCCTGGCCTCGCAGCTGACCACGACCCCGTCGCGCCACCTCACGCCGGACAACATCGCCTCCGTGACAGAACACGGCCGCGATCTGTGGGCCAGCATCTACACCCCCTTCGACGAGAAGCTCGAGGCCAAGCTGGCCGATAGCCACCCGGACTTGCCGGTGCATATCCTGGGTTGTCACTACGGGCCGCTGCTGGCTGATCCGCCTGCCAGGAATGCTCAGCGGCGGCAAGGAAGCGGGTTGGGGGCGGTGGGGCGGAACTTGACGAGTGTGGTTGCTGTTGCGTGCTTGAGGGCGCAGACCGGGGTTGGGCCGCAGGTGTTGAGCCATGTGTTTGGGTTGAGGAAGGGGGTGGAGCAGGGGTTGCATCGGGAGGAGTTTGTGGGTGTGGAGGATGGGGAGGCGGAGGCGGAGGGGGTCGAGAGGTTGGCCGGGGACGAGGGGTGCGAGTGGTTGTTGAGGAGCGTGGATGCGATTGCCGAGGCGGTTGGGAGTAGCTATGCGAGATGGGACGGTGAGGGTGGGAAGGGGGGCAGGGAGTCGAAGTTGTAGGGGTGTGTCAATAGGTATAGGTACTAAACCTGGAAACATAAGGTACAGGTAACTAGAAGGGGAGGTGAGATCGGGTGTACATAACGTAGTACATACTTGCATGGGAATCATGAATGGAAATTGGATAGCTCCGTGTTCGCGAAAAGGCAGTAGTGCTCTGCAGACACTGCACTGTTAGGCACAGGAAATGGAAAGCTACCTATATAAGCGCGCCCAGGAATGCAGGGATACAACAAGCCGAAAGTAAGTCATCGTCTAAAATAGGTGCCCTCACTCCATGGTCTTCAGATCCTCGGCCACCGCAAACGTGGCATCCGTCTTGCTCCTCACTTCCTCCACGTCCACGCCCGGCGCCACCTCGGTCAGCGTGAGCGTCCCGCGTTTCCGGTCAACTTGGAAAACGCACTGCATCTCAAGTCAGCATCAACCTTTTCTCTGGCCCTCGTGCATCGGGGCAACTCACCAGATCCGTAATGATGGTGCTCACGACCCGCGCCCCGGTCAGCGGCAGACTGCAGCTCTGCACCACCTTGGACGTGCCATCCTTGGCCACATGCTCCGTCGCCACGACAATCTTGGTGTTGTCCGGGTTCGACACGAGGTCCATGGCGCCGCCCATGCCCTTGAACACTTTGCCCGGGATCATGTAGTTGGCCAGGTCGCCGGCCGCGCTGACCTGCAGCGCGCCCAGGATGGACACGTCGACGTGCCCGCCGCGGATCATGCTGAAGGACTCGGACGAGTCGAACGTGGCTGCGCCGGGAACCAGGGTCGTGGTCTCTTTGCCCGCGTTGATGATGTCGCTGAGCACCGGGTCATTAGTGTTGGTCAAAGGTTCAGATACTAAGATCTTGAGTTGGACGAAGGGGAAAGGAAACTCACGGGTCGACTTCGTCGGGAAGCGGGTAGTCACCCATCCCCAGGATGCCGTTCTCGGACTGGATCCAGACTTGTTCCCCGGGGGGCAGGAATGAGGGGGCCAAGGTGGGAATGCCTGGAACACAACCGTCAGCATGGCTCGCCCGCGCGCAGAATACCCCGGGACCAGCTGCTGTTCTTACCAACACCTAGGTTGACGTAGAACCCGTGCTTCAGCTCCTTCGCCGCCCGCCGCGCGATGCGGTCCCTCCGCGTCTGTGCCTCCCCCTTCGACTTGGGATCCTTGCCGTCCCCAGTTGACCGCGTCTTGATGATTTCGACCATCGACGCTTCCGTTGCCGGCACAATCCGGTCAATGAAGATGCCCGGGAGGTCGACATCGTTGGGATCGATTTCGCCAACCTCGACGATATTCTCAGCTTCGACGATGGACAGCCTCGCCGCCTTGGCCATCAGCGGAGCGAAGGACTTAGTCGTGTACCGGAACACGCAGTTGCCAGCCTTGTCCACCTTCCACGCCCGCAGGATCGCCACATCGCCGTGCAGGGCAGTCTCCATGAGATACGGCCGGCCGTTGAATATCCTGGTCTCCCGTGGCTTGCCGTACTCAACCACATTGCCTTCGGCGTCGAAGCGGACGGGAATCGCACCTTCCTGCACCAGCGTGTCTAAGTCCAATGTTCAGCACGACACCAGCCACGAAAGGACCTGGGGCATAACGGCAAAGCACGCTAGGTACTTACGGCCGCCGGTTGGAGTGAAGAAGGCCGGGATGCCGCTCCCTGCAGCTCGTATCCTCTCGGCCAACGTTCCCTGCGGGCACAGCTCGACGGCGATCTTGCCCGTCAGGTACTGCTTTTCCAGCTTTTTGTTGGAACCCAGATACGACATGATCATGCGATCGACTTGGCCATTTTCTGTCAGGAGAGCCAGCCCCCCACGCCCTTCCGCCCCGGCATTGTTTGACACGGCCGTGAGCGAGTGCAGAGACTCTGGGCCCCGTCGTCGAAGTGCCGCAATTAAAGTAGCTTTTTTCTCGCGTTCCGTTTGTCAGTTCGTCCCTAAGTTCTCTCATTTTCTTCCGTCGAAGCAACGCAGGACTTACATGCCACGCCGCACAGCCCAAACCCGGAACTCAGAATGACCGAGCCACTCTGGATGTCTGCAACCGCTTCATCCGCACTCTCCCATAGTTTCGAACCTCCACGATCAACCGCAGGAACCTCCGCCGACCTCCAGATCCTCGACTGCGAGAAGTTCCGGGCCCCAATGGCAAAGTTGTTGTTTAACCTGATTCCTGCCGCCGGCGTCACTGTCCTCGCGACCCCACTCAGAGCAAGCAACTGCCGGGCGCCCGCCCGCCGTGCCAGCACAGGCGCCGTTTGCCTCGCTGCCCGCGCCAGGCCTGCCATTGTGCCTTACTAAGTATAAAATACGGGTCGTAGTTTGGGCTCTTCTCGTTTCAATTCACCGTCTCGGTGCGGTATATGGAAATATCAACAAACTCATATTGCATTTCTGTTCCCAAAGATCCGCGACCCACGTCCCTGGGACCCTGCCGTTCACTCCGGCACGGTTCTTGTTCTGCCATCCGGAGCAAAACTGCCAAGCACTTTGCGTCATCGTGCAAGGTCCCCGGTCCAGTCCGTTACAGCACCTCGGTACCCAGATGTAACGCCGGAATGAGTTCCCCCAATTCTCGGCCGGCTCTGAGAATCGGAAGCGGCAAGCGGCAAGCGGCCCGCTGCTCGCGATCGAGCTCGCGATCGCGCCACCGACAGGTACGGAGTACCTACCGCCTGCACGAGGTTGCAGCCAATGACCATCGATGGTGCCGAGGCCTGTCGGTGCGTTACACTTGGCTTCAGCTAATCCAGAATCCTTGAGGTTGGTGTTGCTTGTTTTGCCTTGGCAAGAGCTTATCTGCAGACCGCAAGAGCCTCAGGCACCCTCATGTCAGTAACCCGAATCTGGGAAGCACAGCCTGAGCAGCACCTGCTATGGAATCCACCCGTAGGAACAAGCCTAACATTGGATGCATCTTCGCCAACAGCGTTGACTGCGATCGTGTCCTTCTGGTTGGTGTTGTTTGGTTGCTCCAATCACACTACCCGTAGTTATGCGCGGGGTCGATTGCGACCTTCCACATTCGTGAGCATGTCAGCTTTCATCTTTCATCCGCTGAATCAACTGGCAGCTACTAGTACCAGACTACCAGTTAGCCAGTTATCGTCGCTGCCATGTCTCCAATGAATGGATTTGTTAGTGCTGATCGTGTCTCGGTCCAATCCAGGATTTGGGGCTCGAACCTGTAGATGATCGTCAAGCGGGGAGACGCAGCGATACCGGGCACAGCCAGGGTAACTTCAGCTCATGGTGGCAATCCATGCATTTTGATTCGATCAGAAACGGGTACCTGCTTGCATGCGCCGTAAATGTTGATGTCTCTTGAATGTTCTTGCTCCCTTAATTGACACCGGGCAAGCTCCAAGCACTACCCTTATCTACGCACTTGAGGGTCTCTGCACTCCATCCCCACGCTCCCTTGTTGTCTTCACAAGGGGAAGCTATGTCTTCAGATCGGGCTATTGAGGCTGAGAAGCCAGCAAGCGAGCACGCTTCTATCCGCGATGCGACCACACAACCCGCCCCTCAGGGCGAGGAGCAGTTGACAAGACGCATACTGTTCAAAACAGACACGAGGTGTGTTTCGTTCGCTCTCCTCAGTTCCGTTCCAACATGCGCCCAACCCATCCGTTGAATGATAATATTGATGGTAATCCCGGGCACAGGATCCTCCCAATCCTCTCTCTGCTCTTCCTATGCTCCTTTCTCGACCGCACCAATGTCGGCAACGCGAAAATCATCGGCCTCGAAAAGGACCTGGGAATCTCCAACCTGCAGTACAACCAAGGCCTGGCCGTCTTCTATGCAACCTACATTGCCAGGTACGCTTCTTGCCCTCTCTCCCTCCCCAAGGTGTGCCCAAAAACGAACACTCCCTCCATCCAGAGCGCTCCACCTCCGCCCCCTTCCCGATGAATAACCAAAAATAACCAAAAATAATAAAAAACAGTGAACTCCCCTCCAACCTAGTCCTCAAGAAGCTCACGCCTAAGCTCTGGCTGCCCTGCCTGACCTGCGCATGGGGTTTAATTACCATGTGTTTAGGCTTCGTGCGGAGCTTTGCCAGCTTCTTTGCCGTGCGGGCGCTGCTCGGCCTCGCCGAGGGCGGCCTCCTCCCGGGCATGGTGCTGTACCTGTCCGGTCTGTACACGCGGCGCGAGATTGCCGTCCGCGTCGGGCTGTTCTACACGGCTGCTTCGCTTTCGGGGGCTTTTGGTGGTACGTGTACATATATGATTTTCTTGTCTTCTAGGCGTGGCATATCCCCTTCGAGGGGAAGGGGTTGGGTCTGGAGGTTTTAGAAAAGACAAAAAGCTAATAATGGGGTGTATGGCCCTGAACAGGTCTGCTCGCCCGTGGGCTGTCAGCCATTGGGCCGAGGGCCGGATTGGAGGGATGGAGATGGATTTTCATTATTGAGGGCTTGATGGTGAGTCTGCTTCGATGAGTTCGTATATCTTGAATCGACAAGCTAACCATAAGGAGACTATTCTTGCCGGAATTATGGCGTACCTACTGCTTCCGACCAGTATCTCGAGTGCGCCGTACCTGAGCGAGGAAGAGAAGGAGTTCGCCTTGCTCCGTCTCCAGGGGCGGACACAGGGCACTATCACGGAAAGATTCAAGTATGTCATTGTCAGATCGGGCACTCTTATGTTTCAGGTACGGCGAATGTTGAGCTGACGTCCGCAGTCCTGTGCTCGAGCGCGAGGAAAAGTTCAAGTGGTCTGAAGTACGCCGCGGAATTTTTAACGTCCAGGTCTGGCTCACTTCGACCGCCTACTTTGCTATCTTGTCTGGGCTGTATAGCTTCGGCCTGTTTGTACGCACCAACCCTTTCCAAACCCCCCCCCCCCCCCCCCCCCCTCCCCCTCCCTTTCCACGCACCCAGCTGCTGAACTATCGTCTACCAGCTCCCCACCATCATCAACGACATGAAAATCACCTCCAACGCCAACGAAACCCAACTCTGGTCCGTCATCCCCTATGCGGTGGCAACACCCATAACCGGTACGTTGCCCCCCGCCTCTCTTCCCACCTCTCCTCTCCCCTCCCCTATTCCCCCGCCCTAACACCCCACACACACTAACCCCCGCTGCGCCATGGCTTACGGAAAATTCAGTCCTGATAGCGTTCGCCTCGGACCGGCTCAACCTGCGCGGGGTGATGATGCTGGGCACGCTGCCCGTGGCGATCGCGGGCTACGCCGTGATCGCCAACGTGTCGTCGGCCGCCGCCCGCTTCGCCATGACCTGCCTCATGGCCATCGGCATGTACGCCAGCGTTCCCTGCGTGCTGGTGTGGAACGCCAACAACTCGGCGGGCCACTACAAGCGCGCCACGACGTCGGCGCTGCAGCTGGCTGTGGCGAACTGTGGCGGGTTCGTTGCGAGTGAGTTACTACTATTTTCCTACTATTACTCTAATTACCCTCGTCTGGATGATATCCTTCGTTGAAGGAGTTTGAGGGGGGGAAATGAGAGCTGGTTGGCTGATTTTGGTGGCACCTTGAAAGCGTTTGTGTATCCCAGCACCGAAGCGCCGCTGTATCATAAGGGACACACTGTTTGTCTTGGCCTGTTGGTTTATGCCTGGTTTGCGTAGGTCTCCCTTTGCTCTACTCTCATCTGTCGAGTTGTCAAGGTTGGCTGACACGGTGATTAGGATACTGGCCAACGTTTTGTGGTGTGCCAAGGTCAACAGGGACAAAAAGGATGGGAAGTATGCGCAGTATGAAGGGAGCGAAGATGACAGAGACCCGAGGTTCAAGATGGTACTGTAAAGCTGAGGGTTTCACGGAGGTAAGTCAAGGGAAGGGAGGGCTGAAGCATAGCGGAAGAACTCCAAGGGATGATGACAATGAAACGATGGCTATGTCTTTCAGACCGTAATGAGAACCAAGGAGTCATTGATATATGGATATTGTACACTGTCTAATCGCCAAATACCAGAACTCCTATACTCCTACCGCAGCTCCGAAATGATGTGCTATTGAACCCATGACAGACCGGTTATTGAAAAACAATAAACCTCGAGAAAAGAGGAAATATCAACGGGCAAAACCCAGGTAAAGAGTGAAAAGGGGTGTAAACTCGGAAGGATATCAGGGAATACAGCCGTATTAGTAAGAATGACTGTGAACATGTCCTGAGAGGAGAGAGAAAAGAATGTGCGGTTGAACAAGTGTGGGGGGTTCGGTCAAGCGAAGGGTCGTGATCGTAACTCGGATCAATGAGTAATAGAGAGGAGTTGAGCGAGTGAGTAGTTGAGCCACTGTGAGGGTAGTTGCGCGAGCGCCAGAGTGGTTGAGTGAGCGTCAGAGTAGTTCAGCGAGCGTCAGAGTAGTTGAGCGAGCGTGAGAGTCTTGAAAGAGCGACAGAAGGATCCGAAAGGTTAAGTGAGCTGCAGGAAGGTAGTTGAATCCAAACACTGAGAGAGTGACTGAAGGTGGCCGAAATGGCTCTAAACGAATGGAAAGGATAGTCCTAGAAGAGCGAGTGGAGAGGACGATGCCGAATGTATAGCAATGAATGAATGACTGGGACGGCGAAAGAGTGACCGTGTGCTGAGAAGAGCGAAAGAGCGACCGAATGCTTGAACGAGCGAAGACAAAGCCGTAAAATATGGTCCTGTTGCCAAAAGTGCCGAAGCCGAACCCGTCTAAGTAATGCGCCCCCGATGCTGCCCCTGTATCCGAGTAGTGTATTGGAAGAAAAATGAGTGTCCATAAAGCGTTATCCTGTTGACAACGCCGAACGAATGTAAATGTTTCGTAACGAGCGTAAGATGAATGACCGACTGGAAGCGAGAGTGTTGTGACGTATTAGAGGTCCGGCCTCTCATGAGCCAGGGCCGAAAAGCAACAGCAGCGCAATAACGAATGGAAGGAGAAACGGGATATCAAGCCTGGACTCGGCATTATTTGCCCGCGTTCCCAACTCCGCTGGTGTCCTCGCTGATTTGGCCGGTCTGCTGCATCTTGGAGAGGACCGGGACAGCGACACCGGGGCAGCCGACGCCCTGGGTGGTCAAGTTGAAGTTCTGCATGACCTGGATCATGGCGGTGGCACGCAGCTTCTGGGTTTCGACCGACTTGTCCGCCTCGTCGTTGAACTTGTCCAGCGTAATGGGGATGGCGACCTGCTCCTTGCTAAAGATGAAGCCCTTGGTCAGGGCCTGCGTGAGCTTGCCGAGGAAGTCCGGGTCAGTCGGCGCCGGCGGGCAGTAGCACGGAATCGGCTTCTGGTTGGCACCGGTACAGGCGCCCTTCTGGACCTGGTCCTTGCCCTGGCCCGCCGTCACGCCGAAGGACTTGGGAATGACATTCTGGTTGACGGCGCTGGAGCTCGAGTTTTGGCGGGGCGCCACGGCCGCGGAGGCGCTGGCGGCGAGGAGGGCGACGAGAGAAACGGGTTGCATCTTGAAGGAAGGAGTGTCTGGTTTCTCTGGAAGGGGGAGCGAAAGGGTCCGGCCCGGAAGATAAAGAGTACAAGGTCTGAAGGAAAGACGAGACCCCTAAGAGCCAACTAGATGCTATGAGCTGAGTGGTGGATGGGTGAGTGGTGAGAGGAGATGCAAGAACGAGAGACTGTCTGTCTCCTTATATACCCAACCCATCCATGTTCATCATAGCTTGCGTAACATATCCCAAGCATGGAACCCTCTCCTGGAAGAGATGACAGGTCGACGGCCACAAACGCGGTGGCACCGTGCACATGGGCGGCGGGCCATGACGAGAAACGAAACATGAGGTGGGCATCAAACGTCAAAGCCCTCTGATGTGATGTACCGACCGCGTGGTCCAGCCGGTGTAAGCTTGATTTCCGGCGCTTGGGCAACTGCATTTTAGCCGCCATGCATGACTCCACGAAATCATGCACATCAGATGGATGGATGCAATTGCCGGGCAGCTCCCGCTCTGCGACGCCCGTACGGGCCCCCTGCAGCGGCCGTGACAAAGCATGGGACAGGCGCAACAAAGAACTCCCCTTCTGTGTCGGTCGTTCTGGTTGCCGGCCGTAATGGCGGCCTTGCCCTGATCCCTGCCATTGGCTCTCCGGCACTCTTCCTGCGGCGTCCGATGTGGGGTAGCTTTGGCCCGGCCCGACAGCGCGACAGGTCCCGCTCCGGCCCCGTGTCGTCCGTCGCATTCCGCTACAGACATCGGACGACCTGTCGCTTGCATCGGTCTAGTTCAAGGGTATGTCAAGACTGCATCGATGGCACGGGAATCGGTGGATTAGGGTGATGTGAATGTCTGATTTGACACAGTTCTGGGCAGTCCAGCCCACAAGACAAGCCGAGCACGCCGCAGTGGGTGGTACCTGCCAGCCAGAGTCGCGTGGTCTTTCCGCACTCACCCTCAACGCCGCGACATCCCGTTCAGAGGATGCTAGAGTGATGCATCCGCAGCACCACGACTTGACACGATGGATGCAATTTTCAAAGCATATTTCAACAAGCAATCGGCCGTTTGGTGTAGCCGGTTATCACGTCAGTCTAACACACTGAAGGTCTCCAGTTCGAGCCTGGAAATGGTCAAACAGCTTGTGTCTACTGTACCTTTTGTATTTTTTCGTTGCTCCACCTCCTACACTTTCCTCCTCTTCAGTCCTGCAATTGCTTGATTTCTACTACGAAAGGCGCGATGGCAGAGTGGTCTAATGCGTGAGACTCGAAATCTCATCTCTTCGGAGGCGTCGGTTCAAATCCGGCTCGCGTCGACTTTTTCGCCCCCGTCCTTATGGAGTGTCAACCTTTTATGCTACTTGGGGGTCCGAGCGTTTTTCAACCTATGGCCCCCTCTAAAGAACATGTCTCCGAATTATTGCACCCCCTCTTTAGAGTTTAGAGGGCCATCGGTTGAAAAACGCTCGGACCCCCAAGTACTTGAATGACAAGGCCAGTCATTAAGAAGGTGAGATAGTTGGCAAACACCAAGGGATAAGGTTAAGGTGTTATACATGTAGTTGTATAAGGCACGAAGCGTACTGAGCTAACTGGGAGAGGAGCTAAAGAATCCTAAATTCCGGAGTAGACTGGGACTACACCTCAACGAAGTTTTCCCATTAATATTTGGTCTTCTCAGAGGACTCCTTGGGGTTTTTGAGTTCCCTCCAGGCTCTGCTCAATGCACCAGTTTCACAGCCCCAGCCCTCCTCCGTCTCAATCTCACCGCCGCCACACCCGATGCATCGGTGCCGTTCCCACCAGCACCCGCAGTACCATTACTCGGCGCCGTACCATTCCCGCCGCCGCCGTTTCCATTGCCCCCTCCATTTTCATTCCCACCGCCATTACCTGCTCCATTCCCATTCCCATTCCCATTCCCACCCCCAGGAACAACGATGATAATGTTGTCCCCGCCGCCCTTGCCTTTTCCTCGACCCCTGCCTCTACCTTCGCCATCTCCTCTACCCCGTCCCTCTCCTCTTCCCTCTCCTCTTCCGTCGCCGTCGCCGTCGCCGTCGCCGTCATTATCACCCCGTCCTGGAGATGGCGCTGCCACAGCGACCGCTGGGCCGGCAAACACAGTCACTGCTGCAAGGGCGCCCTGCAAAGGACGGGGGTTTGTTAGTCTCCGAACGAGCAATGGGGAGGAAGAGAGGGGGGGTTAAAGGGAATGTAGGATAGTGTGATGTGCTGTGTGTACTAGTAGGTCTAGGTAGTCTTACGGCGTAACGCAGACTGAGTGCGTTGGTGTTGGGTCCGCTGAATCCGGCAGCGGTGCTGGCGGCTGAGAGCCCGCCGATAGCAACCAGCGCGTGGGTGAGGGTTGGAGCGTGCATGGTGTGCTGAGGTAGGAGTGAATGTTTAGTGGGCGGAGGTGATTGATCGATGCAGAACGTAGAGGGGATACTGTATGGCAAGTAGACACTAGACGGCTCAGCCGTCGTGTGGGTGAATAATGGTATGGAAGCGGAGGCCTGAGATGGATACTGTCCGAGTATTCTGGTGGATGGGAAGGGATAGGGTGGACCTCAGCTGTGGAAAGGTGAAGAGGAAGGTTTAAGAATCTGGGGGGTATGAGAGGCGTGTGGCACTGGATTCGCTGAGGGCATTGAGATGGAGGAAGTGTACAAAATCCTGAACGCTTCAGGGACGGAAATCAAGCTTGTGTCACTCGTCAGACCGCCCGATCATTAGAACATCTCCTTAGCGAGATCAGCACCGTGCCGGCATGTCCTGTACAACAGAGATAATTATTGGTCTTGAACCGTAGATGAAAGCCAAGGGACAAGATCATGTCACAGTCCGCGTGTCGTGCCGCACTTTGGGCCAGCGCTCGGCGAATTACTACTCGATTCAAGACCTACCGAGCGGCACAGGATCTACCCAGATCTACGTCTAGATTCCTCTGTCGCGTGGCACAGTCTAGACTTCAGATCCAGGCCGCTACGAGTGGCCGCAGCTGTGCCATTAGATTGCGGGTGGCTGACGTCAAATGTGTCGGAGACACCCCCTGACTTCGCTGGGCCAGTTCGGTCCAGGACCCGGGCTAAACCCCCAGCTTTGCACAAAGAAAATATAAAATCATTGCCTGATAGGATTGTCTTGGCTGCGACAAGTTCAGGCATCGTATCTTGATTTTCGAGGTAGCACCATCCGCGCAAGCAACCCCGGGGCCACGACACAGGAACAAGAGAGGAGGTAAGTTGATAACGTCAAAAGGGCGATCAGAAGCCTCGGAACTAATCCTATCGGAACAGCTTCAATACGCTGCTATGCTATCCTGGACTTGTTTCCGTGGGCTCTCCTCTGTTTGTAATTCGTAGCGCAGCGGCAAAAGAGAGCATGTAGACTTAGCGGACTGCGAAACTGTTGGCGAGGGAGGAGACGACCGGTGTCGTAAACGACGCTCTATTATTACTACTAGTACCCTGCAACCATTACCCTATCCCCGGGCTCGCGATTCTTTCATACCCAGGTGCTGCCGATCAGGTTCTTACAGTCTTCTAATGGCCTGGTCAGCTGGCATTCAGAAACCGAAGCAACCCCTAAATAAAGGCAGGGGTGATGTCCGGTAGCTAGTACTACCGGGCTAGCGGCCAATCTCGCTTGCGCGTTGACAAGTCCGCCGGGAGCCCTGGTGGTGATTTAAGCTTATTGAAAGTTCGTACCTTACTACTCTCTTTTTTTACTTCCGCATTTCAGTTTCGTAGAACCCGATACTGGACTTCTCATCATACAATAATCACTAAATCCGAAATTCTATCTGCCGGGAAGTTTAGCATCATCGTTGTCATTACGTCGTAACTTGGATATCAACACCTTGTCTATCTCCCTCTCTTAGATAACCCCCTCCCATGGACATATCAACGGCTTCCCAAACCTGGCACGACCAACGCGGTATCTACAGAACCCATATCCACCAGAAACAGAAGGTCACTCTCCGCCATCTAAACACCTTTGCTTTCTTCCACCCCAAAAAGTCTGCGCTCCCTCTCCCCTCTCAAACATAAGCCCGGTGATGCGAGTGCGAGCTGCGGCGACTGCCCGCGCGATGGCCACTCCTACTCCTGCTGCCATGGCGACTCCTACTATGGCTGACCCTCCGGGTCTCGACATACCTCGTCTCGGTCTTGACGGCGCGGTCGCCGTGGATCCACGCGAGCACGGCGGTGATGAAGAAGAAGATGGTGTTCATGATGCCCAGGGCGAAGCAGGCCTTGAGCATGCTGCACGTCTTGTTCAGACTGACGCGCACGCCGTTGACGGTGGCGCTGCCGAAGATGCCGAAGCTGACGTCGTAGCTGGACCCGCGCGCGACCGACGCGCAGTCGGCGCGCGCGATGAAGCGCAGGTAGTACACGCCCGCGATCAGCGCGCCGACGAAGGCCAGGTCGATCAGCGCCACGAAGCGCGCGTGCGTCGACGACCGGTGGTAGCTGAACAGCGTGAACATGGCCCACGCCGTCGCGAGCACCGACACGATGAAGAGCAGCAGGATGTAGGTCGGCGCCATCACGTTGGCGTCCATGTAGCCCGACACGAACCAGGCCAGCATGCCTAGAATGGGGATCTGTTGTATGGCAGAGGTTATTTAGGATCAGGCGTGAGGAATAAGGAAGGTGGGGGGGAATGTAACTCACCAGAGTGATGATCTCGAGGAAGCGCCAGAAGGCGAACATGATTGCGAAAAGCATCTTGTCGACGTCCGATGCGCCCCGCGTCGGTCCTTCAGTGTGCTGTGTATAACGGCCTTCTGCTGGTTGTCGACGATCAAGTACTAGGTCGTTTCACTAGCTGAGGTTCTGCCGCCGCGAGATATAAAGAGGTAGGTCGAGTGCAATGAGAAATTGAGAAGTACCAGTCATAGAAGTTGGTTAGGTGTAGTGCTCTTGATTCGAGGGATCCCACACCGTAAGCCGCCCTCAGTGAATCCTCCTGGCGTCGAGGGATTGGTTCCCAGTCTGTGTTGGCGGGTTATGTGACTTGTACTTTGCCTCGCATGTGTCCCTGTCTCGGATGCAAGGTACTACGGCAGGCGCACGTGGTGATGAAGGTACAGATCCTGTGAGGATAACTGCCCAGACTACACCGGAATGCGAAGTACTTGGTTCTGGCTGGGAATCTAGGTACTGCTGGTGGCTGCAAGATACCCGTGAAATCCGCCCCGTCGCAAACTGCAGTGGTCCCAACGATGCGGGCAAGCGGGGTTCCACACGAACGAACCAAGAACCGGGGGCTGCGCCGCCAACTGAAGGGCGTGGTAAGAGAGTCTAGAGAGAACTAAAGCAAGTAGATCTGTAGCTGGAATGCACCGTGAGACTCTTCAAAAAGCGAATCGCTGGGAACTGTGAGAAATGCACGAGGGCCCTGAATTTTTGTTGCAAGCAGGGAGCAAATGTCATGACTGGCCATTCATCGGGGAACACAAGACGGAAGAAAGCTGAAAAAAAGACGGAGGCTGGCAATCCAACCAATCACAAGCACTCACACGGAGACCATGGTTGCCGGGCACCGGCCCACGTGTCAGGAATCCGGATGGCTGGTGCCAACTACAAGACAACTGGCGGCCTCTTTTGAGTTTCCGGATGCTGGATTGAGTATACAAACTAGATGGTAGTAGATCTCGCATTTTAGTATGAATCCGAACTTGTTCCCTTCATACAAAGCGCATCCTTCAATCAACGATCAATCACACCAAACTCGTCAAAATCCCGAATCATCGGCCCCACACCATCCGGCTCCGGCCCGGATCCACCTCGACTCAACGGGCTCCGGTCGTTCGGCGCTCCCGTAGCACGAGCCAGGGCCCTTCCACCCCTTCCTCGCTCAGCTCCACCAGAGGACACCATAAAGACCTCCCCGTCGACCTCCACCTCCTCGTCCAGCAGATCGTCGAGCTCAGAGAGTCCCCTGCCATGGGAATAGCCATGGCCATGGTAGCCACTATGAGCCAGCCTTGACTGCGTGCGGTGAGCGTAAGGGCCCGGTGAGGGAGTCAGTCCACCGCGGCCATGCATGGAATACGGTTGCCCCTGATGGTGGTCCGACGCAGCCCACTCGTGCTCCTCTGCAACAGGGGGCTTCACCCGGATACCTCGCCCCGATCGCTGGTCCCGCCTGAACGAGGCAGCGGGAGCAGCAGTGGGCGAAGTTGGCGAGCGAACACTACTCCCCGCCTCGCTCCCCGAGTAAGACAGCAGGCTCGCCGCCGACGCTGAGCTGCTGAAGGCTGAGTAAGCGCCGCCATTGCTTGCGACGGAGGGCGCCCGACTGCTGTTCCTGCTGCGGACTGATCCGAGCAGCGTGCGCTGCCCTGTAGCCACCCGCGGCATTGGCGGCATGAGGAAGTCATCGCTATGTGTGCTGCTGTGGCCGCGGGCGTATGCCATGGGCCGGATGCCTTCCTCGCCGGCGGATTGCTCGGCCTCGCTGTTGGAGACATCGCTGCTGCTGGTCCATCTAGCCGGCACCGTCCAGCAGTGTGACAGCTCGTGGGCCGCTTCATGCGTGTTCAGGCGAGGCCCACCGGTTTTCCATGGGGGCACTTTTACGCCCTTCAGCCGCGGCGAGATATGGTATGACACATCGTCCTTGTACCGTATGCCGGGTGCGTCGACAGAAACGCTGGCCAGAGTCTGTAGAATGCCGTAGATGAGCACCCAGCGAGCGCGCCGGGCGGTGAACGGATCGATCCGCCCAAGGTGATCCGTTTTCTCGAATTTGCTGAAGGCGTCGATGAGGTCCGAGTGGATAAAGTCCGACCCGAGGATGCATATGTTGGTCGCTTCCGTATATGCCAGTTGGATGCGTCGCTCGTCTGCCCCCATCCGACCGGCCCCATTCGTCCTGCTGGCATTCTTCTTGACTGACTTGCCGCCAAACATCCCGCCCGCCGAGCCCTCTTTTGTCGGGCTGCTGCTGCCGGACCGTGGTGCGATGGAGACCGGCACGAGCGGATAGGGATAGGGGATGTGCGGGAAGCGATGTTTGTTGTCGAACTCGATGAGCATGTCCGTCATGGGCAGATCCGGCGTGTCCGTTTCGAGTCCCTGCGTTCCGCTTTCGCTGACCATCATCCACTTGCGACTCGGACGAGCTTCGGACTCATCCCATACGATATCACGGTTGACAAGATAGTCATACAAAGCTGCAAAGTCTTTTTGTAGCAGCTGCCCCACGGTTCTTGTCAGCCAGATGTCCTCTTCGTCCTCTCCAACCTGAGCCGAGAGGCCACCACGGCTCCGCGATACCGGCGGTGGCCATGATCCGAACTGCCGAGTGTAGTACTGCACAAAGAACTGCTGTAGTCTATCCATGGCCGCCTTGGCCGGCGCTGTGACGACCGGCCCGCTTGTGTTGGCGGTAACCGCCACCGAGGACGGCCACATGTCGCCGTAGTCGAACTCCGCCAAGCGCTCCTCAGCAGCCTGGATGCGCAGCTGTGTCTCGAGGGAGACACGTTCTAGCAGACCCCGAGTGATTGGCGTCACATGTTTGAAGTCGGCGCACTTCTCGAGCTGCCCGTACATGCCGGCGCAGTGTACAAAACTCTCCCGCCATCCTGCCTCCCACCGAACCTCACTGCTTTCGCTCCACGCCAACAGGCTCACGGCTGTCTCTGGGTCGTTCCGCACATCGTCAAGGCCCTTGGCAGAGACATACCGAAGAAGAGCCCCAAGGGTATCAGACGTCCGGGGCATGTAGGATTCGAGACGAGTAGAGAGGTCTGTCAGGGCTTGGAAGAGAGAAAGCCCCACCAGTGAAGCATAGGAAATAAATGCAAATACATTGCGGGTCGTGATGTGGTATCGAAGCTGGTCGAGCCGCGGGAGGTTGGGTGGCGCGGGGAGGTACATCTCATACGAGATCTGCCCATCCATCTCCCACACGCTGCCGCTATCCTCCGAGCCAGGAGGGGTTGGTTGAGCCCCATGGCCATATTCTCCTGGGACATGATGAGCAGCCTGCTCAAACGACCCGTAACACTGCGGCATCGGCAGAGCGCCAGCAGGAGAAGAAGGGAAGTCGACGTCCTCGTCAGTGGACCCTTCCCGCAAGAGCGTGAGGAGGTAGCGAGATTCGGTTGCCTCGATGATGTGCGACGACAGGCGGAACGAAGGCTTCAGTTGTCGTGAATGGTCTTTTCGGCCCAGGAAGACAAGAACATCGCCAGTTGGATCCCACAGCTCGGGGTCCTTCCGAAGCTTATTCCACCGCTGCATAGGTCTTCCGGCACCGATCCAACGCTTGATAAGCGAAGCAGAGGCTTCGGCCACAACCGGCAGGGGGTTCGAAGGCATCGCCGCGTTGCCCGCCTCGTTCCACCGAGATCTAGGGCCCTGAGGCGCCGCGCGATAGCGAGCGGACGGCATGGCGGAGTCATATTCGTCGTCATGGCCTTGGAAACGAACACCAGCGCCCTGAGCTGGTCGTACAGTTGCCGAAGACTCTGGTCGGGTGTCGGTGGCCGGCTCAGCGTCATCGCTGCCCTTGTGTTTCTTCTTGAAGGTGAAGGCTTTCACCAGGCCTTTCCGAACTTCGTCAGTTTTCTTGTCCAGTGCAATCCTCAAACCAGACCTCTCGATCTCAGCAACGTCATCTGTCTTGGTCGGCAGTCCCCTTGCCCGGGAGTGTGCCAACTCGTTCGGCTGACTGTGTAAGTGCGATGTGCTGGGGCCTTCTCTCATACGATCCAAGCCAGGTCCGCTTTGACTCCTACCCCTTTGGTTGCCGTAGCGGGGCGTCTCATCGTAGTATGGAAGCATTCCATCGAGGACGTCCCTCTCCCCCATAAAGTCACGGTCATGTGAGAGACCGGGCATGGCCCCGCTGGGCAACTCGCTGTTCGTACCATTGTCCGCACTGTTGTTGGACTTGGGCCGCGCTTGACTGGCCTCCCGACCCTTTTTACGGACATAGGCACTCCGACCCGACATCGTCGCGGCGTGCTGCGGGGGAAAGAGACTCGAAGCAGAGCTGCCAAAGACTCGCAGGGCTCAACCTGTAAGCCAGATCTGTTTGGTTAAATCGTTGATCCAGGCCTCCGGGGCGAGGCTTGTTGTTCGCCACACCGGCGAAAATCTCGGACGAAATTTGCGAGTGTCGTACAAGAGAGGCACGTCTGAGGCCTTCTCGGCGCGGGGGTTATTGCTCGTCGTTTCCGTACCGAACTGCTTTGACAACCACCACCAGGTCGATCACAGCAGATCAAGCCGTTGCGGGAATGACAGCAAGTCAGAACGCAGAGGCTTTGCGTGTCTCGGAGGATGGAGTCCAATACTGAAGGGAGATGTTGCTTTTTCCGGGGGACTCGTGTTGGTTTGCTTCCCTCTCCTTTTTCAGGTCTGCCGTCAAGAGGCGAAGCTGAGGATTCGTGTTCCAATGCTACAGTAACTGCAGACTGATTCACTCTGCGCTAACGCTTGGTGCTCGTCAGTTCCCTCGCCGCCGGTCGAGGTGTGTTTTGGCGGTTGAGGCTACCATGGTGTATCATGGAGGGGTGATACCGAGGCGCAGTGCCACCCCATATTGGACGGCAGAGAGCTCATGTCTGCCGTTGGCCAAGGCCGGATTCACCGGCCGCGGTGCCAATACCGTGGCATGTTGCAGCGCTACACACAGTAAGGCGAGATGAGATCTTGGCCTAACATGCCGCAGGGGTGCTGTATGCGGTCCTACGGGCGTGGTATGCGCGAGGAGATCCCAGGTTCCGCATATCGTCACCTACCGTTGGAGGGGACTGATAAGGAAAATTGTCAACCGGGCGATGTGTAATCGGTATTGGAGGACGGACATCGGTCGATAACCAGGCACGGGTCAGGGACCGGCGGACCTGCATTGGCGGTCATCCAATGAAGCCACCCGATTGAGGACAGTGAAACAGTGTGGTTGTTGACACTCGCTCCCTGCTGCAAAAGCGAGGGCGTTGAAATGCCCTAATGCCTTAACCGCTGCTTGACAGGAACAGTGAATCTCGATTTAACCTACGGACTTGAAACTTGAAGAAGGCCCAGAAGGAAGGATGTGGTTGAAGCCCCCACTGGATCAGCGGAGATTGTGGAACGTTGGTGGAGATGTTGATCCCGGGACCCCACCTCTCAGCTGCAAGGGTATCACTGTCACATACAAGTCCAAGAGAGATAGCAGGGAACCTAGGGATATCCAGTAAGATTAGATTTGTACCTTAGACTAAAGGTCTTGAGTCTTGTATAGACCTGAGGCTCTGCTTCCTGTCTAATTTTCCCTTGTAATCTCGTCGAGAAGTGTCTCGAGCCAAGATCGCCAGGCGACACCAAAGTCGGGGGGTGGCCTATAATCTATGATTAGTGTGCATGTTCTAGTGGTATGATTCTCGCTTCGCATGTGAGCGGTCCCCGGTTCCTTTTGCCTCATCATCCGGAACGCATTAGAGCCATTAGGTAGACACTCCCGCTGAAAATAGGAAACGGAAGTAAAACACTCATATAAATAACGGAAGACGACCGTTTTGATATACGTGACTAGTGCTCTGCTAACTTAGCAAACCGTCCAACATGGAAAGTAGTCGACAGGTTTAGGATTGCGTTTTGTCCTTCTACTATTAATAATAGCTTTTAGTCTATTTTTAATTTGCAAGGTATAGTTTCTTGTCTTTATTGCTCCTAGTTTCGGGTCCCTTTAAGCAGACAGTGAGCTTTTATAAGCAAACCGTCACGGAGTTTTACCTCAAATGGGCTCATCGAGCTTGACTTTAAATGAACAGAGTCATCGGTACTTGGGACCCTTCTGTGCGCCAATTACCCGCAGGTTCCAGGATCAGATTGGGAAGGCGGCTTGAGTACCCGCCTAGCATGACAGGGGTCCAGCAAATGCGAAGATAAGGCAGAGTTCCGACGCACGGGCAGGTCCAGAACGATAAGACACCATTCGCTGTGGACCTCAGATTTCCCCAGCACCGTCAAGCCATGCAAGCAGACCACCTACCTTGTTGGACGCGGCAACGGCAGTAACTAATTATCGACGTGGATTTTGATATGGGGAGAGACGCAGTCAGCCAAGATCCTTACGACTCTACCGTGGTACATACAATATCGGCATGTTCCGGGGCATCCGGAGCATTATACCCCGGGAACATCACTTGGTCGTTAGGTCTTGTGATATAGTCCGAGGTGCGGATTCCTAGGTACGCTCGAGCTACGTTACAAGTTACTGCCACGGTATTGTAGATGAACCGTTGACGCTTCGTGGTAGGGATCCAAAGGTCCTGAGTATCCGTACTAGCGGCCTTAAGAGCGCCAGTCGCTCATTGAAACCTGTGGCTTTGAGCAGCGAGAAGGAGGGAGATGTAAGTGATTGGACAGTATACATCCAGCCTGGCCGTGAACTGCTGCGCCGATGAAATAGGAAGAATATGGTCCATATCCAGTTACATTCGAGCTGGCATCTGCTCTACTAGTAAGGGACCCGCGTTTCCCAAGTTGAGCTAGCCACACTCGAAGTCGAATGTCGCTGAGGGTAGTGCTTACTTATCCCTAACCCTGGCCATACGAGTTCGCAAGCAACACAGGATCGTAAATTCATAATGCCCCTCACCTACAAAACAACCCCACATCACAGAAAGTGAGGTGACCAAATTTTGAATATTTCATCCCTTTTTGATTACGATCCCACTGCCTCAGACCGCATCTTTGGATATTACCGTTTACGCATTGGGCTGCATGCGGCAATGGCTTCCCACGACGGGAATACCGTCTTTCTGACGGAGCAGGAGGCGGAGCGCATCCGGACCACGGTCAAAGACAGACTGAAGAAATGTGACGGACTCGTGGGCCATGCGCGGGAGCCTAGAGACAAGAAAACCGCCATTAGCAGTGCGACGGGTGCGGCCCTCATGGCAGATATGGCCAACATGGGGCCGTCAAAGGGGGCGACGATGCCAGCCATCGGGCTAGGGCAGCCATATCCGCCATGCGTCACCCCATTTAAAGACCTGCAACCAATGAAGCTTAGCGACCTCCGAATGGAAAGTCACCATCGTGGCCATCGGCTCACCGTGAAGCGCGCCAGTCCCGTGGTTAAACTCGCGGCCAGGTCATGGACCATGGTTCAGGACGAGGCGGGAGAGGAGGCTGAACGTCTCGAGCTGTGCTTGCATAAGATGAGACACGGCAAAGAGCTCTTGGAATTAGCAGACTCTGCTTTCATAATCAAAGAGCCTTACTTCACTCTCACCGATGATGGTGAGCCCACCATTCGGATCGACCATCCCTCAGACCTGGTTGTGGTGCCCGAGTCCGAGGCTTGGAGTATCAACGGGACAAATGGAGAGCCTACGGACGCTGCGGCAGCTGAGCAGAAGGCGAGATCTTGCAAGGACCAAGGCAATTCTGCCCTGGAAAAACTAAACTTTGCCCTGGCCCACGCAAGATATTCCGAGGGTCTAAGAGTTGCCCGGCAAGACATTGTGTACAACACAAACCCGGACCTGGCCCGTGACCTCTCCCGCAATCGCGCCCATGTCAACCTCCTTCTCAGCCAACTAGACGAAGCCAAGGCGGATGCAAAAGCTTCACTCATCGGCAAGGAGGATGATCCGCGGTCCAGGGAGCTCGATATCAAGGCCTTCTTCCGTGCTGGGATGGCGGCGTACCATCTCGGCGACTATCACGAGGCGAAGGAGTTGTTTGAACAACGACTAAAGCTCACGCTAGATATCAACCCGAAGGAAACACAGACGGTTCTACGGAGGATCGTAACACACCTCGGCGAACAAACACAGGCGATTCTACGGAGGATCGAAACACGCCTCCGCGAACAAGAGGCAGGGACACACGACTTGAAGAAGATTCGGGCGGGTCTCTCTCGAGCTCGTCCGCGGGTTGAGGCTGCAAGTTTCGTCGGCCAGACCGCTGTAAAAGACAGCCCGGGCCGGGGACGCGGCCTATTCACAACCCGCGATGTCGCAGCTGGGGAGATAGTCATGCTGGAGAAAGCTTTCTGTGTGGTGTGGGGCTTCGAAAGCGATGCTCTGACAGCCATCACGTACGACGTGCGAGACGACCGGATTCGCGTATCGCCGGCCGGTCTCACCAGAGCGGTGGTCCAAAAGCTGCTCAGCAACCCCTCGCAGATCGAGAAGGTCATGGATATGTACGGCGACTGGCAAGGCGACAGCAACACCAAGAATGTCTTCAGTACTGACGACGGCCCGGTTGTCGACACCTTCCGGGTCCACGACATCGTTTCTCGCAACGCCTTCGGACCGGGCAGCCAATACGGCGAGAAAGGCGCGCAGGACGCCAGCACAGGGCTCTGGATCCGGGCCGGGTACACCAACCACTCGTGCCTCGCCAACGTGCACAAGGAATACGTCGGCGACCTGATGGTGCTCCGCGCCACGCGGGCGATCGCGGCCGGCGAGGAGATCTTCCACAGCTACGACGAGTCGAGCGACTACGAAGCGCGGCAGAGGGCGCTGATGCACACCTGGGGCTTCGAGTGCGAATGCCCGCTGTGTGTCGTGGAAAAGGCCGAGGACCCGGCCGTGCGGAAGAAGCGGAGAGAGCTGGCGGCCGAGGCCGATGCGTTTGTGCAGAAGGAGCCCTGGGCGAACGCAAATCGGCGCATCATTGTCAGGGCGCAGCGGCTTGCGCGGGCAATCGAGGAGACGTACGATGGCGAGAAATACAAGGGGCTCCCGCGGCTGGCGACGAAGAGCATCCAGGAATGGCTCGCCCACGCGACTGCGCGGCGATAAAATCGTCTCTGGCGTGATGATGGTTCGTGCTGGGAAGATGTCCATCCGGCGGGTCTCCAAAGAGGCAAAGCCAGTAAAATATACGAAGCGCGGTTGGATGATAGAGCTATGATGAACGAAGTCATCTGGAGTTGTGCGGCAGTCAATGACAGTTCATGTCCCACCAGCAGCCAAGCATCTTGGAACGATGACCATGGCACCTCCCGGAACCATGCATTTCGGGTGATCGCCGACGAAGTACTTGACTCTCAGAACATCCTGAGCTTCTTCCGTCGTCCAGGTGACCATCCTTACACCAACGTGCCAGTAGCTTCTGGGTTGCGTATCCGACAGTTCGGGTCTGGGATGCAACCCCTAGGGCCCCCCGGGGCTTCCGGGGCTTCCAGGGCGTCCGTTCCCGGGCGTTTGCAGGTTGGTCCTGCGTTGAGACATGACAAATGCGGATGTCGGCGGTTCCCTATCACTTACGAACCATGGGTAGGTCTCACATATCCCTATCGGTAGTTTACGAACTGTAAATGGGTCAACAAAATCAGAACTTGGAGACGACAGATACCACTTGTGGGGTGAACCTAGAAGATGGGTCGGACAGTTGTCGCCCTCCACAGTAGACCCGCTGATACCGACACGGGAGACCCCGGACCATGACACACCTCAACATGCAGCAGCGGGCACCCGCACGAATTCCCACTGTGCCCGGACATCTGAGCCATCGCGGGGAAGATGCGGCACCAGGCCCAGAATGCTTTCAGAGCTAGCCGCATTCTGGAGCTTATCGCGTGCTGGTCCCACACGTATCAAGCCCCTGGATCCTGGTTTTTTACCTCTGGCGGGTCCTGTCAAGACAATTCAAGATAACGCTATTAAGCACTGGTGTGGTTACATTTAAAAACCTATGGGCTGCTGGTCAACCCCTCAACGCCTGGGGCTCAGAGTCAAGGTCTCGGCAGGAAGTCGTTCGTAGTTGTATTATTATTATTATTATTATTATCTGTCTTTAAATTGAGAACAAGGGCACCTCAAAGGGACGGGCAGTTCGTCTATTATTCCACTGAAGTATTTCTAGGCCTCCCGGGTCCGGCACCCCGACAAAACGGCAGCATATTAGTCACCATGGACGAGGACCAAGTCCCGTCACAGATCGTGCCGGAGCGGGCTCCGAAGCGGACACTCGCCGACCGGATACACGGCGTGAAGAGAACGTTCTTCACCAAGGAAGGCCTCGTGGGCGACTACGACTATGGCTTCCTGTTCCGCCCCAATCTCCCCTTCATGAAGAAGGCCGACAAGCCGCCGCCCTTCTTCGGGCTCAACGACCGGATGCCCGTGGTGCTGGCCGTGATCCTCGGGTTCCAGCATGCGCTCGCCATGTTGGCAGGCATCATCACGCCGCCGCTCATCATGTCGGGCGCCGGCGGCGTCAACCTCGACACGGAGCAGACCCAGTACCTGGTGTCGACGGCGCTGATCGTGTCCGGCCTGCTGTCGGCCGTGCAGATCACCAGGTTCCGCATCTTGAAGACGCCCTACTACATCGGCACGGGCCTCATCTCGGTCGTTGGCATCTCGTTCGCCATCATCCCGGTCGCGTCAGGGGCGTTCAGCCAGATGTACGCCAACGGCTTCTGCCCGACGGCCGAGGACGGCACGCCGCTGCCGTGTCCGGACGCGTACGGGGCGCTGCTGGGGACGGCGGCGTGCTGCTCACTGCTCGAGATCGTGATCTCGTTCCTGCCGCCGCGCATCATCCTGCGCGTCTTCCCGCCCATTGTGACGGGCCCGACGGTGATGCTCATCGGCCTGAGCCTGATCTCGTCCGGCTTCAAGAACTGGCTGGGCGGCAGCGGTCTCTGTGCCGACGCGAACCCGCTCGAGTTCTACGCGCGCTGTCCTGACATCACCGCGCCCCATGCTCTGCCATGGGGCTCGGCCGAGTACCTTGGTCAGTCAGATTCAGCCTTTCCTTCAACGCCGAAGTCAACCCTCCCTCCCTCACTCACCCCCCCCCCCCCCCCCCCCCCCCGGGCCCTGACTGACACGCGAGAAAAAAAAAAATATTAATAACCCACCAGGTCTCGGCTTCTCCGTCTTCGTCACCATCATCCTCTGCGAGCGGTTCGGCTCGCCCATCATGAAGTCGGTCAGCGTGGTCATCGGCCTGCTGACGGGCTGCATCATCGCGGCGGCGTGCGGCTACTTCGACCGGTCCGGCATCGACACGGCGCCGGCGGCCAGCTTCGTGTGGGTGCACACGTTCAAGCTGTCCGTCTACGGCCCGCTGGTGCTGCCGCTGATGGCCGTGTTCCTCATCTGCGCGTGCGAGTCGATCGGCGACATCACGGCGTGCTGCGACGTGTCGCGGCTCGAGGTCGAGGGCCGCATCTACGAGAGCCGCATCCAGGGCGGCGTGCTGGCCGACGGCATCAACGGCCTGCTCGCCGCGCTGGCCACCATCACGCCCATGACCACCTTCGCGCAGAACAACGGCGTCATCGCGCTGACGCGCTGCGCCAACCGCTCCGCGGGGTACTGCTGCTGCCTCTTCCTGGTGGTCGCCGGCGTCTTCGCCAAGTTCGCCGCCGCGCTCGTGGCCATCCCGTCGCCCGTGCTCGGCGGCATGACCACCTTCCTCTTCACCGCCGTCGCCGTGTCGGGCATGGCCATCATCGCCCGCGGCGTGCCCTTCAACCGCCGCAACCGCTTCATCCTCACGGCGGGGCTGGCCCTGGGCTACGGCGCCACGCTGGTGCCGGACTACTTCGACCACGTCTTCACCTACGCCGGCGACAACAAGGCGCTGCAGGGCTTCCTGGACGCCATCAGCCTCGTCATGGAGACCGGCTTTGCCGTCACGGCGGTTGTGACCGTCGCGCTGAACCTGACCCTGCCGGTCGAGCTGGAGGATCTGGTCGATGCGGTCGGTGGGGGGGATGAGACTACTGCTACCGGTCCGTTGGTGAGGGAGCAGAGTGAGAGTGGGAAGGAAAGTGGTGAGGAGGTGAAGGGGAAGACGGCTTGATCTAGTGGGGGGGAGGGGGCCAGGGGGACGTCAACTTTGGTTCGCTACCTAGGTACCTATTGGGGTGGTTGGTTTTCTATCTATGGGATACCCTGTGTGTTTATATACTACTGTGCCATTTCGGGGCCCGACATTTGGATACGACGGCTACCCTGCCCGTGGATGATAAGTTAGATGCTCGGGTTATGCATACGACTGGAGATGAACGGTATTCTAGAGAGTGCATACACAATAACACGAGCGAACAAGGCACCTCGTCCCACGACGACAAGTCCATCGAAGACCCGACACGCCTTGTGACACCCATTATTAGATTATTACTTGCAGCCTCTGCCATCATACATAGCACAGCAGAAGCATCGTAGACACATCATACCCTAACCATATCATCCCTTAGCATGACTTGTTGATCTCAGCTATAACACCCCGTGCCCTCACCCTGTCTATTCAACGCCCTTCTATCGATCCGCGAAACAGGCATGCCTTACCACATCGCTCAAAGCCAACCCTCTAGCCTGCACCGCCCCCGCTCAAGCAGCCGGCAGCCCCAGCTTATTATTCGTCTTGCGGGTCAAGACCTTGGTGATGGCATGCCTGATGGTGACACCCGCCTTCTCGACATCCTTCTTGGACAGCGCCGACGTGACACACACTTTCAGCGCGGGAGTCACGATGCAGGCGCCGTCCTTGAGGGAGTTATGGCTCGAGACGGGCATGCCCTTGAGCCGGGTGATGAGGACACCGTTTACGAGCGTCTTTTTTTCCCCCAGAACATGTTAGTATGCTGTTGGGTTTGTGGGATGGAAGATTTAAACCATGGAGAGGAGAGAAGCCTACCTCATCAACACACTCCTGCAACAGCCGCTCCTGGTCCTCAATCGTCAGCCTCCGGGCCTTGACAACCTCAGGCTTCAGCACGAGGATCATGACGGGGTTCTCGGGCGCGCTGGTGCACACGACCCAGTCGCTCCGGGGATCGAGCTGGGCACGCATGAGCCGGATATTCTCGCGGCTCTGCTGCAGGATCTCCGGATTCGACTGCAGAAGGTTCAAGCTCTCGCTGGCCGTCACGGCCGCCATGGCGGGGAGGGCGGCCGAGAAGGTGTACGCAGTCGAGTTGATGCGCTGGTGCTCTATCCACATCTTGGGGCCTGCGCAAAAGCCGCCCATGGCACACAGCGGGCCGGCGAGCGATCCGACGATCAGGTCAACCTGGGTGGGGTCCACGTTCTGCGCTTCTGTCAGGCCACGGCCGGTGCGGCCGAGCACGCCAAAGGACCACGTCTCGTCGAGGATCATGCGGAACTTGTATTTCTCCTTGATCTCGACCTATTGGTTGTCAGGAGAACTGTCGTCTGAAATTATGTTTTGATATGCGGGTTACTCACCAGCCTCGGCAACTCATTTATCTCTCCTGTGGTCTCGAACAGTGCCTCGGTAACCAGGAAACGCCTCGTCAGCTTCTTGCCAGCCTGCTCCTGCACCACCTTGCGCATGACCCGCTCGAGATCCTCAAAATCATTATGGTTGTACCACTTGACCATACTCCGCGAGACTTCGAGACCGCGCCGAATCGAGTAGCTGACGCCCCTGTCTGCCACAATGATGTCCCCTCTTTTGCAGAACGACGGAATGACACTGGTGATCGTCGAGAAGGCGTGGGCGTAGATAATGCAGGCCTCGGTTCCCAGGAACGACGCGATATCGGCTTCGGTCTTCATGTGCACGTCTTGGGTGCCGTAGAACTGCGGCGGGCCGCAAGGGCCGACGCCATAGGTGCGCAGGGTCTGGATGGCCTTCTCTTTGATCTGCTCGTTGGCGTTGAAGTTGTAGAAGTTGTATGACGCGAGATTGGTGACCGTCTTTCCGTTGGCAAGTCTCGGTTTCGGTCCCGTCGGTCTGTCCTGTCAGCCTTCCAACGGTCCTTCCTCTGTCTGGCTTTGCATATTCCCTTGCTTACCCGACAATCACAGGCACCTTCTCGAGCTCGGCCTCCTCCTGCGCGGTTGGCGCTGCGACCAGCGGCTCAGGCGTCCAGTCGTCAACTAATTCGTCAATTTCCTACATCACACCGCAATTAGACCCCGTGCTTCCATCCTCCTGAGATCTCTCGGTGTGCCAGACTCACCTCATCCGTCAGCTGGACATAGTTCTGCTTCGACGTCTGGTAGCTGGGCGCCAACAAGTACCGAATGAAGAAAATGAACAGCACCAGCTCGATGGCCGAGCGCACCGGGTCGTTTTGGTAGCTCGAGCGGACGTAGCGGATGAGGACGGCCGAGCCGGGCACCTTCTGGAACGCGACAGTGGCCTCCTGGAGCCACTCGTGCAGGTGTGACTGCACCTCGTGCAGCTCCATTTTCGAGGCGGTATGTGTCTATGTGCTCGTCTGTCTCGAACTTAGTTGCGTCGGTGCTCAATGGAAATACTTTGGGTGCTCATCAGGTTGTTGAAAATGCGTAGTGTTTATGTAACGGAGTGCAGGTCCATGGAAAGGAATCTTAGCGGAGCGAGAGCGTCAGCAAAGGTGTCGCGCGTTGTGACACCGACCGATCCGGCGGGATTGGAGGACCCTTGCGACTTGCGCGTTGCCCGATTCACAATTTTCGGAATTCAGGGGTACACTTGGATAATTCTCAATTCGCACTGTACGATTTAACTTCATTTGGGAGCTGGGGTCTTGGCAGGGCCGCAGGCCTCCAACGGCTGCTTCTGTTGTCTATCCAACCGCACAATACCTAGAAGCTCAGCGTTGAACGCTCGAGCATGCCCTTAACCTGGTGGAAAGCTAATAGTATGGTAAAGTAGCTGCTTCACGGACAGCGGATCCGAAAGGCGCATTTCCGGTTGCGACGAAGTTCCAGCTTGAATCGACCAGAACTGGTGACCTGGGCTCGCAGGGTGTCTGGTAGTGGATAGCATGAAGCTGGCCAAAGTTGAGACGTTGAGACAACGATAAACTCGGAGTCCAGGTTGCCGTCCCGAACTCCAATTCAAATCTTCATACGAGAGATCTCAGTTTGAAAGAAGCCGCTGGGTCAAGTCATGCAGGCTTGCAGCTGAAGCTCATAATGAAAGCCAGCACAGATGCCAGGGCTAAGGCATACTACTGTCTCATTAGCCGTACATGAGATTTAGACTACCAGGTCTAAACCAGATCTTGACTTTAGGAGTGTGTTACGTAAGGTACTGTACTATCCATGATTCATATGATCTCCGACTTTGGGGGCAAGACGTTCCGGTTCTGTTGGCACCCAGTCCCGTCGGCCCCCAACCCATCGCGCTGCGCTGAAATGTCTGATAACTCTGATATTAGGACCCAGAGGATAATGCGGTCCGTCTCGAGGCGGTCATCGCAAAAGAGACTGAAGCCAGCGAGACTCAGCAAAGCAGAGATACTACAGTATGGGCGGTTGTGGGTTGTTGCTGGCCTCCCTGCTCCTCTCTTGAATCGTTCGCTCCTTCCTTCCTCGGAGTTTATGCTCTTGTCTTTCGTTTCTTTGCTGGCTATAATCCCTCCTTCCCAAACTGACCAGGACCGACTATTTGATGCACTCAACCTGAAGACTACACCCGCAACTTGATTTTAGATCTACCGACCCAGCATTTTGCACACTACAAGTCCTGGCAGTCTCTACCTGCAAGGGAAACTGTTTGTTCCAGGCAGGCAACTCCCCGTCGATAATCATCCAACAGAAGGAAAGAGAGGCCGCGTACCCCAGCTTCGCACGGAAAGGCCATGTCTTCCGACCATCGTAAGTCCCTTGGCAAATTGTTTTCTCGTGATAAGTGCTCAGAGAACTTACTTTTACAGGCTACCGCCTGCTTAAGGTGCCCAGCGATGCACCATTTGAGTTGAGACCCTCCCCGGGAAAGGGATGGGGCGCTTTCGCAACAAGACCGATCAAGCGAGGCATTCTGATCATGATTGAGGACCCGCTCGTTGTCATGCATAAATCAGCCAACGAAATCACGAAGACGTCTCGAGGGCCATTGTACGGTTGTCGCCTGGAGCGCAGCAACAAATCTCACTTCTGCGCCACAACGGCACCAGTGAGTTCAAGAATCTACTGGAGCTCTTCAACGAGAAGGCCTTCCCATACCATAACCTGGGCCTTAAGGGCTCTCCGGCATGGGGCCTATTTGCCCTGCATTCCCGTTTCAACCATTCGTGTCTACCCAACTGCGTGGTGCCGACGAACGATGACCAACACATCATGAGCTTCGCGACCAAAGACATAGCCCTCGGCGAAGAAATCACTTTCTGCTATTCTCCACATTTCAAAGGCTCAACCAGACGTGAGCGTCAGACAGAGCTCATCACTCAGCTCGGTTTCACATGCAACTGCGAGGCTTGGCGTCTGCCAAGTGGCCCTCTAGGACAGCTCAGTGACATGCGACGAAGATTGATTCGGGGACTGGACTACCTGATAACCGGGGTCGACCTTCAAGCGCGGATGAACGGAACAATTCCTGGCTCGCCGCTCATTACCGAGGAGGAACTACGGCTAGCGGGAGAGACGGACACCATTCCTCCGACCTCAAAGTTCGTCTACCACATCTTGAACTTTGTGTTATTAGAAGAAGAGGGGCTGCTGGACGATCTCATAGTCGGGGTGTATGGTCGGGAACTGGAGCGCTTGGTGAAAATGTTCAAGACACAGAGCAACATTAGAGCGGCAAGGGCTACTATGGCACAAGGAACTTGGAAGGAGAGATTGCGTGTGGCTTGTCAACTTTGGGGACGAAAGGATGCTATTGATGATAGCCTCCACAGGCTGCGTGAAGCTCGCATTGCGCTTCGCGGGTTGCCCGCTTAGGGCGCAGGACGAGCGCCGTAGAGGCCCTCGAAATGTGGGGGTATTGGAGAGTGGGCGTCAGGTTCCTTTTTACTGCGAGCCTACCTCACCATGATTGTGTTGATAGTGTAACAAGATGGGAATTATGGGGAGAAGGCAGCGGCTGCTGAGCTTTGCGTTGCTAGTGTGGGAAGCAACATCTGAAGCCGGGTGAGCGCCCGCCGGTAACGAAGGAGTCAAGTAGCCAGGGGTTCCCATCCCGTTCCTAGTTATCGGAGTACAGCCTTTCCTCCCCACAGATAGCCCGATGAGAAACCGGAAGTACATGGTGCCGGCCGTGTCTATGCAACTATGATCGTTCCCGTCCCTGGCCTTCGGAAGACGCTACCCTGTATCCCTGCTACCTCTGTTTGATGCGGTGTTTGGGAGATGATGAAGAAACTATGATCGGGGGCAAGAATGACACGGATATGACGGTGAGATGTGATGAAGGTGAAGGGGAACACTCCCGCGGCGAAGATCTGGTTTGTGTGGGCGGCAGAGATGCCGTATTGTGAGAGGCGTGGCCCGAAAGAAAAGAACATGTCGGCGAACGTAGCTGCAGCGTCAATTGCTGTTGTTGCCTATTGTTTGACAAATAGATCAGTAGGGGTGGTCACACTTGAAAAGCAAGAGTGTCGAGAACTTTAGAAGCTAGAGTCTTTGGAGGTCTATCCATATCTGCTATCTCGCCTACAGCGCGAGACCACGCCTCCATCGTCCTTAGTTGCACGGCCTTGGTCCGCGCGCACATGCATTCCATCTGCTCACTTCCGCAAGACAACGGCAGCAGGATGAATCACTGGCATCAGGCAGAGTAGACTACTAGCATGCCGCAAATGGCCTTGATGAGACATACGTGTTGGGAAAAAACGAGGAGCCATAGTCTAACTAGAGAAAATTACTTGAGCAATCATTGTGTCAATGCGTCCCCCCGATCCCAAGACACGAGACAGAAACCCAGAGAGAAAGGAGAACCAGATACACAAGACACCGAATACAATACAACGTTTCACACTAAGCCCGCCCCCGGTCTCTTTTCCCAAGAAGAGCGAACAAGGAAAGACGTGTGATGCCGCCTGATGGTCGTCAGGACTGACCGGGTTAGCTGTGTGTTAAACCAGTTTACAAAACCGCGCCTTCTCCGTCTTATACTCCTTCACCAAAGGAAAGATGAGACGGCGTATTAAACAAGCATCATCCTCCTGTCTGCGGCCGCGGCCGTAGCAGCAACAGCCGTCGTCGATGGCGTCCATACGCCTGAGTAATCCGGAGAGCCGGTACCGGTCTGGGTGCGCCCACGAGTGTCATTGTGATCCAGGCCGTTCGGCTGGACCAGGTTGGTGCTCTTCAACTTGTCAAAGAGACTCTTTGGGACATACTTCCCGGCGACGGCCGGCCCAACCATGAGAGCGACAAAGACGACGAGCAGGACAAAGTAGAGGATTGAGTAACGGAGTACACGTCTCCTCCGAAGCTTCGTCTGCTTCATGGAGTAAATTGGTGGCCGAATTTGCCGGCTAATTGGACCGGTTAGCCATGATCTTAACATAAACTGAATAGACTTGGAGAATTGACATACCTGGGACGAAGCCAGAAGAGCATCAGCGAGTGCAGCTTGTCAACCTGCGGAATGAGGATGACGGGGAACATGATGAACAGGATTATGTGGCCGAGAACGAAATCGGCGGCAAACATGCTGAGCTCGGTGATCTTGCACAGGAACTCACGGGCTGGCTGCGACATCGAGTGCCAACCCATTGAGTACCACTTGCCCGTCCAGAAGGCGATGTTGGCCTGGTCCCCCTTGAATTCTCTGGTGAGCGCCAGCGTAATGATCAACTTGAAGATGAAGCGCTGGATGGCCACAACGGTAATCATGCCCAAGACGGTCTTGGTGAAGTTGAACCCTTCCAGAATGAACATGACTTCGAAGAAGATCAGGAGCGCAATGACGGCCACGGCGTGCGCGATGCCGGCGAGAACCGCGCCAAACTTCTTGCAGCACATGCTCAGAAGAGGTCCCATGCAGCAGGCCATCGCAAACATCATGGCGAGAATACCGGCGTTGATACCAATGGGTGCAAAGGCGACGATGGCAACTCGAAGCAGGGAGGCCGTTTGCGTCGCATCGTCGTTCTTGCCTGCATTCGTCGCATCGTCATGCAGGGCTTTGACACCTGTCTGGGCGTTGATGAAGAGGTAAGGGATAAGCGTCACCGCGACAAGGCAAAGAGGGGAGATGATCTCAGCCCAGAACACATTGGTAATGGCGGCGCGCGGAACATCGGCCGACATCTTGGCCGAAGGATCGCCCAGAGTCTTGCGCTTGTAACCCGTGATTCTAGTTCGAGAAAGGCGGCAGAAGGCGATCCATGACGACGCATGCGACCGCGAGTTGCCACGCGAGAGCCAGCGGAGGTAGTCGCGATAGTCAATGAAGAAATCGCTCCAGGCGAACTGGTGGGGGTTGTAGAGGAACGGCGAGATCACCAGGGCCAGCAACGAGACCCAGAAGTAGACCAGGGCGGCTTGCCAGACGGTCAGCGTTGCAAACAGCAGCATCATCAGCATCCGAGCGCCGAAATAGATTGACGGGCCGGCGAAGCGCGAGTAGAGAACGCCGAAGGGAATGCGAGCGGTAGCGAAGCCACGTCCGGTACCGATGTATCTGGCGCCTCCAAAGGTGATATCCTGCTGGACCGAGTTGGCGTAGATCTGGCAGACGAACACCTCGAAGAAAGGCGAGAGGGAGCAGATATGCTTGGCGAAACGTGTCGCGGCACGCAGCAGACCTCGTTCCGTCGCTTCTTGGACTATCAGGGGAACGAACGAGAGGAAGAGGGCGAAGAAGATGGACAGGACACTGCGGTAGACCCAATCCACGAGAGCATCGGTGTTCGCGCAGCCCGTGGGGAAAAGTTCGTCCGTGATGGGCTTGTCCGGGTCGTACTCGCAGGGGATGGTCTCGTGGCGCAAAGTGCCGATTTGAAGAAGGCAGATCATGAACAGCTGTAGTGACAACATGATGAACATGTTGTTGACGTGGAAACCAGGATGGGCGTAGTAGAACGAGAGGAAGCGATCGAGGGGCAGCTGAGTCCCGAGGTAGTAATATTCTCTGGAAAGCATCTGCTCACCCATACCCGTTCCGATCTTGGTCGTGAAGTTGAGAATGGAGCCGAACCCCAAATCACGACCCTTGCCGCACTGGTAGTATTCGCAGTGCTTGATGCGGCCGCCACGCAGCAACGCGTTCATACCGGCGTAGATATCTTCGTTTAGATGGAGACCTTTCTGCGCCTTGGAGACACCACCACGCGTGGTCATGAAGATGCCATTGAGGAAGTCGGGGTGACCGTAGTGGAGCTTGCCGCCGATTTGGGCGAGCGTCCGTGCGAAGAGCGTACCGAAGGTCTGTTCCTTGCCGGCGGCGATATCACCGAGGATACCAATATTCTCCGAGAAGATGTATTCGCGAGCACCCAAGATGGCGACCGGTGCACGAGTAGGATTCTTGACTCCAGGTGTGTAGGGAGACACGTTGTCGGTCTTCATCTCTTCGAACTCGGCAAGCACGCTGCGGATCTTGAGGCATTCCTCGAGATAGTTGTCTTGGTTCGCGTCGATAAGCTGGATGTACTCGCCCCGGTAGAAGATGATCGCGTGGTTCTGATTGTCGGATTTGCCGTCTCCGAGAATCGGGTTGCCCGAGAGCTGGATGCGGAACTTGGGCCGGCGCATGCCGTTCTCCATGATCTCGGAATGACCGTCAATCAGAGCAGAGTAGAGGCGCGGTTCCTCTCCTTCAGCAACAGGCGGCTCCTCATCCAGGTACGCGATCTGAAGATCCGGGTAGGCGCGGAGCAGGAACTCGGCGTTCTCCATTTCCTCCTTCTTGAACTTCGCAAAGCGCTGCATGGAGACCATCAGCTTGAATTTGCGACGGGCCATGCGCTCTAGCTCGCGTTCAAGCTTGTCAGAGTTGCCACCGAACATCTGGACGACCTCTGGGTTTTCCACACGGTACAGGAGCTTGATCGCGCGACTGTAGTTCATGAAACCGGATATGGTGCGGTACAACGTCTGGAAGCGGAGCGAAGCCCAAATCCGTGTCCGAAGAGTGTACTCGGGCGCCGAGGACTTGAAACCGATGCAGTAGAAGGGCAGGTCATCAATCTTGCTCTTGGCTGTGTCCTTCTCGTCCTTGCCCATTTCGCCGTTCATCTGGGAGGTCTCATCGGCCAAGATCTTAGTGTCCTTGACGAAGCAATCCCACTCATGGGGGTGGAGCTGCTTGAGATACTCGAGAAGGGTGACTCGCGAGTAGGGCTCGTCCTCGCGGATGATCTCCCGAAGCGAGAGGAGAATTTTCTCACTGTAGTGGGGAATCATCACAGTGAAGGTAGGCATGTTATCGACGGGCAGCGGCTCAGGGATGGGCGTCGCAAGCGACTGCGCGAAGAACGAGATTCTCCGCTCAGCCTCGCTATGACTGGGGAAGAACTCGGTCTTGAAGGAGTGGTCTTCCTGAGAGACGAAGAACGTGGGAGCGCGGAGCGTGCGCTTGCCCTCTTGCTCGGACGGTACCTGGTGGTACAGCAGCTTTTGGACGTGCTCGATGGCCAGAAGATGCTCGCGATACATGGAAATGACGATTGCATTCCAGATCTGCGAGATGAGGACCTTCGGCTTATATTTGATCTCCATGTCTGTCGTGGCGAGGATCTTGGAATACATGCGCTTGGGGAGCCGGGAGAAGATGTTTCTCCAAGGCGTCAAGATCGATGCGCCGAGATAGAAAGACCGAGCGATGGAGATGACCGTGTTGAGCAGGACGTACCACAGATAGGTGTCCAGGAAGTAAAAGATTAGATCGGTGAACATCATGATCCCCAGAGTGATTTGCGGCTGATACTTGCAGAGATACTGCTGGACGATGGTATCACCAAGACAGCTGCTGACATCCATGAGCATGAGGTAGCGGATAGGATCCCGGAGCGACAAGGTCAGGTAACCGTAGGAAGCTCCGAACTTGGCGGCGAAGACCAGGAGCCAGAGAGCATAGGACAGAGCCATGTCGTTCCCTTTGAGACGCGGGTAGCTTGCTGTGAAGGTCTGGCTGGCGACGTATTTCCTCGAGTTCTTGGTCAGGTAGCTTCCAAACAGACCGCCAAGCGGCATGACGGAAAAGAATATGTACGTGGCCACGGCGACAAAGAATTGCACGATGCCGAGAATCAGCGAGACCTTGTTGTTCTGGCGATCGAGGTATGCCTTCTGACTGGATGCCGGCATGAAGACGTAGACACCAGGAGCGACGTTGATAACGAAGATGCCAATGAGGAAAAGTAGGCGTTTCGTCAGGTGCTGTGCTCCGGCCCATTTGCGTGGGACGTACAACCACTCTGCGAGAGTAGCGAGGATCTGGATGAGAGAGGCAATGGAGCCACCGAACCCGACGAACGACCACATCGCCGCAGAAGGAGGTTGATTATTGACTTCTTGCTCATAGTTCGGAGTGATGAGCGTTGGGGCGTTGTATGCGGTGTAGAACCAGAACATGGTCAGGTGGATAATCCAGATGCGGTTGAAGTTGACCAACAAGTGCAACCAAGAGCGCGTCTCCTTGTACGTCTTGAAGAACACCTTCTTCCAGTTGACGTCCTTGAGCTTCAGATAGCGCTCGGCTGGGGGAACATCTACCAGCTTGCTCTTATCCTCGAGCACAATTCGCTCGATGCCCTCGGGATACCAAAACAGCTGGTTGCAGTCGTCGTATCCGATAATCTGGTTGTGGTCCCTCTCGCGGCGGACATACTTTCCGTCGAGGATTTCATATCCCTGGTCCCGGCAGTATCGGTAAAGCGGGGTGATAACGTTGTTCAGGAAGGTGAACTCCTCGACCGGCTCGACCATATTCTGGCAAGCAGGCGAATTGAGATAGTCATCGGCGCACTTGAAGATGAAGCAAAGACACTCCGGCATGAAGCGGACCTGATTTGCCTCACCCCAGATAAGAAGGTACAGAGCAAGTTGGCGGACACGATCGTGCTGCGACATGCGGTTCATCCTTGTCTTCCAGCGGTACTCGGCCGCTTCGAGAGAGTCGTCGCCCTCAAGATCCTCGAGAGCGTCGACCTCGGTCTCAGCGTCGCCCTTCTTGTTCTTGTTCTTACGGCTCTTCTTTCGGTCCTTGCCCTTCAAGTTGGCAAACCCGACGGCGTCATCGAGGTCCAGGTGGGCAGCAAAATACCACTTGCGGTAGTTTGCGTTGTCGCCACCAATGTAGTCAGCGTGCAGCGAGAGAAGGGCCTGGTTCGGCGTCATGCGGGACGCCCGAGAGTCGAGCATCGTCATCAGGTGGTCGTACATGTTCCGCATGCTGTCGCGCTGGAAACCGAACTTTGCCGTCAAATCGAGGAAAATGTCCTCCACCTCTTCTTTCGAGAGAGGAATCTGGGCGTCGGACGTCCACGCAGGATACGGCTCCCGCGAGCGTTGCCCAGCGGGAAGCGCATTCCCGTAGTCCATGCCATAGTTCGGCGTTGACGCGCCGGAGGACCGGTTGCCCCCGTATGAGATCTGCGACGAGGGAGGTCGGTATCCCCTGCCGCCCATTTGACCTTCGTTGTAACTGTTGTAGCGCTCGTCTCCGCGACCGTAGTAGTCCATCTCAGCGGCTCGAGCCATGTCGGAGCGCATGGTGAAGTCGCTGAAGGTCTCGGAATCCTCTTCCGATCGGTTCCGGTGGGCCTGGCCGTTCCCGTTCGCGTAGCCGTCGCGATCGTATCCCTGGTCATAATAGCCATCGTTGTTGTAGTAGCCATCGTTGTACTGGTCGTGGTTGTCATAGTACCCGCCATCCTGGTGGTAAGGATTGTTGGGGTCCGCATTATAATATCCACTGCACGACAAATTAGCAAGTCCTCTTCACAGGGTGAAGAGGGAGCGGGCACATACGATTCATCATAGTACCCCTCGCCCTGTTGCTGTCCACGCCCCCCATGGTTGTTGTTGTTGTTGTTGTATGCATTGTTGTCATAGTAATGCTGGTCATCCTGGTAATAGGAATCGGTATTGCCCTGGTGGCCGTAGCCGTCATCGTAGTTGTTGTGGCCTTGGCCTTGGCCATGGCCCTGCTGATATCCCGACATCTTGGGCGAGGCGTGTCTGCAGTGCGATAGACACAGATGATTAGATATCGCATGAGTGCCAAAAGCGGGGAAAAAGGAAAGGTGATTCGGGGACGAGTTTCAATCAGGCGTTGGAAATGGTCACGGCGGTAGATGAGCTGATCCAACTTACCAAATCAGCGGCTCATTGAGAAACTCCCTGGGGCCAAAGTTGGGGTCGGGGTCGGAACAAGGCAGGTGCGCCACGAAAACAGCACAGCGCAACTGACGCAAGCTGTCTCCCGATCGGATCGGAGGCGGAGAAGGACAGGTCAGCTAGGTAAAAGTGGCCGGCCACAAGGCGAAGTGACGAAATCAACCGGCGACAAGCGTCTTGCTGGAGAAGTAGTGCTTTTCTCTGTAGCCCGGAGCCGCAAGATGCAAAACACGACAACTGAGAGTGATTGGCGGCGCGGTGGGGCGCAGGGTTGCAGGTTGGCTTGGTGATAACACCACGCCGACGGCTGCGTGGAAGATCGGGCGATCGAGCGAAATCCCGTGCCCAACTGCAAAGTCCCAATAAAAGACAGGTCTCAACCGTTTCGATCCAAATGTCCTTCCAAAATGTCCCTTCCTTCTTCGTGCTAACGATTGACGATGTCGGTTTTGGTCAGGCCGCTTGGCTTGCTGCGGGCGTCCTCGTGTCGCGCGTAGGCTGGCAGGCAAGGAATTGAGGACCAGACGACTGGCTGGCGGTTGACGGCGCGAGTGTGTCGGTTGCCGCTGAACGGACTGACACCGCTGCAGGACCAGAAGACTCCTTCACCGATGATCCAAAAACGAGAGATGAGAAGTTGGGGAGGTGCGAACGAGCGAGCGTAGGGGAAGTCGAGAAAAGAAAAGGCTCCAACCAAGGAGAGGTTTCAGGGAAAGAACAGGGAAATGGGACAGAAAAGGAGGCAATCAAGGGTTGGCGTGCGTTTCGCCTGGCGGAAAGAGACAGCACCTTAGACCCACAACAAGGATGATGGTGGTCTCGCCAGGGGCTCCCGCTGGAAAAAGGGGAGGAGCTGGCGATGGACTGGACGGCACTCCACAGTGCCATTCCGTACGGTACGGCACAGAACGGAACCTTTCAACCGCTTTCAACAATCCGCGAGAGAGGTTCGAGAGAGGTTCGAGAGAGGTTCGTGAGAGGTTTTCCTTCTGTGACAGAAATTGTACACAGTACGAAGAGACATGCCTTCCTGCTTCAGGCTCCTCTTTGCCGTCTCGAGATCTCATCCAATCTTCATCTCATTTCATCGCCGAGGCAGTTCCGGCCCACCCGACAGGCCAATGGCTCTCCTGCAAACTTCAGTCGCCCCAAGGGTGCACTGCGCCACTCCCGTCGCACTGATTTTCCCCTTATTAGCGGCCCGTTGGCCTCTCGAATCTGGGATGCACACTGACGGGAACCTTGGTAGATGCGCCGCCACGGCCTGCCCTCGCTATGTTGCATACATAAGGTACTCCGTGCTGTGATGTATGTACAATACCTTGGTATGGTGAAGGACTCCGGAGCCAAGTTCCTCGACGCTCACCCAAATCCTATAAGGTGCGAAATGCCCGATGCAGAACCAGGCATCTGTGCATTTGCTCTTCTCTGCCGGGCTGTTGCGGACTGTCAAGCCGAGATTGTCCTGCAGGAGATTCAACTGCTCCACTGTTCCGACGTACTGTACTGTAACCACATAACGTTACTCTCTGTCCCCACTCGGGGAGAACTCATGCGTGGTTTCGGCCCCCTGTCCGCTGCTGGTTGGCCTCGACTCCGGTTTACTAGGAGACGATGACGACACAGTGAAGCCGGAATCAAGGAAGCAGCCAATCGTAGAGACAACACCAGCCACAGTTAAATGAGCTCTGATGAGGTCGTAGACACGTGTACTTATATCTGACGAGCTGACGAGGCAAACCAGCCAGCCAGCTTCCGCTCGTACACTAGGTAATCACCTTGTAGTAGCCAGTACTATACAACAAGACAAAGAGTAGCTGCGTTTGGAGTCTCGAAGCCAAGGTACAGTGGTACCTACATTCGCTGAGTGCTTGTGCAAACTGCAAAGTGGGAAATTTTCCAACGTTCTCCTGCTGCCCCCACCGTTTATTAAGGAACTCATACGGATTAGACGCGCCTATAACACACTATTCGTCCCTAGAGATTCCGACACGAGGTCCTCTGCGGAGAGCTTTTCACGCGGGTGGTGTATCCCAGGTACGGAATTCAGTAAAACGATTTCTTTATTACCTACCTACATAATAATTATCGACTACACTCACTACAGTGCAATGGACGAAGTACTTTGTACATGTACAAATCTAAAAATTTGAAGACTTCCAGTTTGTTCCAATTTGCATTGCAACCATTGAAAGCTGTCTCTCATGTTCCACTACCCGCTTCTTCCGAACACAGTGCGCACTGTGCCCACCTTTTTCGCGCCCCTTCGGTCCGGCCCTGGAAGATTGGTCAGCTTACTATTTTCAGCACGGGCTCCCGGGCCCCTGGAGTTGACACGGGAATCTTGATTGCCTGCCATTCGGACCATTCCGGTTGTCTGAACTCAGCGTTACAATGACTGAGTAACCCATTGGGGCAGAGTGTAGAACAATGACGATAGTTGCATTATTAACAGTTTATTCTGCCTTGCTTGAAGTTCATTTCGAACCAGAGAACACAGTACTGAGGCACCAGCAAGTAAGCCGCAAGTTCCCTCAACTGACAGAGAATTAGTCACGCAGTGGAGGGTACAGTACACTACCTTGAGTCCCTTCGGAAGTTGAGTGTTGCGAGGACCTATCTATCTAAATGCCCTCCTCCACCCTTTCTCATCGTGGTGTAGGCGGGTACGAAGCAACGGCTGCGGTGTTAGCTAGCAAGCCAGCGCCGTCATCTTTAAGTGCCGAGTCGCCAAACTGTTCCTGCATAAGCGCCTGTTGTGAGACCATCTCCAGGAATCTCCCGCGCATGGGGGTTGCTCCAGAGCATGCAGATACGTATGTACTTGTACATACGTTGTTGTGTTTTCCTGGGTAAGCAACCAGCAGCCAGCAATAACTACTAATTCTGGCGCTCTCACTTCACTAGATCTGGGGTACATGATATCTACATGAGAGAGCACCGCGCCACATAAGGAATACGACTTGCTTCAATTGCCCCAATGAACGCCAATGCTGCAAATAATTACCTACCGTACGCTGGTTGGATGACTCTCGCTATCTGTCAACCCATTCAACTAGTGTAGGAGCCTAAAGGACCAACCATGTTCGCCAACCACTACATTCGCATAAGCGCTCAAGGGACATTCCGAGGTATACGGTGGCAAAATAGGACATACACACCGGGGTCCCATCATCGTCAAATCGATTTGTGCCCTGTGTCGGAAGGGAACATGATATTGAACTTACACTATAGCACCGCGGTGGTGCAGCAGATGGGTGACCGACAAGCTGTGTTACCATTGTCCACATGGGAGTTCCGAAGGAGGTGAGTCCAAGGCTTACAAAGGTTTTGTGGCACGTGACCTGGAACAGAACAGAACATATCAAGCTCTCATCAATGTTCCAGTCTCTCGTCCTGGGTCTTCGAGTCGTACTTCGGGTTTGTGTGCAGTGTACCTCCCTAGGTAGGTTAGGTAGGTGGTTTGCACTCGATACCTTGTTAACGGCATGTATGATGTGGGACAGACAACCCCAACCAGACTGCCCCACGAGCGAAGAGGAATTGGGAGAACTAGGAAGAATCAGGCTATTGCTTCATCAACGATGGGAAGATCAGGAAAGGCTCTGGCGTCTCACTGTTTTCTCGCGAGCAACTGCTGTGTTTTGAGTTCTCATGAGCGGAATTGGTTACACTCTCTGAGCTGAAAGTGGGGACGCTGGCCAAAGCTCCTGTGACTTGTTGCCCATGGCAACGAGTGCAGGCGTGTGGATGTTCATCCAAAACCTATCTCTGCGTCCTGGCCTTATTAACTTAACTTGTCGTCCGCAATGATCCGCCCCTTATAGACCACTTGCAGCAAAAAAGCCCAAGTTGCCTACGCGCGTCTTCGACATTCCTAGCAACGGAGGAGGAAAACAAGATTGGGTACTTGCTCAGCGCAAATATGGCGAGATTAGCTAGGCCGCATAGTGACCGTAGCCACGACGACGACGATGATGAGTTCCCCGACGTTGCGACTCTTTTTCGCAGAAAGCAGCAGCACACCCAGGTGCTTGCATCCGCTACAGAGAGTGGATTGGATAAGCGACCAAAATCGAGCACGCCAGGGAAAGCTCTGGCAACTGTGACAACAATCCGAAGGCGGAAGCTGGGGCCTCTGACGGACAACTTGTTGCTGCGTGCGTGGACGCCGAGCAGCGACGAGAATGAGCGGGACGAAAGACATTCTTCATCTGACAAAGAGAACACCGGGTCGCGACGGGCAATAGTTGGACGACGGACCAGGAACGCACGGCCCACGGTTGCCAGGGCTTCGTCTTCTGAGGACCAGGAGGAGGACTACTTTTCCGCGCGAGAAGAGTTGACTATTACCGAAGACGCATCTATAGCCGACGAGGTGTTTACCCCAAGCGATTCGGACTCAGACTTCAGCAGTTACGAAGATGAAGATGATGCCGATGGCCAAGATGTTTTCGAGGATTCGCCTCCTCCAAGGTCGCCAGCAAAATCAAAACTCCGCCTGAAAAAAGGACGGAAAGTAGCGGATAAGTCCAAAAAGACCGACAAGGAGCTTGCAGATGCGACATCCAGACTTCGACTGTGAGTTCTAGTTCACTCCAGAGTTCCGTCGTTGAGTGGTATGGTATAATTATGTCCTAACCCTGCCCAGCGACGACCTTGACGAGCTCGAAGGGAACAGAAATAAGCTCATAGATTCGAAACCAAGCGGCCAAGAAGTAACGCCGCCTTCAACACCACCCAAATCGCGACCAGGTCTTGTCTCGCCCAGGAAACTCCCGCGTATCCCCGTCACACCCCATCGGCCGAGTTCGGACATGTTTTGGAGCCAGGAGTTCGTCGACGAGTGGAATGATGAGCACTCGCCGCGGAAGCAACTATTCCCTGATGCCACAGCAGCTAGGCCGAGGAGTCCTACCAAGGCGAATCCGGGGACGAAATCTCAGACGACGGCAAGCGTCAAGGGCCAGTCAGACCGCGACATAAAAAGGACTTTCGAAAAGACCAAGCACGAGCTGGCCGAGCAATTTATCCGGGAACTCGATACCAATATTACCGACGGAAAGCTGGGAGAGCTGGCCGCTTCGACAGGTGGAATCAAGCTCATCTGGACGAACAAACTCAACACCACGGCCGGCCGTGCGAATTGGAAGCACACAACAGTCCGTACTCGGGCCCCGAACGGTGACAACGCCGCCGCCGATTCAGTCGAGCATAAGCACTTCGCTTCGATCGAGCTTGCGGAGAAGGTCATCGACAACGAACACCGGCTGCTGAACGTGCTGGCGCACGAGTTTTGCCACTTGGCCAACTTCATGATCAGCCGCGTGACGAACAACCCGCACGGGCGGGAGTTCAAGGCCTGGGCGGACAAGTGCTCGAGCGCGTTTTGCCACAGAGGGATCGAGGTCACCACCAAGCACTCGTACAAGATCGACTTCAAGTACGTGTGGGAGTGCGTTGCGTGCGGCATGGAGTACAAGCGACATTCCAAGAGCATCGACCCGGCGCGACACCGCTGCGGGAGCTGCAAAGGCGAACTCACCCAGACCAAACCTGTGCCCCGGAAATCGAAAGCAGGCGGCGCGCCCGCAAAGCTGAGCGAGTACCAGACCTTCATGAAAGAGCAGATGTCAGTGGTCAGGGAGCAGAACCCGAAGATGTCGCAAAAGGAGATCATGAAGATCGTGGCTGCTCGCTGGGCGGCACAGAGGTCCAAGTCGTCGACCCCGGATGACGGGAACCAGGAAGTTGCCAAGGAAGTTGGAGGTCTAAGCATTTAGAAGGCTATGAGCAAAGGCATGATACTGTTTAGTCTTGTAATCAATAGATCATCTCAGCATGGTCATGACATCGCCACGGGGACCGCTCTTATCGTCCAACGCCCACCCTGTCCTGTCCTGCCCTGCCCTGCGTTTCGTGCCCAACCAAACCCACATACATGAAAAAGCCACCTGTTATCCATATGCCCGCCCAGTGTACTAAGCAACACCCGAAACCAAAACCTACCACAGCCGCTCTCTTCATGCGTTTACACCTCATTGAACAACTTCCAATCCCGCACCTCGAACGTGGCCCATATCTTGGCCGCATACTCGACCGCATCCCCGATCAGCTCCCCCTGCTTACCCAGCGCCAGGTCCACCTCTTCCTCATCATACTCCCCCTTGATGTGCGGCACGTTGATCGTGATGAGGATGTCCGTCTGCTCCCTCTCGAGCCGCACGAGCGTGAGTATCAGCGCCGTGAAATCGGGCGCCGATGACCTGCGTGAGGCAGACCCCTCTTCATCGTCGGCGGGTTTGTGTGGGGTTTGGGTTGCAATGAGTGTGTAGGCTGGTATGCTCTCGCTATGTCATCGTTGTTAGCTGGGTAATCTGCCAGTTTGGTGGGATAAGTATTGTTGGGATATTCGGAAAGCATATCAAGCGGAAAGGGAGGGCGGCGCATACTCGAGATGCGAGAACTGCGTCTCGGTCGTGTTCCAGACTTTGACCGTGTCCGCGTCCTCGCCGACAAGATCTTCCAGGTGGATTGTCAAGGCGCGACCATCGCGCTCGAGTGGATCGTCGCCAGGGGCGTCTACGCGCTCGGTGATGTCGAAGATGATGGAGGTGAAGCCATCTTTGTCAAGGTAGACTTCTTGGTTGTCGGGGACTTTCCGAATCATGCTAAGGGGATCGTTAGCTAAGTTCGCCGATTAAGCCAAGGGCGATAATCGAAGGAGCGTGCGGTGCAGCTGTAGAGCGCCCGCAATGAAAGCCGTACCTCACATCGGCAAAGTTATCAGGCAGGTCGCATACAAGCGCGCCGCCAAAGAGGGGTGTTTCCTTGAAGCGAGGCATAGTGGTGGTTGGGGAGATGGACGGTGTTAGCGCGATTCAACCTAGCGGTATTCAGGAAAGGAGAGGCCAGGCTCAAGTCGTGTGTTGAGGGTTGTACTGAGCGCAAGTTTGTTTGCGACCAGTAGTACGGCCAAGGCAGTGACATCAAGCGTGGGCGGCTCGGCGGTTGGCGGGGTCGCGAGGCAGGCCAGCGGCGGGGCATCATGCCCAGCTTCGCCGCAGCGCCGCGGACCCTAGGAAGCCTCAGGCAGCCCGGTCCTTCTAGGATCTATCTCTAGGGATTACATGGAGCAATCCAAAACTTTAGCCAGCTCACCAGTTATGATAAGAAAACCCGCACGATATACACCTTCATCTATCGTGCGATGCGTCTCAGTGCATAGAGGGGCCGCCTGGCTACCTAAGGTGCCGCTTTACCCCGCTCTACCAGAGTCGCGGGCCGGTCCGTCGAGGGGGCGAACGGAGCATTGGATTTATGAACGGCCGCCCCGTCATCAAGCAGCCCCTCCTTTCCTGCCAGTCCGTCGCTACAGCTACCTCCCCAGTCAAAACACCTTGATGGCTACTAGTAAGATGGCTTCCTGCATCTTCTGCAAGATCATTCAGGGTAAGCCAATCTCTCTCAAGCATAGCCAATGCCTCGAGCTAATCCTTGTCCGCTTCATCATCAGGCGAGATCCCCTGCTTCAAGCTCTTCGAGAGCGACAAGACGCTGGCCTTCCTCGACATCAACCCCCTTAGCAAGGGCCATGCTGTAAGGTCTACGTCCATGTACAACCTGGCACTCCCGAAGCACTGACTCACGAAATCATTCATGCCATAGCTCGTCATCCCCAAGTTCCACGGCGAGAAGCTAACCGATATCCCCGACGACTACCTGACCGATATTCTGGTACGCCCGAATCGGAACCCGCCGCACCTGAAGTACGGTCGCACTTGGGCGAGAAGACTGATTCTCTGTTTCGCAGCCGATCGCGAAGAAGCTGGTCGTGGCCACAGGTGCCAAAGAGTACAACATCTTGCAGAACAACGGCCGTGGGGCACACCAGGAAGTCGGGCACGTAAGTTGGTGGCACGGCTTGGGATCTTGAATACAGGCTGACTCTGACTTTGGGGAATAAACAGGTGCATTTTCATATGGTAAGTACAGTACATTCGGTGATCAGTGATGCTAGCTTGATTTAAGAGACAAGGGTTTCGGCGACTGACACGAGGACAGATCCCCAAGCCCAACGAGCAGGAAGGCCTTGGCATTGGTTGGCCCCAGCAGAAGACGGACATGGACAAGCTGAAGGCGTATTTTGAGGAGATCAAGTCAAAGGTGTAAGTGTTGAGAGCGGCGCTTGTAGACATCGGCCTGTTGGGGTTGTACGCCTGCCCTTGGGTAAACTGTAAGGGGCCCGGGGGAGCTATAGGCGGCATAACTACCTATCTACCCAGGTAGTATGATCTGCCAATGCTTGAACAATGTCGAAAGCACACGCAGTCCTGTACCAACGCTTCAGGAAACCGTATGTGTATGATCTCCGTAGAGAAGGTGATAGGATACTATTCTAAGCCCGGAATTCACCGTGATGTTGAAACACTGATCGACATATACTATATTTACAGTGAACCGGCCCCTCCCTCTAATCAATATCGTCTGCCGAAGTCTGTGGACCAGGAGCAGGCGCTGGAGCATCCCCATTGACCTTCGGCTCAGGATACCAATTCAGCTTTCCTCCGGGCTGTAGCACGCCGATCCGATCATAGTAGGAGCGCGCACGCAGATAGGGGTCGACGTTCCAGTAATCCTCACGAAGCTTGTTCGCAATCGCATTTCGCCGCGCCTTGATCTCCGAGGCCTTGTCGCCCTCAGGATTCTGGATCCACTCAAGCGTCGTCTCCTCGTACTCTTTGTAGAGTTCTTGCCGCGCCGCCAGCAGCCGGTCGCGGGTCTCGGTGTCATTGAGCTTGTCGTTCTCGCCCTCGACCGGCTCGACGTACTGGTAGGTCCAGTCTTCTTCGCCCTCGAGGTCCTTCGGGATGTGTTTCATGGGAATGAACTCCTCCATTTCCTTGGCGTTGTTGGTGAAGTGCACTTTGTTGGCCACGACCGGGTCGAGCCATCCGCGGATTACCTTCCAGATGCCTGGCGGGTGTTAGCGGTGCAATCCATGGGTCTCTCTTTCATTGAGAAAAATGGATAAAGTACTCGCCTTGGAAAATCCAGGGGGCCTTGTGCACTAGAACTGTCCCCAGGCACTCGGGATAGTTGGCCTCGAAGCACTTGATCATGAACTTGACCGGTGCGTAGTCCTAGAAGCGGTCAGCAGCTTGGCATCGATGGGGCAAGGTCAGAGGCAACATACCATATTCGCCATGGAAAAGTTGGTCATGTCGAATACAATAGTCTGTGATGGTTAGCAGATTGCAACGAGGCAGCGAGGCAAAGTTAGGACTCACAGCCGTGTCAACCGGTGGCTGGAGCAACATGCGGCACGTCTCGATGAGATAGACGGTGTATCTCTCCAGAGACTCCTCTGTCTGCTCGCCTTGCCGGTGCAGTCGGACATTCACAAAGCAGAGCGGCCTTCCCTGCTTGTCAACGCCGTGCACGTAGCTGATGCCCTTCCTGATCTGCGTCATGAAGTCCGCTGAAACCTTCTGCGTCATGGGATCGGTGCTCTTCGCGGCAGCCAGCGCAGCGGCCTCGCCGTTTCTCATGATGTCCTCGTCGACCTTCATCTCCTGTGCCCGCCAGTGCATGGTTGAGACCAGCATGATGAGCGCCCTCTCGACGTCCCACTTACGGGCCCGGAGGAAGCGCAAGACAAGCGCGTCCGGATGATCGTGCTTCACCATGCTCCAGATGGTATCCCGTATCGACTCCGGCGATTGGCTGGCGAGCGTGTCGTAGAATTGCTTCGTCTGGCCATACTTGTCATCCCCGTCCTTCCCTAGGTTGAGCACAACCGGAGCATTTGCTGGTGCACCTGACGTCGACTCTGCATCTGACTCTTTCCTGCCCTTACGCGAAAAGAGCGACATGCGGCTCTTCTTGGACTTCTTCGCCTCAGCATCCTGCGCCTTCTCGGCAGCCGAGCTGCTGTCCGCGCCAGCACCGTTTTGCTCCTGGCCAACCCCGCACACTTGGAAAATGAGCTGCCATAGCCGCCTGAGCTTCTCCTCCTGTTCAGGGGTAAGGTTCCCGGGGCGTCCCGGAGCTGCCCCTGCGGTCATGTCGTCGGATAAATCGAACAGGATCTGAGTATCTCTCGACACGGTCTCCCTAAGGCGAAGAGTATAGTAGGCTGATAATGCTACTACGGCAGTGAGAACAAGATAAAGTCCCGATGAGGAGGCTGGTAAGGTCCTGCTATAGCAATAACGAAGTTGTGCTGGATCCTGAGCAGCTCTAAGCTGGGAAGTTCTGGTGGGCTGTTCTCGATTCTGCTTTCCGAGGGATCTGTGGCCGACTACAGAATTCGAGCTGAATGCGCTGGAGGAAGTGGTTGCAGAGTGCGCCTGGACAGCCGAGCAAATTCGGATGTCACGAGACGCGCACGCGGGGCTAGCACCAGAACCTCTGAGAGCAGTTGACGGGGAGCTGAGGGAATGAACGAACTGGGATGAGGCCCGCAGTGAAGGTCGCATACGAGAGAACCCAAAAGGCTGCCAGAACAAGAGATGATGGCTGGCGGGTCAATACCTGATGCCAGGCATTAGTAGGCTAGTAGTTACAGATTGCGGTGGCTCGTCGAGCTTTCCTCTGTATCCTGTATCAGCTGCGGCGCAAGGCCAATGGAACGTTGAGACAGAAAGTGCGACGGGCCCTAGGCCAATCCGAGCGCATGAATGCTCGAAGGGGATTCACATACATCTGCTGTTGATCGATGTCAAGGAATGAATGGCCGCGAACGCAGCCGTAAATTCACCTCCGTTTTGACAGTCGGAGGTACGTAAGAGCCGTCCGTTGTCTTAAGCTGAAGGGGCCGGAAGATGGATGTTGGCGTTACTGCCCTGAGGCAGTGACGTACACTGGCGGGGCGTATGCGGCCAAAACCGAACAGGTAATCTGAAGCTGCAGGAACACGGGGCTTCGGGCTGTCTGAGGCGGCCGTCTCTACCTAGTTCCGTCTGATTTCCCAGGCTGTCACAATGTCAATTACCTGTTAGACGTGAAATCCTTTCTTCAAGCTGTCTTCCGGGTTCTCCGCAGACCCCGACGCTGCATGACTTACAGAAGACTGATAGTTAGATCTACTATGCGCCGTGATATAATGAAATGAACAGGCTGTAAGAGCTTAGCTTCAGTCACACCTGCAAGTCGAGTGATTCTTTCTAAATGTCTCTCTCTCTCGTTTGAGCGAGTCTTCTTACTTCTGTTCCGTTGTTTCTCTGTCGTCTATTTGATTATTTCTATCTCGATTCATTGCTTTAATTATGGTTCAACGTGGGATTGCTCTGCAGAAGGCGACTACAACCAGGCTTGTTTTCGGCCTGTCCGGACACTGTCAGTTTATCTAGCCCACTGGTTGCAAAGGCCATAGTTGGCCAAGATGGTCCCACAGTCAGTCGGCTTACGTGCCTTGGCGCGTTCCGTCATTTGGAATGGGTGAGGGGCCGGGCCGAAAGTCCTCTGCGGGGACCTTGCGCCGATCCCGACGGTTTGGGAAATCAAAGCAAACAAAACACCAAATCAGCAAAGCACCATCGACGAAGCCAAATTACAAGACAGAACCAATCCCAACATGGCCCCGGACGGGCAAGAACAGAATACCCAGCGTCGAGCACGCTCGACCTCGCGCTCCCGCCCGACGACCCCGCTCCGGCCATCATCACGGGCTTCACTTCGCGACTCGGCTCGCAGCAGCGTGCATGGCGAGTCGGCCTCGTTCCCGCTCAATGCGTTTGAGCCAGCCTTTGCCGAGTTGTCGGATGCTGTGGCCGACCTTGAAGCCAATATGATGCACTTCCAGCTGATGCACGAGAGCCTGGCGCGGTTTAGCGAGAGCTTTGCGAGCTTCCTGTATGGGCTGAACATGAATGCCTTCTGCGTCGATTTTCCGGAGGTATGAGCGAGCGGAGGATGTGGAACTGGCTGGCAGGACGCTGATATGGTGCGCGTTACAGGCCCCGATGGCAGAGTCATTTAGACGGATGAAGTTGAAGGAGGAGGAGCAGCAGGGTAGGCGGTGATGCGCTCCGGATGCCAAACGTTCATTGCTGACACACCACCAGCCAATTCAAGGGTCCTTGAGAGGGCGACTGGCGAGGTTGATGCTGAGACTACTTTTATGTGCGCATATTCTCACGGGACTCTTTGTGTGCTTGGGATCTGACCCGTCTAGGACAACGGATACCTCGTTTGTGGAGAACCCCTCTTCCATCAAACCCTCGCTGAAGTACCAGACACCCGCTTCAAACCGCCAGTCACGGGTCCCAACACCATCAACGTCAACTAGGGGAACGACTTCCACAAGAGGAACGGCAAGAGGTGGGAGGGGAACCACGGGAAGTCGGGGCACGCGGCCTAGCGGGCTTGTGAGACCGAGAGCCCGAGGTATTAGATGAAAGGTTTGGGTGGCATTGCACTCCTGAAGACAGGAGGAAAAACTGAGACGTTGATGCCTGGGAAGACAGCCGCTAGGAACAAGTAGAGAAGGTGCTGAAAAGCGACCCCGATGGCCGTCGGTTGCCGGGTAGCGGCGGGCTCGGACGCCTTTCTTGACGTCGCCGAGTATGCAGCCAAACAACAACAGGTGTCGGATCTTGGGGGTGCGGAGACCACCGTTAACGGAGTCGTCCGGGACTCCAAATGCAGAGGCAGGCCAAGTACGGTTACTGACGACCAAGTTAAGAATCGTTTACAGCGTTGTCCAGATACATCCTAACTCGCCTTAGACACTCCTCCTCGCCTGAATTGACCCAGGCGCCCACGATAGCAACAGTCTTATTTCTAGACTTGAGACCCTGCGTGATCTGCAGGTCTGACTTGGGTAGATCAAGGGCCTGGGTATTCAAATGAGCTTAGGCTCTAAACCAATAAATAACCCTATGGATGTTGTATGTACTTGTACCTGTCACATACCTCGCTCAAGACCTTGATTACCGCTTTGTTGGCCTCGCCTTCACGTGCTTGTGCTGCGACACAGATCTCGACGGCTTGGTCGTCGACCGAGGCGATGCCCTCACGGTTTCTATTGGTCCCTGGCTTTACGTTGCAGTGCATGTAAAGAGTATTTCTAGCAGACCTTTTGGTCGCTGGCACATACCAAAATGCGCGGGCTGACATGTTGTCTGAGTGGCAGTGGAAGTGTTGATGAGAGGAGTTGTGAGTGAGAATGCCAGGAGTCGGAGTCAGTTTTGTGACCGAACTCCACCTCCATTCTGTTCCCTGTTGGATAACCGCCAAAGGGAGGGTTATTAGTACTAGTATTCCGTAGGTAGGGTCATGTGCTTCATCGCACTGATACAGACAGACTCTTGGTCCTCATTCACAGTGTATTAACCCATGTAAAATGGCAGTAGTGGGTTACTCTGCCTAAGTATGACGCTATGTCAGCCATGAGTCAATTAAACGCTTGAAACCAAGGACAATGTTAGCCTTTCAGTATGCCGAAGATTCCTATCCGCTTAAACAATCGCGTATGATTGATGGACCCTAACCCTTTGTGTCTTGAGCTCCGGAGTCCGGACCGGTGATGTCAACCTTCCTGACCGACAACATGCCAACTCCGAGTCCAGTTTCAGCTAAGCTCTCATAAACATACGGCCGCCACCAATTGACTCACAGTTCTTCCACAAAACTCACTTTCAGACGGGCAGAAAACCAATACAATACAAACCCACCCAAAATGTTCCGCCAGTCCCTCATCAGACCGCTCACCTCCACAGCAACTGCAGCCGCGACCCGCCGCTTCGTTCCCGTCGCTGCTCCTCGCTCGAAGAAGCTCTTCCACACCACACCTCGCGTTTTGGTGAACGTGGGCGACCCGCTCCCGGACACGGACGCCCTGATGGAGAACACGCCCGGCCAGCGCGTGAACCTGGCCGAGGAAGCCAAGAAGGTGAACAACATGCTGCTGATCGGGGTGCCCGCCGCCTTCTCGCCGGCCTGCTCGGCGCGCCACGTGCCCGGGTATATCCAGCACCCGAAGACGAAGGAGTTCGAGCTGGTTGCCGTTGTGTCGGTCAATGATGTTTTCGCGTGAGTATTCTACCGTACCCCTCTATGCGCCGGCACTGGCTGGAACGGGAAAGCGCGGGTGGCATTGTCTTGCGAGCGCGGTGAAGCTGATGAAATGGGGGATATAGCATGAAGGCTTGGGGTGAGACGCTGGATCCAGCGGGAACTCAGGGGGTGAGTTGCAAACCCTTGGATACCGTATCGGTTAAGGCTAAGGGGAGTTGCTTACTTCGGGACAGATCCGTTTCCTTGCCGACCCTACTGGCAAGTTCACCAAGATGCTGGACATGTCGTTCGATGGGTCGGCCATCTTCGGCGGGGACCGTTCCAAGCGGTATGCCATCATCGTGGAGCAGGGGAAGGTTAAGTCGGTCGCTGTCGAGCCCGACAACACTGGTACCGATGTGTCGCTGGCGGAAAAGGTGTTGGCCGCTGCTGCTTAGTGCTATGCATCTCGCGCAGGTATAATATGGGCTACGGAGAAGGGACCATAGCAGTTTCAGACGGAGTTTCACTGGCATTTCATTTCAAGACGCAAAGGCGAATACAACAGGTACCGACACTCAAGGAAGACTTGAAAGAGAGAATCCAAACCAAAACCGCCGTGCTATTGCATTCTAGCATAAAAAGAACATAAGCCAAGGTATCTAAATTATGTACACGTGTAGTCCAACCAGAGGCGGCAGTCCTCCTTCATCTGAGGTGCTCATCCCGTACGCTGCGTCAACCGAGGGTCATAACATCGCCTATAACATGGGCTTTAGATCATCCGCAACCCGGAAGGGCGCCTCAGTCTTGGCCTTGATCTCGTCCACCGTCACGCCATCGGCAATTTCAATTAGTGTCAACCCATGGGCGAAGTCGACATCAAAGACACCCTGCTCGCCAAGTCAGCATCACTCCATTCGTCAAATCAAGGCTAAGGGAGAAACTCACGAGCTCAGTGATAATCCTCGACACGCAGGCCTTGCCGGTTAGGGGGAAAGCACACTGCTTAACAATCTTGGGATTGCCCTTCTTATCGGTATGCTCCATCGTCACAACGACCTTGGTCATGCTCGGGTTGCTGACCAAGTCCATCGCGCCACCGAACCCCTTGACCTTCCCGGGCAACATCCAGTTGGCCAGATCGCCCGTCGCGCTGACTTGCATCGCACCGAGGATGGTCAGGTCAATGCGGCCGCTCCGGATCATGCCAAAGCTCTCCTCGGACCCAAACACCGACGCGCCCGGCTTCAGCGTCACCGTCTCCTTGCCGGCATTGATCAGATCGGCGTCCTCCTGGCCCTTGAGCGGGTAGGGCCCTAGGCCTAGGATGCCGTTCTCGCTCTGCAGCTGCACCTCGACGTCGTCGCCCACGAAGCCCGGCGCAAGCATCGGCATGCCGATGCCCAGGTTGGCGTACATGCCGTTCTTGAACTCCTTGGCGGCGCGCTTCACGATGCGCTCGCGCTTGGCCTTGGTGTCGCCCGTGCCCAGCGCGGCAGCGGCCTTGGGGTCCTCGACGGCGGCCTCGTTGGGGTCTTTGCTCCACGTGTACTTCTCGATGTTCTTGGCGGCGGTGCTCTGGATGACGCGCTTGACGTAGATGCCCGGCAGATGGACCGCCTCGGGCGGGATCTCGCCGGGCTCGACGATGTGCTCGGCCTCGACAATGGTCATCTTTGCGTTGCGGCCCATGGCGCCGTTGAAGTTGTTGGCCGCCAGGCGGAACTGGCAGTTGCCGAGCCGGTCGGCCTTGTAGGCCTTGACAAAGGCGTAGTCGCCGGCGATCGAGTGCTCGAGCAGGTAGCTCTTGCCGTTGAAGACCTTGACGTCCTTGGGGTACGAGAACACATCCGGCGTGCCGTCCGGCTTGTTGCGCAGCGGCAGCTCGCCCGTCTGCACGACGGTGCCGAAGGCGGCGGGCGTGTAGAAGGCCGGGATGCCCTTGCCGCCGGCGGCGCAGCGCTCGGCCAGCGTGCCTTGCGGTGTCAGCTCCAGTTCAACCTCGCCCGTCAGGTACATGGTCTCAAACGTCTTGTTCTCGCCAATGTACGATGCGATCATCTTCTTGATCTGCTTGGTCTTCAGCAGCTTGCCGAGGCCGCTGCTGTCCGTGCCGGCATTGTTCGACACGGCCGTGATCCCCGTGATTTCTGGCTTCTTGAGCACCTCGTCAATCAGCGTGTCTGGCACGCCGCACAGGCCAAAGCCGCCGCAGAGAAGCGTGGTGTTGGGCTTCATGTCCTTAAGCGCCTCCGCGGCCGATGGGTAGATCTTGTTGATCTCCCGCCGGCGGGCAGTCGCCGAGAAGGACCGCGCAAAGAGCGCCGCATGCTGTCCAGGCCACAGTCAGTACGCGTGAAGAAAGACTAGTAAAAATTCCAGGGATCTGAGAACCAGGTACATTCTGGCCATATTTGGCATATGCCCTCAGTGTCCTCATGCACATCGCCGCCGACGGCATCTTGGATTGTAAATCTGGAGCGTTCGGCTATAGAAGGGTTTACCGGAACGACGCGATAGGCAAGTTGGCGAGGAGCAACGTCGCGAAAGAAGGGCAACAAATGCAACACCGCAATGCAAGAAAACGGTCAAAAGGGAAGAGAAAAGTAAACAGAAACAAGATTCAGAGACAGCTGGAAGGAAGCCATCGCCGGCACTAAGTTACAATGAATGGCACTTTCCCCCGGGCCCTCTACAGTGGTACCGGAATCCCGTCAATGGCCGACAGCAGTGCCGTGGTCCCCACCTGAGGTTCCCCGGCAAGTCTCCGCCTTCGGAAAAGCTGCTCGGCAGCGGGTGAGAATTGACCCATTCCGCTGTCGGCTTCGGAAAGCAGCGGGCATCGGAATGTTAGTCATTCATTGTCGGGCACATGGACCGGTGAGGGGAATACCAGTATATGTTAGTATGTGTGCCTAAATCTGAGAGTAACTCACAATTCCTGAGATCCCGTCTAGAGTTAGTTCTGTGATTTGATTTATTAACGCGACCTTCGACCTGTTCATCTCACCGTCGCTTAAGGATTCTTCCCTCATGCTATGGAAGCAAATGCTGAAACTCACTGACAGTTGTGCCAAGCGGGACCCTAACAAAGTGGGACCTCCCCAGGTCCAACAGCCGGGTAACGACTCCGGAAGATTTCATGCCCCATGTGCCTGTGTACGATGTATGTATTGTAGTATTGTGATGATTACCTGGTGTAGACGTCATGCCGTAGCCCTACGGTAATGACCAGATCCTCGTCTCAAGTGATCCGTGAAGTACGGTGTAGTCTGTAGAAAGCAGAGATGAGGTCGAATGTGAGTTCATGTCGTTCAAGTTGATTCCATCCCAAACCTTAGCTCCCGCCTCCTCGCTGTCCCATGCCCCGGCCCTCTCCCATCTAATGTACATGTACACAAACAATCACGGCAGGCGCTGCAGGTCAAGTCGAACTCCGGAGATGTGCCCAATCTATGCCGAACCACACGCCAGTTTGCTTAGTGAAACCCCAGGTCAGAGTAGGCTCCAGCAAAGCCCAAATGCACCGTTCCGGTCAACCCCCAAAATCATCGAGCTTCAGGCAACTATGACAACTGATGCCGGCTTGATATTGCCGCCGCCGCCCTTGTTCGTTCGCCGAGGAACGCACGGAGTAATACTGCCACAGTACCGAACACCTCCAGCGCCTCCTAGCGTCGGGTGCTCGCCGCTCCGCCATTGACGGCCGAGCCCGTCAACTCGACATTGAAGGTCCATTTTCCTATTGCTTGTCAGTCATAACGCACACGACTAAACCGATTCGAGTTTACATACCTTCAGCGAGGTTCTGTGCGGTGTCTTCCAGAAGAATCACCCTTCGTTTGTTGCAATAGGTTGTCTTATCCATGATTTCCACCTTCAGCTTTGGGTCGGCGAGATCAGTTATAGGTCGCTCGAACATCTCGGACAAGGCCTCAACCGCCATCTCCAAGTCCTTCTGGTTGTCCTCGAAGATCTCCGTCAGGTTGTTGCGGGCGAGGTAGAAGGCAAATGCATACGTCCACATCAGGGTCTGCCGACACGTCTGGAGCGCCTGGGAGGCCGAGTTAAGATACTGCACCTCGATCCATGACATGCCGGATTCTTTCTGCAGTTGTACCATCCTTTTCTCTGTCTTATGGAAGATGTCCTTATCCAGACGGGCTGACTGCTCGTGGTTGGCGTAGCGGTTGTAATAATGCAGATAGCGCTCAAGCGATACCCGTGAGCGGGCCTGGGCATCCCTAGCTTCCATGCCGCTTTTCTCCTCGAACCTATTGCAGTTGTACCAACTCGTGCCGTGCTCGGACCACAGCCCCATACACATCCAACAGAACTCGTGCTTGCACTTCCGGCAAGTCATGTGGTTGCACCCACCGTTCTTCTCGATCGTACTGTTGCACTTTGGGCACTCCTTCGTGTTGGCTGAAATCCAGTTCGCCGTCTCCGAGTCGTCTGCACACTTCTTGAGCCACTTCTTCACGAGCTCGCACGGAGCTGGCTGATGGTCGTTCAGAATACAACCAAAGCAGAAGCGGTGGCCGCACAGGCAGGACACGGTGGGAACCACTCTGTCGAGGTCCTTCTTTTTCACCCCGCACTCAACGGCATTCTGGCAGTCGGGGGCTGGACACCATTTCAGTGTCTCCTTATCCTCGACATATGTTCGGTGCAGCAGCTCGTGGTACCGATCGGTCAGATCCTGGGGTACAAGAAGATCCAACGACCTGGCGTCGATGATGAGGTTACATCCCTCAGAAGGACACTGGATGCGCGCCGCTTCGCCCTCTTCCCGGATCTTTTGTGAGAGGTAATGGCGGTAGCAATCCACGCAGTACCTGTGGCCACACTTGAGGGCGAACGATTGGAGCCCGGGCTCGTCCTCACAGCAGATGTCGCATACAAAGTCGGGAATAACCTGGATCTTGGGGGGGCCAGCTGCACTTCGAGAAAGCCCAGCAGCATCAAGGACCTGGCCAGACCTATCCATGTAGTCCTCAATCAACCGCTCCTTGTTCCACCTGAAGTAGCGGAGAAGAATGGCCGCCTCCTCCTTTGAGATGTCCAGGATCATGTTGACCTCGTCTATCAGGTCATCTTGTTGCTTCTGAATGTCGCTTGGTTGGTAGACGCTGAAGTCAACGTCATAGACGGCCTTCTTCCCGTGTCCGGGCTCTTTCTGCAAGTCGCTGTACGCGTCGGGCTCATCGTCGAAACCATAATCTAGAAAGGCCGCGACGGTTAGCATATGGCTGTACACAAGCGACTGCGACACGACGGCTTGACTTAAACCCTTCCGGGCGAGACCGAACAAACAGTTACGCACGAAGAGGTAAAGAACAGCAGCGAATACCAACCTTCATCATTCGACATGTCATTGTCACTATCGTCTGGCATGATGTCCTCCTCGCTAGACACGTTGGAGATGAAGTCGTCGTCCGAATCCATGGTGCCGTCCGCGACTGTGGTTACCGGTGTGGGAGGAGCTGTGTCGGGGCCGGCTGAGGCGAGAATCCTCTTATTCGGAGCGGTGCCAGCAGAGGATATCGTCGCCTCAGCGGCTTTCCGCTTGCGAGTTGCTGGGGGAATGATGCCGGCTTATGCCAGCGCCACCTGACAAGCAGCGACTAGTCGCGTATCGCGGGTGGGAATAGTAGGATGACTTTGGTACCAAGATGGTGCCCTGTAGTCGCGGAGCCGTACCTTGCTCAGCGATGCGTGAAACAAGACTTTATTTAAAGATGGGAGCGAAGGGCAGGACCCAGGGGGTGGCGGTTGATGGTACGACGCCCTTCTTGTTGTGAAAGGAGACAACGATAAGAGGCGCTGGAAGTTAGGTACGGTGACTTTCGAGAGAAAAGATCGCTCGAGATGTCAGCCGATGGATTGTAGTGGAAGGTGAACTGGCGAGAACTGGTCAGCCCGATAAGAAGTGCAGGTTTGGACAATGTGACGGGAGAACGTTTGGATGACGGTGAGCAAGGCCCAAGTTAAAGAGTGGGCTGCCAGCAAAGCATGGGCGGGATTAGGTAACACAGCCTGGCGAGCGGCGAGCCAGGGCAGGGATCACAGGGACGGAATTACCGGTGACCGGCTCAAGACCGGACGATCACATCGCCTGCCAGGCTGCCAGCTGTTGTCCGGTGTCTTCCGACCCACTCTCTCACCGTCACGGCGTCCAGGATTCGAGGCTGCCAGCCCACAATGCTGTGGCAACTGGAAACGTTCGTCAGTGCCCGGGGTTCCGAGAACGTGCCAGTTACCTATCGAATAAGCTCACAGTTTGCTTCGACCTTCGCTCAGGCCTCAGGCACTGCTATTTGCAGTGATCGGATTAGCCCTTGTCGGCAACACCAAGAGCAGTCGCGGATTGAAGAAGACAACTTGATGTTCGATGTGCACTGCATTCACAATGCCCGGGGATAACTCAGAAGGCGACCGGAGGCCCAGCCGCAGTAAACAGCAGGATGAGCCCGAAGATTATAGGGAGGAACGGAAGACAAGACACTGGGAAGACAAACATGTCAATCGCAGCAATCGATCACGATCACGATCACGAGAACGACCATACCGACGGCGTTCAAGAACACCCGGCTCAAGGGACAGGCGGTCACGTTCAAGAGGTAGAGAGAGGAGAGATCGGGATTTCGAACGGGAGACCCACGGCCGGCGAAGTGAGAAAAGGGATGGCGGCAGGCGCAATCGTGAGCGCAATGTTGATGATAGGCAGGAGTCGCGAATGCGGCGAAGTCCCGATCGTAGGTCTCAGCGGCGACTTGATGGAGCGGACGAGCGGGCAAGATCCGACGACGGACGAAGCCTTGTCAAACGCTCTGGCCCATTGCCGTCGCAGGGGGACTCGTTCGCCATTAGCAAAGGTGAAGAACCTGAGAAGCCAAAAGAGAAACCCAACTTTGGGAACTCTGGGTTGCTGGCGGCAGCGTCCAACTCGGTCACTCAAGCCGATGGCACCACCATCACCCTGAAATACCATGAGCCGCCAGAGGCCAGGAAACCACCTCCACGCGACCAATGGAAGCTGTTTGTCTTCAAGGGCCAGGATATTGTCGACACGGTCGAACTCAGCACCCGGAGCTGCTGGCTGATTGGGAGAGAACTAGCAGTCGTCGATCTTCCCGCCGAACACCCGAGCATCAGCAAACAGCACGCCGTCGTACAGTTCCGCTACACCGAGAAGCGCAACGAGTTCGGGGACAAGATCGGCCGGGTGAAACCGTACCTGATCGATCTGGAGAGCGCGAACGGCACGAAGCTCAACGGCGAAAAGGTGCCCGAAAGCCGTTATTTGGAACTACGGAACAAGGACATGATTCAGTTCGGTTCAAGCACAAGGGAGTATGTGCTCATGCTGCCGCCCAAGGAATGAGAGAAGCAGGCCTAGAGAACACAGCACCCGTTCATCCAGATGTTCGATCTCACGGAAGGCGGGTCCCTGGAGTCCTTTTTGTCTCCGACACGGCATTCTGCGTCCGAATGCCTTCAACCATAGCTCGACATTCAAGAGCCTCTTGTGGCCCCGTGTTATGCCGAAGCCGGCCGTGACCCCGGTGTGGTATCAAATCGCGTATTTGTCCCTAGGAGCCGTTGCACCGGAGTCTGGCTTTTCTTTGCACGACCGATCTGCTGTGATCGTGCTGGCTGCGCCGGGTTTGATACCGCTCGACCGGTGATTTCGAGTCAAGGTTCAGCGCAGCCTATGCGAGCTGTCACAACATAGCGGCGTTGCCGCTTCAAGTGAGTTGTGACACAAATGCAAGGTTCGGACAAAGCCAACATCTCGCCTCCGAACGTTCGGTTCATGCATTGCAAAAGTGTGGCCATGTGTGCAACCAGGCCCATCATACGGCCGTTTTTCTTCACTGGCTTTGCCAAAATGACTGTACATTTCTCGGAAAAAGGGCCGGAGATATGTCCCCTTTCCTCTTTCTTGCCCCTAAACAAGTGTCGGTTAGGTGTCTTGTATAACCGGCCCGGCTAGAGAAGGGTCAGCATCATCTTTCTAGGCTGTTGCCGTCTCCCCGACGATTGGGAGGGTACGTAGGAGCGTGTGCGGTGTTATGGCAATGGACCTCCAAGGTGTCACTACCGAAACACGGGTTCATTCACCATCCATTCAATAGATGCCTGAAAGGGCATCGCAGGTTAGCAGCTGATGAGGCTACAACGAAGATCCGTTATATACCATTGCAGCGTTGACGTCAGGAAGTCACTAGAATACTACAGTATCCAACCCAGAATCAGAAAGAGTCAAATCTCGTGAGGCTGGGCTCATGCCCGTCGTCTGCCGGCTGTTATACGACGTGCCACACCATGTGCAAAAGGCCCGGTCGCTCAAACTCGTTAGCGGCGGCATTGCCTGAACCCCTGAATGAGTGTAAGATCGCCTGGGGGGGGCCCTGGGCGGGGCTCGCTAGCGTCAGTTTTGAGTGGGCGCGGGTGACACATACCGAGCTCAGGCGCACAGCATGACCTTCGCCCTCAGCTTGCAGCCGGCTGCGTCCCGCCCCGTCTGGACGGCAGCCAAAGATGAGGGGCGGAAGGATTCTGGAAGGCTATTTGAAACGAGCAGACGCTGGCTTATTACATGCTGCGCAGTGATTACTAGTAGTTATTTGCTGATGCCGCTTTTCCCGTGCCCGAGCATTTTGAGACAACTCGACGCCAAATGGACGGCTGTTCCTGCGGAGGGCTCAGCTGCCACACTTGGTCAGTTTCTCGGCCAGCCGCGTGACAAGTCCTTTTCCTACCTGCGTTCGTCTCCGTCGGCAGCTGTAACGAAGTACTGCGTACGGATTAGTTGGACTGTCGCGGTTGTCTCGGCTGGAGGAGGATGGGGCAATCAGCTGGCCCTGCATACCGCGACCTTGACTGTTGATGGCCGACGGGATAGTGAACTCGTCACATCGCACGCTCTTTTGTGTATCTTTGGTAGATTATTCTTGTCCTCGCCGTCCTTGCTGCAGTCCTCGCCACTGATCCGCAGTGGCTGAGCAAGCCGGGCAAAACCTACCTGGTAGGCAACATTGTTTGATCTCCGATCTCCTATAATAAGAAGGAAAGCAGCACATTGGCTCCGGCTCCGGCGAACTCGGCCGGTCCCTGTGAGAAAGCGCCAGGAATGGTCAGTACTGCATCCCATCTCGTCTCCTAGGCCCGTCGAAAGGGAAGAAAGGGAAGTAAAGCATGGTGAGTACGATCTCCGACCCCTGACCATCGATCTCCTGCCGTGCTGCTGCCGCAAATGCGGGCCGGGCCGCCTCGGTGCGTGTAAGGCTGGCTAATAAGTACTAACAACCACCAACCAACAGGCCACCATCAACAAGCACCCGAACCGGTTCGAGCTCACAGCGGTCTACCAACACCCGCAAGCCAAGGCCGACATCGTCCTGGTCCACGGCCTCAACGGGGCGCCCGAGAAGACATGGACGGCGCCGAACGGGGTGTACTGGCCGACCGACCTGCTGCCTGCGTCTTTGAAGGACCAGCACGCCAACGTGCTGGTGTACGGGTACAACGCGGACGTCTACGCGGGCTTCTGGGAGCGGACGGCCAAGAACCCGAACGACAACTTCATCCACCACCACGCGCAAACGCTCGTCACCACGCTCACGCACTACCGCAAGAGCGAGGGCACGGAGCGGAACCCCATCATCTGGGTGGTGCACAGCCTCGGCGGCATCGTGACCAAGCGGGCGCTGCTGTACTCGAACGACGTGCACGAGCCGCACCTGGAGGACCTGCGATCGGTGGTGGTGTCGACGTACGGCATCGTCTTCCTGGGCACGCCGCACAATGGGTCGGATGCGGCCGCGTGGGGCGGCGTGATACAGCGCATGGCGGACGCGCTGGTGCCCAGGAAGCTGCTTGCGACGGAGCCGGTGCTGCTCCGGTCGCTCAAGAGGGACAGCGAGACGCTGCAGCAGATCAGCAACCACTTCCTGGATATCTACCAGAAGTTCCACATCCACATGGCGCACGAGAACCACAAGACGGATGTGAAGGGTTCCAAGTACGTGGTTTGCACCTATCTTTTTTCTTTGTTTCTTTCTTTTCGTTCTCTTTTTCTTTCTCTCTTTTTTTTTCTTTTTTTTCTTTTTTTTTTCTTTTTTTTTTCTTTTTTTTTTTCTTTTTTTTCTTTTTTTTGTTGTCAGACGTCATGGCATCGGGTGTGTGATAGATACTCCGTGCTGACGGACCCAGGATCCTGGTCGTGGACGCCGAGTCGGCGAGTCCTCAACTGCCCGGTGTCACGTACTACGGCATCGAGGCGACACACTCGGGCATGTGCAAGTTTGAGAGCGACCATGCGCCGGGCTATCGGACCATCTCAACGGCGATCCGGGAATGGATCACCGACGCCCCGAACGTCATCCCCATCCGGTGGGAAGTTGAAGAGGACCAACGGCGGGTGAGGGCGAGCCTAGAGATCTCTGAACGCGCACGGCCCTACGTAAGTTCTTCGCTCTCGTTAACCTGGGAAGCATCGACGGGGTTGGGAGGAGGCAGCATACTGACCTTCTTTCCAGCAGAGGTCTGCCCTTGAATTCGCCGGGTCTCAACAAGCAATTGGTAGGTTACTGTCGCCAGCAGGTGGTCATCTGTGGTACCAGGCGTGGCCTGTCCAGGGGCAAGTGCTGCGTGTGGCAGGGGTGGAACAAGAGTCGTCGTTGTACCACTGGACGCCGAGTGACAGCTCAGCTTCTTCTTTCCGGGACGCGCGCTGATGAGTTTGGCTTTTTTGTGTAGACCAGAGCAGCAGCAACAGCAGCAGCAATAATGAGATGGCTTCCCCTAAATCTCTCCCGCAGCCCACTCGACCTACATCTGCTCCTCGTCTCCTAACCGAGACGGCTCAGCAATCAGACTCGAACCCGGCCCCCTTGTCACCACCCTCACCACGGCTGCTGCCCCCGCTCCCAGAACCAGCCGAACACACCACCATCACCACCACCTCCACCACGACGGCGGAACCGCTCTTCATCCACCCGGAAGCCTTCCGCCCCAACTCGTACTTTGTCGGGCGCGAGGACGAGCTGAAGGCGCTGCACGAGATGCTCATGGACCGCAAGCGGCGGTCCGAGGGCACGTCGGCCGTGCTGATCCAGTGCCTGCCGGGCGGCGGCAAGACACACCTCGCGCGGCAGTACGTCTTCCAGCACAAGGACGACTACCCGGGCGGCGTGTACTGGGTGCGGGCCAAGTCGCGCCACGAGCTGGAGTACTGGTTCTGGCGCATCGCGCGCAACGAGGCCCTCAGCGGCGGCGGGTTCGGACTGCATCGCCGCGACGTCGAGGAGCTGCGGGATCCGAAGACGATCGTGCAGATTGTTCGGAGGTGGCTGAATGCGCGCCGCGAGTGGCTGGTGGTCTTCGATGGCGTGCAGTTTGATATCCCCGGGCTGCACGAGTTTATTCCGGATGCGCGGAACACGAGCCTGATCTACACGTCGACGGAGCGGGCGGTGACGGGGGACCCGCGGTTTGACAATCCGCAGGTGATGGAGTTGGGCCTGCTCACGGCGCAGCAGGCGCAGGATCTGCTGCTGCTGGAGATGGAGCGGAAGCGGCCGTGGAGTGCCGACGACCGGGCCATGGCGCTGGAGCTGGTCGAGTTGATGGGCAGGCTGCCGCTAATGATCCATGTCGCCGCGCAGCATCTCAAGGCCACGCGGGAGCCGCTCGCCCGCTATCTCAAGTCGTACCGGAGCCGGCCCAAGGCCGGTGATCTGCCTGCGTACAAGGCCGTGCGGGAGCAGCTCGAGAACCGGGGCGAGAATGCGGCCCTAAACTTGATCTCCCTGTTGGCTTTCTTCGACCAGCATCTCCCGGTCGAGATGCTCGCGCTTGGTACGTGTTACCTCCGGCTTCCAGCATTATTTTGGTTGTCAGCGTCACATATCTGCTAACCAGCCACACAGGCCTCTCCGCCCTCGACAAGATCACCCCGGTGAAGACCAGCGATGTTAAGCTCAGGAAGCCAAGCCTCAACAACACGCTCGCGGTTCTCATCGCCTTCGGCCTGCTCAAGCGGTCCGAAGGCGACGACGACAGCTCGCCCACCAGCTCGCGCAGTTCCAGGTGCAGCTTCGACAGGCACGCCGACCACCTCGACCTGCTCCGCATCCACAGCGTCGTGCAGGCCTACTTCCGGGACTTCATCCACGAGAAGCACCAGATCGGGTTCTGGCTGGAGCGAGCCATCGCCGTCTGGTGCCGGTCCTACGATGAAGCGGACGACCGGATCCAAAGGGATTCCAGAGTCGGCTTGCCGGACGACTACCGCCGGTTCTGCATCCATGGCGAGAAGCTGCGGCAGAATCTGCATCGCTACGAGAAGCGCTATCCCAGTCTCTCGCGCGCTAGGCCGCAGCTGCAGCAGAGACTGGACAGGATCCAGGGCCAGATCGACCAGCTGCCGCACGGCTCTGCCGAGGAGCATCCGGCGTCGGTTTTTGATCGGATCAGCACTAGTAACTCCTCGCAGTCCGACGCCGCGACGCTGGATTCCCAGAGTAGCCAGCAGAGTGGTATGAGATCGCTAGGCGGGGAGGAGGAGGAGGATGTTAGCGAGCTGGTCCAGTCTCCCACGGCCGAGTTGTTGTTGGAGTTGGAGCAGGAGCTCCCGTCGCGGACCCCGTACCCCAGGGACCCCGTGGTGATGCCGCCGATGCCGCAGTACATCGAGGACGACGACCAAGAGACCGTCGTGTCCGTACCCGAGACGCAGGTGTACATGGGTGCCGCCGAGATGGCCGACGCCGTCTCACTGCCTCCGGAGCCTACCGACAACCAGACGGGGGTAAGTGGCGCCTATGATGACTGGCACGATGTCATTCCACGCCACAGGGTTATCACGGCGCAGGAGAGACGGCGAAACCATATCCATGTTGGAGCATGGAGAGGTAGGGTGATTGGGGATCCGTGGGTAGGGCTTAGCCCCGAGGTCGCCGTGGGCTCTGTCTCGACTAAGAGGAACTCTTCGAGTTCGCCTCTGGGCCCACGCTTGACTGCGCAAAGCGAGGCAGAGATGGAGTTGAACAAGATCAAGATGGCCTCACCCCCTTCCCGAGAGTCAAGGGGCAGCTTCGGTTCTCCCACTTCGACCCGGCCCAAGACGCTTCTGGGCAGAAACAGTTGGGCGTTGCCACAGGCCCAAAAGACGCCCGGCACCGAGGTTGCCCAATTCCTGCTTGAAGGCTCACCAAAGGGGTTCGCCCAGATCATGTCGTCGCTCAAGAACTGGAGAGTTCCCGCCATCAACACACCACCCAAGAGGCCGGTGGCGCCGTCGGACAACAGCACGATCAAGACGCCATCATCACCACTACAGCAGGTCGAGCAGCCGCCGGCGGAAGAGGATCCCGTCGTGCCTCCCGCAACCATCTTCCGCGGCAGCCGCTCCGCCAACTCCAGCCCCGCCAGCCACGCCTCGCCCTTCCCGCCGCCCTCCTTCGCCGGCATCCCCACGGCCGAGCTGATGGTACCGCTCGTCGTCCGCCGCTGGGATACGGTGGTCTACCCCCCGGACGGCAGCGCACCCGTCACGTCGTCGGGCGTCGAGTGGTCGAGCGCGCCCGACCCGCTGTCCCGCTCCTACCCGTCCCTCCTGCCAAGTCGGCAGCAACAGCAGCACCACAGCGCCCTCCCAACCCGGCCGGCCGTCCTCCACAGCGGCGGCTATTCCTCCCAGCCGATGTCGCGCGACGGGTCCAACCGCTCCTCCCTGAACCCGAGCATCAACATCACCAACAGCCCGGAGCTGCAAGCCGTCGAGTCGCCGCCCTCCGGTGCGCCGTCTCCTCTGTTAGCAAGAGCAGTGCACGCACGGTCTACCAGTCCGCTGCGAACAGGCAGAGGGCAGGCACTTCCCATCCCCGCCAGCCCTATAAGTCCCACGTCCCGCCTCTCCCCGTTCAACCGTGGCCGGCCGCCATCCTACACGGAGACAGAGCCCTCGCCGCGGCTGGACACGCCCTTCTCCGATGTGGATGCGAGGGAGTATCCGCGCGGTCCTATGGGTGCAGCCGTGACCGGGACGTCATTGCCGCCGGGCGTTGGTACCAACAACAACAACGACGACAGCAGGGGTGGTGAGCGGACGACCCGCAGAAGCAGCAGCAGCAGCCTGGCGCGATGGCGCCCCTCGGCGGGCAGGAACCGCATCCGCAGCAGCAGCAGCAGCCGCAAGAAGGACAGAGGAAAGAATGTGCGAGCACAGAGCTTGTCGCCTTCGCCCGGCAGTGCTGCCTCGCCCCGAGCAGCCTCCCCGTCGTCCGGGTCCGGATCGCCGTTGCTGCCCATCTCCCCCGGCTCGTCGTCGTCCTCGGTGACGAGGCGGGCTGGCTCTCAGGGTCAGCTAGGGCATAGCATACATCAGCATCAGCATCAGCATCAGCATCAGCATCAGCACCCGCTTGCCGCGTGGTCGACTCCGCCGGTGGACGCAAATGCAAACAGCCCGCCTGTCGATATCATGATGACGGAGGTGGGAAGTGCCCCGGCCAGCGCAGGTCCCGGCACGGCTATGAGCATGGGAGGGGAGGCCATGTCGCGGTCGGCGTCGGGGGGGAGCCACGGGGCGGCTGGTGGGTTCAGGATGGATGATGGAACCGTGGTTGAGTTTGGGTCGCCCGGCTTAGGCAGCGGTTCTAGTGCGAGGAGGGCGGGGAACAGGGCGAGGAGTGGGAGCTCTCCTCCTGAGACGGGCACGGCTGGCTTGGGTGTATGGAGTGAGTAGGTGCTAGTAGGTAGGCTCAGAGGCACATAAGATCGATGGCATGTATTGTACACGTACCAGGGATGGTGTTGGTGCTTCGGATGGTGTGATGGCGGTAATCATGGGAAAAAGAGGGGGGGAATGTGTCATCGGAAACGTAAACGTCCATATACTCAATGTATTATTATCATGATATTTCGAGAAAATGTCGTCTCTTCCAGTAGAAAGATTCCACATTTGCATGACGAAGTCGTGTAGACGCCTTTGCGTGCTGAAGTCGGACAGAGAACAGTAATGGGCTGCGGAAGGAAGGAGCAGAGGAAAATGCAAAAGGCTCACCGACCAACTGCCTTCGCCGGGATGGCCAGCTATGAAAACCCGTGCTGGGCTTTTTCTCCGCAATCGAACCAACACCCACTCAATGTGTGCACATTGCGGCAGGAGCACCTGCCTGCTGCCTTCCCCAAATACCGCTTGGCCAAATGGTCCAGCCACTTGTCTAAGCGCTTAGGGTCCGGCGGTGGTCGGCTGGGGGGTGGGACTTGTATATATACCCCTAGCTGGAGATCGCATGGCCGTCGAGAAACAGAACTCATCTGATCTGGTTTCAGTAAAGTGTCGGGTGGGTAGGATATCAACTTCCCCCATATCACACTCCTCTCACACAATGTCGAATGCTGTTTAACACCTCGTGATCCATCAAACCTCACTCCGGTCCACTCCATTGCTCGCTCAAAACCCACACATCCATCCATCCACTCTGGCTATGCAACACTAAACTCTGGGATCTCACCCATCTCCTGCCTCAGCTCGCCCCCAACCTTGTACGACACCCTCCACCGCAACTTGATCGATTCCACCTTCCTGTCCCTGCTCCCGGCATGCCAGACAGTAATCGACTGCGTCACACCTCGGCTCTGCTTCGGTTCTAGTGTCCTCCCTGTCTGCGGTTTGAGCTGCAGCTCGTACCCCTAGTGTTGAACCATTAGCCTCACGTATAACTCAACTAAATGCCTAGAGGTGGTGGATGGCCGCCGTTACCTTCGTCACTGCCAATTGGAAGTGTAGCTCTGAGATCTGCTGCGCCGTGGTATTGGTAAACGCAAACAACAGGCCGATGGACGGGTCTGTGTCCACGGCCCGATTGGCCATCATGTCGATCTTTAGACTCGTGTTGCTGACCACGGCCTTGTGCTCTCGGGGTAGCTGTGGGGCCGCCTCTGGAGGCAGCGCGGATGAGAAATTCCACTCATCGTCATCATTTGATGCCGACGCCGCTGGTTGAGCAGATGTGGTGGCCGGCTTCTGCGAGAGCGACGCCAACGCCGCGAATGGGTCCGTGGCTGCTGCTGGTGATTGTGACGGAGGCGAAAAGGCCGACCTTTGAGGCGGCTGCGGAGTGGCGGACTGTGACCCCGGCGCAGACGTGAAGGAAGAGAAACTGGAGAAGGGGGCGGGAGATGGGCTGGATGCTGGGACTTGGCCTTTGGCGCTGTTGCCTTGCGTGACAGAGGACAGCAATGCTGGGCCGGGGATATCTGTGACTGTTAGCAGGGGACTCGGCGAAGATTGTTCCCGTACAACGTACTAGTGTTGGCCCCATAGCCTAGTGCAATCCCTCCTGCCTGGCCATAGCTGCCAGAATCGGCTATTGACAGGCCCAAGAGATCATCTTCGACACCCGTAGTCTGGCCTGAATTCTGACCAGCAGCCGCCCCGTTCGCATCGCCTTCGTCGAGATCGATCAGGGAGAGTTCGTTCGTCGCTTTCTTCCCGCTATCTGTCGCAATTGGGGCACCTTTGGCTATTTGCTGAGCGCCCTCAATATCACCCTTCTTGAGCAGCTTGTACCGCTCAACTGTCCGGTGTATGCTGTCGTTGATTTCAAGCAGCTTCGCGACGGCTTCGTGATCGTCAGACTCCTCTTCACACATTTTCTGTATTTTGGGCTGGGCGCTCGACAGCGCGGCCGCGAGCTCCGAAAAGACATCACCCTCCACCATTTTGTCGCCTGGCTTGAAGGCCGCTAACCTCTCCTCGAGCAGCCTGGCCTTCTGCTGGATCTTCCCGACTTCCTCAGCGGCCTTGGCGCGATAATCGACCTTCGACCTGGTGTCATAACCCGCCATGATCTTCATCAGCTTATTTGCTTCGCGCAGGTCTTCGGGCGTGCCTCTCCGGATAAGCTCCTGCAGCTTCGCCGACTGCGCCTCGCGCTCCTCCTCCTCCATCTCTTCCGCGGATTTAAGGTTCTGCATAGGTCAATAAACTAGATGCGTATAGAGGTCCAAAGCTGTCACATACATCACTCGGATTCAGCACGGCAGCATCTTCCCTCCGAACCTCCGGGAACGTGTACCCCTTGTAGCTCAGCAGCCGGTGCATATCACGGATGAAGCCCAGGTCCTCCCTGTACCGGCTCGTTTCGCATATTGTGCTGCGCCATTCCTCAATGGTCTCGAGAATCCTAAGCTGGACCTTCGAAGGGCGTATGGGGGGCCGTTCGGGAAAGCGGCGCACCAGCTCGTTGAGGAACTCCTTGGTGCTGATCTGGAGGTGGAACGGGTAGCCGCAATTCTTGACGCAGATGTCGAGCAGGTTGAGGGCGAGCAGCGAGACGTTGGGGTTGCGGTGGTTGATGTAGTTGACGATGGCGACGGCGGCCTCACGCGGCGCCGAGCCCTTCTTGGCATTGATCAGGTCGGCGATCTCCAGGTTCAGCGCGAGGTTGGGTTCGTAGTTCTCGGGACTGCAGGCCGCCTGGATAAAACGCTGGAGCTGCGACGGCGCCGGATTGCCCATTTCCCCCCAGCGGTCCCTAGCGGCGTACCGCGCCGAAGCCGCCTCCATTGTGAACGGCGGCCTCCTCGGATACCGCTCTTCGTCAGTCTGAATGCGCCCGAGTCGCCGTCTTGAACGGCAGTCTGCGGTAATTGGCGCTCAGGAAAGAGCCAGTGATCGGCGTAGGAACACTCGATCACAGGTCCTGAGCTTTGCGACACCTGGACGTGGTGGTTGAGCTCAGACCCCCTGCGGTGGGTTAATGCTAGGTAATAGGTAGTCGCCCATGGAGGAGATCGACCCCGTTTCCTGAATAAGGGAGCCACCGCTGTCCGTTGTGGGGCCCAAGGCAGCAAAAAGGTGGGTTGCGTCAGCGGGGCAGACTGTGCACCTATTCTCAACCCCACCATGAAGTTGTCCGAAAGGATATTCAAGACATCCCGTCATTATTTGCTCCCTGCCTGGTAGGCAAAAGATACACTAGGTACTTTTCAACAGAGCTTGAAGTATTGTCACCTAAACATCGAGGAGGGTCAGGTCTGTCGAATACAGAACTCGACGTCCGCACTCTCAGCACGACTCTCGTTCGCCCATCGATCCCCCAAACCCCAACAGAGATCAGAGATGGTTCGCCACAAGAAAGACAACTTTTCGTCGCGAGGCAAACACCACAACCGCGGGCCTCCTCGTAACCACCGACGATCAGAAGGCGACAACAACAACAATGGCGCCGAAGGACGTTCCTCCCTCTCGCCCAACTTATCCTCCTCCTCCAGCTCCCGTCCGGCCTTCAAAGCCGCCTGCTGGGACCTCGGCCACTGTGACCCGAAGCGGTGTTCGGGCAAGCGCCTGATGAAGCTGGGGCTCATGCGCGAGCTGCACCTCGGGCAGCGGCACTCGGGCGTGATCATCACGCCCAACGGCAAGCAGACGCTCTCGCCGGCCGACAGGCCGCTGCTCGAGCAGTACGGCGCGGCCGTGGTGGAGTGTTCGTGGGCGCGGACGAAGGAGGTGCAGTGGTCCAAGGTGGGCGGCAAGTGCGAGCGGCTGCTTCCCTACCTGGTGGCGGCCAACACGGTCAACTACGGCAAGCCGTGGCGGCTGAACTGCGTCGAGGCGCTGGCGGCCGCGTTCGCCATCTGCGGCCACCACGACTGGGCCGAGCAAGTGCTGGCGCCCTTCTCGTATGGCACTGCGTTCCTTGAGATCAACTCGAGCCTGTTGAGGAGGTATGCGGCGTGCGAGGACGAGGCGGCGATCAAGAGGGCGGAACAGGAGTGGATGGAGAGGCTGGATCGGGAGTATGCGGAGAGCAGGGAAGAGGGGGATCCTGATGACCTGTGGGCGGGCGGGAATGTGAACAGGAGGGCACCGGTGGAGTCAGACGAGGATGATGAGGGTGAAGATGGAAGCGAAGAAGACGAGGACGAGGACGAGGAGCAGGAGGAAAGCTTAGACGGCATCTACCTAGGCAGTAAACCCCCGCCGCCAAAGAAAGCACAAGACCAAGAAGAGCCAGCAGCGAAAGACCGCTACGCTCTTCCCTGCGACAGCGAAGAAGAGGACGATGACGCTGAAATGGAAGCCATCCGCCGCAAGATCCTCGCCTCGAAGCCCTTCTCCAACCCCGAACCCCAGGAGAAGAAACCTCTCCAGACAGTGGCACGGCCGCAGCAACAGTTCAAGCCTGACTCGGACGCAGAGCCCGACTCAGACAATGGATCAGACGACGGCGACGACGAGTTTGACAACATCATCAATGCTACGCCCCTGACTGACCGGATAGGCCTGGTCAAGTTGGAAAAGGAGCGGTCTCGAATTCAAACAACAAGCAGAACGTTCTCATCGGGCGGGGCGTTGGCACCGAAGAGGTGGTGACCGTTGCAGCGATACTCTCAGCCGACATTATCTCTTCTAGGTTGGGTATGAGGAGCGGTCTATTTTACGTAGAATGTATATCAGACGACACTACCCAAGCCATCCCATGCTATATGCGCCGTCTCACATATGTGACATGCCCTTCTTACACATGACCCTTTGTCTATCCTTTCCACTCTTTCCTATATGTTACAATCATCTTACAACTTTCTCTTCTCGGCGTGCTCCTCAATGACCTGGATATGATCACCGGCCTGGAGTTCGTCCCAGTCGGCGAAGGACATACCGCACTCGCTGCCCTTCTTCATCTCGGCAACGTCCTTCTTGATATGTTTGAGCGTTTCGATGGTGCCTAGTAGCGGTTTCATTAGCCACACATTTCAAGTCGCCAACAATCTGCAAGTGACCAAGGAAAGGGGACTCAAACTTACCCTCAAAGATGTTCTCCCCTCCTCTGATGACCCTCGCCTTGCATCCCTTCTTGACAACCCCATTCCCGATCCTGCACCCGGCGATATTCTTGTATTTCCGACCCTTGATATTGATCGGGAACACCTGCAGCACCTCAGCCTCACCCACCACCTTCTTCACGATCAGCGGCGGCAATGCATCCGCGAGCCGCGTCCTGACATCCTCGACCAAGTGGTAGATGATATTGTGGTCGAGGATCTTGACGCCGGCGTCACTCGCGAGCCGCTTGATATTGTTCGGGATGGTGTTGTTGAAGTTGATAATACTGCTCCCAGACACGGCCGCGAGCTCGACGTCGGACTCTGTGATCTGTCCCGGACCGGAGACGAGCACCTTGGCGCGGATCTCGTTGTTGCCCTGCTCCATCAACGCGGCGGTCACGGCCTCGACGGAGCCGTGCACGTCGCCTTTGACGAGGAAGGTCAAGTACTTGGTGGTGTCCTTTGCGGTTTCGTCTTCCTCCGGAGCGGGTTCTTCGGGTGGAGGCGCAAAGCGGTCTCCACGATTCCGGCGGGGGTTGGCGGCCTCGGCGAGGGCCTTTTCGCGCTCGCGCTCGCGCTCGCGTTCCCGGCGCTCTTGTTCTTGCTGCGCCATCTGGGCGATCACCTCGCCGCGCTCCTTGAGTTCCTGTCGGTAGCGGACGGCGGCTTTGGCCTTAGCTTCGTCGGGGGCTTGGAGCACTTGGTCGCCCGCGTCTGGCGGCTCTTTCCAGCCGAGGACTTCGACGGCGGTGCCTGGAGGTGCCTCGTCGACTTCGACGCCGGCTTCGTTACGGAGTGAGCGGATCTTGGCGTGGACTTGTCCGGCGACGATGAAATCGCCCGGCCGGAGCGTGCCACGCTTCACAAGCACAGTGGCAACGCGCCCGATCGGCTTGATGGTTGACTCGAGCACCCATCCCTCAGCCATGCCCTCTCTCTCGGCGCGGATATCGAGCATTTCCGACAGCAGCAGAATGTTCTCCTCCAGGTCGGCCATGCCCTGTCCTGTCTTGCCGCTGACGCAAACGACCTGGACGTCTCCGCCGTAGTCCTCGATCTCGACACCGTGCGTGGCGAGGTCAGCCTTGACGCGGTCCACGTTGGCCTCTGGCTTGTCGACCTTGTTGATGGCCACAATGATGGGCACCTTGGCGGCACGCGCGTGCTTGAGAGCCTCCAGTGTCTGCGGCATGACACTGTCGTCGGCCGCGACCACGAGAATTACCATGTCGGTGACGTTGGCGCCACGCTGACGCATCGACAGGAAGGCGGCGTGGCCGGGCGTGTCGAGGAACGTGATCTGCTTGCCGGAGGACAGACTGACCGAGAACGCGCCGATATGCTGCGTGATACCACCGTGCTCCTGGGCAACGATGGATGATTTCCGCAGGTAATCCAACAGTGTCGTCTTGCCGTGATCGACATGGCCCATGATGGTGACAACGGGCGGCCGTAGGGGCAACGAGGATGGATCAGCAGGTGGCGGGGCTGGTTTAAGATCTTCATCCTCGCCGGTGTCCACGGTCGGCTCGAAACCATACTCCTGCGCCACCAGGGCTGCCGTCTCGCCGGTGAGGATGTTGTCCCTGCTGACATCTTCAAAACCAAGTTCCTCCAATTGCGACACAAAGACGTCGATCTTCTGACCCAGCGCTATGGCCAGATTCGACACGCTGATGAACTCGGGCAAGAAGATCGGTGTTGGGCCCGCCGCCTCGAGCTCCGCTAGTCTTTGCCTTTCCTTCTCTTCTCTCAAAGCCTTCCGCCTCCGTCGCTCCTCGTAGAAGTCTTCGTCCCAGTTGTCGTCCTCCTCGACTTCTCTCCGCCGGTATCTATTCCTCTTCGGCTTTTCCTTTTCTCTGCGGTCCCCTCGCTCCTCGCGGCCGAACCGGTCCTCCCTCTCTCCCGGGCGGCGCCGAAGCACGTCGGACGCAGCCTGTGGACTCGCCAGCTCATACTGCCCCTGCGTTTCACGTGCGATTCTTTGTATCTTCGCATGTCTGGCTTCTTCTACGTATTCGTCGGCCCAACCCCAAGTGGTTGAGTCTGTTGCTTTAGCCGCCTTACTCTCAAGCTCCTTTTGCTCGGAAAAGCTCTTTTCCATAAGTTTCCATTGATCCACGCCGGAACTGGAGTCACTCCATTGCGATAACGTCGATCCAGTGTCTCCGCGTGGAGCATCGCGAGATGGTGGCAGGCCGAAACCTTCCGGCAGAGCCCGCTCCCGTCGGGTGAGATTTTTCCACTCACCCTCGTCCGTTTGCGGTTGGGTCAAGGAACTAATTGACCCGAGTCTGCCACTGTGCGACTGACTAGAATGCGGCGCACCTGTCAAGAACGAGTCCGCTGGCCATGCGCGGTCCTGGTTCCATTTTAGAGGGTTTCTGGAAAGGTGGGGTCCCTGTCGGCTGTCTCGAAGATCGTTGGTCCGTCCAGCCATGTTCCCTTGCGGCTCGCGCCTGTCCACGGGTGAGGATTTCGAGGCAGCAGCAGATCTCGCTGCGCGTTCATGTGGGAGCAGGAACGTCAGGGGGACTGCTTGTTGCGGCCGCACGTTGGATGGCTGGTCCTGCATACGAACAGTGGCTTTCGCTAGTCTCTCATACGGGGAGACAGAGGGAAAGGGGTCTGCTTGTTGTGCCACGGTTACTGGACTGGAATTCGCCGGTGCGGGCGGCGGGGCAGTTGACCACGAAGGGACGGCAGACGCCCAGGACGGCGCTCGGTTCTTGAGTCCTGCCCCTGTACGGCCCATGGCCTTGTCCCTTGCCGCGCGTTCGTGGGGCGGCAGTCCATCATTGCTCGCAGTCGGATCGGGCGAAGGTGGCTGTGTACGTCCGATTGCTTTCTCTCTTGCGGCACGTTCGTGAGGAAGCAGGCCATCATTGTTCGGAAACGGGCTAACCGTCGGGGGTGGCCGCGTACGGGCCATAGCCCTTTCCCTTGCGGCGCGCTCATGCGGAAGTAACCCATCACTGCTCGCAGTCGGATCGGACAAAGGTGGTTGTGTACGCTCGATTGCTTTCTCTCTTGCGGCACGTTCGTGAGGAAGCAGGCCATCATTGTTCGGAAACGGGCTAACCGTCGGGGGTGGTCGCGTACGGGCCATAGCCCTTTCCCTTGCGGCGCGCTCATGCGGCAGTAACCCATCACTGCTCGCAGGCGGCTGTGATGGTTTGGTTGCCCAGCTCGGTAAGCCACCTATTGAATACGATCGCAGGAATAGTCTCCCCTTGTTCACGCCTACAGACGCCCCCAGGCTAGTAGTATTCCCGGGGCTCATTGTGCTGCCGGGTCCTCCATGCCTCGTCCTGCCTGCCGCAACAGAGTGCCATTCCATTAAATGCAGATAATTTGGCAATACACCCGGCGGCACGGAGTCCGCTGCTATTGTCGTGCCATCAGGGCTCGGCAGCGATCGGAGCGATGGGCGTGTGCGGCCACCGTAGCCGAGACTGGAACTGTAGCGGCAGAGAAGGCATGCAGACGGGCGTTTCTGTTGCTGGAAGGAGATGGTGTTAGTGGCGGAACCTAGGTAAATGGGCTGAGGGTGTCTCGTAGTATACCTGCTGCCATAGTCCACGTCGCATCATCGTCGAGGTCGGCGGGGCATGGCGCTCTCGGTAGAAGAATTGGTGGGAAGTGGGAGCTGCTTTTCGTCGCGGCGATCTGTCCCGCAGTGCCAAAAATTCATGGAAAGCTTCCCGCGCTGATCCCCCAAGTCGTAGCAGGGTCATCTTATCTTATCAGTTCATGAAGTTGCCATCCGACAATCACAGCGCTGCCATAGAGGGCTCGGAGTACAGACAACTAGAGAATGCCATTGTATGAATCCACCTCAACACATTGCATCTGAGTACCTCCACAGCTTGTCCAAGTCTACTGTCCTGCATGATGGATATACAGTTGATCAAAGGAGATGGTACACCTCTCGACTTACACGAAGTGGGGACACGTAAAACACAGAAGAGGGTTAGGGCTCAAGTCCTCTCATCCAATGAGCCCTTGTCAACTCTCCTTTTCTCACAATCTTGTACTGTGGAAAGGGACTTCGGGCTTTCGTTCACTCTCCAACGCCTATAACTCAATTCTCACAAGTAACTGCTCTCGCAATCTACGCTCATTTACCACCTTTAGTTCCCCAGCTATATCCCGGTCACGCTCACTCTGAGCTTAACACATCACCCTCTTCAACCTCTGGGAAGTTCAACATCATGCCTCCCAAAGGCAAAGCCCGCCTCACGCCCACCACTACTAAGAAGGGCGGCATCCCATCCTCTCCGCCACACCCTTTCAAACCGGTTCCGTCCTCCCTCCAACCCTTTGTCGCGACCTTGCCAACACAACATGTCTACATCACGCACATCGACCCGCGCCCGCCGGCCTTCAAGCGCAACATCTTCCTCGTGCCCGTGGCCATGAACCTGGCCGTGGTGGGGCTCTTCGTCTGGCGCATGCGTGCAATTCTGCCGTGGTACCTCGACTTGGTCACCTCTGCGCTGGGATACGCCAACGAGACGACGCTGCGCGCGTCGGAGCTGACGTACAGAGAGCTCGCGCGGGCCATCTTGTGGCGCGCTCTGACATTCTTGCTGGACTTCGTGCTGGCCGTGTTTGTCTGGCCGTGGCCGTACGAGTTTGTGGTCGGCACGCGCGGGCGGAGCAGCCCTGTTGCGTGGCGCTGGGCGGTTGGGTTTAGGCCGATGGAGGTGTACGTGCGGCGGAGCAGGGAGAGTTGGGATAGTGTTCTGCAGGAGAAGGGGATGGAGCTGTTTGACGAAGCGTCTAAGGAGGCGAGGGCAGCGAGGGACGCAGTGCTAGGGCGGGTGAGGGAGGCGACAGCGCCGATGCGTATCCAGGAGAAGACTGGGTACCTGACGATGGACGGGGAGTGGGATCTTGATTGGAAAGGAATGGCAGATGCGACACGGCTAGTAGACAAGAAGGAGATTGCGCTGGAGGCGTTTGGGACAGTGGTGCTGTTGCATCACAAGAAGTTTGGGTGGCTCAGTGTCGATCTTGGTATGGGGGAGGCCGTGGAGCAAGATGAGAGGCGAAGGCAGGTGTTTGCCTTCCGGGACGCGCTCACCGCGCTTGGAAAGGAGGACCTGTTCTTCAGGTGGGTGGAGATGATCCAGTTCGAGACAACACAGCCTGGGGGGTTTACGCCGGAGAAGCAGGTTGAGGCCGCCAAGAAGATCCGGGACATGTTCAAATCGAACGGGGTGGACTTTGACGAGCTCTGGAAGGAGACAGTGGGTACCGATGGACTGGCTGGCATGCCTTAGGTTCATGTATACTGGTACCTTATTATACGGATTCGTACTTTAGTTTTGGGCATCGCGGTGGACGTATCCAGATATAGAGGGCATAAGAAAGGGAAAGGGCCGTCCTTGGATAGCCAAGTTAAATAGAGATGTTGGCTACGATGCTGGTCGAAGTATCCTAAGACACTTAAACCCTCACTTCTTCTTCCCCTTCTTCTGGGGCCCCAGAGCCGCCTCTCGCCTCTTGGCTTCCCTAGCCTCGATCTCGGCGCGCTTGGCCTTGTCTTGGGCTTCCTTCTCCTCCCTCTCGGCCTGCCCAAAACGTTAGTGATCATAGGCTCGACACGATGATATGACTGGAGGGACGCACCTTCTTCCGGGCTGCCTCTTCTTCACGCTTCTGTCGGATGACTGCCAGACGAGCCAGGTCTGCCCTGGCCTCATCCGTCTTGCCAGCCTCGTGCAGCTTACGGTAACGTTCCTTCGCCGCCTGCGCTTCCATCGCCTCGCGTTCACGTCTGCTCGGCGCGACGCTCAGTTTCTCGACCCCCTCGGCGGCTTCCTCGACACGTGACACCTTGGTCTGTTTGCGAGCCTTGGCGGAATGATTCGGGTTGGCCGGCATGTCGTGCTCACCCTCCTCCTCCGAGTCGCTCGATGGCAGGTCGCCGACCTCAACCTGCTTTCTAGCCTTGGCGAGCGCGGCCTCCTTGCGCGCCTTCTTCTCCTTCCTGCGCTCCTCGCGGCTCAGGTCAGCAACTGATTGCGTCTGCGTCGAAGGACCGGCATCGTCGGATTCCTCTTCCGACTCCTCCTCAGAATCTTCCTCTTCTTCGTCATCGCTGAGCTTCTTCTGAGCGTCCTCGCTCCACATGCTAACCTCGTTGCCATCTTCATCAAGGGGCCGGAGATTGCGCGAGAAATGCTTGCCGCCTGGGGTTATCAGTCTGTGTTCACTTCGATAGGATTACCGTCCTCACGCACCTCCTCGGGTGGGCTTTTTGAACTTGCCGCCACGGCCGCGCGAACTTGTTCCTGGAGGACCACCGGCCATGATTGCGAGTGTGTGGTGTCAACTAATTGACAGTTGATTGGGATTCGGACGAGCGCGGGGTAGGGTGACTCAGGTCAAGGGTCAATGCGGAATAGATGTAAAGATATGGTATTGCTGTGGTAAGCTTCTTAGAAGATCCTCAAACTCAAACAGAAAAGGAGGCAGGAAAGTTTGAAGTAGTGCGGCTATATGTCCAAAAGATCACAGCAGCGCCTTCCCAAGGTCCGAAGGAAACATGAAAGGTTGATCGAGCAAATGTGCATCAACTATCAAGCTCAAAGACTCTTCTTGTCTGCGTCGCTTGGCCCCGCGTGTGCGACCACCGCGGGGCTGCTTGCTGACCCACTAGATAGGATATCTGGCTTCTCTAATTGGACACTGGGGAGCTGACACTGTGAACCGTTTGCGAACAGGACAACCAAGCTCAGGTAAACAGATTTGAAACGCTCATCCCAAACATACTCAGAGTGAATTCTCACCCTAGCTCCTAGGAGAGTCGTTCCTCGCTCATGGGAGAGTGAGTATGCATGACAACTTGCGTATCATTCTGTTGCCCTCTTGCCCAAGTACTAGTAGGAACTTGTACATAAGTTGTTAACTTGTCTGAGGCTTAACGACCTGGTGTTGATTGGCCCGAGCCGACCCACCCGACACTGACCACATAAAATTCTAGATTGCTGGCTTCGCTTTTCCTTTTTTTTCTCTTTTCCTTTCCTCATCATTCATATTTCCTTCATATTCACTCTGGTCCAAGTCTTATACCATGGCATTCTGGAGGGGAAACTGGAGGATAGACTGACTTCTTGCGCTTACCCTCTGTCTCCGACAGCCTTGTGCACCCTGGGGGAGCAGAGAAATTTATCGCTTGATACATATCTACCACTACACGTCAGGTGCTCTGCCATTCTGTCTCGTGTCAAATTCGACCCAATGGAACTTGTATGCATGCATATTTGACACGAATTGCAGTACATTTCGCGCTTTGACCGGGTTCGCTGTCTCCCTTGACAAGTGTCCGTAAAACGAAATGATGCTCGCGTGAGTTATGGGAACTTGAAGCCGAAATCAATCCTCAGGCTGAGTTAACTCACTCCTAACGACGCAAAGACATCGCCAAGGTTCTGCCGCTTGCGGGGCCTGAGGTCTGTCTCCTTTCTCTCCGCATCCTTTCCGATATCCTTTGCCTTCTTGGCCACCTTGCCGTGGCTTTTGGAAGTGCGGACAAAGACGAGTTGGTCACACCACAGCGCGATCTTAGGCGACGGACGGCGCAGTCGGATGCTCGCGAATCGCTTCCTAGGGAGGGCAATGCCTTCCACACGGGGTTGGATACCAACATGGTGGGAGGCGAATTCCCTCTGGGCTAAAAGCCCCAGGAGCCAGAAGATCTGAGCGTCCGTCGTGTCTCGTTGACGATATTCATATAACTCTTGTCGACGCTTGGAGTCATTGCTTTTGTCCCCGTCCTTGCCGATGGCCGCTGGAAGGAATGGATGGTTGTCCTGTAGCAACAACTCCCAACCTTCGTCAAGGTAGGTGCTTGGCGCCTGGTCATCGTTGTGAATGGGTCCGCTCGATGCTCGTCCGCCGTGCTTCTCGGGCTTCCCTTCTTGGTTTCCTTCAAGTGCCGCTTTGCACCCTTCGCATGTCGGAGTTCGCGGGTCTGTGGTCAGAGTGACCTCCTGTTCATCGTCTTGAAACAACCGACCCAGGTATCTAATGCTTTCTTCGCTTATTCTGAGTCGCCAGTCAAGGTACGCCGCGGCCAACGAGGCAAACACTGACTTGTGCCCCGCGTAGGTCTTGTTCCATCCAAACTCCCCCGCGATGCGCGTCGCATTATCCCAAAAGTAGGGACGAGAACGAGTGACTTCAAAGACTTCCAATTTGGGGAATTTGAGCACGTGGCGCAGCGATGCGTCTGTCACCCCATGCCAACTCGACGCGATCCTTAGAATGCGCAGCTCGGGAAACGGATCCTGTTCTGCCGCAACTTCACTCCATCCCCTGATCATGGAGTCACTTAAGTGGCTATCTGATGGGCCTCGCTCGACCAATTCCAATACGGCCAGCGTGTTGAGTCTCGCGAGTGAGAGCAATCCGTGGCCGTCGAATTCGAGGTTATCGATACACAGGTACACGAGGCACTCGGTCAGTTCGTGCAAAGGCGAAGTGTAAATACCCAACCCACAATCGGGATTCTCGATCTGCTGGTGGTAGCGGTACATCCCCATAGGGATCGTGATCTCGCCTCGTTCATTTCTCTTGCCGGCAATGTCCAGGTGGTTCTTGTTTTGCTGTTCCTCCTCCCCCTTCGAGGAAACGGCCCAGGCATCAGAGAAACTGCGTTTCAGAAGCCTGGGAGAGAGGAGCTCCCAGGCGTGAAGCGACATGGGCCTGGAGACCGGTGTATCAGCAATCGGGCTGGTCATGAATAGGCGTCATGAAGGTCGGTCTCGGGGTCTCATATGAACACATCAGTAGTATGGACTTACCTGGGCATTTCTTCCCACAATTGCCACAGCAGCCTGTCTTCCTTCACATCACCTATCATAATCTTGGAAATGGAACTGATATTTTCTGCCATCACGCGAAGACACATGCATACTAGTGACCGCGCGCCCTTGGAGCCGTGGCCTGGGCGGAAGACAACAGGCCTTTCTGGTTTTAGAGCCCAGTCTTTGTCTCTCTTACCATATGCCCCGGCAAGAGAAGCAAGTGATCGCCGGGACGCGGCGAGGCCGAGGTGCTCGTCCATCGTTTCCCGAGACAAAAGGGCGTAGATGAACTTGGCAAAACACGGCTTGCCTTGGTGAATCACGGCTTAACTTGGTGGGTCGCCATTTAACTCGGTGAATCGCGGTATTAAAGATGGTGAAAAACGTAGAACCTCTGTCGCGTGCCGATGATGTCGCGTATCTACGAACCTGCCCGGGAAGGCACAACAAGAGACGATGGCTCGAGCGCTGATTGGCTCACTTCTTCTCGGTCACGAGTGCAAACATAAATCCTTGAATTCGAGGGTTCCGTTTACTATACAAGTACTGGCAGGTAGGGTACCAATATCCTGTCACAAGGGTCCTGGCCTAATTGTGAACAACGTGGACGCCATGGCCTGCCTCGGCACTCTTACTCTCTCCTGCGTCCGGCAACGCCTCAAGTTGCAGAGCCTTGTCGTTGGCTGGGGCCTTCGCTATGCCAATCGTGGTCTCACGATGGCTATCCATGACATCCCTTTTCCATATATTGACATAGAGGGGATAGCTGTCAAGACAGAATCAGTTAGCTGTGACGTCGTGAACAACAAGCAGCCAAACTCACATTCATGCCAGGATATATCCCATCATCGGAATCGCCATGGCAATATGGGCGTTCCGAGCGTCTAAAACAGCCCCCGTCATGGGTGGGAAGACCATGCCCCCTGAGATAGCCGCCACCAGCAGGGACCCGCCCATCTTGGTGTGTCTCCCCAGCCCGCGGAGACCGAGGGTGAAGATGGTGGCGAAGCAGCACGACTCGAAGCACAAGACAAGGGTCAGCATAGCAATGGACGCAGAGCCGGACGTGGTCATGGCAGCAATGACAAACACAAAGCAGAGTCCCAGGTAGGCGGCCAGCATGTAGCGCGGTTTGAACAGGGGCAGGGTCAGGAGACCGCCGGCTACGAAACGGTTGAAGGCATAGAGGCCCTGGCCAACGGCGAGGAGGTCGGCTGTCCAGCGATAAGCCAACCTTCAATTAGCCTCATGTTCAGAAAGGCCAGTGAAGGAAAAGGGGCACATACAGCTCGTTGCTCTGTCGCGCCCAGCTTCTTCGCAGAAATTAATGAAGTAGTTCTGCTCCTCCATCAGCACCATTCGTCGCGGAAGACAAAAAGCACAGCATCACTCACCGCGACGGCCACCTGCGCCCCAACGTAGCAAAACTGCGACCACACGGCCAGAAACAGATTCGTCTGCTTGCGGAACGGCCCGGGGTCGTACTGCCCAATCTCGCCCTCCTGTGCATGCATATCGGCATCCGTGATCTCCGGCATGGGCGCCAAGACGAAGAGCACAATCAGCAGCACATCAAAGCAGGCCACCCCCAGGTACACCCACTGCACACTCTTCAGACCCTCATTGTTGTCCACGGTACTCGCGAAAAACACCCTCGACGCCAGCAGCGGCGCGACGAAGGACCCGACCCCCTGGACAGCCTGCGCCAGATTCAACCTGATCTACGAGTACCTGGGCGGGCCGCAGATAGACAAGAAAGGATCGGCCGCCGTCTCGAGCGTCGCCAGGCCGGCGCCGACAACAAACATGCTACCGCAGAACCCGCCAAAGGAGCGCTTGACGCCCGAGGGCCAGAACAGTAGACAGCCGACGGCGAAGACGGCGAGGCCCGTCATGAAGGTCACGCGGAAGCCAGAGCGGCGCAAGATCCAGCCCGAGATGGTCGGCGGGCAGATGAAGTATGCGCCGAAGTAGGCTGACGACAGGCCGGCGGCCATGGAGGCCGAGATGTGTAGCTGCGATTGGAAGTGGGAGTTGAGCACTGATGGTAGAACTCCTTGTTAACGGGTGCGGGGAGCGGTCGTCGGAGGAGTCTCAGATAACTGACCATCTAGCAGGCCGTAGGCGAAGCCCCAGAGGAAGAAGAGTACGGTAACTAGGTGTAAGTTGGGAAGGTTAGCAAGCCTATCTGTCCGGCTGTTTTAGTCGTTTGCTCGTCTCTCAAGAAGCCATACCCAGCAGGTTGGGAATCATGGACTGCCTCAGGGTCAAGTGAGCTGCACTAGTGAGAGTGTCGTCGCTGACCGTGATCTTCCTGCTCCAGAGCCCCATCGCTACTGTGCTTGTTCGTCAAAAGGATCTGTTCCTAGGTAGGCACTGCCGTCGTTGTTGAAGGCCTGGATGTGGCGGTTGACTGGCTCCTGGGAGGGCACCCGACGAGGCATTGCCATTGTGTGAAGCTCTCGAAAGTCGGAGGCGGGGTCAAGGAGCTAGGTAGGTAGATAAACCATGCTCGTAAGCTGCCGGTTGAATCAGTTGCACCGAAGTATCGGGAGAGTCGCATCCTATGCCCCATCCTCATGAGGGGTCCGTGAGCCTACCTTAGCCAGCTACCACTCGGCGCAAACCAAGCCGACAGCATTTTCCACGGCATTCACTGTGGGATACCTGAGATCAGAATGCCTAGCATACCTAACAGTAGCCGGGTATTTCACCGGAACAGCTGAAGGTGCTAGCCCAGTCCGGGACCTTCATCATCATCATAACCACCATCATCATCATTGCTTGACAGAAGAACAAGCGTTATCCGTCGGGCCGCACATACGAATGCCCTATCCAAACCCACAAGCCGCCCGTCGATCCCGCTGCAACGAGGATCCTGCTCTCCTTCGGGGTATCAACGCACCGAGCATACTTTGTGTACTAGGTCAAACCAGTTTCCCCAGAACGGTATGAGTTTGGACGGATACGGAACTTGTGGAGGTTCGGCAGGGATTGATTCACAAGTGCCACCCCAGCTTGACGCTAGAGGTGTACCCCAGGTTTATGAAGGTGGGATGCCCGCCATCAAACGGTCAACCTTCTCGGTAATTGTATTTGCTAGGTACAGTCAGGGTTCAAAAGTCTGTCACACCCCACATCAAAATCCCCCGCCACCCGTTTTCTAGGTCACCACAACCATCAACATATCTCTACATAACGCAACACCACCAACTTCCTAGCAAAATAGATATATACAGATAGAAGCCCTGGTTCTAGCCATCAATATTTTGTATACCAACCCCTAGCTTTCTGGACTGCAGCCAATCGCCGGGGCATTGAGTCAATGAGACCGTCAATTTGAGCCTGGTCAATTGCCCACCAACATGCCCGAAGACATCGAGTAAACTCAGCCACATCTAGCTGGTTTTTCTTGAGTAACCAGACATCTGGATATAGCTGCTTCATCCTCCGTTTTAATAGAGCCCACATATGCTCGATTGGATTAAGATCTGGGCTATGGGCTGGCCAGTCGGGTAGGACCTCGATCATGTGCTTTATCAGCCACTCGGTCGAGGATGCAGATGTATGTACTCGGGCATTATCCTGCTGGAAGTGCCGAGTACCATCGTAAATTAGAAGAAGACCCTTTTCCAATGCCTGCTAATAACTCCAAGAGCTATATCCTCCTTTTTGCGGTGGTTGGTAGTCACGTTCCATGACAATAAGGTCGGTCCTCCCCCCTTTCCAAATGCCACCCCAAATCATAATCGAAATCGTGCCTTTGCCATGGCTCTGGAGGTTGACGAAGCTCTTATCCCATTTTTGAGAAGGGAACCGGAAGACCCAAGTTGTTAGGTTACTCGAATTATTTTGGCAAGACGATTCGTCGGTAAAGATAGACTAGAGGTTAGTTAGTAAAATCCAAGGTTGACTTCCAAGTCACTTACTCGGATCAAGATCTCGATATCCTTCAACCAAAGGCAAGCAAATCGATATCTATCCTTTGCTACTGCCTTCGTCAATGGGATTCTCTTTTGTGCATGCCACTTGCGTATCCGATAATGGCGAAGAACCCGGTATATCGTTGATCGGGAGATACGGCCGTCCATAGTATTGATCAGCATCTGGGTTGTAAGCTGGGGACGCCGTTTAGCCAATTGTAGAATATACCGCTTTTCCCGATATATAAGAATCTCTGGCCGGCCTGTTCGAGGCTTGGACTCAACAGTGGTGGATGATTCGAACCGTTGAAGGATGCGGTAGACAGCCGTCCTGTCGATGCGAAACGCGCGGGCAATAGCTGACTGGCTAGCCCCGGCTGCAACGGCACCTATAATAGCTGCACGTGCAGTCGGTGATAGTTCCTGGCCAGGTTGACGGCCGGCCGTCAATTTGGCCCCGATTTCGGCCAAATTGACCATGGTGGGCTAAAGTTGGGTTGGTTAGAAGATGGAAGATGGTGCGTGTCATGTCGCGACGCGCGTTTAATTGATGTGGGGTGTGACAGACTTTTGAACCCTGACTGTAGGTACCTTAGCGGAATCCCCTGTTGGGTTGGCGCCTTTCACCACAACATCTATCTCGCCCTTATTATTAGGTGCTGGAAGGGAAACACTTTAACTGACCCCGCAGAAGCTCCAGGGCATGCTGGTATGGATTCGCAAGTCACAACTCGAGATACGTAGCAGCGGGGATCATTCTTTTCGTAGTCTGGCATAGGTAGGTAGGTACTTATCCATTCGCGCCTACACATTCGCATCGCCGAGCCAGAGACACAAACATTCTCGCTGAGTCCTGTCAGACTTGGTGTGTGCCATGTCATCCAGGATCCATGGATACTCACCGCACTTCGTTCCGCCATCTCCCTCATCAGGACGGATCCTTCTCCCCCACTCTCCCGAGAAAGCTCGGTTTTATGCCCCAGTCCAAGCCCGCGCGCCTCTTGTCCTGTATCTACCTGAGTCCTAGGTGAAGTAGGTAACGAAGTAGATATCTGAAACCATGCTCAGCAGAGGGTAAAAAGCGCCAGGCAGAATCGCGGCTTATCATCCCACTGGGAAATAAAAGCAGGAAGATGACAAGACTTTCACACCTTGTATCTTCCTTCCTCTTTCCATACCACCAGGATCGCCGACTCTCACGAGGAACGTGCGATTCTAAGCCTGTTCCTTCTCCAGCTTCTCCAGCTCCTTGAGCACGTCCGGCTTCGTGGCGATCTTCTTAAGCTGCGTATCCTCCAGCCTCTCTCCGCCCGCGTGTCGCATCTCGAGATCCTCAATCGCCCGGATCTTTTTCTGCAGCGCACGGATCTTCTTGGCGTTGGGGTTGGCCGCCGGCGCAGCGCCGGCATCGCCAGCAGGCGCGCCCCCATTACCGCCGCCCTGTGCCGCGTGGGCAGGACGGCTGTGCGAGCGCGCGCGGTGCGCATTGCCGTGGTTGCGCTGAGTAGGATGTAGGTGGTGGTTGTTCCGGGACCGGCTACGAGCATGGTGGGCGTGGTGCTGGCCCTGCTGGCCGCGCCGGTCAGGGCTACGGCCTTCATTGCCCGAGGCGCTTCCGTGCTCGCGGGGAGACGGCGCGAGGCCTCCTTCGGTGGGAGCGGTCGCAGCGGCGCCTGCATCACCACCCTCCTTTGCCTTCTTGCTCCGCTTCTTCTTGTTCTTCGACTTGGACGCATTGCCGTCGTCAGCCGGCGTCGCCCCAGGAACCGAGGAACGTTCGACTGGCTCCGCGCCAGGAACCATGTGACGTGGACGACCAAATCCATTAGGTCCGATCGAGGGCGTGCCATTGCTGACGGTATGCGCCGCGCCGCCCTCGTCCTCGCGCTTGAAGTGCAGCGGGGTCACCGCGCCGCGGGCGCCGGGCGGGCGGTAAGCACCGACCGGCTTGGACGGCGTCTTGGCCGTGCTAAGATACGTAAGGGCCGAAGCGTGCGGGGCCGGTACCGGGTGCAGCGGATCCCCGGAAGCCGAGAGGTTGCCCGCAGGTGCGGGACGCCACATGACATTGTACAACTCGATCATATCTTCGTTGTACATGAGACCGCCTCCCACATGCCAGAGCTTGATGCCGTTATCCACACGCAAGCGCGGCGACGTAGTCGCCGTCATAATGTACCGGCTGTCTGGACTCCAGGTGCAGACACTGGGGCTCCCGCTCTCAATGGTACACACCTTCCGGTAGTCCTTCTCCAAATCGTAGACGTCAATCTGACCAGCCAGATTGCCGAAGCCAGCGACCAAAACGAACCGGCCAGTTGGCGAGAAGATGATGGTGTTGCGAGGTCCGATCGGGAACGAGTGGATAGCTACACCGCGGTGATTGAAGATAGTCGTCTTTGCGGGCATGTAACCGTAAATGACACCGAACTCGGTCGAGTTGGGAGACCAGGAGACGTCATGGATGGGCCCCTCCTTGTCCAGTGTAATCCTGGCGTCGAACGATCCGTTGGCGCTCAGAAGATACATGGTCGTCTCGCCATAATAGCTCTTGTTCGACTTATCTACGTCGGTCTGCGCCAACACGATCAACGTCGTCCCCAGTGCGTTCCATTTCAGTTGCACCTTGTCCCCTTTGAAGAAGGTCTTTTGCGAGATTGGGCTGTTGAACGAAGGGATGTTGTAGACCTTGACAGCAGCAGGTTGGCCCTTGGGGGAAGGTTAGAACATGGGCTGGATAATTGATATAGCTGGGGAGGCATACCTTGCGCTCGGGGACGAAAACTGCAACGTTTTGGTTCAGGCCGGGTGCAATTGCGAAATCAACCACGCCTTCGACGCGCAACTTGTTCCAGACGGTCGAGAGGTCGTTGCTATTGTAGAACTGCACCTCGTTCGTCACGTTGCGCGCGCAATACTTTTCGTCCGCCGTGTACTGCAGGTTCCAGCCTGTCCACGACTTCTGAACGAACTGGCCGATTGGCTGCTTCTCAACACCCTCGGCAACGTCCTCGATGGTGCGCCAGATCTTGAGGTTCTTGGTCGCATCGCCATTGTCATCCTTGGAAGGACGCTCAAAGGTGATCAGGTACGTGCCTCGGGGGGAGAAACCAAGCTCGTAGACGGCCGCGATGGGAAGTGCCGTCAGTACATGGCCAACCGAGGCATCGACAACGACGACGCCTTCATTAGAAGCATACGCGAAGTACCGGCCACACGGCGAATAGGCACAACACCGGAGGTTCCCTTCGGGCTTGACGAATCCAGGGAGGGCCTCGTAGACAGGCGCGGCGTCAAAGACGCCGATGGCCTTCTGGGTTCGGTAGGCAAACTGCAACGGAGTCGCCATGACTAGTCAAAGTCACAGGTGGTCGCGATAGCAGTTGAGTGTTGTTACTGTTGATTCTTGATTCCTCTAGCTGTCTTGCCGGAGGGCAACCGCGTTGTGGTTCAAAGCGAAGTTCCAAGCCAAATCAATTGTCTTGCGGTGACAAAGGCGGCCAAGGGAATCTCGAACCGATTATCGGCAAGGGTCGGCGTCCGAGCACGGTTTGTCGGTCTCTCGTAAAAGGCGCTGGATGCAGGGTCGCTAAGCCTGGGGAGAGTAGAAGGCCGACGGCGGCGCAAAGAACTGGCGATGAGCTATCGGGTGGCGCGGACGATGCAAATGGGCCTTGAGACGGTTGACAAAGAGGCCGCACTGTGGTCCGAAGAGTGGAAACCGACTGACAGGAAGAGGGGAACAGTAAAGAAGAGAAGCGCCCTCGGGGAAGGTTGGCAGAGCCGGTGCGTGATGGACTGGCGAAGGGGGACCGAGAGAAGAGGGATGGAGGGACGGAAACCGTTCCATGCTGGGACCGTGATCTATTTTTTTAGCTTTTCCACATGTTGATTCAGGCCGGGTGGGGCCAGCTGTTTGTCTATGGCACCTGCAGGCCTCCCGCCGGCTGGTTCCTCCTGGCCAAATTAAGCCATACATTTCACGGCCTGTCAGCGAGATAGATGTGGCTTGTGAACGCAGCACATACCTTACATACGATATATCCTCTTTCCAGTTGCCCATTTCTTTCTTTTGCTGTTTTTAGCTTTACTTCTTATCTCTCCATTCCCTCTCTACTTTTCCCCCTGTATCGCTGAAACTGAATATTTGTACATATGACCTTTTTTGATCGAGTCGAGCTTCATGGTTCCACGATTCGAGACCATTTTCTGACCCACTGAGGAGAAACTCAATTGTGCTCGCTGCTCAATGGCCATGATCTCTTGCACAGTATCAACGTTACTGTTTGACAAGAGTAGCTTCAAATTGCCACCTAGTAGAATTTTTGCGCAACTTGGAGCCGGATCTGCAGCAAGCATTTGCATGTCGCAGCCTACAGTAGTGACCTTCGTGCACATGGTTCTGCGGTGCCGGGACTTGTCACGTGCTTCTTAATCCTAACAACTTATTTACCTGTATTGCTTGATTCAGACCTGGAAGTGGTGAGCAGCGGGCCACTTCACAGCTGGCTGTTTAGTAACAGCTAGATGTGCCTGGTGTTGACCCAGGCCGCTTATATGAGCTTCCGCCCGCCGGGGACCGGACCCCGTATTCGTACTTGCTACGCAGTAAGACCTTCACAACAGTGCCCTGCATTATGTGTTAAAGGCCAATCTCTAGCGTGTCTGCCCGCGATAACCCAGCCTCGTTCCAGCGTGACAACATTTGCAGATCCTTCTACTCTCTGCTGTACACTATTTCATGTCCGATAGCGCAGAGATAGGCTACAGTATTTGAGCAGCGAGCTTCATAGTATATGCTCGAACCTCGAGACGCAAACTGGTGAAAGCAGATGGTCGCCCTACTGCGTAGAGATCGAGGACCTCGAGAGACCTTGAGCTGGTTCGAGATCTGGCCCAGATGGCCCCGCGCTAAAAGCCAACCAGGAAGAGCGGCTGTGGAGCGCAAGATACCAGATCTGGAACCGACCAGGATTCTGTGTGGCTCCCGCGGGGAGCCCAAGACAGTGGCCTCGCGCTAGCTCACTTCCGGCACCCCTGTTCAGCCGCATCAACGTCCGAGTAACCTCGCCGTCAAGATCTTCAGAAGCACAAGGCTGCCATGATACCTTGCACCTATGGGAGGTAGTTTATGCCTTTGCTCTAATAGATGCCCTCGGCCTGAGAGAGCTCAAATCCCCTTGCTCGCTCCATTATCATGTCTCTAGTCAGTGTTGCTTTGTTTATTTACTTTCATCCCTGCTTCTCATCTCTATGAGCTATCAATGCAAGTTCCCATGGCTTTTAGGTTCCAGGTCACTGTGCACTGAGATATCTGGCACTTCTGGTGTCACCATCCACTCTCAGACCCTATATGCTCGTCATCACGCCTAATATCTGCTCCCCACCTCACCATCCAGTCCCCCCCTCCTTGCTGGCCCCGCCAACCCCTTTCCCCCCAAGGCAGCTCACTCAGAGCTAAGGTTCTCGAGCGTTCTCTGTGCCTACAGTGTACTGAACACTTCGCGCTAGTGCGCACCTGTGCACTTGAGTGAAGTGCCCCTGATGCCTCACAATTGCCACACGGTCCCTCCTGACTGATCGTTCGTCGTCCTCGGGCTTGGGATTTAGAGGAGACGGGAATTCCCAGAGAACGGGGAGCTCACAGAGAGAGAGGAGGGACGGCATTCAACCGGGGCTCAACACTTAACAAGACCGTGCTCTTGTATACTCACATGCTCAAGGGGCTCTCGCCATCAGTGGGCCTGGCCCAGGCGGAAAGAACACGATGGCCAAGTAGAGTACTCGATAAACCAGCTGCAGGAAAGAAGGCAACGTCTTATGATGCACCCACAGGGAGCTCAGCAGCGCTCGGACCACGTGACGTGCTCCAAAGTTGCCTTCATGTCCTCGACTCGGTCGGTGATTCTTGGAATTTCCTTTTCTCTTCCAACCACCTCCATCTCGAACGTCGTTTTCGTTTCCGGCTGCCTTCGTCATCGCCGTTTTCCAGGTTTCATTGGAAGTCATTAGCAACGAAGTGTAAGTCGACTTCTTCCATCGAACGTATACTTCTTGGACACAAGCATCACCGTCAGGAGCGTGCCGACGACTTTGTTGCTCGGCGTGTTCGCCAGTGCGAAATCTTGAGTTGGCCGCCTAGTGAAGGCAGAATAAGAGACCAGCATACCCCAAGTCTATTCTCATGCTGGCCTTTTTGTTCCATGACGTCTCCTTTCATACATTCGACAACCGTATTTCGCCACTTCATTTGATCTTCCCATCCCCCTGTTGCTGCCTGTTTCACCACCCCAGACAGAGCTTGCTTTCCTGGCCAAATTCTACAGCTGGCCGAGCATCGAGCTAACATTGGCCTAGCAGAAACATGGAGAAGCACAGCGGTGCTAGCCGCGACGGGGGCAACCCCATCCGGGTGACTGGGCGGCCGAGTCTGCTCGGCGAGGACTGTGGTAAGTTAATGTCAGGTTCCGTGAAGTCCTAGCAAAGAACCACCAGGAGCGCAATCAAGGGTGGCGACGGGTACACAACTGCGGCTCTGGTAACGCATCGATGCTCATCCCACTCACATATACCCGCTCACGCGGCTCGACGTGCGGCTCGACATGTGGCTCGACACTCATCCTTGGCGGCCAGTAACGCGCTGTGCATCGATCAGCCCGGGACCTGCGCCACCCACAAGCACATTTATTCTCAAAGGCTCTCTGCGAAATTTCCACTTCCTTTTATCTTTCACATGCTTGCACAGCAGCAGACTAAGCTGACTCGGAATTTTCCTCCGTCAACAACAGCGCCCAGCCTTGAGGAGCGACCCTCCTCATCATCTGCGTCCGCCGGTGGCGAGATCCCCGGCTTAAAGTCTTCCCCTCGGGTGTGCGACTCGCCGCGGTCACCGCTTTCCTCGGAAGCCCCGAGGTCTCCCTCCTGTTCGACACTCCCCGAGGTGTCGAGCGAGTCCGGCAATCAGGAGAAGAAGATGGAGGCGACCAACTCCGTCTTCTTCAGCCACCACCACGAGCAGGTGGTGGCTCTGATGAAAAAGAAGTTCCAGGATCTCCTGGACTATGACAAGACGAAGAATCGCAAGATTCTTCATGTCGACTGGTATGTGCGGTTCATGTCGGCTATCGAACGCCGTCAAGGCAATAGGGAATTTTGGATTCTAACATTTCCTTCTCCTTTTCAGGGTAGCGGGCAATCCCGACGATCCCGCAAGGAAGGAAGGCGGCGAATCCGCCGCCAACGGTGGCATGAGCGAGGAGGACCGGAAGCTCGCTGAGAGCGCGGCGCGGTCGGTCATGCGCATTACCTACGGCGTCCAGCAGTGGGACGAAAACAAGACAGTAAGTACCTAGTTCTGACTGACTTTCTGGACTTCGCTAGGTCTGGAAGTGCCTCCAATTTTACCCTCACATACAGAGTTGGTGCGACTCTCGAAACGGGCTGCGCTAACCGTTTCTTCTCCAGTGGAACAAGTCCATGTTCTTTGGTGACTGGCTGAAGGACCAGAACGGCTTCCGCCAGCACTATGTCGAGGTTCAAGTCAAGCGGATCTCCGGCGGCGACGAGAAGCTGCTGTCAGATTGCATGATCAGCCCTAAGTTGGTTTGGCTGCCGCTGCACGACGAGAACGCTCCGACTATTGAGCCGGTTACGGTTCCCCCCGTCGTCGCGACTGGCGCGCGCCAGCTTCCTACTCCACGAGAGCAAGTCCGGGAGTCCCTTCCCGAGGTTGAGGAAGTGGAGAATGCAGGTCCGGTTTCCTCTCCTTCTGCCGGCCCCAGTGCCCCCCGCTCCGGCATTCCCCGGAGTCAGGCTCTCCCCACCACTGGCAGCTTCGACTCGATCGAGGCAGCTGAGTCCGAGCCCGCCGACTCCCCGGAGTCTACCTATTCGGACGAGATCTATCTGCCCGAGGGCGTTGACCCGTTCGAAACCATCATCCCCGCCCATCGGACTCGGGCAATCAGCGCCGCTGACATGGCTCGCCATCGCGAACATTGGGACCAGAACACCGTCGCGAAGCGTCGGGAGCTGGACGAAATCTTCTCCTTCCACGAGGACCCCGCATTTATTGAGCGTAAACAGAAGTCATTTGTTTACGCTGTTCGCATTATCGCCATCCCGGACCGTGGCGATATTGTCAACGTCTTTAGCGGCCCTCCCGTCGAGAACCGCTACGGCACCCTCATTGCGTCGGGCGGCTGGGTTGTGCCACCGCTCGAGGAGCGCGTCAAGTGGCGCGACGAGCACAAGCGCGGCTACCGCAACAAGGCCGCAAAGCTCGGCCGGTATGAGGGCCTTCCCCGTCCAACGGTTCAGCATGCCATGCCCATGCAATTCGACTGGTCGGGCAACCTCGAACCGCGGTACTATGGCCCGGCGGCTCCAATCTGGCGTGAGCTGTGCGAGCCGTGCCTAGAGGATATATACTGGATGGTCTGGCAGCTCATGGCTGGGAAGTGCTTCCTCGGGTTCAACCCTGGCGCTGGCTTTGGCGTGCTCCGGCGCGATCCGGAGGGTGACAAGAAGCTGCTATCGGAGTGCCCGTTCAAGAGCCCGTCGGCCGAGGCGCTGCACCACGCGGCTTCTTATCCCCGTGGTGACGAGACGAAGAGGAACTAGAACCCAGACCGACTTCTTCATTGAGCTCGAGGTCTTATTTACCTACAGTGAAATACACCATGTCCTGGTGCGACCTCTTGAAGCAATTACCTATCACGAAGTCACGAGGTTCCGGAAACGTCTCCTTCTCCATTTTCCTTACGGTCGGCATTCTTTTCGCTCTGCTCACGAGCTTCAGTCCGGAGAGGTCACAACGACGACCAACCGCCTCAGAAACCGGCATGTCAGAGTCCACATTTTGTTTTCCTAATCATCCTCTTCAACGTCACGCCACTTCGCGCCACCTCGTCGCGAACTCAACGGATACCACGAATGTCAACACGCTTGCTCCTACGAGTGGCCCCTCGGGGGAGGAGTACGACATACAGAAGTTGATCGCGCTGTCTGTGCTTTACGCACGTCAACAAACAGCAGCTCGTGCTGTGGAACTTGCAGCGAATTTCTGGCGATGATTACGCCCGTTGTATGTCTTTTCTGACTTTGTTACTTCCGATCCTCCCGTCAACCTCAATGACCTGCCACTTTACTCTATCATAATCACCGACGCACTTTTCTTGCCCCGCTATCTTAGATGAGGGCTTGGCTGTGGCAGATCGGTTATGCCGCTTTATGTGAAGCAATGGCAAGGCACGGTCTGGTTTTGGAACGGACTGAGGAACGCGTCCTCAATCACGAACCTCGAAAGGTATGAGGCATATGACATCTGAACATTAGGGCGGGCGGACCGAATGCACGCAATCGGAGTACCGGAGTTGGATCGTGGTGACAAGGACTTTGGGAGCCCCCTCCACTTTCTCTCTCTGGATTCCTTTTCTCAGGATGGGGGTTTTTCGTCTTCTAACACACACTCTTCATCTGGTCTCCTGTAACAGGCGTTTATTCGGACGGACGGTTTTCCGAGATCTGGTAGTGTAGTGGATTGGAGTCTTTGATACCCTGGGTCTTGTTGCTCTCGGCTGATACCTTGTTCATGATGGACGATGAGGGCGATGATACCCCACTAAGTTGGTGGGCATACTGTCTAGGTAAACTTTCCGTCCTCTAGCTCATGAAATTGTTTCTCTGCGTGCGGTCCAATTCAGATTGTGTGATGGTGACTCCGTCGGCTGCCAGACGGTAGACCAAGAGCCGGCCCCGGAGAGTATGGTGGCCCTCGACGTCTACAAGGAATGCTGATACGTTTACAGCAGCCAAACAATCAGCTGGGATTTGAATATACGTGTTGGTCCAAATGGTAGGATTCTCTAGCAACTCGGAATATTACCGGACCGAGGGGGTGTTGATGACGACACGCAAGGTGACGTCGTGTATCCCGGCATGCCGATCACTCGTCAAAAGCAGCTCAGCTGAGTTGCTCACCAGGCCTCATTTTGAGACAGCCCGCGATTTCACAACGCTCTGTAAAACGTAGTGGCACAGGTAATGGTGATTGCGAAGCATCATGTATTTTTTTATCGTAGAGTTCATCGAGCATGTAGGGGCCGGCCAGAGTGGGTGATGATAAGACAGCCCCAGAGAGTCAAAGTTCCTTGGTCGATCCGGGCTCGCTTCGGAGTTGGGTATATCTTGTTCGTTGAACCGATCTCTATCGACAGAAGTGAGAAATGCCCGTCTTGGTCCTGTCCCTCGTATAAGTGTACTCCGTTCACATTTGCTAAATTTGTTGACATAGGAGGGAAGGTGGCCCGGCACCCCTAACTCCGGAGACCCCTAAACCAAACAGACGGGCTCGCCACTATTCACAAGGCAACTGGCCCGAAATGATCATCCAATCTTGTGCCGTTCCAGATATTCAGAACCGAGAGATCTCCGGTAAACCCCCCACGCCGATCTCTCCCGGTATGGTCTCGTTGCAGACGCTTTGCCGCCGTCACATGCCGTCCTCGCCCCCCTCACGGCACCACCTCGATCAGCTCCGTAGCTCGGTTCTAGAACAGCAAGTCCGTCGCCGATCGCGTGGCGCATGTGGCTAGAGAGTCCTTGTACTGTACTTCTGGGTGGTGGGTACGGCTACGTGCATGCCTCGTTGACTGGTATCCGGTATATTCGTGCTGCAGCTCGATCCGCACACTCCCCTCCACCACGCTACGGCAATCTCATACGCCTCACCCCGCAGACCGTTGAGAAGTATGCGGTACATTGCTACGCTGCCACAGGTGGCTGTGCGGTGTCTCGTACGCGTACGATGGCGCTTCCGTCCATACTCGTACGATCCCGGCGAGGACTTCCTAAAGCCTCGAGGTCTTATGATGGCGGGTGTTCTAAGGTTGGCTCCCGGACCAAGACTTGTCAGGCCTAGCATCGAAGGTGGCAACTGAGGACTAGGTACTACCGTCTACAGGCGTGTGTTCTCGGCCCGACTTGTCGCTCTGGTGGATGTGTGGCTTGATAAGGGGATCGTTGGTTGAGAGGCTAGACTTACACTGAGATGAGTGCTACGTCGAGTGCAAAAACGAGCGCTCGGAAAGAGATGCTGCCGAGAGATGGGTTCCTTCAGCAGCTATACGAGAAGGACTATGTACCTTATTATTACTCTCTTCACCAAAGCCGCCATCTACCGTTAGACAGAGCTGTATGTTCCGGAGATAGATCGAGGTATTTAATAGCGTGTTTGTGTCGACAATACCCTACCCCATTCATACCTAAACTACACAAGAAATCCCTGTCTTTTCAGCGTGGATTGTTCTTGTTGTCCCAAAGACACTTGCTCACTTGGTATGTCGTCTGTCAAAGGTTCGAATACCAAGTAGTTCCAGCATCTCGCTTTCAGACGCCGAGTTCCGTATTCGGGTACCGTACCTTAATGCATGCAACCCGGTACCAGCAGACAGCTACACGCTTCAAATCCAGCACGTAGAGTCAGGTCGATTGCTACTGACAGCCCAGTGTCGGCTTCGTTTTTTTGAGCTCGATCGTCGAGACCGTTTCCCGAGCCTCGTTGGGGAGTGCCTAGCACGTTCCACAAAAAGAGCGGCCACACAGTTTTCGGTAACAGGAGGTTCTGATGGTAACAATAGGATTCTGACGCTTATACGTATGCACGTATGTATGTACGGATTACAGTACATACAGCATTCCATTTCCAGAATTACACACTCTGGGGCCGTTGAAAGTATAATTACGAATTAAATTACCCATGCTCTTGCGGTATTGACAATGAAACTGCCTGTAATCCGTAAGTTTATCAGACTTACGGGATCTGTCAGGACGGGTTCGCCACTCGTTGCGAAGTAACACCCGCCGTCTGAATGAACACCCAACATCTGCACATTCACAAACAACCAAGGTAGAGTCGGAATCAGTGCATGAGCAATTGAACGCAACGAGTGCATATCCAGTCGTCTCTGTATGCCCTCGCAAGACACTCCGAGTCCACCATGAACGTTGTGGGAAGCAACATGGTAGTTGCAGTGGACAATGACGTTTGCGTACCATCTTCAGAGACTTCAGCTGCCTGCTCGAGGCAGCTGGAGGCTAATAATAAAGATCATCAAGCCGAGTCTCCGCGCCGGATGATTTGATAACTATCTTGCGTAGGTGAAGACTAGATTGGAGGATGATGATGGTCGTTTCTTTTTCAAGACTTTCCCCCTGACTACCAGGTACTGCACACTCAAGGAGCAGTCAGAGAATCCCGATTGGGCTTGGCACCCCTCTGTCAGATAGACGTCATTCGACGCGTCCTCTTTCCCAGACGCGTCTTCGCTCTAGCCCTGACAAACAGAAGAAAGAGATAACACTCGTCGTGCCCTCCATTTTGAATTTTCATTCAGTCCCCAGCTTGGATATTGAGGTTTGCCTTTATTTTGAACTAGAGATTACCAAGCTATCGTCTTGTGACCGTCAAGATGCCCCCAAAACGCGCTGCCACTTTCCGCTTCTAGCCGAGCCAAGAAGTCGCGTGCATCGGACGAGGGCACCGGGAATGTTACCGCCGATGGTGTGCCGTCGCCGGCCATCACCCGGAGCAAGCGGTGGGCCCCGGTGTCCGGCTCGGCCAACGTTGACTACAAGTACAAGCTGGACACACAGAATCCTGTAACGGCATACCAGTTTGTGTGCCTGTGCCAGCCGCCTTTCAGCAACGGCGACGACGAGGATGATGACGAGGACGACGAGGAAGAAGAAGAAGACGAGGATGCGGACAAGGAGAACGGACCAGCCGAGCCCGACGGTGACGAACAGGGCGAGAAGGAAAAGCGGCCGAAGTGCGACGGCGGCAAGACGTGCCTGTGCGACAAGCCGGCCGAGCTGCACCCCGACCACATGTGGGAGATGTCGCGCGCCGGCAAGATCAAGTTCTTCTTGCAGCGGACCAACTTCGCGCTGCGGGATCCGGACAACTTCAACATGTATACCTTCAACGACCACGCCGGGTACGGCGTGCTGGAGATGCTGCAGAACCTCATTCTCGACTTTGAGGAGGCCACAAGCAACTACAAAGAGCAGTGGGCCGTCTGCGAGGCACTCGCCTTCTTTCTCCAGGTGGACGTTGCAGGCGCTGTGACTTAGTAAGTCTTTGGTTCAGCTTTAAGCGGCTATGTCCAACGGATCACTGATAATGCATTCGCAAATAGAATCGATGATGGCAAAGGCATGGAAGCGGTCTATCAGCTCATTGGACGTCTTTGCATGTCTATGCTGGCCCTGCTCGAGCGAGATAAGCTTCTTGCCAAGGACTCCGAGATCAAAAATCTGGGTCTGATCATGGCACTTTTCATGACATTCGCGTGCGATGGGAGACCGTACGGTCTGCTGGAGGAGAGCAAGCAAGAGTCCCTGGGCCCGGCAAAGGACAAGAAGTGGGAGCCGCACGCTTTCGATAGTAATTTCCTCGCTTACGCTCGCAAGTACGGCATCGATCTGGCCGGGCCGCACGATATCCGCAATACCATTAAGGAAGCTGAGGCGGACGCAGACCTGCCCAACCCCGCGTCCAATACGGGCAGCGCGGATCCGTTCTCCTTCGCCAAGGAGCTGAAGAAGTACAAAAAAGAGCGGGGAGGCGTCACCGCCTTCTTAGCCGGCTCCGCCGGAAGCCGTGCCAAAGTACCTATCGGCGGCGACAGTCTCGACATCACGACCTGGACCAGCGCTGAGCGCAAGAAGGCGGCCTATGACAAGAAGGACCCGCTCGGCAAGAAGGATATCTATACCATCAAAGAAGGCCTGATTATGGACCTTGCATAAGGTGTATCTTTTGGTCATGCAGTGTACGATATGGAGTTGTTTCTGTTCTTCTCTTTCGTGAGTCACTTCTACTCACTGTATTAATATTCTGTATCCTCAAGTACCTAGTCAAGTTGGTTTCAGTGGGGTTAAGGAGGGAGATATGGCGGTGATTTGGACTTCGGGTACACATCATGTCTTTTGACTTTTTGGAGATCGTTGTCTTGCCGCAGCTGGGGAGCCCGAGGACTACAGCGACAAATCAAAGAGGGGTTCCTAACTTCCCCATACCAACCTCGTCGCCGTCTACCTACACGAACCGCCCTGTCCGCCTGGCACACTCTCAGGAAGAAATGTGAACTTCGGGCGGACCGGACTCCATGCTATGCATCGATCATGGGTTTGAAAGACCCTTCCCTCTTGCTTGATCGCTCCTGGAACAGCTAGCAGCTTGCCACGAGGTTCGTGAGCTGAATGCACCCTATCAACAAGGGAGATGACATTGGTATGTCAGTAAACGCTCATTTCATTCGCTTCCTGCAAGCATCGAATTGACAGGAGGGCGTTTTAGATCGTAAGAAGGCTGCCGAAAGGACGGAGAGACTGAGGAGCAACTCTGTTAGGGGGTTGCTCCCCTCCTAACCGGCGCTGCACCACGAGACTATTGGAAAGGGGGGGGTTAGATGTATGGAACTGTCGAAGACGTGGTCGTGTTTCAGAGGTAGAGCGGATAAAAATATGGTACGATATCAAGGCCAATGGTACCTTAGGCAGGTCCGTTGTTTATGGAAGGGCGATGTGGCGTGCCACAGGATGGTCGTGGCATTATTAGGTGACCAGGAAGTTGGTCTTTTCTTCCAAGAACGACTGGTGCCTGACAGATATATTTGATGATGTCAACAGTAGCCGCATTGACGACTGGGGTCTAGGTACTACCTAAGGTAGGTATATACATTGCATTGTAGCATGCCGGTTAGGTCCGTAAGCAGTCGGGAATGATACTGTCGAAACCCTTCTATAGAAAACGAGACCGAACAATGAGTGGAGAAAGCTGAAGGTAAGGTAAGGTAAAGGGCCTGGTCTCCGTTGGTAACTTGGTTGTCGGTATCCGTTCCTCCGTACGGAGTGGTTCCGTACCCGCTTCTCAATATCGATCGATCGAAATGCGGCGGGAGATATTCAGGGGCAGGGACCTCCGGAGGTTCTTCTCCGGCTAAATCACCTGCCCAGGACATGGATCCCTGCAGCACACCCAACAGGAACAGCCGCCGGAACATGCAGGACCGGTCCCTAGTGTATAGGTAATCACACAAAAATCCTCCATAATGCTAACGGTGATTTCCAGTTGGGCCAATGGGATCATCAGGAAGCACCATCTTTCTGGTGAACGTCCCTTTCAAACGGAGCCAGATCCGAAGAATTGTCTTCTGCATAATGAACCTTGACTTCGCTGGGATGGTTAGGTGGCCACGTCACAGGTCAAGGCATATCTCTTAATCACGGATATCACTGCGCTGAAAGTATCTCACATACGGGATGGTCTGATCATGCTCCCGTCATGTCAAGCATTTCGTTCACCATCTACCTCGTGACCATCAAGCATATGATCGCGTTACTCATCCATCTCATCATTAGCACGTTTCCCGCACCCAAGCAACCCCCCCAAAAAAAGATATGTCACCGACGGAGTATCAGGCTCAGGGTAAGGGTATATGTAGAGGTCCCATAGAAGCCGACCCGGGGAATGAAAGCTGTCAAAACGGATGAAGGGTGAAAGCTGGAAAGTCATGGAAATCTGTGCCATCAAAAGATGCTGAATACACAGTGTGAAGGGGAAAGCCGGAGGAAAAAAATATAAGAGCTGTCCACCAAACCCTCCGTGTCTGAAGAAATGAAGTCAAGGGCAAGACAACGTTGGTCAACAGGACCTTGGTATCTCAGAAAAGAAGTGAACCGAGAAGAAAGCCGCCTCCTCACAACGCCCAAAGTGCGCAGCGCATCTTTTTGATGCGGTACCAAGGCCTTTCTAACTCACTGACCCTATCCCTGGGTGATTACCACCAGCTACGCACCGTGCCTGTTTCTCCCCTGTTGTGCGTGCTGGATTTGTTGCTGTTGCTGCTCGACAAGGTAGTTAAGGATCGATCCTCTGAATTCTGTTCCTCCGGAGCTGGAATAACGGAATGATTGATTTCCGAAGAGATATGGTTCTCTGAAAGACTGCACCAACGCCAGATCTGTTCGTGGCTTGGACGATTCACCATGCTAAAGGCGAGAAATTGGTGAGCAAGACTGACTGTGGCGTGCAGTGAAGTTTTACCCCTGGTTATTTCAGGGGCGGATGGGAGACTTACGGTATCCGCACGGCGTGCCGGGTGCATGGACGGTCGTGGGCGTTGGATAAAGGTGGTAGCTACTACGAGTAGCTATACATGAATAGCGCGTAGCAGTGATGTTCAGGGCGGGCCGCATAAAGACAGAGTCGAGAGATAGATTCCTCTTGCGCAGTAGGCACGCCGGATGGTTGGCTTGCTTATCCCATCAATACACCAACCGCAGCTCATACCTCGTTGCGTTGCTGTTGGATGACGTTGGCGAATGCGGCTCGCCCGGTACATCAACTGCCATTTCCCACTCACGCTTAACCCCTGATGAGTCCGCGTTGCCGGTCTCTGCAATCTCCAATACCATGTCCAGGCCCTCGGGCAGCTGGCGAATGACATCATCGTCCATCTCTACCTCGAGTCCGCGCGGCTGGACCACATGCACGGTCCGGACAACCCGGCTTGCGTCAAAACGCCACTTGGCCGCGAGGCGAGCAACGAATTCGCCCAGCGTGCGCTGCGTGAGGTAGATGGCTCGATGAAGTTCCTGGCCCGAAGGCTCTGTTGCCGTTCGCCGGGCAATGTAGAAGCAGGCGACGGGCTTTGGCGGCCGTTCCTGGGGAGGCTGATATGTCGAGTCGACGCCCAGGGCTTCGATCCAACCTATCAGGTTGCCGGCCTCGTCTACCTGCTTGACCTTTGAGGGTTGTTCTCGCGCAGACGGGTCGGCGTCACCCATCCTGTTGTACCAGTCTTGCCACTGCGGTTTGCCACCGCCAAGTGAGGAATGGAGAGACAACGAACTAGGTGATGGCGAAACGAAGGATGAGTCGGCGACCGAACTGCGCTCGCTGCGCTCGCTGCGCCATGCGGTACTCTCACGGGATTCCACCTTGGAGAGGTCAAACGATTCTCCGGGTAGCGAGACAGGGTGTAGGTCGGGGTCGTCCTGCTCCTCGCCTCGCAGGTACAGCACGCTCACCGGCCTCGTGCTGGTGAACATATCCTGTAAGGTCTGCAGCTTGAAGTGAAGATCCTCCTCTAAGGGCACCCGCGGGCCGCCGCCAGCTGAACTAGCGGACGACATGGACCAAGTGCGCTTGTGCTTCTGCACTTTACCCGGTCGTTGCCCGCCCTGGCCCTTAATTTGCGATGCACCCGCCCTCTTCCTCTTTCCGGATTCTTTGATCCCACTTTCGGCTTGGGCAATCTGCTGCTTGATCTTGTCGATGGTCTTCCGGACGTGTGCCACGTCGTTGGAGAGCTTGCGTTCGGCACCATGATCGCGAAACAGCTTGACCTTGCAGTAGCATATTTCAGCCGCGCCTTCCGCGGCTGCGGGCGAGGACGAATCTGCCGGAAGCTGGTGTGTCTTGGCGCATAGCCTGACGGGGATGCCCTTCACACCCTTGGAATGGCTGAAGTCGGTGGAGAGGAAGTTGAACCGGACGGCAATGTTGCACTCGGTGTTGCCGTTGGCACCCGGAGTCCAAATGACTGAGAACCCGTCGAACGAGGAAGTCTCCAGCTCGATGCGGGTCTTCTTGTCGTCGCCTTCTGCTGGCTGTCCTGCTTCGACATACTCGACCGCCTGCAGCTTTCCTCCTCTTTGATGGGCCTCGTTGGTGCCGCGGCCTTCCTTCCAGAGACTCCAGCACATTCCCGGCTTCTGCCGTTGCTGCTCGTCTTCGAACGAGACCCTGACGAATGTTCGGAATCGGGTGCCAGGGACAACAGGTAGCGTTGGTGTCGTATCAACGACGGTTAATGAGTAGGCCTGGCCTTTATTAAGGTACGTCACAGGAATCTCGTCGGCGTGTTTGATCATTGCAGTTGGCGCGTTAAGCACGGTGTGGAAGCGGAACTGCTCTGCAGACGACGGGAGAGGCACAGGCATGGACATCCCAAAATGTCTCGCCTGGAACGCCGCCATGGGAGCCTGGGCTTGGAAGTTGCTGTCGATGGACCCAATCCGGTCGTCGGCATGATCGGAGTCCATCGGTGATCCATCCTGGTCCATCGTCTCGTATCCGGTGTCCTGGTGTATGAAAGACGATGGCGCAAACCCTGGCTGCGGAGGCGGAGGTTGAATGAACGCGTTGAAGTGCTGGAACTGTTGAGGGTGGAAGCCATGATGGAAGCTGGACATGTCCATCGCGCCTGTACCGGAGGGCACCGCGCCATCAGAGTTCGGCAAAGACAGAGGAGTTCCAAGACCCATGCCCAGGCCGAGGGTGGGCGTGTGAAGATCGCCAGCCTGAGGATGGTACAGAGTGTTGGTCCCTCCGGGAGTTGGGGGGTAGTACCCTGACGGCTGATTTCCAAAGCTGGCGAAGGAGAGCGAACTGGAGTCTAATAGCGATGGCGTAAAGCGCCAGGGATCATTTGATGCTCGTGGTGTCGGATCTTGGTCCCGGAACACGTCGTGACCCTGACTATGAGATCTATACAGGCGCAAAAACACGAGTTAGACAGATCATACATTGCCGGGCGGTACCAGTGAGCGAAAAAGGCGCTTCATCGGAGATTGCGTGCTGAACCTTAGAAACCCATTTTAGGGCTCGGAGCAACGAACCTTTCTTGTCCGGAAACGGGGACATCGCCATGGCGCGCGGTTGCTGCTCTAGCGGGAGCTGGCGCCGAAGTGGATGAACCGGCTACGGCCACCTCCGGGAACATCTGCTTGAAACTGGCCAATAGCTCATCATCGGGCTTCTGAGAACTTGTCCTGAACGGCGCACACCGTTAGACAACTGGGTCAAAAGACACCGCACTCTCAAACGACGCAATGAAGCTCTTGCGCGCGAGGTGCGGCGATTGCACAAGGCCGCGGTCGACTTACCGTTGGCGGAACATGGTGAACGGCTGCGCAAATTCGCGACTTCCGCGGCCTCTCGAATCGACAGTTACGGTGCGAGAACTGGGATTGCGCGCTATTCGACTGGATAGCGCTCACTTGTCATGGGGTAATCGAACGTCACGACGCTGCCTGCGGCGTGTGGAGCGTGTGTCGCCGCGAAAGGAGTAGCAAACTTGAACCGAGGGCTGATGAGAGTGTGTCGCCAGATGCGCGTTTGGAGCAACTATAACAAAGCGAGGGTCGGCAGACTTGAACGAGAGAAGCCAGGTACAACGCAACAACGGTCTATACCTCTAATAAACGAGCAATAACTGTCGCTGCTGTATAGAGAGGAGGTCGTGTTGCTTGGCTGGACCGGGGCTATCGGGACGTATATACCCAGGCAAATAAAACGCGAGCGGTGAGACGTCCGAGTCTTGCGGGAAAGAGGGTGGAGCAACACCCGAGATGGGAGGGTGACATGGTGGAGTGCAGAAACACCCTCGCGATTTGCGCGCAACGGACCCTGTCAATCCCGCTGACGGGACACGCAGAATTCCACGGGTTTGTACTCTGTACTTCGCACATGAACCCCGGTATGTAGGTGGCGGCTGTTTGCGACACGGTTGGGGTTGACCCAGGCATCACCCCACCAGCAGGGTTGGTGAGGGATGTACCGAATGGTGTGTGCCTTCCTCATGTGGAGGGGAAGACTCGGAAACGGGCCGAGATGGCTGCTTTGCGACTAATGGATCAGGTAATGCAATACACAGCACTGCTCGAAGGGCAAACGAAGCACATAACCGAGTAAACTCCGTAAAAGATATAGCCTACAGTGCTTATAGACCTGTAAAGTTGATAAACTGCCATGGGAAGAGAGAGGTGCGAAACAGTGATTCAACTTCCATCCCGTGGTGTTCCTCGAAACCCCCAGACAGCAACAATTTTGATCTGACTCCGACGCAATCAATGACAGACGCGGGGTTGCAGGGCTGCCTGCCCTGGGCGGGTCCACCACCAGCAAGCAATAAAGAGCGCATATCGTTATAGTGGGCTAGTACCCGACGTTGAGTTGGGGAAGAGGTTTCGCTGGATCGTGATATCTTACAACACCTCATACTATCGAGATGTTGTGCATGTGGGTGTGGCTCGGGCAAGTACCGCTACATTTCCGTGCTATGATCATGGTCGAACCGTGACAGCACCGTGGCTGTGCTCTTTGATTTGCCTCAACATACGGAAGGTACTTCACTCATGTTGCGAGCACAGGCCCATCACGTGCCCATCTGCACCTTTTAACAGTTAAGGGTCTCAGTTTCCAAGTATGTACGGTGGCGGAACTTTCGTCAGCCATGAGTAATAATAAACCTACAATAGAACAAATCATCTCACGACTAATGACGTGCTGTCGCGGTTCTTTGGTTCATATACTGTAAGAGAAACGGCACCATCTGTTACTATTTTCTCCCTTGCTCTCCTGCACTACCGAGTCTCGAGCCAGTATGGCATTATCAATTGGTCCTCGGAGGCATTACGGATAACACGTACTGGTTAGCGGCTCCAGCCAACGACCGACTCAAAAAGATTTGTGGAGATATAGTCCACAAAGCCCACAGCCAAGACTATGACGTCATCTTCACTTTAATTTACCACAGGTAATTATTACATTGCTAGTACCTCCGTATGTTACGATAATACTGACTCATTGTGTGAGTGCTCGCAGGCGCTTTGCAACCCTGTAGGTAAAGATACTGCCGCGTGCCGTTCTCGTCAGCATACTACCAATGGCAACTGATAGTACTACCTCCTAGATGTTAGGTACATTACAATAGGTAGCTGTGCTCGATGGTCCGCTTCGGGCAATGAGTGTAAGATACCGAACGTTGCAGAGTTGGGTCGGGTTTCGTTCGCGAGCACCCAGGTCAATACATTATGCCCTGCAATGGTTCGGTGATTCTGATCCATTCCGAGGTCAGGACTAATAAGGACCGTGGAATGAGACACATACCACATGCAGAATGTACTGTATAAAGTGCTCTACGGAATGCTATAGTATCTGTTCTCCTACCCATAAGCTTTGTTAGCAGCTGTCCTTCCTAGCACGCAGTGTAGGCTCTGAGGTGGTAAGTACCTTAGACAATGAGGCGGTCGGTGCTTTCCCTTAGTACCTTAGGTAGTAGGGCATCTATATCCAGGGCACCGGTAGCCACTACCTTACCTACCTTACCTAGTATCTGACTTCCAGTGCCCTGGATGGCGGCCAGTCGCAACTTCAAGGGGTTCTTCAGTGATAGGTTTCTTCGTCAACCGTGAGGGAACTTCTACCCAGGTGGTTAAACTCCTATCGACTGACATTCTACGGCAATTGTGCCAGCAGTTCGATACTATTAAAAACAAATACACTCACATGTGTTGCGAGATGGCCCTGAGACCCGTGGAGAAGTTCGTTCAGTGGGCTTTCGCATGGCACTTCTATGCTGTTAGGGCCTACAGTAGCACCCCCTGAGCAAAAAAACAGTTCCACATCCACAAGCAAGTCAACCACCACACAAGTCATCACAACTAAGTCAAAAACGCATGCAAATAGAGTATCTAATGCCAAGTCACTGTCCTTTCCATTTCTATACATTGTTTTCAATATCTGGGGGATTTGATAAACTCAACTGAGTTGGTACCTACGTGTAGTGTAGTGTAGATTGCCTCGGGCAAGTCTCAGCGGGACCTGTGTGTTGCCCATCGTAGCCTCGCAGATACCAGATATGACGTCATTGCTTCAATCGAATCCTCCTCGGCTAATTTCCCAAATTCGCGCCCCGGCAGCCGCCGACTACAAGGGGCGGCAGGCAGTGGTGTGTTTTGTTTTTTTTCAGCACTCGGAGGTCAGCCCCTGCTACGTGGCATAACGTTATCCATGGATCCCATGACACAGAGTTCAGGCCTTGCATTGTCCAGTAAATCAGGCACCCCGGACTTTGTAACTCCATGCTTTGCGACAGCTGCGACTCCCGCATCTCGTGCACGCCCGCTTCATGCATGTCGCAGCACATCGAAACGCTGCAGACGGAGAAAGGCAACCTTCCATCAGCTGACGACGCACCTATTGGCAATGAGCACGCAGTCTTCTGAGGGCTACCCTCAGTGGACCGGTCGCGCGCTATCCGTGGTCCTGTACACACGCCTCCTGCAGCCGCTACGTCATTCTCGACCCAAAGAATGGAATGGCATTGTCGCCAATTCCCATTCCTCAGCCGCTACGGCACTGTTTTGCTTGTTGTGTGCCGCTTTCCTTTCCCCCATGCTCCGGTGCAAGACCCCGGATCCTGGGGCAATGACGTCAGCGCAAAAGGAAAAAAATAAAAGAGAATGGGCAAATGGCCCGCGTTTTCAACACGGGCCCCACACCCCGCACCACACCCCATCCAATCTGACTGCATTTCCATCGTCTCAGTTTTCCTGCGCCGAAATTCCAATCCACGTGTACAGCAAGACCAACAGCTCCTAGTGTATGGGTAAGAACGATAGGTTGACAAGCACAGCTGGAGCAATCTGGACAGGCTCTTTTGAAATCAGGCGGAGGACGGGCGAACAACGAAATGGCCCCACCTAGCCACAAAAGTTTCTGTGTGGTGTGCCACGGCTATGGCTTCCTCTTTCGGGACTGACACCGATGCGGCGGCTCGGGGATGTTAGCCGATGTTCTGGATTGGCTGGATTGTTCCGCTGCTGTCCTGTCCTGCAGGCATGCTTCGATCTGTGCTCTTCAGTCTTCGCTTTTCAGATCGGAAGCTTCTTCCACAGTCACACCCTGCACTTACATACATAATATGTACATGCCCCTCTAACGCGTAATACACTTGCATGCCTGTACGCAGTATAGTACTAATATGGGTGTATGTATGTATGTATGTACAAATACTTGTCCTTATACACTGCGAGGAGACTTCCTTTCCATCCGGTCAGGGGCAAAAGATGATCGCTACCGAGACTGACCAAGCTGTATACCATCCCGTTGTTCCATCGCGCTCCTGTGGCAAATCTCAACGGCTCGATGCCGGCTGCTGATAGGTAGGAGTTGTTCAGAGCTGACGACTGAGCGCTGATAAGCAAAGCGTTCCCTCCCAGCTTGCTACCCTAGCGTCACCCCTTGGGGGCGATATCAGACATGTGGCTGTGCTAGTTCGATGGGCTCAGTACTAGTTGTCAAGCTATTGCATTTCAGCTGTCTATCACCTCGCCCATGTTGGCTAGGCTTGACATCTGTCTGGGTGCCCTATCCTACATATATCCGTCTCGTGGCGCCTACGCAAGGCGAAGAGATAAGGGAGCCCAGAGTGAGATGGGCGGAAGAAACCACAATAACCGAAAAGGAGAGATAGGCCTTGCCTCGTGCACGATCGAACGAGGGCATTTGATATCTATATTTAGGAGATCAGCGTTCAGCACCCCTACATTACACGTGTAATTATCTTGGATACTGTACATTTACCGAGCTATCTCACTCACCGGATGCGTGTCATCACGGCGCCGATCAGCGGGCAACAGCGGCCCCGCATGCCGGTAGTGGCTTGCATAGATACTTTTAGCTGTCCACTACCGAAATGGCTTGCCCCGTCACCACACCATCTACCTGGGAGGGGAACGAACCCGTATTCGGTTCTCCGAGTTCCGTAATCTCGGCCGATCCGAGCGGCTGGTTGCCGCCGCACGGGACCCGATGAGGTCTCGGTGCCGGCACTGCGGAGTACCAAGCTTCAGCAGATGCGGACCAGCAACCTAGGATGTTGTGTATCGACTTGATACGCCAATCCCAAGGACACTGTCTCAGGCAGCAGAGTTGCCTCATAGCGTTGGTCTGGCCACCTTCTCTCGTCTTCGTCTTGCGAGCGAAGCCGTGGTCATCGTCTATAACCGTTAGCTTGGTGTGTTTGTGGTAAGTCGATCAGTCTACTTAGGTCGCTTCACCCGTGTCAGTATCTTTTAGGACTTGCAAGGGGCACAATATGATTGAGACAGCTGAGACAGGCAGTCTAACATTGCGAGCATACGCTCTGCGTCATTGCCGGTCATAGTTCCATCAAAGTGCTTGACCATTGGCGCCCAAGACGAAAGATGGTAGAAACTGTGCAGTAAGCTCTTACAATCACTCCGTCGGTAGATTTTTCCAATTGGAAATTTCGTTATGGACAGTCCTCAAAGGTGGTGAGAAGACTGGCGTTATGAGTACGGTACCTATGACTACCGAGCCTTACCTACCGAGCAAGGGCCATGACTCCATGACACCTTGGGCCTTGTCTAGTAAATAAACCCCTGATGAATCCTCCGCCTATGGAGCCCGGTTTAACCATAACACTGGGAGCCAGCCTCGGCAAGCGGATGTCAACACTGGGCGACATTGATGAAACAATAATAAGTTGCAGTCTCCCGTCTTACTCCACGTTGTGATCATCGCTCGACGGATACTGTCGTGGGGAACTGTGCTGCTAAGGAACTAATCTTCACGTGAGTGTCTCAGCAGGAGATTTTATGCTGGAAGGGGCAGGCATTAGACTCAGCATAGAGCGCGAAAATTAGATAGCTGGCCGGGTCATGTAGAGTAGAACATGCCTTGGATAGCGAGCTAGGCTTTTGTGGTCTGTAGAACGAGGTATATGGACTCTTTCTGCCACAAGAGATTTTCGCAGTGCTGTTTTGGTGTCAGCAGAACGGAGAGAGGAGACGGGACAGCGTTTAACCATGAAGAGCCGGAGGACTCGGTATTTCCTCTTGTTCTGAAGTATGAACGCAAAGAGCACGGGGTCTTCACAACGGTGTGTGTGTGTGTGTGCTCCTGAAGCGCTTGTCTTCTAATCGTCGCCAATCCAACCGCGTGTTGTTGGGCTTCCGGATCATTGGTCGGCGTCCATCTTCGGATGGTGTTGATAGGAACCGAAAGAACAATATCGCGGTTCGAACACCCCCTGTCGTTGGGACACTGGCAGACCGCCTTGATCCCGCGATCTGTGCTCGTGGCCAGATGATTGGATTGTGATTCGTTGGATATTGCTGACTTTGAGTGCAGCAACAGCAGCTCCTTCTCTGCCCGTGCTGCTTTCGTTATCGCTCCCTGAACTTCCACCTAAATCCCCTCTTAGTTTGAATCCTTTACATAGCAGCGCTAAGGAGGTCAAATAGCTGAAGAAAGAGACCCAATAATCGAAACAAGTTTTGAAGCTGGAAAGAAGGACGCGAAGAGTGTCTACTCGGATTGTCTTATCGGCCATCCCGCCCTTATCAGTGCAGTTGATCTGGCCGCTGATCGGCGCTCGGCTCCGAACTGACCCGGCGGCCAGGCTGACCACGCTCTCGACCGCCACTTAAACCTCTAAACTGCTATTCTCGAGTCGCTGGTTCTATTCGTCTTCCTAGTACTCCATAAGCACAGGCCATTCCGCTCCTTGGACGACGCTAGCTTCTGCACGCAATATCTTCTTTCTCTCCTGTGTCTGCTGGCACCGCTAATCTGCTGCGTTGCGTCGAGAAAGCTTCCAGTGCTTCAACCATGTGGGCGTTCTCCTCCTCGTCCTCGAATTCGACCTCCGAGGCGCCGCCACCAGCTGCCACTGAGGCAGACGAGCCTCAGAACGAGGGATCTAAGCTCAGAACATTCATCTCTATATTGAGAAAGTGAGTGCAGAATGTCTCCACCGACTTGGTCTTTCGCCCGCTCCCCCTTCGTTAGAGACACTGAGGAATGTCTGTGAGGAGGCGGAAGGATGGTAGAGTCTTAACGTCATGTATCAGACGGACCACTTCTGCATTGAAGTACGTGATGAGCATCCGAGCTAATAAACAGCCCAGATTCATCGGCGTAGCAGACCTCGCCTCCGTTCGATTCTCCCTTCCCTCCCAGCTCCTAGAGCCGACACCGAATCTCGAATACTGGAACTACCTGGACTCACCGAATGCTTTCGTTGCTATTGGAACCGCAGACGACCCGGTTGACCGCATGCTGGAAGTGCTACGTTTCTGGTTTACAAAGGACTTGAAGTATGCAAAGGGAAAGCCATGCAAACCGTACAACAGTTGTCTCGGGGAGTTCTTCAGGGTAGGTTGCCAAGGCTTTGAAACAGCCTACGACATCCCGATTTGAGGAGGGCAAGTCGCTGACAGCGTCACGCTGGCCAGTGCAACTGGGAGACCGAAGATGATGCACCGAGGATCGATACAAGAGCGCTCCGGCCAAATGGTAGCCCGCCGGGCAGTAGCTCGCCCAGTACGAAGTCCGCGGAGCTCGCTGTCAAAAGGGGGCTCGGCTCCGGCGATGCGCGTGGTTCGTCTACTGTGTCCGTCTCGCAGTCAGCAACCAATCCGACCAAGCCAGTCCGGGTTTCGTACTTGACCGAGCAGACGTCACACCATCCGCCCGTCAGCGCTTTCTACATCAGCTGCCCCGAGAAAGGCATCCATGCCAAGGGATTTGACCAGATCACAGCGAAGTTCACTGGTACCTCTATCAAGGTGATGCCTGGAGAGCACAACCTTGGGATCTTCATCACCGTGGAGCGGCGTGACCATGAGACGTATCAGTTGACGCACCCTGCGGCGCATCTTGGTGGCATTCTAAGGGGCGCCTTAAGTGTGTCCGTCGGTGACATGGCCTACATTACTTGCCCGGAGACCAAGCTCAAGACCATTCTGCGTTACTACGATGATGGCTGGCTCGGCCGCTCGACGAACAAGGTGGAAGGCATCATCTTCCGTTATGACCCGGAGAATGATGATAAGCAGAAGATTAGCGACGTCCCAGAGGAGGAGATCCTCGTGCGCCTTGGCGGGGCATGGAAGGAGAAAATCGTCTTCACTCTGGGCCCCAAACCTGTCGTGAGTACACCTGTGGAAATACATAGCGCAAGCAATTCTTTCCTTACACTGAAGGACAGGACTCGCACCCCCCAGAATACCAGATAACCATCATCGATATCGCCCCTCTCACAGTAGCACCCAAGGTGCTCCCACCACCTGAGCAACAGCTGCCCAATGAATCCCTGCAGCTTTGGAGCGAAGTTACGAAGGCCATTCTGTCTAAACAATACTCCCGCGCTACGACTGTCAAGCAAGAGCTTGAGGAGACTCAGCGAGAGAAAGCGCGCGAGCGTGAACGGAAGGGAGAAACGTGGAAGCCTGTTTTCTTTGAGCAGGCTACTGACAAGGCCGGCAAGCCATCGCTGACGGAGAAGGGAAGGGAGGTTCTCAACCGTGCGCAGAAGGGAGAATGGAGCATGGAAGGAATTCTTCCTTGACGTGTCGACTAAGCCGGAGCAGTGAGAGAGATAGACGGGGTGGAAAGAGGCAACGGCAGTTTTCTTACTCTGCATAGAAGGGGCTTACACGGCGCGTCATCTCAATCGGATTTCTCCTATTGGCTACGCCACACTCTTTCTGTTTGATGGGCGGGGTTCGGCGTTCGTCGCCGGCATGATTACGCCGTCCCGGTCTCGGCGGTGGTCCAGGGGCACATAACACTCATACAGGCAAACATCTGGGAAGGCGTTGCTGATGATACCATTAAAGCTCTACAAAGACCATTCCATCCCACATTACACTCGGTTGGACGGAATAGCCTGACGGAGGTCGTCTAGTCCTCCCTCGGAGTCTGAGCGAGCGACTGAACTAGCGTCTTTCTTTCGCATAATGCTAACAGTAGTGAAATCCATCCCTGAATTGTCCTAGCAAAGGTTTAGAAACGACCTCTTAGGACTATGATGCCTGGTTCCACGGGACTATAGTAGTCCATATATAACCTCAAACCCAGCATCATCCATCCCTTGACGCAGGCCCCCCTGAGGCCCTACACCAAACTGTGTACCCCAAGGTTTATACGCGAGTTAACAAAGTATCAATGTGAAATGAATGAACACGAGGATGAAGGGGTGGAAGAGGCGAACTATGAGAGAAAAGGAAAGGAGAGAAGAGAGCGAGAGAGCCAGCCTTGTAGTGCTAGGCTCAGGGCCTTACGTGAGTGGGATCATATGAGATAGTCCCGCGGGACCGAGCATCATAGTCCCAGAAAGCCATCTCAAGGTCTAAGCAAGTCGAAAAAGTACCACAGCCTGGAAGTGTCACAGCAGAACAACATTGTTGCCTGCAAACGCCTGGGGGCCCCCTATACCGGGCGATAGCAAGCCTCCAGCGAAATAAGCTTTTGACAGATTACGCCTACAACTATTTTAATTACTAGCATCTACCATTGTTCATCACGAAAGATATCCTTACCGTGTCCTCCTCTATCTCCTCTCCATCGGCCGGTGCAGGAGGATATGGGGCCGGGCAGGCCCTTCTTGTGCTTTCATTGTATACCTTTGACGGGGGGTTCCCGCTGGTTTCTTAGGCACTTATCCGTTGGATCCTCTCTCACTTCCCCCATAATTATATCAATACAACAACTTGAATTTACCTTCGCCGCGGAGGCGACAACGCCATCCGCGGGTAGCACAGCCCGGATAGTCCGGAGCGGGACGTATCCTGTAAGGAGTGTGGAAGGCGGCAGGCACTAATAGAAAGTGTCGGCATACAACACCAGCGTCCTAGATCCCGTCTCAGACCTCAAAACGTTTTTGCGGTCTCTCTCACTCATGGGATGCTGGAACAGATGTCAAACTAAACGGTCTGATATGGTGAGAAACAACATGAACCTAAAGATACTGTTAACACTCGACGCTTGGTGCTGCACCGAAACTACCAAAGTCGTTTGATGGTTACTGCTGCTCAGTTGCTCATGATTTCTCCGAAGGCGACCAATTGTGAATCGTCTTGTTCAACGTGGCACTCGCCTTGACTTCGAACCTCGGATGTTGCGGTATCTACCTCGACTCAGAGTCGCAGTTCTAACGAAGGTACCGCAGAAATGAAATTCGAAACTCATGTGCGTACTGTGTCGTCCTCGCAACCTAATGTGCAGCCTTCCAAGCCCTATACGCATCGTTTTCCCAACCGAACTCCACTGTCCAGTTCCAACGGTTCCTTCGGCCGGCACTTACGCCATCGAATCCCAAGTCCAGCCGCGGGCATGGTTCTGGCATAGGTGGGATTATGTACTCCGTACAGGTCTCCCTCACCGATCACACACACTGCCCTACCCACGTATAAAAACCGAGAGAATATAAGCCACGACTTGGAGAGCAAACAATCGGAGCAGCATACGGCAGCACTAGACCTAGCTGTGCCGAGCCTGCCAGAAAGCCGGCCTACTATCTAGACTCTGAAGACATGGTTCACCAAGAACGAAGGTCGAGGGGATGGCATTAACCCTCAAAAAAGGAGCAACTCGATTTTCACACAGAAAGGTCAGTCTTAGAGCCACCCCTCTAACAAATTGGCTAATCGCCCGTATAGCTCAGTGGTAGAGCGTTCCGCTCGTACTCGTCAACGGAAAGGTCGGCGGTTCGATCCCGCCTGGGGGCAGACAATTAGAATATTAGGGGTTGCTTAGGCAACCTTAAAGGGTATTCATTTTAGACAGGACTTTATCTTTTGTTATGTTAACTTGCTTGCTATTATATTAACTTATTAGTTATATATAGCTATTTATATCTTTAGTTATTATACACCTCTGTTATTTTCTTAGCTTTTGAGATCTAGAGATCTTAGGGGTATAGCTACTAGCAATTACTTCTACCCTCTAACTCTTTAGTGTCATGCGAATGGAAAACTCCTCTAGGTAAGACTCAATATAGCCTCGTCCGCACGCTAGTGCCTGGAAGCGCATTCATCGTAGGCAGATTTTATGTGTAGGGTATTGGCTGCAGTCCACGCTGCCACCTGCCGGCGGTGATCGGAACGTGATAGAGTTCTACCCAGCTCGCTCTTGGAAAAGTCCTATACGGATACCTAAGTTCTATCCCCCGAGCAGTGATTCTGACTGATGTCGACAGGATGTTCGCGGACGGCTTTCGTTTTAGCTGACGGGTGGTTCCATTGTCTGTAACGTAACGTTATCTGTAAGACAGCGCTAGTCATGATTACCATTACCATAACTTATTAGTCGCTAAGCCTCATTTCGTCGCCAGGGTGCAAGCGCAGCGACAAAGGAGCAGAAAAACGTGAGCAAACGCCAGCAACAATGCGACAAACACAAAGCAAACATTAGCCTGGATCGCCAACAGGCTCGGATACCGAACTTCAATTCTTCATCCACTTGACATTGCACTGCCCGAAGCCTCGGGCCTGTCATCTCGGCCGAGGACTGGAATTCTGCCCTACGAATCCGCCAGCCGCCAAGCAGCCGCCATTCGGGGCACCCCTGAACCTCAGCTCAAACAATTCGTACCGCGAAGCCAAGCCGAAGAGAGAATCTCACTCACGCGACAACCGGACCCGATCTCTCCCATCCGGGCTTTCACCACCCAACGAACGGAGCGACAGCCGTCACCGGGGCTTCCAGGGTGCCACAGTCGTTCTGCCGAAATCCGAAGAGCCATGGCCACCACCACGTCGGGCTTAACAAGGCGCAGGGGAGGAGGGGGAGCGGGCGCCGGCGACGGAGAGAGCAACGGTGTCGGCATGGGCTCGCGGACCAATTCGTCGGCCAATGTTAGGGACAGCAGCGGGCCCGAAACGAGCTACGAGAGCGGCGAGAACGGACACCGGATCGCCTTCGACCCGCGCGATATCAGCGAGAGCGCCGAGCGCAGCAAGCAGCCTAAGCTCACGCTCATGGAGGAGGTGTTGCTGCTGGGGTTGAAGGATAAGCAGGTTTGTCTTGCTTGCGCTGATTATACGTGACGGTGCTGAACTCGACGGGCTGATGAAGGAACTGCTTTGTAGGGCTACCTGTCATTTTGGAACGACAACATCTCGTACGCGCTGCGCGGGTGCATCGTGCTGGAGCTCGCTTTCCGTGGACGCATAGCCATGCAAAAGACCCCTTCAAGACGGAGCTTTCCTCTGCCCGACCGGATCATCGAGGTTATCGACGACACCTTGACCGGCGAGGTGCTGCTGGACGAAGCCCTCAAAATGATGAAGACGAGCGAGAAGATGAGCGTCAGCAGCTGGATTGACCTTATGAGCGGTATGCGCTGGGCATACTACCCCTATGACAAACAACGACTGGCACCACAACATCCTACTGACATATTTATTACGGACAGGAGAGACGTGGAACCTCATGAAGATCGGCTACCAGCTGAAGCAAGTCCGCGAGCGGCTGGCCAAGGGCTTGGTAGACAAGGGCATCCTGCGGACTGAAAAGCGAAACTTCCTCCTGTTCGACATGGCGACCCACCCGGTAGTTGACAGCGGCGCGAAAGAAGATATCCGGCGGCGCGTGCGCAACGTGTTGACGCAGCGGACTGTCGTGCTCAACAGCTCGCAGTGGCTACCCGAGAATCTCGAGTTCCGCTACCTGCGCACCGTGGCCATGGTCTGCGCCGCCTACGCGGCCAACGTACTCGAGAACGCGCTGTCGACGCTCGGTCACGAGGCCAGGGAGAAGGCGTTCAACCAAACAGACGAGCTACTCGCGGATTACAGCCAGTGGCCGTTTGGGAGGAAGGCCGTATCTAATGATATAGGGGAGAACTTGCCGCAGGTTATCGGCGAGGTGCGTGACGCACGCTACGTCTCTCTTTGCTCATCCACTGACCCTTCCCTCCACAGGAAGTCAATCGGAACCAGGATAAGGAGCTCCAGCTCGAAGTGGTCGCCGCCTGCTTGAGCGTCTTCACCCGCCTCGACTCGCTCCTCTAGTGCCTAAGTGGTGGTCTCCCCGGTAGGCCCCTTGCGGCGCGCAGGCCTCTTCTGACCCCAACGCAACTTTCAAGTCTTCCACGCACCCACAACCATGCATTCATACTTATGGTCACGGTATTGATTCTCTTTCGGCACCGCCAGAATACTGGATGGTTCGTTTGCGCCATGGGTTCCTTCCTCCCGAAGAATCCTTCCGCCAACCAACCGGAACCACCACAACGTCTCCAGAGCGCCAAAGAACACGGGAACGCTCCTTTCGTATCCTGCTATTCTGTACAGCGAGGCCGGACAAGACAGCGGGCCGGGAAGGCCACCACGACAACCGCAAGCACTCGGAATGGAAAGAGACAGCATAACCGCAAGCATTCGAAAAGAAAAGAGCAAGCATCTTAGAGGGAACGATCAGCCCACGGAATGAAAAGGGAAGTGGTGTTGTGCTTGAGAAAAATGGACAGAGGGTATCGGGCCTTAACTGGGTTGGGATGCGCAAGGAGCAAAGAGTCTGCCTCGGAAGCCGAAAACAAAAGGAAAGGGAACCTCCTTTTCCAGAGCTTGGGCCGCTTCTCGAATACCTTTACTCAGACGGACGGGAAATGGGATATATGGGCGGCAAATTCTTCGCATGTAGTTGGGTTCCGTTCTTTCACGGTGGGTAGTGGGCGGCGGGGTTCGAGGACCTGAGGAGAACTTGTCGCGCCTAATCCCGTCGCTTGGCTGCTCTGCGTGATGTGGATGGGTTAGGGCTGGACGACCGAGATGCCTAGGAGGTTCGTTTCGGGTGTTTCTCGTGTGTGGTAGGGGTCCTCTTGCGATTGCTGGGAAACGGAGCAAAGGGGAGTCTGTTTCTTTGTCGTCCCGCTTTTTTACTATTTAGCTTTCTTCTACTTCGTTTTCTCTTCTATTTCATGCAGCTAATTGGACGGGCATGATCGATGTCGTGGCTTAAACCGGTGAGAGCAACCGGCCTCAACTACCGGCATGTCGTGTTAGGCTGCTGGCCTCCGGAGATGAGACAGCTCTCTCACATGCACCCATGCGAGACCAGGAATGACAGATCAACCTCGTGTCGTACCATTTTCTTATCCACTTGACTCCAATAGCAGAATGTGCAGGCCACATGCCGTTCAAAATACAGAAATAGAGCCCTAAATACCGCGATGCATCTGGGATCAAGCAACGCCGGACGCCCCCCCACCCCAAGACACGAAACAGAGATGACAACTCTTAAAGCAACCCTTCCATCCGCTCATAACTCGGAGCGCATCTCTTCAGATCGGCTTGCCACTTTTATTTCTTCCCACCGCCAAACCCGCCCTCGAACCCAGGCCGGCTTTTCTTTTTAGTTTGAATGCCCTTGTTCTTCTTCTTCCCGCCTTTGTTGGCCAGCTTCTCCTCGCGCCGCTTCCGGATGTTCTCTTCGCGCTTGCGCTGGCGTTCCTGAATGGCCTGCTGAACGCCCTCAGTCCGCTCCTTCCACTCGCGCTCCGACTTCTTCTTCGCCTTCTCCTTGCGCTTGAGCGCCTTTTTGAGCAGGGACTCGTTGTCGTGCACCTTCTCACCCTCGGCACGTCGGCGAGCCGCCAACCATGTCTCCTTCTCGAGCACCTCTTTGCGCTTGTCCTCGTCCATGCTGGCGATCCGTTTTTTTTTGCGCCTCGAGCTTGAGCAGGGCCGTCTTGGGGTCGGAGGGGCCCTTCTTTTTGGCACTGCCGGGGGTCTTCTCGTAGCTCAGGTCGTGCGACAACTGGGTTCCGTCTGAAAAGGCTAGCCGGCCAAAGGCGAAGTGGTTGGCGTCGCGGTCATCGCCTTGCTCAAAGAGGGGGCTGAGGCCGGGCGAGTTGCGCGCACTTGCTAGTGCCTCCTCCCGCTTTCTGTCCTCTTCCTCCTTGGCTAGCCGGCGCATCTCCTTCTTTTGCGCCTTCCGTTGGGCTTGCTTCTCCCGCCGCGCCTCGATCAAATCCTGTCGCGTGCGGATAGTCTTGCCGTCTTCGTCAGCGACTTTGCGAGCTGCGCGAAGGGCAGCGAGCTTGGCTTCGAGGCGAGCGCGTAACGCAGTGGTATCGGCGGGAATCTTGATGTATTTGGGCTTTTCTGACGGGGCCACGGCCGAGGATATAGACGTCGTCGTACTAGCAGGCTCGCCTGACGCCTTCTTCTCGCTGTCGAAGATGGGTGACTCTCGTGCCGAGTCTGCCGACGAACCCTCTGACGAACCCTCATTCTCATTGGCAAGCCCTGATATGTCGATAGGCGCCAATTCCTCGTCTGCATCGCTCTTAGCCTCCTCAGCAGAGAATTGCGCCGGCGCTTCCTCCGCTGCAGACTCTTCGGCCTCCTTCTCCGCAGTGTCTTCCTCGGTGGCGGCGGTCTTAGCCTTCTTCTGCACCTTTTCGGCCTTACCGTCCTTTCTAGCATGCTCCGCTTTGGACTTTTCGGCCTCCTCTTTCTTTTGCTTCTTAGCCAGCTTATGTTCTTCCTTGGCCTTCTGCTTCTTATTGAGGGAGTTCTCGCCCTCAGTGTGTTGTTGTTCTTCGGTGCTTTTCTGCTTCGTGGGCGCCGATTCCTCCTCCTCGTCCAGCTTGACCTTCTTCTTCAGCCCCTCGCCCGGCTTCTCTTTCTCTATCCCTGGGAGATCGCTGTCGCTATCGTGTTCGGAACCGGCGTCACTGTCCTCCTCGGCTTCCATCTCTTGAAGCTTACGCTTGTTCCGCGCCCGCTCGTCCAGCACTTCTTTCGCATTGCGATTGAGTTCGCTGTCCGGGTCCAGCTTTCCCCTTTTTGCAGCTCTTGCCTGATCCTTTGTCTGCTTCTTCTTCCTCCATTGATCCTGTGGCAGGGCGCGAAACTTATCAGCAATCAATCGTCCTACTCGTCGGAGCGCAGCCGCTTGCGAGGCGAGGGAGAGAGGGGAGAACAACATACACTTGTGTCTTCCCCGTAATACATCTTAGCTGGGATCAGAGAAAGGAGGCCGTCGAAGGCCTTTGCATGGTCGCGGAGGCGCTCCTGTTAGACAGACAAGGATCAGTGGACAAACTCCGGGTGGCAGTCTCGGCTTGAAGCCAGGTGCATTCGCTTTACCTGCAACGAAGCGTCCGCCATGTTTGCCATCGTTCTTGAAGTCCAAGGAAAGATGCTCTCAAGGCAAGTTTGAGCAAGATGCGACACCTTCGGGCGCTGTATTGTCGAGTTAAGCACGGGCGTTGGTTGAGCTGGGCTTGCTGGGAAAATTGACCTGGCGGGCGCGCAGAGCGGTTGAATTTTATCGGTCGAAATTTTGGGAACTGCCCCACCCCCATCATGCAGCTAAAGCAATTCTGCCGGCGGTGAGTGCTTGTGGGCGAACTTCGTAACTAGGTACCTATGTTGGTAGGTAGGTAGTAGGTAACAATGGGAAGCTAGGAAACAATAGGAAAGGTATTAGAATGCGAATAAATAGAAGGAATCTTACAATAGAGGCAGCACTAACGTAGTCCTTCTCTAAAGTCTGGTCAAATAACCAGTGTTCAGCAATGATCTTGACACTACCCGGTACCTATGTGCGGGGTCCCCGCAAATGATAACCCTCGCCTCAAACAGAATCGCCAAGACAGCTTCAACCCTCTGTCTCTTCGGCGAAATGGCCATTCGCCGTGGCCGAATCTAAACCCAAGATAAACAATACGTATCAGGATAGCCCACAGCTGCGCCAACTCCCAGATCCCAACGCCAACCTCGACCCATCAGACATCGGTCCCAAACGCCACCGCTATGCATTGCTAGGCCCCGCCACCCAAGCAGCACTTGCCCCCGGTTGGACGCCGACAATACAATAATCAGATTATCCATACAGAAACTTCGTCAGATTAATCCGTCTGCCGGAACGTAGTGGGCAGGGCCCATCGTCATCAACGTCATTCTCCCCGTCACTGTCGGGGATAAGCTGGTCCTCACTCCCTAGGGGCTTGTTTAGCGCCTCTACTTCTTCCAGATCCGCTTTTGGCAAGGGCACAAAAGCCGGATCTACAGACAAGGAATCAACATGCTTCGGTTTATTGCTGGGCATGGGTGCCTTCAGGGTCGACGGCGTTGATCCAAACGACTTTCCGCGACCGAGTGCCCGGGCTCCGATCCGCTGCAGGGGAGTCAGCATGGGGGTTTGTGTGTTCGGCGGGCTGAGGCTCTTTTGAGTCGCTGTTGGCTCCATGCTTGACGCCGGCGTGGGCAGGCAGTGGACGAATCGGGTCCGGGGTCTCGCTGTCTCATACGAAAACTGCTTGAGAAGTCCCCCGAGAGGTGTCACCGATGTCGGATTGGGAATATGGCCTTCGTCGGCTGGTCCGTGTTGTACAGGGGGTGAAGCTGGGACTTCGACCGAGTCATCGGCATTGTCCTCCTGGCTCTTCGGCGTTCGTCCGGCAGAAAGAAGCTCATCCTTATGTGCTTCAGGAGACGGTTCCCGGAAAATGTCGAACTCATCGGCCGGTTTGCCAGGTTTCTCAGAACGCCGTGAATCGAAATCAGGGAGACTCCGGAACGCCTCCTCAACTGAATCATCCGACATCAGCAGCTGGTCCAGCTTCTTGCTGGGTTTCTTTTGTTTTGTTGTGGAGAAGAATTTGCTCTTCTCCAGAGCAACCCTGCCACCTTCCTCAACGGCTGAATCATCACACAACCGCGCCTTCTTTGGCGGTCTGCTGGAAGAAACCGGGTCTTGGTACACTTGAATTACTGGCCCAGTTGTCCGGCGACGATCTCTCGAAGTCTCGAACTGATCCAAGCCGAGGAGCTTCGAGATAGGCTCACTCTTCCGACGGAGTACGCGGGCATTGCTGGAATACGACCGAGCAGGACTTGCTGGCTCTTCTACACCCTCCACATACGGTCTCGGAAGTGGGAAAACTATGGGGCGGGGGCCGGCGTCACTAGCAGCGGCGTTGTTCTGGTTCGGGTCGATTGCGAAGCAGTTTGCATCCATCTCGCCGAGAGGAATGCGGCCTGAATTGCGCTCCTTGAAGAACTCTGTGATAGGCTTCCCAAGACTCCTCGGCGGTCCGCTGGCCGGAGTCAGTGCCTGGCTGATCCTCCTCTTGCCCGGCGAACGCGGGACCACGATGCGCTGCCTGGTGATGGGGTTGATGTCACCCGCAGCAATGGATCTGGCCATCTCCGTTTCTATTGGTGGCCCGATGAAAGGCATGTCGTTGACATCGACCGCCGGGTCTGGTTCCGTCAACAAAACAATGTCTCGCTTCTTGGGACAGAATACACGTTGGTGCAAAAAGGTGAGCTCGGCTTGCTTGAAATCGTCGAGATAGCTTTCGGGGATTTGGTGCTTTCCGTCGAACCGCAGCATCCTGACGACGCGCTCAGGGGTCTTGTGCTTCCGAATCAAGCGGTACGCAGTCTTTAGACCAATGTTGCTGACGCCTTCCAGGTAGTCGCAACCGCTCAAGATGGCCATGTGTCGAAACTCGCTGTCAGTCCAACCGGTAAGGGATATCTCGCGCACAGCACAGAAGTCTCTCCGGTTGATCTCGATACACTGGCCGTGCTGGTCTAGCTTGGTCAACAAACGCTTCGCGCCGAAGACCAGCAAGTCGGAATCCTCGGACACGATACCGCGGATCAACCCTTGGCGTTCAAGGTAGACCAGCTGAGCGTCTGCCTCGTATGGAGCGACCACGTACGGGATATCGGCCTTCTTGAGCTCCTCGATCAGATGACGAGCCATCTCCGGAGTGACGTCGATGGCCTTTTGGAGTTCGGCATAAGCCTGTGAGGGCTTGCCTGCCCTAAGAAGCTCTAGTCCAACCCTCTTGCTCTCTTCCCGGCGCTTGGCCCGCGATGCTTCTGTCTTGGCTTTGCTGGGAAGGAAATCCCCATCGAACACGAGATATGGGGTGACACCAAAGTACTTGAACATCCTGACCCGATGCATGGCGAAGTCCACGTACCTGGAGGCTGTGAGAAGTGCTGCTATGGTGCAAAAAGTGGGTTCAGAACTTACTTGCGCGTCGGCTTGCCCTGAGCCAGTTCAATGGCGCAGGCAACGGCACCACGGTGGAGCCAGCCATAGCCGTCCACCCCAAAGGTTTCCCCAGCATACTTCTTCAGCTCGGTCGGACGCTGTATAGATTTGAGCAGTGGGAGGAGACCTACGGAACTCTTGGGTGAGGAAGGGAAACGGGCGACGAAGAGGAGGTGGAATCTTACCCGAGATGCCCATCCTGAAGGCCGTGGGGAGGAATGACTGTTATGCTCGTTACAGTAGGTCGTCATGCAACGAGACCAGGAAGCAGACAGCGGTTACACGGAGGTCGAGTCCATGAGGTCCACGATCCAGATGTTCGGTTGAGGTTCTTCGTGGTGAATCTGGAATGGGGGGGCCGTAGAAATTCTCTAGACGCGTGGATTACAGAGCGTGTTTACTGCCACGCGTGCCGATTCAACGAGGAAAAGTACAAGGTAGGGAGGAGGCACCGATGCTTGATGAAACACCAGCTGAGCAAACAGAACGACGGGGTGCACCAAGTTGAGGAAGTGCGGTTGGGTGGTGGCGGTTGCTGAGTGTTGCTAGGAATTGCCCTTCCCGGGTCTCGAGATTCGCGTGCACCGCGACCCGCGTCGTTGCCCCGAGACGGCACGCCAATGGAACATTTGCGGGGTTGCCAAGTCCACCAAGGGTGGAGCCAATGCAGCTTAAACTTGCAGTGGGATGGAATAAGCGGAAATAAACCTTCAAGGTTGCTTTGTTAAGCTTCGGAAAGAGCGAATAATCCATATCTTGAGCAGCCACTCTAAGGAACAGAACCAGATGTGTCGATCCTTTTCCAGGACGTCCAGCCTTGTCGCTGATCGGTTTAATATCGCCGTTAGTAGGCGAGGTGGGTAGGTTAGGTAGTCCGTCTCTGCAGGCACTTGTGATTACGGATTACGGAGTACTAGTACACAGTGAGAGACCCAAGACGCCGTCAACTTTGTCAGTCCCCAACCCCACTCTTATCATCAAGCTCCATCGAAAAATTCCCTGGTCATACCTTATGTGCCTGCAAGTAAGGTATCAAAGCGACAACCCAACGGCGACCGGAAACCGGAGGCCTTCATTATGGCGAAAACTTTGGAGAAAACGCGCAAGCAGATCGCAAAGAAGAGGAACGGGAAACTAGAAGCGCTGCATGAGCACAGCCGGGATTCAAAACGGCTCCACCGTGCCCAGGTGCGAGACGACCGCCTCGAAAAGATCGCCGAGGCAAGGCGCAAAAGGGATCAACCTCTTCGTGAGTGGCTTTGCCTAACACCTCCTTTATCAGCCCATATAGGGCATATCTGACAGTCTAAAAGTGGCCCGTGTCGCTTTCTTCCAGGACTTTGTCCGTGAGCATGGGAACAAGCCCCTTGACCTTGAGGTTATCCAGTCCAAGATCAACGAGTGAGTGCTGCCACGCATTGTCATCCACGCATGAACGGCATATAGCAGATATGGAGCGGCTTCGAACTTTTCACACTAACTGGATTTCAGGTTTGTGCACCAACATGATGACGAATACGAAACAGCCAAAAAGGCACGGCGTCCAGGACGTCCACCAAGCACCCGAGAGGACCTATTGAAGATGAAGATCCTTGCCCTCGATAAAGAGTATCGTGACGGATTTTGTAAGATGTTCTGTCCACTTATGGCCAACACGTGCTAATAGTATCCAGATATGCCGGACCTGAGCACTGAAACCAACGTTCAGCTGCTAAGCAGATTTGAAGGCTCGTGGTCGTACCTGACCAACCTTGCCTGGGTAAAGATATCGGCGTCAGGAAGCATCAAGCCCTCCAGTTTCCCTCCCCAGAGTCTCTGATAACGCTCGTGCCATGCCAGGCAGAGTTATGCGGCGTTCGTGTGCCTGCCGCGTGGAAGACTCGAGTGCGACCACGGCGGCGGTTGCATGATCTATCCCGCATGTCGGTGCGTGGTTATTAGCAAACGTCGGTGCGTGGTTATTAGCAAACAGTCTGAGACATTCTGAGGCATCGTCAGGCCCTCGTCCCTCAGCGATGGCGGATGCGTACCTGGATGCTGTGCCTCCGGTGGCTTGCCTTTCCCCGGTGTCCTGGCAAAATCTCCTTGGCCAACATCTCCGTGGTCTGCGCCCGGCCGTGTCAAACGGCGCGCCTAGAGTTGAGGAACGGTCACAGAAACCCAAGCTTCCATACTCCACACGCCATGCACCTTCGAAACGCAAGCGCAGGGCAGGTATGCAGGCCACCGGGCGGCGCCATCCTTGGGGTAACCCGGTCGTCCGCGGGTAATGGGTTAAGCTTGCCCCCGCTCACGTTTTGCCTGGCCGCTGCCACTTGGCTGCCAACGCACCCGTTGTGGCACACGGCTTTCACAGCCTTCATACCGCTGGAGGCCTGTCAGGCAAGGGAGAACCGGGACGCTTCGGCGCCGTTATTGGCCACCGGATCGTCACACACACGGGGCAGCGGCAGGTATCCGAGTGCTGGCCACGGCCCGAGCCCCATCTCATCTCTCTGAGACCGGAGCCCTGGGAACGCCGTCGCCAGTCTTGGCAAGCCCTGCACTCGAGTCCGCCGAGTCCACCCATATGGCGAAGCATAACTGCCCCCTCATATAGGAGAACCCGAATACTCAACCCTATCATGGATCCACTACTGTCCCCGCGGCTGTGTATGACATTCACGTACGCACTTGTGCTTCCTCCCGTTCCCCATTATCCGCTCGGTGCCCTCGACCACGGCTACGTGCACCACAAAGACCTTGTGCTGCTCTCCTCTGTCGCCATGTTGAACCGCAACAACTCGACGCAGCGTACTCATACGCTCCAAACCTCGATTCGCCGGAGATGTACAACCCCACTTTGAAGACGGAGTCTATCCGTGTGGTCGGGACGATGGGCCATGTTTCCGCAAGATCAGTCGACTCAAAGGAAGTGATGTGGCCGCCGCGCTTCGGATCGAGCCAAGTCCAGTGGTTGTGTTCATACCCACGTATCTGAGAATCAAGTCCTCAGGCAGATAGATATCTTGTCGCTTAACCACTCTCCGTCTTCCTACCTTTCATTCTCCCCTTTCCCCAGTATCCAGCTGTTTCGCCTTCACAAACTGTGCCTCGCGAGGTTTTTTAGAATCCTGTCACCAGGCCGCATACCTCCCAGCTCAGTGCAACGACTGTAGGCTTGGTCCTAGGTACCTACCACCCGCTCACCGACGCACGCTGTCTAGTACCTAGGGGTGCGCAATAGCATGCTAAAAGCTTCACAGAGAGGATCCCAAGTCTCGCAATGTGCACTTATACAACACACATCCGGGTCTGCTCACGCTGCGCCAGCGAAGACACGGTCCTGATATCGGAGCACCTTTGTAATGTTGCAAAATGCAGCGGCATCTTCGGAAGTTGTCTTGAAGGCGTCCTATGCCAGCGAGACGCCACACAGTACCAGTGCTGGCAGTGCAAGGAAAGCGTGAGAGTTGCGGTTGCTACTGCTGCTGGGTTGGGGCGGAGAAGAACCAGGAGGGTAACGCACGCAAGAAGGGCTGGCGTTGGTTGGTAGAGGTGTGATGTTGGGATGTTGGTGAGCAAGGATACAGGAAACACGTCTGCGAAAAGGAAAAGGAGAAGGGAAAAGATGGTCCTGGCGTTGTGGGCGACAAGGTGTTGTTTGCTCTAACGAATATGATGAGTGATGAAATACCCCTGAATCTGATGGTAACCATTTGGAGATACCTACAACCCGGTAGCTTTGATATCGAACTTGACATGTGGGTAGGAGAGGTAGGACTACATGTGGGCGTTGTTTGAACGGGTCTTGGCTTTTCTTATCACTCATATCTTTATCGTTATCATTATCGTAGCTCTTGTGCCTGATTGGCCGTAGTCGAAGCTTCTGGTCGTTTTCCTCGATTTTTTCGTGGGTCTCGAAGCTTTGCTCGAATCGCTTGATGCGTCCAAACCTCACCTTGCTTCATCCTTCCCCCCATATCCCTCGAGGTCTCCAATCTTGTCCGTAGCTGACCCGGGAGAATCCATTGTCTTTGGCGTTCTGTTGAATTGAAGATACACAACGAAACTGGATAAAGATGATGTCCCTCCGGACGATCACGCGCTCTGCGCCCAGAACTCTGGCCCGCGCCGCCACCACAGCATCCATCTCGCGTTGCCAGCGGACAAGCAGCAGCATCCTAAGAGCCCGCCCTACGTCGTTCCTGCGCACGCAACAGGTGTCTGCCTTCTCAACATCACTCTTCAGGGCAGCCCCGGCTGGCGAGGTGGACGAGGAGCTATCAGCCAAGCTGGCCAGCGAGATCGAGTTTGAGAACGATGTCAAGGAGAACGAGCCACTGCCGGCCAGCGTCAAGGACTTCCTCGAGAACAGCCCGTTCAAGCTTGAGGATATCCCAGGCCAGGAGGATGTCACGCTGACCCGGACTTTTGGTGATGAGAAGTAAGCTGCCACCTCGTCCCAGTTTTGCAATGCAAGTTGTGATGCTGACCATTCAGGATCACTGTCTCCTTCTCCATCGCGGACCTGCACAACTACGAACCGGACATGATGGAGGACCAGGCCATGGAGGACGAGCTGGACGACATCGAGGCCGGGAGCACCTCTCAGAGTCAGCGGGGCGCTGACGACCTTGCGCAGGAGGCTAACGAGGACCTGGAGGCGGGTGCAGACGAGGCCGCCGTACCGGTTCGCCTCAACGTCGTTATTGAGAAGCCGGGTAAGGGGGCACTGAACATCGAGGCGCTCGCGCAGGACGGTGCCATCATCGTCGAGAACCTCTACTACTACAACGACCCCAAGCTTGCCCACAGCACCGACGCCAATGCCGTGCACGCGGCGCAGAGCACCTACCCTGGCCCACCGTTCGGCAGCCTCGATGAGGATCTCCAGATCCTGATGGAGCGCTACCTCGAAGAGCGCGGCATCACGCAGGCGCTGGCTCTGTTTGCGCCGGACTACATGGATGTCAAGGAGCAGCGGGAGTACATGGCTTGGCTGAAGAACGTCAAGTCCTTCGTCGATGCCTAAGTGGAGGGTTGAGAGTCTTGGGAGGGAGGCCGGATGGGTCTTTGTGCGATATGACTGTATATTTACTTTGCCACTCTAGGAGAAGCCAATGAGTGTACGATAGGTAGTTGCAGACGGCCTGGATGATATTCTCCTCATGATAATAAACTGTCTAAAGAGCAAAGGGCACAATACCCGGCGCATATCGCTCATGATTCATGAATTGTACCCTGCTGCTTAAGTCAATCCTCGTATGTTCAAGCCAGCCAAGGATGCATCTCAAAATCATCCGCTCCGCCATTGGTTGGCATAACGCCAATGGTCCGATCTATTTTTCAGCTCTGAAGCCGCCAGCTGGGGTGACTTTTGCCGTTCATGTCAATATCAAAGATTCAAATAGAGAAAGCCCTTCATGCAATTGCTTTTTCTGTAGTGAAAAGTGCCTTTGAACGATACATATTTCATGTGTATTGTCTTCTCTTTTGTGGAATCTCTGAAAGCCCGTTTCCAAGGACAGAGCATCTTCCACCTAAAGGCTAAAGCACGCATTGCACCTCACCTCTGAGAGGCCGAGACGGAGATCGGCCTACTTGAGGTCACAGGGCAGCAGCGTTTCAACAATTGCCGGCTTGATGGGGCATATTTTGTGAGCTGCGACAGGCTACAGCATCCGATCAGGGGGTACGGTGTTGGAGTCATGCGCCGGGATAGGAAGGCCAAGTACGGCGAGGCGGAGGATGAAGCCGGGGTCCGGCTGTCTGAGGTAGCTGATGAGGAGGCCCAGCTCCTGGACGGCGAGGATTTTGAGCAGTTTGAAGTAGACGATAGTTCCCAGATCATCCCGGGACAACAGCGGCCACTTCAGGTTCAACCAAGATCAAGCGGATTCTGGACACGACGTCGCACGCCGAGATGGCTCGCCTTCCTCTACGGACCTGATCCACCGAAAGTCTACGCCATCGATCCCTTCTTCCCGTCGATCCAAGGACTCCCCGTGAGATGGCTCGAGAAGGCGTTCCCGCGTTTCTGCCAGCGGGCTGTTTTGCTGGTTGCCTTCCTGGTCGCATGGGCTGCTTCTCTTGCGGCTCCCCTGATGCTCAGCAAAGGGACCGCCACCGATGCATCAGGGGCCGCGATCCGGCACATTGACTGCGTCGATACCCTCTGGCGCCACAACAACGAGTGCGGCCTTGACGGAGTCGACTGCCGGCCCTTCTCCAACACGTCCTTCGCCTTCCGGTGTCCGGCAGACTGCGCCAGTGTCCGGGTGCTGAATCCACACCACGTCGGCCGCGAAGACGTCAACTACCGGCCCCTGGTCATTGGCGGGGGCGCTGGGGGTCCCTACCGCGGGGATTCGTTCCTCTGTGGTGCCGCTATCCACGCAGGCGTTATCGGCGACACCACCGGCGGATGCGGAGTCGTCACGTTGGTAGGCGAGTACTATCAGTACTTCTCCTCGTCGCAGCACGGCATCGACTCGATCCCCTTCGGCTCGTACTTCCCGCTCTCCTTTACCGTGACCGTCGACCCCAGCATCCAGTGCACCGCCCCGGACCCTCGCTGGACCGTTTCCCTCCCGCTCTCCCTCCTCTTCACCGTCCTCCTCTCGCTCTTCACCACCTCCCCCTCCCTCCTCTTCTTCGCAACCTTCACCGGCATCTTCGCCCACGTCGCCCTGGTCTCGGACCCGCCCAACCTCTCGACCCCGTCCTCCACGTCCCTCCTGCCGTCCCTCATCTCCCGGCTGGCGCAGCACCTCCTCCCGGCGCTCTTCTGCGCAGCCATTCTCTACCTGGCCTGCGCCCGCCGCGCGCTCTCCAACCTGCCCGCCGCCGCCAACGTCGAAAAGACGCTCACGTGGCTCCTCCCCTTCTGGGTCGGCGCGCTCTCGAACCGCACCATCGAGCCGCTCATCCCCATCACGCGCCTCACGCCCTCCGACATCACGGCCCAGCCCGGCGCAATCGCGGCGCTGGCCGTCGTCATCGCGCTCATCGTCCTCCTCGCTTCCGCGCAAGGCTACACCCTCTACCGCGAGGGCCGTCTGCCGCGCTACCTTGCCCTCTACTTCGCCACGGCCGCGTCCCTCGCCCTCCTGGCGGCGCTGCCGGACCTGCACCTGCGCCTGCACCACTACGTGCTCGCGCTGCTACTGCTGCCCGGCACGGCGGCGCAGACCCGGCTGTCGCTTGCCTGCCAGGGCTTGCTGCTGGGCCTGTTTGTGAACGGCGTGGCGAGGTGGGGGTTTGACTCGGTGCTGCAGACGGCGGACGCGCTGCGCGGCGACGGCGGGTTTGGCGGGAAGTTCTTGCCCGAGGTTGTGCCGCCGCTTGTTCAGACGACGACGGCGCTGAGCGAAGGCCAAGGGGGTGCGGGCGTGGATGTGATGGGGATCTGGTTCAAATGGCGTCGGTTGGTGTCGGACAATGTGAGAGTCGGTGGGAGGCCGCTCGAGGGGATCAGTGTGCTGGTGAACGATGTCGAGCGGTACAGAGGCTGGTTTGCGGAGCGGCCGCTGGAGGAGCAGGTGTTTGTGTGGACGAGGAAGGCGGGAAGGGTCATGGCGGATGAGTACTTCCGGTTTGGCTTTGTGACGGAGGGCGGGAAGGCGTTGGATTACACGGAGGCTGGCACGTGGTTTGTCAATGGCAGCTGGAGTCAGGGGGCCGGGTATTATTGAGGATGTGATTTGTTTGTTTGTAGAGGACTAATGTGCAAGGAGTTGGATGTCCACGGGTAGATGTAATGTAGATGCCGCGTGCGCATGGGTAAGCTACTAATCGGTACATTTAGCTGAAGAGAGCGACGAGCGGATAAATTGAAGATCGCGCTCGAGCCATCAGTGTGTACTTAGGCTTTGTGTACAAGTACATTCCAGCTGGTGGGCATCTGGTATTTTCCTCTATTGCTTTGTACCTTTTTCTCTTCTTCCCCCGACTATCACCTCTCTAAGTCGCCTCCTCATCCATTCCCGAACCACCGATAACCACGTCTAGATTACAGTCGAATGTTCAACATCGCTTCACGGCTGATCCCCAGGCCGGTCCACCCTCGCCATTGGCTCATCAGCTTACATGCGGCATGTAAGTAGAGCCTCCCATGTACCGGCTCGTATGCCTTTGACAGTTCGCGCAAACTCCTAACCGCCCGCAGGAACTGAAAATCCCTGTGTCTACCCTCAGCGGCGGCTTGGCTGCGAAGGTCGTCGTAAATAGTCTCCCAGCTCCTATTCTCCTCCGCCAGTTCCCTCGAGACCAGCAGCTTTCCGTCAATAACCGGCCTCAGCTGCGTGGCGTACGCGAGCAGCAGAACGAGCCATAGGCCCCTGACCAACAACACTTTGTGACCCTCGTCCTCAACCCAGGACTCCAGGATCACTCGGGTGCTGTTGACGCAGGTCGGCAGACGGCCGAGGAAGAAGTCAAAGGCCGGTTGGCCGGGCTTGTGCGTTGCGCAGGCGAGCAGGACGGATAGCGCCGCTATCTGCTGCAGGAGCAAGTCCAGATCGCGCGTGTCGAGATACTGCATGTACTCGACAATGGCCGCTTTAGCGGTCGGGTCCGAGAAGACATTCGAGACCTCGTGAAAACCTGGCCCGCCCTTCATGACTCCGCTGAAGCGGCCGTCATAGGCAACCCGGCTGAGGATCTCCTCCGGTGACAAGTACTCGGCGGACGGCCCTGCTGCGAGCTGCGAATCCGTCAGCAGTTCGTGCATGGGCTCCATCCAGTCCACGGCAGCCAGCGTCAGGGACTGCATCACCAAGATGGCGGTGCGCAGCTCGATGCCGTCGCTGAGCAGCGTCAGAGGCCGGCCAATGTCTGAGAACAGACCGTATATCAGGGGCGCGTCTCCTATGAATAAGTGGGATATGGCGAGTGCCTTCGTGTTGCCTGCGTACCTCCCGTTCTCCATGCTGAAGAAGGTCATGAATGCCCGTTGGAATCTGCAGGTCTGTTCCGTTAAAAGAATCTGGAAAGCGGGACTATGGAGAGTTTGCATATGCGTAGGTATTGTACGTACCTGGGATCACCCAAGAACCGTGACTTGCTCTCTTCATCCGCGATGCTTGTAGGAGAAGGCCCCCACGATGCAGTTTCGTGTCTCATCACGCCGTATGTGGTTTGAAGAGTTTCTGGTGTCTCGTCGAGAAAGAGGAGAGTAGCCAGGGCCTGGACGACTTAGTTTAACATGGGTTACGATCTGGGGTCTAGAGGACTTACGAAGGGTATCTCATTATATCTATCGTCCGGCTGAAGCAGGGCATGTTGGACATGTGTCTGCGCCAGGAGACTATCGAAGACAGCCCGTGAGCCTTGTGCGGCCATTGTACAAGTACCAGTGGGTTGGTTATGCCTCCTTATTACGTCTCAGCGGGCTCGCTATTCGCAGAAGCCCTTATGGTTGCCATCCCGGCTGTGGCCTTATATCACCACGAGGCATTGCAAAAGTCTTGTATCTGGACCCATAGACACTATCCAGCCAAGACTGCTTCGCGTTCCTAACTTGCTACAATCCATTACCCTCTCGACCTCGGGCTTAGGCGAGGTAGGCTGAAAAGGGGGTCGACATGTCCAGTCACCACTAGCGGCTTCCTATGGTGGCCGTGCCAGACGTTTGAGGCCTTTTCCGGACTCTATCGGCATCCATGACGGATGCTTAGGCCAGCGCGAATGGCACCATAGGTTGTTCTCCATTGACACAGTGGTGGATGGGAGACTTGAAGCGCGGGAGATCCGAGATACCGGTAGAGCAAAGCTCGTCATGGAAGGGGCCCCTACTGCCGGTTGGTCAAGCTGAATAAGAAAGATGGGGGGAAGTCTCAAAGATTCAGGGCAGAATGCCCAGACACACGATACATCTGCAAGGGATCTCCCGTCGTCGCCATCGCGGTCTCCGAGTCACGCTGCGGCCAGGGCACCTAATCAGGGGGCCGTTATGACATAAGCATTCTTTCTGGGACCTGAAAACTTCTTAGGTAACGTGTACCACCTTGGCAGATGTTGACTGAGATGCCCTAGGAGATTGGATCATTGAGATGATGTAGCGGTGTCGCCGACGACCTGCCAGCCGGCCCGGATCGGGAAACGGCCAGTTAAACGCCGATGCGCAAACGCCGATTACCGATGTTCACCGTACCTTCCACATCCCACCCAGGAGAAAACTGTTATAAAGGACTGCCACTGACTCAATCTTCCAGTGTGCTGACGATGTGAGCATTCCAAATCGTCATTTTCAGCCAGATACCCATGCTCTTTGGACTCCGCTCGGTGTTCGCAACTTCGCCAATGTTCACATTCCATATAGTTCCGCTGGGAAGGTGCATACGTAGTCAGCATTAGGTTGCATGCTTAGCCGTCACGGTAGCAGCAGGTACATAGCTGCAGGTCATCTCATGGAAACGCTGAGTGAGGGAAGGCACGCTTCACAGTTTGTGGCCTTTTACCAAGCCACTAAAAACTGCTCGCGTCCTCGATTTCCCGATCTGAAATCTCTTTCACTCGCTTCTCGCTAGCACTTGTGTCATCCTCAGGCATTGCTTACGTACGGCATTCGTCAGTTCATCATCAGCGCAAACCTGGATGGTGCCAGGAATCTGTCAGAACTATCTGTCGTTGACCCATCGTACACATCCACGGGCGGTGTTGGATGGGATGGCTGACCAATCTTCTTTTTCCCTGAACAGTGAACAGTGACATACACGACTTACAACAGCTTTCCTTCCGTGCGCAAACAGCAACCGTATCTGAGCCGCATCCTGAGCATCCAGCCGACAGCTAAATCATAAAATAAGAAAAGCACTCGTTCCACGGTTCACTGGTCACTCTTGCTCTGCGGCAGAGCCGCGATACTCCTGGCACAATCCGCCGGATTCACCGATTTCATTCGCATCGCTGAGTCGCTCGCTCCTCCAGCGCAGACGTTGCCTTGGGAGCGCGCAGTTTCGCGCTCTACGCGAGACTTGTGCGACGTTGCGCTCGTCCCTCGGGCAGCGAGACCGACATGCCGAATGTGGCACACGGGCACCTGCAGGTATCCCAGAAATGCTGGGCCTTAACAGCGCCAACATGTGGGACTGCGCAGCAGACAGTTTCGGGCGTCTTGGTGGCCACCGCCGAACTGTTTGACGGGTTTTTGTTCAGCTGTGGCAGCCATATATCCGCAGGACCCTAGCACGGCTCCGGAGTTCCAAACCCCCAAGCGTTCTCATGGTTGCCTGAATTCCTGTGTGCGCTGATAGCCGGCAACGTCGTTGATCGTGGCTTGGTAGGACATCTGGGGAGACAGTTGACGAGATCTAGAGCTGTTGTTACCCGGGAGCACTCCAAAGTCTGACCGCGTCTCTGCGTCTCTTCCTTCTCCTGAACACAACGATCACGTTCCCCTTCGGCGCTACCTTCAATGAGGAGGTCGCCTGCTTCGCGGGGGGAGTATAATAAGCAATATTCTCTGTAAAAGAGAGAGTCTAAGGCAATGAAGAGACACAGAGCAAGATGGCTTTCTGCGGAGAGTAAGAGATGACCTGGATGGGTTGTCCTACACTGCACCCCTGGATCGACTCAGTTGTTTATTTCGGGTAACGCTCACTGAAGCAAGACTAACCCAGCGAGATTGCTGCCTCCCATTCCCCGGGGGTACTATGTTGGGCAATAATGTCGTGGTTGTCACCCTGAACACCCTTAATATCAATGCTGCCACCACCGCTGTGATGACACGGCATATAACTTCCTTGCCCTAGGGTTAGAACACCTTCTTCTCTAGTTTGCCCTTGGACTTCCACCTCTGGACCTCAGCTCAATCGATATTGTTGTTGAGTGTAGCATACTGCCTTTGTCAGTAGCTGAACTGACATTTTTCACCCTTGACGGACGCTCCCATGCGCATCCAGCAGGCTGCATTCCTGGCCCTTGCCAGCCTTCTAATCCTCGCCCTCGGTGACGCCGTGTCTTTCACCCACGACGATGCTTTGGACGCAGCAAGTAGCGGGGTCCCGGCAAGGTTGGACATGGCTGGTACGTGAACAGGGCACTGGCACAGTTGCAGGCAGTACTGAAGGGGAACTCAGCAAAATATCCCGCCCCGGGGCCTCAGTGCAACGCTTGCGTTGGCATGAAGATGATCTTTATGGCCGAGGTCACTGAGGTCTGTCCGGACGGATCAACAGGTACCTAAGGCAGCTCTCAGATTCCTCTTCCGAGCGCCATCGCTGACCACGTCCACAGTGACCGAAACCATCACTGAGTCCGTGTCCACGCTAACACACTCTATCTGCGCGACGTCGTCGACGAACCGGCCCTGCTATCCCTGTGTAATGAGCCCAACCCCGTCACTCGGTGATGCAGCGACAGTCACGGTGGTAAGCAATCTCGGGGAGGTCTCTATCAAAGCCGGATGGAGACGAACTAACACTGACTTGGCCGATGCCAGACATCGTGCGCAGCCGCAATCGACCCGACCGTCACCATCACAATTCAGCGCTGCGACACCTGCACCTCATCGACGTATACAGGGACCTTTCCGACCTGTACCCCTGGCGAGTCTTGCGGCCGGTGTAGCCCATACACAGGTAGCCCATACAGAGGTAGTACTTCGAGCCCCGGCATATCAGGATCTTGTTCCGAGTCTGGTAACGCCACGCTGGTGCCGATGACCACGACCGTGACCAGCACGTCTACAGTCACCGGCTGCACGAGCAGTCCGCCTGGGGATCCCAACGCGCCGTCGTCTACCTCTTCGACGGGTTCACCTACGTTGGCGGCGACGAATACGCCTTATAAGCCGACGACTGCGGCACCTCCAGAGGTTACGGCGGCCGGTGCCCGTTGCATGACTGTGGGCTGGATCTGGGCTATTGGGCTTGCGGCAATGGTCTGTGTCGTCTTGGGGTTGTAATCCTTTTTAACATTCTGGTCCTGGTGGTGTTTCCCTGGTTAAATTCTCCCTTCCTTCCCCTAATTTCTAACCTTACGGCAAAGGCGACGCTGGGACTCCAGCTTTAATCGTACCCTCCTTCTTCCGGATCCCACTCTGTGATGCTACCAAGACGCAAAGTTGCAAAGGATGTCAAAACGCACCCTACTAATAATAACCCCCACTCCGATGTCGGGTTAGCGCGGGAGGTCGGAATCGGGATGCAGGCCGGAGGGGCCGGAGTGGACTGAGCGGGTTCCCATGACTCTTGCTCGCATTGGGTCATTTCACATTGTCACAGCATACCCGCAATTAGCCGCAGTACGCGGACCGGAACGACTACAAGCTCGATCCCTGCCGGAAAGAGGAGAAGGGACAGCTTGGGGTAGCACCCGCGAGCAGTCCGTGTCTAAGTGATATCGTCATTGGACTGTCAGTGACCCTCCCCTTGAGCATCCCCATCGATTCGTTGGTGTAGATCGTCTACAGGGGTATGCTACTGAGCATATGGAAGCAAAGAGGGGTCGTGGGGGGTTGTCAATGAGCCGCGATCAGCCGTGATACAGCTGAGAGGTGAAGACGGAAGCTATAAAGAGAGCATCTCCTTTGTATAGCTCAACTGAACTTCCATCCTCCCTTTTCCTCAGAAGCAAACAACTGTATCAAACAACATCCGGTTTCTCGACGTGCCTCTTTGACTCGGTCCTGCGTTGACCCAGTCACTCTACGACTCTGAAGTGTCGTGCGCATTGCACTCTTCCCCGTCCTAGTCGTGAGGTCATCTAACCACAGGCCAGACTGACGTTCTCGTCTGGGTACATGATGCCGTCCCACTCTCGAGACGAAGAAGCCCTACGGGCCTTTCGATGGTGTCTTATCCTACGATGATCAAACTTCCACATCTTCAGGTAACTATCTGGATGCATGAGCCGGTGCCAATCCGGTCGTTGTCGGCGTGGCGGACCGTCTGCAAAGTCTGTCATCTCTCCCTGGACGAGCAGATGTAGTAAGCCCACGACAGCGGCCGGAACGGCTGAGATTACACGGCGGAAAACTTGATCTGGATAATACCAGCGAAAGGATCATGCTTCTTCTCCCCTTCTTCTCCCTTGGAACCCAGCAGCATGCTGACAGTGACAGATCATATATACCTTTTTAAAAGACTTCGTCTCGAGTAAACAACGACAGAAGCAGCAATGGCTCCCTCAGCCGTGTCTCCTGCTCAGCAGCACGCCCAGCTTGCCTTTGCCTCCAAGAAGGGCCAGGATGCCACTGTTGACGACCACACCCCCGAGGGCCTGAGCAAGCCGCTGGCCGATATGATGGGCCACTGGGAGAACTTCTCCTTTGAACCCATCCGGGAATCCACCGTTTCGCGCGCCATGACCCGACGATGTTTGTCTTCTCCCTGCCACCCCTTTTTCTTGTTTTCTTTCTTTCTAGCTTCTTTTTTTTTTTTTTTTTTTTTTTTTTTTTTTTTTTTTTTTTGTTTTATTTTTTTATATCCCACCAGCTTCCCATAAATCACTTACCGGCTTTTGTCTCTGATTAATAATAATCATAATAAAAAACAGACTTCGCCGACCTCGACCGGCACGCGGAATCCGACATCGTCATCATCGGCGCCGGCTCGTGCGGCCTGTCGGCGGCGTACACGCTGGGCAAGCTGCGGCCGGACCTGCGCATCACGCTGATCGAGGCGAGCGTGAGCCCCGGCGGCGGCGCGTGGCTCGGCGGGCAGCTGTTCAGCGCCATGGTGATGCGCAAGCCGGCCGACGTGTTCCTACGCGAGGTCGGCGTCCCGTACGAGGACGAGGGCGACTACGTCGTCGTCAAGCACGCCGCGCTGTTCACCAGCACCGTACTGTCCAGGGTGCTGGCCATGGAGAACGTCAAGCTGTTCAATGCCACCGCCGTCGAGGACCTCATCACCCGTCCCGGAGGAGGAGGCGAGGATGGGGATGGGGATGAGGATGCAGCAGCAGGAGCAGCCGTCAGGGTTGCCGGCGTCGTGACCAACTGGACGCTCGTGTCCATGCATCACGACGACCAGAGCTGCATGGACCCCAACACCATCAACGCGCCCGTCGTGATCTCGACGACGGGCCACGACGGCCCGTTTGGCGCCTTCTCGGTCAAGCGGCTGGTCAGCATGAAGCAGCTCGAGCAGCTGGGCGGCATGCGCGGCCTGGACATGCAGCGCGCCGAGGATGCCATTGTCAAGAACACGCGCGAGATCGTGCCAGGCTTGATTGTGGGCGGCATGGAGCTGTCTGAGATCGATGGAGCGAACCGCATGGGTAAGTGCCTAAGTTTGGCCGTGGTGGTAATGGTATTTTCAGTTGGCTGACAATGGCAACCAGGCCCGACGTTTGGTGCCATGGCGCTCAGCGGCGTAAAGGCTGCCGAGGAGGCGATCCGTGTGTTCGATCTGCGCAAGAAGCAGAACGAATTCTGAGCTAGGATTGAAAGCTGGGGGGTTTATTTATGCCGTTGAAGGGATAGCGGTTGTATACAACTCGGGTCCATTGGTAACAATGGGTTATGTTTCTGTTAACGGATGCTCATCACGCCACCACGTCGCTCGTTGAGGCTCAATACATGCTTCCTACTACAATGGATGCACAGTATCTGATGAAGGGACAGCCGCACCATTTCTCCTTGTGATGGCCCTCTGCCGCATTGTGAAGTTGGGTATCCGTATACGAGAGTTATCAACCCCCGGTGTTGTCTGTCCTGTATCTCGCAATACCTCACCTTACGGATTACATCAATTCTACATGGACCCCTTTTCCAACCCCCCATCTACCTACCTATCCATTACCCATTACCCCTCTCTCAACCAACAACCTCCCTCCCGATCGCAACAAGCGCCTTCACCAACCCCTCCACCGTCGTCTTCAAAGTCTGCGCATTCACCACAACCCTAAAGAAACTGCCCCTCTCCCCGGGCGCATAATCCACCATATACCCCCTACTCACCAACTTCTGCACCATGGCCCGCGTCCGCGCCGTATTGACTTGGTGATCCTCCGCCACCTTCCCGCCGTGGGCATAGTAGAAGCACACCTGCAGACACGGCGGCGGGTTTTCGGACACCAGCACAAAGTCGTCGCGCTGCGACACCAGCTCGGCGAGGTGCGCCGCCACCGCGAAGGCGTGGTCGACCTGTCGCTCGAAGCCGGCGGCGCCGTGGTAGATCCACGACAGGGCGAGCTTGAGGCTGTCGGCGCGGCGACCGCATTGCAGGGTCAGGTCTGCGAGGTCCCAGACTTCTTCTGCTTCTTCTTCTTTTTGAACGTCCTCTTCTTTCCCGAGTGGTGGTTGCGCTGATATTTCGGGAATTGGTTTTTCGTTGTCCGTTGATGTTATCTGTGGAGGTGATGGTGAAGAAGAAGATGGAGAAGAAGAATGGAAGAGATAGCCGGCAGGGAGGGTGTTGGCCCGGTGGAACACGGCGGTGTCCGGGCCGAGGAGGAAAGAACAGGTGACGGGCACGTTCATCATCTTGTGCGGATTGACGGTCAGCGAGTTGGCGAGGTGGCAGCCGCGGAGCTTGTGGCGATGGGCGGCCGAGAAGATGGCGGGCCCGCCCCAGCTCGCGTCGATGTGCAGCCAGAGGCCGAATTCCTTGCAGACGGCCGCGATCGCCTCGAACGGGTCGTACGAGCCCAGCACCGTGGTGCCGGCCGTGGCGTTGACGTACAGGGGCGTCTTGCCCTCGGCCTGCGCGCGCTGCACCAGGCTGCGCAGCGCCGACGCGTCCATTCTCCCGCTTCTTGCGTCCACCGGCACCGTCCACACCGCCGACGAGCCCAGCCCGCACGTCACGGCCGCCTTCTCGACCGAGTAGTGCCCGTGGACGCTGGTGAAGAGGACGAACGAGCGGTTGCTGTTTCCCTGGGTCTTGCATTCCGGGTAGAGGGTGTTGCGCGCGATGACGATCGACGTCAGGTTGGACGAGCTGCCTCCCTGGCAGGTCACGCCTCCTGCGCGGGGACCCGTAAAGCCGAAGAGCCCGGCCAGCGTTTTAGCCGTGTGCTTCTCGATCACTGTCAGGGCCGGCGAGACCTGGTACACGTGCACATTCGAGTTTAGCACTCCCAGGAGCAGCTCCGAGATCACCCCAACCGGGTTGGTGCTGGCATACAGTTTGTCCATGAAGCCCTGGTCCCACGTGTTGACGCTGTACTTGAGCACATCGCTGATGGTCTGAAGCAGTCCGTCCTCGCCGAGCCCCTCGCCTTGGGGCAGACGTAACGACAGTTCCCGCACCAAATCCTCAGGTCTCCGGGAGTCGATGAGCGCGTTGTGAACGGCCCCCTGGCTGTTGGGGAGCAGCTCTCCAGCGGCTCTCGACGGGACTGCCTCATCGGCTGCCCTGATGAAGGGGATAATCAGGGCCTTCACGGCATCAATAAGCTGGAAATCACATTAGTGATGTGCTCCGGGGGAAAAGGGCGGTAAAAAAATAAGTAGAAGTACGGGGCCAACTTACACGCTCGACCTCGTCCGCCCTGTTCAGGGGCTTGTTTCCGTCGATTCCATTCATCTTTTCGGATCAGGGACACGGCGTCCGGCATCAAAAACAGGGTTCGGGTGGAACTCGGAGACAATGTCCAGGAGCCGGTACGGGCGGGCAGTGGACCATGGTAAGTGTTGAATTTTTGCTTTCCGGCTCCGGCTCGGCCGGCAGTGCTCGGGTAGGTACTGCTCCGTAACAGCCCACGACCCCCACATCTTGCCGAGCCATGATCCACCGTCCTTGGCTCCAAGCCTCGGTGTTTTGGTGCATTACAGACGTGGGAATGATAATTAGCGCTATTACGCCAGAGATTTCCGCACAGGAAAAGTCATGCGGTCCCCGGTTGCTGATGTAGTACATTATCGGCGTTTTCCCCGCAGCCCAGAGAGCTGGGAAGCAAGGGTGTATTGACGGAGGGGGGAAAAGGGGGAAAAGGGAAAAGGGGGAGAGGGGTACCACTAGTAGTGGGGGGAGAGAACTGTGAGGGTTAGGGTTCTAGCAGTGTGCATACCAAAGCTCAGATGAGCTTCCAACTTGAGCATGATCCTGCAGGCCAGGGGTTATAATCCGAAGAAAGTTTCTTATGACCATTCTTATATCTGCTTCTTTTTCGGGATGCCATGGCAACTATGCGCTTGAGTCTCCTTAAGCTGGCTCATTTTATCTCGGCGCCAGTCAATTTCGGTGTTCCCGAGCATCTAGAGCTTTAGAAACCCTCGAAGAAGCCCGACAGGAGCACACAGTACATATAGCCGGATTTTGTCGCGACCTGCCTTAGCTTTTGTTGCGCTCGCCTTCCACCACCCACGCCCTGGATTGGGCATTCCTCGGCGTCACAGCACAGCACTGCCGTGCGCTGTTTCATTCATTTCGGGTCTATTCGTTCTTTTTCCTTGTTTTTCTCCCTCTTCCTCCCTTTGCAACACGTGTACTGCTCCGGCTCCCCAAGGTTAACTTGCGACGCGGTGGTCGAACACGATCCCGATTGTCCAAGTCAAGCGAGCGCCGTCACCTACCAAACAGCGACGGGAGCGTTCCACGGCCGTGTCAGAAGCGTCTAGCCAATTTCCTCACTCTCTTGCCTAGCATTCCCAACAAAGACCGCAGACCAGCGTGCGTCACCCTCCCAGGGACGCTTGTTGCACAAGATCGACAAGCGTTTACATCATCGCCGCCAGGCCGACCCGCGGTCCGCGCACCGCACCGCATATGAGTGCAAGGCGGTCCCTTCTCACAAAATAATACCAACCCACACCCAAAGGCGAACACTCAAAATGAAGCCACCGCATGCGCCCTCGGCCTCCGACGCCTCACAGCCGCCGGTGCCCATCTCCATCACCATCTGCGGCGACGGCGGGTGCGGCAAGTCCTCCATCACGCTGCGCCTGGTCCGGAGCCAGTGGACCAGCGAGTATGACCCGACGATCGAGGACAGCTACAGCGTGACGCGGCGGATCGACGGCGTCGTGTACCACCTCAGCCTGACCGACACGGCCGGGCAGGAGGAGTACCGCGGCATGTGGGCGTCGTCCAACCTGGGCGCCGACGCCTTTCTGCTCGTCTACGACATCACGTCGCGCGACTCGCTCGACGCGCTCAACTACTTCAACGAGCTGATCGACATGGAGGCCGAGACGCGCCTCGACAACGCCGCCCGCGCCCGCCGCGCGGGGCTCACCAATCTCAACATCGCGCCCACCATGCCCGACATCCACCACCTCAACAGCTTCCGGCCCACCGGCGGCGCCGGCTCGGGCGCCAAGACCATCCCCCCGGTCAAGATCGTCGCGGGCAACAAGTGCGACCTGCAGGAGAGCCGCCAGGTGCCCGCCGCCGTGGGGCTGGACTGGGCGCGCAAGCACGGGTGCGGCTTCATGGAGACGAGCGCGCGCCTCGAGGTCAACATCGAGGAGACGTTCGCGCTGATCGTGCGCCGCGTCGTCGAGGCCCGCCGGCTGGCGGAGATGGGCGTTACCGACGCCGAGTTGGCCGCCAACAGCCGGGGCATGACCAAGCCCCTCACGCCGCTGCCGCCCGGGGACGAGGAGGATGAGAAGAAGGGTGGTGGTGATGGTGGTAATGGTGGTGGGAGGGGTACAGGGATGCGGGGGCCGAACATCAAGGGGGATCGTGTTGCGCGGGGGAACGGCGGGTTTTGGAAGAAGTTGAGGTGCTGGTAGGAACAAGGGGGTTTGACGTGTTGTTTTTTGCTGAGTTTGGGAGGGCTTTTCTTGTAGGGTTTGAGTAAGGGGTCTGCGGGTGTACTTTTTTGGGTCGGAGCTTGGGAGCTGCAGAGCGCGCGATACCATGGTTGTCTGGGATTTTGCCGGAAGCGACTTGCACATCTGTCTTTCCTGAATTGTTGGACTCGTTGGAAGCGGGGGCGTTGCCGGTGTCTCTTTTGATCTGGGTTGGTTCTAGGGCACGCTGCCTTGTTTGTTACTTGTACATCATTGTTTTTGTCATTGATGAAAGGAATTGGCGTCACAAACGAACTGCGTGTCTTGGACAGAAGATGTCCAGTTCATTCAAACAGTCCTATTCCCCTATATTAGTGAAGATGTTGAGGTGCCCAAGCACTGGAGTCGTCACTAGGTAAGATATGCATCACTCCGAAACCGGTTCGCTACGTGTGAACCTTGCATATTGAAAGAAATACGTATTCCAGAAACTTAGTGCCTGTCCCTCCTCCATGTGCGAGAACCTATTATGCCTCTTGATAAATCTTGCTAAATAGCTAGCCAGAAATTCCGGTAGATGGCCTCGGCATTACGTCCTATAACCTCTTCCTAACGCCACCAGCCCATATCCCTCAACTCCGTATTCATGACCGACCCTGTATCCTCTTAAAAACCGGCCCTCAAGGTCCTCACCTCTAAACCTCCTTGACGCCCTTGTACCAGAAACCCTAATCCATCACTGCCCAGCCTTCTCCACCCAGTCCCTCCACCTCTTAAACTCCCCATACTCCAAGCTCTCCTTCTTCCCCTGGTACCTGACTACCTTGAGGTCCACGTCCTGCCACCTGTCCTTCCTCCCAACCCAACCGGCCTTCCGCATCAGGCTCACGATCGTCTCCTCCTTCGTCCACCCCTGCTCGACCGCCACATCGGGGAGGTATGTCGCACCGTAGCGCTTGCCCTGGTAGTAGAACGAGATGCGCAGGCCATGTATGCCTAGCTCCCAGTCCATCGCGTCGTCGGCGTCCTCAAAGTCGGTCAGCAGTGTGACGGCGACCTCGAGCGACGGCAGCTCGCGCGCCGTGATTGGGTTAAACCGCATGTCCTGCAAGGCCGAGATCAGCGCGTACGAGGACAGCCCCTCGTCGAGGTCTTGTGGCTCGAACGTGCCGATGCACCCGCGCAGGGACCGCTCCCCGTGCCGTGCGGAGATGGTGTTCCACGTTACGAAGAGCGGGGATTCGGTGATGGGCTCGGGCTCGGGCGGCGCGGAGACGGAGGAGGTGGAAGTGGCCGGGGTGTCTGGGCCGAGGGAGAGGGTGCTGTTGGACGCGGAGGATGCGCTGCTTGTTGAAGAAGACGAGGCCTCCGTGATCCGGCGTAGGGCGGGGAGGCGTTTGGGCAGTTTGCTGCCGGTGGCGGCATCTTCGGCATCGTCGGCTTCCGCTTCGGCGGAGCGCGTGTACTCGGCCCAGGACTTCTGTACCTCGGTAAGGGTCATGGGCTTGCGGTCCTCGAGATTGGCGGCCAAGGCCTCGAAGCAGTAGAGGCAGTGCTCGACCGTGGCCATGGTGAGGTAACTACGGGTTGGCCCTGGTCGAATTGGTTGTACGGAATACGTTGTGAGAGCGAACAGGTGGGTGAACGGCCAAGACTCAAGCGAGGGGAAATGAGTGAGCAGAACGAGAGGGTTTTCTCTCGAGGATACCAGCAGAGTATGCAGTGGTTACCCAGGAAGCCACACGACTTTGCAAGTCCGCCGCGGGGAGGGAATAGGAGGGGAAGAAGTCAGGTGTGGGGCGGCGCGGAGGTAAGGCTGTGAGATGCAGCCCGGAACCTTGAGGGCTGCTCCGATAAGACAACTGCCAAGCCAGCACCTAACGTTATCGCCCGGCGAATTCTAATGTGGGCCTGAGCCCCACAGCGCCAGCTGCCCTTAGTGTAGCCCGCCGGTCTGTCGCTAAGACCGGGCCAAAGCCTTCACGGTTTTCTCCCCACACGTCTGGACTTCCGAGCCGATGACCACCCCCATTGGGAACATCGTTCTGCCAAAGACGGACGTAACGTGAATTCGAGGTCGCGGCTCGGATGACATTGTCCAGGCAGCACTGCGGTCCTAACATACTAGGTAGTTGAGACAGAGTTTCCAGCCGTCTCCTCCCTAAGTACCTAGGTACTAGGAGCCCGGTTAGGTCTGTACCTAGGCGTGCTAGGTAACTCAGTTCCCCGACAACGCCGCGATACTCGATTACTATATGAAGTCGACAACAGCATCACTTCCTTGTGCCTATCTATCTTCAGCACCGAGTCACTGAGAGCAAGATTTCTTCGACCGCCATCGTGATGCGAAGACTTCGAGCTCATCTTGAGACTGGAGGTCATGGTTGGTGTCTTGGCCGCAGTTGCAGCCAGCTGCAAAGCGTTGTACGAGTTACACTAGGCGTTAAAGTTCAGACTCTTAAAGTTATCCGTACGGATCTGCAGCACTACTAGTGTTCTCGTTTCATCGGCTCCGTCGCAAAACACCAGCCATTGCTACCGTTACGTTCACCAGAACGCGTCATGACATCTCTTAAGTGACAGAGATCCGGTTCCCTTTCCAACATCCTGCGACACGGAAGACAGGATTACCCGCAGAGGATCTCTGACGCCCAAGGACCGGATTTGTGTGTTCCGGGGGCGCCTCTTGACGGCGGATACAATTGATGTTTCACCTCCCTGCTTCAGAAAGCTTCGCTCTGCTGGACCCGCCCATGGACTGCTCCAGAGTCTGAGAGTCCAGACCTCCCCGCGCTCCCGCCCGATGATTAAGCTCGTTTTGACTTTGACGTCCAAGGAAACGGTGACATTGGATGACAGCGCCCACATACGGTGCGGAATGCAACGATGGTGACTTCCATCGTTCTCATCCGGTCTGGACTTTGATCTCTCAAAGCTGGGCAGCATCAAAGTTGGGCAGGTACAGTATAGTACATACGTTCCATCGTCTAGGGCCACATGTTTACTTCGAGTCCGGCGTCAGTCCTTTCATTTTGTTCAACTCCTGGGAAGAACCTGCGGATCGGAAACAGCTGGGCCCAAGTGGGCTGTGCCTTGTCCTAAGAAGTCCCCAGAAGCGCTCGGCTGAACAACAAGGGAGGGCGGAACGGCCCCAAGGCTGGGCAGTGGTCATCTCTTCTTAGGATGCTTCGTCTGAAACGCAGGTTGTCCACCAGGCATTGCATGTCCTAATCACAATAACCATCAAGCTGTTGCTGGAGCATACAAATACCTTCCTGACTCAATGCTCTGTCCGACCCCATCCTTTCCACTCCCCATCGCTCTCTCTCCAACTTGCTCCTTTTCCCTACTTTCTTTCGTTCCTTCTCTTCAGTACACATTCCTGTCCGTCGCCGGTCGACACATTGTCCTCATTCTTTGACTCGCACGTCCACTCCGTTCGCCTTCGGATTAGCCAACATGAAGTTCGCCATTGCCACCATCCTTGCCTTTGCCTCTATGGCATTTGCTTATCCCGCGGTCGGGAATGGGGGTTTGTGACATCGAGAGTGCCTGAGTTGTTAGATCCTCGTGCTAACCAACGTCTCCTAGCTCCCGTCAAGCGTCAAAATATCAACACCGTGGACCCTGCCACCCCATCCATGTCGGACGCGAGCGGCAACATTGTCCCTTTCGAGTCCTCCCAGGTTAACCAAGATGCCAAAGCCAAGGGCATCTAACCGGGTTTCGCTTCACCACATAATCGGGACGGGGAATGAGAGCCAAGGTCGCACTGGACCGAAAGTAATAGAGTCCGAACGTCGATCGGGAGACAACGTATATCCGAATACTCGTCGCCAACCCACCGGTGTCTCGATTGTTCGATCATCGAGCTTGCACGCGGCCCGGCCACGGCAACTAATTTGAACAAGGAGAAGGAGGAAGCCAGACTATTTTGTAACGGCTACTCAGTTCAGCTGTTTGTTACTGGGCTGTGGAGAGGGGAGGAAGTGGTGCAGTCGGGAGAATACACCAAGATGTTGTACTTAATCTTCTATGGCCAAGTTCGCCTCAGTTTATCCATTATTGCATTCAACACCAGGTATGCAAACATGAGGGCCCTTTCCTCACTGCGGCCTGTTGAGCAGCAGTTCACTATAAACCCTAACCCTTGATCTCATGCAGGAACTTGGAAGACTCAGTCGGATCCAATCATCCAATTGAAACTGAACCGATCCGATCTCTCAAGCTCTCCCCAACCCTCACCTCAACTACTACGCAAGTCATCTGGGGACGTCTTGATGATGCTTTCCCAGCGGATCCTGCACGTTTCCCCTCCATCATGTACTGCGACATGATTCACGCAAACGTCTTCCTCATTCGCACAGAAAGCCAAATCGGAGATTGGACGCTAATGACGGCAAACAGCAGCCGGTTTGGGGGCTGACTGCGGGAATTGTTCAGCTTACACCACAGACCCCGCAAATATGCAGCTTCCCACCACGAAATGGGCATACATGTGGCGTCGGCCAGCATGCACTATTGGGTGGTATTCACTGTTAGCACCGCCTTCGTCGAGAGGGCTGAACAGCTATTCCAGGCCTGAGCTATCTAGATAGTCGAGAGGCGGTGCCCAAGCTTAGCCGCAGCTCTCAGCTTATTTTTTTTATCCCCCCCTGCGGGATGCGGGACGAGCCTTAAAGAGCCCGACCCCCAGGCTTCTCTTCTGCCTCGGTCTTTTCTCGCACTTGATGGCCCAGGCCGCTCGCTCTTCCATCCTACGTGAGATCCTACGTCCCGTTTGGGCGTCGCTGACAGCCCCGTGGACTCTTGCTGTCTGGATGAATTTGAGCGGCCTCACGAAGAATTCCGGTTGCGTGCCATCCACGCCAACATGTCGTCAATCGACCTCGACCAGGTGCTATATGCGCGCGCACGATGGCGTAAGAGGATACTGATCCCGCTCTGGACCTTCCAGATTGCAGTGCTACTGTGTCTGATGGGCGTCTTCGCCTACCGCCTGGCCGAGACCTTCGAGCACTATGAGGAGCACAACAAGCTGGGCGAGATGCCCATCGTCGAGGTGGTGTGGGAAGCCACCAACGTCGGCTTCAACATCATCGCGCTCATCCTCACCATACTCGAGGTCGCGCGCAAGGCAACCGAGCGGCTGACCCCGTTCATGATGGTGTGCACCCAGGTCGTCAAGCTGACACTCGCCGTTGCCGTGCTCGCCCTGGACATCGTCGCGTTCCTACAGCGCATGGACGGCCATTACTCCACCATCGGGCTGTCCCTGGACTGCGGTTTGCTGCAAGTACCTATTCAATTTTCCCCCTTCGCCGTCATACAAGGTCCTTCTAACGCGGAACCACCAGCGCCGCAAACCTAGCAGCACTCGTCTACGCCCTGGTCACGTACCGCCGCCTGCTCAAGTACGAGGAGTACCACCTGACAGCCAACGCAAAGGCCCAAGGCTACGTGCCACACGACTCTGTCGAGCTGGGTCACAACAGCCAGCATCGATCCTACCCGCGGACCGTCAAGACCGATCCCCGCTGGTCCAAGCGCTTGTCCAGCTACTCCTCCGGCTCCCCTCCTCCGACGGAGATGGAGCCACCACCATCGCAGCCAGCGACGGGTGGGGCCGACCTCAAGAAAGTAGTCGACCGCGCCATCGACCAGGAACTGGGCTACGACCCCAACCCGGTCAACCGGTCGGGCAGCGTGGTCGTCGGCAGCGGGAAGGTGGCTGTGCACCACGGCATGATGGCAGTGCCCGCGCCGGAGCTGCAGCGGCAGCGCAGCTGGGTGACGGAGCGCGGGGTGATTGCTGAGGCTACGGAGGTGGAGGCGGACGGGGAGGACGATGACGGCGCGGTTCTGGGGGGTGGTGGTGGTGGTGGTGGTAAGCACTCGCAAGGGCGGCATGCGGATGACAGGGAGGCACTTTTATCACCCGGGCTGGAGTCAGGGAAGTGACGGTTGTAGCGTCACCTGGCTTCCAGGGCTGTGACTGAACTGTATGAAGGTTTCTCTTTTTTGGATGAGACGGCGTTTCCGGTGTCTGGATTTGGCTATTTGGGCAGTAAATCGAACTGAGATGGGTTGTATCGGCGCGGTTTACCTAGCTTACCTACCTTACCGGTAGCAGATGAAATATGAACTCAAAGGCAATGTGCACGACGCAGCCCGATTCTATCACCTCTGCGCCTCCTCAACTGCTCTTTACCGCGCTTTCCACCGCACCCGGCCAACCCCTACCGAATATCAATGTTAGCCTTCTCGCCTTCCCCCCTTGCGCTTCTCTGAATCGCAATCCCAGGGCATCGAGAGAGAGAGAGACAGAGAGAGAGGGATAAAGAACAACAAAAACGTACAATCCGCAAAGCGCCTAACCTCCTCCGCCTCCATCAGCCGCTCCACGGTGAAATAATCCCTCGCCAGCTCCTCGTGGCCCCTGAAGCGATGCACGAAGCGATGACACGCGCCGCACAGCCACGCCACATTCTGCAGCTCGTCGGGCCGGTGCCACCCGCGCTTCACGGCCTTGTCGTGCACCATCCGCGGGATCAGGTGGTGGTACGTCAGGTGGATCCAATCGCGGCCGCAGATCTCGCAGGCCGTGGCCTGCTTACGGGTCGAGGCCGGCGGGGGCGGCGGGGTGGTCGCGGTGCTGATGTAGGAGGAGATGATTGGCGTGAAGAACTCGGTGGTTGTCGGGAGACGCAGGTTCAGGTCGTTATCGCGCAGCGGTGATGGTGAGGCATATGAGGAGGACGAGGAGGAGGTGATGCCGTATGCTGCGAGGGAGTCGGCGATGGACGGGTCCAGTGTTTGGAGCAGTGTGCTGACGCGCTCGGGGCTCAGGGGTAAGGGCGTATAGAGGGCCTGGAGGGAGGGGTGGTCGGCCCAGGCGTGGTGCGTGAGGGATTGCAGGTCCTCGGGGAGAGCTAGGAATGTCGCGGCTGCGATGTACGAGGTGAATTCGGCGAGATCGTCTGCTGAAGGCTCCGAGTCGATGCTATCCGTCCCCGTGGTGGAGGGCTCAGGGGCGCGTCTTTTGGGGCGCCGTTTGTTGGTTTTGGCCTTGGGTTTTGATAAGGGCGCCGCGATGCGTTCGATCAGGAACGAGGAGACGATCTCGCGAAATTGTTCGTAGTTGGAACTGTACTCCTCCGGCACGTCGTCCGCCATAGTGGTGGCCGACTGCAGATATAAAGTAAATAATGTAGGTGAGTTGAATGCTGAGCTAGATGTTCATGATGTCAACGGATATCTTCACCACGTATTGTTATGTTCCTACCCCTGCTCTCCTGGGATCCCAAACTCACGATAGCCTCCACTCTCTCGCCGATCTCCCGTCCCTCCCCGCACTGCGCATCCCAGTGCCGTCTCGCATGACGTAACGGCACTTACACGTGTACAGGGACAAATGCAAGCAGTATTGCAGCTCCCGGAGCCTCCACGACTCACCAGGCGAGACGAGCTAGCAAGTACCGTAGCAGCCATGTCCACCGCCCAAACTATCATCGCCTTCGACTTATACGGCACTCTGCTCTCCACCGACTCGGTCACGGGCGAGCTCGCCAAGTTGGTCGACGATGGAGCCGCCAAGGAACTCTCGACGCTCTGGCGGCGCTACCAGCTCGAGTACACCTGGCGCATCAATAGCATGGGTAAGTATTACGATGGCTCGTTTGTGAGTTAGGTAGGTATCTATTGGAAGCTCATGCTGCTGCCAAAGGCCACTACTGCTCATTCAGCGACATCACACGCGCCTCCCTACTCCACGCCGCCGCCGAGATGAAACTCAGCCTGACGTCGGACGACGTCGGAAGGGCGATGGAAGCGTACGATGCGCTCCGCGTGTTTCCCGACGTCCCCCCCGCTTTGGAGGCGCTTTCGGGGCTTGATTCTTCGGAGGCGGAAGCGTACATCTTCTCGAACGGCACAGGGGAGGTGCTCAAGGCGTCGGTGTACAACTCGCCCGATCTGAAGCCGTATGCAAGCGCGTTTAGAAAGGTGGTGAGTGTGGAGGATGTGGAAGTGTTCAAGCCTGACAGGAAGGCCTATGACCATCTGCTCAAGGGGGTAGGGAGGGTGGGAGCACCTGGTGATGTGTGGCTGGTGAGCTCTAATCCATTTGATGCACTGGGCGCGGTCGCCGCAGGGCTCAAGTCGTGCTGGATTGACAGGGCGCGAACGGGGTGGATCGATCGACTTGGGAGCGTGATCGGCGAGAATATGCGTCCGACGTTGGTAGCCTCCAGTGTTGGTGAGGCGGTTCAGATGATTCTCAAGAGACAGTCGTGAGCACGACACTCGCCTCCTGGATCAGAAGATAATCTAGTCTTAGATTAGATATCTGGTTGGGTTGCAAAATAAAATATCCACTAGTCATAAAAGACCCGAACACCAGCGCCATGCATGAAACCGCCTAAGGTAAGCACCTATTCCGCCGCAATGGCCCTCACATCGTGGCATTTCTCACCACGCCATCCATACCCCTAACCAGTCCGGGCGGCGTGTCCTCCGGACTCCGCCCATTCCGATACTGCCACAGCCGACTCAACTCCTTGACCTTCACCTTCATCCCCTCCTCATCCCTCCTCTCCTTGATAAGGCTCCTCCTCTTCTCCAAGACAGGACTCAGCCCATGGATCTCGACCGCTTCCTCCACCTGCTCCTCTTCACCCTCATCCTCACTCTCCCCCTCCGGTTCCCTATCGCCATTCTCCTTACCCCCGATGGAGACTTCGCTCTCCATGAACTCATTCTCCTCTGACGCCCCCAACGGCACGCCACCCTCGCCTCTAAGCAGCATCCCCGTGGTCTTGTCCCGCTTCAGGGGGAACATGCCATCCAGATAATGCTGCACCATCTGGTGCCCGCCCCTCCCGCCGCCGCTGGTTCGCGCAAACACGCGGCCGATGAAGCGCGGGATGGTCGGGGAGGAACGCGAGGCGGTGGCAAAGTGCAACACCCCCCAGAGGGCGACGAAGTCGGTTGTGTGCGCGTAGTGCTCGATGTGGCCTATCGCCCGGTCCGACAGCGTGGAAGGGTGCGGGGTGGTCGTTGAGGTTTTGATTCCATTTACGGGAGGGTTACAATTGGTAGTGGTGAGGGGCGCCAAGGGGTGGCTGGTGCCGTTGGGGTACGGATACGGCTCGGCAGTAGACCTCTGTCTCGCCCTGGGCTTGGGTTGCGGTTGACGGAGCGGCGGAGCACAGACCGCTTCCGCGCTGGCGAGCGGGTTGGAGTCGATCGACGCGGCGAAGGGGTGTCGTTTGGCCAGGGTCTGAGAGCTGATGTGGCGATGCGGGTTGTTGAAATGGTTGGCGGCGTTGCCAAAAGTGTAGACCTCGAGCTTGGAGAGGAGGTCCTGAGGCAACTCCTGTAGGAGCCAGTCCAGGATCAAACTGCCTTCAATGCCGCCCTGTGAGTGAAGGATGAAGATGACCTTGGAGTAGCGCGGGTTGTAGAGTTTCTTCTTGATGATCCGGTAGCAGACTCTCACGTCGTTCGTTGCGTAGCCCCAGTTGCGCTGGATGAGACACTCAACCACGTCGAAGAGGATGCCGGAGCTGTGTTGCCGGTGAGCCTGGGATCTTCCTAAAACTGCCTGTGGGCTGGTGTGTGGCGCCTCACGTCTTATTGTGGATTCCGAGGATGGGCCGTTTGAAAGTGACGGCCAGACGGTTGAGATTGCTCTGCATCCAATGTGCCCTGTCGTTGATCGCGCTCAGTTTCACATAAAACTTGTGTGACGGAACCCTCTGGAGCCTACCCTGCTGCCACCCCATTGATGTAGATCCACTGTTCGTGGGCATGCTCGGGCCGTGCCGGTGCGTACTCGGGATCAGAATGGTACTCGACTCCCTCGCCGTTCAGCAGCATACACAGCGCTTTGTTAAGCAGCATAAAGAGGCCGACCAGTCCTGCCGCGGTCCAGACCGGTAACACCAACAGCAATGGGAGTGCCACAATGCCGGCGAGTTGCAGCACGCACAGCACGACATGGACGGCAATAGAGAACAGGTTACCCCATGTGGGCGACAGCTCGCTGAGCTCGGCCGAGTCGGCGGGGCGAACCGGCCACAGAATGTAGGGGATGGCCCAGAGGTACTGGAAGAAGTGGTAGACGTCCCAGGCCATGAGCTTCCACGGCATGTCGGTGTAGCTGTAGTTGATGGCGGACCTGCCCCCTATTTGCGAGCCGAAGAAGCGCGTGTCGCCGCCTTCGCTGGCCGTGTTTGGCCTCGCTGGTGGCGGTGGTGCAGCGGCTGCAGCAGACATGGTGGAGGGCATTGGGCGGGTTGAGAACCTCTGCCCGTCTGCCGCATCAAAGTGCGGCGAGTCTCGGTTGAAATACTATTGCCATGTCCCTCCTCCGATCGGCATCTGGGCGGTCAACAGACCTTGCCACGCCTGCTCACATGGCGAGGGTGTCAGCAGCATGGCTGAGGAGGCTTGGCGGATTGTGAGACACCACCCTGCTGCCTGGTTTTGTAAACGGTGCAGTCGTTGCTGATTGGTCAGGCACCTAACTTGAACACTCGGAACTCGTGCTACCAGGTAGGATCCGAAGAAGACGAATTCTTATGGCGCAACAACCGCAAATCCTTTAAAACGTCAAAGACCAACCGACAAGACCTCGATGTATGTAAATTGTGTCTTGCTCTCTGTATCGCTGTCTACGTAAGGTATAGATAGCTCCTTAGCATAGACTCACCAAAGCTTTTCCGAGTACATCGACATCGATCATGGGGTCCACCACTGGTGCCGGTCCCCGGTTGAAGCATTACAGCATAGTACGTAATATCGGTAGCGGACTTCGTCCCGTAGGGCTGAGAACTGACCGCGCTAGCGTACTTCTCAGGTTCGCGGGACCATCCGTATTGGCTGCCATTCTACCGGTAACACAAGGACGATGGAGGTCGAAGCCCAGTCTTTTATAGCAACTCACCCCTCTCCAACGTTGATGTCAAGGCAGCCAACCTGGGACTAGAAGAACTATTCGTGAATATCCGAGAATCCGCGTCTGAGCCACCCTGATGAACTGTTCGATCTCCTGCCTTGCCACGTATGCCTTGGACGATCTCTCCTCTATCAAGAATGGCAGTGGTTGTGCGAACTGACGGGGAAATACGCCACTTACGCCTGGCTGATGCCGAGATCAGTCGATCCGCTAATATCCAACAAAGTGAGGGTTACGGTATCCGGAAAGAGTCTTAAGTTTGGTAACGCGCAAGCTTCCCAACCTTCCTCCCCCTTGTCAAAAAGGCCGTACACCAAACTTACCCGCATAGGTAAAGTTAGGTACGTAGTTTAAGTGTAAGAAGCAAAGCAAGTGAAATCCAATCAACGAGAGAAGAGACTGCAAGGCAAAAGAAAACGAGAATAAAACGTGAGACTAAGAAGTAGGAAAATCTGAGAGAAAGAAAAGAAAGAAAAACGAACAGAAGAAGATACTGTGGTAAATAGCAGCCGCATTCTGTCTGGTTGGCAGCGATGCAACGTTAGGAAGCTTAGCAGGTCACGGTAATCCGTACTACTACTACCTACTTAGTAGCAGTATTAGTTTTGGCCAGTCGGAGGTCTTCAGTCTTGGCTCCTAGCCTCGCCACGGGTTAGGGTTAGAACACTAATCTCGCGATAAGATAAACATTTTTCTCTCTGGTATTGTACCTTTCCCGTCTGCCATCTCAACCACCTCGCCGGACGGACTGACTCGATTGACGGCAGCCATGGGAAAGAACAGGAAGTCCAAGCGTCAGCTAATTCGTGACGAGAAGCGCGCGAAGAAATTCGGAAAGAAACGCGAGCGGGAAGTCACTGAAGACGAAGTGCCCTCGGCAAAGCGCCAGCGTCGCGGCGAAGACAGCGAACAACCGAATGGCTTCGACAGCTTTGACGCAAACGCCGACTTCATCCCCTTCGACGATGACGAACCAGTACGAAACGTGCTCAGCAGTCGCGGTCGCGGCGGGGATTTCGAACGCGAGTTCTTCGGCATGCTGGGCGAGCAGGAACAAGAGTACTTCCGCCACGCCGACGAGCTGCTCGAGCTGAATGACTTCCCCTCGCCCGAGGACCGCCACCTCTTTCTGCAAAGCGTCTACCGCGAGGCCCGTGGCAAGGAGCTCAAGCTCGCCAGCAGCCAATCATGCTCGCGCCTGATGGAACGCTTGATCCTACTGTCGAGCGCCAAGCAGAAGAAGAGACTCTTCGGTGCGTTCGCGGGGCATTTCATGACGCTCGTTACGCACCGATTTGCGAGTCACTGCTGCGAAAAGCTGTTCTTGATGAGCGCACCGGTCGTGACGGAGGAGCTGAGTGGGGAGGGGGAGAACAACCAGGACGTGGAGATGGGCGAGGCTGACGAGCAGGAACCGGATGAAGTTGTTGAGGCCATGAAGACGCCCATGGAAGATCTTTTTCTGTTGACCCTGGATGAACTAGAGGGACACCTCTCGTTTCTGCTGTCCGACCGGTACGGCTCGCATGTCCTGAGAGTTCTGTTGGTCGTGCTATCTGGCAGGCCACTTGACCAGGCAGGGACCAAGTCGCTGCTGCAGAGCAAGAATAAGGAATATGTTACGGTGGAAGGCGCTTCGGCCGCAACGAGCGGCCTCAAGTCGTTGGCGAGGGCGGTGCCCTCGTCCTTTTCGACGGCGATACAGAAAATCATTTCCGACTCGACAGCTAACATGGATCCAACGGCGCTGCGGGTGCTGGCGACGCACCCTACTGGTAATCCGACGCTACAGTTATTAGTCGATCTGGAGCTGTCGTTGTTTGTGAAATCTAAGAAAGCGGCCAAGAAAGAGGACGAGAAGGACAAAGAAAACCAAGACACTGCAGTGAGCCTACTTGAGAGGCTGGTCCCTGATGCGCCGGCATCGTTCGGCGACGAGAAGTCGCAGGCCTGCGAGTTTGTTAACAGCATGCTCTACGACCCCATCGGGTCGCGCCTTCTCGAGACTCTCATTGCCCACTGCCCGGGCAAGATTTTCAAGGGACTCAATGCAAACATCTTTGCTCCGCGCATCCAGATCCTGCTGCGCAATGACATTGCCTCGTACCCGGCTATTAAAGTGCTCAACCGGTTGAGCAAGGAAGACCTTGCCAGTGCAGTCGAGAAATCGCTCCCTGAGATGTCATCACTGATCGAGAAAGGGCGGCTCAATGTTATCAGGACATTCTTCGAGCGCTGCAATGTCAGAGGCGCCTCGGCCGAGCTCGGCACCCTCCTACAGGCACTCACAACCGCATGCGGCGGCAACTGGAACCACCTGGTCCCCAAACTCTGCATCCTAGACGAACCCGCACCCGAGCCAGAATCTAAGGAAAAGAAATTCCAGCAGCCCGAGGCCAAGAATAGGGCTGCCCTCGTGTCCCACGGCAGCCAAGTCGTTTCGACTCTCCTCGCCATCCCAGGTCAGCCATCCAAGGCTATCCAAAAATCTCTGCTCTCCGTCTCGTCAGAACAGCTCCTCCTTCTAGCAACCTCCTCCGCGGCCACCGCCGCAATTCTTACCAAGGCCCTCTCCGTTCCGCCACAACTCCCGCACTTCCACAAACTCCTGGTTGCCGCCATGCTACCGAACGTCGTCGAGATCGCCACATCGCAGCACGGGAATGCCATCGTCAACGCCATCGTCTCAGCGCCCTCCAAGGGCGAGGGCGTGGCGGTGGTGCCGTTTCATCAGAAGGAGAACATCATGGCGCAGCTAGAGCGACAAGAGAAGGATCTACGGTCGACATGGTTGGGTCGGAATGTGTGGCGGACATGGAAGGGTGATTTGTGGAGTCACCGACGGCATGACTGGGTGCGATGGGCGAAGGAGACGGACCCAGAAGGTGAGAGGGTTGCGGCTATGCCTAAGCCAAAGGCTGTGGAGGATGAAAAGGACAAGAAAAAGGGAAAGGGAGTGGGGAAGGAGTTGAAGCAGAAGCAGGAGGTTAGGCCCAATGTCACACGAAAGGACGAGGAAAAGGAGAAGATGGGGAAGAAGGAAATGAGGGAGTCAAACGGTGAAAGTGATAGGGGGAAGATGAAGGAAAAGCCAAAGAAGGATAAGAAGAGAAAGGAAGAAGTGGCGGCTGCCGCTTAGCTACCTTTGACCCAAGTATTTTAACGTGCGCATGATACCCAGAGAGCGCCCAGAGAACAAGAGCAATGAATTCACCAACTGACCATCATGGGACGGTACCCTGCATACGCGGTAATCCACCTTCACGCAACTAACTGCAGTCAGATACAGCCGGCATCCTTTGATTGACCTCCTGTGCAGGGAGTGTACGCCGTGCGGGACGTCTGACCGCGTTCATCCTGCAAAATGCCACTACATTCTTTCACCATCCATGCCAGGTACTCTCCCGCAGATATCTTTTGGGAACGGATGACTGTTGCTCAGAGCCGGATGCTCCATCCGTGGTGGTCTCTTCTGAGGAAACCAAATGCTCTTTGCACAGGAGTTTGAGGATGGAGTCTTTGCTGAGCTGATGATGGTAGTCAGAGTCGATAAATCGTGAAGTGGCAAGCACACCTCTCTTGGAGCAGGAACTTGGAAACTGCAAGAGCAGTGCTTCGTCTTCATCATTGACCGGGTACCACCATCGTGCTCTACCCCTTTCCCTTTCCCGTGTCGACTGACCAATTGACCGAGGTTCGAACTCTCGAAAAGCTCCCTCGCTCCTTCCACTGCTCTTCCAGCTCTGCGACCTCCAAGGTGTCTGCCACTCCCACCGACTTTGGGCGCGTTCAAAAAGCCCAAGTTTTCGCCAGTCACCCGACCTCACAACACTATCACAGGTACCTCCAAATCAAACACCATGCGATCAGGCTACGACATAACTGGCTTTGGCGACGATTTTGTGGTGGAGCGTCCTAAACCGGAAGCCGAATACATGCCAAACACGAGGAGCAAGACCGATTCCGCTAGACGAGGCGATAACGGTGCCAAGGGCAAGGACAATGCGAGTCTCCCTTGTCCTGATTTCATATCCTCGTTGTGCACAAACCGTGCTCCCTTTCGTGCCTGAAGACAACCAGATCTCGCTCATGGTGGGGAGAAGCGTAAACGAAAATGAAATACATAGCATCAGGATTGCTAACGATTCTGTCCTGTTCCCTAGGGATCCAACACCTCAGAAAAGAAATCGAAACCGAAACGGAGCAAGACTGAGAACTGAAAGGGGGAAGAGGTTAAATGCGGGTATCATGTGTTTGGGCAGAGACCATAATGATTGAGATTGGGGCAGAGAGCAGAAACAGGGGACAAAGGACGGGCAGTAACACTCTGTTCACACTAGGAATCTGCTTTTGATAGTATCGTATTTTCACAGTCCACTGCTACGAATCCGGATTCTTCTTGTTGACGCTGAAACAGAACGCTATCCTGCGTGACTTGGAAACTGCCCGAATGACTGACTGACGTAAAGCAAACAGGAAGGCCGGACAGGAAGGGGAGACAGATGGAAACTCTCGCCTAGACAAATACTCCGGGGGCTAAGTAATGGGTTGTCTCCGGGGATTATAGATTCAGCAAGTGGCCTAGTTACTGGCAACCCTCCACTTTTCCAGAGCTCGGAGACGATGATGCGGCGTGCCCTATCTAGTAATGTGAAACACGCTGCATGGCTCGCCACGATAGCCGCTGGTCGCGAAGCCGTCGAGCTTGGTTAAGATTGTAGCGTCGTACGCTCGTACTATCCCGCCGGGAATCAGAGAAGCCTTATTGTAGGTACAGTTCTGATTCTGCAGTACTTACTTGGACCGACGAGAAATCTAAAGCGGCAAGTCACCTGACTCGGTGCTTGCTTGCTGGTAGGCCATAAGGCCATAATGGTGATATGTATATCCATGGGTATCCCGCTTCTTTAGGCTGTTGTCATGTAGTATGATTCTGTATGAAAGAGATGATAGAACATAACGGGAGTCTGTTAGTATATTTTCTCGCCGGACACCTCGTTGCCGGCTATCCTAGAACTGGGACAATTTTATGAACTGCCAAGCATGACACTGAACATGAAAGACGGTTGTAAGAGAAGAAAGTGGAACTTGGGTTGGGGGAGGGGGGGGGCACGGGGGGAGGGGTGGGGGGTTGAACCAATCGCCACCTCTCATATCAGTGATCATTCACCGTTTCACTCTTAATAGCAACATGCCTCTGATGCAACTTGCACATATTTCACTTCACACTGACCTGAACCTGTTACTCTCCTTTTTTTTTTTCAACATTTCCGGGTATCCTATGCTCAACCATCAACTCCTTGCTAAGAGTATGCCCAAAACCACTAAAGAAGACATCCGCCAGAAACCCAAACTTGTACATTCTCTTTCCAACGCCTCGATCCCGTTTAAGAACACCATGACCATGGACCAACGACTAAACAAAAGGAAACGATCACTGCTTGTATTTTTCTTCTTCCGAACGTCGCACTGCTGTCAAGAACAAGACGATATCAAACCAACTATTGAAAGAAAAAGAAAAGAAAAAAAAGAAAAGCAAGAAAAGAAAGGAAAGAAAGAAAAAGAAGGGAAAGAAAGTTCCCTTCCCTATGTCTGGCTACCGTCGCGCGCGACGCGCGCGACGGCCCCGTCGTCCCAGATGAGAAATTCATTCCACTTAGGATCGGGAGGGGGCTCCTCGCCTCTGGCGTCCATCCCCGCCGGCATCGCCAAGTCGAACATCGCCGAGTCGAACATCGACTCGATAGGCTCCGTCGCCGCGATGTCCGTCCCTGTCGGCACCTGCGTGTCGAAGGGCGACACGTCCGGCTCCGTCCCCGGACTCGCTGACCATATCGCCATCCACGAGTCGTCGGAGGGCGACATGTCCGGGTCCGTCCCCGAGCTCGCTAACCCTATCGCCGTCACCGGGTCGGCAGAGGGCGAAGGTTCGGGCTCCGCCCCTGCCGGCATGGAAGAGGCGAGTGGCGGGGGACGGGAGGGCGCCGGGGCCGGGGAAGATGGTAGGGCGCCGGGGCCGGGGACGGATGGTAGGGTACCGGCGCCGGGGAAGGAGGGGATTGTGCCGGGGCCGGGGAAGGATGGTATTGCGCCGGCCGGGGAAGGGGATGGTAGCGGCAAAGGATGGTAGGCCGCTAACCCCGTGCTGGGTTGATACAACGCCAGCGACAAGTTGGCTGACGGGTCCTGGGCCGGATGCACCAGCTGGGGGAGCGAGTAGCTCCGCAGGTGCTGCAATCGGTGGCTACTCATGGAGGCATCCGGGGCCTGAGCAAGGTCCCCTGCGTCCTGCGCTGGGTACCGCGGAAGCGCAGGGGCGACAGGAGAAAGGGACGGGAGGGAGTTTGCTCTATCCAACGTGGCAGTGGTCCCCTGAAGGTTAAGGAACGGCCGGTTGAGTTGCTGTCGGCGGAGTGCCGTTAGCTGGTCCAACGGAGGAAGGCCTGAGAAGGCCTCCCTAAAATCCTGGCTCACCACGTCGTAACGCTGGGCTGCCAGGCTATATTGGCTGGACAGCGTTTGATTGCGAGGAACGCTGCCGAGCCTGCCGTTGCCCGGCTCTTCGTCCTCCTCGCTCTCATACGGTACGTCCCCGCGCACTGCCTCTTCGGTGACCTTGAGACGCCTGCCCGTCCGCTCCCTGTGGCATTCCGACGCTAACAACGCGGAGCCTATGCGGTCACTTAGGGAGCGGTCGGCCCGGCGAGAAGCGGCGATGAACGCCTTCTCTGAATCCTTCTTGATTCGTTGTGCCTGGAATTATATTAGAGGCCCAGGACTACATCAGTGAAGCACTTGCGGCCGACTTTACCTTCAGGGGAGGTTCGGCTCCTTCGCTGGCAGCGTCCGACGGGGGTGCCATGCGCTTCCTCGGCATTGTGTAGGTTGTCGAAAGATGAAAAGATGAAATGATGTATATCGATCGCTACCTTAGGTATGGTGTTAGGATCGAGATAGTCTAGAGTCTAGACGAATGAAAAGGGGTGAAGAGCTGTGGACGGAGGCGCTCTCTTTACCTCTCTTATATAGGGTCCTGCATAGCAGCCAACTCACCTCTCTAGTATCCACATAGTACGGAGCATAGTTATGAATCGCCCGATCTAGCTTGAGACTCTACTTGTCAGTCTTACCTCAAAAAGTGTCAAGGCGCCCGCCAACTAGAGTTCAACTGAACTTCCAAGCCAATCATATAATATTCATACTGTCCCCTCGCACCTTTGCCCTAAGAGCTTTTCGCTCGTGTCTGGAGTCCTGGGCAGAATAATGGCGACGGAAACATTGAAGGGATGGTCTGATGTCTAGATCTGTCTGTGACCGCGTACCACGGTCGCCACAGTATGCCCATTGACATGTGCGAGCTACCCCAATTCGCACCCTCGGCCAGCATGGAATTGTTGATTGTGAGTTGTGCTGCTTGTGCGTCTACACCCCGCCCAATACGGCAATACCTATCTGAGGGCATTACTTCGTTTACGAGGCTGCTTGAATGGAACGGTCTGAGGGCCTAGAACATCGAGGACCATACCACACAACCTTCCCATATTGCAGAGATCACCACCGTTGCTGCTCTACGTGAATGATGCCGTTCGCAGGCAATTCTGCCATTTGATTTCCCTTTCGCGTTTTTGATCCTGGGGGCCAGATCCTCCTATGTGCACCCATCGCAGGTCTACTCTATATTTGGGGTGTGCTTGTCCAAAAGACCACCCAATTTCAGACCCCCTACAAGATGCCTCTGGAAGTTCGCTGTGGCCGACATGCCTTGGCATCGATACCTCGGCTTTCTCGACCCGTGCCCAGTTGAAGGCGGGAAACGCTGTTGGAAATGGAGCTGTATTGCAACGCCAAAATGCCCAGAGTGATGATAAGGTCGACGTCACTTGGATCGATTAGGATCGCAGTAGGACAGGCTTATTAGTAAGTTAATTACTCCGTGTCTGTACGGCTTTGGCAACTCTAGTCCAAGTTGCACCTCACCTTACCCTTGGCCTTTTCCTCTTCCGCCCCCCCCATCCCTTCCATTATCTACCGCCGTGCTACGTACAGTACTACTCCGTACATACCTTACATACCTTACATAGAAACATGAGCGACGCAGCAGCCTGACAGCCAGGGGGGTCCTTTTCCAACTTTGAACTGGCTCGGGCTGGCAACGGCTTTTGTTGGGGTGTTGCTCCAACAAATATTCACCTCTGCCAGAGCTCCCGCCCACATGGCGATTCTCAGAAGGGAAAAAAGCAAGTGAGCTTGGGATTGCAACCGTACAGTCCGAAGTCCCTCATTACCCTCGCCAGAAATTCTATATCAACAGCATGGTCAGTTGACTATTGACATACTTTATCTCTATTGGTCCGGTCGTAAGGGAATGTGCTGTGAATAATTGCCTTCTATAGCAACCGGACTCGCTCTCGCAGTGTCTCAGAAACATATAGGTCGCCACTATAGTACTGATGCGATCCATCTGGCAAGTGGATCCAGTGGAGTGGGGTACAGGTCCTGTACTTACATAGCTCTCTGGCACGGTCAACCGACCTTGCAACCATCATCATCAATTTATATAACCTATCACATTCTTGGTTGACCTATGGTCCCTGCGCTTCCGTATCAAGTACTGTGTAATGAGAGCTACAGTACATCCGTACAGTAGTACGGATTAGTAGTACTAGTACCCGCATACTACCGGCTGAGCCAACCGAATGAGAAAACCCTAACCCAAGCCAAGCCCTTAGCCCGCACAAACTGGGCATAAAACTGGCTTTAGTTATTACAGGATAATAAAGAAACGCGAAAAAGTATATCGAATCGTTTCGACGGGAATTGAGCCCGACGTGGGGGTCGAACCCACAACCTTGAGATGACGGAGATGCTCCTTAAGAGTCTCACGCTCTACCGATTGAGCTAGCCGGGCAGGCTCGCTTGTGTTGGTTTTGTCGTTCGCTGTTTACCTATTTATATGAAAGTTGCATTTGCCTCACATCCAACGATCCATCGTCCCTTGGTCAAAGCCAGCCAGGGGAGACGGACAAACCTCTCTCAGACATGACGGCTCTACTCTAGGAATAAGCATTGCTATCTTCTCTTGGATCTTCCAGAAACAAATCCCGGACGCCCCTTGCCCGTCCACACTCTACTCATCACATCAAATCATCCACAGATCCCAATCCCAATCCAGATTCCAGACCGAATCAGCAAAAGCGAAAACCTTTCTCGAACAGTCTCAGTCTCTCAGACGCTCAACCCATCAACTTCGGAATGGCAGCCTTCCACAGCCCCGTGTGCGGCCACGTCCAATTCTTCAGGAAAGGCGGGTCGATCCCGTCCTCAAAAGCCTGGTTCCGGGCCTTGATCTGGGCGTTATGCAGGGCCTCGCGGGCGGCCGCGCCCCGGTTCTTCAGCTGCGGCATGCGATCGATGGCGTCGATGGCCAGGCTGAAGCGGTCCGTCTGGTTGCGGATCGCCAGCTCGAGCGGCGTGTCGATGTTGCCCTTCTCCTTGTAGCCGCGCACGTGCAGGTTGTGCGAGCCGGGCCGCTTGTAGGCGAGGCGGTGCACCAGCCAAGGGTAGCTGTGGAAGTTGAAGATGACGGGCTTGTCGGCTGTGAAGAGGGCGACCCACTCGGCGTCGGTCAGGCCGTGCGGGTGGTCGACGTGCGAGATGAGCTTGAAGAGGTCGACGCAGTTGACGCAGCGGATCTTGAGGTCGGGGAAGTGCTGGAGCAGGAGGTCGATGGCGGCGAGCGATTCGTGCGTCGAGATGTCGCCGCACGACGCCATCACCACGTCGGGCTCGTCGCCGCGGTCCGTCGAGAACTGCGGCCAGATGCCGATCCCCTTGGTGCAGTGCACGACGGCGTCCTCCATGGGCAGGTACTGCAGGTGCTCCTGCTTGTCGGCCACGACGACGTTGACGTAGTTGGAGGAGCGCAGGCAGTGGTCCATGCACGACAGCAGGCAATTGCCGTCGGGCGGGAGATAGATGCGCACCACTTCGGGCGACTTGTTCGCCACCACGTCAAGGAAGCCCGGGTCCTGGTGCGTGAAGCCGTTGTGGTCCTGCCTCCACACCACGGCGGTCAGGAGGATGTTCAGCGACGCCACCTTGTTCCGCCATTCCACCTCCAGGCACTTCTCGAGCCACTTGCAGTGCTGGTTGACCATCGAGTCGATGACGTGGATGAAGGGCTCGTAGCTGTTCAGCAGACCGTGGCGGCCGCTGAGGATGTAGCCCTCGAGCCAGCCCTCGCAGGTGTGCTCCGAAAGCATCTCCATGACCCGTCCGGCGTGGGCCAGGTTGCCGCCATCCTCGTCTTCTTCGAAGTACTCGCCCATCCAGACTTTTCGCCCCGCCTGGTACACGTTGGCGAGCTTGTTGGACTCGGTCTCGTCCGGGCCGAAGAGGCGGAAGTTGGTCGGGTTCAGGGCGATCACGTCGCGCAGGAACCTGGCCATGTTTGTCATGCTGGCGTCCATGGTGACGGCCGGCTTGTCCACCTTGACGGCGTAGTTGCGGAAGTCGGGCATCTTGAGCGGCTTCCTCAGCAGGCCGCCGTTGGCCACCGGGTTGGCACTCATGCGGCGGTTGCCCGTGGGGCAGAGGGCCTTCAGCGCGGGGGCAGGCCTGCCGTTTGCGAACAGACGGTCCGGCTCGTAGCCGCGCATCCAGCTCTCGAGCAGCTTGAGATGGTCCGGATTCTCGTGGACGTCGGTGATGGGCACCTGATGCGCCCTCCAGAAGCCTTCCAAGTACTTGTCATCGACCTTGCGAGGACCGGTCCAGCCCTTCGGGGTGCGGAGGATGACGACCGGCCACCGAGGCCGGAACGCCTTGCCCGACTCCCTCGCCTGCTTCTGGAATTTCCTGATCTCGAGCACGCAGTGTTCTAGCGTCGCCGCCATCGCCTGGTGCATGGAATCGATGTCGTCGCCCTCGACGAAGTACGGCTCATAGCCGTAGCCCCTGAACAGGTTCTCGAGCTCCTTGTGGCTGATCCGGGCCAGAATGGTCGGGTTGTTGATCTTGTAGCCGTTTAGGTGCAGAACCGGCAACACGGCTCCGTCGGTGATGGGGTTGAGGAACTTGGTGCTGTGCCACGAGGTAGCCAGAGGGCCTGTCTCCGCTTCGCCGTCGCCCACCATGGTGAGGGCGATCAGGTCTGGGTGGTCAAAGACGGCGCCGAAGGCATGAGATATGGAGTACCCCAGTTCACCACCCTCGTGGATGCTCCCGGGGGTTTCCGGAGTGGCGTGCGAGCCGATTCCGCCGGGAAAAGAGAACCGCTTGAAGAATCTCTGCAGACCTTCTTCGTCCTCCGACGTCTCCGGATACACTTCGGAATAAGTGCCCTCCAGATAGGCCTGCGAGAGCACGGCAGGCGCGCCGTGGCCTGGGCCCGAGATGAAGATGGCATCCAGGTCATATTTGGAGATCAGCCGGTTGAAGTGCATGTAGGTAAAGATTTGGCCTGGAGCAGAACCGAAATGGCCGAGGAGACGGGCTTTGAGGTGCTCCTTCTTCAGCGGCTCTTTGAGGAGCGGGTTCTCACGGAGGTAGATCATGCCCAGACTGAGGTACAAGCTGGCCTTGAAGAAGTCGTTGTACTTCTGGATCTCGCCCTCGGCGAGCGGCGTGCCCTTGATTGTCGACCGAGCAGGCCCATAAGGGCTGATGCTCTCGACCTCGTCAGAGTCGCCCATGATGGGTGGGTGAGCTGTAGAGAACGCAGTGAAAAGGAATCGAATTGGGAACTGAGGATGGACTTGACTGGCGAACCAAGTGTTAGAAGGTTCTCGTGCACCTTCGACTTAGACTTTCTTTGTCTGTGATGAGTAGCGGAAGAGGAGGAAGGGGATGTCCAAGGGAGCGAGCGACTTGCTCTTAACTACTTTTACTGTAAGTGGCATACACAGGACCTTGGAAGCGGGCATCTGATCACAGCACCGATGCGGAAACACTCGGAGTCGGATGAGATGCGGCCTTGGGATTCCAAGGAACAAGGCGATACTGGTGGGCAGTCTTCATACAGGACTGCCATGCAGCGGGCAGACCCGCCCCAGTGGCATTCTCCATTGGAGACGAGAGCCCGCATCGCCGAGTTCCGGCGGCACGTGGCATTGTGTTGGATGTTGCGTGTGAGCGAGGTGCCGACAAAAAAGCCGCTGCATTTGCGAGCCTACCGCAGTACCGCCACCCAAGAGTCAACGTCCCGTCATGCCCAAAAGTTCGGAATATGGGGTCTTCCATGGGCCCAACATCAGGGGCGCAGTGGTCTGATCTCTGATGGTGACAGATGGAAACAACAGGGGTTTCCGTCCTGCTGGTTGCAGATAGCCAATGGGCGCAGGCGGCGACGAATTGAAGTTTCCGGCACGCGACTGCCTCTTTGACGATTGCAACCAGGCTGGGTCCTCAGTGACGCGATAGTGCCGTCAATGTGAGCGGCTTTGTGTTGTTTGCGATGCAACCGGCCCGAAATGCTTCCCGCTCGCCATTCTCAGAGGAGGGGCGCATATCTCCAAGTTGATAGAAGTCGATCGCTCGTCAGCCATGGACCCCCCGGGCCGTCTTCGATGTTCCAATCGCGGGATGTGGGCCTCCCTGAAGCCGGGGTCTGACTACCCCAGAAGCGCCACGCCGGCGGTTGCCGGGGCCCCGTGGGAGAGTTATTAGGCTATTAGCCCCTGGCATCGGCCGGGTGCGGAAAAAGCAGCTGATTCTGTCTGCACGATGTGTGTGTTGGTCTAGACCCTTCGCATTTTCAGCCATTCGACACACATCTGCTGCCGCCATCAGGCCACGAGTTATTCGGATATCCTTTCTCAGCTCTATCAGCTACGGGCCATTGGGCATGAGCTGATAACGTTCCATCCAGACCGTTGGGCGTTCGCAGACTCGCAGTACAGTTACTACAGTGGCATTTTATGAGCCCCAGATCCAGCTTCGGCGGCCCGCGCATCCATCGTGTTTTCTTCTCCGCACTCGAGTTGAGGTGGTCAACTGATGTGACCACGATCCTATGCGCCCAGCCAAAAGCCGATATCCTGACTTATTACCTGGCCGTCACCCAAGTTTCCAGGCGCTGAGGTAGAGAGTACTTTGGCTTTCCATTGATCCTAACCGACTGCAACCCCATCCAAAAGCCAACGGCACCTTTATTCTGCTCCACGTGGGCAGGTGCTCTGCAGCGTCCGATACCTGCATTGATTAGCCTCGACACCTCAGTATTTCCAACGCTCACACATTATTCCAGAGTAACCTCTTGTGCCCAAGTAGTGTCTGACGGTATACGTTCCCCTTCCATCCCATTATTCCCAATTTCTCGTACACGACAGGTTACAGAGATAGCCAGCCTTGTAGCATGAAGTGAAAGAAATTAAAACAGAGGGAACATACCATCGCATTGCAAGAACAGCTAGCGAAAGAAAACAATTCTCAAGACAGCTAAAAGTGGAAGGAAACAATTAAGACTTCTAGAGAGAGCGCTTTGTCTGAAAGGGAGACTGCATAGTACCACGAGTGCCATTCGCAGTCCAGGTTGCAACGGACACGCGTCTCGGCGAAGACGACTTCTTGGTTTTCTCGGCCCAGCTATCATGATTTTGATTATTTCTTGCATTGCACTGCTGCCATATGATGGCCAACCCCATACTTGGAATAGCAGCGTTAGTCCGTCTATTACCGGTCTGGCTTCGCTTCCACCCATGTGGTCTTTCCATTCTCTAAGAAGTTCTAGAAAGGATGTGAAATGAGGAACCGCAACTGCGAAGCGGCAGTCTGACATTTACATATCACCACACAATAATAATAAGCTATCCATGAAGACAACATCATCACCCTTGTAGTCGAAGTTATTCCAAGGTGAAACCCCGGTGATGACGGACTTGGGGCTACGGCGCTGGGAGAGCTTGGAAGGGATTGCGGTTCGTATTTACGGCGCCAGCTGGCATAAGGAGGATCACGAGGATCTAATAAACGGGGAAGGTATGTCCTTCAAGACATCTCCTTTTATCAGCAATTATTGAAGACTTTTCAGGCAATCATATTCTTATTCGTTCCACAAGAAGATGCAATTCGCTTGCCAAAGACTGAGACTTGTCCTATGTTTAGATCGACCCCTTCAGCTATACTGCTTGCGTTACCAGGGAATCCGATCGAGACGCAGCCGTCATCACTAAGGTAAAAGGATCGACGCCAAAGGAACCCAGCTCTAGCTCGGCCCATATCATCTCCCTTCCGGCCACCCTTCTGCTTCGGTTGCTTTAACATAAAGCCATAGTCTTCATGGTGCGCAATGGCAACTCTTGTCGTTGGGCCAGTCAATCAATCTCGCCTTTAAACTACGCAACTGGAGGCCTCTGAACACCTAAAACAGCATTGCCTCCTGCGAAAACTAACCGCTCGTATCCCACATTCCACGGTCCCATTCCGGTAAGTGTTGGGCGTAGAGCATTCCCCTCCCTCGTTACACAGTCCTGCCCTCATTAGGTACCAGACATCTTCCCTATTCGGTTCCACCAACTCCGTGCATCCGTTTCCAATCCCATCAGTCAACACCACACATCTTACGGCCTCACTCTTCCAGCACAACCGTCAGTCCCAACCTCATAGTGCGAACGACACATTAGATAAGGAGATGTACACTTATCATCTTCCAGCCAAACCATAAAAACCAAACCAAAGCAAGCCAGCAAACCCAAGCACGACGACAGGATAATAACAGAGGGTCCGGGTTTCGGGTCGATTCGAAGCAGATATAGGTCGACGGGATAAGCAACTGTATGTGCGGCATGACGACCCGGACACTTGTTCCGGGATTGCGTAACGACGGGATATGTCGAGTCAGCAATCCCCATGCAGTCGGACATTTCGGGCTTCCCGTCTCCCTTGTTCCCGCCGATCTGAAGTGCAGCCAAGCTATCGTCAAGGGTATGGAAACGTAATGTATCAGAGACGCAGCCGGAGGAAAGAAACCAAGACGACAGGAGACAAAAAATACAAGATGGCGACAGTGGTATCAAAGGTCGTACCGTACGAGGAGCGATACAGCAAGCAGCAAACATCAAATAGCAGAGACATAGCAGGCCAAGCAAGGAGAGCCTCCCTTCCTTCAGTCCCCCACTACCCATTAAACCGGAAACGCCAATTATCCATCCCCTACACTGTGGCGTATCGCAAGCGAAGTGGAAAATCATCGCGTCGGAAAGAAACTGAGACACAAGAAACCGCAGTCATATCGTTGGGACCGCCAGACAAGATAACGGGCACCCTACCACCCTTTCTTCCTGGCGAACCGCTTGTTGAGCAGCGCAAGGACCTTGGGCACGTTGAACTGGACGTACTCCAGGTCCAGGTCATCCTGGTTGTCTTTTTGCATCTCTAGGAGATCGTCGAGCTTGAGATCCAGTTCGAGCAGGCCGCGATTACGCCCTGAACATCAGTCAGCAAGTCACAGTCTATACGCAAGGGAGACAAGAGCTTACCCTTGTAGTGTAGTGAGATGACGAATGTCCCAGGCAGCGGGCTGGTAAAGTTGAAGTAGATATTAGCCCTTCGGTTATCCGGCACGTTGCTCTTCTGGATGACGCCCTCCTTCTCGAGCTGCTGGTGCGTGAACTTGTACGGCCCCAGGACCTGCTGCTTCTGCTGTTTCCGCCGTGTGCCCTCGCTCTGACTGCGCACGTTGTGGAGGTAGTTCTTGTACGTCTCGAGTTGACCCACGAGGTAGGCGTTGTGGTCGCGGATCGTCCTGTACACTTCCTCTAGCTTTTGCGTCTCGGCCAGAACACCTTCCTTGAGCGAGCCCAGATGCTGAAGCTCCTGTTCAACCTCGTCTCTAAGCAGGCTGAACCCGTCGCTCTTGTCGACGACCTTCAGCTCCTGCAGCTGGCTCAGCAGTTCCATCGCCCTGATACCCTTGCGGACCATGACCGCATCGTTCTTGGAGGTGGCAGCTGCGTCGGCGATGCGTTCGAGACGCAACGGCCTCTTCGCCACGGACGAGCTCTGCGGGATGGTCCGTAGGATTTGCACAAAGATCGACTTGGCCTCCATGAAGTATACCTCCTCCTGAGTGATATCTAGCGCGGCGGTCAAGTCGTCGATGGCTGTCTCCCACTTGCTGTACAGCGGCAAACTGATTACCCTGTTCTCTTTCCTCGGAACCTGGGGTGGCGCGGGACCCAGCTCCGCCATGATGATAGAAAGGTGCGAGTTCTCGTCCTTACAGAGCTCAACAGAATGCTTTTCGATCAGGGCGTGCATGGAATAGATTTCGTTCAAAGTGATGGAGAGTTCGAGGTCCTTCTTGGAGAGCGCCACATAGTTGTCCATCTCAAGGCTCTCGTAGAAGTCCTGGACCTCGCACAAATCCAGCATGAACTTGTTGACCCGATCTTTGTTCTGGTGGATGAACGGCTGCAGCTTGGCCATGTACGGCTCCTTCGAGTATGACGGTTTATTGGCCAAGTTCTGCAGCATCTTCGCAACGTACGTTAGCGTCCTTCTGGGGCGATCGGCCGGCGTCCCGTCGATGAGCATGTAAGACTTGGGTGTGACAATGGCCGGGTTAATGAAGCGAAGGAAGAAGAAACCGCCGATCAGAGTGCAGATAACCTGGTCATTAGCATCGGGGTACTTTCTCTTGGTCAAGCTGCGAATCTGCTTGCAGATCCACCGAATCCCGTACGGCGCCTCGTCCAGCCCCTCGATAATGGTCGTCAGGAATCCGTTGGCGATTTCCGTGAGCATCGTTAGCCGCGGCTCAATGATGGCTTGAACCTGAGGATTCTCAGCCGCCTGCTCCGCCGTGATGCCCTTGGGCAACGACGCTGGTAGACTCCCTGTGTCTTCTTCGATCTGCTCAATCATACGCTCATAGACCTTGAGCGGGTTGATCTCCAGGTCCAGATCCTTGAGTTCGATCAAGCTGTTGATACGGTCGGCTAGGACTGACTTCAGGAAGCTCTGGCCGGGTCCTCTCCTTGTGTAAGTAGTCATCATGCGTGAAACTGGTGTGTTGGCGCGCAACAGCGACGAGTATTCCGGTGTGTTATCGAACTGGTACGTGAGGACGGACTTCACAGAAGATGTCAGCTAACAAGGACACTCTTCCCGAATAGCAGGCCACATACCTGAAACATGGTTAGTAGCAGATGTTCTTCACGACTTTCGTACTGGTTGCCGTAGATGGTGAACATGACGGTCTGCAAGAGCGCGTCGATTTCCGACATTGAGACGAGCCGACACAAGTGGGCAATGTGCCTGGGCTCAGACTGCAGCAGAAACATCAAGTTTCCGTATTTCTGCGTCTTCTCGTCGTTGGGAAACGTTCCCTCTTGCATTTCGGCGGCATCTTCGAGGTGACTTGCGACTTCATTTTGCTGCCAACTCCATTATTATTACACGGACGCAGAAAAGGGTAATGGCTAGCTTAACACACCTCCTCCAAGGCCATGCGGTTCTGGATCAACAGGGCAATGCGGGAGTCGAGGTAGCGAACATCCTTTTCGAGGACAAAGTTCTTCTTTGACTGCGAAGATATTTTCGATTTGAGATCTCGGAGAACCTTTTGTGCTATTGACGGTATCAACATTCTGTTCCCTATCACGAAGACCTTGAGGCACACCTTTGGCGAGGTCGTCTTCGATGACTAGATCGGATTCATTGGCAGACATGGACATATACAAAGCCGACATAGAATACCGCTTTGACTGACGGGCGGATCGTGAGCCATCGTAGGAGGACATTGTGTTCTGGCGGGATATGGGTTGGAAGGACGAGGAGGACGCGGTAGACGCTCGGGAAGGTGTCTGCAGCATGACGGACATGTTGGCGGGTGAACGGGGTGCGGCAATCCGGAGATGGTCAGGCTGCCAGGCCCGATGCCTCTCAACGAGGGAGCGCGATGTACCGGAACCTGCGACCGGGGGAGGGTGCAATTGAGTTCTTTGATCAATGCTTGTTCTTTGAAGTATGTCGCGCGAAGACCGTTTCGTTCCTCGGGACAGGGCGGCGAGATTGGCCCGATCGCAAAGGAGATCCCGATATCAATCAACTGGGGAAGAAGTAAGGAGGCCGGCTCGAATTACGCTCGGGAAGCGAGTGGTGCTCTTGGTAGGATGGAGGTTGGAACGGATTGAGATGCTCGAGGAGTTCGTCAACGAGAAGGGGTGCGCTTGTCAGTGGGGCAGGAAAAGGCCACAAAGGGAGAGCGCGCGGGGAGTTGCGAAGGCGGGGAAAGCGAAAGTCGAGGGATAAATCTCTCAGTCTGGGGATGTTCGCAGTATGCTGAGATAAAAGGGGGCAGGGCCGGGTTCCTGATTTGGTTTGGCCCTGTGCGTTTTGCTGGCTGTTGAGGGTGGTGAGGGCGATGAGTGAGGGTGGTTACCTCGTCGTGAATTGAATGACAGGAGTGCGAAATCTGCATGTCTCGACGCTCGGTCGGATGTGGAAGGCTGCGCTGCGCGTCAGGGGGAGGTGGGTCCTTCACAAAACTTCCGGTTGGGGTGAAAGCGCACAGGTGCAGGTCGAGCTGCAGTGCCGACAAATTGATGGGCTGAGAGCCTCAGACGATTCTTCCCTAGTAGTACCTTACATAGGTACCTGTAGTGAGCAGCGAGGCACTGCCGAATCAGGGCGAAAGAAATGCGACGCTCTTGCCTGACAAGAACTGGGAATTTGATGCGGGTGCCGGCATCTAACGCCGAGCTATTCACAAGGGTTCATACAATAGTTGCTCAGAGAGGGGCAGTACACTATCCCGATAACATAGCTGATGAGTTGGAGGAACAATAACAATGTAACAGGGCAGTGAGGGCACTAACGGGATGTGGGGGTTGTGCTGTTGCATTGCTCGTCTGGCTGTCTCGATTACGGCGTGCCACTTCCATCCAAGGAGTGTTGTCCGTGTTGGTCACCCTGGGACCTGCATGAAGCGAAAACGAAGAAGTGTGCCAAGACAGACGGGTTAATGCTAACACAGTCGGGCGGAGAATCCAAGAGGCCCCTGCCCGGTCATGGAGATCAAAGACAAGAAGCGATTTCCAACGTGGCCTCTTGCTTGGTATCTTTCACAGGCCACATACAAAGTTGAAGACATATTGGCTGTCTGCCCTTGTCACCATCTTCAACAAAGGACAAGCGGAGTAATCGATCTGTTTTGCCCACGGCGCACTACCGTGCTCTGTATGTCTCTACACTCAATAATGCGCCGCAGCGATGACTGACTCCTTAGTTACATTGTACTAATGTACAGATATCGGGACAACCTCCAGATGCACCAGCGTCTGCCTTCGGAGATCTTCGTGATCAGCCTGTTTGGAAGCGTCGCTGCCGACGCCTCCGCAGCAGATCAGCGTACTGCGATCACTACCAAAACGTACAAATTCACGATACCTATCCGTCCATATCCGTACCATACTGCATTACGAGTACAGCCGAGCAAGGGGAAGTTCATGTTTCGGGACCTTACGGCATGGCCCAATGCGACCTGAAGCCTGCCGCATGGAGCAAGCCGAAAACCAGATTCATGTGACAGGAGAGGAAACACGCTGATTGGCCCCCGTTATGCACCCCAGTCATCTCGCATGCAAGCAGCAAGCTAGCCAGAAACCAACTTCACAACTTGCTGTGTAGGGTTTCCTCGCTCCTCGCTCCGTCCAGTTCGGTGTGAATTCGGAATGCGACTCGGCCAGGGCGAAAGGTGCGCAGATCTGATATCAACTCCCAGTCAACCAGCGGTTCGCGAGTGCCCATCATGGCTGCCGTTGATATCAGCCCCTCTCATTCCCGATGGAGTTGCGAGCAGGCCTTGTTCACACCCCGCAAAGGCTCAGTAAGGGGTGGGTCCTAACTACGTACCACCTAGGCTACGGTGTTAGTTCACTGTGGCTATGTATAATGGCTGTTGGGACATGGCGCAACGGCTTCATCTGAACCGAAGGGGTGCAAGGGAAATCATGGGATGATGGCCGCGGCCTAGGTCTGAGCAGCGTCTCGCTGCTGTTCCTGCAGCACCCCGCAATGAGATGTTCTTCGCCGGGGCCGCTCAGGGTGAGATGAAGCTGCGTACACTGGGACAGCAGTACGTGAAGCAACTGGCGCAAGTCACTGTTACTCCGTGTCGGCATGGACCGGTCTGCCCAACGTTTCCCAATGGGATCGCGGATCGACGGTTTCTACTTATAGCAGAGGCGCACGGTTTCATCTGTGATTGACAACGGAAGCGAGTACGGGAACGGAGTGCACGGGTTTATCGGACAACAACGAACAGCCATACGAACGAATAATAATACCGACCGAAAACGCCACGTCGAGAGAAGAGAATGCGGAAGTGGTACTTGACATGAGCTGGCTCCGGTGTTTGACATTGAATCAGTACCGCGTACTGTTCAGGTGCGGAAGCCCGGGCACCAGAACCCAACCATCGAAGTTACTTCCCGGCAGTGCTGATTGGGCTACGGCGTCAGGGCAGAGGGCCAAGCAAGATGATTGGTTCAAGACTGAGTCCGAGTCCGAAGGGCGTGGTAGTCTAGGTACTCCGTACTGCACCGAGCTACCGCCCAACCTGCGTCTGCAACCTTGGAGGCGCCTATCTTACACCCAGGCATTCCAGAACGCCGGGACGGACACCTCATATCCACCTACCCCAGGGTCAAAGCATCATGTCTGCTAAAGAGGTTGTGCCGACCTTGGCCTCTGCCTGTCATTCCTTTTGGGTTCGGATTCGGGATCCTAACTACGCCCGGTAACGTTATTTAGTGCGACCGTACCACGGGATAGGGCAATCAGACGTGGATTCCCGTCGCGGACCAGACTCTCCAGGCCCAAGATGGAGAAATCCTAGAGTGCTTGGATGTGAACTATGAACCGTGAGTACATGCTTCGCTCTTGCTGCGCGGTCGTGATCAAGGGTCGTCCGTCGCACCGGTTGTGCGGTGTGCAGAGGGCACAGAGATCCTGTAGCCCGTCACCAAACACAAGCTCGGGTTCGGCGGTTGCTGTACTACCGACGCCAACAAATGCTCTGTGCGTTCTCACATTGCTCAGTCACCTATTTTTGCGTTGATCGGCGCCGTGTGCATGGCCCAGACCATCCTGCAGCCCAGTCATCTTAGCATGGTGTGGGCAGATGGCACAGCAGTGACAGCACGCTGCTCCAGGCATCATCAGCCTTCGATCTAGCAGCCCTTTCATATTCGTTCCTTCTGCTAGCAAAGGCGCGTGTGTGAGCGGACGAATACGGCCGCAGCGCCCGCAGCCACCGACAGGAACGGACGAAACGGGACTGAATCCTTCCGCCGCCGTCTCCAACGTGTTGCGGAAAGGAAACGAGAAGGAGACGCCAACGTCACTGCGGCCGGCTGACTAAAGGCGCTCCTAACTCGGCGGTTCGTTTTACAAACGGCCGCTATCTGGAGGTATCGAACAACATTGTTCCCCCTGTCATTTTTCGATCTGAGTCGAGGCTTGAAAGCGGGAAAGAAAACAATCTCGGCCACATATTCGTCGCGCAATGTCTCAGGAACGCTTGCCTTGAAACGCACCACAAGATCTCAAGTCGGTCTTCGATGACTCGGAGCTATATCCGTAAGTTCACGGGCCTAGACAACTTTTGCAACAGTACCCTGAGACACCCATTATACGCATGGACCTCGAAGAGCCATCCCACCACAACCCTGTTAGTCTTATTAGCTCCCAAACCGATCAAGAAACCGGCACAACAAGCAGATCAACATCCGGCGCCCACCCCCCATCCACCCCGCCAATGACAACCTCATTCGCGGTCCCCTTCCTCAGCTGCACATGCACCACACTGGTCCTCACCTCCCCCGCCGTCGGCGCAAACGCCACTTTGGTCCGCTGCCCGCCATTCACCGTGACGGCGGCATAGCGCGGCGAGCTGTCGCCGTTGGCGAAGCGGATCTGCAGCGTCGACACGCCATCCACGTCGCTGCGCACGCCCGAGATGCTCAGCGCGCCGTTGTCCGCCCCACCCAGGTAGCCGGCGGCCTTCCCGCCGTCGCACTTGGAGCAGGACACGGTGCGCGCCGCGCCCGAGTACCGCCCGACCGAGGAGACGGTCGGGTCGTAGGTCGTCTGGGACGGGGCGGCGGACCATGTCCCCGTGCCCGTTCCCGTCCCTGTGCCTGTCCCTAGGTTGGGCAGCCAGGAGCCGCGGTTCTTCAGGGTCACGCTGGTTCCCGAAATGGAGAGCGGGAGCCAGATGTAGGTGGACGCCTGCAGGTTCTTGGACACCCACCGGTCGCCCATGTACATGATGTTGGCCGGGGAGTTGGCGTCGGCGCCGAAGTTGAGGATATAGGTCGTCTGCGAGGCGTACGTGTTAGAGCCCTTGTCGGCGAAGGTGGCCCAGGATGACCAGCCCGATTTGAGCGAGGCCGAGTGGCTGTAGACGTTGTCGTTGGGATCCCACCCCGTCAGGTGGCTGCCGAACATGTAGTAGCGCCCGTTGAGCTTGATCATGGCCGGCGACTCGATGCTCTCTTTCCACAGGTAGGTGGCCTCGGTGACGTCGAGGTAGTCGGTTGTCAGCTTGTTGATGCGGAGCCCGTTTTTGCGCTGGTTGAACTGGTCAGCTTGCAACAACACCCACGCACGTCGCAAGGGGACAATAATAGGTAGTGCTGGGGGGGGGGAGGCGGACGGACATCTTCGGTAAGCAGGTACGCCGTGCCGTCGTCGTCCTTGAACAAGCCCATGTCTCGGCTCTCAAATCCCAGAGGCCTGAAGCTCCTCTGGTATCCTGCATGACCCCATCTCAGTCAGCAATCCTGGCCTCCCTTTTCCTTTCTTCCCCCAGCATATACGACCGGATGCGGGAGGGGCACTAGACCGCACTATACGCCCCGCAAACCGTATCCCCAACAGCAACTCCGACCTTCGCGTCCCCGTAGTTGCTGCTGTCTACGTGCATCCACATGACGTACTTGCCCGTCTTGTCGTTGAAGATGACCTTGGGACGCTCGATGATGCGGTTGGGGCCGAGGTCGCCGGAGCCCGTGCGCGAGAGCAGGGCACCCTCGTAGGTCCATTGCACCAGGTCCTTGGACGAGAAGCAGTTGACGTTTTTGAAGGCGGACCCGTCCGACTTGTCCTCGCCGATCAGGTAGAACGTGCCGTTGACGCGGATCACGCCGGCGCCGTGGGCGTTGAGGTGCTCGCCGTTGGACTGCAGGCGCGAGTGAGTGAATGAGTGACCGTGGTCGTCTAAAATTAAATTGGCGGGTGAGTGAGGGGAGGTTCCTCACCACTGTCCAGGTTGCCCCGGGGACAATCTGTAGACTTGCGTAGGCCGTTGGGAGGAGCAGTGTCCCCAATAAGGAGGAGCCCAGGACCTGGAGGCGGCGCATTTTCGGCGGTTGTTCAACGACGCACACACCACACACACTTATACACTCACTCGTTGAATGTGCCGGAGAGACACATCAATGTTGGCGAGGACTAGTCTCCTAAGATCGAGAACAGAGAAGCCTCACATGGAAATCGCACTTCTTATCCATTTATTACGCTTTTAGAAAGCAACCTCTAAAACCGGCATTGGGTTCGTGGATCGTATTTGCCCGCCGAGTGTCACCGGCTATATATATCTGGTCATATTAAACCCGCTTTTACCCCATCGCCAGGTTTGGGCGCAACGGTAGCATTGTTCACACAAACCGAGAATGGTCAATCAATGCCATACAGACCATTACAGGAAAAGACGTCTAGGATGATGTTCAGCTCATACCTATCCACGTATTCTTGGCCGATGTCCGATGCGAACATTTTCCCAAATGTTCTAGTGGCGTTTATTGGCACCCCGGTATAATAAAGAGTCAGCTGAAGGCAACTATAAAGGTAGAGACATGGGGCAATGTGCAGGCATTACGTGGCAGGCGATTCTACTCAACTGCAGGCCGCAGTCGAGAACTCGAACTGACAGCAGCGTGCGCAACGCACTCTCGAAGTCAGTTGGCAACGCCGGCGATATCCCGATGCTTGAGTCCGGAGTCTCGTCTCCGCTCCCACTCCGAGAGCGGAGCCATCGGCCCCACTTCCGCGTGTGCCTCGGCAAGCCGGACTACTGGAGCGGGGCCCCACGCGGACGGGATGTCCGCATATTCCCCCCCTGTTCCTGCAGGTTCCTGCACATTCGTTTGTCATTATCGGATGACAGCCGCGAGAGTGTGCTCGTTAGGTTGAGAGTGCAAGATCTGGAATCCCCAATTGGATTTGACTCCCGTACTTCTGTGGCACCTATTCAATGTCCCTAGCGGAAAGGCGAGGGCGGAATAGGAAGTAAACAAAGAAGGGAAAAAAGGTAAGAAAAGGAAGCCAAGGATTCGGTGAACGACGGGCCGAGCAAGGGATAAGCTTTGCCGAACTTCACGCCTCCACCAAGGCGAGAGCCCGACCCACCCCTGCGTTAGCACCATTCCAGGGTTTTCTCCGGGAAAGGAGGGAAGTTGATGAAACGGCGAGGTCGAGCAAGGCCAGACGACCACATGATCGGGGAACGGAAGGCAAGGAGTCGGGTGGGAGCCAATGGACTCGGATCGGGTCGCCCTATCCGACTCTTTAACGCCCCGGCACGAGCTCCTCTGCTGGCCCGCACCCGACGCCTTGCGGCCATCCACTCACTCTCACTTCCGGCTTACCCCCGGTAGACCCGCCCTGCGATCGCGGCTAATCTTCTTCGGTTTCTTTTTTTCTTTTTGCCATGTGGGAACATTCTACTGTGTATGTACTCCTCCTTGGGCATGGTTTCTCACCGCCATCGTTCTCCTACGACTTGTCCCTTCCTGAGTCCGTGATATTGTGGTTGATTTGAGAGTGTCTTGGGTTGGAAACTACTAGTACCTGATTTTTGAGTCACCTGTTCCTAGCCGCGACGCCGGTATCTTAAAGCCCGACGCCACCTAGAGAGTATCCCGTCATTGCTGGCCCTGCCCCAGCTAAAAACGGCCCGGCCACGGCTGGCGATATGGCAGACCTGGAGAAACAGGAGCAGTCTGTCCATCCCGTCCCGAGGAATAACGAGGGCCCGCACGACGTTTCATCCTCGACACCAGACAACAACCTCACAAATAAAGAGGACTCCAGCAGCCATTCCGACTCCTCCTCGTCGACAGACGCAGACCCCCTTTCCCCGCTGGAACAGGCCCTGAGTCGACCCATCTCGGCAGCTGCCATCGAGCTCGAGATCGAAACCGCACCACTACCAGACGACGACGACGATGACGACAACGACCATGCTAACTCGGAGGGTGGCCATGACGGCCCCGCCAACAACCTCGACCTCACGCGCACGCGCACGTCCCTCGCCTCAGTTGCCTCTCGCCTCCCCGAGTTTGAAGTCACCTTCGAGCCAGACGATCCCGAGAATCCAAAGAATTGGTAACCGCCGGCCCCCCGTTTTTTGGTCTTATTTTGCCTTGTTTATTTACTTCCCTCTCCTTTTCCTATTCTCTCCCCCTCTTCCCCGAGCATCAACCCTGTGAACAACCCCCCAACCCCCCAAACGCCCCACCCCCCCACCTCTCCTAGCAGCAGCAGCAGCAGTTAGGTGACTAGCTAGCTCCAAAAAATTAATCGTTCGACAATACATCCAGGCCGCTGTGGTACAGAGCCTACACCATCCTGACGGTCTCGTACGCCACCTGGGTCGTCGTGCTGTACTCGACAAGCTACACGGCCGCCATCCCGGGCGTCATGGCCGAGTTTGGCGTGTCCAGCCGGCCCGTGGCCACCCTGGGGCTGACGACGTACCTGCTGGGACTGGCCGCGGGGAGCGTCGTGGTTGCGCCCATGAGCGAGCTGTACGGCCGCCGCGTGGTGTACCTGGTCTGTCTGGGCTGCTTTGTGGTGCTCATTGTGCCCGTCGCGCTGGCGAGGAGCTTGGCGGCGACGATTGTTGTGAGGTTTGTTGGGTGCGTATCATTTTATTTTATTTGTGTGTTTCATTTTCTTTCTTCTTTTTTTCTTTTTTTTTCTTTTTTTTTGGGGGGGGGGGGGGGGGGTCTAGGGGGGAGATGGCCCGACTGATATGAAGAAATAGCGCGGTGTTTGGCGCAGCCATGATCTCCAACAGCCCCGGCACGGTGGTCGACATCGCCCAGGACGAGTACATTGCGCTGTGCATGTCGTTCTTCAGCATCGCCCCGCTGAACGGGCCCGTGACGGGGCCGCTGATCGGCGGGTTTGTGTACGAGGACCTCGGGTGGCGGTGGGAGAACTGGCTGGCCATGATCCTGGCCGGTCTGGCCGTCGTCATGCTCGCCATGGTCAAGGAGACGTATGCGCCGGCGTTGCTGAAGAAGAAGGCGGCCCGCATGCGCAGGGAGACGGGCGACGAGCGGTGGTGGTGCCGTCACGACCAGCGCATCTCTACGCTCGCCCTGCTCAGAATCAACCTCAGCCGGCCGTTTGTGCTCGCCGCGACGGAGCCGATCCTCTGGTTCTTCAACATCTGGTCAGTCTGCCCTTCAGTGCATCATATAAATGAACACCCAACACCAAACACCAAAATAAACGCCTTAACCAAAACAAACAAGCAAACAAATCACAGACTGACAAGCCTGAGTAAATAAATATAACAAAACAGGATCTCAGTCATCTACGGCATCCTCTACCTCTGCTTCGTGGCCTACCCGATCGTCTTCACCCAGCACCGCGGCTGGTCCGTCGGCATGTCCGGGCTGGCTTTCCTCGGCATCGGCGTCGGCACGCTGATCGCCATCGCGATGGAGCCCGTCTGGCGGCGACTGATCAACTCGTCACCCAAGAAGGACCCCGAGACGGGACGGGCGGCGCCCGAGGCCACGGCGCTGGTCATGTGCATCGGCGCCGTGCTCACGCCGATCGGGCAGCTGGTGTTCAGCTGGACGTGTCTGCCCGCGTCCATCCACCCGGCCGTGCCCATCGCGTTTGGCATCCCTTTCGGCATGGGCAACACGCTGTCGTTCATCTACGGCTCCAACTACCTCGCCGGCGCCTATGGCATCTACGCCGCGTCGGCCCTGGCCGGCAACGCCGTCATGCGGTCCGTGTTTGGCGCCGCGCTGCCGCTCGCGGGGCCGGCCATGTACGACGCCATGACGCCACAGTGGGCAGGCACCTTCCTCGGCTTGCTGGAGGTGCTGCTGATTCCGATCCCCTTTGCCTTCTACCGCTACGGCGACCGGATCCGGGATAAGAGCAGGGTGATTCGCCAGATGCGGGAGGACAAGGCCAAGAGCGAGCGGCGACAGGCCAAGTGGTTGGCGAGGAAACAGCGGGCTCAGAAGAGGGAGAAAGGTGTCAGCGCCGTGGTTGTAGAGAAAGGGGCATCGCAAGGGCAGCAGGAATAGGATGAGTAATAGCTCTCTGTTGATGTATTCGGTGTCTGCTGCGAGTCACCTCAATGCGACGAACAAACCCCCCGTTTACTGAGATGTTCCGCTGTGCTACTACGCTAGGCATTCTTCTTTAACCTGCGATCGACCGCCAATTCCAGCAAGACATGATTTGAGCTGAGAGTTACTAGCCTCACTCACCCTGAGAGCCTGTTTCATCTTGTCACTCTCTGGCCGCTTATGAAGTACCGGCTTTTTCCCCATCAGAAACCCGAACGACACCCCATCCACATCAAATCCCGCACCAAGCGATCTTTTAGCCATGAAATAACAATTAGAACATCGCAGCGTAGTCGCTATGCCAGACAAGCACAATCACAAATGCTAGAGTCCCTGCGCCCCGATGCCCGACCGGTAGACGCCTTCTCCCTTCCCCCTCCCCCTTGCCCTCTCCCATAGATGACACACCCTCGTCTCGCCGACGGGTGAAGCACAGCGAACTCCAGAGGCCCCGTTTACCAAACAATGTAACCGTGTACAATCGTCATGCCCACAGTAGAACTCTCAGGTAGCCATCTCGGACATAGACCCGTGACCCGGGCCCGGTGTCGCGCTGAGCGATAAAAGACTCGCGGCAGCAGTTGCCGCACCCGACCCCGTCTTGGACGCCATTTGCGCAAGCTTCTCTCGCTCCGCCTTCTCCCGATCTCGCTGCTCCTTCTCCACCTTCGTAATCCTCGGCTTCCTGACCGTGCCCCCTCTCGAGCCCGGCCCACCGCCTCTACCCCGTCCACTGCCCTCGCCCCTGGCCGCACCGCCCCTGCTTCCTCTCCCGCGCCCACCACGTCCGCGTTTGGGGCGATCCTCCGAAACGGCAGGCTTCTCGACCTCGGAAATCAAAGGACCAGAGTAGACAAAGAAGCCATCCCTACTCGCAGCGGCCTGCTCCTCCCAGAGCAGCTCCGAATCGTCGACAAAGTCGTCGTCCTTGTCGTACTCATCCTCCCTCCAGTTCCGCTTCTTCCGTGCTGGCTTAGCCGGCGCCGCGGCAGTCCCGTTGCCCATACCACCCATTTCCACATTGCTATCGCCCGCATCTGAGCCTTGCAATATATCCTCGTCCATCTCCTCGCCCGAGTCCCTGCCACTGCCGTTCTTCTCCAGCGCAGCAGTAGCCGCGGCAATGCGGGCCTTGCGCTCCCGACTGGCTGCCAGGCGCGGGTGTAGTGCGTCCCAGCCGTAGCGCTCCTCGGCCATGCGCATGAAGTTGACATACTTGTTGTTCTCGCCCGGGTTGAGGGGGATGCGGAGGGATATGCTAGGTGCCTCGATCTCCTCGCCCGGGCGAGCCTTGCCGAAGTCGAGGATCGAGCGCTCGCCAGCGCCGGGCAGCGGAGGGAGTGCGTCCTTGAGGCTAGTGATCTTAGGAGATGATGAAGAGGAACTGCGGGCCTTTTTATTAGAGTCGCGCTCCTGCTGGACGACAGCGGCGATCTTTTTGCTCTGTGCGGCCGCGGGCGGGGTTGCTGCCGGGACGGCAGACTTGGCGCTGGGAATACTCGTCATACTTGTGAAAGACGTCGTCTTTGGTTCCGGTCTATGCGTAGAGGTCGGGGCTGGGGGAGGTGGCGGCGGACGCCTGGCTTCCGCAAGGGTTGGCTTAGGCAACGCTTGCGAAGCGCTCCGCGCGGCGTTAGAAGGCGAGGGAGGCATTGGCGTTGAGTCATGAAACCGTGACTGAGAACTTGGGTTGGGGTATGCAGTATGTGAAGGCAAGGGCGAGACAACGGTAGTAGCCGGCAGCGGGTCCACCAAGCTGGCTATCGAAGGCGATGCGCTAGCCCGGTTCACAAGCTGGGTGGGTGCACGCGGGGAGCCGAGGGGCCTAGTGCCATAGGGATCACGCGTCATCATGGATTCCCGGATCGGATCATAGTTGCCCCTGATCGGGTCGAACATCTGCCTGGCAGGCGCTGCGGGTGGGGGCCTGGGTTTCTGCTCGGGTTCCTCATTGAGGAGGTTCTGCATGTTCATCGATCCTGATCCGCTCTCCCGTTTCGGAGCCAGCGGGGCAAACCCAATATCAATAAGGGGTGAGCGCGGGTCAAGGGCCATGCGCATCGGGGTGAGTTCGGTGATCTTGGTGGGCCGAGGCGGGCCCGAGGCAGGTCTGGCGTCCATCTCCGAAGCGGCGTCGCTGCCGTCGGCGGCAGCCGCCTTGCGTTTCCGCTGAGCAGGTGGGGCATTGGGGTCCTTAGGCTTCCGCGGCCGGCGTTGCTTGGGCTGCTCAGAGTTTGCCGAGTTGCCATCTGCGGGCGTCTTGGGCTTGACCGTGCTGCCAGGCTTCCGGCCGGGCTTCTTCCGCGGGAGACCCGCGGCAGTCAGCGGGACATTCGTGAGTATTTCGGTGGATTGGTGTTGCTGCATGATGCCAAATCGAGCTGCAGAGCCAGGATCGACGATGATCTCGTCCATCTCAATATTGGCTCGGCCGGCGTTGATGACCCGAGTCGGAGAGCCAGGCTCAGAGAGCGCAGATGGCGGGGACGACAGCGACGGTGATGAACTGAATTGTTGTTGAGGCTGTTGCAGCTGCATTTCGAAAGTCCAGCCCACCTCTTGTCGTCATCCCTCAGTGGGACAAAGTACCACCGGAGGAAGGGAGAAAGAGAGGAAATTCACCTCTCCCTAATACCTCACGGCCCTGCGGTCCCTATCCCGCTAACCACTGTCTGGCAAGGAAACTCCAACAAAGCGACAAGGCTGACACCAACACAACACGAGAGGAAAGCAGAGAAGCCCCCAACACGGCTGCTGGAAACGGCTTCAAGCCTGGAAGCCTGATAGGCTGCCAGATCCAAGAGACCGGGCGTACCTGGGAGGTGCAGAAACGACAGGGTGCAGTGATTGGTCGGTTGGCCGAGCTGGGTCCGAGCGCAAGGCCGGTGGCGGGTCTTTGTAACTTCGGGGTTCTTGCAGAGGGGAAGTGTCAGAAGCGTTCGAATGCCTTCACCTCCTGCGAACGCTGAAAATCTGGCTGCGGTCGGCCACGGAAAACACCACAAAACCTGAGTGTGCGGATGATGATGGCGCACAATGTAGACGAATCAATTCGGCAGACTCAGCTGCATCCGAATACGATATTTCAACGATGAGGAAACACAAAAATGAGACAGGTGAGATGGTTTTTGCGTTCTACACCAGAAATATCTGTGGATGTTTAGGGTGTTGGGAGCGTGGAAGAGTGAGAGAAGAGGAGGAAAATTTGGGGTGCAAAGGGCGAAGAAACCATGGGGACTGGGCTCTGTTTAGGAACTTTGATTATTTCGCAGCTGGCGAGGGAAAACCGGGGCTCTGACCACCTCGAGACTGTCACGGGTACATGGAAATTTATTCTGGAAAGGCGAATTAAAACACCAGGGTGCGCGGGCTGTGAGCTTTGAACCGGCGCCCAGGAAGAAAGCCCAAGGGGCAGAGCGGTGGAGGATGGGCAGAGAGGGGAGCCACCGAATGGGGAAACACAAAGGGACGGCAAACGAACGTGCATGAAAGACGAGGAGCGAAAGGACAAGTGCAGGTGGCAGATGGAGCCAAGCGATAGCCAAGGTATCGGAGTACCTGCGACGAAGATGGAATGGGATAAAGATGGAATGGAAGGCAAGCAACCCCGAAGTATCCCTTGCTGCCTCGTCGGTCACCAACTGGCAACGGCGGATGACGAACGTTGCTGGTAATAAGATGACCAGAAAGGGAAGACGTCAATTGGAAGTGGTCGGTCGTTAGCCGCGAATCGTGGATCCGTGTCTGGCATCGGCCATCAGCGAACCAGCAGTTGGCTGCAGGACAGGGCTGCATGCGTGCGTATTGGCCCCACCTCGCGGACCAGTTTCGCTTTTTAGGTGTGACAAGGATCTTGATTGAATCAATAGCTATGTGAGATGCTATCCTTTTTCTTCTTTCTTATTTCCTCATTCTTCTTCCTGTTCTTTTTCTCCTTTCTTCCTTTTCCTTCTTCCTTTTCCTCTTGCACGGATGTAGCTTTGGTGCAAATCTGTAGGGAGATACTTCGCTTCCCGCTAAACTGAAAGAGCCAGCGTAGATTTATTAGCGATCTCCCGGGGTAAGGTAGGGTCGGTTTAGTGTATTCCGTACGGGTGGGCCCAAGCTTCCACGCGGAAGAGGCGGGCGGGGGTTGGCACACACTACGAGGTACGTACCGCTACTTCCTGCCGAATCGCTGCCCCCACATCCGTTTCAATGTGCGAGCTGCGGGACGCTCCCATATTGGAGGGGACAATAGCCGCACCGTGGCAGTGATACACGAAGTATACACTAGAGTAGCCCGCGCTCGAGCCGCGCAATCCTGATTTATAGACAGTTACATGCAAGCTATCGGCATCCCAAAGGACTGGAGTTCACCGGCTACCGCGCAGCACTTGTACTGCGCCTGTGGCGGACAGGGGATGAGGCTGTATACCATGTAGTATTGTACTGTATACAGTACGGTACCAGGTTTTCATCTCTAAGCCCTACCACTTCAGATTACGGGATAAGGTCTTACCTAGTACTTTATTTATGCTCCGCAGTTGAATAAAGATACAAATAGCAAGAACCAAAGTCATGCCGGATTGTTACTCCTCCAGCGTACGTCAGCTGGGTGGCTGCTCAACAGATGTTGGCGCCTCCGAAACTTGTCCGTTGGCCGGATTGCCTGCAAGGCCAAAGGCACCTTAGGTAAGCCTACAGCTGCAGACTGAGTCAAGGGTGCTCCAACATTGAGTCCGATAAGATAAGGACCCTCTTGATGACCGAGATGACCTCGCATTGCCACTCGCAGAATTAACATTATAGGACACTGTAAGGAGCACTGGCGGGGTTCAAACTTCTGACTCTTACATCCACCAACCAACCCAGAAATTCAAGCACTTCTTGGCTCGCTCTCTTCTACTGCAACCACTACCACATCCCCGGAGTCTGCAAAATGGAGGTAACTTTGCACGTCAACGACATACAAGAGAAATACGACGTCAAGCCGCCGAGTTCAATTATCTCACCACCATCAGGCCCCGATTTTCCCGTTCAAAAAACCCGACTGTCGGCGTTCAAGCGGCGGCTACAAGGGAAGCCAGCTGGCACTTCGTCGGTGCGTACAACATCCTCGACATCAAGTACGGTTAGCGACCCGAAATCGTCAAGCCGCAATGGTGCGCCTTCGCGGAGAGACACGGGAATGGATGAAAGGCGGGGCATAGACGAGGAAACCGATGCCGTGCTCTCGTCAATGTCGCCGGAGCAAATAACAGAGGCACAAAAGGAGCTCTACAACGGGTTGGATCCCAAGTTCCTTCGGATGCTGCTGAAGCGTGCGAATCTCGACGAACCGACTGACCCATCGCCCTTCCGCACAGCTTCTTCCGAAGCTTCCCCCAGTGCGGATAGCCCGCCGACTTCCAAGTCGCGACACATCACAGTGGAGGACGAGCCGGAGGAACCGCCTGAAGTCGCGCCAGGTCCAGTTCCTGAGCCAGACGAGGGCAAGCCCAGTGGCAAGCCCAAGAAATCAGTAACCTTTCATTTTGACGAGGATGCGCCTCCGCCTATTGAAGCTATCGACCTCTTCCCCGTGACCGAAGCACCCAAGGCTGTTTCCAAGGCCAATGCCTCCAAGCTAAAAGCGGGCAACAACAATGCCCCTCAAGACGTTACCAACAACACACATTTCCCACGCCCGCCCCGCGTCCCCGACCTCGATCCGTCGGACCCAGACTTCCTAGAAACCATGCACAAGAAGTTCTTCCCGAACCTCCCCGCGGATCCGTCCAAACTAGCCTGGATGGCGCCCATCCCGACCCCGGGTTCCACCGCAGACCAGGAATCGCCCTACTACCCGGGCCAAGACTCCCTGCCCGTCTCAGCCCTACGCTTCGATTTCCGGGGCGCTCTCTTACCACCGCGCGTAAGCCGCGCCATACCCGTTACCAAGGGTCTTCATCACCACGGCGAGGCCCCTGAGGCAGCCGGATACACCATACCGGAGCTGGCAAAGCTGGCTCGGTCGGCAATGCCCGCCCAGCGTTGCCTCGCCTATCAGACCTTGGGCAGGATGCTGTACCGCCTCGGGAGGGGAGAGTGGGGGCCGGGAGCGGGAGGGAGGAACGGGGAAGAGGACGATCTCGCGTTTTCGCTGTGGAGGTGCTTCCAGGAGGGGAGAGTGCTGGAGAGTCTGGAGGCAGAGGCGAGTTTGCCGGAGGGCAAGGGGCATTTGAGTTCTAAGGCGTACGCGACAGAGGCGCTGTGGTTGTTTGAGAAGGGTGGGTGGAGGGAGAGGTGGAGAGGGCGGTGATCTGGCCTTGGAAAGGCTACGGAGTTGCTTGGCAAAGATTTGCGGCAGGCCGAAAGGGCTAATGGGGCATGGCAAAAGACATGTCATCTATCGTTGCGCAGTGAAGCCGCTTTCAGAGCTAGCGGAAGCCCGGGGACGTCGAAGGCTGATGAAGGCTCAAGTGTACCAGAGACAACGGATCTGAGCAGGAGATGCTGCTTTAGGTAGTTTCCATGATGTAAGCATGGAAATGGGATCGACGGTTTTGTGTCGCTGGTCTATGGACCTAGAAATAGCGCGAGATGCTTGAAATCTCCTTCCAAATCGCAAATCGTCTTATTTCCCAGCAAATATCACCGCTCGGGGGGTGATAAGACCAAGCAGCCGCTCACTCTCCGCTCACTCTCGAACCCCCAGGTGTCCGTAGCACGCCAGCACATGGTTGTCCATGTCGTAGCGCACGCCGACATCTAGACAAAGTATCCGTCAGTCCCTCGATCCTCAAAACTGCCCGGCAAGGCTGGCTGCAGATTGTGGGAAGCTTACTGAGATCCAACTCGGTGGTCTTCCGGTAAGCCCCCGTGTGATCCTTGCACTCACACACGATCCACTGCGTCTGGCCCTGCTTGCTATGGCAGTTCTTGCAGTTTTTGGAAACGGCATTGCCCCTGTTTCGCCGCTCACATCAGCAATTCATCCCTAATCCACCACCATTTCCGCCCCCAATATGAATATGAGAGATATGAGGCAGGTAGCTGTCAGACAGAAGAAAAAGTATGGGGGCCTCTCTGGGTCCTGAAGGGAGCACACAACGACATACCCATCCTGCCAAATCAAGTTGCCGTCATCATTGCCCAAGCACAGTTTGAGATCAAGGTACATGTTGTGGAGGTCTCCGAAGAACTCGCTGTCGTCGCATGAGCCATCGAGGCGGCCATAGATCTCGCCGCTCTCACCCACGGTGTAAGTGTCTGTTCTGCTGTCAGCCGAGGAAGTGAGGAAGAAAACGATCAGCGTTTTTCTTTTTGGGGGGGGGGGGGGGGCACTTACAGCAGTGTTTGACAAAGCCGCCCTGCAAATCTTGGCGAGGAGAAAGCTCGTTGACGGCAAGGGCACCTGAGTTCGGGCTCAAGGTAGGGAGACTGGCTGCCGCAGCGAGGGCGGCCGCGGTAAGGAGGGTGAACAGGTTGGTCATAGTCGTGATGGTGTTGAAGACTGAAGAGGCCGATTTCCTCACAGCTGGCCGTTTTCCAGTTGATGGGATAGACAGTTTAGTCGCAGTGAAAGAAAGAGTTGAGGAAAGTCGGTCGGTTGGCAAATCGTGACTTGTTACCAGGAGGCAGGCAAGAGCAGCTAGCTGCCTTGGAGGTTCAAGCAGGAGCGAGGCTGTTGCGCTCCTGCCACTTGAGTCTCCCCAAGCTGAGGTGGCTGCTCTAGAAGCCCTTCGCGGTCTTCTTAACGTAAGGCGGAGGAAACCCTTAGCCATGGTATCTCTCAAGAGGCACTACTGGAAACATCTGATATACCCGATTTCATCCATCCACGTAACCATATCTTAGCTTCTACAAGCTACTAGGCAGCTCCAGTACGCAAGACGGTGCGTATGGTTACTAGTCTTTACATGACGAAGCACTGCGAGACCGCTACCATAGCAACCCACGGCAAGGAGGCGCAGACGCCACGCCCTTGTATAGCACCACCCCCTTGGCAGCAGTTGGCGGAGGACTCCCTTCTTCCCAGCCTTGTCTTGCTATCTCAACAAGTATATCTCATCCCGCAGACCGTAGTCAGTTAGAGAGGCCGTAAGGGAGGGGCACGAGGTCCCCCGATGTACAGTACCGTTCACACAGGGAATCATCTCGTACATGCTAGGTGCTTGTGCCTTAGTCTAACCCTCCTGACGTCGAGGATGCGTTGACCGTGACAAAGAAAGTAAACACGCCAGCACGGAGTATACAGGCTTGACACAAACCAGGAGCCTGAAGCACTGGAGAAGTACTTGGAGCAACTACAACACATTCGGCCCCAGAGCAGAGCAGTGCATACACATATAGCATTTCATAGCGGCATACAGTTACTTGCTGGCATCGGGCATCATCCAATGCCCTCTATCCACCACCCTTCATCATCCTTTGCGTCTCATGCTTCTTCAAAGACTATATGAAACCCGGACCCTGTACCAAAACCCATCACGCGGCCGACATATTCGCCCTCCCACCTCTCCCGGAGATATCCCAGACCAGAACATCAAAACATGTTACGCGGAGGTTTAACCGACATAGGAGTAGCAAGACTCTAAAGCAGACCCTCAGCATTAACAATACCGCACAGATCTCACTTTGTTTTCCCCCAAAGTCTCTTTCATTGAAGTTGACCAGGGAAAGAAAGACAAAGAGAAAAGCATGCAAGGGGCCCTTTGATCATCACCTGGGGCGATGCGGAAGAATGGAACCTAAGGGACGAACCTGTTGCATGTGCTGCTGACGCCCATGAAATTGCGAACCCATCTGATTGTGCTGCTGTTGGTTCCTCCCGACAATATAATCCTTATTGTCGATCGTCACACTCTTGGTCATATGGTTGACTTTGTAGACGCCGACGAGGCGCGCGGCAAGCTCAAACATGTTGTTGCGCAGGGAGATGACGATGAACTGGGCGTTCTTGGTGCGCTCCTTGATGTAATTCGCCACGATGGAGACCTGTAAGGAAGCTATGTCAATACTGGGGCAAAACCGGAGAGGGGAGGAGCGGATTGAGGAGAGAGAATGCCGACTTACATTTCTGAAATCCAATGCTGCGTCGATCTCGTCCATGACGTACAGCGGCGTCGGCTTGTAATGGTGCAACGCAAAGACCAGCGCCAGCGAGCTCAGCGTCTTCTCGCCACCGGACAGGTTACTGATGTTCTTCCAGGACTTCTTGGGCGGCATGACGCTGAATAGAATGCCCTCGCTGAACGGGTCGAGCGAATCCACCAGCTCCAGCTCGGCGTTGCCGCCCATAGTGATCATCTGATACATCTCCTTGAGCCGCAGCGAGATGGTGCTGAAGCCTTCCATAAAGCCTTCCAGGCGCAACCTCCGGAGATCGTCGCACCGCTTCTTGGCCGCATCACGCTGCGCGACGGCGCTTGCAAGATCCGATGACCGGGCGGCGTGCTCTTCCACGCGACGGCGGTACTCGGCAAGCACGCCCAGGTCGACGTTGACATTTTGTGTCTTCTCCTCGAGCGCGGCAATCTCGCCCAGGAGGTTCTTCTTGTTCATGTCCGCAAGCTCGTCCTTACTGTACCGTGGGAGTTCTAAAGGTGCAGATCGGCGATGGTCGTGGGTGAACTGCGTCATGGTGACGTCCTCGGCCTCAGCCTCTGCTTGTAATTGGGAGTCGGCATCACCCATCTCGACGTCCTCATCTTCGTCCTGAGCAGCTTGGGGAGCCGCCGCAGGAGGTGCGGAGCTGCCCGCGCTCTCTAGATCAGCGATGTTTTGGAGTGTCAATTTCGACAGCTTCTCCTCCCAATGGTACCGTTTCCTCTGGTTGTCCGCAAGGACCTTTTGGTTCTCCTCGAGCTTATTCCGCATCTCAATCTCAGCTGCGCGGGTTTCGTTGAGCTCGGCCGTCTTCTCGTCAAGTTCCGATTTCACCTCGGCCAGCTCCTCCTTCTTAGCTGTCAGGGCCTTCTTCGCCTCTTCGACTCTGGTCTTGAAGTCTCCAGCTTTATCTCCTTGGTTTTGGATCTCATCCTCGAGCTTCTCGGATTCATGGATGGCTGCTTCGAGCTCCTTGGAAGCCTTTGCGTGGTCTTTGGCGAGCTTCACCTTTTGCTTCTCCGCCTTCGCCTTACGGACCTCGGCGTTGGACATTTCCTCGTTCTGCGAGGAAATCTCCTCCTTGAGCGCATCCACCTTGGCCCTCTGGGTGCGGAGCTTCTCGCCGCCAACTTCCATGATCTTGTCCTGGAGCGTCTTGATCTCGTCCTCCACACTTGACGTCTCGCCGTGGAGTTTCTCGATCTCCCTGTTGAGCTTAGCAATCTCCTTCTCGAGCGTAACAACGCGGCTGTCGTCGGTCTTGGAAGGCTGATGCTCGCGGCTAAGTTCCTTGACTCTGCGGTGGGCATCGGCGAGATTTCTCTGCGAGCTCTCCACCTCCAGATTAATCTTTTGCATCCTGGTGTCAAGCTCCGGGATCTGCTCTTTGAGAGACCGAATGCGAGCCTCGAGTTCTCGCTGGCGCTCCTGAAACTCCTGGAACGTTTGCTCCAATGAATCCCGGTCCGCTTCCAGCTTGGAGACCTGCTCCTTGGTGGTATCGGCTACGAGCTTGGAGGACATGAGTCCCTTCTTGACCGTGGTACCGCCACCCGACATGGTACCCGACTTGTCAATCAGCTCACCGGCAAGGGTAACGACGCGCCACCTCTTAGCACCGTAGGCGATGCGGTTCGCCTGCGCTAAGTCCTTGGCCACTAGCGTGTCCTGGAGAGCATGGTAAAAGGCTGGCCGGAACTTGTCATCTTTGGGCTTGACAAGATCGAAAAGACGCGGGGCATTCTCGGGGGTCTGGATAGGGGATAGGTCACGGACTCTGAGCTTGTCGAGGCAGATGAAGTTGCCGCGGCCGAGGTTGGTCTTCCTCAAGTATTCAATGCACTGCTGGCCAGCCTCGACGGTGTCCGTGACAAAGTTGTCAAGCTGACCACAAGCTGTCGAGATGGCAACGTCGTACATCTGATCGATGGTACCCAGGTTGCCAAGGCGGCCATGGAACCCTTCGATACGGCCCGATTCCTTCATGCGCATCAAGGCCGTGAGGACGTTGCCCTGCGTTTGGGTAGCGGAAAGGCTCGACCTCGCCTCGTCCGCTTTCTGCCGGGCATTCGATAGCTTCGCGCGGAGCTTCGGCTCTTCCTCTGAGAGCTTCTCCAATTCGGCGACGGCTCTCCTGCCCTCCTTCTGCAGGGCAGCCTTGTCAGCCTGGCACTGCTTGAGCTCTTCCGCCTTTGCCGCCTGACTCTCTTCGATGGCAGCAATCTTGGCCCGTAGCTCATGGAGAGCGACCGTGCCGGCGTTGGCCTTCTCTCGCAGAATGGCCATCTCACTCTCGGCAACAGCAATGGCGGATTGCTTCTGATTGATCTTCTCCTTCCATGGCTCGAGAGACTTTTGCTTCGCAGCAATCTGATCAGAAAGATGCTGTGTCTTGCCCTTCAGGCTGTCGCGGATGTTGGCCAGCTCCACTTCTTCCTCCTTGACTTGCTGTTCAAGTTCGGCAATCTCTTGAGTACGAGTCTCGATTTCGTGGGTGCACTGTTCAATAGTCTGTTCTGCCTCGAAAGCGGAGCCCTCGGCGTTGGCGATGGTCTTCTCCAGCTTCTTCCGCTTGTCTGCAAGAAATTTGCGCTTCTCATCGAATTTGACGCGCTCCTGGTCGAACTTGGTCATCTCCTTGATCAAGGCCTGCGCCTCCTTCTCTTGAGCCTCATACTCCTTGCTTCCTTTCGAGTAGGCCTTTTCGAGCTGCTTGATGACCTGCTCACTGCCGTGGTGCTTTTCGAGCTCGGCATCGAGCTGCGCTTGCATCTGACCGATAGCCTCCTCCGTGACAGCGATATTGTCATCGCATTCGCTGATGTAGAGCTGGTACAGGGCTGACTGCTTCATGGCAAGCTCGTTTTCGTCGCGAACAAAAGCCAGCGCCTTCTCCTTCTTGTCCTCGAGGCTGTTCTTCTCTTTCTCCACATGCTGCACGCGCCCACTCTTTTCCAGACAGATCTCGTTCAGCGTCTCAACCTCGGCGGCCGCCTCTTCGATTGGGGTCTTGTACTTGGAGGTGCCGATGATATCCTCCAGATACTCGAGTAGGCCATCCTCGTGTTCATTGGCGGCCTTTGGCTTCATCTGAGCAATAGACTCGACCTCGCCCTGCAGAATCAAGAACCGTTTGTGGTCCAAATCAATACCGCGGTCACGCAACAAGGTCGTTACCGTCGTGAAGTTGGACGACTTGTCATTGATGTAGTATTGGCTTGAGTTGTTCTTAAATGCTTTGCGTGAGATGACCAGATCCGAATCCGGGATGACCTCGTGGCCGCCACCGGGCAGGTCCATGACCTCCCGGAAGTGCACGGCGACTTCGCAGTAGTCCAAGTTCGGATATTGGGCCGAATTGTGGATCAGCGCAGAGATCTTGCCCTGTCTCATCTTGCTGGCTCGGAAACCAAAGACGAAGAGCAAGGAGTCGATGACGTTGGACTTGCCGGAACCATTTGGACCAACGACCGAAGAGAAGGACGCGTGGAAAGGTCCAACCTCCTGCCGGCCAGCGTAACTCTTGAAATTAGTGAGTATAAGGTAAGTGATGACAAGGCGCGGCTTCGGTCCAGTATCCTCGACTTTTGGCATGGCCATGGTGCGCGATTTAAGCATGATGTCCATGGGCTTCTCGAGGATGGTCTCCATGGCATTTACGGGCTTGGTTGCGGCTGCCAGGACCGTCTCATCTTCTTGCCGGCGCTGCTCATTGACAGTGGCGGTTGTAATGTCGGCAAACGGAACACTATGAAGCTCCGCGGTGCCTGGCGACGACAGAGGCTGCTTCACCTGCGGCGGCTCTAGTTCGGGAGTCGCCGACTTGCTGGCCCTTGGTGCGACACTCTTTCGCCCGCCCCGGGCAGGCTTCTTGACTGGTGTAACCTCGTTGTCCGGTGCTGCCGTCGTCTCGGCGGTTGCTGTCTGATCGGGATCCAGCACCTCGCTGGGCTCGACAATGGAAGGGGGAGCAGAGGGAGCAGCGGCGCTCCTCTTAGCCGGCCGTCCACGGCGCTTGGGAGGCGGTGCGTCTTCTTCCTCCGCGGCTGCTGTCGTTGATGTCGTCCCGGTTGTAGCTGTCTGATCAGCTTCGAGCACTTCGCTTGACTCGGCGACGGAAGAAGGAGCAGCGGCGCTCTTCTTAGGTGGGCGTCCACGGCGCTTAGGGGGCGGTGCCGGGGTTGGTGTCGGCGTCATTTCAGCCATTGTCCTCCGCCTGCTCTGGGTCGCGCGTCGTGGCGTGGGAGCTGGGGCAGGTGTAAATTCATCTTCACTATCCTCCGCAACCTGGGGCGCGTCTGAACCCCCCTCGTCTGAAGATTCGACAATTGTTTGGCGCCGAGCTGCAGCCCGCCGCGACGGTCTTGCCGACATGGCGAAATAAGATCTCTAGAAAAAAGCGCAACGAGAGCAATATGACTCGTCGATGCGCTACAAAAAGCAAATCACAAGATGAAGCAAGGAGCCAGCATGGGTTCTCCGGTTGTGGTGGCTCATGCACGTCAGGCGCGGAAAAGGGACGCTGGTCGCCGGGAGCCCCGCCGTGTTGATTCAGAAACAGTCAGTTTGTAAACAATCAGCCACAGGTCAAGCCACCATGCCCCTCACCATCCGCCTCAGTGCACTACCCCAACACAGCACGTGGCTTGGCCAGTCCTCGGTAGTCGCATGACTTGCATCACTACGGATAACTACTCCGTAGCCGCATTGATTTGCATCAAGCGGGCTTTCCATTACTGCCATGGCACATATTATGGATCTGCTTCCACCTTGAACCTTCAGCTGCCCGAGACATCCTACCGCTTCAGAAATCCTAGTTGCGCTTGGCATCTACACCCGGCAAAATGCTGGACTTCTCACAATTTAGTGCTGCATTCCCGACGGACGGCCCCAATCCTTACGACCAGAATGGTGTGCGTGAGATCGAGACCTTCCGCAAGACGTTCGACGGCGTCTTGTTTATCGACCGTGTCCTAAAAGCGCTGAGCATCGGTGAAAGTGGGTAACAACTCTTCCTACGATGTGATAGCGGGAACTAACCCATTTCCAGCCCGCAAAGCGTATCCCCCCAGAGGCGACAGTGGCCTGAGGGCCCTGCACCAGCAGATCTGTGAGAGCAAGGTGTCACAGCACGCCAAGCTCTCGGTCTTCTACTACCTACTTCTCGACTTCGACGAGCTACGGGGCGCGCGATCCCAATTGGCCGAGGCGCTGGCCGAGGCGTCGGGCCTGCCACAGAACTACCAGATCCTGATGCGGGGCCTGTGGCACATGGACCGGAAGGAGTTCAAGTTTGCGCTCGAGCACCTGGCGCACCCTTCCCTGCCCTCCGAGTTTGCCGACGACATCATCACCGTGCTGGTCCGCCACGCCAAAGCAGATGACTACAGCCTCCCCTTGGCCTACTACCACACGGTGCAGCCCGTCCTGCAGACGGCCGAAGCCCTGGAGCTCCTCTTTGGTGCCCTCGCCCGCACAAGTGTGACTGAGGCGCTGTACCTCTCGCGCTCCTGGCCCGACCACACCCGGCAACAGCTGTTTGGGAAGCTGGTCTCGTCTGTGCTGGAACATCCCGAGGCAGTTGGCGCGCGTGGCAAGGAGCTCGTCAGCCTGCCGTTGACGGGGGCGGAGGAGAAGTGGTTCCAGGAGTACATGGCTAGTGGAGAAGGCAAGAAATCCAAGAACGCGAAAGCTGTGGTGCAGATGAGGCAGGTGGTCACGGGGAGGCATCGGGGACCGGTTCCGGCCGGCGGGTTGAGTAGTCAGGGGTCTGCTGTGCGGGCAGGTCGGTGATGTTCGGTAAAACGTGGGCTTACGGTTAGTGACGGCTTGTGACGGTCTGGACAGCACTTTTGTTCGCTTTTTCATGACGAGGTGCAATGGCATAGCGACGGCGTTCCGGTTTGTCTTGATACCACGGTGATGGCGTGGACTACCAGGAGTTCTCCTGCTGAAGCATGGAGCAATCGAATGGGGATACTCAGATCACCCGCAACTGATGTGCCTTCTAGGACAGTTAATGGTAGGCTCCTCTCATGTCGCTAAGTTGAGGACTGGATATCATCTGAGACGCTGTTCCAATGCTTAGGCGGTGAAGAGAATAGCCGATGACGTACTTCTACACGGTCTTCCCATCTTAGAAGCCTTCCTTACATCGAGACAAGCCCTATTTTGCTGCATGAACATCCAGATCCTGCCATCATACCCCTTATGTCTCATATCACATGAAAACCTGGACACTTTAGGCGACTACATCCTCCCTCGTCAGCCACTCCAGCCACAGAGAATATTAAATAGCTGGCGTTGCCAGTCCACCGGCTACAAACGCGACCCCGAGGGGGTTAAGAACTGATCCCAGTAAAGGATCCTTCTATGCTACTCTGATCGCTAGACCACCCAGCCGGGATATCATATAACTGTACAGCATCATCGTCTCCATCATGTATTGTACATCGTTAGCTACATCCTGCCGCCGAGCCCATCGCTCACCGCCACTCTAACCCTCAATACAGGAAGCATACAGTCGCTTGGAGACGCAATCTGTCTCGGCGCCAATCCGACGACAGTTTTGAGGGTTCCTCCATCTTTCGAGCCTTTTCCCTTCTCCACCGTAGCAGAACCCAGTGACCCACCGGCTCTTACCCTTAGTTTGCCTGTCCGCCCTCATGATTCTTCCCTCACCCACCCTCCGCCGGCCCAGCCGGCTCCGCAGCTCCAGCCTTCTCATACTGCCCCCTCAGCGCATCTACCTCTCTCTGCAACGCAGTCAGATCAGCGAGAATATCCACCGTCGCTGACGCCGCCGTCGCCGTCCCCCCGCTGTCCAAAAACCCGTTGCCGGCCACAGCCGCGGCATTCTGCATGGATCCCGTCTCCGGCGCCGCTACACCAGCAGCAGCGCCGCCCTCCAGACTCGCCCGACTGCTTCCCCTATGTCTGGGGGGCGGAGGCGGCGTGGGCCCCTCCTTTCCGCGACTTGACCTCCTAGATAGACCGGCATCCGAGGAAGGCATGCTAACACTGACGGGCCGCTTCGCGCGGATAGAGGCATTCCGGGCAGGGGGGGGTGGCGGAGGCAAGGTCTTCACTGCTCCTTGTGGATGGTCCACAGCCTCTGCTCGAGCCTCCCTGACGCTGATGCTACTGCTGGACGGATCGCTCATCAGAGGAGGAGCTGGACTTATTGAAGGAGGGCTTGGTATGGTTAAAGGTTCATGCGCAAGGCATGGGTCCAGCGAGGTCGGCGGCACCAAAAACGAACTTGAAGCGCGTGATTGATGACTCGGCCGGCGCGGCGGAGGGGGTGGCGCCGGGGCGTGAATGTTAGCACGCACGCTAGAGGAGCGGGACCTTGTCGAGTCGAGTGAGGACCGTCCTAACGAGGTGTCTCTGTCATCCTGCTGCGATCCTGGACTAGAAGTAATCCTGCTCTCTGAGCGACCGTGCGGTTGCCGCCTTGGGGGAGGGGTTGGCCTCTTCGGCGCTTGCTGCTGCGATGTTGCAGAAGGAGCGCTGGGGGTGGCATTCGACGCGTTTGGCGGTGTCGGTGGCCTTGGAGGCATAATAATGTTAAGTCCAGACGCTGTCTCCGGTTCGGGTACCTTGCCTGCGGCTTCGCGGTCGAATACACTCTCGGCGTCCTCCTCTGCTGGCGACCTATGCGGAGCTGGCGGCAGCGGCTTGTTAACGTCTGATGGAGTAGCCGGGCGCTGTCTTGACGGGGAGGTGCCGGGGACGCTAGCCGCCCTCTGTGCCGGATTTGACAGGGGCTGCTTGGACCCGCCTTCGCCTCCTTGCCCGGGATTGATCAGTTTCCCGTGCCGCGAGCTGGGCGGCGGCGGCTTTTTCTTGAGCGTGAATGGAGCGGGTCGTGACACTGGCGGATTGCTGTTGATTAGCCTGCGGTGTTCGTCCTCCGCTTCTTGTTCAGAAGTCTCCCGAGATGTCCTGGGCGTGTCTTGCACAGCCTGTAACGTCTCGGTTATGGATTGCCGAGAGGCGGAAGAGGTGTCGGGCGTACTTCCGCCATCGCCGCTCGGCGACGGCGGATGCCTAGCATGTTGAGTATATGGCGCCGATGAGCCTGAAGCGTCAATCTGTCCTGTCAACAACAGCCGTCCGAATGCACCAACGTCCAACGTTGCCTTTGGTCCCCTTGCCACGTCAGGGTGCGGTGTCTTCTCTGTGACGCCGTAGTCTAAATCTCGCAGGGTCTTTTGAAACGGATTCGGCGCCGGCCGGGTTGACGGCGTCGGCTGATGCTCGTCTCCTCTATCCGAAGCATCGGTCGAGCCGCTTGATGAGGCATAGGTGAACGGGTCAACTTGTTCGTCGATATCGTCGCTGCTATCGCTCTCGCTATCATCTTGATCGGCCAGCGGAGAACGATCAGGTAAACCGGAAGAATCGGGCGACGACGGTGGAGGCGATTGCACGCGAACTTTCTTGACGACCTTCGGCTTTTGGAAGTCTACGGCGGGCGGCGGTTCGTTCGGGTGCGCAAGTGCTTGTAGCTGCTTTCGAAACCTATCGGCTGGCGGCAGAGCTGGCGTTGTTTCAAAGGTCGGACTGCCGACTCTGTCAAATGGTGGCACGCCGGGTGGGCCGGCGGTCGCGGAAGGAACCGAAGCTTTGCGACGAAAGGGATTGTTGGAGCTGAAAGACGGCGGTTGAGCCATTGTTGCAGCCGCTATGAGGAACGAAGAGAGATCAGACGGATTATTGGGATCACAAGGCGTTGCGCTTGTACCACAGGGTACTAGGCCTTAGACGAGCCAGGACCTCAAGCCCCCCTAGGCAGTGCCGTCGGGCGTGTGCGGCAACCCGGCCCCGCATTCGACCCGACTACCCGGAAGAACAGGGACGTGGGTTCTCTGAATGGACGTTGCGTCTGCAGGCAATTGCTAACAAATCGGAATACTTATGCTTTGTACGGGCGGGGCTTTGAACGCTAGCCAAGTTTGTTGCCTGTTGCATGCAGCCTGGAGGTGGTAGCTGATGGGACTCGGCCCCCTGAGCAACGGGTCTGTCTAGAACCTACGTAGGTCGAGTTCCGGTTCGCGGGGTGTTGTTGACGGCATTAGGCGGTGGGTTATGGCAGAACTAGATGCGCTCCACCGTCCGAGCTTCCGAACTGGCCTGGCCCACCTTCGAAGCTTCTGCCAGTTGTGCGCAATGCGCATCCGCATCCATGATCCGTCATAGGTGATAGACCCCACACCAATGGAGAACCCCGAGCCCGACGATCGGGTCTACCTCACCACCAACTGAACCCGGAACTCAACTTGCGTCAAATGACTCCGATGATCAGAGAACCAACAAGGGCCTGAGCTGCTCATAGCGTACAGTAGTTATTAGCACCTGATCACTTGGCCACGCTACAAGGGCATCTCCCACCACAAAGGCTTCGTGCCATTCATGACACACACTGCCACAAGCAGGCAACCTTTTACACGTCTGAGCAATAGAACGGAATGCTGCCTATATACATACATCGATGGCAATTTGGATAACAGCCACCACGGCGACCATGTCCATTCCAGTGAATTTAGACCAATATTTCGCCAAGTTTTCTAATCAGTCAAAAACACAGAGTGCAGGAATAACGTTCTATGTGGTACCGTGAGATGACTCTGTTTTGGGGGGTAAGTGTAAACAAGGGGCGCGAGAATTTCGCGTCTCGGTGCTTCGGCTACCCACTCTCAAAACAACGATACGACCGGTGGATGGAGATACGCGTTAAAGCATGATGAGAGCGCTGAAAATTCATCTGGTATAATTACAAGAACCCCACAAACCCTCGAGCCACTCCTTTCGAGTCCGCCGTCCGCGAAATCCCAACGCCAACAGGTTTCCGAGCCTCCCTTGCACGCCATGCCTCGCCGAATCTGTCGCTGCTCGCGAAGCCGCTGACGATTTGTCTGTGTAAACGGTGTCCATGAATGTGCGACGCCAATTCCGCATCATATGTTCCACGCGGGCTCCCGCATGCCTTCTCCAGCGAATCACTCTTCTGGAAAGGCATTGCGTGGCAAGTCCATGCAAAATGGTCATTGTTGCCCAACCCGTTCCTTTCGAACGTAGTAGTGCCCAACGCTATCCCCAAAATAATCCCTGAATATCGCCTGAACGCCGAACTAGACCAAAGCAAACCATCATACTTGAGCAAGAGGGAGACGTCACGATGAAACGAGAAGCCGAGGGCATCATGCCGATGCCGCTTCAGCCTTCTCGGCCTTCTTGGGTGTCTTCTCCTTCTTGGGAGCAGCAGCCTTCTTTGGAGCAGCCTTCTTGGGCGCGGCAGGTTTGGCGGCGGTCTTCGCCACTCGGCCAGACTTGGTCTTGGTCAAGACCGTGGGCTTGTCGACAACAGCAGGTGCGGCCGGAGCCTGTGTGGATTCAGTTAGCTACCGAATGACAGGAGCAGGCATTAAGGTATTCACCTTCTTGGGCGCAGCAGCCTTCTTCGCCTTCTTCTGCACATCGGCCTTCTTGGGCGCGGCCTCCTTCTTACCGGCTGTCTCCTTCTTCGGAGCGGCCTTCTTCGCCGCCGGTTTCTTAGCAGCCGGCTTCTTTTCCTTCGCCTCCTTCTTGGGCGCGGCCTCCTTCTTCGCTGCCGTCTCCTTCTTTGGCGCAGCCTTCTTCGGAGCAGCAGGCGTCGCGGCCTTCTTGGCAAGCTTGGTGCCGCCGGAGGGACCTATCGGCACTTAACACCAGGTACACCGTGATCAAAGGCAGATGACTCACCCTTGGGTTGCTCGAAGATACCCTTTTCAACACCGGCCTTCAACGCCCGGTTGAAGAGGTTGTCGAACATCTTCTCGCCAACATTGCCGAGGTTGTTGTTGGCGCGCACATATTTCTTGAGCGATTGGCGGCTGGCGACGGCGTTAGCAATAGTGTTTGTTTGTTGCGACATGAAGGCGGGGTTATGGTGCCCGCGACCGCGTGTGAACGGATGCTGCGACGTTGGGTTCCAATGCGACAAATGTGGAAATGTCCTTACCTGGAACCATTGCGGTCTTTGAGCTACGATTGAGAAGAAAAAAAAGGTCAGTGAAATTGAGCTTCTACATGGGCGGGCCATATAAAGTGACGTGGCGAGGCATGAGACGATGCATGACAAAATCATGCGAATGGCCTCATGCGCATCGGGCGCCAACACCAAATGCGCCGGAACAAAAGGAACGGGTTTGAATACCGAAATGATAGCATCGGTAATCATATCCTACAAGCCATTAGCATCACATAACTTCCTCCAAATCCCGGCGTCGTCATTGCGCACCTGGTAGGGAGGATGGGTGGCCGTCTTGGTAGTCGCGGCGGCAGCACCCTCGCTCTTCGCTTCGGTCTTCTTGGGAGGCATGGTGATCTTCGTGGAGTAGATACGCTAATACGCTTGGATCGCAATGGCAGTGCAATGTCTTTCAAGAAAGATACAGGTGGGAATGACGCGATCGGATTGTAGGAGACGGAGAAACTGGGAGCAGGAGGGGGTGGGAGGGCGGTCGCGCTCGGGGGCATGCCCTCATGTTTATATGTGGGAGCGGGGGGTCTTGCTCAAACGCGAGTGATTGTGCTGATTGCGACCCCCGGCCGGAACACAAGACAACGGGAAGGGAGCTCCAGGCCATTTTTGGGGGATGCCCGACTTCCCGCACTTTCCCTTTTCTGTCGCCAAATGCTCTACTGAATGCTATTGTGGGACGGACAAGGGTAGCTTGGGCCAAACGCGTCGAACTCCCATGCCAAGACCGGGCACAAAACTGCCCTGACGTGTTTACACAGCCAAAATCCAGCTTCCGGAATCCCCAGCTCAATCCTCTTTATTATTTTGATCTTGTCATCTAATTATTAGGAGTCTATAGCTCTGTACCACAGTATTCCAAGATAGGCTGGCAACTCCTCTATACGTGATGCGTAGGGTCCAAGTCTGCAGCCAACCGTCCTGCTACACTACCATGGTAAGTCCAAGCTTAGTTGGCCCGTCAAAGAAGCTCAACAGAGCCAGCCGCTTTGCGGGTCTGACATTACTAGTAGTTATCTTGTAGTTCGGACTACAACAGCATACGAGACGGACAACATCTCTAACTGTACGGCACAGGACGGGGTGATGAAGATGACGTTCATTGGACTGCCTTGTTGAACGAGTCAGGGGATTCAACCACGCGGGCAGTGGAGCCTCACGTGCAGCATTCCTTGAAAAGGTGAGCGAGGAAAGAGGTCACGGCAGGGAGTCGATGGTTCCAGGTTCTTATTATGTAGACTTTGCATGTCAGTTGTGGAGCCGCGAAATCCTTTTCTGATTTACGGCGGAGGTAGGTGATCATAGAGTGATACTTCAAATAGCTGAGTAGCCGGCTTGCCGTCATTCTAGAGACCGTATCAAGGAAAACCAAACCACGTCCCATGCAACGCAATTTTGGCGTATATGATAGTGGAGGTGCTCAAGAGTTCCAGATTTCAATGGAGCCCGAATAATGCAATGGCGCCGCATAGCTACTAAGTACACTAACTCGATGTCTGTGTCTTCGCTTGAGACGATCGACGGGGAGCAAGGAAACCAACCATAGTGATCCGAAACACAAAGACCATTAATAAGCTAAGATTAGACAATCCGTCAAGGACTAGAATCGAGCAAAACAATAGGCAGTTGGAGGGGTCACGATTTGAGGAGGGAGCAGAGTATCACATACCTCAACTAGTGCTCCCTCGACCGACGGGAGTTCGAGGAGGCTGTGAGTCAGTTCAAAAGATTTCTCAAGAAAGATATTCGAAGTTTCAAGTCAGCCGGCACATAAACGGAGCCCAGAGTCAACCATAATAGTATCGCCGATCAAAGTACTCTAGCAGCATACCGTTCACCGCGACGTAACTTAAAACCTTACAAGCAGCCAAGAATCAGACTTTTGTCCGATATTAACTCCCATTGACACCAGGTTATTTAGGTAGGTTGGCTAGGTACCTAGTGCCATCTTACATGTACCTCAGACACCTATATTGCCCGCTTTCCTATCCAACTAGCGAGTTATAGACACGCCGTCCTGTCGAGAGCACAACTTCAGGTGATGGTTCGCATATTGCTGCCGGTCAATAGATGGTGAACCATGAAATCAAACTTAGGTTCTAACGCAAAGCCGCCAGTAATTCAACATATTGACCCCAACAAGGGTATTCCATCACACTCCTAGTATCCCTCAATTGAGCTAGATAGGTTGAGATATTGGAGGCGGTCTGAGCCGCACAGCTGAACTCGGACTAAATACGAGCAATACATGGTCTCAGAGACGTGTCGACCAAGACTGCCATTTTCATCCCCAAGGTGCACGCCTACGGATGGTCGAATATAGGGCCGAAGGGATTGCCGTTTATCATCATGGACTATGTGGAAGGCAGCAGCTTGAAAGACCTACGCGATCCCAAAAATTGCACCCAGCGAGTCGGCGGACTCTGTAAGGAAATTCAGAGACTCGAAGAACATGGAAGCACCCGGCCTGCCACCTCACCTTGTCAGCTGAACGGAAACCAATGGAAACATGGTATGTTCATTTCCCGTTTGGGGAGAGTCAACATGGCATTGGGGACCCTGCCGCCTCTACCCGTCTCGAAAGGGCAGAATGGCTGAACTTGCTTCAAGGTGCCCATACCGACGTCGTTCCCGTACTCAACAATCCTCAAAAAACCTACTAAGTGTACTGGTGCCTCATTCTTTCCCGAAAGAGCGGTGCCCGCGCCAGCTGAGGACAATTATGACACATGGAACGAGAGACATGAAAAAGAGGTTGCCCCGCTCATCAGGGCCTCCATGGAGGCTTTCCCCGAGCTCCATCCTTTCGGAAAGGAAGATATGGGAGCAGATGGAGTTCTTTGAGAGCCGAGAATGAGCATTATAGCGATGAAGATTCGCGTCATATCTGTCCTGCGCCACCGCTTTGCCTACCTCGGTCAGAAAACACTTCTAATACGGCACGCAAACAGCTCTTCAGGCTCCTGTACCTACCTAAGGTAAGTTATTTAGGGCAGGGAGAGCTCATAACTGGATCTTCACGGCGTGATCCAAGTGCGAGCGTGGTGTGACCTGTCCCACCGGCGGTCAAACAAGCTGTGATTGGCTAGCCGACAACCGGTCATTGTCACTACCCGTTCTTTGTGCGTCTTTCGGTTTCTTCACGAGTCTCATTTTACCTGTCATGTGCCCTCCTATCTTGGACTGCCTGCCATCTTTGAATCCATTTGATACCATGAACTTATCTGCGGTCTTTCACCCAATGACCGGCCTCTTTCCCTCACCTCTAATCAACCCAGGGAGCTCTTATTGGATACTTCGACTCTTGAGTCCTTGAGATCAGCTGGCCCAGACATGGTTCGGGCCACCCAAATCCACCATCGAGGAGCAGGTTATCATGAACGACTATTTGTATCTCCATCTCTGGGTCTTCTATGGGCGCGGTCGGAGGAAGGGTGTATTGAGGTATGCCCATTTGCGGTAGGGTCTCAGTGACCTGTGCTTGTCAAGTGCCCTACATCTTTTGACGACCTGTGTGCTGACCTGCGAAGCGATAGTACGGGACACTGACGGACTTTCGTGGCTTGGGATGTTGAGTACGCTAGAGCTCGTGACAAGGAGACCTCCCTCCCCAGGGGCCACAAGGGTGATTGATACACCCTGGCACGTCCTATATTGGCAGAAAGAGACCAACAGGGTCCAGCTGTGCGGCTGGATGATCTCATCTTCCTAGCTGGAGACCCGCATCCACTTGCACTTGCAGGACGACTCAAGGAGATACCACTCGCAGGAAAGAATTCGAAGCCTCGTATTTTTTTGCACGCTCAACGCCTCGCTCTAACCCAATACCAAGAGCTCCTAACGCCTGCTGCTATGCATGATTCCCATCGATACCCAGCCAAGCATGCAAGATTAACCCATCACAACACGATTAAGAAACTATGAACGACGAAATGCAGCGGACATAGACCATGAAGACCACACGCTTCTCTTCCAGTGTCGCACCGGCGCTGCCCACCGCCAGCTCAATCCCTAAGACTCTTCCTCACCCGCACTTGTCTGTACGAGGCGCCTTCAGGCTCCGGTGATCCTGATTGCCGCTCATTGGCACCGTCCCATCTACCATATATGGTGGGACAACTGAGATAATGGCATGCGATCCAATCATCCATCCCCGGGGCGGGACAAACCAAGGCAGAATTGCGACAATGTACGGGTCTTCTGCTTTGGCTCCGTGTTCCATTCCGGAAGCCAGACCTTAGTCCTGCGTTGAGAGGCGGGCTTTCGCCGCCTCGGCAGTCGTATCTTTGTTCAGATTGGCTTTCGACCAGAGGGTCGCCCTGATCGGGATTGCCGAGAACTCTTCCGCGGTATTTTAGACTTCTATTGCCATGATGAGCGGCTCATCTTCTGTCCCGTCTTATAATGCTGGCTTGTTAGCGCCGAAGGCATCGACTCGCCGCTCGCTAGAATGCCGAGGTATGACCCATGGGTTAAGGTCTTTAAAAGAATCGAATGGAGTACATCTGGGACGCGTCGGAGGTCGACGTTCCTTCGCCTAAAAGAAATTCTTGTTCAACACCCCGATGGTCCGGGCATCCTCCACCGCCAGCCGCTCCCGCTGGCCGGCAGGCGGTCCCACCACCGGTGTTCCGCCGCCCATCTGCGCGCCGCTCGGCGAGCTGCTCGCACTGCCGATTCCACCACTGCTCCCTGGGTTTGCACTGTTCGGTGCGGAATCCGTAGGCGCGGCCGACGGCGGAGGGTGCAGCAGCAGCGCCGACAAGACGGGCTTGGTGCTTGCCGTGGGTACCGTGCCAATACGATCATTGCTCCGGCCATCAGAAGAGACGGCGCTCCGCGGTGGAGACATCGACAGCGACCTTGTCTCGGGACTCGTCGTCGCTGGATTGAGCGGTGGCGGTGGTTGGGATGTTCCGCTTGTGAATGGGGTGATTTGGCCGGGGACGGGGAGAGCGCTAGCCTGGTTACGCGTCGTGTCTATTGGGGCTAATCGCGTGTCGATCTGGACGGCGTCCCTGGCCTGTGCTTGCAACTGCTGCGACCGGGGCGAGTCGCGGACTGGTATTCCAGGCTGCGAGGCCCGGGGGGAGTGATGCTGGCTATGGGGGTATCCTTGTGGAAGCGGCATGGCAGCTTTAGGTAAGACGGGAGCGGGAAGCTGGGGGTGTGGCTGAGGGAGCGGCAGCGGTGTCCGATCGTAGTGAGCGTGTGGCGGTGGGGGCGGGTACGGATGATGCGGATACGGGGGGTACGCGTGTAGTGGCGGGTGTGGCGGCCCTTGAGAATAAGGGTAGTGACCGTGACTGTACGGCGGTGTTCCCGCCGGGGACGGAGGCCACCCATAGCCTGGCGGCGGATACGGTAGCGGGTAGCCATGAAGAGGCGGCGGGGGGTGGTGATGAAGCGGGTAGGGCGCTTGGTGCATCGCTGACCTCGTCCCGGCGGGCGGAGCCGCCTCCGTCAGGCTCGATTCGGGGTACATTCCTTTCGGAGGGACAATGTGTCTAAGCGCTGGATCCATGCTGGGCTGGGGCAAGTCGAGCGGCGACCCTCTGGAGTAATAGGCGATGAGGTGAAGATGCTGGCCAGCTGAGTTGGTGATGCTGAATGACTGCTTCATAAGCCCATCAGGTTTGTACCGGTATCCGTCTGGTTCTCCGTCATCATGGTCATCGTCGCTACCGCGGCCCGAGTCCGGAGTCTTTCCAGCACCTCTCCTGCTTGCGCCGAAGGCGTTCCCCCTCTTCCCTTCCATCTCCCGATACGTGAGAAAGCTGCCGGACACGCGGCTAGCGCTCCATGACTTGCCATCTGTCCACCTTCGCATGCCTGCTTCGCGCTCGTCCCAGACAAAAACAGATCCTGACCTGATCTGCTGCCGCTCTTTTTCTGACAACCTCCTCTGGACCCGCGGGAGAAGGCCGAGCCGACATGCTTCAAAGAGTTTGATGGCGTCGGCGGGCGTCCGCACTTGGCCGTAGTATGTTTCCATCATTGCGAAAGGAGTGCTGGGAATGGACATAAGGCGACACTTGTGTCGTTCATATGATGGACGAGCTGCTGGCGATCAAACCGTTAAGATATCGGTCCGCTTGCTCGGCTCCCTTGTACCTCCCTTAATCCTACGAGAACCTTGACCAGGAGAACCCTAACCACCCGAGGCGAGGGATGACGCGCTCGGGTTCGGAGACCATGCGCCGAAACGAAGTGCTGAGTGAGATAGCGTAATGAGCTTCCGGACCTCGTGGCCAAAATGCTAACTGTGGCAGAGTCAGAATTTGGGTCTTGGACAATGCCGAGAGATGATGAACATAGTGACGAGGCCCTGGGGAACGCCTCCGGGGATCTGAGACATGACGATGGGGTAGGATGGCGAGGCTCAAGGCTTGGCAGGGCGAGGCCGCTGAGCAGCCAGAAACGACAGAAACAAGCTGGAAACATGGCATCTTCAACTCAGATCGGCAAGACCCATCCAAGACCGCGGCTGGCAGGTCCTGCCGAGGATAGGAATTCCATCCCACTTTCCGGCTGGAGTAGTGTACGTAGTCCTCGGCATGATCCGCGTACGCGTCAGGAGTTACAGCACGGACATTGTGGGGTCGTCCAGCACACCACCACCACGCTTCCTGACAAAAGGGCATGCCACTTGGCTTGATCCTGTATTGCGTGGATAATTGGAAAGGCTACCATTCCCCTGACCGGCAATGCCCTCTTTTTGTCTGTCTCTAGCAAAGACTCGGTCGGAAATGCGGCCACGATGCCGGCGACGCTTCGGGTCCCTCCGAACCGGCGACTCTAATTCCAGACAGCACTTGCTTCTGATTCGCGAGCCGGGGTCCAGGACCTCAACGGCGACAGGTCTCCTTTGGGGCGCTTGATTCCGCGCAGTTGAGGTCTGGGAAGGTATAGAGTTAAACACAAGAGGGAAAGCATCCACATACCAAACCGGGCGGGAGAGATAGGTGGTCGATGAAGAAGCTCCACAATGCTGAGAAGCCCCTGAGTCCGTTGCAGACAAGCTCTCGGTGAGTCTGCCCTAATCTATGGTGTTTGGGAAGAGCACGAAAAACTGGCCGTCCAAGAGAACAATCGACGGTGATTTTCTATGGTTATAGCGAGCTGCAGTGTTGCGCGAGTCGACTTTCGGTGGGCGATGTGTTCTCAAAAGCAGACAGGCTCAGCGGAGAATGGGTGAATCGGGGTTTACGTTCCTTCTCGGAAAATGGTCGGATACGTGGTTTAAGCTTCTGCCGTACAGTAGATCCTGGCTGATGGGAGCGAGGATCCCGCTAAGATATTGCGCCCGGGTTTTAACGTGTTTGTGGAAATAAGGTCAAGAGGGGCCACGGTTAGCGGCTGCCCTGTGGGGACCGGCTGCATCTCGATGACGCTGCCATACGGCACAAGGATATGTGTCTCGGTTTGTGGGAGGTTAAATGGAAATTTCAATCTTGGATGTGGGGTAACTTACAGCCTCGGTGTCCCGTTACTACAGTATGTATCCGTACTTACATATAGGCACATTTTCTTAGATACCTGGTATGTAGTACGTAGGTGCCTTGGGTAGGCCTCGGTGCCTACTTAGGTACGCAGTAACAAGCAATCTGGAATGCGTACTTCTCCTTATGTAATAATCTACATACGTCAAGCTGCTGGTTGTTGGGCCCTCTGCTCCCACCCTCGGCTTGAAAAACGAGAAAAACGATGGAGCCCGAGTAGTGCATGTAAATAACGTATGTTACAGCTACTGGTTGATACTGTATGAGAAGGTCAACAGATATTACACTACCATTCAGGACTCACCTGTGCCCGGGTTCCAGTCTCTCGCTTCGCAAAATGCTCTTGAGAACCAGGGATGTAGCCACATTACCTAGGTATTAGAAGTTTAGTGTTGGCCGAAGAACTGCCTGACACTGGCATGCAGTGGTTACAGGTAACAGACGTGGTACCGTAAGAAAGATAAAAAACAATCCCCAAAACGGCACCGTCTTCCGAGGATTGTTCCTTCCGTATGTCCTCCACATCCCAGCCGACCACGCCTAGGTCCGGAGAGCCAAGGCAAGCCCAAACAATGGGGCTGCAAGACCCAAGCAGCGCAAACGACAGAAGTGGTAAAAACTCCCAGTTAGTGGCTCCACCAGCTGTCGTAAGCTTATCAATGGGAATCGACTTGGGCTCGGGCAGGAATTCTCGTTCAGCACTCCTGTTCGCCAAGCGAGATGTGAAGGGTTGGCAGGCTGCCGAATTACACTATACACAGTACATACATCAATAATACCACGGAGTCAGACGATGCCTCGCAACCACCATTCATTACCGGCAAGCGATAACTGGTTCGGACTGGACCTTGGTTGGTCAGATCGTGACTACCGTACCTTACCTAACATGACAGATGGTGTTAGCAACGAGTTGCGAGTTGCAACCGCAGAGGTGTTACGCCCGAGGTTCTCTGTTGCATGTAACTAGGGTGTGGGTGGATTTCACTAGGTCAGGATACTCACCAAGGGGCTTCAACTCGGTGTTTTCATTCCCCGTCTTTGTCTTGCGCCAAGCGACCTCCTCCATCGGGCGCCTGGGAGGATGAAGTTGGCTCCTCCCCGAAATGGTTGCCTGCCGGGGGCGAGCAGGAAGGCCGCGATCCATTCCTGCTCTACCTGCCTGTCTCCTCCGATCAACCCGCCGGATCAGAGTCCAAGATCAGCGTGGAACCTGTGAGGGCATCCTCGAACCAATGTTCGACGAAAATTGTTTGGCCGCGAGCACGGTGCGATTCTCCGCTGATGTGGTGCCATTCCGGACCGGGGAGGAACGGAGTCTTGGCCTTGTTCGGAGGCGGCACGCCAAGATCCCTGTATCCACCAGATGCCATAGAGTTGTGTGAGAATAGGATTTCAAGCTTATTTCACGGCGCCACGTCGGGAGCGTTAGCGCCCATTGGCACGCGTTTCCAAGACTTTGGGGGCGCAATCCTCGACTGCGAGTGGGCCAATCAAGATCCGACTTCCCCTCACCTACCTTAAACATGGTGCGCTTCCAGGATGGGCAGCTCTTAAGTCTCGACTTGGCTGTATCGACGCCACCAAAGACAAAGAGGACGGAATGGATGGCGGAAGACATCGGCGCAGTCTTTGATATTCCTAGGGACTACGTATATCGTTCGGAACTATTGACTGTTGGCCTGATCCACAGCGTTGCTCAAGACAATGGCGATGGGTCAGCATTTTCTCGGCATCGACGCCTAAGAACAAGCCGAGCGCTGACACATGCACTAGAAAGCATTGGCATGTCTTGGTGCTCTTGGAATAGCGTTACGGGTAGGAAGGGAACTTGACGTTATGGCGCCCAATGGTCACCACTTTATGTATCACCGGATGGACTCTTGGGAACCCGCCCGTGATGCATTCCGAGTTGGCCCTTAGTCAGATCTTAGGTTCACTAGCGCAACACTGAGTCGTATTCGGCTCAGCGTACCCGAACCTGATGGATCGGGGCCTCTCAAGTTCCCGTCTCCCGACCCAGCCGGCTGAGGTCCGAGCAGTCCGAGGGTCATCTTTCGAGGTGATTTGAGTCGTCATCTGTGCAACGCCGCTTGTGTAACAGCTCGCGGCTGTTAATTAGTGTAGTTGTGCTGCCATGTCTGCTTGCTGTCAGCCACTCACCATAATTTTCTTCCGCCGAAGCATTCAAAAAGATCCCCGCAGCACCGCGTTACAGTCACAACTCTCCTGTCACATCGATAAGGGCTCAAGCAGCGGGCTGCGGTGCGAGAGCTATTGGAGCCGTGCTTCTGTGTTCGAGACGGGCACTATGCCAATAACCTCCCGGGGCTCCGTTTGCTGCTGGCCTTATTGCCCACGTGCACCTTGTGTATACCTGGCACATGCCTCAGACTATTCTGTCTATGTAAGTGGGGTTTGTGAGGAGCACGAAGGTAGTGTAGCTCAAACCCTAAAATACCTCGGTAACTTGAATGTTACCTGCATGGCCTAACCGTTGCCGCGATTGCGTTATGGGGAGCAGCGGCGCTACCCGCGCGAGCCGATACACTCCTCTGACCTTGTCTCCATCCCAACTATGGTCCTGTACAATACCACAGTACATGCACACACAGCCTACATGTATACATACATGTACGAAACGAATGCTCCGATTCCTCCGAAGCCCCGGTGCCTCGTGGAGTTGGTGCAGAGGGATCCAAGACCCAGCGTCCAAAACAGGAAATAACAGACAAAGAGCAGATAGGTACGCTATACGACGGGAGCAGATGTGAGCTGTCCCACTCTGGCCAATCAGTTGCGGCTCATGCCGTGGCCTTGTGTCGTGATCAGGCTGTAAGCGCTGCTGTCCACATATGGGTGTGACGAAGAACAACCATAGAAGCAAACGGAGAACCTACCAACCGTATGGAGACCTCCTTAGGTTAGGTAGGTCCATGGTCTTATTGCCACGAGCCGCAGGTTGGCTGCCGCCTGTAACGCCTAATGCGGCGTGTAGGTGCAGTACTGAATACACGACGTACAGAAGAAGAGCCGGGTGTATGTACAATACGCGTATGTATGTCCAGTACATAGGTACGCATATCCATACAGTACTGGGCAGGTTTAAAAATCCCCGGGGCCAAGCTGGAGTGGTTGAGGCGGCTTCCCTCGGCTACCTACGGTGGGGTCAAAAGGTGGTCGTCTGTTTAAAGTTAAGCTGAGAGACAAGCCAACCCAATATATCCCCCCTGAGTCCAGACCAGAATAACCGGGGGGCGCTCTGCATGCTAGCGTAAGGCATGTACTAGGTTTTACCTACGCTTCTAATAGCCATCCATCAGCCAGCAAACGGAGAAGACGAGTAAAGGAAAGCGATAATAAAGCAATACCTGCCTAACGTCGATGGTTGCCAACGGGGACCTGGACGATGCTGCCAAACCGTTTGCGTGTGTGTCAGTGGCAGTACGATCGCGCAGGTGACAAGCACTCAACCGATGGCTGATTGCAGCCGAGCGTCGCACAAAGTTGGCTGCCAACATGAAAAAGCTGAGATGACAGGCCATCGTGCGACAGTGCAAACCTCGGAAATGACGCCCAGCGTTGCGTACCTATCTGGCTAGGTAGCAGCCTCTCGGGCGTAAAGCAGGAAGCCAGATTCCTGCTGCCGGGAGAAGGAAGCAACCCGAGACGCGCTTGGGATATCGCGATAAAGTTCGACAGAGTGTGATAGCGGCGGTCCCCAACGAGTCCACAACTCCAAGGCCAAGACGCGAAGTCGGCCGGTTGCTAGAACGAGAACGTACTGTCGGGCCCAAGTGCACTGCACCGCTCGGACTCGAGATGCATGTTGGCGGCGGGATATGATGATGAGTACCCCCCACACTCGACCTTATGCTCAGAGGCGGCTGCAGTAAGCATGATGCAGGCTTGGCACCGCGTCGTTACACCAACAGAGGCCGAGAGCGAGCCTGTCGGGTGACTTTCCAAGGTTGAACGGCTTCGAGCAGCTGGAGGCCCTCGGTCTACACGGTACCCGAAATAGATATGAGGAGGTCTGGAGCGCAAAGACGGGAAGCTGAGCCGTCGTCAGCATCCCTAAGTCGTCGATCGCGCAAGCGTCGAACTAGCTAGGAGCTAAGGTGGTTGGACGATGCGTTGCCAGATCGAATATACTGACCGCCGAGCAGTTAATGAGGTATTCCAGAGTGCAAGTATGGTGCGTCCGTACATACCTCTCGGTCTGTAGTGGATGTAAATACCTCGTTTGACGCACAGGCCTCTCAAATCAGGTTGCCCCGCAACGATACCCCGATGGCCGCTTAAGCTTAACTCCTTAGCGCACAACCTGGAAGCACGGGCAGCGCTGACTGAGCAAGGAGCTTGGTTCGATCAAATCTCCCTCGTACACACCGGGCCAACCCCGAATGATGGAAAAAGGGCAAAATCCTTCGGGGGCGGGAGTGCGGGGTTCTTGCATGCCCGCTTGAACACCCATTCTGAGAAACAAGCCAAGGCCAGCCAAGTTGAAGCTAAAGGGCGTATTTATGCAACTGCATCCCAAGTCACAGGCGCTCGCAAGCGTCGCTTCGGCATAGTATTCCATACACTACAATAACTAACGTTCCATGTGTATCCATCCTCGTCTGGAGACTCACGGATCAACGTCAATGGCTCGATTTCAGCCTTGGCGGCCCAGCCTTCGCTTGCGTCAGACACACTTCCTCGGATCGTCCTTCTCAATCTGCTCGTTGGGTTCATATTACGGAACAAGTCACCAATTTCGCCTTAGATTGCTTCAACAGCAGACGCTGACGCGTTCCTGACACTGGCTAGGATCTCGCATGTCAAGTTCTCGGAGCCTGTGACCCGAAACAAGACATTCCCCGGTTGCAAGTTTCTACACGTGTCGAAGACCCCAGCGTCCCTTGCCAACAGGTTTGGAGGAGGCCGCTCAGTGGACCTCGCTCGGCATAGTCGGATCAAATTGTATACCGTACTGTACCGTACGTGTAGTGTATATTTGTATATTCACATCAATTGCCCGCACTGCGCCGGCGAGCGTCGAGCCATAGTAGGTATTGCCGTCTCTCAACCCCCCGAGATTCCTCCGTCCGCCCTCTGTATCGTAATGTCAACATCCTCGGTATGCATACGAAGCCGGGCACACTCTTTGTACCCTTTGTAGACTTGATCAGCGACTTCGACCAGCATGGCTGGGCCTGCCCTCGTGTCGTTCCGTACAGTAATAGATTGCAGGCCAAGTCGGGCCAAGAAGGATATGGCCTGACTTTGATCCTGGGCAGGACATTGCCCAGATTTATCTCAAGTCACCTTCGCGCCGAGTCGGCATCCCTGAGGGGAGGATTGGCCCGGGCATACCAATCATCCCCCAAGCTCGCTCTTGTTGTTGACCGCTATGGCACTCCCCGCCAAAGCCGACCGATTCTCGCTAGTCATCAGGGTTAGTTAACGTTCGCGGGCGGAGACAGAAGGGTGATCGCCGTTGATGCTCGGCCGTTTGTGGTTGCAATGGATCTCGGCAGTGCAAGACGCTGGTGGAGCTCCGTATAATTACATACCTGTACTGTACGTGTATTGTACATACAGTGTAAGGCACATCCGACTTACATGGTGCAAAATGAGGACGGATGCCATACCTACAGTGAATACTACACGTGTACTCTCCTGGAGCACTGGCACCCATCAGGGCTGCCGAATTACGATTAAGTGGCGATCGGCGACAGGCTTGGCAGCGACGTTGACTTTTAATGTTATGATCAGCCTTAACTTTACGTTGAAGTCGAGCCCGAGAAGCCGGTGACGCAGCAAGCAGACAGTGAGTCCTAGAAACCTCCTGTCATGAGCCTGAGGGGCAGGCGAGATGATAGTAAATGGGAAGTAAGTTTCACAGCGTCCACAGACGGTATTGTGCACATATGGCCTTGAGAAAGCGGCGCAGCTACCTGCCGTGGTAACTACCGTAGTCATCGTCGGACTCGCTCAGTGATGGGTGCCTACACTAGGACTCCGGCTCAAACCAACAGAATTCCAAATTGCAACCCCATGTACTACCTTCCGCGACTTCGACCCCATCATCACTGCATCGTTATCTCGGCACGAGGCATCATTGTCGGTCGCAAGAGGAAGGCCCTGGACTCGACTCCTCCCGAGAAAATTGGGACAATGGAAGTCCCTCCCTTCATGGACCAACCCCCGCGCAACTATCTCGCGCCGATCCCGATCCCTCCGGAAGACGGTTTCTGTGCTGTGCTTCTGGTGTTTCATTCGGCCGTGCCAATGTCCAACATTGTTGCCTCTCCAGCCATCTCCGGGTTTACCGCGGGCGATGAAGCCCTTGGTCGATATTCGGTCTGTTGGAAGGTGGTATTCCCCCGACACCAACAGCATATTCAATGCGGCATCCTCCCGCTCAGAGTAACATCCTGCAATTCCAGCGGCGGGCAAGGCCAGTGACCCGCGGATAATCCACGATTCGATGGCATATGGCCATGCCGCATTTGTAGACCCTCTGATTATCTGATGCGCGTAGTCAGCTCGGAGAACTGGGTTACACATACTGTCTAAGTTCTTTGCAGTACCTTACAAATACTAGTACTCCGTATACATCCTATCAACGGCCCAACAAAGAGGCCCCGCAGCCAAGCATCCCTGAACCAACATCATCTCCAACCGCATCCGACTCGCATCACGCACACGGGTGCATATTGATCACAAGCAAGCCAAGCTTCGACCAAGACGCTACACGATCCCTCCAGTTCGGGTAAGGTTGCCACGGTTGAAATGGCCCGCACGCTTTACTCTGTAGCCACCGCGGGCCGGCACACATGCCACCCACCCAACGAACCCACATGAATATCAACACCGCACTTCCGTGTAACAATATCCCCCATAATACGTATGTGTGTGCTGTACTGTGTAATACAGGTAAGTACATACACAACTTGCTTATTGGGCGTACTGGACTCATCATACATCCGCTCCAATCGCGGGTCGTCGCGGATCATTCGCGGATCTGGGGCAAGATCAGGCCACTTGCTGCACATGGAACAGGATGGGGAGGTAGATATTGTGCTTCTCTGTGCGTTTCTCTGGTGACAGAGGGCTCGAGTGAGGGAGGCAGGAGAAAGAGATGTTATACCTTACCTTACTTTACAGGATGATGTATGTATATACCTAGGTATGTTACTGGCAGACCGAATAGGCGCCCACTCATAATCTTCGAGCACATTAGAATTATCACTCACTGTGGTCTATTACTAAAGCCAACCAGACGACTCCGAGGGTCATTCACTGTCCTCGATGCCACCAAGAGCGGAAGGCTTGATCGATTTTGTGCCTAGTTCTGGTGATGAAGAGGGGGCGGCTACTGATGAAAAGGTTGTAACTGTGCCTTACTCGGATCGTAATTGTACATACATCGTCCCTGAGGCGCTGTATAGCGATGCGGGCGAGTAGATGCACAGCAAGGACAGGGCCATCGATGGAAAAGGGCTAGGTAGGAGGACCTTTCCGCTGCTTCTCCACCTGACACTCAGACTAGCTAGGTAGGTACGTATCCAGGACTGACTAAGGCATCTTTTGTTCACGAGGTGCATGCTTTTTGAGGTGCTTTCAGCCATCACATCCCACTCAAGCCGGCCAAGGGCAATCTAACCGGTATTGTATCCCCGAGCTTCTATTTAGTTTCCACTCCACGATACCATGACTCGGGGTGACAGTGGAAGCGAGAGCGAGAAACCAAGGAGAAAATGCCCCAGTGCCAATGATCCAAGCCTCCGTAGCCCAATGCCGCACTTAACAAGCATCGATACCGCTTAGATCTTTCGGCTCTGGCGGAACACCTAACGAGCAGGCCAGCTGGACTGCGGGATTCACTGATGTGAATGCTCTACGGGACGCACGTCAGTCCATCAAACCCTCGACCAGGGTGCACAGAGCGTTGAGGAGTGACAGTTCCCAACCATGTGCAACTAGGTACCTTAGCTTACGTGAGGTCAGGAATACGAACAGTAACCCCTATTTGACCAACGCCGCCCACCCGAGAAGCTGAACTGGTCTCAAGAGCTTTCGAGTTTTCCAGTTCTGGCATTGCTATATAGCCACAACAGCGTTGAAGTTTTTAAGGACAACTGGATTCTCACGGAACCAGGGTTCTAGTTGGCATACAGTAAACAGGTCACTCCCAGTGCCGCTTCCTCCCCATCTCACCATCCTCCTGAGCATAGAGGTCTGGAGGGATAGTCCCTATGTTTGGAGATGCTCGTCTCCGCTCAAAGCCGTCGACCTCTTCTTCGCAATGTTCTGCTTGAGGTTTGGCGATTTTCGTCATGACTAGTATGACCGAAGGGCTGAGCTGTGACGGCCTGTACCTACTTGACTAGGTAGGTGCTTATATTGCCGTATATGACTTCTTACGATCTCGTACGCCAACGCTCACTGAGCATTTGGATACTTGCGGTTATGACGCCCGATAGGGTTCATCCCACAGTCGAGAAGGTAGACAACTGCTTGAAACGAAGCACGATCCAACCCCTGAGACTGTTTTGCCAGGATTTTTCGAGACTACTCGCACACGTAATCCGGCAGAGCGTTGCTGGAGAATTGCTGTAGCTGACCACGAGATGCCATGCCCGCGAGAACCGTGCAGCCCATCATGGGACTCCTGTATTTGCCATGCAGGTAACTCGCTTCCAGACTGAAACGGATAGAAAGGTTGGACGCTCTTGTTTGTCAGATCCCATGGATGGGCATGTGGCTCTCTTGCAGCTAATAATCCGGGAGCCGGCACTTCCAACACTGCGACATACCAACCATACTTCGCACGAGCTACTAGTCCTGGAACACAGGGCATAGTACAACTTGGCCTAGTGTCGTCCTTTCCTCCAAATTCCTGTGCTTGGTATAAGAAGACCACTAGTCTCGCTCATACCGACAGGGTAGACAACCTCCGACCCCGCTGGGGAGTGGATGGTACGCAACTCTACCGATCGTGAAAGGAGAACTAACAACTCCAGTTCCAAACAGTCCTATGCAGCTGGAGGATTACTTTCAGAGCGACTGCGGCCCACGCTGCTACGTAGCAGTAGTACCCCGCCGGTTGCAGTGGAAGTTGAGCGTTGTAGCGAGAAGATGGGCAACAGGACAACGCAGACGAAGAGTGGTGTTATGACCCGCTTCCTCATGCCCAGGAAGTAGAGCGACCCGACCACAGCAGCAGTTCAGCCAGCCGATCCAGCGTCGACTGAAGTAGACTTCCGTTCGAGTCAGTTCCTCCGTCTGGGACTGAGCACATGATCGGGAGGGAGGACTTTGTGCAATTATACGTCAAGGAAAGCAAAACGCCTTTGTTCAGAGGGCTCGGCTCGGAAGGCATCAGGGGGCTCAGCGCTGTCAGATCTAGAGGTTAGGGGGTCTCACAGACGCCGTCTGATCCATGACAGCCTATCTCCCGGCCTTCGGCCACGCCCGGTTCTGGGAAGTCGAAGTACGAAAGCACATGAGCCAAACCGCTGGATGCAGACTGGATTCTCGAGGATTTGGTGAATGAGTATAAGGTAGGTAATTGGCAGGGGAGGATGTTGAACCGTCCACAACAACAGTCTCCGACTTCGGCCACAACGACATCTTGGTCATGACAGGGTACTGTATTTTATACTAAACATACAATTGAGATGGGCATCAAGAAGAGAGTTGGGATATGTCCAGACTTGCGCGGAACCCTAGAATCGGCCGGTAAGGCAGCGAAGCGAAGAGATCTCGGCTCTTGAATGCACGTAGCCGCGTAGAGTAAAGCATTCAAATTGCTAAGGTGGCTCTCCGTTGGCATCGGCATCCCCGAGACGGGTAAAGGCCGTAAGAGAGCTGTACAAGCTGTGGCAGCGTTGCACACCGAGGGACTCAATAGTCGGCCCGTGCCAGAGGTGTCAACTGCGAAACTGCGAAGTCTCTTTCGGTGGGGCTGCTTGTCTTGGGGCGGTGTATTCCATCGCCCGGTGCGAAGGGGAGTTCACACCTCGGCTCCGTTGATGAGGGAAATAAAGCGACGTTCTACCAGACCGCCGTGCGGAGGGCACGTTGTAGTTGCAGTATCACAGAGGTACCTGATCTAGTCCATCGTCCGCAAAGTTCAGTGGAACATCGCGCTGAATGTAGCAACGGGACGCCACTGGCATAGTTCGAGATGTTGCGAATAGTGAAGCAGTTTATTTAACAGTCGCAACGTCCATACCAGCGTGGGAATGAAACTATGTCTCGGACGGTTTGAACACCAGCCAGGTAACTGAGCAGTCGGTCGAAGCCGATACCGAATCCTCCATGCGGCGGGCAGCCCCAGCGACGAAGGTCGACATACCAGTCAAGACTGCCTCCAGTGGCCTCGTCCGGGGCGCCCGCTGCTGGTGGTTTGATGAGTCCTTGACGCTTCATGGCATCCATTAGTGGGCCGAGACGGTGCTCGCGCATTGACCCACCAGCGATCTCGCAGTACTCTGGCACTAGCAAGTCGAAGCAATCGACAGTCGCGCCAGGTGCTTGAGCAACTTGTGTCTGGGTTTCGCGCATGTAGAAAGCCTTGATGTCTCTGGGGTAGTTGGTGACGAAGACAGGCGTGCGACCGTTTCCGACGTGATGAGTAAGATACTTCTCGTGCTCAGATTGCAGGCCAGCACCCCAGGTTGGCTTGTGCGTAAAAAGGTCAGTCCTTCGCTGTAACAGTGCGACGGCGTCAGTGTAAGTAATCCGCGGCCAGTCGCGCTCCATCAGGCCCGCCCAGCGAGACTCGACCTCCTCAGAAGGCGACAGATCGTGACCGCTATACCGCGATCGGAACAGAAGTTCCTCGTACGTGGCCGACCCCGCGAGGCTGGTGCTCAAAGAGCGTAGCATATCCTCGGCTAGGTTCATGACGGGATCGAGATCGTCTACAAAGCTCATCTCGGCCTCGAGCATGTAGAACTCGCTCAGATGCCGCGAGGTGTCGCTCCTCTCAGCGCGGAAGACGGGTGAGAGCGTCCAGACGTTGCCGACCGCTTGGGCCAGTGCCTCGAGGTGGAGCTGGGTCGAGACAGTCAGGTACTTCTTGGAACGGAAAAACAACTCTTGGGGGCCGCCTTTGTCGGCGCAGTCCGGTGTGGAGTTGGCCGGAGTCACGGTAAAAACCTCGCCGGCGCCTTCACAGTCGGAGGACGTAATGATGGGCGGATGCGTCTGAGTGAAGGATCGGCCTGCAAAGAACTGAGTCAAAGACGCGATGACTTCAGAGCGTAGTCTCAGCAAGACGCCGTTGATCGGAGTTCTCGGCCGCAAGTGCGGCAAGGTACGGAGATACTCAGGTGTCTGATATTTCTTTTGGATGGGGAATGTCTGAAAGACACGCGGTTAATCCTCTGCCTGCGTTTCTACTTCCCTCTATTTTCGTTCCCAAACCTCGGTATAACCGGCGAGAACAGGGCAGAGAGGAGCGTACCTTTGCGTCGGACGGGCCCAAGACCTCGACTTTGCTTACATGCAGCTCATGGCTTTGGCCAGCTCCGCTTGAAGACACCCAAGAGCCGGTGAGGCGGACGGCAGCGCCAACGGCCAAGCTGCAGGGACCGCATCAGTAACTTAGATAGCCGAGACACACATGGGGCAGAGGGAGCTTGCGCATACCCTTCGGCGTTCTCGGCCCGGATGAGGGCCTGTATCGGAGCCAGCGATGAACCATCGCCTAGGGAGACGAAGTGATTCGCTTTCATGGACCGGACAGACCGGACGAAGCCGTTGACGACAACATCGTCGACCTTCTTAGCGGGCTTCCATGCGAGAAGCTGGGCGACAGAGCGGTTCACTTGCTGGGAGACATATCGGTGGCAGGCGCGACGCGGACGCAAGACACGCGAGACACTGGACGGCCGAAGCGCGGGGGTAAGCCGCATGGCTCTGGAGTCACCTGGGGACTTGCCTCCCCTTTCTGGTTGCGGTTCCAATTGATCTCAGAGCTCACGTTGTCATGAAGTCAATCTGCACGTGTTTTCCGTCACGGTGCCCAGGGACCTGTATGTACGGTATGTAAATTCAACAAAGATCGGGACATCGAAAAATGATAGCTCTGACGTCTTGGCCGGCAAGTTGCCTCAGCTGTTGATTGGCAGATCCACATGACCCACAGCGCCTATCGCTGACTGGCGGGGACCCGCAAAGGCACTTTCCTTCTTGAGACCGAAAGGCGCTGTGATTGGCTACAACTGGCCGGTCGGACAAAACGCCGTTGTTGCTGGTGGACGTTCCGAGTCGTCCGTCCGCCCAAGTTCGGTTGGAGTTCTTCAAAAACATGCGGAGAAGACACTATGGAAATGGCGGCCGAAAAGAGCTGCAGCCTGAAGCAGTGACGGACCGTAGGATGCGCGGAGAGTCCATTCCAGCCCCGACTCTAGTTCCATCAGCTGTTCCAAAGTTCAGTTCCATGCAGCAGCCACCGCACGGCTCGGAACGCCGATCTCTAGCCCCACTCAGATGATGCCCGTCCTTGTCATTGTGCAGACGAGCGTCAGACATGCATCGATGGCCTTTCCATCTGGCTCCAATGTCGGCACCTATCGAGATGCATCACGGCCACGACCCCTCATGTCTGGGCAACAACCCCGATCCACAGCAGCCCTCGAGGGCTTGCAAATGGTTCAGTTGCATGTTTCGCTCCCATTGACTTGTATACGACCCCGACACTGGCGAAGTACAGTACAAGCCGTGACTGGCGCCGTTGGTCTTCCATTGGTTTCAGCAGCTGCCCGGCCTCGACGCACTCAATGCATGCACCGAGTTGAAAAGGAGATTCGCCCACGGCGGGTGACAGGGCCCTGGTCCATGTCTCTAGTCGTCCGTGACCCGGGTGGCTTGGGAATACCAGATTGACTCTAAGATGCCGCACCTGCCGCCGCACAGCATTTAGTGCATCCACTCTGCAATTCCCACGGTCTCGGAAGCTCGCCTGGGCGCTAACTCGTCTACCAAGAAGACTCGACACTCTCTCCAGTCTCCTGCCCTCTTTCTCTAGAACCCGAAACCCGCACTATCCGCGATCCCGCTCGTGTTTGCAATGGGATCGTGCCTTCATGTCTGGGTTTGGCACAAGGTGCATCCATGGAGAACGGTCTCGAGCTCATGCGTGCATTGGGCGAGTGGCCTAGTCACCCCATCAACAACAAAGTGAGGTAATAATGACTGTCTTTGATGTTTTGTTTTAGACCACACAGTTACACACAGATCTCTGTGCAGGACTCACAGCACGCGACAAGGCCGTTGTTTTGGCCGTTGCGCCATCCTGCAAGGAGTGATTCTATATCGGTATTGTTTCTTTTCTTTTTTGGGGTCTCTCGGGCCACACTGATCAGATACATAAAGCATCGGATGCCCCTCCCCGACCACCCCATCACTCAAGAGTCGGCAGTGCCATCCAAGAACCCGGTCCAAGTTCGACCAATCTAACATATTCGAGACGTTCCCATCTCATGCACTGAACATTCCCTTGTGTTCCTCTCTACGGCTCTTACCACCTACCAGCCATGCCTTCCTCAAGCTCCAAGTACAAGCCCAAGCCCTCCGAGGTTGCTTCAGAAGCCAAGAAACATTACATCCCCACGATCCGGAGGGACTACGCATCGGTGTGGACGACGTGCTCGTACATCTATCAGCAACCGCTGTTGCAGATCACCTTTGACGAGAGACTGGTTGATCTCTCGCCTCCCCTTTTCTGTGAGCGTTTATCACCTCTTACGCAATACCGGCTTGGATTCTAATACATGGCATAGATGTGTACAGTGGGGACCCCGTTGACTTCGCCCTTAATTGGATTCCGGACGCGCCACAGTGCACCATTCCCTTCATCTGCGCGGCCAACGATAAGCGCCCGGGGGGAGACTGGGAGACCGGCGTGGTAGGCTATGAGGAACGTCTCTGTCGGCGGAGCACCCTTGCAGCGTGCTTGGCAACTCCAGCGGATGGTTCCCCGGTCAACAATCATTACCCGCTCCCGGTATGCGCGGGAATACTGTCACAACACGTCGGTCAGTGACTGCCTCCGCATTTCTTCTTGACCTGGTCCCGTCCCCGGCGCTAACTGGTTTGATCAGTCGTGTTCCGTGGACCGCACGATAGATATGAGCTGCGCCCTGAGCAGGAATGGAGATCACTGCCGGTCGTGTCAGTGCCGCCGCCGCGGTGGCCCAAGTTGACGCAGAACGGCACCAAGTATTCCTTTGCCGACGAGCGCGAGATGGTCAAGGACAAGCTCCGCGGTGCGCTCCGCATCTGCGCCTACAACGGCTACAGCACCGTGGTGGTGGGAGATTTTGGCTTGGGCAACGGCTACCGCAACCCACCTCAGGAGCTTGCCGAACTGTGGCGCGAGGTGTGCCTCTACGATCCCGATCTGCGTGGCCGGATCCGCTGCGTGGCATTCGTGTTCGAGGATCCCACCCAGAGCACGACGCAACTGATCCTAGACGACATCGCGAAGAAGAACAAGGGAGCCAACGGCACGTCAAGCAAGCACAAGTCGAAGAGTGGTTCGGGCTCGAGCTCGAGTTCGAGCTCGAACTCAGCGACGGTGCTCTCGCCCACCGACTTCCAAATCTTTTCCCACGTGTTCGACAATGCTGAGATCCAGAGGTTCCTTGCACAGCCGGATGCGAGATATGGCTTGAACAATCTGCTTGCCTGATACGTGTTTTGGTTTCTACTGGAGTTATGGCTTAGGCGTTCAGGGTCTGGGGCTATGAAAGATGCCTAGGTGCCGCTCTGATTAATACTTCCTGCCGTCAAACGACAGACCGCAGTTGGAAATGCTGTAGGTGTTTCGCTATTCAGCACTCCTTGGGGAATGCCCTTTCCCTAGCTTTAGCTTCGCAAAGATAATATATCCTGTGGTAGCTTCCGGAGTCATGCCACCAGATGTCCCTTCGTCTGTTAAGGAGCGGCAAGCGCGCTTGTTAAGGATGCAAGCGAACGGTTGAACGAAAGGTTAGCTTATGCTCGCCGATGAACTGATGGTTGGTTCGCGGCCCGAGGCTGATGATCGGCCGAACATTCCTGGCATGGCGCCAGGATGCCGGGCCCCATGCCCTACCCTGCTGGTGATCTATCCAGAGGGCAGCCACTGGCCATGCCCGATTTCAGACATGGCTCGCTGTCACGGGCCAAGCCTGCATGAGGCTTGAACCAACCATGCTCACCACTGGTCCCAGAGTGAGCGCCAAACTGCATTAATGAACTGTATGTATGTATGTGCGGGCATCCCTTCACGCGGATTCGCTCGCAGACATGCCATAAGAGAGATTGCGACCAGCCGAGAACCCTCCCCTATGCGGAGGTGGCTGCAGACATGTGAGGCTGGCCGGATTTACTGCTGCTGCTTGCTGCTAGCCTTCGCTCAACCGAATGGATTGACCATGGCACTTCTACCTTTTGCCACTTTGACCTGGAAGCTGAGCTCCTGGAGCGTGCTCAGGACGGGTGACTGCGTTTGTCCAACAGTTGCTATCCTTGCTTGAGGTGCTGGTCTCGTTGGTCCCTCTCTTGAAAGTTGAAAAGTTTTGAAACCGCCATTCATGCATGCATCAATTGACCTCTCCGCCAAAGAAGTCTCGACTACAAGGACCGGGGGCGGGAGAGCATCATTGTCTGGGGCGCCTATCCGTTGTCGCGGGGGGATGGGTGACCGAGATCCGGCCGTGGCAGTGCGAGATGAAGCAAGCAAGGGGGCGAGAGCCCCTTGCACGAGCAGTCGCACTGATCATTTGATCCCCTTTTCGCAGAAGACCCGGCGGTGAAGAAAAACGATCCAATTCCCCCACACCCCCGATAGTATCGTGACACAAGAGCGGCGTGTAGATACCCTCTGTAACGTAGCACACATCTCTAGGCAACACGCACACAAAGTCCGGAGACAGAATGTGTTAGATCGAGTCATACAGATCGCCGAGACGGCCGGGGAAGCCTGCAGCAGCTTGTTGACTGACCGCCCCTTGCTCTGCCACTGGCTTGGTGGAACAAAAGGTTCCAGATCTGTGTCACCCGATACCTACGACTCCGCAGTACAGAGTACCTAGGTAAAGATCCTACTGCGGACAACCGGCGAAGAGTGAGACCTTGGGTGTTGAATGGTGGTCGGTCACTCGGAGGGAAGGTAAGTGCTGGATTGGCTAGAGACTCAAGGGCTGTAGGTACGGAGTATATAATGTTTGTTGCTAGTATCGGTTCATATGCATGCTTTGTCTCAGAGAAATACGACCAACAGGGGGGTCCAAAATGACTGAGATGGGCTTGATTGCCTCCCGGCAACAACTTCAAGTGCCAGCGGGGCGAGAGTCCTGTCCGGTTAAGGAAGGAAGCAACGGAAGGTGCCGAGGTCGCCAACTGAACTCTCAACACATGCCCACTACGGTACCTGAGGTTCCTACAGCCAATGTCCATTCCCTCTGGCATTACTGTCTACGGTACTATATGCGTCGGGATGGTATCTCTTACCATGGAAACCGTCACCAGTGTTACCGCCTCTTCATCGTCACCATTTACATCCAACTCCCTCATTTAGTTGTGATGAGCTTTCTCTGGAGTAGGTTCCTGGCTTCCTTTTCTCCTCAATTTAAGTTGTGAGTGTTGTGATACATATCTGACCACTGTTAGTGTCATTGCATAAGGCACCTACCTACCTAGTACCTCCACACTAACCCCCGGCCAAAAGCATCGATACCGGCCGACTTCAGAAGTTCAGACCCCGGGAGACGGAAGGAACTTCACCAACACGGTACACCATCTCTATCCCAATATCTCTTAGGCATTTTCGTCTCTCTCTTCCTTCTGATGCTTCTCGGTTACCCCCTTCTCTGTTCGTCTTCTTTTTCTCCTCCTAGATAGTTCTGTTTGCTCAACTTAAGGTAATCTTCCTTAATCTCTCGCCGTAGCATGGTATGCAGCTTGTCCAGCCATGCAGAGCCACGCTATCACAACCCTGCTAAGAAGGAATCTCGGCGAGATCAAGCCGAGAAAAAGGATGAAGAATCCTGTACCCAACGCACAAGTAAACACCCCTCGGCTTAAACCGACCCAAGGTAGACGAGCATGGGGAAAGAAAAACAAAGTGACAATACAAACACGGACCGAAGCCCTTCGGCACGGGTGAAAGGCGAGGGGGGGCGCCGAATCCCTTCCCTTCAGGGGGGCTTCCTTCCAAGGATGCGGTTGGTCCAAATGCGAGGACGCCCCTTGATTCTGCCTTTCGGAGTGTTCAGCTCGGTTTCCTAGCCTCTCAGGAAGCAGCATGCGAGCGAGTTGAGAGTTGACTGAGAATTGGTGGACAAGGTGAGCAACGGTAAGGCTCCGGAGACCGGGGGAGGCGTGCTGGGCGACGGGAGGGAGTCATGAGAGAGTGGCAGTGTGTATTTCTTTGGTCAGGGTTAAAGGAGCAGGACAGATGTTAAGCTGCTACGGTACGCTCAAGTTCTGAAGGGTAGGATAGTGCTGCGGTACGTGAGTAGGGGTAACTTATTGACGGATGTATGCCAGGTGTATTTTCTGTCTGGCATGGGTGGTGGCATTCACATGCCAGAACGCGCCATGGTAAAACATCACTAAGAGCCAGGCACCAGCATTGGGACCATTCAACAAGGACCGGTATTCCGCTGGCAAAACCTTGTAGGAATTGAATTCACGTCGAGGGCTAGACCGAGTTGCAACAAACTGGGAGAAGTAGGGATTTTCCAAACATAACAGACGACAAACGTCTTTTGGTATCTATCACCTTGTCTGGAACGCGGACTTAAGTCATGACATGGGCCAGATGTAAGGATGCAGCTACTCGCCCTCTGACGCTCTTCCTCGTCTGTCACACTACCAATAGGCAGGCCTTAGCCCCGTAAAGCTCGATAGTGCTGACGACTCGCTCGAATCCTCCCGTTTTCTCTGTCCCGCAAGCTGTTGTATCAGGTTAGCAAACCGAGATTTCAAGGGAAACCGAGATTTTCTACTCGGTTAGGCTAGAGAAGGGACACTCACCTCCAGCTGCACCCCCTTATGCACGTGCACGAGCCAATCCACATAGCTCTGCGCCTCGTTATTCCGATCCTCGACCAACATCCGCGCAAACTCATACTCCGCCCCATCTATGCCCTGCCGCGCCAGCTGAATCGTCAGGCCCTTGGACCCGCGCATGGTGCGCAGGAACTCGATGATGTTCCGCACCTGCGCGTTCAGGTGCGTTTCTAGCACCGGAATCGACGAGGTGTACGCGTCCAGGCTCTGCAGACTGGTCTTGTCCTCGCCGAACAGATCCGCAATCAGGTTGGGCGACGTCTGCGCGTGGAACCACAGCAGCGTCTGTTGGCCGTTATCCACCAGATAGACGCCACCCGGCTCGACACGGGCAAAAGAGGTGCGGATGGATGGTGGCATCCGGAGATGGCCGGTCTGCGGGTCCGGGAACCCGTCCTCAGGCTGCAGGTTGTGGATGGGGATCATGCGCGGGTAGAGGTAGAGGCTCAGCTCGAGCGGGCCCATGGAGCGGATGAGGCGCATCTCGTGGACGCGGCGGTCCGAGGATTCGGAACCGCCTTTGAAGGCCCGGCATTTGACCATGCCGAGCATGTACATGGAGAATTCTTTGAGCCGTTCCGGCATGACCAGCTGGCCTGGTGGGTGGGTTTGCGAGAGGAAGTGTTTGCGGTAGTTTGCGAGAACGTCGATTGTCTTTTCTGTTAGGCTGAGGCGGATGTCTTTGAGGGTGCTGGAGGTGGTGGCCAGCTTGGTAGAGGCTTCCTTGGCGATAGTGGTGTAGACAGCGTCCTGGTCAATGAACTTGACGCTATCCCGTGCGCTCTCGCTGACGCCAGCGATGACATTGATACACCTGACCCTCCGCTGGCCTGAGGCGGACGTGTAGAGCAGGGCCGCCTGGAAGTGCGCGTCGAGCTTCGAGTCGAGCTTTCCATCGTAACCAAACTCCACGCCGAGCGCTTTGTCGGCATCGATGACGCCAATTTCGAGGTCGGCGCCAAAGGTGTGTTGAATGAAGTTGCCGTGATAGCCCGTAACCTGCAAGCCGTTGGAGCATCTGACTTTCATCAGAGCTTGATAGCCCGTCTCCCGGGTCACCGCATGCTTGACCTCCATGGACAGCTTGGTGTTGTCCCGTGGAGCGATGAAGTTGGGATAGTAGAAAGTCTCGCCGCCAGTGGTAGCAGACACGTAGCCTAAGAAAACGTCAGAAGGAAAAGCAGATTTGCTGCGACTGATTTACTCACCAACTGTGGCAATGTCCAGATAACCGCCCGATGGGGCGGCCATGAAGAAGTCAACGCCAACGCCCACCGAAACCATCTTCTCGGCAACCTTCCTCCACGCGGGGTGCTCGGTGCTGAACAGCTTCTTGTCCGGCTCACCCCCCGGATGCTTGCCGTCGTCCCGCATGAACAGGCGGCCGGGCCCCCAAGTAGGGAGAGCCGCAAGGGAGCAGAAGATCTTGCCACCGGTCTTCTCCAGCGCGGCAACTGCGGCGTTCAGAGTCGACAGAAGGGCTGGTTCGGGGTTTTTGATGGTCGAGAACATTTGGGGAAGGCGAGTGAGCAGGGAGGTGATGACCGTCTTGGACTCGTAGGGGTCGACAAACAGGCCTTCGCTTAGTGGCACAAAAGGGTCCTCGATATCCGGCATGATCATCATCTGAGCTTGTTCCAACGCCGGGCTGACGTTGTAGAAGTGGACCTCCTTATCAAACGTCACAAAGCCAACCTTGGCGCCTCCCGGTATCCTCCGCTTGACCTCACCGTTCTCATCCTTCTCCTCGTCATCCTCAGCGCCATACAGCGTCCGCAGGATACCGTCGCAGAAGGACTCGAGGAACCCTTTGTTGAACGACTCTTGTGTTACGTCGATCAAGAAGAGGTAGCGCATGCCGACCGGTTCCCTGGTCCAGTACTCCTTCGGCACGATGAACTCGACTGTTCCCCGCATGAGTTCTGGCCGCTGATCCCGGTCCACGCGGACACCCTGAGGGCTGGTAGCGCAGAAATACTCCGAAGGTGTATCGTTCGCATAGCCGCACAAATTGCAAACGAACTTGTTGCCGCCGGAGCGGAACATCATGAAGGGGTTGATGTAGGCGCGGCATCTGTGGCAGCGCGGAGGGCCCATATCGCCGAAGTCCAGGACCGGGATATGAAGCTCGCCGGCCTGGAGCGGGGCCAGCGGCTGTAGGACGAGGCCGAGCGGTAGACCGGTGCTTCGAAGTCCGTCTGCTGTGGCAGGTATGTTGCTCATAGTGAGGCGCGCAAACTTGGGCGAAGCGTTCCCCTGATCGAAAGCCACAAACGAGACCGTGGCTGGAGGAGGGACCAGCCGTTCGAATGTCGGATACACATTGTTGAAGAAGTATTGCTGCACAGAATCTCGGGAAAGGGGCACACTCGGCATCTCGTCCGGAGACACCCTGGTCTGTCCCGATGTGGAGATCATGGTCGGCGATGGCCCAGCGTCGACGTAACCGCTCCTGGCGGCAAACTCGGCGGGAGAGGCAGGGACGGGCGCGAATCCAGGGCTCACGGGCGCCGGAAACTGGGACTGACTCATCTGAGGTGAGAGGCCGCCGGGGCCGTAGCGGGGGGCGGCCGCGGAAGGATCAGCGTTGAGGTATGCCGTAGCGGGTGTGCCTGCCGGGGGCATCCCGTTGAACGCTTGGGATGAGCCTGTAGGTGCCTCAACGTGGTGGTATGCGTGGCGGTCCTTCTTCTTCTTTCTGACCGTCCCCTGGGCAGCGTCACCCCTGAGGCTCATGCCACCCATCTGCGCCGCCAGCCCCGCGTCATCGGTCGGAGGTTGTTGCCCCGCGAAGTATCCAGGGGACTGAGGATGCCCGTACCCAGGTGCTTTCGGCCCCGGCGGGACACCAGCCGCTGACGGTGTGCCATAGTACGACGTCTGGCCGACCGCGGTCTGATACGGATTGGGAGCGACAGGGGGTTGGAACTGGGGAGCAGCTGGCTGCGTCGTCCGGTTCGGGTCGTCGGGATTGAGCTGTTCACCCTGGCCGAGGGCGTGGTACATGGCGTATTCGGCCATTTTGGGTGTCTCCTGCGGGACGCCGTCGGCAACAATGGCTCGTCAATACCCCGTTTATACCGAGTTGAAGGGGGCGGGGGTAGGGAGATCGTCTCGAGATCGTCACCGGGGACCTTCGTTGCGAAAAATGATCCGGCTCATAATCAGATACACTCCAAGGTCAGCACCGTCCCAAATGCTGGCTGAGATTGTCCGGTTGACGTTTTGCGCAATGTGGCCCGAAAGTGGTCGATGTCTTCTCGCTCCGAAGTGCAGGAGGGTCCCACTTTCACCTTGCGGGTCCCATGTGAAGCTCAAGCTGGCCTTTTTGGTCGGTGCACGCTTGGCTCGGCGGTTGAACAGGGGTCTGCGCTCCGTGGTATGGTGTGTGTGTATGGTGGGCCTGTGCACTGACCTACAGTACAAACTAAGGTAGACATGCCACAGCTTACCGCCTTCCGAACATGGTCCAGAGCTCCAAGGCTGGCCTGTCGCGTGTTTGCAATTGACGCGACAAAAGCAAGCAGTTGGAAACGCAGCTCTTCATTGCCGATTTGACAAGGATCGCTTCACCCTCAACAGTCCAGGTGAAACCGGGACCATACATTACGGTTATCGTACGGAACCATCGCATTTTGTCGGCGCCTTGGAAGAAGAAGATAATAAAGCCATGCCTCAGCTCCGGTAGCGACTTGAAAAAACATTCAAGCCGCCGCCATGTTCACTTTCACCCCGCTGCAAGGCGCTCTCGCCGAGTCTACGGCATCGCAGTCGCTTTTGGAACTGGATGGAGGTGTCAAGGTTCTGATAGACGTTGGCTGGGATGAGACTTTCGATGTTGAGAAGCTCAGGGAATTGGAAAAGTCGGTTGCTGCTAGGTGGCCATTGGGACGAGCCGAGTGAGGGAGACAGGGAGCGCATTGCTAACCACTTCGTCTTAGGCAAATACCGACATTGTCGTTGATTCTGTTGACACATGCGACGGTGGACCATCTCGGCGCATATGCGCACTGCTGCAAACACTTCCCCCTCTTCACCCGCATCCCGGTCTATGCGACCCGACCAGTTATCGACCTCGGCCGAACACTAACCCAGGATCTTTACGCCTCGACCCCCGTAGCTGCCACGACAATATCCCCGACTTCGCTTGCAGAGGTTGCATACTCATATGCGCAGACATCTTCTGCAGACCACAACCTGCTGCTACAGCCTCCGACACCCGAAGAGATTGCGCGCTACTTCTCCTTGATTCAACCGCTCAAGTACTCACAGCCTCACCAGCCGCTTCCATCGCCCTTCTCTCCGCCTCTCAATGGCCTCACAATCACCGCTTACAACTCCGGTCACACGCTCGGAGGAACAATCTGGCATATCCAACATGGGCTCGAGTCGATTGTCTACGCCGTTGATTGGAACCAGGCCCGCGAGAATGTCTTCTCCGGTGCCGCGTGGCTGGGAGGAGGGCACGGGAGCGCAGGCGGTGCCGAAGTCATTGAGCAGTTACGCAAGCCGACTGCTTTGGTATGCAGCAGCCGCACGCCTGAAACTGCACTTGCCCGTGCCCGGCGGGATGAGCAGCTCCTAGAGTCAATCAAACTATGCATCGCCAGGGGCGGGACGGTTTTGGTCCCTGTGGATTCGAGCGCGAGAGTGCTCGAGCTCTCTTATCTCCTGGAGCACGCATGGAGGGCCGAGATCGCCAACAACAATGATGTGTTCAAGTCGACGAAGCTCTATCTAGCTGGCCGCAGCATCGGGAGCACTATGCGGAACGCAAGGAGCATGTTGGAGTGGATGGACGACAGCATTGTGAGAGAGTTTGAGGCAGTGGCCGGCGGCGCTCGGGCGGGGAATAGCGGCGGTGGCGGTCGTAAGGGCAAGGATGCCGGCCCTTTCGATTTTAAACACATACGATTGCTTGAGAGGAAAGCGCAGGTTGAACGGATACTGCAGCAAGCGGCAGATGATTCTGAACCGAAAGGCAAAGTTATCCTGGCAACCGACACGAGCCTGGAGTGGGGTTTCTCCAAGGATGTTCTGAAAGCAATCGCGGGAGACGCAAGAAACCTGGTGGTTCTCACAGAGAAACCCAGCCTTAATCGAGGCAAGCCGTCCATCGCGCGGACCTTGTGGGAATGGTGGAAGGAGAGAAAGGATGGCGTGGCTGTCGAGCAAACGAGCAGCGGTGACACGTTCGAGCAGGTATACGTGGGTAACCGCGAGTTGGAGGTGGCTGACGCTTCACGGCAAGCGTTGGAAGGAAACGAACTAGGTGTCTACCAACAGTGGCTCGCTACACAGCGGCAACTCCAAGCTACTTTACAGAGCGGCGGTGCCGTCGCGTCGGATCCTTCTGCCGATGTAGTGGACGATGCGTCGGAAACTACAACGGAAACCGAAGAATCGGAAACGGAACAACAAGGAAAGGCCCTGAATGTATCGACGACAATTGGGCAAGCAAGCCGAAAGAAGGTGGTCCTGAAAGACGAAGACCTAGGTATTACCATCTTATTCAAGAAGAAGGGCGTCTACGACTTTGACGTCAGGGGCAAGAAGGGCAGGGAACGGATGTTCCCCATCGTCTTAAGACGGAAACGGAACGACGAATTCGGCGAGCTCGTCCGACCCGAGGAATACCTCCGTGCCGAAGAGCGTGAAGACACGGATGGACAGGAGGAAAGGCAGGATGGGGGCAGGCAAGAACAGGGCCTTGGCAAGAAGCGCAAGTTCGACGACGTGGGCGCCGCGGGCAAAGGAGGCTCGGGCCCCAACAAACGCCCTCAAGCCAAGCGTGCCCTCTCGGACGAGCCGGAGGCTACCGCGCTCTCCGATGGCTCTGGCGGAGATGAACTAGACGAGCTCGAAGACGAGGAGGAAGCCGTAGTAGGGCCGGCCAAGCTCGTCGTCACTACTCACACCGTCTCAGTCAGGCTCCGCATCGCCTTTGTCGACTTCAGCGGCCTTCACGACAAACGCAGCCTGAACATGCTGATCCCATTGATCCAGCCACGCAAGCTGATCCTCGTCGCGGGAGCGGAAGAAGATACCCACGCCCTCGCTGCAGACTGCAAGAAGCTGTTGGGCGCACAGCTCACGTCGGAGTCGTCTCAGAACAGCGTCGACGTGTTCACTCCCGCCGTCAACACCACGGTCAACGCCTCGGTCGATACCAACGCCTGGGTGGTCAAGCTGGCCGATCCCTTCGTCAAGCGCCTGAAGTGGCAAAACGTGCGCGGGTTGGGCATCGTCACCGTGACGGGTTTACTCCTCCCCGGGGGCGAAATCGCCATCCAACAACAACAGCAAGACTCGGAACGCCTCGAAGACGGAGACACGGCGAACAAGCGCCAGAAACTCGAGGACACACCCTCCGCCGCCGCCACTCCAGAACCAAACGGGGCTCTCGTCGCAACAACAACGGCGGCGAAGAACAAACCCGCACTCCCAACACTGGACGTTCTCCCGCCCACCCTCGCGTCAGCCGTCCGTTCGGCCGCGCAGCCCCTGCACGTCGGCGACCTGCGACTGGCAGACCTCCGCCGGGCGATGCTCAGCGCGGGCCACAGGGCCGAGTTCCGCGGCGAAGGCACGTTGCTCATCGATGGGACAGTGGCGGTGCGTAAGACGACAACCGGCAGGGTTGAGATTGAGAGCGTTGATTTCCCGCTCTCCGTGAGGGACGGCGGGGCCCGCGGTGGCGGCGGCGGGACGTTCTACGAGGTGAGAAGGAAGATTTACGAGGGTCTGGCTGTTGTTGCGGGGGCGTGAGCTGTGTCATTGTGTGGTTTGTTAGGATTATAGTCAGGAAGGAAAGCGCAATGCCGGTCGGCGGTGGGAAGATAGACTTGGAGCTAAGGTAGCTGGCTCCAATTCAAATGGCATTAGTGGAAGCGTGCTTCCGGAGGCTTGTACAGGTTATCCACGCGTTTGTAAAGCTCCAGAGAATATCGGTAGCTTAATAGCATCTTGAACCCAGAGAATGGGCAAACTTTCAGGCCTGAAGATGGATCAAGGGGCGATCTGCCTTCTTCAACTTCGCACTCTTCCTCTGAGAGATCAGCTTAGGTCTATCCACAGAGGAATAAGATCAAGAGGCCCTGTCTTGCTAATCTGCCGGGCAGACAATGATGATGCTGTTGGGGATCTTATTCAAGGTGTCCGCAGACCACCAGCATCTCTCCTGAATGGAGCAACGGCCCCGAATACGCCCAGGGCTTTCGGTCGGTTTCAAATGTCAAACTTGAAGATCTCAAAAGGATCCCGATCTTCACCGCTTACCAACACCTCGGCTGCGGGGTCCTGCTTCTTGAGGATCCTTTCTAGCTGTGGCTGTAGGACCTCTTCCAAGAACCCGCGCTCCGAGTTGCTGTGAAATACCGTGATGACGTACTTGCCCAGCATAGTCAACCGCAGCGCGTTGTGGTGGGTCATCTCGCCGGTCACAATGACATCTGCATTGGTGTCCTTGAGGACGTCATAACCAGACCCGGCGCAGACGGCGACTGACCGCACGAACACCGATACACCGGACGTCGGGCTCGGCCGGGCGACCATGACCAGAGAAGTATTCAGCCTCTCGGCATAAGTCTTCGCAATGCTAACGTAGTTGACGGCCTTCTCAAGTTCGACAAGGCGGCCGTAGCCCGCGCCCTCAAAGCCCGCCGGCACGGGGCTGCGGATCGACTGGACGACGGACTTCTTTGTGACGCCGTGCTCATCCAGCATGTCAGCGAGCCAGTCGTTGACGCCACCCAAGGTGGCATCGATCGCGGTATGGGGGCTGTCTGCAAGAGAGGAGATGAGTCTAGGTTTCCCACAGGGACACGGCATGGATGCTACTCACACACTGCAATGTTCTGCTGTGCCAGGCGCAGGACGATGCGTTGGTGGGGATCGTTGAGGGTGACTGCCTTCAGGCCGCGGAAGATGAAGGGGTCTATACATGTCAGGATATGTACTCGGAAAACAGGTTTGGGAATGGTGGCGATCGCACGGTAGCTCACAATTACGGACACCCTTTTGGCAATCGCCTCCTCAGCGACAGCGACCGTTAGGTCGTTGGTTAGGAGGACTCGCGGAGGGACGCTGCCAGAGGCCGGCTCGATGTTTTCCTGGAGCAAACCCACGTTGTCCCAAGCGCGGTCGGCAAGCTCTTCAGGGTACCTAGGTAAGTACTTGATGTCAGCCATGATACTCTGTGGGTACGACGGGGTTTCTGTTTCTGCCTACAGCGAGCGCATCGCCTGCACGACCTGGCGAGTGAACAACGGGCTGCTGAGGGTGGGCTCCATCAGGTCCTTGATGCTGTACAGCCTTCTGAGAATCGTTGGTCGGATGATGCGCGGAGTTGAAAGGAATCCTGGTGTCCTCAGAATGGTGGCAGTCAACCTCATTTGACGTCTTTGCTCCCAATTCTTGGGAAGAGCTGATCATTACTACCAGTTAGGTCGCAAGTTTGATAGTTCGATCTGATGCGTTTGCGTGCTGGAGAGGACCTTACACCCTTCACCCTAACCCTCGCCACTTCCTCCCCGCATCCACCAAGCCTGGCGGGGCCGTACCGTCCGTCCTTCAGTGAACCACTTGCTCATCTCAGCTTCCATCATCGCAAGCCTCAAACTCACTCAAAACAATGGCCCAGCCGGCGATAACAGAAGACTCACTACGAGCAGCTCTCACAAAGCGGCTGAAGGCGACTCACGTCGAAGTGCAAGACATGTCTGGTACGCCACGAACCCCGCGCAATCCCTCCCCTGACGTCATTCTTGGGCAACTCGCAGCCCTGCGATGCTCGCCCTCACTGGCCTCCACAGACCGACCGCACAGGAGCTGAACTAACACGTCAAGCTTTCCATCTGTAGGAGGCTGCGGCCAAGCGTTCACGTCACTTGTAGTGTCGTCGGAGTTCGAAGGCAAGAATTCACTCAAGCGGCACAGGCTGGTAAATGCAGCGCTCAAGGACGAAATCGCACAGATCCACGCGTGGAGCGCAAAGTGTCAGACACCGGGCGAGTATGAAAAGGAGATGGCAGCGACGGGAGGCAAGGACGAGCCGCCGCTAGATGGCACTGAAGGCGGGAAGGTCACCGGTGTGACTGAATAACAGAGCCTCATCTGCTCCGGTCTCGGCGGTTATTAGCATGTCTTATGGCAACTTCTTCAGCTAAATCCAAGACCCCGGCAACCAGGGCAGCCTTCGTCATCGAATAATGAACCAAGCCAGATGCGCACCTCAAGGCAGCCTCGTGCCTCGATTTGCTTCAACAGTCATCGGAGTTACCCGTTAACAATAGTTCGGAGTTGGCCGCCGTTCCTGAAGCAGCCATCGGTGAGCTCCTCGGCTATATATCGCTTCGGAGGAGCAGGCCATTTTGTGTTCCGCACGGAATCTAGCATTTTGAGGTGTGCCTACACCGGGGAATCCCCCCGTAACAGGCCACCGAGAAGCATCATTCACCGCGGCATTGCCAACTACCTACCACGCCCAAACCAATTCGCCTATGCCATGTCCGTGTCTAACCGCCCACTAGTAGCCTCACTTTTGCATCTGGCCACTATGCCGCCAAGCGGCCCTAGTTGCGGCAGGACATAGGCTGCCATATCCTATTCGCCCATCCCGTCTGCATCTCCTCTCACGTAACATACCAGCCAGACCACTGGGTGTGGCATTCGACAGCTCAGTTCAGTCTTGATGACGGGGACACGAGGCTGCTCTGCTCGCTTGCTTCGCCCGGTCAAAGTCAGACATAGCAGGATATATTGACTTACCACCGGCAACCCGTGGTTGCTTCCTATGCTGTCTCTGATGCCCCCATCCTCTCGTCTGTGAATCTATTCTGTGATCACTGTAGGTCAACTACCTATTCAATCTAGCGCTAGAGGTATCAATGCACAGCACACGTCTTGAAGAAACCCTGAAGTCCGTTCAACACCATCACGAACAATATCTCAGACATCTCAGCCTCCTCTATGAGATCCAAGCCCCTGGCAGATCGAGTGGGACTGGGAGCAATGTCACGACGTCATCTCCCTTGCCCCTTACCAAATCGTCCACCTCTGGGCAAGTTCAGCACCATGGCAATGGGTCACGGCGGCTAGCCAACGGGTCACCGAAAGTCCAGTCAGTGCCTGTGTTTTATGGCCATCTTGTGCCTGGAGACGAATCCAGCGACTTCTTGCCCCTGACGTCTCCATCAGACACTGCTCAGGCGAAAGGGTCGGCCATTTCGACATCCCCGGTTCTAAACCCTCTTCTATGCGAATCGTTCTCGGAGGCTGATTTGGTCACCCACATCCGCTCGATCGGGGAGTCCACTCAAGACACAGTGACAGCTCTAGGCGATGTATGGCAAAGAAGGAACGAGCTGGATGCTTCAAACATCTTCAGCAGCTTCGAATCGGGAGAGGGTAGCCGCTATGAGAGTGCTACCTACGACATCTATGAGGTGGGAACAGATGGAATCCCAAAACCTAAGCAGGTAATGGCCGAACCAACGCAATGGGCTTTGGCAGAGGGAGACGGAGACAATCGGGATGGCTCGGTTTGGAGCGTTCTCAAGGATATGAATGCTGATGGGAGGGCTGTCGGGAGGATGACGTAGGTTCTTTCATCTTCTAGTCGCTTTTCTCCCCCCATTCCTCCTATACTATGGAGTAAACAATGATCCCTATCTGACAAACTCTAGGATCCATCAAGAACCCTCTCCGCTCATGCTGGCTGCAGCTCACCTGACAATGAATCAGCACTTTGACATGGACGAACTGTTTCAGCACTTGGTTTCCACGGCTGGGAACAAGGGGAAAACCAAGGCAAGACAATGCTATGCCTCTCAATGGGTAGAGTTCCAGACCTAACCATAAATGCAGGCCTACATGAACAGAGCTTTCGAAGCAAGTCCTATCAGGCAACGCAGTTTCTTCTTTGTCTTCAAATATTACACAGTCGTCGGTGAGAATCTGACGCCTGCGCCATGGCAGGCCTTCGATGACCGGCCCCCTGACCGAAGGTCGCCAGACCACATCGACATCACCGAGTGCAGCTCCGTTCTCGCGCTTTCCCTCGGTGGTGCCCAAACCAGGGAGGTCAAGGTCAAGGTCAAAAAGAAGACGCTCAAGGGAGTGATCTATGACAGCTTTGCTCCCTGGCATCTCCTCAACATCCAATGCTTTCCCGACGACCAGCATTCAACGCGCAGCGAAGAAGCCAAGAAACAGTTTTGCAACGGGCCACACGCTTTCCTCGATGCCCTCTGTGTGGAATACAGGGACGCGGTGAAACGATACACCCAGGTGAACGAGATGATCACCAAGCTCATCACCCCTCCTGTAAGACGCCGCCTCACCATGTTCATCCGTTGAAGAAAACAAGGAATCTAAACAAATGCCTTGGGCAATGGGCAATATACAGAACCAATTCATGTTCGACGTCCGACTCCGCGACAAGCTGCTGTTCGAAGACAGCCACTTCACCTACTCGCGCCGCTATTTCTGGGCCTACAACACGCTGGGCGTCATCAACGAGGGCATCAAGTCGATGCGCGCCGCCTACATCAGCACCTTCACCAAGGACTTCTGGGCCGGCCGCCACCCGAGCCTCTGGCCGCATCCGCACCCGGACTCGGACGACGGGCGAGACTACGGTGCGCGCATGGACGTCCTCCGGCAGGAGCTGGAGAGCGCTGTGGGCGAGCTGCAGCAGATGTACGACAAGAACGAGACGACGCGCACCGAGATCCACTCCCTGCGCGAGCAGCTGTTCAGTGGAAGCAGCGTGAAGGAGAGCCGGCGCGCGATCGAGCAGGGGGATAATATCAAGATTTTGACGAGCGTGTCGATGATCTTCCTTCCATTGACCTTTGTTGTGGTAAGCCTGCTTGCATCCCCCTATCCCCAACCTCAGTCACGAACAAGCAGCCCACTGATTTCAACGCAAAAATCATATAAATCCATATAGGGCGTCTTCGGAATAACAACCTTCGACATCACCACCGAAGACTGGCGCTTCCCCGTAACGATAGTATCCGTCTGCATCCCCTTCTTCATCCTCATCCTCGTCCTGCAGACCCGCGCGGCCATGGAGTTGGTCCGCCGATGCGGGTTGCTGGTGGAACGGTACACACGCCGCATCTTCAACGTCGGGGACCGGAGGCACCAGTATCTGCCCACCTACTACAACCCTCATTCCGGCTCGGGCAGCGCGAGTGGGGTTGGCGGGAATAGCGCGAGTATTGCCAGAGGCGGAGGCGGAGGCGGCGGCGGAGGAGGAGGAGGGGGGCGTTCTAAGCAGCCTGAGGACGGAAAGAGGTTTTGGTTAAAGTCCCTCAGGGCTTGGGCCCGGAATGTATGGATGCGGAGGTGGCCTTGGCCGAGGTCGAAAAGGGTAGACGAGCCGCAAAAGGATTCCGATGTTTGAGCAGGTATATAGACCCTATGTAGCCCATCTCTTGTTGATCCGGGAAGGTTTGATGGGCCTCCCCATCTCTCCTTCGAACAGAACTCTGGGTAAGAAAAGCCCAGTAGCTCACAGTCTGATACCCCTGTGGGTGGAGGGAGATGCGCGGCCCAAGAATCTTTCCGAGTTATAGCCGGAGGCTCTAGCGTTCAAACAGTGGTGGCCCTTTTGCTTGCCGCCGTAGCCTGCCTTCTCCAGCGCCACATGCTTAACCGGTCTGGCTTTGCTTCGGCTTCGTCTCGAGCATGAGCTGATTACGAGCCACACAGAGCTACCTTATATACCAGTTGCCCATTGCCTTCGCTGCCCCTTGGTCGCCCTGCTGCCGGTCCAATGCCATCCTTACACCCCAAGAGCCGCGGCGCGGTTGTTCTTCAAGAGGGGTTCAACAAGGTACGTCATAGGTGCTGTACCCGGCTCTGTCGCATTTACGTATCCTCAAGGTGAACAGCCCCTCAGGTCGTCGTACTAGCAACCTCGCTTTTCTCCGCATCCCCTCCCTTCGCGTCGACCCCTTTCAGCACAGCATCCCCCTCCTCAATCAGCGCCCCAACGTCCTCCCCTCCCACCCCCAGCTCCCTCCACCGCTCTAGCAACCGCCTTGGCAGTTCCCACTCACTCCTAGCCTCCTCTTCCCTACCCTCCTCCACCAACCTTCTCAAACGTCCAGGAACGAGCAGCACCTCCTTCGCCAGCCGGCGCGTCCTCTCCCTCCTCCTCCTCCTCCTCCTCCTCCCCTCCTCCCCGTCATCATCATCATCATTATCAGGAGCCTGCTCACCATCCCCACCACCAGAAGAAATACTCTCCCGCAACCCCTCCCTCAGCCCAACCGCCTGCGTGTAGATCCCCTCCACGACCCCCTCCAGCGCGCCGCCCGCGAGCACGTCCGGATGCTGCGTCGCGCGCATGCGGCGGATCGTCTCGGTCGCCGCGATCAGCTTGCTGTAGTTGTCGTAGACGAGCGCCTTCTTCTCGGCGTCGAGCGCGCGCATCTCGGACAGTACGCGCGTGTAGGCCCGCAGCAGGTCGGCGAGCGTGCTCGTCTCGAGGAGCCGGGACACGTAGGCGCCCGCGTCGAAGTCCGGGCTGTCGAGCTCGGAGGAGGCCGGGTCGGAGGTGGCGAGGGAGAAGGAGAAGGAGGAGGAGGAGGCGGCGGAGGGGTCGCCGTCGTCGGTTACTTCCACTATTGGGGTGGATGATTTGTTGTTGTTGTTGCGCAGGTTGTAGTACTCGCGTAGGGCGGCGCGGGTGGCGCGTTTGGACTGGGAAGATGTGCCGGCGGGCATGGCGGAGGACACGTTGAGGTTGGGTGAGCTGGAGGCGGAGGCGGGCACGTCGAGGCTCGGCCGGGAAGAGGAGGTTGGCGTGATGATGGAGGAGTTTGCGCGCCGGGGGAACGGGCCGGCCGGCTCCCGGGGAGATGCGATTGTGGACATGGCGCGTTGGGATTCTCCGAGTGGAAGATCTCGCTCTCTCTCGGAAGTGACTAAGAGAATCAACGGTGTACGAAGGTTATTACCCGAGGATGTTGTGCGAAGCCAAATGCCAATTGCTAGTTGAAGATTGTTAATAAACCGCTTTGTACAATACAATACAACAGTAGTAGTTGGCAGTTGGAGGTTGCGGCGTTAAGTGGATCTTGTCCCGGCGCTGTGGAACCACGGGGCGCGGTTGTCGATCCGAGCTCCACTGCCCCACAGAAGCTCCCGAGTCGCCAAGTTCCCACCTTGGATAACCACACTCGAGCTATCCGTACAGTAGATTCAACCCCGGCTGAGCCCCGTTCCGTCGTCTTGCTGAACTTTGAGGCAAGCTGGATTCGAAAACTACAGGACTGTTCATTATCATATGCCAAGACACGCCGGGCTTGCCAGGTCAATGAACATCCATCGAAGCAAGCAGCCTACTATTTACCTAGATCCCCAACTCACACCTGACTTTCGCAACCCATCGCACCAACCAACTCTACATCTGATCGTCCAACACAACAACCGAGTACTCACTCACAACCTAACTTACCGAAAATCCCCTTTTCTCAAACCAAACAACAAACCCAGCAAGAATGGACATAGCAACCCAACTCCAAACCTCCCTCCGCTCAACCTCCAACCCGGTCCCCTCCCTGACCTGGCTCCAGACGCTAGCAACAGCCCGAAGCCCAGCCCCACCACTAGCCTCCCTCCTAGCCACGGCCCGGACCCGCCTGCTAGCTTCAGACTTGACCACTCCGGGCCTGCTGGACACCGAGTACATGGCGGCGCACAGCCTGGCGCCCAACACGGCCCAGACGCTAGCCACGTCGCGCGAGACACGGCTGGGCCGGGAGGTGGTGGTGCAGGTGCTGGACATCGAGGACGTGAGCCGGTCGCGGTGGGAGGAGGTGGAGAGGCTCGAGGCCGTGGCGCGCGGGGAAGGGACGAGGGGGAGGGAGGTGATTCGGGTGATGAATTCTTCTTCTTCTGCTGGTGGGGATGGGAATGGTGGAGGGGAAGACGGTGATGAGACGGGTCCAGGCGATGGGGGAGGAGGTCAACAGCAACAGCAAAGAGAGGCAGGGCCGCCAAGGAATGTCACGCATAAACTGGTCGTGCAAGACTGCAAGGGCCAGAAGGTGCATGCGATCGAGCTGAAGCGGGTGGACAAGCTTGGCGTGGGCACGACACTGATCGGGGAGAAGGTTCTGCTGCGGGCTGGGACAGTTGTGGCCAGGGGCGTAGTGCTGCTTGATCCGGCGCAGTGTGTTGTGCTAGGGGGGAAAGTGGAAGCATGGCACCGGGCCTGGGTAGATGGACGGCTGGCGAGGCTGAGGGAGGCTGTTGGCGCCGAGAGGAGGGAGTAATAGTTGGGGAGACGGGATTCGTAAACTTGGTTGACATAGAACCGTGTGGCTACGCCTGGAGGCCGGATCAACTGGTGAGAAAGCCCGGGGCGAAGAATGCGACCTGCTCACTAGAGCTCTCGTCCATTCGACACGTAAGGGGCCATAGGGTGAAATCGACTGCATTGGGAAGGGAACGGCTCTAGCGATATCTTTGATACCCATAGACCTCCTATTTTGTCTAGCACTGCCATTTTACATGCGCCATCCCAATCCCAAATACTGCTACATGACGCGCGCTCCCCCGGTGACCGCATCCCCCAACGCCTGCCACCCTGCCCGTTCCCACGGCGCCACCATGATCGCAACTTGCGCGTCCTTGGGCCTTCCAGTCCTGGCATACGCCCGAGCCAGGTCCTCCGCCGCGAGATCGCCCCTCGGAGGCACGCCCTTCAGCGCGACCCGCAACGCCATCTCGGCCGCGCTCTTGCCCCCCTCGCCGCCAAGCGCCCCAAGCCCCGACCAGCCGTGCGGCAAGTGTGGGTGGAACATGACATCGGCTCGGGCCTGGCTCGCCTTGAGCTCCTCAGCGTCGCCCTTGCCAAACGCCGCAATAGCCCGGAGCACCTCGCCGAGCTGCTTCTGGTCCGCAGCCGTGACGTCCTCGTCACTCGCCCGCAGGCTCTGCAGCTCGGCCACAACAGCCTCGAGGCTCTCCTCGTCGTCGTCCAGCAGCGCGATAACACCGAGCAGGAGCACAGACCGGACGTGGTGCGGCGCGCTCTCGATGACGCTGAATAGGACCTCCCGCGCCCGCTCCCTCGCCTGCTCCTTGCCCGTGGCCCACAGGACCTGTGCCAACACACACGTAACGTCCGGGTTGCCCTGGGACTCGTCGATAGCGGAGTCAAAGCAGGCCACGGCCTCGTCGACGCCGCCCTGGTAGTACTGCGCCAGACCCATCGTGACGTGCGCGCTGAGCCGGACACGCTTGCGCTCTTCGGCCGACAGCTCGCTGTCGGACTCGTCGCTGCTCAGCTGGATGGCCAACTCCGCTGCCTCGATGGCTTCGGCGTTGGAGCCGGCGGCGAGGTACGCGCGGGCGAGGTCGGATTTGGCGATAGCGAATCGCTTGAGCGACTCGGGAGACTCGGAGACTTCGTAGTCCGCCTCGACGGCGGCACAGATCTTCTCGAGGGTGCCGACGGCGTGGCTGTGTTCGTGGTTGCGCTCCTGGAAGAGTGCGGCGAGATGGCCGTAGGTCAGCTCCTGTGGGTTGAGTCCTTGGAGTTGGCTGAGGGCGAGGATCGGCTGGATCAGTGACGTGATGGGCACGTCGGCAGGCGACTCCATGATGTGATCAAACATCGAGACCGAGAAGTGCCGTCTGGTCGCCATGGACGAGCTCTCGGATATATCCATGGCATGAGTGAACAGGCCACGTGCTTCCTTCTGGTCGCCAAGCAGCAGAGCTACGAGACCCTGCCCGAGCCAGGCGTGCGCATAATCAGGATCGGCTGACTGCGCTTTTGTAAACGCCTCGTTGGCGAATTGGACGTCACCTTGGAGCAGACCCAGCGTTCCCAGGTTCGTCCAAGTATGTGCGCCGCCCTCGTTCAGGTGCAGGCTGCGGACAAAGGCATGCTGCGAGACCGACGGGTTGACGCCGCTGGTGACGACTCCGAGAGCGTTCCAGAACTCGGAGTTCCCTGCTTCAAGCTCGATAGCCCGCTTGAAACACGCGATGGCCGCCTTCAAGTATTTGGTGGCCTTCTTTCTGGACCGCATCGGCAGGCACGCATGCGCACGATACTCTGCCCACCCGAGGTTGTAATACGCAACCGCATGCGCGTGCACGTCGTTGGCGGATACGTGGATGGCTCGCTTGTGCGCGAGGATCATCGCATGCACGACTCTCGTTAACTCCGCACCCATCTTGGATTCGTCTGAGTTGGTGCCATTGGTGATGGCCATATCGCCGACTCCGTCCACATTGACGGCCTGCTCAGACACTGCATCAGCGGCGTCAAGTAGCTGTTGGACCAAGTCAGCCGGGAACTCCGCCAGTCGACCCTGGACGCTAGAGAACAGCGAGCACGCGTCGGCCACCGCTTTCCAGAAATTGAACGTCTCCTTGATCGTCTCGGGGGCTTGTACGGCAAACTTGAGCGTCTCGACGGCGAGGTCGATCGACTTTCCAAAGAAGCCCTTGTCCAAGCTGTTCAAGGCGCTGTCCACCGTCGCCTGCATCAAGGCAATGGCCACACCTGCCTCGTCCGGGCGACCGGCGAGAACCCCCTGATAGAGGGCAATCGCGTCGTCAAAGTCGCCCAACTCACGCTTGATCTCGGCGAGGATGAACTTGGAAAACCAAGTCTCACCGGGTGTCTCCGCACCCGGGGTCTCTTCAAGCTTCTGTGCATTCTGGATTGCCTTGGTGGCTGCAATATACCGACCAGAGCCGTGATAGCTCTCGCCTAAGCCGACCCATGAGTGGTAGTCCTCCGGCGATATCCTGAGGGCTGCCTGGAAAGAGACGATGGCTTTGCGATAGTCCTGCTTGTTAAGTTCCGCCACACCGAGGGCTGCGAAGGGCCAGCTGATGCCCTTCCGCTTAGAGCCGGGAGGCGGCTTGACCTTCCCCGAATCAACGACTCTCTGGGCAACAAGCTCTACACGATCCCAGTCGCCGTCGTCTGCGAACGACCGAGCAAGCCTCTCCGCCGACATGACCTCAGACGGTGACAGCTCGACTGCCTTCTGGAAGCACCGCCGCGCCCTCTTCTTGTCCTTGGCATAGTCCGCGTAGTACACGCCCAGACTTGCGTACGCGGGTGCATAGCTAAGATTGTTCTTCAGAGCCTGGAGGAAGTACGCATAGGCTCCCGTGCGGCTCTTCCTAGCCGCCCTGGACGTGTCGAGGTTCCAAATGCAGTATCCGATGCGATACTGCGTCTGCGCGAGCAGCTCCATGTTGGTTGCCTGTCGTTTCCTAGTCAGCAGCGGCAAGCAGTCCTCCAGCTCTCTCCTGCTAGTCTCAAAATCCCCCTTCAATGCTTTAACCCAAGCGGCCTCGGTCCTGACGCGAACGTTATCTGGATCGCGCTGCAGCGCTCGTTCTAGGAAGTCAATGGCTTCGTCGTACTCTTCTTCCTCCTCGTAGATGAGGCCCACCCCGATCATGGCGCGGGTCGATGACGCATCGTGCTCAAGCACCCCGTCAAACAAACTCTTGGCTTCCTGGTGATGGCGTGGTGATTGAAAGAAGACGAGAGCAGTTCCTAGGCACAAAGAGAAAGCGTCCTCCGTATTCTGGAACGAAAGCCCTGTCCTGGTGCGCTCCAGCTTCACGAGCTCAAGGGCCTTGCGCATGACCTCGACATTGGTTTCGTGTTCCTCGACGTGCTGAAAGTACTCGCCCGCCAATCTGAGACCGAATAGGGAGTCAGCACTGCTGACCCCTTCCATCATCATAAGCAGTCGATCTTCCTCGGTCAGCGGAACATATGTTGTCGGGACACCTCCTGACTCGTCGTCATCGGTTATGTCTTCGGTATCGGTGCCGGTGGTTGGCTCCGGTTGCTGCTGGGCCTCCTTCGGAAAGGGCGAGATTTCGCTCGTTAGAAAGCCCATAATGACCCTATTCAGGTCGCTGTCGGGGAAAAAGGTGCAGTATTGTCTGAGCACAGTGACATCCCAGTTCTGAACATCCTTGTGGTCCTGCCAATTGATGGCAATGTCCCATGCAAACTTGAACGGATGCCTGATGATCACCATGTCGTTTGCCAGCTTCTGGACAATCGCAGCTTCCCGCTCCTTTTGTTCGCCCGGAGGCCAGGCAAGCAGCCGCTCATAGCAATACTGTAGGAGCTTCTCCTCGAAGGTCCGACGCACGTCATCGTCGGTGGCCCAGTTGATGGCTTGGCCATAGACGTAGCCGAGTCTGCTCTGGTTGTAGACCTCACGCTTCACCTCGAGGGTTACCTCGCTGACGCGGGCGCCTATCCGGGTGCGTCGCTCGCCGATCAAGGTGTTGATCCGCTTCTTCTCCTCCGTCTCAACGATCTGGGCCTGGATCTCGTACGTCTTGGCGGGGTGAGGCACGCGGCCCTCCAGAGCCGGGTAGATGGGGCTCTCAGGCAGGATCAAGTCCAGAGCGCTTACATACTGCTCGCGGTCACCGTGCGCCCGTGCGTAGTCGATGAACTGATCCACCGTATCCTGGCACTTGTACATCTCGTTGGCATCCCGGTAGATCTCGGCCAGTTTGAGCGCAGCATGCTGGTACTGTGGGATCTTCCTTCCCCGCTGCCGCTGGTATAGCTTGATGAGGCCCTGCCATGCTTGCGTGTCACCGGGTTTCAGGCTGGTGGCAGCAAGGTATGTCTTCTCGGCCCCGTCGAAGTCGTTCTTCTTGTCCAGGGCGAAAGCCAGGAAGATGTGCCTACAGAATAAGCATACGTAGACCGTGGTCGCTGATGGGTTAACACTTACCCTTGGTAGCTCTTGCTGTCTCTCTCCAGAACCTCTCTCGCCGCCTCGACCGCTTTATCCCATTCCTTCTGCCTGATTGCTTCATTGACGGCCTTCAGCAAGGCCTTCGTACTGCTCATGGCGCTTATTTGGTGGGAGGAAGCACCTCACACAGGATCGAATGAGGGGGGTCTTGCTGTTCTGCGGGGCTGTTGATGAGGGTGATGTAACGGGTTTGTGGTGTCTTCACAGTAGCGCTCTTAAATCAAAGCCTATGACGAAGTATTGAGAGAAAGAAGTCGAGCCGAGGCTAGGTGCTGCAGGGCAGGTACCTTATCACAAGTCCTACCTTACTCTCCCATAGAACAGTCATTGACGAAACCATAGGGCTATTTGCCATTCAATGTTGAGTGTAGTGGTGGGGTTGATGTTGTGGACATTATACAGTGCCAGTGTATCAAGAGCCCCACCGATCACTGTGTGGATCTTAAGCAGACCAGGGCTCTAATATACGTTATGCAACTAACGCGAAGAGGGCGGGCGCAATCTCCAAATTAAAACGCGCTAGACGCCTGTCGGTGCCCCGCGTCGAGACGCACCGGGCCCGACCTGGTATGGATGAACCCATTGGCCGCCGTGCTTTCTCTTTGCAGGTTGACGAGAGTTATTGAACTTCGTGTTTGAGTACTAGTAGCATTTCTGTTCACCGCTGCCACGTCGGCAACTTTCTCTCACCTAAAACTTTCAGCAAAAGTCTGGCAGTAACCTACCAACTTCGCTGCCCAACCGGCTACCTTATTTCCTCTGCGTACGCTAGAAGTCTGGCACACTGATACGGCACCGCACCAATTTTTGTTTTGTTTACCGGGCAAGGCGCATTGCGAATTCGTCGCACCACCACATTACTGCCTAAGATGTCGGTTGTCTCTCTCCTCGGGGTTAACGTGCTCAACAACCCCGCCAAGTTCACCGACAAGTACGAATTTGAGATCACCTTCGAGTGTCTGGAGCCGCTGCAGAAGGGTGCGTCCTCCCGTGCCAGACTCCCTGTCGCAAGAGATGAGCCCTAAAACTAACCTCCCTCACCTACTGCCTGCAGATCTCGAATGGAAGCTCACGTACGTTGGCTCGGCGCAATCCGACCACTATGATCAGGAGCTAGACTCGCTGCTGGTCGGCCCGATCCCCGTGGGCATCAACAAGTTTGTGTTTGAGGCCGACCCGCCCGACACGAAGCGCATCCCCATCGACGAGCTGCTCGGCGTGACCGTGATCCTACTGACGTGCGCCTACGACGGCCGCGAGTTTGTGCGCGTCGGCTACTACGTGAACAACGAGTACGAGAGCGAGGAGCTCGTCAACGACCCCCCCGCCAAGCCCGTCTTCGAGAAGATCCGGCGCAACATCCTCGCGGAGAAGCCGCGCGTGACGAGGTTTGCTATTAAGTGGTACGAACGTGTCTCCTACCTTGGATTCAAAAGTGAAGATGCGGCCCTTAGCTCACATTTTATTGTCAATAGGGATTCCGAAGCCTCGGCCCCACCTGAGTTTCCGCCTGACCAGCCAGAGGCCGATCTCGTTGCCGATGAGGAAGAGTACGGTGCCGAGGAACTTGCCGAGGAGGAGGATGAACTCGTTGAGGAGGGCGCCGTAAACGGCGGAGAGTCCGCGGAAAAGGACGCCCGGATGGATGGCGTCGAGGGCGCTGAGGGAGAGCAGGGCGTTGAGGAGGACGAACTTTCTGATGAGGGTAGCGTCGACATTGAAGGCGAAAGTGAAGACGAGCTGTTGGAGGAGGAGGACGAGATGGTTGAGGGAGAAGGCGGAGGTGAGGGTGATGGGATGGACGTTGATGAACCCGAGCCCGCTGCTGGTGCGGTACATAAGCAGGGGGATGCCATGGTGCACTAGATGGACATCATGCTGAATTAGATCGGCGGCGGCGGATGAGGCAACTTCGTATGGATGCTTCAAATCATTGCCAGGGATATCGTTTTGCATGGGGCGAATGGGGGGTTTGGAGGCGGTCATGTTCATACCCTCGGCGTTCTAGATACAAGTGGGAGAATACACCTGTTAGTCATGACAGTGGCAGGCTCCTTTGTTGGTGCCAACCTTAACGATGATTGTAATCAGCACCTATGTAAAAGGACAACCATCGCTGCCGCACATTTACACCTCCGCACCCTTGACCTCCAGTCTGTCCACCAGATCCCCTCCTATCCTCGCGATCTCCGCCAAAATCGCATCCTTATTGAGATTTACCAGATCTTCCTCGTCGTCAGAGCCCTCGTCACCTCCATCCTTCGATGGCTTCTTCCCAGCAACAGGCTTGTATGAAGTTGGTAGGTTGATCCTGAAACTTCGTCTTTGCATTTGTGGGTTCCAGATCGCTCCAATGGTATGGTCATCAACTGAACCACGGAAGAAGACCAGAGCCCCGCCATACACAGCCGTCAGGTGCTCCAAGAACAACTCTGCAGGATGTTGTGCCAAGGGCAGAGGCTCTAGCCCTGTCCGTTCATCGAGGTTTTTGAATTTTGCCCACCCGGCGTTCTCGGTCCCTTCAGCTTCAGCCTCAGGGTCAACGGCGGCGTATGTCTTGAGTGTGCTCTTCAGGACCTTGCTGTTCATATGGATGACTACATCGTACTCTTTGAGAGACGGCACAAAGAGCCTTCTGGAGTCGAGGTTTAGCCCCTGCTCCCTGATGACTCTGGAGGCGCTCTTGGCTAGAGATGTCATGCGCGTGGCAACGACCTTAGACGGTTTCGCTTCGCCCTTAACCGTTGTCCAAGCTGTCCCGCTGGGCTCTTGAGCGGTTGCGACGAAGAGGACTGTGTGGTTCATGTTGGGGTCAATTTTGCGCCACGCTTCGAGTCGCGTGGCGATCGATGTCCTGTCGATAGCAGGCATGTCTCCGCCAGTATCGATGATCAGGGGTTCGGAACGCCAGTCCCAGCGGGCCAGGAATAGTAGCGTCCGCATGAAGCCGGTGCTAGCGCTTGATGGCGCGTCCCATGGATACGGCGCAAGGAAGACGTGAAGGACAGCGAGTTCAATGAACTCTTCGGTAAAGTGGCACGACAACTTGTGAGCGTTGAACCAGTGCTTCACCAGCCGGATCGTCGGGGATAAAGCTGGGAAACGAGTGGCGCATGTGGAGATGTACTGGTTGTGCAACGGCAAGTTGGTGTACAGCCGTCTGAAGGTCGCTAGCTGAGTCGTGGCGCGCTGACGTAGATACTGCTCCAAGGTCTTATCCTTTACTTCTCGCTCAAGGAGTGACTCCTCGAGATCGCTGTGTATCCGCAGCCGAAAGGACGGACCTGACTCGTAGACCACGTCAAGGAACGCAAGGTTCTCGGTTTCGAACTGCGCAGCCTCAACTCCAACGTGTGTCTTGATCTCACCCGGCTTGCTACTCTCCAGGAGGCTGCCAATCATCAGGAGGAAAGCAATCTTCGTCCGCTGAATGGCAACCACACTCTCTGGCCATTTCCCCGATGCCTCGAACGATATGATGCACTCCAACGGCCGGGGCCCTGACTTGGACGAAAGAAAAGCTGGGAGGTTAACAGAAGCATATCGGAGCTCTGGGCAGATGGGTGCTATCTGCCTGACACGGAGAGGCAAATCGTCCAGATCCCGAACGTCACGCTCAAAAGCGTCAAATGCCTTTTTGGCCACGTTGAACAAGGCGCTGTCAGCAGGTCCGAGAGACAGCATAGCAGGAAGTTTGTTGCCGTATATGCTAATCTCGTTGTGAAGGTGCCCAATGTGTAGGTGCCGACCGAGGATGTACCGCATGATCTCTTCGCAAAGATCGAAAGGAGTTTTCGAGGTCCAAACCAACGTCTCTCGGATGGTGTCGCGCTCGAAACGTCTCAGTTCGGCCTTGTCGCCCCAAAAATTCCGAAACTTTGCGCATTCCTCTTTTTCCTGCGCACTTGGCCCAGCAGCCGGGCCTCGATCGACCGTCCGTGACATGTTGACTGGATCGAACAAGACGCCGATCTCTAGTGGCAGAGTTTTCGGGTCCTTGGACCCCTCGGTAACAGGCCACGGCGGAGACGCTGGGGTCGTGACGTGAATCAAGCGAGCTCGCTCTCCCATCTCCTTGTCTGCTAGCGCCTTGTTTAGGATTTTGTAGACCTTACTACCGAGCTGCCATGGTAGCCCCCAAGCATCTGCGTCTATTTCATCTGATGCCCACTCGCAACTCAGGCGGGCAATCAAGTCAAAGCTGTGTGGCGCGAAATCGGATCTGAGAATGAAAGTTGGGCTGAAGTGGTCAGCCGTGCTGTCAACTAGCAGGCGCCGCGTCCATTTCGCGTGCTGATGAAGCAGAGCCGCTGACCAGGGACCCATTTTGAAGGCAAGGTTCAGTTTCCGAGCGGAATCATAAAGCACGGGCCCAGATTCGAGATGGGCTTCCAGTTCCGGTTTCCCTGGACCGAAGACGCAAGGCTTCTCAGCGAAATTGGTCACCGACAGAAACTGGACGAGCGCCTTGAAGAGTTGTGTGCTGCTGAGCGAGGCCGATAGCGCGGCGTGCCCTTTGCTCTCCCCGCCTTGGAGAAGGAGAGCAAGAAGTACTGCCCACTCAAAGTGACCAAACCCGCCCTGCGCAATATCGCCTCCAAAACCTCTCTGCTGCAACCAGATGCGCCCCAGGATACACGCAGCCTTGAAGGCTGCACATTTCTTCTCAGCCTGCCGTAGGACCTTGAGGTAGGGTAGGAAGCAGCTCTCAGCGACCAAGGTTGAGTTGTAGAAGGGAGTGGGCCGGGCAGAAGCGTCTGAGTGCCCTTCACGACCCTTGCGGACCAGCGAGGCGCCCAAGCTAAGCTTTGACTTGGGGAAGAATCCGTCCGGCGCACAGGGAATAATCCGTACCCTGTAGTCAAGGTCCCCCCTATCGCCTGAGCTCCCTGCTTCTTGCTGTTGGGACGTATTCGGCTGGATGGCGAGGACGGGACACAATGGGTTACCGTTGAGGCGCTCGTAGGACAGCCGGGCGTCACTCCCCAGCTCCTTTCGCACGGCAGAAGCAACAACGGCCAAGTAGTATGCCCTCTTATAGAAGTAGCGTAGATCGAGATAATCCTTTTCTTGCAGAATTCCTTCCGGCAGTACGATGACCATATCAACAGCGCGGCTCTTCTGTGTCTTGACCATAGTCTTGGAGACATAGCTACCGACAACATTGAACTGCGCCGGTGTGGCAAAAGCGACTTTGTAGTTGCAGCTTTCTTGTGGCCGGGGTTCCGGGAAAGGAACGCGAATCTTGTGCTTCTTTTCGAGCTTGGATGCGGCCTCCAGAAGCTGGCGCGCCAGTTAGCACAGCATCCTCTTAAGGGTTAGAACACTTGGTATCCATACCGGAAGCGGTTCATGGCTTTTTATGGCCTCAACAATGCCTTTGATCTGGTGTAGAAGGTTGTCCGCACCCTCAAAAGAAATTCCGTAATCCAAGCGCACAGATGCTAGCAACTCCTCGGCCTCCAGCACGAATGCCCTTGACCTGGAAATGCCAGTCGAAAGACCGGATTCAAGAGTGACCTCGGCACCATCCCGGGCATGGTCGAGCTTCCTTCGCTTTCCTGGGTGAGAATCCATCGTTGCGAGGCGGTCGCGAATCTCGACCTCTGCGGAACTCGGTTCGTTTGATGCGCTCTACGATTTTCTGGGAATTTTGATGATTGATAAGATAAGAACCATAAGCATTCAAGGTTTCCTTTTCGGGAGGCACGTGCTTGTGCAATGCGCCGAGACGCGGCAAGGGGGCAAGTGGTCGCGTCTACCTTAGTACTCCACTCTTTTGTGGACTCTCATCGGAGGCACCACGGTCCACTTCACGAGCAACTGCAATCAAGATCTCCAGCCTGCATTTTTCCGCAAAAGCAATTCATCCATGAACAACACAAGCACAATAGCACCCCCGCCTCTGAATAGGCACGGCGGCATGCAATAGAATACAATAGCATCTCCCTTATCCAGCGCGTGGTCACAAACAGTGCCGCATTCTTTGTTCTATGCTTGCCACCTCCCATTAATTGACTAAAGCAGCTTTTCGCAAGAGTCTTCCCAAGACTTCCCGCATCCCGTCATTTTCGCAGGCATCTTGCCACCAACCTTAGGCCGTCACCACGCCATATCGATTGCAGCTTATCTTCCAGACGGCCTAATTCAATTCGCAAACCACAACTCATCATTGCGCCGATACCAACTCGAATCCCTTCGGCCCTCAACGTTTGTCCTCGATCTGACACGACTTTTATCCCTCGACGTTGCCCGATCGACGCGATCTATCTCGCAGAAACAAGTCTACACACAATGGCCGAATACGACCCCGCGTACCAGAGTGGTGCTTGGGGTGAAGACGGGAGTTATGAGGTTGCAGATGGCAGCAATCAAAACCATGTTCAACAGCATAGCACCCATCAAGTTGAAGCAGAGTATTCCCTTGACCCAACTCCTGATGGTGCCGCCGACGATATGGGTGACTACGATCCAGCATCAGTCACTGCTGCGCCATCCACTGCTGTAGCACTTCAGCCAGCTGCAGACCAGGTCCCCCTCAGGCCCTCACCCCAGCGTGCGGCGAAGAAACCGCGGACGGCAGGAGGCTTCCTAGTGGGAGACTCGGACTCTGAAGATGATGAGGTTCCTGTTTCTGCATCGAGTGGTCTTGCCTCTGGCGCTACGCCACAGTCCTCTGTCCCACGTCCTGCCCCTCAACACCCTGCCATTGCTGCCAGACAGTCTACTGTCACCCCATCCGGGGCAGATTCTGCGCCCCAGGCGAATGGCGCTGCTGCTGCCCCTGCTGACCAGCTGGACAATGGCAACCCGCGGTCATCTTCTGCCTCGGCAGCCGCCGTTGGCTCGGCGTCCCAAGTTCCCGTTGACAAGATTGCTCAGTTGGAGAAGAGGATTCACGATGACCCTCGCGGCGCCATGGATGCGTGGCTCGCGCTGATTGCTGAGCAACGCTCCAAAAACGACACTGAACAATCGAGACAGGTCTATGAGCGCTTTCTCGCTGTCTTCCCTCAGGCTGTGGGTTTCCAAGATCCGGATGAACGCGAATAATAAAGCGCTAACATACCCCTAGGCTGATATCTGGGTTGAATATCTAGAAATGGAGTTGGAAACGAACAACTTCCAGGAAGCCGAGATAATCTTCAACAAGTCTCTCATGTCAACACCCAATGTGAACTTATGGACCAAGTACCTAGACTACATACGTCGGAGAAACGACCTGAACGATAACACCGGACATGCTCGCCAAACCGTCTCGCGAGCCTACGAATTTGTCATTGACAACATTGGTCTGGATAAAGATGCCGGCAAGATCTGGGCCGACTACATCCAGTTCATCAAGTTTGGCCCTGGTACCGTCGGAGGAAGCCAGTGGCAGGATCAACAGAAGATGGATCAGTTGCGCAAGGCTTACCAGCGAGCCATCTGTGTGCCCATCGCGAATGTCAACACGCTGTGGAAAGAGTATGGCGAGTTTGAAAACGGCCTCAACAAGTTGACCGGCCGTAAGTACCTGGCGGAGAAGTCTCCGTCATACATGTCGGCCAAGAGCGCCAACACAGCCCTCGAAAACATCACCCGGGGTCTGCAGCGGACAACTCTTCCCCGTCTCCCGCCGGCCCCGGGCTTTGACGGTGACCAGGAGTACATGGAGCAGGTTGAGATTTGGAAGAAGTGGATTGCATGGGAGAAGTCGGATCCCCTGGACCTGAAGGACGACAAAGATCAGCCCGGTCTGTACCAAAAGCGCATCCTTTATGTCTACAACCAGGCTCTCATGGCACTGCGGTTCTGGCCCGAGATGTGGGTTGACGCCGCGCAATGGTGTTTCGACAATAACATCACGGCCAAGGACGGCAGCTCAACTGGACTAGATTTCCTTACCAGGGGTATCGAGGCGAACCCCGAGAGCGTCCTGCTCGCTTTCAAGCACGCCGACTACATCGAATCCACCTATCCGATTGAGGAAAACGACGATGCTAAGATTGAACGCGGCAAGGCCGTGCGTGGCCCTTACAACAAAGTGTTAGACACTCTTTATGGCATCGTCAAAGGGCTGAAAGAGCGAGAAACAGCAGAACTTGCGCGGATTGAGGAGGCTGCCAAGGCAGCTGGCGAGGCCTCGGCCAACAGGGCCGAAGAGGAAGACGAAGACGAGGATGAAGCTGGCCCTGCGGAGAAAGGTGCAGTTGGCAACAGGTTCAACGAGCAGATTCGTGCCATCAAGCAAGGTTATGCTGCCCAGACTCAGCTTCTCTCGAGGACCATCTCTTTTGTCTGGATTGCCTTGATCCGCGCGATGCGCCGCATCCAAGGCAAGGGCAAACCAAACACGGAACTGGGTGGTATGCGGCAAGCCTTCCAAGATGCTCGTCACCGAGGCCGTCTCACTAGCGACGTGTATGCGGCGGTAGCCCAGCTGGAGTGGACTATCTACAAGGATCCCGCAGGAGGCAAGATCTTCGATCGCGGTGCGAAACTGTTTCCCGAGGATGAGAATTTCACACTGGAGAATATCAAGTACCTCCATTCGCGCGATGACTTCACAAGTGAGTGTTTCTGCCCCTTTATCTAGCTTCCGTCTTCTCCGTGTCTTACTAACCTCTCGCAGATGCCCGTGTCCTCTTCGAGACGGTTGTCAACCGCTTGACGCAGAAGCCTGAGACTGTGCATAAAGCCAAACCCCTCTATGCTTACTTTCATAAGTATGAGTCGCAGTTTGGTGAGCTGGCTCAAATTGCCAAGTTGGAGAAGCGAATGGCAGAGCTGTTCCCTGAAGATCCCAAACTTGCCCACTTCAACGCCCGATACTCAACCGACAAGTTTGACCCGATTGCTGCCCGGATCATCGTTTCTCCTGCGACACAACTCAGACCCAAGCTGCTGCTCCCATCGGTCGAGCAGGCTACTTCGCTCCAAAACTCACCTCGCCTGCCTCCATTCGCAAGCCGCCCTAGTCCCGGGCCCCAGTTCTTGCGGGCGACAAACTCTCCCAAGCGTCCGTTGCCAGCGGACGATTTCGATGAGCCGCCGCGCAAGATCCAGCGCAACGAATTTGGCGAGTTCCAGCGCGGCGCTTCGCCGCTTAAAGGCGCCGCCGGCCGCCGCTTGGACCAACAGCGTCGGATGCAGGGCCAAGGTGCCGCCTCATACATAGCTACCACCGCTCCAATTGCTCGGGATATCACATTCCTTCTCAGCCAGATCCCACGTGCTGATCTCTACGACTTCCACCGCTTCAACCCGGTGAAGATGGCAAACCTGCTCCGCGAAACTCCGGTGCCGGAGTACCACGTGTGGAAGAACACCCGGCAAGCCACGGATTACTCTAACCAATACGGCGGCTACCAAAACCGTGACTCGCCGGCTCCGATCGGTCTGCCTCTGAGTCCTTATGTCACGGGAGAGGGACCTCGCGGCCGTATGCCGCCCTCATCCGCTGCTCAGCACGGGCAATCCACAATCCGACCCGGTTCGAGCGGGTCTTACGAGCCCCCGCCGGCAGTGTACGCGCAAGGTCCGCCTCCGTCACAGACGGGGTACGCCCATCCTCCACCCACGCAATATGACGGTGGTTCTGGCCCGGTTTGGGCGCCTTATCCGCATCCGTCCATGGCTCAGCCAGGTTATGGCGGCCCACCCCCACCGCAGTTGGGTTACGGACAGGGACCGCCGCCGGCTCAGGGTGGTTACCCCCGGTATCCACCCCATCCTTACTAAGGCAATAGGATGCTCTCCAATCCGAACTTAAGCATGCAGGCCACGAGGTTCTGTTAAGCTTGATGCCGAAACAGGTTGACCGCGAGACTCAGCCTTACCAAGACCTGCTTAGCTTGCTGTTATTCACGCCCGTCGCATATGTACAGTTTCGATGAAAAGCGAATTCATGGACGAAAAGCACTGGGTGGAAGGAGCTCATGCATGGAGTGGGTTGGGTCGGGTTTCTTAAGTTCTCTTTGGGTTTCGGGGTTTCCCGCTTTAAGCTTCTAGCATTGGCGAGGGAGGTTCTTCATGCATCCACATATTCCACCCCTCCCATCTATATGCTGTAAGACAAAGGTCGTCAATTTAAGGTTTAGGCCGCGTGGGTCCGACGTTCTCAGCGCCTGTTATTAGCTGTGAAAGGACTCTGCAGTTCTGCCAGATACTAGGTACCCCAAGAGCAGCAATTTACTTAGGCTACCTCGACGCAGCCGGTGGGATGATGATGGGTAAAGCCATCCCGCTAGAGACATGGTTCTGCTTGCGTGACGTCCTGACAGTACTAGTACCTGGAATGTGTCCTTTTACTATCCCTCCACCTCAATCACGGCATGACAAGTGCCTCGGCAGGAAAGCTGGTGGCTCATAATTACATAAAAGTACATGAATCTGTCAGCTTTTGCGAACAAACCTGCTTGCCATTACCGAGGATGCGGTCTCAACCTGTGGGCCAACATGGCTTGTCTCCTTTGCCTGAGGTGCTTAATCGATTCCGTAAGCAGAGGCGCACATAATAAGCCATGTTCAGAGCTTTTTGTGGTTGATTTTTGACAGCTCCATTCACTCCATACTCGACCCGAACTCTACTCAGCTGGCCAGATGTTACTGGCCATCTATCTCCGTAAGAGCTAGCCATCAAGAACTAATGTACTTCGGAGTCTGTGATTTCGATGCCAGATAGCCCTAGAACAGATCCATGTGTCCAAGAAATCCAAGCTCTGATTTCCTCGTATTGTGGTTCCTGGCCAAACAGAGATTTAGCTTCCTTCCAGTCTCTTTCTGCTGGGCTGGTTGGAAGCCATTACTGACTGCCCGGCCTTCCGCCTCCTCGCGTTCTTGCCTTGTTGACCAATTTCCTCCCATCTTTGCTGACCTGGCCTCCACCAAGCCCTAGGCCTCTCCTACAGGAATAAAGTCTTTGCCAGGCTTCCCAACTTCACCTTCTTCTCTTCCTCCAAACACCACACAACTTCACCCACCTCGGTACATCAACCAACCTTTCTCTTCACTCATCGCTTACACGAACCATCAACAAGTATTCCAACCCTAAGTCACTTCAAGGTAAGTATTTAGTCGAATATTTCCTTTCTTATGTCCTTCCTGCATCTCCCCTCTGCCATCCAGAGATGAGAATATCACAGGCAAACCTTCCTTGAGACACATCCTGGTATTTGTTTACAACCTCGAGCTTCCGAATTCATGCCCTCTCACTCTCCCTTCCCACATAGTCATCCATAGAATGCAAAAAGGTGAGTATATCCAAAGCCTCCTTCAGAGAGTCAGTTCGATGGCAAACAGTACAATCACTCCTGCAAGCAAACCAGTTTGTCGATCACTCCCACCCAGCCTTTTCTTTCCAGAATTACATTTCGAGAAAACTTTCATATCTGGATGAATCCTTCTCTGCTTTCCCCTTTCAAACCTCCTCTCCCGTGTCACAGCGAGCGCCGCTCTCTCAAAGCTGCAGTTAAATTGCTGTCTCTTCCTTTCACACCCTCCTTCTCTCTTCTCAACTTCAACTACACAACTTATCTGCTTCCTTGACAGAGGGTTTGGTTTTCCCTTTTACTCTTGAGCTAAACCAAGACTCCAACTTGCCAGTGCGAGTTGGCCTGCAGGTCGGTTCTGGTCGCGTTCTCCCAGGCATGCGTCATCGAGTTGCTCCCTTGTTTAACCGCCCCTTTTCACCGCCTCCCAACTTCCCATCAAACTCTTTTAACTTCCTAACTTTCCCATTCAGTTCTGACAGCATTTTCAGTCTTCAACTTCCACTTAACAACCGAGTCGGTCAGCAGACTTCCATCGGTAAGTCTCTCGTTTTGAGGTTACCTGTTGCTACCTTACGTTTCCCATGCCCAGAGCTTCGTCATCGCTCCTTCCCTCTCTCATTTTCTTAACCCCTAAGGTATCAGTGGAACACGGCACAAACAGGTGATCTGCTTCTCCCATTGTGCTTGCTTAACTCACCGACCTAGTACTGAGTCAGTCACCTGAGGGATGGCAGAGCAGTTCAAGTTTCTTACACCTGCCTAACTTCTGACCAAGCATCGTGATATCATCCCCCTTCCTCCACCACTCAGCACCTCAACACAGAACTGGCTCTGAGCCTTACATCAAACCACTACCCCACGAATCCATTGTTGGATGTTCTCTAATCTGAAGCCACTTCTGCAGTTCATCCGAGCAAGCGCGTTCTCAGAAAAGATTCAGTTCCGTCTGCTTCGCAGATCCAAGTCGGTACTGGTAAGTCTTCTGGTTTCTGTCGCCCCTTCTTTTTCAACCTGTTTCTCTTTGCTGCTTTCTTACTGTTTGGAAACCACCGAATACGTGGCGTTCAAACTCATGTTTATGATTCTGATTTCTTCCACCGATTTGAACATTTCTACCTTGAGTTTCTTCACCCATGCCCACATCCAACCTTCGTTCCCCTCCGCCATTCCACATCCTGCCTCCCACCGACACAGTTCCCAACAGGAGCCCTTGTACATCGAGGGCTTTGCCATCATATCAATCATTTCTTATTCAGTCCCAAAGACAAGCGGGTTCTTCAATCCTTTTCGTCAGCGCAATTGCCCGAATTTCAAAGTCAGACCTGATTCCATCATCACTTCAGGACTTGATCGATACATCCCCTTCAACAAGTGACTCATAATCCCATTGCAATTCTCATGAGTCGGTTAGACGGCTAACACTTCTCCTTCTAACAGCTTCGAGCATTAACGATTGCCCGCCATGTCACAGAAGATGGCTGGTCAGGGCTCGTCGCGCCCTGATAACCCGCTGGCTCTTCCGGCGGGTATCAACAAGCGGTGCGACTTGCCTCCCGAGGCCTACTGGGTAAGGTTTGGTCCACAGATTGACCTTGTCAATGCTGACATGGCTTCCAGCACGCCGGCCGTGTCAACACGCCCTTCACGACTCGCCCTAGCTACAACACCAGCGGTCAGTCTATTAGGGTTGGCGTGAACCAGTTCCGCGTGAAGAGCGTCTCCGGCAAAGACGTTTACCAGTACGATGTAAGTAACTTGTTCAAAGCTTTTTGAGCGCTCGAGAGCACACAGGCTAACATATGGAACCTGCCCGCAGGTTAACATTGTCCCCGAGCCCACTGGCGGGGTCGTCTACAAAAAGGTCTGGAAGTCCATGGCGGTGCAGAGTGTGCTCGCCAATTGCAAGGCACCTTGGATTCATGATGGTCGAAAGCTTGCTTGGTGAGTACAAGACTACAAGATGCATACTCAGAGCTTGCAGACGTTAACCAACGCTTGAACAGGTCAACCTACAATGTCCCGTCCCTGCGGTGTGAGGTTGACCTCGGCGCCGATGAGGGCCGTCCGGGTCGCAAGGGCAACACTTTCACCATTGTGATTAAGCAGACCTCCAAGGTCCGCCTGGAGATGCTGAAGGCGTACTTGACCAACAAGGCCGGCTGGGATACCACGGTACTGGAGTGCATGAGTGGGTAACAGAACGATTCCTTTCCTCAATCACCATGGCTCACATTGTCCAGGCTTCCTTGACCACGTCCTCCGTCAGGGCCCCTCTGAGAGCATGCATTTGATCAAGCGCACTCTCTTCAATGACTATTCGGAGACCTATCGCCTCAACAACGCCACTGAGGCGATCAAGGGTATCTACTCCGCCATCCGCCTCAATGAGGTATGTGCCCTGATGCTCCTTGCCCCCTTTGCCGTTCTAACTGTGTGCATCAGTCGATCAAGTCTGGTCAGCTCGGACTTGGAGTCAATGTCGATGTCTCCAACCAGACGTTCTGGGTGGGCCAGCCGCTCATGCAACTGGCGCGCAACTTCTTGAGCTGCCACGACCCCAAGCGGTGGGGTAACCGTAAGTTCGGCGACCGACTATCATTGTCTTGTTTGCTTCTTCGTTCATGTAGCTGACTCTGCCCCAAGTCACCTACGATCAAATGCGCGACCTCCTCAAGCCTATCGAGATCAAGGTGGAGGGCAAGGCCCCCTTTTACGGTATGTCTGAGTGCTTCAAGCTCCTCCGCCGCTTGCAAAACATCCGGTTCGAGGTGAAGCACCGTGGCGACACGAGGGGCAACAAGGAGTACAAAGTCCGCGGCATCCTGTTCAAGCAAGAGTATGGCACAGAGGGTGGTCATGCCAAGGCCGTCAAGTTCGACAAGAAGATGCCTGACGGTAGCATGAAGACTTACAGCATCTTCGAGTACTACCTGCTACACTACAAGACCCGGATTACGCACTGGTACTTTCCTCTGGTCGAGACGGCCAAAGCCGGCTACTTCCCCATGGAAGTGTGCGAGGTCAAACGGTTCAACCCCTACCCTTTCAAGTTGGACCCCGCGCAGGTATGTCCTCTGCATTTTGCCTACTGTCTCACATGGATTCAATGCTCACAGCAACCAAACTCCAGACCTCGGAGATGATCAAGTTCGCGGTCCAGCGCCCTCAGCAGCGCAGCCAGCAGATTCTGACGATGGTGAAGCACCTCGAATGGGGCCAGGACCGCTATCTTGCTCACTTCGGAATCAAGATCGACCCCACCATGCCCATGATTGAAGCTAAGCTCATCAAGAACCCCATCGTCCAGTTTGGCAACCGGACCACCGACCCCAAGGTGAGCGGTCGCTGGGACCTTCGCGGCATGAGGTTTGTCACCCCCAATAAGCAGCCACTCGTATCCTGGGGCTTTGTCATTGTGGACAACTGTGTGGACGAGAGGACCGTCGAGAACTTCGCGAGTGTCTTCAAGACGACATACACCGGCCACGGTGGCGTCATCCAGAGGAACCCCATCATCATGACTCCTCCGGGCGGGTTCGAACATGACAAGGTGGTCATGGAATCGTTCAACAAGTGTGGCCAAACCAACAAGGCCACCCCCCAAATCCTCTTCTTTATCCTGAGGGACAAGACCTCCTGGATCTATGACCGGTTGAAGAAGAACGCCGAATGCCGCGTTGCGTGCATCACGCAGATGTTGAACGCTCAGCACGTTCGCAGGGCTCAGGGCCAATACATCTCCAACGTCTGCATGAAGGTCAACTCCAAGCTTGGCGGGCAAACCTCGAGGATTGCGCACCAAGGGCAGGGTTCGGCATTCTTCAAGGTTCCCACCATGATGATCGGTGTTGACATCTCTCACGGCAATACCGGCACCGTCTCCGCGTCTACCGTAGCGATGTGTGTCTCCATGGACAAGGATGCGGCAATCTATGAAGCCGCTGTTGAGACCAACGGCTGGGGCGTGGAAATTGTGCAGCCGGCCAACATGCATTCCATGCTCGGACCGATCATCGTCCGCTGGCGCAACAAGAACCGGGTTGTTCCGCAACACGTCTTCTACATCCGCGATGGCGTCTCGGAGGGTCAGTTCGCCCATGTCATGGAGTTCGAGTTCGAGGAGATGAAGAAGGTGTTCCAAGAGCACCTGGGAACTGTTCCCAAGATTACTGTCATCATCGCTACCAAGCGTCACCATATCCGCTTCTTCCCCGAGAGGGGTGACAGGAACGGCAACTGCCTGCCCGGCACGCTTGTGGAGCGGGAAGTCACGCACCCCTTCCACTACGATTTCTACCTCTGCTCGCACGTGGCCATCCAGGGCACAGCTCGTCCGGTGCACTACAACGTACTTCATGACGAGTGCGCCCTGAAGGCTGATGATCTGCAGCGCATTCTATATCATCAGTGCTACCAGTATTGCCGCTCGACCACGCCCGTCTCGCTGCATCCCGCGGTGTACTACGCGCATTTGGCCGGTGCCCGCGCCCGCCATCACGAGAACATGGCGACGAGCGAGCAGATGCCCAAGGAGCAGAGATACTTGGTGCTCAAGCGCCCCGGTCCCTTTGGCAAGTGGGATAAGGACAGCCAGGCTCCCTCGGAGAAGGAGACAGCGCCTCCGCCGCTCATGAGGCCTGGCCAGCATGGCGGTCGCCCGGACGCCATTGCAACCTTCATCAGCACCATGTGGTGGGTCTAAAGACCCATCGGTGTCGCAAGCATAAGCGCCATCAGTAAGTTGAATACCCACGATTCACTCCTCTGACAGCAGATTTGCTAATGCTCCAAAGCTCCAGATAGATCAACAAGAATGGCATCGGGCTTGCGACGGGAGGTGGAGTAACGGGGTTTTGGTGTGGGAGGGACCAGCCGTGATTCAGTCGTCGAGACGTGCTGCAGCAGGCCCTGATGTTTGTTTTATTTTTGTACTCGGAGCTTGGCAGTGACGGACTTGGAGGGACATGGGAGCCGGATGGAGCAGCGTGGCAGTTCTCTGCAACGGCATCTTCTTCACGTCCTGGAGTTCTAACCACTTAAGTCCAGAGCAAGATACTAGCAGCAAGCATGGCGCTGATTTATAATGATGAAGTCCTGATATGTGACTATGAGACGAACCGACGGTCAAGAGAGTCGAAGATCACAAGCCGGATCAAAAGACTGAGGACTTGAAGGAGACAACTGCGGCATTTCTCCGTTACTTGATGCGATTGCAGGTGTAGCTCTATGAGCACACGGCAGTCCTTCGTAAGATGAACTGTCCAAGTTGCCGCATTGCTGTCAGGGTGAGCCGGGCATGCCGGTGACTGTACGAAGAAATACAGAGCAAAGCTAGGGGAGAAGGAGAACAACACGGCCTACAGGTAACTGAGTCAAGGTACCTGTTACAACTAAGCGCTTGCTGGGGTAAGCCGCCAGGCGTCGGCGTGACGGCTGTTGCAAACTTACAATCCCAGCCATGCCGTTGTCCTTCCGAGGCCAGCATCCCCGGTGACTGCCGTCGCGAGATTGCCTAGCACTGAATTCCAGCAGTGGAGGCGTCTTTGATGCTGGCAGCTTGAGTAAACAAGAAGACTGGCAGCAGAAGCAGAACGTGCATCCCAGGTGTGACTAGGTGTGACTCCGTGTGACTCCGTGTGAGCATCTGGAATCTAAGTACACAAGTCCTCTGGAGTCCAATGCATGCTCTGGTTTGCTCACATTCGGTATCTGCAACTCCAACAAGCCCTTGATGCGTGTGAGATCTGATCTGGCCGTGAGCATCCGGGAACTCGTTAGTACCTTAGTTACTGCGCAGCCGGCGCCGTTGGTTGAACATGATTAGTATGGATTGGATGCATAGGGATGTACGGTGTACAAATATTGCAACAGAAACGCAGTTTGGCATCGCGTGGATTCAGGTCGACGACAGACTCTGAGTGATCCCTGGCCCTCACCTCCTGTTGTATTGTACAGTTTCCTTCCCCTTGATATCTGTTGTCCGAGCAACGCCACTACGTACCCGCCAAGCTTTTTAGTCGACATGGACATCGGCATATGCGGGTGGGGCCTGTTGCCATGGTTCGGGCCGGGGGGGCCGGAGCCTCCCGAAGTACTGGACGATGTCCCCGATGAACCGGACGGAGGGTAGTTGTATTCTCCCGGAATTAGAGGGACAAATTTCGCAGCTACTTATGCCGAGTTCCAAGTTGGCCTTGCCGCCCGGCAAGTTCCGGGGGATAGGTCCAAATCTCCTTAGGTGATGTGTACCTAACTACTGTGTGGTAAGGGTGGATCCAAACTCCGTGGGATCGGATGAGACTGAAGTTAACTATATGTCCCATCTTTACATCTCTAGTAAGCCCTATCACTTCAGATAATGCTGCAAGGTCCTAGCCCTCTGGCCATATCCGCAGTTTGGCATTAAATAAAGATACACCACGCAACAGCGGCTCGAATCGCAAGAGCCAAAGTTATCCCGGATTGTTGCTCCTCCAGTCTACCTAGGTAGGTACGGAGCATGGGACCGAAAGTGTCTGTATCTTCCAATTGTTATGATAGTGCAAGTCACGTGGCTTTATACCTGACACGATTGCGGTGACCAAAAGAATGTGTACGAGTACATCATGGAACCTCCATAAGTCAAGCGAGAAAACCATCGTAAAAACATAAGAAATAAGGTCAAGAGAGAAAAACACGCTGCGTATATACCTACGTCAGCTAGTGTAGGCCTGCCTGTTCTGAAACACGGGCCGGATTTTCGGCCTGGAATGAACCGAACGGAACTCCCGCGCAAGGCCGCTTGGCTAAGCCGCATTGGGTCTAGTGCACCCGCCGCAACTGGCGGGGCATCCCGATTCCCGACACGGGGCACCCCCACCCCACATGGATTCAGCGTCCATTCAACACTACACAGTAACCTGCAGACGCGAGGCAAGCTCCGGTCTCTTCCCGTGGCAGACCAACCGTCACCTCAGCGATCGCATAAGATGGCAGGCTTTCTGCGCGCCCGGCAGGCCGGTATTCAGAACGACCTGTCGGCGGGCATCCCGCCGGGGTCGTTTTCCCCGGACGAGCTATCACGATACGGGATTAACTCCCAGATTAGGTATGTGCCGTGATGTACGGAATTCCGTTATGACGAGGCAAATGGAAGCGCCCGTCTCCCTTCTACATAGACTGCCTTCCCCTTATCATATGTATATCATATATATCGCTGCAGTACCCGCTTGCTAACGGCCCATTCCCTCAATAAACAAAGCTGTCTCGCCTACGACCCAATCCAGTCCCTCCTCGCCGTCGGCACGCACGCCTCCCGCTACGGCGCAGGCAAGATCTACGTCTTTGGCGCCCGCCGCATCGTCCGCTCCTTCTCCCTCACCTCCTCCACCCCGGTTGCTCCGTCGTCCTCCACCACCTCCTCCTCCTCAGCCTCTGCTGCCGCGGAGGGCCTATCCGTGCGGCAGCTCTCCTTCGTCGCCAACCGCCTGGTCAGCCTCGACTCGCGCAACGAGCTCGCCGTCTGGTCGCTGCACACGGGCGAAAAGCTCGCCCGGTCCAGCTACGGCCGCGTCAGCTGTGTGCTCACCGACCCGGGGCTAGACTGGGCTTTTGTTGGTCTGCAGGCGGGCGGCGGGGAGGTGTGGGCGTACGACCTGGACCGGGAACGCCCCGCGGCCGGGTTCCGGCTGCCGAACTTCTGGAAGGCCAAGGTTGAGAAGGAGAAGCCTGGCGGTGGACTGGGGATGGGACTGGGGATGGGAATGGGGGTGGAGATTGTCTCGTTGCGGCTGCATCCGAGGGATATTGGGAAGTTGCTGATTGGGTATACCCACGGCGCGGTGGTGTACTCGTTCAAGCAGAATGCCGTGCAGCGGTTCTTTGAGTATGTCGTGCCCGCTGGCGCACCGGGCGGGAATGGGGAGGGGACGGATCGGGAGAGGAAGCCCAGGCTGGTCAGGGCGCTGTGGCATCCTTCGGGCACGTTTGTGTTGACGGCACATGAGGATGGGAGTCTGGTGTTTTGGGATCCCAAGGATGGGCGGGTGGTTGCGGCGAGGTCGGTGTATACTACCAGGGTTAACGAGGTTGGCGCGAAGAAGAAAGGGGAGAAGCCGACGCCGCTGGCACCGTTTGGGAGGATTGCCTGGTGCTGCAAGCTGCATTCCCCCGATGATACCGCGCTGTTGATTGCCGGTGGCCAGGCGCTGGATGAACAGGAGAAGGGCCTGACGTTTCTGGAGCTGGGGCCGACGCCGATATATGCGACTTCGTCGTGGGAGGCGCTCACGAACCACTTCGAGGGAAAGCGTCGGTTGACGCTGCCGATACCGCCCGGGGCCGAGGTGGCAGATTTCTGTCTGGTGCCCCGGTCGACGCCCTTTTTTGACGGCGCACAAGACCCGATTGCGGTTCTGGTCTTGTTGACGTCGGGCGAGGTCCTCACCATGACCTTTCCTTCCGGGTACCCCATCAGCCCGACGAACATGCTGCATCCGAGCATGTCCTTTGTGCACCCCTTTGTGCAGAAGATCGCCGTCAGCACCATGCCGCGGGAACGGTGGCTGGGTCTGGCCGAGAGGCGCGATCAGGGGGATCCGATTCTCATGGGCGGCGCGCCCGCTGCGAAGAGGAGAAGAACCGGCTGGGATTTCCGCAACATCATACAGGTTGCGCATGCCGACAGCACGATCCGGATATGGGACGTCGGTTTTAACGACGACATAGAGAACCCGGCCCAGCTACAGGTTGACGTGGCCAGGGCGCTCGACCGGTTCGAAGATGTCAGCGTCACCGCTCTCGCCATGGCCGATGCGACGGGCGAACTCGCTGCCGGTACAAGAACGGGCGAGGTGGTCGTCTATCGATGGGGCGTCAACAGGAACTACGGGCGCGACGCGACAAAGCCGATCGACCCGAACCCGGAAGGCCTGTCGGATATCTCGTCTCGTTCGTCGCCGTCGCTGAAGGAGGGCCTTCAGCCCCTGGTCCTGTACGAGATGATGCAGGGCCCGGTGAGCGTGGTGACCGTCTCGGACGTCGGCTTCGTTGCAGTCGGGTCGGAAGGCGGCTTTTTCAGCATCATTGACCTACGCGGGCCGAGTATCATCTACCAAGCCTCCATCACGGAGTTTGTCAAGGAGGAGAAGCGATCGTCGTTCCTCAAAGGACATTCCTCCAAGGGGTCCACTGCGACCAAGGAGTTTCCCACAGTTGTCGAGTTTGGTGTGATGACAAACGACGGGGACAACTATTCCAGCATCGATTGCTTCGTGGGCACCAACCTGGGGCGCGTGGCCACTTTCAAGATCCTACCGGCTGGAAAGACATATTCTGCGCAATTAGCCGGCGTGACCAAGATTGGCCATGACAAGGTGGTGGCCATCTGTCCGATCAATGCGGACACCGGTCAGCCCGCGGGCGCTACGGGGCTCGCGGTTGCGGGGCTCAGTCAGGGGAAGCAAGTCAACGGCGTCCTTGTAGTCGGTAAGTCGGCCTTTTTTAAGGTACCTTAGTCTCAGACGATGCCTTGGATTTACTAACACCCACCCCCTCCCACAGTCACGCAAACGGAAATCCGCATCTTCAAGCCCGCCGCGGCAAAGGGCGCATCTAAGTCCTTTGACGACCAGCTCTGCGACGCAGCCCGCGTGACCGAGTTCCCCGGCCACGGCGTCGCGCTCGTCGCCGTTTTTGGCGACCGCACGACGAGAGCTTATTCCCTGCCGGCGCTGAAAGAGATGGGTCGCGCCAGCCTGCCCATGCTCGACCCCAGCCGGACCATCTCCACCGTCATCTCCCGGACAGGCGAGATCTTGGGCTGGACGGGGCCGTCCGAGATGGCGGTTCTGTCGGTGTGGCCGTCATCATCATCTTCAGGCGTCGTCCCGCTAGAGGACACGCTGATTAACCCGGAGCTGGTGCTCCCGCCGCGGCCGACCATCAGCAACCTGCAATGGATCTCGGGCACGCAATACGTCAGCCCGACCGACCTGGATCTGCTGATTGGCGGCGAGGGCCGGCCGGCGAGTAAGAGGATGATGGAGGCTGCCGCGGCCGAGAGGGGCATGGCCAGCGGTGGTGGTGGTGCTGGTGCTGGTGCAAGGGCGGGAGGAGGAACGGGTCAGGAGGGCTGGGGCGAGTACCTGGCGCGGCAGCTCAACGAGCGCACCGAGAGGCTGAATATGGTGGACGATGCCATGAGCAAGCTGCAGGAGACCAGCCAGGGCTGGGCCGAGGATGTGAACAAGTTTGTGAAGAGGCAGAAGAGGGATATGTTGCTTGGGAGTGTCAAGAAGTCGCTTTTCTGATCCGCGTGTAGCGAAAGGGGACGGGAGGGCTATGCTACACTGCAGTCAAATCTAGGGTCAGGGGCCATTACCGGCAGCTAATGGTTGCATTCCGTCCTCCCGCCAAAGCTGCCGATTCGCAACTTCGGGGTTGTCCTGGATGCACTATGGCTAAATGACGCTCTCCTCTGGACATGCCGCGGGTGCTCCAATCACGCCGTGAAGGTATGTACTACTTCCCCGCGTCTGTTTGGACGTCAGTTTCCCACATATGGTGGACGTCCCTGTTCTCTTCGGTTCACAACACCCATCTGGATCCCTCCAACTCCCCAAGACAGACGAAAAGCGAGCTTACTCACCGTACTCACCGTACTCACCATGGCAGTCTCAACAACCCTCCTCGCCATCCTGCTACTGCCCATCCTCCTCACCACCACGACACATGCAGCCGACACGCCGTTCCTGGGCTTCCCTTCCCCCTGGACTTCCCCCAGCAACAATTCTGACTCGTCCTGGGCAGCCGCCTACGCGCAGGCAGTGGCGTTCGTCGCCAACCTCACGCTCACGGAAAAGGTCAACCTCACGACGGGCACGGGGTGGCAGGCGGATCGATGCGTCGGCAACACGGGCGGCGTGCCCCGGCTCGGGTTCCGGGGGATGTGTCTTATGGATGGACCGGTTGGGGTCAGGTATAGTGCGTTCATTTTTCTTTCTCTTTTCTTTGCCCCCCCCCCCCCCCCCCCCCTCTTTTTTTTTATTTTCTTTTTCTTTTTTCTTTTTTTCTTTTTTTTTTCTTTTTTTGTCCGTTTCTGTTGAATCAATAGTTGGAACTGCTAACTAACAGGAACCAGCCGATCACAACTCGGTCTTCCCCGCGGGCATCAACGTCGGCGCCACCTTCAGTCGGCGGCTGATGCGGCTGCGCGGGGAGGCACTGGGTGCGGAATTCAGGGGTAAAGGGGTGGATGTGATGCTGGGTCCGGTGGCGGGGCCGCTGGGGAGGGTGCCGCAGGGCGGGAGGAACTGGGAGGGATTTAGGTGTGTATCATGCCCTCCCTGACCCAGTGGCAGCTTATAAAATAATGAAATCATTATTTACTTACCTACTTAATCATGCAGCCCCGACCCGTACCTCGCCGGGGTCGCCATGGCCGAGACCATCCGCGGCATCCAGAGCCGCGGAGTGGTGGCGTGCGCCAAGCACTACATCCTCAACGAGCAGGAGCACTACCGCGGCAGCGTCGACGTGCGCATCGACGACCGCACCATGCACGAGCTGTATCTGTGGCCGTTTGCCGACGCGGTGCGGGCGGGCGTCGGCTCGGTCATGTGCTCGTACAACCGGATCAACGGCACGTACGCGTGCGAGAACGAGTGGACGACCAACCACGTGCTCAAGAACGAACTCGGCTTCCCGGGCTTTGTGGTGTCCGACTGGGCCGCCCAACACACCACGCTCGGGTCGGCGCTCGGCGGGCTGGACATGGCCATGCCGGGCGACAGCGGACCGCTGCCGTACCGGTCGTGGTGGGGAGGCGCCCTGACCGAGGCAGTCCTCAAGGAAGAGGTGCCGCAGTGGCGGCTGGACGACATGGCAGTGCGCATCATGGCCGCCCACTTCAAGGTGCGCGCCGCCGCCGACAACTACACGTTCCGCCCGGACATCAACTTCTCCGCGTGGACCAACCAGTCCCTGGGATACCTGCACCCTTCCTCCAACAACTCCCTCGCCACCGTCAACGAATTTGTCAACGTGCAGTCCAACCACGCGGCCCTGGTCCGCGAAATCGGCGCCAAGTCCATCGTCCTCCTCAAAAACGCCGCCTCCCTCCTCCCGCTCCGCAGCCCCCCGAGCATCGCCGTGATCGGTTCCGACGCGCAAGACCCGCCTAGCGGCAACCCCAACGCCTGCCCGGACCGCGGCTGCCCGCAGGGAATCGGAATGGGGACCACAGCAATGGGCTACGGCTCCGGCACCGCCGAGTACCCTTACCTCATCTCCCCCGCGTCCGCCCTGCGTGCCTATGCTGTATCTCACAACATCTCCTTCACCAACCCCCCCAGTAGTAGTAACTCCAACTGGGACCTGCCCGCCGCTGTGGATCTCGCGCGCAACGCGTCCGTGGCCATCGTCTTTGCCTCGGCCCTGGCGGGGGAGGGGTACATGACCGTCGACGGCAACGCGGGCGACCGGAATAACCTGAGTCTCTGGGAGAACGGCGGGGCGCTCATCCGGGCGGTGGCGGGCGTCAACAGGAATACTGTTGTTGTACTGCACACCCCGGGCCCGGTACTGGTAAAAGAGATGGAGGGCAATCCGAACGTGTCGGCGATCCTCTGGGCCGGGTACCCCGGGCAGGAATCCGGGAATGCGCTGGTCGATGTGCTCTTTGGGGCGGTCAATCCGCGCGGGAGGAGTCCCTTTACGTGGGCCGAGACGGAGGCCGATTATGGCGTGGGCCTGGCCCTGATGGATCATGTGCCGGTTGGGGAGGACCCGAATAATGAGAGGCGGCCGACGCCGGTGCAGAGGTTTGAGGAAGGCGTGTTTGTCGATTATCGCTGGTTTCAGACGGGGAGAGGCAGAGTGGTGTATCCGTTTGGCTATGGCCTGAGCTACTCCAAGTTCCGATACGCGGATCTGAGGGTGGTGCGGAGGGAGGATGTACCGGGAAAGTACCCGCCTGCTGGGGGGATGACGGGGCCCGCGCCGACATATGGCGTCGTGGAAAGGGGTGACTTGACCAAGTATACTCCGCCCGCAGCGTTTGAGAGGATTTCGCCGTATGTGTATCCGTGGCTGAACAGCAGCGAGGGGTTTGTTGCTGGTGGCGGCGGCGGCGGCGGCGGGAACAGCAGTCAGTTTCCGGCCGCGGCAACAAACGGTTCGGCACAGCCTGTGCTGCTTGCCTCCGGGGCTCCGGGGGGGAATCTGGGGCTCTACGAGGTGCTCTACACCATCACGGCCTCCATCAAGAATGAGGGCGAGGTTGCGGGGACTGAGATACCCCAACTGGTAAGTCCTCGCATCGCACGAAGCCACGCAGATAAGTAGATCTATCGGAGAAAAAAGCTGCTGACAGTCAAAAACACAGTATGTCCAGCTGGGGCGGGGAAGACAACCCCTGGGGCGTTCTCCGCGGGTTTGACGAGGTCGAGCTAGAGCCCGAGGAGACAAAGACTGTCACGTTCGAACTCACACGGAGAGACGTCAGCAACTGGAACACGACCACACAGAACTGGGAGATCACAGACAGGGAGAAGTTTGTGTTTGTGGGCTCCAATGTGCGGGATATCCACCTGAATGCATCGCTGCCCGCGCCCGTCGGGATGAAGTGGAGGATTGGCTGAGAATCAGGGGACGCAATGCCTACCTACCCTTACCTACCTTACAGAGCTCAACCGGACGGTTTGACACAAGACGTAGCCCTGGCTTAGGTACCATTGAAATTTGCACTCGCTAAGTAAGGAAGTAGTTGAGCCCTCTGGATATTCTAATCCTGACCCTTTCATGAACATGGCCGTCATTACGCTGCCCAAGCTCCGCCCCCCCTCCCCCACCCACACACACACGCCTTCCGGCGCCACCCTTCTTTCCACACTGCTTTTAATACGTGTAGCGGAACCCAGGCTCGTAGTGGTCATCCTAGAAAATCATGTCAGTTTCCGCCCAGAACAGAGAAAGAAAAAAGAACAAACAAAAATAAAAGGAATGGACCACTTACAGCATCACACTCGAGCTCCTTCTCGCCCCGGTCCGCCTGCGAGTTGAGGCGGTAGAAAGAGATGCTGAGGCACCCGACCAGGATCATGGTGAGAAGCGTCGTGGCGATGCAGGCGTACAGGCCCGGCCGGTATCCCGGCGCGTCCTGGCTGCGGAAGACCAAGCTTCCCGCGATGCCGCCGATGCCGCCGAACGAGACGAAGGTGGCGCTGCAGAAGGCGCGCTTCCACTGGCCGCGGATGTTGTTGGCCTGGTACGACATGGCGGCGGGGACGTTGGAGTTGGCGCCCGCGGTGACGAGGAACACGCCAAAGTAGCGCACGCCGGCGTTGGAGTGGAAGCCCATGATGGGCAGGCCGATCAGGCACAGGATGCTGTTGAAGACGACGACGGGCCCGCGCAGGCGGTACTTGTCGCCCAGCCAGGCCGTCGCGAACATGACGATGCCGGCGAAGGCGTACGGCGGCGCCACGAGGCACTGCGACTCGCCCACGGTGAAGCCCATGTTCTCCGTCAGGATGATGGGCAGGAAGTAGGCGAGCGCATACGTGACCGTCGTCGTGTTGAAGAAGATCATGGCGTACGCCCAGATCTTGATGTCCGTGCCCGCGCGCAGGTACTTGGCCATCGAGAAGGGCTGCGGCTTGACGTCGCCGCGGTCGGCATCGACGCGCGCGCAGATCCACTCGCGCTCCTGCGCGCCCAGGAAGCTCCAGTTCAGCCGCTTCGAGTCGGGGAAGTCCACAAGCAGCCAGTAGCCGGCGGCTCCGATCAGAATGGTGAGGAGTCCTTCGATAATGAAGATCCAGCGCCAGCCGGTGAGGCCCGCGATGCCGTGCATTTGCATAATCTGCCGGGAGTTAGCTAAGAGCTTCCTCGCCCACACACGACAGCAGTCTCAGAAGGCCGAGGTTTGCTCACCCCGTAAGCCAGGATACCAGCAAAGGCTGACGCAACGCAGCCGACCAGGTAGAAGACCGAATTCCGCTTGCCGACCTCATCTGTTTCCGTGTCAGCGCCGATTCCCCCTTCGCTTGCTGCGGGTGGGGGAAGGGGAGACTCACATCGCGTATACCATGTACTCAGCAGGTACACACAGCTGGGGAAGAAGCCTGTCTTCAACGTCAGCACACTTCTCTCGATATTTCCACATTTCACAACCCCCGGGAAGCTCAAAAAGAGAGCGAGAGGGAGAGTGAGGAAAACCCACCAGCTTCCAGCACACCCAACAGGACTCTCAGACCCGCCATCGCCTCCCACGTCTTGACAAAGCCCATCCCCACCATGCACCCGCCCCAGAGCAGCGTGATGGCCGCGAGGTGGATGCGCGGCCCGATCTTGCGCACGATGATGGTCGATGGCGGCTGGAAGACAATGTAGGTGACGAAGAAGACGAGCGAGATGATGCTCTACCGCGCACAGCAACTGTTATTCAGCATATTTCTTTCTTTCCTTCTTTCTTCCTTGCTTTTCCCTTTTTTTCCCGGGCAAGTGGGAAGGTGAATTAAAGAAAAAAGGAAAAAAAACGAGGAAAACTCACGTATCGATTCCCAATCAACATCAGCTCCTTGCCCATGCCCGCAATGTTGGCCGCCCCCAGGTTCGTCCGGTCCATCAGACTGATGCAGTACATGGCGCCCACCGTCAGCACCAGCCGGCGGTCGACCCGCCGGAGGATCTTTTTCTGCTCCTCGGGCGAGAAGCCAAAGTCGTCCGGCGAGATGGCGCCGCCGTCCTTGGTGGATCCGGCGACGGCCTCGACTTTGTGGCCCGTGGTGGCGGCGCTGTTGGCGCGGTCCGAGTAGTCGGCCGCCTCGACATTTTCGAAGGTGGTCTTTTCTTCCTGCGAGGATGCCATGGTGTGTGTATGCTTGGTCTGGTCCTGGTCTTCGTGGGTGATTGTATGGTGGGACAAGATAAGAACAAGAAGATGTCTTGTTCAACGAGATTCCCGTTGCCGCCGAAGGAAGGGAGAGAGGAGGAAAGGATGGACAGGAAGGGATCGGCGTTTCGAGGGAGAAGGAGGAGGTACAATGGTATAAATGCGTCCCACGTCACTCGACGGGAGGAGCTAAATGGTAGTGAACACAGGCCTACTAGTACTTGTCGGTATCCATGTAAACGGTCTGGGGGATGCGGGTGATAGACCGTAGCATCCAGCACCTCAATACCTCATGGATCTCAATCCCAGGCGCCCCCTCAGCCAAGAGCAGCCGCAACACATCCAATCGCAGCTTCCTGGCAGTCGAAAGTACCACCATATCTCGCCTCCTAATGGATCCTGCCGCCAAGATCAAATCAGCCAAGCAACGGGCCCCGGTAGGTAAGTGCCTGCCGTGAACCAACGCCAATCTATGCCCCTAATCTATGCCACTCAACCCGCCGTAACACTGGCTGTCAAAATGCTGGATAGTACTGTAGTGCAATGACTGATGCGAACCAGATTGATGAACCGCAGGTCTGGCTTGAAAGAGCCAAGCTTTTTCCCCGCATCCGATGAGCCGGGGATGCTTCCAATCAAGTCCCCCTGCCTACCCGGGGAAGGCGCAAACGTTGAGGCAGACCAGGCGTGTGATCTGGGCCATTTGCCCTATCCGGGTTCAGTCGCCGTCGCTAGAGATTCGCTAGAGGTTGGCAGTACTTGGCGCTGTTACGGTGGCAAGCGAGCCAGGGAAGGAACTGAAGTTGCCGTACATAACACTACGAAGTATGGAGTATCGTGGTATAATAAACCGTACACTAGCGGTCGTTGTAGTGCAAGAAGAAGACGGTGTGATAAGTCGGGGCTAGCTGCACGAATCTACACTAACCGGGGTACTCTTGGTTTCCGCATTGTACAATGTCTTGTAACTGCCGCGGCTTTCCTCCGCAAACGCGGGGAAGAAATGGGCTGCAGATCAAAAACCCCCCTTTCCCCGCGTCTCGGCGAATATGTGGTAGCTAACGTTAGCCCTTGCTAACGACACCAAATATGGCATTCCTGTCCTTACTCGAACTTGAAAGTTTGATGTTTGCCACACTGGCAGGCAAGCCGACGCGCCGAGTTCTGGCTTTCTTTGCGATTGGGTGGCCATGGAAGAGGCTCCTGGATGCATCCTCACGCAGTCTCTCTGCAGCCCAGACCAGCTCTGCTACCACGTTATACGATCTGGGCATGGGAGCTTAAGGTCAGTGGCGTAATCAGCGGTCTATCATTCGACGACCGTGCCGTGGCGGATCGTACCTAACGTACTTGGCAAACGCAAGATGTGTCTCTAGCTTGAACCCCAGCGTCCTGAGAACCTCGGCTCAGTGCCTGTCTAGCCAACAACGGACAGAGACATGGCCCTGAACCGAGGCTCTGCAATGGTGCAGTAGCAGAGTGCTAGATTAGGACACAACGCAAACCGGCGCGACAGAGTATAGGAGTCGAAAGAGGCTGGGCTGGGAAAGAGGGGAAAGGCTGCGTTGTCTGGCTTGGTCCTTCGAAGAAGGCGAATACGACAAGAATGTCGAGGGCAAGTGGCAAGGTAGGAGAACAACGGTGGGCAAGTCAGCACTGTCAAGTCCAGGCCCATCAAGATTCTAACATACTTCTGTTGAACCAGGGTGTTACTTCGGACCAGCTCTCAGCTCTCGAGGCTGGCCCTGGTACGCGTGGGCGAACTCATCAGCTAGGTAGGGTGATGGCCATGATCTGCGGTGCATTGTTGGGTAGCGAAATGTGACCTCCGCATCCCAGGGGCTGCTTGACGGGAGACCGGCACAACAGGGGTGCCAACCGCGATACCAGTGTGTCGGGTCTCGGCGGGTGTCTCTGTTAGGTTACACCTATGCTCCCAGCCGCCGAGGAGGGAATCAAGACCTATACAATACCACGTTAACACCTCCTATAGACTACCTACTCAACTTGTCACTCAGCCTCGGCAGCAGTGATGTCGACTCCGGTCAGGCGTTCTCGCCCAGGCTGCATTAGCGCACCTTCTGGGTGGCTAGGTAGGTTTACGTTGTACCCTAATAGCGGTCGATCTAATTCGCAATTTCCCCTGGAAGCGATCGCAGAGTCCTTGAGCCTTCAGATATCCTTTCACTCTGAGCTTCCCTATGCTTCCCGCCTTAAACACGGCCGATAATATCTCGCCTGGCCTCACAGGAACTGCCCGCATTGGTCTTGGGCGCGAAGGGAGGGGCCAAACTGCATCCCGAGACGGCCATATATTCCCATCGTTGTCCCTATCGCTGCCGCCATCGTCAGCCCCGTCATCATCTCACACCACGAAATGATTTCGGCGGTCTTCGTCTCGGGCGGGTTGTGCCTCATGAGTTGTAGCTGAATGGGCCCCTAGATCAGCGGAGATATTGCGGTTGATGCAGGTATACCGCCTGCCAGTCCCCCTTCGAGCGGCGTAGCCCGGGTTTGTCGAACCCCAAGTTCAGCCACCGTCTTGTGGAACTCAGCCCGCATCTTCCTTACTTCTCTCCTAGACTCAATCTTCCAACCAACGCTGAGGATCAGTGCCGCACAAGCCACGGCACCGAGCACACTGGCAGCTACGATGTCGTATATACTGCAGCAAATGTGTATCTGAAGATCGCGGGCAATCACCACTGCAAGACGTGTGCGTGTTGCCGCCATGCTCGGCGAGGTACGGTCCTTGTTGCGGAAAGTTTGAAGATCGAGTAGCACTGCATGCCGAGGCGTAAGGTAGACGTCTCTCAGTAATATTCTGCTTCTACGCGGGACCCGGGGTTCATTTATGGTTTGAAGGCCTCCTCTATAGTGAAGTCAGGTACGCTCGCCCCCTTTTATTTCCACGTTCTCCGGTCTTACCACGGTCTCTGAACTGGCTGATAGGAAGGAAGAAGGCTTACACCAGCGATAAACACTTCAGTCCTCTGGCTTTCCATATTTCACCTGTGTCACGGTGGTCAATGAGTTCCCAAACTTATGCGGACTTCGGCCGTAGTATCCGCAACCTTGACTCCATCTTGCGGAAGCGTAGCCTAGCTGCCAGAGTATACGATCAGTCAGCTTAACGCTGGGTGAGGGGAAACCTCACTACCACGAAATTGCTGGCTTCTGGTCTGGCTCATTCCTGGCCCCGGAGTGTTGGGCGGAAGGGAGCCATGCAGAGGCCTGAGAAAGTGACTCGGTTTTCAGATGATGAACGCAAGACGTCCAGACCCGAATGTCCTATTGAAACGCTGGCGATCCGCCGGACATCTGAACATGGCTCCTGCTACTGCATAAAATGGCGGCTTGAATTTTTTAAGATCGGTCGATGGATAAACGAATCTCCAAGTTGAGGTGTGTCCTGTCGCATTCACCTTCTCGCCGACCAAGTCGTCCAATCGTTCCTTCCATTCTTCCACTCAACTAGGGAGCACCTTCCTTCCTTCCTTCTTTGCGGACTCCGCGCCATGCGACGGGATCTTACTGCAGTGGTGGTCAAGTCTGTCCTAGAGAGGAGCCATCCAGAAACAGCCTACTGGGAGCAAACCGGGTTCAGAGGTTTCCTCGGGACGACCTACCAACCTGAGCCGGCCGAATGTGGGGACCGGTGTAACCTCCTGTTCCCTTTCGGATCTGTCTTCCCTAGCACTACTACCGGAACGAGGACGACCAAGACCGGACGTTGCAAAACGGCACCCATTCATCCGGTATCTGCGGAAGCGAATCCCGTCTGTCCCACTCCACGTGCATGCGCCAGAGAGCTTAGCAGACTTAACTTCAATGCTTGTCTCCTTTAATTTACCCCGGAAACAACTGGGAGTACGCGAAATGGCGGGCTCCTACACGTGTATGCTCAACAATGCCATCGTGGCCACACGATGGAAAGGAGACAGATAGGTGCCTACCTTTAACTGACCTAATGCACAATGACACTGATGATCATAGTGACTTTGCATGCGAAAATAGTAATGCGACTCAAGGCACGTGGGATGTGGCTCGCCGCTCATTTAGATACATCACAACCTAGGCTTCGGATGTCCTCCTTCCGCCCTCGCCGGATTCGGGGCACGTCAACCTTGCAGCAGAGGAAAACCCCAAGATGGTGGGGCTGACCACCTCGACGGCTTCGAGGCAGGATCAAGGCACGTGGACGCATGGCGTAGAATTGGGAACATCTGCTTCCCATGCCAGAGAGAGACAGCCAGGGCCCGCCCTCTGGGACCACAGAAGCGCATATATATATACATCTATAGATTCCCCGGTTGCCGTCACCTGGTTCCGTACACTGCTCAGTCGTGAAAGCAGCCCATCACCGCCTCCCCTTATACCTCCATGATGAAAGGCCTCAGCCTCCTTGCAGCTGCATCGGCAGCGGCTGCTCACACCATCTTTGTCCAACTTGAGGCCGGGGGCACGACATACCCGGTTTCTTATGCAATCCGGACTCCGAGCTACGACGGCCCTATCACCGATGTCACGTCCAATGACCTCGCCTGCAATGGTGGTCCGAACCCCACGACGCCGTCCGACAAGATCATCACTGTCACCGCGGGCACCACCGTCAGGGCAATCTGGCGGCACACTCTCACCTCTGGGCCCAACGATGTCATGGACGCGAGCCACAAGGGCCCGACCCTGGCCTACCTGAAGAAGGTTGACAACGCCCTGACAGACACCGGCATCGGCGGGGGTTGGTTCAAGATCCAGGAGGATGGCTACAACAACGGCCAATGGGGCACAAGCACCGTCATTACCAACGGTGGCTTCCAGTACATGTAAGCTCTCCCGAAGAGCATGCATTCATCTCCTTGTCCATCTCAGGGTACTAACAGCGAGAAAGTGATATCCCGGCTTGCATTCCCAACGGCCAGTACCTCTTACGAGCCGAGATGATTGCCCTACATGCCGCGGGCTCACCAGGAGGAGCCCAACTTTACGTAGGTTCTTGCGTCCATTTGCGAGGTACTGCCTGTCTCTGACAATGCGTTTCAGATGGAATGCGCGCAGATCAACGTGGTGGGCGGCAGCGGCACGGCCAGCCCGCAGACCTACAGCATTCCGGGCATCTACAAGGCCAACGACCCCGGCATCACCGTCAACATCTACTCCATGACTCCCTCCAGCCAATACGTCATCCCCGGCCCGCCCAAGTTCTCCTGCAGCGGCGGCAGCAACAACGGCGGCGGCAGCAACCCGTCCGCCACACAACCCGCCACCACGAAGCCCGCGACAACCCTGACCACGTCCACGGTCAAGCCTACCACGAGCGCTCCGTCAGGTGGGTGCAGCGTTGCTCAATGGGGGCAATGCGGTGGGAGTAGCTTTACGGGATGCACCACCTGCGCGTCGCCATACACCTGCAAGGCTCAGAACGCGTATTACTCGCAATGCCAGTGAGGGTGTTCAGGAGGATGTCGCTGTGAGATCGGTGGTGTAGGGCGAGGAGGGCGCATAGCAGCGTGGTGTAGATAGACCGCTGTCCATATAAAGTAGTGCTTTTGTATATACTCCGTACCTTACCTCCTCTTCTATCAAATATCCCCCACCGGGGAATTTTACCTACCGCGCCGGGATGTCTGGCATAACCACACCTCAAGAAAGACCACAAAAACGACCCCATCAATTCCTCCCAAGATCCCTCCTCACCCTCCAGACCTTGCTCCCCACAGCCCGCTTCTGGCTCCCATGCAGCATTTCCACCCAAGGAATTTCCTTCATCTGCCCCCTTCCCAACGCCCCTACCGTCCTGTCACCAGTATTGTTGACCACCATCCCTTCCTGTGGCCCTTCCTCCTCCAACCCCTCACTATCACTAGAACCGGGACCAGCACCATCAGAATCAGCATCAGAATCAGGATCAGAATCAGGATCAGAATCAGGATCAAAATCTGCCTCCCCAGGTGCACGCACATGCGCCCGGCGGTACAGCTCCTCGCTGTACGCCCAGGACGGCGCGTCGAACCGCCCCGCGACCAGCACCGTCTCCTCGCCCGCCAGGCCCGCGATGATCTCGCGCGACAGCGGGGTCAGGAGCTGCAGTTCCTTGCGCTGCGTGTCGACTCCGCGCACGAGCACAAGCCCAAGCAGGCGGGAGTGGCGCGGGTCGAGGGTACGGCCTTGCGGGTTGGGGATGAGCGGTATTCTTCCTTCTTCCTCCGCCTCTTCTTCTGAGGGCGGGTCTTCGAGGCCGGGCCTCGCGTTCGTGCTTTCCTCTTCCTCTAGGGAAGATGGTAGGAGGAGATCCCTGAACGCCGCGCGGCTCTCTGCTTTTACCAGCGCGAGCACGGTCCCGTTGATGGCTTCGGCAAGCAGCTCTGGCGCGGGCTGGTGGTCGTAGCACAGCACGCCGAGGAAGCCGCGCTTGCTCGGCGGGCCCGAGTACCGGACTCGCCAGGGGCGGAGTTCGGTTAGCGGCGCGGGGTCCCATGTTGCGTGCTGCTGGGGCTCGCTGGGGGGCCTCAGGTGGAAATAGGACATTGTTTGCATCGTGCGGAAGTGGAGGGAGGTGCGCGAGGAGATGTCGCTTGGTTGGGACGGGAGGGTGGAGAAGGGGGTTGGAGGGCTAACGGTAGTGCAGGCGGTTTGAAGGGTAGTGACTGTTTCTTCGGGACCGTCCTGGGACATGTAGACTACTTCGGTCGGTCGGATCGCCGTGATCAGCTCGGTCAGGATGTCGAGCCCGGTGCCTTGAATCCAGCCCGGCGTGTTGACCACTAAGGGGGGTTTGGCGTCGGGGCTTCGCCGGTAATGGTTGAAGAGGTCGAGGACGCATTCGATGAAGTAGGCCGGGTCGAGGGCCGGTGTGACAGAGGCAATGGCGTGGGCTCGTAGTTGCTGGCCTTGTCTTGGTGCGAGAGTGGGATGGCAGAATGGGGGCGATAGGTTAGGGGCTGTGATCTTGCACAGGGAGATGACTCCGGGAGGCGAGTATTCCGGCTGCCCAGGATCTAGGTCGAGGACCATGACGCCCGACCAGGGCTTACTTTTAACTCCTCCCCTGTCGGTCATCAGACGGTTTGCCAGCACCCTTCCGAATGTTGACTTTCCGGACGATTTCGGTCCACAGAGGAGAACAACGGGCGTGCCTTTCCGTTTCGCCGCCGCCAAACCGGACAGTTTCTTGTTCCACTCCGCCGGCAAGACAAGCTCCTGCAAGGTGCCCCTCTTAGGGACATCCTCCGAGGTGCAAATCTGGCCGAGTCAGCCAAAGGTCCGAGCGGGCCGGGATATGATACATACAATTTGAAAGGTGCGAGGGGGTTTCCAGGCCCTGTCTGCACCCGGGTCTTGCGAATGAGTCTCGTTCCATATTTTGGCAAAGGCAGGGTTCAACTTTGCCAGCTGCCTCAGCCCCTTCGCCGTAGGATGGGGTTGAAGTTCCAAGATGGTGTCGTCTGCCGTTCGAAGAACCGGCACGGCATGGCAGTGTGGAGCATGCAGCCATTGGACACCGTCAGCTGCTGTCAAGAGGGCACCAGCAACCGTAACCTCACCCTCCCACACCTTGACGCCGTAGCTTCCGAGAAGTACAAGCCGCTGTGTCGGTTAGCCACAAAACAGCACAGTGCAAAGGCACGCTTGAAGGACGTACCTCGGGGTCCGGGGTGGTGAGCACTATCCGGCCTCCGGCTTTACGCTGGAAGTTTTTCTTGTTCGGCCTGAGTGACGAGTATTGTCTGACCGATGATATCCGTTGGGACTCTGGACGGGAGGTCCTGTTCTGGGCCATCAGTATGGGACAATATGAGGGCACACTCGAGAAATACGTCAGGGTACCCTGATATTTCGGCTGCCACGCTCTGGGCCTGCTCTCCATGCACAGAGCCCTGAACTGCCTCTTCGGCAGATTGGCCTCTGCTGGTGCGGTCAGACCCGGGCCGAGTTGAGGGCGTCCCGCTCCTGCTACCCGACTGCAGCTCATCTTCGGATGGTGACAACTCGGGAGTGGCTTCCTCAACAAGTACACGCTTCCTGCTCGCTGCAGCCCCCCAAAGTTGTTGCCTCGCAGCAAAGGCGCTCATCACTTGACCAAGTTAGCACACCAGCTAAGAAATAAATTCGGACTCGCAAATTAGCATACTGGTCGGCGTGGAGTTGCCACCGCTCTCCCCCAACTTTCTCTTCTTGTTCGCAGCCATTTCCCGCGCACGCTTTCTCGAAGTTTGTTCTTGAGATGGCCTTTTCTCATGTAACGTAAATGTTGAAACAGATTTCGATCGTTGCTCAAAAGATCAGGAAAGTACGAATGTCTAGGCACCATTAAGGAACGGCTTATTGACAATTGGCAACTGTGTTTAAACGTTTATCTGGCTAAATGTTCACCAAGACTTCTTTTATTCGTGCGATATTATGTAGAAGTCAGCAGCAAGCCAGCAACAGCGTTGAGCGACAGTTTCCCGGACCCCACCCCTTCCTGTACAGTATCCCGCGTATCTGTTGTACTGTGTAGTTTCCTTCAATATTAGCGGGCTACACACCACCAGCAAGAGCTGGAGCACACCCGACTTTTTACGCAACACCTAACCGAAATTCCAGGTGGCAAACGTCTTGCAACCACTCCAGATCTCTCACAGAATACGACTCTTCAATTCAGAATTCCACCTGAGCGAGTGGTTCGGCCGACTCGGACAAGCTCTCTGTTGCTTAACTCGAAGGTTTGTGCAACCAGGACCCTGAACTTTAAACCCTCCACCTGAATCGCATTGCCCAATCACTTTCATTGATCTCCACTATCCCACATGCTCTTCGCTGTGCAGGGATCGCGCGTCTGCAGCAAGCAGTTTATTCTGAACTTCCATCGCGAATTTTCCCGGCAGAAAATCAACAGCTCTGCAAATCACCTTGATCAACCGCACCCGCTTTCCGTAAACTGCTTTCTTCCCGTTCATCACCCTGAAACCCGTCCTACTCTCATCTTTCAACCGACTCAGCTAAGCATTTCCCATGGCAGGGCCGCGCGCGCCCATTGGCACACTCTCCCAGCACGCTGCAGCTGCAGCTGGCCTCGTGCGCGGCATGGTCCCAAACATATTCGCCCGCGCCGACTCGGCCCGGGCTCGCAAGACCGACGAGCCTATTGAGAGCGAGTCTGACAGCGACAGCGAAAGTTCCGCAAGCAGCGACGCCTCTGAGATCGACGAGGAATCGAAAGCGGATGGCAAGGACTGGGCTGCTAATTTGAAGGCGAAGAAAGCCACGTCAAAGAAGACCGCCGAGGGCAAGCCGATCAAGAGTGCTGCAATCACATCGCCTGATTTTAAGGCTAAGAGCCTGGATACCAAGCCCGGCCTCAAGGAGGCGGAGGTTTCCGAATCATCTGCTAGCGAGAGTGATAGCGAGAGCGAGGACGAGAGCGACGGCGACCTTGAAATGGAGCTCAAAGACATGAACAGCAGAAACGCCGACGCAAAGGAGCAGACGAAGCAAGAAACGGAGTCTGATGTCGATTCCAACAGCGAGTCCAGCGCCGATGAACCAGAGTCCGCTCCAGATGGAGCAAAAGTGTCTGGAAAGACAGCTCTCGCTTCGACGAACGGTGTCGCTTCAGAAGAGGAATCACCCTCTGAGAGCGAGAGTGAGAGCGCCAGCGAAGACGAGCAGGAGGCTCGTCAGAATTCTAAAGAGAAGGCACCGTCCGCCAGTGAGAGCGACGATGAGAGCGAGAATGAAGATGAGCCGGAGCCGCCGCGGAAGCCCAAGGAGAAAGCGTCGACCCAGGGCTCTGGGGTTGCGAAGGAGGCTCTAAATGTCAAAAAGGTCGCGCCTACCAAACCGTCAAAACAGTCGTCTGTCAATGGGACGGCGAGGAGTCAGGAGTTTGTTAGCAAGTCCGATATGTCGGATTCGGAGGACGAGGACGCGGCGCAGCCTATGGCCATCGAAAAGACGGGGGCGAAGACCCCGGTATCGATGCCCCGCGAGATCGTTACCCAGGGCTTCCACCTTCGCAAAGCCGATGAGGATGTCGATGCTGCTGCGGTTGCACAGGCTTTTAAGAAAGCAAAGGCCGAAGGCAAGCAGATCTGGTACTTCACTGCGCCGAAATCTGTCCCAATCGAAGTCATCCAGAAGCACACCATACCCTTCGAAAAAATCCATGCAGGACAGCCGATTCTCGCTCACGAAGGGGCCGATTACACTGGCCATTTTGAAGAGGCAGCCAACCATGCGATCAAGGTCCTCATTCCCGGAAAGACGGGAACCAACTATGAGACATGTATGCCGAACCTCGGGTCTATTCTGCGTCTGCCTACCTGACTAACATGAAATAGTGAACGAACACGTCAGTCAGGTCTTCCACATCACGCGCGTGACGCGCTTCAATGGAGACGAGAAGACCCAACCCACTCCCGCTGCAACAGCTGCGCCCCGACCCGTTGTCGCCAATGCTCCTCGGCCGCAACCCAAGGGTCTGAAGGCTCGCTATCAGCCTTTCGGTGTTTCCAACGGCGGTAATGGTGAAGTTGGATTGGGCCAGTCTTCTGACAGCGAGGAGGATGTGGAGATGACCCAGGCGCCGGCGCTGTTGACCAATGCTGTGTCCGATGCTAAAGCCGACACGCCGAAACAAGCGGCGAAGAAACGCAAGCTTGGCGACGTTGAGAAAGGCACACCTAGCCAAGGGGACGCTTCGATAACTCCTGCCAAGAAGTCCAAGAAGGCCCGAGTTGACGACTCTATCAAGAAGGGGACTGAGGCCGTATCCACCAAAGCCATTAGGCAGACCCCTATCGCACCCCCTCCTGTGCCCTCGGTCGTAGCCAAAGCCGCTGCTTCGCCGGCACCGGCGCCCTCGTCTTCCGCCAGGAAGTCCAAGAAAGATAAGGGCAAGAAGAAAGATTCCGCTTCTGCGGAGAACACAGGAGGCTCAAAGAAGCCTGTGCCTGCAAAGGTCACACCCATCTTACCTCCCGCCGTTCCTGGCGTGAAGAGTCCTTAGGTATGCTCTTCATCCCAAGACGCCATCCAGGAGGGCATCAAGGCCTGCAACAGCCCCAGCGGCTGGCAGTCTATGTCGGAGCGCCGCAAAGCGGTTGAGGCCTCCCGGGCGTCGCAGCCTAACACTCCGACAAAGACTAAAATCTCGTCCTTGACTCCGGTCCCGGTTCCTGGCGTGCGCCAGCCTTCTCGAGTGACTCCTACGAAGACCTGGAAGTTGCAGACTCCCGATGATAAAACGTCTCCAAAGGGCGCCTCCCAGGCTTCAGCCTCACCCCTCAAGAGCATCCTGAAGTCGCCGGGCCGCGATGGTGCGGTCGGTGGAAACGTGGGCCACTTGGAGTCGCAAGGCAAGAAAAGCAAGAAAATAAAGAAGAATCGGAGCCGCAAAATCGTGTTCGCAGAGGACGTCCACGTCAAGCGCGAGCGTGTCTAGACTGAACTGCTATCCCACTCTGGGGAAAGGCGATCAGATCGATTGTCAACGGCGGAAGGAAATCGTGTGATGATCATTTTGTTGTTATATTGTTGCAGGAATGTCGTTCGGGCCTCGTTACGTCCCCTGGGCTTCCCGGATGAAGGTCATGATTCGCCTGGGCCTCCATTTCAATGGCGCTTTAGGCATCGTGGTACGCCTCCATAAAGTTTCTCTTTGAATTTACCCTGGGTGTTGTATGGCATGGGATTATGGATGACTACTTCAGGCGTCTCGGGAGATATCCGTCGATCTTGAGCCCCGCCAGCTAGGGTGGACGTTCTAAGGGTAGCCCGGGAAGGAGGTTCTCTCCATGTTATTTCGGGCAGGCTAATGGGCTTGAGGTTGGGTCATAGTGCACCTGAGCACGGGATAATTGCTGCATGTAGGCTCAAGGCTAGGATGTTCAGAGTCCAACTCGCCAACTCAGCCGGTACACTCGGTGAAATTAATACATACGTTGAAGAAACTCGGCAGTCTGTCTCGATTATGCTGTAGCTTCTATATATGCATACCTTACCGTACCTGACTTACCTCCCTACCTACCTAGGTACCTACCTAGGTACCTACCTAGATACCTGAGCACATACCTTGAATGAAGTGTTTCGACCGCAGATGACACTAGTAAGTCCCAGGAAGCGGATGAACCAGATTCTTAAAAGTCCGCTGGAGGACAGCCAGCCGTTTTCCTCCGTTCCCGTTCGAACACTACGTTGCCTTTCCCTCGCTTTTAAGATTTAAATCACCACACCTGCTGCATCTTAAGTCACCCCTTCAATTCTTCTTTCCCAGCAACTCCGCCTACGCCAGGCTAAACCACCATGTTCGACCACCTGCACTCCCACGTGGCTTGACGGATGGCTGCCGACGCGGCTGATCCTGGAAAGTGGACAACGGCAATTTCTTCACTCACTCCCGCCAAGCAAGCAACGTTCGTTCGGATGAAGCGCGCTAGTTGAGGCTGAAATGATCTCGCTAAGCTAACCTTACTTTCGCCGACCCCTTATTACAACGACATCTCTTCTCTTCTCTGTTTCTTCAACATTGTTGTTTATCTTCGACTCAAGTCGTGGTCCGTGATGACCACCCTTTGCACCATATGAGCGACGTAGAGTGTGGTGCCGAAAAACAGTCACTCGATGACATCCACTTCACATTCGATTCGACACGTCAAGCATCTGTACAGCATTTATTTTCATGTAGGTAAGCGCCTGCTTTCCTGACATTGAGATGGATGCAATGGATCGCGCCCGGGTCTGGGAGCACAATATCCATCGAACCTTCCTCTGTCAGGACGAACCACGCAGCATGGGCAGGAGTGGTTCCCCTCACTCAGACGCTCTCCTTTAAGTTCCCTTCCTTTCCCATCCTTTCCCATCCTTTCCAAGCCTGAAACCAAACATAAGTTGGTTTCATTCATCACATTATCATTACCCATCTCTTGTTTCGTCTTCCCATTATTCCGCCCCTCTTTCCCCATCTCCCCAACCGAAAACCCAGGGTTCGGGAAACGAGAAGGGGGAAAGAGAATGGATTGAAAAAGACAAGGACCAAAATGTTATTAAAATAAACCGGCAAGACAAGGCTGACCCTCATTCCGACCAGAGCCCTTCCGTTCCACGCCGCTCCCATCGTCGCCGCCATGCCAATGCAGTTCGAAATGCCCAATAGGGGTATAAAAAGTGTATGCGAAACGACCGTGTAGCTGCACAATGTCTATAAAACGAGAGGGGGTATATCTTGGTAAGAATCGCTATTATAAAACGAAGTAAAGCTCATTCACTCTTGCGAGTCGTGTCGACCGAACAGAGGATCCCACAGGGTGGAATAAGAATGGAGCCAAGAATGGAGCATGATGCTTTCGCCAGCCAGCTTACCAGCCAGCACACCGATGATTCGAGCCGAGACGACACTGACGTGAGCCGGAACCGCTCATCTCGCGACATAGACCTCGGCCGAGTCACTGTCCTTCGGAAGCCGGAGCTTGCTCCAGACATCATAATGATCATCATTCGGCGTGGTCGGGCTCAGGATCCCTGGCGTGCTGCTGCTGCTCCCGCAGAGGGTATCGCCGCGACTGATCGAATCGAAGCTCGAGCTGCTGCCAAGCGTCCACTCATCGCTGTCCGCTGTTCCCGGTCTCGCGAGTAGACCCATGCCGTACCCGTTACCGAGGCCATGCTCCTCGTCCAACGCCCTCGGCCGGTCTCCATATTCGACGTACTCGTACTCCCAGCGAGTCGTCTTGTCTAGCTGCGGCCGGGGAAGGAACTTCGTCCTCGCGATGTAGTACGCAATCGCAGCGAAAATGCCGCCACCGACGAGGTCGATCGCGTAATGGTGGTTGAGGTACATGGTGGACCAAGAGATCCAGACGGCATAGAAGATGAAGAACGGCCTGAACCGCGGGAAGCAGTATTGCATGAAGAGCGCCTCGAGGATGGCGTCAGCGGCGTGCAAACTGGGGAACGCGCCGAACGGCAGCGGCGCTGTTGTGAAGCTCGTCGTGTACATGTCGACGCCGAACAGCTCGTCCACGCGGCGCAGGCCCGCTGGCGAGCCCTCCATGCCGTAGTGCGCCGGCTCCAGCCCGTGAAGCTTCTCGTACCAGGGCGGTGTGCAGGGGAAGATGAGCTGGATGGTAACGCCCAGCATCGACATGTAGCCGAAGGCGCGCGCGAAGACCGGGGTGGTGCCGGGCGCGGCAAAGAGGAACATCATGGCGCTGCAGATCGCGGGCAGGGCAAAGTGACCAAGGCCGTAGGGAACCCAGGCGATGATGTCCAGGACGGCGTGAGTGTGGGCCGAAAGGATGTTGGAGAGATTCGCTCCGTACATAACATTCTCTAGCGCCGGGAGCACCTTCACCCAAATGTGTGGCCGGTACTCGGGAGCAATGAATCTGCGCAGTTAAGAGTCAGCAAACCACTCCCGTTTGGTTTCTGGTCTTTTCCCCCCGGCTGCCGCTCTCTGTCCCGGAGCTCCTGGAGCACCCGGGCGTGGTTCTGGCTTCGACGAAGGACATAAAAACTGCTTACCGACTAGCAAAGAAATAAAGCAGGTAGGTCCATATCGGCAAGGACGGCAGGAAGAATTGCTGCGTGATCGGCATCAAGAGCAGCACCCCGAGCACGACCAACACACCCGTCTTGATGAGCGGCGCTGACGGCAGGATGGCCAGCGAGAAGATGATGTACCCAAAAAGCACCAGATACTGCAAGTCCCAAAGACTCCATTTCCTTGTGCGCAGCGCCTTCAACGCCCCCCAGCAATTGAACGAGCTTTGTAACCTTGTGATGTCATCGACCCCGTCATGCTGTTTCGAAGAGCCATGCGGCCGCAGGCGAAGGCGTAGTTTCCGGTTTGGCCGGAACTTCTGCGGTATAGGATTAAGCTGAGCTAGTGTGCCAGGCCACCTGAGGGGTAGCAGCTTCGGTTTTGTTGCCGCCGCTTGGGCGAGGATCGCGGGGAATTCCTGGACGGCGTCCATGGTCGGCAGCGGAAAAGGTAGGGTCGGTTCAATTGGTTGTAGGTGATGTCCGTGATGGGTAGATATCCCGAGCACCGTCCGACGGTGCCGCGAAGCGGATGCTGTCCCGTGCCGGAGGTGAGGGAGAAGGTAAGAGAGCGCACGGAGTTGAGGAATCTGAAAGTCCGTGCTCGCTACCGTCGCTGCATATGCATATTTCTTCTAGGGTGCTATTAGGGTCAACCAGCTGCCGGATTGCGAAAGCAAAGAGGACGACGCTGCTTGGATCGCGGAAGAGGAAGTCTCTTAAGGTACCTATGAAGGGTGTGCAGGAAGTCGGAGGAATGGGATTGCGGCGGTGGTAACGGATGGGAGTCGACCTGTGACCAAATAAGCGGACGGACAACGGTAGTAACGGCAGGCGCGGATAGAGGTCGGTTTTCATACCCGTAAGAACCTGGTATGCGGGCGCTAAGAGAAGTGACCGATTAGCAAATAGACGCCAAGACAAGACCGGCGCTCGGTTGCTTGCTGAATAGCGATCGAGCGTCTGGAAATAAGGCGATGGATACGCGGATATCATACATTGTCCGACACAGACAGCTGCAACCAACCTCCAGGGCTACCAAAGGTGGGTCCTATCAAAAGCCTTTTCACTCGCCGCTGTTTGCGGCACGGAGGAGCAGAAAAGCGGTGATTACTAGTAGATCTTCTTCCCTTGATCACTAAGCCATCAAAGAGGGCTGTGAAGCATTGTGGTGGCCAGTAATTCTCACTACTAGCACACATAACACTGACTCGATGGTGAGGCGCTTGAAACAGTCGCACGCGACCGCTCCATATGAGCATGTGAGGCGCCGCACATGCTATGAACATCGATACTAGTAGGGTACGTATACTAGGTAGTTATTAGCAGAGTTTGCACCACAAATTGAGATCTTCCCAACGCACCACCGTACCTACCACATGTATGATGTACAAGGGTACCTGGGGGATGAAGGAGCGGCCTTGCCCGGACTCGCGTGATGTGGAAATGTAAGGTTATACTTATTTGTTTACACCGTTACCGCAACATTTTAACGTCTATGACGCTCTCTAATGAAATAACGAACCAGGAGTCCAGGACAGCTGTGGAAATAGCTTGTCCTCGACAAGCCGCAGCCATGTTTGTCATCAATCTAACGGTGATGTACCGTAAGTCACACGTGAATGTAATGTACCGTCACGCAGAACCCTTGGCACCCCGCTTCCGCACTTTGGATTCCAATCCCCCGATCCGTGCGATCCGAGAGGCTTTTATCGCATCCCTCGCATTGCGATATGAGTGGCTATCATGTCCCGAACCTACTACGCTACGTCTATTTAGGTTGGCGCCGCGCCTAAACGTGCCCAACGATCGCTGCAGCATGCCATCATGAATCATGACGACTGTGCAATGTCGCTAGTGCGAGTTTTCGTGCAAACCGCTCGACGTCTGTGCGATACCCGCCGCAAGCTGCCTGCGCTGTGCCGTTTTGGCGCCCCCTTGGTATAAACATTCTTCTAGGATCGACTGATAGGCAGAACTTGAGTTCTAAAAGGGGACTCGTCCATGACCTCCCTTAAAACCACACTACTGTACAAGTATCCAACACATACAATCTAAAGAGGCTGGGTTTTCTTCTGATTTGTTTGCAACGATTGTTGGTTATTCATTTCAGGTGGACCTGAGAAGCGCATGAGCTAAATTTCGGCATTGTCGGGCTTTTACACGGCCCGCGCACACGTACCGGCACCACGTACGCAGGCATTGGCCTGCCAGGGTGTGGAGAGTCCATGTTGGAGTCTGAACTCCGAACGGTGATTTCTGAGCGTAGAAAGTCCGGGACGGTATATGAGCTTTTTACATAGGTACAGTACTGGATGAACGTCTCGACCAACCGGCGGTGATCGTCTGGTGATCACGGGAAGTCTGAATGATCCACAGTAGCAGGGTCCAGCAAACCTGAGCCTCAACTGTTGAGGGCCGGCAAAATAATCATGTCGAACTGCGCGTTGTCCAACTCTCATCTTGCTACCACAGTACGTATCAGACAATGATGAATGTGGGCTCTTAAGGCTTGGTTTGAAGAGTGGATCCTCAAGAATCCGGCCTTGTCAGACAATGCCGTTGCTGGTTGTGGAGTCGAAAAAGGAAAGAAAAAAACGAAACGAAAAGTCTTTTCGCTTGTCGTCTCCTCTCTTTTCGCTGGCATGACAAGCACACTCAGGGACTACTGCCGCCATCTTGGCGCATCTCCGGCTTACACTTTATTATAGTTGAGTGGGATGATGCTATCCAGGCATTTGGCATCAACAGCTCGGACAGGACACCACAGCCCTATACAGATACTGCGCGGTATTAGATGCGTGCTTGAGGCGTGTCACTTAAAATGAAAGGACTGCTGTGCCGTTCACGCTGAATTCCGCCGCCTCGCTCTCCCAATCCCTTGTTGTCTCGCCCGGTTCCGATTTGTCTGCCCCACATCGTCTAATCGGACTTCGGGGTCTTTGTCAGATGGACCGGACTTTCCGGGAAACCCGGCCGGCCCCAAAGTTACCTCTCCCTTTGTCTTAGTACAAGACATGTAAGGTAACTTTCAGTTATTGGCGTTGATTGGGCGAGACTCGCCGACGCATGCATCGCGTACCAGTGCTCTCGGCTCGAGCCCTGCTTCCGAGGCTGTTGGGCATATAGGGCGGAGAGACACCAATAGGATATGACTCACCTTCTCGAGGGTCTCAACACAAACACAAATGGGCAAATACAGCGTATCAGAAGCATGGACACAGTCAGCAGGCCGTAAGAGGAAAGATGAACGCATCTTAATGTTGGCCTCAAACCTCCATACCTACTACCTACTTTACATGTATTCGGGGCAACGGACTCAATGCAATGGGCGACTAACGCGGTTTCCTTTGCTTGACTGTCACAGGTCTCCCAGAGCGAGATAAACAATTTGAATGTGTCTCATAGTTTCATTACCCAACCACATGGAGGCTTCAAGACAACTGTGTGTATCATCAAATTTCAATGCTTCCACTTTCACTGTCTTCTGATCTTGACTGAGCATACCGTTGCTTAAACCACACAGGCAAGAAGCATATAAGACGCATGTAGACTAATATAAAGGCTCGAACCAACGAGGAATAAAACCGCGGATCCCTTTCTAAGGCTTCGTGTCATCATGATATCATAACTGCCTAGCATACCGCACGCACTAGTTTCCAAACAGAAACCAAGACGCTTCGGAAACAGATAAGAACAGAAAGATCCTCAACTGCTCCCGCGATCCCAGATCGTAGCCCAGCGCTGGTTGCTCCAATGAATCCGAGAAACCGAAAACACCCACGCCACATCTCGATTTCGTGGCTCCTTCAAGCCTCTCACTTAAGCTCCCAATACCGCTATGCCACACCAGCAGGCAAGATGAAGGTAGCCCACCCACATGGGGACCAAGCAGTAGCACAGCCATCGCCACGCCACCCCATCATTCATTCATTCATCCATCCATCATTGATGAATATCTCATGATCTCATCGCCGACTCCCGCCCCCGCTCCACAGCCCCTTACTCGTCTCAACCACCCGATTCACCTCATTCCCCGGCCGCAGGCTCGCTGGCACTGCAAACGCCGGCGGCAGGTGTCCTTGTTGCTGCTGTTGTTGCACAGCATCAGCAGGAGGCGCATCATTCATCTTGACGTCGCCTCCCGCACCATCACTACCACCACTCCGCTGAGCGCCCGTCTCCTGAGAGTGAGACTGCGTCTCATAGCCGCTGTCGCCGTTGCCCTCGCCGGATTGCTGCTGCTGCTGCTGTGTGGTGGTGGTGGTGGTAGCATCCATCCCGGAGACGCCGCTGTCATGGTTCCTTGGCAGTGACGGCACGTTCTGGTTGTTGTCCTGCGGCGTGTTCTTCACCGGCTCTCTGCTCTTGATGCCATTCATAAACCCGCCGGCCTGGCCCTCCCTAAGCTTGTTGATCGCTCGGACGGTATCGATGGCGGCATGCAGGGTGCGCCGTGCGTTGAAGTTCTTCTTGACGGTGGGCAGCAGGTTCTGGCCCTTGTCGGCGCCCTCGCCGCCCGCGGCGGCGGCGCGCGCCCAGCCGGCCACAAACGGGTGCTGGAGGGCCTCGTGCGCCGTCATACGCTTGGCCGGGTCGATGGTCAAGCAGCGGCGGATGAAGTCCTTGGCGCTGTCAGAGACACCGCGCCAATACTCGAGCGGGGTGAAGCTGTAGTCGGCGTTGAGGATGGCCTGCATCTCCTCGAAGTCCGAGTCGCGGTCAAAGGGCGTATACCCGCACAGGAGGAAGTAGGTGATGACGCCCAGCGCCCACAGGTCCACGGGCTTGCCGTGGCCGGTCTTTTTGAAGATCTCGGGCGCCATGTAGCCTGGCGTGCCGCACGTCGTGGTCAACACGTGAAATTGCTCCTCGTCCATGATGCGGCTGAGGCCGAAGTCGGCGATGAGCAGGTCGGCGTTGTCCTCCGGCGTGCGGAACAGGAGGTTTTCGGGTTTCAGGTCGCGGTGCACGATGCCGTGGTCGTGGAGGTAGGCGACGGCAGACAACACTGCGCGGATCAGATCGGCCGCGTCGGACTCGTAATACGAGCCCTTTCGGCAGATGCGGTCGAAGAGCTCCCCACCAAGAGCGAGGTCTGTGACAAGGTAGAGGTTGTTCATCGTCTCAAAGTAGTCGACGAGCGTCAGGATGTTCTGGTGGCCCATTGACACCTTCTTGAGCACGGCGATCTCATTTCGCACCTGCGCAGGCACACGAATTAGAGTTGTGACCACCACCTATTGGGGCGTATAGAAAGCGCAGACCATGTGCTCTCTCCCGGCCATTAGGCGCTTGTTGATCACCTTGGCAGCATAGTACCGGCCCGTGTCGATGTGAATGCACTCCTTCACGACCGAGTACGACCCAGCACCGAGCACCTTTCCAACTTTGTACCTGCAAGGTTGGATCTGCGGCTGCGGTGGGTTGCCGCCTGTTTGGGACGCGCTCATGGCGTCGAGATTTCGCGTGGGTTCGAAGACAGTTCAGCACTACTATCGTCGCCTCCAGGCGTGGTCTCGGCGTGGGTTTCGACGGCGGTCAGTGGTCAGTAGATCGCTAGGTATTGTATTGTACCTATATATCGCAGATTCGACTGATAACTGCCTAGATAAATCTTGTTTACTCCGATGGTATCGTCAAGTCCCCGGCGAAAGGTCAGCCGGTAAAAACAAATAGCCTTGCGCAGACACGGTCGCCTTGGTTGGTCGGTCTAGACTCGGAGGGGCTCGCTGACACCTACGAGTAGGTAATTCGGATTAGGGGAGCGCAGGGATTTCTAATACGAACAAGATGTAACGAACGGTGCTAGACACCGTTATTAGTGCCAAGTTCTTTCGTGCAAGGACATCAGAGAATCACTACCTCGGTAAAATGAAACGAGTCAATGTGTAGCGATACCTTCATCCGTAGGTCCTTTCAGCCTCTTCGGTCGCAATGATTTTGTCGCATTTACTGATCAGCCGCACGCTGACCCCGCGAGGTTCTGCCAAGTAAGGGTCGCCCCACTTCCCCTACTGTGGTATGATGGGTAATAAAAACCTCCATGCGGGGTACCCTCGCTGATTCAGGCAATGATACCCGCTTATTTCTACACTAAATATACCAAACCACTAGCTAGTATTTTGTATGCATCCCGTTGGCTGCAATAACAGCTTTGCAGCGCTCTGGCATTGAGGCCAACAGCTGCTTCAAGTAGTCGTCCGGCAATGCCTCCCAAGCCTCCTTAACATATTCGCGAAGCTTGTCATACGAGGGCCTTTCTTCAAGGCCATACCGGTCTTCAATCCAGTCCTTCATCCAATTCCAACAGGACTCGATTGGGTTCAAGTCTGGTGAGAAAGGTGGCCACTCCATCACAACAATGCCTCTCTCCCTGAGATCCTCCTTCGTCTCTGCAGCTATATGCCCTGGAGCACTATCTTGCATCAAGATTAGATCTTCACCAAGCTGTGCCTTACACATCTGTATCCAGCCATGAATGACAGGGACAGTTCGTGCGCGGTACATCTCAGCGTTGATCTTCCCCCAGTCCTTTTCCCAAAAGAGTCCAGGGCCTTTACCCAAGCCAGAGAAGCAACCCCAGAACATCCAGCCTCCTTTACGTTGATGCTTTTCTACAATGCAAGTAGGATCCCACTCTTCGCCTTGCCGCCGGGTAACATATTGCTTCCGATGTGGCCCGCCAGTAACCCAAGTCTCATCGGTCCAAAGGATCTTTGCCCATTGTTCAAGGGTCCAATGTTCATGCTCTTGCGCCCAAGCTAAACGGAGTTGCCGGGTTCGTTCGGTAATCGGTGGCTTCTTACGAGCAACTCGCCGGCGGAAGCCGAGTCGATAAAGGGCATGCTTGATCACCCAAACGCCGAAGACCCCAGCGAAGATGATACCCGAGAGTTCGAGGAAGCCCATTCGACGAGTCTTTTTGCTGGAACAAACAAACTGAATAAGCTCTTCTTCTTGCTCTGGCGTTAATGTCCGAGGCCGGCCAGTACTCCGGTAGGCAGTTGCATTAGGAGCGCGAATCGTAGTCCGGATCTGGGCCTTAGTATAGCCAGTGATACGATGGATCTCAGCTTGGCTTTTGGCTGCATCGAAGTATAAGACTCGAACGCGTTGGCGTTGTTCGGTAGTCAACTGTTTCGTACCACTTGACCCTTGTGGCCGTGCCATTGTATTGCTGGATTGCGTTGACTGCGTTGACTACGTTGAGTGCGTTTAACGAGAAACGAGATGGCTGTCGAAAAAACAGGGGGCTCGATAAGTTCAGCTGATTGGTCAAAACGCGTCGAGTGTTGTGACCCACAGGTACTTGACTAGGGGGTTTTCTTTATGCACGCGACCACAGTAGACCAGAACCCTATCCGCCCTGGACAATCTAGCGGATACCCCCGTGGCGTACATCTAGTACATCCCAAGCTCGAAGATCTCAAACATGGGAAGCAGCAGCCCTGATCTCAAGCCTGGGTATCTTTGGTTGCCAGAAAGTAGAACATCTCTATAACCTATCGCACAAAATCTCACTTCATTTCCTCTTATCCCGCTTCGCCTTCTTGGACTTTGAATGCCCCTTTTCACCAGCCGCTTCCTCAGGGGCATCCGCTTCCTCGGCTTTGCGCTTCGCTTTTGTCTTGACGCTCACTAATGGGGCGCCTCTGCCTGTCTTGGCCGCCTGCTTCACCCGTTTCTCTGCTTCCTGCCATGCGGCATCATCGCCCTCGATCTCGTACCTGATGGCCGGTGTCAGCAATCTGCATACTAGAGACTACGCTAGATGGAGGGTTGGTGATGCTTACTGGTCCAGTGGGAGAGAGTCGATGAGCTCCCTTTGCTTCGCCCGTAGCTCGCTCAGTGCCTCGTCACCGCCCTCCTCAAGTTCGTCCTCGAGCCTGGTCTCCAACGGGACATACTTGTTGTCGATCGCCTCGTCGTCGTGTATCCCCGAGGCGTCATCGCGGCTTACACCGACCTTGCTGGCATCCGGCATTTCGGCCGCGATAGCCCCCGTGACCAGCGAGCCGAGGTGTTTGTTGATTTTCCGCATGCTCTGGATAAACTGAGCCAAGACCTGCGAATATGGAACCCCCAGTTCATCCCCAACAGTCTCGATGTCTTTTCGCTGCAGGCCGATGGCGAGCAGGATCGCCTGGTTTAAACGGCTGAGTGAGACGTTCGATCTTAACCGGCCCGTGAAATAGAGCTGCGCGATTGTCGGAATGAGGTCCAAGACTACATGGTAGTCGAGCATCCCGTTGGCATATGATTCCAGCCGCTTGTGGTCAAAGGGGGTCAGAATAGCGTCCAGCTCAGTCTTATTGATCTCGACCGGCGCGGTGGATGGATCAAGCTTGGCGCTAGACTTGGCTGCCTCCTCGATGGTCAAGGCAAGGGCAGGTGGAAACTCGCGGAACCTGTACGAGAGAAGGGACAAGAAACGGCGGTGGAAGTCATTGGCAAATGCACCAAGCCAGCTCGGGTCGTTGCCGTCTTGCAGAGGCCGTATCATCACGCAGGTATGCTCGCCCGTCAAGTCGTTTGCCGTTTGCCTCTGGACTATTATAAGCATCATTCCATAACGCGAAAACGGAACCCGGGAGACCTACCAAGTAGACCGGAGCAAACAAGGCCCGCCTCCAGAACTTGTGCAGCGGCTCGGTCAAGCCGTAGCTGACGCCCACGTAATCAAGCCTCTCCGGGCGGCGTTCGGCAAGCTTTGCGAAAAGTGGTGGCAGCTCGTTCATATCCCGGACTTTGATGTCATCGAACAGGCTTGCCTTTGCAAGCTCGGCATCTGTGACCCTGGGAATGGACCGCTGCACAGAGCTGCCGCCATCCTCCGAGAGATCCGCGAACTTGCCCTCATAGTAGTCAACGAGAAGCTGAAGCGCTTTCGAGCCATACCCCATCTTCATGTACTCGGGGTTTGTTGCTATCCGGACAATCCGTGCTCCTGAAAGTGAGGCAAACTCGTCGTCCTGGAATTGTTGGCTGACGAGCCACGGAATCAGATCGCCAGCGGGTTGCTGACCCCTGCTCAAGCTGTTGAGAACGCTCTGCTTGCTGATCTTGCCTTCCAGAGACACCTGGATCACGCACAAAGGCTCGGGCAGGCGGCCTTCAGCAATGGGCCCTGTGAGGACGAAGAGCTCGTGTGCCGGCGCATCGCTCATGAGCTGCAGGTCATTCGGAGAGTTCTTGTAGTGACTGGCGACATACAGGGCCACCATCTGCTGCAGGAACTTCTCCGAGACCGGGTGGAACGAGAAGAGCGTGTCGCGGTTGACATGCAACAGCTCGCACTGCGAGGGATCCGGACACCCTTGGGTGCTCATCTTTGACTTTGGTAGTGTTGCGTCCAGGCAGAGCAGCGTATTGAGCCACTTCTCCACCCTATCCCCTTGGGCGTAACGGATGGGCTCAGACAGCGTGATTTCTTTGAGCGACCGGCTGCCAACCACGGTGGTCTCCTTGGTGGCCTTTCCGCTCGACCGGTCAACTTCGACCGAACCGCTTGCGTTGGCGTTGGCGCCAGCGCTGGACTGCTCTCTTAGCTGCTTGATCAGCTTGAGCGATAGTGACCGGCCCGTGCCTTCGTATCCGCTGATTGTGGATGCCATGAAGACGAGATATGGCCCCATGAGCTTCTTCACCAGTGGCAAGGGGATAGCCGCCGCTTCATCAATAACGACAAGCTCAGCCTGTCCCAGGACGTGGCTATCCTGAGGCCGAATGTACTGGATAGTTTGGCGGTGGTTACGGTGAATGTTCACTCGGACGATAGCCTTGTTGAAGTCGGGGTTGGTGGATTGGATTATGGAGTAGTCGGCGTGGTCCTTGTAGTCGAGCGCATCAAACCCTTTGAACACAAACTCGAACAGGGTCTTCAGGTTCTCTGGTGACGGCGAAGTGATGAAGATATTGCTATACCCATAAGCGACCGCGGCGGCGATCGCAACGCCCATGGCTGCGGATTTACCACGACCACGCGCTGCAGTAAGGGTGACGGTGTTCCGGAGAGTCTTCTCGGCAATGGCATCCACAAAGGTAAGCAATGCCTTCGCTTGGTCCGTTGTCCGCGCCAGCTTAACGAGAGATCCGATCGGCTGGGTGTCTTGGAGGGAATCCTTAATCTTTTCTAGCTCAACCGCTGCCGCACTCTTGGGTTCATCCTCCTCTGGTGGCGGCAGCGGCTTGACCCCCTTTCCGCCCGATATAGGAAGGACGTTGAGCTCATCATCGATGACGAGACACGATTCGCAGCTGCCGAGTGATAAGATGAAGCGCTCGTTGAACCTCGCAACCACATCGTCGTGGGCCTCAGTTCGGTAACGCGAGTGGACGTCCATAGAAAGGGTGTACAGCTGTTTCAGGCTGTTCATGCCCTTGAGCAAAAGCACAACTAAGCCTCCACCTTCGACCGTCTCGATGGTTCGGGCGAGGATATTAGGGGTTATGGCCTCGAAATCTTGTAAAATGCACTGGCCCCTATTGTCAGCTTCTCTCGTCTTGTCTGGCGTGAACAACCGCCACACTTCCAGATCCCGAACTGACCATGCCATATGTGTTACCCAAGATTTTTTCAGTCTCCTTATAGTAGACGTAGCGGATGTCGTTGAGCGAGATAAAGAGCTCGAAGGGATCTTCCGAGTTGGCCTCACGGATACCACGCTTGATCTCTTTCTTGATCTTGTTTTCCCGCTTTTTCCGGTGACTGGTGAAGCCGAGAAGCTTGTTCTTGTACGCCCAGAGAACCGACTTGTTCTGCCTTACGTCCATGCTGGACATAATGTAGTAGAGGTGGACAATGGCATCCTTGGAGCGGTCGCCGACCACGACGAAGAAGCTCCGCTTCTTTTCCTGGAGGCCATTGCGGATCAGTGCAGGAATCCGCGAGTCTCTGTATGGGCGAAGTGAGTCAGTATCCGGGAATCAATGGCGAGCATGTCGCTGGAAAGCGGCTTACACTGTTTTTTGGGCCGGCATTGTCGCGGTTGTCTGACAGACTAAGGACCTGCACGGGGATGGAGGGGCCCAAAATTTCCATGCTGCAGCTTTCGAAGCATTTTATTCTGCCAGGCGGTATGCATTCCGTATCCACTCTGGACTCACCGCTTGCCATAACCAGCACATGGACCCACGTAACTGCATTCGTGCGTTAATAAACCCACTCCGTGGTGCTGAGGATGGAAGTCGAGCAAATATTTGGGAGACCCTTGGGGAGGAATGACCAAACGAAGGCAGTTCTCCTTACAGTACTTCAGCCTTTCTAGACTCACTACCGTCCGTTTCTATTTTGACCTGAGCTAAGGAAGATGATATAGGTGTGGTCGGCTATGGACATATGGCAATTGGTTCAATCATCGGAACCCCTTCGAGACGCCTTCTTTGAACTCATCTGCTTCTTTAACCTTAATCGGGCCTCGGTGGCACTCTTCTGCCTATATCCTAGTGAGAACTGCAAGATCACATCGTTTTCCTCAATCTGAGCCTTGACTTACAACACTGCGTACTTCTTGGCCTTCTCTGGGCTGGTCTCGCCCGGCACTGTCCTGCGATACAGGTCTTCCAGCTCCTCGAAGAGCTTCTGGCGGTTCTCGTCGGTGTTCGCATTTCGGCTTCGCTGTGTCTGCGCCTGGATTGTGAGGCAGTCATTTCGTTTCGAGTAGTATTTTGATTTGCGGATGCCATCATGTAGCAGCTTTGGTAGAAAGCTTAGCAGTTGGGGTACAGACCAGGTGGTTGTCGCCTTGGTTTCGGTCCTAGTGACGTTAGGGCATGTGGTCGATGAATAAGACGCCGCGGAAGGCGGGAACCAACTTATTTACATGCTGCCCTCCCGGGCCGCTAGACCGCGAGAAGGAGGTGCTGCCTTGGGGCAGACTGCTAATGGAGAACGTCTCACGCCATTTCCTGGCCTCGGCCAGCTGTTCCTGATCAAACGCTGCATCGAAAGCCTGGTGCCTCACAGACCTTTGGAACGTCGGCACAGGCACGGGATTGCCATTCAACAGCCACCCACGTTCAGGTCGGCCGGTAAGCAGTGGCCACAGGGCAGGACGATATCGCATGGTGCATGAAACGAAGTCCAGAACAGGTTCCGGCGATAATGCCTGACCTGCCTCTCACTCACTGGAACAGTGGAAATACTTATAAGTGGAAGTCGCCAGTGGTGACTTTTAAGTACATACATAGAGCGAGGCGCTAAGCCAAATTGGGAACGAAATGTCTTGTTGAATGTCGACAGCCTGAGTTTGCCAAGCCGCATTCAATCGCGGAGCAAACCAAGTTGTGGGGAATCTTGATCTCAACTCAACATCGAGAATTTTCTCTGCCGACCAGTCTAACTCCGCATGCGCCTGCACGTCGGCACTTACATATATAAAGCTGCCCTTCCCATTCCACCGATTTGGCATCCTGTTGCTTCCTCCAACTTCTCTCTGAACAACGCGCATCTCCAATTGAACCCCACCAAGGCAGCGCCCGGAGTCCAGCATCCTCGTCAAATAGGTTTGATGCACTCCGGCCGAACACCTCTCATCTTACTGTTTCCCGTCGCCTGTCTCCTGGGTGATCACGAATTCCATCCCGTTTTCTCCCACCTTTGATGTGAAGGTATACGGACAACTTTCATCTCGAGAACGGGAAGTAAAATCTGGGCTTTCCTTTTGCCGCCTTTTGGTGGACTGCCATCTCTGAACAGACCCGCCATCTTTCACATTACGATCAAGCCATCACGCTTGGACTCAAAGCGGCCGTCCGATATCGTGGTTGCCACCCGCTCATTCCTCCCATCCAGCCGCACCTTTCAGGGCTTAGAGCTTCCCCCCATCTAGAACGCCACCTTGAAAACCGAGGTCCAGGGCTAAAAGACCAAGCAACAACTGTTAACGAAGCAGCTGTGCATCCACGTCACCATCCGCCCTTTGTCTCCCCGTCAGAATGGAGTCGAATCCAGAGACGACGGAGATATCTGACACCATAGTGGTCGGTGGCGATTACTCCGACGCGTCGCACGAGAACAGCGACGAGAGCATTTATGTCGAGGGCGAGGAGGTGCAGGAACAGGAGACAGTCGAGCCAGATGCTGCCAGCCTGAACCATGACTATGCTCGAAGCTTTGATTCGCCTTCGGCACATGAGTATCAGAGTGAGGTTGAGGAAGCTCAGCCAGATGTATCAATGGCCTCACAATCTTCGAATAGCCCATCCGCTTCTGGCCCTTTGCCCAGCCAGTCTCCAGCAGCTGTTCAAGTTCCTTCTCCATCTGACCACCCGCCGTCGCTTGCTCCTCCTGGCTTGCCTCAGAGCAACGGCCAGGACCAGACACCGGGAGCGTCCGCTCCATCTGAGCCATCTAAGGTCTCGGAAAGCTCATCCGAGTTGTCTTCTGCCACGCCGAACGACAGCCCATCTTCTGCGGCACCTGCCACTGCCCCTACCGCCTCGTCTCCCGAGCAGCAAGCCCCTGCCGCCTCGGCGCATGAAGCAACCCCAACTGCCGTCGCTCGCCCGGAGCCTGAGTCGACAAACGGAGATCATGCCGCTGTTGACATCCAGAAGCTGGTAGACGACATCACTGCTAGAGCAGCCGTCACAACATCTCCCTCTACTGCGCCTGCACAAGCCACCGCAGCTACTACACAAGCCGCTTCGTCCACCTTACCGTCATCACACCCGCCCTCACTCCCCCCGAAGCCTTCACTGCCCAACCCGCCCGCCAGTCTCCCCGCCATCCCCCAGTTCCAACCACGTGGTCCGCATCCCCCAGCCCCGGGGTTGCCGATGAACATTGCCGGTCCTGGTGAATCACATGCCGCATATGCACCAAGTGATGGCATTTCATCGTTGCCTCCAATACCACCAGGAGCGTTTGGCGGGTCGTCCCACACTCTTTCCCCTCACATGCCCCTGTCCGCAGATGCATTCGGCAACTACCATGCGTTGTCAATCAAACAACGATGGGAGCAGTTTCAAGCCGACGAGAAACGGTACACGTCGGAAGCGAAATGGGAGAGATTCCCGGAAGGCTCTCGCATTTTCATCGGTGAGTTCCCAACCCCCCATAAAGAATTGCTATGTAGCAGCTGACTGATTGTGCTGTAGGAAATCTATCTAGTGAGAGGGTCTCAAAACGGGAGGTGTTTGATGTGTTCCACAGGTTCGGTCGACTAGCACAGATCTCGTTGAAGAACGCATATGGATTTGTGCAGTATCACACCGTGGCGGAAGGCAATGCTGCCATGCAAGGCGCTCAGGGCATCGAGCTTGGCGGCCGCAGAATCCGTGAGTTCTCTTGCTCTGTGTCTGCAGGTGACTTCGTCTGACCATGTGACAGACCTCGAGATCTCGCGTACTCAAAAGAAGAAGGACGACAGGGAGAGATCTCCGGACCGCCGAAACCCGCGGGAGACGCGCGCGAACGGCCGATATGACAGTGGGGATCACGGCTGGAGGAGGGATGACTATCGCCCGGGACGCTCTCTCTCGCCACGCCGGAGCGAACACCGCTACTCGCGAGACCGGGAATTCGGCCCGCATGCGCGCCGGCGTTCTCGATCACCACCGCGGTATGGCCGTTACGGCGACGACTCGTACAGGCGCAGGAGTCCAAGCCCACACCGCCGGGCACCGTCTGATGGCGAACGATTTGATCTGCCGCGTCGTTACGGGTCCGACGTTCCGGACGTCCAAATACTGCTTCTGCAGGAAGTCTCGCGAGATTTCATTGGCTGGGTCCAAGGAGCGTTCCACAGCAAGGGATTGAAAACGGATGTTATGTACATCAACCCTCGATTCCCCCGGGAAACGGTGGTGCAGCGCCAGGTTGTGGAAGGCGTTCACGCCATCGTGGATCTCGACTACGCCGCTGCGGCCCAGGGCAAGATTCCCATCCAGGTCTTTATCCGGTCTGGAAGCAGCAGCGTCCGTTTCGAGCTCTACCAAGGGATAGACCCTCCCGTGGCGGCAGAGCTTGTGGTGAGGCAGAAGGCCCAGTCTGCCGCTTACGTCGCTCCATCCGGGCCAATGTACGCGGCCCCCGCATATCCGCCGTACCACACCGAAGCAGCTCCTGCCGGCTACGTGCATCAGTACCCTCCGCACTCGGGCCCATCCGGGCACCCACAGGCAGCACCCCCGACAGCCAATCTCGCCAGCGTGGTCGGCCAGCTCGACAACTCGGCGCTGCAAGCGCTCCTGGCATCACTCCAAACCCCACACGCAGGCGCGCCGCAGGCGCATCCGGGGATGCCTCCTGCGAATGCGGCCCCCGCATCCCAAATTGATGTAAATGCTCTGTTAGGCAGCCTTAGGAGTGCTACCCCAGCGCAGCCTACTCCGATGCCGGGCGTACCAAGCTACGGCGCCGCGCCCGCACCGGCCTATGCCCCGCCGGTGGGCGGTGCCATGCCGTCTGCCGCCGCCGTCCCCAATGGGTATGGCGGAGTCGACACCGCGCAACAGGTGCAGACGATTATCGATCAGCTGAAGCGTGCCGCGCAGTGAAGCTGATGGGCTGGGATTGCTCCTTAAAGGAGGCACAAGGTCTGGGATGAGCTTCAGCCGATACCAGAGTAACGGCACAAATCACCGCTGCTCAGACCTCGAAGATTCGATACACTCCTCGAACCCGGTGCTCAGGCGTTCGAGCTGATATGTTTCGGCGTTGCAACAGAGTCCTCTTCGCAATGCATCTCTGGTGCTTTTGCGAACAGGGCCGTACATATTTCAGACTTCTAGAGAGTGAGGGTCTCGGCTTAGTAGCGCAGTTTCTTGAAAACAGCCGGGACAGGGGCAACCACGCTTGCGCTGGGACCGGAAATCAAAAAAAAAAAAAAAAAAAAAAAAAAAAAAAAAAAAGGCAGTGATGACGAAAGCTTGGGGGCCACAATTTGGCCTATCGCCGCTAGAAGGAGCAAGCTTGAGAGAATCTAACCTTCGAGTACTTAGCTTTGAGGTTTATTGGAAGCTTCGCTACCCACAATGGGTAAGGACGTCCCGTCAGAGGACAAGCTCTGGCTTGGGTTCTAGGACGATCGTATGAGGACGGTGATCGATGACTAGCAAACGGTGATAAGCAGATGAAGATCAATTTGTATGTAGCATCCGGCTGCCTAGTACTTAATAGACGGAATAGGCAGGTCGATTTCTATATATGAACCCCGCCGACACCCGAGTGCGACTGGTTTACGCGTCTTCCTAGGTACCGGTAGTTCGTAATTCAATCCTTCCACTACTACTGCTTACATCCAGATCGCTATTTAGAGCGAATCATTCCAGGAAACAGGGGATTTCCATATGTCTTATAACTTAGCTCTACATCACCGCAAGGACGATGAAGGGCCGACGGCTACTGTTAACAGCTGCGCTTGTCTTGGACCTCCTCGGCACAAAGGCACAGTTTCCCCCAAATAGGGAGGGCATCACTGTCGTACAGTCAAAGTTCCATGAGAATGTCAGCATCTCGTTCAAAGAGGTCAGTTCATTTGATTTCAGCTGAGAAGGCTCCGACTGCAAAAGGCCCGGTTGCCGATAAGTACCGTCCTGACCGGCACACTTTTACGACTAGTAGCCCGGCATATGTGAGACAACACCAGGGGTGAAGTCGTACTCTGGATACGTGCATCTCCCGCCTCACCTTCTCGGAGATCAAGATCAGGACTATCCGATCAACACGTAAGTGCAGTGATGGCGTCGTAAACACTCTCAGAATTCAGAAGGCCTGTCGTGGCTGAGATATTAAATCAAAAGGTTCTTCTGGTTTTTCGAGGCCCGCAAGGACCCGGCCAACGCCCCCCTCGCCATATGGTTGAATGGCGGCCCGGGGGGCTCGTCCATGATGGGGCTGCTGGAGGAGAACGGCCCCTGCTTTGTTACGGCGGACTCCAAGTCGACGTACCGCAACTCGTGGAGCTGGAACAACGAGATCAACATGCTCTACATCGATCAGCCGGTGCAGACGGGCTTCTCGTACGATGTGCTGACCAACGTCACGATCAGCTGGGAGACAGGCGACTTGGATGAGCCCGTCATCACACCCACAAACTTCAGCGACGGGGAAATCCCGGAGACCAACAATACATTCCTGATCGGGACCACGGGCAGTCAGAAGGGATCGCAGACGGCCAACAGCACGGAGCAAGCCGCCCATGCTCTCTGGCATTTCCTGCAGACGTGGCTGTTTGAATTTCCGCACTACAGCCCTCGCGACGGCAGGGTCAGTCTCTGGACGGAGAGCTATGGCGGACACTATGGGCCGGCCTTCTTCCGGTTCTTTCAGAAGCAGAACGAGAAGATCCGGAACGGGAGGCTGAAGGGCCCCCGAGCGCACTACCTGCACCTTGATACACTGGGCATCGTCGATGGCGCTGTTGACTGGGCGACCGCGATTGAGTCCTGTCTTGAATTTCCGTACAACAATGTGAGGTTCAAGTTTCTTTTCTCCCCCTCTTCCTCTTTGCTTCTCTTCGTCTTTTTTTTTCTTTCTCTCTTTTCTTTTCTCTTTTACTTCTTGTGACAAGACCGTTTTACAGAGGCCGACGATTCCATAAAATCTAACCCGTTTATTTCCACCAGACCTACAACGGCGCACAATTCTACAACGACTCCCTCCACCAAGACCTCATGCACAACTGGACCCGGCCCAACGGTCTCCGAGACCGGCTCGCCTCCTGCGCCAGCTCCCTCGACGACATCTCCTCCTATGTAAATGCCACGGCCTGCCTCAACGTCCTCGAAGAAACAGTCACCGCCTGCCAGGCCCTCTTCACCGAGGTCACGTCGCGCTCGCCCTACGACATCTCCCAACCGCTCCAGAAACCCTTCCCACCGCCTTACCTGCACGGCTACCTCGCACAATCCCACATCCTCTCCGCCCTGGGGGTGCCCGTGAACTACACGCCCGTCTCCTTCGCGGCCAACCACGCCTTCGACGCAACCTTCGACCCGCTGCAGACGGGCCAGCTCGAGGCGCTCGCGTCCTTGCTCGACCATCATGACGACGGTAATTGGGCCGGCGGGGGAGGGGTGCGCGTGCACCTGATGTATGGCGACAGGGACCTGATTGCCAACTGGCCGGGCGGGGAATGCACCAGCCTCAAGGTGCCCTACTCCCGGCAGCGGGAATTTGCTCACGAGACCGGGTACGCACCTCTCGTGGTGGAGGGCAAAGTGGCGGGGCTCACGCGACAGCTGGGCAATTTCAGCTTCACCCGCGTGTTCCAGGCCGGGCATGAGGTGCCTGCTTTTCAGCCGGCTGCGGCGTACGAAATCTTCAGGAGGGCCATGTTTGGGTGGGATGTTGCGACCGGAATGGTGAAGGTCACGGATGAGTATAGGACGGAAGGGCCGCGGGATGCGTGGGGCGTGAGGGGGGAGTTGCCTGCGATGCCTAAGGCGAGGTGTTATGTGCTTAGGCCGGATACGTGCGAGGAGGAGGTCTGGAAGACGGTGGTCAATGGGACGGCCGTGGTCAAGGACTGGTTTGTGGTGGAGGGAGAAGGGGCGCCAGGCGGCGGTGTTGGTGGTGATGAGTTGTGAATGTGAAGCCTTCCCTTGGAATAAGCAACTGGGCTGGAGGTCTGGATACTGTTCCGTAGGTAGTCTAAACCCGCGCCTTCTGTTGCTTTGCCCATGTATATCCGGACATATATCCTCGCTGATGCATACATATGTTGTACACAGACTTTGTACACATTCCCAAATGTATGTACACCTTCACAGCGGCCTCACTGCTCCCACTCGCTCTCCTCCCTCAACAATAACCTCATGACAACGTCTCTCCTCCCCTGCTCCCCTATCCTCCTGGCATCCGTCAACCGCAACCACCTCCCCAACACCCCTCTCAACTCTTCCGCACCCCGTCCCATCACCACAATCCCCCTATCCGCGCACGCAAGCTTAACCTCTTCCGGCACCAGCACCTCCGCCCCACCAGCCCGAACCAACAGTTCGTCATCCTCGTCCAAGAACCTCAACCGCCTCTCCACCTTGGACTGCAACACAGACTGCGGCGTCCACCAGCGGACAGGCAAGCCGAGTATCTTCGCTAGACCCGTGACCGGCGGCACTTGTTCTCCTCCTCCTCCTCCTCCCTTGTCCCCACCATCACCACCACCATTACCAGCGGTATTCGCATTCGCAACAACCTCCTTCCTCCCCTCCTCCCGCCATCTCTGATCCTCCTTCTCAAGCTTCTCTACCTGCCTCGGGATCCGACACGGAAGTGGCACCGCCCTGGGCAGCGCCAGCACCACCAGCGGCGTGAACTCGCCGCACACGATCAAGATGAGCGCAAAGAGCGGCAGCCGGCGCACGTCATGCGCCCAGCGCAGCTTCAGGTGCATGTGTGCGCGCGTGCCGGCCCGTGGCGGACGCAACTGCTCCTCCTCCTCCTCCCCTGTTCCCTCTCGAAGTCTTTTGGAGTAAAGGAGGCGCGTGTTGGTGTAGATGTGTTTCATCCCCGTCTTGTAGAAGGATAGGTAGGCCATGCCCTGCGCGAACAGGTAGGAGAAGTTGGCTTGCGAGAGGAATGGGTGGCCTGCTGCTTCGGTCGGGCGGCTCGGGAGGGTCAGCGGTGGCGGGCGAGTTGTTGGTGGGGGGTTGGCGAGGCCATGATCGCGAGTTGCGGCTGGGACTGAGATAGTAGAGGAGGAGGAGGAGGTGTTGATTGTGGCAGTCGTGGAAGGTTCTTGCTGTTGTGGTTGTGGTTGTGGTGCAGGCGCGGCAGACGAGTGGCTTCTCCTCGAAGGGGGTTTGAAGTGTGAGAGGTCCCTGGAGAGGGAGATCAGGAATGTGGATGGTTGCGCGTGGCGCTGGGAAAGTTGGCGGCCATTGACACGCAATGCGCTGTTGAGGAGACCCCTGTGCCCCATTGCATGTGTACTTTCTACCGGAAAGTCTGCTGCAGCGTCGACATGGACACGGGAGTGCTGGGCTCCTTCAAGGTTCTAGTGGGGGGTCCTCGAATTGACCGGTCCAGCGTCTCGATCGCGGGCAACAATCGATGACGAAGCGCGTTTGTGGCCTTCAATGACGCCGGTTTAGTGCTTGACTTGGCGCCTTGGCAGCTGCGCAGGGCGAGGGTGGAGCCACTAACGTTGTGGATCAGCTAGCTCAGCTGTGCTGATCCCGGCGCCCATGTGCGCCAAGAAGGTTCTTGTCTCGCACGACGCTGCTTCCCACGCGACTCATGATGAGGAGCATTGTGCTAGGCCACGAGCTGAGCATCAATGATCGGACAAGCGCAGCAGAGTTGAAGTGTCTCCGCGGCCATAAACTACAAACGGCTCGGCTTCTCCTTTCTGGAACCATCATGTACCAGATGTGCATCAGGCAGCTGGGTTCGTGAACCCGGACAGGTTCCTTTCTCCGCGGGCCAGTTGTCTATCTTGGGACCTCGCAGATAGGCAAGATAGCGACGGCAGGCCGCGTGGGGGCATTAGAGCGGCCCGGCCCGATGATTCGGACTCGGAGAATGTCCATTCAGAATGATAGCCCCCTGATGGCCAGGTCAAGGTGAGACTGAGGAGCCGGAAAAGGGAATCAACCAAGATGCCCGTCGCCCCCGGACTGATAAGGTATGTCTTTCTGCATTGCTTTTTTCCCTTGTTGGGATGCACGACAGGTTCCCATGCGACTGATGGTTGGTTTCACATACGCTGCACTGCTCGCTAGGAGTCCTGCAAAGTCACCTTTTCCTGGTGTCTGGTGCAGTCGCGTACGTACCTCTCGCATAGCGCGTACAGACTGCATATGATCCTTCTGCTTGTGCGCCCGATAAGCATCCCGGGAATTGATCCATCACCGTGTTTGGAAGTATTGAATATGGACCTCCTGGAGATGGAAAGAGTGCGTGTCTTACGGCTGGATATTACACCCGTGACAACCCCTTCATCCTCCGTTGCCTTGCTTGACCGAAGCATGGCCATTGTTTGCCGATCTGTGTGGAGTCACCTACCTACCCATCTCACTAGGGAGCGCCATGTTTGACATCGCACCCCGAGCGGCTCTGGCCGCGCCCACGGACCCTGGCATCATACGGGTCCAGAGCGCAGTGATCCTGGTGGCTTCCATCTTAGCTTGTGTCGGAGCGGGTTGGATCATGGCGAGCTTTATGGTGAGCTTCTGGACGAGTTTCCTAGCCGCCCGCCTACCAGGACAGCCAGTGGAGGTGACAAGGCGTTGATGGGTCTCTGACATGTTCGCGACGTCCAGGCCTTCTCCAACCTTCGGACTTTCCGTCACCACCTGATCTTCGGTCTGGCCATCAGCGACTGCGTTATGGCGCTCAACTTCCTCGTGTCATCGTCCATGAATGTCGGCGGGAGATGGATCGGCGCACCTGAGAACGCTCGCTTTTGCAGCTTCAACGGGTTCATGACCCAGGTGTTCGTCATTCAGACTGATTATTGGGTGCTGACCATTGCCATCTGCACATATTTTGTCCTGGCCGACCACAAGCGCTCCTCGTCGTGGGTCCAGGATCATCTGCCGGTCATCTGGGCATTGCCCTGGTTGCTCTCGATTACATGGGCTGCTATCGGGCTGGGCGTTACTGGTTATGGCGATATCGGAGCGTGGTGTTGGTTCACCTCGGACGAGGTTCGGCTGCTGGTAATCTCTTCCGTCGCTTTTGTTGTGTTGTGTCTTGTCCGTCACCCCTGAAGTCAACGCAGGTTCTGACAAATAGGCACCGCCACAGGTTAACTTCGTCCCACGTTGTAGGTCTCTCTCACCCTTCAGGCCATTGCATCGGAAAAGGCGGCCCTAACGTAGAGCAGGGGTGATCGTTGCGGCCATGTTCTTGATGTATGCGAGGCTGTACTTCCTGCTGTTCCGCGCTCACCGCCACATGGCCTCGCTCGAGGCCTCCGGCAGCCTAAGCGGCTCAGGCTCTCGTCAACTCGATACGAATGGCCACACTAGCAGTCAACCTGAAATGTCTGGAAACACGTCCAGACACACCCGCAAGCTGAAGAAGGTACCTTAAGCATAGATGGTGGAAGAAAGGATCTGCGCTGACAGCCTTTGATGCGCTCAGCTTGCTCGTCTGATGCTTCTGTATCCGCTGGCATACTCCGTCATCTGGTCGCTTCCGACGACGATCAGAATCTACCAGACCATCACCGGCGAGCCAGCGCCGTGGCAGATCCAGACGCTCGACAAGGCATGCATTGTCGTGCAGGGCTTCGTCGACGCCGTCATCTATGGCGCCACCGAGAGCTCCCTCTCCAGCTGGCGCAATCTGTTCTTCCCACGGAAGTTTCCAATTCTCAACGGCAATGACGGCACGGTCGCGCCGGCCACCACCTACGGCGACGTGAGCAACAACGGCCCCCGACGGAGGTGGTATTGGAACTGTGCTGACAGATGGCAGTTGGTGTCTAGGGCCTCGACAAGGCACGCGGCACTCGCCGCAAGTAGCATCGAGTCAGCTGATTCGTTACAGATTCCGACTGGGGATCAGGTTGAGCTGCGAGATCTTGGTGGCATGCGGGATAAGGGCATACGGAAGACCGTGGAGGTCAGGGTCATGAGCACCACGGGCCGCGAGACACCGTTGGCTATCCCGAGGCCCACGAAACCGTACTTCCCTGGAGATCAGCGGGATATGTGGCCAGTAAATTCTGGGATGAAATAAGGCTTGCTCAGATTATGAGGCGCTTATCATTGCAGCAACATGAAACTCGTTGCGTTTAGAGCCACCCTAATACGTAGAGAGAATGTGAACGCCAGGTGGAGGGAAGTAAGAAGGACAACAATATAGGAGAAAGAGAAACATAGACCATAGAAGATACCTATGCGTGGGTATTTAACGGAGCGTCCAAATGAGTTGCAACAGGTGACGCGAGAAGAGAGGATTAGGTAGAGGGAAAGCAAAGCGTACGGAAAAGACAAAATCACTGTGTGGGACAAAAGATAACTACGTAGTTACCGTAGGTATGCCAACTTAATTGATGATAGACGTCTGGCGGGTGCCCCTTGGACAATCCGACCTAGACGAGGCTGTGAAGTGTGAACGCCGAGGGACATGGAACCGGTTGCTTGCTTCCTTGCCCGACTGGGTGGTAAGTGATCCTATTGTTTCCCTGCGATCACGGAATCATTTAGGGTCACACACACCCGCAGGGAAAATCTGGGCACCTATACGGACGTGAGGTTGTTCAGGCCGTCCGTAGCAACCTGGAAGTGCTGAGGATGTGGATGGACGGGAGTCTGGAGAGAAGTGGATGAGGTTTTGATTCATTGGGTCGATCGTATGTAGTGCCTGGGCGTGCTGGGCCCTGAAGATCTGCCGGAGCAAACGAAAGGCACAGCGTGAATAGCCAATCATTGAACGCTAGCGACCCTCTAATCTCCACAACCACCCCTTGTCCCGTTGCACATGGCGGGCGCCCCACATCTGTGTCCTCCCCCGGACGGACATTTCAAATCCAGCCCCGGCCCCGAGCCCTCGTCCGTCCCCGCCTTCGGCTTCTGCATTCTTCAGCTCGCCGCAGGGATCAGACTACAACCGACCGCCGTTTTGAGGTCTGAAGCGCGAACGAGGTAATCATGGCCTGGCCAAACTATCACTTCCTCGACCCGTCACCGGCCGAGAAACAGGTCCGCCGCCAGACCCTCGACAAGTATGCCCTCTACGCCCAGCTCTCGGCGCTGGTTCTTGTTGCTTTCGTTCTGCTGTCCCGACTCGGTGAGTGGCGGACAAAAGGGAAGGGCTCATCCAGGGGCGACTATGATGCCGTCCCGAGCTCTCCCGTTTTGAAAGAGCGGCGTAACAGCGGCCTGGAGGTCTGGAACTCTCGGGCTCGCAGGGTACGCTGGTGGCTGGGTGAGGATGTTGTGGTGGCCGGGATGGTTCTGGGTCAGCGTGATCGTATGTACTGTTTCAAGTTTCTTTCGTCGTTCACCGTTCTCCGCAGCACATCAAATCAACGCCACGCCGGTCTCTCAGGGTCGGATTCGATTGTCCCTGAGAATATGTAACCCCGGTTCATATTGGGCAGCATGAGACTAACAGGCGAACAGAGTGGGTTGCTGGGATTTCGTGGACTGCCTGGCTTCTGCTACTTTGTGTGCTGCAGACAGGGGAAGGTAAGCCGCCTTCTCTCGCCCGTATCCGTTCCTCGAGGGCGGTTCTTTGACTGGGCATTTGAAGATTACCTGCACCTGACAAAACGGCTCGGCATCGTCGCCGTCTCGCAATATCCCCTCCAGTATCTCCTGGCGCTCAAGTCCCTCAATCCCGTCGCCTACATCCTCCAGTCCTCTCACGAGCAGGTTAACCGTTGGCACCGAGTACTGGCACGTGTGACGACCACGCTGTTATGTCTTCATGTGGCCTTGTACTTGAACTTTTTCGTCCAAACCGACCGGCTCCACCGGCTAGGTGACCCTGTCGTCTTTGCTGGGCTCATGGCCTTATTTGGCCTAAGTCTCCTGCTGTCGACATCCTTGCGGCCAATTCGCCGGTATTCCTACCGGCTATTCTTCATCATCCACGTGGTTGTAGGTACTATGATGCCTCTGATGGTTATCACTCACGCCGCTCCGACCAAGGCTTTCCTGCTTGAGGCGCTGGCTGTGTTCTTCCTTGATCTGGGTGCCCGAAAGTTCGATACCGTCATCGCGCAGGCGACCATGCAATCCATTCCGGGTACAGATCTCATCAAGATCTCGGCCAGCATCCCACGCTCGAAGGTCAACCGCTTCCGCGGACATCCAGGTTCCCACATCTATCTCAGCATTCCGGCGGCGGCTCGTAGATCCATGAGTGCCACCTCCATCTCGCACCTGCTGTTCGAATTGCTTTTCAACCCCTTTACCGTGGCTGCAGTGGACGAGGATACGGGAGATCTCACGATGGTCGCACGCCATTGTGGCGGCCCTATGACGAAGGCCTTAAGGCAGTTGGCGGGTGCGGCAAGCGACGACTTGGATCAAGACAGAATCCCCCTGTCTATTGAAGGCCCCTACGGAGCGGCTAGTCGCTTCCCGCAGTTATGCGCCGAGTTCGACCGGGTATTACTTGTTGCCGGCGGCGTCGGTGCAACTTTCACGCTACCCCTATACCGCTCCATCACCAGCGAAAACCCCGGGGCAAAGGTCGAGATGGTGTGGGCCATCCGAGCCTCAGGGGATGCTACCTGGGCTGTCACTGGGAAGGAAGCCCAAACTCTACTGAAAGATGACAATATCCATATATTCATCACTAGGGACATGGTTAACCCGGAAGGGCCAGATCTTCTAAGGCGGGAGTGGACTCATGATCGCAGGGCGGATGGGAGCCGGGTTGATGACGACGGCGAGGGTGAGGTAGAAATGAGCGCCATGTACCATGATTGCCGACGAGGGCAGTATACAACTCAGCACAACCGGAAGCGGCCAGACCTGAAACAAATCGTCGACAACCTATTCCGGCACGGACATGAGGAGAGGGTTGCGGTGCTCGTATGCGGCCCGAATGAGATGGCCAGAGAACTAAGGGAATATGTCGGTGCCTGGGTCAAGAGGGGCCGGCCAGTCTTGTGGCATAAAGAGGGATTTGGGTTCTAGGAGGAAGCGTAACGACATAATCAATGATCATACATTCATTGCCGCATTGAATTTGCCCCACCAAGATGTCAAGGTACAGTGACAGGAATTTTCATGCCTTGCTACCCATGGTCGTCGTCATACAACTCCTGCGGAATAAAGCACACCAGTTTCCGTTCCGACCGCTTCTAAAGGAGTGAAATCCGATTGCAAGAACGCCATAGCCATTCCAAACGTTATTCATACCATACATGCTACGTTGCCGCAGCAGGTCCGTCCCACTTCTCGCTCACTGTCAATCAGCGCGCTTCTTCGCGCCGCCATGGTCGCCGCTGGCGTCCACATCCTTAGTTGCCGCGGAGGCAGACACGCTGACATCACCCGCATCATCCTCATCCCAGGCATCCACAGCATTCTCATCCCAGTTATCGACCTCCTCCTCTAACGTCGTAGCTCGCTGACCGCCGGCGGCGCTACTGCTAACCACCCCTTCTTCATGCTCTCCGGAACGGCGAATGCCGGGACCCTCCCCCAGCTCCAGATCCTCCTCGCCCTCCCCAACAGCAACATCACCATCATCACCCTCGCCCGTAGGCACGGCGTTGTACTTCCTCAACCGCTTCCTCTCCAGCATCCGCTTGTGGTACCACGCGCAAAGGCTCAGCCCGGCCAGGGAGCCGACGAGGTTGGCGACGACATCGAAGAAATCGAAGGCCCGGCCGTTGGGCAGCACGGCCTGCAGGACCTCGGACCCGATGCCTAGGCCCAGTGTGCATCCGACTAGCGTCAGGTTGAGCACGCGCCGCCTTGTGGTGTCGATGATCCAGTAGAAAGCGACGGTAAGGGCGAAGAATGTTAGGAAGTGCAAGACTTTGTCGTCTATAGGTAGGCCGGTGTCCGAGAGCTGGACGGAGGACAGCCCCGCGTAGCCTGCGATGAGGAGGAGGAGGGCGAAGGCGCCTGCAGTATGGTAGTACAGTCAATGTAAGATGCGCCTCAAGCGTATCGGATTTGGAGCATGCTCAGACTTTGGGGACGCACCGGCGAAGGGAAGCCGTATCCTCATGACGTGCTAGCTTCAGTTTTGACTAAGTGCCTGATCTTCAACAGAACCTTTTTGCGATGCATATCACCGATATCGGTTACAGGCTGATTGCCCGCATCGCCATGGTCAATGCAATTGTTGAATCGGATAGAGGTGCTCTCAGGGCAATGCAGTTGGTGCATGTCAGCTAGCGATGAAGGTTGCTCACAAGGCTCCCGCATACGAGCCTTGATTGTGGCGCATCAAAAGACCCCGGGCGCGGGGGATGCCGGAGCCGATCCGGGGCAGCGAATTGGGCAGGTGGGGCTTTCTCCCAGTATGGTCCGCCTATTTCTGTTAAGTCCACACCTGTGGCGAACCTTCACGTGAACTCCTACACCACAACGAGCAGCACGCTTCTTCTACTGTCAACGCAACACCAACCACGAGTGGCTCGCTGAATCATCAGAACGGTCCAAATCATCTCGCTTTTCTTATCAACCTTACATGACATGAGCACCTCTTCAACTTTGTCCGCTGGGCTGATAAAAAGCGATTGAGCCTTGGTTCTTTGGGCCAGCCTGCAAGGCATCTCACGTGATCTTCGCCGCTTCTCCCAAGTTGGTGGCCTGCGTCAAAGTAGCGACATCAGCTAGCGGTCAGTTGAAGGGTAAATGTTGCAAATTTGCCACGATCGCTCGGTCGAGAGTACCACCTACCTGAACGTTTGCTTCGAGACGTCACGATTCCGAATTGTCGCCGAGTTGACAACGCGACGACACAAAGATTGCCCCTCGATCTTAGTGGCTTCTTACTGCGCGCCAAGCCGAAGCAGCGCACCCCCTTGTCCAGAAACGGCAGAAGCCTGCTTCCGATCCTGACTTCACGTCAAACTCCCCCCAAAATAGCCCATCGCAGAAGCCATCGCGACACCTGCACAGCATCGCCGATTGCGCTCGAAATTCACGGCCCATCTCGCCAAACTCTGCGCTTTCCGCCCATGTGACCGTGACCCCTCGGTGTGCCCCGGTGCCGGCCAAACACGAGCGCAATTCCGGCGCATGTGGCGACCGCGCGATCATCCTCAGTTCGCCATTCCGGACCGGGAAGAAGATGCCTATGTCCGCCGGACAGGATGTCTGGCACGCGCCGACCAACAGCCAGGTCTCCGGCAGTAGGACGCAGCCTGCTGTCGTGGATGATCTCCCGGCGCGGACGCAGACGCCGAGCCACAACCCTCCAGCGTTGATACCTGAGGCATCCGAGCTTGACGATGACCAGCGTCGCGCTCACTTTGATAGCTTGTTCCGCCGCGCCGATCAAAGGCTGGCGCTGCTATTTGGCGACAACGGCGATTACAACCGAGCCGCGCTCGAGGAGATGAAGCGGCCGCCGACTCCACCCGTACCCCTGTTCGCGCCCGCGACAGATCATACGCCTATCCAGGAGCCCCCCCGCAAGAGGGCAAAGCGCGTCATTGACGAAGACGATTACGGTGACGATGATGACGAAGAAGATGCGGACGAAGATACCGATCGCATCGTGCAGACGTCACAAGGCCTCCAGTCGAAACACGCCAATGCCGCCGCCGCCAGGACCCTGCTGTCCCCGTCCAAGTCCGGGAGTTCACCGGTCCAGTCGATCCCGTCACCCGGAAAGCGCCCAGATAAGCTCCAAGACGATGGCCCGCAGGCACAAGCCAAGTCCTCTGAGGACGCCCGCAAGGAGCTGGAGGAAGCGCGCAATGCGACCGAGGAAGCGGCGAAGCGGAGTTTTCACACGCTGTTTTACACGCTCGAGAACGACCGCACTGCGATGCTCGAGCAGCAGCAACTGGAGGAGTCCGAGAAGCAATTACAGGCCGAAATGGACAAGACCGGCCATAGCCACACGAACCAGCCCGGGCAGAACCACGGCTCACTCAGCAGTGCGAATCTCGGGGCATCAAGTCTTACCTTAAAGCATCTCATTGCAAGGATAGACATGAAGCGCGAGAAGGTGCGCGCCTCCGATGCCGAGCTCCGCTCACTGATGAACGAGGTCCGCAAGAATAGGAGCAAATGGGCCAGCGAAGAGAACGTTGGACAGGAAGAGCTCTACGAGGCACTTGAGAAGGTGCTCAGCGAGCTGAAGGCGCACACGGAATATTCGACCCCGTTTTTGAATCGAGTGAATAAGAGAGACGCGCCAGATTATTACAACTGTAAGTTCCGCTTGATGTTACCGCCGCGTAGCGAGTCTTGCCTAACATCGTCGCAGTCATCAAGCAACCCATGGACCTAGGAACTATGACGAAGAAGCTGAAAGGTCTTCAGTACAAATCCAAGGCCGAATTCGTTTATGACCTCAACCTCATCTGGGACAATTGTCTTAAGTATAACCAGGACATGGGTCATCCCCTCCGCCGCATGGCGAATGGCATGCGGAAAGAAGCCGAAAAGCTCATTCCGCTCATCCCAGATCTCGTCATAAGGCCGAGAGCAGAAGTGGAGGCCGAGGAACGCCGAAAGCAGAACGGCGGCGAGGACGATGCCGGCGAGGATAGTGACGATGAGCCGATCATGTCATCCAGGGGACGAAAAGCTGGCACCAAAGGCGCCAACAAGTCCCGGAAAGCGCCGTCAGACCAAAAAGGTGGGGAAGAAGGAACCCCAAGCGTGGAGCAGAAGCCCTTGCTACAACTTAATGGCCTCCTCGCCAAAACCAGAGAAGGCTCCGAGGTGGAGGGCAGCAATGGCTTCGGCACCCCTCAGATCGCAGGCTCTCTGACGCCAAACGGCATGGGCGGCCATTCCGGCGCCAGTAACGCTGATGCAATGGATATCGACGGGCCGTCATTGAGTGGCATGGCCCTCGGCCAAGCACTCGGTGAGGCGGCGGAGCAGGCTTACGAAGATGAAGCGTACAAAATCTGGAAGCAGGTTACGAAAAAGGACCGGGCCCTTATAGCCAAGGAGCGGTATCAGCTGTTTGCTGGCAACAAGCTTAACCCCGACCAACCCGCTCTCCTGAGAACCAAGGCAGGAATGCGCCGGTTCCTGAAGTCTCGGCGAGAGGCGGAAGCACTTGGTCTTGTCCACAATGCTCACCTCGACGCTTCGGCGGCTGGTTCAAAAGATGGGTCTCAGGCTCCGGAAACACTAGCTGAGGGCATGGAAGATGAAGTCGACCGGTCGGTCCCGTCATATTACGAGCCCCAGACCGTCATCCCCGACATCGACCCAAAACTCCAATGGGTTGAGGATGGCGAAGGGCAAGTCATCAATCAATTTGAAGACATGCTCCGGCTAGTCCCGCCGGGGCACTTCACTTCGCCATCGAGTCGACTTACTCAAAAGATTGACGGCAACATACGGCAGATGCAAGAGACTCGCAAGTTGTGCTCTAAGATTAGCGTGATAAAACAGATGCAAATCCAGACGCACGTAAGTGTTGGACGTTCCTCTGATACCGACCGGCATTGAGTCACTGACCGCAACCAGGTTTACACTAATCAGTTTCCAAAATATAACCCGGAGCCATTTTTCGAAACCGATATCGAACCACACTTCCTTGCAGGGGAAGGTCCGGTGATGGCCGGCGAAGCTTGCAGGTCGGCGATGCAGCGCTCGGTGGCAAAGATCTTCTACCACGCTGGTTTCGAGGAACTGCAGCCATCAGCGCTCGACACCATCACCGACATCGCTGGTGATTACTTTCAGAAACTGGTTCGCACGTTTAACGTTTACCGGGAGGCCGAGAAGAAGCCTGCTACCGGGGTATGGGCGGAAAGAGGCGCTCGGTTCCAACCACGCTTCACCCCCGAAGAGGTGATTTTGCACACGCTGAACGAGAACGGCCATGACGTGGATTCGCTGGAAAGCTATGCCCGTGACGAAATCGATCGGCTGGGCAACAAGCTTGGCCAGATCCACGAGCGCATGAAAGCCCATCTTGCGGACCTCTTGCGGCCCGCCCTCACCGACGCAGGCGCCGACGGCTCAGGCGCTTTCAATGACGGAAGCGAACAGTTCATCGGCGGCGACTTCGCCGAGGAGCTGGGAGAGGACTTCTTCGGCTTCAAAGCCCTCGGTCTCGACAAAGATCTCGGCCTGGAAATGCTGTCCGTGCCGCTGCACCTCCTACAATCTCGCGTCCGCAGCCAATACCAGATGCAGACCCAGACTGCGGGCACCGCAACCGCCGACCTATTCGAACCGTTGCCGCCCTCGGAGCCGGTTACCAAGGAGAATATCCAGGAGCAGATCGGCCTGGTCAAGAACTTCTTCCTCGCCAAGCTGCATGCTAATGGCGACCAGCCCCTCGTCGAAGACGAGGACCTGCCCGTCAAGCAGCGCCGCGCGCGGCCGAGGCTGGGTGCCACGGGCAAGATCGTCTCGCCGCAGAAACGGAGCCCGAAGGAGCAGGTCGCGCTGGCGAAGAAGAAGAAGAAGCTCGAGAATGGGCATGCGCAAGTTACGGATGGTGCAGCAAAGGCAGGCACTGTCTCGCCTGAAAAGAAAAAGGGTAGTCATCCAAATCTCAAGGGCGGGCCGGCGCTCAACCCTCCTACCACGGGTGGTGGGAGTAGTGGTCAGAATCTGGCTGTGCCCGTATCCGACGGTCCGGCGGATGGTAGTGGTGGTCTGGCGGATGGGCTGAGCCAGGCGACAGATAAAGAGGAGGCCATGACGGGAATGATGAGCCCCGAGAGTCTCGAGCAAAGGTGACAAAGGGACGATCATGGTGATTGCTAGGATGAGAAGGTCTGGTATTGACTTTTCTTTCCTTTTTCTGTTCCCTCTTCTGGGCGCAAGAAGTATGGACCGGCCTCCTTCTGATGTTCGAAGATATGCGTGGTTGGTTTTAAGGGATGGATACTTCCTGCTGGGTTGGGCAAATGGGGGTTCTCCGAATGTCCCCTTTTAGAGTCGGAAACGATCGGGCGCACACGACAGCCACCGAATTACACCGACAGCTTCCTACTTTGCATATACCTTTCTTGTTGGGTCTTGTTGATGATCTTCTTTCTTGGGATGAGCAGGCGGGTGTGTAGATACAAAACCATACGATACCATATGCAGTATACTATCTATATCTGATGCCAACAATGGAGATCAAAGCTGGGTTGGACGCCTATATCTCCGCTACAGTTACTGTAGCTCAATCCAGATTTGACTGTTCCCTGCCTCATTGATCATCGCTGCGTAATCCTGCTCTTGAACTTTCAAAGGCACTTCACAATGTTGAGGCACGCATGGCCTAATACTTCCTCAAAACGCCAGCCCCCTTCTCGGGACGGAAACCCACCTGCCAGCTTATTACATATGAGGAGGGTGGGTGTGACCAGGCGAAGAGATCCAGGGGAGGAACGTATATGTTGGCTCTGACTAGTCGTATTTGTAAAGGACCTGATAAATTTCTTGTCCGATCGGGCGGCATCTTCTTGGAGATTCATTCACCATCTCCTAAGAGCCTAGATTGTGGAGTGTTTGAGACGAGCTTGCTGTACCAGACGGCCTGGCCGATTGTTTGAGCACGACACTTCACATCGGACCACATCACAGACGATATAGCTCAGAAGCATGCACGCAGATTCATGTTCGGGTATAAGCAACCGCGTTGAAGCAGCCATAGCCATCTAATAACACGAAGAACAAGGTGTACGTAGCCCAAACTCCCCTCTCCCGGTACCGAATTTGGTAAGTTGATGACCAAAACACCCATTGATGCAAACGCCTGATGAAATGACTTGCACGATGAGTGATTTTCCGATTCCCGTTTTTTGCTTCCCATGCATTCCGATTCGTTGAGATCGCTGTCCCTGAGCACCCTGTTTCTAGATGCGTACCATGAATAAAAAAGAGATAAGGAAGTGAACGGCCGGTAGGGGTCCGTCTATGTGTTGTTGAACATTGGGCACTCGTCACATGGCACCCTGTATATCATATCTTCACCCAACACCGCCGCGGGCTGTGGTTGTGGGCTACTTAGATGCCAGCATCCATCCTCCAGCCCTCAACGGGGAGCGGGAAGGTGTGGCACCAGTCCGATATCTCCTTCTTGAGCTCGTTGATCCGGGAGACTTCTCCGCTAGCGACCTTGAACTTGAAGTCCTTGAGCTTGTTGGCCTCCTTGGGCAGCGCGGCCTGTACCTCTTTACAAAGCTTGATGCTCTCGTCAATGTAGACAGCCACGCGCTCAAAGTCGGCTTCACCGAAGCCGCGGCTGGTCATAGCCGGTGTACCGATACGAAGACCGCCAGGGGTGAGAGCGCTCTTGTCGCCGGGCACGCTGTTCTTGTTGCAGGCAATGTTAATCTGCTCAAGAACAGCCTCGACACGGGCGCCATCGAGGCTGAGTGGGCGGAGGTCGAGCAGCACCATGTGCGAGTCAGTGCCGTCCGACACGAGCTTGTGGCCGAGCTCCTTGAACTTCTTCTCCAGAGCCTTGGCGTTGGCGACCACCTTCTGTTGGTACTCCTTAAACTCAGGACTGGCAGCCTGCTTGAGCGCGACCGCAAGGGCGGTGATGGTATGGTTGTGGGGACCGCCCTGGTGTCCGGGGAAGACGGAAAAGTTGATCTTGTCCTCCAGATCGTAGAGGGTCTCCTTGCCAGTCTTGGCGTCAACAGAGCGGACGCCCTTGCGGAAAAAGATCATGGCGCCACGGGGGCCACGGAGCGACTTATGGGTGGTGGTGGTGACAACATCGGCATAGTGGAAGGGCGAGGGGATGACCTCAGCAGCAACAAGGCCAGAGATGTGAGCAATGTCAACCACCAGGTAGGCACCAACCGAGTCGGCAATTTTCCGCATCCGCTCGTAATCAATGAGGCGGCAGTAGGCCGAGGTACCAGCAACGAGGATCTTAGGGCGGAATAGCTGGGCATTCCTCTCTAGCTCGTCGTAGTCAATGATGCCGGTGTCGAGATTGACACGGTACGGCATGGTCTCGAAGTACGTCGAGACGGCCGAGATCCTTCAGAGCGTGTTAGCGATTGCGGGCCTCTAATGATCCATCAAAGCTACTTACTTCCGCTGCGGCGTCTGGTAGCCGTGGCTGAGATGGCCACCGTGGGGGAGATCCAAGCCCATCAGCCTGCCATGGGGGGGCATGATGGCCTGGTAGACCTGGAGATTGGCAGGGCTGCCGCTCAAGCACTGGACGTTGACCCCCCACTTAGCACCGTCGAGGTGGAAGGCTTCGAGGGCACGCTTTTGGCAGAGAAGCTCAATTTGGTCAATGTGCTGGTTGCCGCCATAGTACCGAGCGCCAGGATAGCCCTCAGAGTACTTGTTGGACATGGGGGAGCCGAGGGCATCGAAGACAGCGCGGGACGTGACATTTTCGGAGGCAATGAGGATGATGGACTCGCGTTGCCGCTGGATCTCGTGTTTCTGGGGGATGTGTTAGTTGGGAAGCCACATATGACTTGGACAGACAGGAAGTGCTCACCATAATCTCAGCGACTTCGGGGTCAGATTCGACCAGCGACTTCTCGAGCATCTACAGGCGGTGAGTCAGAACATTTGGCAATCTTGCCATTGGTCTTGGGGGGGGTTATCGGACCTCCTTGTGAGTCTGAGGCAGCGCATACGTCGCGCCCTGCGTATTGTTGGCAGCCATTGTGATAGGTTACGCAGGTGGTGAGTGGTGGGTGGTGAGTATGACAACTGATCGGAGAGAGGGAGAATCTGATAGACGGAGGGTGGTTTTGTAGGTAGGGAAAGTCTGAGTTGCCCCGGAATGGAGGGGAATCGGAGCCAGAGAAAAATTGAGGACCCCGCAGTCACTTGTCCGCGACAATGAGGGACCAGGACCGGTTGCCAAGATTCTTGCCAATCCAGTGAATTCAAATATCGCGACGCCATGCAGTTACCCGGCTCAGATCTCAGCGATCTCGGTGCCACCGGCATGCAAGGTCACGTGCTAGCTTGCACGGCGCAGTGCCCCACAAGTTGCCAGAAGCAGCCTTAGCACAATCTAAGGTAGCCTCGCGCTGGCTTTTCAGTTTGTAACCAACTCTGGAAACGACAAGCCGTCTGACTTCCTCCTCGCCAGCTGCTGCATTGAGGAGATATCATCGGATGTGACATGCTGATTCACGGCCCGGCTGAAACTGACCTTGGCCATTGTCTAGCCATTGCGTGCAGCCGTTTTGGATGAAGTTTCTCCACCCAGCGTGCCGACCCGCCGACGACGAAAGTTTTTGGAGTTGCAAGCGACAGTACCACGCAGCAGCGTCCTCCCTTTCGCGGACGCGAATCGCGCGACGGACTTAACTCAACCTCGACGCCAACCCATCCCACTTTCCAGGGTCCCAACCTCGACGGCCCGTTCGCAAGCTCCCCGCCTACTATGGCTTCACCCGCAGTTCTCGCCCCCCAGGCCAACGGCGTCGCATCTCTGTCGCGTCCAGACTCGCCCGCCTCAATCAATTCCTCCACCAAGCGGAAGCGCGAGGCGACCGACGATAACGAACCCGATCTCAATCGCAACGAACAGCTCAAGCGGCCCATTAATGGCCTGCAAACCTCGTCGGACAGCAAATCGCTTATCCGCGATTTTTTCGATGTTTTAGAAAGGTATGCGCGGCGTCCTCAATCCATTTGTCGCATCGATCTCTCAGCTGCACCCGCCGGGGCCTGGGCCCGTTCATCCATCCCTATTCCGATACTAACTGCGTCCGCCGTAGCTACGACACCAATAACCCTTCAGTCCTCAAGCGCCCCCTCCCCGATTCTCTTCCCGATGGCGAGCCTAGCTTGAAGCGAACAAAGTCGGAAGAAAGCAGCAAGCCGGTGACCATCGCCGACAAGGTGTTGCAAGGGGATTATGTCGTCCTAGATGATCTGGTTTCCGACGTGGTCCGCGCCGCAGATTCTCAGATCAAAGAATTCCAAACTGCAGGCACTTCGGGCGATGGCAGCCTCATCTCGAGAACGGCCACCTTCAAGCGCAACGCACTGGAGCTCTATAGAAGAGAGCTGGCATACCCAAACGTGGCACGGTCGACTTCCGGAAACCCCGCTGCTAGTCAAGGGCAATCTTCCAGTGCAGGTGGTCTGGCTTTATCAACAGTCGGTACTGCCCCAACACTGAGACCTCTGTACACCAGCCTGCAGCGGGATGCACCCCCGAAATCTCTTACCCAGGCTACCCTGCCGAAGGGTGTCACCATCGCGAAGATTCCGCCGGACGCTCCCGTGTCGGGTGAGAAGGCCGGCCGCTCCCTGACGCTAGGAGAGCTCTTTCCGTCCCCTCGAAATCTACCTCCTCTGCAGCCGCCCAAGGCGCCCAAAACCACCACCAAAAGTAACGTCTTGAGTTTTTACCACCCTGAACTGGCTGAGAAGTCGAAATATCGCTCTGGGAGTTACTTCTCTCAAGTCATCTCCGCCGGTCAATGGCTGGACTATAGCAATGCCACCCCAACGAACCACGCCAAAACCAAACAACGCGAGCGGGCTCAGAGTTTGGCAGGCCTCAAGCCGTCCACGACTGAACTTGAGATGTCAGAGATGGAGGCTCTGTTCCGGGGTGCATTTTCCACCTTTGCCCCTTGCAAGGACGACTCGGCGGCCATTGTCCCGTCGGGCCAAGTGAGCCGCATATGGTGGCAGCGTGTCGGACGACGAAACTTCGCCAAAATGGCGCAAGCGGAGGAGCCCGAGTATGAGCAGGAAGACGGCATAGCCGCTGATTCGGCGGTGGCCATGGAAATTGATGAAGAGCGTGTGAAGGATGCGATCGAGAACTGGGATGAAACTGCCGTTGACCCTAGCCTGGATCATGCGCTAGGCAAGAAATCCGACCACGAAAAGGAAGTGGACGATTTACTTGAAGAGGTCTCCGATCTGATCGAGACGCTTGCCTCCTACCAGCGCAACCGCAATCTTACTCTGCCAACGAGCCAAGACCGTTATTCCGCCGACCCGGTCAACGGAGACATGCTACGCAACGGCAACCTCTCTCATCAGCCGAGCGAGGAAGAATTGATGACATACGAAGCACTGAAGGCTCAGCTGGCGCTAATCATTCAGACCTTGCCTCCCTACGCCGTGGCGCGACTGAACTCGGACAAGCTTGCGGAGCTAGCCGTGAGCACCAAGATTGAGATTCGGTCTGACGAATACCGGGGAGTCATGGAAGAGGATGAGCCGGCACGGCTTACACGGTTGGCCGCACAGGCCGCGGCAACGTCGAATCAACGTCAAGCGCACAGGACGCCTAGCGTTTCTAGTACATACGCCAATCACCAGTATGCAGGGCAGTTCACACCATCGGCGCGTCCCGTCGGAAATGCTGCGCATTTCCCCCAGACGCCCGTCCGTCCGCAAGCAAATATGTACCGGGCGCCATCTAGCGTACCTATTCCTCAGGCACACCACGTCCAGCCCCGAACGATGCCTCAGACTCAGTTCAGGCCAGGGTATGCACCACAGCTAGCCAAAGCTCATGGCCCATACGGCCATTCCAACATCCACCAGCAATATATTGCTAGTCCTTCACAGCCAAGAAATTCTCTCGGGCAGGCTGGCACTCCCATTCCACGCTTGCCACAGGGCTATCCTGCTGGCTACCAGCAGCATCAGCAGATTGTTCCACAGCACGGGCAGCCCTCTCCTGTCCCGCAGCATGCCGCGCACCCGCCTGTAGTGCAACACCAGCCTCAACACGGTCAGCAGCCGCCTTACTCGCCGTACACCAATGGCGGTCAGATGCCGCGGACCATATCGCCGCAAGTCCAGCAAGCACACGTGTATAGTCAGTCGCCCGCACCACCTCAACAGGCGCAGCAAATGTCGCGTCCACCTTATGGGAGTCCGGGTCCTGGGATGCCACATAATCAAGTTCCGCGTCAGTACGGCGGCGCTGGCTCACCAGGTCCAGGCATGATGGCGGGACCAGGACAGAGACCACCATCGACCCTCACCGGATTCGCGACGGTCATGCCCGAGGTTCAGCAACGGCAGGTTATGGAGCAAGCACGTGCTCGGGCTGACGCTGAGCAGCGCGCGAGCGGACATATTGGCAAGGTAGCGCAGGGCGAGGTTGTCGGGCTGGCGGGCATCGGACTAGCAGGCCATATGGACGTGCACAAAGTGGCTGCCGCAAAGATGCAGCAGATGGGCAACCATAACAACCACGCTCCCTCGGCGGGTCCCAATAAGGGTCCGATGAACGGCGCCGTTCCACAACCACCACCCGGCGGGGTGAACAGTCCTAGGCCAATGCAGGCTGCGCCGGCGTCGGGGACCGCGAGTCCTGCTCCGTCCGTGCAGGGATTGAATAAACCTAGCGCATGAGGATTGTGTTTGAGGCTGTATCAAGTCGCGGGTGTGCAAACCTAGGACCGCGGCTGTGTATCTGAAGAAAGATATGGAAAACCTGGGTTAAGGCCTTAAGAGGCAGGCACCGCTTTTCGTTGTACTAAGAAGAGACAATTCCTGCCCACCCATCTCAGATACGTCTCTTTAGATGAAAAGGAAAAGGAGGGAGTGAGGCGTTGCCAGACGAAGAGAGACTGAGCCACCGGGAGAGGGCGGGGGACGCTCCGAATGATCTAATGGGAGTGATCGGTACTAGGGGTGGAACGGACGGGATGGGGAGCCCAACCAGATGGAGTTACAGCTGCCTTTGTTTGACCTTTTGAATTGAGGTCTAATTGATCGGTCGAAGCTGGAGTCCCTCGAGTCAAGAGCTGCAGACAGAGAGGCCAGCCTGTCCCTAAGTCAGTTATGTATGTGTGCTTCGCGCGGGGTTAGGTGGGCGGGCGAATTGGGATAGGGGGCTACTATGGAGTTTAGACAGTGTCTGGTATGTACTAAGTGTATTCCCCGCGTGTCTCGGTTTCTTGACTTCGTCCTGCTTTGCCGTGTAGGTACTTACCGCCGACTTGTTGAGTGAGGTGATGAAGTTCGACTTGGGCCATTCTTCCAAGCCCTGTCTGTTCACCTATCCAACTTGTGCCTACCTACCCGCGTACATGTGCGCTCACTCCTATCGCTTAGGCGTGGAAGGTAACCGGTTGGTTCGGACACTGAAGTACGGTAGGCTTAGGAAGTTGGATACTCGATAGATGACCGCAAGACTCAGGCGCCTGCTACCTGAGTCTCCATCCCTGCCAACCGACTGGCTGGCAGGCTTGGTTCCTCATTGTCATACTTAGAGAGTGGTCACTAAAGATCAGAACAGCTGGCTTCTAAGCACGTCTGAGAGCTAGACTAGTAGGGCATATATCGCCCTTTTATCAGAGCCTCCGTTCTGGGTTTCCAACCCCAAGATAAAGGTTGGTTCGGTGTCAATATTGTGAGTTGGGTATCATTTCGATCCGCTATCCAGCGCATCACAGTCCGTACTGTACAACACTTATCGTTTCGCAACGACGTCGGGCCTGTCTCCTGACTTCCGCATATCTGCCCTCAAGGCGCGCAACTCAACAAGCAGGTCGTCTTGGAATGCGTCATACCTCTCCATGTATAACCTCCTTAACTCAAACACCACCTCGATGGCAATGAGGACGATGATGATCCACTCGAGCCGCGTGCTGTGTTGCTCACTCGACATCTTCTCGCTGATGTCGAGCACGCCCTGCGCCACGTTGACCACTTCCTGCGCGTACGTCATCTTGTCGTTGAGTGTCTTGATGCGGACGCCGACGTCGAGCGCTTTGCCGATCTTGGAGTAGTACGTTTCCAGCTTCTCCTCGCTGTCCCAGAATATGTCGGGGAGCGCGTCCGTCAGGTCGTTGTAGTGGTTCAGCTGGCTGCGCAGGTTCAGCAGCTCGCCCGCCTTCTGTAGGATCAGTTCCCGCGATAGCGGCGCCCGCAGGCCCTGCGACAGCCGGTCTGGTATGTGCCGCGTGCTCTCGAGATAGCGCGTTAGCGAGCTCTCGAGTACCGCCAGCTTGGTGCTGCGGGCGAGACCGGAGGAGAATGCGATCTTAGCGAGGGTTGTGTCGAGCCGGTCGCCGGCGTCCACCTCGCGACGAGTTCCAAGCACAACCACGGCTCCGCTTACCCGGCTTTCCTCCTGTTCCGGGTCGACCAAGAACTCGAGGTCCTCTACCTCCTTCTCTTCAACGAAGGGGATCTCGGCGGCGGGGAGCAGATGCTTGGTGGCCAGGGTGTTGACCACATCGGAGGGTAGCGCCCAGGTCACGACGGTGCCCGAGGGAAATACGAATATATCGGCATTGTTAAGCCCCCGGGCATGGACCACCTCATGCGCCTCGAAGCCAGTGCCGTCCGGGTCGAGCGAGAAGCCGTGGCTGCGGAGGATGCCCTCCACCTTGTCCATGTCGAAGGATTCGGCAATGCACACGGCACTGATCGTAGAGCTGCCATCCGGGCCGGCGGGAGTCTCTGGGGCAGGCGGGGATTGTTTGCCGGGCACGCCTTTCTGGGCCACAATGGCCACGCGGTGGAGGGAGTTCTTCAGCGTCGGCTTGCGCTTCTTCTGTGCCGACGATAATTGCTTCGCCGTGCTGCTCGACTTGTCGCCTTCAGCTCTCTTCTCCGCCGTAGGCGTGCGAGATGGCTCGCCGCCATCTTGCTGCATCAGGACATTGGAGGTGAAAAAGTTGCGCCGGCGAGGGAGACAGGCGGTCGGCGTGGGGTGGACGCATCGCTGGCGGGGGATGCGCGACGATGCCGGGCTGCGGACGGATGCGCTGACCGTGCGCGCGGCGGGCCCGATATTCGGCAGAAGCGGTCTCATGGCGGCGCCATTGAAGGGTGATTGACTTCAAAAGTCAATCACTAGATCGAGCCTCCTGTGGTGGAGAGGCAATGCGCCTGTTCTCATGTGTTGAGGTTGAGTCTTACGATCGTCGGTTTGCCTCCGCCGCAAGTAGTTGTGAAAAAAGTGCGTTGTGTCGTCAGAGCCTTCGTGTATTACGTCGGCCTTGTATGACATTACGCACCAGATTCCGTTATTGCCCCGTACCGGATCGTGTCATTACCGTTTGCGGCTGTAAGTTACTATGCTGCTCATCTGGAGCTTCCAAGTCTTTACCCAACTGCCTTGCCTGGAGCTCCACTTCGACGACCTGGAACTGGGAACAACGTCGGGTATGATACACTTTGGCGGGCCACACTCTCTCGCGACATGCAAATCTCCTGACTGGTGAGATGAACAATGGAGTACTACGATATCCGCGTCGAGGACTATCTAGACGACAAGCTGCAGTCTACAACGGACTTTGAGCACCTAGACACGTTGCTAAGTAGCGTCGAGCACCAGCGCAGCCAGCTGCAATCCCAGCTCGACGATGCCACGCGCGAGCTCGATGAGGCGCGGAGGTCCGCCGAAGGCCACAATGCCTCCCTCCTGGCCCAGATCGACGAGTTTCAGACGCTCCAGAAAAGCATCGACGTCCGCCTGCAAATCATCGCCGAGTCCGATGCGCCCGACGAAGCCATCCGCCGCCTCGAGCCCCCCATGAAGCAGCTCCACAAGGTCGACCTCGCCTACCGCTACCTGCTGTTGTTGCAAGACGTCGAGGGTCTGCGCCAGGCTGCCCGCTCCTATCTGCCACAGGATCCAAAGGCCGCGCTGGAGCCCTACACAAAGTTGAAGCAGCTGTCCCTGCGGCTGAAGGAGCTTCAACAGCAGGCGGACGGCGCTGCGGTACACCTTGTCGCGCACGTCGAATCGGTGGCAGAGAGGCTGTGGGATGAGATGAAAAAGACCATGTGGGACGAGCTAGAGGCGGTACTGGCGAAGCGCGGGTGGCCAAGCGTCGACCCGGGCTCCGAGGCGGACGAGGAGTGGCTCCAGTGCTTTGAGAAGCTCCTCGACTTGCAAGCGCCGGAGGTCTTGTACTCGCCCAGCCTCGTCAGTCTTCTTCCCATGGATGTCATGGCGCAAATATTTGTCAAGGAATTCCGCTTCCACTTTATGGGCGACAAGCCAACGAGCAGTCCGCAGGCCATTGGCGCATACTGTTTCCCCTGGTTTCTGAGTCTGATCGAGAAGTGGGAGTCCTTCTTGAGGGACAACTTTGGACCGATCCTCGCGTCCAGGTTCGGCGATACTGCCGTCTCTGACAAGATGGTGTATATGGACCCTATTTGTGCGTTCATGACGTCGATGCTACCCGTCGTGAGGGAGAAGATCGCTGCCACAATTACGGAGACAACCGGGGACACGGTCTTCCTTAGCAGCTTACTGGCCCAACTAATGACGTTTGACGAAAGGCTAAGATCCGGATTCGCCTATGATGGGGGCAATGCCGAAGAAGGCTGGGATGGTCTGACATCGGAAGTCCTCAGTAAGCACTTCCGAATGTGGTTGGAGGCAGAAAAGAAGTTTGCTCTGGAGCGGTACCAGGCCATCATGGCGGCGCCAGACGCAAGACACATCGACTACGAGTTTGCCGCATCGGGAAAGACCAAGCCCACGTTTGCTGCGGTCCGAGTCGTAGACCTGCTACGGTCCGTCACGACGCAGTATGCACGGGTGAGGCGATTCTCGCATAAGCTCCGCTTCCTCATAGACATCCAGCTTAACATACTGGATGAATACCACGATTATCTTAGGGGAACGCTAGAGGCGTATCTGAGTATTACCTCGACTGTTGGCAGAGCCTTCGGTGTGACAAAAGAGCAGCTGGCTGCTTTGGAAGGCACCGGGGCGCTTGAAACGCTCTGCAAGGTATATGGGAGCGCCGATCATATTGTCAACACTCTGAAAGATTGGAGCAACGAAGAGGTGAGGAGCATCGCTCTCCAAGGCTATTTGTCTGCTGACCCTTGCCAGTTCTTCGTCGCGCTGTGGGAGCAGCTCCAAGCAAGAGCCAAGATCACCGAGGATCAAAGCAATCTTGTCGGCGGCATGAGTTACGAGCACGTTAGGGACAGAACTTCGTCAACTGTCGGTACCGCTGACGACAGTGGCGTCCTCTTCGATGAGACCATTGCCGCGTACGGCCAGAGGCGGAAGCGGGCCGAAGAGTTTCTGTCGGAGGCACTCATCGAGTCCCAGCGGAAGACTTTCAAGGCATATCTCCACCGACCACAGTGGAGCACCATTGCCGATGATACTGCCCCAGGCGATCTAGCCGTGACTGCTGAGTTGGATGAGCCGCTGAGGGTGAGTCAGAGATCCCCTGGTCCTCTAGTCCGTAGCCAGCTGACCCTGAGATCAAAGATTCTGAAACGAGATCTGGACTTCCTCTTTCGCGTTCTCGGAACAGCCGTCTTCCGCCGCGTCTGGCGTGAGGCACTAGAAAAGCTGAACAATACGCTGTGGAGCGACGTGTTGATGGGCCAGAAGTTCACTGCGTCCGGGGCAGCCCAGTTCATGCGCGACGTGCAAGCGATCTCGGTGCTCGTCGAGCGCTTCATCCCCGACGGTTCCAGCTCGCTCGGCAGCCTCAGCGATGCCCTCCGGCTACTGAACTTGCCCACGGAGGCTCCGGAGGGCGCCATGTCTCTCAAGCGGGCCACAGACATGGTATTCACCGACAACAACGAGGCGAAGAAGGTTCTGGATGAACTGGAAATCGACTCGTTGACGCCTGCTAATGCGAGGCACATCCTGCAACGCAGGGTGGAAAACGCCGAATGAAGCGCTATGTAGTCCAAATCTAAGGCCCAGATGAGCTTCCGGTGATGAATCCTTCAACTCCCCTACCGGGATTCGCCCCGTCTTTTTCTACTATCTCCGCAGCGTCCGTTGAGGTGACTGTCTTGCGGAACCCGTTGCAGACCCGTCTTCATGTCTATGTGATCCGAGGCTTGCCTAACACGTCCGGCCGGCATCATGGTTCGAGTATCGCCATCCATTGGCTCTTCCTCCCCTCAGTTGATCGCCCGCATGGTCATCTCCACCACGGCAAACGTCCCCGCGCTCACGGGCATCGCCCTCAGCAACGTCGGCCCGATCCCCTTCCAGAACCCTCTCATTCCCTCCGCCTGCCACGTCTGCCTGAAGCAGTCCCGCATCGTCTTATACCTCTGCTGCTCCCCAAACCCGTCCGTCTGCATCTTGCTCTTGACCACATCGAACGGATAGCTGCCCAACCACAGCGCCTCTCCGGCCAGCCCGCCGTAAAACGCCACCTTGTAACTCGGAACGTCCTTCCGCTCGATCTTATTCCTCGTCGCATCGGCATTCATGAGCCACTCAAAAGCGAGGAACCACACCCCGTACGCCTGTGCCTCCCGGAGCAGCGTGATCGCCGTGCCCCGGTACACCCCGCCCCCAACCCCTCCCTGTGCGGACAGCTTGCGCACGCAGTCCCACGGCCCGTTATATAACCTGGCCGCGCCGTGCGGCTGGGTCTGCAGCCGGATGCGCACGTGCTCGATCGGGCACGACAGCACTGTGTTGGCGATGCCCGCGAAGGCGCCCGCGGCGTAGTACTCGCCGTATCCTAGCCCCTTTCCCCGTTCCTTGCGTTGCTCCAACCATCGGCGGGCCGAGTGGAACGCGCCGAACTGGATGGACACGCACGCGCCGATGCCCAGTAGCGGGGTGAGCGTGCCCTTGTAGAAGGCTAGGGGCCCTTCGTGCCGCCAGATCGAGGTCGCTGCGGAGAAGGCGGAGGGGTAGGTGGTAGAGGTTTGGAGGCGGACTTTTACGATGTCGAAGGGTTGGCCTTGTAGGGGGTGAATTCGGAATTTAGTTACAGTGAAATTCCAAGCACCAGTTTGCGTGACAACTCCAGAGGGAAAGTGGAGGTGGTGAATTGTCCGGACATACCGATGAGGACCTGTGCGATACCCCCCGCTGCGCCGGAAAACAGATCCTTTGCTGTCTGCGCTGCCGAGGAAGACCCGGAGCCCTCCCAGGCTTCGACGTCGGCTGCTGAGTCGGCCATCGTCTGCTGTCTTCGTGTCTGTCGGCGACGGCGTGCACCCCCAGACAAACAACCCCTCAACGCCCGATTACCGTCCTTGCACAAGCTCCGAGCCAGTAGTAGTAGGTATGTCACCAACCAGGCAGCGGTCTGTGAGTGGTGAGAGCAAATTGATCGTCTCAATAAGTCAAACCCGCCTTATTGCTGTGACTGACCGTCCCCAGAGAGTCAAAACCTGGGCGGGACGGAAATCGGTGCCGGTGTCGGCTCGCCTATCCCCGGCTTTGTCATTCAATGCCTGTTTGACCGGCGACATGCGGGGCCGCTGCACGAGCCCCACCAGTCTCCGGAACTTAATAAAGTCGCATCAAGGGGATAGTTACATGACATGCTTAGGACCATTCTTTGTTGCATATCTCATTATCCAGCATATAAGCCCAACCAGCATAACGTCACCTACATAGATCCGGGCCGTGCATGGATCCGGGCCAGGCAATTCGGCTAATTTAGGGGCACCATAACACCATGCCCACCATCACCAACATGATCACAACTGGGTCAAAAAATTGAAGCTATTCACAAGCCGACGACAGTGCCATGGCCAGAAAACAATGGGGGTCTGGAAAACACATGCAAATCCACCTACTTGAACACATCTGGGCCCATTTTGTAGTCCTTCCAAACACCCTTCGCAAAGCCCACTACCCCTCTTAATGCTATACGACGTTCCTTTTCCCTGGCTTCCACGGCTTCCTTAGCCTACCTTTCACTTATGCGAGCCCGGATGTCTTCCACAGTCAGTACCCGGGCCTCACCAAAGTGCTTCCTCGAGGACCTTTTCCGGCTCTCGAACCTCTTTTTCACTACTTCCTGGGTCAGGGCCCTGAGTGTGGTATTGTCAGCTTGCATAGTTAGGAAGTAGTCTTTTATCCAGGACAGCCTGGCTCTCTTGGGGGTATCACAAATCTGGAACAGTTCCTCCACAACCTGGTTGATCTTTGTAGCCATGTCGCCAGTCACCGGGAGCTCGGCTCGACGGCCCTGTTGATCAGTAATACTGACCATCGCTGGGGTCTTCGGCCGGTCAGAGGTCCTGGGTCTGGGTGCCGTTACGGGTGCCGTTATGGGTGCCGTTGCGGGTGCTGTTGTGGGTGCCGTTGCGGGTGCTGTTGTGGGTGCCGTTGCGGGTGCTGTTGTGGGTGCCGTTGCGGGTGCTGTTGTGGGTGCCGTTGCGGGTGCTGTTGTGGGTGCCGTTGCGGGTGCCGTTGCGGGTGCCGATGTAGGTGCCGGTACCAGTGCCAGTGCCGTTATAGGTGCCTCGGCTGGCCTATGCCGGGCTAGGACCTTCTCTGGGTTGTAAGGTAGTAACCCAGCTCCTCTCCATGCCCCCGGAATGTTCCAGAAAATGCAAGCCCGGGCCTTCTCATAATACCGGAGGAACTGGTGGTTATCTACCTTGACAGTTCCGAACAATGCCCCCTCAGTAACTAACTTGCGGTAAGCCTTAGCCAACGGCCCGAAGACCCCGACATCAAGAGGTTGCAATTCATGTGTCGAGTATGGCGGTAAGCAAAGTGGTATGATGTTGTGCTCCTCGCAGTATTCCACGAACTGGGGTGAAACATGGCTTACATGGCCGTCAAGAATGAGGAGCCGGTATTTACCATGTGTTCGGGGTGCCGTATACTTGTCGAAGTGTCGGATCCATTCTAGAGCAATGTTGCAATCGGTCCAGCCGTTCTCACTAACCCGGATAACAAACTGGGGGTCGAGGTCCTTGGGAATCCACGCTTGTTGAATGCGTTTGCCCTGGAAGATGACGAAGGGTGGAAGGACGTAATTGTTGGCCGAGATGCATTCGATAATAGAGACCCATTCGCGGTTACCGGGTTGAACGACGGTCGGCTTTAATGAATCCCTCGGAACAATGACTTTGTGGTTGTCCCCAATGCCTTTTATGCACCCCTTTTCATCCATGTTGTAGGTGTCGTCGTCAGCGATGTTATAAGCCAACTTGATAGTTTGATATAGCTCGAACCAATGTTGTAATGTGTTGTGATCGACAGCGTCTTTCCTAGCTTGGTCCAATGCCCGGGACCTTCGAGGTTTCAATTCCGGGTGCCGGTTCAGGAAGTTGTAGATCCACCGTTCACCCAAAGGCTGGATGTCTCCCTTAGCCAGCAACAACTGGGCTGCAAGATGTTCTAGTGCCGAGATTGACATTGGCCAGCCCCAGGCATCTAACTTGTAAATGGAATTAACAATGGATTGTTCCTCCTGTGGTGTCAACCGCTGCAAGTGCTGGGCTGCGGCCCGGTGGTTCTGCCGTCGACCGGCATACCGTTCCTGGAGGGTGGTTCGTGGTATGTCAAAGATGTGGGCCGCGTTTCGAACGCTGGGGACCTCCCCGGCTCGCAGGGCTTCAATAGCAGACTGGATGCGTTCTTCCTGGTTGTGGGTACGCTTGCGTGGTGGCTTCTTGAGTGTGGGCTTGGGAGGTTTAGGTTTGGATTGAATGGGGGCCATGGTTGATGCGGTTGGCTGACTGCGGTGACTGCGTTCATGATACGGTTAGTTGACTGCATATGATGCGGTCGGTTGAGTACGTACCATGCAGTCGGTTGACTGCGTCGATTGCAGTGGTGATGTGGTAGTTGACTGCGTGGTGATGCCGTAGGTTGACTGGTATGTGGAAAAGGTTAGCTATTGTCAGAGGAGTTCAAAAAACAGGTCAAACCATGGATTCGTTGGAAAATGCGGTCAAACAGCCTGTTTGATCAAGTTGTTCGTGATGTTCATTGTGGCTGACAGTCGAAATGAATGCAGGCTAGGACCCTGGCCCGGATCCATGCAGGTGACGTTACCTAGGTAGTATTTATTGTACGAGTCGGCTCAGCGAGAGGGACGCTTCGTTTCAGAGGCAGAGACCATAAAACAATTTCTACTTGATGATGAATCCTATGCCTTAGCCGTGCCATGTCTAAAGCGCGCGCTACACTCTCGTAATGTAGTTTCTCTTCTCTCCCTGCGCCTGCACCTGCACCTGCGCCTCAATCTCGATCGCCTCCTTCAGCTTCCCCACGACCTCGGGCTGCCCACCAAAGGCGCGTTCGAGCATCTCATCTAGCTCCCTCTCAATTTTGCCAAGGTTCTTCCCACCCAGCTTATTAGCCCCTCCTCCTCCGACAGCGCGAGCCTCGTTCAGCACCCCAGCCCACCGCCTCGTAAACGCGTAGATACTCTGGCGCAGCAGCCCATCCAACTGCTCACTCGCATCATGCACCTCTGCCCCTCCTCCAGCAGCAGCACCCAGCCTTGTTGTTGTGGCAGGACCGCCACCACCAAGCGCGGGTGTTCCACCAGGAGCGGGTGTGCTTGACCTCGACGTCCAGTACGAGGAGCCCGGAATGTAGGTGGACAGACTTCCGAAGCTGCTCAGCAGGCCGCCGAGCGGGTACTGCTGACGGAATGTGTCCCAGATCTGCGTGAAGTGCTGCAGGTTTCCTGCGCCCAAGTAGGCGCCGGCACCCCCGGTGGAGGCCTGGCCACGCACGTCGCCTATCTCGAGCGTCATGAGCTCGTTTTTGAGAATGAGGAGATTCTTGATCATGAATAGGTCGGGATCTGTGCCATTCTTGGTGGATTTAATCCGGCCTTCGGCGCGCTGGAGCGAGGCGATGGACTCTTTGATGATCTTGAAGATGACGGTGCTGCTGCGTTGCTGAAATTTATCCTGTTAGCACCTGACTTGTCCCTTAGAGTGTATGGACTCTTGACTTACACATCGTTCCTTCGGCATCGATTGGTCAAACATGATAAGAAGCTCGAGGGCCCGTTTGACAGGAGGGAAGGCGTTTGAGGAGATGTCACCGTTGGTTACTGGCTCAATCTTGAGCGCATCAGGACTGACGGTAGCTTTCAATATCGACTTCGCAACCTCGGCCTCGAAAGCGGCGTCGGTAAAGGCCCAGAGATGTTCAGCGAGCAGTCTCGCTGCCAATTCTCGGCAGCGGCTCACGAACGGCGTTTCGTCATCGTCGTATTCGGGGAGCAGGTACTCGTTGGTGATCCACCCAACTAAGTTGCAGATTGTCTGCAGCTCGCTGGACTGAAGGACGGACTGTAGACTTGCGCCGATAGGGGCCACATTCGACCCTGTGAGCACCGAGCGTTGAGACTTGAGAGCCACAAACGCGGACTTCGGGTTCGTTGAGAATTGGGTATCCACGGAAAATATCCGTGTGAAGAGGGACGCCTCGTTATAGGAGCGTTCGAAACATTGCTTGACAAAGTTCCTCGCCGCTGTTTCTACGGACTGCTTGGCCTCCGTCCTGAAGGCATCGAGATCGTGCTGAATGATGGGTTTGATATCCCGCTCTCGGGCAGCCCAGTAAGCGTGGAACAGGTTGGTCGCAGTATTCGCGTAGATGTCAGAATTAGGGATTGATGATGGCTGGCCATCGTGGTCATAGGCACTCCGCACCACGATCTGTACGTTTGGAATCAAGGAGTACGATTCCAGAACCATCTCCTCAAAACGACCGTAGGCGAGGGCGTGGCGGGCCGACTCGGATTGCGTTGCAGCGATCTGCCTCGAGATCTCGGCGGACACTTTGTTCAGGTGGTTAACGAAGCCCACCTCAAGCAGGTGCAATGCTTTGGTGAGTAATGCTTGATACCGCGCAAGGTATGACTCGGCATCCCGGTATGAAGACTATGCCGTGTCAGCCGCATACTGTCAACCGTTGTGGTAGCAAAAAGACTGACATTATTCTTCATGAATTCAATGCAAGAGTCCAAGGTCGACAGAATCTCAGCAAAACTAACTCCTTCGACAAGCCGACCGGCGCCAGGGGCATTGAGTCGGCGTGTTGCGGAGTCGAGGTAGGTGTAATATTGGAGGTCTCTCCCCACGGAGTCTGCGAGTATCTGCAGGCGCTTTTGCTCGGTCAAGAGGCCCTCACATTGTGCCTGGAAGGACGTCGTTTGCTCATCGACTTCCCGGAAGGAATGGGTCAACGACTCGAGAACCTTGAGAGCGGTGTTCGCGTCCGCGATGAGATTGCCGAGGTGCCTCTCCGTCATCTCCAGTTCATCGTAGTACAGCCTTGCAGCTCGTCAGCATGCCAGACAAGTTTGTTGGACTGGACTGAATCTCTCGATTCCCACGCACAGGTGCTCCTGCTGGCTTGCCTGGAGCAACTCCCTCTCCAGCCCATTATCAAGGACCTCCTTTTCTGCCGGCAATCTTGCCGTCACAGAATCTGGGAGAGCCAACGCCTCCCAACCGCGACCGCTTCGCCGCCTCTGACGCTTCTTTCTCGGGGCATGGCTGGGCAGCTGTGACTTTACGATATCATAGAAATCAGAGTAGGACTTCGCCCTCTGTGATAAGGTGGGCTGTGGCGGCGAGTTGGCATCTTCCTGATCTTCAAAGAGTGCAGGGAGAGGTTCGGCAGCATTAAGGCTGTCTGCGGTACCCTGTTGGCACGCGAAGCATATCAGCACCGTTCCGACCAGCGCAGCGACCTAACCCACAAATTGGGTGGAGCGACGCACATTCGGTTGCTGCAGGAGGGATTCTTTCCGTCGATGTCTAATGGGCTGGCTTCCTGAGACGGGCGGCAGCTGTTGGAAATCCGGTACAAAGCTGTACCAGGACTCTTCGTACATTTTAGGAGCTTCCCAGAGGTTTGAACAGTTGAGCGATAGATGGGAATATGAGCTCCGCTCAACCTGCCCTTGCACGGCACGCAGCACGACATCCCTGTCAAGTGGAGGGACACTGTGCGCACAGACCAGCTCTAGAAATGCAGACGTACTGCTAAGCCGTACACCAAACTTGGGTTCAGCGATGCAATACAAACGAGGAGGAAAAGATAAAAGATGGGCAAAAAGAGAGATACAACCATGAAGAGAGAGTGAAGCTAAGAACAAGGACATTGAGAGCAAAGGTAGTAAAAAGAGAATAGTGAATAAGAATTATGATACTATGTTTGAACTTAGCAGCAGCATCTATCCGTGGCGGCAATGCTACGTACGGCTTATTTTGGCCACACGGAACTAGACCTGCCTCGCTGTCTGGAAGGGCCGGGATTGATGCAAATGTGTGAGAAAGCTCATGCTTGCTCCTCATCCACCCAGGTGACCTCACTATTCGAGTTGCCCTCAGTGCAAAAGAGGCACATTGATGGCAATTTCCAGGTTGAGCTAGAACGAACAATGGCAAGGAATTGACGAAGCATCAAGCAGGTGCCCAACATGACTTCAACTGTCTTCTACCGTGCTGCGCTTCGGCGCCCCTCTTCCATCCGCGTTGCAAACGCAGCACCCCGGCAATGGACTCGCTACTCGAGCTCGTCCAGCAACCCTCGGGGCTTTAGCGCCCGCACCATTGCCGTGATGGCCGTTGTGGCCGCGTCCGGGGCCGGGGCTGCCTGGGCCTATCCGCGGTTCTTCGCGCAGCCACAGCCGGCTCTTCCAGAGAAACCTGAGATCGTGTTCGAGAAGCCACGGAAAAAGTCTGCCTCCAAGGAGGAGTTGAGCTCACAAGATGCGCAGGTCAAGAAGAGCTGGGAGCACCCCGGCGTGTACGCCTGGGGTTCAAATGCCGGGAAGGTGGTTGCCCCCGACTCGAATGAAACCGTCATCAAGACGCCTAGACGGATCCCGTATTTTGACGGCCAGATTCTGCGTGATCTTAAGCTTGACCGCGATTTTGGTGCTGCCGTCACTGAAAACGGCGACCTCGTGCAATGGGGTGCCGCCTTCTCTCAGGACGCCGCTGCGCCCACTGTCACCCTGAAGGGGAAAGACATTGCGAAGATCGCAGTATCACGGGACCGCATCATTGCCCTCTCATCTGGCGGATCCGTCTACTCTATCCCCGTCGCCAAGTCCGACCAGGCGTCCGGCGAGAAGCTGGCCAGCAAGTCGTGGCTCCCGTTTTGGTCTTCCGAGACCCCTCCTATCAGCTACCGGTCTATCAAGCCCGAGAATTTACGCTGGGGTGAAAAGGTTGTGGACGTCAAGAGCGGGCTTGAGCACTGCCTTCTGCTGACCTCTAAGGGCCGCGTCTTCTCTGCAGCATCCAGCTGTGAAGACTTCCCTTCCAAAGGACAGCTTGGTATCCCTGGCCTGACTTGGCAGACGCGGCCGCCAGGCCCTTATGACCAGCCGCACGAGGTAACAGGCTTGCGTGGCTCGAAGATTAAGGCCATCGCAACGGGCGATTTCCATTCGCTCGCTCTCGACAGCCAGGGACGCGTATTCACCTTCGGAGACAACTCCAGCGGCCAGCTAGGCTTCGAATCGGAGATTGGAGCCACCAACGTCGATACGCCTGCGCTCCTTCCCATCAGCAAACTCTACAAGGGGACGAATCTGGTGCCAAAGGTCACCTCCATCGCCGCCGGTGGGTTGAACAGCTTTTTCACTATTGATGCCACCAAGTCCCAGAGTCAGAATCCGGACGAGGTGGGCCGGACCGTCGCCGACACCTGGGCATGTGGTGGCGGAATCCACGGTGAGCTAGGCACCGGGAAGTGGACGCACGTCTCGGCCACGCCGAGCAAAATCAGGGCGCTCTCCAGCCTCTTCGAGTACGACGACAAGGCAGGCCGCATCATCCCGATCCGGCTGGCGCGTCTCGCGGTCGGCAGCACACACGCGTGTGCGATCCTCGACAACCTGACGCACCTCACCGCCTCGGGCAGCACGCCGGACACCGACACCAACTTTGGTGCCGATGTCCTCTGGTGGGGCGGCAACGAGTTCTACCAGCTCGGAACCGGCAAGCGGAGCAATGTCAGCATGCCCGTCTACATCGCGCCGCTTGATGGCGGGGACGCAGATGCACAGCGATTCCAGATCACGCCGAGGACCACGGTGCGTTTGGGCGAGGGTGGCAAAGGCAGGAAGGCTAGTGTGGAGCAGAGGGTTGAGTGTGGGCGCTACGTGACAGCGGTATACTCGGGGGCTTGAACGCCATCGGCGCACTACATCTCTCGGACGGGAAGCGAACCGACCGGTGGCGGCGCAGGGTTGTTTGGATATCACATGCTCGGATGGTACATACGGACGTACCTTGTATTCTTTATGATTCATTTTCTCTGTATAACAGCTGGGAACGAAGCACTCATCTCCATCTGCATGGATGCTTACTTGCAAATCGAGTCTAACACTTTGCCCGGAGGTCATGACACCCATATACCCTGTTGCATGGCGCTGCATGACAGGGCCGGGAATGGGGATATTGAGTGGGGCAATCTTTCTAATTGGGAGCGGGTCACAACTCACAAGAGCCACTGCAGCGGGCCGCGCGCCTGAGGCCTGGGTCGCGTGGGGCCATGCAGCAATGGATCATCCTCAACGAGCATGGCTTCGATATCCCCGTTGTCCCATAACTACCTAGAGTATATAAAGTGGCTTCGCCGAACTGTTCTCCCACCGCTGTTTGGCGGACATGAACAGGTAGGTATGTAGATGCTCGGCTCATTAAATCCCTTTCCAGCACACATCACCAACACTAATTTTAGATTGCTGTCCGACTTATGTACAGGAAACGCAGCGTTAACAAACCCGTGCATATCTCCTGGAACGAGGTAAGCAAGCGAATAGGTACGCGCTCTCCTTTTTGATCAGCCTTGCTGGAACCGACACGCGCGAGAGATCGACATTCCGCATTCCCGTGCATCTGCACTCCACACACCCGGACGTCACACGTGCCCTTTGGCGCCTTCTCCCGCTTCGGCTGCTTTCACATTGTTTCTCTTCCATGCCGGTTACACATAGTCGCTTTGCCCCTTGTCCCGCCACAGCCGCCTACTCCTAGTCTACTTACCAGCTTGCATCTCGGGGAAGCCAAAGCCCACCGTGCTGACGCCCACTTAACGCTTCCAGGTTTCTGAAATACACTCGTTTCGCGACCGAACAGCTTCAACTCCCGGTCGCGAGGTTCTGGCCCGTAATCACCTTTCAGCATCGAGCGCACGGCGCTGGGTCACTGCCTGCAGCATGGCGCATCTTCCCCGGTTTCACCGGCGAAAAAAGAACGTAACGGCGCCAACCCTGATGACCAACGACCTCCCGGAGAAGACAACGCCCTCGCCGAGCGATCCGGCGTCCGGTTCGTCCGTTCGCTCGTTCCAGAAGCTCAGTCCCTTCAGAGTCTTCCACCGCTCCTCGGGGAAGAGGGCGCGTGATTCTCCACCGGCATCATATCCACACTCCCCGGCCGCGGCGTCGGTGTTGGCCGGTGATGATCGACCGGTCTCGCCGCTGTCGCTGAAGGCGGACCCTACTAATGATGACCATCGCAAGGTGGTAAAGCGGCAAAGGATGCCCGCGTTTCTGGATCAAACAGAAGAAGGTCTGCTTCCTCCAAAGCCCCCTTCTGCCTGCCACGACAACTAACGCAGCGGAAACCACAGAGATCGAGGATAAGTTTTCCGAACTAGTATGGCGCGAACGTAATCGCCTATTGCAGGCAATAAAGAACCCATCACCGGACTTCCAATGGGCACGGGTTACAGGTCCGCACCTCAAAGTCCTTGACCGCTACCTGAACATACAGCCCTGGCATAACAACCGGATCAAGCTGCAGGTTCCTGAAGGCCATGTAGACTACATCAATGCCTCGCCGATCGTCCTAACACCGTCTCCTTACTCCGGCGCCGACGGCCGCCCCCGAGAATCGGACCGATACATCGCCATGCAGGGGCCCAAACAGACCTCGGTGGACCATGTCTGGCGGATGGTGGTGGAACAACTCGAGAGCCCGGGTGTCATCGTGATGTTGACCGAGACACACGAAGGACCCATGGAAAAATGCTTCCCCTACTTCCCCCGAAGCCCAGATGACCCACCGATCGAAGTAAACGAGCATGATGAGTTCGGCGATGGTTTCAGGGCCACGGTGCGCTGCGAAGGCATGGAGGACACCCCAGCCGGCGATGCGATCGAGCTGAGGAAGCTCGTCATCCGCGTGCACTCGCGGCCAACGCCAGGGACCAAAGTCGAGCCGGCAGCTGGCCCTACAAATACCCCTGAGCCGCCCGAAGCCGACGAGAAAGACTCCGACTGGGACATCAAAATGAAATCTCCCGTCGCAAATCCACCAGGCGCTCACCCGCCGGTGACCTCCGAAGAAGCCATATCTTTAACCACGGCCACAGCATCCGCGCCCAGCGTAACTTCCAACGATATTAGAACAACAGCAACCGAACAACAACAGGATCAAGAGGAACAACCAGAAGAGCGCATAGTCTGGCACTTTCTCTACAAGAAATGGCCCGACTTCGGCGTCCCCTCGCTAGAGGACCTCGAGAGCTTCTTCACGCTCATGCGCCTCTCCCGCGAGAAGAACGCCCACCCCAACAACCCGCGGATTGTGCACTGCAGCGCGGGGGTCGGGCGCAGCGGCACCTTCATCGCGCTGGAGCATCTCATCCGCGAGCTGGACGCCGGTGTGCTGGAGGACTATGACGAGCGGGCTGCGTCGGCTGCGTCGTTGGTTCCTCCGAGTCATACTCGGACTCCTACTGCCGGTGATGGTGAGGACGGCGCTGGGAATGTGGCCTGGGCCGGAAGTGGGAGGGGGGGTATGGTTGACGGGGGAGTGACCCCGATCTCACCCATCCCGTCAGGTACTCCTATCCTGCAAACGCCCGGGCAAGGGGAGGATATGATTTTTGAGACAGTTGACCAGCTCCGGGAGCAGAGGAGGACCATGGTGCAAGCGGAATCGCAGTACCAATTTATTTACCACGTCATGAGGAAATTGTGGATGGATCGGTACGGGGACGGGGTTACAAATGCGGGTGAAGCTGAAGGGGGGGACGGTGAGTCGGATGTGAGGGAACCGGCGGCTAAGAGGCTGGAGGTTGATCCCTTCGTTCAGTAGCCCCCTGCCGTGGAACTCGGTGCCTTTGGCCCTTCTCCCTCGATTTCTATTCATCTTCGCACTTTCGCTCTGTCTTCTTCTCTTGACCTTTCCACTTACGTTTTTTTTCTTCCTCTTCTTCTAATCGGGCAGGTCTAAGGCATAGAGTCATCTAGGGGAGCGTGGCATAGCATTCCAGGTCTTAGGGCTCGATTACGACACGGTGCCAGGGCCAGGGCGGGTGCATTGCGGGATAGATGCGGTTGCATAGACGGATCTTCATCTTGCGATTTTCTTTTCTCTGCTGGTCGGGGGGTTAAGCATAGCATGATTTTCGCATTAGGGTGGTTCTGCCGGGTGATACCAGCCAAGAGAGACTGGATTGGGAGAATCAAGGGACGGGTTTTCGTTCCTTTCTGGGTATGATCGAGGGGTCGTGATTGTTGTGTATTCCGATTGCATTCATTCTTCCTTTCCAACGGGATGGCTATCACATTTTCACGTTGCGTTTGTTCCTGTGGATTGCTAGACCAAAGAATCTTAGAGATACCCGATTATTCCTTAAGCATTGAGGGCGTTGACTGACAAACAGGCAATGCCCTTGTCGAGGGTAGATGATTAAGGGGGACAAAAGGAATGATTTGCTGCCTCGTAGGAAATTCTACAGCCCCTTCCTTTTGCGCATTGGTATAGTGAGTAAGCGGTCGGAAGGAGAACGTTCTTTTCTTGCGTTCTGGTACTCTCCGTAGTGATACGTGCTGTCGGGATATCATCCCCGTTGCATGACATCAACGGCCTTTTTTTTTTTTTTCTAACGACCACGTTTCATTGTCGATATCATCTGGACTGATCAAAACAAAGACCTGGTTGGCCTTCAGAAGGCCCTCACCAGCTCACCCTTGACCTTTCGGAGCGAACTACTAGTAGCTAGGGTTTGACGGCCCCTGCATCCCGACACCGTAACTATTCTGGTAAACCGTCAAAGTCCTTCCGACCATGACCGCATCTTACATACCTACCTACCTATGGGATGGAAGCCGGAAATCTAGCGAACACCACACGTGTATCCGGACCTTCGTACGTACGCGGTACGATTGCTAGTACCTTTCCGACGCTATGCTGTTGCCGGCCACAGCCCAGTGCACAGGTGTAGCCCCAAAGAGATGATGCTTAGGTAGCTTAAGGCAGCTTACCTGAACCCATGAGGCCCGGAAGATGCAGTCGGGTCGGATGGCTGCCTCGTCGTATACGTACCAAATTCCGTTGTGCGCTGTCTAGTCCGCTTGTTGCCTATTCTGTGCTCGAGGTGAAGTGACATTAAAGTTCGCAAATAAAGTGGCAGCAACTGTGAAAGGTGAATACCCGCTGTGACACAATCCATAATTCTTGTCCAATCTCCAGTTTGGGCGTAGCTTGATGTTCGTTTTCGTAAATCACTGTCCCGGGATAAATATAGCTGTAGCGGTCACACAAAAAAACGTGTCTTGACCCCAGCTTTTGCCCCCTTGCCGCTAGATGAAGTCGTCATACCCGGGTAATGAACGCGACACGCACGCATCATGTCGTCGCACACTGCAAGTACGCTGCAATGCAGATGCGGTCCGCCGACACCGGCCGCACCAACTTTCACATGCTTCACGCAAGACACGGCAGCTTGCTCGGCTGGTCCAGAGGGCGGAACAAGCCATGTAACCCCTGGATGGGGGCCATCGGCAAAAAGCGACGGACGAGACGAAACGACACAAGAGTCAAGACGATACTGCCGACGGAGACACGGGAAGTTGAATGTTACGCCGGTAGTGGATAGAAGGGTATCGGCCCGCTGCGCGTTGCGGCTAAAATTGTTGTTGCCCAATCTGGTTCGTCTGTCACAAACTCGCCTAAGCAGAAGTGACGGAACGGTGATGGGAGCCTTTCTTGGCCCGCGGTCCCTGACACGAGCGAGCAGACTGGAAGCACATATGTATGTGTAGACATACATTGCAGTAAGTAACCGGCGTGTCCAGCCTACAAACAGAGCTAAATTGGGCACCTTATCCGTATCTTCTATGAAGCAGACTCGGCGATCCAATGTCTTCCTTTCCCTCCCCTTGCAAGGACTGCCGACCGCCGGAAAGCCCGGTAGCTCAAAATGTATGATACTTACCATAGTACATACAATAGTGTAAGGGACAGAACGAGTCAGTTTTCGAGCAATCGGTCTGGAACTTGGGAAAATGTTTAAGCGTGCTATTGTTGCAAGGATTTTGAATTGGGTTGGGCCAGCAGGGGCCTGATGTTCGAGGAAGGGTATCTATGACTAAGAGTTATAGAAATGTTTGCAAGGCGAAGTGGATGTTCACGTCGGCTGATGAATACACTGTAGTCAGGGGCATAGTATAGCGGCATAGTATAGCATGTACCTGTCTATTGTTATCTGTGTCGGCTCTTCTTGAATGCTTCTGACCAAGCTGCAGTTGCCATCATGACCAAAAGCTCGCACAAGACTCGCGGTCGCAAACCAGCACTCCCGGGGTGTCTCCACGTTGGCGGGGCGGCTTGCCTAGGTGGGGTAGAGTCATTTCTCGATTCCCACGTGGAGACCCGGCGCTGAGGGCGTCGAGGCGCCAGACTCGGCGATGACCTGGACAAGAAATGTGGGGCTGACGGGAGATGAAGGTCTCGCTACCAGGCAGGTAGGACAAAGCAACTTGCCCAGCAGCTATGTAGCTAGCGTTGTTTACTTGGAAGCGGAGTGCGGAAAATACCGAGGCACTTTGGGCAGAAGTCGAGGCAATGGTAGTCGACGTTCGATGCCCGCTTTTGTTAGGAACCCATGATGGAATGATGATCAGGACGAGGGGCCGTCATTGCATACCGCGGGTGACGCCAGCCCATGGAGATGAGGGTGCAAGCAGGCGCAGGTGCGGGGTGCATCTGTCTGCCAGAGCCGAGCCGGTTGCAGAGGACAATCGCTCCTCGATGCGCACCCGCATCAAGCCGAGCAGGAGATGAGATGAGCCGCTAATAAGAAGGTATGAAACAGGAAAGCAAACGCGAGCACAGCATGGCACTGACATTGCCTTATTATTAGACTAACCAGGCTTTCCAGCGTCCTGGTAGACAACCGTTGTCCCGTCAGCAGTGTGCTCGGCCATTTGACAGGCAGACAGGGTGCGGCGCCGAGGCGAAAGGAAATGGACCGATTGCATCTCCCAGTCTTAAGAGCGACCGCTCCGTCTCAGATCCCAAGAGCCCCACCGAATCACCTCCTTCCCGCTGGTTGTCTGTGGTTCCGAGCACAACGGTCGGATCGGCCGGGGTGGCCAAATTAGGCAAAGTACTGGTCCTGGAATCCACCGTGAGCTTCTGGATCTTCTGGAAGGATTCTTAGAGACCTGCATCTTCCATCGCGTGTTGATGTCCCCGCCCGTAGCTTTTTACGTTAAACCACACTTTCCAACCTGCTGCTTTTTCCAGCACGACCGCACCAAAGAGCTACCGAAACCCTCCTTCACGCCGATTTGCCTGAGGGGCCGTGAGGAACATTGCTCAACGGAAGCGGGGGGGCTTATTCATCGCTTAGACCGGATGCTGCAAGCGTTGTGATGGCTCGAAACAACTCATTCCGAGGTTGACGAATCCTCCCGGGTCGCCGTGTCCCGAGTTTCGCCTACGCTGTGGTTACCAAGGTACCGCCCTACCGCCCGCTCGGGCGCTTCTGATTTCCGCATCTACATATCCTTCCCGGCCTCATCTTCGGTCGACGGGAACCTGTTTGGGGTGATCCGCGACCTCGAAGTCCCCGACCAGGACTAGCACTAACAAACAAACTCGGGCAACCCCTGAAGATCGAACCGCATGATTAGTGTGCCCAAGGCACCGAGGACACACACATCGGAACACCCAACACGGAAACGCTGCGGCTGTTGTTTGCGCTCTCAATATTCAAGTGCGCGCTGTCTCGGAACTTAGCGGAGAACTGCGAGCTGCAACTCTCGCAACCTGTGCTCGACCATCCCCTCCTTTGGTCACTGCAAACGGACGGTACTTTGGACAATTTGTTTGCGACTGCTGTTCGCTCCGATTCTACCAGTTTATACCCATCGTCAAAACCACCAGGATCGGAAACAACAATGAGGGTGCGATAAGATACACCCCAGATCATGACGTCGATTGTAAGTCCGTCCCCCTCCCAAACACACTGCGACGGAACAGGACGTCCCATCAAGCCGTTTTGCCCTTGTCGCCGCTCGCCCAATGTAACCCCAACTTCTGTTCACCGCCTCGTTCCTTTTCTTTCCTTCCCTGGTGGGCAAGTGCTTTTTGGAAGTCTTCGGGGCTGCCTGTCGTGCTCCCCCACGTAGGCGCAGCTGAGCCCGGCATTGCCCAACGGCCTTGCGATCTGAGTTCCGACTCTTCCACACGTTCCGTCCCGACGCAACGGATTGGGCTGCGCCAGGTTCCTCTCACATGCCGGCCGCCCTGCTCATTTCATCTCAACACGCGCCCTTCGCTGCTCACAAGATGCTGCCTCCTCCCTTTGCACTACCAACGAAACGATGACCCCAACACTCCAAGCTCCCTAAGTTCAAGTTGACTCCCGGTCCTGAGAGGTCCGATAAGATCACGACTACATGATGCTAATAACCCATATGCAGCTTTGTTTAGCTCACTACTGTGACCTTCACGGGCCGACACCCCTGATGGTCACAGAGGGGCTGCCGGTGGCCTGCGGTATATGTTGCGACGAACCCCAGGGATTGCGTGGCGGCGCCAGTACCTTCGACAGGCCTCGCACCCGTGTCCCTACTTCCGGCGAATCAACTCATACAGCCAACGTTGCGGAAGCCCTGCGGCGCATGAGCATCGCTGGGCCCCATCGGAGCTCATCCGTACCGGCAACGGAGCAAGAAGCCGAAGCACAAGCTCACCGCGCGTCCCTCCGGCATGCAGCCAAGGCAGCTGCAGCAGCGACGTCCGGGTCTGCCATTGAGACGCCTCCCCAGAGTCCTCAGCTTTCCGAGGGCTCCGGCGTACAGCAGCGGAACGCACGCCGAGACTCGGGCTTTCGCAGGACCTACGATGACTACGTGACGCGTCGTGCTGGACCATGCGAGAACTGTGCGCTGACCTTGCCAAAGCGGCAAGAGGGCAACACAAATGTTGGAATCGATTCGCGACTGGACCGTGGCCCCACCCTCAGGACACGAGCGCCATGCGCGCGGGTCTTTACCGGGTTCGACGTCAATACTTCGCCTCCAACATCACAGTCTTCCTCGTCTTCCCCGTCCGAGGACGAATCCGGCGGCCGGCCACGCGTATCCCACCGTCGCACAGCGACGGGTGTCTCACTCACTTCGCGCTCGAGTGGTAGCTCTGGGAGTACCGCCGCCAGCGTGCATACCCACTATCTCGACTACACATCGACCCACGAGCCCATTGTGCCGTCGTCGTTCTCCCTTGTACGGGCGTCATGTCTGCGTACCCTGTCGCTAGAAACTCTTCCGCGCGCACCAGCAACCAGCCCGCCGTCGGCCGGCGCCGCGATCCCTACGCCGGGCGGGTCACCAAACAGCCCTGGTATCGTGACGACCCACAGCATCGGTGCCGCCGCATCAGGTGGTTCGATATTCTTTGGCGACAAAAAGGTCGGCTACACGACCGCCTACATCTTCCGTGTCCCGGATGTCCACGCGCGCGGGCACAAGCGTGTCTACGCCTTCCTGGCCCTCAGCACCCACCCGGAACCCGTCGCCGTGAAGACATTTACATTTCTGTCCACTGCCTTCCGCGACCTGGCCTCTTGGATTCAAGAGCTGGCTGAGGCGGAAGCTGAGCGTGCCCAAGCCGAGTCATCCGGCTCGACGGCAAGCAGTCCCGTTGTTCCCGGCCCCGGTTACGGAAGCTTCCAATCCGAGCCGGCTGCCCCTCCCGTCTCTGCAACCACCAGCAGCAGCAGCTTCCTAATGGGCGGTGTAGGCGGGTTGTCGCGCCGGATGGGTGGCGGTTTTGGCGCTTCCGGAGTCGCTCTGAAGCAGCGCGGCTTGGCGGAGCTCGTCGGCCTCCCGGATTTCTTCATTGAGCTGCACGCTAGGTTTGTGAGGCTTCTCCTCGAGATCGGGGTGATGGTTGGCTCCTGAAGCGTCCAAACCGTCCAGTCCTGTCGTTATGGAAAACGACAAGGAGGACCTAGCAGCTTTGCTGCCTTGCAATATTAGAAAAGCCGGGCGCACCTTATGTACCACATGTGATGCACCAACCCTAGACTCTCGACGGCGTCACCAATTGGAACATCAGCATCAGCATAGGTTCCAACAATACCCGGTCACCGCGCTGACGGACCGGGGCCCCTTTTACAACGTTCGACCTTCGACAAGGCACAATCGAAGAGAGGATGATAATGGGTAATGGGTAATGAATAATGATACTCGCGCACACAACGGCACCGCACCCCTTCCTACACGAGCTACGACGAGTTTTACCAACCCTCTCACCATCCTCAGCCCTTTCAACAGGGGCCACACCATATTCAACATCAGCGTTACGCAGGCGGAGTGTCGAGACAATACTAGATGATCTACCGGGCGGAGAGAAAGCGGGCCATGTTGACGGATCAAAGCTGTTTGCATTGCCTGCATGGGAGCATAAGAACTGGAGGATATACACAGTCCTCATACCGGGAACTGAGCCAGAGGACGAGAGAAGTGAGATGAGAGAGGAAGGATGAGCGACGGTGCTCCCAATGGGAGATAGGCACCATCGCGTGTCAGGGTATTGCGGCACTGTCTTTTTCCCTGATACCCGCCGTGAGAGTGCGGGCCCAGGAGGAATGCTCAGGGAGTGAGCGATCTTTACGTTTACTGTACTATTAGCGCACCACTGGGCGTCTGGCGGTACACGGATGTTAGACTGGGAAGGCAAGGCAACTCGCATGGGGCGCGGGATTACATGGGAGACGGGCTCTTGGGTCGGTTAAGGATGCGTGAGGTAGATAAACAGGGTAGGATAGGTGTATGATTATGAGAGCTGGCTTCTCAGTGTTCAACAACTACAATGCCATTCCATAATGTGAGGATGACCGATGCGCTTTCGGACGGCAACCTGGTTCGTTCTATGGCGAGATACCGTGTTATCATACAAGAAGGCACCCATGACACCATGGCCGTGACGATTGCTCTCTCCCCACGACACAAGCGTCGCCCTTCCTGTACTCCCATCCCACCACAAATCCCCCGTCTATTTGTAAAAGTCAAACTTGTTCTCATCACCGGTCCCCTTGACCTGGCTGCTGTAAGCATCCTCCAGGTCCGCCTGGATGATGTTGTACCGGTTCTTTCGCACGGCACGCAGACCCGCCTCCTGCATAATGGCGGCAATGACGGCACCGCTCAGCGGGTCGTTGCGTACGATCAAGCTGTCCAGGTCCACCTCGGGCGCCAGGCTCATCTTGCTAGCGATCGTAGTGAAGATGAGGCGGCGCTCGCGCCGATCGCGGAGGCTGGGGAACTCGATCTTGCGGTCGAGGCGGCCGGGGCGCAGCAGCGCCGGGTCGAGCGTGTCGGCGCGGTTGGTAGCCATGATGACCTTGACGTTGGCCGTCTGGTCAAAACCGTCCATCTGGTTGAGGAGTTCGAGCAGGATACGCTGCACCTCGCGGTCGGCGCCCGTCTGCGCGTCGAAACGCTTGGTGGCGATCGCGTCGATCTCGTCGATGAAGATGATCGCCGGCGCGTTCTCGCGCGCCATCCGAAACACGTCGCGCACCATCCTCGGCCCCTCACCAAGGTACTTCTGCACGAACTCGGAGCCCACCACACGGATGAAGTTGGCCGTTGTTGAGTTGGCGACCGCTTTGACTAGCATGGTCTTGCCTGTGCCAGGAGGCCCATACAGAAGCACACCCCGCGGCGGGTCGATGCCGATCTGCTTGTACAGGTCGAAATGTGTCAGGGGCAGCTCGACAGCTTCCCGGATTTCCTGCTTCTGCATGTCCAAGCCGCCAACGTCAGCGTAGGTCACGTCCGGCTTTTCATCGGCGCCGAGCATGGCGATTGAGGAATCTGCTTCGGGGGGGAGGATGTCGACCAGAGCATTGGAATGGCGGTGGAGAGCGACCGAGGAGGAAGGCTTGAGCTGCTCGCGATCAAGTGTCGAGAGGATGCGGACGACATAGTTGGACCCGGTGCTGGACTGGACGATGCCGGTGCTGGTGTCGGATGTTAGCTAGATTGACTCCCCGCAGATGTGCAGCGTCGCCAGAGAAACTCACTTCTGATCAATTGCTTCCATAAACTGGCCAATAACGAGGGGGACACTCTGGATGCGCTTGATCTCCTCCTGCGCCCGGACGAGTTCGCGCTTCAAGCTCCTCTGCTCGTCCTTGATGTATTCCTCCTGCAGCTGAATGTACTCGAGCTGCCGTTGCAGTCTCTTCAATGTCGCATATTCATCCCCGCCTTCTGTCGGCACGCCCTCGAAGTTCTCGATGCTCGGAATCGTCGATGGGGTGGTCTTCTTGAGCGGCTGAACGGAGTTCGCTGCATTTTCCACGAGCACGTCCCCCATTTTCAATGCCTCTCTCTCTTCTAAATCTGCTGGTCCGAGAATAAACTGCCGATGTCCGGGCGCTGTGATCGATACAGGAAGATTATCGGCGTGGTCTAGGGCGACGCGGGGGTTTCCGTCGTTGCGCGGCAGCTGCAATCGACGATCCGATGTTAGGCTATATGCTTGCTTCGGTGTGGTTCTGTCGATGGAAGTTGCTTTCGCACTCGTGGCGCGTGCAAGCAGCCAGTGTCCTCTTGGCGCTGGTTAGCCAACAGTGGCTCGTCATCGATCGAAGCCTTGAGGCTGGCCCACTCAACCTTAGGCTGTGGACCGGGGGATTGTCAGGTGAGGTGAGCAATGACGCCGATTGGCCCACTTGCACTTCTACTTATGGCTAGCACTCACCACTACACAGTAATAATGGCTATCTTCAACACAAGACAAAGGAATCATGATGGCCTGCTTACTCAGATACCGAAATTTACATAGGTAGGATCACGTCTGGGTCTACTACAAACTAATCCAAGAATGACAGGAAGCTCTTGGCTCATGAAGTCTCGCAGATTGTAAAGTTGTTAAGTTATCTACCACCCACACCGTGCTACACAGTCTCGAGACTGTGGCATCACCCATCTGTGGGCACCCTAACGGCCAAGTCGCGTCCTGGGGATGCCCGTTCCCCGCCCGTTCCCACGTCACTCACCACTGATAGCGCATGTATGTAGGTTATGCAGCAATTCGATCTTCTACCGCGAGCCCTTTTCGTTCGCCTACTGTCTATTTCTCACCCTATTGTGAATTTCATGGTGCTCGCTGAGCTGCCCTTGTATTGTACAACTGCTCCCTTCAAGACAAAGCCGGGACGGGGTGCCATGTGGCGGGTAACTTCTCCACCTGCATGCTTGGCTCCAGCAGACGGATGCCTCATACGGAGTACATTGCTGTCCCTCAACCCGTTCTGCATGCAGGGCCACCTAGCCTCAAAAAGCGGCTGCTGGCTGGGCCGCTTGTCCATGACTCCATGATTCACCATGCGTATTCCTACACAGCTAACCACGTTCGGCCTCGCTCAGTTGTAACACATCTCCAATGGCTGCTGCACCTTTGGGTGTTGAACCATGTGTTTTCTTATCTCTTTCTCTGCTTCCTTTAAGTCCTCCTTCACCTGCCGTTTCTTTCCCTTTTCGTCTGATATTTATTCTTGACTCTGTCTCCGTTATTCTATTCACTGATTTTCGCAGCACCGGAGAGGTCTGCCGTACCGTAGAGCGTTAGCTCAAGTGCTATTAGTGATTGGGATGGTAAGAATAACGAGGCTGTGGGTGCCTCCACACCACTCTATCAGTCATTCAACCCGGCCTTTCCCTCTTCCTCCTAACCACCCCCGTTCTCCAGACCTCCCATTGCTCCCGGCCGATGTTTCACTCTTCGTGATTGTTCCCTCCCACCAGCGTCTTGAACTCGCAGCCGTACGTGGTTAATTCATGGTTTCTTACTCCCAGCAGCTCTGCACGTCCCCTCGGCAGCAGTAGCAGCACCTCGATCCACGCCGTCCTGTACAGCCCACCGCCCGCTCGTGGCTGCGAAACACTGAAAGCACCCAAGCAACCTCACCCCCCGTCAATCGCCAACGCAAATGGAGAAGGCAGCTGCGTCTATCACTATACCTGATCAACGCCATCGGCAGGCTGTCAAGATCGAGGCTGGGTCCTCGCCGTCCTCCCTGTCGTCGTACTCCAGCTCGCCGAGCTCCCCAGAGCCGTCTCCCCAATCGCCGTCTCGGACAGCCCAAAAGCAGAAGCTGCTGCACGCTCGGCGGCCGAGTTTATTGAGTTCGTTGGCGCTTCCAATTATCAGGCAGACTCTCAAGATGCACTCTAACTGACGCTTCTCCCTCAGGCTCGGCATTTACCCAGCAAGAATGTACTACAATTAAAATTGGGGACGATCCCGAAGGGCCCATCCGGCTCGTAAGCTTCTCCTCTGGAGTGACAAGACGCCGCGCCGCGAAATCATCGCTGACGTTGTCTCTCCAGGTTACCTACCTCTCTTCCGCCCAAGGCTTTGTCTGGAACCCTGAGATCTTCGTCCCCTCATATTGTGACCACGACTACGTGCCACTCGAACAGCGTCGCGACCCCGTGCACGAGATCCACCTAAGCGACGACGATATCAAGAAGATCCTCCCGCAATAGACGCAAGACCCATTACATAAGGCCGGTACGATCTTGACGGCAGATCCGTGTACAAGAGCAGTATCTAGTTGCGGGATCGTTTCTAGACCGGTTCTCTTTTTGCGGTAGGCCTGGACTCAATGCATCGCAGATGTTGGGTCTGAAATCTGGACACGCTTGAATCATGTTTTCTTCGGCGCGGTTCAGGCAATGCAATACTGGTCCTCCCACTCCCCGGATAGAGAAACCTAGCACTAAAGAGGCTCGGGTCTCGACAACCGAAGCTCAACCGGGGCGCATCGGATACCGCCTTTCTATCGTTAGGAGCTCAGAGTTGCCCTCTTTCCTCTTTGTTCCGCCTGACGGCCTGTTCACAGCTAGGAGCTCAGGAGTCTGACACAGCTCGTAGGCCCTGGGGATACGGTTACCATCTATATCATTGGGGAGTTGGATTTTGTGCTTCGTTTCATTTTCTCATGGTACAGTCTTACACCTTTCATTGACGACAACAATCGCTTGTCGACAACCTCTCTTCTCAACTTCAAGGCGGGATTGGGCTGGCGTCTGGGTTGGTTTTGAAGACAAGGCTGGCTCTTTTCTCACGTGTCTAGGTAGCTTATTGACATAAGGATCCCCGGTCTCTACCCATATGCGTGTTTGTCCAAGGCCTGCCTGACTCGTTGCAGACCGGGAGTGCTGAGGCACAGTTGCTGTTGGCCGATTCAAACCCAAAGACCCCCTGATAAGTGGCATCGATGACCAGGGAATTGCGGATTAGTATCGTTCGGACGGATGCTGTTTTGCCATCGCCCCGAAGACTGCCCAAACGTCCCAATCACATGTTGCCGGTGATATCGGCTTTCAACTACCTTACCTACGGTACGTAATGCAGTGATGAATCGGCGATGTGCAAGTTCCGTCGCAGTGCGGAACCGCAGGCCTGCCCCGCCCGTCCCGACCCGAGCCCACCTTCCAGCCTGACCCGCCTCGGGCTAGCACAGGCCGACTTGCCGATGGGCGGGGGTACCGCTGCGTTGACGGCAGTGCACCGGCTATCGATAAATGCGTGTCGCGAATTGCGGCACGGGTTATCTTACACGGTATTTCCATCCTGGCATCTCGATGCTGCCGGATCTGATTGCTGTTGCCATTTCAAATAGTAGCCACAAGTCCCTGGTCCGTTTCTTTGGTGCTGATTCTGCTGCACGAACTCGAAAAAAGAGCAGCGAATCAGGCGGAATACAGTACGGGAATCCAGGACCGCAAGCAAACCGTCACCACTACGTATACTAGTAAACAAACCGATTCTAGTACAAGAACACGCAGCAATGGAGGACCCCGCGCACCGGCCTATCGAGCTCCAGTCCCCGGAAGACCTGACCTACCTCATCGAAAATGTCCGCCGTGCCGCAGCAGACAGCATCAACGCCGCCTTCCCGCCAGTAGATGGGCCACCGGATGGGCAGGAAGACGAGCTGCGCAACCGCATAGAGCAGCTAGTCAATGACGTTCGTTTCCTCCCTTCTCCTCCACCACAACCCGTCCGCATCCCTCGTTGCTCCCTGCCAACACCCAGACTGACATCGGTCACACATAGTACATTCAAACAACATTCACCCTCGCCGCCCCAAACCTAACCATCAACGGCCTCCCCGTCGACCCCTCCCAATTCCTCTCCTCTCACAATAATCCCAACGACCCCCAAGCACCCCAAGTCCAATACGAATACGAGCCCTTCGACCCCCGGAAGCGCGATCGCATCGAGCAACTCATCTCTGAGGAAGAAGATCTGCTGCGCTCCATTGCCCAGCTGAAGCGTCGCGTGCCGCGCGCGACAGCCTCCAAATGGGCGGAGGCGACCAAGGCCGGAATCGCGGCGGACGAGGAGGCGTTGAAGGCGGTGTGCGATAAGGTCGCTGGGGAAGGGAGCGTGTCCGGCAAGAAGGCGCTAGAGGGCATGGGGGAGCTGGATCGGCAAGCGGGTGTGGAGGAGAGGTTTAGAGCTGCGGTGGAAGGTTTGGGAAGGTTGAAGAGGGATATGCCGGCCACTGCGGCCAAGATGGAGCGAGCGAGGGTCGCGGCGGGGTATGTTAGTGGTGAAGGGGAGAGGTAGCCGGGACGGGATGGGGAGTGGCGTTTCTAGGTCGGATCAGGTATACATCTTGTTGTACGGAGCTCGGGCACACGGGTTGGGATTCATGGCAGGAACTGCTCTGAGAGAAGGAAAAGTGCAAGGAGTCTATTGTATGTCCATGCAAATCGATCGGGATATTACGATGGCTTCACAAAAGGAATCTGCGGTACCCGGGTCCACAGACACTGGAGAACAATGGCTTCCCGTCCCCTACCCGCTTGTACCGCGCTCCCAACACGGAATCCGGCCGTGCGTCCGAAGCCGAGACCCGACGGCTCGTCATTCACAACCAACTCTACCTTGCTGCTTAGATCCACAGCCCCCATCACATTGTCAATGCACCTTACGCGGCAACCGGAGCAGCTGCATCAGCCTTAGCAGCGTCCGTCTCGGTGGCAGCAGCCGGCGCCTTCTCACCCTCAGCAACCTCGACGATCTCGCCCGGTGCATTCTGGATGGTGGTGTCTTCCTTCTTCTCCCATTGTGCCGGGCGGGCCCACTCCGGCTCGCGCCACGGGCCCATGTCGCTGAACTGGCAACCGCCCTGGCACTCGCACGTGCCGCCAAACTGCTTGGGCAGGTTCTCGGCGGGCACTTGCGCGAGAAGCTCCTTCTGATAACCGCTGCCGAGGACGTGGATCTTCTGCACCGTGACAGGATCCAGCCACCCCTTGACGACGCCCCAGACGGTGCTGAACCCCCAGGGCGCGTTGATCAGGTACAGCCGGCCGAGGCGCTCTGGGTAGTAATTCTGGCTGAGTGCGCTGGCTTGCTTGACGTAGCCGTACACTTGCGGCGCCTTGGTCAGGCCCACACCCTTGAGGTCCATGATGGTGCAGCAGGTTTCAAGAAGGGTGCCGGACTTGCGGCTGCACGCCGGCAACCGTGGGTCCGCCAGCCGCTCGTACTCGACCGCCAGGTTGTTCAGCATGCGCTCCGCTGTCGTAATCTTGTACATGGCGTTCAGATCGATACCGCCCAGCTGCTCAATGTAGACGGGGCGGCCATCCTATAATAGAGAATACACATCAGCGGGGGCCGGTCCAACTGGCAGCGTCGGGAACAAAATCGCACCTTGTCAGTCTTGTGGTAGTACTGGGGATAGTACTTGAACATCTCCTCCTTCTCCGGGTACTCCCAGGTCGGCAGGAGTTCATCAAGGTTGATTTCTTGTCGCCACTTCTCGCAGTCGACGAACCTATGCTTGGTAAGCACTTAGATGTTGGTGTTGGTTCAACAAGGACGTCTTACATCTTCTTCGCAAGCTCCACGTCAAACTTGCGAGCGCGCAAAAAGCGCAGCTGTTGCCCCCCGTCAGCGGCCATTTTTCATGCCAAACTCAGAATATATACAGTCTGACGGATGGCTGCCGTACCAGTGTGAGTGTGTCGAGACGCTTGGTGTAGCCCTCCTTCTCAAGTAGCAACCGCAACTGATGCACCTGGGCCTGCTGTTGAGCCGTCAAGAAGCCGGGGTGCCCGTTCTGGGCGACCGGCGCCGTGGTCGGGAAATCGTAGTCATCGTACTTAGAGTCGAGCTCCAGCGGCGATGGTGCAGGCTGAGCCATTGTGTCTAAATACTTATTGGGGAATGTCTAGGGAAACCTGAAGTGAAGTAGACCTCGTCTCGATGTTGATAAGCCCGCTATGAAGTTCAAGGAAGTTACCAAGAGGCGGAAGAACACTGCCTCGTAACGTTTCAGACTGAACAGGGAAAGTTGATGTTGGTGGCAAAGAGACGCAAAGGCAAAAGGGCGGATACGTCTTGCAGGAGCGTAAACGGCGGACACTATTTGAAGAACTGCCTGAAATGGTCAGCCGGCCCCGCGCCCTTGAATTTTCGTCATGGGTGTCTGGGCGACGGCCAGGGTTGAATGTGCGGTCAACCGTATCCCCTATGAGAGCCCCGCAGCTGGGCGAGACTGGGACCCTCTGGCCCCATCTGGTCTTGACGCTTTTCCCTTTTTTGAAGCCAGATGCGTTAGCGAACGGGAATTGGGGTCGGCTCGCTGTGAACCTGTGAAAAAGACTGGTCTGTAACGGCCATCCGCGCAATGTCATTGATAAACGATTGGCTCGTTGAGTCTATCTGTCGGGCTTACACTATTGAGAGGACGAGGTCAATACGGCCTGTCACAGGCCAGGGCGTAGCCTGACTCGAGCCGCCTCTGCCACCTTCAGGTACGCACACGTCTGACGCACTACAACGCGCATTGCGTCTTGAGACCTCATCATTATACCGAAGTGCCACGTGGATATCAAGACGCTATACTGTCACTAACTCCTGGATCGGTTGGCTGGTATCAGCGCCCGCGCATGGTCCACCGCTTCGTCGACTTCGACCCTCCACTTCCGTACAATAGGGGCCCTCGGATCGAAAGACCTCAATACTCTTGAATAGGATGGACTCGCGAAGATGAGGGAGGCGTGGAGCAGCTACTTCGGTAGCTGCTCGTGAGGTGGGCGTGATTTGATGGCGAGCATGGCCCGGACGAAGGATATGCATCGATGGCGGCCCCAAGAAGTATACAGGGTAGTCCCAGGATAGACGCATCTAAAAGTATTGAAGCTCAGCTTCCAGAGGCGCTCTCATCCCTTTTACCTTGTTGCTTCTCTTCTTCCTCCTTCTCTTTCCGCTTTTGGACGACATCCCAATTATATACCCTAGCGACTGCCACTTCCATGGTCTACAGATGATCAGCAAACACCCATTGTGATGAAAGGACTCAGAGCCGGCTTACCGTTATCTGCTCTCGCAGGAAGTCCAGATCCTCTTCACAGTTTGACAAGCTTTGTTTCGCTGCTTGCAGCTTGGAGTCGAGGAGCGCCTCCGCCTCGTCGATTGGATATGCCAGCATGACATTAGCCTTTCCCATGCGTTAGCGCTCTGGACCAAACCGCTGCCGAACCCAAAGGGAAAACGCTACCCCAAGCCACAAATAGACCTCGTCGGTCGGCGGTATCTGCGCTTTCGCATAAAGGGTATCATTCAGCTCAAAGGTCGTCTCGATTGGTTCCGACTCGCCCTGCAACATCTTTGTCAACAATGCGCCGCTCGATAAGACCAAGTCCTATGCCCTACCGTCCTCGTCTTTAAGAAGCGCACGGTCTCCAGGGTCTTCCGGATATCGGGCATCTTATCCTTCAGCCCTAACACCCTCCGTTGCAGGTTCTGCTCCATGAACTGGTATTTCCTATGATGCTCCCACCCGAACATCAGTCGCCATCATGGTCGTAGCACTCGCTTGTGACCCGACCGGATCCCACTCACGCAATCATTTCTTGAAACCGGCGTAATGTCGGCTCGACGTCAGCCCGTGACGAGACATAGTCCTCGACTTTGTCGACAAACGGCGCGTATGGAATCCCACGAGGATTAGAAGGTGTGACGTCCCTGTTCGCATACCATCCGAGATAGCTGGTAAGCCATACTGTAATGCCCACCAAGCCCACCCTGTCGCTGCGAGCAATGGATGTTAAGACGGTGCAACTTACCTCGTCGCTGCTTCCTTGTCTGTGCTGGCCATCTGAGCAACTCCTTAAGTACGGAATGACGTCGAGTCTGTTTAAGCTACGGGAAAATTCATGGCGGGGTTCAGTTGTTCAACTGTCCGTCTCGGTGAACAAGGCGACTGTTGGTGGGGCAGCAGGGGTGGGTGCTGGCTTGTCTTGTTGAGCTCCAGAGTTAAGCCGTACAGTACATATAGCTAGGGATTCAAGACCTCCGCTTGACAGCGGTCGTGTTTCAACAGCATTGCACGTACGTCACGTACGGACAGTTACTGTTACTGTTAACGTTAGGCGTATCATTAAACGGCTGGTAGCGCATTAGTACCTACCTGTATTTATTCGAGCATTGTTGTCACATGCATAACAAATACTAAGGTACGGTACGTTGGTATGCTCTCCCAGACCGGTACTCTCTGTCACTGTCCGTAAAGCGGAGCTATCTTCATAGCTGGAGATCCATGTGACCCCTATATGTATCCGTAAGTCTGCCCCGTCCTGAGAGAGTTGGGCTCAGCCTTTATCAACCTATAAAGAGTCGCCGGTAAAACGCTACGGATTACACTACCTAACCCGTGTCTTGTTGGGCTGGCATCTCTGTAGGTGGATAGCGAACGCTTCAGCGAGGTGAGTGACCCGGTCCTGAATCCGGTCCGAGTGGAGGCGTGGAGAGCATCGGTGCCTCGGAACTGTCCGTGCCGGATGCGGAGTCATTGATTGGTGGCCCCAGATTCCAGGTTGTCATAGCAGCCGTCCTCAATGGATAACAGGAACTCGATGCGCAGCAATAGTGAAGCCTTGTCGATATCCACAACTCATTAGGATGCTGAAGTGTTAAGTCGCCGGAAAGGATCCGTTTCGAAGCAAGGCATCGGTGTACGTCGACAGGGGAGTTAACCGCAGCTAGGCAGAACAGGTGGCGATTGATGCAGCCAAACCTGGCAACCAGCTTACCCCCGGCGCTACGTAATCAGACGCAGGAACATCTCTGGCACACCTGACCTTCCTCGTTCCGTTCACTCCGCTTCCGCCTCCCCAACCTCCCGTCCCAACATCGACCAAACTAAACCTACTCTTCTACCGAAGTCGTCCACTGGCATCGTCAACCGCATTCTCTTCATCGCCGACATTATCATCGGCGAGGGATTCGTCCATCTGCTTTGTTGCGACCGCTTGCTTCGTTGCCTTCCGATCTGTCGTTTCCCTGCGATTCCCGCCAGTCCACCCGAGCGACCGCCCAACATGAAGGGTGCTCTGCTGACCGCAGCTGTGCTGCTCGGCTCTGCTCAGGGCGCGGTTCACAAGCTGAAGCTGCAGAAGGTCCCCCTCTCAGAGCAGCTTGTAAGTCACCCGCCATTCGTCTGGGTCTGGATGCCGCTAATGCTTATCGCGTGTAGGAGGCGGTCCCCATCAACAGCCAGCTTGAGCATCTCGGCCAGAAATACATGGGACTTCGGCCACGGCAGTCTCATGCAAGTGCCGTTTTCAACGGCATGGTTGCCGAGGTCAAGGGCAACCACCCAGTCCCGATCTCCAACTTCATGAACGCCCAATGTATGTGCGACCGGCACGATTTCTACAGCGGTTTCACCGGATCACAGACTAACAACGGTTTAGACTTCTCCGAGATCACGATCGGGACTCCCCCTCAGACATTCAAGGTGGTGCTGGACACCGGCAGTTCCAATCTCTGGGTCCCCTCTACCGAGTGCGGCTCGATCGCGTGCTACCTGCACTCCAAGTATGACTCGTCGGCTTCGTCTACTTACAAGGCGAACGGAACCTCATTCGAGATCCGGTACGGTTCGGGCAGCCTCAGCGGCTTCGTCTCTCAGGACACGATGACTATTGGCGATATCACGGTCAAGGGCCAGGACTTCGCCGAAGCTACCAGCGAGCCCGGCCTGGCGTTTGCGTTCGGTCGCTTCGATGGCATCCTCGGCCTCGGCTATGACACCATCTCAGTCAACCACATCGTCCCACCATTCTACAAGATGGTGGAGCAGAAGCTCATTGACGAGCCCGTCTTCGCCTTCTACCTGGCTGATACTAACGGCGAGTCCGAGGTTGTCTTTGGCGGTGTCGACAAGGACCACTACAAGGGCAAGATCACCACCATCCCGCTGAGGCGCAAGGCTTACTGGGAGGTTGACTTCGATGCTATCTCGTACGGCGATGACACCGCCGAGCTCGAGAACACTGGCGTCATCCTGGACACCGGCACCTCTCTGATCGCCCTGCCCAGTCAGCTTGCCGAGATGCTCAACGCTCAGATCGGGGCCAAGAAGAACTATGCCGGCCAATACGCCATCGACTGCGACAAACGTGACTCGCTCAAGGACGTCACATTCAATCTGGCCGGGTACAACTTCACGCTTGGCCCTTACGACTATGTCCTGGAGGTTAGCGGCAGCTGCATCTCCACCTTCATGGGCATGGACTTCCCGGCGCCTACCGGGCCCCTTGCCATCCTTGGTGATGCGTTCTTGCGGAGGTATTACTCGATCTACGACCTTGGTGCCAACACCGTCGGTCTGGCTGAGGCGAAGTGAGGAGGTGTGGCTGATAGGATAATGGAGTCTGGAATCGAAGGCTTTGCAGTGCTGCTGCGTGTACGGTATCTAGTCGCTTGGGTTTCCTTAGTATTTGTTAAGCAACATCAGCAAGAACGCGGTTTTTCTATAATCGGCTATCTTGGGGGATGTTGTGGGCCGGGTGAGAGAACGATGCCTTTTTCTTCATGTGCGCTACTGTCTATCATCCAGTTGTGTTCCTATGAGACTGCCTCCTCGGTGTTGAGGGCTGTAGTGTGATTTGGCAATAATAGTTTTTCTATGTCGGCGTTCCAAGCTTCTAGTATTTGCCCCCTTTCCAGACTCACAGCATATACTATAGATAGTCACGTTCTCTAGCGTATCTATGAATTAGTGTGAGCGGATATTCTGTTCTTAATAGACAAATGGGTAGCCTAACCGCAGTTCAAGTATTTCCGTCGGTTTGCCGAAAGGTACATGCATGTACGTACCCCCTTCTAAGACATCACCCAGCGGGTTTCATATGTAGGAGATCATGGCCTAGAGTTTAATGCATTGAAGACGCGACTTGTTCTTCCTTCCCTTTTTTGGGTATCATATGCAGAGGAACTATCAGAGTCCGGTGACGTGAGGAAACGGACTCACCCCAGAGGGCTCCGAGCCGCCCCAAGTCCATCTCTCCGCGCTTATCAAGGCCGTCCTTGTCCCATGAAAGGTCTACCGTTACAGCGGTATTACAGATGCAGACATCCCTTCTACAACCAAATCTCGCCACCCGCTCAAGCGGAAATAGTTCCTCATTTCTTGAAGGTCGCCGTCCGACCCGTCCTCTCGTAGTTGAGCTTCCGCGCGCCTTGCGGTGCATTTCCGGATTTCCTGGCGTACGGATCGAACGCGGCTTTCCCGCGCTTCCCGCTATCACCGTTCTCGTTTGCCTTGGGTGCATGTAACACGGAAGAGGCTTTACTGTAGTCGAAAGGCTGTTCGTCTTGTTCCGCAGAAGCTTCTTCAGCAGCCTCCTCGGCCGCTGACGGGCTTTCGACTGGCGAGCCCTGTTGTTGCACCAACTTGGCCGCCTTCTTCGCTGCTTTCCGCGCCTGCTTGGCCTGGCGCTTCAGCTCTTCTGCTGCCTCCAGGCTCCCCTGCTTCATTTTCTCCTTTGCTTCACGCAGAAGTTTCTTGGCCTCGTTTTTCAGAGTCTTATTGGCCTTCTTCCTTGCTCGTTTGAGGGCCTTGGCATCTTCATCTTCTACGTCGGTGGAGTCGGGTTGGTCTGCCGGTGGGCTTTGATCTCCTTCGATGATATCTAGATCGGATCCGGCATCTGATGCGACCTCGATGTCAACCTCGCTAGCTTTGCGTTTCCGCCCGGCTTTAAGGGTGAATCCTTCATCTTCTTGAGCCCCGGGTGCTACAGCGTCTTCCTCAGGCGCGCATTCAGGTGACGGTGCTGTCGCCTTTGGAGGCTCTTCATCTTTGATGGTGCCGAAATCGAAAGTGAAGACTGGGATTTCCACCTGCTCATCCATCGCAAGGGCTTTCACTGAGCCATCACGCGTCGTACTGAGCGCCACTCCGCCCCATAATTGCGAATGCTCGCTCTTCAGTTCCTGCAGTGCCAGTAAAATACCGTCGGCTGCTCCATCCGCTTTGACTTCTTTGGTGCCAAGGGAGGTCTGGGCAGCATTTCCGGACGACTGTGAGAAGAATTGCATCATGGTTGGCCCGTTCGCGCCCCTGGCCCTGGCTTCCCGTATGACATCAAAAAGCTCATTTAGGTGAGGTTTGAGTACCCGAGCATTCGAGTCGAGCAAGCTCCACAAGGCCTTCATGTCGGTAGGCAAGATACGCGCTATATCTGCCAAGACCTGTTGGGTCATGATGAAGTAGGGACTCTCATCCTCACGACGGGCGACATCATCCCTCCACTTATGCACCGCCTTGTACACAGCGAACTGCTCACCGTTGTATAACGTCGGTGACTTGATCAATGTGTTAAACCACCCGCGATTGCCTGCGCCAGTTTCCGGATCACATAAGGGATGCTCATGCCGCTGTAGAGACACCTCTTTGGACTTCTGGATCACAAGTTCGGTAGGGTTCTCGTCAGCGCTTGTTTGGGTAGAAAGCTCGACAAGCTCATTGCGAAGCATGTCATAGATGTAGAGAAGGTAATGTGTGTCGGATCGCGCATAGTAAAACATCTCATCAGGGAGAGGCCTGAAGACGGTCAGTTTATGGTCCGTGAAAGTTCAACCCTGCTTACCGTATCCGCCAGTCTGCTAGCTGGTATCTCTTGTCTGCATCGAAGTCCGCAAACTTCTTTAAGAGAAATGCCAGACTACGGCCTGCATAACCCAGAGCAGTGCAAGCATAGTAGGTATCGAATAAACCGACGACATAGAGCCCGAGGTCTCGCTGGAGCCAGATGATGTCCATGAATGCACCGTGAAGCACCTGAGCTTGTCAATGACGCGTTATCCCCCAAGATCCACGGAGATGCTCACCTTGACGATCTTCGGGTCCGCAAAGACTTCGTTGAGCACCTCTAGCTTGTGTCTCCACGGTACAAGCGTGTCAACTATCCAATCCTTCTCCCGTGTGCTAATCTGCATCAATGACAGAAGTCCCGTGTACGACCTGTAGTCGTGATGTTCGAGGTCGATAGCTATCTCGGATGCCTTCTTCAATTCCTCCAGCATCTCCAAGACGCCCTCATACGTATCCACCCAAATCGCCTTGGTCTTTTCAATCGGGAGATACTCCTTCGGTTCGCATGACTGGTAGACTTCGGCGGGGTACTGCATGTTGGTGATTTCGTGCTCGTACGGGTGTTTGTACCTATGAATGTCAGTATACCGCCTAGCCTTCCCCTAAGAGCAGGACTGAAATTAGACTGGTGATCCGTACTGAACATGGCCCTCTTCGTCGGTGAACGTCGTCAGGCTCGCCTCCAGAGGAATTTGTGAATGGGGCTTGTGTGTCAACAGAGGCTTCCAGGGACCCGACTCGAAGTTATCGATCTTCTTCTCGAACGCATTTTGGGGCTTGAGGATGTTTGCGCGCTTCAAAGACCAGTCGAGTCTCTCGGTGGTCGACTTCGGCCGTTTGGCGTCTCGGCCCTGGGACACTGTTAGTGGCAAAGCCGTAGTGCCCAATCTGTGGGAACGCATACGGATTCAGCGGTCGGTGCATCCTTCCTCTTGATCAGGCCGGTGTACTCGTCCAAGCAGGTGTCCGATTTCTCCAGGAGAGAGTCGATCACGTCGACAATGCCCTTCCACTGGATCTCCACATCATCCACGTCCTCCAGTTTCGGCCGTCTTTGCGCGGTAAACTCTCCGGCCGATTTCAGGACGCTGGTCGCCAGCTGCAGCAGGCGGTTTGTGTTCTGGTCGAGACGAGTCGCAACTGAGCGATGGACGGTACGCTGAAATTGGAGGTCCTCGTTCGCAAGCGTGTTCACGGACCGCGTAATTGCAACGAGAGTGGATTGAACGGCATCGCGCAGGGGCTTGAACTCCTGCGAAGAATCCATGATGATTTTGCAGGATATCTTATCCTGCGCTGCTATTGGCAATGGCAAAGCAGCGGCTCATGTTCTGTGCTGGTGTTGAACTTTCTCAGAACTTTTTGAGGAATGGATCCGCTTTGATAGTACAGTGTTACGGTACTTCCTGATGAGGTAAGAGCGTTTGGGTCTAGAAGATATGACATTGCTCGGTACGTGCTGGTAGTGTTAAGCTGGACGAAAAGCTAGCTACCTAGGTACCTAGATAAACAGAGGGCTTGGCGATACGGAGGAACGGTCCGTACAATACATCGTCAACTTACACAGCGTTCCGTACTCGTACAAGTAGTACTAGGGCCTTCCAAGTTCCGACTACCCGCTATATCGTCAGCAAACCAAGAGGTCGACAATAAGGTATTTGCAGACCCGAAGGTAAACAAAGACGCTGACTAAAAGAATACAACCCTGAGAACCCGTGCAAACTCGACACTGTTGCGACCAACTACGTGTTCTGTTGCTCACTCATGAGCTAGGGAGGTGAAGGCAGAGCCAACCTTTGTGTTGCTGAGAAGCGAAGCTGACAGCGTAGATTCCTAGCACAAGGGCAACATCTGCAGGCAAGCAACAAACCGCAACAGCCGTTCTGCGTGCGCCTCTCGGTATTCCGCCCGTTGCCGCACAATGTCGCAGTCTCTAGCGCCAGAGTGCAACGAGCTCAAGGAGTGAGCCAATCTAGTCCCCATCCGCGATCTTTATGCGCAGTTCCTGATGGCATCCCTCTCAAAGGCGCTACGATACCTGCTTCTTGAAATGGTATAGCGAGAGTGAGTCTTCGTGCTGTCGTCCAAGACCATTGCAGTGCTCATAGTTCCTCCAGAATTTCTCCGGGGGGTTGGTACTAAAGACGATAACGAGTGTGAGGCGTTGTTCAAAGACTATAAGACCTGTTTGCGAGTACGAAGTTTCCATCCACGGCTCCCGAATAAGCATCTGGTTAGCGGCATGTCTGACAGGCCCGGTTTGCTAGAAAGTGCTCAAAGAGCGTGGGATAGACAAACTTATAGAAGAAGCCAGGGATGACAACAGGGAGAATGACGCAACGCTGATGGGCAAAAAGAGGTGTAAGTGACCCGAACGCTCAAAAGGTTCTAGCCAAGTCTTTAACAATAACAATGATCCTCTCGTACAGAAACTGCGTTGAGGAGCAAGTCCATATCTCTCTAATTGCGCAGTTCAACCGGCAGCATACTGCACGGTGCCGTACTATAAGACGGTCAGTGTCTGCAGCGCTCAACCGCTTAATGTATGGTCGCATCTCTACTCAGAAATGGAAATGAAATAACTTGAAAGCACCGCAGGGTGTTCAGAATGTATACATAACCCTAAGAATCACCCTCCTACCTGCCAAGGTGGCTATGTCTTGCGTCAATACTGCGCATGGGTACTTGTACATGGCACTTGGTGTTGACGGAAAACGGGGAGAGTCGAGCGTTATTGCACACAATTGGCTAAGCGCCTTGAGTATGTGGGTCCCATCTGAGCATCGCAAATGCAGGAACAGGACCTCGGGGACATGGTAATACTGCTTTCTACCAAACCGGTATCTAAACTCTCAAACTATCCCCGCGCATCAAGCTTTAAAAAGCATTGATACTCCTGCAAGTTTTCACTTGCGAGCTTAACTTTCAACATAACCACAGATGCTTCCGGCGCCTTCCTCCGGAATGCAGAAGTCGTAACACCTCGCGCGATTCTATGCACCCCTTCTCTATCCTGACGCTTGGCATTTTCGTAGCCGGCTATATCACCGCTCGATGGGACCTCGTCACCCGCCTCTATGAACTTGCCATCTTTGCCTGGAACTACGGAGTGGTCGTAAGTAAAGCCCTACTCCCCGTCATTTAACTCCCTGAAGCAATCGGGGTTCTACCCGAAGCATGGACTAATGCATTTTGCAGACTCGTGCCGCCAAGGGCTTCGCCGTCCTCAGCCTCTTTTTCCTCTTGATATTCCTGCCCGTGGAGCGCCTTGCGACCCGCGAGTCCGACCTAGTACGACCGCACAGCCCCCGGAATCACCTAGATCGAATCCGTGCTAATCAGCTTTGTCCAGCATCCACGATCAATTGGATCCGGTATATCGGCTAGGGAACAACTGAGGCGACGGGGTTCTTTCTAGGTCCTTAACCGCGTCCGTGGCTACTTGACATGCCAGGGCGTGATGGCTTGATGCGCGTGTTCTGGCCGGCTGACCTGCCACGGTCGGACCTTCGGGGTGTAGTGGTGGGGTGGAGAAACTCGGCGCTGGATGTCTTCGTCCTGACGATTCTCGAGGAGGTTGAGGTGCGTGCGCAAGCATGAAGGCTGCCCACGATGGGAGTCGCTAACTTTGGGTAGCCTCGGAATGTGGAATTTGCCCTTAAGACAGGCATACTCCTTCGCGACGCACCGCATCCCGTTAGCCGCATTTACGAGCTGTGTGGCCAGTTAGCCATACATGTCCTCGGTCTGTCCAACACACACGAGTCCGTCGAGGTTGATCCATCATGGATACGTGTCACTATAGGGCCCGGCCGACGGGTTCCTGCCGTCACATGTTCGCGAGCCTCGAGCATCCAGATTATCCTCTTCGAACGTCCGCATCCTGGAAGAATGCAGTATATCTCTCTAAATCCAATCACTCTTGCATTGGGCGACAAACATGACAGTTTCAGGCACGACGCTCCCGATGCCTGCGAGGATGATGACGAAAAGGAGGCGCGCCGAAGGAAAGAAGAGAAAAGGCACCTGGTCGAGAAGCTCAAGCAGCACTCCATATTCAAGCGCGTCCCATCGGAAAAGGAGAAGGCGCTTGCCAAGATTGTGAACCAGATCAACTGGGCGTGGGAGCTGGAGAAGCTGCTTCAGAAGAACGTCTCGCGCATTGGAACACGCCCTAAGAGGAGCCTCAGCGTCTCAGAGCGAGTGGTAGAGTCGGCGACCAACGCGCGAGACATGCTCGTGGTGTGGATTTGGAACCAGTTCACTGTCTATGTCTGGCCCGTCATCAAGCGGATGTTCGTGTTGGGGCTGGTGGCTCACCGGATTGCTGCTGAGGTACTTTTGCGCATCCTGGAGTGGCGGGCACGGCCGAGATATGCCGCCCTAAAGGACGTATCGGCCACTGCGCAGCAGGTTGAGATCCGACTACAGCAGTTCTGCTACTGGCCGATGCAATATGTCACGCTGCGGCGCCGGGAGAATGACTGGGATAGCGTGACAACGAGCCATCCCGACTACATTCGCTTTTACAACAGCCTCTGGCTGGTGGCCAACGATGTCATCATCGGGATGGCGCTAGGTTCGTACATCATTGACAATGCTGACCGGGTTGCCCAACAAATAAGCCAGCTCCTCACAGAGTACACGGTTGAGGCGCTGCAGAGTAGCATCTCCTGGCTCATGGGCTGGCCCGCGGGGTTGAAGCTGAACAACGAGCTTGCGGTGTTCCTCGGAGACTTGTTCCTGTGGGTTATCGACTACTGGTCAAGTATGCCTCTCCACAAGCACAGATTGTGGGGCCGCGGGTTTGCTAACGCTGGTGTAGGTTTCATTGAGGCACTACGTCCCATTCTACCGCACATCATCTGGTTTATCGGATTCTCCAGCTTTGCCGGAGCAAGCATGCCGGTGGCCCTCTTCTCAGACCTCCTCTCGATCCTAACAGTACATATCTACTCGTTTTATCTTGCCTCGGGCCGCATATATCACTGGCAGCTGAACATCCTGATCTCGCTGTTCCACCTGTTCAGGGGCAAGAAACACAACGTGCTCAGGAACCGTATAGACTCATGCGACTACGACCTCGACCAGCTACTAGTCGGAACGATCCTCTTCACCGTCCTTTCTTTCCTTCTCCCAACCGTGGTGGTCTTTTATCTTAATTTCGCGATCGCACGCATGGTCATCATCTCCTTGAAGGCCGTCTTTGACACATTGCTTTCTTGCTTAAATCACTTTCCACTTTTTGCGCTCATGCTTAGGATTAAGGATCCAGGGAGGCTTCCAGGTATGTTGTTCAACGCCACAACACAAGAGTGCAAAGAGCGAAGAGCTGACACAACCGCCATAGGCGGTATTCGTTTCGAACTTCGAGATACCCAAGACTTTAAACATTCGATTAATGGTTCATCCGAGCAACTCCCTTCCACGTCTGTCATCTATCTGAAGGTGAGAGCTACCGATCGAGTCTGTCTCGTCTTGCCGAACAGGCTAAACTGATCGCATGCACAGTCGGTACCGCTGCAGTTCAAGGCCATGTTCCACCAGTACTTCCAGATGGGACATCGGATTCGCAAACATTATCTCGCTCCACGCGTCTTGCTCTGTCTGATTACGGGCAAATTTGTCCCGCCGCTAAACCGGAAGAATTTATACAGCCTCCAGTACAGCATGCTTCCGGCTCGGAGGGCAGGTGTCATGGAGATGTGGAACGCGGTCAACTCGCTGCCAGAGCCGAAGAAGAGGATCGCGCCGGTCCATGTGCCGGTCCTCGCAAATGGCATGAAGCTCCCCAGTAATTATCGCGGAGGTAAGCCGCGGGGTTACGGGTAGGCAATTCTGATAGAGGAACGAATAGATGGATTAGGGTCTTCTCTAAATCTATAACCAAGTCTCGAAAGCCAGTGAGAGCTGCGCAGCAAACACATCCAAGGGGTGTCTAAGCCCACAAAACTCCTTTCAAAGGACTTGGAATTTTAAGGATATGTTAAGCATGACCTCTGCATGTGCATTCTTGATTTTTTGTAGTGTGTTCTTTTTGGGCAACATAGACAGGATCCCTTCACAAGCTGGTGTCTGCCAGGGACAAGTTGGACAGCTCCTGGACTGGTACTGTACACACCAAGACACCTTCGCTTGAACCCGGCATACTGCTATGCATAGCAACGTCACTGAGCAGCGGAATTTCCCACTTTTCAAGAACCGTACCGGTAGGTAGTCGTTGAGCGCGCTCAGTGGGCTCCATGCAGTCATGGAAACCTTGCGGGGTTGAAAATGCCTGGCTAGAGACGGGACTGTACTTGACTATTATATCAAGAGCAGTGCGAAGCTAGCACTGATCTTGTGAACAAGTTGCCAACACTGGCTAGTGAGGCTGCCCTGAAGCATATAGTAATGTCAAAATGCAAGGTAGGTCAGAGTTGTCATGGGGGACAACTGATGATATCCTCATTGAGATACACAACCACGCTTGCACGCAGGGGTGTAACTGTAAGGTAATTTACGTTTGGCTATGCGCGAAGCTCCTCACATTCATCAACCTCGCGTCTCAAGTTTCGATCGATCACGCGTGCCTGAATCAAGGCAAGCCATACGGAGTACCCCGCGCTAACATCTCTTATACTACGCCGACTCCACCGCGGCTTCCCACTTGTTCTTTCACAAGCGAGTTGACAGCTTGACCCACTCCAAGCACTTTAGCTTCATGCACAAGCAACGACAGCCGGGCACAACTCCGATATAGTGCCCACATAGTCTTGGGAGATCAGGGGGCAGCTATCGATAGTTCGATACCCTGATACTCCCCTGGACATTTTTGGGCGGTGTTGAATGTCATCACAGCATCTCCCATCTATCTGCTTCTTCATGGGCCGGATACAAACATCGGCCTGGGTAAAGTTGGTGTTCATCTGGTTTACTCATCTCATCCAGGAAGCATACGTAAGGCCCCTTGATATGTAGCAGACGTGTGATGCCTTTTTCTGCTGTTTGGCCTATATCCGATACGATAACCTCACCTACGCTTGACCGCCTTCTATTCTTTCTGTCAAAAAGAGCCCTGTGTTCTGACCGATACTCATCTCTCAGACTTTCCTGCCATCGACAAGACTAATCCTCCCACCAAACATCCCATGCTTCATTAAACGACCACACAATTGGCACAATGGAGTCTGATCGCAAGGAACGGTTCCATCGCGGATTCCAGCACACCGTTGCCAGTGAGTATTTGTGCTTGTCCAAGCATCGCGGTGCTATTTCTGACCGACAAAACCCTAGGCCTCAGGGAGCAGATCGGCCAGCTTCCTACCTACGCCACGGTTGGCGGTGAGAGGCAGGATGCAGTCGACCACGTCCTGAGCGCCATCTCGAACCTCTCGAACCAGGTCGCTGATGCCGCTGACTTCCTGCCTGCTTATGACCAGCGCACTTATTCCGACGTCGTCAAGGAACTTAGGGAGCAGCTCAAGGAAACGATGGCCACTTTCACGCCCAAGGCCCGCTTCCAGTTCAAGAAGCGTGCGTCAGATGCCCCCGCCACGTCCGCAGCCAAGCCTGATGCCCGAAAGCTGAATCCGGTTGCCAACATCATCGCCAGCATCGGTGACGATGACGCAGCCTCCCTCGCCAAGCCGGCGGATCATAAGGACATCGCCGGCCCTCTTCTCACGTCGGGTGACAATGAGCCTACCGCGAGGCCCACCAGTGTCAAGAGAAACGACGACGACATCACTATCGCCGACCGCCGTCGCGCGCACATCAAGCTCCCCGCTTCAGTCGTGGTCTCGCGCTCCAGCCCAGCCGTTGGTACGCTGACCAACCTCGAGCGCTGCGTCGTTGACATGTCCGTCGCCACCACGACCGGCGCGCCCTTCGCGAGCCTGATGCTTAAGGACGTCACGGGCAGCGCGATTGCGGCGGGCCACGTTGATGGGCCCGTGCACGTCTCGGGCGTCAGGGACAGCGTGGTAATGGTTGCCGCGCGGCAGGTGCGGATCCACGACTGCAAGGACGTGGTGTTTTATCTGCACTGTGTCAGCAGGCCTATCATTGAGGACTCGATGAGTGTGCGGTTCGCCGAGGCTCCTAGCGCTTACGTGAGTTCACTACGGTGGGTGAGAATCTTGTGAAAGGAGATGGGGTGTGCTGACCAGACTTTTCTGCGTGTGCAGCTGAGTGACAAGGAAAAAGGGGAGCGGAACCTCTGGGATCAGGTCGATGACTTCAACTGGCTGAAGCGCACTCCCTCGCCGAACTGGAGCATGCTTCCCGAGTCGGACGTCATCCCCGATGATGTGTGGAAGCAAGCGCTTGCTGGTGGTCTTGGGGTCGATATTGATGTGACCCTCCAGAGCCTGGGAATCAGGAAGGAGGCTTGAGCCGAAAACCTGGGCTGCGGTCGAAGGAAAGCTCGGCAGGTCACGGAGTCACCGCAAAGAGCAAGTGTATTGTACTTACAGCCCCAGGCGTTATGGCTCGATATGGCTCGGCAAATAACAGGACGATGAATTCCCAACGGAGGTTTTGCAACGATCATTTCTCAATGCGTGCTGACCCCTAGCCAGCCATATCGTCGTGAGCTCCAGGAACTTGGAGTGTCTGGTGCTGCGCCGGCCCACCCGAATACCAAACCATTCAGTCACTGCTGGCTAAGAATGCCGTCCCGGTTCGAGAGCAAAGATGAGCGTCCTACACCTTGCTTGCAGGCAGACCTGATCGATCGGTGACGCCGAACTCCCTCCCAATGCAATCAAGCCCAAATTCCCACCTATCCCGCAATGAACCCATGCGATCTCCGTTTTTCCCCAAACGCCTATCCCCATGGTATCATTTCAACTCCCCCCATCAACCTTCTTCCTACTTTATTCCCGATCCTCCTCTGCTCTCTCCCCTCTAGTAGCCGCCCTCACTCAATCATCCTCCCCTCGTCCTCACCACTCCCCAGCCCCCCAGCCTTGACAAACGCCATTCCTTCCTCCTGCGTCTTCGTCAGCACGCCCGCTCGCGCTTGCCTCCGCGCCTCCAGCCCCGCCAGCTCGGCCTCCTGTAGCGCAATCGACCGCTGCACGTCGTCTAGCGAGCGCATCGCTACTCGCGCCCGCTGTAGCTTGTGCTTGAGGTTATCTGTTGCCGGCGGAAGGTCTTTGACGGTGAAAGGCTGCTGGTTGCCTCCTCCATCCGAGGTGTTGTTGCCGCTGGGTCCCGGTGTTGGATTCGAGGTTGGTTGGGGGGTGGTGCCTGTTACGCCGCTTGCTGCGGGTGTTCCGGCTTGTTGGGCTGTTCCCGAGAGGGAGGTTGGTATTCCTGCGCCAGGCGCGATGGCGGTTGATGTCGTGCCTTGCAGCTGCTGTTGTTGTTGGGCACTACGGAAGCGGGTGAGGATAGACGTGAGCTCGGTGAGGGCATCGACTGCATCCGGGGAGAGACCCTGAGGAAGGTGGCTTGCCATAGTCTCTGTTTGGGGCAGTTGGCGTCGGGGGGCTGTATGTGGTGAAGTACCAGTGGCAAGTCTTTAAGTCGAGTACGAGTCCGTGATGTTGAAATTGGATTGGAGCTTTGGTGGGGCAGGGCCGGCAGGCTGGAATCGTGGAGCGTGGGATCGCTCGGCTGATGGCGCGCTAATCTGCTTTTGAAGCCCCTCTCCTCGGCCACAAAAGCCGCACACAGCATCCATCTCAGCTGCTGCATCGCTCATGTCCTTGACTTAAGATGCCTGACTTTATCTCCTTCTTTTCTTCTCATTCCTCGTTTCTCTATCTAGTTTCTCATCTCTTCCTACTATGTTTCTTACTTTCAGTTTTGAATTACTCTTATAGTGCTAGACCTTTTGGGTTTAGCTACAGGTAAGGCCGAGGAGCTTAGTGTATGTAATTCGTACTCCCTGATGTACAGCTTTTCTCGACCGAGGCGTGGAGCTCCGACGTCACGTTGGGTGAGACATCGAAACAGCAGTGCATGCGATAACGGGCCGACCCCGCCATGGTAACTTACTGTGGTGTGTTTCCTGGCCAGTTTTGTGCCTGACCTTTTTTTTCACGCAGCCCATCTCCTGGCCTTAAATACCACCAGTTGTCCCAATTGAGTTCTCCCTGACACACCAGCTTTGTTTTGGCAAAGTACATATCTACGCTCAGCTTCCCAATCGAAGCAGAACAGCCACAACCCCACAGCACCATGGCTCCCGACCACAAGGCTTGCTTGAGTACGTCCCGCCACGTTGACTACGCGCTAGTCGCCTGCTATATCCTGATGTATTTAGAGTTGGAATGGCTGATCATGGTCCTGTTGCGGTCTTCTAGTCGTAATTGACGGCTGGGGTATCCCCTCCGAGGAGTCGCCCAAAAACGGCGACGCCATTGCTGCCGCCGAGACGCCCGTCATGGACGAGCTCTCCAAGAGCGCAACCGGCTTCACCGAACTTGAGGCCTCTTCCCTGGCTGTCGGCCTTCCCGAGGGTCTCATGGGTAACTCTGAAGTCGGGCATCTCAATATTGGCGCGGGCCGCGTTGTCTGGCAGGACGTCGTCCGGATCGACCAGACCATTAAGAAGGGGGAGCTCAGCAGCAATGAGGTGATTAAGAAGGTTATGGAGGCAGCAAAGAACGGAAACGGGCGTCTCCATCTTTGTGGTTTGATCTCCCACGGCGGCGTGGTCAGTACCCAACCGAGGCATCGTCCAGTGGATGGGGGATCGCTAACTGTCCCGATAGCATGCGAAGCAGACGCATCTGTATGCGTTGCTCAGGGCTGCCAAGGAATACGAGGTTCCCAAGGTTTATATCCACTTCTTCGGTGATGGTCGCGACACGGATCCCAAGTCCGGCGCTGCCTACATGGAAGAGCTGCTGTCGACCATCAAGGAGATTGGCGTTGGCCAGATCGCTACAGTCGTCGGACGATACTACGCCATGGACCGCGACAAGAGATGGGAGCGGAACGAGATCGCCCTGAAGGGCATGGTCCTTGGTGAGGGCGAACATAGCGACGACCCGGTCAAGACCGTCAAGGAGCGATACGAGAAGGGAGAGACGGACGAGTTTCTCAAGCCTATTATTGTCGGTGGTGACGAGGGCCGCCTCAAAGGTTCGCAGAATCCCTGTACCCTAGTCTCCTTTGCTGGTCCGGAGACTAACCATTTTTTGCAGACGGCGACAACGTCTTCTTCTTCAACTACCGGTCCGACCGTGTCCGACAAATTACTCAGCTCCTGGGCGATGTCGACCGGTCACCTTTGCCTGACTTCCCCTACCCAAAGATCAACCTTGTCACCATGACCCAGTACAAGCTCGACTATCCGTTCGAGATTGCCTTCAAGCCGCAACACATGGGCAACGTGCTGGCCGAGTGGCTCGGGAAGCAGGGAGTCAAGCAGGTCCACGTCGCCGAGACGGAGAAGTACGCCCATGTCACCTTCTTCTTCAACGGCGGCGTTGAGAAGGTGTTCCCTCTCGAGATCCGCGATGAATCACAGGATCTTGTCCCCTCGAACAAGAGTGTCGCGACGTACGACAAAGCTCCAGAAATGAGCGCCGATGGCGTTGCGAACCAGGTCTGCAAGCGGCTGGCGGAGCAGGAGTTTCCCTTCGTCATGAACAACTTTGCTCCCCCTGACATGGTTGGCCATACCGGTGTGTACGAGGCGGCCATTGTTGGCTGCGCGGCAACAGACAAGGCTATCGGGAAGATCTACGAGGCTTGCAAGAAGGAGGGCTATATTCTCTTCATTACTGCTGACCACGGCAATGCTGAGGAGATGAAGTTCCCCGACGGCAAGCCCAAGACGTCGCACACCACGAACAAAGTTCCCTTCATCATGGCTAACGCTCCCGAAGGCTGGAGTCTGAAGAAGGATGGCGGTGTCCTGGGAGACGTCGCTCCCACTATTCTCGAGGCGATGGGCTTGCCTGTGCCTCCTGAGATGACTGGTTCTAGCCTGCTGGTCAAGGCTTAGACGTGGATGAAATGTGAGATGAGCTTCATGAGATAAAGTCGAGACAGCGTGTGATATAGAGAGGTTAGATTTGCAGACTTGACATTTGATGTGTCAAGAGCCTGTGTCGCGGGGCATAGATACTAGTAAACTCCTAAGGAATAGATATATCTTAGTGGAAACTGTATGGTAGACATAAAGACCCTAATGAGCTGAGGCTTCATGTTTGAAACTTGAAGCGGCGACTTGGTTCCCTCGGGTGCGGAATCAACTCCCATACTCCTACTGTCTCCCTTTATTCGATGTACAGTTCCCAAGCAAGCGGTGCAACCGACATCGAAAGTAGGGCACTTGTAGGCACATTCCTGTTGGTAACCCAACTTGGATCCTTTTTTGGTGATGGTAGTAGGTACCAACCCAAAGTAAGAGATTGGGTTACGCTGACTCTCCACCTGACTCCCATAAGCTGCGGGCCGTATGGACTGCCAGTAGTGATATGTTTCTGCAAAGGACGACGGGTCGATTCGAGGTACTGTACCAAGTTGTTTGGTTACCTTTTCGGACCCTCACCGTCATCTTCGGTCAGAAAAGCTACGACTGTCTCAACTTCCGTTCACTGAGATTGTTGGGGGTGTTGTTGTTGAGCCCTTGGCTGGTTTGCTGGTACGCGGCAGGGTTTCAGAGGTTTGCCGAGAGAGACTACCTAATAAAGGTGAAGAGGTCCGGCTGCCCCTTGTTCCTGTCCATCGCCGCCCATGGCCTGAATTCAAAGCTATACGGCCATGGTAAGGATACGGACGGTCAAGAGAGCTGGGAGCAACTGATCGTCTCTGCACCTTCCCCATCTTCATGCCAACTCTCTACTCCGCTGGTAAGATATCATACTACACCCGTGCGTGGCGATAAATTCTTTGCACTTAAAGCTGGAAGGACTGGAACTCTCGACGTGTAGAAAGCGGGGGAGCTCCGACTCTGAATGCCCGAGTGTCGGGTGAGCCAGGTTGTTGAGGTTGCGTTGAGGAAGTACCTGGCTGTACCACCTTAGTATCTGCACTCGTGACTTCGCAGCAACGGTACCTCCAATCATCTGCCACGCCGGTTGCGCCTCGTTCCGGGCGCATGAGGGTCGCCGTGAGGGGAAAGGGTAAAAAGGGAAGCAGCGGCCCAGGAAAGGCAACTGCAGGCTGGAAGCACCCGAGGGAAGGCGCACAATTGCACAAATAAGGAGGGCTCCCGCTGTTCTGCCGACTTCAACCTCATTTCTCCTGTCCCCCTCACTCTCAACAACAGACACCGGTGACTTCAAGATTGACTACGCAACAGCGACAACATCAACATCAGATATCGCGAATGTCAACATCGGATTATGTTGCAGACCGCAAGGACGCTAAGTAGCCCTGGTTAACGGGGAAACGCACATTAGTTGTGGCCCCGGTGGATCTCGATCGTGGACCACAATTCCGAGTGGAGAAAACGGTGATGTCGTCCACTTTGTTATCGCACCGTTTCTATCCATTTGCTTCTTTGCGCGGTTAGTTTCCTGCTGTGCTCATTGCAGATCAAGTGACTGCACCTGGCATCCATGATCGATCAAGACGGAGGAGTATTTTGGTTGCTTGGTGGAAGAAGCGCTGCGTGTCTGAGAGAGACAAAAATGAAATTTTGTGATGGTGGTTTTCCCCCCAGGAACCTGGGAAGGATGAATCGCCTTGGGTAATGTTACAGGTCGACGCCGGCAGTGCCGGCGACTAGACGGTCGGATTGCCCTTGAAAGTTCGCCCCGATCTAGGTTCTATATGGTCCCCGTCTATGGTGCTGCGATTCCCGCCATTATCCCATGCACACTTCCGCCCGTCTCAATAGTCTGTGCGATGTGCTGGAATCGCATAGGACCATGAACCTCTCGTACACACCCCTCCCAAGTCGTCCCCTGATCTCCAATATGTACAGGCGATCGACCGCTCCCAACGAGGCGCCGCCGCCAGTCCCGTCCGAAGATGGATAGGATGCGTTTAGGTCTGGATGGCGGTCAGGATACGATTCCGATGCTCCAGGGCATGCAATTTCTACGGTGACACTTACGAACTTGGCCATGAGGGCAACCATGAGATCGAAGAGACCGATGGCTTCGACGAAGGCGAAACCCAGAATGGCGTAGGAGAACAGCTGGCCACGAAGGGCAGGGTTGCGGGCAACACCGTTGAGGAGGGCAGCGAAGACGAGACCGATACCGATACCAGCGCCAGTCAGACCAATGGCAGCCGAGCCCATGCCGATGTTCTTGGAGACCTCAACCATGGCCTGGGCGATCTCAGAGGAGTAGGCACGGCGCTGGACAGTGAAGGCCTGGCGAGTGGTGGCATTGATGATGGAAGACATCTGCTGGCGCTTGACGGCCTGGAGAGGAGAAGCCTTGCTGGCGACTGCGACATAAGAAAAATTTTTCCTCAAGTTAGATCGATGGTCCGGATCACTATGGCATCATTGCGGTTGCGGCACGCGTGCCAAAACTCACCGGTCATGGTCCGCTTGCTGGAGTTGGCAATGGTGACGCGAGCGGCCGGGCGAGCGGCCGGGCGAGCAGCCTTTGTGGCCATCTGCGAGGCCAGTCTCGAGGCGAGCACACGGGTGGAGGCCATTGTGACTGATGGGAAGAGTATTATGAGAATTGAAAGACGGATCGGCAAGGAGTGGCGATGATACTCTTGGAGGTTGAGGCAGAGGCGATGGCTCGACTGCTGAGATGAGAGGTAAAAAAGAGGAGGGAAGGAAGAGCGAAATTCAAGAACAGGTTGTCAGCTGGGGAAGCGGAACCTCGGGCTGGTCCGGGCAACGGGCTCAAGCAACGGAATCAAGCGACGTGAGTGGTCAATTGGATCCCAATAGGAGCTCAGTGGGTCAGTTCTGTACAAGCTGGGACACTGAAGAAGAGGAGGGAAAATTTTGCGGCACTTAGGAAAATGGTCGGGGAATCTCGGACGCCGCACGCACAGCAAAATGATGGCCGATCAGCCAACACTTGGGGCTGGGAACTCTCGGCTCACATTTTCACCACACCGACTTGAATATCTGCCTTTGAAGGGCATGGGTTGATGGGCCTAGCAATTTGAAAGCTATCATGTTCCGTTTGGCGCTGTTATAAAGCGGCCGGAGGTCGGGGGTGCGAACGGAGCTTTTGCTTTGGGTTGGTGTCGCCGAAAATTTTCAGCCCGAGTTGATGTCTCAGGCACTGAGGCTCCGGTTTCCCAACCAGGGCCCCCACGACGCCCCCACCCGTACTGAGATGGTCGCATTTAATTCGCCAAAGCTCTGGTATAGGGTCCACTTAAAGTCCACTCCGCTGGGGAATGATGACGGCGGAGTTGGAAAATGCCTCTTCTCCGTTGAGAATCGATATAACGGTATGAAGAAGCGGGGACGGTGCGAACATACTCCGTACAACTTGGAATAACTTGAACAGCACTTGGGAGTCCTGGTATTTTACATGGAAGTGTGGCAAAGCTTCAAGCGATCTCAGAGTCGCTGGCCAAGCTGGAGAACCCAACTGCGAATTCGCCAACCTTAAGACAACATCTGAATGCAATCTAGGTCGGATCTACTACCGGGTGGGACTCTGATTGGCTACCGTAAGCTCTGTTGAAGCCTGAAGCCCAAACAGCTATCGAGGCTTTCAAGTTGCTTATCTTTACACCTTGTTGTACATCACAGTAGAATGCTATAGTAGTTTGCTTGGCATAATATTCAGATCACTGGCCGGTAGTATTTGGGTCTTAACGGTGATATATGAGTGTAACCACGATTACCTCTGCGAGACAGATGGTTACTCATGTTAAAGAAATCTGGAAGCTTGTTAGCCTAAGCATGTGTTACATGCCGGTGCTAGGAACATTGTATGTGCAGATGATGCAACGGGGTTGTTGTGTGACTCGAGTTTAGGGTGTATCCTTCCGCACCTTACCTTATGATACCTACCAGTCAGATATAGAGTCTCAAGGAAACGTGCCTCAAAGCCCGGGTTGGAAGGCTCAAAGCAACGACTCAAAGCAATTGAGCACGATGATATCGCTTTGGACGATGTCGTGGTAAGAAGAGAAGAACTCGAAAGCTAACAACTCATCGGATTAGCTTCATTCATCTTTTATGGTATCATTGGTATGGTCCATTCCTGTACTAATATGTCTCTCGTTGTCCGATATCACACATAATGACTAGGTGCCTTGGGTGATATCGGTGGAAATGCGAGACTCACGACATACAATTGTTTCCGGTAGGTTTGATCTGCGTGGCATTGATCGAAGCTCACCGTCCCGAACGCCCCAACCCTGTACGGCCAGTCCCCAATCACGAAAAACACCATGACACGCCTCAAGCAGCTACTTCTTCTGGTGCCGTCGAACCGTTCTTCATTGCGTATCCCTCAACAAACCCGTTCGGGTCGCAAGCCCTCTCTAAGGGGATCTTATGCGCAGCAACCCACGCCTTGACAGCTGACTGAGAGATGCGGACCCTCTGCACCTGGTCCGTGGCTTCCGCTTTCGTTGTCCCTACGGGGTCGTTGCCGTTGCTGCCATTACTCCCCGGCTGCTGCTCCTCAGCCTTCGGCTCCTGCACCCGGCGCCTGGGCGGGCCCTTCCCGGCATGCTCCGCGACGCCCATCTCCTGCAGTACAAGCAGACAATCTTCGGGCGCTATCCATGTGGCTTGGCTGCAGGCTTCGATGTCAACGACTGTCTCCCCGCTGCCGCCAGGGGAGGATGGCGAGGGGGATGGGTCTAGGCTAAGGATCCAGCGGGCGATTTCGCCGGCCCAGAAGCGCTTGTAACCTCTTTTGCCCAGGTCCGAGATGGGCTTTTCGGGCCCGCCAAGAAGACCCTCTCGTCGAGAGATCTCATACGAGACGCCCATGAGGAGGGCGCCCAAGCCCTTGCGTTGCCAAGGGGGGAAGACCAGGATACAAGCGAGGTTGTTATTATCCCAGGAGATCTTTTCCTTGGAGAAGAATCCGACGATTTGGCTGTGCGGTTGGACGATCTCAGTGACCTCGGCGTCCGGGTTTGTCTGGGGGGCAGGGGCGGTGTAAACAAGGAGGAAGTAGTTAAATCCAGTGACGTCGAAGAAGACGGATTTGTTGTCGAGGAAGAGCTTGGCGAAGAGGGAGAGATTTTGGCAGAAGAGCTGGGAACGCTTAGCATGTCATCACACGAAGGGACCGTGTTGGAAGAGCTTACCACATCCGACTCGCCATCGACCTCCCAAATACTCCACTCACCCTCGTCCTGCACCGTCTCCTCGACCATCTTCTGCCCGACACTTCCGCGTTTCCCTCTCGCTTGCTTCGAGGGCTGTCCCGATGGCACCAAGACTGTCCGCTTTCCCTTGGGATGGGTGTAGATTTTGTTGCCCGGTACATGGCCCTGTCGCTCACACCAGCGGACATGCTCCCACCATGTGACCAGCTCCTTAGAATACTTAAAGCAAGACGGACACACATAGAGCCTATCCAGCATGGACAGGGGGTTGTCTCGGTCCCGGCGTCCGTGTGCCTTTCCGCCGTTTGTTGCGCTCTTGGCCCCGTCATCGTGAGCGGACGTTGTTCCGTTGTTCTTGCCCTGTGCGTCTTTACCGCTCTTCGCAGTACTGCCGGAAATGTCACCTAGTACTTCCTTGCCGTAGTATGATGGGTACCAGGCGCGGAAGCAGATATCGCCAAGGACAACCTTATCGATATTACGGTCCGTCTCGCCACCGTTGCCGGCCGCCCTTCTCCCGCGGTTGGGAGTCACGGTTCTCGTGGGCGTCATAAGCTGGGCTGACTGGGCTACCGACGTCGCCATGATGATTGGCTTGGTGCGTCCTACGGACACCGCTTGCTGATGGGCCATGTATGGTACACCTGCTGCGGAGGTTCTCCTCGACTGTGGCCGCTGTCGTTGTGAGTCCAGTTCTGCCATCTGTGCGGTAGGAGCTGGGGTGGAGAGTTTTGTTGACGGCGCACGGTCGATGTTGATGCCAGACGGGTGGCGGGTTCCCTCAGACACACTGCTATGACGTGTCAAATGCGTCGTTAGTTTCGACACCTGCTCTGGGTGTAGAGGTACATTTTCTTTCCCGCGCGGAGAACGGGAAAGCTGCGCGGTCTCGCCGGTCTCGCCATTGTCGGCCCGCCGGCGACGTCGTCGCGGTTCCGGGTTTGATGGTACAGGCAGCGGGGGTATTGAGCTGTGGCGCGTCGCTCGGCGCGGAAAGGGCGCATTAACAGCGGTGCCGTTGGTGGTAACCGTAGGGGAAGGCTCTAGCCCACCGTCGACACGTTTCCGTTTGAGGTGAGCCGGCATGTGTGCTCGCAGGATGTCTTATCTCGAAGGCGCTGGCGCTGGTAGGTGGTGTCGCACACGCTCGAGAAGTGGGAGCTTGCAAGGGGTGTGACGGGATAGTTCGGGTAGGCGGGGCGCGCCAAGAGATAGCCTGCATAAATCTGTGGGGACGCTTGCCGCTTGGCGCAAGTGTGGGTCACAAGGTATATTCTCTTATTTTAGAGCTTTTCTATCTTGCTTCCCTACTTTCGCAGAAGTTTCGAAGGTCAGGTCAAGGCGCGGTAATCTGCTGCTGCGATGTGTAGCCTCTCGATTCAATGCTTCGGGCGGGAATTGCTGTCTTGAGGCGGTCCGAGACACACCGAGCACTGGTTCACCTGGTGCGTTGCAATCTGCATCCTCGCGCCCATCCACCCTCCCACTGCCCTAGGCTAACGTTCTCTCCGCAGCGCCTCAACCGCCCCGCTACCGTTGCGATTCGTCATCGGTCAAGTGACCGAACACCAGACCAAAATGGCCAAAGACGGGCGGCAGATGAGGTGCCCGAAGAGCCGCGGCAAGCGTCCTTCGACGACCCCTTAGCTGCCATTGAATCCGCAGAACAAGCAAAGAAGCTTGAGCGAGAGAACGGAAGAGTCGAGAGACTAATAGCAAGACATGCTGTAAAAGACTTGCGTGGCAAGAAGGGGGATCACTCCGTTCCTGGGAGAGAACCGCGCAGCGACCCATTTGAGAACCCCCCGCCAGAGTCAGACGAGGTGCTCGACAGGCCGCGGGCTAAACTGTTGGGGCAAGATTTGGAAAAGAACAAGCCAGAGGCAGAAGATCCATATAGCAGTGCTTTGGGCAACTTTGAGCAACACGAGTCTGGAGCCTCAAGGACAAGGCAGTCAGATGTCAGAGACGAAGACAGCAAGGTCCCATATCTGGAGCTCCCAAAGGACCCCGCCCAGCTGAAAGCGTTGCCAACAGGTTTCCATGCTATGACTGAGGAAGAGCAACAGGAAGAACTTTGGATAGTGCATGCAGAACAGCACATGGGCCGGGAATGGGACTTGCCAGACCCCGGCAAGCACACGCCGTATACGCACGACTACCCGCCTTACTCGCCGTCCAAGGTTATCGGCATGTTGTACCGTTGGCGCAACAGGGCATGGACCCCTCGGCAATATCGCCTGGCGCGTGCCATTGCTAGCAATAGAAGCCTGCGCCTCCCTGTGCTGACAGCGCAGGCATGGCTTCGGCGTCACACACTCCTGGCTCGCCGGCGCGGCGTGGAGCTGAAGATGGAGCGATATCTTGGCAGTACTGAAGGATGGAAGATGCGGCTCGCTGAGCTTGAGAGCCAGACTGGTGTCTCCGAGGCGGACATCAAGCAATGGCTTTGGATCCTCGCCCCGAAGAACGGGGACGTGAAGATCCAGCGGTTTCTCAACAGTAACTGCCGCAAGCCACTGTTCCTGCTCCACCTGTTGTTGGCCAAGGACAAGAGGATACAGGAGCCCGCCACGTTTCTGGGACTGCTCCAGTTCATCCGAGACAACTACGTCCTCGCCGACCGGCCGCGGGATGAGCTGGACCACTCAGCGTACAAGGCTCAGGGGCGCGCGATGACCTGGCTGCATTTCCTTGTTTTTCTTTACCGCCTCGTGTACCATTGTCGCGAAGGATGGCCTGCGGCAATGCCCCTCCTGGCACGCCTGGCTGCCGACTACATCGGCACGATGCGCCTCGACACAAATGCGCGGGCATTGACGGGCTATCAAGCTCGGTCGCTCGTGTTGAACAAGGTTCTCTACTACTTATCATGGCCAGCACGTGTCCGTCCCATCGATCACATGGAGCACAATTGGGCGGCGCAAAGACACCTTCTGCGGCTCGCTGCGACAGCCGAGCCCCCCCTCGTGATGGATCAGAACGGCTACCGCGCCGTGAGGACTGTCCTGATCGCGCTAAGCAAGACCAAAGGCGAGGCGAAGAACGCAGATCGGGCTGCCAAGACCTGGCCGCCGTATCGGCGGACATTGGATGGAATAGACGAGCGTCGTGACCCTCAGGATGATCTCAGCAGGAGTGCCAAGGCGGGCATGCTCGTTCGCGCAGCGGGCTACAGCGATGACACTGTCGATCGAGCCATAAGTGCACTGGGTGGATCGACATTTGGACAAGCACCCACGATACAGACACGAGCCTTGCCTCCACCTTTTTTCTCGGGCGCGTGGGCTAGCCGAAATATCTTCTCCGAGTGGGCCGCTCAAGTGAGGGCAACGAGGAACGCCCGGGAAGCCTGGATTGTGTTTGAGAACCCGCCAGAGCCGAACATCAGGCCAAACGCCCAAGTGTACGCCGAGATGTTCGAGAAGCTCTATGCGCGTCTGGTCACAGAGTCGCCAGTGATCCGGCCAGGGGATGTCAGAGAGGCGTTCCCCGTCTACGATACGAATCTCAGTGGATTTGAGATTGCTAGACTTACGCCTCCAAGCCCCGAGGAGCTATACGAACACATGCTGCTGCGGGATAACATCAGGCCGGTCGGTTTTTGTCTCGTGGTTCTCATCCGGAACGCCCCATCCAGGACGGCCGCACTTCGGTACCTGAACGATAGCCCCTACCAGCGTTCCATCCGTGCCCTGCGCGAACCAGTATGGAAGGCAGGCGCTGAGAGCCTCAAGGAACTGTCTGGACTTCCCTCTCCCGTCTTCAACGCCTGGATCACCCTGTTATGCCGACTCCACGAAAGAGCGCCGCGGGAAGACAGCGCCAGTGATGAGCCTCTGGACGAATCCGAGAATGGGGACCTGACTGCTTCTTCTGAAGGCGGCATGACTGAACAGGAGCGCCGGACTCGAGAAGTGTCCCGGGGCGGTTCGATACCGGAGGCCATCTCGCTTGCCACGGCATTCCAGTTGCACAATATAAAGGCGGCTAACCACGACAAAGCCCCGTGGCACACGATCATGCAGGCCCTGGCAGGGCGTAAAATCCTCTACAGCCGCCTAGGGGCCGAGTTCAACGTGCTGGAGACGTTGATGACCTTCTTGAAAATCTACGAGCAGACAGTTGCCTCCAAGGGCGGCGATCCGGTGTCCTTTGAAGCACTCTGCCTCATGATCCGTAAGGCACTGAAGTTGAGCACATTCCAGAGGTCCAACGAGGGAGAGATGGTCCTGCGCCCGCATATCGTGGGTAGCGACGTACTCCAGAAGATGCTCGTTAAAGCACATCGTTATGCAGTACGAATGTTTGCAGAGCTTACCGAACCTGTCGCTGCGGCCGAGGGTAACGATCCACGAGACAACCTCCTCAATGGGCCCGCCAATGGTGCGGAAGGGGAGAACTGGGTGAGTGCGACGATGCTCCGCTACAATGTCGCCGGGCGGCCGATCTACCGGTACATGATGGCGCTGGCGTGCTGCGGCGACCACACGGAAATGGTGCGGCTGATGGACTGGATCCTCGACGGGTGGGACCGTGACTTCATCCGCGAGGAGGCCAAGGCGCCACACAACCTGGACTACCATTACATGGTGCGGACGATTGCCTACTTTGCCGAGATGGGCAAGCAGCTGGTCGAACCGGCCGAGATGGACCGGCTCCAGCAGCGGCTCGAAGATCTCCGAGGGGACAAGGGCTGCACCTGGTTCTGGCCAAGGGAGGGCTTGTCCGGGCCGGGGCAAGACGCGCTCCTGGAGCTCGATACGGACCTAACTCTGGTCGAGCGCTGGACTCGTCTGAGGCAGATGGTCAACTTCACCGAACCTGGGTATCCGGCGCCGTCGCCGCTGTCGGATATGTCGGCGGATCTGGAGGTGATTTTGGGTGAGCAAAAAAGTAATGCCGCTAGTAGTTCCATGTAGACTATTCAAGTTGTCGATATTTCAGATACCCATACACTCGCTCGCCTCCTAGCAATGACTCCGTCCAAAAGCCAGGTACAGAGACGGGCTCTATAAGGGAATTGGAGGTTCGGTGGAAAGAGTGGCCCGGGGTTGATAATAAACCGGGAAAGTCTCGAGCGGAAAAATCACTGCAGGCTCCCGTCATCATCATCGAAGCTCTCCCTTCTTTAACACAGGTAACTAACATTGATCTTCGACCCTGGGTGACAGATGACCCGATACTGCAAATAAGCTCGGTTTCGTTTTCACAAGTCAGTCCTATGTCATCACAAAATCCACGGGTTCATCAAACCTCATTATTACATGCGTGACACGAGTGTTCTGTTTTTGGCAGCTGCAGTCTTCGCTGCGCTGAAGGTGCTCACGTGGACGTTCAGTGTCAATCTGGCAGAAGGGACAAACTGGAAATCTCCCTCCATACCCGGCCCTCAACTTCGTTCGCCCATGCTGATTTCTGACTTCTCGTATCCTCTTCGTTCTCTGTTTTCGTTCCCTGCTCCGTTCTTCCCCTTGCCTGTTCTCCAACTGCCACACAGCTATGGGTATACGGAGTATTCCGTACACTAGTTCGGCCCACACACAACGGCGGCCCACTTATCTTCCCTTCCTTCCTGAGCCTATTGGTCAATTCCGAGCAGTTCTTGACCATTTTCCATCTCCGGCGCGTTCGCGTCAAACAATGCGCGTGCTCCGTCAACGCACCCCCCTGCGTTGGAATGTGGCCCTTTTTGTTAGCAGAAAGGGATATTGATATTTTTGGCGGTATGACTGGATTCACTTTTGCTGGGCTCTCAAATTGGCTTGCCATTGTGTATTCGGTACCACTCCATTCAGGTCGACTCGCTGCTGCCGGGGACCATTGTGCAGACTGAATACACATGCATTTGGCTGTCTAGTATCTCTCTATACCGTATATATTCCGGTTTTCATTGCTATTGTCAACGGATCTCTTTCAAGTTCTTCTTCGGGCACAACAAGTTCGACCCTAAGTACCATTCCCGCCCGGCATATGGCTCTGTAAGCCACCCGACTTCTCAGCCGTACGGTTCCTCTCTATGCCGGCGCCTCACTCCGCTTCCGCCATTCCGCCCTTGCTCTATCCTCATTTGAATTGCGTCACGGAGACCAGCAACGCACCCCTCATACTTTGGGAACGCACCCTCAGCCGGTAGGGCACTGCGCCATTGAGCTCACAACGCTAGCAACTCCGTTCACGGCACCTGATGAGCGTGTCGGCGGCATGGCCCACTGAGGGTCAGGTTCTCAACGATGCGCTTCCTGACTTGTCTTTCGACCCCCAGATATTAGGGAAGTTGGGAGAGCAACCCGAGGATGGAGGGTTCCACCATCTCTTACCGGCTTTCGACTTCTGGCCTGTTACGGAGCAGACGGGCGAGGATGTGTTCAGCGGCCCCACGGCACATCAGGAAGTGGAAGAAGACCCCCGCTTGCTCCGAGCCCCCGCCGGTTCCTCCGGGGCCTCTTCAGAACCCGCTGGTGAAGTGGAGGCTCTTTCGGACACGCCGGCCGAATTTCGAGCTTCGCGGAGTAGAAACATCTGTGTCGAACTGCCAAGGTCGACGCTAGTTCACCCAAAGTCACAGTATGAAGGGTTCACGCCGCCTCTACCGCTCAACAAGGAACGGGACGCCGTGGCCTCGTTGATGCGCCTCGTCCAAAAGCGAGGAAGTAAGACCAAGCAGGGCTGGACCGAGTTCGAGCTGGAGGATTTCAGCTTTTACATTAATGCGAAGTACTATCCTTTCGAGATGCGGCCGCTCCAGTATATGGCTGCCAGGAAGGGGTACGATCGGTTCTACTTCGACGGCGTACTTAGCATGGACGGGGTCAAACATTATGTCCAGAACGTGGAGGTCTTGGAGTTACCAATTGGTAACTACGGCAGCTCCTACGCCACAGTCCAGGGCCAGGTCTGGGTCCGATCCAGATTCAACAGCAACAAGGAGGTATACTACCGCCTCGGCAGGCCGAGGGACGAGTATGCCAGGTTCTACTCGCCGTTTCTGTGGATTGCTGACCTGGCGAAGCATGTCGTCGACTACTCGGCTGCCGTCATCGAAAAACGCGGCCAAGTCGGGCTGAACTCCTTCAAAGAGGACTTCAACCGCTGGCTACTTAAGACCCATGGGAAATCATCGGAATTCCACAAATGGCGGCGCAAGCGCTCAAGCGATGACTACCGTACATCGGTACTGGCCAACATCGACTTCATTTGGAAGGAGATGAACGGTGTGCTAGGGCTGACGAAAGCCGCATCGCTGCAGCTCTTTCGAGAGGCGATCTACTTCAGCCAATATAAGCCGACTGTCTCGAAACCGCTTCCCCCGATCGTGGAGAACGACAACCAGACACCGCCCACCATCGTGACGCCGTACATTAAGGAATGTTTCGGGCACATGGTTATCGGGAAGGTACTAAAGGTCATCGGCAGTAACAGGACGAGTCTACTTGCCAACCCGGACAAACCCTTAGCAACGTCAATGCCCGTTCCTATCCAGTCGAGCAGGCGGACTCGCGATAGCGCAGCAGCGTGCTTTCTCCCGCTCGACGTAATTGACCAGATCAAGGTTGGCGACACTATTTCAACCCCCCGCGATCGCATGGGGGAGACGGATACGGAATGGCGTAAGATGGTGTCCAAAGGAGCGACAGACGACGACAGATGGTTCGGCCTTGTGCAAAACGTCCATGTTGGCGAGGACAAGTCACGCAGCTTCGATGTCACCTGGTTCTACCGGCCGGCCGAAACACCCTGTTGCATGATGAAATATCCGTGGCCGAGGGAGCTGTTCCTTTCCGACAACTGCACTTGCGAGGGGAAGAAGCGTGTGAAGGAGCACCAGGTTCTGAATGTGCTCGACATTGATTGGTTCGGCACACCCAACAGCGGCAGTGGAGAGTTCTTCGTGCGACAGACCTATATCACTGAACCAGGTGCCTGCCGATGGATTACGCTACGGAAGTCCCATATGAGATGCTCCCACGGTCGGGAGCGGCTCGGATTCAGGACTGGCGACACCGTTCTCGCCACACTTTCTGAGCCCCGGGATTTCAGCGACCCGTACGAGGTGGTCAAGATCTTTAAGCAGGGCACCACCACGTTCGTACGCCTGCGGAGACTGCTGCGTCGGACGCAGGTTGAACAACATTTAGATGCGGCCCCTAATGAGCTAGTGTATACCGATCAGCTCGTCGTAGCTAAGGCAGACAGGGTGACTGGGAAATGCGTTGTCCGCTTCTTCCGGCCAGGGCAACCCATTCCAACCCCTTACGACAGGGGAGGCACCGGCAACCTCTTTTATATTACCTACCGGCTCGATAGCCAGGACAATAGCGTTCCTATTAGCACCAGATGCGTGCCGTTTGAGGGCGACTTCCCGCCTTCGCTACGGCAAGGATTCGACCCCGCCAAGCCGTTCCAAAAGCTTAGGGGAATGGATTTATTCTGTGGGAGCGGCAACTTCGGCCGGGGGCTTGAAGAAGGTGGTGCGGTCGATATGCTCTGGGCGAACGATATCTGGGACAGGGCAATTCACACGTACATGGCAAACAGCCCAAATCCAGAATCTACGAAGCCCTTTTTGGGGTCGGTTGACGACCTGCTCCGGCTAGCCCTTGAAGGGAAATACGCCGATAATATCCCTTGTCCAGGGGAAGTCGACTTTATCTTAGCTGGGAGCCCCTGTCCGGGATTCTCTCTTCTTACTCAAGACAAGACGACGTTGGCGCAGGTTAAGAACCAGTCTCTCGTGGCATCCTTCGCGTCGTTTGTCGATTTCTACCGACCCAAGTATGGCATCCTAGAGAACGTCTCATCCATCGTACAGGCATGCCATAACCAGTCCGAAGACGTCTTGTCGCAGCTCTTCTGCGCCATCGTAGGCATGGGCTACCAGGCGCAGCTTATCCTCGGCGACGCCTGGTCCCACGGCGCCCCGCAGTCACGTACCCGTATCTTCCTATACTTCGCTGCGCCGGGGCTTCAGCTCCCGGAAGCGCCGCTCCCGTCACACTCGCATTTGCCTACAGTCAAAAACCGCAACCTCGGCAAGATGTGCAACGGTCAAGGTATCGTTAGGCGCTCCTTCGAGCCCACCCCGTTTAAATTCGTATCTGCGGCCGAGGCCACATCCAACCTTCCACCCATCGGCGACGGCAAAGCCGAGCCCGCCGTCGCCTCCTTTCCAGACCACCGAGTATGCGGCGGGCTTACATCCAACACGTCCACGTCGCCAGGAGACTCAGCCGGACTCCGACACCAGATCGCGTGTATCCCGACCCACCCGTACAGTATGTCTTTCGCCAAAGCCTGGCACAAAATGGGCGTTATGACCCCCGCCGACCGTGCGCTCTTCCCCCAAAAAGGCTTCCGCGTGGAGTGGCCTGAATCTAGAGGGTGGAGCCGCGTTAAGCCGAACGATGTCTTCTCGACTGTCACTACTACTTGCGCGCCGACGGATGCTAGGGCCGGCACATGGCTGCACTGGTCTGAGGATCGGCCGATCACTGTGCAGGAGGCCCGGAGAGCGCAGGGGTTTCCCGATAGGGAGGTGCTGCTAGGCACCCTGGCCGATCAGTGGAAGCTCGTGGGAAACAGCGTCGCGAGGCAGATGGCGCTAGCGCTTGGCTTGAAGTTCCGCGAGGCCTGGGTTGGGAGTTTGTACGAGGACATGTCCGGGAAGAGTGAAAGGGGTATGTCGGAGAGCGTGGTGGAGACGACGTCCACGGCAGAAAACGGCAGCTACCGTCACATCGTCGACCTCACCTCGGCTTCGCGGTCAGTCAGTCCCGACAAGACGATTAATGGTGTACGGGACACGACAACGCCGGCGTCGGTCGCCAGCAAGTCAGCCCAAGTTGCGCGGATGAAGAAGCGTCAGCTGTCACAGTCACTACAGCGAGAGGAGATGGAAGAGGAGGAGCGCTCGCCTAAAGTTCTACGACTGGACAGCGCGGATTCAATTCCGGCCGCGACGAATCAGATGGCAGAGGAGTCGGTTGATGGTATCGGTGGATCTCTGAACTGGGTTCCGATGACAGAGCCTACGCCATCTCCAGAGGCGGAGGGAGTCATGCCCGTCCCGGCCGGGCTGACGATTGTTCGGCTCTCAACACCGGAGGATGTGGGGGCCTAGGGGGTCACGGATAGATAACAGGTACTCGGTGCATACATACGGTCCATACAAAGTAGAGGAGCATACCCCATGGGTTGGGCATACAGAATCCCTATCGGTTGGACGGGCAGGTTGATCAGGGCGGTGCCAGGGGGTGGAAGATGAGCATGTGCATTAGCATCAAGACGTGCAGAATCTGGAACATTCAGTGAATGCGGGGATCAGATTGAGCATCTCCTCGGATATCGTCGATTACACTTCAACCACATGCTATAGCCGGTGAAGTTGATGCTGGTTGCGTGACCCAGCTTTCTGTGCTCTGTGTGCCCTGGAAGCTCCTGTGGAACTTCCACATGGAAGGTGCACACCATGCCCCATGCTCCTTGCTGATGTCTGTTTCAGGGGTCAGGGCCCCACGGTACCAGATCTGGCAGGCTGGGCACCAGCGATTGGTTGACAGTGTCCCAGATCTGCGACTGCCCTGGTTTACCCGCAGCGAAGCAGCCAATGACGAGAGACCGGCTCTTGTTTTACAAGCAGCTGGCAACCGCACACCCACAGCTTTTTGAACTTTAACCCGACTTTCAACGATGGCGCTTACAGAGCACCGACATTGACAAGCAAGCGGTCGGACTACGGTCCCGAAAATTTTGCTGGTTATGGGCCTTCTTTCATTGACCCCTAGTCCCCTACCAGGCCATTGGGTCTCGATTGACGCGGTGCTGGCCGCCGCGTCGTCCCATCATCTCGCATGCCTTTGAGGCGTCCGAAGGAGACATGGACAAAAGGCGCCGACAGCAAAAAGGACGCCATGTCACCTCGGCCTTGTGGGCGGATTCATTGCTGGCCGTTCGACTCGCCGCAGCGCGTCTGGCCACCGACGCACTAGGTAGAATACGAAAGAATTGCCCGCACCTGCTTTGGGTTGCTCCCGCCGGCGGTGACCGGGGCACGATGGAGTCATCGTGAACAACCGACTCTTCCTCTTCTCTCTGCCTGCCGTATTGCTTATCTTGTCCTGAATGCCATCTGTCTCCCTCCGGACTTTAGTTGCGGCTATCTTCTTTAATCCCCCGTTGTCCTATTCCTTGTTGGTCTGCCGTGTTGCTATCCTTGGGCATCCGAGTCATTGTCCCTTTGCCTCTACCGCGTGATTGTTCTTCGGCGGCACACGGGTTGTGGTACCAACACACGCAAGAAATTCTATCTTGGTCACTCATTGAGGCAGCTACTCTGCTTTCCGTCCTACACAAACTAATCACTACTTCTACTTTGCTTTCCTTTCGGGCAGGCACCCGCAACTATCAGGTCTTGAAGATCTCTTCCCGGTTCTCGATTCTCACCACTTAAAAATCTACTCGACATACACAACAACCACCTTCACTCCTTCCTGACAGGCTCAGGAGAGATGCGTACCACAACGTTACTATTACACGCGCTGGCGCTCGTCGCCGCTGCTGAGGCGGGTCCGTTGAGGAGCCGTCCCCGGCACGAGGCGGCGGCAGCCAACGCGCCGAGACAAGCCGACTCATCGCTCGTCACCATCACAGTTCCAGTGCCGACAGCAGTGCCGTCGACTACGGCCAATGCTGCTTCATCTACGGAATCGGAATGTTCAGATACCGAGTCGTTATCTTCGTCGGGCGTTGGTCCCTCAACTGTTGGGAGCTCTACGTTCGCTACATCGACGATAGTAGCGGGTTCAGAATCCTCCGACGTAGCGACCTCACTCTTCACCAGCGCGGGGATCCCAGGTTCAACGGGTCCAGCGAGTCTACCTACCGTCAGCTCGCCAAGCTCAGTGTCAACCGACACCTCTGAGACGTCCGACTTGGTCAGCCTGACCAGTTCATTATCCACCATCATCGCAAGCACATCCTTGACCGAGTCGCCGAGTTCATCTTCCTCCAGCGTTGCTAGCTCTCTGTCGTCGACCAGTTCAACGAGCTCATCAGTGACCCTACGCAAGTCCCTCACGCTCCCGCTTGTGGCAACATCGGAGTCCAGACCCGTGGTCACTGCGATCAACCCGCCGTCGACGGTATTGTCGTCTCCATCATCTTCCTCTTCGGCTACGAGTGAGACAAGCACAAGCCTTTCAGTCTCCTCTAGCGTAGCCAGCTCATCCATTGCAACGGCAACCCCGTCGAGCTCTGTCGTGGAGACGGCTTCATCCTCCGCGAGTAGCGGCGTGTCGTCCATCCCTACGGCGGCCGCGTCGAGTCCTGTTGTTGGAACGGCGTCGGCTGCCCCAGTTACTGAAAGCTCATCGCTTTCTACGGGCCCGGGGTTGAGTACGGCCAGCGGTTCTAGGTCGGTGTCCTCCACCGTTGTTGCGGGATCAACCACGCTTGGTTCATCGGCTTCCGCGTCGGCCGTTCCCAGCCTTGCCTCGTCCACCGGACTACAGGCTTCCAGCAGCCTGTCCTCCAGTCTCACTAGCACCTCATCCTCGACCTACGCCACCGCGATAAGAACCCCCAACTCGCAGGTCCCGACCGTCATTTCCACGGCCCCTGCCGCGACTGGCACCGTGGCCACCAACGTGTACCAGGCCAACCTTAAGGCTGCACAGGGACTCAACAACATCTTCGCCACCTTGACCGAAAATTCAGCCTGCATGGCTGGCCAGGCCGCATGCGTTGCTGGAGGATTGGGAACGTGCGCCAACGGCGGCGCTTTCCAGATCATCCCTTGCCCCGCCGCTGGCTCTGCCTGCTTTGCGCTGCCCATGAATACGACCGACGGCGTGATTGTAGGATGCGCGAACATCGACGAGGCCAGGCAGATCCTGACCACGATTCCGGCAGGGATGGTACCGACTTCGTCGCCGGTGGCATCCTCCGCCACCGTGTCTACTTTATTGCCGTCCACCTCTTCCACGGCTTCCTCAACTGGAGCGGCGCCTTCGACCAGCTCAGAGGTCTCTTCGTCGTCCAGTCCTTCCTCAGTAGCCAGCTTAACAAGCCGCCGTCGCATTACCAGCAGCATTACAGTCACCGTCCCGGCCGAAACGGAAACCGTGACCGTGACAGTCACTCCCGGGGCTACTGCACCGTCGTCTTCCCAAGCGAGCACTAGCTCCCCTTCGCAGTCGGCACCTTCGGTCATCGGATCGTCGTCTTCCGTGCTCTCGTCTTCCGCGCTCTCGTCTTCCGCACCAGCCAGCTCTTCTTCCCAATCATCAACCTCCTCGGTAGTAGCAGGACCCATAACCCGGACGGCTACCGTGACTGCGTCCACGGGAATCGCGACGATCACGCTGACAATCAACCCTGATCCCCTCGGACCGTTCCCCACCTCCTTCCCCTCGATAGTAGTACCGACGACAACCTCCTCGTCCACAGCCAAGCGCCCACAGTTCTCGCTCCCTCCTGTCTTCACGCTCCCGTCCTCCATTCGCTTCACGACGGTCACCACCCGACCTACTATCACCACCTCGATCGACAGCTCAAAGACGACAGTCAGGACGACAGCCACGAGGCTGACCTCCCTCGTTATCATTGAGCGCGGCGAGGCTCCGACTTCTACCGCTACCGTCGGCGTATGAAAACATAAATGTGAGAAGGCCAGGATTACGGGCCAGCGTGACACACTGTTGGCTGAATGAGGAATTGATTATGGGAACAAGTAGGAGTTGGAGGCACATATCCAGCATGTCGTCTATCACTGTCATACTTCAGTTTTACTTCTTTTCCTTCTTTACAGCATACCACGTTTAGATGCGCACGACAGGGAGTTGGGGGCAACCTGCGGATTTGTTTACCTCAAGAGACGCTATTCTGGTTTGGTTAAAGGGGGCGAGTTTGCTTTGCTTGTCTGTGAACAGACAGACCAAGTCCTTGCTTTAGTTACAGGAGAATAAATACAAGACTGAAATGTCAGTTACCATAAGAGCTGAGAAGCACCAACATCCATATGGTAACGGTATAATTGACCTGGAAGATCCTATTCTACTACCCAGCGGATTCATACCACGTGCAAACTACAAGCTACTCCAGCAGTATGCTAGCATGCAAATACAGCCAGTCCCAATGATATCCCTCCCCAAACAACGATGCCCTCCACCGAACATAGTAGCCATGCCCGATGCTACGCAATGCAATTCCATATCCCGAATACACAACCATAGATATGCTCCTCTAAGTTGTAAATGTGTAGCCCATGCAACGCCAATATACTCCGCTCCCTTAGCTCGTGATCGTCATAATGGTAGTATTGTTAGCCACTCAATCACCGCTTCCTTCTGAACCGACTGTTATGCGCCGGCCCGCCCTTGGCCCCGGAGTTCCTCAGTTTGAGCCGCTTGAAGTTTGCGTGCGCCGTGGCCTTGACCTTGCGCACCGCACGCTTAACTACGCCTTCACTCTTCTTCTCCTGGCTGGGTTCGGTTGTGGCGGCTTTGGCTTTGGCTTTGTTCTGCTTTGTCTTCCGCTGTTGCCGTACCTGATCTTCGTCGTCTTCTGATCTAGTGCCGTCAAATTCGGCGTCAGAGGGGGCAGCGTCTGAAAGACGCAGGTCATCACCATCGCCCTCTGCTGCTGGTGTGGGGTTGGAAGCGTGGCGCTGCGTCTCCGGAACGATGTCATCGCCTTCTTCATCTTCCTCCTCGTCAGCTCCGGTATGATTCTGGGCTGGCGGCCGCTTCGCCCGTGTCGGGCGCATGTTGACCAAGCGCGTGGTGCGTTTCTGCCCGCGTTTCTTGAATTGGCGCAGCGGTTGCTGCTGCTTCCTCTCTTCACCCGCGCTGTCGTAGAATCCCTCGTCGTCAAAACCGGACAGCAACCCAACGGGCTGCTCCTCAGCCAGTTCCTTTTGATCTTTCAGCCTTTTAACCTGCCCGTCTCCAGCCTCCGATGTGTCCTTCTTCGTCGTAGCAGCCGAAATCCCGCCTTCGATCTCCCGCAGGGCCTCTTCCTCATCCTCAAAAGCCTCCTCCTCCATCTTCCGCAGCCCGGCCACAACGCTGCTCAGGGTCCTGGCCAACCCCAGCTTGCGCGGAAGCCGCAGCGGGCCGATCTTCTTCCATGACTCCTCGTCGTCCCCTTCGTCCTCCTCGGCTACCCCAGAAAGGGCTGCGGCTGAGCTCACCGCGGTGCGCCGGCGGAGGAAGGAGGGCGTGGCGCTTGTGGGCGTGGAGCGTAATTTTGAAATACGTTTGGAGGAGGGGGTTTTGAACGGGGTTCTGACATTGCCCTTGTCGTGGCGCTCCTGGAGGGGTGTTGTTCTTGTCTGGAAGAGTTGGACGGTGCGCTTGGACATGGGCGTGGAGGCAAAACGGGTGGTCGTAGGGGTCATGGTCGTCATGGCTTGCGGGAGGATGTCGCTGGTTGTGCGCTGCTTGCTCGGTGTAGCGGCCGGAACCGCAGCGTCGGCGTCAGTGACGGGGCTTGCGAGGGTATTGTCTGCTGCCGTGGACCTTGACGGGGTGCGGCCGAGGAGGTCGAAGAGTCCGAGGACGTGTCCATCTTTCTGAGGGGTTGGGCTGATGGACGTTGGCACCGCTGCGACCGGGGTCTCGGCTGTCCGGTTCAGAGACGGCGTGAGCATCGCAGTGGCTGCTGAAGGTGTCTGAGCTCCATGGGACATATGCTCGGGCAGAGAAGACTGGGCTTTGCGTGGTGTCTGCGCCGTTTTAGGTCTTTTGGAGGGGGTGTGTGGAGGCGGCAGAGCGGCCTCGGGATGCGTCCGTTTGCGCTGCTGGCGGCCGTGAGTGGCTTCGGCTGGATCCGATGGAGGAGGCGGGATCTTGCCGGCGAGTATGTCACGGAGTTTGTTGTACTGTTTATATTTCTGGGCTAGTTCAAGCTTGTCAGCATGGTGGCGCAACCACAAATATAGAACTTGGAGGCCGTTGACAGCACGCACCAATGTCTGGATTGCGCTTGATGTCGTCGCGCCCCGGCTTCTTCCCGCCATGCTCGGTCGCCCAGTCTGCTTCCCATTGTTTAAGCTTGGCACGCAGTTGCAGTGATTGGTTTTCATAGGCCGCCTTGGCCTGATCGTCCATCGTGCTGTGTGGCATAATGAGAAGTGTAAAGGCTTGTTGCGATGGAATGGGATGAAGGTCAAGTAGACAGCGCAAGCGCGTTAGTTCAACAGTTAGGACGCGATAAGAGACGCGGTAGGACGCGTTCCCCGCATGCACATGAGATCATGCTTGGCAGAAGCTACTAAGGTGTACTAATACAATACAACACAGATTACTAGCGTATGGTACAGATTACGTACATACGTACGTACAACAGCGAGGCTATACTGCCAAGCAGCCAAGCACCATCAATGCCCCGCCCCACTCTGTCGGTTCCTCCACCGGGCGACCCGTTATATGGACCTTGATAACTTCATGTAAGTCGGGGCTCGGGACGGTTCCTCAGCACACTGCCAACTCCGGTTCCTCCTCCATCTTCAGCGCACTCTGCAACTCAAGTTCATTCACGCCACAGCGCACCACAACCACCCCATGGCCGTGGTGGAAACCGGCAGCTCCGATGATATTCAAGCCCAAGTTCTCCAGACGACTCTTGCCGAGATAGAGGCATCCCGACAAAAGGCTACCGGCTCGGACTCGACTGACGACGACGTCAAGCCGCGCAATTGCTGCGTTATCTGCCTCGATTCAATTTCTGATTCCTGCACCGCTTTGCCCTGCAACCGTATGTCAAGCATGTCCTCTTCACAGTTTCGGGGCGATACAGTGCAGTACCGCTGACTACCTAGTGTTGAGTAGACGCACACTTCGACTTCTGCTGCCTCCTCCGCTGGTTGGAGCAACACCCGAACTGCCCCCTGTGCAAGGCAAACGTTTACAAAGTCCGATACGCTGTCCCCCAGGATCCTGCGGTTATCTACCGCGTGCCAAACGCCGTCAGGACACGCGACAGTGCAGGACGAGGTGAGCATACAGTTGGCAGCCTTCGGGACTCAGGCAGACGCCAGCCGCGATTGCCTCCCTCCGAGAGTGAGGCAGTCCGACGCCGTCGCCACATCTACCGACACCAACTATACTCTCTCCGTAAGCAGAACCTCTATGCTCTCTCTCCTGGATCTCGCAAACCTGGCCTAACCCAGCCTTCGTTCGTTTCATTCTTACGATTTCAGACATAGGCTCAAACCGCATCTCCGGCTACCAGCCCCTGCCCACGCCGGCCCAGCTGTCCTCCACCCCACACCTCCTGTCGCGCGCCCGCCTCTGGATCCGGCGCGAGCTGCAAGTCTTCTTGTTCCTTTCTTCCGACCCCGACGCCGATTCCAACGATCACCATAACAACAACAGCCATAACAGATCCGCACGCACACTGCGCCGCCGCAACAACGCCGAGTTCCTGCTCGAATACGTCGTCGCCATCCTCAAGACGGTCGACATCCAGGGCAGCATGGGCCAGGCCGAGGCCATGCTGGCCGACTTCCTCGGGCATGACCACGCCCGTCTGTTCCTGCACGAGCTGCGCTGCTGGCTGCGCAGTCCGGCGCCGTCCCTTGCCGCGTGGGATCGCGAGGTTCGGTATCCCGAGGTTACTCGCAATATCCCTGTCGTGAGAAGGGGGAGTGTGGCTAGGGAGGATGGAAGCGAGGGCGAGCGTGGGGACCAGGGTGAGAGAGCATGGTCCAGTGCGAGTACAGACGGCAGAGGAAGGGGCGGTGCTTCGTGGCAGGACCGGGCCGGGGATCATTGGCGGGCTGATAGCCAGACTAGTGCCGCGTCGTCGGGGGAGAGGAGGAAAAGGAAATTAAGGGAGGATGATGATGAGACTGGAAAGGGGAGAGCGAATCGGACGGGGAGGTAAGATGACCTGCCCCCTACAAAGCTTATGGTGACATGGGGAGGAACCGGTCTGTTGAGTATGACGATGATACCCGATCTTTCAGATTATTTTGAATTGAGGCTTCAATACTATGACGGAATACGACTTTCCCTTTTCTACGACCGGTGCCTCTATGTCTATGACCCAAACCTTCTAAAAAGATATCCTCTCCCACCTGACTGCTTACATTCTCATAACATGGCCTTCCTTCGAACCCTTATCGGCACAGGCCTGTCAAACCGATGATCCCCCAGCGGATACCGGTCGTACAACGACGAAACCTCGCGTGCCCCGAGGGGATCAACCAACTCGATATCCAGCATCCGCAGGAGCAGCGCGTTCGTGCCCATATTGAGCCGCCGCGCAAACATCTCGCCGGGACACCGGTACGACCCGCCGCCGAAGGGGTAGAAATGGCCCTCGAGGCCACTGCTCACCAGGGTCGCGCGCTTGTCATCCTCGGGCGTCCTTTCCTTATTAGGCGGCCCTCCTGCTGCTGCCCCCTTGTCTGCCCGGTTTGGGTTGTTTTTGTTAGGGGGGCGCATCGGTCCGCTGAGGGGATCGTCGGGGTACGACAGGAAGCGCTCGGCCCAGAAGGCCTCCAGGGGGTGTTCCTGCCGCCCGTCCGGCAGGGTCGCGCCCGTGTTCCAGAAGGTCTCGTCGCGGCCGGCCAGCCACGAGACGGAGAGGATCGGCGTCCGGGGCTCTGTCTTCCACTTGCCGGCGAGGAGATAGCCGGGCGTCTTGGGTACGCGCGCGACGGGGCCGAGTTGGCGCAGGCGAAGAGTCTCTCGGAAGACCGAGTTGAGCAGCGGCCCCGCGCAGAGGTCTGAGAGGCTGTGGGGTTGGAGGGCGGTGCTGCCGGGCTCGAAGGCGGAGTCCATCTCGGTGATAATGCGGTGTTTGAGATTGTCGGATTGTAGGATGTGCAGTGTGGTCCAGAGCGTGGATGGGGTCGCGTTGGCGAAGATGCTTTTTTGCTCGCTGGTTAGCAGGCTTGTCTGTCTGTGTTGTGCCGAGAAGGGGGATTGGGACATAAGGTAGTACATACACGGACAGGTAGCTGAGCAGGCCAGCAGCAATCCCCTTTTCGCTGAGACCGATGTCCGCATATACCCTGACCAGTCTCTTGGTCATGTGGGTGCCCCAGACCGGATCAAAGACTTCGTCGTCTTCGCGACCAACATCACCATCACCTCTCTCCAACTCGCTCTGCGCCGCACACCATCGCTTCCAATCGATGAAATTCCGATGCATCTTGTCCCGCGCTGCCCAGATCCCGGGGTTCAGCCACCGGGGCACCTTGAGCAGCAACATCGGGAGCGCCTCGTAAAAGGCCCAAAAGTCGCGGTACAGGTCCGGACAGACACGCAGCAAGCCATCGCCGAACACGACGCGCGCGACGGCCTCGAACATGCGCGTGGCCACGAAGGCGTGCAGGTCCGGGAACTCGGTCCATCCGTCGCCGATGCGGACACCATCACCATCAACGAAAGAGGAGGAGATGCTCCCAGCAAACTCGTCCAGCACGCGGGCCATGATGCGCTGCAGGCTCTGCCCCTGCAGATACACGCGGAAGTCGAGGCGATGCTGCTCCATGGCGTGCCGGGAGACGTCGACGGCGGCGAAGCCTGTCGGCGGTGTTGTCGAGCGCTGGCCCGGTCCCGCGATCGGCTTGGTGGTGTCGTGCTGCTTGAATCTGCGCACGTCTTCCTTGGGCAGGCCGAAGAAGATCGTCAGGGCGGTGAGTAGGGCCGGCGCGGGCACCGCGTGCCGCGAGTCGCGGAAGAGGGACTGCATGGCCTCGCCGTGCGGGACGAAGTAGAGGATTCGGTCCATCATGAAGAGCCGGAGCGGGTTGCCGCCGAAGGCTTTCCTGACGTCCTGTCTTAGTTCGTGCGCTGAAAACACAGACGGCGATCCCCCTTTCCTTAAGCAACAAGTGAAAGTAGGAGCATGAGGGGACAACCCTTACTGGAGGTAGCGCTGGTAGCGTCCGCTGTCGAGGACAAAGGAGGGATAGCTACCCAGCCATGGCAGCCAGTACGGCACGGGGGTGGGCTCATGGAGGCCCTTGCCGGTGACGCGGAAGAGGAAAGAGCTGACGAGGGTAATCAGGTATGTGAGCAAGAAGGGAGTTGCAAGGAGAAATATGGCGGCAAGCCCCGGATTGCCGGTGAGCTTCGAGGTCGCTGCTGCATGCCAGGCCGGGTTGGTCTCGGTCATGTTGACATCAGGCCAGGGGAAGAATGACAACCACTACTAAGGAAGGTACGTTAGGTTGTAAAAAAAAGAGAGAGAGAGGAAGGAGCACAGGTTGCTGTTCAGAACGTAATCAGATAGGTTTTGCATCAGACGACAAGAGATAACCGGACATCCTCCTTTTTATAACGATCAAAGTTGCCGTTCAACCCTGACTGACGATCCGGCCTCGACCTCGCAGGCCTCCTAGGGTTGACTTCCTTCCAATTTGCGCCACTCACCTTTCCGGCTCCGCCTTGCCATAGGCAGTAAAGCAAGGAGCCTGATGTGCGTTAAGATGCAGCCGCGCGGCAACCTTTTTACGTGCTATGGCATGGGGTTCGTCAACTCGGACACCGAAGCCGCACACTCGGTTCGGAATGCGAGGGTAGGGTGAGATTGGACAGAGAAAGGGGGGCCGAGAAAGCGTTCCGTGTCTCGGCATCGCCGGATGGCTGAGACCACAAAACTCTAAAAGCTTGACTACTCTCAGCATGAGTAATAAACCGCTGGTTAAGTTCACTGGCTTCGTAGCTAAACCTGTCCTGGTCGCGAGAGTGGTGAGGACCCCTGAGAAGTAGATCTTGGTGGTAGCTCGCTGAGCCACGATCATGAACAGATAAGAGGAGCAGCGACATAGATCACGAATTGTAGCGGTGGAAACGGAGCTATGCTATGGTGACAGGCAAGGAGAGAGTGTTTAAAAATAAACTGGCTGTAGATGTACGACTGGGCCTATTGGTTGAGCCAACGCCGGGGTCCTGTCCTCAAACAACCTCCATCTACACTTTCTTCCTGCCCCTATGTTGAAGGCTCTGTCTGTATTACAGCCTCGGCAAGGCAAGAAGCATGGAAGAGCCTCCTCGACCACAAGCACCCAATGCGAAATCTATCTGGTACTGTACCATACCTCCGTCTTCCAAAACGGCCCCGACGATCACTGTTGGTAAACGCTTCGAGTCCACTTGAGAGCAGCCAAGGACGACGGAAGTGTCAAGGGACCAGCTGTCGTATTTCATGCCCCTTCAAGGCCTCCTTCCACCATCCCTTCCGCTTCCCCAAGTCTCTCTCCTCGGACACACAAAGTTTACAAGAACGGAAAAAGAGAGAGGAAAGCCAAGCCAACCGCACATGGGGATATTACATGCCCTCGAACTCGCCGCCGAGGTCATCCTCGTCCAAATCGCCGTCCTGGATCTCCTTGGCCATCTCCCGTTCACGTTCCCGGGCCTCCTGGGCGCTCTTCAACTCGAGGCGGTGCTGGTTCATGGGAAACCTCATGGCCTTGCAAACGAGCGTACGTCAGCATTCATCTCGAAATAGACACAAAAATGGGCTAAAGGAGGTTGCAAGAAATATACCTTCACGCTCTCGTCATGCAACGCGAGACACGCACGGATACGGTCGTGGAACGCCTCGCCCGGCTCGCGCGTGGCATAGACGTCGCCCACTTCCTTACTCTTCATGAAGCCCCGCTCGCGGTCGAGCGTCGCCTCAATGACGCCGTCGCGGATCGCCTTGGCTACAATGTACTCGGCGCTCTCCTCGGAGCCCAGGTGAAGGCGGATGCAGATGTCCCGCAGCGAGATGCGGCTGTAGCTGAGGCTCATCATGCGGATGCCTGTCCGGATGACGTTCTGCCGCAGCCGCAGGATCAGCGTGTACGTGCCGTCCCGGCGGAATGTGTCGGCGTGCTCCGCGATAATGGCCTCGAAATCCTCCAGGTTGCCAACCCGGACAGCCTGGACGAGGAGGAAGTACGGGCGCATGGCTGTCTCCATGTTCGGCTGCCTGAACGTTGCCCGGTCGGGAATGTCGCCCATCAGCAGCTCCACAACCATCAGCAGCTTGGTCGCCGTCTGGCTGAAGCCGAGAGCGCAGGCGCTCGAGGGGGCTTTCCGTGTTGCAGCCGTCAGGTGCTCGTGCGCTTCGGTGTAGCGGAGCTGGATGGCACGGGTGCGGCCAAGGTAGTAGAGGAAGCGGGCCACCTGGTTGTTCGCCGCATTCTCGGGGAACTGTGTGTGCGAGACCAAGAGATCGGCTTGGGAAATGTGGGAGGTGAGTAGGTAGCTGCGGAGCAGGAGAACGATGACCGAAGCTTGTGTGTCGACGTCTTTGCGCAGGACCGCGGTCCGGAGGGCGGCAAGCAGGGTCGGCCGGATCGACACGATAGGCGATTGCGGAGACGGCGGCAGGGGAGCAATCTGCTCCGCAAATAACGAGTAGTAAAAGTATACCTTGGCAGACAGGCTATCGAGTGTGCGACGGTTGAGAGACCGGACCCGTTCAACGAGGTAGTACGAGAACTCGAGACCTTGCTGGAACTGCTTGCTGTCGTGCAAAAGGACTTGCGTGAGGATGCCGAGGAAGACGTCGATTTCCGGGATCATGTCCTTCGTCTCCTTCTTGACGCCATTCTTGCCGGTGGCCTTCGGCTCGCTGTCGATCTCCATCTCTGGGCCAATCTGACGACCCAGGGACATGTCTGACCGGCCAACTGCCAGCAACATTTGCTTCGCAGCATGAGTGCTGGCTGAAGATGGAGAATACGTCTCGGAGATGACTTGCGCGAGGATATCAGGCGTGAGCCTTTTCCGAATCGACGAGATCGACCGCAGCGCACGGAGAGAGAATCTTGCGTCGAAGAGCGCAACAGCGCGATCTAGAAGTGCAAAATTGCTCTTGATATCTGTTGGAGGGGACTTTGGTCAGCTGTGGGAGTCGAGCGCAGCAGGTTAAGCACCCATACCGTTAATGGTCTGGAGGACAGGGTCGACCTTGACCTCGCCCTCGGCCGTCTTATCAGCGTCGTCCATCGCAACGTCACCCTCCGCGTCGTTAGGAGGCGGGATCGACGACTGCTTAGATGCTTTTAGAACCGGGACCACAACCTTAACGTCGTCCTCGGCCTCCTTCTTGCTGGGCTTCTTGGCCTTGGATTTGCGGTCCTTCTCCGTCAAATCTTTCCCTCCCCGGTAGCCACCGTTCTCCACGGGTTCCTTATCGGGTGTTTTGCCGGGCATATCGGTTGTTCTTTTTATCTGTAAGGGTGGTAATAATACACTGTGTGCTGGCCGATGCCAAATGGATGGTGATGTCGGGCGAAGCTGATGGATGACGCCGGAACGGTCGCGAGGCGCGCAGCCGCTTGTTGGCCCCGGTCAGCAGGGCGACCTCGCCAAGGTTTGTTTGTTGGGTGTGCAAAGGCTCAAAGGTCGGCCACCGCAAGCAACAAACAGGAAGAGTGCCTGGGATGAAAGTGCAACGTGTCGCAGGCACTCAACTCACTATTGTCGTGGTGGAGAAGGGTTTACTGTGTTTGGATTTGTGATGCGGGAAGGTTCGAAAAGGTCGAGGACGACCGGAAGATTGAGAGCCAGTCGCCAAACGTGACACGAGCTACAAGCGCTGAGTGGAAGCTACAGTACTTACCTTGCTAAAGTATCACCTAAGCAGTGATACTTCGATCAGCGTGTGGGATTGGCGGGTTAGACAAGTACCTGCTTGGGCCAGGGTACCTTCCTCGATATCCGTGGGCCACCGAATTGGAGGGCAGTGAACACTGAATTGCGGCTCGCCTCATTGACCCACCTGATGCGTTGTGACGTTGTCGATTTGCTGCCTGTTGGGTCTCATCAGCTTTTGGCTCAGTTCCACTATGCTTGTCTTGAGTCAGCAATGAGTTTCAGTCGGTTCGATCTCCTCAATGCTCCTTCACAACTGCCCGATATCGAAAAGTGCTAGACTCGGCGAACCTGAGCGAGGTCTTCTCATTTGCCTCTCCACAGTACTAGGTAAATATCGTACACTGCGCCCTGCCCACGATGCTTGGCTGAGGTTCTTCCGGCTTGAGCTTGCCGGGCTCGTGCCGGGCTGGGGCCCGGCTGGCCGCAGTCCGCCCTGGCGAATGAGCAACTACTAGTATCACGCGCCAAAAGTTCATAACGGGTCTTTGTCCCAGTTGATTGGGTCATCGTTGGCTCGACTGCCCAAAGATACCGAAATTCAGAACGTCTCGTCTATGTACAGTACGTTGCCTACGCCGTGTACCTCCTAGGCTTTTCCGCCTGTGGTACCGACTCGTTCGTTGGCACAACATGATAGCTACCTCATCAAATGGCCGTAGACACCAGCTACAAAAACCACGAATGCAAGGCGTTGTGGTTACCTTCCCTATTAGTCTCCTACTGCCGTGGTTCCATATACTTCTTCGTATCCATGCGTCACCCGATAACGCCAGGCACCGATGAGAAATACCGGCCATCCTACCACCCCAAGCCCAAGCAGTACAATATCCCCCTGTACGGCCCCGCTACCCTGTGAACTCTTCATTGTCCCTTCATTGTCCTAGAGGGCCCCAATCTGTGAAGAAAGCAGAAAGAAGAAAGGTTGCTGTCATCAGGACCATAGACTGTGTGCACTGTGCCCCAGAAAAGAGAGAGATGCCAGAGCAGTACAGGCAACACCACTCAGATATCCCCCTTCCCTGGGACCACCTTGGCCGCTTGCACGGCGCTCATCTTCTTTATCCACGAGCTGTTGGGCTGAACCTTACGGACCGTACGCAGCTCTTCGCTCGAGTAGCCAGGTATACGGATATTGTAGGTTCGCTCCAGAACAAGTTGAAGATCGCGAATCTCCAGCACCTTGGAGCCCCGCTCCTTAGCGTTGCGACAGGCCTGATGGAGCACATTGTCGACAAACGCATCAGCCATGTTGAGGACGGACTGCCTCGTGCGTTAGCAAAGAATGAAACCGAGTAAGAAACCAAAACACCATGTCATTACCTCTTCCACTTCGGGAGTCAGCAGGTTCCCGTCCTGGCCCTCAGCCGTTCCACCGCAAACCTGACGCACTAGCTCATCCAACTTCTTCTTGTTAAGGATGCGCTCACCCTCGCCCTCGAGCTGGTATGCGGGCGTCTTAGGCAACGCGGGCTGATTCATGACGCCGCCGTTGTAAGTGGGGCGGCCCGCGCCAATCCCTCCAATGTTCGGGACGGGAGTAGGCATCTGGGTAGCTTTCTCTGGGAGAGCTTTGGGGATAGGCATTTTGGTAGCCTGTAAGCTCTGTGGCGTGAGCTGAGGTTGTTGGGGCGGGTGCGCGTGGGGATGTCCCTGCACGCCGAGCCCCGAAGCTGGAGTGCTGCTCGTGCCGGCGTTGGGCATCCCGGGCATCGCCATCGAAACTTGCCGTTGCGACGCCAGGTTGACGGCAGCGGCGTGCGTAAGTGGGCGAATGTTGGAGTTAGTTGTCGTCGGTGCCGCTGACTGGGGCGTCTGAATACGGCCCGAGTTCTGTGTCGGGGTTCCCGCCGATGGTATTCCACCAGCAGCCGTTGCTGCGATGGCCGTGTTCAGCGGCGCGGGGATGTGTTGTGTGTCGGGGTTCATTTTCCCTTGGGTCGGTGGTTGTGGTTGTACCTGTGTGGTGGAAGGTTGTGTCAACGGCGCTTGGGTAACTGGAGATTGTTGCGCTTGTGCTGGTGTTGCCGGCGCCTGCACTTGCGGGTGTGGTGACGCAGTCGGTCCAGGGAGGGCGCCTGCCATGCGCCCGGCCGTCAACTGCTGTTTTTTGGCAGCTTCGATCGCGGCATTCACAACCGCGGTGGAGCTCTGCATTGAATTCGCAGGAGACCCGACGGCCGCTCCGTTTGTGATCCCCTGACCAGGCTGAACCACGGCCTGGGACCCTGAAGTCTGTGGGCGCGCCTGGTTCGTTGCGTTGGAGGCGGCACTGCCGTTCTGTGCCGGCCTTTGGTTGCTGCCAGTAGCAGCATACTGTTTCCGAACACCAGTAGCAAATTGAACAGCCTCATTGTACTGCTTATGAAGCTGCACTCTCCGGTCTTCCAACTTCTTCCTTTCTTCCTCTGATAGAGATTGATGCTCTTGCAGTGTCTGGTCGATGTTTTTAATGACCGCACGGCTCGTGTCCATCGAGAGGATCGCTTTGGCATATCGGTGCTTCAGATCATCAAGCCACTTAGCCTTGTCTTTGTCTAGGATGTTGGGAGGGGGCTGGAACTGGATTTCATTTATGTGGCTCAGTATATGCGGCGGTAGTGTCCTGCCCTGAGGAGCCGTGGCCGTCGAGCTCGGGGAGCCCTGCGTTCCCGTTTTGGGGGCTTGTGGCGGCGCGTTGCCCATGTTGCCACCAGGCATTCCCTGGGCAGCGGGAACCTGTTGCGCCGGTGGCATAGCTGGGCTTTGACCCGGTTGCTGCGGCCGCTGCTGCTGCTGCTGCTGCTGCGGCTGTTGCTGTTGCGCCTGCTGCTGTTGTGCCTGCTGCTGTTGTGCCTGCTGCTGTTGCGCCTGCTGCTGTCGACGTTGTTGAACTTTATTCCACAGAATCCTTCCAAACTCGCTGATCTTTTTCTTCGCCTCGTTCTGCTCATTGGACCCAGGGGCGGCGGTGTCGTGAACATTCCAGAGACCGGCGAGTCCCTTCTCGTACTTGGCCTTTTCATCCTCGGAGAGAAAGCCAATGGTACGCATCATCTCGGGCTTATACAGTATAGCACTGGGATTCTGCGGTCGGTTCGCACCGGCGGTCTGGGCATTCTGACCGTTTGACCGGGCCCCCACACCCTGGCCAGGAGCTGTATTCATTGTCACGTCGTCCTCTGTCACTCGCGAGGGATCTTGACGAGTTAGACTCGATGGGTTGTTGAAGGGTGTCTATGTGAGACAGATCGCAGAACGACCAGGCTTCCTCGGGCCAGGCCAAGCTAGAAAGGCGTTCAACGAATACCGCTTGCGTTTGTAGTGAAAGGATGACACGTAGATTTGAACGGAGATGGATCACTGCCTGTGTTGGAGAAGACGATGGTCAAGAGCTGGGTATGGGGCGGTTGATCACCGAGAACCGTGAGAGACACCGGTGCAGTTGATGATACGGTTAGGTACCTGATGTACGTTAGTGTCTGGAGATGAAGTTGAGTTCGCCGCACTGCGAGGCTGCAGCTTTGTACGCGGAGTGGGCCTGGGGAGATGTGGCTGGGCAGGTGCAGCGCACGGTCTGATTCGGCAGCGCCACTGGCATCGGGCGACATCAGCCACACATACCATTTGAAAAGAACTGGCAAAGTTCCTTGATTCTTTAAAACTTCGGCTGGGCCGAAAGGTGACGTTCACACCTCCGTATCCGCGACGGTACCAGCATTGATGCTCAGAACCACGGGTAGGCAGGAACGTGGAATTCTAGGTCTACGTTAGTACTTAGGTTGCCTGGCATGTGGATGCTCGTCTTTCAGATAGCAGGATTGATCTAGCGTCAACGGCATTCATCCCATCTTTGACGAGGGCTATACTGAAAGAGATTCAATGTAGATATTACCTTGCATCATGTCTTTGGAGATTCGTTGGTGAGCTTGTGGCATTTGTAAGAACAGTCTATCCGATTTCACAGAAATGGCTCTTGGACATTGGATCATGATGTCCCATAATGGGTCCCAACTCCCAAGATGTCTCACCACGACCCACATACAGCCATGATATCTTTTCCCCGACCGCGACCTGAGAAGGTCGTTCCAGATTGCCTCCAGAAATGCACGGTCCCAAGTCTATCAGGTATCATTCGCCATAAAGCGATACAAATCCACCATCGAACCCATGAGATACGAGGCTGTCTGACCTTTCCGGTCGCCATGGCGTCCCGGTCCGTTCCGGGGAATCTCCATTTGCTAAGAAACCAAACGCTCGGGGAAGTTAGGATGGCGCAGGGAATGAATATGTTCAAAGCTGTGGAGGATTGCGTCCTCCCAATGCCGCTATTATGAGAATGCATTGTGCACGACCCCACGATGCCGTCCAGTGATGCCACCCGTACACAGAATGCCCTCATTTGGTCGCTTTCCCCAATCATTACGTCATCATATCCGTCGTCGTCGTCTTTGTTGTTAAACGTTTATCGTGAACGGAGCCAAGGGTGGAATAGGGGAAAAGGAGACGTCATCTCAGCCGGGCTAGGGCGGCCGTGTCCACAAGTCACGGTCTTCAGACCAGTGTAGATAGTGAGAGCAGCCGGCCGGCCCCATCACGGAGAATCAACCTCCATGCTAACGTATTCATAGTAAGGCAGCTCGCGCGCAAGGGACTCGCCAATGAAAATTTCATCCTCGCTCGAAGGTGGCTCCTCGAGCTCGTCGATCCTGGGCGGCGGAGGATCCTGAAACTGTAGACTGTGTCGATTGCGATCGCCGACCCTCCGACGTAGGCGGCGTGCGCTAGAGCCAGCCTCCTCAACTCCGAGGAAAGACCTGATGTCTTCAAGGTCTGTATCGCTGCCAATGCTTTCACTGATGGTCCGTTTTCCAATGCTGCCAGAACTCATCCGCTTGCGCCTCATTTCCGCTCGACGTTTGATCAGGAACGCCTCGTACTCATGTTCGCTCAGGTCTGACTCGTCCGAGTCGTCGCTGCAATTGAGGTTGCCGAGGTTGTAGACCATCTTTTGGTCGACCTCGGGCCGCGTCCGTGACCTTGAGCGGCTCCGGTCCGACTCGGCATACTCAATGGCGCAGGGCCGGATCACACCTAGCCGCTCGTCGTCGCTGTCGCCAAAGTCGCTCAACTCCTCGACGATTAAATCGGTCTCTGTCACAATGCGGTATATCCTTGTTTCCGGGGCAGGTGGGGCCGGCTCGGGCCTCCGATCTGGAATCGGCAGCGACGGCCCGCCGGCAATTGAGCCCTCGGAATCCTCCGAGTCCGAAGATGACGTGGACGATGCGGACGACGAGCTGGTTGTGCGCGGAGAGAGCTGCTCGGGGCGAATCGCCCTAGAGTGGCTGAAACTCGGCCCATTGACCGCCGTCTGGCCGGTCGAAAGTGGCGGCGCCATCGGACGCAGGGGAGCCTGTTGTGGCAATTCCCCCGGCCGGGGACTGCTCTTACGGCCAAACACGGGAGAGGCGGCCCTGGGGGTTTCTGGCGGTGATGATGGCCCCACGTGTTGAGATATTTTTGACTTTGTCACCGCTGGCAACATGGTATGCAACTTTGTGCTGCAGCCCGGACGGATTCGGTTGGGCTTCGATTTCCAATTACTGCGTCGTTGAGCTAGGTCCGGCTCGCGGGATCTTATCGATTGCCTCCCGAGTGTGGGGTAGAGAATAGGAAATGGCGGGGGAGAAGGAAGAGATGAAAAGAGTTCCCGAAAGAAACTGAAGCGGATCAAGGGGTCAACACCCAACGAATGAACCTCCAACGAGGAGAAGATATGGGGCTTCGGTTGGTTGTCATGATAATATCGTCCACAGGAGCGGGATGTGTGCAGCCCAGGCTGATTCCCGATATTGCTTGGGGAATCTGAGCACGAAGCCAGACAGCAATTGCGACCGCGGGGCGGCGGGAGGAGTGATGTAGGCGACGTACAAATCGCTGGCCGGTGCCACGGTTCCGTAAAAACGGATGTGCGCCGTTGCGCTGGTTCTAGGTTCCGCTCGGCGCGCACAAGCAGACCCAGATTCTTTGCCTCGTGTCGAAGTCTGCAAGCAGCAATGGGATGCCCGGCAGCTTTGGGGCGGCTCGAGGGAAGGACGGGGTGGCAATCTAGACCCTTTCGCGGTAGTGGTCGAGACGAGGTAACACCAACCTGCAAGCTGGGATTCGCAATGGTCTGTCTGGCTGGGGGCGAGGTCTTCTTCTGTGTCAAGCTGCTGTCTGTCTTGGCTGTTTGTATGTTCCGTTTCCGCCGTCGGAGCTTGGAGACTGGGCCCAATTTTCCAGAGCTACGGATAAGTTGGGCACTCGGACCGAAGATCATATATTTGTGGGATATATCCCTCACGGCCTTTGTGCTGGGGTTTCCAAGTCCCAAGGAGCCCCGGAGGGAACAGGGGGAGACGGAAAAGAAGACAAAGAGCCGCCTGCCGCCGTCAGAGCCTGCCGCAGCTTGGGCAGCAATGCTCCGGCAACCCCTGATCACTCCATGTCGCCAGCGAAAGTACTATGAGCTTGTGGAGCGCTTCACGGACAAGCTATCACAGCGCGAGACCGGCGGTCGGCGCAGAGGACCCGGGTATGGATGGCTCTCCGGGTGCGGGCTTCGTGTTGTGAAAGGACAATTTTGTCCAACGTATCAGCACTGCGCAACAGAGCAAAGCAAGATATGTGCCAGATGTCTGCCGTCGGCGCACTGTCTGCACGGAACCAACGGCGAATCATGACCCCGGTTCTCACCGAGATTCTTGGGAGCCAGTCCATCTTCTATGCCTTCCTGCAGCAGGTTGCCCCATCAGTAGCAGCTGTGCCCAATGAGCAAGAAAAAGAATCTTTTAGCGCGGCAGCAAGAGCCAGGAGAACTGTGCGAGGGGTTCGGAGAGGTGTGATGGTGATGCTCAGAGGCCGCCTGTGTAGCACTACGCAAATGCGCAGAAAGACGAGCACTGAGGCTGTCATCGTGGTCTATGTATTTCGCATCTGGGTAAGAAACCCCATTGTCATGAACGACTGGACTCATCAAGCATCGTGCATAGCGCCAATGCGACTTCTAGATTGGTAGGAGCCCGGAAGAGTGGAACTATCGGACTTGAGGTGCTTGAGAAAGCCTATGGCCTCATTATTAGCGCCGCTTGTTGGCAAGGAACTTGTCTCGGTAGGAGCAAGGTATCTTGAGGACAAGAATCGGCGGTATTTTCCTGCGTAGATATTGAGTAGTTGTGCGCTGTACAGTTAAGTGCGCCTCGATGTGCAGATTATGACGACCAAGCTGAAATTGAAGGGATTGAGTGCTTCCAAGTTCACAACAGACCCGTACACTGCACTGACTTGAGTCACGTGACATTCAGCTTACACACATAATACATCTCGGTTCGAGCGTGGGGTTGCATTCGCCGAGCCACTGTTCAGTGTTCAGTGTTCAGAGCGGCAGCCATCCTGGTCCTACGTGTTGCATACAACCAAGAACCCTCCTAAATGACTACGTGAAACTTATAGTAGGTAGTCATGTCGCTACTCTCGGCCCATCTGGAGCAGATTTCAATATCATGCCAAAGCATTGACAGCCTGCCGTAAGTGCTCCTACCTCTGGGGCCGTAAAAGCCCCCAAAAGGAAGTAAATAAACATGAACTGACACCTCCTTGTCGGGGATATCAGCTTCCCACCGCCCAGAATCTTCACCAATGCCCTTCTCTCCAACCCCGACATAACATCTCTAATTCGCGATACTGAAGCCCACGAACGAGCCCTGTTCTCCGTGCCACCGCCTGCACCTCCGGCGTCCCGCCAGAACCCCGACCCACCAAAGCCCTCGTCCCGCCGCCAAACCGTCTTCAATGTCGCCGCAGGCGAGGTGACGACGGGCCCACCTCCCAACTCGACTCGCAGCAGCGGACCGGTTGCGCGCCGTAACACGGCCGTGGTAGCGGTCCTGGGCGGCGACTTGCACGCGCAGATCGTGCGGGGGCGGGGCGGGCAGGGCGGCCGCGGAGAAGGCGGGGACGTGGACATCGAGGTGCTCTTGCACGGCGCCGAGAAGCTATGTGCCGTGTACCCGCTTCCCGGCGCGGTGGAGCGGATCCCCGCGCAGAGGCAGAAGTTTGCGCAGCAGAGCAACACGCTGGCGTACTACGAGGCGAAAGTGGCTGAGCAGCAGGAGGCGTTGGAGAGGATGAATCTGGAGAAGGTCCTGGACGATGGAGAGGAAGAGGCGGACGGGGATGAGGAAGCCGAGGAGGCTGGGGAAGGGTTGGTCATGACGGAGGAGGACTTGAAAAGGGAGGAGGAGGAGGTCAGGGAGCTCGACAAAAAAAAGAGGGAGCTGCAGGCCAGGCTGCGGGCCCTGGAGAGCGACCTAGGCGGTCTGCTGAACATCTAGGCTGTGAAACCTTCCATGTTCATGGCTGCGAAGCTACGACGCTCTTCAAGAGCGACATGTATCGAGAAACAAGAGAAAGGTCGGTACTGAATCTCAGCCCTAGCAGCTCACCCCTTCCGATGAAACCGCGCTGACATCCGGCGATGCCTTCTTTGCCCGTACAAAGATGTCTACGAACGTTTGCACATCTTGGGCGCCTTCCACATCGTACCGGTTGTTTATGATAAACCTGGGAACGCCATGGATGCCATCGCTGTACGCCTCTTCGACCTCACGATCGACCTCTTGCCCACCTTTGCCATCCTCGAGCCACTGCTTCACCTCGGCCCTGTCCAGACCTGCCTTCTCACCCATTGCGACCAGCGCGTCCTGGGACGTGATATCGGCATCTTCTTCGAAGTGGCTCTTGAACATGGTCGAGATGAGGCGGTTCTCCATTTCGTTGGATTTGGTTCTGGCGAGCTGGACGAGCCTATGGGCGTCGCGAGTGTTGCCAATCTTGCCCCCGAAAGAGAACTTGATGCCCTCGGCCTCGCCGAGTGTCTGAAGGTGGGCATTTGCCATTGCCATGCGTTCAGGCCCAAACTTCTTGAGCAGGTGCTCCTTCCGGTCGATGCCGGACTTCGGTAGCGTAGGGTCGAGATAGAAGGGATGCCACGAGATTGAGAAGGTGTCATTGGCACTGCCGGGGACGTCTCTTTTGTACGTCTCGATGGCACGCTCGAGGCGCTTCTTGCCCACATAGCACTAGCAAGTGCACGTTAGACGAGATCCGTGGAGAAATGGAATACAATAGCACTGCTCACCCAAGGGCAGATCGCATCGGAAACAATTTTGATATTAAAGCGGGTCATTTTCACACGCAGTACGGGGTAACCGTATACACTTAGACCTAGCAATTATGTGTGAATTGCTGTTGAGATGAGAGCAGTAGTTGAGGAATAGCTTCAGCTTTCGGCTCGATTCCGGGGGTTATACTAGGAAGAGCTGCCATTGATGACAAATCGAGTTTGAGCTCCTTCCCGTGATATTCTCCGAGTCTCCGACAGCCATCGACTCGCTCTATACTGAAATAGAGAACTTCGTCGAGCTCCGGATGCACAATGCACTTGTAGGATTCACGCCGAAGTCTGACGTCGAGTCTGTAGGCTTGCGGTTGTCTTGGCCTATTCAGGGTAACAGTGCGAGCCTGTTGGCCTAGCGACTCCCATCAACTCACACTCAATGCTGTATCATAGCTATGTTCCGTTTACGCTGTACATTTAGGGTTCGCATAGAGCACATGTACGTATCAGTAAGGCTGATCACATCTGAATCCATGCCTTGAAGATGAGCAGCGCCGACGCCCATAATAAGTACTACTCCCATACTAGTAGGCACCTACTGTACCTAGTCGAGGTGAGATGTTGCAGCGCCTGCACTCTGCGATAAAATCCAAGGCTCAGCGCAAGTTGCGCAACCGCGAACACATGCGTCACCCGGTGGGGCAACCTGGCATGGTGGGCGCACCCAGCCCCGCCCCTCCTGCCAAGCTGAGTGGAAGGAAGCGCCGCCAGCGGACCCCTGCTCGCCCTGCCACCAGTGTCTGGCCAACGAGCTGAAAGTAAATAAAAGTCGGTGGTTGGGACAACGGCATCAGGGATGCAGCCAGTCGCATCCAGGCATTCCTACTCTCCAGGAAAATCGGATGGCGGGCCTGATCTTTGCGTCGGCCTGAGTCCATTTCCCAAGCAGCTCTTTCTGATACGAACAGTGCCATTCCAGCCACCGATATTCTTTGCGCAGATCGAGCTTTCGCGGAGTTCCCGTCGCAAGGTGAGAGAGACTCCAACTTCCACCTCCATTCTTCGACATTGCCATGTGTCGCACGTTCCTGGCTTCCCGCTCTTGCATTCCGTCGCCCTGACGCTTGTGTCGCGCAGTTCAGGAACGCCAGCCAAAGTCTGGTCTGGCCCAAAGCACACCAGTGTGGTATCACCCCAAGCTGCCTTACCTAACTGCTTGCCTGTGGCGGTTGTCGAGCGGCTTGACATCCCGTCAGTGGTGGCAGCACTCTTCTCAATTTTCTCTGTATAGATTTGTTCGAACGGTTGCCCTGTCCGGCATCGTCGCAGCTTACTGCCTTGCCGAGCTTGACGCGAGGCCTTCTTCGACCGAGACACCACGAGAGACGAGACACGGGAGAGCCCGCTCGCCGCATTCCAGCGCCAAAGCCGCAAGACAACCGATCGGTATTACCGAGTGAGAGAAGAAACGGCCGGGATTTTCGAACGCCAAGTGGATTCTCACCGGTTCGAGCAAGCGCTGGTGCCGCCGGCGCTGCCTTAACCCAGCCGTCGCTCCGAAGCTCGCGGAGGACGGGTGTGGGTTTTACGAGCGGCATCACGCAGTCGAAGAATAGGAGACGGTCACCACAGCTTAGTACACGATGGCGACCAGGTTTCAGTTAGGATGGTATCGTATGTGCGCCCACCTTCGATTCCCAAGCCCACGTGGCGCAGCTCCAAACTGGGATAAACATGACTGCAGAATTCCAGACTGACGCACTTGACAGGATGGGTGCCATTCCTCGGGTATCACCACGTGTTGATGATCTTGATAGCTGTGGCAATAATATTGCTATGTAAGTCTCTTGTTCTCTTCTTGGATCGCTCGGAGAGCCCCCTCGCTGACCCAACCGCAACCCACAGCGCTCCTTCTCGCCGGGTGCTCGTCGTCGTCACCCCTAATCCCTGACATCTTCCTTCTTTCGCTCTACTATCAGCGCTACACGGCTGTGCCCGACACGGCACAAGTCGACTACAACGTCAACAATGCCATCGCGAACATCGTGGGCAGCGCACGCCTACAGGCGCGCGTGGGCTTCTTCGGCATCTGCGTGAGCCCCGACGGCGGCTCTTGGCTGTGCAGCAACAACGCCACGACGTTGGCGAACGAGGTGTCGGTAGACCAGGATCCGCTCAACCTCATCTGGCTGGCAAGCCAGTTCAAGGACATGATTGTCTTCCCCTACCTGCTGTGAGTTCCGGCCCCGTATTGCTGCCGATGCTCGTACCGAACCCCCTCCCAAAAAAAAGCAAAACTAACCGGATTCATCTAACCAGCATCATCGCCATCATCTTCGCCTTCATCTGCCTCCTCCTCCTCGCCACCTTCCCCGGGTGGCACGAGGAAGAAGACAGCGAAGGGTCCGAGCGCGAAGTCAAGCCCTTCCCGTCGCGTCCCGTCAGCCAGGTAGCGCTGGCCATCATCTTCATTGCGTCCATCTTCGTGCTGGTGTCGGTCCTCTGGCAGCATACGGCCTCAGTGGCGGCCAGCATCATCGCGCAGGACCTGGCCAACGGCAGCGTCTTGTCCGGCGTCGGCTCCTCGGCCATGGTCATGGGCTGGTTCAGCTTCACGCTGCTGATCATTGTGACGATTGGCTTGTTGGTCATGATATTATCCATGCAGGTGCTGGAACATATCATGGACTGATGGGCCGGCGGGGAAAAACGAACCTTAGAATTGGGTTGGAGGGGGAAAGATTGTGTTTTTGATTACGCTACTCTACGCTATATGCGGTACGGCATGACTTGGACGAAGTGCAAGATGAGGATGGAATGAAAGGGGGTTCATGGGACGGGTTACATACCTAGGCGACGATGACTGGAGGGTGGCAACGGGACCGACCAGCCGTGACGAGATATGGGAATATGAGCGCCGGGACGACGACGGGTGGAAATGATGACGCGGAAAGGAGATGTTGAAAGTATTGATCTGGGTAGGGGGCCGAATGCTCGCCATCTCCCGCCAGGTTACGGTCACGGTCACGCCCACGTCACGTCACGATATGGGTGGTTTTTGTCTCAGTATTGGGGGGGGGGGGGCGGGGGGCATGGTTAGTTTCTGTTTCTTGATTTCATGAGTGCATATAATGGGGAGAAGGCAAAGCTGCCGAGCAGTCGAGCAGGCTTTGGGCGCCATATCTCGTTTGGTGGCTATTTCTCGCCATACATAAGAGCCAGGGTTCGACTTGTGGATAAGATGGCATTACCGCCCATCGTGTGGGTATATAGCGGATCAGTATAAAGACGCTTGGAGTTTTCGGTCGGACAAGTCTGTGTTTGTCTTTGCCTTGTGATATACTTACTACTAGCCCAAATCACAGTACTCCCGAGATCTAGTAGGTCCAACAGGCTGCTTCAAGGTAAGGTGCTATCTCGAGCGGGAAAAACAATAACAACCATGATCCTCGGAAACTCTTCATCAGCATACGTCAGACAGACTAATTTTCTAGACAAATAGCACTATCATGAACCACTCCGGTCTATATAACTCAACGTTGGAGACCGTGACTAAACACTTCCCAAAACGCCGTCGTTCGCCATGCCAAAGCCGAATTTCCTATGTTCTTCCCGAACCAAAATGAGGTGCCCGCTCTTCTTGACGGCTTTGGTCGTAAACTTCCCAATGATGATCATGGCCATTCCACAAACCAAGATTCTCTTTCATCCATTATACAGCAGTGACAGAATCAGCATCTCTTCTCAGATCTCTAAAAATTCTTGCCCAGACCAACGCAAATTCAACCAAGACAACTTATTAACTTGGGTTGGCTTCTCTCGGAGTCCCAAAGAGAAATCTCACGTCGGCCTCCGGAAAGGATGCGCCTCGGTATTCAGCACCCACTCATCCAGCGAGATCACATCGGGCGTCTCAAACAGCAGGTAGAAATACTTGAGCGTCTCGGCCAGCCAGAAGCTCTCCATGCTGTCCTGGAAAGGGCTCTTGGTGCTGCTGCTCCCCAAGGCGGACTCGGACTCGGGCTCGGCCTCGGACTCGGTAATAGTAGCGGCGACGTCGCGGATGGCGCTGTGGGCAACCTCGGTCCGGGTCGCGGCGATCACGGCCTCGAACATGCGCCACCCTTTGTCCTGCCAGGCCGGGTCGCCCGTGATGCGGTACATGTACCAGACGGACTCGATCGCTTCGGGTCTATGGAATGGAAACGGATGGTTAGGTAGGCTCTTTCTCTTCCTTCTGTCTTTGAGGGTACAGGCTGCGGATTGAGGGGGGAAGAGAAGGATAAAAGAAAAAGAAGAGCACACCTGAGAATGTACCGCTTGTCGTTGAGGCTGACGAACCCTGACGGGATGTGCTCTTCTTGGATACGCTTGGTGACGAATTCCTCATGGGTGAGCGGCTTTTGAGGTGCGGGCGGCAGGACTAATGGCGTCTGGTCCTCGGCATCGTCAAAGGCGCTGTCCTCCTCCTCCGCCTCCTCGGCCCCTGTGCCTGTAATATCCCGCTTTTGGGGCCCCGATGCCGGCAGTGTCTCCTTTTGCTCCCGCTGAGGGTGCGAATCCTGTGAGTGCTGGTGGTCTGACTGTGGCACGGACTCCACCGTGTGAGGGTTCACGAAGCGCCTCCGTCGCTCCTCGTCCTCGGCAGCCTTCTTCTCGGTCTCGGCTTGGCGCTTCCGCTCCTCGGCCTGCTGCTTCCGCAGAGCATCCTTCCTCTTCAGCTCCGCCACCCGCTGCTCCCACTCGGCATATTTGGCAGGATACTCTTCCAACTGCTTCTCGCGGTATTCCCTGTTCGGATCGAGGGCCTCGTACCACGCTGCCTGGTCGTAGGGGCACGCGTCCGGCGACTTGCAGGGCAAGACCATGGCATACTCGGGCATGATGCCCGTGGGCATGACCTCGTACGCCCAGACGCAGCCGTCGGTCAGCTTCCTCCCGATGTCGACGTCCCCCGGGCGGTCGAAGAGCTTGCCGCCGAGCGCGAACATGCCGCCCAGGAAGCAGGTCAGGTGCGTGACTTCCCACTCGTACGACATCTTCTTGGCGGTGCCGTCGCTGCTGTACGCCTTGGCGGAGAACAGCACGTCCGGATCGCCCTCGGCCATGGGGCGGAAGAGGAGATACTCGCGCACCGCGTCGGCCACCTTCTCGTGCATGGCGCGATACTTGGGCTCGAGGCCGCCCAGGAGCACGTACTGCTTGGGGAAGTACTCGTAGGCCGAGTCCTGGCTGCCGCCCATGCTGTACGAGCCTCCGCCATAGCCGCCCGCCGTCAGGCCCTGCGGGACGCACTCCCAGTCCCCCGGCAGCCCCCTTGCGTCGCGGGGTGTCGTCGGCGCTGCGTTGGTGGACGGCGGAGTGCGCCTCTGCAACCCTGGGTTGCTCCTCCCGGCCCTGGCATCCGCCGCCTGGCTATCGCTTCCGTAGTATCCACCATCAGCGCTATGCCGCAGCTCAGAATCACCACCACCACCACCATCATCATCGTCAACAACAGCAAAATTAGCCTGCTTCTGCGCCGCCTCGCTGCTGGTCTCCAGCGTTGTGGATGGCGGCCGCGGGGCGCTGCGGTTGCAGCCCGACGCATCCAGGTGCTCGGGGAATATGCCAGGGATGGCGGTCGCGTGCTCGCGGTTCTGCAGGTCCTCGAGCGCGTCGGTGATGCGGGCGACGGCGTCGTAGTACTTGTCCTCGCCCGTGAGCTGGGCGAGGCGGGTGAACTCCATGCTCAGCGACCCGAGCTCGGCCACGCCGGCGCTCGTGGACGCCCGCTTGGGGTTGGCGCTGAAGGCCGGCTTCCAGTTGTAGTAGAGCACCGGCATGCGGTTGGGCGTGTCGAAGACGCCCATCAGGATCTCGGCCAGCTCGACCGCCTTGTCCAGCAGCACGCGGTACTTGCCCTGGTGTCCGCCGCTGACGTCGTAGGCGCCGAGCAGGCCTCCAAGGTAGCGGATGACCGTCTCGAAGACGGGGATCTGGTCCCGGTACGGCGTCGTGGTGAAGTCGATCGCCCGCACGGCCGTCACGGCGTCGTCGAACTCATCCTCCAAGCCCATGATCCAGAGCGTGTCCAGCGAGTCGACCAGGGTGGCAGCCCAGCCGCAGAACGGGTCGTTCGTCTTCTTGCTGACGGGCTTGAGCTCGTCGTGGGTCCAAGCGTACTTCTTGTAGCCGGACCACGCCCGCTGCGCTTCGGCCCTGACCTTGGCCAGCCGCCGCTCGCGCTTCTCCTTTGCCGCGGGGGACTCTGCGCCGAACGCGAACTGCACCGACGGCATGGCCTTGGGCTTGCCGGTGGGCAGCACAATGATCGACTCGGCCGGCACGGGGAACCATTCGCTAGGCTTCACCCAGTGGACGGTGGTCGTCTGCGTAGCAGCGTCCTCGCCCTGGTATTTGGAAGGAGGGTCTGCCGGGCGTATACCGGTCTCTCCATCCTGCCCTGGGTACTCGCCATGGTTCGCAGGCGGCTTCCTCTCGGGCACTGAAGGCGCAGCCTTCGTCGACTGGCCGTCCGTATCCGCGGGTTTCGGCGCCACGGGGGCTTTGGTCGGTAAACTGTAGCCGCCTTTGACCCCGTCGCTCGTCTTCAGTTCGGGAAGCCGGATTCTCGGCTCCTCTTCCTGCTTTGGTCCGGGGCCGTCATCGGGCCGCGGCGGCGGTGGGGGTGGTGGACGAGCAGGAGGCGGCGGCGGAGGAGGAGGAGGAGGAGGCTTGGGCTTCGGATGTGTGTCGGGCTGGGGCTTGCTATGCCATACTTCCTGCGAATGCTCCCACTGTGACGAGTTCTTCGCGACCTGGTAGAGCAATGCCGTGATGACAAAGGCGCATACGAGCACCACACGGTATCGCCTGAAGCGCGGGAGCATGGCGGGCGGGCTACTGACCGGGACTCGAAGTCCCAGTGGTTGGACCGGGCGGCGGCGCAACGACACGGGCAACCGTTGAGGGCAGGGCTCGCGTGAGCTAGCGTCGAAGACAGCCTTGACCTAACCACAGCTCAAATCTGGCATGGCTGGGCCGCGGCGTATTACGGACTGCGGATCGTACAAGATCAGAATCAAAGCTGACAAGAGGGCTGTTCTCCCTGGAGAGCGAGCCAATGCTAATGCTTTGTCCGAGTCAACTGAATGTTTGTACTGATCCGTACTTTCACTTGTACAGTACTCCGTACCCAGTGTCCGTACACAACAGTCTCTCCAGATACTGGCAAGAGGCCATGTCAGCAAGAATTGGAAACTCCATCTTCGCAACCAGAGAAAAAGGCCCGCCAAAGAGTGTGCCGCACGGGGGGCGCCTTGCACGGAAAACGGACGGCGCGCCAAGATCGTCGAGCCAATGCTTGTCCCACAATCGTATTGGCGGTTATAGGTCTTGGCGATGGCTGTAAGGGGTAAGCGGATGAAGGGCCGACGAAGGGGGCCACACTTTATCCTGAGCCATCATCGTGGGACTGGGGGCATGAAATGGCGAAGAATCGGAAGAACTGCCCGGAGATTTATTGGTGAGTTGAGCCTATTTCGCTAAAGCGCAGATATCCTCAGCTGCCTTAGCTAATGTCATCCTCAACTTGAATAAATCAGGTAGATAGGCCCAGATCAAAGCCGGAATCCACAAACATCCCTATTCTCAAGTGGTGCCACTTGCCGAAGTCCCGTTGCCACGCTCCTGAGATTGACCCATACGGAAAATTCACAGACATCCACCTAGTGAAGTGTTGGCCCCTTGCCCGGGAAGGTAGCGAGTTAGGAATGAAACGTTCCGCATGGTGTCGTTGCGGGGTAGTAGTAGTGTAAGGATACGTATCCGTACTTGCACATTTATTACCATCAAAGCAGCCACTATCAGGTTGCCATCGTATGTACAATACAGTGCACTATGTTATGTACTTGGGTAGTGGTTGGCACTCCAGCGGTCATGCTACTTATCTAGGCATTGCGCCGTCGGTTTCACGTGGCTGATGAATTTCAAGGCTCGCTCACCCGGCTACCAGACCATGTCGATCTCGACATCAACTTGTCTCGGTTTGCCGCGCTGTCAGGGTTCACCGACGTCCGAGTCTGCATCAGATGAAAAAAGAAGCTTCAAAAATTCCCCACGCAGCCGCGACAGGGATATCCCTGTTCTGCGAAACTCGGGGAAACAATGTCCGGCTCCTTCATCAGGAAAACACCAGGTAGCATAGCATGTTCAATGTTCGGAGAGCATGAGATACATATATCAGATCGAGTCTAATGGTAACATCGTGCCTCTCAACGTTAATCTACGTACTGTACTTGTGTGCAATAACTGGCCTGCGCTCGATGCTCACTCCCGGTGCAAGTTTATATAGCCAGAACCGTTTTCCAATAGAAACAGATGGCCCCGAAATACCTGAGTTGCCACCACCTTTCCTGTCAAACAAACACCCCTCCGTCTCAATTACTAAAGGTGCCCCTGATCTTGGCATATAGCTCGGTATCCAGGAAGCTGTAGTTGGGGTCGAGCTCGCAGAACGGATGCTGCGAGAGAAGCGTATGGGCAGGCGGCCGGTCGGTCGGGTCGCTATGTGAAGACATAAAATGTCAGCTTTGCTCTCCCAAGTATCATCACATCCAAACAAGCATTAGAAAGGAAGTGAGAGAGAAGGAAAAGAAGAAAAAAATAAAAAAAGAAAAGAAAAAGAACATACACAGTAAAGCAGTCCAACATAAAGGCAATAGCAATCGGACTGATCTCCTCGCGGATATCTTCTGGAATCGGCGGCGTTTCCCCGTTGGCAATCTTGTAGATGGCTCCGACTGCCTCCTCTTTGCTCCACGGCCGCCGCCCGGCAAACATCTCGAGCACCACACAGCCGAGCGACCAAATGTCCACCTTGGCGCTGTAGCCTTCGCCCTGCGAGCGGATCACCTCGGGCGCCATCCAGAACACAGACCCCTGCATCGAGTTCGTCTTGTCATTGCCGTAGATGTTGTCCGTCTTCTTGCTGATGCCAAAGTCGCTGATCTTGCACGTTCCGTCGAGATCCAGCAGGATGTTGTCCGCCTTCAGATCGCGATGCAGGATGCCCTCGCGGTGCAGGTACGCGAGGCCCGACAGCGTCTGCCGCGTTAGCGACGCCACCACGGGCTCCTCGAACTTGCCATGCTTGCGCAGGCACGACCCGATTGAGCCACCCGAGATGTACTCAAGGAAGATGGAGATGCTCGTCTCCTTGCGCTCGCACCCGAGGTACTGCACGATGTTGACGTGGTCGAGATGCTGCATCGTGTCGATCTCCTGGTCCAGCGCCGCCACCAACTCCTGCATTTTCTTCTTGTCGCCCTGCGCCGCCTTGGGGTTGACCTCGACCTCCTTGACCGCCAAGAACTCGCCCGTCGTGGCGTTCATGCCCAGGTACACGCGCCCGAACGTTCCTTTACCGATCAGCTGGCCCTTGAACCAGCGGAAGGTGGTCTGCCGCTTGAGGCCGTTGCGGTTGTTCCTGTCCGGCAAGCTGTCGTGCGCTTGCGGCATCGCATTTAAGCCAATCGCCATGTTGAGCGAGCCCCGCTCCGGTCGGATCTGCACGATGTTGGCGTTGAACATCTTGGTGCTCTTTCGGCGCATCAGGTTGGTGTTCTTATCAGCGCTGGTACCCGCAGCTTGTGCGTTCATCTGCCCAGAGGTTCGAGTGAAACGCTTGCTTGCTTCGTGTGCTCCGCGCGCAACTTCCCTGATGGACTTCATCCGGCCAAGGCCTCCGGATTTTCGCACGCTGCGGTGTGCCAGCGTTTGCATCGACACTGGGCGCGAGTCGACCGCCTTGAGCGTCGATTCATCGGATCCAAGAGTATCGCTCTCGTTGTAGAGCGAGCCTCTGTTGTTCTTGGATGACAGACCAGCCGGTAGCGGCGGCATCGACGGCAGAGCAGCTTTGGCTTGGGCCGCGCTCTGCTCACCTTGGGTCTCGTCTCCCTCGGCGATAGGCGAAGGAATGTCCCCCTCCTCTCCCTCCTCGAGCACCGGTTGGTCAACATCCACGTTCGGGAAGAAGTCCTCGAGGTTGTTGATGAGTTCGTCGGTGGGTGGACGGTTGGCCCAGACGTCCTTCTCGATAAACGACTTGCGTCTGCCCAGCTTGTTCTCGCGTTCCTCCGAGTCCCAGCTCTCGGAACCCGGAGTACCGGGCGTGCGGCGCTGCGACGAGGCCCCGCTTGCGCCGCCTTCATCATTGCCGGCCGGCGGTGTCGTGCCGTCAGCACTCGCCTGCGGCGACTTGAAAGCGACCGAGCGCGTCTTCCTGGAGCGCTCCGTGTTGAGCCGCAGACTCGGACGCTTGCCGCTACCATCGAACTCGCCGCCCTCGGATGGCTCGGACGGCTTCTTGGCGGCTCCTCCGGAGCGAGCGGCAATGGGGACTGCAAACAGACCGTCGTCTGAATCGTCTCCCGAGTCGTCGTCATCGGCCGCGCCCTTGTTATCGATAAGCGTCGACGTCTGAGAGAACCTAACATCGTTGTCCTGGAAGTCTGTATCGGGGCCGTGTGACTTGCGCCTGTTGATCGCTTCGCTCGAGAATGTGCGGCTCGGCCGGCAGGAGCTGGGACTAACACCTCCCGGGGACGGAGCGCGTGCTGCTCGAGAAAGTTTAGCCACTGTTCCATGCTGAAGTCGTTCAGGAGAGGGACCGGCTCCGGCGGGTCCGCGACTGCCAGGCCCGACGGTTTCGTCTGGCGAAAAGTCCGGCACGAGGAACGGCACGTTCTTGGGACTCCAGGTGGTAGAGCCCGGCGACCCTGGAGACCCACCAGAACCGGCGCGTGCCCGCTTCCTAAAGTCGACGGTGGACATGGCTCCCTTACCTCGTTCATTGGCCTCGTTGTTTGTTATCGGCATCGAGGACACCCGGTGCGGCGACAATGCTCTGTTCCCTCCAGCAGAAGGATGTCCGATCCCAGCCATGCCTCCAGCCATGCCCACTAACAGCCCACGGATACCATCCTCTGGACTCGGCAGATTTGGTCGTCTTCTTTGCCGCTCGACCATAGCATCATCACGCATGTCGGACGATGTACGCTTTGGTCGCCCGCCGTCATAACTTCCTTGAGAAACACGTGTGGCATGCTTCTTGCTCAGCGAATTCGCCTTCAGCAGAGTGGCGGACGGGTCCTCCGGCGGGGCGGGCGCCTTTCGCTGTGGAAGCAAGTTGTCGAGCTTCCTGTCTTCATAAGGCGACAGCCTGGGCTGGTCGAAGTCCACCTGTCTCCCCACAATGCCGACGGGGACCTCTGTAGCCGTACTGCTCTCCTTGGCCTCGGCGGCTGCCTTTCGCTTCGCCAAATACTCTTGCTGCTTCCGGAGCTGCTCCGTCCTGTATTTGATGGCTTCGGCCGTCAGCATTTTTTCGTCTCGCTCCCTGCCCGTGAGGGTATTCTGTCTTGACGTGGGTGGCGAAGAACTTGATCGTTGCCGCCCGTTGAGTCTGTCGTAGGTTTCGGCGTCCACACGTAAATGCCCTGAGGAGAGCGTCTGTGTATCGGGGCCGGGCAGCGGCCGTGACCCCCCAGGACGTACAAACAACTTCAGAGATCCCACAGCGTTACCCATATAATTCTTGGCTGTCAAGAGTTTTGTGTCGTCGAGCGGTTCGTCATCGTGCTCAAACCTCCCCAATTCCGTCAAGTAAATCTGTGCGTTTTGGCTGTCCGGCAGGCCAAGGTTGACGCAGACCACCTGCCGCAAATCCGATGGCGAGCCAATATCTGTAACGTCAACCATGCGGTAGTTCCAGCAATCAGCAGTAGCAAGGATAAAGACGCGCCCACCACTCGCACTCTTGGAAGCCGGTCGGTCGAGTGAGCTCTCACTTCCGTTAGCATGGTGACTTCCCGCCACATGCATCTTGCCATGAAGACTTGGGCTGGTGGGTGAATCCTGGTCCTCGTTCTTCTTCTTACCCCAGAAAATGGAGAGGATCGAGCTAGAACCCTTCGCACTTCCGGGGGGATCTGTCCCAGCGCTCCTGTCCCCAGGCTCTTGGGACGAGGGTCGGCCACCATCCTGACCATACCGTCGACCATTCCCATTGACTGCGTCGGCGATAGAGGTAGCGTCGGGGGGGACACCGGACCCGTATCTCGCTGCGTTAGAGGATACGGAGTCAGTGCTGTTGCGAGACCGGTGGCCAAATCTGCTGGTGTGTGGCGACGCGGAAACGTTGCCTGCAGTGGAAGACGGCGTAAAGAGCCCGGACTGAGGGACGGGGCTGCCGCTCTGGCTGTCCCTTCCCTGCGGGGTGCCCGCACGGAGCGTGCCTGCTTCACCTGGCTCGCTGAGACTGGGGCTGTGACGACGCGCGATCTCGGTGTCAATGTTCTTCATGAGACTTCTGTGGTTTGGTTCAGAGCTCATAGTGCTGGTAAACGTTGGCATGGTGGTTGCCCGCGACTGAGAAAACCTCCTTCCGCCAAAGCCTGGGCCTGGAGCTTTTATGGGAGTGTTAGGAGAGCCCGAGACTTCCCCCGCTGCACCGCCGGGTGCGATGCTCGTACCGGCGCTAGCTGTGACACTGGAGGAGTCTTTACGGCTATGACCAGCCGATAGCTTAGCTGAATCGACCGGCTTCCCGGTAACGATGCTCCTGACCAGCCGGCGCATTCGCTTGCCTTCCTCTCGTTCCTTGGTCAGATCCCACTCAGTGCCACTCTTTTTGCATTCCCGTGCCAGCTGCGGGTACACCTGCTGGTGCATCATGCCAAAGTTGCCGCGACCGCCATGAGTACTTCCGAGGTCGAGGAACTGCGCTCCGTAGATATTCAGAGACTTAAAGGTCTCCTGCCAGTCTTTGGAGAAGTTATTGGCCTGGAGCCATGACAACACCCTATCAAGCGACCATTGAGCTGCCACCTCAGGCTGAACTGTTATCGATACGGAGCTGGCATTAGTGGCCGTAGACAAGCCCCTACTCTGGCCCATTGCTGCAAAAAGCCTGTCGCGCCCGGACGTCTCCTCTAGCGGCGTGGCGGCTGTGGAATCCATCCCAACAGTACCCCAGCTATGGCTGCCATCGTCGGTGAATCCCAGGCCCGGGATACCCACACCTTCGCCATACGTGTCTCCTTGCGGAATGTACGTCGCGCTCATCTGCTCGCTCGGAGGTGGCGGTGGAGGTACTGCTAGTGTTGTAGGACCGGCCGGGTTGGCAGCGTTTGTGGCGCCTATCTGGCCATGGTGCTTGGGGTTGTAGGCTTGCAATACCGTGGCCCCAGCACCGCCGGGCGGGGGTGGTGGTATGTTGAAGACCGTCCGTCCGTCGTAGGCTCTGCCCCAAGCGCCATGCCACGGTGCGTTCCCCAAGGCACTCGGCGGCCCCAGAGCGCTTGACGGGAAAGAGGCATTGGGCGGCGGGCCCGGAGGCGGAGGGAGTAGGACATTGCCAGTTGCCCCGGGCGCGCTCGGGTATCGAGGAGGAGGCGGGGGGATGGCCACCAGGTTGCCGATTCCGACGGATGGCGGCGGTGACATAGGTGGTGGAGGAGGCGGCACCTGGAAGGGCCGGGTCGTTTCCCGCTGCCCATTTTGATACATGGCTGGCAGTGCACCGGCGGCCGTGGAAGGTGCAAGGAACTAGGCGACTTGTAGCAAGGGGAGAGCTGGCCGTTCGAAGCGGACCGGAATCGACAATCGGCCAGACGGAGGAGGTAACGTGGGACTAGCCGGGGCCGGCAATGCTTCGGAAGAAGGCACGGTGATGGAGGGGTCCAGGCGATCAGCAGACAGGAGACGATAAGGTCGCTCGCTTCGAATCGCTGACGGAAAGATCAACAGTCGACATGAAAAATATATCGGCCGCTTGGAGACGATGTCACGGACCGTCACTCCGTCGCGCCACTTTGGGTGGCACAGCGGCCGTTGCGACAAGCTGAAGAGGCCTGTCTGAGCTCGGAGGAGAATAACGTCCACTATCACTGATTGATGAACGCCGAGCCCAGGAAACAATGCTTTTTAGTCACCACCCGGACTTCATTCTGAAGAAGAGTGCCCCAGATGGCAGCAAGGGAATGCTGTGGGCTGCAGATGAGGAGTCGTCTGCTTGGGTTCCAGCTGCTGTCCCGCTTGTTGCTCCTCTTTTTTTTTTTCCTGGGGGGGCGGCTCTCTTTGTCGTCGTCTTGTTGCCCGTCCCAGGGTTCGGCGGCAGCGCTTCGGGTTTGTTGGATGATGCAGCTGCCTGAGTGTGGCAGCATGCAGCTTCACCAATCCCGAAGGAATGCGTCCAATCACACAAGGCGACAGACGCAGCTCTCGCCCAACCATGGCGCACAAGGTGGGGCAGCCCGCGACGCTTCTCTCGTGAATGGAGCCACTCCCATACATCCATGGATCTGGCTTTCCGTCGAGCTTCCATGCCAAGTATCGGTTCTCCCCTGACTTATGAAACCCGTATTCAGACAGAGGTTTTTCCACTTACTTGATATTCTCATGTCTAGTGTAGCTGGAAACAGGTTCGAACTTTGATCACCTAGGTGCGTACTTCGTACCTACCATGTGCCTACTTAGCTCAGCTTAGGTACCTTTACCCGCGGGAATACGTTATCCACTTATAGCGATGCCTTATGAGTTGTCACCTTCCACCAAGCGCCGTTCCTGCAGCGCCCTTCAAATTGGTAGGGATCAGGTGTGTACCACAAGGTAGGGCCGAGGCCAGTTTTTCGGCAACATCCGACACTCGACCGACCTCGTACAAGTACATACTGCACATATATAGATAGCACTGGCACCATATTAAGGAAATGAACATTTTTCCGGAGTGTTCGATGCCAGGTAATGATGCCGAACGACGAACTCATGAACATTAAGTACCTAAAAATAGACGGTATGGTGGCTGTATGTTGGTATTGTACCTGCGTGTAACATCTCCCCGTATTTAGGGGGAATGGCTTGTCCTGTGAAAGTGGTTGTCCAAGCCATCGCGGAATCCCTCAACCCATCGCTCTTCCCAAGATAGCATGCTCCAGAATATGCCCAAACTCCTGCGCATGAGTATATTGCAAAACAACCCAGAACAGCTGAAGCCAAGAACAAGAATTAACCAACGCCTTCACATGATATTGCAGTTACTCCACGTGCCCTGGTTGCACTGGTCGTATAAGCCGCCAGCATCGTCAGCGCGCTCGCCGACATTGTGGGTTCTGACGATGCCCGAGACTCTTAGGGTCTGCTCGCCCTCGCCATGCCACCAGCGCAGCCGCTGGATTAGCACAGTCTCCTCCTCGTCGCTGCTAATCTCCCACTTCCCCGAGCTGACTTCGATCGAGCACTCGTCCCTAGGGAAGTGGTACTCGGGCAGGAATACTACCGTCGGGGCTTCGGGGTCTGCCACCTTGGGAGCCTTGACGGTCAGGTGAAAGAGGCATTGCCGGAGATCGAACCCGTAACTCGTGATCAACCCAGCAGCAGCGATCGGCGCTGGTCGCACATATGCCTCTGCTGCCCGATATCCCGGGGAAGCGGTCAGCTCTGGTTGGCGTGAGGCGGCTTCCGACGAGATGGAAGGGTTTGTGAGGGAGCGCCTGAGAGTGGCTGGCGTCACGCTGTCATCGTCGTCCAGCTCCTTCTTCGGTGCAGAGGAGCGCGCATTAAAGGTCGAGGAGGAGTCATCCAAATCAGCGCTCTTGGGACGTGCCGAGAGGGGCAGCAGTTTGTCGTCTATGGAGAAGATGGATAGATCCTCGCCGTTCCATTGATCCCCCTTTTCATGGTCGTTTTTGGCCATGTACAGCCACAATGTATAACCTTCCAGGCCGGATGCCTCCACTCCGAAGTGATTGGCGTCCATAGCGGCCGATTGACTCGAGTAGTCACCCGTCCTATAGGCGTACTTATCGTCCATGTCATACGGGATGCCAAATTCCGTCAACATGCACGGATGATTCCCGATCCGCTCAAGGCCCTCTTTCCTCAAGGTCGCGTGCTGATCCCTGAAGCAGTTCCTGATGGCCGTCTCGCCGATCTTGACAGCCAAAGCCGGATGCCAATACCGCCCGCGCAGCACACCTATCACGTCGACGTTCCACGTCCGGTTCCACTTCTTGGTCATCAACGTGATGCCATCGTACCAGTGCGGGGCGTAAACCATCAACGGATCGTCGCCATCCGGAGTGCCCTTGATCAGCGGGGGAAGTTCCATGGTGGGACCCTGTAAGAGCATGATCGCATCCTTGTGGTACGACCTGATGATGTCGCGGTATTTGCGATAGAAGTCCATGAAATAGTTGTTGGTGAAGTAGTTATAGTCAATGGTGGCCCCGGTGGTCGGGTGCTTCCTGAAATAGTCCTTCTTGAGCAACCTGTCGGTGGATGGATCCCAAACGCCATGCTGCGCCCACAGACACTCTCCTAGCCTCCATTCCGTGTTCCTCTTGTAGTCATATCGCGACTCGTCATAATCGGCAGGCAGCCACGCCATTTCGCCGTGCGGGTCAATCAACGTTCGCCCTACCTTATAAGGGCCAAGCCCACCCATGTCCCAGGTCTCAACTTCAACGGCTCGGCCAGATCCGGTTAGGATGGTTTGCCATATCGTTGGGCAGGTTCCTTTCTTCAGAGCCTGCTCTTTCGGTATGACGCTGATGTCTTCGTAGCCGATCATGCCTTTGTTTGGCTCGTTCAAGCTCTCCCATCCGAACACAACGTCGTTCTCGATGCCCCCGGCTTCGTGGATTCGTTGCGCAAGATGGGCGCATGCCCGCAGGAAATGGCCCTGCAGATAGTCCTGGATATTCACTCCGTCTATGATGCACTTTGGCGCGAAATCCTTGCCAGCGAAGAACAGCGTGAACATGGTGGCAGCAGCAAGGCGGTAGTAGTTCGTGGACCAGATCATCTTGGGGAACTTGTCCGGCTCCGGATACGTGTTATGGACGATCGCTGCCTCGGTCGCCGCGAAGCTCTGGGGGTTAAGACCGGCCGCGTACAGTGTCCACATCGGTGCTCCCGAGCCGCCCGAGAAACGAGACCACTAAGATGGAGAGTGTCAACTCGCCTCAACCTCGACATGGAATGCGGACAGGTCGGGTGCCTTAATATACGCACCACGTCTTGATGAGGGTCCATGAAGATGTAAAACCCATAGCTCTTCGCTGCCCTAAGCACCTGAATTGTCTCCGCAATCCAGGTCTCGTCGTAGATTCCAGGGCCGGCGGCCTCGATGGCTTCCCAGGTGAAGACATAGCGGATGGTGTTGTAGCCACATCGCTTTAGCCGAGAGAAATGGAGGTGCGCCTCCTCCTTGGGAAATGGCCTCCCGACGAAGCTGACATTGTCGCCATCAAAGAAATCCTCCCCCACGTGCGAGGGTTGGTCGGGTTTGCTTGGGTACTTGGCATCGCCGGCCACATTGATGCCTCGCAGAATCACCTGTCTGCCATGGCCGTCGCAGAACTTGCCATCTTCGATGGTGAGACGGAGGCCGGTCATGGTCGGTGGTCTAAGTGGTTTTGCGTGCAATCGAAGACGCCGACAGGGAATAAAAGTGGCGAGAAACACGGGTGTTAAGATGTCGAAGAGAGAGGCGGAAGGCAAAGGTACTAGTAGTCGCGCTCTATCGGGTGTAAGACCTCCGAGCAGTTTGCCGCTAACTGACCGCCAATGACGTGAGTGACAAGAGGGTTGCCCAGCATGCCCAGCACCAGCGATGGAACGGTGAAAGTTCCCACTGCCAACTAGTAGTACTGTGTAGAGGTGGCTTCCGCTGTGGCAATGCGGTGGATGAGTGGACGATGCCCAATATCCCAAGATATCTTTCTTGCATTTTTACTTTTATTAGCGCAATGAATTCCCTAGATCATACGGATACATACTTACGGAATGAGGTAGGGGTTGCTTGCTGAGGCTGCTCCGGCCGGCTCTACTGTGTAACGGTCCGAACCTCATGGCCCCACTGACCCAGGCGAGATCGCCGAGATATCTGCAAGGGTTAGGGCTGCCGATTGATTGCCAGATCGCGTGTCAGAGCAGCCGATTTACGCGCCGACACGCTGCCGCAGTCTTGGCGCGTCTTGTAGGTCTAAATCCACACCCAGCTGACACCTCTGAACGACTCCAACTTTGAGGCCCATGATCTCTCGGCCCTTCCCTGCGCGGCTTATTATCGAACGAGTATTTGGCTCTCTTGAAGACAATAGCAACGGATCAAGAGCTTCGAGAGCAACATGCCACATTCTGACCCGGTTCCCGCTGAAGGAGAAGATACAAACCACCGCTCGGCGAGCCAGATGGAACAAGAGCCCGCTGCTGCGGCTGTTAGCAGCCCGCCAGTGGAAGGGGAGGACATTGTCATGGCTGAAGCCGGCGAATTACAAGGCATCGTGGAAGCGGCAAAACCAGCAGCCGAAACCCCTTCGGCTCAGATGGAGACAGATGAAGACCGAATAAAAGTCAAGCAGGACATAAAATCGGACATCAAGCTGGAGGATCTGTTTGATGGCATAGACTCAGACGAGGATGAGTTCACCAATTCCAACGATGCCCAGCAGGAGACGTAAGCGCTGCTCCAGCTCGTCACCACAGTTGTATGTATGCATCCTAATGGGGAACCAGGGAAGCCAACGCCGCTGATGCCGCCTTTGAACTTTTACGCATCTACTACCAACGATTCTTTCCCTGGCGGTACATGTTCCAATGGTTGAACCATAGCCCGGTTCCGGCAAAGGACTTCAAGCATCGCGAGTTCAGTTTGTGGCTGCACAACGATGCCGTGATGCGGTACCAATCATATACCACCGCAGATCTGTTAGCGCCTCTCCTTCCCACCTGTCTCGCCGTCGGCTGACCCTTCGATCAGCTTCCGCAAGGACGTACTACGCTTGATGCCCAGGCGTATAGAAATCGGGCCGGTCTATACGGCGGATCCGCGAGACCGCAAGACCTTCCGCAACTCGACTGCGTTCCAACCCTTGGCTAAGGAATTGTGCTTCGATATTGACTTGACAGACTACGACGGTGTGCGAACATGCTGCGAAGGGGCCAATATTTGCCACAAGTGCTGGAAGTTCACAACGATGGCCATCAAGGTCATGGAGACGGCGTTGCAGGAGGACTTCGGCTTCCACCACATCCTCTGGGTCTATTCCGGTCGTCGAGGTGTCCACGCCTGGGTCTGTGACAGGAAAGCCCGGATGCTGGAAGATCATCAGAGAAAAGCAATCACCGGCTACTTCGACGTCATCAGTGGCAAGCAAGGCGGCAAGAGGGTCAATGCCCGTCGGCCGCTGCATCCCCATCTCTCGTAAGTTGTTGATTTTTGCCTTGTACGCTGGGAAAGGCCTGTATCCTAATACAAGCAAAATTCAGGCGGAGTCTCGATATCCTCAAAGACCACTTCCAACGAGACGTTCTGGAGCTCCAAGATCCCTGGAAAATTCCCGAAAGAGCCGAGTCGTTGCTGCAACAAATTCCCGACTCAGAACTGCGGGACGCTCTCCGCAAGAAGTGGGAAGCCTCTCCGGAACGCGGGTCAACCGCCAAATGGGCCGACATCGACGCGCTGGCCCAAACCAGCGCCAGCAGCACGCTCGACCCCAAGGACCTGCTCGACGCCAAGCAGGATATCGTGCTGGAACACACCTACCCGCGCCTCGATACCGCCGTCTCCCAGAGGCTGAACCATCTGCTCAAGAGCCCCTTCGTCATCCACCCGGGCACCGGCCGCATCTGCGTGCCCATTGACAAGGACAACCTCGACGCGTTCGACCCGTTCAACGTGCCCACCCTGCAGGGGCTGGTGCGGGAGATTGATGCGTGGAACGAGGCTGAAAATGGGAGTGCCGCGCAGGATGGCGGGGATGTGAAGCACGTGGTGCAGGACTGGGAGAAGACGAGTCTCAAGCCATATATCGAGTATTTCAGGTCGTTTGTGACGGCGCTGATGAAGGATGAGAGGGAGATCACGGTCAAGAGGGAACGCGAGGACGAGCCGGTGGTGAAGGTCGAGTCGTTGGACTTCTAGGGGGTCACCTATGGATAACTTGGTCTTGATCATAACCTGTGGGCACAGGTAGAGAGCGGGATGCTTTCAGGGTTGCTGCTAGGGCCATTTGCGTTCTAGACATGTCAATCTCAAGCCGGTGCCGTTCACTGGGAGAGACGGTATGGCGCACATCGCTCTCTCGAATTCATCACTCCAGATGTGATGGTCTATGAGGGTATCTCACACCATCGGCGGAATGCCCTCTCCCGGGCAAGTGCTCGATGCTAGGGCGAGCACTACTGTATATGTTATTGGGCTACGTCCTGCTGGTGGGTTTGTGCCTGAGGGGTTGTCTTATCCGCAGATGGCATTTCGGCCCCTGGAGCATCCTCCTCCGCACTCTCATCCTCTCCCTCGTCACTGACACCGTTCTCCTCTTTCGAACCCCGCGACTCTACGTCGCCGGACTTCAATGTCCCGCCTTTCCGTTTCGGAATCACATCCAGGAAAGCCTTCCCCCAGTCACCGCACTCCAGCCATCTCGCCATGATCTCCACTACTTGGTTTGTCGTTAGGACATAACGACTCTGCATTGCCATGTATTCGCCAATCGGGAGTTTCGCGGTCCGGACCTTGTGCTCCCTGGCTCGATTGTAGCAGAGCCCCTTTTCCCTGTTGCGGTCCACTAATCCTCCAATGATGTAGCAAGTATTTGCTTCTAATCTTTCGAGTGTATATGGTGATTCCGAGGTAAGGTAGACGATGGTTCGATCAACATCTTCACCTTCAGGCTCGGCTTCGACCGTGCGACAGGCACCTTCACTGCCCGCATTCGTCGCTTGTTTCTGCCCGTCCTCGCTCGGCTTGATGAGGTCTATCATTTCCCCTCCTTGCAGCCCCATCATCTGCTCACGGGCTTGCTTCGCAGCTTCCCGAAAATCGCCTTCATGGATGCTAACGTTCTTCCAATTCATGTGTGCGTTCTTAAGAACTGTCTCAAACCGCTCTTTGAGCTTCCCTTTCCATGAGCTGAGATGGAGACTAGCCTGGTATTTTGACTTTCGATTCATGGCGTATGACCGCACGATCTGGCTCGACAGCGACACGATTTCCTGCTCGCGCATGTACTGCTCGAAGTCGCAGTCGATGATGAACGAGATGGGCACCGGACGATATTTCCAGGGCTCTTTTTGCGGTTTCAGCACCGCCGCAGGGTCAATGCCCGCCGCCTCGGCCTCGGCGATTTTGGCTTCCTTCTCGGCACGCTTCCGTGCCTGTCGCTCGTGTCGCTTGTCCTTGCGCTTCGCCCGCCGGTCTTGCTTGTATTCCTCCCATTGCTGCTGCCGCCTCAAGCGCTTGAGCTGATTCTTTGATAGCGGTTTATCTGTGGTGTCTGCCGAGCCCGGTGTCTGTAGGGATTCTGCTTCATCGGTCGTCGGGCTTTGATCATTGCTTGCGAGGGGGCTCTTTTTGGCTTCCCTCTCGAGCTCTGTCTCGGCCTTGCGCTTGCCATTGGCAGCGGATGAAGCGACGGTCTCAGTGGACTGCAGTGGCTCTTCCATATCGGCATCCGTTGTAGCGTGCTGCGGTCGTCAATCTCCGTAAAGGGGTACAGGAGGGGGTGGCTGGTTGGCTTGGTGGAAGGTGGAAGGAAGCTCTTGCCGTTTGAAGTGGGGAGTGAATTTTCCCAGCGCTCGTGGCAGAATAGCCCACCTCGCGTGGGCGGTGAGCGACAGACCCGCCCGATGACACGCTATAACGCGTCCCCAACCCTGAAGTTTAATTGCAGCGCGTTTCCCAGAGGACCTACCAGGGTGTCGTCCGTCCAACGGCAGCAAACCTCCAGCTCCTGTCATAGTATTCCGCAATCCTCCTGCACCTTAACAATAGCAATGTCCGCGCAGGCAGGCTGCACACACTAGAACACCAAAGATTACCGAAAAAAGGCCAATATGTCGTCTCGGCCGGAGTTGAAGGTTTGTCGGCTGCTGGACTCTCGAACCTGACGGTTACTCAGAAAGTCACTGACATACAAACCAACGAAAACCAATAGGTCGACGATGAACATGGATTCATCCGCTATTTCAAGTCACTTCCACACGTAGGGGACGATGTCATCCGCATATTCGACCGAGGCGACTGGTACACCGCACACGGCGAAAATGCCAACTTCATTGCCCGAACTGTTCGCTGAGACCCAGCTCCTGTTGTTTGAGCCGTGTGTGTCTAACCTCGCATGATGACAGGTATACAAGACCACCTCGGTGGTCCGACAGCTTGGCAGGAACGACCACACCGGCTTGCCGTCTGTTACCATGACCATGACCGTCTTCCGGCAATTCCTCCGCGAAGCCTTGCACAAGCTGGGCAAGCGAGTCGAGATCTATGCTAGCCCGAACGGGCGGATGAACTGGAAGATTGTGAAACAAGCATCCCCTGGAAACCTGCAGGACGTTGAGGAGGATCTGGGAAATCTAGGCGAGGCCGCCCCCGTCATCCTCGCCGTCAAGATCTCGGCCAAGGCTTCCGAGGCAAGGGCCGTGGGTGTGTGCTTCGCCGATGCCAGCGTCAGGGAACTTGGCGTGAGCGAGTTCCTTGACAATGACCTGTACTCCAACTTCGAGGCATTGTTGATTCAGCTTGGTGTCAAGGAGTGTCTAGTCCAGATGGAAAAGGCCGAGAAAGACAAGGACCCAGAGCTGGCCAAGCTTCGGCAAATCATCGACAATTGCGGCATTGCGATTTCTGAGAGACCAGTTGGAGACTTCGGAACCAAGGACATCGAGCAAGATCTGGCGAGACTGCTGAAGGATGAGAGGTCTACAGCGCTGTTACCGCAGACCGATCTGAAACTGGCTATGGGCTCGGCAGCCGCCCTCATCAAATACCTCGGTGTTCTCCATGACCCTTCCAACTTTGGCCAGTACCAGCTGTATCAGCATGATCTTGCCCAGTTCATGAAGCTGGATGCGGCCGCACTCAAGGCGCTCAACCTGATGCCCGGGGCAAGAGACGGGGCCAAGACTATGAGTTTGTTTGGGTTGCTGAACCACTGCAAGACACCACTTGGTAGCAGGCTACTAGCTCAGTGGCTGAAACAACCCCTGATGGACAAGGACGAAATCGAAAAACGGCAGCAACTAGTCGAGGCGTTTGCGAACGACACAGAACTACGCCAGACCATGCAGGAAGAACACTTGAGGTCCATTCCTGACCTCTACCGTCTGGCAAAGAAATTCCAGCGCAACAAGGCTAACCTCGAAGATGTTGTTCGGGCCTATCAAGTAGTCATCCGTCTGCCCGGCTTCCTCGGCACACTCGAAGGGGTGATGGATGAGGCCTACCGCGATCCCTTGGACGAGGCTTACACGAACAAGCTCCGCGAGCTATCCGACAGCTTAGCCAAGCTGCAAGAGATGGTTGAAACAACTGTCGATCTAGACGCACTGGACAACCACGAGTTCATCATCAAGCCCGAGTTCGATGACAGCTTGCGCATCATCCGCAAGAAGCTCGACAGGTTACGCACCGATATGGACAGGGAGTTCGCCGATGCGGCAAATGACCTGGGCCAGGAGCGAGACAAGAAGATCTTTCTCGAAAACCACAAGGTCCATGGCTGGTGTATGCGACTGACGCGGACCGAAGCCGGCTGCATCCGGAACAAGTCCCGGTATCTCGAGTGTTCAACACAGAAGAACGGCGTCTACTTCACAACAAAGACCCTCCAGGGGATTCGGCGAGAATTCGACCAGCTGTCTCAGAACTACAACAGGACCCAGAGCGGTTTGGTGAGCGAAGTTGTCGGCGTCGCCGCGTCATATAGCCCAGTACTTGAGAGGCTCGCCGGCGTCCTCGCCCACTTGGATGTCATCGTCTCCTTTGCACACTGCTCCGTTCATGCGCCCGTGTCCTACGTCCGGCCAAAGATCCACCCACGCGGAGAGGGCCAGACCATCCTCACAGAAGCGCGCCACCCTTGCATGGAAATGCAGGATGATGTCCAGTTCATCACGAACGACGTCGAGCTGACGCGAGACAAGTCCTCATTCCTCATCATCACGGGCCCCAACATGGGCGGCAAGTCAACATACATCCGGCAGATCGGCGTGATCGCACTGATGGCCCAAATCGGTTGTTTCGTACCCTGCAGCCAAGCCGAGTTGACCATCTTCGACAGCATTCTGGCGCGCGTCGGTGCCAGCGACAGCCAGCTCAAGGGGGTGTCGACTTTCATGGCCGAGATGCTCGAGACAGCCAACATTCTCAAGTCAGCGACGGCCGAGAGTCTGATTATCATCGACGAGCTGGGCCGCGGCACGTCCACCTACGATGGTTTCGGCCTCGCCTGGGCCATCTCGGAGCACATCGTCCGGGAGATCGGCTGCTTCGCCCTCTTCGCCACCCATTTCCACGAGCTGACTGCCCTGGCCGACCAGTACCCGCAGGTGCGCAACCTGCATGTCACGGCGCACATCAGCGGGACCAACAATAACGACACCAACGCCAAATCCAAAAAGGAGGCAAGCGAAGAGAAGCGCGAGGTTACCCTCCTGTACAAGGTCGAGCCCGGCGTCTGCGACCAGAGCTTCGGCATCCACGTCGCCGAACTAGTGCGCTTCCCGGACAAGGTGGTGCGCATGGCCAAGCGCAAGGCCGACGAGCTCGAGGACTTCACGTCGGCCAGCAAACACGACGACGCCGGCGCCACGACTGCGGGCGTGGGCGGCAGCGGCGTCGAGTACAGCAAGACCGACGTCGAGGAGGGCAGCGCCCTGCTCAAGGACGTGCTCGTCCGCTGGAAGGACGAGGTCCGGGCCGGGAAGGTGGTGTCCAAGGAGGACATGGCTGCGCGGCTGAGGGAGCTGGTCGGGAAGGATGAGAAATTGCTGGCGAATCCCTTCTTTCAGAGTATCAAGACGTTGTAGATGTGGATTCAGGATGTGGGATGCTTTGCTCGGATACTTCAATTGTTATTTTATGCTTTCCTGGAATGATTTGCCTCTAGGAGAGCGGAGGGATGTGTAAAGACTCACCTGCACCGGATGGATGGAGAATACTTGCCTTTCAAGCTGGGTTGCATGGCGTTAAAGGGCAGGTTGCCGGGAAGAAGGATTAATTTAATGATGGCTTCCTGTCTGTGCAGATCCAGTACCATCAGACAGATTCGCCGAAAGATCAGGCTGTCTCATAAGCAGAAGAGGCCAGTATGCCAGAGCCGCTCCATCTCAGCAAAGTGCGCCATGGTTGCGCGATGCTTTACGGATCTACTATACTGTACATGAGAATGCAGCTACGTGCTCATCTAAGCAGGACAAGTACCTTATCCATCGCTAGGTAGGTCCGGGTAGGAAGCAAAACAGGAAGACAGAAGGTCCAAGAGCTCCCGCGACGACGTGACGGGTTCCTCGTGGGTTTCGCGCAGAAATGGAGCCACGAGCTCGAAGGCCTTGGGGCCGAGGCGGCTCTCAATGTACGCCTGCTTCGCCCCGTCGTCGGGGTAGTGGTCTGCGTTGTACTTCAGCTTGCTGGTGGTCTGCCTGAACCACATCTCGAACGTGACCGTATCGCGGTCCTTGTCGTTGTAGAAGATTGGAGGGTCCGGGAAGCTGGCGCTGCGTTGACCGAAGGCTGCTGTTGTGCCGTTGGGGGGTCCAGCGACCGCTGCACGCCGATGAGCGACTTCAGGGGCCACGAGGCTTCTATCCCCCTCCCTTCGGCGGTAGTCGGCTAGCAGCTCCTTAAGCTTCTTCCTCTCGAGCTCGAGTGCTGCGATCCGCTGATCCTTGGCTTGGACTTCCGCTATGAGCTCAAGTTCTCGGTCACTACGAGGGGGGCCGCCTTCGGGATCGCCCCGGCCCTTGTTGTAGAGTGACGTGCCCCAGTCGGGCACAAATCGAGGTTCCCGTTGGCTAAGCGTGGGCTGGGGTGGAAGTGGAGGAGGCAGCATGGACGGGCTGAACTGTCGTGGTTCTTGCGTCTCTTGGAAGCGAACGCAGTCTTTGAGATGCGCCCTGAGCCTGGTGATGTTGCTATTCGTCTCCTTTCGGCACCAGTGACAGGTCATCCGCGGCTGTTTGTAGCGCGGATTATTGAATTCATTGAATTGCGCGCGCACCTCCTGGAAGGAGAGCTCGTCGGCTAATTCTGGCATTGTTGAAGCTATTCGCAGTTGTAGAGAGTCGTAGTGAGATGAAGTACTTGGTGTTGATACTCCCTGGCAACGCAATCCGCAAAATGCGCGTTTCAATCTGATTTTGGAATGTTTCTTTGCGGGCAGATTCTCGCAATTTTAACGTAACGTTCGCGGTATGCAAAGTGGGGTAAGTTACAAGAGCATTTGCCTGGGGAAGCCCCGAGGTAGCCCGATCCGGATGCCAGACCGCCTGCTAAATCGGGTCAGCTGTTAATGGCAACGAAATTGTGGATTTCCAGGCCTGATTATCTTCCCGGGGTATAAATTTCAAGGAGAATGCATCCAATTCTGGCTCGAGGGAAGGAGCGTTTGCTGTTTCAGGCCGCTTAGTCGGCATGAGCAGATACCGGACTGTTGGTAAACCGCTTATACCTTAGGTATTAAGCCGGTCTTTCGAACCGGCGGGCTATATATTCACCCAAAGAAAGAGTGAGCGGTTTTAGGTTTCTACTCGGCTGTCCCCCCGAAAGATTTCATCGAGTCTTGCACATACATGCCATTCCCGTGTACTTGTCTATAGGCATGCCAAGAGTACTTACTGTCCGGATCCGTACGCCGGTAACGATTAAACGTGCAGAACTTGGATTCCTCGACCGTAGACCCATTCGCACATATCTTGTGCAATCCCTCTTGGCGTTGAGACTACCTACCTACCTGTCCTATATGGTTCTCAGGCGATAGAATCGGTGACGATGAGGCTTAGAGTACGATGTGAGACTGCTGTGTCCAGGATCAGGCCACTACAATGCCAATACACTACCTAACCTATGTTGGCTCGATGCCTACAGGGGAGGGGACAAGGGAAGAACGCTACCTGCGGGGACATCATGCGTAAGGGTGGTGCGCCTAGCCCCGATCCTCATCGCCATCAGCTTTTTCACGGAAGCTAATGTGTGCCCATTGCACCGCACAGCTCAAGAAGAAGCGAGGAGTTCGGCAATGTCTCAACAGTACGTGATCTAAGAGTCCATAATTCGGCGCATGCTGTACCTCGTGCCAAGCATAACTTCAAACAGCATCCGGACCGCGAATAACATCCACCAAACAATAGCTATGAGCCCCCAAATACATGTGCCTGACAGTCCTGTCCCCTAAACGTCGACAGACTATTCTGTACATGCAGGACGCATGCGATTCGCTTTCCTCCGCGCAGCACGCCTCTCCGCACGCATGCGCTGGCTGATTCTTGCATACAAAAATCCTCGCCCAAATGTACCAGCGTCGGCAGAGTTCTCGGCGTCTTGTTCTGCACACTAGACAGCAGCATTCGCAAGCAGGTGCAAGTTCTCGGCAAGTTGTTCTGCATGCTAGGCAGCAGCGGTCGGAAGGGGATGCATCTCGACATCTTCCACGTGCTCGATGATGGGCTTGGTCTCAACTCTGTCGGCGTCGCCCATCACCGTGTCCTGGGCCGACGCCGGCCCAACACGCGGCGGCACGGGAGGAGGATTCGACTGCGGACGACGCTGTGGAACGCTGACCAGCTTCTGGACTTCGTCGGCCTTGACGTATGCGAGGTAGTACGGCTCGCCCTTGGTGTTGAGCTCCCCAAAGACGTACTCGGCTGGGTGAACCGACACTCTCGTGTCGTTGTACTTGCGCCAGACATCACGCTCGAAGTCGTGGATCCATACCCAATAGTGTCCAGCGGAGGCCGTGGACCCCGCGTGGCATACGACGGCATGCAGACGATACGCAATGGCGTGCGAGTTGCTGAAGAGGCTGTTCCGCTCCGCGATCAAACGAGCCCTCTCTGCCTTCTCTTCGGCAACGAACTTCTCCCAGGACCCCTCGATGTCAGACGATGGCGGTATGGTGCCTTCGTCATGTCTCCGTGGCGGAGGTTGGCCGCCAGGATTCGCGATCCTGGGTTCCGCAACCCCATATTTGGCGAAGAGTTGCTTCGTACCCAAGTCCATGTCAGTTGCTGGGAAGGAAGAGCCCTCTACCGAAGTATTCAAGCCATTCAAGGCCATAAATGCGTCAACCTCCTCTTCCGGCAGATCATGCTGCGTATTAAGCTCTGAAGGACCGCTCGTAACCCGTGACTCGGGCTTGGCTGTTTCTAAATGTTCAGGCGCCATGCTTGTCATTTCTGTGAGTCTCGTTTTGATATCCCACTTGCGCTTCCTCCCTTTGGCAAGCGGCGACAACTTGTCGTCAGTGTGCATAAAACGGTCAAGGTAGAGGGTCTCAGGAATCGTGATTGGGTTGACATTCTTGCTCCTGCCGTCAGAGCGCTGGATACAAACGTGGAAATGCGGCGCCGGCCGTTTGATGGTGGTGAAAGACAGCCGGCTGCCAGGCAGCGTCTCGAGATCGAACGAGTTAGCCAAGGCATCGTAAAGGTCCAATGTCCCTGACTGGGCCGGATAAGCGGTTACCCAACGATCTGATCTGCTCGTTTGGCTCCAATCGGGCTCACCGATCTTCTTCCGGTTGTCAATGAAAGTTGAGAAGAAGGCCTGTTCAATAGGATCAGGTGCGGACTCGGAGCCGCCAACGCCAGAGACTTTGAAGGCTGCTCGCAGATGGTCAATGGTGTTCCCCATGACCTCGTCAACATCCATCTGATCCGATCCGACATTCGGCTTGTCGAGCTCCACGGCCAGTTCCTCGACAGTGAGCTTCGACATCTTCGGCTGCTCTTCGGCATGCTGGTCGCCGGAGGGGACGTCTGCAATCGCCGGTGCGTCCTCCTCGACGCTCTTTGGTACATTGTCCGCTTCAGGCTGGTCTACTAGTGTCCGCGAGCTGGTAGAACTAGCGGTCTCACAGAGTTCGGCTTCCGTCATCGGTGCTTCTGAGATCTTTGGTTTGGCGTTCTCGGTCGTACGGGGTGGTAGGGGTGGCGCATCTCCGTCGTTTGCACCTGGAACAGCCTTGGAATGCGCCGACCGGGGACGCAGCATTTCTGGCCTCAGCAAAGCAGCATTAGCCAGGCGCTGCCTGGGTGAGATCGAGCTTTCCCCAGCCGCCTCTATCTCCCGGAAAAGGATGCTTAGTTCACGCGTGACTAGGTAATGACCGGAGTCAGCATCAACGATTACGAAGGCAATATTCGCGGACAAGGTACCCACATTCATATCCGACAAAGGTTCTTCCCGTCTCCAACTCAGATTGGCTCTGGCTGTTGCTACTACTGCTGCTACCACTCCTGCGTAGTATATTGCTCAGGTTCTCTTCGGTTGGCTCCAGGACGGGCAGATCGGCATTCAAAGTCACCTCCCTGACGGCGTTGACAGAGTAGAAATATTGGAGGATGCTGTTGAGGTAACAAGTGTTCCGAAGATTGGCGAGCCCAACCGGGAGCTCCATATCCACGGCCGCACCAGACTGATCGGGCGCAGCGGTCTCGTCACCAGCGCGGTCGGGACTGGCCGATAGATCTTGAAGTTGGCGGCTTGCTCGCAGGACGGTGAGCACTTGTTCGAAGGCGGGCCGGTTAGGGTCATCTTCTGACCGATTACGTGAAATCGTCTCGAGCGCCATAAGAACGAGCTCTATATCCATATCCTGTCGGACGGTTAGCATTTTGTTGTGTAGTTTGGGCCGAAGAGATTGGGGGGGAGAGGGGGGAAGGGGGGTGTAATGTAATGAATGGGGTTCAAGTGCTACAGGAATCCAACGTACCGATGCCACGCTATGCGCCATTTGAGCGATGCTGTCCATCGGCCAGTCCGACTGCACCTTGAGGAGCTGACAGGCTTCTGCCAGTTCCATCTCCGTTCCGTACACCTCCGCCGCGAGCACATCGGAGTTCCGGTCCTTCGCAATCTCGAGCAGAGCAAGCCGATGGTCTGACTTCTGCGCCGGAGACTCTTCTCTATAAGTCATGTACACGCGTAGGAAGTATGCCGGCTCCTCGGGACAGTCCCTTCGGAGACCAAAATGAGCATATGCTTTCTCGGCCGAGCTGGCATCAGGAGATACTGCGGAAGCTTCCTTCTTCGTCGTGGCTATTGACTCCTGCTCTGCGATAACAAACATCTGCAGGTCTTCGGCCCTGCGCTCAGAGAGATGGCCGAGTGCTCCTAGGTACGCCGGTGCATGGTCCGGGTTTGTCTCAACCTGCCTGATATAGGCGTACTTGAGCAGAGCATCGTCTGCGCCGACCGGCGCGCCCAGAATCGCGAAATGCGGCGCCTCTTCACCGTTGACGTGCATAGTGCTTGTAGAGCGTGGTGCCTTGTCACATGCAAGGGCCTTTTCTAGCTGCTCACGGGCTGGGATAGGCAACACCTTGGCCGCAGGCTGCCCGTTTACGGCTGGCTTGTCATCGAGCAGGCTCTGTACCTCGCTCCTCACATCTTCGTAGAAGGCCCTGAGCGACCCGACAGGCGTTTTGCCTTCCTGAGGCGGTAACCGAGGGGGCACCCAGTAAGAGTCCTGGGTAGCCTTGTCGTCCTGGACCTGAAATCCCAGGGATCGGAACATTGACTCGCAATCCGGGCCAAACTGTACCTGGAAGGTTTTGTTCCTGAAGGAGATCTTCTTACGAGGCCCCATCACGTCTTCTTCGAGGATGTTCTTGATATAGAGGTTTAGAGTCGACGGAGCCGATGTCATGTAGTGCGTTTCCTTCTCCGGGCTGATGTCTGCGTAGCGTTCTGGGTCTTGCTGTCTGGCAATCCTTAGAGCCTCCCTAATCTTCTCCTCGTCCATCATCAACTTTATCCACTCTGGCTTCAACAGAGGTGGAAACATCTCCAGGTGAACGGTCATGCCGCAGACTGTGCAGGCGTATCGGAATTGGGCCCAGCGGCTGTGCTGTTCGGGAAGTTGGACAGAAGAAGGCTCGGCGGAATTGTGCCACTCGGCTTCCTCTAGACGGAGATGGTGTTGCAAGTGTGCGGTGCTCTCCTCGTGGACTGGAGGATAAATGTGGAAACGGAAGTGAAACCGACAATACCGGCACATGCAGCGGACTAACGACCTGCCTCGACCCTCCGGGTCGTGTGCCTCGTCATAGCTCTGTGATGGGATGATGACAAAATCATGATCCGAGCCCGCATCTGGACGAGGTGGAAACTCGCGCAGTGAAGGGCACTGGGTTGGCAGTTCACTCTTCCTGTCCTCTGGCAAAGAGGCAGCAGGCAGACCCTGCTCATCTTGCACCAGACGCCCGGCATACCAATCTTGGATGAGCCTGGACGCTAGGCGCCCACCTGAAGCTTGATAAGTGTCCATGCAGTGGCGATATGGTTGGGGAGAAGTGCTCTCACCTCCGGTTGTTTTTGGCTCTGTGACAATCATAGCTAGTGAGCGCACGTCAGCTTGGGTCGACAAACTGCTCTGGACTAGGTCGGACCCTGCCCGAACAAGCCTGGGGAATACCGGCGTGGGACTAAGGATGTATGTGTTATGGAAAGGGAAAGGGAAAGGCGCTAGCATAGAAGAGACAAAGGTGAGAACGATAGGCGAGGAGGGGATGCATGTACCTCTTTGACAGCGGAGAGACCAACAGGAGGTTACGGCTTCGCTGTCGCGCGTTTGTCTGCTGTCCTCAAGGCCAAAGAATACTCCTCCCACAGGCACCGTGATCGGGTATTGTTGGCTTCCAGTCGTGGGTCGTGCTTGTGGCGAGGATGAGCTAGAACAAGAGAGCACGATAATATGTTGGTGGCTGCGGGGTGATACAACCCAAGTTCCAACGTGCCGTTATGATATGCGATATTTTAGCAAACTGCAGATATTCACCGAAGTTGGCGGGGTTAAATGACAAACCTTACGAAAAATTCAAAGATGTTGAATATGGCAGGTGCTGACGAGGCGATATTGACGCTATCGCAAGGAGGCCAATAACGGTTTGAGTAACATGGTACCTTGGAGTGAGAGTGGGTTGAAATCACGTACAATACTAGCAGGGCCTTGGCAACTCTCAAAAAGGACCCCGCTGTCGATGAGAATGTGGGTTTGTGGGAAGATCAAAGTGACAGCAGTCAAGAGATATGGTATGCTGCTGTCTAGTCGTCGTGAACGGGATTACAAGTGTTCATGTGCAGAGAGCAGCAACTGAAGCGAATCGAGAAGCGGCTTCATGCCCCTGTGGACTAGCACTACTAATAGCTGGAAGGAGCTACCACAGTTGTGACGAGAACGCGGAAGTTGTCTCAAATGTATGTACTGTATTACATCAAAAATACATATATACGTACGTACGGTATCTGCGTTAAGGTGTGTTATGATTCTTATATTATGGGTAGAGTGAAAGATTTCCGCATGCATAACTCATGTAATGAGAATTACTCCGTACAAACAGCGCAATGACAGATCACGTCTAATTTCAACTGCAGTATACGCTCCTCCAGAGTTCAGGCTTCCCTTACTACTTCTACCTAGGTAGTTGCAGCTTCCCTGAGCTTCATGGAAATGTAGAGAGTCCTGACCCACTTCGTAGGCCATCACTATCCAATCACAGGCCGGGGTAGCGGGGCCCTGTCGAGCTCAGCGGAGCGGTGCGTGAGAGAGCTGGGCCCGTTCCAGCCGTCAATTAGCCGCATCGTCAATTGGACTTCGAACTTCACGCTCTGCTCCCACCTTGATTAAGCTCCTCCACCACTACCTGCCGGCAACATGGCGCCGACCGGGGACGACGATCACTACCATCCCAAAGATGCGGTCAGCGCGGGTCTCCGGAATGGCGCAATCTTCGGTGGTGTCGGTCTTCTCGTCGCTGCCGTGAAAAACTCACTTGAAAAGAAGAATGTCGGGCCGTGGAAAACCTTCACCAGGCGCGGCGAGTTGATTGCTGCCATGGGTATGTCGGGCCGACTCCGCTCAATCCGGTCTCGTGCTGTGCTACGATATGCTGATGTGCTGCCTAAGCTGCCGTCGGCGGCGTCTACGAGTTCACTCGTCTGGCCTCTGCCAATCTGCGCGAAAAGGAGGATTTCTGGAACGAGGCCATTGGAGGCTTTTTGGGGGGCGCAACGATTGGTCTTAGAAGTAGGGATCTCGTGCCCCCGTAGATTGGCGCCGGACAACGCTGATGACAGGATACTCCATAGGCGGACGCATGACGAAGATACTCGGCTTTGGCGCCTTGACTGGCGTGGTTACGGCAGTGTACGACTACACCGGTGGCAGTTTGAAGGGCCGCTTGGAGAGGCCGGAGATGGATGAATACGAGCGGAAAGAGATGCTGCGGAAGAACAGGAGAAGGCCTATTGAGGAGACACTGGCCGAGATTGGAGAGGGCCGAGGTGAGTCCCATGGTTGGCCCACCTAAACTCATGACGGTGAGCTCACATATCTACAGGCATCAAGCCGCCGGGCTACGAGGAGCGGAGGCGAGAGAGAATCAAGGAGAGATATGGCATCGAGGTCAAGACATTCTCTGCCAACCCCGATGCTGCCTGAAAGACTGCAAGTGTGGTCTGCGGGCTGTGTACATATAACAGAGGACAGATTGGCTAGCCATCCGAAAACCTGGAAGGCTGAATCCATACTCTGACGCGCCTTGGGGATGGCGGGTTCTCCATGGCGTTGGCCTTGCGGAAGGTATGTGGGACTATTTCTTTGCCTCCTAAATTCCTCTGCATATGATGATTCCTCTTAAGAGGCTGTTTATGAACAGCTGTCATGATTACAACAAATCACCTACATTGTTCTATTTCTGAGTCAAGCAACCGAGTCTCTCCGCTGCTTTTCAGCAGAACTCTTTGGCGTTTGCTGACATCTCTCAGTGCGTGTGCCCTGTGCTCTTCAAATATACCAGCCTAATCTCACGAAACCGTTACGCGGTACATGCAATGGTTATATGATTATATGCTGCTTTAGAAGGTGAGGTAATCCAGCCCCGTTTCCCCATGTTTGCTGCTTCATATGATGAACTTTCACAAGAGGCTGTTTATGATCATCCATGATTATCAACTATCACCTACATTGTTCTTTGTTTCTGATCTGCATAATTTCCCGCTTTTTAACGCTCAAAACCTGAGGCTCGGCTAAGAACTTCGCTAACAACAGTATAGCGCTCAGGGTATTTACCTGCGTTCCCGCTGTCTATGACATGCCTCCTTGTTCTGTCACTTATGCGCTTGATGCTCTTCGATCCGTAGATTCAGCCTCAGTGAGTTTGTTGACCTGCTACCAAACATTTTGTTTGATGGTTATCGGTCTCCTTTCGACACCAAAAAAGCCGAGTTTGATGACGCTACTGACAGGATAAGGTACACACAACGCAGTGCACTGATAGTTGAAGTAAATATCAATATTCGCTGCGCCAGCCACTCTATTGGCGATGCTATTCTTGTCCTACACCCAGAACAACTAAAGTAGAAAAAGAGGGCGAGCAGCATGGCCACCGAACAGAACAGCAGCGCCAATACAAATACTGTTACCCTTGATCGACTAATATACCAAATACCTCGCAGCCCTTTCCGCCAATTTCCAAAATTTAGTCCTCCTTACAGCTTCATACCCAGCATCTTATGGACCCTCAAGCTTTGCCGAATGCTAAGATCAAGCATGATCTCCTCGCTGCCGCCTGGGATGGCGTAGGCGCGGACATCGCGGTACAGGCGCTCGACCTTGCCGCCCTGGCCGCCGCGCGAGTATGACAGACCGCCAAAGATCTGCGAGGCCTCGCGGGCGCAGAACTCGAAGGTGACGGTGGCTTGAGCCTTGAGCCCGGCGATAGCGCCACCCAGGCGCAGCATGGCCTCGGTCTCGCCCATCTTCTCGCACTGATATATGAGATTCTCGAGCCAGTTGTAGCTGGCCTCGATCTGGCGCGCCATGTGGGCCAGCTTGAGCCGGATGACCGGATGCTCGATGAGCTTCTTGCCGAACGTCTTTCGCTTGTTGGCGTACTTGACCGACTCCTCGTAGCACACGCGCGAGAAGCGCAGGCACTGGATGATGATGCCGATGCGCTCGTGGTTGAAGTTGGTCATGATGACACGGAACCCCTGGTTCTCCTTGCCGATCAGGTTCTCGACGGGCACCTTGACGTCCTCGAAGGTGATGTAGGTCGTGCCGCTCGACCACACGCCCTGGCAGTCCATACGTCGCGTCGACACACCGCCAAAGTCGCGCTCAATCAGCAGCAGCGACACGCCGTTCATGCCGGGCCCACCGGTGCGCACGGCTGTGGTGAAGTAGTCGCACCAGATGCCGTTGGTGATCCACTTCTTCTCGCCGTTGACAATGTAGTGTTTGCCGTCCTCGCTCAGCTTGGCCTCGCACGTCAGGTTGGCCACGTCGCTGCCGGCGTCGGGCTCCGTGATAGCCAGGCAGATGCGCTTGTCGCCGTTGAGAATGCCCGGCAGGATGCGGTCGACCAGCGACTTCTTGCCGAACTTGACCAGCGGCGGGCAGCCAATGCCGAAGCCACCGATGACGTTCCACACGAAGCCACCTGAGCCGGTGCGGCTGAGCTCATCAGTGAGCAGCATTTCATGGAATAGATCCCACTTGTCATGCGGGACGCTTTTGATGGGATTCTGGACGTAGTCCTTCTGGTATTTCGTGCCCAGCAGGCCGGCGAGGTAACCGCGCCGGCCCATTTCCTTGTAGATCTCGGGCGGCACCTGCTTCTTCTCGTCCCACTCGGCGACATGGGGCTCGATCTCGGTCTCGATCCACTCGCGAACCTCAGCCCGAAGGGCAGCGTGTGTCTCGTTGAAATAGGGAGAGTGATACTACCGGCGCAATCAGGTGTTAGAAAGAATATGGTTCTATTCGCCGGATACTGGTTGGCTTACCCCTTGATACCAACTGGGATCGCCGAAAGGAATCAGCTGGCCATACGGTTCCAGGGCCTCGGCCTCCTCGGCAGGGGTAGCCGCCGCTGCGGCTTTGGGCTTGGGCGCCTCCTTCTTAGGGGCGGGTGCCGGCGCCGGGGCGGCGGCAGGCTTAGGCTTGCTGTCTAGCGACCCAATCTGCAGCTGCTTCTGGTACTTCTTGAGAATACCCTCATTATGATACTTCCAGAACTGCTTCGACGCATCCTTGCCCGCCACCCTCTGGAGGATCTTCTTGCCGCCTGTGTTCCAGCATCTTGTCAGTTGCCAATGGCTTAAGCCGATACTGTATCCTTGGAGGTTCCGTACCTGGATGGTCATCTTGGAACTTCGTGAGATCATAGACGTCGCCGTCGACCACAATCCATAGGGAATCGGTCTTGTTGTGCGACGCGACGTCGCTCTGGCTAAATGTCTTGGACATAGTTTGTGGGATGTGGCCGAATCTCAAAAGGTGTCTTCAGGATCTTCACTTCAATCAGAATTAGGAGGAAAGCAGGGCGGGAGAAAGTGATGAGAAGGTGGACGAAGGAGGAATGAAGTCAGGAATGGACGGACGGGAGGAAGCAGTCAGAATAAAGGGCCGCATTCCTCCAGGGACCTGGCTTGAAAAGGCATTTCGACCGACTTCTGCAATCACATGCGATCCAGCTTTCCCCACGCCGTTGCGAATCCACAAATCCGGGGGCACATGCACCCCAAACGGCCCCATAGCCACTATGTACATACCGTATGTATACACATTATCGACTTTACCTGCAGCATCCGATTATTTACTAATCAGTGAGTGGTTATGTACACAGACTGTACGATACAGCACCCGAACTGGCAGCACATGGTCTTGTTGGCGTCCGAATCGCATCTCCAAGAACTCCGAGGCGTTGCCAGGATAGTGTGCATAGTGTGCCCCGCGACAGCGCCACTTGGTTAGGCCTGGCAGGCTTTTGCCGACTCGATACCTTAAGCTGAGTTGAATGCTGCGATGGCCGTCGCGTCAAAAATCCTTCACAAAACATCGACGCCTTCTCATCATTGTCTCTCAGTAAACTATCTTGTCTCGCTTGTATAGTGTATACCCAAGCGTGGAGAGGAGCGTTGAAAATCCATGTGCATGTGACAGAACCAGCGAGTCGGCTTGCCGGCCTGCCCCACCACAGCCGCTGCAGCCTGCACGGCGGCCCTCGGCTGATGTCATGGCACGTTTGAGCCAATGGGCGTAGAGAGCTTACCAAGCCCCGAGGAGCCGAGGCAGTACCGGCTAACCCCTGTCGGCGTTTCGAGCGTGAGACGCACCCAGCACACGCGAGTCAGACTTGTTGTGTTGCAAAGCGCCTTATTCGACCAACTGGCAGCGGGACGGGGAAAGTTGGGACGTTCCTACGGGGAAGGGGATCCGATGGAAGCAAACAGCACGATCCCATTGTAAGCTTGAAGAGCCGCTGTAGCACAGGCAGCTCCCGGGTCAACGTAGGAGAGAGCCCGTAATCGTTGACCTGTAATTCCAGTATCGCCCTGTCTCCTGACCCAAACACCACCAACGCCGAGCCAACTTATGTCCCCTGTCTGTGCAAACCAAAAAGGAAGCAAGATGAGCCTCTTGTACCATATTAGATGGATAGAAGCCAGTTCTTCCGGGAGATTGCTACGCCGTGACGTGCGAGCAACCTTTCACCCTCAAGCAGTCCCGCGCGGCTTCGCCTTTTGCTTTGCCTTCTCTTTCTTCTCCTCCTTAAGCTTCTTCTTCTTCGCTTCGTGCTGCTCCTCCAGCTTGCGCTTGTGGGCAGCCTTCTCTTCCTCCGACTTAGGCAGCACCTTGAAGAACCCCTCGATCCGCGATTGCTGCGAGCTCTTGAGGTTCTTCTCGAGGCGCGCACCGCCGGCGCGCACCCGGTCCTCTGAGAAGCCCTTCTCGTTGACCAGGAACTGGATAAGCCCATCGATGTCGGGCTTATCCCACTTGAAGTCGCACAGCGGGTCGTCGGCCTGTCGCACGTCGGGCGAGAAGAAGAGATCTCGTGCGTCCTCGAACGGCCAGTCGTCCGGGATGGTGTAACGGCCTTTCGGGTCGTTCTTCATGAACTCGACTACCTTCTCGAGCGTGCCGTGCTCCCGGATCAGCTTCAGCGCTGTCGAGGGGCCGACCTTGGGGATCGGATCAAGATAATCGCAACCCAACAGGATACAGAGATCGACAAACTGCATCGAGTAAGAACAGGCTGGAAGTTTTGGGCTTGGTTGAGTATTCGCTGCTTACCTGTTTCCGCTCCATGTTCAGACCTTCCAGCACCTTGCTGAGGAAGACCTCCTGGATGGGTTCCTTGCGCTGTTCGCTGAATGTGAGATGGCGCAAGAGGATGGGTGTGTCGAAGCAGAGCGTATCCATATCCTCGCTGGCGGCAGCGTAGACCTTGCCCGCGCGCGCTAGCACGGCGCACTGCGCCTCAGCCTCGGTAGGCGCAACGATGTAGGGGATGCCCATCAGCTTCAGCAGCCGTTGGCATTCAGCGTTGTGTTCTTTTGTAACGCGCACGGTTCTGCGCGAGAACTTTTCCACGTCCTCCGCCGTTCCTGTCTCCTTTGCCTCTTCGAGTCCCTCGTTCGCCTCTTGTTTCCTTTGGAACCGCCGGGCCAGTTCGCCGGACTTAAGTTTCGGCGGTGCGCCATCGAAGACGTAGAGCGGTTTGATTCCATTGTCGACCATGCGGAGGGTGCGGTAGAACATGCCCATCAGATGCGAGGTTGTCTCGCCGCTCTCGTTCATTAGCTGCTGGCCATCGGAACGCACGGCGATGAGGAAGCTGTAGATGCTCATGGATCTATGGACTGGTCAGACGACTAATACAGATTCGAGCTCCCCGGACCGGAATCGTACGCATCCTGGTTATTATTAGCCAGTGCAAAAAGGAGCCAGCCGCGCTGAGCGCGCGACTTACAATTGCAACCTTGCGGCCGAATTGATTCTTGATTTCCCCTTCCTTGATGGCATCTGGAGCTTCCTCCTTGATGATCTGGAACAGGCCTTTAATCCCCATCTTTGCTGGGTCCGCTTGGGTTTAGTATTAGTACGAATCGCCACTTCTTTCCGGTATATGGGTCTCGATTTGTTGGCAGGTCGGGCGAGTATGTTGATTAATGGAAAGGCCGCATGCAACCCGCTGACTTGGACGTGATGTCACGGAACGGTTTGCGGGAGGTTAAAACGCGTCTAGCCCAGGGCGTGCGACGCGCCTTGCTGGGTAAAAGGTGGGGGCAATTAAAACCCCTGGTTGGTCAGCGTGGGTAAGCTCCGTACCCACCACAGTACCATACAAAGGGAATGGATATTTCTTACTCTGTAGATGAATTGGATCTCAGGCTGGATGCGAAATGCCGGTTACCTGTACCTGTAGGTATCGTACCTAAATCTAGGGCACTTGGGCAATAACAGCAAGCTGTCTCAATGTAGACTTGTGCCAGCTCTCGGATGGATTACCATAATCCTCGAAGCGCAGGGTTTCCTGCTCCAAAATCACTATTTTACATTGATCAACCGCGGTTGCTGAGTCATGACTTAGACGAGGATTGAGAATGCATAGAGACGTGTTAACATCGTGGGATGGCCTGATAAATACAATGTAGGCATTTAAAGCAGATATGTACCGAAACTCTCAGACGTGCTATGCTACTCCTTCGACAGGATATATGACCGATTGTCTATCTATCAAGCCGTGGTCCCAATCCAGCATGTTGTTGCAAGAGCCAGAGGGCGGCAACCGGATATCGACGCTTCAAAATATGGACCGAAAGAAACAAGCAGCAAGGGGACATCGTTCGTGAGGGTCGGACTCACGCCCAGGCATCGGACAACGTTCGGCTTGCCATGAACGCCTGGCCCCTGCCCAGTCGAAATGACACAACTTCAACACACAGCTGAGCAGCCCCAACCTGAGCATGCCTTCATTACCGCCTGGGCTCATGATTCTAACACGAGAGGCAAGCAAGCCTTGACCCAAACACGCAAGCATGCGGGATCTGCTGTCGGCGTCCCGTGCACTGACCAGAAACGGCGAACAGAATTGCTCGAATCTGCCCCTTCCGCGAGACGAAGACGGGCGCATGTCGGGCGGCAACGAAACAAAGTCGATCCGACCTCAATCAGAAGTTCTCTTTGCCCCAGACAAAGTGGAACCTAATAGCGCGACGTTAGCAACGGCAAAAGGAAGGTCGTAGACTGCAGAGTTTCCAACTTACCCAGGTTCGCTGTACTTGTTGCAGAAGATGTGTAATGTGCTGCCCAGACCCTTCGGACCGCAGAAGAACACACCGGCCTCAGAGGGAGTGTGCAGTTTCCTGATCCCTCTGAAGATCATATCCCAGTTGGGACGGCCAAAGTTCGTTGGAGAGCGGAGACCAGTGATTGTATCCTTGTCGGCGTTGGCATCGTTGATCATGATATTTGTCGCGTCATCCACCTTGATCTTGGCCGTCAAGTACGTGTGGATCTCGATGCGGTTGTCTACGTCCTGCGCCTCGATAGCGAGAAGAAGCGACCGGAACCATTCAAAGGAGCCGAAATCACGGCAGATCCAGAAGAAGTAGACCTTGCTCAGCCTCGTTTTCTTTTGTGGGTAGTTCATCCGGTACCAGATTGATTTGAGGATGGAGGCGAAGGGCGTCACGCCAATACCGGCTCCAACCAGGATCGAGATCTCGTACTTGAAGACATCCTCCGATGCAGACCCGAACGGTCCGTCGATATAGACTCGCGGAAGGACCCGTCGTAAGGCGGGATCCACCTCATCGTTGGTTTGGTCGACACCCACCACCTTGGACGACCCCTCTCCCTTCTTCTTGTCGAACTCGCAGCCCAGCGTCTCGGCGACCGCTCTGGTGAAATCGCCCACGACACGGATGTGGATCGAGATGTAGTCCTCCTCTGGCGCACTGGTCAAGGTGAACGGGTGGTACTGCCACAGGGAGACCGCGGGGCAGCAGAAGAAGATGTACTGCCCGGCTCTCGTCTTGGTGTGCTCCTTCTTGATCTGGATCTCGCACACATTGCTCGGATGCTGGATGACTTTGGAGATGTACGTCTTGTGTCTGCCGCGCACCTCGCGAGCAATGCGCTCCGCGAGGTAGGCGAAGCCGCCGTACATCCAGAACTGCCAAAAGACGCCGATGGCCGAGGTGCCGATCGAGACGCAGAAGGGCGCAAAGTCCGGCTGAATCATGCAGAAGGCGCCGTGGATGGCCCAGAAAAAGAAAAAGATGATAAACATGTGGTGCGTGTACCAAAACCGCTCGTAGTTGGCGCGCCGCGTCTTTTCCACCGAGGTGATCACCATGCCCGTCAAGGCAATCAACATCACATATCCGGTCCAGCCCGGCCCGGAAACCAGGTTGGCCAGCAAGAAGCCATAAAAGCCGAGGTTGTTCTTCGCCGCGATCTGGGCGAAGTTATTCCAGTGGGCAATCGTGTGTACCCATGAGAAGAAAAAGATGGACCATGCGGTGGTGATGTGGAACGTAATGTTCTTGTCGAACTGGATGATGCCATTCAGCGGCGTCTGACGAGCCAACGAGATGAGCGTGCGGCAAACGGGGAAGAGGATGAGAGCGACATCGACATGGAGAACGAGCGCAGAAGCACGTGCAATCATAAATGTCGGCCCAAACGTATCCCGAGCGACCTGGAGATTGTCCTTGAGCGTGTAGTGGACGAAGCCGAAGGCGAACACAAGGGCGTGGAGGAACATGAAAACGAAGACGAAACTGTGACACAGTCAGCTCTCTGCGCTCGACGTCGACGCCAGCGACGTAAAACCCACATTCGGCGGTAGCCCTCGTTCACCATCCATCGGTCGAACTTTTCTCGGGGGCTCAGCTCCCTTTGCTTCTCCTGGGTCATCTCACCCGACAGCAACATGCGCGTAAGCGGCGTCCATCTTGACCTCTCCGACTGTTTCGCTGACCCCACGCTGCTCGGATACCCGTATCTGTCGTCGTAACCTCCGTAGCCCGCCATGTCGGGCGTCCTATTTTTGTCGTGATCCCCGGGCTCAGCGACCCACGACTTCCCCCCAAGACCTCCCAGGAGATCTTGGTCTCTTTTTCTCAGCTGTCAAGCCCTCCACTGGGCACTCAATGCCCAAAGCTGTTCCGACGAGCCAGCGATTAAATTTTGATCTGGAATCAATTCGTATGTTTGCGGACTCAGAACCTGCTGAACCGGCGATAGAAGCCCATCAAGCGACAGTAACGAAGAATAGTCGTCGGCCGAACAATATTAAGGAGTGTAAGGGTATGGAGCCTGCATTTGCCACGGCCGGCGGAGGCGATGATGGTCAGCAACCAAGCACCGAGAAACCGAGAAAAAGATGCACAGCACCAACGAAGAAGAATCGGCCGGGAAGGGGGGGAGGCTGTGGTCGGAGATTTGGGTGTTGTGGGGGGGGGGGGCGGTTAGGTTAATAGAGATGCCAAGCGGCCCACCAAGAAAACATGGGCTGATTTCCGGAGATCATACCTGTCCACAATGCCCGTCTCTTTCACCCACACAGTTTCCAGAGTTTCCGCAAGAGACAATGGGGGAAGACTCTGGAGTCTGGGGCCAGTACGTCAGTCACGTCCCAGTGTGCACGAAAGAACAGAAACGTGGGTCAAGAGGCGAAAGGCGATTGGAAACTGACTTAAGATGGGGCGCACCGAGCGGCTGTTGAGGAACAAAGTGCCCGTGAACGAGAGAGTCAGGGACGTGGGGACCCTTCCAGGGGAATGTGTCTCGCGCTCAACTGCACCGTACACTATCACGACTAGAAAGGGAGGGCCATGAAGCGAAGCGCGCCCAGACAGGGGTCCTTGTAGGAGATCCGAACCAAGGGAACCCGCTGAGGTTTGCTGTGGGCGCCGGGTTGGGACGTCTTGCAGTGCCACCATACATTGCACGTTGGGATGTTAGGTACCTTTGGTAGGCACACACCGCTTTCTAACATCAGTCTCCCCCATCCGAGAGAATCTCGTGACATTCGGAAGCCCCTGTTCACTTAATCTTTCAGGTTACCTACCATAGTTACTTTGCGCTTCGGAGTCGCTGGGGTCTTGGGCTGAGTGGCCGGCAAGGATGAATGATCAGACCGATCTCCCGACAGCACCAGACTGGAAGCGGTGGGTAATGGCGCCACTTTCCAGAAGCACGAACCGAGTCTGCTTCATGTTCTTCGTCCGAGAATAATATGCGCTGTGTTTGGTGTGAGCAGGCGGCAGTTCACAACAGGTCCAAGTTTCAGGCCGCTGGGGATCTTATGGCTGCCAAGACCCGGTTTTATGAGGGACCCACATACCTTCAACTGCGTCCGTGATTGGCTGAGGCTGGCCCATCGCTGTTTCGGCCCAGGATCTTGACACGCGAAAGGGGATTCAGGTTCGGCGCCAACCGGTGTTGTACTGCGCATCTCACCCCATGGGACTGGACTTTCGCTTCAACATTATCTAGGTATGTAGTTATGTATGTTGTGTTTGATCATGTCAAATTCTATGATGTACAGGACCAGCTTAGGGATACCAAATTGGGTTAGCTCTGCTCTTAATTCGACATTAGTATTGTGTACAGGCTCATCAAAGCTAGGGGAGACCAATATCAGCATCACCACTTTGAGTTGTGTATAGTATACACTAAGAACGACAAGTGCCATTTACATGACGGGATTCGGGCCACGCAAGATATCCATGGATGTCGCAAGCACCCGCCCATCCCTGGGCAGATCACATCCTAATCTTCGGCACGGGGCCAGGCCTTCGTGGACCGCAGATGCGGCCGGTGAAATGGTGCGCACACCCCAACGGGTTCCGATACCTATTCGATATGACGGCACCAGAGGCGGCTAGAAGTAAGTCTTCACAAGACCGTAATACGTGACCGCCAGAGAGGCTCCAGGAAGAAGAGTGAGCGGGACGGAGGATTCAAGGAACCCACATGACGCGGAAGCCAAGACGGGCACTACCGAGCCACGCCGCCTGGCATATCCACCAAGTTAGAGAAGGAAAGTGATCAACGTGACGGCCGGGAATATCACAGACCTTTTTGAGCTTCAGGCTTCAGGTTTTGTCCTGTGCCTCGCCAGTCAAGTCTCTGTACTAGTACAGGCATGTAAAGGAGCCTGGTGCCAGAACCATCAGTCTTACCTACAAGCTCCAGGGAACCAGTAGACTTCTATCATTCTGGTCTGCTTTCTTTTAGCGGACACCGGATCGATGAGGTGCTCGCTGTGATGGGCCATTCGTCTCTCGGCTGCCAACATACCGGCCCGCGTAGTGGGCGTCATCATCCATGGCACATTGCTAGTATGCCACCAGTAGGACACCAAATGTACGTGCACATCGATGACATCTCATCATGTCGACCACGGTTTTGTCGGCCTCGCTAGCTACCAAATAGGGATAGGATCTATGCGGTCCAGACGGCCAGCTAGAAGCACAGCTGACATGCTGTTCAGCGACGGTGATGGTACAAAGTACGAGGTAGCTAAATACCCTGCCCCTGACCCTAAGTCGCTGTCTCGTACCTCTCGCTGCTTCCAACATAGAGGCTACGCCTTGTAGCGCCTCGTAGTGCCGTCTTCGGAGAGCTTCGTCGACAATCCTTTCAATACTAGACCACGTCTAAAGGGGCAGAAACGGAGTCCCCTACACGCCGTTGGTCCCATGCGCCCGCTGGCTGCTTGTGCAGCAGCTAACGGCCGACATTGCTAATTTTGTTGATGGCATTGATAGTTTCAGATGCTGGGCAGGGAAAGGGAAGCAACAGATTGGGAGCAAAGCCCTTCATGGGGCGAGTGCCTGACTATTGAGATGCAAGCCCGATCAACGGGCCAGCGTCTTGGTGCGACTATGGCCGGCTCTTGCCAGAGGACATTGGGGCTCTGTTGCGGGAGTTAACGAGTAAGGAGGAGAAAGCCGGATGCATCGAGCCGCGGAAGCAAGTAGGTAAGGTACTTCACCCGCTTGCGGAGCTATAAGTATCCAGAAGATCTCAGGTAGAGAGAGCACCCAGTCTGACGAGGACGGAAGGCTGGAAACCCCTTTCTCCCATTTCCTTTGCAGATCAACAGACTAGCCTTCATACAACTGTCCTCGACTTGTTTGCAGAAAGGTGTATATCCGTACTTCAGCGTCTAAACGTGGCATCTAGATGCCCAAAGGTCAGTCCGTAATCCAACGGCGTAGCTCGCTCCTTAGTAGATCTCTCTTTCACCATTATGTTTTACGATTACGCGTTTTGTAAGCAATATCATCCACCCTTGGTAATTCTGTAGACCAATACCCTTCCAGGTTGTTGTTAGACTCAGATGAGCTGGGTTATATTCACAACTCTTCCCAACCGTGTCGGGGACCATGGGAAACTGAACACACCACATTGACCCCGTCTTAGCCGTTCTTCATGTCCTCCACAGCACAACAAACATCGTATTCCTCGAGCTACATTTCTATACGGCCTTGTCAACCCCGTCAGGCATTTCCCCCAGCCGTCACGACCATGCCCTACCAGTATTATCCCTCAACCGACCTGGACGAGTTCGAGGAGGTTGCCGCCAACGCCAACCCAAACCAACAGGAGGCGGATCATATTCAGGGCCGACATCTTCCACCGCCATAACCTCCCCTACGGTCTAATGGGGGGGATGAAGCAGAGGATGACTACTTAAAGTTGAAACCCAGCCATCGTAGGTGGGCTGTAGACGACTTGCGAGATATTGATGTGGCCATTGCTGTAAGCGGATAGATGAAGGAGGATTTAGGTAGTTGGGCTACTCCTTTTATGCAAAATGGGCTGAAAGACAGGCCTTACCCCGTGTAGTCTCTGAGCTGGCAGTAAGCTGGTATCTTGCCCGAGCCATTTTGATCGCAAACTGAGTGAAGACATATCACGCTTTAGTCACAGTGCTAAAAGATAGTCAAAAAAGTGCGCGATGGTCAGACCTCTCCGATTCCCTGGCTAGGTAGGTAACGCAGTATGGATAATTAAGGCGTCAGTGCCCGTCGGTATACCCCCTGCCACACCTCGACTATTTCCCAAACAATTCTGCATGATGATGCCTTCTGTGATGGTCTCGCCGTCGGAGAAGACTGAAACCAGCTACCTATCTAGAGACCCCAAATGGCAGGCTGGTTCAGGGTTACGACCCCAGTCAGCCGTGAGCGCTGGATAAGATGCCAGGAAACCAGTAGGATTGACCACCGCGCCCAAAGCAACGCAACCCGTTCCACAACCCTAGACCGCGTACTTCCTGGTCCACTCCCGAGCCGTCTGCTCGTACTTCGCGCGGTCGGTCTTGTACACGTGCGCGATCTCGGGCACCAGCGGGTCGTCGGGGTTCGGGTCTGTCAACATCGAGCAGATGGAGAGTAGCACTGCGACACAGGTCAGATGAGGTTCGAGCCCGTGAATGATACAAGTATGTAGAGGGATGGAACACACCTTTTGATATGGTCAACGCCGGGCTCCACTGGTCACGCAGAATATCTAAGCAAATGCTGCCGTTTGCGTTGATATTCGGGTGGTAAATTCTGGTCGTGAAGTGGACCTTTGGAGGCTTGAACGGGTAGTCCGTAGGAAACTGGATCTGAAGGAAGAAGACACCCCCAGCATACGGCGAGTCACTCTGTCCGACTCTGATTAGCATCCGCCATACCCGGGGAACTGAAGTCGAAAATCAAGGACGCTGTTGTCGCGAATGCGGTGATCGACGTGCCCAGGTCGAGGAACAAAACTCACAGGACCCATGATCGTAGCTTGCCATTGAAACTGCAGAACGAGGTGTTAGCATGGGGATAAGACATAAATAAGAAGCTGTGCATTTGCACAGCCACCTGATGGGAAGTGGGTGTGGAGGGGTACATACAAGATCTTCACCCGACGGCCCAGCAGAGCAGGAAGAGGGCGGATCACTGCGGGAGACGATATGTTAGCATCACATTCAAGCGACAATCCGCGAGAAAGCCATCTCGATGTCCGCGAGAGTGGTCAACCGCCGTGCTGCGGTCGGTGCCCCGCTCGGCCGAACACACCCCACCAAGGATGGATGACGGCACCGCAGAGGCTTGCCACTGTCGGGAACCCCCAAAAATGAGTGTCAGGGAACGGCTTACCGGCCGAGATCGGTGAGTTCCTTGTTAATGCGCTTCAGAGCCATGGCTGGGTATTTGTGGTGTTTAGGTTCGAAAGAGCGAGAGGCTGGCCGGTGCTGCTGAATTTAAGGCTGTCAGCTTTGCCTCTTTGGAAGTGCAGAGAATCCCAATGAAACAACCCGGCACGCCACGAGATCCGGTCGTACCGCGGGCCAGAGAGAAACCCAAAGGGGGTTTTACTATTAGTAAGAGTCAGGACTTACCGAGAAACAGCAAGATGTGATGCACAAGAAGCTTCGTCGGAAATAGGACGAGATGGCTGACTACCGAGTCCTCCAAGATCAACTAGGTTGCAGGAGCGAAAAGTGAGGGGGAAGCGCTCGGCGGTCGATAAAGGCGGTTTGGTACCCACACATACCGAACGCATCCACTGGGCCAAGGATTTTCAGGCAGGAGCAGCCGCTGAGCGGTGATTTGGCGCCTGATCGCCAATCAGACAAAAACATTGCTCCAGCTACGGATGTCTCGTTTGCTCACGCGACGCTATATTACGGGCGACCACATCAAATCAAAATTGACGGCGTTGTATGTATGGTTACAAACATGGAAATAATAGGTACCCGCATTGAATCCACGTCGGAAGCCCCACTGGTTTTGCGGCCTGAGCCTGTTTACACATTGCTGCAAAATCGCTGATCATCACAGGTAATGGTACACGTACTCCTCGACACGTCGTGCTTGGGGTTTAAGTAGGAGCGTCAACGAGGTTGCGTGGAGACTGTGAGAGGGATCATCAGCACCCTCATGGCCAACCCCGCTGCCCCTCCCCATGAGCGTGCCTCTCCCGACGACGGAGTGAAGACCCAATGCAGGGACGTCGACCAGAGAGATGACCGGCGCTGTGCAATCAGCGTTCCCCCAGCTCTTCCAGAGAGCCCGACGCCTAACTATACAAACGCTTGAATCCCGGTGATGGCCCTCCCCAGAATGAGACCTAAATTAGGGTCAGAAGGTATTCTTGATACTTAAAAAGCGATCTTGTCACACTTACTGTGGATGTCACTCTGGCCCTCGTACGTTTGGGTCACGTAAAGGTTGGCAACATGACGGCCGACCATGTATTCGTCGCTGACGGCGTTTCCGCCAAATATCTCCTGCAACACTCTCGCATTGTGGAGGGCTCTGTCGCAGTTCTGACGTTTGATCATACTGATCATCTCAGGGGTCGCCTTCCTTTCATCCTTCAGCCGGCCGACTTGGATCGCGGCCAGAGTGCCATAGGCGGCATCGGTGGCCGCGTCCGCCAACTTCTTCTGCACAAGCTGGTACTTGGCCAGAGGGTTTCCCTTGAACTGCTTCCGCTCAAGGGCGTACGTCCGTGCCCGATCGATGCAATCCTCGAGAGCCCCCATGACACCAAGGGCGATGCCATAGCGGGCGCTGTTCAGACAGGCGAATGGCCCCTTAAGACCCTCGATCTCGGGGAACATGTTCTCCGTTGGGACGGGACAGTCCTCGAGGTGGATCATGCCGGTTATCGACGCACGCAGCCCGGTCTTGTTCTTGATGGCAGGCGTCTCCAGTGTCCCCGGAGGGCACTCCTTCCTGTCGACGAGGAAGCCGCGGATTTTGCCCGTTTCTTGCAGCTTCGCCCACACAACCAGCACATTCGCGATGGGTGAGTTCGTGATCCAAGTCTTGGACCCCTTGAGGAGGTAGTATCCCTTTTTCTGGGGGTGCTCGCGTGCCACAGCTTCCATTGAGCCTGGATCACTGCCATGGTTGGGCTCGGTCAAGCCGAAGGCGCCGATGATCTTGCCCTTGGCCATCTCCGGGAGATACTTCTCCTTCTGCTCAGGTGAGCCAAAGTCGTGGATGGCACCCATGGCCAGCGATGACTGGACTGACATGCTGCTTCGGTAACCGCTGTCAACGCGCTCCACAGCGCGGGTGATCAGAGCGCCAGCAACAGTCGAGACGCCGGCACAGCCATATCCGTTGATGGTGGCGCCCAATAGTCCCAGTTCGCCCATCTCCTCAAGGATCTTGGGATCATAGTGCTCATCCCGGTATGCCTCTGTTCCCGTGTAAGTCAGCAAGGAAAAGGGGCCGATCTTGGCTTTGGGGTTCTTTGGGGTTCGGTAGCCGTACGAAGCACCCGCGGCAGTAAGTGTCCCTGACAATAACGCTCAGCGGTCTCGGAGATGGCGAGCTCCTCTTCAGTCAGGAGATTCTTAGAACCGAGCGGGTCCTGCCAGTCGAACTGCGACGCCGGTGATGTCGAGGCATAGCTCCGAGCACCGTGTGTGAATTGAGCACGAAGGAGGACCCTCTGAGGGAACCGCTTGAAAAGAACCCGTGACATCGTCGTTGTGTATGTCACCTAGGTATGTGATGTAGGGGGCGAATAATGAAGGGAGCGTCGGGGATCACATCGCCCGGGCCAGCCTCGGCATTTCATGTTGTTGATCGTTGTCATCGGCCCGGGGTATTCCCAAGTTCCCAACTCCTAGTGGAGTTGGGCCGGACCTAGCCGTCCCTCTCGGCCCTTCGGGCGTGGACAGACCGACAGAGGCATTCTGAGATGTGAGGGTTAGGGTTCTTTGCGATAAAACGTTCCCTATCAGCGACGGCGTGGTGGCATGAAGTACACGCGTGACAGCGCGTCTCAAGCTTCGGGATGCGCAACCCTGGAATTATCCCTGACCATCTGTTGTCCTTCCCGTGTGAAGAGAAGAATACTTCGTACGGCCGGCGAAATCAAACCCAGGAGACATTGAACCGAAATCTCATCCAGAGACGGAACCGCAACGCCTTACAAAAGCGCTTCAGTTCCTTGTACCAGCTAGACTCTCCTTTCCAGCGCCGTACAATTCCGTATGCTACCTTCCCCCGCCGCCGTCCATGTTGACCATCTCGTACTCGCCGGCGCCGTCCCTTCCTCTCCCTCGTCCTCTTCCACGCGAGAAACCCTGTTCTTCATCATCGCCGCCCTCACCACCATCATGGTTGCCATGCTCTCCTCCGTTTCCCCCAGTCGCCGACGCTGCGCCTCCCCCACCAAACGATATTGGCCTCAACTCGCGATAGCGGCAGCCCCATGTCGCCAACGCAACCGAGACCGCACTCGCTGCCGCCATAGAAATCCACCACGCAGTGTGACGCGGCAGTTGGCCCGAGTATAAAGTCACGATGACCAAGTGGATGGCGTGTAGCGATAACGCGAAGTCGAGCACGAGTTTCGATCGGCCGATCAGGATCACAATCGCAACAGCCCTGCCGTAGAACCAGAAATTAGTTCTGTCTCCGCATAGTCAAGCCAGAAAGGGTGCGCATGAATCGCCAATACGCACATCAACAAGCCCCCATCCAACACCCAGATAAACCCCAGCATCCACCCTTGCGTCGTGTCGCCGCGCACCGCATCCCACCCAAACACAAGATCCAAGTTGAACTTGATTCCCGCGACCAGCGCGGTAAAGAGCATTAACGCCAGCGCCCCGGCGTAGTATAGCCCCTGCAACGCGGCAATCTGGCTTAGGATCTTGAGTGGTGGGAGCTCGGAGATGGCGCCCGCGCGAGGCGGTCGTCGCCGACGCGCCATGGGGGCCTCTGGTCGTTTGTCGGAGAAGAGGAAGGGGGAAGGAGGCGCCTTGTCGTGAACGTTGGCCTATGGGATTAGAAGACGGCGCAACTAGCTATATGTAATCGTCGGTTCCGAAGTCTGAGCGCCCACGTTATCCCGGCAGCGTGTCCTCAGAGGTTATAGTCTGGGGCCCTGGCATCTGCAGTAGTCCAGGCGTCTCGGGTCGTGAAAGAAGGTTAAGCTCCGCGGAGGCAAGTTTGTCTTCGCCTCGTTAGCGTAGTATTAACCGTCTGACGTTTATTATGCCCGTAGGTGTTTGTACTTCGTAGGGATCTTCGAGTAAGCTGTTCTTCGCATTGTCCCGGACAGATGCGCAACAGGCAATTACTGCCTGTAGTGTATCCGTAATCTGAAATTACCAACGAGCCAGGGTGAACGGTCGGCCCCACAGTCCCGCTTGCCGCAGCCGGGCCCGCCCCTTGCACTCGAAACTTGGCGGATCATCCCGAATCGGCAAACAGCTCGAAGTCAGAAGCTCCATTGGAAGGTTGAAGGAAGCTCCTCCTAGCTACCTACTGAAGGATAACGAGAAGGACGACGACATTCTCTCACGGAGTCACCCGCCAACGACAGCTGCCCCACACAGTACCGAACCCCCTTGGCAGCGAGGAGGAAGCAGCAACAAATCAGAGAACCTAGAGAGAAAAGGGAACAAAAGATGGGCCTCTTCGGTCTCTTCTCCTCCTCCGAGGAGGACAAGCGCGCAACCGAGATCCGCACAGGCGCCGTTGCGCCCACACGCGCGGAAAGACAGAAGTGCTGGGCGGCACGCGACGCCTACTTTGCGTGTCTCGACGCCAACGGAATTATGGATGCGCTCAAGGAGGACAAGAAGGCGGCGCAGAGCTGCGGGCGTGAGAGCGCGGGTTTCGAGAAGGACTGTGCTGCGCAGTGGGTGAGTTCTTCTTCGTTACTGGCTTGTCTTCTGCCTTCCCGGCCTAGGCAATCCCTGGCTTGACTTGGCCTAGGTACCTCGCCTGGTTTGATTCGGGGTGAGGGAGATAGAGAGAGTGTGTATGTGTGTGGTTGAGTGGGCAGGCGAGTGTTAACTTGCGGCGGCAGGTCACATACTTCAAGAAATGGCGGGTGCAGGACATCCAAAAGAAGGCGAGGTTGAAGGAGCTCGAGGCTCAGGGGGCGCATAAGATGGATCTGCAGACTGATTTCAAAACCCAGAGGTGATGACGTCGGTATTTGAGTGTCTCTGGGGTATTCTGGGCGCATGGGGGTGCGGCAGAAGTGTAAAATATAAACATGTGCAAACAAGTCTCCTGTATCTTGGGTTCGCTCGGCGTTGATGGCACCGGTTTCAACATCACGAGATACTTTTCTAATCCTGCTCCGACCGGTGATGTTTATCCACATTGAAGGGTACACAGATGGAAGCGAAGTCCCAACCTGCCCCCCTAACCTGCCTCACCTGTTGTTTATATGCCCCTCAGACTTTGTGCGACCCATTCGTCAAAGGCCAAGAACGGTACCTTAGTCGGAAACCCCTCAAGGACTGTGTAACACATGACAACGAGATTAGGTAGGTGGGTGATTTCGAATCTAATTTCTAGCGAGTAATAGTGTGACTGACAACCCGGCCGGCTATGAGTAATTATGGCGTAAAGGGAAAGATGGATCCAAGCAACATCAGAAGAAACAAGTATGAACATGTAATGGACTGGAGAAAGGAAGACAACTGAGAAAGATAAGGAAAGGACAAAAGAGACCTGATGTTTATGCTGGTCGATGCGATGTGGTATCATGCTCTTCAAGGAGACAACCGGAAAAGGTCAAAAGCCATCGAATTCGTACAGTCCCAGCTGTTACCCTCTCTGTCTCCCCAGCGTCTTCAGGTTGATCCCGGGCCCGAGGGTCCCGTCGTCCTAGCCGCTCGCAAGGTGCGCATTGCTCGTCTCGACGCCACCATCCCTAAGAACCTTTGTCGAACCGACTCCCGTCCCTTTCCACTAGGTCCTTTCTCCGGCACCAAGACCCCCCGCGTGCCCATGCTTTGCGCGAGTCGCACACACGGTGGAATGTCGTCACACTAGGACACATTCTGTGAAAGCGGAGAGCCTCCTTTCGGAAGCGGAGGCAAAGCCTTGTCCAGGCTGTCGCGGCTGATCGACGGCCGAAGATTCTGCGACTTCTGAGAACCGGTAAGACTCTTGAGACGGCCGTTACTGCCGCCGTTACTGCCGCCGTTGCTGCCAATGGCGTAGCCGCTGTCGGCACTCTCCGGCTTTTGTTGTCCATTAAACCCATACCCGGTCTTTGGCGGGGTTGGCGGCGGTCGTGTTATGGTGCTGTTGCCCCTGCTACCGCTACGCGTTCCAAGAATCGGGTTACCGAACCCCGGTTCCATTTCGTCGCCGTCCTTGGCGGGGGTCAATGGACGGTAATCGTTCTCTGTCAGAAGGCTGCTAACCCGGCTGTTCCGGCTGCGGTCTCCCGTCGACGGGCCCTCGACAGCCTCTTCAACCACCGGCAAGACTGTTGCCTCTCTGCGCTCAGCTCCCGGAGCATTCGAGGCATGACCGGACGTCGTCCTCAGGGTCCTTTCAGGCGCGTGATCTTCAGTGCCGAGGGAAGAGGAAGGTGGCAACGGAGGCTGATAGTTCGGCGCAGGCGGACGGGCAGCGGCGGCCTCGGCTTGCAGCGCAGCGTCTCGTTCTTGGCAGGCTCGGGCAGCTTCCTCCGGCGACATGGTTACGTTGGAGATGAAGTTGATGAATCTCTCGCCGTATTCATGCGGCGGTAGGGCCGAGATCTGGCTGCGATCACTTGAAAGGCCCTTCCAGAAATTCTCCAACTTCTTTATGATACCATACTGGAGAAAAAAGTCAGTTTCGTCCCGATCTAAGCAGGGTAAAAGGGTGCAGAACATACGTGGGTGAGGCAGTCAATTACCCCCAAGTAGTAAATCTCATCCCCGGGAGCATTGTCCTCGTGCGTTGCGCGGAAGCCGCCATCATCTTGGTTGAAGATGAACCCTGGCCGGCTCTGCCCTTCCTCAAGCTCATCGGGCATTCTGCTACTCGTCTCGCCCATCGGGACCGGCTTTTCGGATTGGATCATCTGCCGGAGCTCCCTCGCCTTGCGTTGGTTCTCCAGCTTGGATGGGGTCCGCATCAGAACCGAATGAGGATCAAAGTCCTCTGGCGTGTTGTTGCGGCCTGGGTTGAAGACGCGCAGTGTCTTATCCCTCAGGTTCTCCTCGTTACCCCGTTGGAGGTCATGGATGCCTATCAGCAAAGAGTAATCCATAATCTGCAATCTTTGCAGTAGCCGCACATCCTTTTGCAGTTGCTCTAAGAAGAGTTGCTTTTTCTGAATGCCCAGCTCGAGGTGTCTCTTTCGCCGGAGCCAGTTGAGGTCCTTCAAGGTCGCCCTTGGATTGTTTTCCAAGTCATCTTCCTTGTAGTCGCGGCCAATCGTCGAGCCCTTCAGGTCAAAGGTTTGATGAATATCTTTGTGAGGCGGAAACAAGTTGTTCATGACGACGAAGTGGATCTTCCTGCCGTAGGGCATCTTGACGCGATGAAGGCCGTAGAACTGGGACAAGAGCGTGTTTGGGTTGTCTTTGACGTGCTGATAGTAATCCTTCAAGACCTTGCGGAGGAACTTATGCTCGGCATGATGGATGGTCTTGATGATGTACTTGTAGTCCCGAGAGAAGTAGAAGAAACTTCCACTCTTCCCAGGTGATCCAAGCTCCGACAAGATGTACTTCCCAGTCAGCGACATGAGGTAATCTGCGGGGTCTAGGCGGAAGAGTGCGCGCAGATGCCGGAACACCCAGGGAGCGTAGTCCTTAAACTTGAAGTCGTACTTGGCTGACGGGACCAGCTCATTTCCAGCGATGTCGAAGGTGGATTTTTGTTTGACTTCGAAGTCAGCGTCGGTCAAGGGGCGGTCGAGCTTCGCGTTGGTTCTCGACACGGACACCCGGATACCAGTCAGCATGTTGTAGGCGGTTACCCAGTTCGCGTGCGACTCGTCAACCTTAGTCCCGACCAGAACCCGGTCGTCGTCCTCGATCTCCCTTCTCCTCCTCTTGCTGGCCCGCTTCTGCCTGTACGCCTCTGCCCACCGTATAGCGTCCTCATCTGGAACCACTTCATCACGATGCCCATCCGAGTGGACGGATCGCGTATTCCTCCTAGCCAAACTCAACGATGCCCTGCGCGGTCCGCTCGGAGAGAATCTGCCGCTCGCGTAGGCCGTATCAAGTCCGTCTTTCGACCCGCGGCCAGGTGTGACCTTGGGAACCTCTAGAGTATGACGGTGCTTGATCCCGGGTACGGGGGCAGGCTGCAATGACCCCGACGAGTTGAGGTTTTGGTCATATATTGGAGGCGACGAGAACCGGTGAGGTGCTTTCAAGTTCCTCTGGCTAGATCCTGGGCTGGGAGAAGGAGGGCTCAATGTGGGAGCGCTGATAGCAGGGGCTGTCGGGGTAGCAGATCCGTTCTCCACGGTGCGGACGTCTCCTTTAATGACTGGGTGCAAATATACCTCAACCCCAGGTTTGGTCGTCGAATCTGCCCTGGGAATCGTACGCGGAAGTGCACCGTTTGGGTCCTGGGCCGGGCGACCATCTACCTTCGTCCCGGTGGCCGAAGCGGAGATCGTCCGATCTACCAGCGTCGTCGAGTTCCCAACCTCTGGTGGGTTCCGGCTCGCAGAATCACCAGCACCCACCCCGTTTATTCCTCCGCTAATGCTCCCATTCGGCAATGCACTCATGCTCTGTGCGTGGGAGAAGTTCTTGGTCGCCCGCTGCTCTGGCTCTATCGAGGTTTCGGATGTCGTGGAGGAGTTGCTCGATTTCGCGGAGCTCCCGTCGAAGCTTTCAGTCGACGTGTGCGAGTGCGGCTGGCGAGCAATGTGCCCATTGACCTTGCCTTGGGACGAGCCGTAGTCGGCGGCCTGGTCGAGATGCACGACGTCGGAGGATTGGGAATCGGTTACCGTGCTCGAATTAAGCATGAAGGAGGGCATCTCGGAGAGAGCTCGAATTTGAATGACGGAGTTGGCAATTGGAACCCGGCGAGCAACGTTCGAAACTAGGCGCGGTCGGCGGTAGCACAAATGCTCTTATGCGACCGTTCAGGCCCCAGGTCGGCGTCGTCGTCGGGTTCGGCTGGTAAATGGAACAGACGAGCTCCAGGAGAGGGTTGATGTTTTGGCGTCGGACGCTGCGATCGATTGTCGAACTGGTTTCCGGGCGGCGTATTGTCTTTCTTTGAGAGCCGCCAGACAAACGGAGCAGGTCAAGCTTGACTTGACTTCGCTGTTATTGCACTGGTAACCTGTGTGCACCTCCAAGTTGTGTAAGTTATGGAGATGGATACTGCGAAGCGATTGAATGATCCAGCGTGGTCGGCAGCTCTGTGCGTGTTCAGGATGGAACTCTCATCTTGGAACGGTGGCTGAGCGGGCGACCGGGACAGGACCCGCCTAGCAAGCTTGGGGGTTGGCGCGATTGGGGGCAGTGGAGTACGGAGTACGGTATCGTAACAACTGAAGCCCGACAATCCGTATATCTTACACGGCAGCGCTGAGCTATTGTGGCGGGAGTCGACGCACAAGAACACAAGAATCGACACCAGCAGTAATGATTGAATCTATGATAATTTACACTGTAGGTTACGAAAATACTTCAATAGCAATACTGTTTTTCGGTTTGAGTTCTGACCCAGCCGCGGGAGTGATCTTATTATTCCGCTCGTATCACCCAAGACTGCCCAGCTGAATGAATGACTTTGGTGGTATCCGTGCTTGCCGTGCTTGGCTGGTCGGGCAGGCACGGAGATCTTGGCAACTCATTGTGCATGCTCGGTCTTAACTGCCTTATAATGAACCAGCGTGCTGGAAGGTTGGAGCAAAACTTACAGACTTTCTTTACCTAGTACGGTATCTGGCTTTTTTCTTTCTCACTACCCTGGTGTCTGCGCTGGTTGATGCCATACCGGCTTGAACTTGCTGAGTGTCCGGGTGCCTGTTGTGGCCCCATCTGCTTCATGGCTCAGGCCTCATTTAAAGCGAATCCTGTCCAACCCTGAGCCAGTTCCATTGCCTTGCGCCCCACAACGGAAGCCCGGCGCGTCTGTGCTTGCCGAGTCTTGACTAGGTTGTCGATGGAAGAAGACCTGCTGCTTCAGGTAAATACCCCTGATCACATGTTCACCATCCTTGCTACAAACTCACTGATTTGCACTTTGTGGCGGCCTCCCGCATAGTTGTTGTTATGCGGACGCTAGCGAGGGAGAAGGATTTTGATCTTTGATGGGTGGCGTGCTTTCCAGTTTCCACGAGGTCGCTCAGTCTACTACCTATGTAGGAGCTTTCGGCAGCTTCCAGCCTGTCTAATATCTATAGGTATCCATGAGGTAGTACTAACGAATAAATCTATAAGCTTCCCCGCTGATACAGCACATAACTACATCATGTCGTCATTATTAACTCCCAAACGCCGCTTGGGGTATTTGCATGAACTGAGAAGGTCGCTCTGGATGCAGAAGAAACAACCACTCACTCCAGCCTCCTCTCTATGATCGGCTGTCCGACCGGCTTCCCACCAATAAACCCAAGATTATCCCCACCGAGTTGGAACACCATTTGACCCCTCAACCACGTCTCCTGGACCCGACCTCTGAAGGTGTATCCCTCCCAGGGCGAGCAACGGTTCTTCCAGCGCATGTCAGGCTCCCGCAGCGTCCAGATGTTCGCGTCGTCAAACACGCAGATGTCGGCGTCCATGCCGGGCTTGATGCCGCCCTTGCGGTGCGCCAGCCCGACCTGCTTGGCCGTCGCCTGACAGCACATGCGGACGATGTCAATGATGGACAGCGCCGAGTCGCCGCGCACGGCACGCTCCGTCGCGATGGTGTACAGGATCGGCAGCCCGAGGCCCACCGAGGAGATGCCGCCCCATGCGGCGAAGAAGTCACCCTGGCTTTTGTCGCCACCAACCACGGCCTGAGTGATGATGGCATCTACCACGGGCTCCGCTGCCTCCTCCTTGGGCGATGTCACGTCGATGGCAGAGTCGAAGTGGCGCATGGGCGGTCTCGGCCCGTCCAGGTGAGCGTGCTGGAGATGAGGCGGCAGCAGCTTGAGCTCGGGGGTGCACGGGGAGTGGTCCGAGACGATGGTTTTGATGCAGCCGTCGACATCGGCGATCTCGTCCCACAACCGGTCCTGGTTTGTCTGCGAGCGGATTGGTGGGCAGCACTTGTGCCTGGTGTCGCCATCCTTGATGTCGTCCGACGCGAGGCCGAGGTAGTGGAAGCACGTCTCGGCCGTGATGTTGATGCCGCTCTGACGCGCCTTCCGCAACATTGGGATGCATTCCGTTGCCGAAAGGTGCACAATATGTAGGTGCAGCTGGGGCGCGAGATGCGCCATCGACAGAATCTCCTCGACGGCACAGGTCTCGAACACCGGCGGTCGAGAATCCAGGAATGTGCTGTAGCTGCTAAGCTCCCCGGTGGGTTGGGGCGGAGCGTCGGATTGTTGGACGGCTTCGGACTGCTCGTCCGCTTCGCCAGCAGCCGGGTTGGGATTCGGAGGGAGCATTTCGGCGTGGAACATGAGAGTCGTGGGTGAGTCCTTGAGCGTCGTCATCGCAAGTGCGATGTCCTTTGCTGAGACTGCGGGGAACTCCTCGACCTGTTGCCGTTGGGTCAGTATCCGGTTCGGTTCCTTCTTCCATTCTTCCTTCTTGTTTCAAGCCACTCACCCCAGAGTCGATGAGGAACCCCTTGAAGCCTCGGACGCCCGCTTCCACAAGGGGCAGCAGTTCGTTGGCGTTGCCAGGAATGACGCCTCCATAGAAGCCGACGTCTACCCAACACTGTCCCTCGCTGGCGGCAAGCTTTTCCTTGAAGCCCGCGAGCGTCGTTGTGGGAGGGATAGCGTTCAGGGGCATGTCAATGACTGTGGTGACGCCGCCCGAGGCGGCAGCCTTGGTGCCGGTGTCGAACCCCTCCCATTCCGTGCGGCCGGGCTCGTTCAGGTGGACATGAGCATCTACTAGGCCCGGCAGCAGAAGCTTTGGGCTATAATCCAGGTACACAACGTCCGCAGGGAAGGAGCTCCTGGGAAGGACCTGTGGGATCACGGACACAATCTTGCCAGTGGTTGGTGAGACTGCGATGGTCGCGGGTGTGAGTACCAGCGAGTCGTCTGGCAGAGTCAGGACGGTCCTCGTCGAGGCGAGGACGACTACCGGCTCGCCGTCGAGTAGAACTTCAACTGTCATGTCTCGACAGGCCGACCTTGGGACGGGCTAGGAGGATAAAGCGGGACCAGGGAGCAGCGCTTAGACAGCAAAGGAAGTCACTCTCGCGGCAGAGGTCTGAATCTCTCTCGGCGGTGTGAGGTGTGTCAGCGAGAGGGCGGGGAACCGAGCAGCGAGAGTCGTCTTGCGGGAAAGAATGAGCGTAGAAACGAGAGAGATCCGCTATCAGTCGCACGAGTCGGACTGTAGCAGAGCAGCTGGAGTGAAAGTTGAAGATAAAGAAGCAGACGGCTAGCCTATCTCCCCGCCAGTATCTCTATCTTATCTCGTCCATCCTGAGCCGGGTCGCCCCCGACCGCCCCTCCCCGAAGCAATTCCCGGTCCATCAGGCTAGAGCGCCCATGTTCTACCTAGTTCCTTCAGCAGTTGTGGGACGCGTCGGTATCATGGCCGTACTCGGCGTGGAACTACACTAAGACCCTGCGTTATCTGGAGACGCTGATTCGTCGCCATGTCAACTTCGGAGAGAGCCGCTTCCCGATGGGCACGTGTGGAATCCAGGCTTAGGCCGGTCAGACCAATCACAAAGCCGGGGCTTCGAAGGGTTCCTGAAGCATCCCTGTCTGTCCTGTGACAAACGACCCTCTGATTACCCGTTTGGGCCGTTATCCGAAGCTGTCGTGAGGTTTTTTGCGAGTTTCGATCGAGTAAGCCGGAGAAATCTGAATGTTCCTGAGTTTCGATCGAGTAAACTGCGAGAAGTGGAGTCCCGCGTATCTGAATTTCCATCGAGTAAGTTTGAAGAATTCTTTTGCAGCGCTAACTTGCCACCGCTGGCCTGCAGATGGCCAGATGCTCGCTCTTAAACTATTACGCAATTGTTGAAAGGTCCTAAGGTGTCTCTGCGCTGTCCTTTGTTTATTGCTCACATGACAGAGTGGACCGAGAGAGCGGCGGTCTGAAGGAGGAACCTTCTTAGGAAGACGAGGCACAAAGTCCTTTATTATTCATTGTGTAATAGAAAGGTACTCACTTGGGCTTCTTTTGAGTACTAGCTCAACGGAATGGTGGGTGGGCTGGAACATGAGGATTGCCATCGAGAGTCAGAGACGTCTCGCCCGAGTTCTCGGTGTCCACCCTGCACAGGGCGGGAAGCACTTGGGCCGAGCTTTACTCGCCCCAACCCGGCGTTCCCGGCCATGCGGGAGAAGAAGGCGATGATGATTCCAGGGTGCAACCGACCTGTATCTCTGATCAAGGGTTGTGATGTCTGTTGAGTACTAGTATGTGCTCTACTGCTGTAGATGAATGACAAGGTGCTGTACCTCATTGGGCATCTTTGCTAGACACCTTCTATTCGGTTGTAGGTACAATACAACCACCTTCACAGCTATTGTAAAATAAGAACATGATGTATCTGTAAAGGTTGCTTCCCGCGCAGATATATTAACCTCGGGTCTCATCACATCAGGTGTGTGGTATTGCTATAACCCTAAGCTTTCGTCAAAGCCGTGATGACTCTTCGGGCTTTTTAACCTCGACCAAGAGTTTGCCTACTCGAGTGTTAGATATACCCGCTCTCTGTCCCTTCCACCGTATCAAAAGCTTACCAAGGTTAACACCCTCGAATAGCTGCTGAAGCGCTTTTTCAGCAGCAGCGACGCCCCCCTTGATGATTGTCTCTTTTCGCTTGAGTTTGCCCTCAGCCAACCACTGCGCGAGCTGCGCCAGCGCCGTGTCGTACTCCTTTGCAAAGTCAAAGACGATGAAGCCTTGCATCCTGCATGACGGAGGGTCAGCAAACTGAGAGCCGAGCATAGAGATGAACGCAACGCAGAAGCTCACTTGATCCGCTGGGCGATGATGTTGTTGAAGTTCCGCTGCAAGCCATGCCGTCAGTGAACGTCCTAGGAATCCATTACCGATGGAAATCAGTGCTTTCAAGCGCCTACCATGGGTCCCGATTTGCTGACGGCATTATACTGTGAAATGCCTCCGCACATCACGAAGCGGGAAAACGCCTTAGCCCGCCCCAAAGCCATGTCAAGCTGCTCGCCCCCAACTGTGCAAACCCCCTTCCGGTCAGCAATCTCGCCCACGCTCATCGTCCACTCACGGTCCGTCTCTCTCACCATTGTCGAAGAAGACATCAATCATCTTGGGCGTAGCGGCCTTGAACTTCTCCTTGAAGTCGGGGTCCTTGTAGTTGAGCGCAACATCCAGGCCGAGCTCCTCCGTCAGCCACCGGCACTTCTCGTCGCTGCCGGCCGTGCCCACGACCCTCGCGCCGGCAATCTTGGCGATCTGCGCCGCCACGCTGCCCGTGGCGCCTGCAGCGGCCGACACGACCACGGTCTCGCCCTTCTTCGGCTCGCCGATCTTGGTCATGCCAAAATACGCCGTCAGTCCCGTGAGGCCCAGCACGCCGAGCAGATCCGTCACCCTCGCACCGCTGCCGTCCCGGAGCAGCCTCGAGGCGGGCTCGACCTGCGCCTCGGGCACGATGCCGACCTCGCGCATCCCCAGCGATGACGTGGTGATGATGTCACCGGCGCGGGCCTTGCCCGACCGCGACGCCAGCACGCGGCAGATGGTCATGGCGCGCATCACCTCGCCGATCTGCACGGGCGGCACGTACGAGCGCCGGTCGTCCAGCCAGCCGCGCATGGCCGGGTCCAGCGACACGTACAGGCACTCGAGCAGCAGCTGGCCGTCGCCCAGGTCGGACTCGGTCGGAGCGGCCACCTGCCGCTGGCGGAAGGTCTTGCCCGGGACGATGGGGCCCGTGGGACGCTCGGCGAGCTCGAGCTGGAGGGATTGGCGCGTCATGGCGGGCGGCTCTCGTGGTTCCGATCTGGCGAATGGTTTCTGTCCTTAAGTGTAATAGGAGGAGAGCGGAACCCTGCGCTTTGCTGTTTGAGGGGTTAAGTACTGCTGGCCGTCGGTAGGTAGTAGGTCCGGTGACTTGGTAAGTCTTTCTGGAATGGCTGGTCTTCTTAATCCGCCAAATGTTGGTCTATAAGCACTCCTTCCAGCACATCAATGTGGCAACATCGTCTCTTTCAAAAGGTCTCACCATTAGTAATAGTCGTTCCAGTCAAACCGTTGGATGCCGGCCAAACATACTCTCGGTGCGGGCCTGGGTCCCCCGCAAGCGAATCCGCCGTACCGAGGTTGGCGAGAAACCCGATCCCCAAGACCTCGGAACGGACATATGTCTACCAATCCCGACCCCGGGCCGGTTGATTCCCCGGAGAGCCGTCCGGAATGGGCAATTGCGCCGGGTACTTACTGTGTATTGCTGTAATAAATGATCCAACCGCGGTCCAGTGCAGGATGTATTGTACCTAGTTTTGAGTCTTTTGACATGGCGCTCCTTCGATGATATAGCTTCATGCACGCCTTTCCGTGTGTTTGGGGATGGGGACAGGCACGTTCGAAAGCCGCCAGGAATCGATGTGTGTCACCGAGTCCCGCGAGGCAGCCAGTATAGAAGTGAGAGCCCAACCGGAGTTCTCCTGGTCCGAGTTGAATTCAGGATGACATCTTGCCGTCCTCATAGCGCCAGATTATGCATATCATCATACACATCGCAGCCCCCTTCCTGAGAATTCCTTGGAGATCTTGAGGCCTGCGTGTTGTACACCAGCCATACGGCTGCCGCCCATCTATGTTCTAGCTCTCTCATGTCCCATGCCAACGCTGTCCTCTAACCTTTGGAGTGGACGGTCATCGTGGTAGTGCAGTGGTAAGGCGGGATTAAGTCGCAGAAACTATTTCTTCCGCTTCAGTGTCTTCACAGCCATTTCAACCAGGCCATCCTTGGCGTCACTTTCGGGGAACGAGCTGATGGCAGCAATCGCCTTTTCGGCATAGTCTTCTGCCAGGGCCCGTGTCTGCTCAATGCCGTCGCTTTGCATGACTAAATCTCGTGCCTGTTCATGTTCTTGTTAGCAATTCCCTTCCACTAGCAGAACACTGGAGCCCTGTACACACCCTCGCCACGTCGCCGTCTTGGGCGAATTTCCTCCCTACCAGAGCACCAAGCTCTGGTATTGTCTTCCACGCAAATAGTAATGGAGCTGTTGCCAGTCCGAGTTCCAAATCTGCGCCCGCGGGCTTGCCCAGCTCTTTTTCGCTGCGCGTGTAATCGAGCATGTCGTCCACGAGCTGGAAAGCCAACCCGAGGTTCTTGCCATACAGATATGCGGCATCTACCGTTTGCGCGTCTGCACCACCCAGCAGCGCTGCGGCGCGACAGCTCTTGCTGATCAGAGACGCTGTCTTGAGATACGTCTTCTGGAGGTAGTACGTGAGCGTGTCCTCCGACCACCGCGGGTTGGTCTCGTCCCGCGCCGTGTTCTTCAGCTGCATGAACTCGCCCTCGACAAGGTTGGCAATCACGGTGGCCAGGAGCTCAATCACCTCGGCGTGGCGCAGGCGCGCAAGCGCCACCGATGCCCTGCCGAGGAGGAAGTCGCCCGCCAGGACGGCCATCTTGTTCCCGAACTCGAGATTCGCCGACGGCGCCCCGCGCCGCGACACAGAGTGGTCAATGACATCGTCGTGTAATAGTGAGGCAGTGTGGATTAGTTCTGTAATCTCGGCCAGCCTCCGCTGCGAGGGGAGGATATCGTCGTCCGCAGGCACTGGTTCGCCCTCCACGGGTGCAGTTGGATTGAAGTCGGAAAGGATGGATAGCGGGGATATGGATGTGTCGATGGCAGCCGAGGCCTGGAGAGTGGCCTGCTGCCGTTGCGGTGCCTTTGGACAGAGTGATGTTGCCCGCGACATCAACAAGACTATCAGCGGCCGTATGTGTTTCCCTTCGGACTGGGTATAGTACTTCGCCGCACGGTCGAGTGAAGGATGACCGGAGCCAAGTAGCTTCCTGATGTTCCCCGTCAGAAACTTCATCTCTTTCGCCACGGTCCGGAGCGGATCGATGGTGGGCACGTCGCCCTTGGCCGCCCGGGTGATGGCATTCGAGACGATGTTGCCGGCGACAGAGACAGCCGCGGCCCAGGCGGATGGCCGTGGACGCCCCGAGTGGAAGAGCGCGGCTGGCTGTGGTATCCTAACGTCGAGCGACGCCGCTCTAAGACATTCTGAGCAAGCCGACGTCCGTAACCTCGGAAGCCGCGTGGCGCCCGTGGCCCCGCGAAGCACGGAAGCCCCCGCCCCGCGCTGCATTTCCTGGCGCTGTCCTCCTCGGGAACTGCCAATTGACTGCCAAGGGTCACTCTTTGGTCGTCCGGGGCATATGAGACGAGATCGAAAGCTGGTGCCGGCGAGAAGCGCGCAATTGGGCCTTAGTTCATGACTGGGCTGATCTTCGCTCGTGGGTCCCGAAAACTTCCATCCGACAGTTTTGGGTCTTGGCGTAGTGTGGCTTGGGAGAAGGATTACCTATTATGGATGGAATTGCGGCTGGTGCGTTCTTCGTTCCTTCCGAGCAGCTTGCAGGGGTTTCTTCCATGTGCCTCGCGCTCTTGGCAGTTGGCACCTGCCTTGTCCGCTGGGACGGATCCACCAAACAACCAATCTAGACCTTGTTGGGAGGTGGTTAGGAGGTTGAATCGTTCTTCATTCTCATTCTTGCATTATTCAATATGGTTTTGCTTACCGTGACCCCGGCTATCGTGGAAGGGCTGCAGACACTGAAGGGAGCCGTCCCACTTGAGACATGGAGACAGAGACTCCAATCGCAGCAAGATGAGCCTTTGCTCGACGGTGTCACTGTTGGCAGTCCCGTCTCGCATTCCCAAGTTGTGGACCTTTGGAGAGCGCTACAGGATGCCAGCCACGGGGAATACACACTGGAGAAGCTCTTGAAAGGCTCCAAGACTTATGTGCCACCGCCGACCCCCAAACGTGAGCCAGTGAGTCGGATTAAGCCGCATGGCAATACCGGTATCTCTGTGCTAACCTAGCAAAGTCGGCTGAATATAAGGCTCTCATGGCCCGTCTCCGCCGTGACCAGGAGCAGCTGGAGTATGAACGCATGGCGAACCCGTTGCCGCCGATGGAGACCTTTTCGCAACGCTTCCCGAACAGCGCAAGCATGGCCCAGGCGTTCGCTGCGGTCAATCGCCCGACTCGAGAGGAGGACATCGGCGACGATGACATCACGTTCACTGATGTGCACCGCCAACTTATGCTGATTCTGAACTTCCTGGCCAGCATACTCGGTGTTGCCGCCACTCTCTGGATCCTGGCCAGGTGGTGGAGCACGCCGGCCAGGCTGTTTCTTACCATGGGAGGGAGCATTCTTGTAGGCATCGCCGAGGTCGCTGTGTATTCAGGATACGTGTGGCATCTTGGTCAGGCCAAGAAGCAAGACAAAACCCTGAGAGAGGTCAAAGAGATCATGCAGACATGGACTGTGGGCGCCTTGGATTCGAAGAGTCCGGTCGATAAAATGCCCAGGGCAGAGGATGAAGGTCTTCGGAGGCGGCACAAGGAATTTAGTCCAAAACAGTAAGAAGGGATCTGGCCTTGTTGTCAGACTGGCGATCGTTAGCAATCAACTATCAACATGGGATGAGTTTCAATCCCGCTCAGATATGGACCCACAGCCCCACGTCATTGTGCGTCCTGCATGCTTTTACTGAGTATGCGCGAACCCGACACTGTGGTACGCGCGACGCGTCGACGCGTTTCTCTCCGTTCACTTTTGCCCGTAATATCTGCGGGGCAAGGTTTTGCCCCCCTTCGTTATTGATGGACATACAGAATTTCAGATGGGTCGACCACCGGTTTTCTTGTACCTGTTCTTAATGCGAAAAGCATACTGTATCACGATCATTAGCTCCCGGTATCTGCTCTGTTCCTCGGCGGGCATGAGTATCGCAGACACGCAGTGACCTTCCAGCAATGAACTCAACAGATCCGGGAATTATGTCGATCAATCAACCAACAATTCCTGCCGCAGACGTCCCGCCGGTAACGATCACACCGGAGAGACGGAAACGGCCGTTGAGAACCTACAGTCGACGATCTGCCCCAGCGAAGGGACACTACGGGGAATCCGCGCCTCAGTCGGAGGAGGAGAAGACAGAGACGGTTCCAGATGTGCCGCGCGCAGAGTCGCCTCAGCTTCCTGTGCTTCCCAGGCAAGACCAAACGAAACGACCGAGCCGCGGATCGATCCTGGCCTACTTCAAGCCTGTTCCTCCGAGTTCCGACGATGCGCCTGTCGCCTTCGCTTGTTCTGATTCGGCGGAACCACTGTCAACACCGCCCACCTCTCCTCTGGCACTGTTGCTACCGAGGAAACGAAGGAGACTCACCACCCGACCCCACCTGAATCCAGATCAACGGGTCACCGATGGCGCTGAAGGCTGTATTAAGACCGACTCCGAGCCAGACGAGGAAAGCAGGACGTCGAAGTCACGCAGCTCATCGATAGAGAGCACCATTGTTGTTGGCGGCAACTCTGACAGCGCCCTCCGTCCACCACTGTGCAGTGTGGCAGTGAACACGCTGCAACCTCAAGCCGCACCAGTGAGTGCTCTGGAGCATGCGAAACCAAAGACAACGAGAACGTCGGAGAAAAAAAAACCAGCTAAGGACATGACGCAAACCACCCTGAGTCTTTCTATCCACAAAGAGCCGGGCTTCACAATCTGTGGGGCCTGTGACATTCTGTACAATCCGCTGAACGAAAAGGACAGAAGGGAGCACAACCGCCGGCATGCGGCTCATTCCCGGAGAAAGACAAAGCTTTCGTCATGATGTCCGAATAGGACGGAGACACTGACTCGAACCTTGGAATGAGTTGTCTCAGAAGTCAATTGGACTTGTCATTAGGATAACCGGGAATTGGTAACCTTGGAAGAGCGAACAACATAACTGTGGGGCCGACCCTATTACATCATGGGAGCCCGCTCCTTGACCCAAAGTCATCGAACAGAGTCCTGTCCATGAGATCTCCCTCAGATAACGAGTCTTGGCATCTTGGCTTTCAAAAGTGTCGGTAGTGTACAAGTTCTTTGATAGGTATCTTATCAGCCAAGCAAGATGGTGCATCAACACGGCGACCACAGCGACATCCCCCAGAAGCACCGGGTCCATAAGTAAGGCCCCGACACCCACTGTTTACCTTATCATCAAGGCTGCGAAGACTAACCCCTGTGTCAGACCCGGTGCATGGCTGCCGGCCGACCACCGCATTCACCGGGAGTGGTTGGGCCGCCAAATCGACCACATTGATAAGCACGGGGACAAGGAACTTATCCCTGTGCTGCAGGAGTTCAAGGAGCTGATCGAGAACAACCCTCGCATCTACATGTACTTTACCGAGATGTGGGACGAGATCCCTTCGAAGCCACCCTATACTAAGGATCCAACGGGGCGATCCCAGATTCGGGACTATGAACACATGCTCCAGGTCCTCAACCATGTGTTCGGCACCGCCCCTGAGTGGTTAGTGATTTCACTTCTTGATCGTAACAGTCAATGCAGAGGCTAAAGTGGGCTCCAAACAGGACGGATGCGGCTGCAAGCGTTGGAATGGTTGGTGTTCCGATGTGTGCCATTTTCGACTATGCCATGGGCACACCGAGCGGGCACGCAGCATTCTTGGACCCCGATGTCAACTGCATGTTGAAGAAAGTTCTCAACCAATGGGGCGAGTACCTCAAAGTATGTCCTTCGTTTCCACAGCGCAGAGCGCCGATTGCGGGACCTGACAGCAATAGTCTCCCAAGTCGGCAGAGGTCCTCGGCAACCACAGGGCAGGGTGGTTTGGTGAGGTCGGCTACAAAGACCTCATGGAAGTCGCCAACGCTCCCAACAAGACGTCGTTTAAGTTTGAGGAGATGTACAAGTGCGATCCGACGAAGAAGCACTATGGCTTTAAATCATGGGATGGTAGGCCTGTTGCTCCGGACCTGTTGGCAAACACCATTTTTTAGCTAACGAACCCCCTTAGACTTCTTCACCCGCCAGTTACATGACGAGGCACGACCGGTGGCCTCTCCTGACGACGACAGTGTGATTGCCAACGCTTGCGAGTCCAAGGTCTTCAATCTCGCACGCGATGCCAAGCTGCGTGACAAGTTCTGGATCAAAGGGCAGCCCTACTCCGTCACTGACATGCTTGGCAATGACCCCCTGGCCAAGGAGTTCGACGGCGCCACTATCTATCAGGCCTTCCTCTCCGCGCTCTCGTACCACAGGTGGCATGCGCCCGTGTCCGGCACGGTGAAGCGCTGCTTTGTCAAAGACGGCACGTACTTCAGCGAGCCGCTGTTTGAGTCGTCCGTCTACGGAGATGACATCGACGCCAAGGGCATCAGCGTCGCGCAGGGCTACCTCGCGGCGCTCGCCACACGCGGCATCATCTTCATCGAGGCGGATAACCCGGCCATCGGCCTGATGGCGTTCATCGGTATAGGCATGGATGAGGTCAGCACGTGTGAGATCACGGTCAAGGAAGGTCAGCATATCAAAAAGGGGGACGAGATTGGCATGTTCCATTTTGGCGGGTCGTCTCACTGTTTGCTGTTCCGGAAAGGTGTCAAGGTCAGCGGATTCCCCGAGCCCGGGAGGCAAGAGAACGTGCCGGTCCGTGGGCGGCTAGCCGTTGTCGAGCCGTGAGAAGCGGGAAGCCCGTCTCTCCCGGCAACTTAGCAGAGTACTGCACAGTATCCGTGTGAGCATCTCACTTCCGATAGCAATAGTCGAGCATTTGAATTGCACATTGGCTTTTTCTGCGCAGCCTTCAATATCCTGTTCCCTTTTCGGCGACTTTCCCGCGGCCCCTGCATTGCTCGTGCAACCCACGATGTGCCCCTTTTTGTATCGTGTCACACGAGTCCATCTGCACCTGCGACACGGACCCGAGCTCGGCATTCAGCTCCCCCGACGACACAGCCTTGGTGAGAACGGGGAGAACCGCGTGGAAATCATTGCCTTTCTCCCTTATCAACACTCCGGGGAAAGTAATATATCCCCTCCGTACGCCTTGGCGAGAAAGGAATCCGGTGTGATAAGTCTCAGAGGTGTGGCCACATGCACAGGTCCCTGAGGCTGTATCACCCAACAGTAAGGTAGGTATGGACAGCGATTGGTCCTATGCCGGGGCGTTCGCTCAGCACAACGAAGGCATATTCACGTAATTTGTATGCATACAGCAGATTATTGGGGTATTCCTGCATACCTATCTGACTTGCTCGGATTACCATGGCTAGGCCCGGACATGCCGCATGGTTACAGTGATGCAGAGAGAAGATCATGTTCACATACACACTACCGGTGAGTAGGACAGTATGACGGGGGGGGCGTACTAGTCACAGCGGCGAGGCGTGCCTCCCACGAAGCTCGGTCCCGTCAGGGCTCCCGCCTTCCAAGGTCCCCTTGGAGGTTGCGGCTCAGAGAGAGCCCATAAGGAGCCCGGGATTGTGCGAGTCGGTGTGACTATGGGCCGCAGTACCGATGAGATGGAAAGCGGTGGCACAGCATCTTGCTGTGAGAGGATATGTTCACTCGATGTGTTGCTACACGGCCAGGTAGTGTGTTGTGTAAACGATTCGACAACTTTCGGGTTTTTCTCTTTGAGAAAGGGGTTCGTCACAAGAACGGTACAGACAGCGGAGAGTCTACTCCGCTAAGATCCCGAGTTGAAGACCTACGGTCGCAGAGGGCGGGTTGAGTCTCTTCAGAATAGACTCGCAAGGCGAGAGAGACTGCGGGGTAGGTTGGTTTACTCTCGCCCCTATCGTTTATTATGTACATGTACCCAAGTATTCAACGAGAGCAGAGGAGGAAGCGGGGGTTGGCGGAAGACCATACGGAAAGAAGTGACGATAACTGTGGACAACGATCCGATACGTGGTATCGCAGGGATGGTGGTATTGTTTCATGACGAATGTATTGTATTGTACCCAAGGGAAGCGGGGAAACCCTTTGGAATTACGAGCATGCACATACACCACAATACCGTTCCTGCGCTCGTTCAGTAAGGTATTGTACCTGGAAGTTGACGGAACGTATGTATATTACGGTATAATACACCGTTACGTCCGCTATTTTCAGTCCAGTACATCAGCAAGGTATCTTACCGTAGGTGGGGCTTGCTGTCTGTGCCTGTATTGGTTGCGTCTCGTCGTCTCTACTACCTAACTTACGAGTACTGTATAAGTGTGAACTGAGTCCTGTAACAACGGCTCTTAGTCTAGGTAGGTGACGCTCCAGTCGGAGGGACCAATGCCAACAACAGCAGAAACAGATCCAATAAGTCTCTTCTATTGAACAATACCCGACCGTATTGCTTCCAGATTGTCGTTGACGAGTCCTCCCGAGTACCTACCTACTCACGTGGTAGGTGGGACACGACAACTACCCTCTATCCTCTTCTACGCAGCAGTCGTCCAGTCCACATTTGAAAGCGTGATTCAACTGAAAAACTCCTAGGGCCATCGATTCGCTTTCCGTGGTGGATATCCTGACGACCAGACAGAAAGCCGGTGCTCGGTGGGATGGTAAGCCAGTCTGTTAGGTTGGCGGGAATTGGCTGCCAGTCAAGGTAACAACACACTGGCCAGTAAGCATCCAGTGGCCTTTACTGGCTCCCAGTAATAGGAAACATGCTGCGCAGCTACGAAGTTACACTACTCCCGTCACTTTCCATGCGCGGAATCTCAAGGCTTGCAGCGTGGGGGTCAGACGTATCCCCTCCGGTTCGCAAGCCTGTCGACATTGAGCAACCTGCCACTTGCGTGGGTTTATAATACTAGTAAGTGCTACAAACGCAGAGCGGATATCCGGTGGCTTTACATCAACAAGAGGTTGTCACTCGTCACTGAAACCGGAGGATCGGCATTGCGCAATACCAACAGACCCTACGTACTCTGCTGCGTTATCTAGACCATCTCAGCCAAGCAGAGCACTACCTCATGCATAGCAGTGTACATACATACAACTGCTGTATGTGTGTCAAATCTCACAGCGGGAACGCGCTGTTACCTGCTATTCATCTGCTTGAGGTCTGGTGTGTTGGGCATACATGCACCCCACAACCCATCGGATCCTCACCAATTCGCTGCGCGGAGCAATGCGCCGCTCCGAGGGTGCAGTAGGAGATCGGGTTGCAAGAGGACTATGCCTGGGAAGTTGGGAGCACAACATCTAATGATGCAGGGCTGCATGCAGTGTTTGACCAACGGACATGTCTCCCGAGCGAAGTCCGGCGCCGAGAAAGATTGTTGCACCATCACTAGCCGAAGGTCGGACGAGCTATCAATGCAAGGCGACACATATACAGTATGTACCGTCTCTTGGTTCTCATAAGCGCAGGAGGTGGGAAAAGGGAGTTGTGCGATGGTGGCCGAGAAGCTAGGTGCATATGCGAGTTTTCGAGCATTGAGGCCCAACTTATATCAATTTCGTGAAGATATTTTCATCCAGGACGTTTCATCCTGTCCTTTTCCAGCCGCATACATATGCGCAGGCGGCCTAGATCTCTGATGATATCATGGCACATTGGTGCTGCAACTCACCGGAAATTATTCTCTCGGCGTCTCACAGTCTGGCAGGTTGTTCAGCGCAGTTTGTCCGGGCCACGATTGCCAAAAGAAATGTCCATCTGAGTGATACAGAGCATTGGCTTATGCTGTCCCTACTCCCGCCGTTCGAGACAAGCCCCATCAAGCTGAGATTATGGCATATGTTCGACTACGACAGCCTTGCAATTAATTAATCAGGGTACTGTGCAGGACAGGTGAGCAACTGGACAACAATCGAACCATTTTTCAACTGCAGCAACCTTGCAGGATAACGACAATCTCTCTGTGTTAGGCTCTGGAGGTTCAAAATGTGGGGAATTTTGACCTTGGACGACCTAAAGGTCCGTGCTTGTTAAGCTAACTATTTCTGGTAACGTTAGCATTTGTAAAAGTTAAGATCCACCCATCCTGTTCAGTTCAGTCTCTGATTCTCATCAAATCTCCCCAATTACCCCGCCATCCCCCGTCACGAAACGCGCTTACCAGACAGCAGCTGAAGGGGTCGTTGTACTGTTTGCGTGAATTCATGAAGCCGAAGCGGTTCCCTGTAAGTGGACTTAAACAGCTCTCACGATATGTATCTTCTACAGGAACTGCCGACTCTGGAGGATACCACTTCATAGCGCTGGTCCCACTGAGTCCTCGAGTACGAGAGAGTATCGCGGGGAACTTGGTATCCCACATAAGTCCCTCCGGATGACGAGAGGACAAGATTTTGTGGAGAAACCAAGATGCAGTCATCCGTTAGATAGCGCCTCCCATGCAAGAGACCCCTGTCGTATGCGGTCGGAACATGGTCCTCGGACTGCGGGCTTCTCCTCTTGTCGCCCACGAAGCGCCACCATTCCTACACAGTAATGTACATAGGTACCTGAGCTTCGGACAGGCGCTACCCCTCCAAGCGCTACTGATAGATGAGATCCTCAGCAGGAGACTATCTGTGGTGACGAACGGCTTCTCAAACACGCCCCTCATTCTGACGCGCGCTCCTCATCCCTTCCACTCTGCATGCAGCACTCCCCGGAGGCCCTTTGACTGGTCCGCACCACAGATATCTATCTGATCGACGAGCCAACCAGGCTGAGTGCCCAGAAGCGGCTCTCGCGTTACCACACCCTTCTCCCCACCTGTGCTCCTTCTGCCACTCAATTCCTCTCTGCCTTAAGACCCAGGGCACCTCCTCCAACCGGAACCCCCCCTTCCCCATTGACCCTATCCTTGTTGCCGCTGTGTTGGCATGGTCTCGTTATTGACGAGCTATGGACCGTCCTCTTCCCGTCGCGCAAGACGACGGCGACCTAGCATGGTCGGATAGCCACAGCATGGATTCGACCGACGTCCAGTCTGCTAGCCTGCGCTCGCCGTGGTTGGCATCGCTCTCCTCGGGGTCCACCTCGGTCTCGGTGTCGTCCTCGGCCGCCGGCTTGGTCCATTCGGGCCAGCTCTCACCTATAAGCAGTGCCCACGGCGCGGACCTGCCGTGTGGAGCTACCGACAGCTCCGTCAGTTCCTCACCTCCGTCTCAGTCACCGCCGACGACCGCTTCCGCCCACTCCGTATCGTCTTCTGCCTCTGCTGTTCCTCAGCCCTGGCACTTGTCTTATGCTATCTCTGGGCACGCCTCTGCCCGGCCCGGCCCTTTTGACAGTTATGGCATCCATCACGATGTCGTCTGGGAGAAGGGCACTGGTGAGATGGTGACCAAAGTGGAACCGCTGGACGACGATGACTTTTGCATGGACAATCTCCAAGAGGCCCCTTCATCCACTATGCCGTCTACTTCTGTCCAATCGAGCTCCCAGGGGGCTCCCGATCAACCCAAGCCCAAACGGCCGAGAGGACGGCCGCGGAAGCACCCCTTAATACCAAATGCCTCCTCCAACAAAGTTACCAAGGGCCGGTCCAAGACGGGATGTCTTACGTGCCGGAAACGGAAAAAGAAATGCGATGAAGCAAAGCCGCGATGTAAGTCAATGATAGCTGTTGACCGCTAGAGTCATCGGGAGGTTCCCTGACTGTTGTGCAGGTATGAACTGCGAAAAGAACGCGGTGGTTTGCGAAGGCTACCCGGAGAAACAGATCTGGAAAAGCGGCAAAGAAAGGGCCGAGGAGGGTATGGCCGAGTTCTCTAGTTTGCTCGTTGCTCAGCCTCTGACCTTGACACAGAACGGCTGAAATCCCGCGGCTTCCCGTCCATTACTATGCATCCCCTTTTTCATGGCCTGGAGACAGTCGAAGACAGGATATTCTGGAAGCATTACAACGAGCACCTCAGCACCGTGCTCACCGTCGAGGGAGAGCACAAGAACGCCTTCAAGGACATGCTGGTCCCAATCGCCGTGAAGCATCAGGGCCTTATGCACTCGATCCTGTCGCTGGCCAGCAAGCACATCGACTTTGAAACGCCCTACGGCATCAACCTCTTGAGAAATAATCCTGCGACCACTCTGGAGGCGCTAAGGGAGCGCTCCCTCTTTCATCACGTCCAAGCCCGGCTCGACTTCTACGGGGGCGTCCAGTCTCCCGAAGCCAAGATCATCACCGAGGACAAGGCTTTACTCTCGGCTCGATATGCCCAAATACTTTGCTTCCTCCTTGAAGTCCTCGCTGAAGGCGATTCCCAGGGTGAACACAGGCTGCTTCTAACAATATACCGCAATACCGTCACAGCCTCGCCGCCTGAAAATCCCGCCTTCTTGTCCTTCATCTCGGAGGTTTTCGAGTACCATATCATCGCCGATGAGCTCATCCACTCTGCCTGCGGCCATAAGTATTCGCCACTCAAACCTCTCGCGCAACTACCGGCAATACACCCTCCCAGGTTACTAGGAATCGCCGACGGTCTGCTGCCCTACCTGTCCCAGATCACCGCAATCCGAAATACAATCCGGAGTAAGATGACTGCACGGATTGACCCCGTGGTTGATTACGAGGACCTTTACCCTGCCGCGGATATCGACGCCGCGATTCGAGATTGGGCGCCGCGTTGGCCGCCAGGAGACAGCCGTGACCGGGTTAGTCTCTTGTATAAGCAAATGATGTGGATATACCTCGACCGGACAGTCTACCCACCGTCGTCATCGCCTCCGTCCCCTATAGCATCCTCGGCAGCGTCCCTATCTCTTGTCCATAGCTCACCTTCCCTCAACCGACCCGCTTCCTCGGTGGTAAACACGCCTCCGCTCTCTGCATCGACAAGCTGCGCCTCCTCGCCCAGGTTCCCTAGTTGCAGTCCTGAAATTACTCGAGCAAACCCGCGATCGGACGCACCTTCTCGGCCACTGGCACACGCCGGCAACCATGACGCTAGCAACCGTGTCGACTCCCCACCGCCCTTCCGGCAACCGCAACACCTAGATCCCCGCGTCACCATCGCTGTGGACGAGTCGCTCGCGCTTCTGGAGTCGTTCAAACCCAGCGACTCCTGCCAGACACTGCTCCTCCTTCCCTGCTTCCTCGTTGGGACCGCCTGCATCAGTCCTGCCCAGCAGAGGCGCGTGCGCGCTGCTATCAGGACTGTCAAGGGTTATACGGGACTCCGCAACACCGAAGTCGTCATTCAGCTTCTCGAGGAAGTCTGGCGGCTTATGGGCAACGGCGAGTGGATCGCTGCATGGGACTGGCCGGGTGTTGCTGACAGGCTTGGGCTCGACTTCATCCCCGCTTGACGGGGGCTTCACGAAGTCTGGAAGTTTCCCAGACTTGCTTATTCCTTCTTATTTCTTCTCAGTCACATGCGGGAAGTGTTTCACACACAACAACCATTAGTCCCTACTGTCATTACGGGCCCTTGTATCTTACCACAGTCGTTGACTGTAAATTCTCTGCTGTCTTTTCTGGCCATCACTTTTTCGGAACTGGGAGCGGGCATTGGTTTGGCTCGGGTGCGGAAGGCTACACATCTGTTTTCTTGGCTCTGGCGTTGGGCAGTCAAAACCGGGGAACGTCTTGGATGGGAAATGCAGGAGATGGGACGGACTTGGCTGGATATGATACCAGAAAAACACTGCGCTACAAGCACTGCGAAGCTGGGAACAGAGGTAACGGGCAAAGGAGGAACAGGACCAGGCGTGCATTGTCCCCGGAATTTCACAGGACGGGGAGAATGAGGACGTTTCCCGCTTTCGCCGCGGCACGGGGTATGCTTTGGATAGGGATATGGCATTTCGCAGCGCTATAGGACCGCGTGGAACCCTGGGTTTTACTGGACTTGTGCTTCTGATCGAGAAAATTGTCTCCTGAGTGGTATTGGTCGGACGAGGCTGACGAGATGAGCCGAACATACATCACCCGAGGCATTCCCCTATGGAGACCCTGAACGACAGTACTATATTCCAAATACATCCGGTCTCTGTGTCACATGTTAGAGAGCTTAAACGTGTGCGAAGTGCTACTTGCAAGACGCTACCGCAAGACAGTGTATATGATGATGTCTATATCTAATCGAAAAAAACAAGAGAATCCTGAAAAGGGATAATGGCCATACGCACAGGGACTGTAGCAAAGTAGGCGATAGTGGGTATGAAAGACCTACTATCCGTGGTAGACCGTAAGTTGGAAGAGCTTCTCTGGCCGGGCTGGCCAGCCTTGGTTTGAACCTAGCCCAAAGCATCAGTGATATTCGCCATTAGCCACGACCGTTGCAGTGCATCAAGGTGACACGTACCGACGCATCATCGAGTCAGTTCCAGGATTATTTCCCCGATTACTTGACCATGGTAGGAAATACGGCTTCTGGGCAGTGTTATGTAGTGCGTAGTCCGGCGAAGGCGAAGCTGGAGTCAGACCAGCTAGAACGGCCATTGTCGTTTATTGCCTCTTCCGAGGAAGCGGACCGTGTAGCTTACCTACTAGCATGAGGGAGATGAACGCCGTCTTACGGCTGGACATTGGCGGACACTGCTGAACCGTCTCCAAGCACAGCTGTCCCACATCTCCAAACATCGATTCGCGAGTTTTTCTTTCTTTTTCTCCCCTCATGTTTTCATCCAGAGACAGAGAGCCACCACTTGCCTTGGCCACAGGCCCTGAGCAAGCTGCAGGCCAAAAAAAGGGTGCTATGGTAGAGATGTGCGAGCAATGCCAGCAGTCGCTAGGGGCCGAGATGTCGCTCTTGGAGAGCAAACGATGAGTCAAGGACGCCGAAAGTGTGTCCCGGCGACGGAGACAAGTCAACTGGCATGACAGAGGAGGAAGAACAAAACGAGACATTGGGAAGTGATGACGAGGCGGGACATCGTAGCGAATTCGTCTGGCAGGACGGCGGCTTTCGAAGTCCGGGACTCAGGGGAACACCAAGAGGTGCGAGTCCCGGAAAGATGTCTTTGGTGCTCTTGAGCCTGCATAAGGGGGAAATAGCTCGGGTGATACATATTCCGCTTATTCGCTGTTTCGTTCCCCATGCAGGTATGGACAGATTACAACTATTTCGAGAGTCTTCGGGTTGAGCCAGTTGACCCGGGCTTCTGACCTCCTTAGATCAGTTCAATCCCTAGGCCATATCGGCACCTTCGGGACATGTGCAAAAAGAAAATTCGAACCATCCGTTTGACATGTCCTGCTCTTCGTTCTTGAGCAAGAGTCATGAACATGCCTTATCGTACATGTATCGTATACAGGAAATTTACACAGCCCAGCGGCTTTGATGCCCCGCGGGCCTCTCTACAGAGCTTCAACACAACAAGGTACCTAGGTAGGCTGGCACCATCGAGAAACCATACCTCCCAAGTTAACCCCTGCCCTACCTATCATCTCCCTTCCCTTCGTCCTCATCTTTCTTCTTCTCCTGCAACGTAACTTCAATGCCGCCCGGCACCTTCCGGATCTCGTACTTCCCGCCAAGGACCAAGTCCTTGGCTACCAACTCCCTCGTGCGGCCCAGACTCTCGATGGCGGCGATGCGGTCGATGGTTGCCTGGAGGTGTTCGCGGAAGCCCGGCTGCGCCACGATCTCCTTGAAGGCGAGGTGCATGGGCACCGAGCTCGCCCGCACCTGGGCATCGCTGGTGATACTGAAGAGGTTCAAGCGGTCGAGGGCGCGCACAAAGTCAGAGCGCGTCATGATCTGTTGCGCTATGTGGAGTGGGAAGGAGGGGAGTACATGGCCCTTCTCCGGGCAATACGTTGTCTCCATTTCTTCTTCCTTGTCGACGAGGGCGGCGGCTAGGACGACTGCCGCTGCCTGAATTCGGAACACCCGTAAGTAGCAAGAACATAGGAAAGAAACTGAGGGGTAAGGTAGTGAACAATGACTCACCGCCCATTTCTGCTGGTCCATCACATCGTCATCCATCTCCTCCCCAAGAATCCAGCACTGGTTCAAGAACCAGGTCTTTTCTACCTCCTTGATCTTGTCGCACGTTGCGAGCATGTCTTCGCTTCTCGCCACCCGGTTCAAGAAGTTAAGCCGCCCGCCGACACGGTCGTAGACCATCTCAAGCAGCTCAGACGACGGGGTCTCGCGGAAGTACCGCTGCCGGTAGTTCTTGAGTGCCGCCGTCGCTTGTGCCTTGGGCAAGTCCACGATGGTCAGGACTTCCATCCGCGTGGCCAGCTGCTTCAGCCGCTCATATATCCAGTAATCGTCGCTGTTGAAGACCATGGTCACGAGGTTTGCCGCCGCCCATTGCTCGGCCCGCTGCTGCAGAAGCTCAATTAAGTCCTTGCCGTCCTCATCATCCCTAATGAGATGCATCTGGTTGATAATGAGTATGAGCGGGCGCCCGACCTTGGCCCGCCTCCGGAGGGCCACCTTCTCGAGCTTGTTGAGGGCGCGCTCGATGTCGAGAAGCGCCGTGGTGTCTCTCGGGCCGCGCTCGCTGAAGTACCCGCCAATGTAATCCTCATGGAATTCGTAGTCAAGGGCCTTTCCCAGCCGTATCCTGAAGATCTCGAGGTCGGCATGGGCCTCGAACATGGCCACGCCGTCCCCATCCACTTTGCGCATAGCCTCCAGCAGCATGCTGCTCTTGCCGGTGCCCTTCTCGCCGATGAACAAATGATAGTGCCCCCCGCTGCGACCGGCGATGATGTCGTCGACCGTGGGTTGCTCAGGTCTCTCGATCCAGTGGGTGGCTGCCGCTGTGTGCGGGTGGGGGAGGTCTTTGCCTATTGCCGCCAACTCAAGGACCGGGTCGCCGGGCTCAAAGGCATTGGCCATCTTTTGAAGCACCATGTACTTGTATGACTTATGGTAAGCATAAGCTGCCAGGCCAAAGCCCGCGCCGAGGACGAGGATAGACGCTAACGAGGTGGCTGCCGCTTCCACCATTTTACTGAGCAGAGAAGGACCAGCATCGTGCTCTGGGGGCGGCGGTCTGCCCGGGTCCGGTTCCGAGGCATATTTGGTAGTCGCATCATTATCCTCTGTAGCCGTGTCAGCATCTGAATGAGAGTTGAGTGTGAGCAGTGAGGGCAGTGCCGAAGAATGGCTGAGGCACGACAGGGTACCCGACCGGCAATGGAAATTGCATCAAGATAATGATCGAGCAGCAAGCATGCTGGTTACACACAAGATCTCTCAGGACTCTTACAGCCCAATCACATTCATGCGAGACATAATATACCCACAAAGTCATTGAGAGACCGCCAAACAGGGGATGGACGGAGCTGACGCTCATTCTCCAGAACTCGCGAAGACAAATAAGAATGGCACATACTAGAAAACCGAGGCAGTCCACTTGAGAATTGTCTTTGTTGGATCGCCCATTGCCTGTGTGATCCTGATATTCTTGGAACTAGAACACGATGGGTCCTCGCGCCGCCGACCACGGAGCGCCATGCTGTCCTTGTTAAAAGCATCCTCCAGGTAAAAGAAATATGCTAAAATAAAGAAGGATTGGGGTAATCAAGAGAATAGTACCAAATGAAGGGCAAGAATCGAAAAGGGAGACAGAATAAATGAGTGAACGCGCCGGTCTTGCGACGCCAAGATGAACCGCTTGTTTTCAGCGGAAGCCGTGTCGTTGGTTCCAGGACGCATCCCAGAAGAGCCAGCTGAGAATGTCTCGGAGTTTTGTCTTGGCATTGCCAGACTAAAGAAGGGGCCAGCTGGCGGACAGCTGCCAGTACAAGGAAGCCCCTGAGCCCCTGAACGACAACAACAACAAACAACTTGAATGGAAGCAATCCGTGGCCATCTCAAAGTGGTTTATATGTTTTAAAAAGCACCAGTATAGTCACTGGGCGCACCTGACTATGAGGATTGTAAAATGCTAAACCCGAGGTGCTAGATGCAATCCTCAGGATGCAAGTCATAACTACTAGTATTGTACAAGTGCTCTTCAGGCTCAAGAACAACACTTGTGACTTCGGAGAGCGCTCGAGTGACTTGTACCTAAATCATCAGTTTTGAGTAACTGCCTGAGTTAAAGCCAAGTCCATTCGTAACACCAGACCTGCGCATCCCAGACTTATTCCTGACCATATCTAGCGTATCACGCCCTGTAGGTCTTTCTTAATGGGCTGGCCCTGGGTAGCTTGGAGGCTGTCCTGCTGACAAAGTTGTGAATCTATAAGAAGACAGAGATTTAACGGCTCGTATATAGTGTATGATTTGAACCTTCTTGCCGCTGGACGATATGTGCCGTTCTCCTCTGGTTCCCGCAGAGTTGTTCGTCAGTGTTTTGTGGTCTGCTGTTGTATAATAGCTTCAATTTCTCTCTTCTGCCTCAATGCTACCATTGCTGGAGATGATATCCCTCACTTGGAACCCTTAAAGCGGTGTCATGGTCCTTCCAGTTCTCTGCTTCAGATCTACTGTACATACAATAGTTCTTCTTCGCTAATTCCTGGGCAGACAGGCCTATATGTGCTTCTCAAACTATGCTTGCTGTTACAATGGTCTGCCACAGATGATCATGCTGAAGACCGGATGCTCGGAAATGGAGTGTTGTGTATCCCCAGCATTTTGGCCTTTGCCTGGCATCAGATCGTGTGTAGCTTTTGGGAAAGCCTTGATTTCCATCTGAACCGCGCCTAACCACGCGCTTCTCTGGCAAAGAATGGCAAGAAGGCTCCCAGTGACGCGCCTCGCGACGCGCCTCCTTTTTTTCTGCCACAGCGAGCGAAGGTGCACATTCAAGAAAGCCAAATCTATCCTCTAATTCCACCTGGGTATTCCTTCATCCACCGACCGCGAACCAAGTCTTTGCCTTCCCCATATCCACATATCACGGGCATCGCTGGCATCCTTTCTAGTCTTTCTAGAGCGGGACTTGACTATCTCAGACAATAAGCAACCTTTCACAAGCTGTTCTAGACTTCTAGTCTCACTTTTACCCTATGGATCCGAAAAGCTTCACATTCGGTATGACTACCGAAGTCATTCGCTCATATGTTGCCATGGAGACGGCCATTAACACGACAGCGTCTGTAGATCTACATTGAAGATGGACAGAATCGAAGCGGGCCTTCCTTTACTTACACCTGAGGAGCTAGCCGACCCTCAAACAAGGGTAACCATCAACGGCTTTAGCGTCCGGCTGTGGCAGGTCACGCACCTCTATGGTGTGAACTACGACAGCCAGAGTGCGATGCCGAGATCTGGCGCTTCGGCTACTCATTTCAGGAGGCTGTGTCCGAGACCGCGCGATGGCGAAATACGCTCTCACAATCCCAGAACGCAGCCTTCTGTCCAGCCTGTTGCCGAAGGACAACCCACGCTCGAATCCTCGACTGTCCTGAGGAACGATTTCGCCAGTCGCGGAGTACAGCAATCTGGAACGCGCAGAGGGGACGAGGCTTACCTCAATAACCGGGGCCTCCTCCCCTTGATAGACGAGGTGGTTGATAGGATTTATTCGGGGGACAATGAGGATGAAGGTGAACCTGTGTTTACGGGTGCACGACTCAGTGCCATTCTTGACGTTGGACAGGCTCCTTCACACCTTCCTTCACCACCTTTACAACGTTCTACACCCTTTCACAACCCCCCGCATGTTGTCTGGGCTGATCCTTCATTCCCGCCTCCTGCATTCCCTCCTCCTAACGGGCCCTTACCTCCTTTGCCCCCGCCGCGGCCTGCAAGCAGCAGACCCCATGGTCAGACACACGAGCAGCTGAGGTCGACCATACTGTCGGGCTCTACGCTCACTGAGACACCACGGTCTTCGCAGCTTGCGCGCGACGACGACTTGGAGTCGGAACGAACCGTCACCCCAACCAAGTTCCGTCAGATTTCCAACCCCTTGGGCCGGGGACAGGAAGTGGCGGCGTCTAGAGCAGTACCGGACAATTGGCCACTCATCACCGAGCCGTCACAGCGACCCGAAGTTCACCACGATGTTGCCGCGGAGACAGCACAGAGCTCCATTACACCGGCCGTATCCCCGCAGCCTCCTTGTATGGCAGCTTCGGTGCAGGAACCGTGCACGCCTTCGGCTTCAACAACGGGCGACCAACCGGTTCCGATCACCGCTCACGGCAGAGTCGTTTCCCCCGTGCCGCATGTTATCCCCGGTGCAGATGGCTATCCCCACCGCGAGCCTTCGGCGACTCTGTCTGAACCCTGGCCAGAGCTCTCGCACAGTGTTTCGCAACAACCACTTCCCAGTTTCTTGCAACACCCTCCGGAATTCCTGCAGCATGATCCATACGAACGGGCACCGCCGGGTCTGGACCCCGGACAAAGTCGTCTGTTCAACAGGACCCGGTCTTCCTCAGCCCTGGCGGCTAGAGAGAGCCGACCGGCCACACCCCGGGCAGAAGACGACACTGCCACGCAATCCCGCTGGAGCCCAGACAGTTCCCCAGAGCTGACCAGGATGAAGAAGGTCAAGAAAGCGCTCAGCTTCGCTAAACTGCGGCCTAAAAAATCCAAGACGGTATTGACGCAAACCGAAGGCGATGCAAACGGACACGCGGCTGCAGCAAGGCTACGTGCGTCCGAGTCTTCGGCGTCCAGCAAGGAGGAGCCGCCCTTGACAACGTCGGCTGCGCCATCAGTGTCTTTATCCACAAACGGGAGCGGGAGGGAAGGGGTAAGAAGGAAGAAGAGCTTTTATGTTATCTAAACATGAGGACGAGTCCATAAGAACGCCCTAGGGAACCGTTTGTGAAGGAGGCAGCGGCTACTAGTATCCGTACCTTGGGGCGCTGACCTGGAAACTTGGCTCACTGGCAGTTGTAGCAAATACTAGTAATCAGACCCCTAGCTGGGAATCACTCGCCGAGAAAAGTCGTACCGAAAACATCGACATTAGCGGACTTATCTTCAAAGACAGAATCACAATCATCCAGCTACGAATCATCCCTCTTCCTTCTTCCGTTTCCTTTTACCATTCCTTTGCAGTCTTTCCAGATTTCCAGTGATATTCTTTACCTTGGGGGCGAAGTTGCTTCAATCAGAAGGTTGGCTACGGCTGTGTGACCCTGAGTTTGACTGAGTTGCCTGAGTCGGTTAGTTGGAAATAGCGAATTTGCTACTAACTGCATCGGGTACCTCAGCTCTGGACCTGGAGGTCAGAGACCCCACAGTTCTCCATCTGCAACTCGAACGCGTTACAATTTCAATCGAACACCAAGATTGAGAAGCTCGCGTTTCTTTCAATCTTCCCGTGAACCGTGCAGCTCTTTGATTCCGGCAAGCGTCAAGCCACCTAGGCTAAACACGAGCTTCCCATCCCAACCCTAGAAAGATGTGCGATGGGCAACGAAACTAGCAAATCCGAAATCTCTGAGGGGAGGTCGCGGTCGTTGTCTCCACTTCCTCGCGCCGACTTGTACTCGCAAGACGGCGGCGACGACCAGCCGACCTTACCTTCAACGATGCCCGTGTCGCTTGCAGCTGCAGAGAAGCCCACTCGCTCACAGCGCGATCCTGAGTTGTCAGGAAAGCGCCGCCACCGCCGATCTCATGTGTCTCTTGCCGAGATCGGGGAATTATCCACCGAGGGCCGACCGTTTAATGCAAGCCAGCCAGCCGATTCTACAGTCCGCTCGCCATCCCCGGAACGACGTCCTCGGCCGGCGACCCAGCCAGAGTTAACAGATGCTGAGGATCATGTTCCCTCGAGGCGCTCAGGTCAGGTCGTCAAAGTCACGCTGACACACCCGCACGGCGAAGTCCCAGACAAGGCTGCTCTCATAGAGGAATTCAAGGCACGCAGGCGCAGGTCTCCAGGCGCGCCTTCTCCAATTCGCGAGAGAAACACGCTTCCGGCCGACGACTCTGACGTGGCAGGCACAGCGGGGGATGTCCCAGCTTCTCAGCGCAAGACGAGCAAGAAGAAGAAAAGAAAGAGGAAGGAAGTCGTGAGGGACGTTCCCCAAGAGGAAGCGACACTCCGTCAAGAAGATACGGAAGCCCTGCCGGAAGAGGCAGGCCCGGAAGGCGCCGTGACGGATATTTCTCCTGCTCCACTTGGATTCGGCAGAAAGAGCAAGGGAAAGGATGGACAAGTGGTTGGGGACTTCATCCAGGAGGCGGTAAAAGTCGAGCCCGGCCCAGCCCTATCTGACACCGGCAATGAGCACCCATCCAGCACGCAGCCGCCGCGGAAGCGTAGCCGACGAGAGAGCGACTCGGAAGCACGCAAGAAGAAGAAGAGCTCCCAGAAGACATCTACTCGAGAGTTAGATGCGGAGGTAAAACCCGAGCCTCCAGACGAGGTTTCGAGCCTTGTCGAAGAAGCAGCTCTGGAACGCATGGATGGTGGCTCTCGGACCGCTATGCGTGCCTCGACGAAGAGACGTCCTGTTGCGAGTGCCCAGAGCCTGCCTGCTGATATGGAAATGGACCAGGGGGACGAACCTGAGCGGCCAGGAGCGACGTGGCCGGCACCAAACGTGCCTAGCGAGGACCAACCCGCCGGGACAACATCCTCATCAAATCTTCGAAGAGCTGCCGATTCCCCACCCCCACCCTCCGACTCGGGGTATGCCGAGCCCGATGATCAGGCCCAGAAGGAAATGGAACCTGGAATGGATGTGGACATAGCTGATGGTCTCCCCAGGCATGGCTACGATGACATTGGCATTCAGTATGCAGCATCCGCATACGCGCCCACCACCATGTCCCAACTGCCGTCTTCCAACAGTGCTAGGAATACTAAGGGATCCGTTCCCGAAAGCCCCACTAGACAGGAAGCCGATGCCCTGCCCGACCAAGATGGTGCTGCTGTCACCCCGGTTAACCAAGAGGCGAATGAGCACGCAGACGAGCAGCTTCCCGTAAAAGAAAACTCTCAACCCACCTCCACACCCGGGACTGTGTCTGCGAAGAGCCCCGGATCCCGAACCAATACGAAAAGAAAGACAAAACGTCCATTCACCTTTCCTTGCGAGGATGAGGAAAATGCAAAGGCATTTTCCGAGCTTCCTGCCGATGTTGCGGCTCCGCCCAGGTCAAGGCCATCGAAAAAAGCGCAAGTATCCGTGAGAGGCGAGTCTGGCGCTTCAGCCATGCCTCGCAACGGGCGGAAAAGGAAGACCAGAAAACAGCAGGATGGCGATCGTGCTGAAACCTCTGAGGACGGTGATAACGCTACGGCGATACGGCAGTATCGATCCGGCCCTCTCTCACAGACCGAGCAGGACGCCGTAGTGAGAGCGGTTGAGAGATTCCGAGACAATCAGGCCATCTCTCAAGAAGAGGTCATCCAACTGATTCATGCCAATCTTCTCCAGGCCCAAGCGGCCAGTCGCCAGTTATGTGGCCACTTATGGTCATCGATTCAGGATGCCTGCCCCTCCCGCCCGCGACAGAAGCTGATCAATTGGTGCCGGCAACGCTTCCACAACTTCGTCGCACGGGGTACATGGACAAAAGAGCAAGATGACGAGCTGGCCGATCTAGTAGATGCCCATGGAAAGAAGTGGAGCTTTATCGCGGGTCTTATTAATCGTCACCAGAAAGACGTGCGTGATCGATGGAGAAACTATCTCATCTGCCGCGAGAAGATCAAGACCGATGTGTGGTCTGAGGACGAAGAGGAGCGGCTTCGCGAGTTGGTGGAACAGGCCATGGAGACGATTCGCGAGAAATTGCCCGAACACAGCAGAAAGTCGCCCGAGCAGCTCATCAACTGGCTTGCTATCAGCGAAGAGATGGGGCATACCAGATCTCGACTGCAGTGCATGGAGAAGTGGAAGAGGATGCGCGCCGCGGAGCCAATCCCTGACAAAGCTGCCACCGTACTCCCTCCTGGCTCATCGTGGCGGCTTGAAAAGGCTCGCGCAGAGTTACGGAAGTTCAGCGTGAACGATAAATTTACCCTGGTACGGGCGGTTCGCGATTCGGGTGTCGGAACGGACAAGAAGATCAACTGGGCGCACATCAGACGCGACGTCTTCGGCGGGAAGTTCGAGCGACAGACGCTGATAGTCACATGGGGTCGGTTGCGACAGAGCGTGCCGGAGTCAGAGTGGAAGACCACTCGCGATTGCGCAAGATACCTGTGCGACATGTACGAGCGAGAAGGCAACTTGGAAGCACCAGGAGGCGCTGAAGCCGAAGAGGAAGGACATGGGTCTCCTCCTCCTGTCCCTTCGCCTGTGTCAAAGAAGAAGAAGAAGAAGAAGAAGCAAGACGAGGGCAAAGGGAAAGAAGTTGTCCCAGCCTCCCCGGCATATGTCCCAACTTCAGAGCCCCAGGCGGCGAGAGCGAAGTCTCGCAAGCGTCCAACCACGGCTCATTCTGCCATCCATGATGACGACGCGGGCTTGGTAGAGCCACACCCGAAACGAAGCGAGGCAAAGAGCTCGAAAAAAAATCGTGCCGCGACCTCCACCGAGCATGTGGCGACGAAGGACCAAGCTACCATAGAGTCTCTAAACCCGGCCACACAGCCCCCGGCCGAGGAACAGCCGGGCCCTGAGCCCGACTTTGAACAGTCCCAGCTCTCGCCGAGCGTGAAGGCCCAGGTCTCCCGAACAAAAAGACGGGAGAGGCGGGCAAGTGTTGCAGAGCAGTCGAGCGTCGGAGTGGGAGAGGGTGACTTTTTGCTGCCGGGGCCCAAGGCAGCAAACACAAAGACCCCTAAAAGGTCGCATGGATCCTTCTCCCATGGCGACGCGGAGGGCCCAGAGACGGCAGTAAGCGGAGTTGACGATCCGAGCGCCGAAGGAAAAGAGGATGAGGAGGCGGGACCCCCGTCGTCGGCCCCTCCCAGAACAGCCAGCGCAAGGGTCTCGAAGAAATCACGCCACGGATCGTTGTCCAATTCCACGGCGGAGAGCCCTCGACTCAAGAAAAGAAAGCTTTCTGGGTTTCTGTCTGCGAAAACGGCGAAGGTTAACAGAAGTGCGAAGGCGGCCATGTCCGGCGAAGCTGAGGGCAGACCGTCGGCCAGTGGGAAGTCTTGGAGCGACATCAGCAGTGACATGGATGATGACATGGAGGATATACCCGCGACATTGCCTTCCTCATGGCGGTCAAGGAATTAGCACGGGAAAATGGCTTCAACTGGAAGTCGGCTGTACTGAATTCGTGGATGACCAACGGCGTGGGCGATACAGAGCACTTGCTGTTTGAGCTCATGGTAGCCAGGGAATTAGCGCGGGAAAAATAGGCTTCAACTGAAGTCTGGTGTACTCTGCTTGTTGGAATTTATAGGCGGTTGATGAGGCAGCGATATACTAAGGGTAGTTTCCGCTATCACAGATACCAGGAACTACTATCACAGCAGGGGCAAGGGAGAGGTCCGCAGACAGGCCCACATGGCTGCATATCTCGCTTATTCACTTGAGTCCGAGCATAATGTATAAATCTGACACCCGTAACTCTACCCATTCTAGAGTTACTCCCAAGCCTGTCCCCCAGCCCCTGATCCTCAACCGTGATGTATCCCCACCCCCCAAAGACACTAGCCACAAAGGAAAAGGTATTTGCTACAGTTTTTGCCTGCTACACAGCTAATAAAGCACGAACCGATCCGCCCGTAAAGCCCGTCCACTAACCCTAGATGGACGACAGAACAGACAAGGGGGGAAAGGGAAAGAAAGCAAGACACATGAAAGACGACAAAGTCCAAGAGCTATATGCAGCAAGTTAGCCGAGCAGCACAGCTCTCCGCCTCGGTACCAAACCGCCGTCCTCAATATGGCATCTCCCCGGGTGCTCGCCCCTTTCCGGTGCCATTGAAGCTTCGCACCGCGGCTCTACTATCCTCGTCCTCCTGCTTCTCGCGGCCGACGCGTCCTGATGGCTCGCTGGGCGATGACAGCGGCGGTTGCTGCCGATGAGGATGCCGCTGTTGCCGATCCCGCTCCCTTGTATTGGCCGGCGCCGGGACGGGGCCACGCGTGGTGGTGTCGACGAAGACGTCGTCGTTATTGTCTGCGGCAGCGACGCCGTACAGAGCCACGCCGTCTACCATCCGTGCCTCCCGTCTCTCGCGCACCGCAGATTGGCTGACCGGTGTTTCTGTGCCGTTGCCGGTTTCACGCTCCGGGATACGCGTCCGGCCGTGGTGCTGGTGATGTGAGCTTGGGGTGGCGGCAGCCGCGCCCTCGCTGAGTCCCGAGCTTGCCCGTTCCAGCGGACCCCAACCCCCCGACGCGCTGCCTGTTGCGCTCCCCTGCGAGGGCAGCGGCCGGCGGTGATAGATGGGGCCGGAGAGGGTGCTCCCGGCGCCTTCGCCGAAGCCGACCAGGCTCGCGCTGCCGTCGTCCGACATGCGGTCGTCGACGCTCTGCGAGGTGAGGTTGTCCATGTCCTCATCCATGGCGTCGGCGTCGACGTCGGCGCCCATGTACCCGCTGGCGCTGGCCGAGTCCATCTCGGTCAGCATGTCCTCGTCGCGATCCTCGTCGCCCAGCGTGGTGCGGTCTTCGCCGCCCACCTCGGTCGTGCTGGTTGTGCGTCCGCCTACGCTTTCCGTCGCGCTGGCCGAGCCGACGGTGCTCACCTTGGTCGCGGCGACTGGTTGTCCGGTGGCGTCGAAGTAGGCCGGCGTGAGGCTCGCGGCTGCGGGTGGGGGGACCGAAGTTGGGTTGAAATGGGGAGACCCTGCATTATGTTGGGTCGGGACTGGGCCCCGCAGCGTCGACACGTTGGATAGGCCGGTCAGCCGGCTGATTCGGTCGGCCCGTTCGGCTTCGAGGCTGGTGGTCGAGGGGCTATGGTGATGGCCTCGGTGATGGAGAGCGCCGCGATGCCCGTCTTTGATGGCGGTGGTGGATAAAGCGGAGAGAGAGGTGGTTGTGCTCGTCGGGGTGCCACTGTTGGAGGCGAGGATCAGATCAGCGGGCCGGCGTTCGCCGGGAATTGTGGAAGTGGGCTGGACGGGAGAAATGCCTGGTCACCGGGGCCAGTCGTGGGTGGACGTTTGACTCACGGAATCTCGGATGGGGTGTCCGGGTGAGATGGTGGTTGCGGGAGGTTAATGAAGGTTGGATGCGCTGTTTGTAGTTGTTGCGACATTGTGTTTATCGTGTTCCTACTTCTCAATTTGATACCACAGCCGTAGACAGTATCAGATCGTTTAAGTAATGCCCAGCGATGCCTGTCGCAGTCTTTGTATTTTAGGCGGAGAGTTCGTTACGGAGAGTCGGGGTTGTTTGTTCTTGGGGCACGATATTCGGTTTCAGGAGGAATGCGCTTGTGCAGGCGATATCAGTTTACGCATAAACTCCTTTGTTACCAAAAAGCAATCCGAGCTCCTGCGATACTGAGTCGGTTGTTTGCACGTGGTGGGCAGATAGCAACGGTTTAGCCAGTCACCGCGTAGCGATACTTGAGGCTAGAGCGGGGATATGACGTCACGTGTCGTTGCGGCGGGGAAGTGTTCCACCTTTGGACCTGGGGAACAGGGTCCCTGTGACAGGGCCCTGTTTGTTCGCGCCTGCTAATGAGGTTAGGGTTACAGTATGCATCAGTGACTAAAAATTAGATCTCAGCCAAACAGCCAACATCCAAATGATCTCGGAAAAAGATGGCGTTGAGAGAACCGATCGTTCTGAGTATTGCCGGGTATACTTGCTAGACTCTCGTATACCGGCATGTCGGAGTGCACACTCGCTCTTCTTCTCACGATCAGACGCCCCCATGCGACGCACAAGCACAACTCAGCTTCCCTTGCTCCCCTCCTAGAGCCATTGCTCCCATCTTTCCTCCTAAGTCACCCTGAGACCGATTCAGACTGACACTGCAGTTAACCTCCTGATTACCAGGCGGCACATCGACCGCTGGGTTCCTATCGAAGAAGTTCACGGGCCTCAGCACCACACGCAGCGTCTCGACGGGCATGACCGGGAAATCCTCGACGCGCGGGATATGGTTGATGCCGAACTGAACCCAGACGACCGGGTCGCCATGCGCTAGGCTGTCCCCGCGGTCGGCCCAGCTGCGCACGCCCGTCCCCCCGCGGCTCTGGTTCGTGTACAGGCCGCCCGCATACAGCTCGCCCTCGGCGTACCGTGTGACGTACACGCTGTGGTCAGCGAACTCGGCGCGCTTGTGGTGGAAGCTGTCCGCGTCGGCCAGAATGGGTTGCATGGGCGGGATGGCGACCTTGTACCCGACCGCCGCGCCGTTGACGGGGTTGCGCACGGCCGGGTTGATGATCTTGAAGGTGCGGTTCTTGCTTGCATCCAGGTCGTACCCGCCCGAGGCGAATACTTCGGTTCTGCGGACCGTATATCCCACGCCGTGCGGGTTGAGATCAGGATCGCGCGGGATGGCGACTGCCTCGTCGTACACGACCGAGTTGCCGTGGCCCGCAACCATGGGATCGATGCGCAGGCTGAAGAAGTGCTGGTGGAAGCCGCCGAGCACGCCCGGATGGACGACGGTGCCGAATGGGTGTGGTGTCTCGGTCAGGTCGAGATCGAGGGCTTGCGTCGACAGGATCCCCGTCGCTCGGGCTTCGTATGCGAGGTCGCCCGCCGTATTGAAGACGAACGACAAGATGTACTCGTAGTTGCTCACCGTCAGGATTGTCTGCAGCACCAGCTCCCGATTCCGCACCACAACGGCGCGGTTGGTCCGGTAGTTTGTGTGTTTCCACAGAATGCCCGCATCCTGCTCATGGACGCATATCACGTTCGGCATATCCACCGGCTTGCCGTGGCTATCGGCCAAGACGCCGCCGATGTAGTAGATGCTGCCCAGACAGTCGCACCCGAGTTGTAGGTTGTTCGCCATGATACCGGCACCAACATCGCCAAGGTCGAAAGCGGCCTTCCGGTGAAACGGATGGCGTGGATCTGCGTAAGGGATGCACATGTCGGAGAGGCTCAGCCGGTAGAAAAGGGGCTTGTTGTCGTAGTGCACGTCGTACAATACCATGCCCTCCCGCTGGTTGAAGCCGACCTTGAAGTCCCATTTCTGCCACCTAATCAGGCGGCCCAGCTCCGAGAAGTTCTCGACGGTGAACGACGCGCCTTCGGGTTGCACAACCCGCAGCGGTTTAAGGTCGGTCCGCAGCGATTGCGACTCGGGAATGTACTCGCTCGCCTTCACGGGTTGCCAAGGTGCAAGGGACTTGACGTTCTCGTCGAGCCCCGTGGGAAGCGTATCGATGCGGATTAGTTCCATCGTGATGGGGTCCACGACCGGCGAAACTGGAAGGGGGAAGGCGTAATGATTGCTATCCGGCTCCGACGGGTTATTGGGGTCACGCATGTACAGGAAACATTGCATAGCGCGCTTCTCGTCGGAGAAGCCGCCTTGCTTGACGCCATCCGACCCTGCCCGGGCATAAGCCAAATATCCCAAGGACCTCAGAACTTGAGCTAGGCGTACCGTAGATCCAAGGATCAGCCACGACCACGGTCCCTTGGGGTAGCCCCAACTTGGCGAGCTCAACTTGGACGGCAGGGTGCGCCAGCAGGGCCTTCTCGACCTCGACGATCTCTTCCCCATCGCCATTAGGATGTTGAAAAGGGCCGAGTTTGGCATTGGCCTCGACCTTGCCAGTAGTCAAGTTCACTACTGCCTCGTGGAGGTTGTGCTACGAACATTCAACATTGTCAGTCAGCTTTTGCTGGCTATCCGTAGGGGCGTACGCAGTGTCAGATGCTTGAACCGACCGTGCCCCGGATGTAATACACCACAAACACTCGCCGATCAATGCTCCTGGGATCATCTCCCCGTCGCTCTGCGGCCAGGTAGGGGACAAGCTCCGCCTTGGCAGGTTCGAGCAGCGTCACGACTTTGAAGTGACATTCAACATTGTTTGGCCAGCACCCCTGGATCAGGCCGGTGCTGTGGGTGATTTCTTGGGCCGTGAGCGGTCCAAGAGGGTGAGCTCTGGGCTGGGCGCCGCTACCAGCAGCGCCGTTCATGCCGTGGTTGTCGTCCACGGGCGCGGATAAGCCCGCCCTCGACCCGGGAACAGCATGCTGCTCGCGGTCAGCTGCAGGGGAGGTGGAGTCTTGGGTGGCAGTCATGGGAGTGTGGTCTTGCGATAATCGGAGCAGTTAAGAGTGTTGCTCTCGGAACCAGGGGCATAAAATTGGTGGAGTGGTAGAAAGGAAGACTGCTCATATGTAAGTGCTACTTTTCTGTCTGCCTATAGGTACTGTCAGGTATGTCAATCTTGGAGGCGCCCTATCCACAGATTCCAGGTTGCTGATGTGAAGCTGTGAACCGTGGGGGCTTACGCGAGGGGTAACCTAGCGATGGGCTCTCGTGGCCGAATTAGATCCATTCAGATGATTCCCCTTGCATCACCTCGTTATCAACCTGGCGCTGCTCCTCCAAACAGTGGGTTGCAAGCCGGCTACCCCGCATCCACATGCATACATTGCAGACGGATGGCATTGGTGGGCGAGATAGCAATCCAGAGGCTAGAGTAGGCACGTGCCCTGGGTATTAGAAGGGACGAGGCAGTCGACGGGACACAGATGCATCACAAAGCTGCAACTACCAGCTCGTGTGTCACCCCATGACCTTGTGATCGCGAGGAGATGGTAACTAAGGTACCTGATTGCATTCAATTCACCCTTTTGATGCTGCCTGTCCCACGAGAACCGATTCTACCTAAGGGCTAAGGCCTTGTCCCGATGCCGTAGATGAAACCACATGTTGTTATCAGTCAATGGTGTCTGTCTTAGCGTGCTCACACTCACTGTCAGAGCTAAGACAATACACTCGAAAAGCAACGATACCTTCACACATTTATGATAAGTGGCGCAAGGAAGAGTCTGCTAGATGCCCTCCGGCAATGGAAATTTCCTGCCCATCCTCCCAGGAAGCCCCGCATGCCCTTGTATCTCGGCCATCAAGTGAAGCTTCCAACCCCTGGGAAACAAGGGATCGTCCCCCTTCCCCCTTCCCGATTTCATCGAACCCCCGAGGGTCTGATCGCACCATTTCTCTCTAATAGTTGCCGAATTTCGCCACCGAAATCAAAACCGAACGCCAACCCCCAAGTCATTGATGCACCCCCAAGTCAGTGACGAACTCCCAAGTCAGTGACGAACTCCCAAGTCAGTGATGAACCGAAAGCATAAATTGCCATGCAAGTGATTAAAGACGTCTGGCAAGAGTAGACAATTCGCCGTTCGGGTGATGCCAAGGGTCTGCTCAGGAGCTCGGCATGCCCGCAGCGGCCCGACTATGGCGGCGGAGAAGGCTGGGCATGTCGCCGTTCTTCAGAGTGGCAATGCAGTTGTCTATCACGCTGCCGTCGCCGATGTTCTGCGCGCGGGTTCTCCGCAGCCAGTACTCGAATGGGCCACCTAATAGTATGTATTGTGTCCCTGGTTAGTCATTGCTTCATGAACTCGCACACTCTTGTGTTGTGTGAAAAGTGTCCAGAAGGAGGGGGGTGGGTGTCTACGCACGGTTCTGAAGGAGAGCGGCACCGAGCTCGGCGCAGCGCTCCGCAGGTGTGTGCTCGCCGTGCATCTCCGTGAAGTGCGTGATCATCTTGGAGATGTCCTTGAGCGGCCACTTGCACGGCGCCGCAGGGGACCGACCGGCTCCGGCCAGTAGGTACTTCGCAGACGAGCAGAGACGGCATTTCCAGAACCCAAGACGCTGCAGGGCTGTGTTGACGCCCTCATCCAATCCATTCACCCCAACTCCGTCCAAGTCGGGCGAAGAAGCCACCCTCATCCTCTTTGCTCCCTTTTCGCTGCCCTCGTTCGCCGGGCGCTTCCCGGTCGTCTGGCTTGGCGCGGCGACGGGACGTCTGACGGGGAGCGTCGCGATGCCGAGTCCTTGAGCCTGGTACTTGCCACTGTTGCTGGCCCCGTTGCCGTGGTATGCCGAAGTGGCCGCTGCGCCATGCGGAGACCGTAAGCGTGCTTGAGCCCTGATCTCTTCAATCCGGTGCTTGCAGTGCCGTATCTGGTGCCCGAGATCGAGGGTGCGCAGCTGCAGCGTGCGAGTCTCCTGGGGATTCAGGTCTGCGTCTTCGAGCTGAGCCTGGCAGTACTCCAGATCGTACTTGTAGGCCAAGATGTCCTCATTCAGCTGGCGCAGATAGATTTCCTCGAGCTCAGAGAACTCATAGTTATGGTGGTAGCCCCGATTTGCTGGCCGCGTCGCAAGCGGCGGCATGTTGTGATTCATTTCACTGTCGCCGTCGTCGTCCTTGCCGTCCTTGCCGTCTCCCGCGGCAGCCTCCACGACAGGCCCGGACTTGGTCACAGCTGGCGGGCTGCTGCTTACCGAAATGGTCTCGTTGCTCGGGCTGCTAGCATCAGCAACGATGCCGGCGGCCACAGTGATACTATTCTGCGGCGCCGAATCTGCGTCTGCTTCCTGCGCAATCTGTCAGCTCCAACTCCTTGGCACGAAGCCCGTTGCCGTATACAATCCATCTTCTGTCGCATAGCTGAAACGCCATTCTACCTCGACTGCCCGCTTGTTTGATTTGCAAACGGTTGGAAACTAAAGTGAAGAGACGCATGGAAGGCGCATTTGCCGAGTTGGAACGAGGCAAGCGGCTAGGAGGATTGTCACTGGGGCGCGGGGACAAAAACATACCATAACTTCTGTTAGAACGGTCGATCTAATTCACGCAAGCGCTGTGATTGTTTTGTGAGAGCATACACTTGGAGTTGATGGAGTTGATTTGATTGAATGACCAGGTTGAAAAGAAGAAGGTGACGAGGGAAAGGAAATCGGCCCTGGATATCCAATAAGTAAGGAAGTAGTGAAGGGAAGGCACCAGATGGAGGAAAACCAGAGATAAAAAAGGGGAGTCATGCAATTCGGTGATAATGACAAAGGAAGGAGGGGAAAGATGGAGACCGGCTTTGTACTTCATCCTTCTTTCTTCTCCCTTTTCCATTTCTCTTGTCTTCTTTTTTTCCGACCTCCTCCCGCTTTTTGATTGGCTTAAGTGCGTTGCCACCTTTCCACTCCAACTCTGGGCGGTTTGATTGGACATTGCTCTGTACTATGAGACGCCATCTACTAAAGAAGTATCTTGGATGCTAGCCTTAGCTCAGAGGGCCAATATGTAGCAAGACAATGTATGCTAACATTGAAAAGATCTAGTACCTAACCTGGAAGGGTGTTGTGTAACATATCTGCGAGATTAGTCGAGGTAGGCATCGCCCTTTCGCACTTTTATTTTGTTTTCTGCCCATGTGATCCGAAGGACCAAACCCTACTTCTTTAACTCCCACGCATTCATAATAAAGAAGAGGTGAACATACCTTATGTTTTACGAGTCCCCGGCGGTTATAAATTGCGGGTCAGAGTGTCTTAGCGCCTGGAGGTGGCAGGTAGAAGAAAAGGGGTGGTATACCTTATTCAGGTACTATTCCAGTTGCGCATAGTACAGGTAGCTGTATTATTCGCCGTCATACGGTTGACGATCCCATCGCACTCAGAGTGTCAGTGTGACTCGGCTAAATTCAGATTTTGGTTCCCTGCTATGCTGACAAGATGCAGTACATGCGGCTGGGAGTTTATCCGATCGCCCAGAGACTGAGCTCTGCGGCCTTGGTTCTGCCATGCTGTCCTATTTGGCTGAAAGTTAAGGACTATGATTTGTTTCGTTTCCCTCTGCTCTTTGTTTGATTTGGGTTTATCACTCAACACAGTCATATATCCTTTCTTTCTTCCCTTAGACTACTTCAACAGGTTTTGTCAGCTGCTAGTCATCCTTTTCGACACACGATGACCGCTGGGTCCAATAGCCGATGCCGCACCCGCAACATTGGGTTAGCCACATTTTCTCTGCTCAATCTTTTACAGGCGTTGGCAGTGGCGAGCCTAAGTCCTCGGCGAAACTGGACCATTTGTTCCAAGAGCATACATGAAGAGCCTTTGCCTTTGCAACAAGAGCAGCAAGCCTGTCCAATCCCAAGTGACTGGGCTCCTTGGTCGCCCCGCCCGTCCTGTGTCCAGCCGAGTCACGAGTATGATTCCGAGCCAACTGACTGTCTTTTTACCTTTCCGACCTTCCGGGGCAACCAGGGGATCAGCCTGATAACCACACCTCATATCGCGGCGAGCATTGTCGATACACTTGACGATTCGCGCGCGTCGGCCGGGCTCAGACCAAACCACTCGAACTTGAGACAGGAGCGGGAAAATAAGACGGCAGCGTATGAAATTCGAGACCTGCCAGGCCGCGGAAAGGGGCTTGTAGCAAAGCGAAGGTTTGCCAGGCATGAAACTATCATGGTCGGCTTCCCTGTTTTGATTGTCAGATTGGACTTCATCAACGAAGATCGCTATAGCCGGCGGCAAAAACAAACCATGATGGAGAGAAGTGTGAAGCAGCTTCCTCAGGGGCAGCAGGAGGCTGTTCTGGCGCTGCAACGGAACACAGGCGGAGAACCAATCCTGGACACCCTCCGCACCAACGGTTTTGGCATCGAGATCGGGGGAGCCCAGCATCTCGCATTGTTCACAGAAGGTTCGGTAAGTAGATATCTAGTATATGGTCTCCACGAATGCGGTAGTTGAGCAACGACGGAGGTAAAAACGTCCTGCGCTGACACAACGTCTCGGTTGCATCGCAGAGAGTCAATCATAACTGCCGCCCCAAGTATGCAACAGGAATCCCCATGTGCCCAACCCTAGCAGCAGATGCTGCTTGCAACTTGTCCATATCACGGCGATGACTGACTTTTTACGGATGATAGTGCCTTCTGGCGCTATATTAACAGCAAGATGGCGATGGAAGTTGTGGCGCTCCGAGATATCCGACCCGGCGAGGAAATCGCACACAGCTGTAAGAGTTCCCTCCCGTGCACAAACAAAATGATGGCTCATTAGACCAGACGCACCTCTCGGATACACTTATGCGGAGCGCAAGGCTGTGCTTCAGGCATGGGGCTTTCGCTGTACATGCGCTTTGTGCTCAGCACCCCGCGAGGAGAGGGAACTCTCGGACAGCCGGCGAGAACGAATACTTGAAATTCACCAGACCTTGGGTCAGGCGTCGGGGCTAAGGGATCGTCGGGTTGACGAGCTTGTACTCGAGGCAACCAGGCTGGTTGAGTTGGAAGAGCTTCATCCGCAGCTTGTTGAGTACTATCAGCAGTTTGCGAAAGCGTATCTAATGACCGGCAACCTTCGACGAGCGCGCGAGTTCATCGCTGAGGCTGACAAGATGTGGCAGTTGTATGGAGGTGAGGAACATGAAAACGTGGATGGTATGCGAGAGTTATGGCGCATATTAGAGGAGGTAGAAGCGGATGCTTTAGACTCTTAGACTCTTATTAGACTCTTAGAAGCTACGATGAAAAAGACGATGTCGTCAGAGACGAATGTTCTAAGAGGGAGGACAGAACTGAACTTGGCCAAGCAATTCGCCGGAGAGGAGGACAAATTCATTTTTATGGAGGACAGTTATTAAAATTCATGGCGCATCGTGTACCACATCGTCACTAACACTGCGAGTCAGGAGCGGGACACTCTTCGCTGTTCTCTGCCTTGCAGGCCCGAGTAGACTTACCACAGTCCCATTCGCCGGCGTATTTGTTCACCGACGTCGACGGTCGACGCTGGCAAGGAATCTCCGAAGGAGAGATTATCTCTTCTGACAACATAATACGAGTTGTGGAGGAATTGGATAAGAAGAATAGAAAACAATAAAGTTGGAAACAGAACCAAGGAAAGAAGGAGAGAGGGCGAGAGCCAGAAAAATCTCAAGACTCTCACCACCACACCCCTGTCGGGCCTGTTACGGGAAGGGCGGAAGCTCCGGTACGAAAGCCGATTTCCAGGGGGTTCACTTCGGTCGGTCAGTCGGCCGGACTGGCAGGTGTACGGAGAACCGGCAAATCAGTTCTGGCTTGGAATTGGACTCAGGGCCCCAGAGGTAGGACAGTACCAATCTGGTAGTTACCGTACTATGTTGCTCCCTACTCTAATAAGTACCCAAAGTACCTCAGGTAAGTAAGACACCCATGGCAACGAACAGAATCACTCAAGTATGTACCAACCATCCGCCGCCAGCGAATATGTTCTATACCCCTGATCTTCATCGACTCTATTGATAGCGCTGTTCAAGGGCTAAAGCAGGGCGGTGAATGATGGCTTGACAAGTTACCTTAACAGACACACTGACACTCTATGTCCAAGCCCCACGCCATCTGTCATCGAACTGACCAAAGACGACCTCTGACCATTGGTGTCTGTGATCGGTGTTGCCGCAGTACCTCTCCGGTCGAACCCTGCTGCTGACAGCCTGACCCTCGACATTTTCGCATGAATGTAGAACATGATCCTATGATCCCTATCCACAAACCCTCAAGTTTGGTGACTTGTAAGCTGTCAAGCCGCTACTGCGTTGTTCGCGATGGCGACGGGCTCCGAGTTCATAATTTCTTTTCAGGTTGGTATCGAGCTGGCAGACCGACACAGTAAGACGAGAACGCGGCCGTTCGTCATGCGGAGGACATGGAGCGTAGCGACTCCGCCCCCGCCATGTCAGCCATCGGAGCCGGGGGAGTGGATCCAGTCTGACATCTTCCGACCCGAATGTTCGGGCTGGAAGCCCAAGAAGAGCGCGCTAAAAATAACCCCTGCTCGTATTTCCTCAGCTTTTCCTACGCTAATAATGGGCTTACCAGTGCATGTTCACCCCGACTTTGCAGTCAGTGTGTTCGTGTCGACGCCGCGCTCGCAGCCACAGACACTGACTTGGACTCGGCCCTTTGTTGTGATAGGGTCTACCGCTTGCTATTACGTACAGTGCTGGACCATGCGCCAATCGTGCCGGGAGCGGAATAACTCGCTCTACTGCAGCGTCCGCCTGATTTCTCGTGTTACCCCAACCCAACGTTTTGTGGCTTGCCCCGATTTGGAGTTGTCAAGACGCTGGCTCTCTCGTATCGTCGCCCAGTCAAGGGATTCGTGGACCGACTCGAGTGACGATGAGCATGATGGCGATGCTGCCGGTCAGCCTCCGCCATGTGTGCTCCGCCGGAACGGCTGCTGGGTGAGTCTCGTGGTGAAGACGTAGACGGTCAGGAGCCCGAAGTGTGAAGCTCTTTGATCCCAGGTATAAGATGGCTTAAGGATCACGTCTCTCCGACCTCTTCTGAATCATCATCACAACATCCAGCACTCACATCACAACATCACTCACACTCAACCGCACTCAACCACACAAACGCATCAACGCCGCAGAGCCTATCCCAGCAACAAAACCAACCAACAACACATTCAAAATGAAGTACTTCGCTGCCGCCCTCCTCCTCGCCACCAGCGCCTTCGCCGCTCCCTCCGTCTCTGAGAAGCGCACGGAGGCGTGCCAGTTCGGCAACTACCAGTGCAGCAAGTCCGGCACGGGCATCGAGGTATGCGACATCACCGGCACGTGGGTGAGCGTGGGCGACTGCCCCAAGGGCACCGCCTGCGAGGACCTGCCCCAGAACGGCTACGAGCTGCCCTTCTGCACCGCCAACACGCCCAAGGTGGCCGCCCGCAACGGCCGCGTCCCGAGCCCCGGCGACAAGTGCCAGACCCCCGGCCAGTACCAGTGCTTTGGCGCCTACGCCATCCAGGTCTGCGACACCCAGAACGTGCTGCAGAAGGTCGGCGACTGCCCCCCGAAGTCGAACTGCCAGTATATCAACGGCATTCCCTTCTGCGTTGCCAGCGTCTAAAGCGCGGCACTTGGGATGACTTGAGTTGTTGGGGTCAATGATTGATGATCGGGGTTTGGAATTGAGATGAATCATGTTCAGCACAGCAGGATGGATGGATGGATGGATGCATTGACTGTGTTCTCTTCGTTTCACTCCTTTGAAGCATGGCTTTCTTATTGGGCTTGGCGTTCCTGATGATAGAAGGGGATGATCAGCATAGATAATGAGCTGGAATACGATATTCATATGCCCGGGCGAGTACTAGACTACCTGTCTCATGTCTGCGGTGAATTGATGACACTTGCTCGGCGGTTCGAGATTTTGAGCTGCTCCGGTCCCTTAAGTACCCAAACCTCCAGGCTCCGGTTTCACACTGGCATCCCGGTGACTCTCCAATCTCCCCTGGAATAATCAGAAATGGTAATCAGTAGAGGGGAGTGGAATCTTCTATTTTATTCCCATAATGATTAGTCTAGGATGCATGCCCGCTTAGTACGAGCCCACGCTACTGAAGACCAGCTTCACGCAGGTATGTATTGTACAAGTACACTTTTCCTATCCCTCCGATACCTGAACGCCAACACCGGATCTCTCATAAAACCATCTCCCAACTCAATTAAACTCCGTCCCCAAGCCCTAACGCCTAGAAGCCTGGAGCCTGTGTTATCTTTCTCCTCTGCGAGTCATCTCCCGCACCTTCATACCACTCCCGGACTAGGAATTGCAGATAGCGGAACATCTTCCTCGTCGCCTCCGCCGCCGTCCAATTTCGTTTCCAGATAGTAGCAGAGTCGTCACCATGCATCCCCAGCCACATATCATCCGCCATGACGCTTACAATGAAGTGTTTATAATGATCCTTCGCCCGCCCTAATTATGCCAACATCATCCGTCAGCCAATCAATAATTTCCAATATACAAAAGGCCCTGCACTGCTAGAAGAACCCGAGGGGGAGGATGGGTAGGCAGCGGACTTACACTCGCTCTTATCCGGATTCAGAACCACCTCAAACCTCCGTTCCTCTAGTGCCCGCACGCGCTTCTCCAGCTCCCTGTCCAGATCGACAAACTCGACAAACCCCCGCTTGTCAGGCACGATTGTGTACCCGGGGGCGAGGTAGTCGCAGATGAAGTTGGCGAAGTGGTCGATCACGACCTCTTCTTCCCACTCCTCGAACGCCGACATCGAGCGGAAGCCGAGGCGGCGTGCCATGCGGCGGCGCTCTGCGCTGGCCGTTTCGATTATCATTACTGGCTGGGTCATCTTTGCTTTTGGTTGTGTGTGGTGTGTAAATAAATCTGGCTGGGTTTATTAGGGTAGGTGCACTAAGGAGATGGACAACATATCCCAAGTTGGAGGTTTGAGTACGATGGACTATTGAACTGGCGAGTTGATCCATTTCTACTCTGAAAGTAAGAACTTCTTTACTAGTACCCTAACCTAGTGCAAGACGTAGACAACGGTGTTGATGTGCGATCGCCAGACATAGTGAAACATGCCTAAAGCAGCACAAAAAGTGACCTGTTAGTGATTCGCCGATAGTCTGAGACGTGCAAGGAGATCCAGAACAAAGAAGGCGACTTGGGCCCCGGTTGATGTACGGGTTGGATCTAGCCTTTTCCAAGGTGGCCATGTAAAGAGGCCGTAGCTTGGTGCTATGATCCTCCATCTGCTGCGCCGTCGTCTGGTGAGCGGGCCGGTTGGGTGGGACTGGACCATCTTGACGACCCAGCACCCCCGGCCTTTCTCCCGTGATTCACTTTCTGAAACATCGGGCTACATGGCCTCAGTTCAGAGATTGGAAAAGATCAAAGGTGTGCACTGCTCAGATCCAATATCAACGGATTTACAAATTACAACTGTAGTCTTGATAATCCGCGGCTAGCTCTCGATGCAGCTTTTTCACCGTCAAAGGTCAGAAGGATTCAAGCCTAATGTGATCCCTCAATGACTGCTTTTGCATTCTATCTATCAATTATTAAGTCGTACCTTTCCCTCAGATGCCGCAGAGCACCCTAAGTAACGGTAAGGCTCAGCGTGCCTGCAATAGGCGTAGAACATACGGAACATGGAAGACGGGAAACATCTGCTGCAGGTAGGTACGTACCTACCTAACCTAGTGTATGCATATATTAACATCCTGCTGAGAGACAATGCCACGCAGGCGTTCACTCTTTGGCGACACTGATCGATACCGCATTCTCCGTTATTCCCCAAACTCCCGTTCCCTACAGACGAACCGTATGAGAAGGCTGCAGTTTGGCCCAAGGCTCCCGCATCTCCACGGAAAGGGACTAAGTCCACTCGGATGGGACATACATTTCAGAGTCTGGATAGGAGAACCGAACAAGACTTCACTTTATTTCGGGAATGCGTTGTTTCGGACAACACACCGGTGGGTGTTTGCTGGGGGATTACATAACGTCAGACCACCATCGGCAGCTTTCCCGCCGACTTTAGACCTGTACTAGTGAGGTCATGATTGCGTGCCTGAGTAACGCGCTCGGCAGCGAATGGAAGAGCCGGGGATTCTATAACCACGATGACGGTGATTGGAGCATCCGCAACTGACCCTTTCTAGAAACCGAACAAAGCGACCCCGAATCTGTGCTTCAACCTCCGCGGAATCCTGGAGATGCAGGCCTGACGTGACAGGCGCCAACGCTAACGGTCTCCCAGCTCGGGATTAGACGGGTCGCCATACCATCGCATTCCCGATTCGCGAGTCCGCCATCGTTGGCAACGTTTGGGTCTAGTAGGTGTCATACGACGACGAGGCGGCACTTGCCATATAAATCATCTGAAGTTAGGCTCAGGGCTGGACGATGTACGAAGTGTGATTGACTCGCTCTGGGCATTCTAAATATATCCCTGCATCAAACGTCATCGTAGGAACTTAATAGCACCCCTTCGCACCCGCCAGCTCATGTACACAGCCCAACGTTTTAGACGCTTCCAAACAGCTCACCTGTCCTTTGGCTCGCTATTCCGCCCCACAGGTTTTGCCGCTACCAAAGCTTTATTAGCACATCGTCGTCCGCCATGGCAACCGCCGACATTCCGAACTTCCCCTTCCGGCGCGCCTCCGGCCTGGACCCGCCGGCCGAGTTTGCCCGCCTCCGCAGGACAGACCCAGTGTCCAAGGTCAAGCTGTACGATGGCTCGACGGCCTGGCTGGTGACCAAGTACCGCGATGTGTGCCAGGTTGCGACGGATCAGCGCTTGTCCAAGGTGTGCATAATGTTTTAACTTTCTTTCAAGCTGGCTTGGATCTTGGATTGTGCGATAAGGTCAACGCGATGTGATGATGTTTGCTGACCACAATGGGGGATCGCCGTTATGGGATGAATAGGAGCGGAGAAGGCCTGGATTCCCCGAGTTCAGTGACGGTGGCAAGCAGGCGGCTAAGCAGAGGCCGACGTTTGTGGATATGGATCCGCCCGAGCATATGAGGCATCGGTTAGTGTGGTCCAAAAAGGGGGGACCCATGGGAAGTGTCAAGACTCAAGCAATGCTGATGAGATAACAAGAGGGATGGTTCAATCATGGTTTGCCCCTGAAAAGGTCGAGTCGATGCAGCCGTACATTGAGAAGACGGTCAGTGACTTGTTGGATCGGATGAAAGCGAAGGGATGCGCGGACGGACCTGTTGACCTGGTGGAGGAGTTTGCGCTGCCGGTTCCCTCATATGTACAGTACAATCCTCGACTATGCTACCTCCAGGCACAACAGGGCCGGTACTGACACATAGCAGATCATCTACACCATTCTGGGTGTTCCATTTGAGGACCTTGAGTTCTTGACGCGGCAGAACTCGATTCGTACCAATGGAAGCTCTACAGCTCGAGAGGCATCTGCGGCGGCCGAGTAAGCCCCGCCGTCGAGAGAGACACCCTTAATCGGACATAGGTGATAGGGGCTGATAACATCGCAGTGAACTGCTCCGCTATCTCACACAGCTCGCCGAGAAGCGCTCGCAGGAGCCCAAGGACGACCTCGTCAGTCAACTGGTGACGGAACAAGTGAAGACGGGGAACCTCGAGATGGCCGATGCGGTGCAGATGGCGTTCCTGCTGCTTGTTGCTGGAAACGCGACCATGGTGAACATGATTGCGCTGGTGAGTTGACGTAACCATATCTTGTTGGGCGACGGCGGTCTGGCAGACCATTGACGGGGGACCACAGGGCGTCGTCACCCTGTTTCAGCATCCCCAGCAGCTGGCCGAGTTGAAGGCCGACCCGGCCAAGTGGGCCGCGCCGTTCGTGGAGGAGCTGTGCCGCTACCACACCGCGTCAGCGATGGCGATCAAGCGCACAGCCAAGGAAGATGTCGAGATTGGCGGGAAGGTAAATTTTCCAGTGCGACGTGGTGTGGTAACATCTCAAAATACAAGCCATTGCTGACACGCGATCCTCCACGCAGCTCATCAAGGCGCAGGAGGGCATCATAGCCTCGAACCAGTCGGCCAACCGCGACGAGGACATCTTTGAGGAACCTGACACGTTCGACATGCACCGCAAGTGGCCCAAGGAGGACCCTCTGGGATTCGGGTTCGGCGACCATCGCTGCATCGCTGAGCATCTTGCCAAGGTCGAGTTGAGAAGTGTGTTCTGTAAGTACAAGCCACGGTTCCGGGAGTATGTGTCTGAGAGAACAGGAGGAGGGAAGAGGAAAGCGGAAGAACTGTGCTGACCCTCTTGGACCATTATTAGCACACCTCTTTAAGAAAGTACCTGGCCTCAAGCTGGCGACATCGATTGCGGAGATCCAGTATATGCCGCTGCATCGCGATGTTGGCATTGAGAAGCTGCTGGTGACCATTTAAAGTGTAATAGCTGTCTGTTCAGGGCTCATCGAATTCCACTCCATCACTCCATCCCATAGCGTGTTCTTGCCCTCCAGGTCAGCGAACGCTTGTCAATTTCTCTACCACCTTCCGTGATATTCTAGGATCATCTTTCCTACTGCCGATGAGTAGGATGTTGTCCCTGCGTGAGCGCTCAGCGGAATAAGGGTCGTCCCGCTTGCGCGACTGCCATTTTTCTATGCGGTGGTTACGATAGGCCACGACAGCGGATGCGCCGGCCCAGAGTAGGACAGTTACGAGAAGAAGGACGATGGCTGTGATGACGAAAGCACGAATGTCGAGACCTGAAGCGTTGATTTGCTGGACGTTCTGTTTTGGTACATGGAGTCCATGAGTATTAGCACTGGTATTATGGCGGCCTGTGCAAATGGATGGTCATCGTTTGCGAGAAGTAACGTACCATACCGTAGATAGATGAAGCCAGGGACACGGGCAAAAAGATGAACGCCAGAACCGTCACTGTTTGGACCGCAGGTCAGCGGACACATGTACTTCAGGTTAGTAGCACCTCGGGGAGGATTAAGGATGAGGCTTTGACGTACAGAGTATTGCCCGCTTGCTCTCCTGGATGCTTCGCTCTGCCATCTCGTTGCTCTTGCCTGAGCTGATCATGTCGATCTGGTCGCGAAGTCTCGCTTCCGCGATCTCCAATACCCGCGTATATTGTCCATACCTGCTCACCATCGATTCCAATGCTTGTTTGACGCCCGGATCCTCTGCGGTACCGAAGTTGTGCTGGATGAAGCCCGGTAATATGTTCAGGACACGTCGTCGGTCGTCGAGTTCGTCCCTGAGCTGGTTCCAGAGACTGCGTGGTTCGACTTCGAGCTTGATGTACAACAAACCCCTTTCATATCTGTGCAGGAATGGACTGTCCAGTCGACCAAAGGACGGCACGGTTCGAGGCGCCACGCTCTGCTGATAGCACAGTAGTGCTTGCAGACACGCAGCGAACGGATTGCCCAGTTTGCCTTGGGATGCAGCTTCATAGATCCAACGCTCTATAGGGGGGCCCTTCTTGTCGTCTCTTTCCACACCCCAGAACGATCAGAGGTTGAAACTGGGGTGTGGCTGCGTAGAACGGAAGGCCGATCCACCGAAATCATGCCTGCGTACGGCAGCGACGTACAGGCACTATGTGTGTCGCCATGAAAGGAGTCATCGAGAAAGACGAGAGCTTTCCATGGGTATGCCAGTTAGTAATAGCCGCGGAGAAACGGATAATGTCTGCGAAGATATACCTGTTCTCGGCCGCACACCGGGTAATTCGTCCAGAAGCATGAGCGCATCCGTGCCGACTTCAATGAAATCATCTCGCCACATCCACCGTGTCTCCCGCCGCATGTAATAACTCCAGACCGAGGGATCCATATCCAGACAGTTGCCAACAACGTCAACGACATATGGATGTAGGCATGTATACCGGACGTCGGACAATGTGCGATACATGTATACGATGAGGTATTCGACCTCGCCGTTGGGGTCCGTGAGTAAGGATGGGAAGTCGGTCTCAAGGAACCCAACTCCGGGTCGATAGTGATAATAACAACTGTCAACTCCCAACTGTTCTCTCTGGGGCACGTCTTTGAGACAATGGACGGAAATGGCCTCCTGTCCTTGTACACCCGAACCAAGTTCAACTCCATTGGCGGCATGCCATGGAAGGGACCTCTACGATGGGCCTTGTCGTTGAAGTAACTCGTCAAGAAGTTTTTGAGTTCTTCGCAGTCCTTGTACCAGTCCGTTCCTTCAAGAGACGACCCAGACAAAAGCGCTTCGATGTACTGCGCATAGCTGCCGACGGTCGATTGTCGAGGGTCTTGCTCGGAAGTTGGCGCGTGCCCTGTCATATTGCCAGTAGGGCAGATGGGGAGATGAGCCAGATGCCCGATGAACCGCTGATGGCCCGGCGCGGTTGATTGCGCGAACCGAAGCAAAAGGACAAATGGCCCAAATAAAAGTCGCTTAGATGGGAGATGGGGAGGTGTTCAACTGTTACTCGCCTAATACTAGTAGTAGTAACTAAATCGCGTCTTGTGCCGCTCACCTGCATACGGTACTGTGGCGACCAATACCATGGCGCCGACTGGGACTCTTTCTAAACACTTCGCGGCAAACTCTCAGACGTACCCGGCGCTTGCCAGGAACATATCTTCCGTTGTCTTGTCTAACTTGACAGTGCTAACCCTTTCGTTCTTCAGCCAAGGAGAAATGAATGATAGAATGATCATTACGGACTGGAGGGGAGGAACAGAGGGAAGGCAAAAAGCTCACCGACCGACTGCTTCCGCCGGATCGAAGGAATCAAGGCCTGCTACGAAAAGCCCAGTAAACGTTTTACTCCGGAATCGAACCATTGCCTTCTCGATGTGTGGTACACATTGCGGCAGGATTGCTCCTCTTCCCCCAAGACCGCTTGGACCAAATGGGCCAGCCACTTTCCCAAGCGCTTGGGGGAAGGCAGTGGCGGTTTGGGATGCGGAATTTCGATATATACCGCCATGCTCGCTCTTGCCTCTTGCTCGGCTCGAGAACGATGACCCTAATTTCATGTCTGCTATTGGAACTCTGATGGCAGACGTTATAGCCGCACATCCGACTCACTGCGCACCTGACCGGGGTGCTTGGTTCCCTGACCGCGGCGAACCAAGCACCAGCGCAGCGTGTCCGGTTCGTCTTAGAGACCATGGATTCTGGAATGTGAGGAATGTATTCTTTCTAACTGACTGACATCTCTCGTGGGATGCAGTGGACGGATGAGCGCTACTCAAAAGGCTGAGACTCGGCACGGTTGGGTTCAGCTTTCGTTACGGATTACAGTTAGGCCTATGGTAACGTTATCACGTGGGTACCTCAGTACAGCGGTGTGCCCAGGCCATGTCCTGCTTAGTCGCATAACGATACTCGGTAGTTGAATCAGATAAGATAAGCTCGCCTCTTCGTACTGGAATTGTTAAAGTCGAGCCTGTGACGCAAGGTGGCTACGTTTTGACAAAACGCGATAAACATCACGCTCAGTTAGCTCTTGCGCCGGCACCCTCACTGCCTAGCATCATGGCGCGCTTAGACGAGATACAGTTCGATCCATCACGTCTAAATAAGGCAAATGCCGCAGATTACTCGTCCTCGGAATCCGAGGCGGACGAGGAAGACGTGTATTTAATGCCATCGCGCAACCCTGACGACAGCGAATTTGCCGACTATAACCCCCGAAAGCGCCGGCGAACGGGTCGCGACGCGAAAGAGAGCGCAGCACTAGGCATATTTGGATCCGAGAGTGAGGACGACGGCCCAAGCCGGAAATGGAAGCACAGAACCCTCCGCAACAAAGGCGTCAGCTTCGTGTCATCGGGCAAGGGCAATGCCGGCTCCGACGAGGAAGATCAAGATGACGAGGCGGAAGAGGATAAGGAATATGATGATGATGATCCAGGCGCCGTGCCAGACGAGGCGGCCGAGGAGGAAGATGAAGACGAGGGGATGCCCGGGGTCGGACTGGGTTTCAAGGGGGCCGCTGCTGCTCCAGCACCAGGCTTGGGTTGGACACCTCCCACGCAGCAGGCATTTCCACCTCGAAAGCCAGCTCAGAACCCTAAGCCATTTGTCAAGTCAAAAGTCGACAGCGCCAACCCGTTGGGCAACGGCTTCACACCAACATCAGCACGAGGGCCAACTCTACTGGTAAAGGATGATGAACCGACAACACCCCGCCCCGCGCTACCGAGCGCTTTTGGCCCAGGGAGAGGTGGCAAGACGAAGATCAACCCCAACTCGTTTGGGGCTCGCATGATGGCCAAGATGGGATACGTGGAGGGCAAGGGTCTCGGAAAGGAAGGGCAAGGGCGTAACGTCATCATCGAGGCGAACCTACGCCCCCAAGGCGCGGGATTGGGCGCTGTCAAAGAGAAGACGAAACAAGAGAGAGAGGAAGAGAAGCGACAAGCCCGTCTCCGCGGGGAGGAGGTCGTGGACTCGGAGGAAGAGGAGAAAAAGCAGAAGGCCGCTCGTAGGAAGAAGGCCCTTGCCGGGGGATTCGGCAGCAGTGCCGGGAGCGGCGCGAGCACCCCAAGGCGGCAGAAGGCGAAGTACCTCACCATGGACGAGATCAAGAAGGCTGCTCCGGGATTGAACATTCCAGAAGCATTCACGCCGATTCTGGATATGACTGGCCCCGGAAGGAAGATGCTCATCTCGTCTTCTGGGCTGATGACTCCAACAGGAGGCACCGCACCGGCTGAGTCTGTCGAGGCTGCTGAAGCCCGGAAGCTTGCCAGGCGAGCCCAAACCGATTTCATGGCAATCCTCGAGGAGTGGAAGAGTCTACAAGAGCGGAAGGCCTACATCGACTTGCAGCTAGAGCAGGAGAAGCAGGAGCTGGACGAGCTCTCGACAAGCTTGCAAGGTAACCAATCGGCGACAGCGGCGTGCGAGGCCGTGTCTCAGCCAGTCGAGAGCGGTGAGTTGGACAGGAAGGCCGATCTGAGCTACAGACTTGGCCGTATCATCACGGGGCTCGGGGATGCCAACAGCTTCATCACCGAGTCCATGTTACCCCAGATCAAGGAGGAGGTCGCCTCGCTGGCCGTTTCTGCAATCCACCCCGTGTTCAACCAATACCGCCAACTCTGGGAGCCACTCGAAGAGCCTAAGCCCAGCTTTGTGGACGGTCTCAACTCTATTCGCGACCTGCTCGGTCTAGGACACCAGAACAAGAAGACATACCGCAGACCGACGGCTACGCCGTATGAGACGATGATGTATGAACAGTGGCTGAGAACAGTCGCGGCCGCTGTTCGAGAGTGGAACGTACGCGACCCGGATCCGCTCATCGCCGTTCTCGAAGCCTGGGACAGCCTCCTCCCCGCCTTCATCCGCGCCCAGCTGCTCCAGGACATTATCCGCAAGCTGGACGAGGCGCTCCAGAAATGGCAGCCCAAGAAACACACCCACAACCTCCCCCACCGATGGATATTCCCCTGGCTGCCCTACCTCCCCGCCTCCCACCTCGACCCCAAGAGTTCCACAGGCCTGGTCGCGGACGTGCGTCGCAAGTTCCGCCAGCTCATCGACGCGTGGGACTTCAAGCGCGGCGTGATTCCCGGTCTGAAGCAGTGGAAGGACGTCCTGCGCCCGGCTTCCGGTTCTTCTTCATCTCGCGACACGTGGACGCCGCTGGTGATGAATCACCTGCTGCCCAACATGGCGCGCTATCTGCGCACGCACTTCCGCGTCGAGCCGCAAGACCAGCAGCTGGACGTGCTCGACAAGCTCTTCGAGTGGCTGGACGTGGTCCGGCCCAGCATGCTCGGCGAGGTGGTGGTGGCCGAGCTGTTCCCCAAGTGGCACGACGCGCTGTACCAGTGGCTGCTGCTCGACGAGGCGAACTACGAGGAGATCGGCGAGTGGTTCCAGTGGTGGCAGCAGGAGGCGTTACCCGAGGAGATCAAGGACTTGCCGTCGGTGGTGGCCGAGTTTGAGAAGGGCTCGGCTATGATCGAGAGGGCGCTGGATCTGGGCGAGAACGTGAGGACGGAGCTGAAGCCGCCTGAGCGGGGCCCCGCGCTCAACACGGGGAGATCCGACAGGCGGAGGGAAAGGGAAAGGGAGGAGGAGAGGCAGCGAAGGAGGCTGGAAGCTGAGAAGCAAGAGGAGGACGCGACCAAGAAGCCGGTCGAGATCCCCTTCCGGCAGGTCATCGAAGAGTGGTGTCAGGACAAGGATCTGCAGTTCATGCCGGAGCGGAGCCAGGTGCATGCTGAGGGTCCGCTTTACAGGATCTCGATGCCCGGGGCTAAGAGGGGGGTTCTGGTCTACTTCAAGGGCAACAGTTTGTTCGCCCTGGTCAAGGATCAGAGTCCCACCAAGTTCACGCGGGAGAATGAGGACGAGTGGATCTCGCTGTTAAATTTGATATAGATTAGACAGCTGGGAGGGCGATGCAGTAGCATTCAGCATCCGTTACAGCCGCCCGGCAGGCAGAGAGTAGGCCCTCACCGGGTATATTTTGGTGCTAACTGTGTCCGTTAACATAGACTAGAGTCTTGTCGGCCAAGTGTTTGTTCAGCAGACCTGGTAGGGCTTAACGGGTACTTTTGGCCTGGCCAGATGTTGCGGCAGAACTGCCCCATTGTGCTTGGAGGTCGTTAGGGGAAATACATCTGGTGGGTTGAAACTTGTCATAATCTACCTATGCCAAGATTACAGGATGGCTGCAGCCCACGGGTCACGGATTGGAACTTGCAAACGTCCCATCAGCGTTCAACCAAGACTCAAGCATTTCGCCACTTCCTCCTCAAGGGCACCATTCCGCTAACAAAACGTCGCAGATTCTCTAAGAATTAAAGTTCATCGCTATTCCTGTTCCATATCCTTCCTGCTCCGCGCTCAGTTCCCGCCTCCTGCAAGACTTTTGTCCCGCGCTCATTTCATGATGTTGGCAAACTCGTGGTCTATTCGCCAGCCCAAAAGATCAGTTTACACCTTCGGAAACACTACGGCACATTCCGGCTTACAGTCGATATGGCCATCGCCATTTCGGTCAGCCAGCTTGATCATCTCATCCACCTCCTCGTCCGTCAGGTTCTCGCCGAGCTGCTTGAGCACATGACGCAACTCGTCGCTCGAGATGGTGCCGCTGCCGTCCTTGTCGAAGACCGTGAAGGCGTTGAGGAGTTCCTGCTCCGTGTCCACCTCCTTCACTGTCTGAGACATGAGAGCGAGGAACTCTAAAATGGTTGCGTGTGAGACAGTATCAGTGTGTCTGCTTTAGCAGCCACAAAAGTGCAGGGAAACTGTGGGGATAGACCGCACCATCGAACGAGATGACCCCATCCTTGTTGGTGTCGACCTCGTTGATCAGGTCCTGCAACTCCTCCTCGCTGGGGTTCAAGCCGAGCTCTTTCATGACATTGCCGAGCTCGTCGGCGGTGATGTCGCCTGGGGTCGTACGTATTGTACCACCCGTTCTTAGCGTGGGCTCATTCGTGGGCGGGGCGGGGGAGGCGGGGGAGGGACCGCTCACCAGTTCCATCCTTGTCCTGCATCAATGCACAGCCACAGGCAGGTAGGGATCAGTAACTATCAGTGTTGCCCATGCCGCGCATGCATTTGTTGTCGGTCGCGTGACCTTGAGAAGACAGGGAGTAAGGAAATGGACATACGAATATCTCGAATACTTGCTTGTATTGGTCAATCTGGTCCTGGGGGAGGGTGTTCGAGCCCGATTTGGAAGCCTAAGGGAATAACCACGGCTCGATCAGTGCCTTGATCCTCCAAGGCGTGGCGGCTAACACAGACCATGATGATGCTGGTATTTGTGAACGGCGGTTCTAAACTTCTACTGCGTGCCGGGATTCGATAGCTTGAGGTAAAGTATGCTGTATGGTTCTGCTCGATCTGCCCGAGAGTTGAAGGAGATTAGAAGGTCTTCGTCCCTGACCTGGAATTCAGGTCTGATCGCGCTGATGAGGCAGGGAGGGGTTGATATGAAGCTGGCCGCTTGTGAAACATGGCCCCCCGTTGGCGCAAATACGAGGCCCTTCTCTGTTCCTGGAATACAGCCCTAACCCTAGCATATCCTGCACAACAACCGTAGTGGTCTAACCATCAGATTCGCGAAGTGAGATACTATTGTCGATGTGTGACGCTTCTCTCTTTAGGTCGCCCAGCTGCAGGGGTAGCATGCTGCATTGTTGTGTTGTTCGATCGAAAGCTCTGGGCTAGGCGGAAGTCGAACGCGGTCTGTTACTGAGACTGCTGGCCTCCCGCCTTGCCTTGTCTTTCTCTATTTTGATTGTGGAAATACTTCTTTTCTGTTCACCAAATACAACGTGTTCTCTTTTCCCAATACGGAACTTGCTTGCGGTGTCAGCGCCTACCGGTCTGTAGGCCCAGTGCTTCGATACGCTTCACTAATGAAAGAATCCGTTATATCATCGATTTATTATATTCGCCGTCAAAGGCTCGTTTCTCCTCCGACAGAGTGGTTAACAGTACAATCTAGGTTCTTATTGTCGTCCCTGCCCGCAGGCCCGCAGCCCGCAGTTTCGTCTTCAATCTCCTCTCCAACGACGGTGTACGGCTCGGCTCACAAATCCCAAATCCCCTAGTTCTGGCAAAATCGCATGATACGATCATGCAGCTCGCCGCGGCGCAGTGCTTCATAGATCTCGCTGGCCATAGTCCCCAGGGTCCTGCTCCGAGCATCCACTTGTTCTTCAGGGAGCAAAGCGTCTCTAACAGTAGTTCTCTCGCACGCGTCACCGGCTCCCGTCCCGAGAACCTCGGCCCTCCGCTGCTGCTGCTGCTGCAGCGGAGGATGGTCTTGCACACCTCTGTTGAGCGGAATCTTCAACTCGTTGCGCACAAAGTCGTAGACGACCCTCGATGCAGGACTGATGTAGTGGCGCGTTTGTGGCTGGAAGACGAAATTGGCGCGTACAGCGGCGTAGCAGACATGCAGAGTGAAAGCCATCTGCTTCTCATACTTCCGGAGCCCTTCCAAGGAGGCTCGATCACCAAGACTCTCCAGCACCGTAGCCAACGATTCTCCCACCGCAGTTCTACACCGATCTGGCAGATCCAGATGGGACAACTGATCCCACCGCTGCATGATCGCTTCTTTCACTGTCCCAGCAGTCCGGTTTACTTCGTTGTCGGCAGCGGAGGCACGTGCATCGTCACCTGTAAAGAAACACGATCGCAAAACATCCTCCACGGTGCACCTAACCTTGGCCCCAAACTCCAACCTCAGACACCGCAGGTCTAGCGCCTGGCATAGCACGTAGACATGTGTAGCCGCCATCAGCGCCACCACCTCGGCGGCCTCGAGCGCGTACCGCGCCGCCACCAGCGCCATCGAGTTGACGCTCTGGTTGGCCATCTCGGCCACCTGCACGTGCGCGCTGACGGGGCGCGCCAGATAGGCCAGCTCGGCCGCGTAGGCGGCCATGTTAACGTCGAACCCCTTGCAGGTGAAGCTAGCCGAGGGGTCGTCGAGCGACAGGTTCGGCGGCAGGCCCTTGTTGGTTACGTTATTGATCAGCTCCGAGCTCTGCGCGAAGAGCAGGCGGCCCAGGTTCTGCAAGGCAAGAAGCGTCTTCTCCATGGCGGACGTCAGGACGTGGGCTTGGAAATTGCCTCCGTGGTGGACTTGGCCTCTGCTGCGGGACTCGACGTCGATCAGGGGGTTGTCGGTGGTTGAGTTAAGTTCCGTGGCAACCTGGCGAGTTGCGAGGAGGAGGTCCTCCAGCTGCGGGCCAATCCATTGTGGTGCAGTGCGCAAGGCATAGCGGTCTTGAGCGAGGCCGGTGCGCCGAATGTCGGTCGCGCCACTACTGTTAGAGGGGCTGGAAGGAGGGCTGATTCGGGAGCCGTGGAGGAAAGACAAAATGTTGTGAGCAACTTCGGCTTGGCCGCGGTGCGGGCGGACGGCAGAGATGAAGTAGTGGTAGTTGTTGGCGGTGCCGTCGAGGGCTTCGGTCGCCATCGCGGTCAGGAGTTGCGTCAGGAGGGCTAACTGGTTGGCTTGGTGTATCGCAATGCATGCTGCCGCGCAGCTGGGTGCAGTGCCGTTGGTGATTCCTAGCCCCTCCTTTGCTTGGAGACGCACCGGTTCCAGCCCGGCGACCTTGAGGGTTTTGTGTGCCGAGATTGTGCTCGTCTTGCCATCCTCGCTAACGGCCTTGACGAAGATGTCTGGGTTGCCCTCGATCGCGCCAGCAATGTACGACAAGGTTGACAGATCCCCCGACGCCGAGATGCTACCGCGTAACGGCACCACCGGAATCATGTCCAGCGACAGGAGCCTCATGACGGACTCAATCACACTGACTCGCACACCGGAGTGGCCCCGCATCAAAGAGTTGCATCGGATCAGCATGGCCGCCTTCACAATAGGGGTCGGGAGCGCATGGCTACGCAGCAGGCCATCGTTCGCTCGCTGGCTCGTGATAGAGTCGGTTTTGTCAGCTTCGAGCAGAATGCCGACGTTCAGATGCTGGACTGCGGCGCTCTGCAGCCGCTCGAATTGCTGAGTTCTTGTATCGGCACTTCCGCCGAACCCGGTGTTGACGCCATAGATGACGTGGCCCGACCCCAGCTGATGGTCAAGGAACGAAACACTGTCGTTGACAAGTTGGAGATCTCGGGGGTCGTTCGTCAGCAGTGCTTGGGCCTTGTATCTGCCATGAAGTGAGTCACCCGTTCCTTGCCGTTGGAGATATCGGCTACCGCCTATCCCGAGAAGTTTGCTCACAGCGAAACTGCTACAACGTCCGCGATGGTCAGGTCTCGGCCATTGACTAACACCGGCTCATGTGTCCCGAGCCTTTCCTGCAAAGCAACCCAGTCTGAGTGGAGAGCGGTAGCGTGTGGTGTAGTCTTTGTGCTGTCCATTGTCCCAAATGAAATGTGAAAAAGGTGGGATCTGCCAGCAGGCGTTTCATATTTCTACAGAGGTTGCGGTATGGAATCTTGAAAGGGATGTCAGATCAAGCCGTTTTGTCTTCCGTGTGGCGGCTTTTGCGTGCATATCTACACCCCGACCCCCATGAGGCAGGCGCGGCTCTGGAAGCCTTTCCATCCAAGCTGCAAGACCGAAATAGATTTCCGTCCGGAGTAGGAGAGATCGAGATATCCAGGATCAACTTCTGAAAAAGCTCGGGTTCCGTCTCATGCTTACCTCGCTTTTATACAAAGCCACATCTGGCAGGAAGTAGGGTTGATATTACGCCTCCAACCAGCGCTGGATTGCTGATGAAGGAAGAGCTGACGGTCCAGAACGCAAAGTTTCATCTTAGACTTAATTATGCGTACATCGCTGGCTGAGGTGCGATCTAGTCAGGCATCACTGCATGACAAATGACGTTGACCATCGAATCAAACGTACCATATCGGGCCCGTAGATGTGTACGTACCGCGGATCCAAACGTCAGTTGGCACAGGATTATGGTCATGATAACGAGCTTTTGATCTAAGTGGTCCAAGTGGGTTACCCGGAGATACCAGAACTGTTCGTCTGACGTTGGGGACTTGAACCCCGAGAGCTGCTGGCCTCGACTGTGAAATAGAATTAATGCTTCCTATATCTGGGTAGCCATAGCCCTTCTAGAGCTACGAAACTGAGAGCTGGTTCCTGATTTGGTTTCGATGTTGTTGATCACCACATCGCCTTTTTCGTAGTGGGCTTGGTTAGGTAGAACATCGGAATGATCGGATCATGGCGGCCACCAACGTCCGACAAGTCGGGGCTGGTGTTACTGGTTGAATGCACCCCGACTCAATAAAGTATCACAGAAAATTACAAACAGAAGGAAATGGCCAGCTATATCGGCAGTTGAGTTTATAAGAACTGTTGCAGCTCATGGGCACTTTTGCATCTACTCATATCTCCGGCTGGAGGTCCGGCCAGGTGGGGGTCATGCGCCGGAGCAGCTGTTTTGCCAGTCATAACTTGTTCACCACTACGCAACCAGTTTGGTTTGAATATATATCGAAATCTGGATGGTTGGACTTGAAGTTGAAACAGCTTTAAATAGCATTTCCTGGTTCCTCACAAGAAGGTTGATACCCTAGGGTATGACGCCAACATCGAAGATGAACGATTTCGGCTAGATGATGGAAGTCTTTGAGTGAATGATAGCATAGGTCAAATGAACCCATCGACCGTTGGCAATCGCAACAGGAATTGGCATAACAAGGCATGGAGATATGTGCTACGTCGATATCCTATATACTATCACACTTGTAGCACAGTCCCTGGTACATGGTATTACCAGTAGTCCACCAACGCAGCGTAATGTAGAAAGTTCAGACGCCTTGACACAAGCGAACGGCTGGTCACAGGATGATCCGACATCCGGGACACTGGGTAGTAAAGTGTGGCGCTCCGCCATTGCAGATTTTGTTCGATGCGACTCGTGTGTCAGGAAGCTGAGATGGCGGTACCTCTGAGCTCAGTTCGAGGCCTGGAACAGACTGTTCGAGCTTTGCACCAAGTGATGTTTTACCCGTAGACCAGCAAATTAGAGTACGGGACCTGCAGGGTCTGTACCAGATCACAGTCGTATACCTTAGGAATGTTGAGTCGAAGCTTTGTTAAGTACGCTTCGGCAACGTCTCGTGTGTGACCGTTGGTATATCCCAAGTTGAAAGGTGGCTGAGCCTATGAGAGTGCCCATGGCGATGTGGAAGCGAAGAGTTGGATGCTACCAAGAGCCATAGAGGGTCAACTTCTCTCTCAAATCACCTCATGGTTGGGAAGATGGCAAGTGCTACCCTGTCACTGGTGAATACTAAGCGTAGGCTTGGAGGGCTGTTGCCATGGCGTCCGGGGAATCTGAGCCTCAGGTTTCACAACCAGGAACCATGGTGCGGCTGACTCGGATGTGCAATGCTTCAACTTGGAGGAAAACACTGCATCGGCGTGTCCTTGCTACCAATCATACTTCAGTATAATCCGGCTGACGGCAATAGAAGGAAGTCCTGTTACCTATTGGCCTCCATGTTGAAGAATGCTTCGATTTCTCCAGCATCTCCGCTGGTTTGCACCAACAGTCCGCGAGCCGGGTCCGGCATTCCTCCAACCTCCGTCCGGAGGTCGGATTTTCCTCACGGAAGGTGCATATAATTTTGGACGGCAGTTGCGGGTGCTGTTCCTGACATGAAATGTCATTCAAGCCATCGTGACTCGTACCTTCCTTAAGTCAAGGGACAACGTGCTCCTTCTTCAGTTCCAGCTTCCCGCTCTACTCAACCAACTTCTCGAATGAAACTCTCCCACTTCATCCGCCGCCTCTTCTCTTCCTTTTCCATCTTCAACCCATCCGCATCAAAGACCACGGAGTCCAACCATCGACCAACTCAACCATTCACGTCTTCAGACACAACGTTACCCAAGTCTTCAACAGCAATCACCGTCAAACCGACTACCATCATGTCTGGCACAACTCCTTCCAAGGGCAGTGGCAGCAAGTACGACCAGATCCCGGGTCCCCTCGGGCTGGCGTCTGCTTCGCTGGAGGGCAAGGTGGCTCTCGTCACTGGTGCCGGTACGTACAATGTAATCTCTCTTCGTCAAGTTGTGCTTTTTTCCACTGCAAGCGCCTCATCCTGGAACCAGGATGGATGCAGACGCCACATGCCTGTGCCGGGCGGGTTGGCAGGTTTACCCCAACTCATGTCCGGTTGGCGGCCATAATACCAGCATTGCAACCTGCACCCCTCAAGATAATCTTTCCCTGATTGGTGATGGAGGCTTTTCATGGATCGATAATGCTGCATTTGATGGCATTCTCGGATTTCCTACGAGCTTCTCTGCCGCTTAGCGTGGTATGCTTTCCACCGTGTCGAGAATACCGACTGATGCTTTGGGATGACAGGCCGCGGCATCGGTCGCGAGATGGCGCTCGAACTCGGACGCCGTGGTGCCAAGGTGATTGTGAACTACGCCAACAGCGACTCGTCGGCGCAGGAGGTTGTCGACGAGATCAAGAAAAACGGTTCCGACGCGGCTTCCATCAAGGCCAATGTTGCCAATGTCGACGAGATTGTCCATCTGTTTGAGGACGCCCACAAGGTGTTCGGCAAGCTCGACATCGTGTGCTCCAACAGTGGCGTCGTCTCGTTCGGCCACGTCAAGGATGTTACGCCCGAGGAATTCGACCGCGTCTTTACCATCAACACGCGCGGCCAGTTCTTCGTCGCCCGCGAGGCCTACAAGCACCTCGAAGTTGGTGGCCGTCTGATTCTCATGGGTTCCATCACTGGCCAGGCCAAGGGTGTCCCCAAGCATGCTGTGTACTCGGCTAGCAAGGGCGCCATCGAGACCTTTGTGCGGTGCATGGCTATTGGTATGTCACGATGGTGCGTTTACAAGGAGTTGCAGACTGACATAATGAAGACTTCGGTGACAAGAAGATCACGGTCAATGCCGTTGCTCCTGGCGGTATCAAAACCGATATGTACCAGGCCGTGTGCAGGGAGTACATCCCTAACGGCGACAAGCTCGATGATGAAGGTGTCGACGAGGTAACATCCCCCAGCTTTCGCTTACTTGTGCCGAAGCTGACTTTTCTAGTATGCCGCCGGCTGGTCTCCCCTCCACCGTGTCGGTCTTCCCATCGACATTGCCCGCGTCGTGTGCTTCCTGGCGTCTCAGGACGGCGAGTGGGTCAACGGCAAGGTGATTGGCATCGACGGGGCTGCTTGCATGTGAAATGACATGGACGTCTCTTTCGGAAGGGGTTATGCTTGAGCATTCAAGACATTGTTTACCATTTCCGGTTGCTTTGCTAGGTAGATAGACATCAGTCATGGTCGCAAAGGTGACTGATATGAATTAGAACGGGCTATGGCTGAAATGGGTGGTTTATTGCATTTAACATGCTTGACCGCAGGGCTTCAATCGCGTCAAAATCATAGAGAATCTCATAATAGCTCGAGAGCTTGAGAGCATGCCGTGCAACCTTTGGCTGGGTGACCTAGTAGATGCCTTCTACTACAATATATAACCATGCTCACATTATTTAGGCTCAACACCACCGTTCTCAGCTTCCTCACGTTCTTCAGCGGGTAGCGGTTGACTTTCATACAGTCCTCATAATACGGACCGTCCACACTGTAGAGATATTGTAGAGATACCGATGTTGAGAGCACGTTTAAGTTTACCTTTGATAACTAGGTGCCTTTCCACCAGATGCCAAAGCATCCGCATAATTATGATTAAAGACTAGGACACCTCAGCTAGGAATCGAATAGACCTTACATTAATCTATGGCTCCACCTATCTTCGCCTGGTTGAAGACTGGGCACTTCACTATACAACTACTATAGTATCAGCCGATGCCTTTTGCGTATTGCCAACCATCATCCTATCTGCCCGACTGTCTCCGTGAAACGCGCTGCTCCAGCAGCGTTAGAACATCCCTTGGATCAAGGCCAGCCCAAACACCACCATGCCCATGCCCATCCCCACATCAAGTCCCGGATTGGCCGCTCCGGCGGTCACCACCCCCTTGGAGTTGGATGTCGTCGACGATGCCGCGGGATGAGTGGGATGGTATTCGCCGGTATAGTTCGCTGCTCCTGCTGCTGCTGCTGCCGCCGTCGGCACCGTACTGCCTTTGGCAACACTACTAGGCGCAACACCGGCATGCCTCGTCGCCGCCGTCGCTGGGTAACAGCCCTGTCCTCTGCCGGGACAGATCACGTCCGGCTTGGACACGGGCTGCATTACCGTCGTGGAGTTTGGCGTTTGCTGCTGTGCGCTGAGAGCTGTGGTTGTTGGGTTGGTATGGGACGGGCTGTTGCTGCTGCTGGTTGTTATTGTTGTTGTTGCTGTTGCTGTTGTGACGGGGCAGATGGTGGTGGAGACGGCTACTGTTTCTGTCACCACCAGGATGGCGGAGCTCGAGGAGGCTGGGCACGGGGCGTGCGAGTGGGTGCTGTCGGTTGGGATGGCGCAGGAGGTGATGGTTTTGGTTGTGGTTGTGTAGATTGTGGAGGTTGTGTAGCTGGGTGAGCGGGTGGAGGTGATGGCTGTCTGCGAGGCTGAGGATGTCGTAGTGGTTGTTGTATTTGAGGCTGACGTCGTTGGGGATACTGTCTCGGAGGCGGAGGCGGATGAGGTGCTTCTTGAGGTTGTGGCCGTGTCTGAGAGTGAAGTGGAGGACGACACTTCAGATGAGCTACTACTCTCACGAGAGCTCGCAGTCTCAGTAGAGCCGGTACTCTCCGTGGTGCTGGCAAACTCAGTTGAGCTCACCGACGCGGTGGCTGACGATGAATCCATGGTCTCAGTTATGGTTGAACTTTGAAGCCCCTCGGTTGACGTCGAACTGGGAACCTCGTCGGTTGCAGCGATGCTGCCCGGCTGATCAGTGGTGGAGCTTGGGGATGCCTCGCTCGAGGACGAGGTATTAATGTCGACAGTGCTGCTGGTCAGCGTCACGGTCGGTCCCAACACGTCAGTTGAGCTCAGTGTGCTGAGTGTTGTCGTAGGAGTAACGAATGTTGTCTCTGTCACGCCACCATTGCCCGAGCAAGTGAAGCCGTTCTGGCAGCATCCCGCCTGGCCATCGTCGCCGACAACGCAGTGCTTTTCGGCCGGACAGCCTCCCGTCTGATCAGGACAGCACGAGTAGTCCAGGGGGATACAGCCCGTTCCACACTGCTGCAAGCCGAGCTCTTCGCACGTCTGCGCATCGTAGTTGTCGGTACGGCGGAGGAAGAAAGGGCGCGAAGCCCGGCCTGCTAAGGCAATGGACGGCAGGACGCCCAGGAACAAGAACCCCCGCATGTTTCAGGAGGTTTGGAAAGAATGTGGTTGTCCCGAGGGACTGGCTAAAGAGCGACGGTAATGGTGTCGAAGTGAGTGTCAGTGGTTGGTAAGGGGAAGGGGATAAGGCATGATCAAGTCGGCCGTGTCCATAATCCATTAGTTTTGTACGGCAGCTCATCTGCTCATTACCAAGGAGGCTGCCTAGTGATAGTCCGATGTGAGAATGCAACTCTCTCCTGCAAGTCTATCGGCACACATGCGGCGCAGGCCCGAAATGCAGGGGCCGAAGTTAAAACCTGCGCCTAACAGTCCAATGACCGGGTGATTCCAGCGCCGTCGCCCCCAAGAACCCGGCCGCAGTTCGGCGCGTGGAGATTCCCGTTTCGGAGTATTGGGACTCCGAGTGAGGGAGATCGGCGGGCCAGCGAGTCCAAGAGAGAGGCAGAGGGCTTCCTGCATCCGATGATCCGCCTTAACCGAAGGGCCTCGCACCCGTGGGTCGTTATCTGTACCTCGACGTGGTTATCCGGTAGTAATGCAGCTAAACTTCTGGGTCAAAAAGAGAACTTGGAGGTACAGAGTAAGCACCTATTTGACGGACCACCGACCTTCTGTTGGGTTCACTTCAGGTCTTCAACCCTAACCCGACTCCAGACCCCCGGTTGTTTCAAGGTTGGCAGAGGGGCACATGTGAACGGCAGTCCTCACCTCCTAAGATAGCTACAACCACACAAGATGCCAAACACAGGTGACATGGCTGCGTCTACACAGACGGTGAACGAGCTCAGGGTGATGGTGGTGGGTGACTCCATCTCACATGGACGCGAGGGAGATTGGACCTGGAGATACCGCATCTGGCAATGGTTCAAGCAGCAGCGCATTGCCGTGCGCTTCGTCGGCCCATACAAGGGCACCGTTTCTCCAGAGAAATATCGGCCTCGGCAGCCGCCCCGGCTAATCACGGAGCCCCGCGACCCGCCACCGCCGCTGCGGACCGATGGAGGATACGCTTGTGGTGTCGAGCCGGACTTCCTTGCCAACTCGGACCACTTCGCTGCGAACGGACGCCAAGCCTACCAGGCCAAGGATCTCATCGCTGAGCAGGTCGCCGCCTACCAGCCAGATTTCTGCCTCGTTGAGCTTGGGTTTAACGATCTTGGCTGGCGTATTTGCGGGCCGGCTGAGACGCTTGCGAGTATGAAGCACTTGATCGACCAGGCAAGGTCCGCGAAACCCGACATCAAGTTCGCCGTTGCCAATATTCCGCATCGGACCTGTATACCAGGCCGCGAGGACTTACCCAGGGATACGGATGCCTACAATGACATGCTTGCCCGAACTATTCCATACTGGAGTAGCCCACGGTCGCCCGTTGCTCTTGTACGCTTCTGCGAGAACTATTCATGTAAGTCGATTCATCTGACAGGTCCTATCGTCGACCGAACGCTGACTCCTTTCAGGCGGCGGCACCAATTCTGAGGCCGCCTATGATGGTCTTCACCCTAACGCCCTCGGAGAGTACCAGCTCGCCCAGGCCTTTTCGCGTACCCTAATCTCGGTCTTCAATCTCGGCCATAGCGAGCTCGTGATCCCCAGAAACATTCCCCCTCGCCCCGTGCCGACGCCCGCGAACCTCAGAGCATTCCCCTCCCCGAGTGGCATCGCAATCACATGGGATGCCGTCTACGGCGTCTTCGGCTACGATGTTCAACACCGTTGCGCCGGTTCTACCAACTGGGACTTTACCCATGTAGAATGCAACCGCTTCGATGTGGCGCCGCTGCGGAAGGGCCAGGTGGTGGAGTGTCGGATTCGCACGAGCGGGGGGGATAGCCTCAAGTCACCATGGAGCAGCATCGCTTCAGCGATGGCAGACCCAGCGGCAGCGCCGCCGCCCGTCAACATGGTCACCCACGCCACTTGTGCCGGGTTCTCCATCACGTGGGACCCTCCACCGCCACCGTTTGCTGGCGAGATAGACCGATATGGTCTCATCTACTTCGATGGAGATCAGCCCGGTGCTTTCCCATCCATTGTGGGGGTCAGAGGTAACCAGGCAGAGTTGGATGGTCTGGCGATAGGGGACCGCTATCACATCGCCATGGAGACGTGGACCGCTGTCGGCGGAGGGTTGGCGACTGGTGCACGCGCGGTGAGAGTTGGTAGGGGGATACCCGCTGCGCCCGGTCATGTCAGCGTTCTGGCACTTGACGCGAACACCGTCGAGATCAGGTGGCCTGATATTCCTGATGCCGCCGGGTACGATCTCTGGCTCCAACGCGCGAAATGTACCAGTGATGGCCCAGGGCCGCAGGGCCCTACATTGGGTCCGCCGTTGGACCCTATTCCCTGCGAAGATGCACTCACTGAGTACGGAACACGGTTGCTTAAGGCCACTATTTCCAACATAGACCCTCCGGTCTGGGGTTGGCAATTCGCCATCAGAGCATACAACGGCGACGACTCATCTCCACTGTCTACATGGGTTTCCCCAGCACCGGAGGGCTTATCCTTAGCGAAGGGTGACGCTATACAGGTTGAGATCCGGTATAAATGAGTCTTCGTTAATGAGGTTTCCTTCTGCAGCCCGCTCTGCAGAGGTCGTTATGAGCGAGAGATGAGACGGATCAGAACCGAGGACACTGAAAAGGAAACTCGGGGAGTCGGCATCATCCGGCTCCCTCTCCCTACTATCAAGGCCCGAACACCAACCATCGGTATGAGCGGGACTTATACCTCTAAGGACGGAACACAAGTCATCAGGCCACAACCTTTTCTTCCTCTTCTTCCTTTTTCTGGTCGATCTTTTGGGCCTCTTTCAAATTCTGCTTCAACTTCGAGGTTAGGAGCCTGGCGTTCGCTAGTATAAGACTTTAAGTTGGCTAAGTAATGTTAGGTACGGTAGGTACTTGTGTAGTGCGACACGTGCGTGACTAGGATGCCAGGATACAGAACATGGTCCGCACATGACCCGGATTGACGATCGTGGTAAGGAAGGCATGTCAAGCTAGAAACTGTTACTGTGCTCCCGCAGAAAGAACATGTATTTGAAACCTTGGGCGAAACTATAAAGCAAGCTTTGCTGATGTGACGGCTTAACTAGTTCCTTTGGAATCTTGTAGGTGTCACGGTTGCTCCTGAACGTTGCAGCGCTTGCGGCCCAATCTGTGAAGGAAGGCAAATCGGGGTCCAACCTAATCGCTGGGCCTCGAGTCGATGCTGGTTCGAGCGTCTTCGCAGCGAAATCTTAACCTGGGCGCGGGGGTCCAATCAGGAGCTTTGCGCAGTGGGGTCCCGTTAATGAGCAGCCTGGGCGCCTGCCCGCCCGGATAGCGCCCGGCCAAGAGAGGGACGACCTGCGAGGGCAAGTCGCAATCCGAATCCAAGAATCAACCCCATTTCGTCGTCGAGCTTTGGCATCACATACGCTCGAACCCGCGCGGCTTTACTTTTACCGGGCGACGCTAGCGACAATAGATTTTCTTACGTTTGACGACTCTCCCACTTATAACTGTAGCATTATGGGCATTTGAGAAGAGTTTCCGTACGTTGCCCTTCCCCTCCCCCAAGCTCTCCAGATCTGGACCGTCATCCCGCCGAGGCTCGATCGCCCCGCGTTTGGGGAGGCTAGAATTTCCGGCGACACTGGCATACAAAATCGCATACCTAGCCTGCCATTCCGAGTTGTCATCTTGCACCGTTGTAGGATGCTGCTCAGGCTTTCCATCTAATGATAGATTCACGCTGTATATGGAGTACACTCGGCAATCCCCCGTCTCATCATGTTCCCCACCCCACCTCGAGCCTCGACCTCTCGTCCTTATTATGGAACTTCAAGTTACGAACACTAATGATTTCGGGGCTGCTTAGATGCTTTAGACGTTAAGATACCCGTCCGTTTCTGCGCGCCCATTCCAACTGCATCGTCGTCGAGCCAGTTGCCCTCCGATCTTGCCACTGCCAGTCGGACCGCAACCCATTTTACTGTCCTGGGCCCGCCAACGCGACAATTTCCCTCGCGCCCTTCGGTTGACGTATGCACTCGGGAGGGACGTGTGAATAGCGTCAAGACCACGATACCTCGATCTGTTATTAGTGTTCTCAACCCGGTGCGGTGACATAAGAATTGCCGGACGCCCATCATGTTTTGGAGATTCGGTGGTTACGGCAATGTCTCCACCATCGACAATATCTTAGAGAGGGAGAACTTCCAGCTCGAAGAACTCCTCGATGACGGGGAGTTGGTGCAGGAACTCAAAATCCGCAATCCGAAACTGGTCGAATACCTTCGAGGCCCAGAGGTCCTCGAGAAGCTCCTCAGTTATGTAGTCGCGCCAAAACTCGAGCCCGTTGCGGCGCCAGACGACGACGAAGACGAGGATGCCGACGAGAAAGGCAAGGGAATTGCGCTGCCGTTCACCAGATCGCGGAGCTCCTCGAGCGTGGGTAACACGACCCAAGAGGACAGCGAAAAGAAGCGGAACCGATACGCCTTCATCGCTACCGAAATTCTGTCCTCGGAGACTTGGTCCATGTACGAAGCTCTGATGGATAGCAAGCCACTTCTACGCGACTTCTGGCAATTCTTGAAGCGTGAAACCCCGCTTGACCCTCTTCAAGCAAGCTATTTCACCAAGGTCAACGAATCTTTATTTGACAAGAAAACGGAGGAAATGGTAGACTTGTTGAAGTCCATGGACGGTGCAGTTCCGGATATTCTAAGACACGTTGACTGTCCAATGATCATGGATCTGTTGCTCAAGATCATAAGTCTTGAGCGCACCGAGAGCGGACAGGGCATTGTTGAGGTAATGAAACAAACCATCCGGCTCGAGATGCCAGACTAACAATGAGCTCATACAGTGGCTCTACACACAAGATGTTATGCCGACACTTATCTCATTCCTTGGGCCCGAGCACAATTGGGCGACGCAGACATCTGCAGCCGATTTTATCAAGGCGATCATCACCGTTTCTGCCAACGCGTCACAAAACGAGCAGACGTGTATCGGTCCGAACGAACTCACGCGGCAGCTAGTCTCGAGGCCCTGTATCGATCAGCTCATTCAATACATGCTCGGCGGGGGCAATCCGCTAACCTGTGGCGTCGGAATTGTGATCGAGGTCATCAGGAAAAACAATTCGGACTATGACCCGGAAGGCGTGGATATCAATGCACCCCCGTCAAGTCGTGACCCCATTTACCTCGGGACGCTTCTGCGCCTATTCGCCGAGCGCGTTCCCGATTTCATGAATCTGATCCTCAACGCCCCGGCTCAGAAGCAGCAGCTTTCATCCACCTTTGGTGACCGGATTGAGCCCTTAGGCTTCGACCGCTTCAAGACGTGTGAGCTTATGGCGGAACTCTTGCACTGCAGCAACATGATGCTCCTCAACGAAGCCGGTGCCGAGGACATAATCGCGGTTCGCGATGCTCAACGGCAGCGCTTAAGGGCCGAAAGCCGGCTACTGCCTGTCGGCACTCAGGAGCCGATGCCAACCGAGGACGCCTCTATGCAGGCTTCACGATTCTCGGCTGCGGATGAAGGTCGCAAACTTGAAGTCATGAACATCTCCGCAGATGACGACGGATTCGAGGAGCTGTCACCGACATCGTCTCTGATCGATAAAGTCGAAGCCAACTTTCCCGATGAGGCCCTCGGCTCCCCTAAGTTAAGCGCCGAGACGGAGGGCAATCTAATCGAGCAACAGGCGCCATTTGAGGACATCGATCTGGTAGTAGCGCCACTTTCCCCTAACAAAAAGGTGACTCAAACGACGGAAGGTAGCGATGCCAGCAAGGGCATGGCCTCTGGGGATACCAGCGAGGGGCCTAAAGTCCTGGAGCAGAAGTCTGCCAGTGCTACCCCAGAGCAGACACAGATGGAACCCAAGACCCAACAACTTGGTGATTCCGCCGGTGCTTCTGCTATCCCAGAACAACTGAAGGACAAGACGGACGAGAACTCGAAATCTGTTGACAACAAGCCGTCACCCGCCGAAGATTTACCTGCTCCTTCAACTGACACTCCCGCTTCGTCAGCCCCAGTAGAGAATGCTCCGTTGGTTCCCGAACAGAAGCCCGCAGAACCCACTCCCGCGGATACGCCATCTACCCAAGTTCCCGCTCCCCAAATTCCCGAAACGTTGACAGAACCATCAATAACAAAGACCGAGCTTCCGCAGCCGGAAGGTCCAAACGCAGAACGCGCTGAGCAGACGGTGGACACACCTGCGGCCACCCCCACGGATGAGCCTTCTAACCCCGGGACTGATGCCCCAACCAGCGTGAAACCCGTTGTTGGAGACTATTTGAAGATGCAGTTTGTCGAGCACCGCGTGGTTCCGATCATCTTGAGCTTCTTTTTCAAGTATCCATGGAACAACTTCCTTCACAATGTGGTATACGATATCGTCCAGCAGGTGTTCAACGGCCCAATGGACAGGGGCTACAATCCGACGCTCGCCATCAGCCTCTTCGAAGCCGCCGATATCACCAACCAGATTATCAATGGTCAGCGCGCCAGCGAGAAGTCTCAAGCGGAGAGCAAGACCCGCATGGGCTACATGGGACACCTGACACTCATTGCTGAAGAGGTTGTCAAGTTCACAGAACGCCACCCTCCGGAACTTGTTAGCGAGCTTGTGCTGGAGAAGGTAATGGCACAGGGTTGGGTTGATTACGTTGAGGGCCCTCTCGCCGAGACGCGTGAGCGCGACAATGCCATTCTCGGTGGTGTCCGGCCAGAGGTTGCTATGAGCAACCGCGCCAATGCCCAGAGTCTCATGGCATCCGGGTTCGCTGGCCTAAGCTCGATTGGTCTCGGTGCTGTTACATCCAGCGCCCTCGCAGAAGCTGGGTTGAATGGAGGCTCGGATGTGGCTGAAGGCTCCGGCGCCGGAGGAGCGGGGCCATTCGCTATCAGCGCCGGGACTCTTATGAGCGGATTCGGCAGCTCTAGTGATGAGGACGAAGACGAGGAACAGGATACCGAAGAGGATGTCAACAACGAGGTTAGTGTTTCTGATTCCCGCGACAACGATTGGATTTGCCTTCCCCCTTTCGACACATGATTATGCTCGGAGCGGCATCTCTCCCGGATCGTGCGGCTCCACGAGTTTCCCGTTTAGACAGCGGAGATGAAGCGCAACTGGCACCAAAATCGGATGCGGTTCGGTTGAGGCTTCACAGCTGTCGCTTCTACTAAACGCCCTGGTTTATTTCGCTCAGCGAGTAACTACTAGTAGCTCAGACTTCTCAACGAGTCATCAGCTCTTCAGTTACTTTACCTTGCCAGGTGCAAGTGCGTTGGGAAGTGGTCAATGTGCCCCTCGTTACTTTCCCTCTTTTCTCGTCCGGTGTCCAGCAAGTCAGCTACGCCTTCCTTAGGGGGAGGCATGTTAACTTTGCATGGAAGTTCAGCCTCGATCTTCGGGCCGCTCCTTCTCTCGCTGGGAGCCGCTTCAGCTATCTCCTTGCCGTCTAGTGCCGCCAGTCCCCCTTCTGCTTTGCTTGTTCTTGGCTCTTGCTGGTCTTCGCATGCTTGTTCTACGCCCCCGCCGCTGACCTGTTCATATAGTTCCGAGCCTACACCGACCCCCTCAATGCCAACGCCAACTCGATGAATCCGCCATCAATCCCGCCACCACCGCCACCTCCACCGCCCCTCAACATCCCGCCATCCCGAGCCCGCCTCCAGCTAGCGGCTCGGCTAGCCATGAATAAACGCAACGCCGCTGCCGCTGCCGCCGCCGCCAACGGGGGCGAGGAAGGCAACTCTTCTACGATGGCAGACGACACAGCCGGAGCTTCCGCCTTCGCAAACCCGAGTACGACATCTAGCGAGCGCGTCCGTAACCCTTTCGCTGACTATGATGACGACGAAGACAACTCCGGTAGCGGAAGCGACGACGGCGAAAATGTAGAAGGGGACGACCTAGGCATGACCACAGGCTCGTCAGGCTGGAACCGCGGCTCATGGTGGCGTGGCATGGTCCGCAGCGCCAGGGACCGGGGCCATAGGAGGACGATATCTGATGATATGGAACAGGAGTTGGGGGTAGAACGGTTTGGGGATGGACGGGACGATGACAGCAGTGATGAGGAAGGCGGGCGACGGATTCGTGACGATGATATCGACGACGAAGAGTTTGGGGACTTTGCCATGCCCGAAGTAGAGGAGAGAGTTGGCGGCGGCGGCGGCCTAGTCTCGGGTATTGACCCCGACAGGGAGTCAGTACTCGTCAAGCCCATGCCGCTGCACCCTACGATGACTACGCTGAAGAGCACTGTCAGCCCGTTCAGCAGCTTGTGGCCGTTCTCGCGAGAGAAGCGGGAGGATGATGCCGGTCAGACTGAGGGTGCTGCATCCTCGGCCCCGGGTATCACGGAAGAGCCGGTTGAGCTCGCACCGGAGGAAGTAACTATACTCGGCGAGGACGGGAAGAAGATTGACAGGGCGGTGGAGGCCACGCGGCGGACGAGCATCGAGGACCCGGACGAGGACGAAGTCGATATCGGGGAGGAGATCATCGTCCAGCGGGCTGCGGGGGCGCGCTAGGGGCGCGCCCGTGTAGTGGCGTGGGGCACGAAGGGATGATAGAGTTGTAAGGTATTACGAGGTACAGCTGAGATGACATGAGGGATAAGGTCCGAGGGGCATAGGGACGAGGTAGGAGAGATATCGTGCGGTCGATGGATTGTGTATCCGTACTTGTAAACTACCTCCCCAGTTTAGCTATATCATGATGTTGATGTCTGTTGTCTTTCGGCATGCTATCTTCCCAATGCCTTCAGCTGCGTCCTGGTGTCTGGTTTGGCCCAAGCTCTTTCTATGGCCGAAGCGAAGGTATAACTATTGTGAAGCGTGACAGGGGTGGACAGCGGTCCTATCAAAATCGGGTCAAAATCTAGCCGCAGTGGCGCATCCCGTTCGCAAGTTGCAACCGCTACGATCGCATTGTCAATCTCGGGTTTATCTTAATACATGTGAAACGGCCGATAGCTCGGTATGTCTGCCTGCCGCGGCACCCGACCGCAATCCCGTCAATATGTTTTCCCGCCCGCTTCATGCCATCTGGCTCTTTCTCTACGTCTTTGTATATTTAAAGGTCAGTTCCGCCATCTTTCGCACGCCGTTCCATCCGGCCCGGACATATCCACTCGGCGAACCCAGACCCCATTGCCTGCCCAGGTTCGCACTGTCGGCGTCAGAGGAAGCTGAACTCCCCATCTGGCAGATACGTCACTACTATCGCCCGCCCGCGAAGCTGCGAACCTAAGTCGCAAACCTACGTGTCTGTACCGGTAGTAGCGCCCTTACCGGGAAGCGAGAGATGTCGAGCGATGCCCCAGGACAACCCCATGGCCACGCGCCCGGGCAAGGCGACGGCGACAAGGAAACCGTCTTGAGGCGGCAGGTCCCGCCGTTCCTATCCAAGCTCATGTATGCGAGTTACATGTACAGCATCAAAGGGGCGCTGGTCCCGCTCTGGTGGTTGCGTGACTTGGGCGAGCGCCGCAACCCACCCGCGGGGCGCCCCGACATCGTCAAGACGTACGAATGCCGGCCGAGCCTACCTGTCCGGTAAGTGTGTCTCGAACCCCTGCACCCAGTGCGCAAGGTCTCCAAACTAACCCAGCTGCAGTATCTTCTTCCCTTCGTCCTACGATCAGACCTCACCCACTCCGCTCCCGACGCTCTTCACCATCCACGGCGGCGGATTCTGCGTCGGCCACATCCGCGACGACGATGAGTGGAACCGTACCTTCGCCGACAAGCACAACATCCTCGTCATCGCGCTCAACTACCGCAAAGCGCCCGCCCACCCCTTCCCCACCGCGCCGCACGACATCGAAGCCCTCCTTCTCGCCGCCCTCGCCGACGAGTCCCTCCCGATCGACCGCCACCACCACCACAACAGCAACAACGATAACCACCAAAGCCCTGTCCCGTGCACCGCAATCCTAGGCTTCTCAGCAGGCGGCAACCTCGCCCTCTCGGCCGTCCAGCTACCCAGCATCCGCTCGCACGCTCTGTGCCCCTCGGCGGCGATCAGCGTCTACGGCGCGCTCGACCTGAGCGTGCCGCCGCACGAGAAGGTGCGCAACCGCCCCTGGAAGCCCGACCTGCCGCCGCCGCGCGGGGACGCCAAGGACGCGCTCCTCGGCCTCGCCCCCGCCTTCGACTGGGCCTACATCCCCGAGGGCCAGGACCTGCGCGATCCGCTGCTGAGCCCGCACTACGCGAGCCCGCAGGACCTGCCCGGTTATGTGTGTCTGATCGCGGCCGAGCTGGATATGCTTGCGCACGATTCCTGGCGGTTAGCATGCAGGCTCTCTCGGGAGCGACGAGGTGGTGGTGGTGGTGGTGGTGGAAAGTGGGGAGGGAGGAGGGAAGTGCCCGATCGGAGGAGTGACGTGCCCGAGGAGAGGGTTTGTGGGAGCGTGGATGGGCGGGCGGCGGCCGGGAAGGGGGAGTTAGTTGGGATAGGGAGCGGGGAGGGAAGGGAAAAAGATGAGAGGTTTGCATTTGAGGAGAACTTCCCTGGCGGCGGCGGCGTTAAGTGGTTGCTTGTTCCCGATGTGGTGCACGGGTTCGACAATCCGCATTTGAGGGCGCTGGTTGGCGGGAAGGAGGCGACTGAGGATGCGGTGCTCAAGACGGAGGCGTATACCGCGGAGCTGGCGAGGTGGTTGAAAGAGGTCGTGTGGAAGGTATGAAGGTGTGAAGGATAGCGTGGTCAACATCCTTTGTTGCAGCCCTGCGGTCTTGGTAAATGTGAGTGGAAGAGGCTTGCTTGATAACGTTAAGTGGTTACGGAGCTTCGAGGAAACATCCCACTTTCCAACAGAGCCTGATCCCGTTCTGGACGCCACGTATAGCGGCAAAGGAAAGCAAATCTCTAGAACGACGCGATGGCTTGTCGTTCGACATTCCTGTCGCTGCCAGGTGATATTCTGGACGCCAGGAGCTGCTGACTTATGGGATCCACCTCTTTCCTCGTCAAGCAACAATCAACCAATCCCCTTGTGGTGTAGTTGGCTATCACGTTCGGCTGTAAATGTTGTTTATTGATACCGAAAGGTCACCGGCTCGATTCCGGTCGAGGGGACATTCTTTTTGACGTTTTTTTGAATTTCTCCATTCACGCAACAGATGAGCTTGACAACCTGGTTTGGGAAATACCGCTGGCTCCCCACTCTTCAACCACCTACTGTGTATGTAGCATTGCGCTATTGTCCACCCCGTTTCGTCGCACTCGGAGCGTCCGCAAGGGGGATTATGGAGGTTCGACTTCGTCTGATAACCACATTCCATGCTCCGTCAAAAATATTGAAGGGATCAAATAGCATTATATACTAAGGGGTATCTATTCTATCATGTATCAAACTTCCCGCTTCTCATTCGCGCCGTAGTGAACAGAGGGCCGCGACCACTTGGAACCAGCCCTGATCCTCTTCCCGTACGTAAAGAACACAAAGGGCACGGGTATCAACAGCGTAGCAAATCCTGCTGGAATGGACGACCCGGGCCCAACACCGAGATTGTGGTACAAAGGGCCCACGACCAGTGGGAAGGCGCACGCAAAGCACGACCTCAGGAAAGTGTTGGCGGCGACGGCCGAGGCGGCATACTTGGTGAAGGTGTCAACCAGGTAATTGAGCGCCGCCTGGAAGATGGTGAAGAAACCAGTGCCTAGCATGACGAGCCCAATGCATGGGACAATCCAGTGGATCTGCGGATTCGCCGTCCAGCCTGTCAGGAACTGTCCGCCTGCAAAGAGAACAGCGCCGAGCATCATGGGCGGCAATCGTCGCTCCGGCACAGCTCGGTTCCCCGCAGCATGGTACGCCTTGTTGTAGAGTAGCTGGTTATACACGTTCAAGCCGCATCCCAGGACGGCGCCGATGAAGATGCACAAGAAGGGCAGCGTTGCCACAAGCTGCGACCAGCCCCGGATCTCGCTGAAGATGATGGGGATCGAGCCGAGCTGCATGTACAGGATCCCGTAGCAGAAGCTCGCATAGAGCGCCACAAGGAAGCAGATCGGGGTGCAGAGCAGCTGGACGGGACGCACCAGGAACTTGCGGGCCAGCTCGACAATGCTGACATCCCATTCCTCGAACTTGGCATGGAGCGCCCAGTTTCCGCTCTCGACGCGTAGCCGGCGGGCCTTGTAGACGAGCAGTTTCGGGGGGTAGGACTCGTCGATGAAGACCACTGCCAGGAGGAGGATAAACATCTGAAGAATGCCCGCAAGGTACTCCGTCCAGCGCCAGCCAAGGTCCGGCTGGATGACCAGAGCAGCAGAGACAATCGGACCTTTTTTTTTTTTTTTTCGCTCGGTCAGCCCGGGCATCGCATCCTCCTAAGCATCATCATCATCGAAGAGAGAAAAGACATACCTAACGCCGGCCCCGCCACAACAGCCATGGCATAGCCGGCCATCGCAATGCCCCTCTGGGCCGGGCCGAACAAATCCCCCAGCACGCCGCCGGTGTTCGTGACGGGCGCACTGGCGAAGAAGGCGCCCCAGAATCGCGTCAGCATGAGCGTCTGGAAGTCCTTGGCCGTCGCGCTCGCGAAGCTGAAGCACCCGGCCACGAACATGGGCGGCAGCACGGCCAGCCGCCGCCCGTACACCTCGCTCAGCGGCGCCCACAGCAGCGGGCCGACGCCGAAGCCGACCAGGAACAGCGAGGTGCCCAGCACGGCCACCTGCGAGCCGACGTGGAACTCGCGCGCGATCTGCGCCGTGCCCGCGCTGTAGCACGACGACGCCCACGTCGCCGTCATGGTGACCGTGCCGTACAGCAGGGTGGTGACGATTTTCTTCTTCAGCGGCCAGTTCATCGGCTTGTACGGATCCGCGAGCCCGTCGAAGTCCACGAGGAAGTCGGGCCCCGTCGGGACGTGGGAGAGCGGGTGCGTGAACTGCGGGAGGCCCGTTTGCGGGCGGGAGCGGATGCGCGAGAGGAGGGTCGTGGTGCGCCGCAGGCCGCCTCCGCTACCGGCCGTCCCTGGGCGTTGGCGGGGCCCCGTGGCCGTGGTGGCTGTCGTAGTACTGCTGCCGGTGCGGGAGCGCGAGCGCCGGATGTCGAGACGTGTGGGGCGGTAGCCGTCATAGTCTTCCTCGTCCTCGTCGTCGTCGTCGTCGTCGTCTTCGGTGTCGGAAGTGATGAGGTCGCCATCGTCCGGGAGTGTGGTGTTGGTGGTCGTCGTCCTAGGGTTGTCGGTCTCGTGGGTGGAGGTCGATCGTTCATGGGATGAACCACCGTCGGATCGCTGTGCGCCGGAAGGTCGGTGCAACTCGGATTCGGGCTTGAGATCCGCCATCTTGCAAACCAGTCATTGCCAATGGACCTTACTATTTTCGCGCGCTGAGAATATGCGGACGACTTTATATATTTTTGATTCAAGCGGGCATTGAAAAACTTGGTCGGTGTACAACCCTTACCGCCGAGGCCGTTACCTTGCGACGTCATGACTTCGATCGCCAGGGTCTGGTGGGCCGAGGCCGGCCACATCCGCACACGATAGGGTGAGTTATACCGCTCCTTCCTCACGGTTACCGTGTTCAGTAGGCGCAGAGACGAGCGCTATCAAAAGTCAATTCTCATAATAATAACCGCTGTTTTTCTTTTCTTCTTTCCTCCTCCACTGCAGGAATAGTCTCGCATCCATCGGAGATATCGTGGCTTCGGGTGTTCCGACTGCCGAGGGCGATGGTCGGTTGTTGTGGGGCCGAGCCAAGAATCGGGCCGTTGTCGCCAAGCCCGGGGCAATGTCTATGGCAGACCCTTTTTATTTCCGGTTGACCCCGCCATCCTATCCGGTGCCCCTCTATCAAGCCCACGATGAAGGAATCTGACCAAAGCCGCTTCGACGCGCTTGTTGAGTGGTCTCGGCGACACAGCGGATCGTTGCATCCTTCGCTGGAAATCTACCATGACGATGTGACAAAATTCTCTCTTCGGGTAAAACCCTCTGTCGGCGGCGGACTCACCGCACCCCACAAGGCAGTCACCTGCCCCGTCTCAACCACACTCTCATACCTGAACGCCCTGGTTGATGGTCCTCTCAATGTCGCATCACCCTTGAAGCAGCAAGATGCCGCTTTTCCTGAGCGGTTCATGCAGTCGTGCCCTCCCCATGTCATTGGCCGTTTCTTCCTGATCAAGGAATACCTCAAGGGCAAGGACTCTTTCTGGTGGCCATACATTGCCACGCTGCCCCAGCCCGAGCATGTCAAGGACTGGGCGCTGCCGGCATTCTGGCCGGAAGCCGACATTGCAAATCTCGAGGGCACAAACGCCCGCGTGGCCATCGAGGAGATCCAAGAAAACGTGTCGCAGGAGTTCAGGCACGCAAGGAGGGCTCTAAAGCATGGCGATTACCGGGGCTGGCAGGACTACCACCAGATTCTGTACAAATGGGCTTTCTGCATCTTTACCAGCCGCAGCTTCAGGCCGTCTCTTGTCCTTTCCGAGTCTGCCAAGCAGCATGTGTCAGGCCTCTTGCCGGAGGGCAGCCAGCTGGACGACTTCTCCATCCTCCAGCCGGTGTTCGACATCGCGAACCACTCCATGACGGCCCGGTACACATGGGACGTCACCTCGGATCCCAGCTGCTGCCAGCTCATCTGTGGGGACTCGTACAAGCCGGGAGACCAGGTGTACAACAACTACGGCCTAAAGACCAACAGCGAGCTGCTCCTGGGATACGGCTTCATCCTCCCGGAGACCGAAGAGCTGCACAACGACTACGTCCACGTCAGGAAGCGCCAGCAGCACCAGGACGGCGGTGATGGTGGTGGTGACGCGCCGAAACCGCAAGACTTCCTGATCTCCCTCCGCCCCATCAACCACCCCAGCTCGCTGGTAGGGAGATCCCGCCCCTCCTCCTCCTCCTCCTTCCCAAGCCGTCTGTCCACCCTGCCCGGCTTCGCGCACTTCGAGCCCGCACTCGTCGATGACCTCACCTCGGCTCTCGCGACGCCCGAGGAAACTCGGTTGCTACAGCGATGGAATGATAAGGCATTATTATCATCATCCACAACCGACCCCGCCGACTCGGCAGCCGCGCCACCGCCGCCGCCTGAACTGGCCGGGTTGGTTGGGCGTGTCAAGGGCATGCTGGCCGGGAAACTGCAGTATGACTACCAGCGGCTGGTGGTTGCAGTGCAAGAGGAAGGGGAAGAGGAAGAAAGTGATGAGGAAGTGGAACGGGAAGCGCGTCCGCCCGCGGCGTCTCGGAATCAGATGCTTGCGTTCGAGTACCGCGGGCGGTGCAAGAATGTGCTGTTGGCTGCGATGCGGGATCTGAACGTCGCGCCCTTTGTTCTTGGTGAGGAGTAGTAGTTTATCAATGGAGAGAATCTTTGGAGAGGTCTGAATGGACGACGGTCCGTTTCAAGAGCACTGAGTGTGCCATGTGCCATGCAAGTCTGGACCTGTGATTGTGGAGAGAGATTGTTGGGCCTGTACCTTCAGATGAGGGCACAGCGCTTACGTTCCAACACGCATGAAGTAGTCGAGTGAGAATGCATGATCCTAGTCAAGGAAGCGTCAGTCATACAGGATGGTCAGACAGCTATGACTTGTCCGCTAATAGTCGCACAAACATCATCATATCATCCTGCTAGTTCACCTCTGGGATGACGATCTGGACGCATGGGCAGTATCTCAGGCGATTTACAGCTGGAATTGATGCAATGACAACTTGGCCGAGTGGTTAAGGCGACAGACTTGAATTTCCACGTTCATGGCATCTGTTGGGTTCGCCCTCACAAGTTCGAATCTTGTAGTTGTCGCTGTTTCTCGTTTTGCTGCCGACTTTTGGTTCAAAGTAATGGGTCGTTGTTGTTGTTGTTTTGCCAGTGTTGACGGTTGTTATGGGTTGTGTATATGCTTCCCCTGAGCTCGGTCGTCTTCTGTATCTGCTCCAGTAACCCATGTGATCGTCTGATGGAACAGTCCGCCTCGAACTCTCTACCCGATTTGCAAGGTGGACGGGACTAGTAAGGACAGTTTACAGATGCACTTGGAACCGATATATATATACGTATAGCCAGCTGGCTATGACACCGCCTGAACTCCTCGTGCTTTCATCCCCACTTCCCATCAAGTATGTACATCCCGAACGCAGGGAACCATCAGCAAGTATTCTTCCCGCTAGGCGTGAAGGTTCCAGCCTGGTACATGCCGTTGGCATCACCGAGGCACTCGGCTATGGCAGTTGTCAGTGCGGCCCCCTTTTTTCCGCGGAAGCAACCTCCACTTCAGAACACGAATGAACTCACCAACAGTGACCAACTTGAGGTTATTCTGCTTCGCCCAGTTGATGAGCCAGGGCGTCAGCGTCTGGACTGTGCCCTGGTAGGTCTCGTGCATGAGCGGGATGTGGCCATTGCCGCCGGCGCCGGCCTGCTGGAACACCTGCTGGCTCTGTTGCGGCGTGCGGTTGTTCCAGTCGCCCGAATCGACATCGTTGGTGATGACCTTGTACCCCATCGACTGCATGGTCGGCAGGAACTGGCCGCCCGTCTCGAGGTACGGCGGCCGCATGTACGCCGGCTTCTTGCCGATCAGGTTGACCATCGCGTCTTCCAGTCTGGTCATCTCGCTGCGGATCTGCGCTGCGCTCATGCTGCCCATGTGCGGGTGCGTCCTAATAAGTCGATGGAAAATTGTAAGTACTACTAGTGGCTATAGCTATTCTGCTGGATCTCACGTCTAGAAAGGCCGCTAGGAGAAAAGGGATATTATCCTACCATGTGTGCGAGGCGATCTGGTGGCCCGAAGCAAATGCCTTCTTCACCGCGGCGGCCTGGTTGTAGATGCAGCCGTACAGCGTGCCCGTCCAGAAGAAGGTGGCCTTGGCGCCGGCCTTGTCGAGGATGTCCACCAGCTGCGACGTGTACTGGTACGGGCCATCGTCATAGGCGAGCGCAAGCGTCCCGGGCGTGCTGCACTGGCGGATGACCACGCCGGGGCTCGGGGCTCGCTTGATGAACTCGACCGGGCTCACCACTGGTGCGGCGACGACTGCGGTAGAGGCCAGCAGCAGGCCGGCGAGGACAGTTGCCGCAAGCATTGTGGTTGACGACTTGTTTGGCGATGGCCGGTCAGAGTTGAGGGCTTGGGATGAGTGCACTGCTTCAACATACCGCAGCGTAGTGCCCTCAGTCGCCACTACATATATAGTAATTGTATATCATAGCTCTTACTCACATGCTCTCCGCTTCTTGGCGTTGCCCACGGGCCCACGATGTCCGAAACATGCCTGCTTTCATCTAGTTCTCCGGGCCGTCTACGCAGAACGAAACACCGGTGCCGGGCAAAGGGAGCGAGAAGGGGCCGTGTATGTCGGTAGCAAACATGATTATCTGGGGTATCCAGATGCCAGGGTTACATGAAGGTGGACCTGCGATCGGGGCCACAACTCATGGCTAAATGGATTAGTTATAGCAGCCCAAACGTCGGCTTGTAGGCGTGGTCTCGAGTATATTAGCCAGGAGACCACTTCGGCATTTAGCCGCTTAGCGAAGCCGCCCGGATATGCGACGAAGATCCGGGGCACATTAGCTCAATTGCCATGAAGACATTTCAACCTATACAGGGAACGTAGTCATGCCAAACTCTAAATGCTGAGATTAAATCATCATGGCCTTAGTCGGTGTCTGTAGCCCAATGTGGATGCTAGCACTTACGACTAGTAACCACCGTTCCTGACAGCTACGTGGTGCTCTTAGTACTCAGCACACTCGGGCCCCAGACAAAGAGCATAGAAATGGTTCATAGCAAGTAGACAAATGCAGGCTTAGTGTAGCGATACTTCGATCCGGCCATTATAGTGAGACACCCCTTCTCTCACACAGCTGTCCTGCCTTGTTACTACTAGTAGCAGGCCGTCCCCCCCGGTCCAATTTACATGTGAAGTACGAGGGTTCTAGGTCGAAGGGGGTCCCAGCAGCAGAGAAAGGTGCTTTGAACAAGTACAGAATTGGCCAACTCAGACCGACCCTTACACCGAAAGGGGTGCGGCGCGATTACATCTTAATACGCTGAGAACTGTCTGAGACAACACCCTTTTGACGCGGATGATTACGGGCATACCGCGTCGTCCCCGGCTTCTGAGCCAACGAACACACACAATGGCTGATCTTACGCCCCTCTATCTGACGATGTTGCCCTTAAGCACTACTTCAGCACCAAGACAAGGACTGCCCGAGTCCCAGACTCGCCTGACCGTGTTCAGATGACTCAGGAGGCCTGGATCGGATCAAAACGGGCTGCAGCTCCAGCTGTTGGGGATGGACCACGATAAAGTCCCTCACAAGTGGTTCGCCTTGTAGCTAATAGCTACAGAGGGCGAATCTCGGTGGCTGTTTCTGTGCACTTTGATATCACCTCGCCCGGTGGTCGACCCCCAACCAGCCAGGAACAAGATCCTCGGCGGAAGAGTGACTGACAAGGTGAGAGAGGTGTGACAAGTCCAAGAAAGCAGCCACCACCCAACTTCCCCCCGATACCAGACGTGTGCGGGTGTGAACTATACTGCGTAGATAAAGACCTACAACGGTCAGAAAAAAAGAAACAAGGCTACAGGATAACGGACGGCAACTCCCGGGCCTCACAGCGCAAGCAATGCCTTCATGGTCGTTCTCACAGCCCTGTAAACTCCTACCAAGTGGGCCGGCCGGCTCGCTTATCAACCAACGTTAGGCGGAAGGGGGCAAAGGACGCGAGCTGACGAAAGGAAGGCTTAGGTATGTGCATATTTAGTGTAGTTCCCCCATGGCCAGACCGGTGTGCCGGCAGCTGCGATGACGCATGGCATCTAAGGGTTGCGCTGGAGGCTGCTGATACATGCCGTGGCTGAAGGGAGGCAGGTCGGCGAATAAGGGGAGAGGAAATGGTGAAGCGTTATCCGTAGGGGTTCTCCGGACGACATCCCCGTACGCTATCTGGAGAATGGACCCCCATTATAGTACTAGTAGTAGTCATCCGGATGGTCCACCGTCCGAGACACGGGAATGATGGTGAGCGACGATGAACCGTCACGCTCCGGTCCCCGCTGGCGCCGAACCGGACGGGCAGAGCGGAGAACCAAGCGCCGGTGCTGGCGAACTCTCGCCGCAGGCCCGGGACACGCGAAACGAAAGCAATCCACAAGAGGAAGCCAGGAGGTGCCTGCTGGGCGTTTGTTCTATGTACACTAGCGTTAACGTACCAAGAAAATCTAGAAGTGGAAAGCTCATGCGCACCCGTTCTAGCCTCGGTGGAGACTGTTCGGCACTTCATCGCGACGGGATTCTCTCGGTAAGAACTCGCCTAACGCACTCACCAGCCCACGCCAGGGGACCAAATCCTACCGTCGCGCAACGTGTCATTCACGCCTCATTGTCAGGTGTTGATGGAACTTACCAGAAACACGCTCAGTCCCTTTCCGGCGTAGTGAGGTAGTGTAGGATCCAGGTCAACCTTCCCCATGACAGTGGGTATGAGCGGCAACATACATAACCTTGGGGCATGAGTGGAAAGGGAGCAACAAGAGCGCAGTCATTTTACTTACCGCCCTCATATCCAATCTTTTCCCCGCCCGGGGTCCCCGAAACACATCCGAAGAAAGTGGAAGTCGAACTCGGCCTTATTACCCAACGTTTATTATGACTGCGTAACAAACAGCGTCAAATTGGTATGAAACAGTATCTTTCCCAAGCCCCTGGCGCCCTCGCAGATCTTCGCGTGTTTTGGGTCAGACAGAACATGGTCCACTCATTGGCTTCTCCGCAAGGCCCACAGCATTAGAGATTGGTCGCACCCATTGCAATTGGACCCTGCTGGCCGTGGCGTCGAAGGAGTCAACATCCAGAAGTGGTTACGAAGTCCCGGATCGGCGCGCTGGTCGCCTGGGTCACGAAAGGGAATAGTTGACTTCGCGTGTTGAGTACCCGAATGTTGGGAGAAGCGGGTGTGGCTGACGGCGTAGTGTAGAATACAACAGAAAAAGTCTCGTGTCTTTGGCCCTATGTTTCTCTGATTTCTAGAGCAGAATGAAGCCTGACCTCCCGGGTTCCCGTCTGGCAGGGCAAGATGTCCGGAGCTGGCTCCGGCGAGCGATGCATAAGATTCCGTGACACACGCTCGTGTCGGATACTACCGGTAGTGTACGATCTGTGGATTTGCTATTCGGCAAGCAGTAAGCACTCTAATATCCCGTTTCCTGGCCGGCGAACTCCCGGGATGGAAAATGCGCCGGTAACAAGATTGGGCATCAAACAGTACCGTAGCACTACATACGTACCGCATCCGGAGGTTTGTATGTAGGATTCGAGCGAATTAAGATGAACACTCGTTCCCCCGGGTTCCGTTCGGCAACATCACGTTAAAATGGAGCGCAAAGGATGAAGGCCCGGTGCACTAGGTAGACAAAGAAGAACGCCAGGCTTCCTCGAGTTCTAGGGCCCTTCGCTTCCCCTCGCCCGACTGATGGGGGAAAGTCGAAGCCGTGCCAATAATAAGCTTCCACGCTGGCGGATTCCGGGGGATGGTCAACGAGGCCCGCGATTGGCCATCCGCTCAATTGGCGCATGCAGCCGCAGCCTCAAGGCAAGCCACCGGCGTACCGGAAACGCAGGGGTAAGTCATCCCTTCGTCATCTCGACATCATCCCATGTGATTTGGGGAAGAGTCAACAAGCACCGTCGAAAGGACCAGAGATGGTCGACCGCTGTGGTGCAGCAGTGTATGTAAAGTACCTACTCTGCGATGCTATATGAGCCCTGGTGCTCTGGTCAAGCTGAGACGGACACTGTGGCATCCTGCACACCACTAGCGTCCGCGTGCTAGAGCGCAACTACTAGTAACTATTTCCGGGCTAATCCCGCCACGTTAGTGACGACCTCCTCGAGTATCGTCGAAGGTGAGGGAACCGACAGCATGGATCCGGCCCCTTCGCGTTCCTTGCAACCTGTTCTCGAGGATGTCATTTCCAAATTAGACTTAGCACGGGTACCGCCTCCGAAACGTCGAAGACGTCGGCTAATGAGGGCCATGGTTCGAGTCGCGGTGGCTGATAGTAGTGGCGTCTGGTGGTCTGATCATAGGGGTCATTGCGGTGTGGACGAAGCCCTCGCCTCATTCGTTCCCCGCGCTCGCGTTCATGCTTGCGACTGGGCTCCCAGCCAACGACGATGGGTCTTCGAACTCGATGTTGGGAACAGTGGACTGGTACACTAATAATCATGATTGATATCTGTTCGGGAAAACTGATGTCGAATGGATAACTGAATTCCTGAACGCTGGACCTGAGCAGTGTAGTTCGGCTTTGCCGAGAACGTGGCGGACGATTGTCAGATCGGTGAGTGCGCTGCCCCTGTTGCCATGCTTGCCAAGCATGACGATGGATCAGGATGGCAGGCATGATGATTGGCATTTCTCCGGATTGTTTGGCCCTCTGGACATGGAGTGAGGCCTGGTTAATAAGGTAGTTTCCCTCAGCGATGTCCTCCTTGCGACCATCGCAGGTACCAGGTTGTTGTTGAGGCTTAATAAAAAGCGAAACCTTATTAAAACCCTCGACCCAGAGCATTGGCGCACGCCGTGCTGGAATGGTATGTACTCTGGGGAGACCGGTATCTTGTGGGCAGGCCAACCGCAGATTGCGTTTTTCGCTGAAATTGTCTGCCGGGTGTTGCCTGGTGATCTCTCTGCGTTGTTATCTCTTCTTGACTTGGTACCTTCCATTTTGGTTTTGCGGTGTTGCGGTGCCACGAAGGCAGGCGCGTAACGCTGGTGATCTTGCCCTGCCTGATTGTCTGCACCGTCCAAGGTTGCTGATGAACGTTTTGAGAACGAGGCGGGTCTTATTAGTAGGAGCGAGATGCTTGTTGAAGGAGGCTGTTGGGCCGAGCTCCTGTTACAGCACTTGAACGGGACGACTGATATGTAGTGTAGTTCAACCTTCCTCGTTGAGCATCTCATTAGGATTGATGAATTCGACCTTCTGTACCAGATTCGAAAGATTCGAGAGAGCTTCCATGGTGGAGACGCACCATCTCCTGACTCGCTACTCTCGGGTAAATGGTGGACGAGTTGAGGAGTCGGTTTCCACGTGGTTGACGATTCCTAAATGGGAATGCACTCCAGATTTGGCCGCCGGTAAGCCCACATCGGCACGGGCAGACCCACATGGGATATGGGCCACAGTCGTCTCGCCGGCGGAGCTGTGTCCGCCCAAGAGCAAGGATTTTGCGCGTTTTTCCTCTCGAATATGGGTTCAATTCGGCCAGAAAGAAAAATTCTCATGCTCGCAGCCTCCACGGCGGGACTCAAACCTTCCTGTCAGAGGATGATGAGTGATTCAACACCTGAGCATGTAGTGGAAGAGCATCTACGACATATCTGCCACCTCGGCAGCCGGCTTGGCCAGCAACGGAAGGACAAGGCTTGTGAAAATGAATATTCGGCTCGGCGATATCATGGCGAGCATGGCAAGCGACGGCAAGAGCCAAGTGTTGGATCGCGCTGTGCTCCGCATGCATGGAACGGTGGATTGCGAGGTCCAAGTCTGGGTCAATGCAACACTTTCTTCACCGGTGCGGGTCCCAAGAGATGCATCAACGGTCTTGCAGGGACCAATCTCGCTGCTTGCGGCGATCACTGTCTCTTCGAAGATGGTTCTAAAAGACAAGACGTTACACTACGGCTACACGTGTAGTACAATACCTAGGAATGCGGGCGCTATGAGCTGGCTCCGTGTCAATTTACTCTTGAAGCTCCGATGCCCAAACCCGTTAAGTGTCAACGCCCCAGATACATCGCCCTGAAGATCGCGGAGTGTATCTAGTGGTGATCTAGTTTTCTTCAGTGTAGCCAAGGCGACACAGGAGCTTTCAATCTCTCCAGTCTACTCCGTATGTAGAGAGTGTGGAACGCCATAGGCCTGGGCAGGATTGGGCCCAAAGACTGGCGGTACAAGTCGATGCATGTGCTGTAAATGTAAAGACGGTAATTCGAATTGTATTGTACAATACATTCGTTGCGGCACGGTATTGCATTAGTACCGTACAGGTAGGTAAGTCCCTCAGCATGGACGTCCCCGTTATTAGGACGGCCTCCGTTTTTAATGGACCATCTAAAGCCAGCCACTGGCTAATGCAAGCCTCAAATGTCTTCCGAGACACCGCACTTTTTTTCGCTTTAAACCATTCTCACATTTTCGCGCTCAGCGCGACTTCAGGCCTTTTCTACCCTTGCTGTGTATTAGTACATTAAGTAGGTATTATACTACCTCAGTCAGGCAATTTGTTCAAGAAAGTCCTACCTCTTTGGGATTAGAACGTATCTTACAGTAGGTACTACGGCTTACAGTCCATGTTAGCTCGCAGTTGACACTACAGGGCATTTTCCGCTGAAGAACAGAACGCAACGAAGAGAACCGGGGCGTGTTAGGATGGGAATATACCCGGTTATGGCACATGGCGACCCAAACCAGACCGTCGGGCTCATTCTCATTGTCCGGTACTCCTCAAGCTTTACAGAGGTCTGGCTGGCTGTCTACCCAATAACTCCCCACCGTCGTGGCAGAGTCGAGATGTCTGAGATGCTTCTTTCCGCTCTTCCTCATCCCTGCAAGTTTGACTGACTGTGCTGTGTACTGGTATGTACGGTATATGTACATCAGGTACTCAGCTATACACGTGGAGAGTACAGTGCATCCAGATTAGCACCAGCAAAGCTTCCATGCCCTGCATACATCCGTAAGTCTCCGTGTTCCACTCCAGGTTGTGTGTATGTATTTAAGTGTACTACAGTACATCAGGTACACAAGTATCTCACCGTTGCTGGTGCACGCCCCCAGCTACACTACCTGCGTAACATTTCCCAAATGGCCACGACACAGTATCAATACAACCCCAGCTCCCAAACAACCAAGAGGCTGCATGATGCCTATGAAGTCGTCATGGGTACCTTGCTCGTCAACAGAGACAACTCCGTTAGCATGTTTGTCTGGACTCTGGACCTCCCACGATGTTCGGGACTTAAATAAGTGCAGTTCCCACCCTTATCCGAACGGTTCATGACCTCAGTCAGTCGAGATAACTCGTACAAAGTCGACAACACCCCCAGAAGTCACATACTCTGAGCCGACTTCCGCGCATCACAAGCACACCTGTTCCGTGCGGACCTTCACTATTGCAGGGCTCAACACCTTTCACAGCCCCATACTCCTTGGACGTCATATCCAACCCCTCTACCCCGGTCCGCGAGCGCTCTTCGCTACACTTACACACAAGACACACAACATGTGTGACTACACTCAACGAGAGTACTCCTGCGGCCACTTCCGGTGGATCGCCTCCAAGTGGTGCCGGGACTACACCATCACGCACAAGAGGTGTCAGCCGAACGTCACCCACTTTGAGTACAGGGCCGAGGAACTCTGCGGTATGCGACAACTCATTATCCCTTGCTGCTTTGCTGTACGGCAACGCTGACCTGCTTATACAGGCGAGTGCAAGCCGAAGGAGTACCCGCCATGGGAGTACCTGATCAAGCGCCCCCAGCAGCGGACCTACTAAATGGTCCAACCCCGTTGGGGAGATGGGAGAGAAGGTGAACCGCACCCGAGCGACAAGATGTGGAGGGCATGGCAGAGGGGAATAGGGGACTCCCTGGCAGGCGGCAACCGGCCTTGCCGCACCAAAAAGACGCGTCGAGCCTACGGCACGCCAGACCGATGGGATCTAGCGCCCCAAAATGCCAACATCACAGGACGCAGTCGACGAGTCGCGTCCTGCTCCGCCGACCGTCTTAACGAAGCTAACGACACGACGGATCTCTGCGCCCGACCCGGCCCAGCTGAACCCCAGCATCACCAACAGCAACTCGAGCCGCGGTCTAGGACCTGAGCCTAGGCTTTGTGATCAACATGATGCAAATGCCACCTTTCCCCGCCCAAGCCGCCTTTATTACCCCCTGGGCGAGGCAAAACGTCTGGCCCGCCCGGCCAAATCTCGCCCTGCTCGGCTCGGCTGACCCAGGGTTCGACGACCCCTGATGCGCTTCCTCCGTTCTGTCAAAACACAACCCTGACGGTCTCCGTCTACGTCTCCACACCACAACTCCACCACTCCACCGACCTCCGCCAAGGTTACGGTAACGATACGATCTGCTACCTACTGCGCCGCATAGGTAACTAGCGCTTGAACACCTCGCTCCTGTTCTAGACACCCCATCGCCTGTGGGACGGACAAACCTTGTGGGCTCGTCTGTCTGTTTCAACACTGCATTGCCACGGAGCTGGTTTCCCCCCCTCGTTCGAGTTCGCTTGGGAAGCTCTCGGTCACTTCTCATCTTGTCGATCAACTTTTGTGTTTCTTTTTGGTTTCGTCTATGCATCTCTTCGTGGTTATTCTGGGGCACGGTTGTTCCTTTTTTTTTTTTATATATATATAAATTTTTATAAGGGCATTGGGATGGGCCCAGCGTGGGAGTTGGGGTTAGTACTATGGGGCGACATCGGCGTTTAGTGTTGGGCCCCTTGGGTGCCTTGTGATACCGTCTGGGCTCGTCAGGTTTGTGTGCGAAATTGTGGGTTCGGACATGTCTACAGTGATATTACAGGATGAATGGGATGGGATAATGATTGGGGGGATACCTCTGCTGTTTAAATTTAAACTGGTTCTTAGTGGCCTAGGATGGTGCGCGTGTTTCGAACTGGCTGGTGCAGTTGATAGCACTGCCTAATTGCTATATCTCTCACCAGATGTGAGAAAATGAGCCGAAGATTGCTTGTTAATGTGCTGGAGTTGTGCCCGACTTTCACCGCTGTACTGTGTATTCCGTAAGATGGCCCAGGTACCACAGTATGTATCAACATTACTGGAGTAGTCGAATGACCATGTATGTCGGCCTTCATGATCGCCATGCGTCGGGCATCACTTTCAGCTTGTATCCCATTGGGCTGATGATTGGATCTTGGTGGAGAACGTCATCCCACACATGGCATCGTAACGTCCCTCAGCGCTTATTACTGTGTTAATGCAAAACCCAGGGTACGCGAGTTGTCACCTTGGCTTATCGTTCCTGTTGGAAATCAGATATCAAATGCCTCGGGTACCTGTGCCTACCCAAATAGCAATATGCATTGTCTCAAAGATTGACCCGTCGTACTATGCTTTTGCTTATGCTGTCATGAGACTTGGCCCCCGCTTGGCCCCGCGCGTCCACTCTCACTGCGTCACTCTCTTGCCTCGATAGCTCCGCCGAAGGTGAGTCTGTGTAATGAGCTTCTGCGGGATCCTCTCGTCACCTTGGGCATTACCCGAAGGGGCCAGCCGACAGCCCCGCTGGCTTGGGAGGCGACATCGGTCTCGTGCATCGTCAACAAAACTGATACGCCGAGGGCTTCTGTACATAGCCGCGGGGCTTGGGGTCTTGGGAAGGTTGCCGCCAATGCCGCAAGAAGCCACTAGCAGACCGCGAGCAACAAGCAAGTGAAAAGTCGTGAGCGAAGCGGTGAGGAATTACAGGTCTTCGCAACCAACTGACAGCTCCGCACACCCACACACCTACTCACTTAAGTTACTACCTGACAGGCTACTGTCTGCATTAGCTTCGCTCAACAAGTGTGTCAGGCAGCTGAGATGTTACGGACACTGCCCGGCAGGGTGAAGTGTCAGACAGAGTTGCATTAGAGATGGTTGAAGGCAGCGGGCCTCCTCCTATGTCCCACGCGGTATCTGACGAGAGCGCCATTGGGCTATTCGCAGAAGCTAAAAAGAGAGGCAGAAGGGAGTGTACGTTGCAGCCCGATATGAGTGATTTGTTCAGGGACTGCAGCCCACGTCCTGCAGTTTGCGGCCTTCCTTGGGATACTTCTACGATAGGTGTTGTGGTGATGTGATCCGGAGCTAATATCAGCAAGAACGCCAATCATCGAGGCCGAGGAGGTTCGGCCGTAGGCAGACTTTATTGACGGGCAGTCGCGGCTGCCGCTGTGTTGGTCAGAGATGTCTCTGGGGAGCGGTACAGCGCTAATGCCACAAAGTTATTGTGGCGTTGAGTCCATCATGATGTCTGCTATCGAATCGCACTTCTCCTGCGTCCTCTGATACGCATCAGGTACAGCGTGGACACGATTGGAGGCCCGGATATTGTTCTGCTGCCAATGTTGCACGACAGCTGCTGCGCACCGGGTCAGAATCATGGTCCATGACATGGCCACTCGAAGGCTTCGGTGCTGTGTAAGACTTTACAGCGGCGTGCTCTTTGTTTCGGATCAACGGAACAATGCAGTGATCTTTTCTGGGACGGCGACACAACGACCATGTGAGGGCAAGAAATTCGATGCTCGAGGGACTGCGATGTGGTCCCCTACTTGGAGAATCGGCACTGAAGAAGAGACAAGGGAGCAATGTTTCGAGTGCTCAGTTTTGGCCAGCGGCGGCCAGAAGGTAGTAACCACGACCGACTTGTGCCGATGGCGTTGCCAAATCCAGATTGTGCGTCTTCGAAATGCCTTGCTATTCTGTCATCGGGTCTGGGACGAGAAGCCGGGGGCGTCCCATGGTTGCACCCACCTGGGTGTTCCTCCCACCGTCCCTCGGGGCGGGACTCGATGGTTCTCGTACGTAATCGGCGTCCTACAACAACGACTCGAGACGGTGCGCTACCCGAATTCGCGGGCGGGTGTAGAACCGAATTCTCTGGTGAGGGTGCTCGCATCTCGTCGTTGAGTGCTTTGTCGTTCAAGTGTGGGAAATAAGACTGCAAAGGAACAAGGGGGAAGAGATCATTAAGGGCTCCATCGGCGGGTCACGGCGTGATGAAGTGGACGCTCTAAAGGCTTAAGCAATCTTGGCTGCAACTACTCGACTGCGGTCGGACGTGGGACAAAAATATCCAATCCGGACAATTGCAGTTGGGGGGCACAGATACACGTGTAGTAGTGTACGATACAGTGTCAATGGATAGCGTGGAGTTCCAAGAGCAGTGGGGGTTCGTCTCGTGTTGATGGTCGTTGTTGTCTTGATCTCTTGTGGAGGTCACATTGATGAGCTGACGCCCCACATGAAGATACATGCTGTGCTTCAATTGGCCGTTTTTGCCCCGCTCAGCGCGGCGTAACCTCGATCCGTAAGCTCAAGCTTGACTGCAGTGATGACATGAACTTGAACGACAACATCCCGCCGTTTTATGTTGAGGCATCCAAGTCGGCACACTTGGCTTCCCCTCTTGCAAGAGGCCATAACACAGACGTTGCCGGAGACTTTATATTAGGCTACTCTCTAAACAAGACCATCGAGCCAGAAAATCGAAAGCCCGGTTCTCGAACCAACCCCGCGTTTTGTATTTAGCCTTGCGGCCCGAAGGTCGAGGGCGATACTTCACCAGCCTGCTACGACGGTGTCTTCAACCAGACGGCTAGACTTCCGTTTCCAAAGACCACGTCCCGATCCGAAACGGCGGCATGCAAGGCCGCTGGCTCCTTGCAGGTGAGTCCCGGCGCTCAACCATCTGCGGCCCATTGCAACATGGCATACTTTATACTTGCGTATACTGCGCGCAACGTACAGAATATGGCTCCGCCTTCTGCATTATTCGGGTCCTTCAGACAGATGCACTGCGTCGTGGGATTGAAGCGGAGCACCTAGTCTTAACCTGGCCTGCTCGGCCTGGAGGTAAACTTGGGAAGGTTTGGCGTTTCCTTTGGGATGTCGTGGCTAATCTCAGGCTCCTAGCGGACATTCCCTTCGTCAAGCTACGTTGATACCAAAGCAATACCGGCTAGAGTGGGAGCATACCGCATCACAACAGGTCATCGGTTTATCGCATTCGCGGCCCTCTTTCCGGTTAGGGACTCGTGGACTCGGGCACTTGGTATCAAAGATTAGCTGCGCTCGGGCGCCAATGCGCAGCGGCCCGTTGCAAAGCGCTACCGCTGCCGACAGGGCCCTTCGTCCTTGTTCTTTGCTGACTGCGGTTAACCAATAACCAAGTGGCATATCACCGCCATGCTCGCTCCCACATACACTACACAGCGTGGCCGTTAGTAGGCTGATGCTGCATGTTCCGAGTATGCTTGATGACGTGCGTTAGGTGCCTTATGTACAAGTACACGAAACACGGGGGCATGTGAGGGCGAACAGGGTAGTAAAAGATAGGTATATATATGTATCGTACAGTATATGATACATGCTATGTATCTACAGGTACTCACCCAGTCATTCTAGTAACGCTTGGCCGTAACGGTGCACTGATTAATAACTTCGGCGGCTCGCGTGGTAACCCCATACCTCCATCGGCTCGCCCCTTGTTCACAGATAAGGTGGTATTCACCCGAGCTGCCGGCTCACCGAGTTATACAATGGCTGTACTATAAGACAAGGAACTGACCAACTTGGGAAGGGGCCTTCTACAGTTTGCAGACCCCGATTTCTCTTTACGTAGACGGAAGCAGGTGCACGTTAGTACAGCAGTGTAAAGAGGGTTCGAAACTCCGCCTATTTCCATTTCGGGCAGTGCAAGCAGTGAGGGTCGCAAGTGCGACGTTCTTGGCGGTTTATAACATTGTGATTGTCATCCGACGGGCATTGCCTTGCCGGCCGCAAATGGCAACACCGTGACAGAGCAGTTGTATACGCCGGTCTTGGCAACGTCTCTTTGCCTTTGATTCAGTTTGCAAAGTGGTTTCAGTGAGGTTGGCCAATCCCCCACCTCTAACCCCCATCTTTGACACTACGCATCCCGGCGCGGTATCCCAAATGGACGACCGAGCATATCCCGGGGCCGGTCAGCATCGCATCGCGAGCGAGATGATATCCCCATATCCTATTATAGTGAAGGTTGGCGAGTTCCTATCTAACTACATGTGCTATCTCTGCCTCGAAAGTTCTCTAAGGAAAAGCAAGACGCTCAGTCGACAAGGGACTGGGGTACGCCTCCCGCATACCTGGCTATCACCGGAAAGATGATAACAGTGAGCCGAAAGTTCCTTTCTCGGCTCCTCGGGATAGGCCGAGACTGGATTCCACTAGCGTCCGCACCTAAGCTGCTCGGTTGCTGCCGGGAGTTTTATTATTTCGGAGTCATCCTACCTATTACTTTTTGACCGGTCAATCTCTAGCTAATAAGTGCCTTTGCGGCGCGGAAACTTGGCGTGACGACGAGCTGAACACAGTAAAGATCGGGACACACATCAAGCGCCGCAAGAAGGACTGCCCCGAGTCCGAAGGAGCCGGGTGACTATGACGGAATAGGGAGGAGACCCCCACTCCAGATTGCTGTTCCGCGGAAAAGCAGTTCTCAAAGTTCAAAGTTCCCCGGAAGAGGCCGAGCACCTAAAACGTTTCGGCTTCGGACCGGCGAGCCGCTCCCGGCTTAGGCTCCACCGCATGTCCGGATGGGTTCCACTCTCCGGAAGCCGCACCCAACTACCTTCGTACGTAACCCCAATGCATCTCCCAACTCTCAGCGCACCTGCTCTGTCATGTCTTGCTCAGCTTCTGCCCGATTCTCTCGATAGAGTCTTCAGATATGTAGTCGGATGAAAATCCTCCAATGTGGTTGTATTTGGGTCTCTCATCTGTAAGACTGTATTCTGTATTCCGGCCGTCCTTGCGGCCGTGGGCCCGGTTAACCCCGAATACATCAGAAACTGGGAACGGGAACTCGCAGCTCGTTATCCACCAAACTACTCGGCCTCCTGCTCGCAACAAGTCATTATCGTTCAGTATCTCATTAGACGGCGGTTAGGCGAAAGATACGAAGTCGTTGCAAGTCCTTCTGTTGCAACCACTAGTCCCGCATAGGTAGGTGCATTTCCATTCTAATGCACGTGTACGTCCTATGCACGAGGTAGAAATGATATTTGCACGTAAGGCCACCAAAGATCGCCTGACAGGGCGAGACACAATATCTGTGAAACGTTGCTTGCTTCTCGCTCTCAAACATTGCCGTTTTGGGCAGCGGGCCGCATGAGGCAAAGCTCATGTGACCACGGCCCGGTATCTGAGCTTCAATCGCACATAATGTATGGTGCATGGACTGGTTCATACTGTACATTATGCGTGAAGTCGAAGAGTGTGATAATAAGGGTTGAGTGAGGTTTGCATCAGCCTGGATGGAGATTGCCGTTCAGCTGACGTAAACTGAGATAACTAGGTTCCTCTTCCAGACAGACCGCTCTAGATAAGCCTCCCAACATTCGGCTGGCCCCGATAGTAAGGAAGAAGTAATGGAGGCTTACTGTGCTGAAAGTGTGATGGACATCACTATCAGCTAGATCACAGCATTACACGGTAATCGAGGTGATCGATGCTCGACGAATCATTTGACCGCTAAGGTATCCGATTGCGAGTGAGAGATCTAGTTGATTCCTTCGAGCCAGCAGATGAGTGTTTACTATCCGCATGTCAATGGTGCATGGCCTTAGACGCACACTTACTCGATCAGAAATTGATATCAAAGTCGTGATTTTCTCCTTAGCCTGGATCTCTTCACTTGACAGATAATGATCCGCGGGCTGCAATGCCAAACCATCTTAAACCTGCCTTCTAGGACACCAAAGCCGGTTTCTGCATTGACTGGGAAGCGATTGGTTGAATCACCCTCTGCGTTGGCTCCTGTCGCGGGGCTGTCCAGTTCAGCCCGATTGCATGCACGGTTCGAAGTGAAGGTCGTTTGTGTCATCGGAAGAGGTAGACCGTCGACGCTAGCATCAACGAGGTACTGTACAAGTACAAGGGCAGCATCTCAGGGAGTACAACACATAGCGCCACAAACGGAACAACGTCCTCCTTCGCATTCTGTTCTAGCGTTCTCCTGGGAACATGCATAGCGTTAGCAATCATTCAGGGGTTGTCCTGTATGTCCGCTGGCTCAATATCCATCATATCTCCTCCTTTCCGTCCTCGTGCAACAAGGTGGGAAAAAGCGATCCACGACTGGGGACGACGTAGAGTACCGAGTGGCTTGGGTACACCTTCGTCATGCTTGATTCTCTTAGCTCATCGGCAACGTGTCGATAGACAAGATGTTGAGCTGCAGCACTTGCAGCTGCGGGGAATCGTGTCGCGCATCGATTTGGAGCTTGCTTGCCAAAAACCTGTTACGCCGCTGGTAGGTTTCTGAACGCCAATGTAAACAAGCCTGTCATGCTGCGTATATGTACGGAGGTATGTACTCGTCCTTGGAAGCCCAGAGGACGTAGACGTGGCTGAGTCTCCAATATCCGAGGTGGGCTACAAGAGCTCCCGACCTTGGTGTCTTTGTCATGTTTGACACATCACAAGAAGCAAATAAGAAGCAATCAAAACAGTCAGTTGGTTGGTCACGAGCTGAATCGAGTCTGCTGTTGGCGGTATTTTCCATCAGAGTGGTGGCTGTTCACAAGGGTCAGATGCTGCTCGAAGCGCTTTGCCGACCACTCAGGCTGCGGCAACGGTCCCGACGGCTTGGGCGGATTTGCACTTCTAGTCAGAACCGGATTACCTCGGGCGATCGAGATTGGGTGTAGCAGTGTAGATCTGTTTGGGTGAAGCCTCGTGCATGCTGTTTAGACAGTGGGCTTCACTGTGAATATTGACACAGGACATTCTCATTCTTGCCCTATTAGGAGGACAATGAGCTGGACATAGGTAAGGTAAGGTACCTATTCCTGTACCTCCTGTACAGTTCGGTACACCTCAGTACTACTAGTGTTCATATAACCCCACTGTGCGGCGAAAGATGCCATTGTCAAGAAGAAAACATGAAAACGGTAAAGTGAACAGGGGAAAAGAAAAATGGGTGGGAAAATGAACCGCATTAGCACATAGGAGATGGTGACCAACTCGGATGAGGTCTGACCGCCGCCCAAAGAGGTCAACTGCATATCAGTCTTGTGAGGAGGGTTGATGCTACGGATACGCAACAGCTCATCTCGTGTAACAACAGACCTGACGACCTGGATTCGTGTCTGCGCCAATGTTAGAATGAGCAATGCACAGAGATACGGTAGACAAAAGCGGAAGCGTACCTACACTTGGTCGATGGAAGTTCTTGGTTGATAGTGGATCTGAGACCAGGATTCCCCGCCTCGGCACTCTCCGTCCCGGAGAGCCGCTGTGGGGCAACTCCTGAAGGGTTCCACTGCCCTTAACATATCACCAGCTCGAGCCTAACGTAATTCCTCCTGGCGCGACACGTTGCGGTTCTCAAGACAGTGAGTCCTGGTAGACTCACGGGCGTCGAAGCCATGGGTGCTCCAAAAGAAAGCCAGTAGCATGGGAACATGGCACCGTTACAAACTGGGCCAGGCGCAATTTACGAGCTGGCTGAAGCAGACGGCTGGAAAACTCGTGAGCCGTAAACCGGATCCCGACGCAGGAACCACCGAGACCGAGAAGACCGAGAACGCTGCACCACAGCAATCACGTCGCCAGAAGAAGAAGGCCAAAGCCATCGGCATCAACCTTGCCCCAGTCACCATTTGAGCTGACAAGTTCGTTCATTGGACTGAGTTGGAGGTGCTCGCCCAGCGCATCACCGACAATGCACAACCCGAAGACATTCCCCCTGCGGCGCTCAATATCCTCCACGACGTCGTCAGCTTGCGCAAGAAGACCTTCCAGTGGTTTACCAAGTCAGCTCAGGACTCCAAAGATGAAAAAGTGAGGCAGAGCAATGCTGCCCATGCTCGCATCATCGCCGTGCTCGAACGAGTCTTGTCCAAGCTTGAAGCCCTTGTGAAGTCCGGCACAGGCGCGCAGCGCAGAAGCGAGCAGAAGAACGACTCGAAGGTTACAACGAACAATCTGAGCAACTTGTTTGCTCTTCTCGAGGTCCAGACTGGCCCAGACGGTGCTGACGATGCTGTCAATGCGGCGTCTGTCGACGAAGCCCAGGATGGCACGGCACTCTCTGCGGCCGACGCACAACCTCAGAAAGGAGGCAAGAAAAAGGCTGGGAAGAAGACGCAAAAGCTCAGAAAACCTGACCAACGGACGGAACGGGCAGTGGTGAAGAGCAAGAAAGCTTGGGTCGACAGCATCGATTTCGGAGAAATACGGGAGGAGGACGAAGAAGATGAATTCGATCTCTACATGATGATATATTGCTTCTCCGAAGACTTCAACACCATCAGGAACCACGTCCGCGAGCGTTGGTGCGACTACTGGTATAACCGGTCTGTACCGCTGGACACACTGGCCGTCATCACCCATGCTGCCTTCGAGCTCTTTCATCAGCTATAGCAGGACCTCGACAAGGAGCTTCGGATGCGTGGGCCGAAGCTTAAGATGCGCGGCCCGGAGCTTCTGAAGTACCAGTGGATGATGAACATGCTTTTCATCGAGTTCGGCGTCGAGCATGCCGATTACGATTCCTACGACGACCTCGACGAAGAAGAGTCCAACGAGCGCATTTGGCGAGATGAATCCGACTGGCTCGCCCTGTCGTCTTACTACACCCCGGGGGAGGTGTTGACAAGGGTCCCTCCCGGGAAGGTGCCAATGATTGCCCTATCTAATCGTTCCCCCGTTGTATACGGCGCCAACAATGCCAAAGAATGGAGGGTCTTCGAGGACCGAGTCGCCCGAGATCTCATCCTCGAGAGCGCTCATCTGAAGGCACTCAAGAAGAACAGGCAGGAGTATTTCCAGCTGCCGTCCGAAACCACGCTCTTGTTCGGCCTTCAGGAGTGCCTAGAGTGGAAGGACTTTGACTCAGCCCTCATCTTCTCCCTTCACCTTTGGGTAGACATCCGTTACATCACCGAAACAGAGCATGTCAAGCCCTTTGAGCAGCTGCAGATCACCGCCGCGCAGCTCAAAGAGAAACTTGAGAGGCACCCGCGCTCAGGTATACCAAAAACCGGGACTTGAGGGATCGCTGGACTGCTCATTGCTGGGAGAAGAACCACTTCCTGCTGGAAGACTTCCAGTTTAAGGGCAAGAAGGCCCGGCTCAGACAGATGGGCATCCAGGAGGATCCCGAGCCCTACTTCCCGCTGAAGAACGAACCGGTCTGGGCGGGGCTTCTGGATTTCCACGCTAGGCTGGTCTACAGTCAGCTGGGCCATGAGTTCGTCTCGCTCAGCGGTGTCGTAGACGCCGCCGCCTACCTGTATCATGCTGCCCTTGCCATGGACCCGAGCCTTCCGGGGTGGGAAGACATGGACCGGTACGTGGCGACATATCTGGAGGATAGTCAGTTCAGGCGGGGGCTGCAAGCGCAACAGGGCGCTGCTGCAATAATCCGCAGTTTCGAGAGATCGCCAACCATCGAGCGCGAAAAGGGCAACGTTGCGGAGCACGTTGCGGATCGCATCTGGAACCCGAAGCACTTTGCGCCGGAGATATTTGTGCGGAAAGGGTCTCTATTACTGCTATGCATTTGAGGAGCAACATATCCCTTTCGTGCACTATTTCCAAGAGCTCGTCGAGGGGCACTACCGTCGGGTTGATGGCGGTTGACCGGAGCAGGTCCAGGTCGAGCTGGGCCTCATTGACTCCAGTCATAAGACCGGTTCCCTCCAGGATGGCAGCAATGGTGATAGTATGGTACTTACCATACGGTCCAAGGGTACAAGCAAAGAGAAAGCTGCCAAGGAGCACGAAAGGTGACTTGAGCGGAAAAGAGAACTCTCCCAGCTATCGCCAATCGAGATGCTGCAGCGCCTCGATGAGACCGTTACGTCTCGGCTGGATGGACTACTCGCGCTCGACTATTTCAGGTTGTTTGAAGAGTCCCTTCCTTTCCTAGGATTGGTCGTCGCACGCTTCGGCGAGGGAAGTAAATACCAAGCACAACTTGGACCCAGTGAAGATGGAACGATGGAACACCTTGATCGCTTGCCAGTTGTCCTGGGCCGAGACTTGGAGGAGTACGCGGGCACTGCAAAAGAGACGGAAATTCTGGAGAACGTGCTCGATGGCTACAAGAGGTTCTTGATGAAAAAGGAGACTATTCTGGAGCTTGCGGCGTCCGCAAACCACCTTGGTCCTGCAGAGCGTCCCGCAACGGAGGGCCAGATGAGTCCTACGCCGAAGGACACTGAGCCGGCGACTTTCTTTTCCCCTTGGCGTTGCCGTCCTTATGCAGCGGCCCACTTCTAGATACTCTCACGCATGTCGCAATGTAATACGATTGGTTGGGCGCCACGCCGACGTGAGTCAATGACCTTGGCTTCAAAGATCCGCACACAGTAGTAGCTCACATCTCTTAGGTGTGTCTCCGTTTAGCTCAGAGCTTACCCACAAGGCAAGCGAGTATTTGAGTGCTTAAGCGTTCCCGGCGGGCTACAGTTCTCCAAGCCACCAGTTGGCTTTTCCATTGTCGACCACCAAGCCACCACCGCCATCCCGCTCCAGATTGTTAAGGTTTCAACCTCAGGCTATTTAGTCTCGTTAACTGCATCCCGAACTTTAGAAATTAAGAGGTGTCCAAGCAACTCTCATGATGGCGGAGAAACTCGACAGTATACTCAACAGCTATGTCGCCCACGACACCACGACCAAGGACAAGCTCCTCGGGGCGGCCTTTATCGTCGTGAACAAAGATGGTAAGATCCGCAATCACGACTCATCTTTGTAGAGTCCGACCTAGCATTAACTGCTCTCTCTCAGGGCCTATCTACCAAGGCGCGGCTGGCCGCACCCGCGTGTCTCCTTCCTCCCCGGCTTTCAGCACAAACTCCATCACCTGGGTCGCCTCCGCAACCAAGCTACTCACCACCACCTGCCTCATGCACCTCGTCGAGCGAGGGAAAATCACGCTCGATGAGGACGTGCGCCCCTTGGTCCCTGAACTGGGCCAGCTGCCCATCCTCAAGGGCTTTTCCGCCGCCGCCGACGATGACGACAGCAACAACGACGGAGAACCCATCCTCGTCCCCAACACAAAACCCATCACCCTCCGCCACCTGCTCACCCACACGTCCGGCCTGGGCGTCGACGTCGCCGACCCGGACCTCATCCGCTGGTCCCGGCATGTCGGCCGTACGGCCAACGTCGGCAGCTGCACCATCGAGGGCTGGTCATCGCCGCTCAAGTTCGCCCCGGGCGAAGGGTGGTACTACGGCATCGGGCCCGAGTGGGCCGGGCAGGTGCTGGAGCGCGTCACGGGCCAGCGGCTGGGCGAGTACATGGCGGAGCACCTCTGCGGCCCGCTGGGCATGGAGGACACCGGCTTCCGGCTCAACACGGTGGTACTGAGCTCCGGGGAGAAGGAGGCGCGGTTTGTGCCGATCTCGGAGAGGAGCGGTGCGACGGGCGAGTTGGCCGAGGGCAAGCGCAATCTGTTCCCTGCTGAGCCGGTCTGTGAGAGCGGTGGTGCTGGTCTGTACACCAGTGCGGCCGACTATGCGAAGGTTATGCAGGCGCTGTTGAAGGCGCTTGCGGGTGAGGAGGAGGAAGAGGAGAAGGGCGGAGTTGTGCGGGGGGAGACGGTGCGGCAGATGTTAACACCGCAGCTGAATGAAGCGCAGAGGGAGTGGGCGAAGGGGATTGTGTTTACCTTTGGGTCGGCGGCGGAACTGCCTGCGGGTACGCCTGTTGACCACGGGATTGGGGGGCTGTTGGCGATGGGGGATGTGCAGGGGAAGAGGAGGAAGGGCAGTCTGATGTGGTCGGGCATGTGTAATTCCCGATGGGTGAGTCGTCGTCTTTGCTCTCCAACCCCTGGTATCTCTATCTGCATCTGCTAACATGTTGCGTGTGCCGTGCAGTGGATCGACCCCCAGACGGGCATTGGGGGTGTGCTCATCGTCAACGTCATCCCCTACGGCGATGCCACCGCGCTGAAACTGTACGACGAGCTGGAGAGGGCGGTGTATGGAGAGCTTCTCCCGAAATGAGAGGAGTCATCCAAGTAAGGTCGGAGCGTTTGACTGACCGTACCAACCGCCGGGAGAAGTAGACCTGACGTCTCCTCACCTTGCTTGTCACCCTGTAGTGATACTTGCGAATAGTCGCGCCGCTTTTCAGTTCGAGATTTGGGGATATCATTCATGTCATCGACCGTTGAATCTAGTGAAAAGCTTAAGGATAGACAAGAAAAACGCCGCCAGCTATGCTCCACCCCAACGCCATGCAATTCGACTGCTTCAAAAGTCGACATATTTCTCACTCTTCAGCGTTGCGGTGGACCACCGCCTCTTCTCCCCGATCTCCTTCTCGTCCGCCGTCCTCCAGGGCCGGCTGTACCGGTTGAAATACCCCCATCCCTGGTCATTCGTCTTGGTCTCCGTGCCCCTGAGAATCAGCCTGTACTCGGTGATCGGCATATCCGGGACAGTACTACCCCTCGGCCTCGTCCGCCCCCCCAGCCAGGTCCCGACCCCGATCCCGAACCAACCCCTCCGCTTCCCCACCATCGACGTCGCCGCCCCCGGGGCCTCTTCCAACCCTGTCGGCGCGTCCGTCAGCTCCCCGCCGGGCACCTCCGTCAGCACGACAACCCGCCACTCGCGCCGCCGAAACGCGTTGCTGCTGCTCTGCACCCGGTCGCTCAGCAGCTCGTAGATCTCGTCCTGCACCTTCCAGTCCAGACTCCGCAGCCGCCTCTCCAGGTCTGTCGCGTACACGTCGCTGCTGCCACCACCACCACCACGACAACTACTACTACTACCACTACTACTACTACCATAGAAGCTCGGCGCCTTGCAAAGCGTCCTCCTCCTGGTGGTGCTGGTGTTGGTTCGCTCCTTCTTGCTTCCCCCTGAGTGATGCGCGTGGTGGCGGTGGTGGTGCGCCACGACAGCTGCCTCGTGCACGGCCACGGCCGCGGCCAGCTCGCCCTGCGTGAAGTGGGTGTTGGGCACGACCGAGAGCACCGAGCCGTCCTCGCGGTCGGTTTGGCGCCAGACGGTGAGGCCGAGGACTTGGAGCTGGGAGGTGGTGCGGTGTGTGGGGTGGTGGTAGGTTATTGTCCAGGACTCGTGGAGGACTTTCTGATGTGGTGAGAGCTGGCTGATTTGTCGTGTTAGCTTATTCTTTTTCCTTTCTTTTCTTTTTCTTTCTTTTTTTGGGATTGGTTATCTTTGACTGGGAGGCCGTGTTGTGTGGGAGACGTACAGAGGTTGTGGCAGCGGGTTGTAGGTGATGTTGCTGCTGACGCTGGGTAGGCGAGTCGGATGGAAGTGGATTCTTCGATGCACGGCCGAGTGCTGCGTGTGCGTGCTGTGGGAACGGGACGGTCGGAAGTCGTCATCTTCGTCGAGCGTGGAGGACGCCCCCGTCGAGCTGAGGATCTCGTCGAGCTCGGGGAGGAAGGGCGTCTTTTCGTCTATGTCGAGGGCGATGTCGGGGATGCAGGGAAGGCTTGGGGGCCGGCTGACGGGTGGTGGTGCCATCTTTGGCTGGACTCTTCTTTTGGGCTCCCCCTTGACCACGCCGGAGGTGTCTAGACAGATCTCGATATAATTGACGGAATTGACCCCGTCATACGAACATATGGTCTCCGAGGTTGGCGGATATGAACTGTGGCTTGAACACTCCTTTGTGGAGGCTCGCTGGCGGACGGGGCATAGTCGACATACTAGAATTACAGGCCGCTCGGCCTGTTCTCTGCCATCGTTGTTATATATCTCACCGCAGTGACCATCGCAATTTTCATGTGGCGCGGCTCCGCATTCTCAACGGCTTGCAGTTGGCACCGGACTGGAGTTGAGACGTGTCGTGAGATGACGACGGCGCAGTGGAGGTGGCGCTGCTATTTCCGGATTTTTTCTCCCCGATCTGTTTAGCATGAGGCAGCATTAAGTGGAAGATCTGGGGTTTGTAGGGCTGTGTCTTCTGTTTCATGTCCGCCCTGGAGCCGTTGGACGCTCCTCCGGGATCATGACGGGTGCTGTGCCGCCAACTTGCTGTCCGCGCCACAACACATTGTGTGGGACCGAGATAAACCTGCGTCGTTTCAGGATAGCAAGTGCCTAGACGGATAGTTGTCGATTGACCGGTCCACTGGTCCAAGCCTCGACAGAAAATGTGCCCCCTTCCTGGGGATAACTGCGCGAACTGAGCACTTAAACCGGATCTACCCGAGGAGTCCGAGTTTCACATGTTCCTAGAAGGCATATCAATCACTCTTTTGTCGCACCATAGGGCTGAACAGACTGCTAGCAAGCCAAGCTCACAGTCAGTGGTAGTGATGATTTCACATTCTGCCTTTGATATGCGACGACGGGCCGAGAAAACATACTACTAGTATGCTTTCCGATCTGTCGCCCCGCATGATAGGTCGGATGGCGATACTGAAAGATCGAGAGGAAACCTATTAAGAGAAAAGCAAAACCCAGCAACGCCGACAAAGACCAATGGAAGTAATAATACAAAGACGCCATGGCGTCCCGGGGCCTTACTTCTTCATCCACTTGCTTTCTTCCCTGAGCCATGTCTCGAAGTCCTGCATGGGCACCTCCCTCCTCCTCGCCTCAATATCAACCCCATAACCCTCATTCTCGAAGAACTCCAGCATATCCTTCATCTCCTTCATAGCCCACAGCGCCGCCCGGCCCACGATCGTCCAAGCCTCCGGGATTTGCTGGCCCGTGACCTTAGCAAACTTCTCCCGTATCTCCGCAAGGGTAAGCGCATCTCCGGCTAGACCGACCGCCTTCCCAGACCACTTAGCGGGGTCGCTAAGCGCCTGGGCGGCAAAGAGGCCAATGTCCCGTACGCTCACCAGCTGCAGCTTCCTGTCGGGGCTCATCGTGGCCGCCAACATAGCCGTGAGCATTGTGCACATCATGCCGGGCTCAAAGTTGTCCATGAATGCCACCGGGCGGAGGATTGTCCAAGTGAACCTTCCGGGCTGCTTCTCCGCCTTGTCGCGCAGGTGGAGTTCGACGTTGTGCTTCGTTAGGAAGTGCTTGACGTGGGTTGGATTGGTCCAGCTCTTCTCGTCGCCACCGCGGTCGACCGAAGTGAAGACGATGTGCTTCACGCCGTGCTCGACGGCCGCGTCGATCAGGGGGATTGCTTGTTGTTCCTCGGAGACGTTGTTGCCCATCATCACGGTGACGATGAACACACTGTCAATAGAACCCTTGGGTCTGGACGCGAAGATGGGGCCGGGATCGGCATTGTCTCCTTCGACAAGCTCCACGGTGCCTTTGTGGGCTTCGGCGAGCGCCTTCGCCCTCTCGGAGTGGGCGTTGCGGGTCAAGGCCAGTATGTTAAAGCGGGTCGAGGCCTGGGGGAGATTGAGGAGGGCTTTGATCACAGCGCCACCCTGCTGTCCAGTGGCGCCGACGATGAGAATGTTCTGGACTGTCATGGTGTATGTTGCTTGATTCTGTGAGAGCTTGTCGGTTTCACTTTGGGATACTAGTAGTAAGTAATTGACGAAGCAGCAAAGATGGAAGTCGGTGCGATGTTTGCAGATGCGGGGAGTTTGGCAGTCACGACCCGCGAGACACTTAAGTCACAAAGGGAATATATACGCCGGACCTCCGGTGCTGCCAGCTCCCTTGGGCGCCACATTCCCAGTAGAATACCATCGTTGATGGCTTTGTCAAAGCACTGTGCAACACCACACCCAAAATGCTGACCAAAACGCTTACCAAATGATTGACGTCAAGCCCGAAGCGCTCGCACATCAAGCAACCGTCGATCAGTCTTGGCCCGCCAAGGCTCGGCAACGCTTGGGTCCGCTCAAAGCACGGACTCTCCTGTGGACCATTTCCGACAAGACCCCACCCAGCCCGGCACCCCTCCCCCTCATTGGCATGGTGCTAGGGATTGGAGGTTCGCTCCGGGTCGCATTCCATCTTGTCAGTGGAGGCAGCAACGACTACATAGGAGACCACCATAACTACGCCGAGAGCATACGGCAGCACCCATTACAAGCCATCCAACCGAGGACACAGAGCAAATACACGAGAGGAGATTAAAGCCAGAGCAGACACCCACCAACATGAACCGCCTCTTCGGCACCACCGCGCCCAAGGCGCCCAAACCGACGCTCAACTCGGCCATCAACAACCTCGACACGCGCATCGCGTCCATCGACGTGAAACTGGCCGCCATCAACGCCGAGCTGCAAGGCTACCAGACCAAGCTCTCCAAGATGCGCGAGGGGCCGGGCAAGACAGCGCTCAAGCAGAAAGCGCTGAAGGTGCTGCAGCGGCGCAAGCAGTACGAGGCGCAGCGGGACCAGCTCACGTCCCAGGTGTGGAACATGGAGCAGGCGCAGACGATGCAGGACAACCTCAAGAACACCATGGTGACGATCGACGCGCTCAAGAGCACCAACAAGGCGCTCAAGAAGGAGTACGGCAAGGTGGACATCGACAAGATCGAGCGGCTGCAGGACGAGATGGCCGATCTGCTGGACGTCGGGAACGAGATACAGGAGAGCCTGGCCAGGAGTTACGACGTTCCCGACGACGTGGACGAGGCCGAGCTGGATGCGGAGCTGGAGGCGCTGGGGCAGGAGGTCGAGTTGGAACGGGAGATGGCTGGCACGGAGGGCGCGTTGCCTAGTTTTATGCAGGATGAGGTGCCCGAGTTCATTGACGAGCCGCCTGCTACTACGGGTAAGGTTAAGGAGGCTGCTGGTTGAGGTGTCTGGGTAGCATTAGGGGGAAATGGGAGTTTGGGAGTTTAACTTGTGGGAGATTTGGCATTTCACCATGTGAGAGGCACCATGTTCGCGGATAGACTTCTAGCATCAGTCATTCAGGCATTGCGCTGCTTCTCGTGTTTAGTACTATTACATATACAGGTCGCTGTTCCCTGACGTTCTGTATAGACGCCTTTTTCCATCATAACTCATGCGCTGCTGATTGGAGACGAACCCCGAAAACAAGCCGTGTCTCAACCAACCATCTCTAAGAGCAACGCTGCCGCTGGAGCACATGCGCTGAAGTGCATACTCCCTATAACCGACGTCCCAATATAGAAGCTTCCTTCAGAACCTCAATCCACGTGCGCAAAGAAGCGACTTGCCTCCTCCAGCTCCGGATCGCCGTTGCAAAAGTCCCAACCGACAATCACACTCCGCTGACTACAGCAGATGATGCGTCGCGCGTCGTATTGCAGCTTGAATACCCGGGCCGGGTTAGCTGGGTCATGAGCCTCAAAAACAGCAGGTGCATGAGCGATGTGGGGGTGGTGATGCTGTGGTTGCGCTTGTCCTTGTGTTTGTGTCTGGGAGGGGACAGCAGGAGCAGCGTGGGCACCACCAGGCCCGGAAACGGTAGACCCAATACCGGACCCGGTGACGGAACCAGTACCAGAAGCAGACGCAGCAGAAATAGCGGGTGCAACAGCGGGAACGGGGGCGAGTACCTGATGCATGGGCGCCCCGTGAGGGACGGCTGCATGTGCCTGGTGCGCTGTCGCAGACGCCAACTGAGCTGCCGTGAGCCCGGCGGCCGGTTGAACAACGGCGGCCCCATCCAGACCCGCTGCTCTTCTAGCCTCCAGGTTCCGCACTGCCTCCCGTCTATGACGCCCTAGCTCAAATTGGGCTCTGATCAGCGCGGTAGAAAAGGTTTGCCGAAGTTGGCTCCTGACTACTGGGTTGGGGTGGCGGTCGATGCACATCTCCACGTACCCGCGGAGCGAAAGAATCCTAGGATGTGCCGCAATGGCTTGCTCCAGAGCCTGGGGACCGCCCTGGACCGCGCTGTCGATGATCCCGGGGACCCCAAGAATCGTATCAGCCCAAGAGTCTGCTTGGGCGACTTCGAGGTTCATCGCAAGCGTGCTGAACGACGGCAAGCCAACCCCGGCTGCAGGACCGGCCGCAGTGTTGCTCGGTTGCGAATAAGCAGCTGTGCTCGCCGTCACCTCTGATGTTGTTCCTAACTGGTTGGCCGCCCCGGCTGCGCCTCTTGACCTGAGGACTGATGCTGCTTCCTGGTCGACGAGGGCCTGCAACTGCGCTCGTTCGTGCTGCAGAGCATTGACTGCAGCTGTCTCCTGCTTGAAATGATGTTGATCCTTCCAGACGCCTTCCTTGTCTCTTCGCCAGATGATGATGCTAGCATCGTAGCTGCCACTGACAATGCGTCCATACTTTCCGCCTCCACCACCAGGCGGCAACTTGGCTCCGTAAGCGCAGATGTCCTCTGGTCGCCTAGACCCGGCGTTACCGAGCCGGCGCCCCGGCCTGGAGCGGCCTGGCTCTTCTAATAAGCCCGATTCCAACGCCTTGAAGTATTCTTGATCAACCTTCTTCGCCTCCTCAAGATCGTCCTCGACGCTGTAGGGTAGATCTCCAAAACCGGCCTGCACTGTGCGTACTAAGCTGGAATGCGAACGGAGGTTTGCAACTTCCAGTCCAGTTTCGCGGTCAAACACTTTGACTTCGTTATCGCTGCTCCCGCTGACAATTCGGCGGCCGTCGTACTGTACGCACGCGATACCCTTGTTATGGCCGACGATGGTACGGGTGCACACCTGCGTTGGCCAATCCCAACATTTGATGTGTCGGTCTCCGCTCGCGGAGACCACCTCGCGGTCGTGAATCTGTACCGCGTTAACCGCAGCGCTGTGGCCTTCCAGAGACCCGATCATGGTCCATTCCGGAATCACCGGATAGTCATCCGGCGTCAAGGGAATGCCATAGCCGTAGTCCACCTTCCTCGGTACCGGGTCCACCTCCTGATACCCGAGATCCCCGTAACGGAGAGGCTTGCGGTTGAAGACCTTGATGGTCCTGTCCTTCGAGCACGTCACTAAAATGCGCTTGTCGAACCTGACGTTGAGCACCGATTCCCGGTGCGCCTGCTTGAGTGTCTGGATCGGCTTTCCGGTGGAGAATCTCCATATGATAACGTCTGAGTCTGAACTTCCCGAGACGATCAGATCCTCGTCTGGATCTGAGTCGAACTGCAGGCATAGAACGGAGCCTCGGTGCTTGGCCAGCGTCCGTAGGCAGCGGCGCGTATTCATGTCCCAGACCTTCAGTGTCCGATCTCGGCTGCCGCTCACGAGATACTGCGAGTTGAACTGGAGGCTGTAGACGCATTCTCCATGACCTTCCTCCGGGTGATTCGGATGCGGAAACTGGAAGTTGATGTACCGACCCCGCTCCCAATTTGATTCTAGTCGCCGCCTCATGCTGTAGAGGTACTTCCAGTTGATCCTGAATTGCGCGGATGGCGCGTCCCAAGCCCATAAGGTCGACTTGGTCACGCGTGGCGGGCCTGTGAATGTCTGCCAGGGAGTACCGTCTGCGCTCTGCGAAGGCCCCGCGAACCCGGGGGAGGCTGCTCTTCCCTTGCCTTTGCCTACTTCTTTACCCTTCAGACTGGCTCGATAGCTCGGTACTTGTACCTCCGAATTAGTCGCTCGTTTCAAAGAAGGTCTCGGCCGGCCCCCGAAAATGCTAGTGTTCCCCGACGATTCCATTTCAGTCGGTTCCTGCTTGAAGCTGGTTCCCGCGTCGGTCATGACCGTATCCGTATCGGTGTCAATCGAAGGTGATAGTGAGATAGCGCGCTTCTTATGCGCATGACCATCGTCGTGAGATGGCATCCGTCGCGATGGACCCTGGCTATGCGAGGAAGGCCGGTTCAGCTCACGTTCTGCCGCCGCAATCTGGTCCGGCAGAGCTTTCCATCCCTCCAAGTAATACAGCTGTTCCCACAGTTTCCGATCCAGGGCGAGATTGTACCAGGCTCGGCAGCATCGAGCGACATTGATAAGCGAGACGGGATCGAGATAGCCCAAGATCTTCAGACATACTTCAGGAGGCAGGTAGCAGACAAAGTCGATGTAAAGGCGGGGATGGAGATTCTCGACGATCTGCGATATCACGCTTGTGGGGAGGTCGTTCAGAAGGGCCATGGTAAGTTCTGGTCCCGCGTGACAATCAGTACCTGTCCGCTGAGATGGTTCTCAGGCGAGAGAGTATTCGCAGGGTTACTCACCAGTCTTGCGTGATACCGAAAGACTCGATATGTGCTGTATCAACCATGACGGAAACTCGTCGCCCGCTCGCGCTGATCCCACGGCGCTGCCACCGTCCTCACGTGTCTTGGGTGAAAAATGTGCCGCGGCGGAGGGGGCGGTCAGCGGATCTTCGGAATAACCTTCGTCGGGCTGCGCAGTAAACCCAACCATGATTGCCTAAGAGTGCGATAGGGAGCCGCGTAACGGTGGATTTTGTAGAGCGAGCCTAGAGCCCGGTAGCCGGAGATGGCAGAACGAGACGCGCAGCAGGAACACTACTTATTGTGCAGAAACACAATGAATGACAGGAGATTCCCAAGGTTGGGGGGTCAGAGCGTTGCAGTTATCGCTGGTGATGTAACGACAGGAGCCTTGCAAGGGTTTCGCCCAGTTGCGATGTTGCACCGTGGCGCAAAGCGTCCGTCAAGCGCGATACAGAGCCTTTGCCTGTCGCTACCTCACAACCTTTGTTCTGTAGGTAGCTTGTTGGGATAGAATAGAGCACTAGGTTGACCAAGATCGCGGCTGTTGTGAGGAAATGGCTGATGGCCGCTGACAAACAGCACCGCGTACCCGATGCTTTGGAAGATAGAACCTCAAACCTATCGGGCGACGGGCAGGGGCTAGTGCAGCGGGGAATGGACTGGGGTGGGTCCACTAGGGTATGCGTGCTTGACTCAAAGCGATGCGGTGGAGAGCAATTCCGCGGCGCTAACCGAAAGAAGTACGGTCAATTCGCAATGGGCCTAGCTCTGGACAAAATAATACCGTACAGCATCACCAGTCCACTGGATAGATGCGACCCCTAGCAAAGTTCTTCTCAGTTGTCTCTGTTTTCCCCATTTCCCTTCTGTCTTCTTCGATTAACTTTTACTTGCTCGACTTATTGAGTCTGGTGTTCGGGCCTCTTTTGACGTGGGCGTATGGGCATACGGTACGCAGCTAAGGTCGATTTAAAGGTGTCGCAAAGGAGCTTTGGCGCCTTGGTAAGCAAACTCTGAGCAACCTCCCACAAGTTCCCAGACACCGCACGATTACCTGTGTCCAAGGATCATGATTGGAATAAGTGCCGAAGTGCCTCACCAGCATCCCTACACAGCGGCATAACTATAGTGTAGCGCGGAATTCCCCGTACGGTTACCTGCTAGATCCAGCCTGAGTGCGTGCCGCTAGAGGCTGAACAAGCCAACCCATCTGGTGTTCATATATCCTGAAATCCTGAAACACCAGGCAGGACGTCACAGATCATGCCTGGTGGAGGGGTAGTCAGGTCATGGCTCCTGCGAGGGAGATACTGTACCTGGTAGTTACGAGAGACTGTACGGAATACACAATGTGCGGGATCTAATCTAACTTCCACGGACAACAGGCAAGAGGAGCGCATTGAAAATGGCAGGCACTGTGATATGAGGGGCATGGCGACTGGAGACGATATCGCTTCACATGCAACAGATTTGGATTCTCATTCTTACGAAAATGGGGAATGCACTTCGGGGGTACAGTGCTGGGTGCTGGGCAAGGCGAGAAGCATTGGCCTCCATGTATGAGTGCCGCACAACAGCATACCTAGGGATGGGACCCCATGAATGCGTCGTCTGAGTCGGTTCAAGATGCATCTGCCTGGTACCCAAGCCCGGCATTGACGATGCATTATTCCCGTTGCCAGTGTTGTGGATGTGGAAACTAGCAGGAAGCGTACCTATCCTTCCATTCCCCCTAGCTAACCCGGTCGGCTGTTCTCACATCAGGCACCCCGCGGAACGGGAATAGTCTCGGCTGTCATGCAGCTGGAGGAGTACAAGCTTTGGACCGTACGAGTTATAGAAGTGTTGAATCTTCATTGGTCATAAGTTGGCATCTGGTAACGTCGCGTCGACCCTAATTCTCGTTGGCTGGAGCAATACACCAGGAGACCAGGTGAAATGATGATGGATGCTTGCCGTGTGGTTGCTGTTTCTAGAACAGTTTCGGAGTTGGCCATCGGCGGCACGCCTAGAGTGATCACGCCGCCCCGCTGCGGTCATCCTGCCCACTAAGAACCCACCTCGGCATCCCCCAAACCTAAAGGGGCTGCCCGCACCTTCTGCGTCCCAACCAACCATCTCCGAGAGCGGTCTACTTGCCACGACCCTCCGTTTCAAACCATACCGCAGCACCGTGACCCAAGTCTGAGTTCGCGGAAACCTTGGGTGCTCGAGGTCGCATCTCGTCGCAGTTCCTACGACCGACGAGCGCGTGTAACGACGCCGAAGACACAGCCACAAGAGCGAACGGGAGAAAAGCGAAGAGCTGAGACCTTTCAGCCACAAGGGCAGAGAAGGGCACTCTAGAAACAGCCTTCTGACCGGAGGAAGAAGCCGCTACAAACGGCAGCGGGACATCGCATTTCACTTCTGAAAGGAAGTGACAGCGACGCGACAGCGAGAGACAGCCTAGGATTACCACGCACAGCCTATCTCTGCCATTCCGACGGAGACGGAGACAAGCCAAGCACAACGACCTAGGCGGCAAGCTGCGATAACAAGCATTGACGATCTCGACACCAGAGCACAGAGATCTGTGATACCCCGTCTCCAGTCGCATCGATTACCTCGCGAATATCTCGCCAGTCCCGTATTCTGCTTCGACAGTTCCGTTCCGCTTCTTCCGTCCTGTTCGCGCAAAGCCCCCATTGAGAGCTAGCCCCAGACTTCTCCAGGGGTTGCAATCGAATCCAATCACCCCTCCCGCCTCGTGGGCACCCCACCGGCGTTGTGCGAATGGCGAGCTAGTTATGGCCTATGCTTCTCTCCTTCGCATGAACACGGTTCCTGCTGCGACACACATGGAAGTCATCGACAGAATGAATGGTATCGGCGTGCCGGGCGCTCCCCGCGCGAGTCAACTGTCTGGCTCAGCAACCTTCCCGGCTACCAATTCCAGCACCTCGCTGAACTCGCTCTCCACCGCCACGACAATTGGCGCGCAGCCAAATGGGCAGGTCGTGGCAACCACCAACATCATCAATCAGAGAGCCGACGCATCCCGGTCCCTCTACCAAATATGCGTGTCCTTGAAGCAGAGGCTGGCTAAGGTGCCCGGCTTCGAACAATACATGCAGCAGCTCGAAGAGATGGCGGCGGATCCGGATGAGGGCGGCCCGGTCGAGTCTTTGTGGAAGCTCCTTCGCACAGGATACCCGCTCCTCGCCATCTACAATGCCCTGCAGCCAGAGACGCCGTTGCAGGTGCAGGAAACGGGGGCGTCGGAGGCCAAGCGGTCAAAGATCGCCATCCTTAGGTTCGTTGAGGCCTGCAAGTCCAAGCTTATGCTTCCGACAACGGAGGTCTTTATTATTACCGACCTGGCAGGAAATGACACCACAGGGTTTGTGAAGGTGAGCGCCTACCCTTGTCTGCAGATGCGTTGGGGGAGTGGTCTGACATGTGTGGCAGGTGACTTCGGTGATCAACCATGTCCTCGATCTCGCCGAGCAACGCGGCCTGCTGCTTCAGGTCCAGCCTTATCCCGAAGACGACTCGATGCAGCCCGGTTCGCAAATGAGCTACCGAGACTACATCGTGCGTGAGCTAGTAGATACGGAGCGGAAATATGTCCAGGATCTTGAGAACTTGCACGACCTGAAGAAAACGCTGGAACAAAACGGCATCATCCCCGGCGACGTCGTCCACAACATCTTCCTGAACATCAACGCAATTCTGGATTGCCAGCGCAAGTTCCTCATCAGGGTGGAAACGACAAACTCGATGCCGCAAGCGCGCCAGGAGTGGGGCAGCCCGTTCGTTGCGTACGAGGAAACATTCAATGTGTGTTACCAGCCGTTCATTGCAAACCAGCGGAAGGCTGCACAGCTTGCCAGTCAAGTATTCGACAAGATCCAGGCCGCCGATCACCCCGTTGCCTGCGATTTCAACACTCTCGACGGGTTCCTTCTGAAGCCTATGCAGCGACTCGTCAAATACCCACTTCTTCTGAAGGTATGCAATGCTCTATTCAGCGTGGAAGAGGGCGTGACTGACTCCTGTTAGGACCTGCTCAAGAAGAGCGAGGACGAAGCGGCCAAGGCAGATCTTGCAGCAGGGATAGAGGCCGCGGAGCGGGTGCTACAGAAGGCAAACGAGGCTGTTGACCGCGACCTGTTGGACGAAGCGATGGAAGATCTGATTACCCGAGTCGAGGATTGGAAGAAACACCGCGTGGACCAATTCGGAAAGCTTCTCTTGCACGGGGTCTATACTGTCATTACTGGCAAGGGCGACCAAGAGAAGGATGTAGGTATTCCGGTGCGACGCCCACACACTGATGTGGTAAACTTTGCTAACAGCTTTCTCCTAGTATGAGATTTACCTGTTCCAGTGCATCCTCCTGTGCTGCAAGGAGATCGTACCGGGAAAGACCAAGGACAAGAAAGACAAGACTCGGTCAACAGGGGCCAAGGTACGCAACAAGAACGCCAAGCTGCAGCTCAAAGGGCGCATTTTCATGACCAACGTCACGGATGTCGTGGCTATGTCGAAGACCGGTAAGCTTCTCAAGTACCTGACTGAGGGGGGGATAACCGCTGACCGGGTAGGCTCGTATACCGTACAAATATATTGGAAGGGGGACCCTGGTGTGGAGAATTTCATGATTAAGTTCCAGAACGAGGAGACCATGAAGAAATGGGCGGCAGGTCTCGATCAGCAGCGGAAGGAGAACGCTCCTCAAGCCCAACAGAAATCCGACAAAACGGCTCCGGAATTTACGTGGTTGGCGGGTGCGGACAACTTGCAGAACCCCTATGCCAACCCAGACGAAGATGAAGACGACGATGGCGACGAGCCCAACGGAAGCATTGCCGGGACGACTCTCAGAGGAGACTCTGTCCCTCCTCAGTATGGTGCACCAGTCAGCATACCTGGCACAATGCCACGCAATGCTTCAAATCCTGCCTTGTCGCGCCAACGGGCGGGAACAACCGAAAGTACGCGCGTGCCACCTCCGCGATTCCCGATGATTCCGCCTGCAACACTTCCGAATCTTCAGACTCAAGTGCCCGGTCAAGCGTCACCACTCCCGCGCGCGGCAGAGTCTTACTTCTCACCTGTTACGGAATCCCCAGCGTCGTCGAATCGGACGAGCACCACAAGCTTCGGGTATCCGTTCCCGAAGACTACCACGCCCCAACCGTACAATCCCGACGATAGCAACCGGTATACCGCCCCAGCCATGCCTCGCGCACCTTCCCGTGACGGCTCATCGCCAGCTAACGCTTGGGGTGCCAACGGGCGCAACCCTCGAGGGCCTTCGATGCCCGTAATGCCCCGCGAATCGGCGCAAGCTGCTCAGCTGGCACAGCAACGCAGCCGAAGTTACAGCACACCGGATATCAACGGGCAGCCTTCTCGTAGTGCGCAGCCCATCCCAGCAGTGCCCGGTATTCCGCCTCACCTTCAGCAAAACCATCCCCCTTACCCCACGCATGTCCGGCATGACTCCAACATCCCGCGCAGCAATACGGGTAGCCCGGCAAATGACCTCCCACTGAGGACAAACACGAACTCTCCAGGGACGCAGCGTACAAGGCAGTACGGGGGCACCATGGCACAGTTCCCTACTCAGCCAGTTTATTCACGCCAGGGCACGCCTGCAAGTGTAAACAATCTCCCTCCACCAGGCCCTCCGCCGCCCGGCCTCGCGCCGCTTGCCCCGGTCGATCTGTCGAAATCGATCACTCCAGGATTGGTGACGGCGCCCCTCACATCAAGTCACTCAATGATACCGCCAACCCCTGATATCGCGATGCCTAACCAGCTCAAGGTGAAGGTGAACTATGAGGCAGGAAACTATTTTACTCTTGTTGCTCAGTTCAACATCACCTACCAAAGTCTGGTCGATCGCATTGACGTCAAACTCGCTCGGCTCACCAACAGTAGCATCGCTAGAGGCGATCTGAAGCTGCGGTACCGGGACGAAGACGGCGACTTCGTGACGATCGAGAGTGATGATGATATCCAAATTGCAATTTCTGAATGGCGGGAGGGCCAGGGCAACACACCGGGCGGCCTCGGCGAGATCGAGTTGTTCTGTGTTGGCGATCTGAACTAATTTTCAAGACGGAAGACCAAAACGAAACGGGACAAAATAGTGGAAGCGATTCTTCATCGTTTTAGACGGCACCTCGGGGACGACATTTAAATTCGGTTATTCCATCGGCATATTTCACTACATACCTACCTTTTGCGGCTACTTCGCTACTTGCTTGCTTACCTGCATTGGGTCTCCGCATGGCGTCTGGAGGGATCGTTGCATCCACCCGTTGTTTCTCTACCGCGAAGGAGCAGTAATCGGATTCGGATACCCCACAACAGTCGACCCAACCCATACTACCTTTCCGCTTTCCTATCTATCATACTCCTCAGAACCACCTCACATAGAAGACGGCGTTCTTTTCGGTCTCGATGTCACACTTCGAAATCCGACCTGCATCCATCCTTGGCTTGACACTTCCCTATCTCATTTGATGACGAAACATCACCCACCCACACACACAAAGAGACACATAGAGCAGCGATCGCACCCGTATTTCCTTTTCGTTCTCGGATTTCTTGGCGGGGTTGTATCAGGACCCCTTCCGCTCTTTACTTTTATACCTTCTTGGAAATACTTTTGCTTGGACCTTCTCTTCCGCGGGCCCTTTTTGTTATGCTTTCATTTATCTCTTTTATGGTTTTGGGAATCAAGGGACGAGGTACATTGGGTGGGATTGGGCTCGTCTGTTGCTGCCCCCTCTTCTCTCCTTTACGGGCATATCGAAGTAGATAAGGTAGTTCCATTGGTTGCTGTCTGTTTCAAAGGAGGGAGGGGAGGTAAGGGGTGGAGAGAAGGATTTGCGGGGATTGAAGGAGGTTCTTGGAGGGATGGGATGTCAAGAGGAGGATCAGGGTATCTCAGCTTCTGTTGCTAGTTGTTGCTTTTCTAGCTTGCTGCTATAGATATGGACCAATACCCAGCGTACATTCGTGTTAGACGTCTTTGTCTCCTGCGTGTAACCTCGATCTGGCGCGCTTTGCATTTATGCGGATTGGGGATATCCTCAGAGGGTAGTGGTACGCAACTCATCTGGGCACTTGGTGTTGCCGTTGAGCGAAAACAGCCCCAGTATGTGAGCAAGGTATAGGTGGTTTTTGGATTCTGTGATCTTGCGTGATGTTCTTGAGTGCGTCGTACATGTACAATACATCGACTTGGGTATGCAATCCGAATCAGCCAACGCCCCATTTCCTCTACGATACAATGACAAGGTGATTGTACAGCGGCGCTAAACCGCCCGAGGGGCGGGGAATTGTTCAGTGAGTTCCTGCGCTGCGGTTGTGTCCCCTGGTGTCCATACTTGACGTCCACCGACGCTCATAGCGTAAGAGACTGGTCCCATGTACGCTGAAGTCGCCGCCGGTCCAAATTTTCCCAACACAAGCGGGCAGGTATTCGTGAGCGAGACCTGTCGTCGGCTCACATAAGATGGCGCAACGAATTGGGATACCGCCTCGCTTATTTCTTGCTCCCTTGGGCAATCAGCCTCTTGGAGAAGCGGGCGAGGTGGTAGTTGATGGTGTTGGAGCTCTTCTCTGGCGGTCGAGGGGCGTCCATGCATGCGCGCAGGGCTTGCTCGACGGTGGTGCAGCCCCTCCCGTGGTAGCCGGCTGACGCCCAACAAGCTGCACGAGGAAGATAGAGCACATTGTTAGCCCTTTTCCCTTCTCTATGTATGTCATGTGGTATGGTTAGATTGCGGGGTGGCATACATAACACGGAGGACATCACGGTCAAGCAAGGGTTCGACTCGGTACGGTTCGGGTGCCGGACACGCAGCACGCGCAGCGGCGGCAGCCGGATGGGCTTCTGAGTGTTGACCATCTTGTCTCTCGCGGCTTTGCTGCTGGGGAGGTTGTGTTACTGCGGTAATGGCATCGCGGGGTTCTGGTCGCTGTGGTCCTCCTGGTCGAGCTTTGAGAAGCGTGTTCTGGTTCTGGAGGCTTGGTGGAGTCTCAAGATTTCTAGTCACGTGCTGATACCCGGCACTCAGAGTGGGGCAGTGCTTGGCACACGGCACAGCTGTTTGATTGGCTGATAGTGGAGATGTAAACATTGACTTTCAGGACCCCTGTCGCAAAGTCGCGAGACCCTCTTTCCGCAACTGGACCGACACGACTTGGTGTTGCAACGCGTCGCATAATTGTTGGCATAGGTTGGAAGGAAACGGCGCACTTTTAATAACGTTCCCTTGACATGGATTAGTCGGGATACTTGTTCTCTTGTTTACATCACGACCAATACCCCTTTTGCAATTATCCTTTGGCTTTCACCATGATAGAATCTATCGGTGGCTTCGAGCCCACGCGCGACAACTCGAGTTCCGACCAGTTAGGTATTTCCATTCCATGCGACTAAGACATGAGCTTACTCTTAGGAATGTAGGGACCCTATCACCGCAGGATGCTTTCTTCCGCCTCCAATTCCCTATCCTAGGCCGTGGCAGCGCGTTGCTGTCGCGCCCGTACCAGGCTTGCGCCGACAAAACAGGATCTGGAAGAGAGTCGGCGGCCTTGTGGCTGCACCCGAGACTGAAAGATATTGTCTTGCAATGGCAGAGCTTGAATCACAAGGCCAGGAACCCAGGAAGCGCGCGCGACAAGTACGCCACATTCCTGCGTGGGGCACCGCGAAGTGGGATCCGAGGGCCGAGGAAGGGCATGATGGCAAGCGAGATCTTCGCGAGGCGCGGGGTATGCAGATATCGACGAATACGTATGACGCGATCTAACAAGAGAAACTAGACGTGGTATCCGCCCACAGAGCGGAGGCTGCACGTGCTGACGCAAACGACTATACGAAGACCAAACGCGCGACGTTCCCCGAAGAGCGGTTGAAGTGGGTGCCGAGAAAGCGTCACAACTCGCGTTGGCCGATTGAACCGAAGGAGGAAAAGCCGACTTCTATGGTGGCCGATTTGCAGCCCTTGATCGAGTTTGAGGTCCCCGCGTGCGCCGAACCGGTCGAGGCTACGGTACAGATCGATGAGAAACGGATGGGAACACGGTCGACGCGGCGTCTCAGCAGGCGGATTTCGCAGCTTCCGATGATCAATTTGTCGCCAGCAAAGAGCTCGGGACCGGTGCTGTCGCCCGTCAAGAGACAGCCGGTGACGCCGTCGCCAACGAAGGTCGTGGATTCTCCACTTCGCTCATTCCGGGTAAATGCCACCCCTACAAAGGTGGTACTGGAATCGCCAACAATTAGCCCTCCGGAAAGATCTCCGTCAAAGCTTTCAAACCCCTCAACGATGCCAACCGATGATGTTGTCAATCCGGCCACCGAGGCCGCAGGGGCCCAGGCTTCGACGCCCCATGGGGTGAGCTCCGCTCCACTCATGTTTGATCAACCGACTCCGGAGCGTCAAATGGAAGCCGAGCACGAAACTCGTAGGCGGGCCTTGCTTTACTCCGCGCGTAGGAACGACCGTGGCTTGGGCGGAGCAGCGCGGCTGTTGGCCTTGAAGTCCAAGCGGAATAGCCCAAATCGTCGGCATAGCTTTGCGTCGATAATCAGCCCACCAGTCGACGTACGCGGCACAAAAGGCCAGAGGCGAAATACTATGGACGGTCTTTGTGTCGGTCCTGATGAGATTCGGGAGATTGGTGCAGGTGGCGAGGAGGACACCGGTGCGGCCGCGGGCCATTATAAAGCTGATGAAGTTGTTGAGATTGACGTGAAGACCAACCTTGACATCTTCGGTCAGCCGATCAAGGCAGTGGACTCGGCACCCGGACAGCACAGTGTTGGCGAGGAGGAGATGGAACTCTCAGAACCGATACTCGAACCCGCCTCTCCAGCAACGTCTGCCTCTACGGTTGCTTCTCCTGTCAAACCTTCTCTCGAAGCTCCAATCGTCATCTCGAACTCTTCAGAGGAGGCTTCCAGTGTCGCAGAGGAAGCTGATGCTGAGGCGGCAGTGGAGAACGGCGGAAGTCCAAGCCAGCCGGCCACGAGACCAAATGCCACCGAGACTGAAAGCATGAAAGAGACGCCCGTCACACACGTCGACGAGGACCAGTCGATATCTTCAGAGGGACAGCTTTCCGAAATCTCATTTGCCTCTCACGATTCTGAAGGCCTCTCGACCATCTACGAGGAATCGTCTCTTTCCGAGCCTCAGTCTTCAGGGGAGGTCGACACCCTTGGCCTTGCGAAGGGCGAGACAACTGTGAATGCGGATGTAGAATCCACGGCTTTGGCCGCCCTGGAGGTCGACGGTGACAAGTCTGGCTCTGCGCCTCCCAGTGCAAGCTATGAGCAGCCCACGGTAGAGTCGACCTCTGAAACAGCTTGCTCGCTGGCCGCCCCCACCAGCGACGTTGCCACCGCTGCGGATGGTTTGACCCCATCTGATCCGCCACGGCGCAACAACGTGCCGTCCTCCACGAATACGACTCAACGACCTCTATTAGAGACTGAAAATGAAAGCTCGCCTGGCATCTCTGAAGGTGACGCTGTTTGGTCATACAGAGACGACGAGCTCAATGTGACAATGCCTGGAGCCTCAGAAACAGACGAGCACTCTAAGCTCTGTGTTGAAGAGCCCGAAGAACTTCGACATGACGACCTTGTCCAAGATGATAATCCTCCAGAGCTTCCCAGATTCATCCCGATCAATGGAGAGCAGAAGTCGTCGCTGCATGCCACGCACAGTAGTCTACGGGATGAAGAGCCCAGGGCTGAACATAACTCGGACTCGGACCCGGACGACGCTGATGAGGTTGTCGAGGAGGAGTTTCTGGCCGACGAGGACCACGATGCCGCCGATGCCATGGATGACGATATGCTGGCCGTCAACCCGCCCTGCCCGGCAAATGACACGCTCCAGTTGCAAGCTATGCATGACGACTCGGAGACTGAGATGCTGAGGAAGTTCGTCACACGCGTAGCGGCAGATAAGAGCGCCAAGGCGTTGGCGGCAGCTAGCACGGTTGCAAACAACAGCTCGCGATCAGCACGACGGTCGGGTTCCCTTGGGTTGACCACCTCGGCTGGCTCACCTATGGCCAAATCCGAGCCAGGGGCTCACACAATGAGAAAGCCCCTCGCGGAGAAGAGTTCCAACAGCCCCAGCCCTACAAAGAACAAGCGCAACCTGGAACTGATCGTGGAGGGCCCGTCAAAGGCAAAAGACGGCTCCCAAGACCCCGAAGACGACTTAGAGGACGGCCCTCGCATCAAGCGCCGACGTAAGCGCGCCGATCCAGTCCTGGACACCGCCACCGTAGGAACTACGGCGCCAGCCTCCACGGAACGGGAATCTCTCCCCTCTGGACCTGCCCCTCGCCGCTCGACTCGCGCCCGCAGTCTGAAGCCAGCCGCACCCTCCGCCAATTCCATCGCCTTCTCCATGATTCCCGTCCGCCTACCGGGCATGGGCGCGATGGACGATGCGGCGCTCGAGAGCCATTACGCGGCCATCGCGCGGCAGCGCAGTGAGGAAAAAGACCTCGCGGCCATCACCCGGGTGAACACCCGCAAGAATAAGGGCGGCGCAGTCCCCCCGCAGGTGGTGCTGGCGAAGCAGGCGGAGGATCCAAACTGGCGCCTGCGGGAGTTGAAGGGCGTGCTGGACGCCAAGGAGCGGAGGCAGCAGCAGCAGCAGCAGCAGGTAGAGGGAGATAGCGGAGATGGCAAGAAGAATACGCGCAACAAGGCTGCTAAGGGCGTCCGGTGGGCGGAAGAGCTGGTTAGATTCCACGAAGATTCGGACGCCCAGCCGAGCGTGTTCAGGGGCTTGGCGCGGGGACTGTTGGCCGATGTGGCCATGGAGGACCTGGGCGAAGCGGATGAGATTGCCGAGGCCGAGCCGCCTGCTGCTCCGGAGCCGGCCGTGGAGAAAACGGTCAGGGTGGCTGCTAGGAAGTCGGTGTCTACGTCTGCATCCTCGGCAGCGCCGGTCTCGTCGAGGCGCACTACCAGGTCGTCGAGGTTGCCGCCCCCTACGCCGGTTAAGAAGATGCCGAACGGGCAGAAGAAGGCGCCGGCGGCGCTGGCGGAGAAGAAGGCGGCCGCTGCTCCTGCTGCTTCTTCTGCTCCCAGCTTGCGGACGAGGGCGAAATCACTGCCTAAGCCGGCTGCTTCTACTGCGCCGTCGTCTGCTGCGGGGCCTGCCGGTTCGGCATCGACCTCGAGTCGGTCGGGGATGGCGACGAGGCGGACGAGGATCGCGAAGCTGGGGATGAAGGGAAACGGGACGCCGGCGCCGAAACGGAGGGGGCGGGCTGCCGCTTAGGCGCCGATATCATCATGAGCAGAAGAAGCATTCATGCAAGAAATGACGGATCAGGCGCTGTCAGTGGATTTATCTTGCCCAATTGTGATGGACGGGGGGGTATTGTATCGGAGGTCCTTGCCCTTGATTAGGTATGGTATGGTATGGTATACACACGACTGGCAAAGCACATTGGATCTCGGCTATGAGAATGGTGCCGCCCTTTTTTGCTACCTTCCCCGCTGTTCCATCACCATCCTCCCTGCGTGACCTATACACCATGTTTTCGAGAGCTAAGTATCTAAGGTAGCTCTGGGTAGGTAAGTACACAACTAAACGACATGATGCGCCCCCACCCCCCCCCCCTCCCCCCCTTCCCCCCCTTCCCCCCCTTCCCCCCCTCCCCCTTCTTCACCGGTCCCCATTCAGCTGCTGCGGCCAGTTGCCGGGACAGCTCCCCGTGCACTGCAGTCCCATGCTCGCCTGGTTCTGGATGTTGGCGCACAGCACCTTTGCGGCGCCGCCGTCCTTGGGGCGGATGTCGATGTTCTCAAACCTGAGGTTTTTGCACGGCGCGGCGGCCGAGCAGTGCATGCCCGCGGCGACGTTGTAGCGGCTGGTGCCCCGGATGTTGGACCAGGTGATGTCCTCGATGGGCAGGCGCGAGCCGTCGCAGTTCTGGCCCGAGTAGGTGCAGGGCGTGATGTAGATGGGCTGGTTGACGTCGCTGAACTCGAAGTTGCGGAAGGTCACGTTGCGCACGCGCCCTGATGATGATGGGTATGTCTTGATCCAGGCCGCGTTGGACGAGTGGTTGCACCGGAAGTCGGAGAAGAGCACGTCGTCGACCGTCTCGGGCCCGTTGTTGCCGTTGCCCAGGGATCCGATCACGGCGCAGCCGGACTCGTAGCACGTCACGTTGCGCACGTCGATGTTTTTGCTGTTGGCTTTTACTGAGATGCAGTCCTGCACAAGATGTACCTGGGTCAATGATTTCTTTCGTTTTCTTCCTTTCTTTTTTGCTTCTGTTGTCTTTTTTCTTTTTCTTTTTGTTATGGAACTTTAGTATTACTACCAGAGTACTTACATCACCGCATCGGACGGTCCAGTTGCGAATGAACACGTCCTCCGAGTTCCACGTGTCGACGCCGTCGGTGTTGACGGCCGACCAGCGCGAGCTGCTCTGCGTGCTCATGTCGAGGTTGGTCATGGTGACGTTCTTGCTGTAGGCCACAAAGGTGTGCCAGAACTGCGACTGGCGCCAGGTGATGCCGTCCACGAGCACGTTGGTGGCGCGCCAGATGGTCAGGTTGATGGGGCGGCCGCGCCGGTTGCTGCCGTCGCGGTTCTCGTCGATCCACACCTGCCCGTTGCCGTCGAAGAGCGCCCTGCCGTGGCCCAGCAGCCGGATGTCGCGGCCGCCCAGCTTCCAGCCCGTGTGCAGGCCCGCGTAGTCGACCGGCAGCGTGTTGCCGATCCAGTACTGCAGGTTGTCGGCGCTCCACACCCATTTGCCCAGTATGTCGATCGTGACGTTCTGGAGCTTGGTGAACTCCATGACCTGCCGGATGTTGTATGTGCCTTCCTGGAAGATGATGCGGCTGTTTGTCGCGCACTGCTGGAAGGCGCTCTTGATCTGGGGCGTGTCATCGCCCGAGCCCAGCGGCGTGACGGTGCATGTCGAGCCCTCTTTGACCACATCCGCGAGGGCGCCGTGCCCGCATATTGCGAGAATGACAGCTGCTGGTGCGGAAAGCTTCATCTTGACGGTGCCTGACAGGGCAGCAGGTAAGGAAGGTATAGGGGTAGTGTTGTCTTTGTGCCCCTATCATCAGAGCAGCTTGATACTGCATCTTCTGGGCTGTTGGAGATGCATTTTCATATATACCTGTTTCCCGCCCCCATCAGTAAGTTAACCCTGCCGCTATAACCCAACCACCAAGGTATGATCGATGAGATGAATAAGTCATTGCCATCCGTAGCTCGGACCACCCCGCATAAAGGGTGCATGCCATCTATGCGCCCCAGGGCTCGGTTAAATAGCCGTATTGCGGTAATCTCCCTCCCTTCGGGGGATGGAGATATAAATATGCACCGTTGATTCAGGAGCCAATCAATCTCAGGGAGACGCTCCCTTCTTCTCTAACAAGATGTTGGGTTGCACGATGTCCCCATGCAACCCAAACCACACCCACCAAGCTTGGAGGGCCGCTTTTGGTTCTCTGGCTCCTCTATTGGCGGAATTTTTATAGTTATTTTCCGAACCACGAACCGGGAAATGTGCCTTGGGCCTCTGATGTTATTATATGCGCTATTATCGAGTGTGTTGTTTGCCTCGGTGCTCAGGTCGAAACATGGAGCTTAGTACCTAGGCTTCCGGAGACCACAGTGCAGTCTACTCTCAAGCGCTAATCCTATTCCTTTCCCACTGTCAAACAGACTGACGTTGTTGGCCTTATTGCTCACCACTGTTCATTCCCGCCGACATATCGGTCGCCACTTCCTGTGGTTTGGGCTGTTTGGCGGGCAGATTCCTCCTCAACCATCGCAATATACATGCATACTTTGCCCTGTACATGCTATCACCCGGTTCCTCCTTTGTCAGCTCCCCTACAGTTTTCATTTCGGCGATTGCAGCTTTGCCCAGCAACCGCTCTCCTGGACCCGGATGAACCGAGACAGATGATATGCCAGCTTCACCAGCTCTTGGCCTTTCTAGGAACCGACTCAGAGCAGTGCTTTGACTCAAAATCGACGTCAGCTTGTTAGTTAGCAATGCCATTAGACGCGAGGAAGGTAGTCCACATACTACCTAGTCTATGCATCGCCGCGACCTCTTTGCTTTGCCGTCCGTTGCTGTGCATGGCGGAAATCAGAACCTGAAGCGGACGCGGTAAGTTGGAGAAGCAGGGAGGTCGACCCGGACGACCCTTTGCGTGGCTTCCGAGGCGGTTGTCTGCGCGTCCTCAGGATCCGGAACATGCTTCCTCCACACGACTGACAGTCGGCTTGCTTCTAATAAGCACACTAGATCGCTGGGCCTTACCTCTGTCACGATGCCTTCATCTCTGAAGGACCCGTCTTTGATGATGGAGATGCCACATGCCGCACCTGCCCCTTTCCGTTCTAAAGGAAACCCGCTCACGGGTTCTTTCGCGCATTGTGCGGAAGACGTCACGGTACTCTAACGGAACCTTCTGTTTCACTTCCGCCCACGCCTCTACGGCGAGGAATAGGATTGTCTTGGCCTTGGCGCTCTCGATGAACTACTTCCACCACTTCGATACCGTGCGGATATCATCGAGCTCCAATCGCCGGCTAATACTAGAGTCGCCGGCTAGAAGAGGATCCCCCAAAATGGTCCTCCAGAAGATTTCGTTTGCGGTTGGTAGGTCGGATGACCCTATCCTATTATCCAATAATCTTAACCTAACCTACCTTACCGTATAACTTTACGCTAACCTATTCTATTCTATAATCTAACCTACTCTACTAGGCCGTATAACCCAATCTCAACGCCTTCCGTGCTGGGTTCGAAGCCATGTAGATCCTCCGTCCAACAAAGCGTCTCGCCATCCCGTTGCATGCTAAGTCTCCACTCGTCGAATCGCATCAAGAAGCCTATCGACCGGTACGTGCTCGGAGACCATCCGACCAGCGACGCACTTTCGGCGCAGGACCGAACCACCGAGGAAGTTCGCATGTCGTCATCCTGCTGCGATAGGCGCTCATACAGCTCCCACGTGTACGGGATTGGCTGGAAGTACGTAGGTAGGAAGTACCCGTGCAATCCGGAACCCGGCTGGGCAGATGCAAGTCCTCATGACACTGGCACTCAGCGACCATCAACGGAGCGAGACTTTGCGCGAAGCCTCAACCATCCCGAAAACAGCATCCAAAACCGAATAGAAAGAGTTGAGGACTTGAGGCCCCAACTCAACTAGTACGGGACTACGAGTGTTCGGACCGCGGTGGCAGTACCTTGGCCAACGGTTCGCCGCGGTCCTCAGCCATCATTGGCCATGGCCGCCATCCGCGAGAATCCTGCCGGCGCACTCCATGAATTTCATTCGATTGCCTCGCATCTCCGTGATCGTCACATTCCGACGTTTTAAGTTTCCGGTAAATTCCGAGCCCGGCTCGCTGCTCTCCAGTCCCCACATGTGGATTCCGGCTCCGACAATTTCTTTTGCTCAACCCACAACACCCGTGGAACTCTCGAGAAAATCTCTCCTCTCACCCTGACCTCACAACAACTCGAGCCAGCGCCCGGCTAGCTCAATCGGTAGAGCGTGAGACTCTTAAGGAGCATCTCCGTCATCTCAAGGTTGTGGGTTCGACCCCCACGTCGGGCTCAATTCCCGTCTTTCGACTTTCCTTTTGATCTTTTCTCACCTAGCATAGGTCACATAAGGTGCTGCTGGGTTGGCCCATGATCATCCATTGTGTTCGGTCTTTGGAACCCGGTGTTGATGGCATGGTCGTCACGTCACACGGGGGGCCTGATTCGTCTGGTTGTTACACTTTTGGCCGGGTTGAGAGTGTTGCTAGGGCGACATACCACGATACCACCAAGCTTGGGAACAAACGTTTAAGGTGGTGACGGTGCCGGTCCCTACTACTATCAATACATGCAGATCGAAAAGGAGGCTATGAAACATGCCCTACCAGGCTGGATATCAGCTTCCCTCATCACAATGCCCTCCCACTCCCACTCGCACCCGCACAACACAACACAACATCATCAGAGAACTACTACCCCGTCACCCATCACCTACTCCCTCCTCCCCTCTCCAGCCCGACACGCTTCCCGCTTACCCCCTTCTCCAGATCCCTCTCCCTCTCGGGCGTATCCGGCGTAGGCAGCTCAACCTCCTCCGCGGCAACCCTCACCTTCCGCCCCTTCGCCGCATTACTATTATCCCCCTTGTACACCACCCTCACCCCCTCCGCAGAAGAAGACTGACCAGGTAACTCCGCCGGCGCCGCCGTCATCGTATTAGGATAGGACCCAGCAAACAACCCGCCACCCCGCGCAGTGAAAGTCCTTATTACCGGCCTACTACTCCTCGACCGCCTGTGATTGTATCCTACTATCCCCCTCACAGACCGCCCATCCATCTCCTGCGGCGTGTCCGGCCTCGGTGGCGGGGCTGGAGCCTCCATCTCTCCTATCCCCATTCCCATTCCCGGTGCAGCACCACCACCGCCATGTACGTGATGATGATGATGAGCGGTGGTTAGCCCAAACCCGGAACGCAGCGCCCACTGGGCAAGGGTCGCCGCCATGCTGGTACTACCCGACGGCCCGGCGGCGGGCGGCCACAAGTGGGGGAGGATGTTGTTGTTATTGTTGTCGAAACCGTCGTCGGAGGGCGGGCCGACGTGGGTGTCGACGCGGCCGAAGGAGTCGTGGCGCTGTTTCTTTTCTGGAGAGGACGACGAGGAGGAGGGGGTCTTTTCGGTGGTGGTGGTGGTGGTGGTAGTAGTAGTAGTAAGTGCGGCGGGACCACCGCCGCCGCTGGATTTGGATCTGTTCTTCTCGTTGTTCTTGCAGTGACGGCAGGGGTGGATGGGTTGTGCGAGCAGGTAAGCGACGCCTAGGAGCACCAGGAGGATGGGGATGCCGATTCCGAGGCCGATGCCCAGGCCTAGTTTGAGGGAGTAGCTATTGCTGCTGCTGCTACTACTATTACTACACGAGGAGGGGGAGGTAGAGGAGTCGGTGGATGTTACTGGGCCGCGGATGATGGTGCCGGCGGGGATGGAGGTCCATGAGATGGCGTTGTCGCAGCACGAGGTGGCGTCGGGGCCGCAGCAGAATTGGAATTCGTTGGTGTCGGCGTTGTGGCTGGCCGGGCAGGGTATGAGGGGGATTCCGAGGGTCGTTCTGTTGCCTAGTAGTGGTGATATAGTCAGTCAGTCAGTCAGTCGGTCGGTCGGTCGGCAGGGAGCAAGGGATCACCAGATGCAGAAGCGTACCATCGCTTGACGAGCAGATCTTGTTGCATGGCGTTCCCCAGGCCTTGTCGGTGCATCCTTGCTGCGTCAACCCGGGACTGAGACACAGCCCGTTGGAGAGACAGTAGTCGTTCTTGTTGCAGCACCAGGTTGTCGCGTTCGTGTCTGTCGTTCCCGGCGCGAAGCACGGCAGTTGGCTTGCGTCCTCGTTCCCCCATGTATCATAGCATTTTGGGTCCGCCCTGGTGCTGCTCGCTAGCAGTACGGGAATTACGAAGAGCCACGCTTTTGATGTTGTTTTGCCTGCCATTTTCCCAACAAGTCACCTCGTAAGAAAGCTGGAAACTGTCGTAAAGGAACATCAGAGGCGAGATGAACCCCGACATGCACCAGGGGCAGATCCGGAAAGATATTGGGGGTGAGAGAGCTCAGAGCTGGCCCACCCAGAGCTTTTTGGGGGCCGAGGACGTCTGGAGTCTTGGATGGCACAGAGATTGGAGATTTGTGTTCAGTGTTCCCGTCGTTGCTTTCCTGCGGCACAGGGCCACAGAGGGTCATCAGATCTTAATAGTAAGCCGTGAGAACGAAACCAACAACATGCGGCACCTTGGTCATCATCTCCCAGCGCATGCAAGCCCGGCACCAACAAGCCAACAGCCACACTGCGTGTGCGAAGCAAACGTGTTCACATTTCTCGCCTCGTTCCCGGGAAAAATAAAAACGAGTAAAGCAAGATCTCAATCACCATCGCTATCCGCAGGTACGACGAGATGCCGAGAGCTTCAGGTGTGGCACAAGCTCAGCTCCTAGGCTCCAGCTTATGAGAGTTTTCAGCTGAAAGTTTCATACCACCAGATCTTGTGCTGCGTGGGGTAAAAAGCAGAGCGCGGGCACAGCAGTGACGGCCTGAAAGTATTATGCTGCAGCTTCAACAAGCACGCGATTGCTGCAGGTCGCACAGTATATGCTCAGGTTGTACCTCAATGAGGTGACATGATTCTGACGGCGGCACCCCGAGCTGACCCCGCTTGCTGTGCCGCGCGTTGTACAATACCTGCGAATCTAGCTAGAGGACGAACACGGCTACACGGGTGATCCGCGCCCCCGATGAGTTCTCCTTGTGTTCGAAATGCGTGTAGCAAAATAGGCCGCACATTGTGGCCTCGACTGTTTCATATAACACACGGCTGAGGTGAGGTGAATCGCATTCACTGTTGTATCGTGCGAGATCTCGATCACCATCAGACATTCGGATACGTGCCTCGAGGTTTCTACATTCAGTTTTATCCACAATAAGAGTTTAAACTAAACATAACATCAATCAGGTCTACGAGAATCGCACCTCTTGCCATTTGCTCTTCAATATCATCAATCTTTAGCTAGTTAAGTAGTAGGGTTATATATCTCCCTGCAGTTGAACTCAATCTACGCCCTCGGCGTTGCTGGAGATGATTACATCGATGATTGGGTACCATCCTCAGGTTCTTCCACAGCTTAGGTGTTTGCCCCTAGCTATAATAAATTAAATGATCTCCGATGATCTCGGTCAGCGTTCGAGGCCCTATATGAAGGCGTTTTCAAACTCCATGTCGATGCACAGAATCTCACACACCTCCTCAATGGGCTTGTCGCGAATCATGTTAGCGACAAGCTGGCAGCAGAGGTCGCACAGAGGCTTGATGTCGAGGTAGTTGGCTATGACCAGAATCTCGTATAAGATCTCACCGTTGACACCGCGGAAGAAGACTTTGTTCCAGGGCGAGCGCATAACATCGGTGGTGTCCATTTCCTTCTCGTTGGCCTGCTCGGCCTTCCTGGTTGTCGCAGCATGCGTTGTTGTTCTGCGCCCAGGCTGGTTGTAGTCGACAACGACATCGGCAGCCTTGGGCAGGTCGCGCCAGCGAGTTACCCATTCCAACACCTTTGCCAACGCAGCGTCGCATACGTCGACGAGAATGGGAATAACGTTTCCGGCGAGATAGCTCTCGTCGAACTCGGCGAGGATTGTACGGATGACGGTGGAGTGCTCCGCAGCGACACGATCCACCTCGAACACCCTGCGTTTGGGGTTGAGCATATTCTGCAGTCTCAGAGTCGGGTTAGCAGCCATGGTGCTGCTGTCAAACATTTGAGTGTGACTTGCTAGAACTTAGTTCCTTATAGAACCTGTGTGCGGATGCGTCGGAGGCGTTTCGGGGCAGATTGTGAGTGCGAAAGGTATTGCTGATTGCTGAGAAGCTGCCTGCCTTCATTTCTATACGTCATGATGATGGTCAAGCCTCTTAAAGGACCAAGGGCTCGGCCCTTGAACAAAGCCCTTTTGTATACAGAACAACGTCATTGTTCGAGGTTGGACACGGAGACTGGATCATGCCGGCGAGCCATTCCTGTCCAGGGACCAGCGTCTAGAACAAAGAGAACGGGGTGCTTCGAATCAGAACAAGGGGCTGCATAGACTATGCTTTCGAAGACGACCGGAGTCACAAAGCTCTGCGTGTATAGTACTACTACTAAGTAGTATCCGTAGTACCCTTCACCACTCCACTATCGTGCCTGGTTGAGCAGCGCGACCAAGGCATAGCCTTGACCTCTTGCTAGTCTTCCAGATAACTGGACTGGAAAGTTGAGGTGTTCTGGGTAGGACCTCTCCGCTTTTACGGGCGAATCATTCTCAACTTGGTATTCTCGGCGTCGCACAGTGAGCTAAATGCCGTTCTTTGCCATTTTCAATGCTTGAATGAGTTCGCATGCTGGACATCCCTTGCTGCTTGGCGTCAACCTTTGCTTCTTCCGAGCCAAGCGAGGAGGTGCTTCCGGACGAAGCAAGGGACGCCCAGACACTTAGTGTAGGTAGGTCTGCGTCGGCTGTCTAGATAGAGAAGATCCCGATCAAAGAACGGCACGGCGATCTTCGTGGTGCCCTCGTCTTAACAGGGGCTGGGATGCAAGGGATTGCGTGGACGGCGACATGTCAGCCACGTGCGGGAGGGTTCAGCCCGATTCAGAGTGTAAAACAGACACAATTGGCAGAGATCTGTTTTAACCCCGCTTCAGCGAAAACCTCCTCCCACACTATCGACTGCACGGTCTGCACCTGCATGTTCCCATGTCACGTAACTGTCTTCTACCCCCAAGGATATGCGGTCTGACTCCCTATGAGCTTCAAGCGAAGATGGGGGTCGTTGGCGAGTGTCAAGGTCACACGGCGAAACGACATCTTCGCCCCTGAACTTGAAGGCGCCGGGTTAACCTCTGATCTATATACCACTGCGTAGTATCGGTATCACAAAACCAAGGCAAACTGCCGGAGTCAGCCCCTGTAATAAGTGGCCTATCCGTTTGACACACACTTCAGGAACCAATCCGCTGGGACTCTGAGACTGGAGGCTGCAAGGGGGAAGCTGCGACATCTCAGCTGCCTTTTCGACCGCCACCCACCCGCGAGTTTACCGGATGGCGCGGGCCAAGGGAGAGATCGTATGCAAGCTAGTAAATCAAAAATCCGTCGCTGCCATCTACCATCGGATCCCGACATGTAATGGCGCCGATTCACCAGATGCAGTTGTCTCAGACCTGCGGTTCAAGTTGTCGCCAAGCAAACAGACACGGCCGGCAGCCTGCAGGTACCCAGACCTGTACGGAGTGATCGGACGCAAGAAAAGGCACGATCCCGGCCGTGCTGCACATAAGTACCATATTTTACCATGCCCGTCCCCGTCTTGGAGCCTTACTCCCCTTTCCCTTCTTAGATCCTGCCCCTGGCTTCCTGCATGCCCGACACCATCGGATTGCTCGTAGGAGTATTGGAGCCCTGGCATCAACCTCCCCTCTTAATCCTGCTACGCCTTGTCGGTCCACTCTAAACCTGGCATCATGCACTTCAAGCTCCCCTCGTGGCTGTCCTGGTACAAGAAGCCGGAGTACCGCGACATCAAGGAGTACTCCACCAGTATCAGCACCGGAAAACGCCAACTGAGCCCGGATGGCCGCAACGGAGGCGTCCCGAGCCGGCTGCGGCTCGAGCGCATCTTAGCAAACAAGACATGTCAGTGGACTTTGCGCATATTCGTGTGGGTGCCGTGTCTCGGGCTGACGCAAGTGTTTGACAGGCAGCCCAATGTCGTTGCATGATTTCTACATGTATCTCAAGCACATTGAACATTCCGAGGAGAACCTCGAGTTCTATATGTGGTGCGCTTCTGTCTTATCGTTTCCCTGCATTCCCTTTCTAAGCCGTGCTACGATAGGTTCAAAAGCTATGAAGCGGCGTACGACCAGACGCTCAACGACAAGGACTGCGGTTCGATCCCAAGTGCTGCCCAGTCCACCTCGTCCGTGGCCCGGATAAAGCCCGAGGACAGCTTCGATATCCAGCACGGCGATCTCAAGGAAGAAGAGGATGACGGAAGCGATGAAGCAGGTACGCTCTGTCCTGGCCCATGGACAGTGCTTTACTTCAGTTGGTAGCTGACAAACCGCGCGACACAGCGAGAGAAATGCTCAGCCGTATCTCCCAACTCATCTCCACCACCGCCCTCTGCACCTCCAAATCCACCCCTTGCTCCTTCCCATCTTCCCTCGGGACAACCAACCCCAGATTCCCCCCCATCCCCAACAAGACACCCTTCCCCTCAGACAAATCACTCACCGCCGAGCTCTTCACGGTAATCTCCCTCTTCCTCCTCCCCAACTCACCCAAAGAGCTCAACATCCCCTCCACCCTCCGCACCCAAGTCCTCTCCAATCTGTCCTCCACCACCTCCAAGTTAACCAGTCACCCACCACCACCACCACCACCACCACCCCACCCGTCAGCCCTCCGACCCGTCGCCGACCACGTCTACTCCCTCCTGCGGAACTGCTCCCACCGGAACTTTGTCCGCCTCGGCGTCGGCAACGGCACCTTCGAGACGGTGTGCGTGGCGACGGTGCTCGGGTGGACCAACCTGGCGGCCGGGTTCCTGGTCGTGCTGTGCCGCGGCCTGGTGTCGCCGCATCGCGGTGCCCACTCCCGCTGGGAGGCCTTTACCGCGTGGCCTCTGTGGTGTCTGGGCATGAGCCTCGTGCTGAGCGGGCTGAGGGGCAGCTGTTTCTTCTTGTTGCTGTTTTCTCGGAGGCAGAGGTTGCCGTGGGAGAGGGTTGATGATGGTGGTGATGATAACCATAGTGGTGGTAGTGGTGATCATCATAGGCATATGGGGGAGCGGGGTGGTGGTGGAGGGGAGGTGAGTGAAGTGCGGTTTGTGAGGCAGGGTGAGGAGAGGCGGGGTGATCATTATGATAATTATGATGATGGCAGCATGAATGAGAGGGGTAGTAATCTTGGTGATAGGGGGAGGAAGGGGGCGGGAAGGCTAATAAAGGAGAATAAGCACGTCGGAGAAGGAGGAGGAGGAGGAGGAGGCCAGGGGAAAAGGGGGTTTGGTTTGCTGAGGTCGGTGAAGAGGCTGATGATCTTTGATCGGAGGCTCAAGGTGCGGGAACGCCATCTCAGGAGGTTGCAGCGCAAGATTGTGCTGCAGAGCTTGGTTGGGGGAGGTCTCTTTGCGACGGTGTGTGTGGCAGTGTTCATCTGTTTGCCGGTGTGGAAGGAGACAGTGTGAAGGTTCAGGCAGTGTCATACCTTAAGCACATATGTAGCACAGCCGAGAAGCTTCTCTGGTGTGATGAATTAATAAGGCATGTTTGACATTTGCATTGCTACCTATGTATTGTACCTCTGGTCCCTTGAACGATGGAATGCTCGCTTGTAGTAGTATGATGTTAAGCTCCATCAGGATTCAGTTGCTTATGACTCTTCTATTTATCTTGTTGCTTGATATTTCTCTGATAACTAGTATCTGTCCAATGTTTCCGCTAAGATAAATACATCCGTTTCAAAGGAGTATCCACAAACTACTACTGTGTAAGAGGACCAAAAGGAGCAGAAAGCTGCGAGCGAAAACGACCCAACACAGAGGTCGACGGTACATCCCGGGGTGAGGTTCAGTCAGCCTGCAAGCAAACAAAGCCCTTCCAACGATCTTACCAAAACTTCCCTTGATTCCGGCTGTTCGGGTAAGATACCGCAGCATCTCCTTCCGCCCCCCTGGATTTGGATTTCCCGCGGGCCACTCCGCCCCGTATGACAACAAAAAGCTCCGCCAATCATCGTCAGAGAGCCTGCCGACTTGGCGTCGACTGCCTCCATTTGGACTGCAACTCCCACACCGTACACGACCACCAACCCCGGCCGGCGGGCACAAGCGAGGAGTCTGTGTATCGGGTTGTCGGGTAGGTTTGTTTTCGACTTGTCATATGTAAGGCCGCTCCCCTGCGTCGTTCTTGGCCGCCATGTCTGGCAGTCCATCCTGTCCATCATCCTCCTCGGCAGCATCCTCAGTTGGCTAATCGCAATGGGCCGGCGGTATACGACAGTCTCGACTTGGGCGCTCCTTGCTGCTACTTCCTGCCTCCTTCCGGTGGTACGAGCCGCTGATACAGCCGGGTTGTGGAGTCAGTGTGGGGGAACTGGCTACTCAGGGCCGACACAATGTGTGCCTGGCGCGGTGTGCACGATGTACAATGACTGGTACTGTCAGTGAGCCTTCTCCAGCGAAGGAGGAGCCATGACGGTTGGTTGACCGTGCTGCTATAACATAACAGATCAGTGCATCCCGGGGAACACCAGCAGCACGTCCTCGGTCAGGATGACTACCACCCTCACCACCTCGACCCGCACAACATCCTCCACAAGCAGTGCCCCATCCAGCAGTCCCGCTCCCGCCGGCATCAAGTACCTCATCACGTTCGGCGACTCTTACTCCCAGACGGGCTTCGACGTCACCTCCACCAAGCCCGCGCCGGGCAACCCGCTGGGCAACCCACCGCTGCCGGGTTGGACGGCCAGCGGCGGGCTGAACTGGGTCGGCTTCCTCACGTCGGTCTTCAACACGTCGACGGTGCTGACCTACAACTTCGCCTACGGCGGCGCCACCACCAACGCCTCCATTGTGCAGCCTTACGCGCCCACGGTGCTGAGCCTGGTCGACCAGGTGGCCCAGTTCAGCGCCAGCATCGCGTCCAAGCCGTCCTCCGCCTACGCGCCCTGGACGGCGCAGAACGCTCTCTTCGGCGTGTGGATCGGTGTGAATGATGTCGGCAACAGTTGGTGGCTGTCGAACTGGGAGGCTGGTGTGCTGGCGCCCATCATGGACAGCTATTTCGGCCGGTTGCAGGTGCTGTACGACTCCGGGGCGAGGAATTTTGTGTTGTTGAGTGTGCCGCGTATGTTTTTTGTTTTATTCTTTTTGTTTTATTTTTTATTTTTCTTTTTGTCTCCGAGTCATGATGAGATTCAGGTTGTGGACTACTAAGTACTAACATATACCTAACTTACCAAAACCGCAGCCATTTACCGCACGCCAGCGGTGATCGAACAGGGAACCGACGCCCAGGAGGGCGAGAAAGCTGCTATTGCCAAGTACAACGATGCGATTGCCGCCCGGCTGGCGGCGTTTGAGGCTAAGAACACCGGCGTGACGGCCAAGATTGTCGACACGGCCGTGCCTTTTAACACGGCGCTCGATGACCCGACGGCCTACGGCGCGCCGGATAATACCTGCTTCAACAGCGACGGCAAGTCGTGTCTGTGGTTCAATGACTACCATCCGGGCATTGAAATCAACAGACTGGTTGCAAAGGCGGTGGCGGATGCGTGGAAGGGGAGCTTCTTCTGAGCTGTTCTCTCTTCAGGTGGTGTTGCTGTTCAGGGATCGACTTGGAGCGTTTTTTTCAGGGGGGTTTTCACTTTCAGCTCCTTTTGCGAACTAGTTCTAGGCCAGTGGCACTGTTCATCTGCCCGCCCTGCCCGTAAAAGAGTAGTAGTATTGTGCTAGTACCAAGCAAGGCTAGTACGGGTGTTGACTAGATCGTGTGTATCGTGATCCTTTTGCCACCAGAATCATCCCAAATCATGAAGCAATAAGTTCTGTCTCAAGCTGAACCTCGAGAGTTGGAACATCTGTGCGAATAAAGCGATATCCAGTGAAAAGCGTCAAGCCCTACCAGTAGTTAAGTAGTCCCTACTTCCTCTTACCCAAGTGCAATGCCGGGTCCGTATTCAGACCGGAAGCCACCAAGTGGCTCTCTGACACCTTCTCCCAATCGTGCAGCGATATCGTATTTTCCAGATTCTCCATGACGATCTCATACCCCCGCTTCCACACGTCCTTCTCATATTTTCCAACCGCCTGTGCCAACTCCTCTCTGGTGTGGGCCTTCATGGCGCGGAGATGCACCTGAAGCTCAGCGACGTCGGCGATCGCGTTTCCCAAACCCTGTCCACGATCTGCAAGAGTATATTTTTTCACACATTGTTAGCATACATCACTACAAGATCTTGCTGAATGACAGTCGACAGGGGGCCTGAAAGAGGAAATGGGACCGAGAGGCTAGACGCACGGAAGGTCATGGCATGGGCGGCATCTCCCACCAAGGTGACGCGGCCGCCTCGATTGTCCCACGGCTTGGTCGGCCAGTAGGTCATGCGCTTGCTGTACCAGGCCCTGGTATCCTCGGGAATGTTACGGACCATTGTATCGAAGGGGTAGACCAGCCCCTTGGTACGTTCGCGGGCCCTTTCCAAGAGACGGTGGCTAGTACTATCTTTCGTCAGAGCGGCCTGTGTTTCGGCATCATCCACGGGCCAGGTGAGGATGATCATGAAGACCCATTCGGCTGGGTCTTCGCTGGTGCAGTCGTACCCGGAGAAGAAGGTGAACAAGCCGGGGCTCACAGCGATGCACGACGATTTCTCGATGGCCTTCAGCGCCAGCGCGACGTCGCGGTTGAGCTTGGTCAGGGTGACAAAGGAGGAGATGGGCACCTCCATCAGCGCGGCATCTTGCGGGGAGTGCTGGAAGAGCCAGGTCCGAGTGACGCTGTGTGCCCCTTCCGCCCCGATCAGCAGACTGCCCGTCTCGGCGCTGCCGTCCTCGAATACCGCTGTGACGCCGTCATCAGACGTGGAGATGGAGACAAGCTTCTTGCTAAACTGTGGGTTTCGTGAGCGAAAAGCTCGAGTCAGTGCCTTTTCTTTGAAACGAGGACTCTACTACTAGTAGTAGTACTTACGCGCACGTCCAATCCTGTCCGCAGCAGATCCAGCCATGCTCTCCTTCTGAGGCGCATAGCATGAGGAGCGGGGATCTTCTTCAGCGGCTCCCCCGTCAAGCCGTTATACACCGGCATAAACGAGCCCTCGTGGCGTCGGAAAGACGGGTCGGTCTGGACGGTATCGACAAGCACACTCAGCTCCGGGGGCAGGCAGGCCTCGATACGGGACTGGGCCCAATAGATGCCAAAGGACCAGTCCCGCGGTCGAGCAGTAGGGCTTTGGTCTTGCTCAAAAATGGTGGCTCCAATTCCGGCCTGGGAATTGGTTAGTGTCGATCCAAACATCCCGTAAGGGACTGCGATGTCGGTACCTTCTTGAACACTTGGCCCATCAACAACCCCGCGGAACCTTTGTTGACGCCCAGTCAGTTTGAGTAAGGCAAGCAAGGTAGGTATATGGGCGTGGCGGTGGGGGAAGTCCGGCGACACAACTCACCTGCCCCAATCACTAAGGCTCTGAGTGCTTCGGGGGGTTGATTGTAATTCATCTTGGTTGAACCAAGCGCTGCAGAAACTCAATAAGCTAGCAAAGGTGAACAATAGAAAGCCAGTTTTCTGAAGAAATGGGGTAGGGAGTGGAGGGTACGGTCATGAAGAGAAAGCGCGACGAGAAGCATCGCACCATTGAGGTTTGAACTTTCACCCCCGCGTTACCACCAGATAGTATTGGCTCACGTCGCCTCAATGGGCCAATGGCATCCTCATATTTCCGGTCCTGTGTTACTCACACGGATACACAACATGCGGCATTTTGGGAGTGTCATTGGATATCAGGACCAGGTGGCTATCACGATCGCCGAGGGCTGCATACCTAAATATGCGAAATCGGCCCAGTAGATACCTCTCCTACTAAGTAAGATACCTACTAGGTCATTGAAAGTGTTTGAGACAGGACGCCCAGAATAACCCGGGAGAGTAATCTCGGAGTCTCAAATTGGGGACTGAATCTCTGTGATGATGTGGTCAGATTATAGCCATGGAAAATATGAGGACGGGATGCAATGAACTTTGAAAAACTCAAACCAGTATTAGGGGGAAATTGGGTTAGACGAGGACAGAACAATTCAGGTGGAAAAAGAACATGCGAATGACGCAGCTGCTGAGCTTCCCTTTTCCACTCTTCGATCCGGGTCGGCACGCATTCACCATCGGTTCGCTCACCGCACAAGCCCGTCCTCTCTTGGATCTCATAATGCTGCATCAGACTAATGATCTCGCCCTGTCCTACTCGTGCCTAGATCAATAGGAAACCCAATGCAAACCGTCAGCTTAATGCGTACATTCATCCGGTTATACAGATTAACTCAAGAAAGGACTCCCGAGTCCCGTTTTCAGCAGCCCAATCACGAGACATGCACTTTCCTTGTGTAGGCAGATCTGTTACCTAGAGTCACGCAGCATCTAGACCTTGTCCCGTCAAGCGAAAGGACCAATATCAAATCCACACGATGTTTTTTTGAAGTCTGATCTTCGCTGGCCAACCGTATGCCAAACCATAGACATCAAGGGCCCGCGACTCCGTGAGACCCACCTTGTGGCACCGAAGTCAGTGAAGGACAAGATGTATGATGCTAAGCCAATTGCAGTCAAAGGATCCATGGCTGGAAAACGAACCTTCGCAACGGGGCTCAAAGGCTTCGGGCCTTGACGATGTTGAGGGAGTGTTTGCGATAGTCAGCTGAGAGTGTCCCCGCACATACAAACGTAATAAGCCCTTCTATATCCGTACTACTTCCTCTCAAATACCAACCGAACATTCTTTGTTGCGAGAAATAGGCCCATTCTGCTAAGTGGTTCTCGTATAAGCAAATAGATCTCTAGGCACAGGGTGGTCTCTACGCCGAAGGAGACATCAAGTGAGCACTCTGGTAGAACAGCTGGTGCCAGAAGATGCCTCAATACGGATACAGCACAGTGAATGTGGTTTCCTGCTCATTTCCTGCGCCATGGACCTCGAACTGCATCCCAGAGCCCATCAGTCGCATTCTGACCGGCACCGACTGCAACTGGCCCAGGATATCAGGGCGTTCACACTTGATTCGGCACTCCTGCCGGGCTTCTTCATTGGAAGGTGCAGACTGAGGCGAGCGGTAGATCACTGCGCAAGGCCTGTTCTGGATCGTGAAAATGAATGCGTTGCGGGGAAGCGTGAAGGTGGCCGAGAAGTCGACGTCTTGGCCCTGGAGCGTTCGGGGTACAGAAGATCAGTGAACTATATATACTAATAGCTGCCTGAAGAATGCGGATTAAATGGGGGGAAGGGCGCGGCCGAGGCGGAACCAACCTTTGTGACGAACCAGGTGATGGCGTTCCAGGCCCCGTTAGGAACGGAATAGCCGTAGCTATATCGGGCAACCCGGGAGCGGATATAAATGGTGGGGGGGACATTGGTAACCCGTGGAAGGTTGAATTGGTCCGCTTCATGTTGGTTCATGGCGACAAAATTCCTGAGGGCACCGTATATCGCTGCGCCATGCTTGACTGCAATCATCCTGCAAAATGACACCAGCTAAGTTACTATCCGTGAAACCTTTGATAGGGCATAGAAGACATACCCGTCTTCCCCAGTAAATGCGACATTGCTATGACCTAAATTACGGCAGAGCTCCGATTGGAGAAATTTGCTGCAGCCAAAGCCGCCGACAACCAAAATGAGCTGGAGAAGAAGGTAGTCATTTGAGTTAGCTATACCAGGTGGACTGTAGTATAGCGCCAGAGGGGCGAACAGGGAGACCTACATCGGGCCCTCTACCGGTCTTCTCCTCTACCCCATCCATTTACGTCCGAAGAAGTCTGACGATGCTGTCGGTGCAGGTGTTGAGAGCGCGTAGAACATCTCGCCTGGGTATAGTCCAGTTAGCTTGCCTCGGAGCACGTCAAGACCTCTGAAGCTTGAAAAGGATGCCTACCCGGAAAGCACGACTTGCCGTCCGATGCGGCCATCGACATATGTAATGTCCAACCGGTGGCACCAGCCCGCTCTCCTCATAGTATTGCCCTGGATTTTAGACACTCTATCCCAGACCGCCTCAATTTCATTATCAAGGTCAGCGAGGTCAAGGTCTGCATTGTCACGGTAGTCCTCTTGGACGCGCGACTTGATCAGTGCTACCAAGGCGCTCTTCATGAACATATCGCCCAATAGTTGCCCCTCTCCGGACACAATCTCCCTGACGGTCAGGGGTTCGAGTGAGGTGATCTCATACGAAATCACATCCTGCGGATACTTGGATTAGCAAGAGGCGGCACGGAAAGGGGCCTAGTACCAGGGTTCCCCCTACCACTGTACCGCCACCGCAGTCGCAGATCACAACAGTCTGTCCATCCTGCAGATTATAGCTCACGGCCAGTCGAGGAAACATGGCGATAGCAGCAGCTTCGGGTTCCGCAATGAAGTCGAGCGGTGCCGGAGGCCTATCGCCTAACTTGAAAAGCCCCGAGTGCTGGATGGCCTGTTCCATACGCGATCTAGTATCCACACCCCAGACAGCAGGGATACCAAAGACAAAGCGGGCTTCTAAATCACTAAGGCTTATTAGGCCCTTGCGTCTCAAGATAACGGAAAGAGAGTCGGCCGCAAAGGCCCACAAGCGGCGCAGGTACTCTGCCACGACGTCGATGTCGGTCTTACCCGCTCTCTCAATCTTCCCAAGGGCATCCCGGACGAACGTAAGCTGCTCTGGTGTTTGGCGATAGCTCTGAAGTAGATCGTCGGTATGGAGAAGCTTAAGCTTGAACAGCGTGAATTTGTCTTCGCCTGCTGCGATGTCGTTACCCCAGTTGCCATTGACGCCCAACGCGGACGGCACCAGAGTTTTGCCTTCTCCGCCGAACTCGATTTCGACGGCCGACGACACCGCTTCATTTGGGCGTAACAGGCAGTACGAAACCCCGCTCGTGCTGGAAGAGGCGCCGTGTTAGACGCCGCCCTTTGCGTCTCGGGATCATGGTGCCAGGGGAAATCTCGCAAGCGCGAGCAAAGGGCAAGATCAAGACTCACCACACGCCAAAATCGATGCCGATAGAGAGCCTGTACGGCGTCGTCATATTGCCTGGCAGCGGACTGCTGAATGCTGATAGAGTGGCAGTCAGTCGCTTGTAGTCGTGGAATCTGAACGAGGGCTTGAGTAACGGAGTGAGAAGCCTGAGAGGTAACCTGCTTGAGATTTTCCAACGATCCAATCCCGGCCGTCAACCTTTATGGATTAGCTCCAATGTTAGGTGTCATTTCCGCTTGCTCGCGGATTTGCACGGTGTCTGCAGGCCGGCGGTGAGGCATCTTGCTGTGAGACACATTGCAAGTCCTGCCGCTCTCTGTAAGGTAAGTTATCTGATAACTGCAACTGAATCCCCTGAAACAAATGATTATGCGTTTGCAAGTTGACTGCTAGCCGGCGCTGAAGCATCTGACATGAGACACATTGCAAAGCCTGCCGTTCTCTGTAAGGTAAGTTATCTGATAACTGCATCTGAAGCCCCTGAACGAAATGATTGTGCGTTTGTAAAAAGGTGACACGAGCCGGCGGTGAAGCATCTGACATGAGACACATTACAAAGCCTGGCAGCCCGGGCTCTCTGGATCTTACGGCTGCATCCGGAAGTTACCTAGTATGCCAACCGAGCCAGCCGTTGCCCTTTGTCCAGTTTAGGGAGAAGCGGATGCCGGAAGCAGCCAAGCACACTAATATTAGCCAATTGAATCTTTGTCTCATTTGCCCACTCCACGCCACACGCATACCTACCAGTTACCTACTACGCAACACTTGCAATCCATCCATAAGCTCCGTCATTGAGATCTGACTTGGCAACATGAAGATATCACTTTCAGCACTTTCGTGCATCTTCTATGGGACGTTAAGCATTGCCCTGGTATGGCCGCTGCCGTTTCCTTCGCACAACTGGCGACGCAAAGCTAATACTACAGCCCGTGTCCGGGGCTCCGGGCATTCTAGGCGGCCGATCCAATTGTCTTGCCGCAACACCTGGGCAGTGGCAGACTCAACGCTCTGGTGTTTCCGCTTCCGGCGGCTTAGCCCCAGCCGAGAGAGAAAGAAAATGAGCCCCCTCTTTGACGGGGTTTCACTTGCACCCAACAGCCCCGGGCATGACCCCGACCTGGTGGTTTTGTTTGAAATATGAGCCAATAATCCTTCAAAATGGCAGCGCAGAAGGCCACGGCAGAGACGCATGAACTTCCGTGTCGCCCACACCTGTCTTCGGCCAGCACTCGCATTCTCCTCAACGACTCATCATATTACCGGTACCCTCGCTAAAACATGACATCCAAAGAGGAGGACGCTTCGGCTGGCAAAGCGCGTTCGGCCTCGCCCGTCGGAGGCGGCGCTGGCAGTCAAACACGAGAGACTTCGCTGTCCAGTGCGGGCTGGGCCCCCTTGGGCACGGTCTGGGCCAAAGCACGTTCGGCCTCGCCCGTCGAAGGCGGTGGTGGCAGTCAAACACAAGAGACTTCGCCGACCAGGCGGGGCTGGCGGGGCTGGGACCCCTTGGACACGGTCATTGCCAGTCCGACATGCCGCGCTCTGTGTTGCAAGTCCGGCGAGGGCTGGGTCCTATTCCATCGGGATCTCGAGCACTATAGAAGTGGGCGAGATGACCTGGCCTTGGATCGGTGTAAGCAACAATTCGTTATCGTTAACCCGCCCCTTTATCCTAAGCCTTTCTGTTCCTGGATCCTGACGTGATGTTTGCTGCTAGGGGCTTTGAGTCACTTGCGAGGTTCCGTTCCCGAAGTTGCCAGGGATATGGTGAGGCGGGGCCTTGCGGCCTGGGATACGTTGCATCCCACAGTCCGAGAGAGGATGAGCCGTTGGTCTCCCCTCGCCAGGCAGCTCTGGGACTCGCCTTTCCCTGACCATCAAGAGGCCATGGTCCGGGCTTGGATCTGGCATTATCTTGATGACAATATCTTCTCGTTCTCGGGGGACGTACAAGGTGACGAACTTGTCCCCTGTGCATCTCCAGTGTGGGAGCATGTTCGGGCGCTTCGCCGGGCCCTGGATGGTGAGGACCTCTCCCTCGTACCCTCTTCGCAAGCCCGAAACCATACTGACATAACATACCCCAGGATTGCGTACCGGCGAAAAGCAGTCAAGGTTCCCAGAAGAACTATGCCACCAGTTCCACATGCTGAGGCGCCTCACAGAATCCCTAGTGGTGGACGGGCTAGGGCTAGAGGAATATATTACGGCCGCCGATTTTATTCCTCACTTCAAGAAGTCGCTTAGGCTCCTCGTCGACGACGGATATACCAAGATTCCGGATCGGGATCACGACGCGAATTGGGATCTCATATGCGAGGACCCCGACGATGAGGAGCATGAAGTGTGCGACATGATCAAAGACATACTCTACTACGCGTTGAAGTTGAGGTTGTTTATCCACGGCATGCTTGCCAGCTACACGATTAGGTTCACTCCAATTGGCAGCAATAGTCTCTGGGGGTTTCCGGTCGACCGTTACTGGATGAGTGTGGTAGGGACACCGGAAATCTCTCAGTTCCCGCCCGGTGAGCGGCCTGTCCGTATGGTGCAGCTTGTCAGCGATCCGATGCTGGTGATCAGCGGCAAGGGTCGGAAAGGCTACGAGAAGGACTTCGAGCGCTGGCCCAAACAAAAATTGCGAGTTTTCGCGCCATGGTGTCGTGACGGAGAGGTCCTAGCAGATTATATTGGCGATGAGGACGAGGAGAAGCGTCTATGGCCCATCCTGGAGAAAAACAGGCAGGAGCGGATGGTCAAGAGATTGCAGGAAGAAGAGGAGCAGATGGAGGAAGTCGAGCAGGAGAAGAGACCGAAAAGGGCCCAGGAGATTGTTGGGCGGGTCGCCAGGTCCATGTCGGCAAAGGGTGCTGAAAGGGTGAAGAGACCGAAAAGGGCCCAGGAGATTGTTGGGCGGGTCACCAGGTCCATGTCGGCAAAGAGTGCTAAAAGGGTGAAGAGGGCGGATAGGGAGGCGGCGGAGCAGAGGCAGAAAAGAGCAGGGAGCGCAAGCAGGAGCAGGATGAGGCGGGTATGAAAGGGGGGAAGCTATAGCGTGGAAACAAGGATCGTATGGGACAGGAGACGAAGGATAAAAGAGGTAGGCACCAGACTGTATTTTTGCTGTTGTTTGGGGCTTCGGTTCCTATACTGTTTTGAGACGGAGAGTCGATAAGAGCACGCTCAAGCCGTGACGTTGGCAAGCAGCCAGTTGATTCCCTTGCCTCCCGCACCTGTGTTCCCCAAACCAGCACAGCTGTAGAGCGCTACGGGGTTGTTCTCGGTGGGCCCCATGTACTGCTACCCCTCTGCTGAGACGGCGCGAGCTGTGCAGCACAACCTCAATCAGGCAGCCAGTGTAATGGGAGACTCTGGGGGAGGTCTTCCAGGTATTGCACCGTATTGGTAGTCGCTGAGGCACAGACTTTACTCTCGTGAGCGTTGCCAGCCGCAAGCGGCTGGTGGGTCCAGGTGGCTAGTTGTCACGTAATTAGCCGGCCTAGTTTAGGCGATGTATAATAATTCGTAGCTACTAGGATAGTCAGTAGAAAGTTATAGTCTTTATTGTCTGACTAATAAGAAGGATGTAAGTGCCCTGGGGGGCACGTGACCCTGTAGCAGGTCCTACTGATAAACCGTAACACAAGGCCATGGCCGGCCTTGCCTGACTCGCCTTGTTGGGAGCGCTGCGCAACCCTCACGGGAATAACCACCCCCTTCGGGCCCAACCCGCGCAACGTCTCCTTTAACATCTACGTCCCAGACTCCTAGACACCCTCCCGTACATAAACGATTAAGTCCAGGCAAGCAGTTCAGCCCGTGTGGCCCATTGATTCCACCCACTTTACATTGCCGGTGATAGGTTTAACATGGGGTCATGCTATCTTATCAAAGGGAAATCCATGGAAAAGGCAGGTATGATGATTGAGTGCCGATCAATTAGATGGTCCAAAAGGGTCGTTGATTGATGTAATCTACCTAGTCATCCGAAGGTGTTGATACTCTGCCTGAGGGATGAAAAAGATGTTGAAGTTGTTCTGGGAATGGGTTCTAAGGTACCTAAGGTATCTAAGGTAGGTACGGTACCTACGGTAGCTTCAGCCGACAACTGCCCGACTTATCGTCCCACACCGTAGGGTAGCTCCTTCCACCACCACCCGTCGGGGCCCCGCAATGAAGTGACAGGAGGGTTGGGCATTCTGTTATTACTAGGACAGATTTCAACAGTGACAGGGAAACAGTAATAGTAACCTGGAAGTTGCAAGTTATTCCGGTTAACTACCGTACTATAATTTAATCATCGCGTCTCTAGCGTTTGGGTCTTTATATCAGTTAAATGACCGGGCAACGCATCAGATCATATACAGACCGTTCCAGCTCCCTTCTCAGTTCCATCCCTTACCTCCTTTTCCGCCTTGCTTCCCACCCTTAGCACCACGACCACCATGACCACCTTTACCACCTTTACCACTTTTACCACCTTTACCACCCCATCCTCCTCCCCATCCTCCTCCCCAAATTCCCTTATGTCCCTTGTCCTGTTGTCCGCCCTTTCCTCCATTCCAACCTCCACCTCCTACATCACCGCCTTCACCACCACCCTCACCACCTCCTTCATCGCCTCCTTCATCGCCTCCTTCATCGCCTCCTTCATCGCCTCCCTCACCACCTCCTTCATCGCCTCCTTCATCGCCTCCCTCACCTCCTCCTCCCTCACCTCCTCCTCCCTCACCTCCTCCTCCCTCACCTCCTCCGCCCGCACAACCTCCGCCCTCATTACCACCACCGTCCTCGCCGCCACCCTCATCACCACCGCCCTCACCTCCACCTTCACCATCTCCACCCTCGCTGCCTCCGTCACCTCCCTCACCACCACCTCCCTCGTCACCTCCTTCGTTACCATCCCCACCTCCACCTCCACCCTGACCTCCGCCATGACCTCCGCCCTGGCCTCCTCCTTGTCCTCCGCCTTGACCGCCGCCGTGACCTCCACCTCCACCTCCACCTCCACCTCCACCATCACCTCCATCACCTCCATCACCCCCATCCCCATTATTTCCGTCGTCATCAGGAGTATTTCCAGTATCATTATCATCAGGGCCATCATCCGCTCCGGCATCATCATCATCAACAGTAGTAGTTCCAAGCTGCCGCGGGTGCACTCTCCATCCCCACGCGGACTCTCCTCCACCCACGGCTGAGGCTAGCGAAGCATACCTGGCCCGGGCATTGGCCGTGGCCGTCGTGGTATCATCCCGTGTGTCCAGCTGGTCGTCTTGGCGCTTGGCCTCGCCGTTGTTGTTGTTGTTGTCATTGTCACGCTGATGTTTGATCACGGCCGAGGTGGGCAGGGCCACGGCGAAGGGGAGGAAGATGGTCAGGAGGAGGTTGATGGGCTTCATGTTTTTTGGGGGGTGGGGGTTTTGTTTTGATCTTTTGATGGGAGTTGGTGCTAATGAGTTTCTTTGGTTGTGAGAGAGGCTTTTTTGAGTTGAGGAAGGAAGAAGTACTTAGGAGGTGAGACTAGGAAGGGGAGGAGGAGGAGGAGGAGGTGAGGAAGGGGCTGGGGGTTCTTAAAAGCAGTAGGGAGCACTCGTTATTGCGTAAGCTCAAAGTACCTTATTAACCACCAGCAGTCAAGATAGTCGGCGCCAAGGCTTGGGAATGTTCTGGCCAGCTCGTCTCTGTCGTCATGCGTCTGGGAGAGGAAGATCGGGATGCGTTGGAAGCCCCCTCCTGCCCTCTGGGTTGCGAATGTCATATGGCTTAGCTAAGCTGAGGTATTACATCACCTGAATCGGATCAGCGCTTCTGACTACGGCTTGTTGACAGGGAAGAATATGGGCTTACTCGAGACTGTGTGAAGGGACGGACGCGTGGGCTTGCGAGGATGATACAGCATTGTCTGGGACTGCTCCGCGGAGCAAGTACAGAATATCGCTGGACAGATTCGAATGATCGAGATCTGTGATTCTAGGTCCTTGAAACGGCCGCCGATCTACAAGCCCCCATTGAACACATCGGTCCCATAATAGCTACTCTGTGTTAGTAACGTTCTCGTGAATTGCGATCTGGAGTTTCCTATAGTAGAGTCCATCTGTAGAGAACATTGGAGATCGCAGGACAGTCTCAGCTAAGTCGAGCAGCTTACGGATTACAGCCCATCCATCTCCTACTGGGTTAAAAAGAGCAGGACGGAATGGCCAAAGAGTATTAATGTTGATGAGACGTGATAGCGAGGGAGTCATCAGAGTCCAGACTCAGATGACGTGCCACTCAGCATGTGAAGATGTGGAGCCCTGGAGACATAGAAGAGATCATAGATCGAGCACTTTGCTTGCGTGTCTCCGATCTGGCTGCTCTCGCAATCATATTCATCCGCGGACCACCACACCAGAACTGCATACGCCGCTTCCCAACTTCCGGATTCTGGATTACTTTCTGTGGTGCCCGGTGGTGTGACGGGTTTCTCCGTGACTCCGAAATCTGTGAAACACTGCGCAGGAAGTTAACATAACGTATATTATCAGTGAGTGGGCCACTTTTCCACGCGACGCGCTACATCTACACATTACATCAACCTCATCCATCACCCAGAATGCCTCCTACTTTAAACGAAGCCAGGGTAATCTTAGCCATTGAGGCTCTTCAAAACGACAAAAATCTAAGCCTGCGAGATGCAGCAAAGATCTATAGCGTCAGCCGTAGTACTCTTACACGACGACGCGATAGCATAACTACACGACGCGATACAACGCCTAGGGTAAAGAAGCTTACCTAATCTAAAGAGAAGGCTATTATTCAATATATTATTGAGCTATCTAAACGAGCATTTCTACCGAGATTAAGTGATATAGAAGATATAGCCAACCAACTACTATACATACACAATGCACCCCCTGTCGGCAAGCTCTGGGCGCATCGATTCGTCAAACGCCAGCCAGCCCTCCATATACGTTAGTCGCGTCGATACGACTACCAGAGAGCTAAGTACAAGGATCCAAAGGTCATTGGCAAGTGGTTTACCCTTGTACAGAATATCAAGGCCAAGTACAGTACCCTAGATAATAATGTCTACCACTTCAATAAGACAGGGTTTATAATGGGCATTATCTCTGCGGGTATGGTAGTTACTACCTCGGATGGCCGTAGCAAGGCAAAGCTAGCTCAGCCTGCCAACCGCGAGTGGGCTACAATAATCCAGGGAGTCAATGCCCTCGGCTGGGCTATCCCACCCTTTATCATCTTGGCTGCACAGTACCACCTCGCCAATTGGTACACCGAATGCAACCTCCCAGCCGACTGGTGTATCGCGACTACCGAGAATGGTTAGACTACCAATATAGTAGGCCTAGATTAGATCAAGCACTTTGACTACTATACGGCGCCACGGACAAAGGGCAAATACCGGTTATTGATCCTCGACGGCCACGAGAGCCACCACTCGACTAAATTCGAGCTCCTACTGCCAGGAGCATCAGATCATCACACTTTGCATGCCTCCGCATTCCTCCTACCTCCTCCAGCTACTCGATGTTGGCTGCTTTGGACCGCTAAAGCAGGCGTATGGTCGCCAGATCGAGGACTTGATGCAGATGCATATCAACCATATAAGCAAGCTCGAGTTCCTCTATGGCTTCCGCAAGGCCTACTTCGCCTCGATAACAGAGAAGAATATCCAGGGTGGCTTTGCAGGAGCCGGCCAAGTGCCATACGATCCAGAGAAAGTACTTTCTAAGCTGGATATCAAGCTTCGTACACCAACACCCCCGAACTCACGGCCTAGCACTATACAGTCTTGGGTCTTCCAGACACCACATAACCCCCAGGAAGCCAACGCACAGTCAACGCTCATCAAGACCCGTATCACCAACCATCAAAATAGCTCCCCGACATCAATGTTAACTGCTGTAGACCAGTTAGCCAAGGGTACAATAGCTGTGATACATCAGATGGCTCTTCTTCGCGCAGAGGTCTCTTCGCTCCGTACGGCCAACGAAGCACTAAGCAAGCGCCGGAGAGCCAAAAGAACACGCGTACAGCTTAGAGGATCGCTTGCAGTACAAGATGCAAAGGATCTACTGGACCAGAAACCCGTAGTTGGGGAGGTAGCACAAGAAACGCAGCCGGATGGTGGTGGTGCAGGGGGGGCTCGTACGAAAGTTCAGTGCTGTGGTGTGTGCGGCAAGTCTGGCCATAATGCCCGTACGTGCCAGAAGGTTGCAGAAGGGTCTGATTCAACTGTTTCTGATGTAATTATAGTTGGTTCCTAGTGTTGATGTGTTGTAATAGAGGATAGTCGTTGTAAGGTGGTGAAAAGTGGCCCACTCACTGATATGGCCCACTCATTGATAATGTACGTTAACATGAATTACAATCAGTTGTGATATTTCCTTACAATTATCACGGGAACGTCAGAAGGGTACAGAATTGTGAGATACGGTGCTCTATTGATACAGTACGTGTGATATGTAGTGGTATGTGAGGTGTCGGTGAACGTAGACAGACGGAGTTGTGTCGAGAACCTGAAATGCGGGGGCTAAATAAGAGTCCTGGATCTCCGAAACCTCCATCCTGGTTCCGAAACCGAATCCTATTTCAACAATGATGCTCATGGCCAGAGCATAGCATCTCCAAATTGCCAATCACTTGTTGGCGAGGACGGCGTCTCTCTCCATGAACGAACCCGGACTGGGACTCCAATTGCCGCTCGACCTCAGGGAGAGAGTCCAGCGGCATCCATCTGCGAGGTTTCTGACGATAGGTCCCGGAATAGCCATATCAATGGGGGCGAACCGTACTTTGCATTCATAACCGTATGCATACCCAACCTGTATTTTCATCCTCCCTAGACCTCTACATGAGAAGCGAATGAATCAAAAGTTGCCTGTCCAAAGCGTGTTGCTCCGCCGCCCCCTTAGTCCGTCATGAAAAAAACGTCTCATTCACAACCACCCCAGAAGAGCAGAGAACCAAGGACAAAACCACCTCAGACAATGAATGGCACACACTCCCTACCGCGGAACCACCACTGACAGCTGATACGTCTCCCCAGCCTTGATGCCCGTGACCCTCGGCTCCGGCAGCACCTCACCGCCGCCGCCGAGCGAGACAGTGACATCCCCGACATCGCCGCGACGGATATCCAAGTGGAAGGTCGCGCCCCTGAACTCGCGCGTCACCTTGATCGCCTCCCACGCGCTCGGCAGCTGCGGCCGGACCACCAACCCGTCCTTGTCCCCCCTCAGCCCGCACAGGCCCTCGATCACGCACCGGTACGCCCACGACACGGTGCCCGTGTTGAACAGTTGGCTCGACCGGCCCGCCGTGCGCGGGAACTCGCGCCAGGCGCCGCGGTAGTAGTTGGGGATGTACACCGGCAGCTGGCCGCGCTGGAGATAGTCCGCCTCGCCGGGGCCGGGAAGCAGCTGGCGCAGGTGGGTGTAGGCCCTGTCTGCCTGTGCCTGTGCCGGGCGCCGGCGGTCGCCGAGCCGGTACAGGCTGTAGACGTAGAACACGGCGGCGTGGTTGTACACGGCGCCGTTCTCGGCTGAGCCGGGGGCCTTTTGCGTGACGCGGCCGATGTCCTCGCGCATCTTGGTGAAGGGCGGCGCGAACATGAGCACGCCGTAGGGGGTGGCGAGCTGGGCGTCGATCTGGGGCAGGATGCGGTCGATCTGCTGCGGGCTGGCGCCGCCGCCGAGGATGGCGAAGGATTGCGGGTTGAGCCAGATGCGGCCGGCGGGATCCTTCTGGGTGCCGAATACCACGTTGTCGTCGGTGATGCCGCGCGCGAACCAGTCGCCGTCCCAGAGGTGCTCGTTGGCTGCGCGGTTGCAGGCTTCGGCGCCGGCGCGGTAGTGCTTTGCCAGGTCGGAGGCGCCTTCGTGGTTGCAGACGTCGGCCCAGATGTTCAGCGCGTATGCGGTGGCGAGCGTGAGCCACCCCGAAACGCCCTTACCCTTGTAGCCGACCATGTTCATCGGGTCGCACCAGTCGCCTTGCGCGATGTAGCTGAGCCCGCGCTCGTCCCGTAGCTTGAGGAGCCAGTCCATTGCGCGGCTGAAGCGCTCGAAGACGGTAAAGTTGTCTCCGTTCTCGGTTCGGACGCGCTCCTTCAGCAAGCCGTAATCGCCCGTCTCGGCGAGGTAGACATCCAGGGTGACGGGTAGCCACACGCAGTGGTCAGTGTGCGGGATCTGGTTGATGTACTTGAGTTCCGCACCCTCGGCCAGCAGAATGCCGTCCGGCATCGAGCCGTTCGCCTCCTGCTGCGAAAGAGCCGTGATGAAGGCCTTGCGGGAGACATCGGGCTTGATGTAGTTCATGCCCATGTTGTCCTGCAGGTAATTGCGGGTTTGGGGGTCCGTTGTCAGACGGTTAACATCGCCGTGGTAGTAAACCTGCCGCGGTAGCCAATTGTTCACGAAGTTGTCGAGTTCCTTGTCGGGCGTCTCGATGCGCAGACAGCCGCGGCCACGGTCCATGTAGGCGGCATACTCCTCGGCGGTCCGCGCAAACGCCTCCTTACTTAGGTAGCGGTGGCGCATATCACGAATCTCGGCTTCGTCGTAAGCGGGTCCAAACATGAACCGGTATTCGCGCACACCGCCTGCTTCCAACGCAACGTGGTACTGCACCGCAGCGGTCGGGGTCTCGTAGCGCGCGTCACTGCCGCTCAGCTGCGATTCTTGCAGGGCAGAGGGGTTGTGGAGGCCGCCCTCTCCTTCGAAGGCCTGCTGGCTCGCTTCCCAGGAATCCGGCGGCGTCTCGCAGAGGAAGTACGTCTTGTCCTTGAGGTACTTATTCTTGAAGTACTGCTCCGCCTTCTGGTACGGGGTGACGCTGCTCGCAACGACGCCAACCAGATCCGAGTCCCACTCCGCCGACTGGTTCATCCATGACATGTAGCCGATGGGGAAATACGGCGTCACACTGATCCGGCGAGGGCGGCCGGAAACGTTGGTCACCTTGACGGTCCACAGCTCGGCCACGTCGTGTGTCGGCAGACCCACGGTCATCTCGACGCGGATGCCGTCGTTCTCGACCACCCAGGTAACATCACTCTTGCCTACCGAGAAGGTGAAGCTCTCAAGCTTCGCGCGGACGGGCTCATATGGCGCCGAGAACAGCTGACCGGTCTCGACGTCCTTGATGTAGACGAAGCGGCCGGGATGGTGGGCATAGTAGTTCTGCTCTGGTTGCATGAACGTCTGCGCCTCGATATTTGGGGCATGGGCGTACTTTGCTGGCTCTGGCTGCATGAATTGCGCTGTGGCATACCCGCGGCAGGTGATCTGGATCATCATCCTCTGGTTCCACAAGAAGCCGCCAGCTTTTGGCATGGCCGTGGGGCTGGCCAGCTCGTAGCGGTCCCCCTTGTCGGAGGGCCGCAGAACCGTGACTTCCTTTCCCATCCTGGTGGTCGCGTAAACTAATGTGCTGGCTGAGAGGGCGTATCGGACTTGGAGGAGTAAATGGCAGTACGATGCGTGCCAGTCTCGGATGGTCACCAGTCTCGAGGATCGAGAGTCGGGCGGAGTTGCTGGGCGCTGACGGCTGGCGTTATGTTGGGAGGTCAATTCGATCTCCGTGCCGGACTCGGAAGTCGGAATACTGTTGAATGACAATTAACGTTGAAGCCCGCGGTGAACACAAGTGACCTTGCTGTCCCAACATCGCCCTTCGCGGGGTCACAGTCCACTCAGCCGGGACAGTAGCGGTGTTAAAACAGCTCAACGCCCTTGCATTCGCCATGGTGATTGGTGCACAAGTACGTTGGGCGCGGGATCAGAGCCAGTTGGTCTTCGCTCGAAGGAACGGCGGGTAATTGTGAAATCGTATTTATCCCGCTTGGCGATGTTGCCATTGGCGTGGTTGGTGATGACGGATGCAGTCGGACGTTGCGGATGCTCCACCACAGCGGGGGATACGGGCTGACAGCATGCCGCATGCGACGCGTGGACGGTGCCATGGGCAGGTGTCGGCGCGGGGGTTGGAGTTGATCGTGAACCCTCTGACAGAATTCGACAAATTCGATGCCGGGTTCAGAGTTAGTACTAGTATCGAAGGCCACAGACTCACAGTATTGGGGCATGCCGTACTGAGCTTGGTGTTACAACGTTACCGGTACGAAATATACAACAGCCTTACAGGGGAAATCGGAACGTCGCATTTCTTGCCGGCCGATACATCCTTACGCTAAGTATCCAAGTGTGGTTGTTTACCCCGAGATTCTTCGCACTTTGAGCGTAATTCAGGCACCTTCCGAGGGATACGTTCAGGTAAGTGCGCAGGAGGAGGTTCGTATGTGCCGGCGTACCCGTCCCAATATTAGATGAACCAGGATAAATTTGAGACTGAGAGTGAGATACAAGACATCACTTGAAGTTGCTTCAAGCAGGATTAGCACAGCCGGCACAGATATCGTACACAGGAGGAGGAGAGAGGGTGAGTGAGGCGGCCTCGCTGGCTTAGTACTCCGAACTCGTAACCAACTTGCAGCTGCCAGTGCTCCAAACACATCGATGACAACTTCATGGGCTCCAACTCTCCCATCATTCTTCTAACTAAACGTTCACTCGGTTGCTATCTAAGACCCATCACTAAACAAAACTAGTAGTGGCACTGTCAGCGGCCTGAACCCGACGGTTTGGACACTGCGGCTCGCTAATCTCCCTCCCCAGCATAGTGTAATCCTTCCCTTGGCATCCACGTTGCAATCGGTTCGCTGCAGACAGAAGATACGGTTGACGATGCTGGGGATCGCCTGAGTGGGCGGTCATTTCTAACACCTGAGGCACGGCACCTTGCCTTCCCGTCAATCATCTATACGAGTTTAGGAGCCTCAAATTGAAACCATCACCATAACCTCAGAGGTGTCCCTCCAGTCCAAGAGCCTAGCATCATTTTTCATCCCTTTGGTACAGCTCAGGTAGCTACAGTATCTCTAGCCACCCGATGTAGGACTTTCAAATCCTCACGTTAATCTAGGCAAGGAAAGTTAATCGGTCACAGATATAGTAGTACTTGTATCTCATTATTAGTCTGCATGAGATCGTGATGGAGCACTAAAATCGTTAGAAGAATCGACGACACAGCTACTAATACCCCTTTCATGAACTCTTAGCGAGGGCCTCCTAGGTGATGTTCAGTCCCTTACTGCCAGACCTATTGAGAGAAAGGGTACCCCAGCCCAGGAGCTCTGGATCCAGTCCGCTGGTAGAGGAGAGCCAGTCGGTCAAATGCCGGATCTGTCAAAGCTTCCGAGTCTACTAGTTGTAGTAGTGTGCTGGTATCATGCATCCACCGATCGTCGGCTAGCGCACTGGATTATGACACTGTGGTATCGGGACTATCGTCAGTACCACTGTTAGCCAAGATACGCTAGGAGGTACCTACATAGGGGGTGCCGGTCTGAAAGCGAACTACGTACCTACCTAGGTAGCTAAGTACCTATCTAATCATTTTAATGGTCCGGATCGATAACTTGGCAGTCTTAAGTGCGGGGAAGATCTGGAAATTATGCTGCGCATTGATGAATCTTCCCGGAGTAATGTAAGATGCGCACCGGCAAGCATCTGTGTTGTGCAGCTTGTGCTCCCTGCAGCTACTCCGTAGCAGTGTTGAACTAGTAAAGATTTGACGGCTACAATCGATGAAAGCCCCAGGCCCCTTTCAAGAAACTCCGAGTGACTCGTTTCAACAAGGCACTTCGCAGATCGAGTCCGTCCTCTAGTGTGAAAGCTGAGCGTCCGATGAAGTCTCCCGCGTGTATCTTACCAGTTGCACGATGTAATTACACCAGAACAAGAGGTCGCTTCCCGATCCCTGAGGTTTTGTGTGGATTTTGCGGGGAAGGCCCAAGTGTTGCGGAGTATTACTGGGTTTGGCGAGACCTGTCATTTCCGTATTCGGTTAGTTATCTTAACTTCAGGTTCCGGTGGCACTTGCTCATCGTCGCTTTCTCACCATCACACAACTACCAAGTACAGTGGTAAGGGCTTACCGGTCTGTGGCCCTCAAAAGCAATGTTCAAGTTGCCTTACAAACTAAACTGACCATGCCAAACATAAACGAAGGCATGTTCAACTACCGCCAGGATCTGATCTTGACGGCCTAACCCAATTCCCGTGCCTGACTGCGGTCCTTGTGGTATCTACGGGGACATTGTCAGATCGCATTGGTGTCTCTCCGCTACCGCCGCTATAGCATACTTTGGTGATCTCGGTGCGATATACCAGAAGCAGTTGGTGTTCACTCGGTCCTAGATGGCACCCATTAGTGTCAAACGCTAGTTAGCTCGGCATTGGGAGAGTCCAAACCGCTGGCCCTCTCTCCTGTACTTTCCTATCCAAGCCAAGATATAGTACGATCCCGTCGGCGCCAATCCTGTCACCGGAAGTGCGAGTTCGAGCAGCAGACGGTTCAATGGACAAGAACTTCGTACCAGCCCGGCACTGGGACACAGACGAGACAGGGGAGAGAGCTTCGCTTGAAGATTGACAGATGGACAGATGCGGGGGCGGGATCCTACCTCCTTGGCGGGCTCTCAACGACAGCTTGGCAATGCGGAATTCTGGAACCGAGCTGCACGCTCGAGCATGGCCCGTACATACAATGTGCCAATGTGCCTAGTGTACCTATTCAATGGCTTTGTTTGCGACCCGAATTCCGAGTATCCCGGGTTGTGAGCCCATCCAGGAGCCCATCCATTGCAGATTGATGAATGTCACTTGGCGGTATGGTTTCACTACGTCCCGTGTATAGCCATCAGAGCGAGGCCCCCCAATCATCAATCATCAATGCAAGATAACCACTCTCAGCTTCCGTGGGGTCTGCAGTGTTGATGCAGTGTAGAACTCTCCTTGCGAGCCCTGAGGTGATGACGTGAGGTGGCTTGCAGCGATCCTGCATTTTGGCGGCTTCCCCGGCTACCGGTCAGACTTGAGCAGGGACCTTGCACGTGTAGACTAGCAGGGGAGTAAAACTGACCACGAGTTTCCACCAACTTCTCCTCAAGTCATCACTCTCATCTTCAAGCTTGGTATCCAAGGCCTCTCGTCATCTAGGCCCCTCGCCTTACCTGAGGAGGAAGGAAAGTGCGCCGACTACTAACCCAAGCCGAAGGGTCGCTCGACTCAGGAGTCAGATCTGGGCCCTTCTGGCTCTCAAGCGAGGGATCTCCATCAATACCCGTTTCCATGCTAGTGTCCTTCTGATTGCTGCAGTCAGGGGCAGGACTCAGGAGGGGTGGGTTAGTGCGAATCTGCATTTAACATGGGTGACCGTGCGGGCTCCAAAGTTCTACTAATAAACAACCTGGAACCTAGGAGGTGGTCGCACGAGCCAACAACAGCCCATCCCAGTTCAGTGGCCTTGGGCCGGGGCCAGACTGGTTCTGGACTCTCACCCCAGATTTCGGTACGGAGCACACACCTCGCCTTGGATGTCGAGGAAGTATAACTAACCCCTGCCAGCGTCAGCATGGCGAGATTTGATCAACGTCCAATTCATAAGTGGCGTCCAACAACTCCCCTGTTTTGGTTATCGTTTCTTTTTCCAACTTTAATGCAACTCTACCCTTTTTATTCTCCTTGCTGCATGCTCGCCGCTTGTCTACCCTCCGGTACTCACACCGAGGTCGCTGAGCAAGGTCTGGGGAGACCCTCCTCGATATTGTGAAGGCTCCCTGCTGCCAGTTCATGTACATATGCGGGGTCCCACCCTCCGTTGCTGCTTGCCTGTGTGCAGGTGTCCTCTTCAGATTCCGTCCAGGTCCAGCGAGCCGGGATACCGGCGACTGCGCCAGCCATGCGCGGTCTCTCAGAAGAGGAAGCGAACAGCATCATCGCCATTGAGGAGGCGTGTTCGGCGCTCTCCTTGCTGGGATGCATCTTCGTGCTGATGACGTTTGCGCTGTCCGACGCCTTCCGCCAGCGAGCTATCAACCGGCTGGTTTTTTACGCGACCTTCGGGAATATGTTGACGAACGTCGCGACGCTCATGACGACGAGATACACACAAAATGTCGATTCGCCGGGCTGCCAGTTCCAGGCATTCCTGATCCAAGTGTACGAGCACACCTTGGCCCGCCGAAGGCTCTTACTAGCAGCTCACCGCGGAACAGGTTCATGCAAAGCGACGCCTACTGGGCACTGGCTATGGCGATCAACGTGTATCTCACCTTCTATCATAAATACGACGCCAGGATGCTGCGGAAAATGGAGATCGCGTACCTTCTCTGTTGCTACGGCATCCCGTTTATTCCCGGTCTCACCTTTCTCTTTGTGTCAAACCAACAAGCCGGAAGGCCGTACGGCGATGCTGTGCTGTGGTGTTGGCTGAAGTCGGAATGGGAGGTCTACCGTATTGCCACCTTCTACGCCCCTGTGTGGTATGACCGCTGACCCTAACACAACCCGCCTGGACAAGAACTGACAAGATCAGGGTGGCTATCGTCATCGCCATGACCATCTATGTGCGAGCCGGACGTAGTATTTATCGCAAACGCCGGAGAATGGTCAACTTCAGCTCCACGGGCACCGGCACCGTCCATGGCGCCGAGCTTTTCCCCGTCTTCCCTGAATTCTCCTCAGCCTTCAACTACAAAACAACGGAGGTCACCCAAACCACCGAGATTATCCAAGCCCCGGTCCCAGCCGCCAAGGCAGGTGCCATGCCACCGGCGCCTCTGAAAGATGCCTATTCAGTCACCATCTCGGCCGATGCTCAAGCCGCCCGGGAACTCAATGCGCGCGCGTCCTCGGAGGGCCTCGACATAGAAAGCACCGCCCCGGACACCGCAACGCTGCATCCCGATCCCAACCACGACCACAAGGACCTCGGGTCTTCCGTCTCCTCGACCGGTAACCGCGCCGGTGTAACAGACTCGACTCGTCAGAATCAGATCTCGATCGCACCGACCGTCACCGCCACCGTCACCGCCACCGGCCACCACCACCATCATCATCATCACCATCAGGACAACACCCGGTCGTCGCGCGCTCGGATCCGAGCCCACCACTACCACGAGTCGTCGTCGCACAACAACGCGACCTGGCAATACACCAAGTGCGCCATCCTCTTCTTCGCCGTCCTGCTGATCACGTGGATCCCGTCGTCCGGAAACCGCGTGTACAGCCTGATCCACCGCGACGACATGTCCAAGCCGCTGTTCTTCGCCAGCGCGTTCGTGCTCCCGCTGCAGGGGTTCTGGAACGCCATCATCTACGTCGTGACTTCGTGGGCGGCGTGCAAGAGCCTGTGGGGTAACCTCTGTGGGATTGCGGGTGGGTGGGCACACTGGCTGCGCAGCGGGAGGAGGAGGAGGAGGAGGATGAGTATCGCGGAGATTGTTGATACCAGGACCGGGGCGAGGAGGAGGATGGGTGGTGGTGGTGGTGGTGGTGGTGAGTGGCAGGGAGGGGGCGGGATTGGGATGTGGGCGAGCAGGAAGGAGAGGAAGGAGCCTGAGAGCACGAGCATGGAGGACTTGACTAGGGATGGAAGGGCTGCGTGAGAGGAAGGGGGGTTGGTGTGTATAATGTGTAATGGGCCGAATGAAGTTTTGTCTTCCCTTTGTCCTCAAACTAGGTCGAAGGCTCGTTTCGTCTACGTATACTGGATACCCCTGGAAATAGTCACCTCAGTTTCATGGCATATTACTTTCTTCCCTTGACATTCCGACGGGCGTGGTCGAAGTCTTCGTTCTCTCCTTGGATGTGCGTTTGCAACGTTGCGGAGGTAAGTTACCTAGGTAGGTACCTACTAGTACTCATCCGACGTGGCGTACGCGTCTGTTTGAAGCAAGGGACCCTGCAGCGTCAGCGGAAGCCTACATACATCTCGCTGTGCGCTGGCTTTGTGTATCTGTGGGACGAACGCGTTTGCTTCCTTAATACGGCAAGTAAGGTAGGCGATGCCAGTTGGCAGCTATGATGGTGTCCTACGTGTATGTGCTGTACAATATGTTTGAACCGAACTCACCAAAATCCCAGCTGAATGACTACCTTACATTACCTCCGCTTAACCTGGCGAAAGGGAAAACATGAAACCTGGAATTGAATGCTTTATGGCTAACTCCGTGCGTGGTAAAACAAGCCAGATCATATCAGGATACGTCAACACGAATTAAAGAGTGATGATGAGCTTCGGGTGCGTAGTAGCAAGGGTTCCGTAAGATTCCTGGGCCTGCTCTGTCTGCACGACGCGTTCATCTCATGTATTGTACACTTATACTATGGCTTTGACAACCACAACTAGGTTGCTTAAGGTATGTAAGAGCGGTACCTAGGAAGTATTGATATTACTGGTCCCTCGGCTGCCAACAGACCGCCTGAGGGCAGCCACTCAATTTGTTGCTTCAGTTAGGTACTTTGCCGCCTGCAAAGCCTCTATTATGCTGTTTGACCTTTCTTTTCCAACCACCCAACCGACTTTGACTTTCTACTAGTAGTAGTAATACACCTCTACCGGCCTCCTGCCCCCATCTTTGCTCTGACCAAACCTCTACCTCCCATCCAGCAGTTTCCTTGCGAAGGACTCAACATGAATGTGTCGATTGTCGAGTCTGCTGCATCCGCAGCATCGAGAAAGTCGCTGGAATTTGCTATAAACCACGTATTTCTCCCACCGAGGACCCCTCTGGAAGATGATGTGAGCATCCCCGACGAGCACACGCTCATAAGTGTCTTCCTTGAATCGATCAAACAATTTGCGAAGGACAATCCTCTCGCGGGGTGTGACCGGCTCGGACCGACCATCCGAATGATCGAGCGGTTGCTCAAGGTAAAGCCTGGACTGGATGAGAATGCGAAGGAGGCTCTCTTGCGACGGGTGATTCTTGAGCTAGATGAGGGCGGTATGTACCTACTAATAGTATTAATCATTGGTTTTTCCATTCCTTCTCGCTGACAACCGACACTGACACAACGAACGATCCCCAGAATACGTCTTGCTTCACATGCGAGCTCAGAATGCTGGCCTGCTTCTCACGGGCCGTCGAGACGACATCTTGGTCGAGGCTTTCGAACTTCTAGCACCCAACGAGGACGTCATGTCATGCGAGGGCCGCCTCGTCCGGCATTTCCCAGACTGCGCTGCTGCTATGCGCAGGGCGATGCTGCATGACTCTGATTTTCTCAACGAGTTCACCAACGTGCTTCGTCAGCTGGAGCTCCAGGCGTCCTCCGTCAGTCTTCCCAAATCTTCAAAATCTGGGGCGAAACACGACGAGGAGCGCGACACCAACTCCCCATTTCTCGTCACTGACATGCTGATGGGCGTCCTTGCCGGACTCGAAGGCAGCCAAGGCGTTGATCCTGTGCGGATTTGCAAGAGAAGTCGGGAACAAGTGGCCTTCAAGAAAGCTCGTCTTCCCTTTCACAGGTCGTCGACATGGCTGCTTCTGCGGGTTGCTCTACGCTTGGTGCTGGACCGAGGCAGGTCTGCAGATACGGACGCATCTCCTTACAAAGCTCTCGTCACTTTCCACCACGGTCGTCTTCTAGAGCAGGCTTGCCAGTGCGGGCTCGGCGCTGATATCAGGTTTACCATGGGGGCCAAGATAGTCCGTCGGATCAGCAAGCTCGATCCTCGACACAACGTTCCCTGGCTGCAGCGAACCCAGGAGATCATTACCGCGAACAGTGACGAATTACAGCGGCAATGGCAGATGGTTCAGAAAGAACATGTCACAATCGAGGAGAGCCGTCTCAAGAACCTTTGCTTCCAAAGCGATGCTACGCTTCGTTTGGCCAACTTGGAACAACATCTTTTGTGGATCCAATCGCGATCTATGAACGCTCGGGACACAGCCGGACCCGGCGACGAAACATCGTACTCTCGATTGCCTTCGGACATTCTACCCAGTTTTGGTCACTTCCCTGCCATAGACCGGCAAGGTTTTGTTCTCATCGAACTGGAGTCGTGGATCGAGTCGAATCTGTGCTCTTGGGTCGACAGCCGGTTGGAGCTCTACAACAGCAGGCCTGCCGAGGCGGAAGGGGATCTCTCGAAGCTCCAAGACCTCATGACTATGTACCGTAACAGCGCCAGTGACGCCTACACTGGGAATCCGGAGGCCCTGTCCGTGATGTGCTTGACTATCATGGATCTGTGGGTCGCTCTGGACAGAATCGCCGGGAAGACCACGCCCTTGCTTCTGGAGTACGACCCAGGCTTCACCCCGGACTTCCTGCACGGCTTGATCCTGCCAACTCGAACGCAGATGGCCCGCCTACAGGCCGTTGAATTCTACCTTGCGCGGAGGCGGCGAGCGGCCAGGAACGGATATCCCCACGCATTTCAAGGGTGCGGGGACCAGACATCGTTTGCAGTTCGCTACTTCGATTCGTCCTCGGAGCACAGGGATCTCTTGGACGTGATCCAGGCTGAGGCAGAGCGCCTGGAGGCCGAGAAGCGTGAAGAATGGCGCAACAAGCGGAAGCAGTACGAGCTTCTGTGCGCTGAAAGCCATCGGTCTGAGCACGAGCGGAAATGGGACGACTGGCTAAATCGGCGGGTGTGCATTGGGGGATGCACGGCCTGTCGGCTGCAGTCGCAAATGGATGGCTTGAGGATCGACATCTTTGAGCGGCCCTTGCCAGACAACCCAACGCTGTCCAAGGCCGTGGTGTTCGAGATAAGCGTCCCCGAGCCGGTCGTTATTTGGCGGAACGTAACCACGGACCTCTTTCTCGATGTGTTTCTTCGCCCCGAGAGGAGCACGCAGGACAGAGAAAGCCGACTCTGGCTGGCAGCACGCCATTCCGGCTTACGTGCTCACACTACCAGTACGAGTCGCGTCCAGCTAGCGTCTGAGATCAAGCCATTTGTGGCATCTCACTACTGCAGCAAGCACATCAATGCGGTCAACGAGGCGGATGTCTGCATCCGGCACGCGGTGGCGAAGTACGACTACTACGAAGCCGACACCCAACTAGTATTGTACACAGAAGTGTTCCAGGAGCCCTGTGTTCCGGCCAAGTGTTCGTTCGCAGAGCATCAGGCTGGGTCGCCCCTGGACGCGTGGACACGGTCGACGTCGCACACCTCCAATGACGTGATTGCATCGCAGTCGACCTGCCCGCCGGCCATGTCTCTTGACGAGTTCAGGGCATTTGGCCACCTCAGGTCCGGCGTGCGCTTGCAGTGGGCGAACGTGCTGTGCCAGCTGGAAAACCCGTCACTCAACTGGAACCGCGACTCGACGTTCTTCCTGGTCCTGCAGACGTGTCTCGAGGCAGGGCCTCCCAGCAGCAGCAGTGACGACTCGCCTCTCCGAGAGGCCCACAAGGACCTCCTGGACGATCAGCTCGTGAGCCGCCTGCTCGAGGCGCTGACTCGGGCGCTTGAACGGTTCCGCGAGAACTGGCAGAACAAAAATGCGGTCACTCTGTTGGCTTGTCTCGCATCGCGCGTCTTGTCACTGAAAAAAGCGTCCGACACGCGCACTGGCTCATTGCTGGCGTTCCTCTCCGAGATCAGGAGCGTGGCGGTCCGGTGGGCCAGACAGCTGCGGAAGAAGGTGGCGAGCTGCAGTGACGCAAACGTGCGGCGGGAACTGGACGAGCGGGTGTTGATGGCCGCGTTGATTTGCATGTCCACCTTCGACATCGCTCGTGAACATCTCGCGTCTGTCCTGAGTTCGCCAGACAGCCTCGCTGTTTTTGTCGAAGCTGCTATCATCGCCCACGATCACACGCCGGCTCCTACTAGCACCGACGATGCGTCTAATCCCATCTTGGTCTTCCTCACACGTCGATGGCGCGTGGCCATGCACAAATCGCTAGCGATCGTCAAGGGAGAAGTCGTGAAGAAGGATGGGAACCCGGGGATCCATGCAGCCATTCGCCGGTTCTGGGCAGATTACTCGCCGCCGGACTCTCGGTGGTCCGCGGGCAAACAGGAACACATTTTGGATGGTTGCATGACCCGGGAAAAAGACAGTCCCGTCAAGATCAGCCTCAACCTTCTTCACGGTCGTCTTCTCGTTGACGGATATCCTCTTTCCCGCCTACCCCAGGAGTATGAATGCCATCCAACCTACCAGCAACTCTTCGGGAACCAGATCTTGGAGGTCATGCCGTCGACCCGCAAGGGCATGCAATTTTCTGCCTGCCACGAGCAGCAGGGCTGGGTGGTGCATTTTGCCAGGGTTGCCTCTGAGCTGGTGATACAAGCCGTCTTGCAGCTTGACGACGACGACGACGCCGCCGAAACAGACTCGCGCAAAGAATGCGAGTTCATTCCTTCTTCAAAGCTTGGAATCGATGTGCCTGCGTCTTTCAAGAGGGACTATTCGCATTGGTTGGACCTTGCCACGCAAACCATCGAATTCCGATCCGCAAGCGAGCCTTGGGCATCCTCGCCGAAGAGCTGGTTTCTCGTCCAAGAGGGCGAACGCAGGGTGCTCTCGCGTGACGGGCGCTACCTGATCGACCCCCATAGCTCTACGGGGGAGGCATTGTCAGGGGCTTTACGTCCCATTGAATCAAGAGAAAACGTCGACATTGTGTTCCACTCTGCCGACAGCATGGTTGCCGTGGATCTCCCAAGGTTTTCTCTCTCGTTCACCCTGGGGGAAGGCAAGTCCCACATAACTTCCAAGCATTATTCCGGCATGGGCATCGACGAGTGCCAGAGCATTGGCGCACTGGTGGGACTACAGAGCAAACTTGTTCTGCGAGAGGAAGGCGTCCCGGCCTGCTCTACACCGCGGAGGATCGTTCTCGTGCCGAGGGGCCGGCTTTCGTGGAACAAGACGGCTGACCATGTCAGTGTGAGCGTCGCCACTTCCGAGTTACTTCGCGTGAAGCATGACGCCTTCACCGTTGGCTCGATGCTCGGCCGGATATCAAGCATGGGGGCGCTGTCCGGCAAATTCTACCTGTGCCTCCTCCACGCGGTCACTTCCCACTGCCTTCCGGACCCGCTTACATGCAGGACAGGGACAGAGGAAGCCCTGAGAATCTTGAGCTCTGCGTCGGTCCGGTCTTTCCAACAGCTGGACGTGGAATCTTACAACCTACTGCGCGAAATAGCGAGCATCTCTCCCCAGCGGATCTACTATCCTAAAGAGCTGAAGAGCATGGAACAAGTGATGTGGTCAGACAGCCTCCCAGTGTTGTCGCAGGCCGAGGCCTTTTTCCCAATGGTTGATTCCATCGTTCAGCACGCAGAGGACTGCAAGCGGTTGCAGCAAAACACTAATAGGGAGTCAGCCAATCTCCCTAGTACTAGTAGTTTTGTGCCTTTCGACCATAGTAGTAGCTCACCCTTGCTGGTCCGCCGGGCCAAGATCAGAAATGCCATGTTCCGGGTCTCTGAGTTTGGCGCGGAAGATCACACCACGGAGCTGGACCGTCCGTATCCAGGACGACACGGCCACGGCCACGGCCGTGGCACACAACAAGGCGAGAAGCTGGAGAGGACCAGGCTCGTGACAAGGTGCATCATGTCCGGCCGCGCCAACCTCGTGGAGCGCCCGTCCGATGATGGATTGCGCCAGGCCATTCTCGGTATCGCTGGCACCACGTTCCGTGGTTACGGTTTCGTTGGCGTCGACATCACCTTCAAGCTCGATTACCTCCAGCCGCACTCCCATTCCCAGTCGCTGGCCGGTCTCTGGTTTGGGCTGCACCGGGACATCCTACGAGAGCCGAATAAGTACAAGATCGCCTTCTTCCTCTCCGCCCTGATGTATGCCGAAGAGGCGAGCTGGGACGTCGTGCAGGCATTGATGGCCTTTGCCACCGACCGCTGCAGGTTCCACGCCAAGGTCACGCCGCCGACGGAGGAGCACTTCAATTTGGCCTATACAAAGTCGACGATGCCGTGGCGTGCGAAGGAGATTATCGAGAGCTGTCTGAAAGGGTTTCAACAATGCCCCGAGGCCAACATGCCGCGGCTGTCTCACGAGGGGGAGAGCACGGCCGCTACTAGACGCCGCGAGGCCTGGAAAGCTCGGTCGACCCAACTGGCGAGCATGTTCGCTTCGGAACTGGAAGGTCAGTGGAGGTGCAACTGGTGGAAAAGCCCGCCGTGCTGGACAGTGACCGAACCCACGGGTGACCAGTACGCCTCCTACACGGATGTCGACGCAATCATGCTCGAGGTCAACAAGGCCCTGCTCCTCGTTCGGGGGACCGAAGCATTCAACAAGTACTTGGACGACCTGATCGGGGAGCTGAATCGGATGAGCCCGCTGTCGTGCGCGGACTTTGAGCAGCAGAAACGGACGCTCGACTCCCATGACGGTCCCGTGGAGCCGGAGGAGGAACGAGTGTTGCGGCCGGGGTTCGTGAGAGCTAGTGCCCTGTTCTCCCGGCGCGCTCCGTCGACACAACGTCCTCAGCCGGCGGACTTCACCGAGCTCTACGACCGGGTGACGCAGACGGCCGGGGACAGCAGTCCGTTGGATGTCCTTCTCAATCGGCTTTCTGCGCTCTGCGGTCAGAAGCCGTATCAGATGGCGTACATTGACGAACTCCGTTGCAGTTCCAGCAGCATGGCCACCTTTCGCTACCAATTAAGACAGGAACTTGGGGGTCTGATGACCACTTTCGAGGACTACCTTCTCCAGTGCAAGCGGACGGCGGAGGAGATACGCTGCAGCATCCACGAGACACTCGCCGGAGAATCTATCAGCGACGGCTTGAGCCAGGCTGCCGCTCTGTATCCTCGCATTTCGCCGGTCTTCCTGCTCCAGCGTCTCACGCGCGGCTTTTGGGAGGACCTCCCGACGGACTGGCGCGTGTGTTTGGTCCACTACGGCCTGTCCCTGGCGTACCTGCAGCGGGCGGAACGGCTACTAGTCAATGCCAGTAGACATCCGGACCGATCAGGGGATCTTCTCAAGGAGATACTCAACACGGGCAGCCACGCATCCGAGGACGGCGATCCCCTGAGCTTCCCGGAGAGCCTCGTCCTCGAGCTGGAGCAGGGCATCCTCATTCGTCCCGTACAGCGGGGGATTGCCGCCAAGATGCGAAGTCCGCCCGGGGGAAGCAACTCGGTCATGCAGCTGAACATGGGCGAGGGCAAGTCTTCCGTCATTGTCCCCATCGTGGCCGCCTCGCTCGCCGACGGCAGCCGTCTCGTCCGCGTTGTGGTGGCCAAGCCGCAGTCCAAGCAGATGATGCACACCCTCATAGCCACGCTGGGCGGGCTGATCAACCGTCGTGTCTTCCATCTCCCAATCTCGAGGGGAAGCCGTCTGGGCAGCGCCGATGTCGAAGCTGTGCAACGGATGCTCGACACCTGCAGGGAAGAGGGCGGCGTGCTTCTCGTGCAGCCGGAGCACCTCCTGTCCTTCAAGCTCATGTGTCTCGAGAGCACGTGGGCCGACCGCTCGCGGAGTGAGCGTCTGGGGAAACAGATCCTGGACGTTTACCGCAGGTTTGAGGACATCTCCCGGGATATTGTGGACGAGAGCGACGAGAACTTTAGCGTCAAGAATGAGCTTGTCTACACCATGGGCTCCCAGCAACCCATCGACATGAGTCCTGAGCGCTGGACAATCATCCAAGAACTCATGGACGTCGTACTAGAGGTCGCTAGGAGGCTGACAAGCGGCCCTGACGCAGGGACGGTGAGCGGACTGCTTTTGGAGGAGGAGGATGGGACGAGTGGGCGGTTCCCTACGATCCGGATCTTGGAGGAAGCAGCGTCGAAGAGCCTGGTGAACGCCATCGCCGAGCGTGTGTGCCACTCGGGGCTGCGAGGGTTCCCGATCCAGTACCAGTCGAAGCACATGCGGCAGGCGGTGCTGGAATACATCCTCCAACCGAACCCGACCCCCCAGCAGGTAGCCGCAGTCGAGAACGCCAGCAGCGGGTTCTTCAGCGAACAGGCCACGAAAAATGCGCTTTTTTTGCTCCGAGGGCTGCTTGCAACCGGCGTGATCAGCTTTGCGCTGGGCCAGAAGCGTTTCCGTGTGAACTACGGCCTAGCCGGCCCTGACCGAATCCCGCCGACTATGCTCGCCGTCCCCTACCGGGCGAAGGACTCGCCGGCGCCGCGCTCCGAGTTCAGCCACCCAGACGTCGTCATCGTCTTGACATGCCTCAGCTACTACTACCAGGGTCTGTCAGACAACGAACTGCGCACCAGCCTGGAAGCGCTGAGCAAGTCGGACCAGGCGGAGCAGGAGTACAGCAGATGGGCCGCCGCCGCGTCTCCCCGGCTCCCCTCGTCCCTGCGTCACTTCTCGGGCGTCAACCTCGAGGACGACGTCCTCTGCAAGCAGAGCATCTTCCCAGCCGTGCGCTACGCAAAGCCCGCCATCGACTTCTACCTGGCCACGGCCGTGTTTCCGAGGGAGATGCGCGAGTTTCCGTCCAAGCTCTCGGCATCGGGATGGGACCTCGGCAAGGGCAAAAGCACCGGTTTTAGCGGAACAAACGACTCCAAGTATGTGCTCCCGCTTTCGGTGACGGCGCTCGACCTCCCCGAGCAGCGGCACACCAACTCGTCGGTATTGGCCTGCCTCCTCCGGGACGAGAACAAGGTTCAGGAGCTCGGAGTCGGGGGCGGTGACGACCAAGCATGCGGCCCCCAACAAGCGCTGACGGTCGACGCGGTGCTCGCGGCCGTGGCCACCACCACCACCACCTCCTCCTCCTCCTCCTCCTCCTCCTCCTCCTCCCAAGAACCGATGCGTGTGATTCTGGACGTGGGAGCCCAGATCGTTGAGCTCAGTAACTTGCAGGTTGCAGAGCGCTGGCTGCAATTGGTTCCAGCCGGGGAGGCGGACGCGGTGATGTTCTTCAACGACCAAGACGAGCTGTCTGTGCTCACCCGCAACGGCATTGTCGAGTCGCTCCTCGCCTCGCCCTTTGCAACCCAGACAGACCGCTGTCTGGTTTTCCTTGACCAGGCGCATACCAGGGGTACCGACTTGAGGCTGCCCGACTCTTACCGCGCAGCGGCCACCCTCGGACCCGGGGTGACCAAAGATACGCTCGTTCAAGGTAGGTTTAGGGATCTTTCCTTTACGCTTCCATTATTTATTTTCTTTGTTCCCTTTACTTTCTTTATATTTTTATATCTCTTATACTTGCTTTATTTTATTTACTTTCTTTACTTTCTTTACCTTCTTTACTTTCTTTACCTTCTTTACTTTCTTTACTTTCTCCCCTCTTTTTTTTTCTTTTCTTTTCCTTTCTTTATTATAAAACACCTAGATACCGTATACTTTCCAGGTGTCACAGGAGCTAATTCACTGTACCATTCCAAAACAGCCTGCATGCGAATGCGAAAGCTCGGCCAGGGCCAGTCGGTCACCTTCTGCATCTCATCCGAGATGAAAAAGCGAATTCGGAAGCTTGCAAACGTCGAGGAGTCCCGAAAGCTCACCGTCAGCGATGTCCTGGTGTCCGCCATCGCTGAAAGCTGGGAGGATGCCTACCGAAGCCTGCCCCTCTGGGCTACACAGGGAATCCGCCACCAGTACCAGGAGATCGTTTGGAGTAGGGTGGACAGAACGGGTGAACTTACAGTTGAGGATGTGGAGGAGTACCTCGAGAACGAAGCCCAGACGCTCAAGCAGAGGTATGACCCTCTGGCGGAGGCGAGCGGCGGCAACTCGCAGAGCGTCAGCGCCCGACTCCGCGCTGCGCTCAAGTTGGACGCCCGCCACGAACAGGTAACCAGAATCAGGGACAAGTGCGTCGAGTTTGGGCTCGCCAACCTCGACGCCATGGGCAACCTGCAGGAAGAGCAAGAGCGCGAGCTGGCCCCGGAGGCGGAGAGCGAGCGCCAGATCCAGCGGCCGCCTCCCCAAGAGCCAGCCGTGCACCGTCTGCACGCCGACGTCCGCGCCTTCGCGCTCTCCGGCGTCTTCAACCCACAGAGTCCGGCCTTCCTCCCGGCCTTCCAATCGCTGGAGACCACCAGCGCGGCCGCACTCTTCAAGTTGCCCCTGGCCAATTTCCCCAGCGAGTTGCTCGTGACGGCCGACTTCGCGCGCACCGTCAGCGCCGAGTTCGACACCAGGGGATCCTCTTACTCGGACGCCTACCAGCGACCCGTCCAGTGGCTGCTCACCCAGTCCAGCCCCGCCGCGCGGTACGGCATGCACATGGTGATCGTCAGCCCGTGGGAAGCGAACGAGCTCAAGGGCCTTCTCCTTAGCAGTAGTAGTAGTACTAGTAGTACTGTTACCACTACCACCCAGGCATCACCACGACCGCCACCATCATCAGGTGCTGCTGCTGTTGTTGGCCCAGTCCAGCTGCGCGCCTACCTCCCACGCGCCAGCCTCTCGTACCGTTCCATGGAAGACCTGAACATATATACAATCCCGTCGAGGCAGTCTCCTGCTCCACCACGGGACCTGGTCCGCCAACTCAACCTCTTCTCTGGCCAGCTGTACCTGCGCTCTTACCAGGCCTACGTCCGTCTGTGTCGCTACCTGGGGCTGTCGTACAGACCCAACGCTGCGTGGGATACCGACTTGCCGGCCGACGGGTTTGTGGGTCGGGCCGGGGGCGGAGAGGGATATGAGGAGTGCGGGTTCGAGGAGGCCAGTCCGATGGCGTTCCTTAGGGTGTTGTTTAAGCGGGTGAGGAGGGACTGTGTCGTGGATGGGCAGGTGGAGAGGACCCATATGGGGAGGGTGTTAGCGGGGGAGATTTTGAGGGACGCTGACTTTGAGGTTATTGGCAATGAGGAGGAGGAGGAGGAGAAGGAGTGACCGGATGAGCTGTGAGACGGGATGTGTGTGGATGTGACTGGGCATTGCAACATGTGTCGGATACTTCGCAGTGGGCGCCTAAGGAGAACGGAGGAAGCTGACTTTGGGGCTTGGTTGTGCTTATCTAGAGGAGGACGGTGCTTAATGGCTTCTGGCGATGGACACGGGTCTGAATGGGCGCCGTTTTTCAAGTAACATGCATTACTTAAGTAGGCGAGTTGCCTGGGCTCTCTTTGCAAGTGGATTGTCCCAACTGTTCGAGACGAGCAGGCTTGGTCAAGGTGTGTTCTCTACGTTGACGTCTTGCTCCAGTCCGCTGCTAGGCTGCCGTAGTCAGCGTCGTTGTTCTGAGCTCTTCTCTTGGGTTACGGTGAACAGAGAGAAAGCGAGGAAGGAACGCTTTCACTTGATTTACAGGGGAAACCTCCAAACGACATCGAGCACCCATCGGATGCCGCAGCGGCACAGACACGGGAAGTCCATTTAGCGCCGAAGTACTCCTTACATCGTCGTTGTATACTTGGGGATGGCTGCCCGGACTGACAGGTAACAGCGGCGGACCCCCAAACTGCCGTGCAGGTATGGCAGGGCTCTACGCCGCAGGGACGCTCGCAGCTCGGACTTGAGAAACCTAAACCTGTCGAAGGTTAGTTGTAGAGCCTGGGCATTTCGCAAGTTGCATCTAAGCTGAGACTTCCCGCGGTCGATGGTAATTTCCGGCGTGGTAGAAAACAACAGAACCGTGCATGGAGGGTGGTCCAGCCATGGGGAGGCAGCCGGTATTTCATCCCTTCGCCTCTCCCCGTCCGTTTCTGTTCTCTCTTTTAGCGATCTGTATGTGCGGGTGAGTCCTCATTGCCGTGGCATACACCACCTCCAACCAGTTGCGATATGGCCTCCTTGTCGTCAGCATGGGCCCCGAGCTCGTCGCCGGCGCCCCCGAGGAGACCGCGCATCAGCAAACGAAGCATGGTGGTGGGCCTCCGCTCGTTGCTCCTCATGGCTGCCCTTCTGGTGTCGAGCGTCTCCAGTCAGCTACTTGAGATCGGCAAGAAGCCAGGCTTCCTTTTCCCGGTCGACGGCGAGAAAGCCATCTGCTACGTGTCGGACACGGTGCTGGCCACATACTACAGCTTCTATGACGCAGCAACCTTGTACATCTTTTGCAAGCCCGGAACTGGGCAGCGAAGTCAGTCTCACAACAAGAACATCACCAAATCAACTGGCATAGCATCCTACCTGTATCCATGGCCACCCCGCTCGTCGTCGTCGCCGTTGTTGTTGCCGTCTCTCTCGGCGGATGGTCGGGGAACTCCCAACCAACGGCAGGCAACTCAGGGTTGACATCCCAGGTATCCTCGTTCAGCTTCGGCATTTTGGACGAACTATAGACAACAAGAGCCACGATTCAGACAAAATGAGAGTCACAGTTCAGACAACGAAAGAGTTACGAAGTCAATTGAGAAAGATTATGAAGAAATTCTCTACAAGTAGACCGCATTCTCTGATGAGGTAGGAACGATGGAGGGTATTGCCCTTAACAAGGTAGGAGCACTGGAGGGTTTTCCTCTTGACGAGGCAGGAGCTGGACGGGAGAACACGACAACCTGGGAAAGGGCGACCATAACGAACTGGCGGACCAGGCCATCCGACATTTGGCCCGTGACCAGTGTATCTCCCATTCTGTAGGAGAAGTTGATGCCGTTGAAATGGAGGCCAGACGACAACGCCACGAATTGAGATCCCGTACCCCATTCACCTCGGGGATCTTGCGATGCTGGCACAGGAAGGTCGGCCACTGAAGATGGAACCCAAATGGGCTGGGCCATTCGCGATCGATCAACGGAAAGGCCGTGTCGGTTATACTAATTCAATCATTCGGAAGTCATTTTCATTCGCAATAATAGAAGGCTCCAGTGCAAGTCAACGCTACCCCACCGTTCGTCTCACTCATCTTCGTCTTCTTCGTCTTCTTCATCCGTCGCCATACCGTCCCCATCCTCCTCTCCCAACTCGATGGGGTCGATAACAGAACACAGAGAGTCCCATTCAAAGGGCTTGTCAATTTGGATAACTCGGTCGCACTCTGGTTCCGGCATCGACAAGTGAGGCACCAACTCCCGAATTGGCCCAGCACCATAGGCCGGTACTGCCTGCCTCGATGCTACCGGCACGTAGTCCTGTGGGTTGACCTCCTTCCAGTCTTTGCCAATCCAGCCAGCCAACAAGGCTGTCCTTGGTGTGAATGTACAGCATCGACCCAGAGCCGCGCATGGAGGACAAGCCTGAGTGCGTGGGTCGTATTTGCATGTGGCTCCAGCGGGGATGTCTTCGTTCTTTATGATGAGGCGGGTGTCGGAATGACGGTGATCCAGCGCATCATCTGCTTCATGTGATCGACTTCCAGCTTTTGGACTGTTGGTCTGGCGCCCCTGACGGCCAGGGGTCGCCAGAATCCTTCCGGAGCCTCGGGATAATCTTCTCCGCGAACCAGCTGGATCAATGCCATAGCCCTCTGGTAAAGCTCTTCCACCGCTGTAGCATCGCCAGCTCTCAGGCCCTTCCGTGCCTTCCGGATCATCCGCCAATGTGCTTGTAGTCGAGCGGTAAACCATTCATCCTTGGTATGATGCTTCCACTCTACCCTAATGCCGAGCGCGTTTGCCGCGCCAAAGTCCCTGTATCCGCCTACCGCTGGGAGCCCAAAGTACGGAGTGGGGTGTTCTCCGTGATCCATACACTAGAGCACGAGGGTGAGGAACGAGGGTTTGTTGGAAATCTCGCGCTCAACTGCCTGGCGAATCCGTAATGCTAGCGTGTGCGAGACCGAGATAGACAAACGAACATTGCCACGGCCGACCCGATAACCGGTAAAGTGGGCTTTCAAACCATCATTCCTTTCCTTCCAGAAAGACATCACCAACCGACCGACTGTTTTGCCGGCCTTGTCGGGGTGCGGCCGATACATAGACTGAACTAGCATCGGAACTGACAGAGCCAGAGCTGAGGTCATACTGGAGAAATAGAAGCCATCGACCTCGAATAGCGGGCTGGATACATTGGTACCCCAACGTACCCGCCAGTTGGGCTGGAAGCCGGTCGCGCGACGAACGTCCCTTTCGATCCTTTGGAGTATACGGGCACTGTACCGTAGCATCCATGCTCACCAATGTGTTCAGCCATGGCGCGTAGGTCTGCAACATCAACATGATTGTTTGTTCAGCCATACGCTTGGGTTCAGGCGTCCCACCAGTTTTCAGCCCCTCGGTGCCAAACTGAGACATCACAATGAAGACGTGACGTCCGTTTGCGGGAGCCCTGGAAGCAACGTCGTAATGGGTTGGTCGGAGAGTGTTCCTGGGATTTGCCTGACATTTGACAATTCCATTCTTGTGTTCCCCATCTCTCCGCTGGGCATTAATCGTAAAGCCACAGTAGGCACCCATATCGTCGCTCGCCGTTTGATTCGGACCGAGGTCAAGGTTGGTATAGGCTCTCACGTAGACGACCGAGGTACCGTCGGGTGGCCAATCGCTGCTTTGCTTGTCGCACCGGTCAATGAGGCCACGGAGCGTCTAGTTCGGCAGTTGCATAGCCTGACGAAAACTCGGCCGAAACACTAGGAAGTCCCGTCGTCAGTACTGGTGTAGTGTCAAGCAAAGACTAGAGACAGGACCGTTCATAAGTTGGAGTGTCTTACACCTGGTGCACATCTTATCGACGTTGTTGTAGAAGTATGCATCGTCAAACACCCTGCTTGCGATATCTGGGCGGAGGCCCAGACTCTCAAGGTTCGCCCGCTGTGCCCTGATAGGGAGCCATAAGGTCCTCACGTATTGATCAAAGATTGTCCCCCGCCGACTCCATTGTCTCACCTCGGAACTCAGGGGTGTTACCTCCGACAGGGCGCTCAAAGCAGCAAGCTTCTCCTGCAGCGGCCAATATCTGACTCAGATTCTGAGGTGTCTCTGGGATCGCCGCTAGATCGCAATGTCAAATCAGCATCTGGAATAGCCCGCACAAAATGGAGCTGTGGGATAAGTACTGACCGTAGAAGCCCGTTCCATATCGCACAAGGTATACTCGATGCAATCTCTCCTGCGGGTACTGCTTGGTGCCCATCGAAATTCCCTTCTCGCCACTCTTCAAGTGAACGCAATCTTCGGCCTCCTTGCACTTGGCAGGGAGTGGTTTAAGACTTTCGCTCTGATATCGGTAATCGGTCGAGACAATGACGGCCCTCCAAGTCTCGATCGGTGCACACCCCCCGTCCCGAGATCTCTGAGCCTCAAGGCCGCCCGCGGATGATTCTGATCCGAGCTCGGACATGATGGTCGATGGGCGGTTAAGGAGTGGAGAGGTGACAAGGGAAAGCCCGATTTTCTGAGCAGAGAATTGATGTGTGTGAGGAGGGAGAACTGAGTGGGAATTGGAATGTGGATGGATGATGGAGAGTTGAAGAGGGGGAGGCGACCTTTTTATAGACGAGGGCCCAGGCAGGGAGGCGCAATTGCTACGACGTCTGAGTGAAGATGAAGCATTATGTGCAAGGCTAAGTGACTCATACCAAGTATAGTCATAAGGTCACTTGTTCACAGAAAAGTCAAGATGAACGGCCACTTAGTAGGTTATAAGGTGTTACAGGTATGATTGGTCACCTGGCTATAGCAGAGTTGAGATGATGGGTCATTCGCAAGGCCTGCAAGATCATATAGATGTGGTCATAAGCTCACTTCTTGGGCGACGGCAGCGGCGGCAACAACAACAACAACAACAACAACAACAACAACAACAACAACAACAACAGACCACCACCTGATCACGGATCGGCGGGCGTGGGGCCATACCACCACGAGGTCCGCGACAAGGCAGCCGTAAAGTGGCACTATGATACGAGGGAGCTCGGCCAGGTCAATTACCCGACAGAGATTGCCACGTCGAATTCGGCGGGAGAGCTGGGACGGACGCACCAGGAGATGGAGGCATGACGAGAGTTGTTAGGGTACTCCTGGCGGACCGTGTTGGCAATGGTGGGAATAGCGCGGCGCAAACGGGCTGCTCTCGTGGTTGATGGTTCTTGCCGATATCGTAGGGTTTTCCGTCTTGGACATCCACCGCATACACGTACTTTTGGCCTGAAAACCTGTGGTGTCCGAGTGAGAAGTTTTGGATAGGTATTTTCTATCAGCAAGTTTTTGTACAATCGTTGCCGGATTGCTTTCTACCTTTCAGGATTCCATGTCCGGGTGCTTGTTGCTGTTCGATCCCGATCTGATAACGCTCGTGTTCGTATCGGATTCGGATAGCTGCATATATCCGAGCCGTCGGAATCCCAATGGAGCGCCAAGAAAAGGGGTCCCGATCTCTCAATGGGCTGGCGATTTGAGCATGCCAAGGCCCTAGAAAGGCGCAAAACTCGGAAACGGGCAGTTCCGTGGCAGCAGGCGACGAACCACAAACGGGCGTTCGTCTGGCCACTGCAATTTTACCGGAGTGGGGTCAAAATAAAACCGAGGGGCCGAGTGAAAAAAAGAGACAAGGGCATCGCCGTCGGCATTGAGTGAAATTGAACGATTCGGAACCTGGAAATTCAGCGACGCGACAGCAACAACTCTGCCTTTCATGAGCTGCTCACCACCCTAATCCGGCACGATGGACACCGCGCTCGACATCCTTGATCCCCTCGTCTTCGACAAGGCCTACGCCTACTTTGTTCCCGCCAGGTCCGTACAGCCAAATGCTACAGCCCATGGCGCGCTCGGCCTGGGCCGCTTCAGCTCCGACTTCGCCGCGGCATCCGGTTCCCACGGCTCAGCATGGGCACGCGACAACATCCTGCGCCAATGCATCTCGATCATGATCATCACCCAAATTGGCGCGACGTCGCTGTACTGGATCTTCAGCGCGCTGTCGTACTACTTCATCTTTGACCGGAGGCTGGAGTACCACCCGCGCTTCCTGAAGAACCAGGTCCGGCAGGAGATCGTATCGTCCATGAAGGCGGTGCCCTGGATCAACGTCCTGACGCTTCCCTTCTTCCTCGCCGAGGTGCGCGGCTATAGCCTCCTCTACACCGACGTGGACGAGTACGGCTGGGCGTGGATGGGCATCTCGACTGTGCTGTTCATGATCTGGAACGATTTCTTGATCTACTGGATTCACCGCCTGGAGCACCACCCCAGCGTCTACAAATACATCCACAAGCCGCATCACAAGTGGATTGGTGAGGAATTGGCGTTCTCTGACCGGTCCGTTTCGTCTTTGCTAACCTAGCTGCCTTGCAGTGCCGACGCCATGGGCCGCGCTGGCCTTCCACCCGGTGGACGGCTGGGTCCAGTCCCTGCCTTACCAGTGAGTCAAAATAATATCCTCCACAACTCGCGTGTGTACCTCGGGGGACTGACCGTTGGCAGCGTCTTCGTCTTCGTCTGTCCTGTCCAAAAGTACCTGTACATGGTGCTCTTTGTTCTGGTGCAGATCTGGACCATTCTGATCCACGACGGCGACATGATCACGGGCCATTGGCTCGAGAAGTACATCAACAGCCCCGCCCACCACACGCTGCACCACATCTACTTCACCGTCAACTACGGCCAGTACTTCACCTGGGCCGACAGCTACTTCAAGTCGCACCGCCCGCCCCAGCCCGACCTGGACCCCCTGCACGACGCCTTGAGGGTCATGCGCGAGAAGGGGCTAGTAGATGAGAAGGGGCAGCCGATTCCGGGAGCCAAAGAGAAGGACAAGAAGAAGGATCAATGAGCCGGGTTGGCGTGGTCCGGAGAGGGGAGTAGGTGTGGGTGGCTTTGCATTGAGGATTTTAACGCTGCAGATGAGCGAGCGAACAGCGGGTTTGAGTTTCGGGCTGGTTCAAAAAAGCGTTTACGAGAATGCCTATGCCTCGATGAGCGTCACGGAGGTTACGAGTACATATTGTGGTTTGGACACACGCTTACATACACATCTTAGATACTGTGTTTTGGGTTCTAGACCGATCCCAGGCCGAGTTCCGCTCGCAGCAGCCTCGCCGGCTATTTAATGTTATTATAGACTTTAATACCATCCACGCCGATTTATGACAGTTTCATCTCAGAGGTTTTTATGCAGCGCAAGAAACGGAAACCAGCACGGGGAACAATAACAGTGCATTGCAGCACCACCCAGAGGTTGGTTCCTTGTATTTCGACTCTCACGTCAGGCCATCCCCTCATCAGCAACTGCGGGGCAACGGCGGGCAACGTATCATCATCAATGAACGGTGAGAAACTTGAAGGAGTGCGTGTTTCCATACATGCAGGTCCGTCCGTCACTCTCATCAAATACACGTTCGTATAGAAGGAGCTTCCATGTATACGATGCAAACAACCCCAGCTGAGATCCAATGCACTTCAGTGCCTGACTTGGCTCTCGGACAATAACCTCCCGCGTTATGACCAGATTCGACAAACCCCCGGATCTTCCGAACCTTGGCTGGGTTACTCGGTAGGGTGTCAGCATGCAGCCAAGCAGCAGCGACTGGCACCGTTACGTTACACACTTGACAGTTCAGTCAGATCAACGTCCACGTTGTAAGAGGAATCTGGGAGCCCGACCAAAACCCTTCTCCCTTCTCAACGATTCACCGGCCCGTGGCTAGCATGGTGTCATTCCCGCCCCACTTGCGGTTCCTGCAGGTCGAAGACGGAGATGTTGGTAGCCAGCCCATATATCCGTGACAGGCTTCTCCGCAACTCAGCCTGATATTGCGCAATAACCCGGTCGCGGCGGCAGGTCCAGATCAGCGGGTCGCCCACCCTCACTCAACCTTGCAGCGGGGGAAGGGCTTGCCTATTACTGCTTTTCAATCTGGGGTTGTATCCGGGGAATTGGCAGACTGCAGGACCCAAAGAAGCTAAGTAAGGACGGGCAGACAATTGGTGGCTGAGAGGGAAGGAATGAGGAACTAGTATGTGTGCCTCGGGGTATATAAGTATACTAAGGACCTGAAACCCCAATGGCGGTAGAGCTCCGGTGTAGTAGGTTTAGCTGGCCGGTGTGCGTTCTTGCCGGATTTCGACTTACCTGAGAAGATGCGATTCTACGTATTGCTTCTCGCCGCTGTGGCGGACGCGGCGGCTGCGACGAAACACCCCGTTCCTGGGCCGGATGAGGATGGGCGGTACACCATCTCCGCGCCGGGCATCAAGGCACAGGTAGGAACTGGAACTTTCAAGGAGCACGGAGCCTGAGCTGATGCATCTCTACTCTCTAGTTCATCCCTTACGGCGCCACCCTGACGAACCTGTTTGTCAAAGACAAGAACGGAAAGGATATCGACGTGGTGCTCGGCTACGATGATGTCGACTACTACCGTCAGTTTCTACATCCGGCTCTTCAGTATTTTTAGAGGGTACGCTGACACTCAACGACAGCGAAGGATCCTGGCCACCCGGTGTATAACGCAATTCCAGGCCGGTACGCCAACCGCATCGGCAATGCGCAGTACAGCATCGACGGGGTGACGTACCATACCGAGAAGAACGACGGCGACAACACGCTGCACAGCGGCACCAACAACTGGTCGTACCGCTTCTGGAACGTGACGGCCTTCTCGCCAGACTCCATCACCTTCTCCATCCTGGACGCGTCCAACTCGTCGCTGGGCATGCTCGGCCGCGTCGAGGCAAGCGTCACGTACAGCGTGACCAAGAGCAAGTGGCACATCAAGATGAAAGCCAAGTCTCTCGACCAGAAGACGCGTGAGCAAAAAGCCCCTGCCTATATCCCAACCCACCCTCCTCCGCCCCTTTTTCCCACCACCACCGTTCTTTCGTACGTTGTAGACTGACACGTACGTTTGGAATTCCGGCGGAAAACCAGCCCTCCTGCTGACCCAACACACCTACTTCAACCTGGACGCCTACCGCAACCCGGCCACGTCCAAGATCTGGGACCACACGCTGTACCTGCCCTACTCGGCGCGCTACCTCGAGGCCGACCAGGGCGCCCTGCCGACGGGCAAGATCCTGACGGCCGCACCGAACTCCATCAACGACTTCGCCTCGGCGCCGGACCTCGCGCTCGGCCACGCGCGCAACCAGACCGGCTTCGAGGGCAACTGCGGCGCGGACGGCGCCTGCGAAGGGTACAACGGCTACTGGCTGATCGATCGGCCGAACAACAACAACAACAACAACAAGAACGCGGCAGTGGTGGTGGCGAGATTGGCGAGTGCCTTCTCGGGCGTGAAAGCTGAGTTGAGGACGGATCAGCCCGGTCTGGTGCTGTATTCGTGCAACTGGATGGATGGGAGTGCGGACCTCAAGCGCAGCACGCAGGGGATTGCGGGGGTCAATGAGAAGGTGGTGCGGAGCAGTTGCGTCGCGATCGAGGCGCAGGACTGGCCGGATGGTATTAACCAGTGAGTTTATTACTATCCAAGTTTATTAGCTTTGGTTTTGTTGTTTTTTTTCTGTTGATGACTTGACGAGAGGATTGAGCTGACATGGGGTCCGGTGATAGTCCCGAGTGGAATCGTACGAGCGCGCAGATTTACGGGCCGGGTCGGACGTATAACTGGGAGAGTTCGTGGACGTTTGGGTTGCTTTGAGGGTGTGGCATGTTACGTGAGTCTCTCTGGGACAAAGGCAAGGTGGAAGGAAGGTCGAATGTGTAGGGTGATTCTGATGAAGGGGTCTGCTGTGCACAGCATGAACAGCAGCCGGTTTGTGTCCTACAGTCTCAGAGCTTAGCCGCAGAACTAGCACTTGGGATGGATTTCGATTCGATGTGGTTGACACTCAGCACTGTATCGGATGAGACTGGTTTCCGCTTGGTTTCTCATCGCGAAGATGGAGATCTCACGACAACTACCATAGTCGCATAAATCTGCTAGTCGCGTATAAGTGCCATTGACTCTGACAATCGCGTAGCTCTGGTAGACGCGCGTGTAAGTCGTGTCAGTCAAGACGCGGTTACATACGTAGGTAGAATAGAATTGACGCGAGCTCTAGGACAGTAAATCACTCCAGGGCCAGTCTTTCCAATAGGTACGCGGACTTTTAGCTGTAGCGGGCATAGCCCTCCTGCAGTATGACATAGTAACTAGTACTGAAGAACGCACGGCTTGCTCAGATTCATCTTTAGAGCCCGCGGGGGGGGGGGGGGGGGGGGGGGGGGGGGAGAGGGGATGAGCGATTCAAATAGAGTCCTAGGTTTGCGAGTTTGTCTCTCTGTTTGTGATTCTGGCATTCCACTGTCCAGCAAAGCCGGTCTGAATATCTAGACGAACGCCCAATAGTTGGTACAGCTTCAGCCTCCACTGCCTCAAGAACGTGTACGGCACGCTTAGGGTATAACGCGCTAGTAAAATGTAAGCTGTTCAGTTAGTAATGAAATGGGCATGGCTTTGTGCCATGCGCTGGGAGTCTCGAGGGCCAGGCGCAGTGAGGAACAATGGAATCTGTGGCCTGAACCGTAAGGCGCCTTGTCACCACCGCGAACAGTCCGTCTGTTCTTTGGGCACTTGCACCACTATTCCTACCCCGCACCTGCTAAAAGCCAGTTTCAACTTCTCAAGCTGCAAACCATCAGGTGTTTGGCTGCTTTCTCTGACATTCATCTCCGACTACCGACTCGTCAGTGGCTGATCCATCCAAAGATCACCACTGCCAGTCGAGGTTTGCTTTCTCCCATCACAAGTTATCACCTTTCACGAATCATGATAACCACCAACTCTGCCCCTTCAACGATGGACAACAACACGGCGGCTGAAACCAAGGCGCTGGCGGAGGCCATGATTAGAGTAGTCGAACCCCTTAGCCTGACGGTAATCCACCCATCGCCTTTGCCCTCGTGGAAATAATGTTAGCATAGAGTCCACTTTGCTGAACCCCATTTACAGAGCATCATGGACTTCACATTCAACATGGTTCTCGGCACCGGGGATGTCAGTGACGAGCGCAAGATAATGGACTACTGTAGGTGACATAATCATCCATGACCGGGAGCCCCGGCTCCAATCGTCACGCGGACGAAGGAAGGAGGCTAACTTATAGAGAAGTCGTCGCGCTTCTCCAGCCCTGGCTGGCTGCCGAAGGGCAGACATTCGTCGCTGTGGAAGCACGTGGGCAGCCCAACCGTCTCCCGGGTTCGGTCGCAATGCTCAAGGAAAAATACAAGACCACGCTCCAGGAGCTCGAGGGCCTGATCCAGGAGTTCATAACCGACAAGGCAAGAGAGCAGCCCAACAAGGACAACAATGTAGTGCGCACCAAGCTCATGACGTTGCTCTACTGCCCGCTCTTCTGTGCGGTCGTCGACATGCGCTTTGAAAAGGCCAAAGCCGAGATCCAGGGATTGGATCAGAAGCTCAGACGCATGCGGATCGCCGGAGGCGAGTTCCTCTGCTGTCTCTTCCGCTGCGTAGACGGCAAAGACCTGAACCGCTACTTGGACCGTGTGATGTTCTACGCCTCCGAGTTCATGACTGCCCTCGTCGAGATCCGGTTCATTGAGGGTCGGGACGGCGTCGGAGATTGGTGGCCGTTGGCCAATCGAGTCGAGGTACACGGCTGCGGGCTACTCTGGGTGTTGATCAACCTTCGCTTCTCACGGGAACCCTGCGTGGCACCTAGGAAACATGGGTACCCTGAGAACTTCACCTGGAGGTGGGGTGAAGAAGAACACGGGAAACTCCTCTTTCACCTCAGCAATCAGAACATTACAACGGTGAACATCTGGTTCGACATTGGGCCCCAGCACCTCGAGGTCCTCGATGACCCACCCTACGTACCAGAATCTCCCTAATTTTACCGCTGACTGTGTTGGGGCCGCGAGTCTCCAGGAGGAGGATGGTCTCTCTGATGGAAAGGGGGTGGACTTGAGCACTGCGGTTTGTAGTAGCTTAGTACCTAGCTAACCATCTGGCGATGGAGAGATACTGCTGTCTCGTCTCGATGGAGAAAGCAGGTTAACTGGGAACGGGACCATGGCGCTGGCCTTAACTTTCATGAACGATGCTGTAGTGAACCCTTTGTTCTCGACGTGAGTACTAGTAGTAATGGCCAATCCTGCAAAATAGCCCCAGGGTGTGGCCCATCCAAGCGATCTCCTAATTGCTCACGACGATAGGCTGCTAGAAGGGTGATCGTGTCGCCGCCCCCGGTTTCTAGCTGGGATAGGGGAGATCTCTAGTGCAATAGTGATCTGACACATGGTTTGGCACATGGCATTTGGAGCCTTTGGTGGGATAGCTACGATACTACTGATAGGCACTGATTACCAGGTCTTTTCTAACATAAGATGCTGAGCATACCTAAGCTGCATACCTAGCCAGTAAGTCCAAAGTTGCCACCCAACATGCTCTGGCCAACGCGATGATGACGCGTTGTTGAGCAGGAAACGCGTCACAATCTGTTTTCCCCATCTGCAATAGTCGTTCACACGCGACTGTTCGCACAGTGAACCTGTTCAGAACATTGCCCACGACCGGGACAACTTCTGACTTACCTAACCGTCCCCTTTGCTTCCCGTCTCTTACTCATCCATCTCCTCCTCCACCCACCCATCTTATTCTCTCATCCAACCATTTCCTTACTCACTCGCGCGGGACCGTCGCGTCAACAGACCCATCGAAACATCTTTCTTGCCTCGGTACAAGCGCGAATTAAGGAAAGACTGGCGACGATGCCTGACGAAGCGACTCAGGGCCTCGCCCAATCCATCGCGAAACAGGTCGAGAGAGTTGTGCACAGGGTATTCACATTCGTCCAATGCAACTATCGATGCAGCGCATTTCTCCTGACATTTGGCTATGTGTAGGGCATGGTGGAGTTCACTCTCCGCTCTCTCATGAACGCCGGCATGACCGCCAATGAGGTCAGCGACCTCGTGAAGGCCGGTACGTCTAAATATTCGAATGGATTCTGCGCTATCGTCCCAGGAATACACCCCGCTGACATGTACAATACAACAGTGCTGCATGATTTGAACGGCGACCCGGCGCCTGACGTTGCTCGTGCAGACGCCGAGGCTACTACCAAGGCTACTGCCGAGGCCCAGGCCATCCTCCAGGCTCTCCAGCTCATCACTGAGTGCACCGCCAATATGCCGCCGATCAAAAAGGCTGCCGTGAGCACCGGAGAGTCCTCAGCTATGGCTGCGGGCCCGAGGACCAAGTTCGCCGCCGGCGTTAAGAGGAAGCTGGCGCAGTCCCAGTCCCAGGCCACCACGCTCACGGGCACTACTAGTACTGCTGCCACCTCTCCCATGTACACGCCGACGACGTCGAAGACGTCCGAGCAGTCGAGCGCGTCCTCCACCGCCAATCTGTCCCCGGCAGCCCGGGTCCCGTTCGTGGTGGCAGCCGTGGCAGCCGCGGCGGCCGTGCGGGCCCAGCAGCAGAAGAAGAAGCATGATTCGCGTGGCTCCGACAATGGGTCGTCTGGGGCTTCTTCCAGTTCGCTGGGCAAGACCACGGACAGCGAGGCCAGCATCTTCGGCTTCCAGCGGAGGGTTCGGAAGACGATGGCCCAGAGGGCTCGCAGGCCGGGGTGCAATCGGGCGGAGTTGTATGACGATTGGACGTGCCCGACCTGGAGGTCTGACTCTGAGGAGGACTCGGATGACGAGGGGGACGAAGACGAAGACGAGGAGAGTGAAGATGAAGATGAAGATGATATAAACTAGGATGGCTGAGGCACGCTGGCGTCGTCGTGAATGGGTTGAGAGAGCTCTTTTTGCGTCGCGCTGATTTTCTCTACTTTGTTCTTTGCCACTTTCAGGGGAAGCAGGTCGTACGGCCCTTCTTCGATACTCACAGGCTATTACCAGCTCTGGCTACCTAGTAGTAGTAGGTATTTCCTACTTTATCTCAGAGGAGACACAATGGCCAGAACTTCAGGGGCCTTCAGTTCGGAAGTCTCTAAATTACCACCCTTACATTTCTTCACCTCAGATCCAGTAGCAGTGATACGTCAGGATGTCAGTATCTCATTCCTATCAAGAGGTTTACTCTTGTCGCCGGTCTGCTTCCAACCCCAACCTGAGTTCTCGTTTGAATTTTAACACGCTTTAACCTTTAGACTCAGAAGAACTACTAGTAGTAGTGTCCGAACACGACACTCCTCGTAAGACAATGAAAGCAACGACATATTTCTTGGCAGCAGGCACTCCAGATCAATACTATATACGGTTTCAACATGTCCGTCATTGGCACAACTGATCACTGGACCGTGAGGATGCGAGATTGCCCCAAGGTGCACCTCCAGCAGTTCGGTACCCCCAGTGTCTTAGAACACTGGGTTCGGCCTTCCCACCGCCTAATCTACTACAATGTGAATAGATGCTGATAGAAAGGTTACAGCTGGACCGGTTGCAAAATCAGTTGACTTCCTCAAAGGCTCAAACAAACAAGGTAGTTGACTATTAGTAGTGATGGTGAACAGTGCCGGAAGGATTATTCGAATGCAAAGTTTGAACAGGACCTGATAGACACTCAAGCGGCCCGAGAAGTCGCAAGGGCCGTCCTTGAGGCAATCATTGGGACACATGGTCGCGCTGAAGGAAGCAGTATCACGGATGGGTGCCGCTCAACGAAGGATGTGCATTGATGGAGCAAAGCCAGGTAAATTCACCAATGCCAAACGAAGGCCACCTCAGAGAACTACTCGCTGAGTACCAAGAGACGGAAGGTACACTGGACACCTCAGTCCACTGCCTGGATAGCGCAATTGAGGATGTGACCACCGCAATAAAGCTTGACCGGGAGATAAACCGGGAGGCATACCATCCATCTATAGCGGGAGACTGTCGGCGGGAGACGAGGAAGGCGAGGACTCCAATGAGAAAGCAATCAACGATGGCACAGTTGGTGGGGGATTGGCTTCGTACTAAGTAGTAGGTAATTACCCCTCTCGGAGGGCTGAGGTGAAGCTGTACGAAGCAAATACGACACTGCGTACAGCAGAAGACGAAGATAAGTACCAAGTCTACTAGGTATGTATCTACAAGAACCAATCAAAGAAGATGTAACCAAATAAGCCGGACAGATAGGTAGGTAGAGGATGGATGTCCAGACCCAAAACACAAGCCCAGCCAGCTCCGTAACTCCTCTCTCCAGATGACCCGTAGTTACACATATCATACGCCATGTAAATGGTGCGGGTGCTGTTCCATCTCCATTATCGTATCCTCTCTCTCAGCCCCCATGTACAGTGCTATACCCGTCAACCCCCATTATGTCCACCGCCGGCCCCTCTCAGGCTCCCTATTTTGGATGTTTGACAGGATGCAGGACAATGTTCGGTGCCCAGAGCTTCCCGTCACGGTCAGTCAAGATCCACGGCCGTGGCTCACCCTCGTCGAGCTTCCTTCCCATCCACTCGTAGAAGATGTGCTTGGCCCAATCCGACTCCCACCAAAACGTCAGGCCCCTCCCCCTTGGGTGATCCGAGTTATCAGGACCAAGACCTGTCGAGCTCGCCCTGGGCCCGCCGCGCCACCACTTGGCTTTGTTGGCGAAATCGTCCCTATCGCGGTGGAAGACGGGTTGCTGCGGGAAGCTGAGCTTGAGGCCGTGCCACAGGGCAAAGCTTGGGATAGTAGCTTCCGAAGGGACGCGGATACCATACTCCAGCTGGGCCTGGTGGATCACGAGCAATAGGTTGCGCGAGGCGCGCATGATGGCGGGCGGGCAATAGAAACGCGGCGTCTTGACGCCGGACTGGAAGCCCGAGATCCAGTCCCTGAAAGCCCATTTGTTAGGCTTGTTGGCGTCCATGCAGTACGAGGTGGTGATGGCGTCCGCCTCCTCGCCGACCCCCCACTGGAACGTCTCGTTACGCGGGTCCGCAACCGGGGGTTCGGGGCCGATGGGCAGGATCTCGGGCACGCGCATGGGGCCCCAGGCGTGGGACCCACCCTTGTTGGCCTGGTCAACCTGCTTGAAGAACTCGCCGAAATCGCCGATTTCCGAGATCATGTGCCAGAAGCTGGAACGCTCGAGCGCCTGTTTGCGTGGTTCGTTGCGCGCCACCATCGTGATACTGTCAAGGTACTTGCCGGCGTCGCCGAGGAACCGCATGTCCATTTCGAGCTGCCAGAAGTGATCGAACTCGGGATAGTGCAGCGCGAGGAGCTGCATCGGCTGGAAAACTTGCCACATGGTTCTGGCGTACAATGTCAGTGGGGGCATGATGGTGCCATGAATACAAGGATGTCCTACCTGTGCTCTCCGATCAAGGGATACCAGCTCTTCAGCAAGCGTTCAGTCCACAAAAGTGCGATCGACTGGAACTCCGGAGGGACGCCAGCGTCCTGGAGTCCCTTCTGGTATGCTTCTTCGGAGGCAAAAATGTCGTTGTCATAGCCCTCGTAGTCTTTCATATCCACCAGCAAGATGACCTGATACTCAGCGCCCGACTTCAGCGTCGTCTCAGCGATGAGCGAGCGGAGATAGTAGAGGTCCTCGGGCATGTATTGGTAGCCGCGCCAGGTGCGCACCACGATCGCTGTCCGCCGCGACGGCTCAAATTCGTGCCAATGACGGACCTGGGGCACCCCGGAGAAGTTCCGGAAAGCGAACCGTGGCTTTGCGGTGCGCGTATCGTCGAACCGAGTCGCCGCTACCGGAAAGCGGTGCCTATTCCGTTCGAAACAGTCGTTCTGCAGCTGGCCCCAATCGATCGTGTTCCAGTCCACCTTTTGTCGGTTATAATTTTCCCTGTCCTCGCCGAATCCGTAAGGGCCGTATCGCTGTTCTGCGGTCATTACCACTAGGTCCAGGCCCGTCTCCTCGAAGGTGCCGGCCCATGGTTGAGGGTAAGCTGTTTAGGATTGGCAGGTTAGCGGGCGAGATCTTTATCGGGGGGGAATCGGAGAGATCATTTCATACGGCCATCAAGCTCCCTGGACCTCAAGTCATCATCGTGGCTCTGCCCCAGCAGATGACCGCGGGGGCCATGGCAGAGCACGCGCTCGGATAATGGTGGAAGCACGTTGTGCGTCGGCATACGCTTTGGCGGCGTCCGCAGATCTGGGTGTTCGCCCCCGAGGTGAGACCAGTGTTGCGAATCGCTACGGAATTGCATGCCGAGGTACCACACAAGGCATATTGCAAGCGCAACAACGAGCGTCTGGCGTGTGAAGAACCGCCGAAACTTGGCGCCTGCCAGCCCGAGGCGGTTCATCCTGGCGGCCATAGACGAATTGCCGCCCGGTTTGAGATCCTTCAAGGCCTCCACGGTGGCGGTGGTGGTAAATAGCCGTTTGAACGACAGGAAGTTGGTGTTACTGCGCCGGAGGCCACGACATTCGAAAAGAAAGGAGATTGCACTATTTCCGACTTAGAAAAACGAGCGGATGGTAGGAATCAAGCGCAAAATCTATTAAATGGCCAGGGAGAGAGGAGTTGGACGAGCCGCCGCCGCAAGTGGCAGTTGACAGGAATAAAAATTGAGATTTGGGTTACGAGTTGCCGTGTTGGAAACAGCCTCTCCCGTCAGCCTGTCTCCTGAGAACCCCCTGTCCGTCGGGGCTCATCCCATTTCGAGGAGGACATGATCATGATTGGATGTCTGGACGCGTGGCCCCACACCGCTATCGCAGCAGCAGGAAAGATTGCGTGTGTAATCCGTTACGGAGTACTGTACTGCGTAAGGTAACCTCGACTCCAAGTCGCAAGCAGTCGCATAACGACGCTTCCTGCATGCCCGATGCGGAAGAGAGCCATAGTTGAGCCAAGTGTATCGACTGTAAGTGCATAGCCTCTCGGCTTGTTGTATTCTTTGTATTCAAGATGCACGTGGCAGAGAGTTGGGACGAGGGCTAGGAAAAGACTAGTGCAGCGCGTTGCTGCCCCACTTCGATCTTTGCTCCTCGTTCTCCCGTCAGGGGCACCCGCTCGGATCTCGAAGTCGGACGCCCACTTCCCGTACTGTATGGACAACCTTCTTACCAAGACTTCAACTCACCAGTCTAGCAATCATTAGAGGTGTTGTTTCGCTGTTAAATTATGGTTTCTTGTGCGCCGAATATTGCCTCGGGAATCGGCCATTCTCGTGTATGTCACAGTCGTGCGTCGTCAAAGTTCACCGCCTCCTGGACAGCCTTAGCGTCAAGTGTCTGGTTGGTTATTCCCCCTTGAGGATGGGAAGGGGCAGATATACCTGAACCCTGCGACTCGTTTAACCATGGCAACGGCATGATGTAGAGGTACTGTGTAGGTGGGAGGTTGGCAAGTATGCCTGCCGGCTTACCTTAGCTATAGGGAACGGAACCATCGATAGAATGGAAAAGCGCATCGGAGAGACACGACAGAAGGCAAGAACAAATGCGCAAACTAGATCCATATGTTACGAAGAGAAGAGATCATATGGATCAACAGGCCTTTATGTGGGATGCGCATGCACAACAGACTTAACATAGAGTCATGGGTGCTTGATATCAGTGGTGCAAGACTGCGCTTCGGAGCTAAAACAGGTGACTGCAAAGGACGGTGACAATTGGTTTGAAGGACATGGGGGAAGAAGCCTAACTGTACCCGAGTGTATCATGACCTTCTCTCCAATCGACATGTCTACAAGCAACCCACGCCAGGTAGGGTTAGATGCGGACCCTCAGGCTTGACTAGTAAAACCCTCCGCAAGGACCGGCGACTTTTGGAAGCTCTTCATCGGCTCCAGCCCCCAACGACCAAACATGGCCGCGTCCTCGTCCCACCCATGACATTCTGTTGTCAACATCTTCTCTCCGGTGAAGACTGCGTTTGCCCCGGCCATGAAGCAGAGCGCCTGCTGCTCCTCAGGCATGGTCTTTCTCCCAGCGGCAATACGGATGATGGTCGCGGGCATGATGATCCGAGCAGTAGCAATGGTTCGCAGCATGCTCGTAAACTCGATAGGTTTCCTGTCACCCAGAGGAGTGCCTTTGATGGGTATGAGTGCGTTGACAGGGAAGCTCTCCGGATGGCTTGGCAGCGTCGCAACGGTGTGCAGCAAGCCGATGCGGTCCTCGGACGTCTCACCCAACCCCAGAATTCCCCCGGAGCAGACACTGATGCCGGCATCGCGGACATGGCCGAGTGTCTTCAGTCGCTCATCGTATGTGCGCGTCGAGATGATGCTGGGATAGAACTCCCGACTGGTATCGACGTTGTGGTTGTACGCCGTGAGCCCGGCTTCCTTGAGCTCCTTGGCCTGCTCCTCATTGATCATGCCCAGGGTCACGCACACTTCCATCCCCATGGCCCGTACGCCGGATACCATCTCCTTGATGTTCCGGAGGCTGTTCTTGCGGCCGCGCATGTCGCGCCACGCAGCTCCCATGCAAAACCTGGTGCTGCCATTCTCTTTGGCGATACGTGCGGCCTCTAGGACAGACTCGACACTCTCCACACGCTTGGCCTCCAGGCCAGTGCCTTTCTGGTAGCGGGTCGACTGGGCGCAGTACGAGCAGTCCTCCGTGCAGCCACCGGTCTTGATGTTCATCAAGGTGCAAAGCTGGACCTCGGCAGGGTTATGGAACCTACGATGGACAATGGCCTGATGGAAAAGTATCAGTCATAGTCGTGGCAAAACGATGGGTGAGAAACGCACAGCCTGAAAGGCCAGTTCCATCAGCGGTTGGTAGAAGATGGCTGAAATCTCGTCCCTTGCCCAGTCATTCCTCGGCGCTGTTGCCGCGACCGCTTGTTGCAGGATTCGCCTTGCTCTTTGCTGACGCTCCGCATCGTGTTCCAGGTCGTGACCCGGTGGATGTTGAAGTGTCGGCGGAGGCGGGGATCCTGGTGATGGGACAACCTGCCCCGCGGCAATTGTTGACATGCGACATGCTGTGGGGGCCAGCCGCATACGAGCGGTGCGTAACAGCACCTGATGGACAAGTACCCTCATGTTGGGGGATCTGTCGCGTCTGCAACGTGAGTTTCTTGATAGGAGTGGTCTCTGTGTGCGAGGATGATAAGTGGAACGACATATCGCGGTCCCGGCGGAGGCCGCGGGCAGCCGACTCGACTCCCAATTTTGTTGAGCAAAAGGGTGAGTGTAACGCGGGAAGCGACATCCCGCGTCTAGCACTCAGCCGGTGTGGGGTCATAGTGGGAAGATCATCGTCAGCGGAGGTGTGAGTCAACAGCGCGAATGCGCGATACCGTATCTAATGCGGGTTCGAAACGCGGTGGCCATGCAAACTCGACAACACAAGAGAATGAAGCCTGTGATACCGCCGACCGCGCCTTTGGTTCGGCCTCCGCATTCCCAGCCTTGGTTTTGGTTTCCTGCGCGCACTGGAGACGCCCTGAGTTCTCGTGCTCCGCCTGTTGTTGTGAAAGACCGCCCGCCCACCTGATCCATAGTAAGCAAAGGACACAAGGTGTAGATCTCCCAGATACAAGATCGGCGGCAGGTTTACCGTAGTGCCTTGTTTATAAGTAAAGGGGAACGGCCGGAATTGGGTTGATGACGGCGTCCCAACTGGCGTGTGAGTGAAGAGTTCAGCGAAGCGGCTTGAGTTGCATTGAGCCTCTGGGGACAATGCTTGAACCATCAGGGCAAATTCGGGTGCTGATGCCAGCAACTCAATGTTTCTTGATGCTCTCCATCCACTCCTTTCCGGACTTTGCCCCGTCATGCGCCTTGCGAAATAGCCCCCGCTCCGACTCGTCAAGCCCCCTGAGGAAGTCCTCGCCGGCACCGCCGATTCCGAGGTTACTTCCTTCCTCGGCAGGGTTCTTGCCTTTGTGATGTCCGGGACCGCCCACTTTGCGAGCATGCAACGCGATCTCGGAGGCGCGGACGACAAATGTTTTCCGGAGGACGGTAGCCAGTTCCTTCTCATCGAGCAACTCCATGAGACGTGCAGCCAATCCGTAGAAATGCGGGCTTTGGTCACGTAACGGTACGGCACGCGGGTCGGCCTTCAGGGCCTGCACAACGTCGTTGCCAAGGGCTGGGGGCAGATCGAAAGTCACGAACGGCCTGCCTTCGATGTCCCCCGAGTTGGCAATGACAAGCATTTCAGCCAGCCATAGCGGTAGGTTGACTCTGGTGCCAACCTTCAGCGGCTGCGTTGGAGTGTTGTCGAGATAGCCGAGGTCAGGGACATCGAGCTGGAAGGTGCATGGGATTTTCTAAGGGTATTGTTAGTCGAATTCTCCCAGCCCAAGCGGGCTCAATCAAACGAGCTGGTTTACCTCTGCGTCTGTGAGAATGGAATCAATGTCGTAATACGACATTGCGACAGATCATAGGCTGTCTAGACCGCATCACTTCGAAACACCATAAAAATAACACCTGTTACCGAAACACCCAAACGCGCCATGCGAATTGCAGAAAGCGGGTGTGGCTGGTCGCTCACGATAAGCCACATTCCCATAACAAGCCACAGCGTAACTTCGGAATCGGACATGGGGTAGATGTGGGGCAATGACGAAATGCGAGCTTGGAGTTGCCGAAGCTTCCACCGACCTTCGACATATCGCCGAGCTAGAAACTTGAGATTGGACACTGAAGACGGCTTCAGTGAATTGCCAATTCCTCCTTCGAATACGGCACTCGCACATTCTGCTTTCAACGTTCATTTGATTGACGATTCCACAACATCACACGCCGCCATCATGTCTTCCACTCTGCTTCGGTCCGCCCCTGCCCTTCGCGGAGCCCTCCGAGCTTCCGGAGCCATAAAGCCTGCCGCGATGGGCAGCATGAGCTTTGTCCGCGGCAAAGCTACGCTTCCTGACATGCCTTGTGAGTACATTCTGCACATATATATTCTCAATCCTGTTGTTGCGACTACCTATGCCGAAACCTCAAGGTTGAAAGAGGCGAGGACCCGACTAACCAGCGTTTTTCTTCCTGCAGACGACTACGGCGCCCTCGAGCCGTATATCTCGGGGAAGATTATGGAGTTGCACCACAAGAAGCATCACCAGACCTACGTAAACGGCCTCAACAGCGCCCTGGAGACTATCGAGGAAGCCAAGAGCAAGGGCGACTTCACCAAGGCGGCGTCCATTGCGCCGCTGCTCAACTTCCACGGTGGTGGCCACATAAACCACAGCCTCTTCTGGGAGAACCTGGCACCCGCCAGCAGGGAGGGCGGCGGTGAACCAGACGGAGCCCTCAAGGTGCGTCTCTAACCAGAGGATCCTCTTCCACAAACACCCAGCCTGACAATGCGGCCGAACAGAAAGCTATCGACTCGGACTTCGGCTCCTTCGACACCTTCCGCAAGCAGATGAACACTGCTCTGGCGGGTATCCAGGGCAGTGGCTGGGCGTGGCTGGTCAAGGACAAGTCGGCTGGCACCCTTGGCCTGGTGACCCGTGCCAACCAGGACCCCGTGAGCGGCCCCTACGTGCCGCTGATGGGCATTGACGCGTGGGAGCATGCCTACTACCTGCAGTACGAGAACCGCAAGGCCGAGTACTTCGAGGCCATCTGGAACGTCATCAACTGGAAGACCGTTGCTGCGCGGTTCGAGAAGGCCTAGGGCGCAAAGTTGAGATCTCAAAAAAGTGGGAGTGGGAGTCCGATCTGTGTGCTATGTTAGCGTGAGCTTAGCCTGTGAATTGGATGTATCTTGAGAGAGTTCCCAGGTGGGCAAATGGGGTCTCACGAGAATCGAAATGAACCTACCTTACTCATGGATGTTCGCCATGAAGGACTCAGGTCTGCTTTTTCCTCAGACGTGACCCTGCAGTCGTCTTAATGCCCCATGGTCGGGACAAGACACCCTCTACCTCTTCTCTTCCCATCCAGCTATCGAGTGTCACATCGTCTGTCTGGTGTATCAGTGTGATGGTCTCCTGAATGTGCCTATATTGGCAATCGGGGGCTGCTGTAAGCTTGAGGGGTACAGGTACGACGGGAAGTCATAGTCCACTGCTTTGTTTTGGTTAGGTGTATTATCTTCGTGATTCCCGTCGGCTTCCTCTGGCCCTTCCGTCATGATTTGGTATGCCCCTATCGTTGCTTCATATCATTCGGTGCCTGTACCTACATGGCGCATAAATACCTGGAAAGAATTGCACTGCTTACTGTGATATCAAGCATCACTGTCATTCAATCCGGCCACGGTCCTCTGGAGTTATGAAAGCTGCATGTGTTGATGAGCCCTGCTATATCTCACGTCTTGTGAGAATGCTAATGCAAATTGTGAAATCGTACTGTACACGTCTACACTACACTAACTCGAGACTAAGTCGATCCCACCATGCTTCCACTCCGCTCAGCTCCCGCAATCGCGGCCGGGCCCGCGCCGACGGTTCAGGAGATGGTGGGTCCCGGCACCGCACAGGGGTAGAGGGGGTTCTATGCCCCACCTGCCCGGCCTTGGTAGGTAGTAGTGTAACGGACGCCGTCGGAACTCGGAAGGTGATGAGGACGGCAGCTGGGATCAACAGACTAAGGTGGTTCGTCTTTCCACCTGGTGAAGACATATTACTATTCGTGTAATGAGACGCATGACCACCCGCTAACATGTTTTCTTAGCCACCGTATGCATGCCGAGCGTAGTATTGGGCATCATGATGCTGCAATCACCGAGGCGCCGGCAGAGAAATGCTGATTACAGGTGTGGTTAGTGTAAGAAAGGCTTCCAGTGACTTCCAATCTAGTAGGTAGCCCAACGTCCTAACAGTACCTAGGCAGTCAGATTGCCCAGCATTTGAAAACAGCAACCATGAACCATGCTCTCCTGAACAGTCAGGGAAGCATGCGAGAGTGGTGTGTCAAACTGAGGTGACTTCTCACACTAGAAGATAAGCCCAGTATCATATGATCCAGACCCCGGGCAAAAATGGAGTAGCAGAGCCATCCACATAAAGGCCTAGAGGATTACCTACCAGTGACAGTTCCGGTTGAGGCTTTTTTCTTAAGTCAATATTGTATTCCATCTCAGCGAATCGCTAAGAGACGACCTTGGAACATTTCCTCTGACTTCGATAGAGTCGCCCTGAGCCGTTGTGACCCCACCAACCCCAAAGTCCACAGGTGGATCGACCGCTAAAGTTCCTGTTCCCCACAAGGTCCCTGTTCCGACCCCACCAAAGCCGGTCGGATCATCGCCGACATTGACATCACCATATCGCTGGACGGAGGGCACAATCCGGCTCCGGCGGTAAGAGAAGTCGTCTACCATTACTCAACAACTCTTCCTATAAGCACAATAGCTCAAGTGACAAACGAGAGAAAATACCTCAGTCGTACTCTACATTTCTCCCACCCCCTGACCCCCCAACCACTTACACAGAGTAGCTACGGTAGCTAGGCGCCAAGAAGCGGAAGAGACTCGCCCATTCCAATTGACGCGGGAAGTCCGGACGCTGTTGTACGACAGCCCGGCCCGGGACGCCAATTTCCTTACCCGCTTATCTGAACCTTCACATCGCCAGCAGTTGAGGCATCGTGAAAAGCAAGGGGACATCTCTGTACGTGAAATCTAGACTTTTACCTATCCTTGCCCTCATTTGTCCTGGGGTCAACAGTCCCCTGTCTGAGCTGCCCGTCACCTTCCATGTCGTACCATCAACCTCCATGGTCTGCTACCCGATGCAGTCCGTACCACAGTTGGCACACAATGGTTTGATGGCTGGACGTTCACCGACTTTGTTAGCCGCATTGCCATGCAAGGAGGCACAGGGCAGTCATGGGCCATGGCACACCCCCGTGTACGTGGCCTTGATCACCCAATAACCCTTTAGATTGCCAGTCGGCTTACAGCATGAGACCATATGGTTATACTCCGCTTCCCCTGCGAGATTATTTCTTTGTCTTACCGATAGACAGCCGGGGACGTTGCACGGCGCGGGGTGAAGGACTGTCCTACCTGGTACCGAGCTCGGAGTAGTCCCTTGAATGGACAGAGCCCCCCGACCGGGGCGTTCTTCGTCTTGGGACATGCAATTAACAATTTCTTGGGAATAGTACAGTAACAGGAAACTCGGAAATTGTGGAATCATGAGCGACAGATCTACAGCCAGTGTTTGCAATGTTCCGAGTAAAGAGGAGCAGCCCAACGGATCACAAGGCGGCCCTGCCCCGCCACACCTGGCATCTCAGAACCAGGAAGACCCGTCTCAGCGGATGCACTCGCAGCTTCGGACCCCGGTTCCGCATAGTGACCTGCACGAGCTGCATCAGGGCGAGCTGCGTCACCGCCTCGAATCCACGGGTCCTGAACAACACCGGGGCCGCTCAAACGAAGAAGCTGACATCGTTTCTGCCACCCACGTCCAGTTGCAGGGTTCAGGTTAGCCTTCCCACTTCTGGCCCTCATCCCACTTCATCTTTTTTGGTCTTCTAAAATAATGAAACCACCCCGCGCTCCCAACCCATCTAACGCCACCCCATCGTTCACCCCCGTCTTTCACCCCATCTAACGACCCACCACTCTCTAGCATCAGCTGCAGAAGCTCAGACACCAACAGCAGGAGCTATAAGCATAGCTTCCTCCATCGGTGATCCCACACCGACTCCAGGAGCTATTGTTCCCGACCACCTTCGGCCTCTTACAACCGGCGAAGCATCCCCATTGTCAAGCGGGTACGCCACTCCGACCGAATCCTCACAGCATCGTCGCCCTCCCAAGAGTATTCGCCCTTTCGCTCGCGCAATCATGGCGTTCGAGAAGAGCCGCAAGTTTTCGACGGGCACTTCGGTGCACCGTAAGCGCCAGATGAGCACTCTGGTTGAGAAGGAGGGTCACTTCGGACCTGCTCTCACGGTATGTTGATGTCCATCTCGTCTTGTTCACGCCTCTGTGTTGTGAGGTTGTCAAGCATAAATCGCATGTGGACTGCCACTCCCACTATTCTTTCCTGGTCCTGCTTTCGTCTAAGACGACGGCCTGGTTCACGGATTACATGCCTTGTTTGTCTGCTCTAGCCGGCAGACGTAACCTCCCTCGGTTACAGTTATTTCACTGTAGCAGTCCAAATGCCATCTCTCTGCACTCGTCTCACTTTGCAAGAAACGGGCTAACGTGGACAAAAGACACTCTATCTGGGCATTTCGGCTGTCTTCTCCGATGACCACACCGCAGTTGTGGCCCTGGCCATCCATGACACCGTCTACCTGGTTGACTTTTCTGTCAAGCACATCATTCTCGACGATGCCATGAAGATGGGCGCGGACCTCATTGCCGACTATGTCATCTCCGAGGTTGAGAAGTACGAGCATGAGAACTTCTCCAAGTTCATCGGCGCCGGTCTCCCGACCACGCTCAAGTACATGAGTCCCACTCTCTGTTCCCGTCTGTGGCTGGACCTTGACATTGTGCCCATTGTGATGCGGCCCGATGACGAGCACAAGGAGAAGTCTTTCTGGGATGTCAAGCGAGTTGATGAGCAAGCTGATTCGATGGCACGCAAGTGCATTATGTGAGTTGAGATCACCTACTACTGCGCTTCTCGCCAACTGACACGAGACAAGGAACTTCGGCCCTTCTCTCGTTCCTCTACTTCAAGTTGGCTGGCGAGGCGTCGTCCAGACGGATGCCGGCTTCCGTGCTCATCTGACCACAGTCCAGAACCACAAGGACACCTGTGGTCTCTCAACATGGGAAACCATGTTGACTTTCGCCAAGAAGCTCCGAGGCAACAAGACAAAGGTCGCGTTCTTCAGCTCTACTCCTCAAGGAGGCGGTGTCGCATTGATGCGCCATGCATTGGTGCGATTTGCTCGCCTCATGGGCGTAGACTTGACTTGGTATGGTACGTGCAACCTCCGCATTCCCGGAGTCCGATCATGCAGTAACAATATGTAGTGCCGAAGCCGCGGCCTGGTGTGTTTCGCATCACCAAGAACATCCACAACATTCTCCAAGGCGTCAGCCATCCGGATCAGCGCATCTCAGCCGAGGAAAAGCAGGCCATCATTGACTGGATCACCGAAAATGCGAGCCGATACTGGTTCTCCGAGGGGGGCCCGCTGTGCTCCCCGGAGGAAGGGGGTGCTGATGTTGTAATTGTGAGTGATTTGTTTCACGTTCTCTTGATTGCCTGTCCCTGCAGTTCCTCACCGACCGGGCAACCTTTGCTCACCCCCCCTCCTTCATGCACGTTCCGTGCTGCAAGGCTGCTGCACCTCGGGCACATGACCAAGCCCATGTCGTAGTAGCAGCGTGGGGGAAGGGACTCAGACAGAACACAACTTTGCCGTGACAATACATGCTGACGAGAGCAGATCGACGACCCGCAAATGCCGGGTCTCATCCCCCTGATCAAGAAGGTCACTCCGGACCGCCCGGTTCTCTACCGATCGCACATCCAGATTCGCAGCGACCTTGTTGCCAAGGCGGGCTCACCGCAAGCCGACATCTGGGACTTCCTCTGGAGCAACATCCAAGGATGTGACATGTTCATCAGCCATCCGATCCCAATCTTTGTCCCCCACACCGTCCCACGTGAGAAGGTGGTCTATCTCCCTGCCACCACTGATTGGCTGGATGGCCTCAACAAGCATCTCAACAAGTGGGATTCTGGTTATTATGGCCACATCTACAATGTTGCCTGCCACTCTCAGCGCATGTAAGGATCGAGCCCCCCAGTTGTAGAACCACTTTTTCCCCCCGGTCAACATGAGACTGATGACTGGCAGGACCGAGCTCAACTGGCCCGCCCGCAAGTACATCATCCAGGTTGCTCGGTTCGATCCCTCCAAGGGCATTCCTACCGTGATCGACTCGTACGCCGAGTTCCGCCGCCGGTGTGAGAAGGCGGGTCTGACTGACGTTCCTCAACTGGTTGTCTGCGGCAACGGCTCGGTCGATGACCCCGATGCCAGCTTGATCTACGACCAGACCATGAGCCAGCTGGAGACGTACTATCCTGACCTGGTCAAGGATGTCAGCGTTATGCGCTTGGACCCCAACGACCAGCTCATCAACACCCTCCTGGCCAACGCCCACGTCGTTCTCCAGCTATCCACCCGCGAGGGCTTTGAGGTCAAGGTGTCGGAGGCTCTCCACGCCGGCCGGCCCGTCATCGTCACCAACACGGGTGGCATCCCGCTGCAGGTCAAGGACAAGGTCAACGGCTTCCTCGTAGCGCCTGGTGACTGGAAGGCTGTCGCGGGCCACCTGATGGACTTGTTCACCGACGACGAGCTCCACAAGAAGATGAGCCATGCTGCACGAACCGGCGTGTCGGACGAAGTCGGCACCGTCGGAAACGCCCTCGCTTGGTTCTACCTCGCTGCCAAGTGGAACGAGGTGGGCGTCGAGAAGCACGGCAAGGGCGGCCTCAAGGGCAACGAGCGGTGGGTCAACGACATGGCCCGTGAGGAGGCCGGCTTCCCTTATGCCGAAGGCGAGAACCGGCTGCCAAGACACTTCACGGAGAACAAGGAGGTCCCGATCCATACTAAGCCTTCCGCTTGAGGGTTATTCTAACAGTGATGCCGTGGAAATTCTCCTTTTCTGCGATGCCTTGCAACAAAGTTGATCCAGATCTGGTCTTGTTTTTAAAAAGGTTCTGGCGCGGTGAGCAACAGGGATGAGTGATTTTGGGATCTTTCACACAATTCAACAAGGAGTGCTAGAGAGACCCAGGGGCTCTACAGGGGTTACATCGGGACGATAGGATGAAGAGTGCCTTGACTTAGATGCCGTAGCCAACAAGGCATAGACTGATGGGTCTGTGGACGACCCATGGCTACGAATACACATCTTGCTGCACTGCCTTCTCAAACATGCCGGGCAATGAGGGAGACCTGTGATGAAGAGCTTGCAGGATGAGAAGTAACAAACAGAACACCAGCAATGGTCACGAGTCAGTTGCGGCGGGACTGAGGTGAGTTGACTGACACCTCGCCGTGCACACTTCTCGAGGTCCGCAGTTTGGAATAAATGCTCTTCACTGATGCCTTCACCAGTTGGAAGCCGCAGCAAACGTCTTTCGGACATTCACCATGGCCAGCTCTATCCCGACCTGAACTTCATCCATCCACATACCAAGCAGATATATCTATCCAGTATAAAACGCCACTTCATCCACCCGTCATCCCCACAAGTCAATCACCACAGCGCCCTTCCCCCTCGCCGCCCCTCCATCATCAGTTTACCACCCTTTATCAAACCGACATCTCCATACTGATAGTCTTATGCGGATTATACCCCTTAATCACAAAGTCCTCCGCCTTCCACCCGTCAATGCTGCCCCCTTTCTCCCTCTTGATCTCCAGCTCCGGGAAATCCCGCGGCTCCCGCTCGAGCTGCGTCTGCAGCGCGTCCACGTGGTTCAGGTAGACGTGGGCGTCGCCCATGACGTGGGTCAGGCTCCCCGGGACCAGGTCGCACACGTGCGCCAGCATGTGCGTCAGCAGCGCGTAGCTGGCGATGTTGAACGGCACTCCGAGGCCCATGTCGCACGACCGTTGGTACAGCTGGCAGTGCAGGTGGCCTTTGACTGTTGCTTGCTCAGGGATTGTGGTGGTTGTTGTTGTTGTTGTTTGTGTTGTTGGTAGTGTTGGTTCGTTGTTGCTGTCAGAGGGTGAGGATGGTTGGGGTTGTTGTTGTTGTTGTTGTTGACGAGACCGGGACCGGGAGGACCCGGGGTAGGAGACGTAGAACTGCGCAAACATGTGGCACGGCGGCAGCACCATCTTGGCCATGTCGGCTGGGTTCCACGCACTCAGCACCAGCCGCCGGTCGAAGGGGTTGGTCCGCAGCGTGTGCACGATCCGCGCCAGCTGATCGACCCCTTGCCCCGTATAGTCGGTCTTGGCGTCGACGTACTGCGCCCCGAAGTGCCGCCATTGGAAGCCGTACACGGGGCCGAGGTCGCCGACTTCGCGGTCCGTCAGGCCCAGGCTGTCGAGGAATTCGCGCGACCCGTTGCCGTCCCAGATCCTGACGCCCTGCGACGACAGCGTATGCGACGACGTGTCGCCCGAGATGAACCACAGGAGCTCGGCGATGATGGCTTTGGTGAAGACGCGTTTTGTCGTCAGGAGCGGGAGGATCGGCGTGCCGTCGCGGTTGAGCGAGAATTTGAGGGGCCGCGGGGCGAAGATGGAGTAGGTGCCGGTGCCGGTTCTGAAGCAGCGCTGCTGTTAGCGGGATGTCAAACTCGGTATAGGAAGCGAAGAGGAGCATACCGGTCCTGACGGAGCTCTCCCTCGTCCAGAATCTCGCGCACTAGGTCCAGGAACTGGTATTCTTCGTGTCGAGTGTTGGATCGCGGGGTTGCTGCAGGCGCCACAGTTGGCGGATCGCTCTCTGATACTGTCATGCTGACTACCTTAGTTCGCTGGAGGTGTGTAAAACTGGCTATTCAGGGTCTATCGACTTCGGATGGCAACCTTTCGCTGTCGAAGGGCGGCTGATGATTGATGGTGGGTGGAACTCGTGGGAACGAAAGCCGGAAATCCTCGCAAGTGACGCGTAAGACGCGTCGTCTTAAAGTGTACAGAGCCCCACTAAGACATGAAGCGGGGCATGTGGATCATAAAACAGGGCAGTGAATGCGATTGTGAACTCGAACTTCGAAGTGTGCCTCCTTTTTTTATCCACGGCGTGTACTTTTACACGCAATACAAAATCCCCCGAGAGGAGCTCCGCTTCGAGTAAAAATGAGTCAAGTTAGGTATGTGAGCCGCTGAATCCAGAACAAATTCCCATCATCCACACCGCCTGCACAACCATTTCTTGGGTACACCATCTTCAAAATTTCAACGCCATCAGCTGTCTGGCCTTCAACGTGTGTGCCAGTCCTGACTCCTGCCCCCCTCACAAACTCGGACATTGCAGTTTCCCCAGCGGAGTATGGCTGTACCGCCTACGAGGCAGTGGTAGCAGAGCTCCCAGACGGCTCGAAGTCAGGAGCACGAGTTAGCTGAGGACGCGGCTTGAACTACGGCACCAGCGGCACCAGCGGCACCAGCGGCACGCTCTTCCGGATGTAGATAGTCGGGTAGCAAGTGACAAAGCCGCAGCCAGGATAACGGACGAATACCTCGTAGTACTCTGACAACCAGTGGGTGAGGCCGTAGTCGCTGACACGAGGCGGGCATTATTAGTGAATGGCATTCAGTGAGGACACCTCGAGTAGGCATCAAGGGCCTTGGGAAATCGGGAAAACGCTCACCTCTCGCGAACGGTGTTGAGGCTCTCCGCGTCCTCATCTGCTCCGTCCGGCCAGAACCTGAACTGCTTGATGATGACCCCCGGGTTGAGGTTCGCCTCTTGGATGACCTTGAGAATGCTGCTGTTGAATGTTGTATCAAGGACGAGCGTGTGCTTGTCTACCTTCTTGATGCCCTCAAGGTACTCATCCCCGTCTTCTGGCGCATAGTACGACACCGACTGAATTCCGAAAGCCCCTGCAACGTTCTTACCGAACTCTTTCCTCTTCTCCTCCATTGCATCAGGCCTTGATGGGATCTCGCTGTAAGGACAGACTTCGCCGGGGACATCCCGCCTGGCGAAGTGCACTACCTTGTCAAGCACTACCGAGTGCTCCTCCAGCCTGCCACGGAATGACAACCGGTGGGTTTGGTGCAGCGAAGCGACGAAGTTGGCGCCATTGAACTTACACCTGGGGTAGTTGCGAAGGTCCGAGGGGTAGAACTCACGCTCGTCTCTGTGGATCCTGGCGACGAAGTCGACATACGGCAGGTTTGATGGCGGTTGCGGACGGGGGAAGTGCCAGGGAACTGAGGAAGGCTCCGGCGAAGGGGAGCGTGAGACCGATCTGATGACTTCATGTAGCCTGGATTTCGTGAGCGTCGAGACCACTTGAACTACATCCACTCTCCTAATAAGAACTGCGCACTTACCGTCAGCCAGGCGCAATTTGCCAGTGGTTGAGTCCCCCGACTCCCTGCACGACCTGGTCGTATGCCAGGCGTATGTGGGGCGGTACCTCCAGTTGATCCTTGACCAGATACCTGGCGCGCTGTTTAATCTCGTCCTGCTTCTCCTGCTGTGACAGACCGTCGAGGTCCCCAGGTCTCAGAGGCCGGCCGCCCGGGGGTTGGGATTCCCTCTGCTGCATTTCTGGAGGCGAGGAATCATCAACAGGCCGCTCTACGGATCTGTTTGCCGGCGACATCGTCTTGGTAACGGTATTGAGAAAAGGCATGTTTTATCATTGGCTGCAGTCTGGTGATGTTGCGAGAGCGTGGAAAGATGAGAATGGAATAAGGCAAATAGCACACGTAGTAGAGCGGCAGCGATGAACATTTAACTGTCAGTGTCTTGAGCAGCAGCAGCCTGACCTAGACTGTCCTAATCTCAATCTCATGGAAGGAACATGTGAGGTAGTCGAATTCATCCATATGTGGGACCCGTCAACGAGGAAGGCGTTACTAGGAACGGGTGGGTGAGTAGTACAAAAGCTCGAACCTGGAAGAAGAGGATAGATAGAGAGTGAGACAAGCAACGGAGAGTAAAAATGCAAGAGAAACATGATTTAACGAGAGATGAAGATAGAACACACATGCTGTGCATGGGCGAGGTACTTGACAAAACAGCTATGGAATCTTCACCTTCCTCAGCCAGACAGACTCTTTCCTAGATATATCTGGGCAACGCAGGTCCAGAAGTAGGGCAGTCCTAGCTTGGTCTTCGTTATTGATAAGAAGGCGGCACCGACCGGACGGGGGCATTGCATTTCTAGTCAAGATCCAAGATCTCGGGGTCGCAAAGATCACTGCCGCTTGTGTAGCAGGTCAGAGGTGTTGTGAGCTCTAATACCCTATGTAATGTGCACAACATCGAGCAAGAAACGATGTTTCTGAACGTGGTCAATGATCCGGACCCTGTAGTTTGGCCTTGAAGTCTTTCCTTGCCATTCTGAGGAGTAGTAATGGAGTAATAGTACGGAGTATGGGTCCGTACTCAACGTTTACACGTCCAAGAGGGAAACGAGAGCTGTGCTCAGATAAAAAAGCAATCCCCCTTTGGAGGGAGCAAAAGAAATCAAAGACACGATCCACCCAGGGGTCGAACCTGGAACCTCCTGATTACCTGATCTCAAGCGACATTGAAGATGGTCGTAGTCAGACGCTCTGCCATTGAGCCAGCGGACCTTGGCGGTTGGAGCGGTCCCACCAGGATGCTTCAGGAACCGGGGCAGACCGTGATCGCCGAGTACCCTGTGGGGTTTGGCTTGACATCTCAGCGGAAAAGTTAGAATTGTTGAGTATGCAGGTGAGGAGTGTGGACGACGTCAGGACGACGTTGCTACGGAGCTCGTACGCCATAACGAGGTTGGTTCCCAACTTTCCACCTCTCCCGTGTTTCCGTTACGCCGGAATTGAATCGACGGCGCTTCGTTCTCAAAAGTCAAGCCCACATTTCACTCAGGTCCAGGGGATCCCCTAACCCTGAAGTGACGCTATGCAAGACTTTAACAGTGCGAGTTAGTACTGCCTTGACATCTCGCTAGTAATTCAGCAATACTTTCGGTACTAAGTGAACGTTGAGGCGAAGTCACGATCTAGTTGGGTGCCAAACAATACCTTTGTTCTTTGTCTTTGTAGTACTTATTACTGGTGGTTTCCACCTGGCCAGTTCCGCTGTTCCCGTTTTGGAGTCAATGTGCGCTGTGCGGCTTGTGCCTGGTCAACTCGGACCTGACCGTGTCGGGCCGAGACTGTCCATTCGCCGTGAGACCGCGGACCTGGTAACAATAGCAGTGGACCCTCCTTGGGACTCGAAAAAATGATCTGCTGATCCACGCCTGTGTTTTTCGATCAGACGATATCCGGCCGAACGGTTCCTCTCGTTCTGGATTATCGAACCTTCGAACCCTGTCTTGCCATGCTTGGGCCTGAGACTCCAGAATTGCCCCAGGAACCACGTAACATCACGAAATGCGGGTGTTCCCGCCGCGGAGATGTCAAGGTTCTCGGGTCGCAGAGTCCATGTTTTCTGGGACCCGCTGACTCAGCAGATTCTGTTATCAATTGTGAGCTGATCGTCGGGTCGGTGCCACAACTGCCTCGAGGGTGCCACGCAAAATGTGTGAGTGCAACTGTACCATTCGGCAAATCGCAGGTGTCCCAACTGTCATCGTGCTGTGATCCGCACCTAAAGATAGCCTTTTAAGAGTCCGGAATGCCATCTCTCGGCCCTCGGAGATGCGTAACTCTAAGTTGATCGGACGGGACAACCGGTGGTTCCACCGTCGCCCTGAATGTCAGGCGAGGCGAGGCCGCGCAATGGAGAGCGGAAATGTTCGTCGAGGGATGCTTGTCCTTGTGAGCGAAGTCGTTTGGGGAAACCGAGCTGAAGATAAATACCTGCGGTGTTGTACAATACAATTTACGATCATTCGTGCTTCCCCAATCCCCACAGATATCCCAAGATACCGGAGATCGGGAAAGAGGACAGGACAGAACATCCTGACAGTCGTTCAACAACCATAACACAGAATCTTCTGAGAAGATACCCATAGGCACTCGCTCTACCATGGCCGCCCCTCTCACAGAAAGCCAGCTCGCCATCGTCAAGGCGACGGCGCCGGTCCTCAAGGAACACGGCGTCACCATTACTACTGTGTTTTACAACAATATGCTCCGGGAAAATCCCGAGCTTCACAACATCTTCAGCACCACGAGCCAGACAACCGGCCGGCAGCCGCGGGCTCTCGCCGGTGCCGTCCTCGGCTATGCCACATACATCGACGACCTGGCCAAGCTGACGCACGCCGTCGAGCGCATCGCCCACAAGCACGTCTCGCTCCAGGTCACTCCGGCGCAGTACGACATCGTTGGCAAGTACCTGATCCAGGCCATCGGGCAGGTCCTCGGCGATGCCGCCACGCCCGACATCGTCGACGCCTGGGTTGCCGCGTACGGCGTCCTCGCCAAGGTGTTCATCAACCGCGAGGCCGAGATGTATAAGGAGGCGGCGGCGCACAACTGGGTGGGATGGCGCAAGTTCCGCATCGTGCGCAAGGTGCCCGAGAGCAGCGTCATCACGAGCTTCTACCTCGCGCCCAGCGACGGCCAGACCCCGCTGCCCAAGTTCCTCCCGGGCCAGTATGTCAGCCTGCAGGTGCCCGTGCCGGAGCTGGGCTACCTGCAGAGCAGGCAGTACAGCCTGAGCGAGGCCCCGACCGAGCAGCTCGAGTACTACCGGATCAGCGTCAAGAAGGAGGACAGCCCAGAGACGGGCATCCCGGGCCTCATCTCCAACATGCTGCACGCCCAGTACAACGTCGGCGACGAGGTCGAGTTGTCGCATCCGCAGGGCGAGTTCTTCGTCGACCCCAGCGACGTGAGTAAGGAGGGCGTTCCTGCGGTGCTGATCTCGGCCGGCGTCGGAGCCACGCCGCTCAAGTCCATCCTCGACAGCTTGACCACCGCGCCGGGCCGCCAGCCACCAGCGGTCAAGCGGCCGGTCTCATGGATCCACTCGTCGCGCTCGAGCGCGATGCAGCCCTTCGGCGATGCTGTCCGCCAGATCTGCCGGGAGAACAAGAACGTCAAGGCCAATGTCTTCCTTCGCAACCTCGGACCCGAGGACCGCGCGGGCGAGCACTACGAATTTGGTGACATGCGCCTCGACCTGGCCAAGCTGGACAAGGAGGCCGATCTCTTCATCAGCAATCCCCGGGCCGAGTATTTCATCTGCGGCCCGGAGACTTTCATGATCGATGTTCGGCACACCTTGATGGGTATGGGCGTTGACAAGAGCCGGATCTTCCTCGAGCTGTTCGCGACTGGTGACGTCCCGGATGACGCCTGAAAGAAGAGAACCCAGCTGGAGTGGGTGATTAGCGTGTTGGATAAAGAAGAGAACTGGGACATCGGCCGGAAGGGGTTATGGAGTACGGACCTGACTTTTCTTGTCTCTGTTCTATCTTACAGTTAGGGATACCTTAGCATAGTGAACTCGAAGATCGTCTCTTCTCTTGTAGCTGCAACAGTCCTGTTTTTCTTATCCCTGCTCGAGGCTTAGAAGTAAACCCCGCGTCGAGTAAACGGAGCTGACGATGCCTAAGCGTTAGAACATACTTTTTGCAGCAACGGCACATTGGACCATATCTATGCAAAGCTGGCCTGTTCGTGGGCAACATGGCGATTCGAATAAGTAGATATCGACAGGCCGGCCACCTTCAAGCCTGGTTGTCGCCAGTCCACCGCCTTATATATGCTTTCTTCAGATTTTGACTCAGCACATTCCACGTTGCCGCCCACATTGGCTCAGGCCCAAAGCGATTGATGCAGATCTGCACTTCATCCGTGCTGATCTCGCCTTCTTCCTTGAGCCTACAGACGTCCTTCACGGCTGAAGTCAGACTTGCATGTCCCTTGATGTTGGCCCTCTCAGCTGCCGGAGTCTTCATCTGATCCGCCAGAGTGTTCATAGCAGCTATGGTCTCCCGCCTCCTGTTGGATCGAATCGTCCTATTTCGTTTTCGAAGGTGTCGTTTAGCAGAAGGGGCAGGCGTGTCGTCCGGGTCGCTTTCGCGCTTTCGTTCCCGGCCTACCGCTGAGTTCTATCGTGGGACAGGTGTAGGTGTACCGACGTCGTCGTCGTCATCGCTAGATTCGTCGCCATCGTAAGACTCATCGCCATCTTGGGTTTCGTCGTCAGGAAGCTCGGGGATATCACGGCGAGCGCCATCGCCCGCACCGTCCACGTGGTCCCGGCCGCCAGTCTCCGTTTTACTAGCGTTGCGCAGGCCGAATAGGTCTTTGTAGTGCCGTCTTGGGCCAGCCGGTTTAGCCGTCGCTAACTTCCTGGCGTCGTTTGGTGGTGTCTCTGACGGCGATTCTGACGACGATTCCGACTCTGATGTCTCCGAGTCCCAACTACTTCGGAGGACAAGGATGGCTACGGCCGCAGCATATGTAGCGGCAATACGGCGGTTACGATAGTCAAGTTGAATAATAGTATCCATATCGACGATGGCGATGGGGAGTGCGTTGATGTTGGAACGTGGACTGCTCAATGACCTCATGGGCGCTGAACCTCGCGCGGTCGGACACGAAAAGACGCGTCGGTTCTTGGCCGACTCCGAGCAAGGTGGGGCGGACTTCGCGCTTGTCCAATTACTGGACATTGCCGTAACGGCTCAGCTTCCGTTTTCGAACGGCAGCGAAGTAAACAAGCCCCTTTTTTTCTTCTGCCAAACCGCCTTGAATTGAAGTTGAAGGACTCGGAGGGTACTCGTCGACGGCGAGATATAAGAATTGGCGGGAGACTTACGACGTAGGGGCTCTGTATGCTTACTGAAAGTTGTGAAGCCCATTACGGAGTACCGCGTCTGGACACGCCGACATAGTCAAAGGTCCAGCGGGACTCGGAGTCCTCGAGGTCTTTCTTGGTGTCTCGACCAAGACATTGGTCGAAGTCTTACGGTGCCCTATAATCAGTACTTGTAGGAGCACTCACTCGGTCATAGTAAGGTAGCCATTCAAGGATTCATTACAACCCGTCTTCGTGGCCACCATTGCTGTCGTTTATCCTGTACTTGCCTTTGGAAACCCGGCTTACATCCCGGTGGCACAGGCCCACCTTGATGTGCAATAATGCAGCTTAATAAGGTAAAAAAATACTTGAATCACCACGCTGGATGTTAAAGCGCGGTAAGTGAAGGGGCTTGTGGCCTTGGTGAAGTGAGACAGTAACTCTTCGACTATGAAGTGGTGTGTTATTCGCTATCTACGAAGAGTACTAGATAGCTTGATACTGCCTCTACAAAAAGGTCATCATGCCATGTGTTTCCGGAGGATAGTATCGATTTGTACTTTGTAGTCTGAAGTCATTCTGTCACAGGTATACCTGGCGGATCTTCATATAAAGTCTTCCACATAAGGTACCCCAGCCGGTCACCGATTCGTCGGTCCCTGCTGTGATTTCAGCTGTGTGCTGTATGTCCAAAGCAAAGATAGCTTAGCTAACCACCATGTTAATATGTGAGTACGGTGGCGATGGGAGACAGGCAGGGGCAGCGCAAATAAGGACAGCAAACTGAATTCGATCACCCAATGTAGCTCTCAGGCCAACTATCTCGTCGTTCGCATGCGAGAGTATCAAAACTAATTCTTCGAGATTGCCGGCAAGTATATAAGACAAGTCCCTACCAGTGAAGAAGGCACAAGACGTGGGACACTTGACATACGTCGTAGCTCCAATGCGAACAGGAACAGTTCAAAGTACTATGGAATAACGATCTCAACGCTGCAATCAGATTGTAAAGCACCTTACACGCAATTTGGATCCACTGGTTATCTGGTGTATGTTGTTGCCAGGCATTCAGTGTGGATGATCATGTGAGCTGGGTCGATGAACAGCCAGGCTGTGCATCAGGCTTTATCTCCTCCCTGCCGTGGAAATCAAAACTCAGACCCTACTATGTAGTGAACAGAGCGATCACTCACATGACTTTCCAGACTCATTGTTCAGCTTGGAATGTGGGACTAGAAATTTCTCTGCTCTAAACTTTTGACACTCCTGCTTTCTTCTCTTTCTTCACTCATCCACACATCGGCGAATCTTCTATCGCTTGTTGCGATATTGCGAACTTCAATTGCACTTCTGTGTTACCTCCGGAGTATATCGTCCATTTGGAGACGATCTACAGTCCCATCTTTTGTCATCAACCGAATTTTCTGTCGTTGATCGATCTCGTCTCTCACCACCACGCCGTTTGCTCCGGGAAGTAATCCCAACATGCCTTACAAGAAACCCAGCCACGAACCCGTCGCGGTGGTGGGAGCGAGCTGCCGCTTTGCTGGCAATGTGACTTCGCCGTCACGACTGTGGGAGCTCCTCGCCCTTCCGACAGACTTGACCAGAGAAATTCCGGCAGATCGGTTCAACATCCATGTGAGTGTCATCTATGTCCTCTTGTGACTTTACAGTCCTAACGTAACTGCACAGGCGTTCTTTCATCACGATGGGGAGCACCATGGAACGACCAACTCTCCCAAGGCATATTTCATCGAGCAGGACCACAAGGTTTTCGACGCAAGCTTCTTTAACATCACTCCCAAAGAAGCCGAGGCTATAGATCCACAGCAGCGGATGCTGCTCGAGGTTGTGTACGAGGCATTGGAGTCGGCCGGTTACACTCTCCAGCAGTATGCTGGGGAAAAGGTCGCCGTCTTTGCTGGTCAGATGACCGGTGACTACGACAGTCTCGCGCAGCGAGATGAACTGTTCATGAACCAATACTATGCCACCGGAAACGCGCGCTCGATTCTGTCAAATCGAATCTCATACTTCTTCAACTTCACCGGTCCTTCCGTCACCATCGACACAGCTTGCTCGTCCAGTCTCGTGGCTCTCCACCAGGCAGTTCTAAGCCTTCGGAGTGGGGAATGCAAGATGGCCTGCGTTGCTGGCGCCAACCTCATCCTTACCCCTGAGCAATTCATCGTCGAGTCGAACCTGCACATGCTCAGCCCGACTGGACATTGCCGCATGTGGGATGCTGGTGCCAACGGTTATGCCCGCGGCGAAGGAGTCGCGGCCATCTTCATCAAGCCATTGAGCCAGGCAATTGCAGACGGCGACTGCATTGAAGCGATCATTCGCGAAACCGGAGTCAACTCGGATGGCCGCACGCGCGGGATCACCATGCCGAATTGGGAGGCGCAATCACGTCTCATCCAGGACACATACGGCAAATCTGGGCTAGACCCCAAGGACCCCGAGGATCGTTGCCAATACTTCGAGGCTCACGGCACCGGTACCAGTGCCGGCGATCCCAATGAGGCTCGTGCCATTAAGAACGCATTCTTCGACAATGATTCCTCAACTTCGGAACGATACTTGAGTCCAGACGAGAAACTCCTCGTCGGATCAGTCAAGACGGTGATCGGTCACACCGAAGGCGCCGCAGGTTTGGCTGGCGTTCTGAAGGTTATCGAGAGCATGCGACACAATTCGGTGCCGCCCAATCTCCATCTCGAGAAGTTGAACCCGGAAGTGCAGAAGTACTCCACCAATCTGATCGTCCCTACCTCCGCCGTCGCCTGGCCCGATGTTCCGGCAGGCCAACCAAAACGCGGAAGCGTCAACTCGTTCGGCTTCGGAGGCACGAATGCCCACGTCATTATTGAACAATACGACCCAGAGATCCATGGCATTGCTGTGAAGACGGTGCGCCCGAGTCCTCCGTCATCATTAACGCTCGTTGGTCCGGTTGGCCACAGCAGGGAGGCTCAGGTCTGCCTGCCGCTTGTCCTTTCTGCTCCGTCGCCGAGAGCCCTCACCACCGTGGTCAAGACATATCGGGACTATCTGCTCCAGCGCCCGGAGGTTGCCGGCGAAGAGCTAGCTTGGCATTGCTTCTCACGGCGGACTGCATTTCCATTCCGCACCTCCGTGTCCAGTCTTTCAGTGTCTGGCCTCGTCAAGAAGCTTAGTTCGCTCATCGGCAAGAGTGAAAGCTCCCCTGCGGTCCACATCGGCATTCGAGCGCGGCCAGCCGATGAGCAGCCCAGGATCCTCGGAGTCTTTACCGGTCAAGGTGCTCAGTGGGCCACAATGTCTCGTGGCCTATTACTTTCCAGCCCAGTTTACGCCAACACCATTCGACGTCTGGACGAAATCCTCAAGAGATGCCATCAGCCTCCTGCTTGGTCATTGGAACAAGAGATCCTGGCCGACGAGCACACGTCCAGAGTACAGAAAGCATATATCTCACAGCCCCTGTGCACTGCCATTCAACTTGGCCTCGTCGAGCTTCTTCGACATCTCGGCATCCGGTTCTCCGCTGTTGTTGGCCACTCATCCGGCGAGATAGCCGCTGCCTATGCCGCGGGCAAACTCACCATCCGAGATGCCATGCTCATCGCATACTACCGAGGCCTTGGCGTGCACATGGCGTGCGGCGTGAATGGCGAGGAAGGCGGCATGCTCGCTGCTGGTTTGTCCAAGGCGGAAGCGGAAGAGCTCTGCGCGAGGACGGAATATTCCAACGAGCTCTGGGTTGCCGCTATCAACTCATCATGCAGTGTCACTCTGTCAGGCAACATTGATGCTGTAGAGGATGCCTGCGACTGTCTGGCGGAAGAGAAGAAGTTTGCCCGTAAGTTGTTCGTCGACGCGGCCTATCATTCACCGCACATGGAGGGTCCTTCGGTCAAGTACCTTGAGAGCTTGACGGCTTGTGGCATCTCACCAAGACGCGGGAATGGAACGACATGGGTCTCAAGCGTCTACGGCTCAGGAGGACCTTCGCGGGCTGAGCTAAAGGGTCATTACTGGAAGGAAAACATGGTCAAGCCGGTCCTCTTCTACGAGGCAGTGACCACAGCCTTGGAGACTGCTGGTCCGTTTGACTGTGCCATCGAAATCGGACCACATCCCGCACTGATGGGCCCGGTCAGTCAGACAATGAAGGAGACGCTGGGTGCAACAATCCCCTACTCTGGCTTGCTGTGCCGCAAAGTGGATGACCGCGAGGCTTTCGCCAGTTTCCTCGGCTCGATGTGGACTGAGTTCAGTTCGTCTTCTGAGCAAATTTGTCAGTTTGTCCTCAGCTCGGTACAACCCCAGCTTGTCAACACCCGACTTGTCGATGCGCCGACGTACCCGTGGGACCATAGCCAGAGATACTGGTTCGAGTCACGAATTTCTCGTCAGTATCACTTCAAAACCGAGAAGCCCCATGAGCTCCTCGGGGTTCGGACACGCGATGACAACAAGCATCAGTTACGATGGCGCAACATTCTCAAGCTGGAGAACATTCCTTGGGCGAAACACCATTCCTTCCAGGGTCAAGCGCTACTACCGGCCTCGGCTTATCTCATCATGACCTTGGATGCAGCTCGAGTTGCCCTGGCTGGTCGACAAGCTTCAGTTGTCGAGCTCCGCAATCTCAAGTTCCCATGCGGCATCGTCCTCGAACGTCAGGGTCCTGGAGTCGAGATCCTGTTCAGTCTGACCATTGATCGCGATGCTCAGAACACAATTGATGCCTCCTTCACCTTGACATCGGTCATTTCAGATGGAAGCACCGACATGAAGATGAATTTCCGCGGGAACCTCACGATCACCCTCGAAAAGCCAGACGCAGGATGTTTGCCACCACGCCCTAGGTCCCGTGCTGAGACTCTCCACGCCAGCCCCGAAGCCTTCTACGACATGATGGCCGGCACAGGATTGGCATACACAGGGCCATTCAAGGGGCTCAGGACGCTTGAGCGTCGATACAACTTTGCTTCGGGGACGCTGAAGAAGTATCACGACGAGGACACGACTGGCTTGCGCATCAGCCCCGCGACTCTGGACAGCTGCTTGCAGACCGCCTTTGTCACGGTCTCATCCCCGGGCGACAACGCGATTTGGACATCTTTCCTTCCTCAGGAGATGGAGTGCGTCCGCTTTAACCTCGCCATCTGCGACATCAAGGACCGTGCAAGTGACTCTCTCGCAGTCGACGCCTACTTGACTAAGGAGACACCTATTACTGAACGGAGCGCTGCTTCCTTCACAGCCGATGTCGAGGTCTTCAACCTCAGAGGTGACCAGGAAATCCAAGTCCAAGGACTTGCCGTCAGGTCTTTCTGCTGCACCAAGCCCGACGAGGACTATGAGCTCTACTTGACCAGCATATTCGACTTCGACCCGGATGATGAGATCGTCTCTGCAGAGAACTCCGGAGTATGTGCTCCCAATCCAGTGCTTATTGAGAGCTGTGAACGAGTTGCATCGTTTTATACCAGCCCCTTTCCCGTGGGCGGACTCGATTCAGCTCGCTCCGCCCTGTCGGCTACTCCGTGGCCCAGGGAGACGCCGGAAACGCTCGACAACTTCATACGAACCTCTCCCTACTTCCTCGGATTGGACTTCATCCGCCAGGTGGGCAAGGCTCTGCCGGACATGCTCGTCGATGTGGTGCCTGCAGTCATCGAAGAAGTAAACCGACTCGTCCACTTCCAACGCCACATCTCCCGGGTCGTCCGCCAGATTGCACACAAGTATCCACGCATGAACGTCCTGGGTCTCACGGACCCCAATCTCGGCATGACAGAACACATCTTCGCCGGGCTACAGAACTCCTTCCAGCACTACCGGGCTGGGTCGAGGCCCGAGCCGAACCTTGAGAGCCGCGTACAGTTCACTGAGTCACTGCGGAAGAAGGTTATGGTCGACAAGCTAGACTTGGATGCACCTCGGCGGAGTAACGAGCGGTTGTATGACCTTGTGATTCTTGCGGCCTCGCTCCTAGAGTCTCACAATGTTATCGAGGCGCTCACAGCAATCAAGCGGATGATGCGTCCAGGAGGCTTCCTGGTCCTAGTTGACTCCACTCGTGGAAGCATTAAGGGCTGTATCTGGCGCGCTGCTGGCTTTGTGCAGGGCGAGGGCGACGCCATCTCTCGTCCTGCCTGGCCTGTGCTCCTGAGTCAATCGGGTTTCGCGGATTACCTCAAGAAAGGACATCAGTGCTACCCTTCTGGGTTCTCTTTAATTGTTCGCCAAGCCGAGTCGCCGGAGAAGGAGTTGCTTCTCCACCCCCTTTCCGGCTCCGCGGTTTCTCGTCGTCTAGCTGATCGTCTGCTAGTCGTCGGCGGAAAGGAAGAAGATACTTCGCTGATCTCGTCAGGGGTCCGCATCGCGCTTAGGATGGGTTGCGGGAGGATAGAACTGGCAGAGACGCTCGACCGTTACGATGCCACGACCTTGGCGTCTTTCTCTGCAGTGATCCTCCTGAATGATATCGATGAACCCATTCTGGCAACCATGACCAAGGAACGCATGGATGCCCTTCGTGCCCTCTTCCGCCCGCAAATGACCGTCCTCTGGGTTACATACAATGCTCGGTTCTCCAATCCGGACCACGCAGCTTCATTTGGATTTGCCCGCACCTTGACAGCTGAGACCCCTGGCCTTGCCCTGCGAATGCTCGACTTGGATACCCTGGAGCCTGCTCCTGCGGTGGAAGCGATTGTGGAAGCCTTTGCCCGGCTCGCGAACGAGGCCCTGATTGATGAAGAGGATGTCAACAAACCGCTATGGACCAAGGAACGTGAAGTGCACCTTGACAAGGGCCGTCGTCTTATCCCGCGCGTCGTCCCATGGAAGGACGGCAACGACCGCGTCAACGCCTCTCGTCGGGTGATCTCGAACGCCATCAATAGTCTGGAACGTGTTGTACGCGTTGTGCCCGTCGAGTCCGAGGACGGCTCGTGCTTGTGTGAAGTCGAAGTCGAAGATGTTGGTAACTCGGATATGGCGGCCGACCAGAGAGCGATTCAGGTCGAGTACAGCACTGCGAGGCCGATCAACATCGCGGGAACCTTGTGCTACATTTGTATTGGAAGGAACCTGAAGAGTGGTAGGATACAAGTCACTCTGACGGAGTCTAATTCGTCTTACGTCAAGACTCCGCTGATGAGCATGGACGTCGACGACAATAACGACGACAAGGCCGTCAATCAGCCAGCCCTCCTTGCACGTCTGGTCCGATATGCCGCGGCCTTCATCATATCACACACGGTGCAGCGGAAGTCGATAGTTTTGGTTCAGCCGGACAAGCTCTTCTACGACTGCGCGAAGGACATCCTCGCAAGATGTGGCACACAACTCTGTATTTGTTCGACCGACGAAGTTCTGTGCGCTGAAGTCCCTGGAGCAGTCCGCCTCCAACCCAGTTCTCCCATGCGGGAGATGAAGGCCTTGTACCCGCGTGAGGGCGCCTGGGTCATCGACATGCTCCCCACGTCGAGCGAGCTCTCTCAGACCCTCGTCCGGAGTCTGCCGAGAAATTGCATGTACACGACCTGTTCATCACTATTTGGCTCTGAGCTTTTCAGCAACAAATTGGATAGAGCGCTTTTCAATTGCTTTTAGGAACAGCTCGTTGTTGAACTTGCGCTCTCCAAGGTGACGACGACGACGTCCGACGCTTCACCCACCACCACCATGACAGTCCCGGAACTCCTGCAATCCAAATCCAACACCGAGATGCCACCGTTCCAGATCATTGACTGGAAGGCGGAGCGCTCCGTCTCCCAGGTTGTCAAGCCGCTGGCCGGTACTCACCTGCTGCACCCAGCCAAGACGTACGTCCTGACCGGCCTGACGCGTGACTTTGGCCAGAGCCTGTGCACTCTTTTCGTCCAGCAAGGGGCGCGCCACATTGTGCTATGCAGTCGGAATCCGCCAACGGCACAGCCAAACTGGCAGACCGAGCTCATCGCCAGGGGCGTCACAGTTCGCTTCGAAGCGCTTGATGTCACGAGCCTCGAGCAGGTTGTTGAGTTCAAGGCCAAGCTCGCCAAAACCATGCCTCCCGTGGGTGGTGTTGTCAACGGCGCCATGGTCCTGGACGACGGCGTCTTCTCAGAGATGTCTCTGGAGACAATGCAGCGCGTCATGAAGCCCAAGACAGTTGGCTCGACAAATCTCGACACGGTCTTCGACAGCCCCGACATGGAGTTCTTCATCATGACCTCCTCATTCGCGGCAATTGGCGGCCATGCCGGACAGTGCAACTATGCGGCGGCCAACATGTACATGAACGGCCTTGCAGCCTCGCGTCGACAGCGTGGGCTGCCGGGTTCAGTTCTCAACATCGGCGTCCTGTACGGCTTTGGGTTCTTGCACCGGGAGAAGCACAACTTGTACGAGGGCCTGGAGCGCGAAGGCTACCCGCCCATCTCGGAGCGGGATGTTCACCACATGTTTGTCGAGGCTATCAAGGCGGGCAAGGCTACGCCAGGCCAGATCTACGACATCACCACGGGCCTGCGGCGTTTCCCTGCCCATGATCCGACGCTCAACTGGCACTGGGACCCGCGGTTTTCGCACTTCACCTGCCGCGAGGAAGAGCTGGAGGCGGAACCTGCTGTGGATGGTGAGCAGAAGAAGAGCTTCAAAGAGCTGATCGAGGAGGCCGAGACCAAAGAGGAGATTGTGGACATCCTCGTACATGCTTTTGTGGCCCGTCTTCAGAGCCAGCTGCACCTGGCAGACGGCAACGTCACGAGCGAGCATAGCATTGTCGAGCTCGGCGTGGACTCGCTGGCCGCTGTGGAGATTCGCACTTGGGTCTGGAAGAAGCTCGGCCAGGACGTGCCTGTCATGAAGTTCTTGGGCGGGTGCACCATTCTGAAGCTCTGCCAGGAGATTGCGGGCACGATCGTGGAGTCGCGGATGGCCGAGTCCAGCTCGGCGTCGTCCTCGACCAAGGGGAGCGAGGTGTCCACGCCGCCGAGCAGCAGTGCCTCTGTTAGCTCCTCGAGCTCGGCCGCAGTGGACGCCAGAGACAGATAGAGAGAGAGATGCGGGATACCGCACTCCGTTTTCACAGGCGATTATACGGATGGGATTTATGGAGGCTTGGAAGGAGTGCGTATATGGATATTTGTATTATGGGTTTCTAATTTGGGCGGGTCCAGGGGTACATGTTGTTTACTTGACGGGAGCTTGCTATGGGACGGTGGGCTTTTTGCTGGCGGTCTGGGTTTCTTCTCATGTTCTTCGGTTGGGAGGATTTGTGGTCGAGATTGTTTGGGCGGACCATTGGAGATGATTGGAGAAATGACGCAAAGGCGAGAAGCTCTGCTCATGATGGGATCATTGGATGTTTCCTTCCGTTACGGCATAGATGTGATTCAGGTTGACTGGGTGCGAGAGACAGATCGAGCATTGAGTTTGGAGACATCTTGGTGTGCTACGTAGACCTAGACTGCATGGCTCTAGACTTGGACTGTTTCGCGACCTAGACTGATAGATGGAGCGCTTGATGCAGCAGGGAGAATGGAGAGAATGGGATTATGAGGGGACACTACAATGTGCCTGTCACATATCATGTGATTGTGCCTTTGTGCGAACAAACATGTCCATTGAGGTGATCAGTGATCCTTTGTTCAAGCTCCTCGAACAGCGATTACTTTGTACTGTACCTACTCAGGTAATGCTATACAAAACCGCCACAGGCACCCACAACTTGCACTATGCGAAGCCAAGATCAGTAATCCCCGTACAGTAGCTCCGCATTGCAAGCTTAGCACTCATCCCACCTATTATCCCTACCTATCGGGTGAGGTACCAGCCACCACAATGTCGTATAAGGTACAGTAATTAGATGGCTACATCTACGTCGAACAGCGTATTACCGGGTCCTCTGGTCCGGTCAAGACAACTCTACCTTTGGAGCAGCAGCAGTCTAGAACCCGACCCCGCTCGAACGCCAATCGCTAGTGCAACTTGACATGCAAGCCCTCGTCGGCTGCCTGTTAAACGTGTACTGTCCGAATTGACTCGGAAGCGTCCACTGGCCCAGTCTGGGGTGTCACAGGGTATCATCTGATCACAACCATCCGTTGCCCCGTAGGTATGTAGCGTACAATAATATAGTCTAGTAGTGCATGGGTGATCATTTCCAGGCTAAGGTCGGGCTGCGGGCGCGGGGAAGGTGCGGATCGGATGAGGGGTCGTCCAGTGGCGTTTGGGCTGTGGAAAGGGGGCCGGGACCACGGGAAACGTCACACGGCACACTTCCAGGTTACTAAACCTGTAATATGCGCGGTAGGTACCCGGTATCAGGTACCGTATTGATATTCAATTGGATCACGGAAGCCACTTCCCAGGTGTAGAATGATTTATAGGCAACCTGTCCCTCCTTGTTCCCAAACCCTCATTAACGAGTCAGGGACTTGAGGTATAACTCCCATCGTTCCGAACTTTTACTTCTGAACTGCCGTCGTGCCACCAACCCTCCTTTGAGTCCAAAGCATCCCAGAATTTGAACCACCTCCCATTCCATCCCCCAAGTTCCAACCAGAAAAAGACCTACCACCATGGCCACCAACCCCTCCGCCGAACGGGTCGTCCCCGGCTCCGCCAACCCGCCGCCCGCGCCCTGGCCCGCGAGCGCCACAACCCCAGCAGGATCCATCAACGCGCCAGCGATCGCCGCGCAGGTCATCTCCTCGCTCAACGACGCGCTCGGCAAGCGGGACTTTGCCGCCGTCGCCGGGCTGTTCCTGCCCGATCCGGACGACTCCTCGGTGATCTCGGATGCTGCTGCCCCCGCGCCGGCGCCGAAGCCGACGCCATTCTGGAGGGACCATCTTGTCCTGTCGTGGCGGCTGCGCACGCTCAAGGGGCGGGAGAAGATCCTCTGCTTTCTGAAGAGGGAATTGAAGGATGAGAATGAGGATGAGGAGAAGGAGAAGAAGGCGGCGCTGTCGTTGTTGAAGTTCCGGGTGGATGACTCGGTTGCGTCTCGGAAGCCGAAGGTGGTGAGCTTCCGGTCGCGCGGGGAGGTCAATGGGGTCGAGTTCTTTGTGACGGTGGAGAATGCGGCTCGTGGTTACTGTAGTAAGAGGGGGAGGGGCGTGGTGAGACTGGCGGAGGCTGAGCCTGGGGTGTGGAGGGTTTGGACGATGTTTACGACGCTGGAAGAGGTCGGCGGGTTTGAGGAGAGGGTGGGGAAGAGGAGGGAGGTTGGGGTGCAGCATGGCGCGACGCAGGATAGGAGGAATTGGGCGGAGAGAAGGGCCGAGGAGAGGGAGTTCGTGGGCAGGGAGCCGGAGGTGTTGATTATCGGTATGTGTGTTGTTTTCTGATGGGAAAGAAGGTTGAGGCCGGGGGTAAGATATTTTGGATACTGACTGCTGCGTAATAGGGGCCGGACAGGCCGGGCTGACTGCCGCTGCACGGTTCAAGATGCTTGGAGTCCCGGCTCTTGTGGTCGACAAGAACAAGGCGGTCGGCGACAACTGGCGCAACCGGTACCGCCAGCTTGTGCTGCACGACCCCGTTTGGTACGATCATATGCCCTACATTCCATTCCCTGACTCCTGGCCCGTCTTTACGCCCAAGGATAAGCTGGCGGACTGGTTCGAGTCCTACGTCAAGGCCTTGGACCTCGACGTGTGGACGCAGTCTTCCATGATGTCCAGCTCCTGGGACGGAGACACAAAGCAATGGAAGGCCGTTATCCAGCGCATCTCAGCAGACGGCTCCACGGAGACGAGGGAGTTCCATCCACGACACATAATTGTCGCAACGGGGCACTCCGGGAAGTCCTACATGCCTTCCATACCCGGGATGGAGTCGTTCAAGGGTGACCTTCTCTGCCACTCGGCCAGCTTCCCAGGCGCTGGGGAGAACCGCAAGGGCAGAAGGGCCGTCGTGGTTGGTGCCTGCAATTCGAGCATGGATATCAGCCAAGACTACGTCGAGAAGGGATATGATGTGACGGTGGTGCAGCGGTCCTCCACCTACGTGATCTCCAGCAAGAACGTTCTGGACATTCTGCTGGGCGGACTCTACGAAGAGGGCGGCCCGGCAGCCGAAGACAGCGACCTGAAGATCTGGGGCTGGCCAAGCGAAGTGCTCAAGTCGACCCAAGTGGATCTGACCAAGACTGCAGAGGAGAAGGATAAAGAGATTTTGGATGGGCTGGAGAGAGCCGGCTTTAAAATCGATAAGGGGCCAAGTGGAGGAGGCCTCTTTTGCAAGTACCTGCAAAGAGGAGGGGGGTATTACATCGACGTGGGCGCGGCAAAGCTCATCATTGATGGGAGGGTCAAGGTCAAGCACGGGCAGGAGATTGCGCAGGTCCTACCACACGGACTGAGGTTTGTAGATGGCAGTGACCTGGAGGCGGATGAGATTGTGTTTGCTACGGGCTACGAGAACATGAAACAGTCGGCGAAGGGCTTCCTGGAGGACGAGCTCTTCGAGAAGGTGGGAGACGTGTGGGGCTGGGATGAAGAGGGCGAGATGAGGACCATCTGGACGGGCAGCGGCCATCCTGGGCTCTGGTTCCATGGGGGCAATTTGAGTTTCTGCCGGTATTACTCGAGGCTGGTGGCACTTCAGATCCTGGCAAGCCTCAAGGGGTTGAATGGGCAGGGTTAGAGCATTAGGATGGCGTGGTCTGCTATGCGTCAACCGCAACGACAATGTCCATAGCATGCCCTCCCAAGAATCCATTGTTTTGAGCCCCGTACTACTCTGTTTCTACGGTGCTTTCAGTTGCCATACATCCATGGATATCCAGTTTTCGTTTCTACGTTCAGCGAAGAGCATGTGGTATGTATTGTACTGTTGGCTTCCGGTCGAGTCTTGGCATCCAGGGGCAATCAGCCCCTGAATGCCCGGTTGTCTGCTCTCCTCATGAACTCGACTTCTCCGTACCTATCTTCCCGGGCGGGTTTCCGATCGCGGCATGGCGCGTAACCTGCCGATACCACATCATTTATCTGCAAAAACAATCAGAACAGCCGCGTAGCTGTTCCCACACGGACCCGGTAATCAGACAGATTAGCTGCGCTCTTCCCAACATCATCTGAGGTCCCACTCTACTAGTAGTACTTACGCAGACACAGCCATGATAATCTCATGGTCTCGACTCTCAGTCGCAACGGCCATGACGACGGCCACTGCGATGCAGCACAGAGCCACAACAATGACGACCGTCGACTTGTCTTCGACAGTCGAGAGAATCCCGATGGGGACCAACAGCAAAATTGACGACGTCGCGGTCAGGAATGCGCGTAGGAGGAGCCGCACGCTGTCGTCGCTGTAGAGGTGGAGCGCTCCGGTGCGAGATACGGGGACGGTACGGCCGCCGAATGCTGGCTGAGGTATTGTACAATACATCCATCACAGCGTGTCAGTGCCCTGTCTCATTCATGCGCTGCCTGGAGGGTGGTAGGGGTGGGGGAAATACGCACCATGGAAAGCAGCCGCCAGGAAGCTTGCTCGGTTAAACGATAGAGCCAATTCTTGTCCGAAACACCTCCGGAAAGGCACATCAGATCATCCTCGCTATGTCCCTTCTCTTCAAGGAAGGAGAGCTCGACTTTCCCCGATGACAGGTTCCGGGACGCCCAGCGACGCAAGTCGGAAAGTGGAATGGGCTCCGGTCGTCCTAGCTTGGATAGTTGAATATACCGTGTAACCGCTTCGTCTGTGTCGTTGATAGGCGCAAGGACGTACGATTAGTAACAAGCTGACCCCCAACGGTCGGTATTTTGTGGTAGACGCTTACTATATGCGGATAACCGCGACTCCATGACACTTTCTAGCGAGCCGGAGACGACACCCCCTTCCGTTTCTGCCTCTAGCCTGTTCTCCAAATCCGCCAGCTCCGTCTGGATCCGCAGTATATTTCGGATGTTCAGGGCTGAGAAGCGACGGAAGATGAGATAGGCGTCGTCTTTGTTCATGAACCCGGCAAGTCGGCCATGCGTATCATCTGCATTTTGACTGGCGGTCGTACCACCTGTAGTACTTAAGGAAGACAAAGGAATTACGGATGCAACGCCAGTCGTTCCGCTGGAGGCGGCAACGGGGAGAATCGGTCCCTGAGAAGGGACTTCGGGCGTTTCTTGCGCCAGTCGACTGCCATAGGTCCGACCGCTGCGTCGGCGAAGTGCTTGTTGAATACGCACATGCTCGGCTACGTGTTCCCCAAGCTCAGCCCTTCTCGTCGTTTAGCCTCGATTATTTTGGCGGTGGAAGCTAATAAGGGATTGTAGTCACACTCACTCGCTTTCAAACTTTCTCCCAGGACAGTGATGGCAAATCATCTTGATTTGAACCTCAGTCAGCGGCTCAAGAGTTGAAATTCAACATACATGAGACCTTTGGCGTGAGCAACTGGGCGCGCGGGATACATGTGTTCAACGTGGTATATTGATGCCATTACTACATAGGTCCCTGTCATAGGCAGTAATAAGGCGGCAGGATAATTACGCCGCTGCAGCTAGCTGACCAAGGTCAAATTCTCCTGAACCAATAGGGGACTACTAGTCTCTAGGCCGTCACGCGGCGCAGCTTCCACAGCCACAAATCGGCACCGCACCGCACAGATGGTGGGAACTGAAGGGCATATAACATGGGGTTCGTCGTACTGTGGTGTTATCATGTGAAGTGCTCCGGGAGTGATGGTATTTCGTTGCTTCTCAACAGAAGTCCTCGCTAGATAAGACGGCAACGCCGTGTTTCGCTCCAGAGAGCCACCGCCCACTAGAAGTATATGATAATGGAGTGCAGACATTGTAACGAGAAATTCGAGCGGGAGTCAGTTTAATTCTCACACTAGGAGTCCGATATTTACTAGTACCCCTAATCCTCTCTGACTATAACAGTAGTGCCGAATTCGCGGACCATTGCGACAACCACGCCAAGATTCAGGTTCAGCTCGGGCGGACGGGCAAACGCACCTACGGTGCGAGGTACACAGAAAGCGAGTCGGCCAAGGACAAAGAGCCCAAGCCCGAGCCCAAGAGGCCGGAGCACCCAAGGGCGCAACAAACAGCCCTCCCAGTGCGGAGCAAGCCTGCGTCTACGTTTGCGTCTACCACACCTGCAGCAAGCTCTCCCAAGAGTCCCAACAAGACTGTGCTCGAGCGAGTCCAAAGCATCATCGACAGGTTCGAGCCCTACGAAGATGGAGTCGAAAGCAAGACACAGCGGCCTGCTGAACTGCCGTGCCCGGATTGTGATTTCAAGCTCCGAGATAAGTAAAGCTACCCCTACCGGTCCCTTCGTCCGTCGAGACCCGAGTCACAAAATATTCAACTTCGTCCACAGGAAAGAACTCGATCACCACTTCCTTTCGGTGTACTGCCGCGGGAGCCACATCGTTCAGTATGCGCTACAGATCGACAAGACGAAGCCACGGGGCTATTTTGTGGAAGAGTTGCTTGTTCCGTATGACGAGCACGCGCATCCCTCCGAGTTCCAGTGCCGCAAGTGCGGGAACACATTCCCATCGCTGAGAGCGATGCAGGAGCATGAAGCGACTCGTAAGCAGGGGCCATTCCTTTTATACTGGTGCAGAAAAACTCAAAGGGATCACTGGCAACTAAAATACAAAACAAATAGACCCCATCTTGCCGCAGATATGTCTACACTGCGCTAAGGTGTTTGGCACCGCGTAAGTTGACCGTCGGTCCGTCATGGCCACCAAAGCTTGAAGCTCACAAGGAATGCAGGTACGAACTGGAAGACCATTACGACTGGCATGATGACATGGAGTACCGGCAGAGGGTGGACAAGCTTCCCGCCGAGCCTGCAGTTGCCGATGATCTAGACGAAGAGGAAGGGGATATTGTCCCCGCCGATGTCACAGACTTCGGGCGTGGTATCCAGAAGATCCCTTTTACTCATCTTGTCGGGAAGAAAGGTATATGCTTACTGCCCTAGTCCCGTGGCTTGCGGAAACTAACCGATGTACCTAGCCCCTGGCCTGCCAAAAGACGGCACACTAGCCGGCATTAGCTCAATCAGCAAAGAGGATGTGGAGATGCGTGAGTACACTGTAATTGTACGATCTTACGCCTCCACACCACGCACTCACTCACGGTCTCGTCAGGTTTTGCTCCCCACGGCCGCCTAGTCAAACCACTCACTCACTATTACACGATGCCGGCCTACATGACAGATGACGAAATGGACAGGATCCTAGCACAACATGATGCCAACCCCAACCGTTTCTCGGTGCGTGATGGCGGACAGATGAACGAGATAGGCCGGAAGACGCCCTCGAGGCGGGAGACTCGTTCGTCCAGGTCCGGCCCTCCAGGGGGACTGAGGATACTGGCACATGGCCGTCCCGGGGCAGTTCAAGTACGCGACGTATCCGGCCGCATAAGGTGGCTGGATGGAGGTGCCTTCGGCAACGTCGTTACATGGGTCATTGGGCTGCCAGGTTTTGAGGAGGAGCTCGCAAAGGCGGTCGACGAGGCTGTCGGATGGGAAGAGAGCGGGAATCTCAACAGGGCGTTGCCGTCGTGGAAGAAGGTGCTCGAGCTGTTGATGGGGCCCGGGAGCTCGCATATGGACCGCCAAAAGCGGTTCATGGCACTGACAAAGCTAGCGGTGCTGTCGTCGCAGCTGAACCGGACTGACGAGGCCATCAGTTACTGGTGCGATGCGCTGGAGCTATCGGAGAAGCTGTATGGCATCCACAGCATAAACAACTTCAACATCATCAACTCGATCGCCGTCATCTTCGACGAGCGGGGAGACTACGGCCAAGCAGCGCCGCTTTACCGCCGTTCCCTCGCCGGGCGGCTGCGGATCCGCGGCCCGGACCACGCCGACACGCTGATGAGCATGCAGGAACTGGGCATGGCCAACTGGCGACTCAACCGCGCGACTGCCGCCCGGAAACTCCTCGAGAAAGCGTGTCTCGGCTACGAGAACCTCCGACCGCGGGACGACGGCAAGATGGTTTTCATGGTTCTCCTGAACCTCGCGTCCGTATACGGCAGCTTGGGCATGAAGACATCCGCAGAGGCGCTCCTTCTCAACGGCATCCCCCGTATGCGTGCCGCCCTCGGCCTCCAGGACAAGGTCCTTGCTTATGCTCTCGGCAGCTACCTTCAGCAGCGCCAAGGCACTGCTCTCCCACCTACCATCCTCGATACCATCCAAGCCGTCCGCCAGAAGTCCGATTCCGAGCACTGGGCGGTGGTGGCCGAGGCCCTTGCCGCTTTCCATTGCCAGAACCGTCGATACCGCGACGGCCTCCGCCTCTACCAGGAAGTCATCCAACGGCATCACCAGCAACACCAAGTTCCCAATGACCCCAGGCTCGTCAAGACCATTCACGCCGTCGCCCACTGCCACGAACTCCTCGGCGAGCTTGTTGAAGCAGAAGCCGCCTGCCGCAAGTGGGCCTCCCTCGTCGCCCCGGGGACACCAACCCATGCCTTCGCCACGCAGTCCCTGGACAAGATCCGCCGCCGACTCGACAACATCTCCACCGAGCGCCAGAAATGGGATCTCCCTCCGTACACTTCCCCCTCGACCCTTCCGGCACCCCGGCCCTGTGCAGTCTGCAAGAACCACACCAACCAGCTATGCCCAGACTGCCAAATATTCCCCCTCTGTCCAATCTCCGACTCGCCCTCCTGCACCGAGAAACACAAAAGCTGCAGCCAATGCGTCCCCTCCCTCCTGCCCTCCGAATCCCAAACCGCCCTGCTCGACCCAGCCTTCCCCGCCCCGGACCTCGCAGCCCGCTTCCAGACCCTCTTTGCTGGCGACGAGCACCTACGCCACACCTTCCTCTCCGGGAATCCTAGTACTAGTACTCAGCCTCCCAGACTAATAACCACGCAAGCGCTATTCGTGGCGATACGACCGCGATGTATCGCCACCGTCCGCCTTCCCAAGCGGCGAGACAGGCTGGTCTCGTTCTGGTTCAACACCCGGTGCAATGCCGACGTGAGGATCCGGTGGCGGTCGGGCGGCCCATGGGGGGTTGATGCTGCTATGGTTTGTGGTGGTGGTGGGTGGAAGGATTTGAGGGGCGCCGCCGGGATGGGGATGATGTATCTGTATCCTTCAGACGATGACTATTGGTTGTTGGTTGCGCCTGGGGAGGAGACGCTGGGGAAGGCAAGGCAGGAGAGGGCGCACGTGTTTCCTGATGAGGATGGTGGGAAGGGAGGGCTGACGGCGGAGGGAGTGCCAGATAGGGAAATGCTGGAGTGGCTGCAGCTGGTGGATGGTGATGATGACGGGGAGTGGAACCGGAACAGTGGTGGTGGTCTCGGGCTTAAATTGGAGCTGGTGCTTGTCATGATGGAGTGGGAGTGTTGAGAATGGCTATCTACCTAAGGGAGACAATTGAAGATCTCGGTGCTCGTAATCTTACTTGCGTCTAATCTCCGCTGCAATGGAGTTCTAGTCGTTCTGGCCATCGAAAGGGCTGCCACTCTAGGTTCCTGTTGAGCCACAGGTTGACTCTCTGAATCATTCGCTGGATGTATGTCTCAAGAGCCTTGGTGCTATGCCGATGCGACCCGGACCTATCGGGATCTCTAGTCGATTGAGGAAAGAGCAGTTGGCAGCGCTTCCACAAAATCCAGTGCTCCTTCCGTATCTGCAGCGACGTGCAACACGATCGAAGTAGGCTTACTTGTGCCGACATCCGTCGCCTCAACTCCCGTTCTTATCCTTCCACCTGACTTGAAGTGTTGCTCTTCCAGCTCTATCAACGCTGCTCCTGATATTACGTACGTGGTTTGACTGCCAACAAGCATCGTTATCATGAAGCTCATACTGCTCATCACCGCGTTTTCCGGCGCTGTCGCCTCAGCTGTCCCTTTCCAGCTTCCCGCTCGCTAGGCGCGTTCCGAGCTGCCCCGCCTCATCATCTACCACCAAACGACACACGACTCAGTCGGAAGGCCGATCTCAGTCCTGCCGCTCATCAACAAACAGCACATCGCCCTGACCCACCTGGTCATCGCCGCCTTCCACGTCAACTCCAACCGCACCGTGCACCTCAACGACTTCCCCCACCGCCACGCCGTCTTCCATACCCTCTGGAACGAAACCCGCATCCTACAATCCGCCGGCATCAAGGTGTTGGGCATAGTAGGCGGCGCCGCGACCGGCTCCTTCACGGAGAGCACCCTAGACGGCAACGCCTCGGCATTCGAGTCGGCCTACCACCCTCTCTACGACGCCATCGCCGCCCACGACCTGGACGGCATCGACCTCGACGTTGAAGAGCCCATGACTCAGCAGGGCATCACCCGCCTCGTCAGACGCCTGCGCTCCGACTTCGGCCCGGACTTCATCATCACGCTCGCGCCCGTCGCTGCGGCCCTCACCGGGTGGGGGAACCTCAGCGGCTTCGACTACGCAGCGCTCGAGCGCACGGTCGGGCGCGACATCGAGTTCTACAACACCCAGTTCTACAGTTCTTTCGGCAGCATGGCGAGCACCGCCGACTTTGACGAGATCGTCGATGCCGGGTAGGACCCCCGGAAGATCGTGGTGGGCCAGCTGACGAGTCCCGTCCATGGCACCGGGTTCGTGCCGCACGAGACGCTCCGGAGCGTCATTGCTGCCCTAATGAGGAGATACGGCGTGATCGGGGGCATCATGGGGTGGGAGTACTTCAACGGTGTTCCGGGCGGGGACAAGCAGCCCTGGAAGTGGGCGGAGGCGATGACGGCCGTGCTGAGGCCCAAGGCCGTGCCGGTGTTGGCCATCACGCGCGAGATGGCGGAGAGGCTGCGCGAAGCATGGATCTTGAGCGCCGCGGCCGGAAAGGGAGAATCATCCAAGGGTGCTGCTGACAGGACTGGCGGATCGGAAACCGCGGCCTCGGTGAGGTCGCTGCCGAATATTGACTACTTGAGCATGGTTACTGCTTAGAAACGACCTGTAGATGCCTCTAAACAAAGTACAACAACCCCTTGTTGGCCGTCCGATTTGCTGCAGCTGACTGCAACACGCCCAATGCTGCTACTCTTGAGGCAAGTGTGACCGTCACCTGAGGAGATGAAACCTAGAACGTTCGACGTGGGCATCGCAAGCTCTGTTGACTTGATGCTCCACAGGGTGTAAAAGTTTTCTACCCCTGCTGCATGCCAAGGAATGCCCCACCTTCTCCTGAAAGCAACCAACCACAGCACGCACCCCCGACACCCTCAACTTCAACTCGCTGCAACAGGAGCAACAACCTTATAATTACTAACGGAGTTGGGATCAAATTTCATACGAGAGAGATCGCCACAATGGGCCGGCCAGCGGGATCGGTAGGGAGGCCGCAGCTCAAAGCCGAGGATCTCATACGGATCCAGACGCTGTCGCGGGACGCGCAGATGGGCCCCACGCAAATCTCCAAGATCACCGGATACTCTCTCCACCAAATCAAGTACGCGCTGAAGAAGAAGACGCCGACGGTTGGCGTGCGCACCGGTCGGCCGAGGAAGGGTGAGCCTAGTCCGAGGAAGAAGAAAGAAGGAGCTAAGGAGGGAGGTAGTGGTACTACTAGTGCGGAGAGGCTGGGGGAGGAGGACGAGCCCATGCAAGAGTCAGTGACAGTCTCCGACGACAACGCCCCGACAACCCCCCCGTGTAGTAGAAGCTAGGAGTGCTGGTGTGTGCGGGGTTGGGTTGAGTCCTCCTCGGGTACTTATACTGACTGATCTGCCCTCCAGTTCCAGTCTTGGTGAAAAAGCTGTCGAGCAGCAGCCGGCGTTAGTTGAGCAGCAGCTGATTCAGCATTTAGCTGACCACACCGCTGAACCGCCGCCGCCGCCGCCGCAGCCAGCAGCAGCAGCTCAGTCGAGCCAACCGCCAACCGCGGCGGGCCAGCCGGAGCAACAGCCCGGTGAGGTGCGGACCGAACCGGTTGCTCAGCAGTGAGCAACTTCTTGAGATATCTTTCTGGGTAATTCTTGGAGTCCGCGCTGTGGAGGGTTTCCGTTCGGAGATGATGGTGTATGGCACGTCCGTGGCAGCGTTTATGTCCCACGATGAGCTCGGCGTTTCAATGATTCCAGCAGGTCAAAAAAACAATCAATACCACAACATTCATCCATTTCACCGCCCATGGCCCCGATGCGCTCTCATAAACCGCTTGGATTCCGGTATTTCACCATTGGTAAGGTAAGGTAGCCATGAAACGAACACCAAGCGACATCATAATCAGTTTTGTCCAGGTCAAGTAAGGTAGCCGGCAAGATGTTGGATCTTTGAGAGCTAAACAGCAAAAGGAGTGACTCTTAAGTACAGAATGAGCGTTCCCCCCTCCCCCCAGGCCTGAGCAAACGCATGAAAATAACTACTGAAAGTTCCGAGGGTCCACTGAAACCACTGCCCCCAGCCCGTTCCATGGAATGCCCCCACACGAAAAAGGGATGGGTTCTGCCACGCGCGCGTTCGAGATACTATTGTTGACACAAGAAGCTGGACGGCGCGAGGAGACCATTCCTGTCCACTCCGCGGGTCACCACCAGTTCAGTTGATCAGCTTGACGCAGTTGAGCAGCTGGATGTTGATGAGAACGCCCTATATTACACACGCACGCACACTCCATGTCAGCACACAATATTCTCTTTTCTTTTCCACGTGACGACTTGGGTAAAGGCAGAGTGTATTTCTCGGGAGTGGAGAGAAAGAAAAGGGAGTAGACGTACCGCCGGGGCATCCGTCTGGCAGCAGTAAGCCTGTCCGGTGCAGGAGCCGCCGAGGATGGAGACGGCGCAGAGGATGTTGCCGAGGATGCCGCCCTGGCAGCAGACGTTGGTGCTGGAGGAGTTGCATTTGGCAGGCGGGGGGGTGTCGGTGCGCTCGGCCAGCACGTCGACGTTCTCCGCGGCAGGGAGGGCGGTCGCGGTCATGGCGAGGGCCAAGACGGTGAAGAGGTTGGAGAACTGCATTTTTCTTGATGATGGAGAAGGGGATTTGGGGAGCGGATTGGGTTGGGAATATTTGCTGGCTTTTGTCTTTGGGGGACTTGGATGGCTTGGGCTGAGTGCTCTGAGTCTGAGGAAGGAAGAAAGTCGAACGGAAGATGGTCGAGGAGGATGGGGGGGTTATATAGACTTTTGCCTGCTCCCCAGATCACGCTGCCTCCGTGATCTTGCGGAGGATCAGTGGCCAGTTCCGTCGTTCACCGACACCCGCCGGGTCATTGTGTCCTTAAGGTGTGGTTCAGCCCCATGCTCAACCTTGATTTTGCCTTGATTTTGGCCTGATGTTTCATACCGTCGGCGTCCATAACTCGTCACATCTCCGTTCCCTTGCCTGGCCAATAGGTGCTGTGAAACAATGGATATCCCGGTCGAGGTTTAGATCACTGCAGCAACGCCGCTGGTTTGCGCGGCTTAGGAGCGGTACGGCTGAGACTCTCAGCCTGAGAGTGCAAGTCAAAACTCAGTCAGACTTCAATAGCGGTTTCTCCCTACGTCAACAACACATCGTGCATCGCGCATCGCCGCCGATCCTTGACATTTTTGTATTTAAGCATAGGGTACTCATGCAATGCCAGCGCTCATTTGTGGCTATTATTTATAGACAGAAAGTCTCATAGTGCTAGACACGCACCCAGCCTGCCTGATCTAAGCAAGAGATCTCTTGACCAAGTCTACGGTCTAGACTTCCGGTTCAGGTTGTAAGATCTCACATATGTTACATATGCCCTGTACAGTTACCTTATGTAATTTATGTAAAGTACAATCGCTCACTTTCAACATTTTAGGGCTCCCTAGCAGCTGCGATGCAAGCCACTGGGGAAAGCCTTCCACTTCCGCTGCATTAGTGACGCGCGATGCAAGATTCGCTATTCCACTATCGGACTCGGAAAGGGGACCAAGGATAGCCAACTGGCAAAAAGAAAAAAAATGTCCCTCTCTTGTCTCCGCCAAAACAAAGTGGCGAGGCCTCTGACGGGCAAGGGCTGAAGTTCTCCCTTCCCAAAGTGAACCCAAAAGCGACATGAAGCCCTCTCGATCGTTGCTACGTAGCTGCACATGATCGGATGCTTGCACCTGCGGCAATTCCAAGTTCCAGGTTCACCTACACTACTTAATATGGTGTTGGCCGGGGCGGCTTCGGTCGGCGACCGCCAGATGCACCAATTGGCCGTGCAGATGCCCTGCGACATTGGACGGCAGGGACGCCCCTGGCATTGACAAGTTGGAAGTTGGGAAGAGCTGGAGGCTGACCAGCAGTCTGGGCATTACATGGACCTGGGGGTTGGGAACACAGCATACTAGTAGTGTATGTCTCCCCCGCACTTGCCAAAACAATGACCAAGCGAGCTCGGATGTTCCTACACGTGTGCCACCCCTGATCCAGGCAGGTAGAGAAGTGGCGCTCTAGTCAGGTGTCGGATGTTGTAATGACGATCGGATACCGGTGCTTCTTTTAGACTTCCGAGTCCAACGCTCTCTGAAAGTTGGGGAAGAGGCTTTCTCATCACCGCCAAGGGATGGGGCGTCAAACCTGGCACTGGAAGACCATCCGTGCACTCCGCGTACGGTAGCATTTGTGGCCAACTTAGTGACCGCAACAATCAGGCTTATTGTGCGGAGATCCGATCGTTTTCTACCAGTGGTAATACACCGAATTGATTCACTTACACGCCTTTTAGCCTTCCAAGATATCCTAGGCTCGACGATGACACAATTTTGAGTCCAGATGACAACATTTCTGAAGTCTGCTTGTATGAGCAACCAGATTGCAAAACGACACACATAGATTTTGGATACAGTTCGAGGGGATCTGTTTTCAGGCTGCAACATCGGTCACGAAAGACGTGTGCGTCATTTTCTAGGGGCAAATACATAACGACATGATAGAGTGCGGGCAGAATACCTGAGTGAGAAGTTGAACTGTAGACAAAAGCAGCTGAAGCCTGGGACTATTAATCAGCCTGGCTGCGGCATATGTCCGATAGCGTGCATGATTCCTGCATTGATCCCATGTCCCGCATCGTCCCAGCGCTTGTGCTCGAATCAGGACAAGACTCTCCGCTTCCGGCACAGGACTTCTGATGACAATGGAAACTGGCTGAGGGGATGCGGGTCACAGGCCTCTGTTTGACACGGGAGACGATGATTGTGACTGGGTCCGCATCCCCCCTGCTGACACGTCTCCACGGCAGTAATATTGACGGATAAGCACAGGTGAGTTGGACAGTGTTTATGGAAGATGATGAGGCTGGCTATGAAGTTGGCTTCAGCATGATTAACGTTATTGAAAAAATGAAAAGAACTATTCATTCAGAGGGACGGGGGACAAGCCGGAACAGGGGGAGAGATGAGTGCATTACGCTCAAGCCTCAGGGAACCGGTCCGTTCCATCTCACAGCCGTTCCAAGAAAGCCCTCACCCTCTCGGCAACCCACTTCTGCGCCTCATGCTTTGATACCACATGGTCAGCGCCCGGAACGAACCCGGACAAATCACTGGTGACTCCGGTCTTGCAAAACGACAGCCATCGCTGCAGAAGCGCCTCTCTGTCCACTGTCGGCGGCACCATTTCGTCTTCCCCAGCAGGCAGGAACAACACAGGCTTGTCGATCCGGCCAAATAAGGCAGCAAGCGTGGAGTCGGGCAGGTCAGAAGAGAAGTAATCGTCGTCTCCACTAGATAGGAAGATTCCATACGCGTTAGCAAAAGCAGGCACTACTACTACTACAGGACTTCAAAGGCCCTGCATATGAATGACCCGGTTGTCGACCTACCCCTTGGCAGCGAGGGAATGCCACCGGTACGCCGTGACAGGTGCCTCAAAAATAGGCGGAAGGGCCTGCCTCGGCACAGGATCATCTTTCCGCCCCTCTTCGATCATATCCTTCGCAACCTGCACGCTTCTGGCAAGGTCATTGTCAGACATGAACAGGAAGGCCGATTCCCGGTCCGAGACGGGGCTCGTGAGGATGTAGCCGTCCACTGGCGGAGTGTTGTGTTTCGCGCGGTCGGTGTACTCGAGACAGTCCTGGCAGCCTGCGGGCAGAGAAATGTTAGATCTGGTCAACGAAAAACTAGTATGTACAATACGGAAGGCAGCGGGGGCTCCAAACCTGTGGAAGCGCCCATCAGGACGATCTTCTCCTTGCCGAGGGCGCGCAAATAGCGCACCAAGGCCGCCGTGTCCTCGACGTCGTTGGCCAGGCTCGAGCAGCCGAAGCCCGAGTACGAGCTGCGCATGCGGAACTCCCAGAGCGAGAAGCTCAGGTCCGGAGACTGCTCCAGCATGGCAGACAGCGCGGACAGGTCCGTCGCATGCGGCCCGCTGGTGAGGCCCGGGAGGAAGACGAGAGCGTTCCGGGCCGAAGACCGTCCTTGCTCGTATGCGCAGGCGCCTGGTGTCGGCGAGGAGAACGGGTGCACCGTCACCTGGAAAGAAGGCGCTGCAGCCGGGGGCGATGCCATGGTGCTGATCAAGAATAACTGATTGATTAGAGAGCAGTGGGGGGGGGGGATGTTTGGTTTAGGTATGCTCCCGCGTCGATTGTCGTGTCTTCGTAACTGAATATCAGAGCGGAACTCTGTTGACTATTAATACTAGGAGTTGGTGTTCCCGAAGGATTAGGCGTGGTGCGTGTAAGTCGCCTGCGAATACGAATACGGGATGTGGAGTCGCTTCGACTACAGAGTACTAACAGATCCTATTCCTAAGTAGAGGTAAGGTAGACTACTCGCTCTGCGTACCATAGTAAGTCAGCGATTACGAGACACGATTTGCTTCTTTTGAACCGTACATACACTGTTGGAAGTAACCCTTGCTGAGGGTGCTTCCTTGAGGCGGGTTGCGCAAGGAGCTGGGATAACTCTAGAGGAACTGTCTTCGCCGAGCAAGGCCAAGCTAAGCTTGATTATACACAGAATGCAGTGAAGAGGAAAGTGGCTCGCAATTTTCTTAGGTACTAGTGCCTACTAACAAGTTACTGTTCTCATATGTTCTGGGAACTGGACCACTTGGTTCGATAAGACACCAGAGAGTTGATTCACAACGAGGTCGCAGTACGTCGCAATTACTTCACTTTCGCAACTTCTGCTCAATCACTGTGGATTTAGACACCAGAGGAAAATGAAAGCGGGCGAAGGCCTCGCTTCCAGTTTCTCTTGGAGTCGGTAGAACGTTAATAACCCGAAGTGCACAGAACAAGGCGTTTGTGTTTGTGTTGATTGTTCTCCGAATCTCGGCCATCTCATCTCATATGCACACCCTAACATCGAAACAAATAGTTTGATCTACCTAGTCGCACATGATTCAAGCTTAAACTTTAGAACTCTCCCCCATCTCCACAGCGTATCGCTCGGCTTTGCGACGTGCGGCTGAGCCCCTCGTTTCGAATGCACGGTTGCGACTCCATCCGGGCGCTCTCGAGTCAGCCACACAAGGAGAAGCCTGTCAAAGCTCTTGCTTCTTCCTTATCCCCAAAGCCACCATCTGGGATGATACGGCGACTGCGCAGTATTTCCGGTTGCGCTGCGACATCAGAATGCTTCAGCCTGCGCTGCGCCGTGCCCCTCACATCTGGCTGTTGCGGTCCAGGCTCATAGTCCGCTGATCTACTGACCATTATTAGAACACCTTTTGATTTCTCGGTATTTTAGAAGGGAGTGTCTCATTCAGCTCCTTCGTCCTTTCCATCTCTCAACCTGCATTGCGTACTACTAGTCATCACTATCTCACCGGCATTGACGGCCCCATTTTCCTCCCAAATCCATTGTGACTTTGGAGGTATCACTTCCCTAGTCGCAGGCCCGACATCCAATCGTACAAAAACAACGATGCATTTCACCAAGTCTTTTCTCGGGGCCATCGCTCCCTTCCTTCTTCTTGGGGCCTCAGCCATTGCAGATCAACCACGCGAGGGCAAGGTTCAAGGTAACACAAACACAAATACTATCCTAATAATACCTCCGTACACCGGGATATTCAACAGCTGACCCATCACGTTGACGTCTCAGCAGCTACAACACTTGCTACATCAGTAATTCCCGCCGGGGACGTCACGGCTGCCGCCCATGCGGTCGCGAACACCGATGCCAGCGCCATCGAAGCCATTGAAGCCGACGCTGAGGATAACGAGGGCGAGGTGGAGGTCACCAACAGCCGGGTGAGGAGGCAAGGCAAGGGGAAAGGGAAGGGTAAAGGAAAAGGCAAGGGCAAGGGGAAGGGGAAGGGGAAGGGTAACGGAGCAGCCGGAGGTGCCGCAGGAGGCGCGGCTGCTGGAAACGGCGCTGCTGGTGGTAATGCTGGCGGAACTGCCGTCGCAACTGGTAACGCCGCTGGCGCCACAGCTGGGACTGGGGCGGGCGCTGGTACCGGACCCGGCGTGGGAGCGGGGGCCGGGACCGTTGCGTGAGAGATTGGGCCGACAGCAGAGCTGTAGGTACCGTAGTAATCATCAAACTAGGGACTCTTTGCCTGCGGCGGGGTATTAGTATTTAGCTTAAGGTCCATGACGAGGCATCAGCGATTCAACGACAATGAGGCCAAGCATCAGCGCGAAATCCCATCCATGACTCCATGTCGAATTGTCGATCGTCCTGCGTATCCATATATTTTCGCCTTGGGTGCAACAACCCGACCGGCCCCTTGTTGAGAATGAGGACTTCGACCCGCCCGACTGAGGTGTTGTAGTGTTAGTGGAGCTTAACGTGCCAAAACACCGGATCGCCTTCTTAACCAACACCCATCGCTCTTAGGGATCGATGAACAGTGACGATGAGGTTGGTTATTACCGCATTATGTGGTCTTATGACAGGACTGTTCATGATCCCGACCGCGCTTGCGGCTGCAACGACCAAGAATGACTGGGCGCCGGCCGACACTGTTGTTCCAAAAAAATACATCATCAAGTACAAGCCCGATATAAACGCCTTGGAAAGAGAATTACACGAAGCGAACGTCAATGTCAAGGCAAGGAATGGCGGCCAAAGGGGAATTGTCGCCGGCTTCGGCATGCCTGGCCTGCAGGGCTACATCGTGGAGATCCCGTCCTCAGAACTAGCCGACCTGGTACAGCAGAGTGACTTGGTGAGCTTTCCGCAGCGCATCTCCCCTCGGTTAATTGTACCTTATATAAGTTATCATTGCTAGTTCCCCTCAGATCGAATACATCGAAAAAGACACCATCGCCAAGGTGGCGGTGGCAGATATCACTCCGCCCACCCCCAAGCGCGCCATGACCTCCCAGTACAACGCGCCATGGGGCCTCGCTCGCGTCTCACACCGTACCCGCGACCACTGGGACCACTACTACTACGACTCCAGCGCGGGCAAAGACGTACGCGTGTACGTGCTGGACACGGGCATCCGTACGACGCACGCCGAGTTCGCCGACGGCGGCGGCGGCGGCCGGGCCGAGTGGGGCGCCAACTTCGTCGCGGGCTCGCCGGACGCGGACGAAGCCGGGCACGGCACGCACGTGACTGGCGTCGTGGCCGGGGTGACGTACGGCGTGGCCAAGAGGGCGACCGTGGTGGCCGTCAAGGTACTCGGCCGCGGCGGCGGCATGTCCGGCTTGCTGCAGGGGTTGGACTGGGCCGTGGCCGACGCGCGCCAGCGCGGGGCGGCCGGCCGCACCGTCATCAACATGTCGCTGAGCGGCGCCTACACGCAGTCGGTTAACGACGGCGTGAGCGCCGCCACCGACGCCGGCCTGATCGTGGTGGCGGCCGCGGGCAACGATAATGGCTCCGCCGCGGAGTGGTCGCCCGCTTCGGCGCCGTCGGCAATCACCGTTGGGGCGATTGACAGGGATGACCGGCGAGCCGGGTTCTCGAACTGGGGGGCGGCTGTGGAAATCTTCGCTCCGGGTGGCGGGATCGCGAGTGCCTACAACAGCAGTGATTCCGCTACGGCAACCATGACGGGGACCAGCATGGCGGCCCCTCACGTCGCTGGTCTGGCGGCGTACTTCATCGCCATGGATGGACTCTCAGGCAGCCTTGCGGTGACGGAGCGGATACTGGATGTTGCTACCAAGGGTGTCGGGGACCCAAGGGGCGCCGCTGATCGGATCGGCTATAGTGCCGATGGTGCTTGAGTGAGTGCTTGTGGCGCAGGTCCAAGGTACTTGGCAGGTCGTTGCTCCGTACGAGGGAGAGGTAGAGGTGGTTGTTGTTAGTAGTACAGAGTTATATAAAGCCTAATCCTATAACATTGCACAATGCGCAGGATTGGCTGTATGACAACTATGTTTATCTGGGTCATATTGGCAGCGAACCTTCACTCTGTGACCTGCTCGGTAGAGCAGAGCAGCCTGTTCTCCCAAGGACGCAATGCGTGATAGCCTGTAAGTCGAGAAAAGGGGATCGTGCTTACCTGTTTTTAGGAACTCGAAGGACCGAAGCCCACCGCTCGATCGAAATCACTCTTTTAAGCAGCTCTACAGTCCGCATTGCCTGAGGAAGTTAGGAGCAGAAGACGTGGTAGCTCGGTTGAGGAATAGTTAGTTCCGTGCTGGGTAACGGTCCCACCGCCACCTCGCTTCAAGCGTTTAAGAATCAGTGTATGGTCGGAGCGGATTACGCTCCAGTTCGCCGCGCATATAGCGCCCGACATCTTGGGGGATCGAAGTTTCCTCAATGCATCGCCATAGACCAAGCTCGCTTCCATAGAGGCTAAGGTTCCGGATGCGCGGCATTTCCTGCAACCGAGCGAGGAACGGGCCAGCATAGGAGCAGTTTTCGTGTTCAGCACGGAAAGCATTCGTCCGAATGCCAAGGTTGGAAAGGTCGACGTGCAGATACCGCAGCTGCTTCCCGCAATTGGAAAGGATTGCGCCGACATAATGGTCAAGGTGAAGTTTGTCTTCGTCGGGAACAAGGGCAGGCCGGTGCTGTATCTGAGGAGTGGAGGTATCCAAGTGGAAGAATTCAAGGTTCTCGAACGCGGCACTCAACTGACCCCAGGCATCGGTTGTCTTCGCCCGGAGGACGCAGCATCGAGAAGTTGGCATAGAGCGGGATGCACTGCGTCAGGTCCAGTTGCGATATGGTGACACCTTCTTTGTGGAGTGCCATGGGTAATTCCCAAAGGAGCCTCACGGACTCCATGTCGACTGGTGAACCGCCTTGTTCATCATCATCAATCTCTCGCCATTGCGGTTGGGCTTGCATCATTCGAGAGAACCGACCGGCGTCGTTGAGCAAACTTCCCTCGAGGTCCGCGTGGCGCTCGACGTCGTCGACAAAGGACAAGCAGTGTGCATTGGGCAACTGCGCAATTGCGGCGGCAAGCGCATTCGCAAAAGAACCGTCCGAGAGCAGTCGGCGCTGTTCTTCGTGCAGGCGACGGAACTCGGCATATCCCTGCCGAAGCATCTCCCGGTACGGAGTGAGATATCCTTCCGGCACCTCTCTGCTCGCTCCTCCCCCATCAAATTCTCTGCAGTAATCTTCCCAGTCAGCGGATAACTTGAGCCAACTATCCGCTTCCTCCTGGAGCAGTGATGTGTCCCCGCCGTCGACTGCACAGAGGTCGTAGCGGAGACGCACGTATAGCGACAGATTCGTCAGGCGCGAGGTCGTATATCGGACAAGGCTGTCGGCGTATTCCTTCGGCCGGTATGCCAGGCACACCTGAATGCCATGGACCCCACACGCTATGTGTGGACGTTGGCATATCACGTCCGCAATGTCCAGCGAAGACCGGCTGATGTCGACGCGGAGAATGAGCAGCAGGAGTGGGCTTGCAAGCTCGCAAAAGAGGCGTGACACTAGCCGCAGCTGTTGGACGGTCCGGGGCCGCTCCCGATCCCAACCGAGGCCCCAGTTGAGTTTTCCATTCCAGGACGAGTCGCTAAATACCCTGTCGTAGTGAAATTCATTGAAAATGATGCGCAGGATGTCCAGGGGGAGGTCGACGATAGTGATGGGCTGCAGCTTGTCGCGCGAAAGCTCCAAGGCTGCGGATCGAAGAAGGCACCGACGAATGTCGAACCCGCGCGCTATCATCTGTTTCATCTTCTCCCGAGTCCAAGCGGCGGAAACACTGCCAAAGCACCCATCTTGGGCGACGACCAGCTTCTCCTTTGCCTCGAGATGGCGGAGTTCAACGTAGACTTGTTCGATGTCTAGCGAAGATGCGGCCAGTCTCGACGCACACCAACTGGCTATTTCTTGTCGCAGTGGTTCGGGTAATATCACCTCCAGCGATAGCTCAGGCGAAGACGACCCGCGCTCTTCCCCAACATCCGGAGTCTCTGAGATGTTATCGGTTCGGTCCATTGTATCAGGTTCGGGTGGTATATGCACAAGTGTACAAGAGGGGAGGAGTCGCTTATGTTATCCTGCATGGCAGGATCCGTAGTACCCGAGGTTAAGGTACACCTTAGCTCGTATCACGTGGTCAGGCACTTGCAGTACTTGCCCAGCTTGTGGTCACTGCCCCTGATTTCAGCACATGTCCACCACCAACTGTCTGCTTTCCTTTCGTGTACGCATTTGAACAACCAGGAAGCGTGTCGGTGACCGTCATCGGACTGAGCGGGGACGCCGGCCTACCCAGGGTGTCAAGGACCTCGTCTAAGTTCTCCAGCGAGATGCGGCCCTCGATCAGAGCCTTGACGCGCCAAGAACAGTGTCCGTCTTGAGAGGTTTGATGTATAAAGACAGCCTAACCTCTAAGTGAAATGGGTGGCTTATCTATGGGAAAAAGTGCGGGGAGACCGGATGGCTCTTGGGAAGAATTCTCCCATGCTCTCATATCAACACCATTCTCTACCACGCCGAGTACATACGACCATAGGCGGTAGAAAATTCGGGATCCCGTCCGCTCTCCCTTAGACAAGCTACCGACCGCCGAACTAGTACTCAGGTCGGTGACGACTGGGGAATCCTTGGTGTTGTATGTTTTTGATCCTTTCAGTCTTATCCTCTCTTCTTTTTGTTCCTCCCTGATCTTTTTCTCTTCCTCTCGTATTTTTTTTAGTTTTTTTTTTTAGTCTGTAGAGAAGGGAGAGTGAAAGAGTGCGCAGGTCCAACCTCGAGTCTACACCTCAGACTATTAATCCCTGCAATGATCTCAAGGCGCGAGATAAACCGTCAGCCATGCAAATGTAGCTCACGAGAACCCCCGCACCAACGTAGGTTCGCGGTCGAGCCCTTGCTCCAATCCATCCCGCTGGTATACAAGCCGGTCCCAGTCTGTACTCACTGTATTAATCCCCGCCAGCCGAAACATAAACCGGATCCTTCGTGGCCGATGTAACCCCTCTGTCTGATTGAAAGTACAACTAGCCTTCCATGCGCTCGGTCCGAAAGCCATGACTACTAGTAACTACCTACCTAGCCAGCTCCGCAGTTGATGTTTGCAACATGCCAAGTTATGCTCTGCTTGGCTTGCCATCACAGGGCATTTAGGTGGATGGGCTCGTCAATGTGCATTATCTGCGGTGATTCGTAGAATCATCGTTACCGAACCAACTCTCGGGTACCAGCGACTTGGGTAGCATCGCAGGGCAGGACTGGGAGAGCCATACCGGTGGATGTGCTGCTGAGCTAGACTAGTGTAATGTCGCTGTCAGATGAAAATCTCGGTGTCTCCGGCTTCCAGTTTGCCTCGAGGAATCGGGCCACCGGCCGGCCCGGGTTGTTAGCAATGGAACCGAGCCCTGGTGGGCCAACCCGGCTGCCTTGCCGGTTGCACCGCAGTAGTGTTGATCCACCAAACCCTTACTGTCACCCATGTTCGCCGATCTCACTTGTGGTAGCTCGATGGTAGGTACCGGTGCTGAGGTACCCGTCCTGCTGGGTTAAGGTCGCTCTTATTCAGTGTCCTGTGTACATTCACCATAGGCGTAAATAGGTGCCATGTTACCCTGATCCGTAGGAGGAGAGACAAAGAAATAGATGTATCAAAAGGGCCTGGGCAACCGGCTCCTCTAAGAGGATCAAGACCGTAGTCCTACGCCTGTCAAGCAACATCATAGTCGAGCCCACCATGTTGAAATCTTGAAAGTCCCGACACCCTTCAGGGTCAGGGAGGGATCCTTTCATGACCAACGGGAAATGGATGGTCTTCACATGTGAAAACTGAAAATCTACATGTGCATGCCGACCCGGCTGCCGCATACACTAGGCACTCCATACTAGTACTGTGGCCGGAGCTATTGCATTTCCGCACGCAGGATGCGGCCTGGAACTCCGCTTGTGTGAGATTTCTTGCAGTGAGCACAGAGCAACAGCGCGGGATGGCTAAGACACACCGAAGCGAAGCAAAATGGCAACGATGGCTTGATTCTGGAACCATTCGATTGATCAACACCGAGCTCTTACAGTACAGGGAATACGATGCGGTACAACCGTAGACTTGTGGGATGCGGTGGATTCTCATCATCTGCGTGGCGAACCGATCGTCTGATTCAACCAGTTCGGTGCCTCTTTTGGGAGGTCACTACCGACAGGTTTGACAATTCATGTCACCTAATGATGGCCGAGCCAGACAAACCTCCAGTCGTGAGAAACGAGCGCCGGTGTCGCTGTAAACGGATGAGTCGACCCGACGATTCGCCCTCACTCGGTCTCCTGCTTATATTGGACGTTGCTCGCATGCGGGAAGTTCCATGGGTGCGGCAAACGTCGTCGAGTGGATGGCGCACGTTGCGTTTTCCGGGAAGTTCATTGGCCAAAAGTGGCCCCTGTTTAACCCCGCCAAGGCTTGGGCCGGACTGCCAAGCAAATCTTACAGCCTTGGCTGCACGAACCAACTTGCATCTCTGCATCCAGGGACATCAGAGGCTGATTCTGCCTCCAACGACCCGCCGTTGGTCGTGTGCTGTCCGAGACTCGAGGGCCACCAGCGTGTGCATATAGACTATCGCATCCCCCGAACTTGGCGCCAAGTTCGGCCAATGCTTGGCCAGACCACATGTGTGGCCGCACGTCCTCCCTCGCCCCTCGATACCTCTCAGTCCCGCTCCGTATCCTGTCTCAGCACTGGCGTGGTTGGCAGGGGCAAAGCACAGGTACGGATGTACATAGTTCCAAACCGTTGGAATCTGACGAGTTTGGCTCACGAACAGTCTATCTCGAAAGGTCGTTGCTTTCAGCAGCTTGAGAGGTGCGGTGCGCAGATGGACCATGACGGCGGGCAGTTCAGCCGAGGAATCAAAAATCATGACAACAGCCCCCGCCAGAGTTTTGGCGTAACGAACAAAAGGGCTTGATTCGGCACTTACACACCATCCTTTTGGCTACCTAACGACTCGCTAATGCAAAACTTTCACGCCATACGACTTCCCAACATAGACGATTTGTCTCACCGAGCACCTATGCCTGGGATAGACCCTTTGAGCACGTTCCCTCCACGGGGAAAGCTGAGAGGCCGGCTGAGAAAACGATGTCTCCATCCTATGATCCCGATGGCGACCGACTCGGCCTGCCAAGACTACCCTCAGCCCTCCGTATCGCTCCCCACTTGGAAGCTCGGAGATCAGGACTGAATGCGCCAAACTGCCAAGCAGGTCGTGCGGACTTGGTGTGGGTCTTCGCCACAGTCTGCTTGGTGGAGGCGAATCTGGCAGGCACAAAGCTCGACACCATCCCACGTGGAGGATGTCTTTTCGATTTCATCGGATGGCTAGCTCCAGTCCAGGCCCTGTCCGTGTTTAAATACATAGTGACCGGCCCGCGTCTGCATCTCGTCTGCATCCCTCTCTCCAGCAGAACGATCAACTTCAACAGCCAGAGTTGCTGTCTCACCTGAGCACGCCGCTGCAGACGTGCAAAGCAACACCGCCAAGATGCCTCTTCATCAATTTGACTATCTCTTTGCCATTGGCACCATATTCGCCGCGCTCGATGCGTGGAACATTGGTAAGCAGCTTGTGCAAGCAAGCCCGAAGTTTGTTTACAAGATTCTGACGCGTCTTGCAGGTGCAAATGATGTCGCCAACTCATGGGCGACGTCGGTCGCGTCCCAGTCACTTACCTACTTCCAAGCCATGATCATCGGATCTATCATGGAATTTGCTGGATGTGTCGGCGTCGGGGCACGTGTCGCCGATACCATTCGGACCAAGGTCGTTGATACATCGCTCTTCGAAGAAACCCCGGCCATGCTCATGCTCGGAATGGTCTGTGCTGTCGTGGCTTCATCCGTATATCTAACCATCGCCACGAAAATCGGGTTCCCTGTCTCGACCACCCACTCCATCATGGGTGGCGTCATTGGCATGGGCGTTGCTGCCGTCGGCGCTAACGGTAAGTTCTACACACGGAGATTTTGCAAAACGCTTCGGAGCTAACAAAGAATACAGGTGTCCAATGGGTAGGAAAGGGCGGTGGCACTGGTGCCATCAACTCTGGTGTGGTGCAGGTCTTCCTTGCATGGATCATCGCCCCAGGCATCTCTGCTTGCTTTGCTGCCATTATTTTCCTGGTCACCAAGTACGGTGTCATGATGCGGAAGGACCCGGTCAAGAAGGCCTTGTTCTATGTTCCGGTCTACTTCGCGCTCACAGCAGCTCTTCTGTGCATGCTGCTCCTCTGGAAGGGTGGCAGCTACGAGATCCATCTCACCGAGCCTGAGATTGCCGGCACCATCGTCGGTGTCGGTGCGGGCTTCGGCCTGCTCGTTGCTGTCACGCTGATGCCGTGGCTGTACCGCCTCATCATTTGCGACGACTGGCAGCTTCGTTGGTACCACATCCCCATGGGCCTCCTCCTGCTCCGCCGCGGACCTGCCCCGCCTCCTCCCGAGGGTGAGGCGCCTATTGTCAAGGACTACTACGAGGGCCGCATGACCAAAGAGCAACTCGAGGCGAAGAGGGCGGCGGAACGCGGCGATGTCGAAATCGTTCCTGGGCAAGAGAAGGCCGATAAGGCTGCGAACGGCGAGGGCTCTGATGCCGCATCTACAAAGCGCCCCAACCAGAGCCCTCTGGCCGAGGTTCGCAAGGCACCGAAGAAAATCGTCGGACCCAGGCCCGATGTTCCGTGGTATTCGGGTGCCATGATCTGGTGGGCCTTCAAGTGGCTGATCTTCCGCGGACTCGACAAGGAAGTCGTCAACGCCAAGAGCACGCACGACAAGCTTGCCTCGAACCTCGATGAGGTCCATGCCCACGCCGCGCATTACGACAACAAGGCCGAGTACATGTACAGTTTCCTCCAAATTATGACGGCTGCCACCGCTTCCTTCACTCATGGTGCCAACGACATCTCGAACGCCATTGGTCCCTACGCTACCGTCTACCAGATCTGGAATGATGGCGCGCTCCCGGAAAAGGGCAAGGCCGAGGTGCCCATCTGGATTCTCGTTTTCGGCGGTGCCTGCTTGGTGATCGGTATCTGGACCTACAGCTACAACATCATGCGAAACTTGGGCAACCGCCTCACTCTTCAGTCGCCCTCTCGTGGCTTCTCCATGGAGCTCGGCTCGGCCATCACTGTCATCCTGGCCACACGGTTGAGTAAGCACCCCCCGCCTTCCTGTTCATAAAAACTGCTCAGCAGAGTCAGAACTAACCTTGTCCACAGAGCTGCCCATTTCCACGACCCAGTGCATCACTGGCGCCACCGTTGGTGTCGGTCTCTGCTCCGGAACCTGGCGCACTGTCAATTGGCGCATGGTCGCGTGGATCTACCTTGGCTGGATCATCACGCTGCCTGTAACGGGTATTATCTCGGGCTGCCTTATGGGCATCATCATCAACGCCCCTCGCTGGGGCTACCAGGGCTAAAAAGGGGGCGTCTGTAGGAGTTCGTTGGTGAATGCTAGGCAAGTTGTGTTTTGAAGGCCGAGCTTTGTGGATAAGGTTGCATCTTTCCTTTTACGTTTTACAGGCTTGAAGAATACCCCAGGAGGTGCGATATTGGATTCTGGCTATAATAGAGATGATCATTCATGAACCGTTGCCAGGCGTCGTTTGGTCGCATTATTCTCGACCCTAGGAAGTCTTCGTTCCTTCTGACACTCCACACTCTTCACCTATTAATTCTCAAGGCCCTTCATAACTTCACCATCCGCGGCCTGCCCTACCCGACTATTGTGAAAAAAACTCCGTAACGATCTGGAGGCCCCAAGCATCATTAACCATGCACTTACGCTGTGTGGTATACTCCGTATTGAGGTCTGCTAGAGACGCCCCCATTCTGACATTTTGGCTCCCACCGTCGAGCTCCGTTTCCCGTCGCCCTGCACTGCCCACACCCTGGCGGCAGTTTTGAAGGAAGTCGGTGAAGAAGCAGTGAAGCAATGTCACTGTGCGGGAAGGAGGAGTGAGGAGTCGGTCAAGACTCGAGGACCTGGAGGCCGTAACGTTAGTGGACCAAAATTGGAACCGGAATGGGAATGACGTACAGTATCCGTACACCCAGACTTTGGGACCACCAACTACTAGTAACTAAGGTAGGTACAGTACGTCACGATGTCAGCAAAAGCAAAAGGGGCGTTACCACAACAACGGCGTCTTGCACAACCGATCCGCCCCCGGATTGTTTGTTAGCGCCAAACTCCAAGACCAGGGGTCGGCGGCAGGATTTCAAGCTCAACATCACAACTGGCGATTTCTCTAACGAAGAGGTGGTATCGGGGAGCAGGAGCTTGAGGATTACCTATTGTAAGAAGCTCCATTTTATTGTGTTGAGTCAACCCTTTTGGCACTTTTATTGTTGTTGAAGACATTTGAGATCAGGAACCCCCCTGTCGCTGGTTTCGTGCTAATGGCAATTACCATTCAGGGGTTGTTGAACTGAATCTCAACGTCAAAAACGACTACTCTTTCTCTAGGGAATGGATTGCATAGAAACAGGCTTCCCGACTAACGTTATTGAAACATTTCCTAGAGAATACTCGTAGATCACAACGCGCCATGCCGCCGGTCCTTTATAACTCAAGGTAGTACCAGATTAAGGTTTTGGGTATTATTATGACGGCCCTTGGCATCCTCTCTGCCTACCGTCACGTTACCCGCTCTGGCCGATGCGCAATGAAACCGTCTGACGCCCTCCTCAGGGGTTTAGAAACGGACTTCTTCAGTGAGCGATTAGAATAGGATCACAAGATACAGACGACGTTGGATGAGAAGAAGGCAACGGTGAAGGCGTAGATCCTACACGTATCAACGTAGAATTATGGACCACTTGTTCCTCAGGAACGGGTACCTATGACCCGTAGTAGTGGATAGTAAAATACGTAAAGGATAAGGAGGTGTTCGGTGTACGCGACGTGGGGGCTTGAGATGCGCGTTACTTCGTCACCGGAGAACACAAAGGATAGGCAACATTGCATTGGCAGGGGGCCTTTAGCCATCGACATGCGTATATCATCAATGACTGAGAGTCAGATACGCTAAGCTAGGTCCTAAGTTAGTTCTACCTTGCTAGCCCAGGGCCACGGCTCCTAGGGTACAATCTCCTGTGGTAGACAATGCTTCCATGCAACATGCCTCCTAGTACAAAGTCCCTCCTTAGTAGGACCCCCCTCCAGCAACCGAAATGCTGTCTCCAGATCGTGTCCATCCGACAAAATCCATCCATATCCGCTCAATCTGAGTTCTCGAATTCCCAGTCAGACGAGGGCAGGTTGTCGAACTGCGGCCCGTCGTTCTTAGGCCTCGCCTGCCACTCCCGGGTCCAGAATGCGGCCGGGTATAGGGGGTTCTGGTTCACGGTCGTGGTAGTGCCAGTCCGGTCGATGCCCTTCCCCTTGCTCGCGTTAGAGTTGCCCATCTCGACATCATCACCATCATCACCATCATCTTCACCACCCGCAACTCTCGCCTTCTGACGCATCCTCTTCTGCCTCTCCTTCTCCATAGCCTTCCTCTCCTCCCCATCGGTTATCCTCTTCTTCCTCCGCTCAGCCATGCGCAAGAACTTGGTGTAATTGACCGCCTCACCACCTTCCTCACCATCAACTTCCACACCAGAGATGCGCATCAAATCCTCCAAGTCCAGCCCTTTCTGAGCTGAACCAGCGCGCGTCTTGCGCACCTGAAACTCAACCGCGATGCAGAGTCTGTCCAACTCGGCCACCATACCGCCGCGGCCGCCCATGCCGCGGGCGCCCAACCGGTCGCACCGAGCCTTCAGCTCCCTGACGCGGCGGTGTATCTCCTCGAGCGCGGAAATGTGGAGCTGGTAGGTGAGCGGCACGGCCTCGCGGCGGCCAAACTCGAAGCCGGTCTTGTACCCGGCGTCATTTCCCTGCTTCCACACGTCGGTGAGCTGTTGGTTGAAGGCGGCCTCGTCGTCCCGCATCATGGCGAGGGCCGCTTCGCGGCGGGCGACGTCCTCCTCGCGCTTTGCGAGGGCCTCCGCTTGCTGGGAAATGAGCTCCTTCTCGTGGGCGAGATTGGCCTCTCTTTGGACGACGTTGGCGTGGGGGAACGGGGAGACGGTCAGGCGGTGGAACAGCGCGAGGAAGGAAGTCAGTTCGCGCTGGGAGATGTGCAGGATTGAATCTGACTCCGGCTCTACGAAGGGCGTGTTGTTGGCCGGGGGCGAGGGGTTGGGAGTGCCAGACGCGACGAAGTTGTCGTACATGTCTGCGCACTCCTTCGCCAGTTCGGCGAAGTTTTGGTCGGTCACCGGCACCAGCCGACTCTCGAGATAACCTAGTTGAAAATGTCAGCGACGTCATTAATTTCAGGGTGGCTCTGGTCGGTATAAAGCAGAGTGTTGAGGGAAAACAGCCTTCTCAAGGATAATACGCTGTCTGGGTTGACTTACGCATGGGCAGATGGTGCAGAATCGGCCGATGCTGCAGAGCCGGCAAACGATTATTCATCTCGTCCGGCATCTGCTCGGCGGTCGATGGGGGAAGAGAGGGTTGGTGCTCCATGGCTGCTGTCGGATACCTCGCTGCCGTGACCGGGAACGTTGAGTGTGGTGTTGGTTGAAGAAGACGAAAATCACCGGAAAATCCAACGTCGTGAAATGGCCGGATGTTAGAAAATCGGTAGACGGTGGGAAAAAAGCACAAATCGGGTTTGTTAAATATGATATGCGCTTGTGATACTCCGCCCTAATCTGTGAACACTCAGTTTGTTCACGCTCACACATCTCGCGGGAAAGAGCACCCGCTGTAGTGTTCAGATGAACAGCCTGCCGCTTTGATGTCGCCGTTGGTAGTCTTCATAGGGTTGGGAAGGAGCCTGCTCAGGGGCACTCGCCGCAGCGACGGTCCGTCACAGCAGCACCCCTCGCTGAATCAGTTCCGAGGCCCCGCCGCACATGGCCACAAGATGTCGCAGTCAACAGACAAAGGAACCAGCTGGCGGGCCGAACAAGATGTCATCGCCGAGCCAGTGCATGCCAGAGTCCCCCGTAAGGACCGCCGGAACTGCAAGTTCGTGAAGATGGGAGGCACCAGGGCCAGAGGCTTGAGGAGGCAGCGTGAGCTAGGTCATGGGGCTGTCTCCGTGGCTCGGAGAATATGGTCATAGCAGCGGCTGCTTAGTATAATCAAGCTCCTCGTAGGGCGGTTACCGCAGTAGACGCCCTTCGTTGCGATACTGTTACTTGGTAATACCCATCCGGTGCGGAATTGGAAGAATTGGCAGCGTTCTGAGTGAACGTGCGATGAGGGTTCACCTGATACTCATTGACCTCGTCACCAGGTCGTCAAGGGGTCAGATGGTGGGGATGTACCCGCCGAGCTGTTGTGAACATTCCCAAGAGAGGTGGGCTCGAGAGTTGCTGATGGTATCGCCTTGCATCTGGCTGATGGTTATCATAGCGAGGGTAACAAATGCCACTTTGAGCACCATAGAACACAGGTTCCGGAAAGAGACTTCATCTCGAAGCTGACTAGCTCCCAGTAGTCCTGTCTCGGTGCTCGAACGGTCTCTTGTAACGGTAGACTAGCCAAATGCTCTTCTTCGTCCTCGTGACATCCATGATGGCATCAGATCTGGTCTCGGGTTGACAAACGCCCGGGTAAGTGTCGTCCGACTGGTCAGGAAGATGATGGTGGCATATGGAGTAGAGGCTCGGTAGGCAGGAGTTCCTGTCCTCCGTCCAATTGACAGGGTAAACCCCTGACGGGAAATGCGGTGTTGTTAGGATCTCCTTTCCATGGCCTCTCCGCCTTCCGACCCCCGCGGCACCCCCCAAGTCATGTAAGCCACCAGCCACCGTGAGGCTTCGCACCGCATCTGTCCATCCGGAGGTGGAGCGTGTGAAATCGTGATCAGACGGACATACCGAGTTCGGACGACCGAGACATCGGACGGCATATGTCCGTCTGATGTCGTAATCCAAGATCAGATGAACACAGGCGGTTAGGATGGTAGGAACGTTGGACAGCATATGACTGTCTGAATCCATATAGTCTAGAAGAGCAGCCATGACAGGAGTCACCGGGGGCGGGCCCTTGTCTCACAGAGATGATTCCGACCTTCACGGTTGCATTGGCGGGCATGTTGCCCACACTGCTGGTAAAGACGTCGCTAGCTTCGAGCAACTGCTCCAGCAGACCGGCAGTCTCGCCATGGTTGACAGTCAGCTTGTGAGTCTGTTGGCCTTCGCTGCCCTTATTGACGACTTCCCAACTGACTCAGTCGTTGTCGATGAAGGGAAACCCAAAGAGGTTCAATGCCTTTGGGAGGCATGAAGGTGTCAAGAATTGTCCGAGGGGGTTGGAGAAGGCACCCGCACTCTTTAACAAAGCGAACGATGTGACTCAGTCCGCAGTCGCCGCTGAGGTTGAAGAGTCCGGCTTCCGTCATGGCATCGGTGATGATCTTCGCCGACTTGCTAGATGGAAATCGTCATTGGAAGAGCGATACCAGCACGTACTCGTTGACTATCTGGGGCAAGATCGCCAACGAAGATGTTGCATTCCGGGTCACGGGTGCTGTCGGGTGGTAGCGCTGTGCTCATAGCGCAAACTGAACGGAGGGATCGGGTAATAGTTCTAGGGGGGCTGCCTGTTTTGGCTGGTAAAACCGAAGAAAGAGTCCGAACGTAGGCTAGGCGTTAAGGACGACAGCAATGCTACCGAGAGCAGTCCTGGTAAAACCGAAGAAAGAGTCCGAACGTAGGCTAGGCGTTAAGGACGACAGCAATGCTACCGAGAGCAGTCCAGAACGATAGCCAGATGTTAACGAATGGCATGATGCCTGCTTCAGTGTCAGGAAACAAAGTTGAAACAATTTGCGTCTTGACGCTGTGAACATATCCGAGCTCCACTGAAGCGAGACGTATCGGTGAGATGTTTTCTTGCGGGTACACCGCTTGGTCGTTTGGCACAGTGACCTTTGTGTTCATGCTTCTGTTGAGCACGATTATCTGGTTCTGCTTGAGGATATTGTTGGTCCGCTTGCACAGGGTCCGACCATCGGTGATCATAGACTGGATTTGCTCGCACAGGTACCACCATCGGTGCACTAAGACTTCGTGCATATGCTTCAACCGCGCGATGACTTCGCCTTCGTCTGCAGAGTATCTGGTGATCATGTTGCGATCTCAGTTGCGAGGCCGGAAGCCGTCAGCGATAAGATCATCTGCCGGCATGCCGGAGGATTTCAGGATAAATCGTCCAGTCTGCCGGTCTCCTAGGCCAGCAGCATGAATGCGACCCAATCCACCACCCTGTTCTGTGCGGGAGTGGCAGAAGCAAAGCCCAATGCGTCCTTCGGAATAAGGCTTGATTCCCCCTTCACTGTGTCGTGTGGGCTCCGTCCTTGCCTATCCAAGGGTATCAGCCTTGAACGCTCAGATTCACGGGCGACAGATATAACTTACTGCTCATCGGCTCTATCACTATCCTTTGACACGAGCCCATATGCGAGGGACTCGCATGTCATGTCCCTGGACTTGGTCCTGCAACTTTGTCATACCATCGTCGCCGTGAAGATCGCTCCTAGCCCCAAGAAAGTGTAGGCAAATGACGAGTTTTGATGTAACAGGTCCCATGACCAATATAGTGTCACTGATCTCCGACACGTTCCTCAGGACTGCCCGCCGCAGGACAACACGAAGCAGGACAACATCGACTTCCCCGCCATCTCCTCCAAGATGTAACTATCATAGCCACTTATCGCCACGTATATGTCGCCATGACGAATAGAGATGTATGTTGTACAGTTCTCTAGATTCCAGCTGCTCCTTTCCATCGTGCCCTCGCCTTTAAGACCGCGCTGGGTTCAACCCAGCTTCTAGAGCTTTCTCAAACTCAGCCGATTTGAAGCTTCATCTTCACTTTTCGTGGATGGCTTCTTCCAGCTGCCGCTCCGGTATCTTGTTGTGGACTCGCAGTTTTGACGGCTCCGCATTTCTCGGTACAACTGGTGACGAAATTAGACGTCAGCACATCAATAGTAATACTAAATCGCAACGCGAGAAGAACGGTCGCGGCGGAGAGCTGGTCTCGCGGGAGCCTTACCGTCGCTGGCTCGGTGAGAGCGGTTGGTGCGGTGTGATCCGACCGGAAGCTGAGTGCCGTGTAGATGTAGTGATTCCTGGAAGACCAAAGCGGAGTTGATGATGAGGAGGGCGAATTTTGGTCCATTGTCTTAACACGCCCGACTAGAAATCGGAGCAGTTGCAAGTCGGTTGCCGCTTGGAATCTCCCGCCGGTCAGGGAGCCTAGGAGGGAGTTGCAACGCACATCTGGCCGGTAGTAGCGTGGCATGATCCCCGTGGTGGGAGATGAAGAGCGGCGGCGCCGGTGAGCAGCTCACTGCGTTGTCTGCCACGTCCGCTATCGTCCCTCAGAGCAGTCACTCTTTTGCCTTGAATTTGGACTTTTTTTTTCGATGGTCTCCAATTTGTCCAAACATCGTCGGTGCCCAGAATGCTTGGTGCCGATGACGGGAGGTCGGGTTGCTGCTACTGTTTTAACAGGGAGAAACCACCTGTCGAGCTCTTGCTCTGGGAAATTAGGTGGCTACTGAGACATGGTGCTGATCAGTAATGGGAAGAATGGGAATGAGAATGGGAATGAGAATGAATGCCAACAAAGAGCAAGCTGATCGTTGAGAGATGAACCGTACGAGCCGTGGCCTAGCTGCAGCGATGGTGGCTGTGACGTGCAGGAGAGGGCGTGTTCTACCTAGCCAGAGGTAGCGAGGAGAGAATGCTGGATGCTTGGGTAAGGGGGATTTCAGACAATTAAGAGATGGCCCTTATATATGATATAGATGGCCTGTCGGAGTGGACGATAGTGTACCGTGAGGGTTACTGCTCAGACTGTCAGGTGCTCCAGTACATTGTTATCTGGACTCGAATATTCTCATCCGATGAGGTTGAGTCACCAGAAGAGACGGCGCGAGGTAGCACCTTCCTTGGCCGCCGGTGCATTTCTTTTGAAGTGGCAAGCGCTTTGCCATCTAGCACTCTACTGCTCCTTCTTTCTCACGTGACCTAACAGTTCCAGTTCCATGATAATATGGCATTCGTGTACTACAATAAACAACTGTGTCACGCCAAAAAAGAAGCATCGTACTCTATAAGGTAGTTGCCGGACTAGTTTCTGTTCCCCAAGCGGCCGGCGATCAATGGAATTATGAGTCCTATCGTATCGGCCTCGTCTCAGAAGCACCTTCCTCTACATGCAGCAGTAGGCCCGTCAGTCAGACCGTGTGGTTTGCTTCTGTAGCCCAGCGACTGCAGGGGCCTCTCGCCGGATGCACTTTCTAGTGGTCGCTCTGCCCACGATACAATCGCAGCCTCAGGCTCCGCGGGGGCACATTGAAGGACGAGGGCAGGAAGGAGCCGATGCTTAAGAGGCGCAGAGGGGCACACTGCAACCCGATGTCGTATGTATTTAGATGAGTCGACAATATTACGGATATTTTGTTCTTAGTATAGCATGCATCAACCAACTCTGATCAACCAACCCCCTTTTCCCAGCTTGCCACCCAACATCTTCCACTTCCTCAAGCCAGCATCTTGGGCAACAGGATATCATCGTACGCCCAGAGGATGGACTGGAACTGCACGGCAAACGCGCCACCAGTCCACCACGTCTCCCGGTGGCCCTGCAGAGCATACAGCTTCTGGATGAAGCCCTTCTTGAGCTCGGCCGCGGACACGCGCATGTGCATGGCGCCGTGGTTGGCCCAGGCGCGGAACTGCAGCTCACCGGACGGGTCCGCAGTGGCGGGCAGGGTGCCGGCCTTGACCAGGCCGGCAAAGTTCTGGCGGACGAGCTCCTGCGCCGCGGCCTGGTCAAACTTCTTGTCGCCGACCAGCAGCACGCGGAAGAGGTCGGAGCCGGAGCCCATGTAGTCGAAGCGGACGTTGAAGTTGGACTTGGGCAGCGCAAGGTAGTTGGCCGGGGCCGCGGCGGCGGGCGTGTTGACCACCGACACGTTAACGGGCAGCGACGGGTGCGAGACGATGCCGGCGTGGACGTTGGAGTAGTCGAACTTGGAGAGGACGGACTGCTCCTGCAGGTCGAGGTTGAAGGGGTCCATATTCTCCGGGGTCGGCTCGATGGCCATGAGCAGCTTGCGCGCGATGATGATGGTGCTCTTGCCCAAGGCGTCCTTGGCCCAGAGGGTGTGGCCGATCGGCGTGCGCAGAGATTGCACGACGGTGGTGTTGTAGAGCACGTCATCGCCGAGGAGGGTGGACACGGCTTCGTACAGCGCGATGTTACGGTGCGAGGTGGGCGTGAAGGTGGCACCCTGGCCGATGAAGGCGCGGATCATGGGCTGGCCGAAGGCAGCAAGCACGTACATCGTCAGGGTGTTTACCATGTCACCGACACCCATGCCCGTGATTTGGAAGACCTGGTTGACGGCGGCCTGGAGCTGGTACTTCTCGACGAACTGGCCGAAGGGCAGCAGCAGGTCGGCGGGGATCTTGTCGGGAGCGGGAAACTTCCAGTAGCCTGGCAACGTGTACTGCTCGTAGGCTGCGGTAGCATTCAGGAAACGCCCCAGGGCCGCGGTCCTGTCGGCGTTGGCAGGCGGGGTGAAGTTGACAGCCGCGCCGGTGGTGAAGTCGGCGTACTTCGACGTGAGGGCCGTGCGGGGCGCGGAGCCGACTTCGATGCCCATGCGTGCAAAAAAAGCCCTGGCCGGGTCGTAGTCGTTGAAAGTCTGCACGCCGAAGTCAAACGGCAAGCCTGTCTTGGGGTCATCGTAGGTGGAAACATGGCCTCCCTAAGGGCGGGTTGTGTCAGCGCGGCGATTCTTTTGACGTCCAGGTCGCGGATGTGACATACCAGGCGGCCGGCCTTCTCAACCACCACGATGCTCTTCTTGTAGTCTTGCTTCAACTTGACAGCAGCGTAGGCGCCACTAGCACCGCCGCCAATGATGGCAACGTCTCTGGTAATGATCTGCGGGAAGTCCCATCCAGCGACGGCTGAGGCCGCGACAAGGAGACCACCAGCGAGTCTTAGTATGGAGGCCATTGGTGATGCACGATATGGCTCTTCGACTAAAATGAATGGACGCAGTTAACCAACTGCCCAGATGTGATTGTATGTCGAGATGAAGTCGGGTGCTCTTCTCGGATCTCGGTCGCTGCATCGGGTGCGGCAAAGTGCACTCTTATGGACGGTCACCCACGTGGGAAACCTCCGAGAGCAGCCGACTGGATGGGACCATGTCGGTCGGGAGTTCGCGATTGGCAATTACCGCTTCTCCTGACAATGGGCGCATGGCCAACCCAACTGCACTGCCGAGGAGAGTCGAACTCTGCCGAGAGCTATCGCGAGGTAGGCGATAGGCATAGTCAGTGCCTCCTCGCTCATTTGCATGCTCTGCGACTCTGCGAGGTAGCTAATGATCCTTCGCAAGTGGGGCATTGCAACTGCTTCAAGGGGCAGGTAAAAGTCCCCTTGTCGTTTCCTGCAGCAGGCTGCAGGTTGGTCGTCGCCTCGCTTCCGCATGTAACCCCATTGCGGGCAATGGCCCGGATGTTGCGCTCCTTTCTCCTTGCTCGTTTCTGCCCTCCAGTGTACGTTACTTGCGTCTAGCTCTCATCTGTTGGGTACGTGCAAGTGTAAACATGCTGATCTTAGAGCAGGTTCAAGTTGTGTTGTTACTGGCTTTGGGTTATGAAAAGAAAGGGCGGGTGGGAACTCCAACGTTACACGGAGTACGAATGGCGCTAATAAACCGGAGATGGTTCGCGCATTATGCATGTGGTTCGGTCGCAACTTCAACCTCTCTGAAATCGCGGGCCCCGCTCTGCTATACCAGATTCGAGGAGCTGCGGTTTGCTGGCTGCGTTATTACCGTCAAGCAGCTGTAGAAGCTCAAGGGAGTCGGTCTAGTGTAGTAGCAACTCCGAGTCGAGACCCTTCAGATGGTAAAAGGATGGCACGATGCGAATCCATCAAACGGGCCATGGGAGCCGGAGCCGCGGACCGGGGTCCCCGTTCCACAGCGCTTGCTAAGACGCCGGTCTCTTCTATCGCGAGCGGGAAGCTGGGGTTCGCAATGGAGATAGCAGGTCAAGCCGGGAACTAGGCAAGTTAGGTCAACATCAATTTCAGCCGCAGACCAAACTAAGGTAATCTGCTGGTTTACTTGTACAATACGTGATCTTCATCGTTATCCATTCAGGACTGCCTGCCGCGGTGCTACTTCACAGTAACCCTCACTTCCGTGGTCATGACAATGCCGTGCGCCGCCTCGTCAGTTGTTATCGCATGCGGCGGCGGCTGCGGCATCACGCCGGCCGCACCGAGGATCCTCTCCTCACTCCCGGACCCATCTGCCGATCCATGTTTGTAGAAGCTCGTCGCCGTGCTGAATGTTTCGCCCTTTCCATTAGACATGTTCCCGTCGCTACGTATCCCGTTCTCCAACTCATATTCGTTGACCGTGCCCTGAAAGTTCCCGCCCTGTTGTCCCTTGCCCGTCTCCGTCCCTTTCCTAAGTCCTGTAACTCGAGAGCGCGTGCCATAACCGTATCGAGAACCGTATGCCGGCGTGTTATAGGGGTAGCTTGAGCCGAGCTTGAGGATTCGCTTGAACAAAGGCTTGAGGGAAGTTGCACAAGCCGCGATCATGCCGATGTTTAGTTGGAGGCTGGGAGGAGCAAAGTCAGTAGTGTTACACTAATATGGTTGATGTTGAGAAGCCTTACAATCCCCAGAACTGAACGCTTTGGCGGAAGGTCTTGTCGGCTTCCTTCGCATACGCGATCTGATAGACGGCCTTCACAATGCCCATTACCACAGCGCTAGACGGGCCGTTGTGTTAGCTATCACCCAAGACATGCTGGAAAGAAATAGGGTAAAACTCACAAGTATCCTAAGCTCAAAATGCCGATCAAGTAAATGCGTAGTTTCCGCTTCATCTTCAGTGTCCAAATGATAGGGACAGGGAAGGTCGCGAAGAGAACGTCGGTAAAGATGTTAAAGGAAGTGTTGATCAAGGCAAACGTGACGAACAACGGCAGCGGATAGCACTTGGCCCCAGCGGTCTTGTTCCAGAAGCCTTCCATGGGATTGCAGTAAAGCAGAAACGTCATCATGCCCATGAATGTGTAACAGCAGACGAAGACTGATCACCGGCGTTAGATACCGGTTGCGCGTGTAAGAGGGAGTCAGGAAGGGTCAAAATACCTATCGTTGCCCAAAGGCTAACCCTAAACCATCTGCTGGAACTGAGTCTCAGGAGATTGAAGCCGATCGATATCTTCAGGAAACCGAGGGCCCAGGTGGCCGAGATGATGGACTGCCAGAAGGCGGCATGTTGGAAGGTGACCATGTCTTCCCTCGAAATCGTGTCCTGGTGCTTGCCCAACCCGTATCGCGACTGGATGATGAACACAATCCAACCGCCTAACGCACATAGTGCAGCCAACAGAATCGAGATATCATCAAAGCCGAACGACTTGATGACGATGGCCCTTGCATAGACGCGCAGCGACACGAAGATGATCGCGATGGCATGGAAAATGGTCACGACTGCGATGATCGTGGCTGTGTTGCTCTCGGCTGCCCGAGCGGGATCGATCGTAGTCGACGCGGCCCCTGATGGCTTAGACATTCTCGATTGCAGATCTCCCGCCAATCTGCCTGTAGGCAGATCACCACCCCGGATTGCTGGAGTCGATCGGCAAGAGGGAAGCTGGAAACACCCTCATGGGGATCCAGGGTCCTCTGCAGTTTAAACAAAAGATTTGCAAAAGCAAGGGAAGAGAACCAACCCGAGAGTCCGGAAGGTAGTTCTTATTGGCGAGCCCCGGTGTCCAAACGATTGCCTTCTGCATCCTGCACGTCCCATCAATTGCGCATGAAAGAGCCCGGCTGTCCTACGCATTTCGGCTGCATGCAGTGTTCCATGTTGCAGTCTCGTGCCATTCTAATGCATTAGTAGGTGGGTTTCTTCTCTGTTCCGTTGCCGCGGTTCTTCGAAAGCAGGGGGGGCGCCGACTTATTCCCAAGGACGGGATCGTGGACCCTGGTGCATGGTGCAAGTAGCTCACACCCACGGAAAAATCATACCACTCAGTTCATCCAATGTTGCATTTTCTCTTGCTGAGTGAGCTGTTGAGGCTTGAGCCATGGGTGGTCGCATTCATGCTCCGAGCGTCTCCACAAGCTTCACTCCTGGATACGGGCGCAGCAGCTGCAAGCCATCTTGAAAGGGATGAGTAGCGACGGGTCCCTCGATTTCTCCATACAATCCGTTGTGAACTTCCACTGTTGAACAAGAGTCGAGAAGTAATGGAAGATGCTCTCTAGTACTGTAAGTAGTAAACGTACTATGCTTAGGTGGTCCGGAGATGATGCCGAAAGATCAGTGTAAATGTACAGTACCTAAAAAACGTGTCGTGTTTCCGGATTGCAACCTCCCCCCCTTTCTTGCGCAATTTGCCGCGCTGCGCCGGAGGGCTTCCCGTCACTTGTCTTTGTAATGGGAACCTCCAAGGTTTGTTGAACGACAATGGACCAGCCATCCAGATCCAGCCCGCGTCCTACCTATGATAGGCATTAATCGCGATGGAATTCGAAAGTGGGCAGGAAAGGTCAAATGATGGCGAGACTGCGTTTCTAAAGCCTAGTGTAATAAATAAAAAACCAGGCCAAGACTTGGAGGGTTAAGGAGGCCCACCTATTGTAAACATGCAGCCGTAGCCACAGCAGGCCAAAGTCCAATGAGGGAAGCCCTACCAAGTGTGACGGTAAGGTGCAGTCAACACGGTCAAGCCAGCTGTTCGTGGAACTCAATTCCAGTAAACTAAGCCTGAGGAAAAAAAGAGGAAAAGGTCCTGTGACGAAACCTCGGCAGTCCTGCCTCTGAAAGGGTTCGCCGGTCCAAGGTAATCTAGTCGGGCTGTAGGTCTCGGTGAAGCCAAAAGATTCACGACACTATAGTCCACAATGTCTGTATAGTAGAGTAAAGGCTACCGCTTAAATTGTTTACTAAGGCAGCTAGCTATCTAAACGAGTAATAGAATGGTAGATATAATATAGCTTCCTCCCCTAGGTATCCTCGCACCTAGACCTCTAGAACATTTAGAACAACACTCCTTGGCATTGTTCCTAATCTTCCCAATCTGTGACGAATCTCTTGCCCCAATCCTCTGAAAGGGACAATATAAAGGTATCGCAACAATGGAGTGAGGTTCAGTAAAGCCAAAAGGTTCATAACAATGCAAGTCATAATGTCTATATAGTAAGGTAGTAGCTACTTGTGACGAAACCACAGGCAGTCCTGCCTCTGAAAGGGTTCGCTGGTCGAAGGTATCTGCTGGTCGGACTGTAGGTCTCGGTGAAGCCAAAAGGTTCACAACAATGCTTGCCGCAATGTCTGTACAATAGGTAGAGGCTATTGCTTGTATTGCTCACTGGAGGACTCCCAGAGCCCTTGTCATGAATTAACCTGCAGAGGCCGGTGGGGCCGACCTGCATGGCCCGCGGGCGGCGCCCGCGTCCAATCATTCCGGTCCAAATACGGACCAATCAGAAGAGGATCACGCTTGGCATAGGGAAGGCTTGGTGATCCAGCTATAAGGCTCACAAAGGATCACTAGTGATCCAAGGTGATCCAGTATGAGGGATCACCAGAGGCAAGCAGTGATCCATGGAAAAACCGTAGTATATAGGGCAGCTAGCCATTCGTTCTAGAAGACTCTGAGAGTTCTCTAGTTAGCAATACAAATAGTAGAGTAGCCCTACCTTACTATACAGATATTGCGACTTGCATTGTTGTGAACCTTTTGGCTTCACCGAGACCTACAGTCCGACCAGCAGATACCTTCGACCGGCGAACCCTTTCAGAGGCAGGACTGCCTGTGGTTTCGTCATACAATTCCTTGTTCGCGGATAATCCTAATACGCGTAATTCCTCCTAGGAATTCATTATAATAATGTTTAGTAGGCTGGTTAGCTAGAAGGCCGCTCGTTAAAATACGGTAACCACGTTATATACGGAGGCGGAGCTTCTTACACTTACCTTAACTACGCGCGAGACCATTGCAACGTTAGCGCCTCTACCGTAACGTGCGCCTAGAACTAGGCCAACCGTAGGAAATCTTCTATAATATCCAGCAAACCATTCGTCTGGTGGTTAGGGAGAACAAGAGAATTAGCACTTAACTACGCCATATCGATATCCATACTTATAGGCGCACCAGGAACACGCAAAGGGAACGTTTCAGTGTCGTATTTACGTACGGCTGACATGCCTGCAGATGGGCTTACTAAGCAACTCTCCCGGAGGAAGTTCGAGCAGTTCAGGGCACTGTTGAACCTGCAGAGCGTGAAGCATCTGCTCCCTAGGGAACAGACGGCGGCAAAAGCAACACGAGATCCCATTCAGCAGGGAGCAAAGCTCCCCATCCGTACCAGGTCAATCCTCGTCATCTGAGTCTTCGATCTACTTTCCCTCCTCTCCCTCCTCTCCCTCCTCTCCTTGCTCTTGATTGTCTTCATTCTCTCTAATGGTACCTCCCAAAGACACGAGGAACTCTCTGCACGTAATTGGATCCGCCTTGAAGCTATGAATCTGAAGCCATTTCCGATATTCGTTATAATGTGGCCGGCAAAGCATGATGCCAGGCATACACCGTTTCGAAGGACAGCCTAAGTACTCACAGTCCTTGGCCTGATCTGCGACATGGCGACATCGGAAACAACGGGACTGTGTATAGGATTTGTTATTGCAGACCTTGCCGTTAATGACGTTCTGGCAGTGTCGGAGCGGCCTCTTCATTCCGAGGCAGGACTCGCATATTTTCCGGCCACCAGAGGAATTCCCACATGGCTTGCCGTTGATGCTGTTCTGGCAATGTTGGAGCGAGCTCTTCATTTTACGGCATGAGTTGCATGTAGCCTGGCCAGGAGAGGACCTGTTTTGGCAGCGCGATCCATCGGACCGTGTTCCTAGACATTTCTGATGGCAGTGCATGCAGTCACAGGTGCATAGAGTGGGGCAGTGACAGTCCTCATCCGCCAAACAGTCGCATATGGAATTGGCAGTTGGCGGCCGGTCCGGGTGACCCCGTACCGCATCGTTCGCATCTCGGACAACGACTTCGATGTGCCCCCTGCCTGGAGGTCGGTTCACTCGAGAAAGAAGTCGCGTATATCGTCTGGGGAAACTTTCTCAATCAGGCGGTATGGCTGGCCGTGGCGTCCACGGTTCCATGCTCGCCGAAATAGGTTGGTGAGGGTACGGACGAAGCTCTCGAACTGTTGTAGCATGCTTAGCACCAGCCCTCGGCACTCAGGCAGGATACCGGTGCCATTGATCCAGATCCTCCACCCGAGAACAGTGCGGGGGTCGGGACTTCGAACCTGGCTCGATACTGCTGTCCTCCATAGAGCGTTGATGTCCAGGCGCCCATCATGCCCAGGGTCGTACGGCCAGGCCAGGGACATTACCGCGTGGTGTGGCTGGAGGAGCTGGAGCAGTTGGCTTAGCGCGGCCTCTGTTCTTGCAAATCGGTCGACGGATACAGTAGCCAAGAAGCATCTCTTTCCTTGCCATTTTCTTAGTTCTTCTGAAACCAGCTGGTAATGTTGGTTGACATGCACAGCTGATATAGCCATGAACAAGAGCGTCCTGGTCTCGAGCCTTGGTGGGAGAAACCGCTTCATTAATGCGAGCTGTTCCTGACACCGCCTCCAGTCTGCTGGAGCTATCTGAGCGGCCTCGACCCCCCGGGGTGGAGGAGACACTCGAGCAACTAATATCACTACGTCGAACTGCTGTAGGATTCTGCTTGAGATCTCAACGAGGGCTAGCCGCTGGGGATCATCGTCCTAGAGAGCATAGGCACGTTTCCGAAGCTGGTGGTACCTCCCTTGAAGCGTGTGCTAGCCGAGAGGCCAAGACCTAGAAAGAGGTTAGGTGGGGAGTGGGAGTTCGAAGCCAGGAAGACTTACCATCCTCGAGTTCTTGTTTGTATCGCTCCATATTTTGGGGCGTTACTTGTTCCCAGTCACAACTCTCGCCAAGGATGAACAGGCGCTGGTTAGTCTCTTGAAGAATGATGTCGACGTCTTCAGGCCCTCGAACAATCCGGTCCAATGCCGAGGCGAAAATAACTCCGTCGGAGAGTTCATCGAACACCTTGCGAGACCGAAGAGGTTGTTTAACAGCTGAGACTGCTTCGAGGACAATACGGAGCCTTGAAAAACGCTGACCGCCGTGGACGTTAGTCTTAAGAGCGTCGAGGATATTAAGGGCTTGGGGTATCGCTCGGCGGATTTCCGATTGCCTCGGGTGTGAAGTGCGGCAGAGGATGGTCGCCGTAGTGTCCGATGTAGGGTCGATAAGTTGCTCGATCTCGATCATTTCTTTTTGAACTGCCTGGATTGACTCACAGGATGCCGAGATTTGTTGTTCGACATCAATCCCATACTTGAAATTGGCATGAGGAAAGAGTGGGCTTGATAGTCGAACAGAGGTGTAATTAGATAAGTCCCGGATCTTTGTTCGTCAGGGAATACAGGTGCGAGCGGACTTCCCCCTGTATGATCCTAGAATACCGCTCGGTTGGCCGGGTCTCACAAACAACAAGAAGGAAAGGATCCGGATTCCATTTGCGTCGTGGACCTTTGGAGAAGCGACCATTGCCTAAAAAGACCTGGGCAGTTGGAAGGTCCCCTTTGTTCGATGAAGAAGCTAGGACCATGCACATTCCTCGTTTTTTCAATTTGGGCTACTACGTTGTTGATACCAGTCTTGTTCGGCGGGAGACAAAGTACGAGTGCCCACCGTCCCGTAGTTCGCTCAGTCATAAGACGGCCGGTGGAAGGATGCATTGTCTCGGCCTCGATATCTTCGAGATCTCGCAGGTGGTCCAGCACGTCAAGGACGAAAGGGTAGAGGGTATGAACGGACTCGTCAGGCTCAGGGACTTCTGCCTCGGACAGCGGGACCGACACGTCGAGGTGCGCCAGCCAGACCATGACAGTTGCGAGGTCGGATGGGTTCAGCGCAGCGTGGTACTGGAGGAGGAGGGCGAGGCACTATCTCCGGCGCCACTCCTGGTCGCGGGCAGGCCTGTGCTGGTCCGATGCGGCGTTGGAGATGCGGATCTGCTGTTTCTCAATGCCTGACGACCGATCTTGGGGCTGGGGGCGTAAGGCATAGTATAGTAGCCTGCAAGGAGTTAAAGGTATGCCGTCGATGTCGTGTGCGACAAAGAGGTGCACGCTGTCGTTACACAACCACGATCTCATGACCAGTGGTACCGCTCTCTGGGCCTTCGCGATGTTGCTCTTGATGCTCTTCCACTTTGCAGTGCCGAGTTGCAGGGACACAGTCATCTGGGCAGAGAGGAAACCGGATAGATGGACGCTGTTCGCTTCTTCACTGTCGAGGCCCGCTTCCTGCAGCAGGAAGCGGACGGTTCGATCGTAACTGGTGATAACGTTAAGCACGAGATCTCAGGGCTCGGAAGTGTCATCGGCTAGACGGCCAGAGAGAGGCGGAGCTGTTATGTCGACTTCCTCGAGACCTTCGTCTACAACTCCGTCGGACTCGTCCCATTCGCTCAAGGCTGCATCTTTCTCGATGCCGTCAACCCGACCACGATCAGCAACGTCTGGCAGGTCGCCATCCCATTCGTCGTTCTCGCTGTCCACATAGTCATCGTTGTCATACTCGGCGGAACGCTCGATGCCGTAATCGTCCAAGCCAGGCATGATGGCGTAATCGTTCGAGACAGGCTCGGGCAGCGGTCTCGGATTGTCAGGAATGGACATCGCGAACCTCTTCATCGCCGGGTTTGCCAGAGTAGCGGCGGCCCTCTTCGGCTTGCCGTACGCGATGCCTTCGTAGTGGCTGGTAGTATACGCTATCCACACCAGCTTCGGGCTCTGGAACCCGTCATTTGCGGGGAATGTCATGTAATAGTTGTCGTTCGCCTCTTGAACCCAAGTTACAGTTCTCGACCCTGTGTCGAACCCCATTCCCGGAGGACATAGGCTAGCTGGTCGCCATTGAAGTTGTTTGCGTTGTCACGGGCGTATTCACCGTTCGTCGTTTCGAAATCACTGGTCGGCAACGCCTGTGCGAGAGCCATCAGTGTGTCTAAGTCGGGTGTGTCGACGCCGAGCTGCTAGCGGATGCTGTGCTGTAGCGCCCGTAGCCCGCAGAGCAACTGTTCTCCCGATGTTTCCACATGATGGTGGCCATTTGGAAATGACTCGTCGAACAGCTGCTTTGCCCTATCGCGTTCACGAACCTCTCCCGGTCCGGGATATGCGACATCGCTTGGACTGAGTGTAAGAGGCGTCGTTGGCGAAGAGATGAAATCCAGTGACGTGTTGCGGCTGACCGGCGTGGCTATAGAAGAGACATCTGGAGCAGGTTAGCCGCGGATCCATCCACGGGTAGGGGTTGTATTGATGTTGAGGTAAGGGGTATTTTAGAGGGGAACTGCGGCCCGGAGCCGGCTCGATATATGAGGGTGCGAAGTGTGGCTTGGAGCGACGTACCTTCTTCAGACCTGTCGTCTGTCTTGGGCACGGTGTCCCTGAGGTCCTTTGCATGTACTGTACCCTCTTGGTTAGTGGCGTTGGTGTCCGAGGTCTGGGATGTGTCTGTGCCCATGGCTGCACTAGCCACCCTGGTCATCTGCTTCCTCTGATGTCTTGTACTGGCCATAGTGTCTGTTCGTTGACCAGGTGCTACAATGCTGACAGGAAACAGAGAGCGGACGTCGATGAGAGAGCGGGATCGACGAGGGAACGAATTGGATAAGGGAGTGACACGGTCGGACGTAAGACTCGGGACAATGCCACGAGCTGTCCAGCGAGAGATAGACAGGCGGATACATTGTATGCGTGCCCTAATGACTAGTTAGCAATCTTTCGGTGTGCTGTCGTGGAGGGTAGGGGTAAGCCGTGGGTGTGCCGTCGTAGGAAGGCGTGAGCAATATACCTTCCGTCGCAATGGTGTTATCCGCTGAGCGTCTGAGGCATATGGGCCGATTGATGAATCTAACATCGTACGAGGGAAATATGATCTGCGATTCTTAGTTGTCCGTAACTTGTCGTGGAGGGTCCCTGCTCGCTTATAACTGGTTTGACTTACACTATACGCAGCTACATTGACCCGAGGGCGTAAGCAATCTGACACTTGCTTGGTTTGAGGCAGACTGTGTCGTGATCTGGGTTGACGAAATTATCACCAGGGATATGTTGACTTCGGACCGGGGTGGCGTCCTTTTGGGTGGCTTTTCACCTGCTCCCGTCTCGCCGGCGCAGCAGCCGCGTAGCAGTTCTTAGCATGCTTAGGCTGGCCCGATCAACTGGTCGCGCAGGGGTGCTCGGCTTTGCCGGACAGCCCCCGCGTAACCAGGCCGGGGCGGACGAGAAGACGATGTGCGGATGGTTCGCGAGTTGGTGACTTTTGATAATTGAGCCGACTGACCATTAAAGAATGCATTCTCGACCTGCAAAGGAGCAATTTTCTCTTGCATTTCAATCTGTGACGAATGAAAGGCTGATGGCTAAAGATCGAAGAAGAGAGTCGGTTGCCCGCGCGATGGCGTGGAATGTGGGAATGCGAAGGGTTGGAGTCACTGGTCAGGGCCGAAGGCCCAAGGCGGAAGGCAGCTATCGCGGAAAGAACATTACGTCATTCGGTATTTACACGTAGGCAGAACTTCAGTATTCACACTACCTAAGGTGCCAGGTTGGCAGCTACTTCAACGAGACAATGTAGGTGCGCGCCGGGCGGACTCCTGCGTTGGCTGCATTAAGTCCGCGTGCTCTGCGCGCGGTGGGAATGGGATCTGCCACGACAACGCCGCCGGCGGACAGCGCTGTTACCGTTGTGCCTTAGGGCATACGTATGTGGACGTGTACGTGATCCCACGCTCTTGGAGATCATTGCGGTACTGACGATTGAGTTCTTTTTAGCCCAGAGTTCCTCCTGCCCTATACATGTAAACTCGTCGCTCTGAAGAGTGGCGAGGAGATCCCCTGCGACCCGTAAGTAAGTATCCCTCGCCCCCGAGCTCGATCGCTCAGCGCTCAGAGAGCCCTATCGCTAACCGCTCGCTCTATGCAATACAGGTTAATAGCGATGCGGTCGAAAACCTCCTGAAGATCCATGGTCTGTATAACCAGTATGACCGGCACGGCAACACCAAGGAAGGAAATTTTCTGGAGACGCTCCCGTTGCCCGCGCCTCCTGCTCCCGCGGGGGCTCCCGACGTCGCCGCTCCTGCGGCTGCGCAGGAAGCTGTGGTGGGCGCCGCTGGAGGAGATCTCGGGGCTCTGCCCCACTATTCTCTTCCGGGAGCCTCCCTTTCGAGGGAGGCTTATGTCTCTCGCGCAACTGGTTATCTGACTTTCGGGGTTGGTGATCTGGCCCGCGCCCTGGCGCGGAGGGATTAGGGATTGCGGGTGGCTGTGCTGGGTGGTTGCGCTGTGCTGGGTGGCTATTTCTAGTTTTTAAGGGCGCTAATGTGCGTCGCTTGGCGAGAGGATCTTAGGACGAGAAGGCATTTTTAGTCTTGGGGGAATACGTTGCTGAGAAGCCTTCGCATGGAGTTATGGTCCCCTACCGGAGATCCCTCCCTTAGTTTCTGCTCATAAGAATCAATCTAGTAAGGAAGAACCAGAGGTGTAGCGGACACTGTGTGGTCCGGATTGTCCGACTAAGAAGGATGAAGGAGAAGGAGGTTTGGAGGTTTGGACCTCCGACTAGACTAAATACCCGGTGCCCCACATATAGCGGAAAAGCCCTTGTCTTGGCTATCTGACTAAAAGTAGATAATGAAGGAAAAGGAGGTTCGGAGGTTAGGACCTCCGACCGATCCCACAGAGTTCCTGCGCAGTTGAGGCGGCTGAGGAAACGATACGATTATCTCCAAATCTTTGTCGACGAAGACGTGTTGGACAGTCCTACCCGACTGTTATTAACCACCCTAGTTCCCTAAGCTCTCTACTGATAGCGCGTCGCTGAAACGTACAGTCCGTCGTGCCCGATCAGAGCTGCGGGAAGGGGGTGAGTCGTAGAGGAACGCAGCAAGAACTAGGGCCGCGCCACCGACGAGGAACTGGCGAGGTGAGAGCTTGGTCTGGAGCCATAGCACTGGGGCCAGGGCTCTGAGAGCCAAGATGCCGGTCCTAAGCAGCAGCTCCGTCAGCGTAATAGGTTCTAGCGATGCTTCAGGTTCGCCGTCCATTCTGCCATCTCCCAACGACTCGCCATTGATAAAAGATGCGAAGAGATCGACACCCTCATACGCCGGCTATCGACGTCGAAGATAAGCCTATTTCGTTACTATTGTCCTGCTGGCCTCTCGAGCTGCTAGTATTGTGGCTCCGACGCGGCCTTTTTGTTCTTCATGTGTTCCTTTCTCATAAAGCAGTATATGTAAGAGCGTGGTCAAGGGGGCGCTTGCAATTCGTCTAATGACACCCCAAGGCCCCACACTTTTGGAAATATGAAAACCACCGCATCGAGATAGTTATCGCGTGCAACCCGAGGCGAGCAACCGATTAGAAAAGGTATAGCTATCGTATCGCCTAGGTTCTGAAGCAACATCGGTCCCTAAACAGCCATGACTTACTTCTTTCACATTCATTGACGGCCCAATCCAAGCGGGCCAAGCTCCCTGCGTGATGACTTCGCATGTGTCCGTTGCGAAATCAGCGTTGACAAAGCATGACAGGGATGTTTCTAACGTTATCTTTGATTACCTCGGTCGCACCATCTCCGCACTCTAATCCTCGCTCCGTACTTATTGACGACCACATGAGATTGCGGATGCGGGCTGCGGAGGATAGGAAGCCTCCGGACAGCAGCCCAAAGCTGGCCCTACAAAAGCACTTCCACACACTGTAACTTATTATTACAGTATTGTGTATCTCGCGATCTCGTCAATCTCCTGGTCTTAAGGCTGCTTCACCCCCGTCAGTGATGTGCGATGCTGCTGATCCGGAACGAAAGCAAACACGATCAAGAGTTGCATTTCGACTCCACCTCACCGCTGTCTGCACCCCCGGACCGCTGACAGTCAGCATGGGCCGTGAGTTGGAATTGCGACCTGACATGGTGCGGGGGACAGAGGGTTGCAAGCCACCTGGCAGAGATCGACATTCTTCCTCCACTGCTGGTGCAAACATCTGCTGCGTTATGCAACTCGAGCTCGAACTGCGCAACTGCGTGTCGTGCAGTTCCCAAGTCTGTAATTCACCGTAGGAATGGAGGTGGTAACCGATTATGAGAGACTATTGCAAAAGTCCGAGTCTCAGAGACAAGACATTCAAGTTTCTAAAGTTGGCCGTTTCGCAATCGTGCATAATATCACCCAATGAAATGACACAGGGGCAGCCCAGCCGTTAGTGCAAGTCGGCTGTTGATAGTCTCGCCGCCAGACTGCCGACAGAGGAAGGGGTGACCAAACCCCCGTGCCTGCCCTGCTAGGCCCATCCCTACTACCTGCATAAGCGGAGTCCGAATGCCTAACGCTAGTCCCAAATGGGACAAGTGCCAAGGGTGTTACCGATGATCTTTTCCTGAAGCAAGCATGGAGGGCCTCGCCCAAGTCTGCAGCATTTACGGTACCATCGGTAGCACTCCTCATCTCAGGTCATCACTCAGCAAGGACCTACAGCAGGAACAACATGGACGATGAGTGGATCACGCCAGAGGCTTGTCAGATTGGGAGCATTGGTTCCGCAAGGCATTCTGCGTCCGTCTTTCCTGCCTTACTCATCACCTCTCGGCTCCTCCATCACGACGCGTCGAGGGCACTTTCGCTTTTTCCTTGATCGCCAATCCAGAGTCTTCACTCCTTAGACTCTAGGAGCAGGGCGTTCATTGACAGAGCAGAACCCGCATTACCATTCGTTTTAAGACGGTTGGGTCAAGACGCACCGACTCCAGGCATTCACCGAATCGCACTCGAGATCTGACGCCGCTGGGTTGCCATGTCACCCTGACCATTCGCTTGACACAATCTGCAAGCAAGATGCGCCTTCCGCCGCGGGGGGCCCTGAAAGAAAGGGTCCTTGGAAAGCGGCTCTTGGGGAGCATAATAGACACGGTCGGTAACGTTGTCGGGACCACAGTCGACACAATCACCGACCTCTCATGCAAAGCACTGCCCAACGCACCGGGCTGTTCGAACCCACAACCCGCTCCTGCTCCCTCCCCTTCTCCGGCCCCGGCTCCGGCTCCTGTTCCTTCCCTGGATCCCGTCGCACCAACGCCGTCCCCGCCTGCTCCGACGCCAACGCCGGTGAATAACCCTCCAGCACAGCAGCCCCCGGCACAGCAGCCTCCGCAGCCGACCAGCGGAGCGGACAACCCGAGCCCGCCTGCCGCTCAACAACCCCCACCTGCGGCGGACCCGGGGTCCAGCGGCTCGGGAGGCTCTGGAGGCTCGGGATCGTCAGGCTCCGGCTCGTCAAACACCGGGTCCTCTAACGCCGGGTCCTCTAACACCGGCTCTTCGAACCAAGGTTCGTCCAACACGGGCTCCGGGTCCTCGAGCTCCGATGCGGGGACTTCAGGATCCACCCCTGGAACCTCTGGCTCGTCTGGCTCAAGTTCGGGTTCCACGACGGACTCGGGCTCAGGGTCCGGCGGCAATGGCAACGGGGCGGAGGCCGTGACGGCAGCCAATAGCATGGTTCAGGCTTCTGGTAGCGCTACGACAGATGGCAGTGGAAACGGGAGTGGTTCTGGAAGCGGGAGCGGCGGCTCACAGGGTGGTGGGGATGCGTCGTCCAGTGCACAAGCACAGGGTAACGGCGGGTCGCAATCGTCATCGGGGGCTGGGTCCAACTCTGGCGTATCTGATGGTGCGGATGATACGGTCGTGACGGTGATAAAGGGGACGTCGAATGGTCCGACTACCGAGACTGGATCGGCGGCCGGAATTCCAAGCTCAGCCTCGTCCACCAGCAGCGGCTTTTCCGCACCTGACTTTGACGGGCTAGGGGGTGGTTCGGGAGCCTCGTCTTCGGGTAGCGGTTCGAGCAGCAGCAGCAGCAGTACTGTTAGAGCCGGAGAGTCCTCGACAGGCGAGGGAAACAGTGGGGGTAGCGGGTCTGGAAGCGGCACCTCGAACGGGGAGTCACAGTCGAATTCTCTACCGGCGATCATTGGCGGTGTTGTTGGTAAGTTCACACCGTACAACCTTTGCCCCACCGTTGCCGCTGACGAGATCCTCCCAGCTGCCTTGGTCATTCTCTTCCTGCTCCTCGCTCTACTGCTCTACAAGTACCGACGCACGCGTCGCGTCCAGTCCTTCTTGACCAGGTTCACCCCTTTTAAGATCGCGCCATACACCGATCTCGAGAGGAAACGGTCATCCATGGGCGCGGGCCTTCTCTTTACGGACGGCAGTCACGGAGACGCGCTGATGAATGAAAAGCGAAGCACTCTCGGCTACGGCACGATCTTGCCCGCGCCAGTGACACATCCCGACCCGACTGCTGCCCGCCCAGAGAGGGCCGACGCCCCTCCACTCATTGATACCACCATACCCTCCAGACGACCCGGAAGCCCTGCCAGTCCCTTCGACATATCTCCCCTGTCTGCAGACTTCCCGCAGAGCCCGCCCCCAACGGTACCTCGCCGCTCGAGCCAGGACTCCCTTGGCGGGATTAGCGTTGCTAGTAGCGGAGTATTCTCACCTTCTCTCCTTTCGTGGCCCATGCCGCCGTCCACGGCACCGAGCGTCGGGACCTCCCCGCCTCAGACATCCCATGACAATATGCCGGAGCTGGCGGCTCGCTGGAGGCCTATGACACCGACTAAGGCCTCGGCGCCACCTAAACCGCCAACGAGTCCGGTGAGCCCGTCGAGCTGGAAGAAGCCGGCGAACTGGGAGTGAAATGAGAACGGCGAGGGCTTTCCTTTTACCGGGCTGGTCTCCGATCAAGTGGCATTGTGTGCACCCGAACAGCCGAGCGGCGGCAGGCATCCGGGAGTTCTAATTTTCATGACATGAGCATGAGGTGTGTCGGGCATGATGTGTGCGATGGCCTCATGTACATACATACTAGCACATGACTGTGCGTTTTCTCCTCTTATATTTTGTGTGTGTGTGTGTGTGTGTGTCTGTCTGTGCAGCAGCCTTCAACTAGGCCTGCCCAGTCAATTTTCGTTCTCTTTTACTTTCCATTTCCTTTCTGGCCGGAGGACGATGGGGGACTTTGGTGAGAAGCTCGCAACTACGTGTTCTCGTGGTCCATGTCCCCTGGCCTCCCAATCTTTAGAGACATAGGCGCTAATCAGCTAATTCTTCCTGTACATAACATATATTGTATCATACCGCTTTGTTTTGTCTCCCAAACGGTTTTGAAGCAGTCGCACATGCCATTAGGTGCTGAGTCCTCCTGGATACGACCTCAAGTCTAGTCCAATCCGGAGCCATGGCATACATACTTCACACTCAACTTCGGAACCATAAGGTAGTCTTCAACAAATATTCCTACCTACGTGATTCCCCCACATCCCCAAGCCTTAACAGTCGATTCCGAACACTGCTCTAGGAAAGCGAGACGCAGAACCCCGAGGGTCCTAGACTTACGCCGTGAATGCCAACTTACGGTCTACCTCAGGCCAGCTCCATCTGCATATCCCTCTGCGTGCCCTCCATGGGCATATGATTCTGTCCGCCAATCCCCTCACCGCACTCGGGACATCTCGCCATCTGCATTGGCATCCCACATTCAGTAATTACGAACTGTGATCACACACTTTCTGTTAGCCACCTGACAACCACATCTCTGTCCGGCAGTACTTTCTCCACACAAATCGGCATAGGGGCACAAGAAAGAAAGAAAAGAGTGAATTATTGCGGGTCACAAATGAGATGGAACCGGAACTCACAGGATGTCCATTCCGACATTTGTACCAATGCCCGGAATGCGTCGCGATGCCCCCGGGCCCAGACACCATGGCCGCCTTGATGGCCGCAATCTCGGCGGGGGTCACCTCTTCGTACCGCGCGCTCTCAAATAGTCGCATCGTCTCCTCCACTTCACTACGGTAGTCTACCCCGCCGGGGAACCTATCGCACAGGGCCAGGGCGTCGGTGAGGAGGTGACGGGCGGTTTCGGTGCGGTCTTCTTCCTTTTGGTTCTTTTCTTTGTCCTGGGAAGCTATTGTCCCGCTAGCTAACACGGCGCGGCGGTACCAGCCATCGAGCTGGGCGATGCGTGCGTAGCCCAGGCAAGTTGGCACGACAAGGCGGTGAAGCTTGGCCTCGGAGGCTTTGGCGATGAGGTCCTCACATTGATGAAGGAAACGGGCGCTCAGCTTGTCGATCTGCCCGCCGAGGAGGGCGGACAGGGCCAGATCGTCGGCACGCTTAGATGAGACAAGAGTGAAAGCGTCGCGCAGGATGGCCTCTTGAATGCGGAGCTGCAGACGTTGAGCGCCGAGGGTAATTTGCTGGTCGTAGACAGGCTGTGGAGGGGCCGGGCTGACCTTCACCGGGCTTTCGCTGGGCTGCAAGAGGCTCAATTTATGTAGCTTCTGCTCTAACCCCGAGGTGGCCCGCTCGCGTTCAAGCCTCTGGAAGGTCTGGACGGCATCACAGAGCTTCTTCGTTGGTTGATGCTCTGCCTCCATGGCTCGCCGCAGCTTAGCTGCCCCTTTCACCAAATTGGTGGCAGCCTTGTACCGGTCCGACTTTACCTTTTCGGCATCCCTAGAGTCGGCAAGCCCTGTCTCTACGTCCGTTGCCCGTTTCTCAAGTTCGTCCAACCTGTGGCGGCCACTGACCAGGAAACGCTTGGAGGTTTCGTCCAGGATGGCCTTGTTAACGACCCGGTTGAACCGTTTCGTAGCAAACGGACGGATGGGTACTCTGCAGTCTGGACAGGCCGGGACAGCGGCGAATTCTCCGGCGACTTCCCGCAGACCATTGTAGTTGCCGAGGTTGTCTGTCGTGTAAACACTGCTCATTCCGATCAGACCGTCCAGTGTCTCTCCCGTGAAGAAGTGACCGCAGCCAAGCACAGCAATGGGCGTCTGGTCTAGGTCGATCTCGCCGTATGTCTTGAACTCCATGAGATCCACCCGCGTGTCCTTTCGATTGCTACACGCCTGGCACAGTTCCTGCGGGCAGTCTTCCCCGCAGAAGCTGGGACATTGGTGTCCGCACTGTAGCCTTTTGGTGCAGCGTTCATCACAGGGGAGTCGATCGCAAGGCGCTGCGCATGGCAACGAGCATGAGCCCTTGTGCTCGCAGGACCAAGTACACTTCTCAATGCATGGAGCACAGGGCATCTGGCAAGCTTGGTGGCAACGAGAGTGTGAACATCGGACCTATGGGGTGTCAGCATTGCTATGCACTACTGCGGGCTATCGTGGCATAGGAAGTTCCGGGCATCCCACGACTTACCTCACAGTTCTGCGTGCAGGTTCCGCAAGGCTGTCCATCGTGGCATATTCTCGGACAGCGGTGATTGCATGTACCATACGGCCGGCCACAGATCTTGCTGCACTGTTGGTGGCCAAAACTAACCGTCCCATTGTCACCAAGCCTTCGGCACCGTCCGCATGGGCCGGGGCACTCGTGACCGCACTCCAGCAGCTCTGTGCATTCTGTTGGGCAGCAGAACCCTTCCGATGTGACATCTCTGAAGCAAGGAACCGTTACGGTGTGTCCGCAGCCCGGCACCTCCCTTTCGACAAGCTTGGAGCACTTGATGGATGGCAAATCAAGCGTCCTGTGGCAAGCTACGTTGTCTTGGGTGTGGCCGCAGGGCAGCTTCACGCCGCTGACATTCACATTGCATGGTCCGCATTGCTGGCCACAAAGCTTTGGACATGGGTGTTGACAGGTTGATCGGAGCCGAGGGCAAGGTTGCAGGCAATTGAAAGCGTCGTGAAGCTGTTGAGAGTGGCATGGCGCCGGGCATCGGTGGCCGCATGGCTCGAGACGCTGGTCGCAGATCAGAGCGCAACCTCCTTCCGGGCTTTTGATAGCAAAATCCCCGGGCTCGGAGCAGAAAATTGGGGTGTCCGGATGCCGGGGGCAGCACAAAGCAATGGACGTGCCAACAGCATCCATCTCAGCCAGTTGCCGCTGAACATCCGCCCACATCGGAACGTGCTGATATGTTCCCGCGTTTCCAATGAGATACATGCCGTGCTGCGCCCTGCTGAGCAGGACGTTGATGCGGTTCTCGGTGCGCAGAAAGCCGACTTTGCAGTTGTTGTTACTCCGGACGAGAGACACGACGATGACTTTGGCCTCTTCCCCTTGGAAGTTGTCAACAGTTGCCAGACGGATCGCCTGCGACAACTGCTTCTTTTCGATCGCCTTCCTCGGTGCAACTGTGTTCTTTTCGCCGTCCTCGTCACTCCCTTCCTGCTGGATCTCGAATCCTTCCTCCAACAGCGTCTCGCGGTCGCGATCGCTCAGGACCACCTCAAATTCCTTGTCCAGTACGGCCCGGAGTTGCTGAAGTTGGCCGGTATACGGCGTCAGAAGCGCAATGTCCGCGCTGCTGTAATTGCCTTGTCGGACGAGATGGCGAATCAGGGCGGCAGCCATCGCCACTTCCCAGGGGTTACTGTGCGACTTAACCCGGGCGCCGTCGTCCTTGGAGTCCTCCGGGTGGCTGTGATCGAGCCAGAAGAGGTTGACACGCATCCCGACAACGGATGGAAGGTTTCTGGCGCTGTCATGGTCCTCAAGCTTGGGATACACACTCCTGATAAGCTTGGAGATCTCAGGTCGCATGCGCCGTTGGACGTTGAGTTGCGCAACCGGCAAGGGCGGCAATCCCGGCTCCCCCACGGCTCGGCGCTCGAACTGGCTGCGATCAAGTTGGTACGCTCGCCCAGCTGATGTCTCGAGGCTAAAATGAAGATAATTCTGGATCTGCGGCCGAAGCTGTCTGTGGTCACCGATCTGGATGAAGTGCTCAACTCCGGGCATGAGCGCAGAGATCAGGTCCGGCTCTTTCACCTCGGCTGCTTCTTCGCAAATGATGACTTTGGCTCCAAGACGTCGTAGCATCTTGATATTTCGAGCCAGCCCTGTCGTTGTCACTCCCACAACATCGGCCTGTAAGAGCGTCCGACGGCTCACGTCGTCGTGGACGTCACTGATCTGTTCTCGGTAGCGTTTGGCCTGGTCAAGCAGCTCGAAAACGCTGTCGCTCTGTTCTTGGATCAACTGCTCCACCCAGGCCTTGGCCAGCACCCCACGCTCGTGTTGTGTAAGTGAGTAAATGTCGTGTTCGGCACGCACCGTAAGCTCAGTGATGTCGACTGAGACTCCCGCATGATCCCTTTCCCACAAACCCAGAGTCAACTTTCTTCCCAGCCACGTCTTCAGTGGATCGCTCCTGACCGTGACAAATTCCTTCTTGTCCTGTGTCTCAAGCTGACGCGCAATTTGTGCGTGATGCTTCATCAAGAAGAGCCGCATGTGATTCCAGGCCAGTCGATCCTTGCGGGCATGGTGAAGAGGCTTCAAGCGGTGTCCAACGCTCAGGATACACTTCTCGAGCTCTGAATAGCTCTGGCCAAGGATCCGGCTTTCGACCGCCGTCTTTGCCTCGTGCCTGCTCACTACCCGCAAGTTCTTGCCGTCTAGTTCCGTTGCGCGGCTCTGGCCTCCGATCCGAATGATCTTCTCGATGCCCACATCCAGGAGATGTTTCAGAAACTGATCCAAGGCATGGTTCGTGTAACAGCTGCGTATGCATTTGTCAGATAGGCGCTGGTAAGTGAAGAGGCTATCTCCGACGGACGCAACTTACATCACGACGATTGGACCAAGGTTTGCCTGGGCCTTGTGATCCAGCAGAACTCTGACCAGCTGTACGCCCACGTACGACTTTCCAGTCCCCGGTGGGCCTTGTATGAGAGCATACTCCCGCGTCAAGGCCGCAATCAAGCTTTCGGACTGACCGCGGTCGAGGCCTGTGGCAGCCTTAAGAGCCTCGAGGCTGATGCTCTCCGCAGGATTGGCCGGGTCAAGATCGAGCTTTGCGTATCCCTCGCGAGTGATTGATTCCAGACAGAATCTGAAGCCCGGCCGCCGCGCATAAGCCGGTGGCGCCACCTTCGTAGGTTCTTGTCCGGGGCTGGAGTCTGTCGTGGGGAGAATGTAGCGTCGAAAGGCCAGGTATCCATCGCGCATCATACGCTGCAGGTTTTCAAGAATGGGAACAAAGGTCTCGGGGAGTAGACCGGGGAGCTCAAGCAGCAGCCCTTTCCGCTTCTCGACAAATAGTCGACTGAGTGTTGCTAAATTTTGCTGGTTTTCAGACGCCAGCTTTACCGTGACGGTGGGCGTCGGGGTCACCAGAGTGCTTGCAACCTTCCCTTCTGGGACATCTCCGGTATTCTTCTTGCTAACCACAAACAGCAAGAACGACTGTTCGTTCTTTCCCGGTGTGACCAAACAGACAAGACCACCGGGCTCGAGTCGAGAGGACCAATCCCACCATCGCCGCCGTTCATCCAGGGAGTTCTTGCGCAGTTGAGGCGGCTGGGAAAACGATACGATTATCTCCAAATCTTTGTCGACGAAGACGTGTTGGACGGTCGCATTCGAGTAGCAGTTGGCTCTAATGTTGGCGCTAATGAACCTGCTCGAGGATGCAACATCGGTCTGTGCTAACACAGAGGCGATTGCCTCTTTGAGAGGTCCAAAGATGTCGTGCCGCAACAGGCGAAAGGCCGAGTCAAGGTGCCGTCGGACAGGATCGTCATGGAAATGTGGTTGAGTGAGGTCGGTCACGGGCAGGTACTCGGAGAGCTCGCTCGTCACCTCTCCGAAAGTTGGGAAGATTTGAATCCTGGTGACATCCGCAAAGTCGTTGTCATGCTTACCCCCAGGAATTACAACTTGCAGGGGGAAGGTCGAGTGTATGGGGCTTGCGTTTTTGGTGATGCTGGTTTCGGCTAGCTCGTGCTGTGCTAAGCGGTCTCGCGCGCCATCTACCATCCTCCGAATCATGTCAATCCGTATGGTGGCGGTGTCAAGGTCTGAAGCGCCTGCAGCCACCCTGAATTGCGCTGTCTTGTCTTGCAGTGCGTCCAACAGCTCGGGTAAGTCGTCATTAAGCAGGCACTTCCGCTCCCTCCGGAGTAGCTCGTACAGTGACGACGTGATAAGGGAGAGCAGGCTGCTTGGCTCCTGCGAATCCTGCGACAACCGCCGGTTCAGGTTCCCAAGGAAGGTAATGCTCTGGTCACCGCTTCCGCCGGCGATCATGCGGTAGATCGTTCCCACAAAGCTGTCAATGGACAAGCAGCGGAGCAACGAGGGATGTGTGATCGTGCGCAGAAAAGCTCGGGCGACGTCGAGGCACTCTCCATCGTCTTCAAGCGTAGTGCACAGGCGGATGGTCTTATGGATGAGGAAAAGACCACCAACGCCGTCGTCGTCCGCAAGGTCTCGGGCAACGGATTGCTGTGACTCTCCGTTGCCGCTGGCGTCCAGGATCTTGGTTGCAAGGGTCCAGATCTCGGTGCACATGGCGGCGGAGAGACGGACCATAGACCCGCTATGTCGGCGGACTTGGCGTCTGAAGTTGACATAGTTCTCCTTGGCTTGCATCGCCTCGTCCGGTATACCAGGGCCGGACGAGGACGCTTCATCATGGGGCATGTCTCGAATATCATGAGAGAATCTGCATGACGCGCCGTATGTGCACCGTTCGACGAGGAAGTGGGGGCAGACGCGTCCCGCTTGCGAAGTTGAACCTCCTCGAGATGGCCCAGATCTTCCCCCTCGAGACCGCCAGGGTCGTCCTCCGCCCGCACCTCGCCTGCCTCCCCGTCCGTTCGGAGCCATTGATCCGTTGGTGTTGGGTAGAGGAGTGTATGGTAAAAGTCTGGAATCCAGTCCTCTGCAAGGCCGCACCTGGATAGGAGAGGGTGGCCACGGTAGCTTTTGCTAAACAGTAGAGGTAGGTCGAAAATCGAAATTCGTGAGAGTGTGAAGGTAAAAACGTGAGAGGATGGAGAAAGGCTTTACACGTTGCCATACGCAAGTGCGAACAAAGCTCGAGAGTTGAGACAACAAAAGTAAAGGGGAAAGAGGACGGGATGTGTCAGTCTTGCTTTAGGCAGCAAACGGAAGTGCGCCTCGATGCCGGCTCCTTCAGATGAAAGGCTGCATGCGTGTATGCCTCAGGCTGTACGCCTCCCAACTGCTCGTGCCCGAAGGTTACCTCAGTCTTGCTAGGTATCAACACTCTTTCAACCTGGAACATTGGAACATGGTGGGGCACGCTGTTGGCCTCATGGCAGTAGAACACATGCAAATGGACGTGTGAAGCATGGGGACCAATCATCAATGGTGCGGAAAGCAACGTCGTTAAGACAAACGGACATCGTGGTCGCTTGCTTTAAGAACTACTGGAGGGTTTACTAGTGCAAGCGAAGACTTAGCCATGGCAATAACGGGCATGCCGTTGTCTTACTACGCTATTAGCATCTGCTTTTTCACGTCCTCTTTGTTCGTAGCTAGGGACGGCGATCCCTTCACAGCCCGGATCCAGGCGTGCCAAGATGGAAGAGCAACGGCATCGTGCAGGGAAACGTCATCACGCCTGTTTGCAAGTTGCTCGCGTTATCACTGGAGAGCATCAGCAGGTGTTTGAACAGCCGGCCTTCAGAATCGCGGGACTTTGAGTAGCGGGAGCCTTGGAGACTCGGTGAGTGTAAATCATCGCTTGACAGGTAGATGGTCAGACAAGTCGCGAGACTCAGAGGCCTTGACCAGAGAATTTGAGTGTGCCTTGGCCACTGATTACCGGCCAGTTGGTAACGATACTCGTACTGTATAGTAAGTACTTCTCAAATAACCTCTCTCCAATACCTGGGAGTGTGATGTTTCCATATATTTCCTCTCTTCACTTTGGCTCTTCACGATTCAGGCCCTCAAGCAGGACTACCTTAGCTACTCCCTAACTTCACACTTCCCTCTTCGCCTTCCGATCCCGATGCAGCCCCTTGTCCACTGCGCTCTTCCGCACCCAGATTTCACCAATCGGACACCCTTCCTTCTCGATACAGACCCAGTCCCCGATACCATACTTCTCCGGCGCCTTCCTCACTCCCCTCCCCCCACCGCCAATAATCAGGTTCCCCGGCCGGTAATTCTCGTCGACCCGCAGCCGGCGGATTACGCTGCCGTGGACGCGGGCGTTCTCGGGTATGTCGCGCACCTCGCCGCAGGGCAGCGGCCAGCGGATGGGCTTCCAGGTCCCGTCTTCCTGGAGGTCCATTCTCCGGAAGGGGAGGTACCTGTGTGCGATTTGTCAGTTGGAAGCCTTGCAGAATGCAGGAAGGGGCACTCACTCCATCATCTTCCAGGCAGTGACGGATGACCAGCTCAGCCCGCCGCCGAATTCGAGCGAGTCATGGATGAGCGCCACGTGGGCTTTGTGCATCATCTCTCTGAAAGTAGGTGGGCGAGACGGTGCCGGGTCCTGGGAGGAGCTACTGGCATTGGAAGGGTTGCCGGAGCCGGATTTCTGAAAGAGCTTTGGCGTGCTGGCGCTAGGGCTCCGGACCATGATGTTTGGGACTGGGGGCGGTTCGGCGCCATTCCCGGCCTCGCCGGCTCGGTTTGGCGGTGCTGGATCGCCGGATTCTTGATTCCCGTTCCCGGATGCCATGCACGGCTCATCTTCGAGGACCTCGACGCAGCCCATCTCGCGGAGCTTGTCCGGGTCAAAGTGCAACCCGGCCTTCATGGCCTCGTGGATCATCCACACCAAGGGCACATGGCTTGCGGATTTCGACTCCGGAAGCATCTCCCACCCCCCTCCAATATCGGCGTGTCCCCCAGCAAACCAAACCTCGTCGATGTCCTGGTCGGTCTCATCCTCCGAGTCGGCTACGGAGTCGACCTCGTGGTCCTCGTCATGCGGATGGGGCGCCACGGATATTTCGGATTTGGCATCGTGATGCAGGCTATCCTGGTCCGCCATGGCCGTGCGGCGGGATCGCGCCGAGTGCGAGCGGGCGCGGTACGGGGCCGGGCGGTCCGGGACATCCAACCTTGCTTGCCGGCCACGGTTCTTGCCAGGATGTAGCTTCTCGCTTACTTCGTGCAGCTTGTTGTGTCCTGGGCCATGTTCCTTCGCCTTCCGGCAGCGGTCGCTCTGGTAGATCAGATCCTGTCTGAACTTGGCGCGCCGCTCGTCGATACTGACGGCGTGGCGAATGACCTTCGCCGACGTCCGCGCAGTGTAGGGGAACTTGCTCCGTTCCATCCACGCCGTCTCGAACCGGGGCACACTGTTGACCGTGTCGAAGAGGCCCAGGAAGCGGATGCGGCGGACGGGCCGCGAGAAGGTCTCCCGGAAGCCCTTCATGAACTCGTACATCTCCTTCGTCTTCTTGATCCCTTCGGGTGTCTTGTTGCCCTGGCGGCTCTGCCAGTTGGAGAACGCCTTCCAGGCAAACACGACCATCTCTTCGTTGCCGTGGGAGAGGAGGCCGACATAGTCCAGCATTTCTGCCAGGAAACGAGCAATGTACGCGCCGCGGGAGAAGCCGAAGATGTAAATCTCATCGCCCGGATTGTAGAAGCGCATCAGGAAACGATAACCGCCGACGACATGTTGGTCGAACGAGGATCCGACCGCCGAATCCTTAGCCTTCATGTACCAGGACTTGATTTTGGCGACGGTGCCGGTGTGGCTGAGGCTGTTTGAAACAACATATGTGCCGATTCCAGCTGCGAACTGTCAGGATCGCAGCGCAGATAGAGCAAAGTGTCACAAACCTACGTTGGTAATAGTGGTCTAACGCGACGGCAGTTAGTAACTAGTTGGCTAAGCTGGGTTGGTAGATGTATGCTAAGACAAGGTGGGACATACACTGATCGCTTGCTGTTCTGTCCAGCATGCGGAAGATCTTCAAGATGTTACTGTCGCTGTCATCGCCATGGAACTTGTTGCCTGTCCCATCGAAACACAGGACAATCTTTCGAGGCTTCCGGTAAGATGAAGACGGCCGGGGGTGGTTGTCTGGGCCTGTGGGCGTAACCGGACGAGATGGTACGTGGTTTGAGAAGAAGTCCTCGTGAGAGCCAAGGTGCAAGCCCGCACCTTGGCTGGCCACTCGACTGTGGCCGTCATGCTCTCCAGGTTTGAGATGGGAGTTGTCCATTGTTTACACGGCTGGGTTTTCACAAACGCGATTCCAATAGCTGGACTCAAGGAAATCCCATCCTACGAAGCCTAGTTAGATCGGATACCTCCACACACTAGTAAATACCCAACCCGTGCCAACCTTCCTGTATCAGAGCCGAGACCCCGCTCATGATTCTTCCAGCCTCTTGCGCATGCCTCATGCATTTTCCTCGAAAGGCGCCGATCCTCCCGCCCCAACGGGAAGACGGAACCTTTGCGGCATTAGGATCGGCCACTGAACAAGACGCTGAGGCTCGGCCGCCCTATCAGGAAGATGGACGCAAAGCACGTCCTCCGATAGTCTGCATTAGTTTCGTCGATGCGCGCCCGTCTGGCCCGCAGCTTCGCCGACCACTCTGGCGGCCAGACGTGGACGAACCTATCAAGAGAGCTAGGGCTGGGTCCCCGGCCTTCAGCTACGATGCAGACTGCAAGGGCAACCAAAAGGGAAACTCTCAGGCCCACTTCCAAGGTTACAGCGGGATCTGCGTCTGCACCAATGCCCATTGCCAGCAGGCCAATTGTTGGGTTCGTAAGCAGCCAGGTCGGTTATTGTCATGGCTTTGATTGCATTTCATGCCTGTGCACCAGGCTAGCGCCGTGATCTCCAAGAATAGGTACATCGTTGCTAGATCTCAGAGACTTCTTGTCAGATCTAGGTTGACGAGCGAGTGGATGGCTCACCAAGTGCCTTGAGCTTGAGGGTGACCCCGAATCCCGGCCCGCACCCGTGGTTCCACGGTTCTTCAGCCGCATGGTGCCATTGGCCCAATGAAGATAACCAAGATTTTGCCGGACCCACTGATCGACGAATAGTCTTTTTTGCTCAGATCGTCGCCCCGGCGATCAGGGTTTGCGTTGTCACCTTACACAGAGAGCCATTGGTCCAGGGACGGGGAACCCGTCAATGATCACCCAGCTCCAGCTCCGCGCCGCGGCATCCACAACGCCGTCCACTTTTGGACGCGCATCAACTGTTACAGGGCTTGGGGATTCCATTGGATCCTGGCGTAGCTGAGTTGCGTAAGATGCAGAATGGCTGCGGCGGGATGGCCTCGGCATGCCGGCGGGCCTGTTTCTAGGACTCTGCGGGCCCTGCCTGTTATGAAAGTCGTCTCGGGGCCGCGCTGCGTTTCTTTGACCCGTTTTCCACTCTCATACTGCAGTAACTCTCTCACTCTGAGTCCAACGGGAGAGTACTCTGAAGGGCTTCGGTGATTCATATACCGAAGAATTCCAGCAATGGCCTCAAACGGCGGGAAGACCAATGGTACGTCCGGTGTGACGAGGAGCATCGACCGGGTGGGCTCGCCAGCCTCAACCGAGACCGGCGAGAAGCTTGCCAGCAAGGCGAAGCCTAAGCCCTCGCCACGCAAGATCAAGTCGACAAACCCCGACAGGCAGGGCGTCGCGAACGCCTTCGAGCAGTATGGCCAGGTATTGCATGCGAGGGTCAAGCCGTTGCCCAACCAGTTGATGGCCAACGGAATGACCTTCTACGAGACCAGGCGATGGGGAAAGCTCAAGGACGACATAATGACACTGCGGTCGACTGGTATGTGATGGAGGCAACCAGATGTTGGAGAGAAGAAGAGCTGACACGTTGCCCAGACTGGAAGACCCTGAAGAAGATGGTCATGGCCAAGATCAAGGGCGAGACCTTGACGGACGACAAGACGATGATCATGGAGCGAGTGATCCAGCTCGTCTCCAACTTGCCTAGCGACTCCAAATTACGGGTCGAGCTGACCAACAAGTTCCTGGGAGAGCTCTGGTACTCGCTGGAGCACCCGCCTTCGATCTACGTCGGCGAGAAGTTCGAGTACCGGCAGGCTGATGGGTCATATAATGTCAGTCGCTGGCATCTCAGTTGATGGAGGACTGACTGACGGTGTTACAGAACATAATGTTCCCTCAGCTTGGCGCAGCCGGGACTTACTACGCCCGCTCCGTGAATGCCAACGTTCTTCGGCCAGGCGCTTTGCCCGACCCTGGTCTGATCTACGATTCGGTCATGAAGCGCACCGAGTACAAGCAGCACCCGAACAATGTCTCCAGTATCCTGTGGTACTGGGCAAGCATCATCATCCACGGTAGGTTCACCACGCCTACTGGGACACATTTGTGCCAGAAAAAGCCTAACGAGAGCCCGCAGACCTCTTCTGGACAGATTACCGCGACATGAACAGATCCAAGACGTCCTCTTACCTTGACCTGTCCCCACTGTACGGCAGCAACCAAGAAATGCAGAATACGATCCGGACGTTCAAGGATGGCAAGCTGAAGGCGGACTGCTTTGCGGATGCTCGCCTCCTGGGAATGCCCCCGGGGGTTGGCGTTCTCCTTATCATGTTCAACCGCGTCCACAACTACGTCTGCGACAATCTGATTGCCATCAACGAGGATGGCAAGTTCACGCCGCCCTCTCCTGCGCTGGAGGGGGAGAAGGCCGAGGCTGCTTGGAAGAAGTACGATAACGACCTGTTCCAGACTGCTCGTCTGATCACGTCCGGCTTGTACATCAACATCACACTTCTGGACTACGTCCGCAATATTGTCAATGTGAGTACCGCGTCCCCGTACGCCTCAACTCCCTGCTGACGAGAATATACCCCTAGCTCAACCGCGTTGACACTACCTGGACGCTCGATCCGCGGTCAGCCACTGGCGTAGACGTCGGTACGAGCAAGGGCGCAGAGCGCGGTACTGGCAATGTCGTATCGGCCGAGTTCAACCTCTGTTACCGCTGGCACAGCTGCATCTCGGAGAAGGACGACAAGTGGATTCAGGAGTTTTACTACGAGATGTTCGGAAAGCCGGGCTCTGACCTTACGGTTGAGGACCTGGTGAGGGGGTTCACCAAGTTCGAGCACATGATGCCCAAGGATCCGATTGACCGGCCATTCCACAAATTCAAGAGGGGGCCCAATGGTAAGCTGAGCGACGATGATCTTGTGGAGTGCATCACGGCTGCTGTCGACGACCCTGCCGGCTCCTTCGGCGCGAGGAACGTGCCTGTGTCGATGCGCGCCATTGAGATCCTGGGCATCATCCAAGGCCGCAAGTGGAATGTTGCTGGCCTGAACGAATTCAGGAAGCACTTCGGTCTCAAGCCCTACGAGTCGTTCGAGGACATCAACTCGGACCCTGGAGTTGCCGATGCTCTTCGCCGTCTGTACGATCATCCGGACTTTGTGGAGCTCTACCCTGGCCTGGTTGCCGAGGAGCATAAGAAGCCGATGGTGCCTGGTGTGGGTATTGCTCCGACATACACCATCTCCCGCGTCGTCCTGTCGGATGCCGTTTGTCTTGTCAGAGGCGACCGCCACTACACCACCGACTACAGCCCGCGCAACCTCACCAACTGGGGCTACAACGATGTTCAGTACGACCTGAACGTCAACCATGGTTGCGTGTTCTACAAGCTGTTTATCCGGGCGTTCCCACACCACTTCAAGTACAACTCGGTGTACGCGCACTATCCGATGGTGACCACTTCGGAGACCAAGAAGATCTTGAAAGACCTCAAGCGCGACAATCTCTTTGACTTTAGCCGTCCCACTCGGATCTCCCCGGCCGTCGAGGTCAACTCATTCGTGGGTGCTCAGCGCGTATTTGCCAATCCGGAGAAATACAAGGGTATCTGGCATGAGGGTCTCGGAGTCCTTGCCGGCCAAGGCAGCCCTAACGGCCCGAGTGATGCAGTGGCCACCGAGAGCCGCCGGCGTGAGGTCAGCTTGGCCACGGTCGACTTTGAGTCCCACGTCAAGGGGTTCTACAGGCAGGTCACTGAGCAGCTGCTCAGCGAGCAGAGCTACCACCTCGCTGGCCACCGGTTGGTGGATCTCGCCCGTGATGTAGCGAACATTGTGCCGACTCGATTCGTGTCCCGCGTCTTCGGCCTCCCTCTTCGGAGCAAGGAGAACAGCAAGGGCATCTACAATGAGCACGAACTCTATGCCGTGCTCTCGACGGTCGCGACTGCTGCCTTCACCAGCCCCGACCCGGTGAAGAAGTTCCCCCTGGTCGAGGCAGCTAAGACGGTTGCAGGCCAGCTCGCCTCTCTGGTGGAGCGCACGGTCAAGAGCCCCAAGGCAAAGAACGACCCACTGAGTGCGTACGGAGCGCAGGTGATCAAGGGCTTGTCCAAGGCTGGACTGAAGACCGAAGACATCACTTGGAACCATGTGCTGGCAACCTGCGCCGCCATGGTCTCGTACCAGGCTAAGCTGGTGAGTTTGCTTGGCCCAAGAGGCTGGATTCTTCCTTACTGACAGGATACCACAGTTTGTCGAAGCGGTCGACTTTTATCTCTCGCCAAAGGGAGCAGCCCACCTCGAAGCAATCCAGCGTCTTTCCGCGCAGCAACCGTCCGAGCAAACAGACGCTCTGTTGCTTGGCTACGCCCTGGAAGGAATTCGCCTCTCGGGTTCAAGCAGGCTGTACTTCCAAGCCACCGCAGCCGACTCCATCCCTGCCGAAGACGGCAACACCATCTCAGTCCAGCCGGGCGACTCCATCTGCGTCGTCTCTGTAAGCTTCACCTCATCTTTCCTTGTGCTATTAACAAAGGAGTCGTCTACTAATCTCGGTAACTCACGCCTCCAGACCCCTTCTGACGAAACCGTCGTCGACCCGTCCCGTCCCCGCGAAAGCTACATCCACTTCGCCGCGTGCCCGAGCTCTTCCTTCCTCGGCGCAGGGCGCGAGATCAGCGAGATCGCCCTCACCGAGATGTTCCGCGCGCTGTTCAAACACAAGAATGTCCGACGCGCACCCGGGCCGCAGGGTGAGCTGAAGAAGTTGGTGGGTGTCAGAGCCGATGGAGAGGTTGAGTATATGCGGGAGGACTGGGGTGCGAAGGGAGCGTGGCCTGTTACGATGAAGGTTGCTTGGGATGAGGAGTGAGGCTTCCTTATCGTCGGGGTGTCAGGGTCGCGTGTGAGAAGGAAGTTGGAGTTTGCTTGATGGATAATACCAGATGGCGCATCGATGATCGAGTCCGTCTGTGGGAGGGACGTAATAACTTGAGTACGGTAAGGTTCTGCGAATGGATACCAAGGGTCAGTATGCCAATTTCTAGTCCGATTTATGTTTGTGTTCTGAGAAGAGAGATTATACCTACCTTAACCTGATACTAGTTGTGTATGTCTGCCGTTCTGTCACAGCTTTGACCAGGGACAACCCGTGCGGGCCTCCCAGCCTGACCTTATCAGTTCAGGGTGACGGAAGACTGCCACATCCTACCACAGTCACTAATTAAGCGCGCAAGCCTATCTTCCATTTCCACCACCAAACGTTTGGCAAGGTTCTCAAAAAGCAATTCAGCCTGGAATTTGAAGCCTGAGTCAATATGGATCAAAAAGATCGTAAAAGAACAAAAGACAAATAACGAGGTCCTACCCGGAATCGAACCGGGGTTGCCGGAATCAGAATCCGGAGTGATAACCGCTACACTATAGAACCTTACTTGCTCCATTAACATGCAACTTCAAGCCTATAATTGCCAGCGCCAATCTGGATAGCCTGAAAACAACGTGGTATCTGCCTTCAGCCGCAGCGCGGAATTGTTGCGGGTATAGGCACTGTAGGCAAAACACCATGAATTCTGACTATGAAAAAGTGGTCATTTTGGGCGCGAAAGTGTCCAACTTGTCCAGAAAATGTGGGTGGCACAGAACGTTTCGGTGATGCAGGTGCCAGGGTTGTGCCTTGTGTTTAGTTCCAGCCGGCCACCTTGGCTCCATGCGGGATATTTCCTCCTGCAACGAAAACCACGGAGCTCATTACTGTTGCCCTGTTCCTTCCAACGAAATTTGCTCTGCAGACAGTGCCGACTCCATTTCATGAGCACCAGACTTCTGCAGAGCCATGACAGCGCCGGCCACTCATCGCCAATTCAGGGTACAGTTTCTGACATTCTTGTCATAAGTCTTGCTAAGGCCTCACTAAGGGTTAGACCTATGAATGATGTTCAGAGAAAATGCCTCGAATGCACCTTGTGATAATAGCCAGCCGCAGAGCATCTTTCGGGTCCGTCCTCTTAGGTCTAGTGCTTTCCAACGCACAGGGACACTAAGCTATATCAATCTTATCAACACCGTGTCTTTAATCCTGTACGTACATACTCCTAAACTTGTGTGGAGGGAATGATCCTGAAGTCAAGACTGTCCGCCCTGAAGTGGTGTATACATAAGCCAGCGCGGAGAATGTTCCGGAAGTGGTTCATCAGGCGCGACATGCCGTGGCTGTGTGAACTGTGGGAGTTATGGGACGAGGAGCTAGAGCGCGGCGAAGTAGACTATAAGTATAAGGCCGTGTACATGTCGGTGAACGAGGCCACATCCCCGAGGTACGGTATAGGCGGCCCATTCAGGCGTATATGGGGCATATGTGATCAGATGGCGCCTCACTACCACGGCCAAATCCCAAAAGTACGGACACTGGATACGCCCAAGTCAACCATGCTCCGGTCCACCGTCTGTAGACACATCCTCTCCCTCACAGACGAACAAGTACCAGACAGCTCCGATTCACTGCAAAGGACCCTGTTCTTCTACTCACAAGAAGGGCCCGAACATAGGCCGGTCATCCTAGAGCTCGTCTCCCTGTATATCGATCCGACTGGGACGACCTAGCATGGTGTCGCAGTGGAGTTCATCAACCCTGAGTGGACGAAGTACGTTAGGGTGAGGAGGAAGGGTTGGCGAAGATTTGAAGCCTTGGACCTGGCCCGGTTTTGGCCTTTCATTCCGCGCTATGTACAACTCTCGGCTCCGGTGGCCCGACGGCCAGGAGGTCGTTCGATTTGACGCCGACGGGCCCGGAGGGGAGCGTATAAAGTATGAACGAGGTTTCAGTGAGCGAGGGAACCGTTGGTGCACTGGCGTTCAAGGCAGGCACTCTCTCGGCTTTCTCTTCGGCATCATTGCGCCAAGCTTGATAACGCGAGTGCTGGGTCCTATATCAAGACAAACAGAGATCGTGAGGTGTAGGTCGGAAGCCCTGGGAGTCAGGAGTGGACGTCTTATCGTGCGCCTGAGGGAAAGGCTGTCCACGGGTTCATTGCCAGCTTCACCGGGAAGACCACCACGAAGGTGGAGCCGAGTTCCCCCAGATTTGCGTAGACCGTGCTTACTAACCGCGAGAACTCAGGAATGCGGCGCGCTGTCCTCGCTGGTGGTGGTCAAGAAGAACATTCCGCCTTACAGTTAATTACTTCTCTATACTAGTAGTAGCGTAATTGGTTGGACAATCCCTCAACATAAATACTAGTTGAAACATAATCACCACGACATCAAGGTGGACTTCCTTAGCACTTAGTCTCCTAATTAACCCCTTAAGAAATCATTCACGGCTGTCATGTTCGCACGCAACGAAACCACCATCAATCTCCCCTTGAATGCGCCGCTGCTGCCATCGTTCGTATCGCCCATGACGGTCTCCAACAGCCTCGCGATATCTTCGTCGCTAAAGATTCCCTTCCGTGCCGGAGCCCGACCAGAAACACAGCAGTCAGCAGGGAGGCCGACCAGACCCTCGATGGCCTCCAGCTGGTGATCCAGAATCTGGACGATAAGCCTGAGATACAGCCGGGGCGGCATGCTGGCGAGCCCGGCGACGCGGAACTCGTGCTGGAGCTCCACGTCGGCGGTGCCGGCGCTGGCGCCGGCGTCCCTTTCCGTCGCGTCGTCTTCCAGGAACTCGGCGATGCGGCGGAAAATGGTGTCGTAGAGCTGGACGATCTGGAGGTAGCTGCACAGGAGCAGCAGGTACGTAGCTGCGCCGAGGGAGGGGGATGTTGCGCGCCCCTGCGCAACGCCGAGAGTTCTGAGAATAGCCGCAAAGCGCGTCGTGATCTGCAGCGTCTCGGCCACGGGATTGTCGTTGGTGCTGTTGATCTTGGAGGAACAAAGACGCTGCATCGCTGGCGGGGCCTGCCACGGATATGAGTCGATTTTGGCTAATTGCTGACTGACGCTCTCATTGAGGCGCGAAAGAGAGATCAAAGCCTCCTGGTCGCTGCTACCGAGTCCGGGTGTCGTGCCATTACTACTCTGCGCAGTGGCAGGCGTGGCTTTGTGATTCTCAGGAAGTGAGCCGCGCACGGGATGATCCATCGGGTCGAAGCGCCGGGTAGTCCCGGGGTCTGCTGTAAAGCTCAAGACCCCGGTTGGTGATGTTGAAGTTATTATTTGCCCGAACTCGCCATTAGGCAGAAACATCCCGAAAAAATGCGCCATGCTGTCCGGTGACTCCTGAGCTGGATTGGAAGCGTTTGAGCTTTCAGGGATCGGGAGTTCCAGCAGGGACTCCATGGACATGGCGGTGTAGTCGCTCATTGCCAACGACGAAGCGTTTGTCCATGGCAAAATCGCCGCGGCCTCCACCGCACCTGTAGGTGGGCGACGTTGCTGATGCGTGCTTATAGAAGGTGACGGTGATGATGGGGACGGGGCCATTGAATCGCGCTGTCGTCGTCGGAAGTGGTCTTGGCCCGTTGAGGGGCGTGATGTTGAACTCGACCTAGGCCGGCCTACAGGTCGTGTCCCGCCCGTGACGCACAATGCCCCGGCGCGTTTGCACCGCTGGCAAGGCTCGTTGACATTGTTGTCGGCGCGCGGACACCGCAACTTCTGGTCACGACATCGATCACAAGCGAACCGCTTATGCACCGCGTGGCAGCTCATTGCCAATGTAGAGGGCAACGTTTACATTATGTTGTGGCATTGTCGGGTCCTGGGGAGTCCTCAGGACTTTTGTTCTTTGGAAGAGGGGCGGTGGGCTCGGATGAACTTTGGCCCTCTTTATCCGTATCTCTCCGAGACATCTCGCAAGTTATGTGGCGGCCGCTTGGTGTCTTTCAGCCAACCGTTGCAGGCTTGCAGCTCCCTTTCTACCCCGAGTTGTGCCCAGCCGTACGGCCAGTAGGAGAACTGGGAAGACCAAACTCTAATGATCCGAATACTAAATAAGTAAGGTTCCTCGCGGTTCCAAGTTGAATCCAGGATTAGATACAAGCTGCTTGCAGTAGGCCCAGCTGCAATAAAGGCATAATTATGGGATGATACACACAGTATGTACAAGTGCGCTGAGATTTCAGCAGGCCGCCGCTGAGCGAGAAGGGCGAAGATCACACGAAGGTACATAAAGGTAGTAACCAGTTGAAATGCTTCTTTAGAGGGAATCCGATGATGGAAAGCCCTCGTACCCCCAAATCATACAGACAATGATGCTTAGCCGAGGCGCTCAGCAGTCCATGTGCAGTGCACGTGTTTGCATGACGTCGTGACCTTATCCAAGCCCCTCTATGACAATTCAATGCAGTAGCTGTATTGAATATGGAGACACTGCATTTCCAGTTCGGCAGGTGGCAGAACGTGAGACTACCCAGCGACCAAAAATGGCATCCAAGGAGGTTACTAGGTATCCTCGTGTCTCGGAGCGTGCCATGTGCCGGCTGCCGTGTTACTCGAGCACCCCGCTGGCGACAAACAAATGATAGCAGAATCATGGTTTCACTTGCTGACCGCTTGGCTAGGTCAGTCTGACCTAGTCGACTGTCCGGTATGCGATGCTGTTGGCACGATATATCGCGGGGTAATAAACCCTAAACAGGAAGGTTGCGGCAAGGCACCGGCATAAATCCCACCTAAGTTGCCCTGGCATTATTAAAGGTTGCCATATGATCCAGATCGTCGCGCTAGACGTGGCAGTGGTAAATCCGGAAACCGGGGAATTTTGCGACGATCTTGGTTGTATCGGACTCAATGCAACGAAGACAACCGGCGCGTCGCATATAGTACAACAAGAAGAGAGGTCGGGAAGCCCCGTGTAATTGGTGCCCACATGACTTTGACGGCTTCCAACTCATTTTAAAGCGGCTTCTTTCCCCACACGGCGTCACACAGGGACCAGTCCGGGTCATGCGTCGGGCCTGTCTCGGTCGTTGCCCAGCAAGGTTATGGCCGCTGGGCATTCCATCACGGTTACAATTGTTGCAATTGTTGCCAATGGATCGTTGATCGGCATGCTGTGAGGACACCTTCCCGACCTAACAACGAGCCCGCAGCTGCTGTGTAGGATCGAGCCGCATCTGTAGTCCATGTTGCCTGAGGTCATGACCTGTGTGGATCACACGCATCTGCTGGTGAACAGGTAACGTATTCACAGAACAGCGGTCAGACGGGCGCGAGTCGAGCCTCGGAGTCCGGACTGTGGACAGAATCTTTAAAAGTGACGTACTGCAAGCGGTTACGATTTGATTTCGCAAAAGCTACAACCCAAGGTTCACATCTGCAGTTGTGCTTCCCATAAAATCGCTTCCCCTTCATCCGCATGGCCAAGCGAAACTGATAGTGTGCACCACCGCATTGACAAGATCGCCATGGCTATGCGTTCCATTCTATCAGCGCTGCTCGTGGCTTCTGTCCGCGGGCAGATCGCTGGACAGGTTGAGGGGTGCCCGGGCTACCGAGCGTCCAACGTGGTGCAAGGCGACTCCTACCTCGTTGCGGATCTTACTTTGATCGGCAACTGCAGCACGTACAGCAAGGATGTCGAGAACTTGAAACTGCTCGTCGAGTATCAGACTGGTAGGGCAGGCACACACGCTTTGTTTTAGGACAAGTCGGTTGCTGACCTCAACTGTTCTGTTCGCATTTTAGACACACGCCTGCATGTCCTGATTGAGGATGCTGGAAATGAAGTGTACCAGATTCAGGAGCACGTGCTACCTCGCCCAAAGAGCCAGAATGCGACAGCAAAGGCCGCCGCTCTGAGATTTAGCTTCACTGAGGATCCCTTCACTTTCAACGTCACCAGGGCTGCGACCGGAGAGGTTTTGTTTGACACGTCCGACTCGCCTCTGAATTTCGAATCGCAGTATGTTCGGCTCCGGACGAGCCTTCCGCAGAATCCCAATCTGTACGGCCTCGGCGAGCACTCGGACGATTTCAGGCTGCAGACTGTGGGCTACACACGCACATTCTGGAACGCGGAATCGCCCTTCATCCCGAACCGAGCCAACCTGTACGGCAGCCACCCGATCTACTTTGATCACCGGGGAGATTCGGGCACCCATGGCGTCTTCCTCCGTAACGCCAACGGCATGGACGTCCGCATCGACCACACTGAGTCAGGCCAGCAGTATCTGGAATACAACGCCATCGGTGGCGTTGTCGATCTCTACTTCCTCGCGGGGCCCGAGCCGGCCTCGGTCAGCAAGCAGTACGCCGAGGTCGTGGGTCTCCCCGCCATGATGCCCTACTGGAGCTTTGGCTTCCACCAGTGCAAGTATGGTTGGCAGACAATCGAACATGTGACCGAGGTGATCGCCAACTACTCGGCGGCCGGCATCCCGCTCGAAGTCGTCTGGGGTGACATCGACTACATGGACTCCAAGCGCGACTTCACGACCGACCCTACCCGCTATCCGCTGGACAAGGTGCGCTCTCTGGTGGATTCCCTGCACCAGAACAACCAGCGCTACGTCCAGATTCTCGACCCCGGCATCAACCGGATCGATAACTACGGCACCTACAGCCGCGGCGCAGAGAAAGGTGCCTTCCTCCGCGCGGCAGACGGCAGCTACTACCGCGGGCTCCAGTGGCCCGGCGAGGTCGTCTGGCCGGACTGGTTCGCCCCTGCAACGCAAGAGTGGTGGACCAACGAAATCCGCACCTTCTACGACCCATCCAACGGCATCGACGTCGACGGCCTGTGGACCGACATGAACGAAGCATCCAACATGTGCGCCGACACGAACTGCCTGAGCCCTACCGAGTCCTTCTCCCCCTTGAATTGGGACCCGCGCAAGCCGCCTCCGCGCGCGCGCCGCTCAGCCGAGCCTCCCAGTACTGAAACGGGCCTGGCAGACCGCAACTTGTTCAAACCGGCGTACCAGATCGCCAACCATCGCGGCGACCTGTCGTCGTACGCGCTCTGGACCAACATCACCAACGCCGACGGCACGTACCAGTACGACACGCACAATCTGTACGGCGTGATGATGGCGACGGCCACGCGGGCGGCGCTCCTCTCGCGCTCGCCCGCCAAGCGGCCCTTCGTGCTGACGCGCTCGTCCTTCGCGGGCGCGGGGCGGGCCGTGGCGCACTGGTTCGGCGACAATGCGTCGACGTGGGACCACTACCGCACGGCGATCCGGCAGATGCTTGCCTTCGCGGCGCTGCACGCCATGCCCATGGTCGGGTCCGACGTGTGCGGGTTCAACGGGAATGCCGAGGAGAAGATGTGCGCGCGCTGGGCCGTCATGGCCGCCTTCCAGCCCTTCTACCGGAACCACGCCGACGTGTCGGCGCCCGACCAGGAGTTCTACCGCTGGCCGCTCGTGGCCGACGCCGCCAAGAAGGCCATTGACGTGCGCTACCGGCTGCTCGACTACGTGTACACGGCCATGTGGCGGGCCAGCCAGGACGGCTCGCCCGCCGTGAGCCCGCTGTGGTTCTGGTATCCCGGCGACGCGGCCACGTGGGCGGTGCAGACGCAGTGGTTCCTGGGCGACGCGCTGCTGGTCAGTCCTGTGGTAGACGACGACAGCCAGAGCGTGAGCTACTACCTGCCCCGGGACGTGTGGTACGACTTCTGGACGGGCGAGCGGGTGGTCAGCAACGGCGAGACCAGGACGGCCGACGCCGTGGGCTGGGCGGACATCCCCGTGCATATCCGGGGCGGGTCCATCGTGCCCATGCGTGTGCAGTCGGCCAACACCACGGCGGAGTTGCGCAAGCAAAACTTTGTCGTCGCGGTTGCGCCTGGCGCCGACGGCAGTGCCAAGGGAGAGCTCTACTTGGATGATGGGGTGAGCTTGGACGTCTCCGACCAGCATACGGTGATCAGCTTCACCTACGACGGCATGAACTTTGAGGCCAAGGGTAGCTTTGGGTATTCCACGGAGTCGGTGGTCGAGAGGGTCGTTGTTCTTGGGGAGACCGGAGAGAAGAAGCAGACCCTGGAGGGGCCGTGGGGATTGGATAAGGCTTTTGGATTTCGCATCTAAATACCGTGGCTAGGATCATATTACGAGCCTTGGTTTGCTCGGAAATGACGATAACAGTGCTTCCTAGAACCAAACCCAAATAAAGAAAGAAAGACGGTAATCAAATCTTGCCAACGCCAGCTCCCAGCTTGACAAGCGGCGCCACCAGCGGCAGTGGGGTTAGCTTGAACCTGTACGGCGCCTTGGTGAAGTTGCCGACTTGTGTGATGTTGACGGTGGCCTGGCCCCAGTCGTTCTCTGTGTGTAGTAGTAGTATCATAACACCGTCAGCAAGAAGCCCCGGGCGCGAGTCAGAAACGGAAGATCGCTAAGACTTTGTTACTCACTAGCACCGAGATTGGCATATCCGTCCAGCTCCTCGTCACCGCACGTGCACGTATTTGGCGAGTCTTCCGGGATCACCAGACCGTACGAGCTCAGCGCCTCGCGCGTCTTGCCGCGGAACACGTTGCCCTCGACAAGCACCTGGTTGTCGGACCGGGAGTGGATCGCCTGGTGCAGGAAGTCGACGTAGAGGTTGTTGTAGATGTGCTGGTGGCCGAAGCGGCCCGCGGGACCACGCGTGCCCTCGTTGCGCCAGTAGTTGTGATGGTATGTGACATGCAGGTGGCCGCCGTCGATGGCCCGGAAGGTCGGGTCGTTGCCGACGAGGGACGACTTCCAGTGGTCGTGGAAGTAGTTCCACGATACCGTGATCCAGTCGGAGCCGCGGATGATGTCGACTTGGCCGTCCTGGTTTGTTGTTAGTACTGGTAGTTTGATATTGAGCAGATCTGTAAACGTAGTACTAGTGCTCCTAGCACTTACAAAGAAATCCGGCCCCTTTGTGATGTCGGATGTGAACTCGTTGTGGTCGACCCAGACCCGGGTGGAGTTGCGGATGGTGATGCAATCGTTGTCCTCGATGAAGCTGACCTTCAGGTTCCGGATAATGACATTGGTAGCGTCGACCACATCAAGGCCCCTGCCGGTGATGTGGGCCGTGCTGCCGACGCCGATGACGGACTTGTTGGAGCCGATTTTGGCTCGAGCCGTGAGGTTAAGCTCACCCTTCACGTAGATGATCTTGGGCTGATTGCCGTTGACGGCTGCCCGGAAGTCGGCCGGGTCGTCAACGGTTACCGTTGCACCGCCCTTGCCGCCCGTGGTGGTTCCGATGGGATTGTCTTTGGCGAAGCCCTCGACATCCCACGAGGCAAGGCCGAACGAGCCCAGCGGGAAGGCATCAGCCCAAGGGGCCGCAATGGCGAGGATGCCGACGAGATTGCTGAGCCACATCGTTGGCAACCCGGGAACCTGGTTCTTGGGGAGAATGGTCTGGACTTATCAAGACAGCACGCTCCCAGACTCGGAATGGCAGGCACCACTTAATATACCAGGTACTATATGTATGTAATTGTACGACCGGTAACGCATCATCACTGCTACCGAAGCAATGGAAAAATGGCCTCCAGCGGGGAACCCTGTCCCGGCAGCGTTCTCTTTCTCGTGAAGCCTTGGCCAGAACGACATTTACCCGTTCCATGAAGCATCGTCGCCAAGACGGCGGCTCTATTGACGCGTCGTCTCTAAGTGGTGGAAATATATCTATACAGCAGCCACGCGCTGGTCTTGTGGTTGGGCTTGGCAGATCAGCAGGAGTTGGGGTAAGACGGAGGCATCAACGCCTGTACACTGATGGGCTTGATTCAACGTCCAGCTAAGGGCTAAGGTGCCTCCGTAAAACTGCCACAATGAGTCGGTGAAAGGCATAGGGGAAGCCCAGGAGTGCATCGATACTCCCTTCACCTCTTCACCTCTGCCGTGTGGTATTGCTCCCTATTCCTAATCCCTTATCTGGATCTTACTTTTAGCTACCTTCCCTCTTTTCCCTTAGCTCTCGCTCAATGCGCGCAATAACCCCGTCTAGCATCTCGAGCTTCTCCCGGCCCTGCTTGCTAGGTACTGCATATCCATCGATCTCGTGCCTGACCTTCAGCGTGTACTGCAGCGCCTTCTCGAGATTCCCGACGTGGTAGTAGAGCCGGGCTGGAACCTCGTACATGCCGCTCATTTGCTCTGTCAGGCCTTCTTCATCCACGAGGCTGAACAAACGCTCGGCCTGCTCGATGGCTGTGTCGAATTCTCCGTTCTGGGCAAGTGAGACTACTTCGTCCTGCAAGTGCCGGATCTCGATGCGGCGGGAATCTGACGCATTGCGGGCGGCTGGCGATGCCGTGCACAGAGAGCATTGGCTGGTCAGGCGAGGGAAGGTCAACGGCACTGCTCGGGGGGGGGGGGGGAGAGGAGAAGTCTGGTTACAGGGTCTGGGTGAGAACATACCACTGGAACCCCCAGATTTGCTCCAAAAGCTGCTGCCGTTCCTGCGAGGTCATCCCAGCGTTTGCGTCTGAGACAGGATGTTAATATCGTCCTGCATTCAAGCGGAAGGTTACTGCAGTTTACAGAGCTTGAGAGCCACGTACAGCTGATAGTAATCTCCTCGCCAGGTTCTATGTCCTGGGCTGACCAAACGGTCATGGCAAGTTTCGTCTCCGAAAAGTGGATAAACGCACTGAAGGATCAGCGAAAGCCTCCCACGTTACGTATGAACGTGCGTACGGAATACCTACTTTGGCTTGCAGGCATGATTGAATCTCTGCCGGCATATCAGCCTTCTTCCCCTGGCCATTCATTCAAGACTAGGTAGACGAAATACTCACCGCCAAGTCCGCAAACAAGCCCATATACTCCTTGCCGCCCACGGTAACCCCAAAGCTATTCGTCAGCATGACATCCTCCATTTCACTCATTTCCTGCACCCCATCCTCTTCTTCTTCATCTTCCCCTTCCTGTTCCTGTTCATGTTCCTCCGTCCCACCACTCCTCCTCCTCCCCATTACCCTCCCCTTAACACCCTGCTTCGCCAACCCCGTCACCCTCCCGGGCTCCCCCAACCGCTCCGCCGCGACCCTCAACAAATCCTGCACCTCCTCCCGCAGCACATCGGCAGGGTACTCCACCGCCGCCAACACACTAACCGTGTCCACAAGCATCACCTTCCCCTTCTCAATCCTCCGCGTCGCGACCGCACCTTTGCCTTTTCCCGGTATCTCGCGCACCTCGTACGGCCGCGGTTTCATGACTTTGTCCGGCTCAAAAAATAACAGGAGCTCATCATCATCATCATCATCACCGAATACTAAGTGGGTGTGCGGGTGCAGTGCGTCGGCGGCCTCTTCCGGCGTGGTGATCACGCTGATACCGTGTGCGGCGTCGGTAAAGACGCACCAGGGCGTGTCGGAGGCGGGGATGCAGTACGGTTGGTGTGTCCAGGGATGCCAGGCGGAAGGCTGGGAGGGGGAGATGTGGGAGTCGAGGCAGGATGGCGCCGTTATATCGGTCAGGTGACTGTGCAAAGGGCGGCTAGGGGCTGGGGAGGCGCATTGTGAGGGCTCGGACGTCTGTGAGGATAGGGAAAGGGTGGGGAGGATGAGGAGGGTGAGATGGAGGGTGAGATGGGACCGCATAGTAAGAGTCGCTGAAGTGATTTGTTTACGGGAGCAAGATGGACCGTGAAAGACAAGCTGGTGTTATGAAGGTGAGAGATGCGTTGCATTCTCGTGAAATTGACAGCTTGCTTGTATTGCCGCCGCTGGATGGTCATTTAACCGGACGGATAGTGTGTTGTGCCATGATTCGTTGCGAGACTGAAAGCTGATGGTACTGTACCGGTGACCAATTACCCGCAACGTCACAGCAAAATGACACTTTGAACCATAACTGGGCGGTTGGTTGCCCGGGTTTGGAAGTCTCTTATGAAGTACATCATCGCAAGTTATAACGTCACCTGCATGGATACGGGCCGTGCATGGATCCGGGCCAGGGTCCAGGCCTCCGGAGTGAAGCGTGATTGCTGTTGTACCGTCATGGTGAGCTAGAGCTAAGGGGTGCGTCAGGAGTAAGAAGAATAATGAGAAAGGGAGGAAGGGAATTCTAGGGCTAGGGGAAGAAGGGAGAAGGGGGTTTCGACGGCGTGAGCGAGCCCGCACCACACATCCTGGACGACAGCCCCGAACGACCCGCGCCAACATTCTGCCTTGTCTACGTCGCTAAAGAACGGAATCCTGCCGCCAAAAATGCATATCCAACGTGAATGCGCGGGAGGTATTCCGGAACACTCGATGGGTGTGGGCGAAGTAGAATGGGCGACGCCTTCCGGGCCCTGTCGCCGGCGCCGTTTGTAGTCGTTACGGAGGCGGCGACGGTCCGGGAACGCGAACGGGATCGCGTCCGGCAAAACACCGGACGAGCGGTGCGCCGGGTGTGCTGAGTCCGCAACTACATCCCGATATTTTGCTTGCAAATCTTCCCTGTCTGCTCAAAAGCGTCCAGAACTGGTCGCTCTAAGGACAAGAAACCGCCTCCTTTGAACAACAACGAAGACAAGAAGATGTCGCTATTGTAGGGAGGCCGTGAACGTGAATCTGGAACGAGTATTACACTTTCATTTTCGGTCGAGTTGCTGACTTAGCACAGTTCAGGTCATATGCAGGAACGTTTTCTGATGATTGAAACGGTAGGGAACGCGTTCGCGCTCAGTTTTCACCTATCCGTTTTTCAATTCCGTTTTCCGACTTTTGCTGTGGTGTGAATCTAACGTCGCCTTGTTGTGACTACGCTTTCACTAACGCGTTGCGAACCCGCTCTTAGCCAACCAAACGTGTTTGTGACCCTCCTCTATATATCTTGGCTAATGGCCGCTTTCGTGTTCATGTGTGTCAAAGGATGCCGACCCTATGGGCCACTGTCCTCGACTAGGCCAAATTCGATGGCTGCACTTTGGGCCGGTCTCTTCGGCCTAAGAGGAGTCTTTTAGCGAGAATGTAGCGACGTGGACTTAACGGCCTAGCGTGCTCGCGCTGCGAGTGCCGGCCCTAGCCTGGCGCTCGTCAACTTGAGCGAGCTGGCTAACATCGAACTGGACGCGACCGTGGCCTATACGGCCTGACCTAGCCGACCCTGATGCTCGTCGTAGAAGGAAAGCCTCAACTATATAATAGAGCTTGGCAATAAGTATACGCGCTGCTCTTAGGGCTCACGATCACTTGCGGCGCCGACATCACCCGAAGGCGGATCGCTAGTCCGCGTCGTATACTAGCGATAAGCGTGGGAACCAACCTAGAACCAGCGTAGTCTTGCATTAGCATAGCTATAGAGTAGGAATAAGTAGACTATTGTTAGAAATATAGGGCGCCTGGGCGACTAGAACTGGTTGATCTAGGCACCTGGATATGGCTGTCAGGAATGCTATATACTAAGAACCATGCTGTGGCGCCAAACACCGAGGGCGCAGGGTGCGTTATATGGCGCCTGCTCGCATGGTTAAAAGGAGGGCTAGGTAGCGCTCCTTCTTCTACCGAACGGACAAGACATAACCACAATTGACCAACGTTGCTCTGCATTTGACTGCGTTCTAATTGGCACTTACTGCTCCATCAAAGAGAGCACTATATTTGCATTACGAAGCACTAGATCAATTCCATCGTGGTATCGTGGCTATTGGTAATTCCAATAGTTATGAGCCTGGTAAGCAACAGGCTTCCAGAACGACCAACAACGAATTACGATAGCCAAGCAACATCACTACGTTGAATCGCTAGTTTCCCGCTCTCGATACGCAACTATGAGCGACAATGAAGTTATCCTCGAAGGCCCGAGCGGCTGGAAGCGCTAGAGTATACGCTTTATCAACTAGGCCGAAGCCTAGGACCTGTGGCTAGAAATCAACCTAGATAGCTCGCAGGCCGGCCAGTTTATAGAACGACCTATCCCGCCGAACCTCAAGAATTACGACAAGATTCTCAAGCGCCGCGAAACGCGTAGCTAGAGCGCTACATCAAGCGCGACCATAGACCACTCGCAGCAGCTCACCGCCTTCGGAGAAATCGACCCCGAGGGAAAACCCAAGAGCGTGGCCGAAATAATAACAGCGTCACGAGCGGCGTATAATACAGACACTTCGGCTTACTAGTTCGAATAGCGTAGATACGAACAACAATGCGCAAGCATTGCATATCTAGCTGACTAGATTCGCAAAACGGTCAGTCCGACGCTCTATAATATCGTATACGAGCCTAGAAAAGGCCTCTATAACTAGTATAAGGCACTAAACGAACAAGCGGGCACCAACGATATAGAGGAGGAAGCTCGCATAGCTGAGGCCCTAGACTACGCCAATAAGCTACTCACAAAGAAGCCTAAGGATATGTCGGCTTGGTTAAAGGCCTAGGAAACTATACTTCTCGACGCTAAGAAGGCCGATATTCTAGGCACCAATTCCTTACGCACTTGGTAGAGGTGGTTCTACTATACTGTCAAGGAGGCTAGCTACGAAATCTAGTGCGTTTCCTACTATAACACGCACTAGGAAGATATCAATAACAACGACTTTTCGCTCGTACACCTAACTAGAGATTTTGTCAGGGACCGGAGGTCCGAGGGATAGTATGCTAGAGTGAAGAGGTACGAGCAAGGCATGAGCGGATCCCGCGCTCAGAGTGAGCAAGCAGGACGAGTGTATTCACGTTGAACTCTGCCTCCTTTCAGTACATTACGGTCCTCCTCTCCTTTTTATAGCCAAACCTCCCAGCTCCCTCCGAGCTCCCGTCGGTCGCTGGCTCGGCTCCGACACCTAGTTTGCGCTGATCCCACGAACCAGACCACCTAGGGCTTAGCCTTCATTCCAGACGCTGCGGTCAGCATTCCTGTCAGTCGGCCTCACTTCGGCATGCATGCCCGGATCCGGGGGGGCGCCCAGGCGACCACGGGCACTTGTGCCAGTTTGGCCCTGACAGATTTTAGCGAGCATATCTATTTGTCGGAACCAGCTATATAGCGCCCACGAACCATTGTAATGAACAGGTGTAGAGACCACCACAACTACACCTAACACACACACATACCACTGCTCAGTATGGTGAGGTCATGTATCAGCGTGAGGGAGGAGAGAGGTCAACACCTCATAGATAGGTCAGATATTCTGGGCTCGACAGCCACAAATCATAGATAAACTGAGTCCTCTGCTTCCGATCAGAGGATGACTAGGGTCGTGAGCTCAACAGCGTGCACGATTAGGTCCGGGCCGAAGCCCAAAGGTAGGGTTCGAAAGAAGGTAAATTGGTTGCGTCCATGAACACTTCCCGAAGGAAGGATCATCTTGATTAAATACACTCCGGCCCTGAACACACCGCCAAGAGTCAAATGCAATGCAAATCCACCTTAAAGAAGTGGGTCCCAACTGCCAATCGCGCGCCGTAGTTCCCTGCCCCAGTACAGTAAAAGGAGCTTTTCCAGCCTACATTGAATACTCGGAGGATGACGACAAGCACCAAACAACACCTCCGCCAAGGAAAGAACACTGTGAGTGCTCTAGAGGGCGCCCTTACGACTATGACGATCGTCGTGACCGTTCCCGATCATATGGACGTAGCCTATATATAAGAAGCAAGCGACCAAGCGGGCTAGTATGCCCTATATACAAGCTTACCCACCACCTTGAGAACTGCTAGTACACTTTTCCAAAGAAGCGACCAAATGGTATCGAGCTATACAAGCGCATTTAGGAATATTTCGAGCGCTAGATAAAGGATCCCAAAGTCCGAAAGGCTATAGAACGATTAAAGAAGCGCACTAAACGGGAAGACAGCCTAGCGCCTAAGAAAGGCATACTAAAGGAAGGCAAACTATAAAGTATATATTTCGACAATGAGAGTAGTTGACTCCCTACGCTAGCCTAGGTTAGCGTAGTGTTTCTGACTATATATATCGCCTTGACTGGCTTGTCGAAGAACTTACAAGGATTGCCAACGCTAGCACCCCCCGAAGGAAGCCTAACAATGGATTTCAAGCCCCCTGGTGGACGAACGAGGTGCAACAAAAGGTCTAGGGGGCCCGGGAGGCCGAACGTACGGCTAAAGCCGCACCTACGGCCTATAACAAGGCCCAGCTAAACTAGAGACTCCGGGACCTTTCAAGGGCTATACGACAGGCTAGAACAAGGACCTAGAGGTCTACCCTACAGGAAGCCAGTCATAACGAATCACTCCTTTGGAGCCTAGAACGGTGGGCTCGTTGCAAGAGCTTCCAGCCTACTAGCCCCCCTAGGCTCCCAGCCATCAATGGCTATACCACCCATACCCAGAAGGCCCAGGCTCTGGCCAACCGTTTCTTTCCAAGCCCGCCAGCCGACCTCTCCAACATCCAAGATCCCACCTTTTCCCAGCTGTGGGAACCGAAGATCCCAATAAGCCAGGTGGTTAGTGCCAGGGACATACAAGATGCCATTGCCCGGGCCGCTCCCTGGAAGGCCCCAGGTAACGACTACCTCCCTATAGGCCTATTGAAGGCCTGTAGTAGGCCGTTGTACAGGATCCTCGCACTACTCACCTAGAGATGCCTCGAACTACAATGGGTGCCGGCCAGGCTAAAGGAGGCTATAGCTATAGTGCTCCTAAAGCCTGGTAAAACCCCAGCTGACTACCTTACCCCCGGAGGCTATAGGCCTATTTCGCTCCTTCCTACCATTGGCAAGGTAGTGGAAATAGTGGTTACCAAAAGAATCACAGAGGCAGCCGAAGCCTATGGCCTATTACCCGACAAGCAGATGGGTAACCGGGAATATAGGTCAACAGACCTAGCCATTCGGCTTGTGGTAGCCCAGATCCAAGAGGCCTGGAGACAACGCGCTACGGCTTCCCTATTGCAGTTAGATCTCACA